GGGGGAGGGGGGAGTTTGAAGAAAGTCAGGATGAGATTAAAGGAATTAAAGGAACTCCTTCCTTTCCATCATTTCACATTTCACATTTACATGTTGTCTTCTTCCATGTATGGGCTTGTAGTTTGCTACGGTATGGTCCTTCGTTCTCCCTTTTTCTTTCTTTTTTTTTTTCCTTCTCGCTTTTCTTCAACTCTTAGATACATTGTCGGCCCAGCTCTCAAGGCTCTCAACTTTTTATTTTTATTTTTTATTTTTGAATCCTCGAGGAGCAAGCTGGGCTGAAGGGTTTCTTTCTCATGTATGAATGAGGCTGAAAGATACCCACATGGTTGCCTTTGTTGCGGTCTGCTTGTGCTTCTCCTTGTCCTTGTCTTTGGGCAGGTGGATACCTGAATTGAGGAGGTAGCTATGGGAGTCTGGAAGTAGGGAAGTGCCTACCTAGGGAATGCAAATTGAACATAATGGGGTCTTCTCGGATGTGGGATAGAGAACTTGCTGTATTCCTGGGGTTGTGTTTTGTGATTTGATGTGATGTGATGTGGTCTCTTAAACCTCATCAAAGAAAAGCAAGTGGAGGTGTCGCACTGTTAAGATGTGACTGATGGCTTGGGTGTAGTCTGTGTAAATGTGCCTGATGAAGGATATGGACTGCTAAAGTGAATGACAACTACCCCACGAGCTGGAGGACCTCCCAAGGAAGTTCAGGATTAATGTTTTTTTTTTTTTTTCCCTCTGGGTTGAAAAGGGTAAAGTATCTTCCATGAGATGAGTGAAGCGCATAATGATTTATAAGCCTTCATTATGGTCATCTTTGTCAAGGGGAACTTGTGTCTCTTGGCAATTCCATGAACTCACCAGAACTAAGCCTCTTGATGCGTAGGAGCTGCATCGGGTTCATGTTTAGATCTTTCTGATCCATTGAGGTTCCCCTTTGTTGTCACCATTATTGACTGGCATGTCGTCAACCCCACACAAGATGGCAACATGATCACCCAGCTCACTAATACTACACTCCACCGTATCTGTATCCCCGGGTCTCTCTGGTTACATGTCGAATTGCCGAGCCGCTGAACCGCAGCAATGACGTGACTGACAAATTGAGAACTTTACATGATGTTTTGTCAGTTAAGGTACCCTAGTTACTATCGAGAAGAATCATGTTCTTTTTATGTGGGTGGTGGGTGGTAGGTGGTTGATGGGGTCAAGGATGGTGACATGCATGATGACCCCACTTGCGGATTAGCAAGCACTTGGTGACGATGACGATGGTATCTTTCAGTGATGTGAGAAATTGCGATTCTGAAACAATTGGTATAAATGAGGGAAGGAGAGGGGTATAAATAGGGAGGTGCGCTTTTCACCTCGGCCTAAACTTTCATGTTCCCAGTGCAATAGTCAAGAGCATTAAATCCTAGAGCTCTCTCTCACCGAGAAGCTTACCCGGGAAGATTTCAATCCCAGACACAAAACGTTGAGCTAACCTCATTCGGTTTTTTTTTTTTGATTTTTTTTTAAAAAAAGAACACTCCAGATCCTGGCTCTCTCTCAACAATCAAGCACCCAAGCAGAAGTTTTGTCCATCTAGAAATTCCACACCAAGCAAAATGACCACCATCAAGAACGTCGCTGTCCTGGGAGTACGTATTGTTCCCTGCCATTCCAAACAGAGAGACCCCACGCTGACCCATCTTCAGGCCACAGGCAACGTCGGCCCCGCCATCACCTCCGCCCTCGCCTCGTCAGGCTTCACCGTCACGGTCCTAACCCGCTCCGCCCAGCCGCCCTCCAACCTACCCCCGAACGTGACTGTCCGCACAGTAGACTACACCTCCCGCGACTCTCTCTCCTCCGCCCTCGCAGGCCAAGATGCAGTCATCTCTGCGCTGGCAGGCGCCGCTGTCCCCTTGCAGAAGCAAGTTATTGATGTGGCGGCTGAGGTCGGGGTGAAGAGGTTTGTACCGAGCGAGTTTGGGATCAACACGCGCAAGGCGAGGGGAAGTGCTATTGGGAAGATCTTGGGGGGGAAGATTGAGGTGGTGGATTATTTGAAGGAGAAGGAGGGAAGCGGGCTGACATGGACGGGGGTGGCAACGGGGTTATTTTTCGATTGGGTATGTGCTTTTTATACAACGTTACCATGAAGAGAAAGGGGTGAGAGGTAAAGAGGAGACTGACAGCAACAGGGCCTCGAGCGCACCGGTTTGGGTGTGATTAATCTAAAGGAGAGGACGAGTACTGTGGTTGACTCGGGTAACGAACGCTTCCAAACGAGCACCCTCGCCCAAGTCGGCCGCGCAGTCGTCCACGTCCTTCAGCACCCGGATGAAACGGCCAACAAATACATCTCGACATCCTCCTTTAATGTGTCTCAGAACGAGATCATCTCTGCCGTCGAGGACCTCACTGGCACCAAGTTTCCGGTCACGGCCAGGCAGAGCTCCGCCGACCTACAGAAGTCGGGAGAAGAGAAGCTCGCCAAGGGGGATTGGACTGCGTTTTTTGATCTGCTCAGGGCTTGGAATAATGGAGATGGACGGGGGAATGCGCTGAGTGAGGAGGAGAGTGGGAATAAGCTGATTGGGTTGGAGGGGGAGGATTTGAAGACGGTGCTGAGGGAGTGGTTGAGGAAGGAGGGGGTTTTGAAAGCTTAGAAAGGGGGGGGGGGGAAGGCTACTACCGTAGTGGATAGGATAGGTTCGGCATGGACAGAGCTCTTCGACTCATGCTTTTATTTTCTTTTCTGTTTTTTTTTTTTTGTATCCTTTTCATAGAGTCGATGATAGCTTATGAGTCTACATGGTCATTTACCAGTTCACCAATTCTTATCCATCGCTGACTCCTCTCAATGAGGTATCGCGCCATTATTTCCATAAGTCACCAGGAACGAGGCCTAACCACACCGCACACTGGCTCCCGTAAACTCATCTCATCACCTTCTTACGGGCCAAACCTGATCTAAAGTCAAATCATCGCGAACTATTGATGTGGTTGGGGAAAGATCAGAATAGCCTGTAACTGCCAAGGCACTGGCTAGGATTTAAGAGGGCTAAAAAATGGAACGGCACCAGCAAGTCACTGACACACGGTAAGTAGAGCCAATGCGTTATCTTTTGGCTTCTCGAGCGGAGATCATCTAGGACTCAGGAATCTACTAGGAGGGATGGAGATGAGCTACCGGGTTATGGATGAGGAATGCCATAACTGCTCTTGATTTACTTCGAATTAACATCGTCATTCTTCCTCATTTTTTTAAAAAGTTTTCATGACAAAAGAAATTCTTTACATTCTGATGATAATCTGATTGATGTCTAAATGATCGAGCCTACCCTCCCCCCCCTCCCTTCCCCCAAAAAGTCATTCCTGTTGTTTGAATGTTTGCTTACATGCATCAATCGAGGTTTCAAGTATCGAGGCTCCTCGCGCTAAGGCCAAATTAGGCCTAGTGCGGCTTCGATGCGCTCGGTGGCCGAACTTTTGGAGCGCCGGGCTCTTGATCGTTGCCGTCGCTCTACACGTCCTTTGCTGCTCGCATCCATCGCCATCCACCGTCGCCGCAACTGCGCATCCCCGAATCGCCCTCCAAGTACTCTGTAACTGCGAGGTTGAGACAGACAGATCTACGGCGAAGTTTATACCGGAGATCCAGGCGACTACTCACCGACAATGGGTCACAAAAAGAAGCGCAGCCATCCCGACCTCGAGGAGCTCCTCGCACGCCCGTGGTGCTATTACTGTGGGTTTTGGGTCTTGCGTGGGAAGAGATGGACAGCTAGCTGACTGCGTCAGGCGAGCGCGACTTTGAGGACCTCAAGCTTCTCATATCCCATCAGAAGGCGAAGCACTTCAAGTGCGAGCGATGCGGCAAGCGGTTGAACACAGCAGGCGGTACACACTCTCTTCCCCCTCTCTTGTCCCATCTTTCTCGATCGAGCCGGATGCTGATGTGGTGATTACCCAGGCCTCTCTGTCCACATGAACCAAGTCCACAAAGAAACGCTGCAATGCGTCGAGAACGCCCTGCCCAACCGCTCCGGCCTCGACATCGAGATCTTCGGCATGGAGGGCGTCCCCGAGGACATCCTGCAGCAGCACAACCAGCGCATCATCCAAAACTTTTACCAGGCCCAGGCCGAGCGCGCCGCCGCCACGGGAAATCCGCCCCGCGGGCATGCCGTGCAGGGGCCGGCCAAGAAAATCAAGTACGAGACGCCCGAGGAGCTCAAGAAGCGCCTCGCCGAGCATCGCGCCAAGTTTGCCGCGCAGAAGGCCGCGGCTGCCAACGGGACAGCACCGCAGGTGCCGCAGGCGGATGGCGCCGCAGCTGCTGTACGCCTCTTCCCCTCTCTCTTCCTGTCGTTTGCTGTCGGTTGCTAAACCGTGTCCTACAGCCCGCTCCCTTCCCCGCCGCACAACCCCCCGCCTACCCCTACCCAGCCATGCCCCCGACCGTGCCAGGCTATCCCGCCGCGGCCATCCCTCCCTTTCCCCCGACAGCCCCCGCAGGCGTCTACCCCGCGCCTGGCGCGCCCCCCGTTCCCGGCGCTCCCGGAGCGAGCTTTCCTCTCCCCGCAAGACCGCCCGGCGCTCCGGGGGCTGGCGCCGCGCTGCCTCAACGGCCGCCCTTCTACAACGGTGCTGGCGCGCCTGGTGAAGGACCGGTGCAGAAGGTTGGCGGGGATGATATCGACCAGTTGATTCGGATGGCTGAGGCGGGGATTAAACCTCAGGCTCAGCAACAACAAGGAGAGAAGAAAGAGGAGGGGGCAGCGGCGGGAGAAAAGAAGAAGAAGGAGGTTAGGATGGTGTATGCGGATACGGAGGTCAGTCCGGAGGAGAAGATGGCGTTGTTGCCGAGGTATAGGTGGGTTGAGGAGGCTGCTGCTTGAACGCTTGAAGGATACCCGGGAGAGTGAAGAGGGTTGAGCAAGGAGAGTAGTGTGTCTCAGATCCAGAGCTATGCCGGATGGAATCATGAGACAGGGATTTCAAGATGCACAAGACGACGACGAGTGGATAGGCTGGATGGGGATCTCTCTTGCTACTACTACTACTGCTTACTGCTACTACTACTATTACTATTACTACTACTACTGCTGCTGCTGCTGCTGCTGCTGCTGCTGCTGCTGCTGGTGGTACTCCTGCATGACATTTTTTTCATGGGATCATTATTACAGGGCTACGGCGCCGATGGGTCTGAAATCAATGTCGTTAAGTCGGGTCAGGTACGTGCTCTACTGGGTTATGCATTATCTGACTGAGATCAATGAAGAGATATAATCCAAAATGTATTGAAGCGAAATGCAACAAGCAGCGGCCTTTTAGCCCCCTTCTGGCGGTTGCTCGATATTGAGATGACCCTCAGCGGTCGAATCTACGCCCAAATTCTGGCACAAGATCAATGCCTTTTTTTTTTTTTCCTTAATCAAGCAGACTCGATTTTGAAACGCGACCTTGGCCTGTTTCGGCTTTGGAGAGTGCTTATCGACGTCATCGTCAGCTGTTTTCTCTCTCTCTCTCTCTCTCTCGAGCCAGCAATACTGATTGTGCCTGAGTGAGCTATGAGTGAGCGGAACGGCGTTTGCCGACGTTCTCTGGGGGTAGCATCCGATATCAAACTAGCTCTTGGATCAGAAGTACCACCGAGAGAACCGCTCGATGAATTTTCAACTGCTCTTCAGTTGAAGTATATGGTTTTCCACTACGGCCTAAGTCGCCAACTGACTACCTCAACTGCAGGATGTCGTCCTTTCTCATAGGGATTTGCTTCTGAGCCGGTTAGCTCTCTCTGCGGATACGTACATGATGATGATCAGAACCGCTTAAAAGAACCCAACCATCTCAAGTTCAACTCTATGGGCAGATCACCCTCTATCGTCCCGCCAACCCCATCAACGATCAGCCAAAACGAGATCTAAAGACCCACGCGTGATCCCGGTCCCCGGAGTTATCCCTCACATTCATTGAACCATTTTCAGATGCTTAACCACGGGACACGCGGGGAAATGTGGTTGTCCTTAGCATGGTAGCGGGATCGCGGGCGCCGGTTAAAGTCCCGGGTGCCACGCTACAGTACAACCGTACAACCGTTGAGTAGGACCGTGACTAGCCTGGCTCCGCTCTCCTCGACCTTGTATCCGTTGTCGACTGTTCTGCTCTCTTGACAAGTGCGGCTCGTGATTTTCTTTTCCGTTCTGCATCATGTCGGTGGACTTGATTATGGAGGAAAGAGGTGTTTTGGTATCTAATGACCTGTTAGTGTGATGTTTGATGGATAGAGAGGAGAAGGACAGTAGTCGATGGATGAGGGTGTGTTTTGGTGTAACGCCACGCAGGAACCATGCAGTGGTTTGAGTGAAACCTTGGAGGGGCTTCCAGAAGATGAAACGGAAGATTAACCTCCGCAGATACTGGAGCTCCCCCCCCCCCCCCGCCGCGCCCCTCCTCATGAGAGCTCAGCTCCCTGAACATGGTGCGGCAGACGCTTCTAGAACACACCTGCAGGAGAACACGGACTTCAAGCACGCCTATCGGCTAGCCGAAGGGAAAGGTTTTCGGCCACGCTCCATGCATATCTCAGCCATCTCGTCACTCACCCATTTGAACAACAATTCTCCTTCTCCAGGCAGTTTGGCCGGCCGCCCCCCCCCCCTGCCGTCCAGCTCCGCCCGAACCTATTTTACCCGCGGGCCAGCCTGATCACCGAGCTTGGCTCACCTATGGATGGGAACATTGTCCGCTCCCATATGTCACCTACCCCAATCGTAAGCCCACTGGCGGTGGGAATATTTCCCTCCAATGGAGTGGTGACCACCGGTACAATGACCCAATAAGTGTGGTAACGATGGACTCGTTCCTGGTTACTCTCTATTTTACCCATTATCCACGCAATGGGGACGTGAGAATATATACTGGCGAACGCGTGGAATGGATCGTCACGAGGGGACGGCGGAATGAGAATGGAACGGGGAAAGATGCGGGGATATATCACCAAAAGACCTTACCCAAGAAGCTATATGGATATAATTAACAACGATGGACGTCCCTACCTGGGAGTAACCCTCCCTTTTCCGTTTTCTCAACCCGTACGGTCCCTTTTCCAGGACAGACCCAGGCCAAGCTTAGGCCGACAGGCAGGCATCCCCCAGCACCGCCTGGCACACGTTTAGTTTAGGGTTCATCTCTAGGTAGGACTAGACCCTCGTTCGCTGATCCCAGCGCAAGCCCCATCATGAAACTCCTCACCTGGGCTGCCCTCACGGCAGCCCTCTTCCCCCTCGCCCATGCCCTCGGCCAAGAACGCATCATCTCGACGGACCCCAAAGGCTCGGTCCTTCAACTCGCCGGAGGCCGAATCAAGCGCGGACAAATTCTCGTGTCGCCTAACGACTACTGGGGCGTGATCCGCGCGGCGGGGGACCTCGCTCTGGACTTTGGACGCGTCACTGGTGTCAATTATACGTTGAGCAACGGCCAGAGGGGAAGCCGACCGGCCGTGTATACGTATAGGCCGGTGGATAATACAGATAATGTCAACGTAAGTCAGAGTTCACCAAGAAGAGTGAGAAAGGAGTTAGTTAGTTAGGGGATTATAGGGGATAGGGATTGTTAACGAAAAAAAAAAAAACAAGTATAAAACGACCGGCGTAGCGAACTTCACCGGCCCCGCGTACAGCGACCCCTCCCCCGCCGACACAGTCATCATCGCGGGCACCATCGGCAACAGCACCCTCATCGACAAGCTCATCTCCTCCAAACTCCTCGACGTCTCCGCCATCCGCGGAAAATGGGAGTCCTTCACCTCCCAGGTGATCACATCCCCGATCCCAGGCTGTCCCAAAGCCCTCGTCATAGCCGGCAGCGACCCTCGCGGCACCATCTACGGCATCTACGATATCAGCGAACAAATCGGAGTCTCGCCGTGGTACTTCTGGGCCGATTCTCCTGTGCGCAAGTCCAAGAATCTGTACGTGACGAAACAGAAAAAGGTGCAGGGTCCCCCGAGCGTCAAGTACCGCGGCCTCTTCCTCAACGACGAGCAGCCTGCTCTCACGAACTGGGTCGCCTCCCGCTGGAAGGATACTCCCTACGGACCCGGGTATGGAGCAGAGTTTTATTCTCTCGTGTTCGAGTTGATTCTGAGGTTGAGGGCGAATTACCTCTGGCCGGCTATCTGGGCGACCATGTTTGAGGTGGACGATCCGCGGAACCAGCCGCTGGCGGACGCGTATGAGGTTGTCATCGGCAGCTCGCACACCGAGCCGCTGATGCGAGCGCAGAACGAGTTTGGCAAGTTTTACGAGGGCCCGTGGGCGTATAATCTCAACAATAAGACCATCGACGAGTATTTTCGGTATGGCGTGCAGCGTGCAAAGCCCTACGCCAGGAACTCGCTCTGGACGATGGGCATGCGCGGGACGGGCGATACGGCGATCGAGGGGTTGGGCGTTGAGCATATCGTCAGCATGCTGAACACTCTCGTCCAAAACCAGCGGCAGATCATCTCCGAAGGCCTCGACGGCGTGGACATCACCACCGTCCCGCAGATGTGGTGTCTCTACAAGGAGGTCATGACCTACCTCTTCTACGGGCTCCAGGTCCCAGACGACGTGACGCTGCTCTGGGCGGACGATAACGCGGGGAATGTCCGCCGGCTGCCGCTGAAGAGCGAGCAAGGTCGGGCCGGCGGCGCCGGCGTGTACTACCACTTCGACTACGTCGGTGGCCCGCGGAACTACAAGTGGATCAACACGGTTCAGCTAAGCAAAACCACGGAGCAGATGCACTTGTCGTATGCGCGGGGCGCGGATCGGATCTGGATCGTGAACGTCGGCGATCTGAAGGCGCTCGAGATCCCGATCAACCACTACTTCGACCTGGCGTATGATATCCGCCGCTGGGGTCTGGACAGCACGTTCGACTGGGCGAAAGCCTACGCAGAACGCGAGTTCGGCGCGCAGTTCGCGGCAGACATCGCCGACGTGATGATGAAATACGCCATGTACGCCGGCCGCAGACGCTTCGAGCTCCTCGAGCCGCACGTGTACTCGGTGATCAACTACAACGAGGCGGACGCCATCCTCCAGCAGTGGGCCGAGCTGTCTGCCAAAGCGCAAGCTATCTACGACAGACTCCCCGCCGACGCGAAGCCATCTTTCTTTCAGACCGTCCTGCATCCTGCCCTAGCCGGGGAAATCGTCCACAAAATCCAGATCGGCGCCGCGAAGAATAGGTTGTATGCCGGGCAGTGGAGGAATGCGGCCAATAAGCAGATCCAGGAGGTGTTGACGCTCTCCGCGGCCGACGCAAACCTCACCAAGCGTTGGGATGCCCTGCTAGACGGCAAATGGAAGCACTTTATGGATCAGACACATCTCGGGTACGACGGCTACTGGCAGCAGCCGATGCGGAATGCCCTCCCCCCGTTAGTGTACGTCCAGCCCGACTTCGTCGCCTTGTCGGGGGAAGTCGGGTTCGGCGTCGAAGCAAACAATGGCACCGTCCCCGGCGATGATCGGTATCACCCGAACAGCGGCGCATCGCTCACCCTCCCCCCGCTCGACCCGTACGGTCCGGTAACGCGGTACTTCGACGTCTTCTCGCGGGGCGTGCGCGAATGCACCTGGAAGGCGGCCGTCGCCCAGCCGTGGGTCAAGTTATCTCGCGCCGAAGGCCGCGTCGGGCCTAACCTGGCTGACCAGCGCGTGTATGTGTCGATCGACTGGTCTCGCGCGCCAAAAGCCCCCTTCGAGCAGACCATTGCCATCAACGTCAGCTCTCCGTGCCGGGACATGGACAGATACGGCTTCCCCGAGCCGGTGCTGTACCTGCCCGTGCAGAACCGGGTCGTTCCCTCAAGTTTCAAGAAGGGGTTTGTCGAGAGCGACAAGCACGTGTCTATGCTGGGTGCGCACTACAGTCGGATTATTCCTCCGAAGGAGAGGACTGCTGAGAACGTGAATGTCACGTACCACATCTTCGAGCACTACGGCCGGACGTCGTCTGCCGTTGGGCTGGTGCCGCTCACTACCGAGAAACTGACGGTTGACACCGCCCCCGGCCTGGAATACGATCTGTATCTCTGGACCAACACCTCGTCCGCCAAGGTCACAGTGTTCATCTCCCCGAGCCTAAACTACCTAGGGGACGACACTCCCTTGGAATACGCCATCTCCTTGGCTCCTGCTTCTTCCTCGTCCTCTTATGACATAAAATCTGTTCGGCCCGTCGGTCCCACCGTCGGAACCGGGATGCCAGCGGGCTGGGACGGCGCGGTAGCCGACAACGTGTGGGGTCGGCATGAAAACTACACGGTGAGCACGTTTGCGGTTCCGGAGGCGGGAGCCTACAAGTTGCGGCTGTGGGCTTTAATGCCGAGTATCTTGGTGCAGAAGATTGTTATTGATTTGGGCGGGGCGAGACAGAGTTATCTAGGGCCGCCGGAGAGTTTTCTCGTGGGGAGAGATGCTGTTGGTGGGCGGAGGAATGCGACGAGCTTTTTGAATGAGGTTGGGACGGTTGGGGGGTGGTCTTCTAAGAAGAATTGAGGGGGGTTTGCGTTCTTGTGTATATAGTAGGTATTTTGGGTAATTCACTTTGAACTTGGCCGTTGTCGCAACTTTTTTCAATGTCCCTATCGAAGTTTGGGTCTCAAGAAAGCTGTACTTTGGAGAATTCTACCTTGTAGAGGTACTCCTGTTCCTGTCGTCGTGGCAAAAATTGGGAACAAAAAGGATGATCAGGGAAGAATCAGTACTTTGGGACTTTGCTTCTCATATATAAGTTTCTTTTCTTTTCTTTTCTTTTTTTTTTGAAACGACATGATTTTTTTTCTTAGTGAAGAATATCACACTTATGCTTTCTGCTCTATCATATATCTGGGGGGAGGGTAAAAACAGATATTAAATCTTGAGTCAAAACATGTTCTGACCTCAAAGCATCTCGTCCTCAAACTATGTAGGACAAGGCCAAAGGAGGAGAAAAGGAGGGGGGGAAGGGAAAAGAAGCTAGGGCCAAAGATAATAAGGATTGCTACCACACGAGACACAGGTGATGCTAATTTGACCTTGCAGTGTGTTGTAACTGACATCATAGGATGTAAGACGCTAAATCCAAGCATGAGCATGAGACGGCCAAAGCATGACGAAGCCGATGAAGGGACACAGTCGTACTTTGTCTGAACCTTTGTGTCAGCAGCCGATGAATGTGCAGGTTAACTTAGCATAAAAAATCAAAGGAACAGCTGATAATTGATGAATGAATTATAGAGTATTTTATGACGACAAAATTCATAAGACTTCTTGGTATGCAGACCCGAACTCTTGATTTCTTTTTCATTTTATTATTTATTTATTTATTTATTTATTTATTCTGCACATTCCTAAGGCCCACCAAAATCCAGAGCTTGGCTTACATCACGCCAAGAAAGCGCTAAGCCAGTGCCAAACCCTCCTCGGTTTCAGGTACACCCCACGCCCCACATATCGGTCGCCCCGGCAACGGTGCCTGCAGCAAAACAGACAGGGATCCAATCAACGCAGAAATCGTGGCACCAGCGACTCGGACATGGACCTCTCTCAATCTTGAACACCGGACTTTCTGCAAGCCATGACTGCCACGTCCACACGACCCGCTCCTCTTCTTACTAACTTTTAATCTGTATCCATTGGAACCGAGACTCGGCTTCGACTTCGAATTGTAACGACCCTACGACGCGATTTATCCTACCTATCCAGTGTTTTCAACGACCCAAGGACCTACCTACAAACAAACAAACAAAAAAAAAAAAAAAAGAAAAATTATAGCTTTGTTCTGACGACGTCACTATTTGTTGACATTGGATCCCAATCGCCTCGATCTCACCTACGAACCGCCCTGATCGGTCGTCCACCTGCCTAGGTGGCTGCCATCCGTCATTCTGTCGACATGGCCACCGATCCGAATGCTTCTTCGATTACCGTGGCGGGTATGTCCTCGCTGTTCACCTCTCTGTTTTACGCTTGTCTCATGTCTCAAATTGAAGCTAACTTGAACAGTGAGGGTTCGCCCCTTCACCATCAGGGAAGCGGCACAACTGTAAGAGACTATACGATGATATCCTACAATAGACCAAAGCAGGCTGACCGCAGCAGCGTCAAAACCGACGACAGCCCCGTCTTTCTCGGCGATGGTTCACTCGCGGGGGCGCAGACCCCCAAGCTCAAGCAGCGGGGCATCCGCAACATCATCAAGGTCATTGACGACAAGTGCCTGTGCGTCTTCCTGCCCCAAGTTTCCAAAAAAAAAAAAAAAAAAGATGCTAACATACAGCAGCGTCTTCGACCCCCCCGAAGACAACCCCGTCCAAAAATTCAGTCGCTCGGTCGTCCCCGCCACTGGCAAAAAAGTCAAAGACCAGATCTTCGCCTTTGACCGCATCTTCGACCAGGACGCAACGCAAATGGAGGTCTACGAGGGCACGACCAAAGGTTTACTGGATAGCGTGCTGGACGGGTACAACGCGACCGTCTTCGCCTACGGCGCCACCGGCTGCGGCAAGACCCATACCATCACCGGCACGGCGCAGCAGCCTGGTATCATATTTCTGACGATGCAGGAGCTGTTCGAAAAGATCCAGGAGCGCAGCGACGAGAAGATTACCGAAGTGTCGCTGTCGTATCTGGAGATTTATAACGAAACCATCAGAGATTTGCTCGTGCCTGGCGGGAGCAAAACCGGATTGACGCTGCGCGAGGACGAGAATAATACCGTGACCGTCGCGGGGCTGACAAGCTACCACCCCAAGAACGTCCAGGAGGTGATGGACATAATCATCCAAGGGAATGAGTACCGCACGGTGTCGCCGACCGCCGCGAATGCCGTCTCCTCGCGCTCGCACGCCGTCTTGCAGATCAATGTTGCCCAGCGAGACCGCAACGCAGACCTCTCGGAGCCGACGACCATGGCCACGCTGAGCATCATTGACCTCGCAGGCAGCGAGCGCGCGAGTGCGACGAAGAACAGGGGAGAGAGGTTGCTGGAGGGCGCGAACATCAACAAGTCTCTGCTCGCCCTAGGGTCATGTATCAACGCTCTATGCGACCCCCGCAAAAAGAACCATGTCCCCTATCGCAACTCCAAGCTCACACGACTCCTGAAGTTCTCGCTGGGAGGAAACTGCAAGACGGTCATGATTGTGTGTGTGAGCCCGAGCAGCGAGCACTACGACGAGACGCAGAACACGCTACGCTACGCCAACCGCGCCAAAAACATCCAGACCAAGGTCATGCGCAACGTGTTCAACGTCAACCGCCACGTGAAGGACTACCTGGTCAAGATCGACGAGCAGATGGCGCTGATCAACGAACTTCGCGCGCAGCTCAAGGACGCCGAGAAGACCTTCCTGAGCAAGTTTCGCAAGAACCTCGACAAACGTGATGCCGCGGTGCGCGAGGGTCTTACCCGCATCCGCGCGGCGTATGAGCACGCGTCCGCCGAGCGGCAAGACAAAATCGCTTCGATGAAGAAACTCCGCCAGGTCGAGCGCCGCACTTCCTTGTTGTCTGCCTGGATCGCCGCGTTCGATACCGTCTGCTCGGCACGCTTTTCTGGCGTCGAGGGCGACATGCCCGCGGGGCTGGCCGCCATGCGCAAGACGGCACACGGGATTCTGTGCGAGCTGGAGGGCAGCAGGCAGCATTTGCATCAGCGGATTGAGAGGGCGAATTGGGAGCGGGCGTTGGAGACTGCGTTGAGTCATTCCCTCTCTCTGCTGCCGAGTGATTCGGGGCTCCTGGACGGGAGTGAGCGGGAAACCTTGATGAGGGAGGTAGAGATGTGGAAGGGGGCGTTTATGCGGGAGGCGTATGCCGCTGTGCTGGAGCAGGAGCGGACGTCGGGGGATGTTGTCGGGGCATTGCAGGGGGTTCTGCAGGCGCAGATGGAGATCATGACCGAGTTAGAGGATATGATGAGTCTCAGTAGCGAGGAGGAGGCGGCTGAGAAGGCGAGGGGGATGATTACGCGGTTGTTGGAGGAAGGGTATAAGAGCGTGGGTAACGTGGTTAAGCCGGATGGGAGCTTGGCCGCGAGTATTAGTAGTGTGCCGGCGCCAGGGAAGCATCGGAGGAAGAAGAGTCTCAATGGGGTTAAGCCGGCGGGTATTCTTGTGCCCGCTGCGCCGGTGTCCCCGATGAAAGTGACTTCCCCGCGCAGGAGGAAGGTGGTCATTGGCACTGGAGTAGGCAGGAAGAGCGTCTCGTTTACGCCGGTGAAAAAGAAGAGCCATGTCAGGTGGAGGGATGATGAGATGGAGGATGGAACGTTGGCAGATTATGATAAGACGCCGCAGCGGTATTCCGATGAGGAGGAGGAGGAGGAGGAGGAGAGGGGGAAGGGGGAGGAGCTGGACGGAGACCAGGGGCAGGATGGGGACGAGATGGATGAGGATGAGGAGCTTGCGCCGCCACCGGTGCCGGATTATCTCCAGAAACAGGAGAGAGGGCCGACGCCGCCCCCAAGAGAGAGGGAGATGCACCCTACTGCTGCTGCTGGGTCAACTATCAACCCCGACTCATCGATCCTCTCTATCGCTGGTGCAAAACCGAACCGCTTCCAGGCCGGCTTTCTGTCTAAATCGCGTGTCTCTCAAGTCCATCAGCAGCTCTCACAACAACAGCCTCAGCCTCAACAACAGCAACCCAACGGGTCCCCTGTCCCTCCATCCTTCTCTCTCCCCCTAACCACCTCCTCCCCCGACACAACCATGGCCTCGGCTTCGAACTCTCCCCTCCGCAGCATCCCCATCTCCCGCGCCTACGCCTCCTCCCCGCAAGGGCGCTCGGCCAGCCCCATCCCCAAGCCTCCTACCATGTCTTCTTCAACATTCCTCTCGCCGCTGCGCGAGGCAGATTCCAGTGTGCTCTCTACCTCGTCCGAAAACGACCACCCCACGACTATTAGGAGGCTCTCGCCGAATAATGCAAAAGGGTCCAGACTGCCAAGGGCGAGTTTTGGTTCTACCGCTTCAGTATCTTCAGACACTGAGAACTCCATTCTCAACCATACCCCTACCATTGGGTCAAGCACAACAACCACGACGACGACGATGACGACGACGACGACGATGATGATGACCACCGCGGCAGCGACGTCCAAGTCGGATGGGGCAGGGGCAAATAACACGGGGTTGCCCATCGACCCGATGAATCTGCGTTCAGCCCTCGCCCAACGCCGCAGATCCCTCCACATGGCCGGCACCGCCTCGTCCAATGCCAAGCGCCGCGTGAGTAGTGTCGGCGGCACGCTTGGCTCCCACACCGGGTCTGGTTCCGGCGCCGGGATTGGGCACCGCCGTCGGTCGTCAGCCTCCGGTTTTGGGACCCTCTCCGGAGCGACCGGTTCAAGGAGGGCTAGCTCCGGCGGCGTCCTAGCCGCCGTCGGCGCCACGGGTGTCGGCAAAGTGAGCCCCCCGACGGCGGCAGCAAGGAGGGTTAGTATCCTCTCCCCTACTTCCGCTACCTTCTCGGGCGTGACTAGTATGAGTGGGAAGGGGAGTTTGCTGATGAGGAGTCCGGGAATGATGGGTAAGTTGGTCATTCGGACCAAGCCTAGACAAAACGGGGCTGTGGGAACGACGGGGTCGGTGTCGGGGATGGGAGTAATGAAGGAGAATGCCAATGCGACCGCGGAAGGTTTGGGTGGTAAGGCTAGGAGGGTTACTATCGCTTCGGCCGGGGCGTTGGCTGCTATGACGGGTGGAGTACAGGGGAGGGGGAAGACGGGGGTTGCGTGGCGGTGATGCCCTGTCTGGCCCTGGCCCTACTTACGTGTTATTAACTGAACCCGTTTGAATGAGCAATATCGGTGTGGTTATGGTGATGTATTTTTTTTTTTTGAAAGAGGGGTGGGGGGGGTGTTTGTTGAGTCGCTTTTCGGAGTATGGCTTGGTTGTCTAGCGGACTGGATTAACTTGATGGGTATGGAATGGATGGGAGGGAGGAAGCATTGTCTGTTTGTTGGTTACATTGTATGAGACTTGTAAACTGTCATTGTCACCATCACTGAGAAGACCATATTATTCATATGACACACTTCGGTTGAGTCCTTAACTCATATCTTGGGAGGATCCGGGGGACTGAAGCGATAGCCGTGGATGATGACTGGTTCTTTGTGTTCTGCTGTGCATACATATTACAGCTTTATTATTCGCTCACTGACAAGAAAGCCATGCATATCGAGCCAGCCGCACGTCACTTGCTATCAGATACCGCGTACAAACTGAATAAATCAACGGAAGGCACTTGAATCAACTCTCCCAATATCCTAGAATCTTTCAAAGGGGTAAAATCTAAGGTTACGGAGAAAAGAGCAAGGGAATATTATCTACAAACATAGGAAAATGAGCCGTTTATAGATCAGCCAACTCAGCAATATCTAGAGGAATGCCACTAGTTCAAGATTAGTGCCGACTCTCCTACTATCTAACCCGACCATCAGAAAACAAAGCTGTAGCAACTTCCGTATCGTCATACTCTGTAGTCCAACTCAGCAACTTTCAGCCTTGCTTGTATTGCCGGTCTGGATCAACTCGGCCATCACATAACAGAGTTTCAACAATCTTGTTATGGTCAAATCATCCAGCGTAATCTCAGCGGCTTTCGGCCTTTGTTGTCTTGCCGGTCTGGACCAACTCGTTCATTACGTAACAGAGTCTCAATAACCTCCGTATCACCGTTCCCTGCAGCGTACATTAGCGGCGTACAGCCTTCGTTGTTTTTGTCGGTCTGGATCAGCTCAGCCATCACGACGAGTCTTGACAACCTCAACAGAACCTTTCCGTACAGCCAAACTCGGTCATCAAATATTACAGAGTTTCGACAATCTCGGTACGACCATATATCTTGCAGCGTAACTCAGCGGCGTTTGGCCTCCCTCGTCCTGCGGGTTTGGGTCAACTCGGCCATCAGATAACAGAGCTTTAACAACATTGATATGGCCGTACTCTGCAGCCCAATTTAACGACGTTCGGCTTCCCTTGTCTTGTCGGTCTGGATCAATACCTTGGGCATGTGCAAGGAGTACGTTGACTGAATCATTGAGCCCATAGACGCTAACTATGTCAAACGCATTTTGTGATGGCCTTGAATCTGATGGAGAAAGCCACGGCTACTTTCTGATCTCGGAAAAGATGTAACATAGTTGCACCACCATACTGAACCATTCCGACTTTGCCAATAGGTCAGTCAGTTAAGAAGTGCAGAAGAAACACGCAGATGCATGATGCCCCCAGTAGTCCAGTAGTCAACTGCAAAGGAGAAGAGAGGTTATGCAAATTGTTTCACGCGCCTGCTCCTCCGTCCTGACAGGGCCCATCTGACAAATCCTTGAACGAAAGGTATAATACACAAGTATTTGCGATATCGCAATGGGCGGTTGGAAATGACTAAATCAGAGCATCCTGGAGATATTTTTGAACAGTACAGTGGACAAGTCGGATAATTCCGCTTTCTTTCTCGATGGCAACGAGCCCTCAACATGCCGAAAGCATATCTTCGGCATCAAGGACCGCATTGTTTCATCAAGCTCGTCCTCACTGTCCTTGATATCCCATGTACACTGAACCATTATCCTTTCTAGAGGACGTTTTGTCACATGGACACGGCAGTCCAAGGAAAGGGATGTCCCCGACTGCCAACACAAGGGACACCAGAGACAGGATGATTGTGAGCGGCACAAATACGTGGTTGATCCCGGAAGATGTCTAGAGCCGGATGACCGAAGAGAATGAGCCATATGGCCGAGGCATGATGAGGATTCTATAAAGGAAGCTGCCCGGTCATGATAGACTTCCCTTGGTTCCTCCTCTCCCTGACACAAGGACACTGAGGACCAAGAAAGATTATTACACGTTGTAATTGACTTCGCTGTGCACCCCACATCATCAGTGGCCATCATCTAACCCATTTGACCTATTATCGATCCCTGTCTGCACCATACCAGATCACCCGTTACACGTTTGGCACAGATGATCGAGGATAGTACGTGGTTGGTAAGCTCCTTGAATCCAATCGGGTTGCCCATTGATTCGTTTCATTACGTTGTCATATGCCTGGCACAACAGGGCAATCTCTGGCTCCTTTTTTTTAGAATTGATTTGAAGCTCCTTCAGTGTTTTACGGATAAGCTTTGCGCTAACTTTATCCTTCAAAGGCTGGAAGAAGATCCGAGCGAGTAGGAACCTGGCTATGCAAGTAAGCACATGCTCAAATGAATAATTCATGGTACATGGAACACCATACGACAGAATGAGCAAGATGACCAAGGTAGGAGAATGAGACCCCTGGAAGGCCTGGTAGGCCAAGGCACTCACAAGGGCAAGAGGATTTCAAAGGAAGCTCCCCGGACACGATGCGGTAGCTGTGCTTCCTGTCCTTCGCAGCAAGAGGTCCACGGAGCTCCAGACGCGAGACTTCGATAGCGGCGTCCGAGTTGACTGGATATAACTTTACGATGTCTCATCTCGGGAAGTTGGGTTTCTCAACGAGGAGAGAAATGATGCCAGCTGAGGTGGCCTTCTGCCAGTCAGAGCGGTTTTCTATCGACTCTCTGGAAGATACGGCAGCTAGGCCCCTCCGCCACCGCTTCATAACGCGCCGTAGAAAGTGCGGGGTTGCCCGGGGTGGAGGGCCTGGCTGGTTGGGAGGTTGGTACACCCCGTTGGTTGCTGCCTAGACATAGGTCCGTGGTCTCCTCTGATCGGTCGGCGCTGGCTGATCAGAGGAGGTGGTCGTGGTCGATGGCGAGTTTCGAGCGGGTTCCGGGGAGTTCTGAGAAATTTCAGCAAGCCCCGGGGGAAGGGAAAATCGGCGCCTCCTGGGCCATCGTGGTTTGAATGAGAAAAAGAGTGAAGCTTTGAGATGATGGGCTTCCCAACCTTCCTCTACAGGTTTCCTTCAAGGTTCCTCTCTCGACATCCTCGACGGCTCGCAGTAGTCTTCGGCGACGGCGATAATGGCGTTAAAACTCCTTCACTTTCTCCTCGCGGGCCCTCTCGAGAACGGTGAGAACGCCCGTGCTCGAGGGAGACCATCTTGGGGAGAGCGCTTGGGGGTCTTGCTGTTGTATCGCGATGTTCAGGTTAACCACTCCTGATTGGTTCACCCCTGTGGCACCTCTCATCTGACTGGTCGGATCCAAGAACCAGGGCGCCTATACTTCGGCCAGGAGCCTTGCCAGACGGGGAGAGTCACAAGTTCCCCGCAGCCGCCCAGACGTCTCGCCGGTAAGATCTGAGCGGTATTTCACCCCTTGCATCCCCCGAATGCCTCTGACCTCGATAACACCGAGCTTCCTTAAACTCCGCTGTTCCCGGCCTGAACCTCATCACGCGGTGCAACTACAAAACGATCTCGCACAGGCAATAAAGATCATGAGAGTTGCCCGTACCACAATCCTTTTGACACAGCTGTTCTTGGGATTCAGCAGAGCCCAGAAACGATGCTATTATCCAAATGGCGAATGGAGTGAAAAGGATTTCCCTTGCGACCCTGATGCCGAAACCAGCGTGTGCTGTTGGGGACTTCCCGGCGTTGCGTGCTTGTCAAACAAGCTTTGTGTCAATCCAAACGGCTCTATCGTGAGAGGATCATGCACAGACCAGAGTTGGTTGTCGGGAGATTGTCCGCAGTATTGTCAGCGTAAGTTATATTCATGTTCGAATTTCTTGTCGGATGTCTTTTCGGACGAACAATGACCCCTGTCGACATAGACCGTGACGCTGGAGGAACCGACCTTATCTCATGCTCGAATGTGACCGGTCTGGATACATCGTACTGTTGCTATCCGCCATCTCCTGGTTGCTGCGACTCAGGGGTTGGCCGACTAGAGATATTGCCGTCAAATCCACACGTTGTAGCTAGATGGGACAGCTCACAATCTGCGTTCATCGCCCCCACCCCGACAAATACCCGGACTTCCGCAACTAGCAGCACAAGGAGCAGTATTGCAAGTTTTACTACGGGGGATCCAGCACCAACACCTGGATCAACAACATCGTCCTCAGAGAGCGCAGCGTCCACGGGAAACGACTCGTCTCAAGGCCTGTCGACAGGGGCTAAAGCAGGTATCGGTGTGGGTGCAGCCGTTCTGGCGCTGGCTCTTATAGCTGTTGCTATTCTTTACTTTAGACTACGGAGGAAGAACACTGAGATAGCCGAGTTGCGGGAGATGGAACACCACATGCAGATGCCAGCGCAGCTTGGCCCACAGGACGTTCAGTACTTTGGAAGTTGGGATGCGAAAGCGTACGATTTCAAACAGAGCAGCCCCAGCAATGCAATTTCATACAGTTCTCCTTATACTCTTCCGCCACAGGAACTGCCAGAGGGCTTCTTAAGGACGGAACTGCCGTCAGCATTTCCGGTACATGAACTTCCTGCCAGCTTTCCTGAGAATTCTCAGGCAAAACAATCTTCATCTGAGTCAAAAACATCTACCAACTAATGCGTTTGAGTTCACACGGATAATCTCTTTACTCAACTTCTGTACACAGTTCTTTCTTAGAATTGTGGTAGCCATCGTCTATTTCTTTCACTTCAACCAGCCCTTGATGCTTGGCGAATAAGCCACGCTCCTCAGGAGGACAGGTTTGGCCATTAGGGCATCACGAGCATGGGCGCTAGGTCGCAGATAAGATATATATTACAGTCAGAACATGCGAGAAAAGACAAAAATTTTGCCGCAGGTCGGACAAACCATAGAGTAGGCCAAATATTGTCAGCGTGGCATTCTTTAATTGCTAAACAAAAACCCCGTATGCATGAACCAGATTTGTGCTTATACAAATTACACCCTGGATCATTTTACCTTATGAGAGTGCCTGGACAGGGTAACTATCGAAGTTGACATGATTAGGGGTTTGCCAGAGGAAATGGGCCTTTCTTGCTTGAACGCGAGTTGCCGTGATCAAGTACAAAAATATCTGTCTATCAACATTGTTGTGGTCCATTTTGACATTCTCCGAGTCCTAGTACGATGAATGAGAGGTGGAGCTGCGCTCAATTTGAAGTATCCAGCTTGCTACTGACGCCAGGCCACCCACAGCTTTTCCGTACTAGGAAGTTCATGTTCCTTACCTATCTGTGCTATTGTCAAAGTTCCTCGGAAATTCGTATGTTGAGCAAGCTTAGCGATCCAAATTGGAAGATTATGTTTTCATCTATGTAAATTATTGACCAAACACTACTAACCTTTGGTGATTGGGGGCCGCAAGAGCATGTTCTGTTTGACTGGTTGGATAGCTGCGCTGAGAAGCAGCTGGGCGAAGCCCCTTTTTATGATTTACCTAATCCGTCTTTGTAAGAATAGTTGTGGCACTTTCACGTCTTTTGACCAGCACTAACGACTTAACATCCGCGGCCCAATCAGGTAGACCACCAAGTGGCGGCAGACCACATCGTAGTTAAAGGTAAAATGTACTTTACGAGTCCACTGCTGCATCCTGGATCCCACCCCCCCCCCCGGGGACCAGGCTGTATATACTTACCACAAAATTTCAACAACTTAAAGTGCAATGAAGATTTGCAATCTACCACAAGCTTGCACGTCGGTCGAGATGAGACTGTACCTGTTTGCTTGCTTGCATGAACCTTTGCACCAGCATCTCATCTCCCCGTCCCGTTGAACACGAACCCATCATCCAATCATCCAAACCCTACCTCCTCTCCAGTTCCCAAGATGCCGGGCCGCCGCCCACTATCACTATTCAAAAAGAAAGAGTCCTATTCCCATCACTCACTCTACGAATGCCCTAGTCATCCTCGTCAGACGTCGCATCCTCAATCTCCTGGCCCCTCGGCACCAAAAACCGCCTACACGGATTCTCCTCCGTATTCCCCATCATGTACTTCTGAACCTGGCTACAAAAAGTCAAGAGATTCCTCGGCCTCCTCCCCGTAAACTCCAACCCTCCTTTAAAACCTCCAATATGCATCTGACACCACCTAAACCTATCCTTGTCCGTCTTCGTCCCATTCTCCCGATCAATCTTCTGCCTTAAGCAATCCAGCACATGCGTCCAGGCATCCCCCCACTCCAGTTCGACCCAGTTCAGCCCCGCACGTCTGAGACTGCGGTCGGGTATCGCGCCGAGGATGAACGCGGCCAACGTACCACGCTTGAGGACGGATACACCGGCCAGCTCGAATTCCCGCAGTTTTGGCAGGGGCGGTAGCCCGTTAAGCAGCTGACTCACATCATACGCACGCCAATAAAAGTCATTCAACCCCTCAAGCGCATGCGCAGGACGCGGATCCGGCGGGGGCGGCATGTTCCAATGGGCTGCGTTGTCTTCCGGCACGCGCGACGGGACAAAAGTATAGAAACGGCTGAGGGAGAGGCGCAGCGAGCGCAGGTTGCGCTGAGCGCAGCCGTAGATGATGGAGCCGAAGTAGCGGTTGAGGAGCTGGCGCTGGTACTCGCGCAGCTGGATCTTGCGCGTGACGGGCCGGACACTTTTGTCGAGGGAACAGGGCCAAATGCTGGAGACGCAGTCGCAGCAAGAGGGGAGGACGTGGAAGGTGGTTAGGGAGGCGCAGGAGTCGATTAGGTCGTGCCAGGGCGTTCTCTCGGTACGGCCAGGCTGGGATGAAGAGGAGGTTGGTGTTGAGGAAGCGGTAGTATCGTCTGGCGGCGGCGGGAGTTGGGGACAGAGCTCGATGAAGCTGGTGTACATGGGCATGACGCCGATCTCAAGAGTCTCAAGGCGAACGCCCGCACGGTACAGGGCGATCGGGAGCTCGGACAACAGGCGCACGCAGGCCATCTTGACGTCGACTTGGCCTGCGACCCACATATGCTCGATCTCGTCCCAGCCCCAGGGCTGGGAAAGCAGGTCCACCACGAATTCATCCACGTCCTTGGGCTCTTCGCGTTCGAAAAACCTCCATTTGTAGTCAGTCATGAACAGTGTGGGGGTCCTGGGCATTCGTGCTACAAGCTTCGCCAGCTCCGTGACAAACTCTCTACTCTCCAAGAGTTTGTATTGTTCCTCGTGGAGGGTGCGGAACCGTTCATGGCTTGCCCTCATGAGCCTCTGGCAACGGGCCTCAAATTCGTCCTTTGGCTTATAATCGGCATTACCATTATCACCTGCTGGCCGACCAAGAGCTTGGAGAGTTTCAATCATAACGTGATCCATCGTATTCAGGATGTCGTGAACTTCCCAAAAAAATGACTTATGATGTTTGCCCGCGTCATCAACATCATGATCGGCAGGGCCCTGTAGCCGATTTCGCTCGTCCTCAGCTAAATCGTACTTACACCGCTGAAATTCCTCGGTACTCTTTGCGTGAACTAAAATTTCCTCGAGACACAGGTTGGCATGTCTTAGATAATTCCAGTAGTCCAAAGCCGGTTGCTCTGGACAATACCGCAGAGAGAGCTGCAACCTCTCCACGCCGGATGCCATGAGCGGGTTTTCCAGCACTCGCCTCGCATGCACCAGAGACGTCGTCGTGACCGAGAGGCGCAGGATGCGAAACAGCAATGGTGTTGCAATCTTGTGTAAGCGACGACAAACCAGCCGGATTCCTCGGATCACCTCAAGGTTTTCTTCGCTCTCCCAGTCGGGGTCTTTTCGCTGCCACCTGAACAAGTTGACAATATAACAGAGAATCTCTGTTGGGAGGTCGAGGAGCTTCAAACGTCGCAGTCTTGGACGAGAGAGCTCGTTCGCTATGCTCCGTAGCTCGACCCTGCGGTGATCGAGTATGCGAGTGAGTTCCTCTCTTCTACGTTCTCTTAACATATACGCCAAGTACCAATTTGGTGCAAGGGGGGGAATCTTGTCGGGTTCCGGAGTTTGAGGTTGGACTTGTATCTGAATCATTTCACTGTATTGACGCTCGATCTGATCATATTCCCCGTCCGACATATCGTCGAGCATGCGCAGCTCATCATACAAGGATTGCAGATCATGGAAAGCGGATAACAGAGGCCTCGACTGCAGCCAGTCGAGAGCCCCGTAGGGAACGATAGATGGCAACGGCACTTCAAGTCCACTGACCAGGGTGATGAGGCTCATTGTCAAGGAGGTGCGACGCAAATTTCCAGATACAAGGAACACTTTACGGAAACCTGCAGGATGTTACATGTGAAATGTGGATAGTGGATTGAAGAAGTGCTGACGGAGAATCTGTTTGCTTCAGGCCCGGCAGTTGTGAGATTGGAGGCCTGATGCTCATGAAGCGTCACCACCGCGAGAGACGTTGGGAGATAAGATAACGATAAGATGTAAGATAACTAGATGAGCATCCAAGATAAGCGATATGACCTTGGGATATCCATACCCTAACCCTGAACGCTACAACCAAAGTACTGTTCTGCATCATACACCACATCGTACTACATATTACTACACATATGTGTCTTAAATTTGGTAGTCAGTGGGTCGGCAACTCCTCCCCAGTGTCGTGGGCAAGTGGCTCATACCTCAAAACCACCTCTACTCATAAAATCCATTACCTCGACAGAGCAAAGTTGGGCTTTGCACGCATCTAACTGGTCTGAGGAGGTACTACACACGATCGAGGACTCCACAGAATCTAAGGTCTTAATCGACCAGAAGAGTGGCACTATCTTCCTATTTACCAAGACGGTGAGCGAGGTGCTGGGAGACCCGTAGCAGTGCGAATAGTCTGTGGGCCTAGATTCTATCTACGGAGACTAAATTTCAGAAAGACTGTGGTAAGGCCTATTTTGGCCCCACAGAGGTTTGCGGCTGAGGCAGTAGCATCGGGGGTTGAAATTGATCATGCGGAGGAATTCGAGGTGTGAACAAGCTGTGGCTAGGTCTTGCCAGGGGCCGGAACCGGGAGAGGGAGTAGCGGGCGAAATACGGAGAAGTTGCTGTACCGGGACATGCAGCCTATGATGAGGCTGGTGATGGGCGTGCCGGTGGCGTGCATGGCGATGGGGAGCTCAGAGATGATTCGTACGACAGGCATGTAAATGACGAAATAAAGGTCGAGGCCGAGGGTTTTGAGCTCGGTTTAGCAGAGGGGGCGCGCGAGTAGGCAGGCAAGGTAGTGGTCTGTGTTGTCGGAGAGTGAGTGATATGAGCCGCGTAGGGCCCATTCCATGTCGTAGAAGTAGATTATGCGGGCCCTGGGCATGCGGGAGAGGATATTGGAGAGTTTGCCTGACGAGGGTGCTGTCTTGGAGGAGCTTGTCCTGCCCGAACTGGAGGAAGCGGATCTTTTAGCTTTCTGTCTCCGTGGCGGCGGTCTGCCGCGTCGCCTCGATCCAAAATCTTGCACATGATCGCGGCCGCCGCTGTTAAGAAATTCTCTCTGACAATTCTCAAACGAACTGGTGTAGTCCACCGGTAAGCAGCACAACGAAACATGAATTATCCAGAAGCCGCTGGCCATCAAGGGGCTTTTTGCGACCCGCTTCGCCAAACGCAACGATTTTTTTGGGTGATGTATAGGGCAGGGTCTCAAAGAGTAGCGGCGTCGCATGATACACGTGGGAGCGCTGGCACACACGGCGGAGGACTTCAATCATGTTTGTGTATGGGGGGTCCAGGAGATCATGTAGCCATTAGGCAAAGAACAAGGAAAACGTTTCTCCCAGTAGATCAAGGATAGTGAGAGGCCGCAAGTGCAGGCGTGAGAGCTCGTCAGCTCTCTTATGATAGGCTTGTCGTGGAAGATCAGTCTCTTTTCAGAGCGTTTCTACCACTTCAGCGGCGCAGTTTGAGTCTCCAACAGCAGCTTTTTGGGAGGATAAAGATCAATCCGGTTTCCTCTTACTCGTCGAGGAGATGAAGCTCGGTGTAGATGGAGGACAAATCAGACAGAGAGGATGGCTGTGGCCTGGATTTGACTCATGTCAGGAACTCTTGTCTTAAGTTCCCCGAGTATTGCTCTGAATTAGGTTAGACTTTCTATTTGTAACTCAAAAGGACTCCAACATCAGGAGGTATAAAACCCATGCCTTCATCCCGAAAAAAAAAAAAAAAAGGTCGGCATCCTGGGAGTTCTGCCAAAGTAAACCGACCGCGCTGCTGGAAAAGTGAAAGCTATTTTTGGGAGTTTAATCAAAGTAAGCTAAAACCCATACTAAGTAGGTGGTGTGAGAGTTTTTGCTGGAACACCTCTGTCGTCAATAAGATTATTAAAGGCCGAGGTTGAGTGGGATAAGAGGAGGAGAGAGGCCAGCCCAACCCAGAGTAGGCGAGTTCCATGAAGATATGAGAGGTACGTACCTATAGAGACTCACCGGGTGATTCTTGGCAGTCTTGGCATTATGGATCTCGCCAAGCTTCCAACCAGCTCCCAGCCGCAGCTCTATGTGCTGGGTGGCTTGGCGATCTGACCTGGCATCTTGGCAGCGGGGATCAGAGTTTTGGACAATCTCGCGCACTGTACAATAACACTGTGTAGTGAGCCGACGAAAACTGGAACTTTAACAACTGACGCAACACAGCGACATCCTCTGATCCCGACGGCGGCCTTCTCCCCGATATCCGCGCCCAATTGACAGTCTTCGACCACCTTCGTCATCGTCGACCCCTCGCGTGTCCTAGGCGACGATGGCGGTTGTGCACCATGCCGCCGCCAGCCCCTAGATCGAGTCTGCGACTCGCCCCGCACTTCGCCCTTTTCATCGAGGACGCCTACTCTTCACCATTGACAGCGACTTCACCTTCGCTCTGCTGGCCATGCTCGCTGCGCCATGCTTCTCGGTCGCCATCGGCCATGGCGAGGTCAGTGCGGATATATGGATCGGTTAGATTCGCGTCTACAGCGACCAATTCGCGATTCCTCAACAACACATTCTTCAACCCCTCCGACCCGCGCCAGCGCCTGCGACCAAATTATTTCCTCTCAAACCACTTCCTCCGCGCCAATGCCACGTCCGTAACCTCCCCGACATCCAATAGTTCACCTCCCGACTTAAACACTCTTCCCCCGCACCGCAGGCGACAGGCCCTCAAGCGCAATGAAGCCGACCAAACCTCCCTCCCCCTCGACGCCTCTGCGCGCCTAGCCAACGCAGCCGCCCAACATCCCTCACACTCCCTGCGCCGCAAGCTCTCGGCCCTCCTTTCCCTCTCCAAACCCCGTCTAACTGTTCTCGTTGTCCTCTCCGCCATGGTCCCTTACGCCCTCTACCCCGTCCCTTCCTTTCTCTCGTCCGCCGCCCTCGACGCATCAACCCCTTCCCTCTCCCCCCTCACCTTGCTCTTCTTAACCACCGGCACGGCTCTCTGCTCCGCCTCCGCCAATGCCCTCAATATGCTCTACGAGCCCGACACCGACGCCAAGATGTCTCGGACCCGCGCCCGTCCCCTGGTTCGTGGCCTTCTGACCACGCGCGCGGCAGTACTCTTTGCTATCCTATGCGGTCTGGCCGGCACAGCAGGCCTCTACTGGGGCGTCAACCCGACCGTGTCCTTCCTTGGCGCAGCAAATATCGTCCTCTATGCGGGAGCTTACACCCCCCTCAAACGCATCTCGGCAATCAACACCTGGGTCGGCGCCATCGTGGGCGGTATCCCGCCGCTCATGGGCTGGGCCGCCGCGGCGGGGGAGAACGCCGTCGGAGACGGCGGGTGGCGAGAGCTTCTCTTCGCGAGTGACGGCTCCTCCTTAGGAGGCTGGCTCTTTGCCGGCCTGCTTTTTGCGTGGCAGTTCCCGCACTTCATGCCTTTATCTTGGGGCATCCGCGAGGAGTATAAAGCGGCTGGTCTGCGCATGCTATGCTGGATTAATCCAGCCCGTAACGCGCGTGTTGCGCTGAGGTGGAGCATTGCTTTCATCCCGCTGTGTTTCGGGTTGTGCTTGGCGGGGGTGACGGAGTGGAGTTTTGCGGTGACCAGCACGCCGGTGAACTTGTGGCTTGTGAGGGAGGCAGTGCGGTTTTGGAGGTTTGAGGGGCATAAGGGGAGTGCGAGGGCCCTGTTTTGGGCAAGTGTCTGGCATCTGCCGGTTATCATGGTGCTGGCGTTGGTGCAGAAGAAGGGGTTGTGGGCTAGGGTTTGGAGGGGGGTTGTTGGGACGGGGGAGGAGGAGTTTGAGGAAGAGGAGGAGTGGGCGATGGATGAGGAAGAGGAGGAAGAGGAGGAAAGTGTCCCGGCGACGACTGTCTCGGCGAGGAGGTGATGACCTCATGTCTGCGGGGTGAGTGAGTGGCCGGATGTAATCATAAGCTTACTGCTACTGTGTTCTCTCAATTTTGTGTTTGTACATGTGGATATCTGAATGCTGTATACGATCTGGGTCGGTACAATCACCTGCTGAAATCTTCCTAAGCTAGGTGTTGAGCCGCAGGTCGGTTATCAACACTTTGCCCCATCCTATTGCTGTCAGCTTGTGGCCCAGCACTGGTGGCTGTTGGTCATCCATCCCGAACAGGCTCACCGATGTTGCTGACCAACGAACTTTTAATCCCCCGTGCCGCCGCCTTACGGTCGCAGGTAGATGAATATTGGCTTTTTGGGGTAGGACTGTTGCCTCTTCTACCATTGATAATGAGCTCGGAGGTCAAACATGTTACTTGGCTGCCCAAGACCTCCTCGTAGATTGGAGTGAACACCGTTTTATGAAGCACATTCTTGATAAATTAATTATTCGTCCGTCCCATAAACAACAGTCTACTTGATTGAAGCCAAGCATTGTGCTGTTAATTGCCAGAGGGCAATCGAGGTTACCAGGATGTCGTCGCCCTTCTATGTGAATGGCTTTACTACCGATAAGCCTAATAGAAGCCCGTTGTCCTGCTTTGCCCTTGAGCCAAACCACTACAAACTTGAGCTTGCTCTTAGCGTAGCAGTAACACGCTGTGTACCTCGCGTCTCGTATCCCGGTAGAGGAAGAAGTCTCCCAGGCCGTCGAGAAGCCACGGAGTCTTCTTTTCTTTCTATGGGTTCAGATTGTGCAGTGGGAGGAGAGGGGATTTGGGCTCCATCCCATGCTAGGGACTGGTTGGGCTGACGGAGGGCTAGAAATTTGTCGTTAACCACTGCCTACTCCCCACCTTGGTACCTATTGTAGGCAACTATTGAGAGGGGTACATTTCAGGAGGTAACGGAGAAACTCGCATTGAATTTAATGCTCAAGAATAAGATCTAGTATGATGGTGGTTGCCAGTGGGGATGCCGACCCCTCCAAAAATCCACTCCTGCCCCGGCGTCCGCAGCAAGTGACAAGGGAGCTTGGCTCAGTTGGAAGAGCGCAGGTCTCATACCAACCATTGGTGTGATCGAATTAAACATTCGAGTAATCCTGAGGTCGTGAGTTCGAGCCTCACAGTTCCCATCTCTTTTGCCGTTTTGACCACCACCTCCATTCCTTGGAACGGAGATATCGCCGGAAACATCGTAGAAAGTTTTTATCGGAAGTTCACTGTGTGCAAGAGGAGAATTTGAGGAGGGCATTATCAAGATGAGGAGGGAAGAGAGCCTAACCTTAGGGGTTGTCCGGCATTTCACTTTTCTCTCGGAAAACACAAAACTATGGCGATAGAGATACCTCTCTATATTAGAGTATTATACAAGCCAAGTTTCCCCGGCATCGCGGCAAAATACACAAGCTTCAATGATGCATGTTTGAACCGCAGTGCGATTGTTGTGTCCCAAAACAGCAACCCAACCCAGCAAACGCAGAGATGCATGCATGCAGATGCTCCCAAACGCCGAACCCCGAATCCATGGGTTCATCTTCTAAACCCCGAAAATCCCAGGTCACAAAAAGAAACCCTCCCTTGATCCTTCCAAACGAGCGAACTGCTAGGCAAACGGTAAACACCCTTCAACTCCTCTATCTAAGCCGTCCCCTGCCCATGATTATGATTCATAATCGACGCGATCCCCATCCCCAACGACGAATGACTCCCATTCCCATTTCCGCTCCCACTACCTCCCACAGCCCCGCCGTGAGAATGAGAGTAGTGATGCCCATGATGTCCACGGTGATGGCTCTCAGTAACCGTGTTGCTCCCCGTGCTGCTCACACTACTACTATACCCATGATGCGCACCATGATGTTGTGTTGTGCCGCTTGCGTGATGTCCATACCCTCCCGCAGCAGCCGACGAATGTAGAGGCGGCGGAGGCGGCGCGTACCCCCCATACCCGCCTTGGCCATGATGTCCCTGCTGGTAAGCAGCAGCCGCGTATGCCGACGCCGACGAGCTAGCGGTGCTTGCCGCGCCTGGCGTAGAATGCGGGCCTGCGTCGGGAGAGGAAGAGTACGGCGTTGCGGCGTCGCCGTGGTCATCGGGGACATCCATGTCATCAATCGGGGTCATTACGTCGAGGGCGCCGGCGCCGGTCGGGTCATCGTCGTCGCCGTAGAAGGATGCGCCTGGGGGAAGGGGTTGGCCGTTGGCTTCGTTGCGGCCGCGGCGAGAGTAGGCGCGCGCTCCAGAAAAGATGTTTTTTAGGCCGTTGGACATGAGCTGGTGAGGGGAGAGGGGGTCTTAGCATGGATATTCGTGAAAGAGTGAAAGAAGAAAAAAAAAAGGGGGGGGGGTTTAAGTGACATACTTGATGCTCAACAACCTGCCACTTCTCGCCACACCGGGAGGCGAGCGGTTGCCAGATCTCCTTGCGCATGCTCATGTACTCCTTGCAGACCCGCTCGAAGCGCCTCGCGTCAAAGTCGTTCTGCCCCCGGCGCTCCATCAACCGTTCGTGCCTTTTACGGCATGCATTGCCAGTCTTGTTTGGGAAGGCCTCCCGCTGGATCTGGTTCCAGTTCTTGCCCATCGCGCGAAGCTGCAACAGCTTCGCGTCTTCCTCAGGGTTCCACGCACCTGACGAAGCGCGGTGTTGAACGGGAGGGACGGGTCCTCCTACTGGACCGCCCATGGACGTTGGGATCTGCAGCGGGGGCACGGCATTGACAGCGTACGGGTCGTACGTCATGGGGAGCCCGCCGGTCGGGGCAACGTAGAAGCTGTCGGACAGCGGTCGGGTATTCTGGTAGTACGCCATTGTGGATATCGAGGACGGCAGAGACGCCGGAACTGGTTGTTGTTGGTATTGTTGGTGGCTCGGTGTTCTGGTCAGGTCGGGCATGGTAGGGAGTTTTCTTGAGTCAGGGACCTCTCTTTGTTGAGAGAGGTTAGATTAAGGTAGGTAAAGAAAAACGAGATAATATAAAATGCTGAAAGTATATTCGCAATGAATTCGAGTTCGGTCTAATAACGACGAAACGGTGCGTGTGCGAATGCAAACGAGTAACAAGTTGTCCAGCAACTTCGAGAATGAAAGCAAGCGAGTGGATTCAATCAACGAAAGACAAAACAGGTAAAACCGGAAAGCAAGGAAAAAAAGGAGAACTGGCCGCCGAAACCTGGTCTATGGTGAACAGAATAAGATCAGGAAGGCCAGGCCAGGATGAGGTGGAAGAGCGGGCTGACTTATACAAGGCCAGAGGTCCAGCAGAGGAGCAAGCCGACTAGCCGAGCGGATGTGCGCTTGGCACCCACGGATCTCAAAAACAAAACAGAGGGCACGTTTCCCGGTTGGGCAGTCAAATGGGTAGAAAGGCAACCAGGAAAAAAAGCTTGTTGGTTTGGGGGGAAGGGGGGGGGGAGTGTGGTGATCCGAGACAAGGGCATAGACTGTGTCGAGCTAGGCGAGCTTGTTCGATGAAACTGAGCCAGTGTGTGTGAACAACCGCATGGGAGCTCCAGCAGCCACTGTTAATGGCTGGCCGAGTCTCGGGAAGGCGTATGTTTGGAAACAGGGCGGCTACAGGAATAGGTCTGTCCACGTTGAGTAGGGCGGCTAACAGTTGGTCTCCTGGAGATTCTGGGCTGGAGACTTTACCCACGATGCAATAGTTCTGCCAGGGGTCGGTTAGCCTGCAGAATACAATAGAGAAAAGTCGCAAAACAATCTGCATGCAGATTTCACAAAACAATGCATAGTATCAAAGAGTCTTGGTGTTGGTTCTCAATGGATGCCTTCTTATAAGCAGCTCATTATTCCTCCTGAATGCTCGAATCTCTCACAAAACAGTTATGCTCGCCAACAGCTGGTTAGCATCAGCATCTCAAAACCCGTCTCAGCCTGCGAGCCAAGTGGCATCAAGTTACTGTGCCGTAACCTGATGTCTTGACATCAGGTATCTGAGCATCTGATCCAGACCTGTGGTCTCTCACTCTGGGCTCTGAACTGCAAAGTGAGGAATGAAGATTGGTGCCGCGGATCGCCAACAACGCACGAGCGCGGTAACAATGGGTGGGTCTGTGGGGAGCGGAAGCACCAGCCAATGGCATTTTTCTAAGATGACAAGGGTTCCTGACAAGATCGCAAAAATAGCAAAAACAGCGGCTCGCATCGACAGGGGTTGAGCTAACCGCCAGTCTTCAAGCCTTGCATCCAAAGCAAGCCTTGTTGCGCCGCGCGTAGCAAAACATACAGCGAAACTGCCGATTGATGCTTGGAATTATCTTCGAATGATCCTCGCAATTTCACGGCTGCAACGAGCAATGGGTTGGTTGCGAAAACATGGAAGATTGATTTCGACAGCATATTGACAGCTGTGATACGGTCAGTCAGCCCAACATGCAAATGCAACGCGGCCTCTGTAAGAGAGACCAGCCAAGAGCATCCAAAACCCTAGAAAGCCAGAAACGACGACCGCCAGGCCGTTGGAAATGGACATCTAGATTATTTCCGTCTGCAGCTGGCCGACTTGCAGCTTGAGGCCCGTTTTGGACCCTTCCAGAGACCCTGGAAGTCCCGACAGGACGGCATCCTGTCAGCTTGAAGAGATCGTCAGGTACTTGTCCCGATGGAAACACGGAATCTGCAAAGTCATGGGGTGCATGTCCGATCTACCGCGCGACAATCGCGTTTGTTGGCATTTAGGACCCTGCAGAACTCTATCTTAATTGGGAGATTTGAACGAGGTTGCCGCGAAGCAGTTTTATTGAAAGTAGAAAATAGCTGGTATGTTCTCGGGTCTGCAGTTTACTTGGTAGCCGCGATGATCAGCAACACTGGGCGATCACCAACGATCATCGGCATCAAGCGCGGATTTTGCCGACGGATCTCTCTTCACGTCGGCGATCAAAACTTCTTTTGGAGGCGATTCCTATAATGGGAAATCGCTCTATAATACGTGCATTGTTTCAAGTAATATGAAGCAATCTATAGTCTCGTCGGATTGGCTATTTGATGACCATGGAGCGTTGCCGGACGAAGCTGACAGTGGATCGATCTGCAGAGGAAAACCGGGAAGAAAACAGCCGCGCGTCAGTCTGAGCTTGCCGCCGGAGCACGTGCACTGACTCCACTGCTTCGCTACCATTGGCTCGATCCTCCAACAACTGGCGCAGAAAGCAAACGCCGAGCTTCCGATCGATCAGCTTAGGGCCCACCATTGAAGCTTAGCGGGGGTGTTGTTTCTGCCCTAACAAATCCAGAGGCAACCCCCGCAACTGTTCGTTATGTCCCTAACTTTTTTTTTGCCCTCATTGAACTCTTCCCTTTCTCATTCAAGACCAGATGCAGTTCTGAATGAACAAACCGTTGATTGCTTTCTACCCCTGAGTCAGACATGCAGAGGCGCGCGTTTGTTGCGCCGCTGCGACCCAAGAATGCTACAAGTGGTATCACGGCCCTGGATCTACAGTCCCCCAGATCATCGACGTCTCCTGGTCATTGTGTTTTTGTGCCTGAGGAGCTCATCGACGCTCGCACAACTTAAGCGCCAATTCAAGCCAACTTAGCGAATCAAGGGGGTTCGAACAAACCTAGGACATGAAGTGTTTAATTCAAACAATTGAACAAGCTTGACTCGGTATCTCTTCCATGATTAACTGGTGCACATGCTGCAGTTCAACGAGCGATGCAGTCACAGACCAAGAGACAGTTCCCCTAACCCAAGACAAGAGCTGTTTCGAAACAACGTGACCTAGTTTTGACTGGGCGGCCACGGTCGCATTTAAGGCCGACTTTAGATGTCGTACCCAATTCAGCCCTATACGACAACCTTAAACTTGACCATGATTGTGGCCGTAGAAAACGGCCTGAAAGTCAGGCGTTCGACGCGAGTCTCAAAGACGACAAATCACCAACAGGAGTGCAGTCTTATCTTTGTGATGTCAAACCAACAGCTCTTCAATCTGGTATCACGCGAAACAGCATTCTATGCTTATCTGTTTGGTAATAGTAGTACCTGTGTCATCGATGCTCTTAGCTTAGGTCTTGCTACGCCGCATCTTATCAGATCGATAAGATTCGAGTTGTTGACGGTTTGCGGAGTATCTCTAGAAGTGGTTGCCAAGTAAGTTGACAATTGTGCCGTCAAAGCTGCGGCGCAGTTGATCGCATTGCTGATCTGAGCTTGGGTTTGCGGGTGCAAACCCTGTGTCTATCGTTAGGTGCATCCTTACTTGGATTCTGGAAGTACAGAAATTTACTGAGTGTACAGGATATTCGAGCAAGGAATTCGCCCACAACATTCGACCAAGTCTCGCAACCAGTCTCTTCTGAAGCTAGCCCCGTTCACCCCGTTACCGCTTCTCTGTGTGAACAAGATGCTTGTTCCATTGGCGGACTACGTTCACATCGGCATATTCTTGATCATACCCTTTACTCTACAACATCGTCATCACCAGGCCATTGGGAACACGGTTCCTTTGAGACGTCGTATAACAAGACTTTGCTGACAAAAGCTAACAACTGTACCTACGACATCTACACCATGTGAAACAGTGCCACGTGTGTCATATATCTAGATCTCATGGGCCATTTTGCATTCTTGGACTCCAAAATTAGGTCATCCAGCAAAACAGTGGGCCGTAATTGCCAAAAAAGCCTAGCCCTGTAGCCTTCTCGCACATATCAGGCGGCTGTTTGACTGCCACAACTAGGTCACGTGGTTGGGACATGAGGAGTGGCTGACTCTTTTTTACAACAAAATATCTGTTGCTGATGACATGCCTCGGATAAGAGTGTTTTAAGACGTATATGATGATAGGATTCAGTAGGCGTGCTTATTCAATGGGAAGAGAACGCCAACGCAATGACTACACTAAATAGCCACTCCAACACCTCACCTATAAGACACCTACCTCGGCGCTTGTCCTCTCTCTGTGCCAAAAGATATATGCCGAAATCCCCCTTCATACCCAGACTAGCCAAGACGAAGATCGTAACCACCCAAGCCGCGGGCCCGTCACGGCAAAAAAGCTTGACTTCCTGCTAGCGAAGCCACATTTAACGGTGTTGAAGGCCCCCCACACCACCTTTGCCCCCTTCAAGACCGAGAACAACATTCCAGCCCAGGTGCAGCAACAATGGCATGAGAATGCGACAACAATGCTTTGTAAAAGGCCCGATACTTAATCGCCCCAATGAGGCTGCGACGAACGGGGAGAGGGATGAGTGGGGTGATTCAGGCTAAATGTCGGTGTTAGGAGGAGCAGGGGGTTCTCGTTCACTGCTACCGCGGCATGTACATGTAAAAGGCAAGTTGAGCATTGCCGGTCCGTGGATGCAGCTGATCTAACCTCCGAGCGAATAGTTAGCAGAGAGGTAGTAGCCGCATTGGGAAAGGAGAGATGTCGCCCTTTGGCGGCTCATCGGTGTAAACATCTTGCAAGCAAGATGAAGTTGGGGATACATGGAGCAAAGACAAATGAAAGACAATGGGAGAGTTGGAGAAAGTATGATCGAAATAAACTGATCGAGTTAAGAAGTTGCTGATATTTCAAACCCAAAGTGAGACATTGTCAAGTTCCACACAATAGCGCCCAACATTGTACCTACTTTCATTTTGCTCACCCCAGCACTGAGACTCAACCACCGTCTCAGCCCGGCCCGGCCAATGCTTCCTGCCATCATTCAGCCGGACATACGGAGAGTCACATCACAATGTAGCTAGCTAGCTGTCTTGATGCAGCATGTGTGACAAACAAATCACCTCGAGTCCTCTTACCCATCATCAGTCAGTCACACTGCTCTCCCGATAGGGCAAGGCAGCATGCTACTCCGTACGTTGCACGACTCCGTAGCTAAGTATTCGTCCGTTGCAGGCTGTTCTGGGTTTTCTGGGATGGCTCTCGGGTATTGGAAGTTCTCCCGGTAGGGCTGCTAAGGTCCAGGGTCTAGAAGCCTGGGACTCTCGAAGCCGCAGCAGAGTATAGGAGCACGGTCCTGCCAGGTTGCAGCTCTGCATGTCCCGTTCTCCTGAGGTTTAATATACTAACAACTCCCTTCTCTCATGTCTGGGGCTCTTTTCTCTCTTCCTCTTCCCTCTACCCTGCCTTGTCCCACCTTACCTCACCTACACGGGGTGCCATACCCGAACCCCAACACAATCTCGACGGCAAGTCTTCATCTCAACTAGAGGAAGTCAGCATCCCAACACTGCAGGGCTAGGACCACTGTTAAGATGGGCGGCGCACCGGCCGGCACGGCAGGCATATACGATGCCGCGCTGCACAAGCGGCAGGCGCTGATGGGTAAGAGCGGGCCGTCGGCGCTGTGGAAGAACTTTCGCGTGTTCCGCATTGCCTGCTTCGCGTGTATTGGCGGCGTGTTGTATGGCTACAACCAGGGCATGTTCTCGGGCGTGTTGGCCATGCCCGCTTTTGAAAAGCGTATGTTCCTCTTTTTCACTCTCCTCATAAGCATTGGATTGTAGGACCGGGAGAGGAAGGGATAGAGGGAGGAAGCAGAAGGCTGATAAAAGCAGACATGGGCGAATACACGACGAACCAGACCAAGAAAGGCTGGCTGACGGCCATCCTGGAGTTGGGCGCGTGGCTGGGTACCTTGCTGTCCGGCTTCCTGGCCGAGGTGCTCTCCCGTAAGTATGGTGTGCTGGTCGCCTGCGCGGTGTTCATGCTGGGTGTGGTGGTACAAGCGACGGCCAGGACGGTCGGACACAATGCTATCCTGGCAGGGCGGTTCATTACGTGAGTGTATTGCTCCAACGGCAATCGAAAGTATTGACTAACATCTCGCAGCGGTATGGGCGTCGGCAGTCTAGCCATGATTATCCCCATTTACAACTCCGAGGTTGCGCCCCCCGAGGTGCGCGGCGCACTGGTAGCCACCCAGCAGCTAGCAATCTGCTTCGGCATCATGATCAGCTTCTGGATCGACTAGTACGTCTCTCCCCCTTTCACTCTACCACCCTAAACTGACTGGGAACCCTCAGCGGCACGAACTTCATTGGCGGGACAACCCTCGAAACGCAATCCGACGCAGCCTGGCTCCTTCCGATCTGTCTGCAACTCGGTCCGGCCTTAATCCTCTTCTTCGGCATGCTATTCATGCCCTTCTCCCCACGCTGGCTGATCCACCACGGGCGCGAGGACGAGGCGCGCAAGGTTCTTGCCAGCCTGCGCGAATTGGACGAGAGTCATGAGCTCGTCGAGCTGGAGTTCCTGGAGATCAAGGCACAGTCGCTGTTTGAGAAACGGACGATTGCGGAGCTGTTCCCAGATCTGAGGGAACCAACCGCTTGGAATGTATTTAAGCTGCAGTTCGTCAGTATTAAGAAGTTATTCCAGACGAGGGCGATGTTTAAGAGGGTGGTGGTGGCGACGGTGACCATGTTCTTCCAGCAGGTGAGCCTCCTTTTTTTTCCCCTTAGGAATTCAGGAACATGGTGTTGATGGCACCAGTGGACGGGAATCAACGCAGTCTTGTACTACGCGCCCTTCATCTTCAAGCAACTCGGCCTGAGCAGCACAACCACCTCCCTCCTCGCCACAGGCGTAGTCGGCATCGTCATGTTCATCGCGACGATCCCCTCCGTTCTCTGGATCGACCGCGTCGGGCGCAAGCCAGTCTTAACCATCGGCGCGGTGGGCATGGCAACCTGCCACATCATCATTGCAGTCATTGTCGCCAAAAACATCAACCAGTGGGCGGAGCACGTGGCGGCAGGCTGGGCAGCGGTCTGTATGGTGTGGCTCTTCGTCGTACATTTCGGCTACTCATGGGGCCCTTGCGCATGGATCATTGTTGCGGAGATCTGGCCGCTTAGTACGCGGCCGTATGGTGTCGCGCTGGGTGCGTCGAGCAACTGGATGAATAACTTTATCGTGGGGCAGGTCACGCCGGATATGCTGGAAGGGATTACCTACGGGACGTATATATTGTTTGGGTTGTTGACATATCTTGGTGCCGCGTTTATTTGGTTCTTTGTGCCGGAGACGAAGAGGTTGACACTTGAGGAGATGGTGGGTTCCCTTGTGAAAAGGTTTAAGGTGATGTTGCTAACGCAGTTGTACAGGACGTCCTCTTCGGCTCGGAGGGCACTGCCCAGGCTGATCTCGAGCGCATGGAGGCGATTAACAACGAGATTGGTTTAACTCAGCTGTTGCGCGGCGAGCAGGGCCAGAATACGTCGGATGCTGAGCAGACGAAGGCCGAGGGAGAAAAGGCATGAAAGCTTGATGCCCGGTCCTGAGGAGAGCTGACAGTTAAGAAGGTGGTGGCGGTGACCCATGAAAGGGTTTCTTTGGGTATAAAGATGCGACGGAGTAAGAGTGCACTTGGTGACAATATCTTGATACCTTGTTCAAAACATATGCTTTGTCCAATGGATATAATTCCCTTTCACAAACAATGCTCAGTCAATACATCATCGACTGGGTCATTTTCCTTCAGGACGAGTATGTATCCCCCAGGGTGCACATCCTGGAAATCACGGTCGTCTCCACAATTCTGAGGCAAAAATTCAGGCTCCACCACGATTACACTGTGGAGATAGAGCAAAAGGAATTGCACCCTGATCCGATCCAGGTTCGAACTGGAGACCTTCAGTGTGTTAGACTGACGTGATAACCAACTACACCATCGGACCATTTGGTGGTTGGTAGTCGCCCGGTTGCGAGACCTTTTGTTGACCTTGGCCAAAGCTCAGGGGTCAACACCATCAACATAGATTCTCCCTTCAAGTGGCCCAATCGGTTTCTCGATAGATGGCATCTCAGTGCTCACTGTCAAGCAGGAGAGCTCATTTTCAGTCCACCAGCGTGCCCTGCACTGTGTTTGTCGAGCAGCAGACGGCGCGCCAGAAGCCTCATCTAGCGAAGTTATTGCTGCTTAGCATCCTGGTGACACCGCCTGCGAATTGCGGATAACCTTTGTTTCAAGTTACATTTCCCCCTGACAGGTAGGTCCATACAGACGAACCAGAGCCGGAACTTCCGTTTCCACGAAAGTATGCACTTGTACCTAACGGTTGATGGTCGCTGCAAGATGCTCCCATGTACATGGCTAGCTATCCAGCTCCGAATGCGGTGACCAATAGCAACGTTCAACTATTGGGTGAACCGTACCGCCAACTTAGCAATAGCCGATGCACCATGCCAAAAACATGCGTCAAGAACAATATCTTACCTTTTAAGGACACTTTAAGCACTCCGATCGCGTGGTGCAAGATATATGGGGAGTGGGCCAAGCTGTCTGCATGTATTACGGTGACAGAGTGCCTTAGCATGAGCCCAAGGCTCGCAGGATCAGCAGGAGAGCTGGTAAGCAACAAGGGAGCAGGCTTAACTCCACAAAGATTTAGTACATAGATGCCCAAATGCCGAAGCTAAAGTTGAGGGGGAATGCTTCTATCCTTTCCGTAGAGCACAAGGCAGTCCTAGCCCTTCTGGAAACTGTTCCAAAGTCTCTTGTCCGTCTACCTATATTGACCAATTCTAATTGTTGCTAGCGCGGCAACAACTGTGAAGAGATGGCAGCAACATCTTCTGCACCGCCAAATCCCGGAGAAGCTTCCATGCCTGATGGCATTCTTCCCGCCTCGCATTGGCAGCAGACTCAGGTACGTCTCAGAAATGGTTCGAGGCGATAGCGTTAGAGGTGCTAATGCTTAGAAAACGCACAGCTCCCAGCTGTGAACGACGATGCTGATTCAGCGTACGGCTCACAATGGTCCGAGACCACCTCGCTGTCAAGCAGTGTCCGCAGGTATCGAGTCTTGCAGGGCAGAACTTACCACGCAGACATCGGCGCAGCGGAGTCCTGGGAACCGAATGACAACAGGCATATCGAAAGTATGGACCTGCTGTAGGTTATGAGTTACCTCGAAGCGGATAACACTAGGATACTCATCTAGAACAGACACTTTATGGTCACTTTGGTGATGGGTGATAAACTCTTTTTGGCCCCGGTCGAAAATCCCCAGAAGGTTCTGGACGTTGGGACAGGAACAGGTCTCTGGGCTATGTAAGTTGGTGTTTGGACAAGCTCCCCTTCCGGGCATCCCGTCCGAAAACCTCTCTAATGAATCAATAGTGAGTTTGGCGATTTATACCCCGGCGCTGAAGTAATCGGCACCGACATCACCCCGATCCAGCCATCCTGGGTTCCTCCCAACGTCAGATTCGAGATCGAGGATGCCAATCTCGACTGGGCTCGCGAAGACAATACGTTCGACTTCATCCATGCTCGTACCCTGACTGGCAATATTCTTCACTGGGATCACTTTTTCGCGGAGGCTTATCGCTGTCTGAAGCCAGGTGGCTGGCTAGAAAGCCAGGAGCTAGATTTTGGATGGAAAGTTCTGGACGGCGAGATTCCGGAAGACAGTGCTATGGGTCAGTATGTTAAGGTGTGGCATGCTGGCGGAGAGAAGACGGGGCGGTCATTCCGTGTGGTGGATGATAACCTGCAGGAAAAGTGGATGGAGAGGGCAGGGTTTGTGGACATCGAGGTCAAAGATCTGTTCTGTCCCTATGGTGCTTGGCCAGAAGATCCGAGAGAGAAGGAGGCGGGTATCCTTTCTAAGGCCGCGTTTGAGAATGATATGGAGGGTAAGTTTCTTCTTCATCTCCATTTTTTTGGTTATTGAAGAAACGTTTCGCTTGAGACTGGTAGAGTATTTGAGCTGACTCCATCATAGGCTATATCCTTCATATCTGGCATGCTGTTCTAGGATGGACACCAGAGGAGATCCAGAACTACGTTGCTCACCTCCGCCGCGAGCTCCGGAATCCAAACCTGAAAATCTACTTCAAGCGTCGGGTAGTTATCGGGAGGAAGCCACAAAATCTGTGACAGGCTATATTGTCGGGAGGGCAAACAAAAATGAGTATGAGGCATCAAACAGACGCCCAAGACTTGTGTCATTACAATGTCAACAGGACCATGCACTTAAAGAAACTAGTCTCCAAGGCCCTTGTTCAAGAATCTCATCTTTGAGAGGGGAGTCGACTACACCTGGCTGGTCACGCGCACGACCATTACGCCAGGTGGCCTGTGCGTCGGTTGTTGTTCATCCCGTTTCCGTCCATACCCCACATCTTGTGGCCCCTTATTTCTCGTAGCTAACAGGCTGCACCAAATTTTCCACCTGTGCCCTGTCGAAAACCTCCCTATCAGTTCCAAATTCCAACACATCGTTGAACCGAAAACCAATGCAAATAAAGACGCGTATTAAAAAAAAACAAGTTTCCGTAAGTTTTTTTTGCTTGTTTGTGCTAGCTGAAGACGAAGTGCGTCTCAGCTGGTTGTTTTCATCGCCCGCAGGACGATAATTGGTAGGTTAATTGTAGTGGTGAGTACAGGACACCGGATCTGGTTTGGGCCTTTCTTCGCCCTCGCCCCATGCGGCTAGGCTCTCATTCCATCCGGAGATGGACATATCGCCCGATTGATTCTCTGGGTCATGCCCGGAAGCAGTTGCTTCTCTTTTCCGTGGGTTTGATCTATGTAGATGACGCGGCGGACATGCTATAAGTGATGATGAGGTATTCATACGTGATCACTACTTCTCTTTCGACTACCTGTGGGCGGCGGCGGCAGCATTGGCGTCAACGGCGTGTTGGCGTCCGGCAGGCCATGGTTGGGCGGATCGTACGCCCACTTCTCGAACTCTCGATGCTGTAGGAAGTTGTTGACCCGGGCCTCGCGGTTCAAGCCTGCTATGGCGGCCTGCCGCCGCCAGAGCTCCTGCGTCACGGCGAGATGCTGTTCCTCTCGCATGTCCAGCAGCTTGGTCCCGTTGGCCCCTGCCCGCGTGGCCTGCACCCAGGTCCCAACGATAATGCATAGCCCCATGATCGCGAAGAAACCGCTGTTGGACATGAAAATCTCTTCCTGCTTCTTCTCCCCCTCGCTGTCGCGCTCCTGGTACCACTTTTCCCAGTCCTCCCATGTCGCGTTCATGCTGGGATTGCCGGGCCGTTTGTGCCATTCGCGATCATAGCCATGGGTGCTCGACTGCGAGGCGGGCTGGTTGAGCCATCCGATTCCATAGAGGTCGTACATTCGCCGTTTCTGCGTGTCGCTGAGCAATTCGTTCGCCGCTACAATCAAGCGGTATCGCTCGAGCTTCGCTGTCCGAGACAGGCCGTCAGAGGCATTGTGTTGGTGATGGTCCGGATGGTAGAGCTTCGCAAGCTGGAAGTACCGCGCCTTCGCTTTCTTGTCGTAAGGAGCGCCCTTCTCGAGGCCGAGGATCTCGTACGGTGTGGGATGCTTAGACGTCGGCCAGCTAGGCGGACCAGCGTCTTCACGGACCGAGGCGAACGACCGGCGCTGCGCAGAGGTGCATGGCAAGGAGGCTGGCCGGCGCGCCAACCATGTTGTGCTCAACGAGAGCTTGCCACCGCTGGGATACAGGGCTGGCCAGAGCTGTTTCAGTGGCATTATTGAGGACTGCCAGGGGGCATACTGATGAAGGCCGGCACTGGAAGAGCCGGAATCAACCTCTCAATAGTGTCGTAGACCGTGTGGTGTTGATAGGCGAGCGGGAGATTCCGGCTGTCGGGCTATCGGTGCCGTCGGGATCTTGAAAGGTGAGCGAACATCATCATACCCACTGCGTGAGTGACGACTGTGTTTGGTCTTGCTACGGGCCCGATGCAGCGGGGCATGTGCCCCACTTGGAGGTCCCAGCGCTCTGGATAGTTGCATTTCCGATACTTTTAGTTGCATATCCACCTCCGAGGGTGGAGGCTCATGCAGGACCGGGCAGAGGCTGTCAACGAATGTCAAAAGTTGCATTGGCTTGCTTCACGTTTGTTGATTGATAGAAGTAAAGTCGAGAGTTTGGGATGACAATGGGCTCTGGGAACAGAGTAGAACCTGAATCGTTGCTTCCTTGCTTGTGAAAGGGCAAGTAGAGGTGAAGGGGATATGCCCCACCGTTGTTGACCAATGAGCAATGCTTTCTCGATAACACGTGACTCAAGTGGCCCCTGGCCTTGGCCTGCTCAATGATTCGACCTTGCAAAAGTTGAACTTCCAGGTTCTCAGCCCTTGTTGTCTTTTCCCCGCCGATTCTTGACAACACCGATCTTGACTCAACTCTCATCTCTTGACCACCGCACACATTTTCCTTTCCATCACGACGACTAAGACAGGCCATCGAGCTGTAACCTGAATCTTGGGCCTCTGATCAGAAGAAACATCGTAAAGAGCCACATCTCCCACATCACCTCATCCCCCACCTTTTTCGCCGTACGGTTGCACAGCCTCCTCACCGACTTGAGCAACGTTGTCTTGTGGTCTCCGACAGTAACTGGAGATACGAGTGCAGCCTGCACCTGCGTATGATATTGCGAGGATCATAGCCTTGACTGGACTTTGATCGACGAGATATCCACGACCTCGCAGCGACCCATCACACCCTCTACGACTCGGCAACCATCTCAGATTTTCTAGACCGACCTTAGCAACAGACACACCCAAAATGACAGACATTCTCATCGACAAGCTCCGTAACTCGTCCATAAAGTTCGTCATTCAGCCCCTTTAGGCTGTACCCTGCTAACCGAACAGTGACGCGGACGATGACTGGAAAAAGGGTCTTAACATTCCTGCAAAGGATACAAGAACTCAGACTGAGGTGCGTTCAAGTTCTCGGCACGCTGCACGGCCAGTGCTGACTTCTGCAGGATGTCACCAATACTAAAGGTCTCGAATGGGAGGATTTTAATCTGAAGCGTGACCTCCTCAAGGGCATCTTCGAGGCCGGCTACGAAAAGCCCTCACCGATTCAGGAGGAGAGCATACCTATTGCCCTCGCTGGCCGGGACATTCTGGCCCGCGCAAAGAACGGCACCGGCAAGACGGCTGCCTTCGTCATTCCCGCTCTCGAAAAGATCAACCCAAAAGTCTCCAAGATCCAATGTCTAATTCTGGTCCCCACTCGCGAGCTGGCGATGCAGACATCGCAGGTTTGCAAGATCCTTGGCAAGCACCTCGGCGTCAATGTTATGGTCACGACGGGTGGAACAGGGCTTCGTGACGATATCGTCCGGTTGCAGGACGCCGTCCATATCGTGGTCGGTACCCCTGGGCGTATCCTTGATCTGGCTTCGAAGCAGGTTGCCGATTTGAGCGAGTGCCCCATGTTCATCATGGATGAGGCCGACAAGCTTCTGTCGCCCGAGTTCACCCCTGTCATCGAGCAGCTGCTCCAGTTCCATCCTAAAGACCGTCAGGTCATGCTCTTCTCCGCCACCTTCCCGATCTCCGTCAAGGCCTTCTCTGATAACAACATGAGGGATCCCTACGAGATCAACCTCATGGATGAGCTCACCCTCCGCGGTATTACTCAGTACTATGCCTACGTTGAAGAGAGGCAAAAGGTGCACTGCCTGAACACCCTCTTCTCCAAACTGCAGATCAACCAGTCTATTATCTTCTGCAACTCCACCAACCGCGTGGAGCTGCTCGCCAAGAAGATCACCGAGCTGGGCTATTCCTGCTTCTACAGCCATGCCAAGATGCCCCAGGCTGCTCGTAATCGCGTCTTCCACGATTTCCGCAACGGCGTCTGCCGCAACCTCGTCTGCTCGGATCTCCTCACCCGTGGTATCGATATTCAGGCCGTCAACGTTGTCATCAACTTTGACTTCCCGAAGAACGCGGAAACCTATCTCCACCGTATCGGCCGTTCGGGTCGTTACGGCCACCTTGGTCTTGCTATCAACCTGATCAACTGGGATGACAGGTTTAACCTGTACAACATCGAGCGGGAACTCGGCACCGAAATTCATCCTATTCCTGCGGAGATTCCGAAGAACCTTTATGTTTATGAGAACCCTGAGACCATCCCGCGACCCATCTCCACCTTCAAGCCTGTTCCTATTGGGCAGAAGCAGTTACCGATGCCGCAGACGTCTCAGCAGCAACAGGTTCCGCAACAACCTCAGCCACAGCAGCCGCAGCAGGCTCAGGAGCAACAGAAGCAAGCTCAGCAGGAGCTTCAGCAACAGCAGGCTCAGCCTGCCGCCCAACAAGGCCAGCCACGCTCTGGCCACCAGAATGACTGGCACGGCCAAAATCGCCAGGGCTACCAGCAGAATCGGAACATGCACCAGGGCAACCGCGGCGGTTACGGCGGCAGTCACCGTGGCGGACGTGGTCGTGGCGGCTACCAGAACCAGGGCCAACGCCATCAGAACTATGGCGCTCCGCAGCAGCGTGGTCCTCGGCAGCAGCAGACGGCATAATGCTCTAACCGTCTTTTATTGCAGGCGCTATGCTTGCGCCTTTATATAAGCATAGACTTTCTTCTTTTTCGGCATGATCTGTTTTTTGGATTGTACATATTTAGTTGTCATCTTTGTCTCTCGCGTTCTTTTCCCTCCACGACGACTCTCCCTGCTAATGAGCAGCGCTCCGGCTGCCGCGGTTTCTCGACTCCCACTACGATGCGCACAACGCCTTCGCCCGAGTTGACGTCCCGAGGAACGCGCTTTACCTCTCCTTCCCGACCTCGATCACCCTGCCACGGTTCCTCTTCTACATTATCTACTCCCAGCTTACCCTTTTTTTTCGGCCATATCATAGGCCATAACCAGATGAACATGCACTAAGGGCCGCTGGTAGGTATTCGCCTTTCCATATCTCTACCTTCTTCCCGATTACTGCTGGTCATGGCGACGAATGGATGGAATTACGGGACGGCATGCGCGGGTATTTGGTCGCGTGGTTTGGTCTGGGCTTCCATGACGAAAATATTACTTTTACAACGGAGTCGCGCTTCTCTTTTCTTTCCAATCTGTGGGCGTTGATTATTGGCTCTTGGGATGAGGAGCGTGGGACATATGGGAACGGTTCACGGGAAATCAGCTATACACGGCGTTCGTTTCAGTATGAAGGGTTAATGGTGTTCGCGGCGTTCGGGCGTTGCTCTTCTAATGTTTGTTTTCTTATTTCGGGGCATGGCGATACCAGGGTATCGTGTTTTGCTTCTTTTTTTCTCACTGGTGTTGAGGGTGATGATTATGGATGTAATGGGAAAGGAAACACGTTTGGTGTTTTTCTTTCGACATTTTCTCTCCTGCTCCTTGATGGCTTTGTTTGTCCTCTGGCGGTATGCTAGTGGACAACAGCCCCAGCTGGCTGAGCTACCTTGGGCAGGTAGGGAAGGGTATGGATGGATGGATGGACTGGTGAATGGGTGGGCTGGTACCCTGGTTCGGTAACGGTTCAAGGGGATTCACCGGGCAATGGATGGGTGGGTGGATGGGAATGGGCGTCTCTCTTCAACGTAACGGCCATGGAACATGATGACGACGATGATGGCATTTGGGTTTGTCTTCAAGCAAGCGAGGGCTTGGAGGCGATGCTTTTTATGATGCGAGCAAGAAGCGTTAAGTGTGGCCTCGGCGTTGCCATTCTCACTGGCCTTTTGGCGGAGTCTATGGGACGACTGACGACCATGAGCCGCTTTTTCAATTGTCAACGCTGGCTGACAACTCTGTTGTCTGCAGCAGATTCGACGTGCAAAGCGAACTTGCTATTCCCTCGACTGTCATAACCAATCTTGATGACAAGCTTCGATGCATCATCCTGATTCTCTTTTCCACACCGGATGTTACCTGCCGAGTGCTGGTTCAGACAGGTTCGTGGGGATTAGCAACGAAAAAGAAAAACGAGGAAAATGACAAAAAAAATTTTTTTTTTCTCGGGGGAGGACTTATCACAGGGGTTTGGATCTCACGGCCTGGGTTGCGGGATGGCTGTTGGTGTTGAAGTATCTAGCTCTTGCGGTTGACAAAAATAGGCAGATGAATTGATGCCTCTTCTCCTCTGAGAGTTTTGGTGTTTGATGATGCGTGTGTGATTGTGGAAGTTTCCTTGTTCTCGGTGACCATAGTCGTGTCGGTGTCGGATTGAGCCGTTCTGTTTTGCTTTCCCCCAGGCTCTCCAAGTGGCATTTCGTTCCCTCAGCTCGGAATATGCGGCATGGTACCTTGATCCCATGGTTTTGATATCGGGCTTTAACAATTGGAGGAAACTCGTGACAGAGAAGGAATAGCCGAGGGCAACCTGATGTCAGTTTCACAACGACTTCTCTCGGGTAAGGTTATATAAAAGCGCGCGCTTTCCTTGCAATTAGCACATACGACCATACCCAGTGGAAAATTCGGGATCCCGTCCGCTCTCCCATAGACAAGCCACTGAGGGCCGAGGTAGTAGTTGGGTCGGTGACGACCAGCGAATTCTCGGTGTTGTATGTTTTGGCTTTTTACCCTCTTGACGTTGCCCTAAGGGCCACACCTGCATACTCATTGGTAAGAGGTCAGGAAGTATCTAGACAGCTGTATGTTTTGCTTGCTTTATTTGTTGACATATATCATTCGGGTATCCAACTCATATCCAAGCTTCCATCTAACGCAAAACAATCATCCAACCGTAGGGCGTCACACCCCCCCGACTTCCTTGAACCACCACAAGATCCCTCGTCCTTTGTTCAAAGGTACCCCTTTCCTCCCAAAACAAAGCTCATCACTCCTCCGGATCTAATCGCGACCCGCCCCAATCCGTAAGACTGACCTCGACAGGCGCCCCGCCGCTCCGGATGATGACTAGGTGCAAATCGGCCTGGTCGCTTGTGTTCTGAAACTGGTGTTCCATCCACGCTGGAATGTAGGCAAAGTCCCCAGGGCCGATCTGCCTCCTGTCTAAGTCCTCGCCCGATTTGGGTTGGGATAGAAGGAGACCGAAACCAGAGACTACGTAGATTATTGTGTCTACAACGAAGGGTGGGGTTAGTATGGGCTGGCAGGCAGCGAGAAGGAGAGGGGCACAATGGGTTAATGAGGTTGGGGTACGTACCTTGCTCGCCGTGGTGGCGGATTGTTGAGGAGGTGGTGGGTTTCAGGATGAGGACTGAGAGGAGTTAGCTTCCATATCAACAGTACACTGTGAACAAGAGTCATGGAACAAAGCTTTCTGTCCTCTTATAAACTAGTACAGTCGCTCAAAATACTGGGTAGTGAAGTGACATACTCGAAGTGCAGATTTTATCACTCTGCTTGACAACTGCATCTCTGCTGAACACCTGCACGCGCGGGTCACTCCGGTCGATGTGATACTCAAACGGGGGCAGCACGTCATGAGCCCTGGTCACAGAAACTGAACTGGGCAAAAACAATGGCAAAAGATCTTCCAGGACTGGAAGCAGTGTGCTGGTCAACATACTGCTGGTGTCAAACAGGGGACGCTGCCGTTTGTTGGATCCAGGTCCGGGTCTGGGTGCACTCATGAAAAGTGAGATGATCAAAACAGAATGGAGTGAAGGAGCTGGGAGTAATGAATTGGACAGAATCAAAGCACAATGATATGTTGGCTAATTCGAAGCATAAGAAAAAAGTTCAACAATGCAAGAAGGCATAATTGGCGACAAAAATGTGGCTGGATGGCCTCGGTAAAGTAGACGTTGAGCTCCTGTCAACAAAAACAAGCTGAGCACCCGTGCTACGGTCACCTTGGCGCTTCAGTTGATGCACTCAGCTGAACCTTGCCAGGCACAGTCCTCACACTGTCGCATCTTAGGCGCGGCTACTGTGCAGCAGCCCCACCCTTATCTTATCGTCATTTAGACCCCCTCTGACGCAGTCGAGACGACACTGTCGAGGACATCAGAGCTCCTGCCAATGACAGCGGCGACAGGAAGCTTTGCCATGTGCATTGGTGAATAGCCGTTGGAGCTCCCGAGGCTCTGCCCGGGATTTATTGATGACGAGAAAAGAAGGATCAAGATGGAGCAATTACAGCAAATAGAAACTGAGGGCAGACGGGATGCCTGCATTTCGTCACCGCCTTCGCCGCTGGCTAACCGGCCCAACGTGTCACCAAGTCCAAGTCCAAGCAGCGAGAGTCTGCCTCTGCCTCTGCCTACGCCCGAGTCAATGGGGGAGCAGATGACTGCGGGAATTGACAAGGGGAAGGGTAAGGAGAGAGGTACGTCGGTCCTCCCAATCCTCCGTTCGAAACATTCCCAATGCTCACTACTAATCCAGCTGGCCCCTGCTACATCCTCTCGCTACCCTCCGAAATCGTCCTCTCCATCCTGTCCTATCTAACTCCCATCGACCTCGCGCGCATCTCACAAACATGCCACTTCCTTTACGAGCACGCGACCGCCGACCCGCTGTGGCACGCCCTGATACAGGAGAACGTTCCGGGCGTGAAAGTCACTTCGTCTTACCCTTTCGCCACCTACCGCGAGCTCTTCCTGTCTCATTATCCGCACTGGTTTTTGACAAGGTACAAGATTTGGTTTAGTGATGCAGATTTGCCAGGAAGGATCATCGTGGTACGGTATGACCAGCGACGGGGGTGTATTGAAGGGTATCAGCTGGTAGCGAGGAGGAGGAGTCGGACCTACGAGTGGTGGGCGCCGGATCCAAATGTCATTATCCCCGCGTTTGATCCGGAGGTCTCGCTGCATTTGGATAGCCCGATGCTACAGCTCGATGCAAAGCCCAGTACCGAAGAGGGAGAGTTTGAGCTGCTCGGCCGATTTTCAAAGACAATGAGGTTACGCCGCGGATCAAACGATACCGAGCCCAAAGACGATCGCATAAAAGAACACTTCCTCCAGCGCGGCATCCCCATGACCACCGGCGCCCTGGGCAGCACCTACTCCCACTTCTTTTACGCCCGACGTCTGTCTGACGCGGAACTACCCGCCGATTTCCACGTCGAGTGTTGGCCGTATGGCTCGGTATGGCCGCCGCCGACTGTGCCGAGTGAGCATCGCGTGAATGGATCATATCGGCGGTGGGAGCCGCCGTATAGTGCCAGTGTCGAGCCCGATCGGCCAAGGACGATGAGCGAGTTGTGTGAGCGGGCGTTTCATATTCGCCGGTGGCCGGAGCGGCCGGCAGGGAGGATTACGGTACATCTTTTTCCGGCTTCAGCGGCGGATGAGGAGGAGCATGGGGAGGGGTTGTCGGCTGGGCAATCATCTCCCCAACAGAGTGTGGCAGTTACTAACCCTAACGCAACGTCGATTAGTTCTGAAGAGGGGCATGGGGGTGATGACGAGCATGAGAATGGCCATAATCATGGATTTCAGCTCCAGCTCCCCACTCTCCCGACGTTCCATCCACTTGTTATTAGCATTCCTGCACCGACACTGGGCCACCCGATTCAATTGCGCCGGCCGGATACTGCGACCTATGCGACTCTCGACCCGGAACTGTACACTCCCACACCGGATAAACCATACCGCGGGATATGGGTAGGCGATTACAGCGCGCATGGCTGCGAGTTCCTGCTCATCACCCAGCCGGATGACGATGATGAATCTGTATCACTGGTCGACACGGAGGGGGCCGAATCCGTACACGAGGAACAACAGCGGAGACAAGAGGAAGAGAAGAAAGAGGAGCCCTGTCCCGGAGCCCCCAGACGAGGAGAAAAAGGGAGATTGGCAGCGATCAAGTTGACAGGAGACGCCAACGTCCCCAGGGGGGAGTACAGCTTTTTGGTCGATGACCTCGGCGAGGCAGGGTTCGTGGAGGTTGCGAAAGACCCGCCGTTTGAGGGGGTCAGGGTCGTCAAAAGCATGGGGCATGTGGCTAGTGCGGGATTTCATAACCGTGAGTTTTTCTTTTTCTTTTTTTTTGTCTTTTCCTATCCATGGCTTTGTTAAGGTCGTTGCTTCTCAGCCGATTTCATGTGGTAGCCGGGCTGGGTGGTTGCGCGTGTGAGAGAAGGTGCGAAACTGACGGGGCATTACAGACACGTACCTGGAGACAAAACTGTACCTGATTTCGCATGACCGGCTTGCGCAGTACTGGGTTGATTTGGGGCGGTTTAGCTACTTCCAAAGGGTGGATATTGATCCGTTATTGGTGCCCAGGTAAGTGAGAGGAAGGTTACGGATTCTATTTGCCCCATGAATCTGTGAGTCTGGTTCTGGTTTGGTCAAGGGAGAGGGGGGACAGCATGGCATTTAAGAGCATGATAATCATCATGGGGTTAAACTTCCGAGAAACTTGTCTCATTATTTTACGTAGGGATATTTAATGAGTTCTAGAAACAATGTTATTGAAACTCATGAGCAGAGAATGCTCATATTAGGTGCAGAAGTATAGTTGAATGTCGTCGAGACATTGGCATGTTCAACAGACACATCAACAACGCCAGGTCCATGATGAAATCAGTCCGTCTAAGCATAAAACAACCAGGAAGACAGTCAGGTGGATATCATACCAAACAGTCCGTGATGTCCTCAGGTCACTACGAACCACAAACAGGCAACATTAAACATATTTCCTGGAATCATCGCACCTAAAACCCATGCACCAAACTAAGCAGCCGTAACACAGACTCCCTAACGCTAACTCAGCTCCAGCCCTGTCGGCATCACGGCCGTCTTGGCGCGATGACGTGCTCGACACCGTGCATAAGCCTCCTCTCCCCCGCATATGTGCCCCTTCTTCTTCTCATTATAATTTCCTACTCCCCACGTTACCTCATTTCTTCCCGTCATCTTTCTTCCTTCTTCTCATCCTCCCTGCTGAACCCACATCCATACACGACCGCGCCGTCAGACCAGATATTCTTGTTGGAATTGCAGGTGCTGTTCTGTAAACATTTCGGACATACCCTCAGGCGATGCCACGCTGTTGCGAGGTTGCCGCGCACGTTATATATCCCGGCGTGGGTTTCGGGCTGCGAATTATAGGAGGTGTCGGTTGCTTTGACGATGAGTTCCGTGCAGGCATCCTTTTCCCCAATCTTCTTTTCAGTCCCATTCTGAGCCTCAGCCCCGTCTTCAAGGGCTTGAATAGGGGCTGAGGAAGAAGGAGAGGCAGAAGAGATTGTTCGGGTTGTGGGAGGGGAGGGTAGTGTACCACAATACCGCCACCGCGTCCACGCCCACGCCTTACTCCCCTTGCATTTGCCCCCGGCACAATCATCCACCAGCTCGGCTTGATCCCAGGTATTTCCTCCGTCGAGGGAGATATCGACCCGCGCGATGGCTCGCCCCCCACCGGAGTAGGCGTACCCTTGGAGCGCGACCTCACCTTCGTTCTTCTTCCCTTCTCCCTTCTCCTCTGTAGCCAGCAGCCTCTTCTCCCCCATCCAAGGCACCCTCTTCACATCGGAACCAACCCAAACCCCCGTCACCGCGCTCGTAACCGGCATCTCCTGTATCGCAACCGCTCTCTCCCAGTCCGGGTTCGCCCCCTCATTCGGCCCAAAACATTTGTAATCCCTTCTCTGCCACTGGCTCGTTGCCTCCTCGTCAGCCACGCGGATCTTGCTCAGCCACTTCACGCTGCGCGCTGCCACCGTGCCAGGGACGATAGCGCGCAAAGGGAAACCATGGTCCCTTGGCAGAGGGCCGCCGTTCATCCCGTAGGCGAGGAGCACGTCCTCGGAAGGGGACAGGGCTTTTGGGAGGGGGATCGAAGCGGAGTAAGCTTCTAGGCCATGGAAGTGGATGTGGAGGGTGTTTGGGTCTGGAATTTGGGGGTCTGATGGAGGAGGGCTGGTTTGGGTCAGAGACGGGTAAGATGCGACTTTGAGCCCCGCGTCAGCAAGCACATCCGCCAGGCGAACACCCTCCCACTCGGCGTTGGATATCGCTCCTACACCCCACTGCAGCCCGTTGGTGTGCCCTACTTGACGGGTCATGTCGCTTCTTCTGTTGCCGCTGCACTGTAACACAGCCGTTACCCGATGGGAAGGAAATTTCGTTTTCAGCTCGCGCAGGGTGTATCTCCTTTCCTCCCCATCCGGCAACTCCACCGTCAACACGTGGGTGTCATCCGCCGTCCGCTCATCCACCTGCGGCACCCACATGTGATTCCTGACATAGAAGACCCCCCTTTCCGTGATAAACTCCCTCGCCACCTCCCCTGTAGGCGTCTCCGCATTCCTCGGCTTCGCCGTCAGGGTAACCAATCTCTCATCTCTCTTCGGATCTCCTTCAAACGGATCTTCGACCTCCTCCATCTTCGGCCTTCCGTCGGGCCCTAGGTCGGCAACGTCGATGTACCCGATCAGATATTGATCGAGAATTTCGCGGACGTGAGGCTGCTTGTGGATGGAAAAGATTTCCCAGTAGGGGTCGATGGATTTGCCCGCTGCGCGCAGGATGATGTCCCCGCCGGGGTGAGCGGAGACCCAGGAGGTGATGTTGTACACTTTGTCGGAGGAGGTTACCCATGGTTCCGGAGAGTGTGCGTCGTGTTGGCGGATGGTGGAGAGGCGGTAGCGCGGGAGGGACGGGTCGCGGTCATCTTTGATCGGCGCATTCTGTGATTGTTCTTCGATGTGGTGATGGGAATCGTCTGACCCGGTAAGCTGAGTGATGGCTATTGCTGAGGCGAGGACGCTACCTCCTACAAGAAGCCCTATTGGGGCCGAGCGGGCTACTTTTGTTGGCTGTCGGGGTTTGGAGGTTGATGATGAGGATGAGGTCGGACGAACTGAGGATCGGCCAAAGGCACGGAGGGTTGGCCGGGGATGGGTGTGGTGAAGGGCTGATTTGAGGGTGCCGGAGGCGGTCCGGACGCGGGTCGCCATGCCGGGCGCTCTCAGGAATGTCCAGTAAGACTGAGGTCGGGTGATGATGACGTTGAGGCGATCGCTTCAGCTTGGATTGAATTGTCTAGGGCTGACCGGCTGTTGACCGCAGTTGGGACGGAGAGCCGATCAGACGATGGCAGTCGGCGGTAAGTCTTCCACAGACAGCGAGTGGTTGGACAGGCCGGAACAATGACAAGGCTGTGTCACTTCACACGTTCCGTACTCTCCTGCTTTCTGTCTTTATTTCTTATCGCCCCTTGACAAAACGTATGGGTTGCGATGAAAGAATGATGGAATGAACTCGAAGAGAGAAACATATCGGTTAGAAGAGAGCAAACCAGCAATTGTTCAATATGCCCAAGGTAGGTCCCGATCCGAGGTGTGTGACAGGTCGTCGCGGTGACTCGCCCGATGCTTGCCGTCTTCGCGCTCAACCCGAACCCCAGAATTTAGGTGGAGTCGTACGTCAGGGATAAAGAGGTGGGGCTCGGGAGGTGTTCCCGTGACAGAGAGGACGATGATTAGTTATGGGGACTTCAGCAGGCCTGCGCCAAGAGTAAGCATGGTTTCTTTAGGCGCAGGGCTTGATGGGGATTCCATCATCAAGATTCTTGGGAGTCCTAATCGTTGATAGTGAGGTTTAGAGCAATTTGCTTCGACAAATTGAATTGATACAAACTAAATTTTATATCTATTTTATTGATAAATTGACTTTAGATTGAGTCTCAAATCCTGTCTCTCTGCTCTAGCATATCTTCACTTCGATCTGCTCGATGTGCTACTTCCCTGCTGATAGAAATACAAGCTCGCTCACTATCCACACGCGCTAGGCCTAACGGACATATGTGGACCCCTCCCTACCGCCACCGACGTCCGCCGAGATCCGGCGTTGTGCTGCCGAGCGCCAGATGGCAGACCGTCGGCCCGCACGGCACCGACAACGGCACCGACAACGGCACCGACATGCACTGGATTACGACATTGCAACGGTAAGTGATGCAAGATGTTTGGGTGAATGTGTAAACAATTTTTTTTTCGTTTTTGCTGATGACGACAGTTGATTGAGTCAACGATCGAGGTACAATTCAAAAGGAATATAGACGAAATAACAAAACAAAGATGCGAAATGACTCAACAAGAACACTCTATTCAAAACAACAGACGCTGAGATTCCTTTCCCATTTATCCAACTCCAACCCAACTCATTCCTTAACGAAAACTCAAGGTCAACGTGAATTGACAACAACGACTTTATTACCAGACCTCACAGTCATACTCTTCCATTCTTTCATCCTGCTCAAGCTTCTTCATCTCCCGCTCCTCATCCCCCTCGCTCTTATCCTCACTAAGAGTCGGATCGAAACCGTCACTCTCCGACAGCTCAGACTCTTCGCGAAACCCTTTAACCTCCTTCCTTTCCTTGACCTCTTGGACCTCTTAAACATCCCAATCCTCACATACCCCTTATACCCTTCCGGAACTTCCCCCTCCCCCTCCCTCTGTTCACTCTCACTCTCCTCAACATCTTCACCCTCAATGTCCTTCCGACTAAAACCCCCCCGCGTCTCAACCTGCCCCCACGCAACACTAATCCTCCCAGCGCCATGCTTCCTCGCGGGTTTGGCTATTTGTCTTCTCGGGCGGCGTGAGGCTAGGGTTTGCGCTAGGGGGGAAGGCTGCTTCCGACCTCTGCCTCTCCTTGTACCACTCCTCCCTGTACCGCGACAGCGGCATCTTGGGCCGTGAAAGACGAAAGCCAGAGACCCGTCGACGTTTGACAGGGCTACGTAGCTGGATTTGACTCCCCTTCGTATACAGTGCTTAGCAGAGGCAGGAGGTTGTCAATTGTTCTATGTCTTTACCTAACCAAGCTCAGCAATACCGCGGTTGGTAACCTTGAACCCTCTTAGAAAGGGACAGCACCCTGGGTAGGTAGAAGGGATAAAGAAACATTCCTCAATGCTGCATGTGAGTTGTTAGATGTGATTGTCAGTTACCTATTGTTTCTACGATCAGTTTACCATCAGCATCAAATCGAGTCTAAGCTTCTTGAAATAACACAAATGGCAATGCTGTTGATCAGCCACCCAAGCAACTCTTAACTCTTGCTTCAACATTGATTAAGTTCTTGTTACACTTGGAATTTTACCAAGGCTTTTATCCGAAGAAAGGCAAGCTTTCGAAGCGACCAGCATGAGGGTCAGAATTTCTGATTGAGATGACTATATGCCCTTATGATCAGAGAGGTATCAATGAAGAATTCAGAGGAACGCGAGTGAAGAGCAGTTCTACCTCCAGTCCTCCATGTATTCGGATGTTCTGACACAAATTCTTTTTCAGTTGATAGGCGCTGTTCAGTTATTCTGGCTCAGGCCAGTTGCCCTAGACTGGAGTCCTTGCTTGACTTAATGACGCTAGATGCCCGTACAATGGAGCAGATAGGGCTCTACGCTTATTTCTCGCTACACTATGCCTATTCACTCTTCTTCATCCTGGCATATGTATTTGCATTATTATCATATCTTCTCTACTCTTGAACTTTACCATGCACTAAGACCAGCATTCAGTTCCTCTTACACACTCAACTATCCCCCCCAGCTGATCTTTCTCACTTCCTACGTGCAGCATCCAGCCTTCAGACTGGGGTCATTCGAGTTCTTGCCCATCCCACGGACTTATGTTCATTTCTCATCTTACATCTACAACCTGCCCCTGCACCCTCTGTGTGGTGCAGTCATTCCCCGCTACCGACTGCTGGCTAATGTCTAGCATAAGATGGTCGAATGGTGTAGTTGGTTATCACGTCAGTCTAACACACTGAAGGTCTCCAGTTCGAACCTGGATTCGATCATGAAAGATCCTTATATCTTTGTATCATACCATCTATTGATTGGTATGAGAATGAATTTTTTTGCTTGTGTTTGGCGGGCTTTCGAGCTGCAGTACGTGAACTAGCGTCTCGCTTTTGTCTTTGTTGCCTGGTGTCCTAGAAGAGATTGGACGAAAAGACCGGTATTAACCCTAACCCTGACAAAGGGGGTTCGTATCTTGCCCTGAAGACAGGCCAAACAAACAATAAACACCATAACATGGAGCCGGCAGATGAGAATATGGGACTAACTAAATCATCATCCTTGAGGACAAAAGAAACGATGACCGTCCTTAAAAGTTTCATGCCAGGAAACCTTTTTCAGATAACAGTGTCATCCAATGCTACCTATACAAGACAAAATAAACTATGAACGCCATTAACTATGCAACACTCCTCCTCCCATAATTAAATATCCAACATTATCAAAACAGTCATCTAATCATCAGCTCATACAGATCCAGCATTACAATGCGACATGCCTCCCAAATCATAAATAAATGGTCATCCAACTTTGACTTCATGCCACCCAAACTTTTGCCAATCAAACATCAGCAGCCTGCCTCCTCACGGACGGCCTTCCTTCTCTTCCTCTCCCTTTCCATCTCCCCTTCTGCAGTCTCATTCTCTTCACCAACCCCCCTTTTTGCCGTCTGCTGCGCTGTCCCACTCAAAAACAAATCCCCCATTCCCAAAACCCTGACCAACTCCCTCCTCATCCCAACCACAACCTCCCTCGCCCCATCCCTTTCTTTTTCCAAAGCCTTATTTTCTTCCTCCAACCTCTTTACCACATTCTCCTGCACATCCGTCAACATCTCCTCCACTCGCTCCAACTCCTTCTGCAGCGCAACAATCCGCTCGTCGCGCGAAGCAATCTCCTCGCCATGCCGCCGGACTAGATCCTCCATCGCGAGCTGGTGTTCGGCTAGCAGGCGTTCGTGCGCCGATTGGAGGGAGGAGAGTTCTTCGCGCAGGGCGGATTCTTTCTTTTCTGCGGCGGCAAGAGCCTCGCGCAGTTGGGTGATAGTCGCGTTATTTTCGGCACCAGACTCTTCCAGCGCCCGGACTTTAGCTTCCACGGCGGCAAGATCCGCCGCGTAGCGTTCCACAGCCAACCGCAGTTTCTCCCTCCCCCGCTCCAACTCTTCTATCCGTGCATCCCTTTCGCCCAACTCCCTCTCTTTGACAGCCAATCTCTCCGCCAGCGCATCCATCGCATCAACCCTCGCAGAGAGTTGCTCCCTCAGTTCTCTTTCCCTCTCCCTCAACATCTCAACCTCCTCCTCATCCCTGTTACACCTCTGCGTGAGCTCTCTCAGCCGACTAAGCAGCAAATCCAGCACCTTTGCGCTCTCAGCCGTCAGGGGTAACGGGATCTCCCCTGGAGTGAGGTACTCAAGCTCAAGCCGAGCCGTCCTGAAGCTCGCGCGCAAAGAATCAATGATTTCTTTTGGCTCCGACCCTGGGAAACCAAGCGTCTTGAGTGACGCGTCCAGGGACGCGAGTGTCGCCGTCTGCGAGTGCAGTGTGTCGAGGAGGGCTGCAAGACGGGCTTCGAGGTCGGTTGGCTGCCCTCCGGCTTCTTTTCCGAACGGGGCGAGTCTGCACGAGAGACGGGTGAACAGGTCGGCATAGTCTTCTAGGGACTGAGTCAGCTTGTCGATGTCGAGTTGCAGCAAGGCAAGCTTGTCGCGGAGTTCTTGCTTCTCGGGGTCGGGGAGAGAAACTTGGGCGGATGCGTCGCAGCGGGTGTCATCGGCTAGGGAGAGGCGTTTGGAGGGTGTGGGGAGTTCAGGGGGCGTCGGGCTGCTGGTTGCCGGGGGTGTCGGGAAGGAGGAGCTGAGGCGGCGGGTCGGCGTGCCGCAGTCGAGGTCGGCGATGGTTGTGTCGCCAAAGTCGTCTTGGTCGTCCATAGACATGGCGTCGGTGAGGGGGGGGAAGTCGGTTTGGCTGGGGCTGGAGGGGTCGAGCTCTATAGTTGATGCGCTCGAATTACGACGTAGACTTGAGGGCTCAATCTCCATTGTCGACGTCTCCTCCTCCCGTCGTGGACTCTTTGGCTCAACATACCCCCTCTTCTCCAGCTCCTCGCGCAACCTCTCAATCGTCCTCTCTAGTCTCCACACCTTTTCAACATCCACCACCAACGTCTCATCGCTCAACCTCTGGATCTCAGCGTCCTTCTGCGCTAGCTCTTCCTTTAGTCTCTCGATTTCTTTCTTCTCGTCCCTCTTCCGTCGCCTCTTCTCTGCCAGGATGGCATTCATCTCCTCACTCAGCCCATTCCTTCTAATCCTCCTTTTGATCCTCCCATCCAGGACCTGCCTGAGCGGAAGGAAGGTCACTTCCCCGCCGAACGGGGACGCGCAGTCGGATGGGTCGAGGTACGGTATGCCGGTGCTGTCGGCGGCACGTAGTAACCTAGCTGGAGTCGAATGACGTCTGGCATTGCTGGGCGAGTTCAAGGCAGTGCGCTTGAGGAACGGCGTCAACCCCGTCGCCGCAACGATAGAATCCCCCTCCGATCGGGGAGTCTTGAGTAGGCCGGGATCGGAGAAGCGGACATGTTTGCTGCGTGAGCGTGACGCTGTACCTGAGCTCGAGCTGGGTCTCCTCGAAGGCGTGCGGGCTGGCGTCGTAGCTCGGGATCTGGGTCTAGGGGACCTGGGGGAGGAGGGTTTGTTATTGTGTCGAGGCTGAATCGTTGGCTTTGGGGTTGCCGTCTTTGTTTGCGAGGCCGGACTCGACAGCAGGCTGGCTGCATGAAGACTTGAGGAACGTCGGGCACGCCGCAGGGCGATGGGCAGGTCGAGGCTGGCGTCGCGGGCCATTTTGGTTTTTTTGAGTCGTCAATGCATCAATTGAGAAGGCCCCTTCATTAGGGTTAAGCAACTGATAGAGGTTTGAGATGGTCTAGAAGAGTCGACTAAACATGTAAACTAGACCAGCAGTGGGTAGCCGTATATGTTTGCCGCCCAGAGCCCGATGGCACCCGAGAGAGAGAAACGAGTGCTGACGCGCCCAACGGTAGGCGAAAACCCCAGAAGTTTTTCAGGGCGCGATGCGACTGGTGACGGTGCGTCCACGTCGCAGGCAGCAGCGCCCAGGGCCCCACAGCATGTGGTGTTTATTTACACCTTGCCCATATCAAGCAATTAGTGGGCCCGCAGGCCGGTCCCTGGATGCCTGCAACGCCGGTCGTCCATGTGGCCGTGGCGATGCGGGTGATTGTGGATGGCAAAGACGAAGTGCATTTTTCACGGGTATGCCAGAATTTTCGTGGATTGAGTTTGGATTGGGACAACTCAATTGATGGCTTGGTGTTCCGAGCCGGTGATGCCCAGCATTGAGTCACATGTGCCCGACAACCCCAACCCTAATGTTATGCTGTTCGGCATCCCGAAGTTGAGATAATTGGCTGTTCATCGGCTTCACTCCCCAACCATGCCATGCTTGGAGGAAGAACCTTGAGTTTCAGGCACTTGAAAATTGTAGACAATCGAAAGTACTTGTGGCCAATTTCTTGCTAATTCTGCTTCTGTCTTCCTCGAACGACCAATACTCAGTTGCCGATCCGAACCCTGACATCGTGGCCCAGCAATACTCGACGTCTCGAGTCGATACAGTACTGGCCATTAACCGAGTTTACACCTCAACCGCGCGCTTGAAATCATATTCATGAAGCCAATTGCAGCATAGTTGACAATCGGAAGTATTCTGGGCTACGACTTATTGTCCAATGGTGCCCCGTTATCCTCGAAAGGGTTTCAAAACTTCAGTTGCCAACCCGAACCCTGACGTCCAACATCCAGCCAGCTCCTGTCCCTCATCAGGGTCCCGAGGAACCAAGTAGACACGCCGTGCCATTGATCAATCCCTCGTTAACCATACGCTGATTGCACGTCAATTCTGGACCGGAAGGCATTGAAACTTGCCTGGCAACCGGAAGCATGTTTAGTCGGGACTGACTGCCGTCCTTTTCTCGGACTGGCTGTGGGAGCTCCAGTTCCTAACCCGAACCCTGGGTCGATGGTCAGGGGCTCAACACCCATTAACATATATCATCCGCCTCTTGTGGACGTTAGGTGCTTCTACGGCTTTGACAGAGACATCATCATGTTTTCGACACTTTCGAGGTTCTCAATGAATGCACCAAGATGAGGTGATGCCAATCGTACTGGCCCTGGTCTTTGAATGGTCGGCTTCAATGGCCTAGCATTATGACGAACCCTAGCATCAGCCGTCAACATCTCGACTTTCAACGCCGCTGATCAGAACGTCACCCATTAAAGTATGCACTGCTTGAAGACATTTCCTGAGAGTAAAATGTGACTTCTCCATATTATCAGCACCTGAAAATCATCTGAGCTAAACTGATTGTCAAGTTGGCCTCGGAGGAATCTCAGCAACGGGTGTCTTATGCCTCGACGTCCTTCGATTAGTATTATCTTGCTGATAGCCGACAATGAGGGGGAACTAACCAACCATTTGCCCCTGACGACAATTCCTGGGGCTGTCATTAATTTAGCACTTTGTGCATTTCTGGGTGCGTCCTTTGTCTCAAGTTCCGCCATGCCTTTAAACAGATAGCCCTCGCGGCAGGTGTCCTTGCTCGCCAGAACAGACAAGACAAAGCAGTAGGTGAATTGGTCACCAGATGCTAGCTCTGCAGGAGAAGTTTAGAATTGGTACGTTCTACTGGTGAGTGATGGCCTGGAAGGACTTGCGAAATATCATTGGGGCCGGGTCTAAATATAACCATCGCGACTCCTTGACCTGGATGTTTGGCAGAACTCTGACCTCAATGTGGCCCTTACACTTGGCCACTGTTTCCCAAACAACTTCTTGAACAAAGCGCTGGTATGCTCAGAGCCTCAGAGTCCAGGGGTTTAGGTCTAGCGCACTCGACTCCGCTTCTGCTGGCTCCCTTGTTCCTCGGCTGGCGTGCCATTCTTTTTCTTTATGCCTGCTTTACGCTGTTTAGACGAGGAGACAGAGTTCGGACCAGGGACTCAACAAGTTCACAAGCACTCTGCCTTTGTGTAACAGTGAGCTCACCTTGGGCAACATCAATGAAACTAATACCTACACCGACTGGGGCAGAGACGAGTCGTAACAAGAAATGCGAAAAGTTCATTACTATGGAGTCCCAAGAAGGAGCCGGCCCTCCCGCAAGTATCACTTTGGTCAGACTATGTGTGCTATGCACCTTCTCGAACCCGTCAAACAATACTGACTGTCATCATGATGAAAGAGAAATGGTAGCCGTCCAGCGATACCTCTGTTTGTTTTATGTAGTCCGCCAAGCATGCTTGCGCGGGAAGGTTCGCGCTTCAAACTCTTCGCATGACGATGAAAAAGGTCTTCTGTCCCGTGCTATCGCAATGAAACAGGGCATGGGACACGTACTTCTCGAACAAAATACAAACTTAAGCGTAAACGTAGCTGACGAATTCATGCCAGATGATGATGATGTCGATCCAAGATGATGGCGATGATAAGACCATTAGAATCGGCGGATACGTAATATTAGCGAAATCAAACGCGTGTCGAACAAGCTAGACGACCTACTCGGGCGTAGTGTCTTAGCTTGGCTGGCTGTTTTTCTTCCCCGACTTAAGTCTCCGACATGATCAGCCCCAAGCTGACGTATTCCTTGCTCCTAAGGAGCTAGAAATGCCTGAGGTCCGCCGGAATCACCTAAGGCAATATCTCGATGTTTTGGACCCGAACCCTGAAATATCCACCTGAATACCTTAAATCCTAAGGCATTCCAATCCAATAACCCTTCATCAAGCTTATTTCATCCCGATGTCTTATCTCACATAAGACATCCCGTAATCTAACGTAGACATATCCCCGTCTCGCGAGAGCGAGCAACCTCAATCCGCCTCGCGACCTTGTCCATACCCAACCAGCCCACTCTCCCTTATAACCCCCAACCCATGCTGAATCGCTCCGAGTAGATTTGCCGTCTGCTCCATCGTATGCCGACTCGCGTTATGTCCCATACTGCTATAAAACCCTTCTATCACAGTCTTATGCTTCTTGAGGTCTAGCTGTGCCAGAGCAAACGCCTGCCGTAAGGTTTGAGGCGGGGTTGTGAACAGGGCTTGTTGCGCTTGCATTCGGGATTGCAGAGCGTTCACTTGGGTGGAAAGTTTTGCTATGTGGGCTGTTTGTTGGTGTAAGAGGGCCTCGAGGGTTGCTGTACTTCCTGAGGGGGGTTGTTGAGACGGGGGTTGTTTTTTCAGCTCGGCGACTTCTTGCCGCAGCGTGGCCAGCCCTTCAACAAGGGTCTGAATCGGGCCAAGTAGCTTCTCAATTTCCCCGCCGTCAGAAACACCGTTCGTGATAGCCGCGACACTCCCCTCTTTTGTGGCAGCGGAAGTAACCCCCGCCACGGCAGAAGCCAGCTCCTTCTGCTGTCCCGACAGCCCCGTGATATCGTCCCTAAGCAGATTGAGGCTGTCGACAATGACATGCATGGATTCCATCATCGTGCCGACAACATTTGTCACCGTCGCCATATCGGATTGTAAGGAGGTTACCGTTTCGTCGAGGGGTTTTGTGGCGACTACCACAGCCTGAGAAGCAGGCTGTTGGGCTTGGGTAGCGTTAGCGTGAGAATGAGGCTGCGAGTTAGCTTTCTCCTTCGCCTCCGCCAACTCCTTCTCCAAACTCGCTATGCGAGCTTTGAGTAAAATGATATCCTCTGAAGAGGAATATGACTTCCTAGACGCCGACGTCTCGACATGGCCGCTATCTTCCTGCCGCGATGCCCGCCTTGGCTCGGCATCATACTGCGGCCGATAACTCTGCGGCACAGGGCGCTGCCTCTCTGCAGCCGGCCCAGTCGGGGGAGCCCTCTCATCCATGCTAAATTTCCTCTGCTTCGGACTGCGCTCCAACAGCGGTGCGGGAGAAGCCGCCCTCTTCCTTGGCCCACGTGGCGGATTAACCCCCTTCACCTCCTCCCTCTGCTCCTGTTTAACCGTCGACATTGGCGCTGGAGGAAGAAGAGGGGAAAACAATCGCGGAGAGAGCGGGGGGGATACCTCCTCATCCTCTTTCATCTGCGCAGCCTGAATATACTGCGCTGCCAGATGCGCCTGACTCCGTCTAGGATCAGTTGGCACCCGCGCCGCATTCAAATGCTTCTTCTCCTGCTCCTTGAAAAACGCCTCCGCGACCTTGTACACCTCCGGATCCGACAGGACCCTCAATCCCTTAGGCTGCGAATCCACGAAGTCAATCCACTCGTCGGCCGCCCGCGCCGTATCACTCACATCGCGACTCTTCTTCACCCTCTGCGCGCGTCTGGCCTCCGTTAAAGCCTCAGCCGTCGCCCTGACCACCGAACTGGACGTATTAAACCCCTTGGCGACAGCCGACCACAGCGAGTCCTGTCCCCAGAAGCGGCGGAGGTGCAGGAGCGCACGAAAGAGCACGTAGATGTTGTTGCCGTAGCGAATTTCCCGGCGTTTCTGGATGTCGTCGATGGAGTCCCACATCGGGTGTGACTCGTTGGTGTACCACGACGTGTGAAAGGCGCAAGCCCAGGACTGGTTGAAGGACATTTTTTGCTGCTGGGTGGAGAAACAGAAGCCCCAGAGCATAATGGGTTCGTGTTTGGGCGGCATGATGGCTTTTTTGGGGGGGACTCAAATGAGCCGGTCACCTAGTGATGATGCTGTCGAGGTGAGTCGGGGGAGGACTTGGCCGAGCAGCAACGAGTGGGGAACCTGCTCGCTGAACTGGTCCTGCTGGGCATCAGCGTGCTCACAAAGATAAGATTTGGGTTCGTCAGGCAGTAACGATGAAAAGAGAATGGTGATCGCGTCAAACGCGCGACTCGGATGAAAAGAAATGGGGGGAAAGGTTTGAGGCCACGATCGGAGTTTTGTGTGGAGGAAGTGTGTTTTTAGTGATTGTCGGGTTTAAGTTTCACGGAACGACCGCGCCAATATTTCATCTCACTATAGAAGGAACGGCAAAATCTGCATGAATAAAACCATCAGACGCGGAAGGATCCAAACTCTTCGCAGAGGATGACTGAGCAAAAAGAGCAACCTGATTTGCGGGAGATGAGCTCACTCACCTCTGCTGATTGTCCGAAGGGGGAGCAATGGAAAAATACAGGTTCTCGGCAAACGTTGCATAAGAGTGTGTGTGGTGGTCGCAGTGCGATTCCAGGCTCTCCGCACCGTGAATTATTGGGTATCTATCTTTGCAATTGAGACTACCTGACTGCTCGAATGAAATTAACACCGCTGTAAATACCATTGGATTGTCAGAAATTCTGTTGATGAAGAGTTTCTGACTAATAGCACAATCCAACACATCTCTATCGCGCCCAAATCAGATAACCGTCTTTAGCGACAAGGCAGGCAGCGCTCACAGTGCGAGACTGACGTCATAGCACCACAACGCGCGCCAGGGTCGGGTCGGCAGCAGGGTTCTTCCGATCTTAATACCTGGCGCATCCCGAGAGGGTGCTAGACAAAGACGCTGGCTGTGATCCCGTCTGTTTCTCATTGATGGATGTAAAGTTCTAGAGGTACAGCTGTCAAGCAGGTAATAGGCTGATTCCTTCCATCCCTTACTGGTACTACTATCTTGTCAGAAACATGTCATCTTAGACACTCTGTTATTGGCCCACCGGGTTCTTAACAGCCGTTGGACTGGCGATGACCAATCGGTTCCTTGCATCATGCAATATGCACGTGGTCAAAAGATGGGCTCAAGAAAGGTTTTTAGGAGCGATACGAACGGCTGTGTTAGACATCTAGGCTACCAGCCACCATCCTGACCACAGCTGCGGCGGTCTCAAGAATGGTTTGTCCGCTGAGTGTCTCCGGTTCCAGACTCGAGAGGGCCTGAGTTGTTGTATTCTGGATAAGGAAAGGAATCGAACGGAAGGACATACAGATAGAAACGGCCTTTTCCCACCTTGACAAATAATTCCTCGCCATCCAGAGCTCCTGATCCTGAAAGTCCCATGAAATGCCACAAGCTCGAGAAGAAACCCCTCCCAAGACCGACGCCATCAAACTATAGACCGCCTAACCCCCGAACATCCACAACCTCTCACCCTCGGCAAACTCTCCTCATCCTCACCCCAACCGTCACCATCCCTTCCCGCAACATGCTCCATACATGTGCCAGTCTCCCCACGACCGCCGCTAATAACCTTATCCCTCATTCTCCCTGTCGCCTCAGCCACCCCATCCATCCTCCTCCAGAAAGCGAGCTCCTCCTGAACACCAGGAGCAGTAGTTGACCGCTCCCTTCCCCAATACCTTCCCTCTGCCTGGTAACTCCTTGGTTCCGGATAAAATGCCCACCCGACCGGCGGCGGAGGGGGTATCTGAATCACGGGTGCTGGGTAACCGCCAGCCGGTTCAGCCAGTCGGCTCCGTTCTTTGTAAGGCGGAGGCCTCTCCATCATCTCTCGCTCCGACTCCAGCGAGGGGTGCCTACAAGCTTTTCTCTCGCGCGCCACAACCGGTTCTAAGTCCCCAAAGTACCCATCATACCCAGCCGAATTATCCTCTGTCCCATAACAACTCTCCTCCGACATCCTCCGATTCCCATCCCCTTCCAACAACCCTGTCTGTGTCTCCAAACTCCCCGTCATCGTCATCCCCCCTCCGCGCGGCGAAATCACCCTCCACCCTGTCACCCTCCCCCCACTCCCTATCCCCGACCCCCTCCAACTGGTCCCATCCCTCCCCTTCCACAACTCCATCACCTTCTCGTAAACCTCATCCACCTCCCTAGTATCCCTACACTCCGGCAAGCACTTCTTCCCCCTCCTCTCCCGCTCAACCGCCTGCCTCGTCTTAACCCTCAACTCTCTCACCAACTCATACATCTCCGCACACCATTTGTAATTCTGGCTTCTCCCCTTCCATGAGTAGACCATCAGCTCGAGCTGCTGACACAGACTGGAAGTGCGCTCCGTGAGGGGAGATTTCCGTGCAGTCTCGCCGAATTCTTTCGCTGTTTCGATGAGCAGGGTGCGGAGGGAGGAAGGGGTTATGTAGGGCAGGCGGAGGGGAGGTCGGGCGGTTTGAGAGGGCGAGGTAAAGGAATCGGGGCTGGGGTTGGGAGTGGAGTTGAGGGAGGAGGTGGTGGTAATGTTGACGACGGGGGAGACCGTGTTTCGCATGGCCGGAGAGGCAAGTTCGGCGGGGGTTGGTCGTGAGATTTGGCGGAGGGGGGAGAATCTGCGGGAGATTGGTCTGGTGCTTGTGACGGTGGGGGATGGTGATGTATAGGAGGATGGCGGAATGCGTGGAATGGGCCTGGGGATGGGCCTGGGTCTGGCTGTTGTTGAGGAGAAAGCATGTTTTTGGATGGCAGGCTGTGAAGGATCGTCCTCTTGACTCCTCTGATTGGCTTGGTCTTCATCGGAAGATTGCGTTCTGCCAGCGGTACGATCGTCATCAAGTTTGGAGTGACTATCAGACGTAGAGAATTGCTCATTGTAGTCGTTGGTACGGTCAGGACGAGCCGCAATCTCATTCAGCTTGGCAACGGCTGGCTTCTCAGGCGTTAGTTTATCTGAGCACTCATTAAGTGAGAGGTGTTCGATGACTTACCACTGCGATCTTGCTATTAGCCGGGCCAATTCTGGGAGACAAACGAGGAGTGTCCGGGAGGGAGATCACGGAGAAGCGGTCTGAGATCTCCTCCCAGTCTTCAGAGAGGCTGGGGCTGTGAGATCTTGCCATAGTGGATAATTATCAGGTTGAGGTTTAACCGGTCGTATGTATTAGGTTCACAAGATTGTAAGTGATTGATGGCTTGAGAACTGCAATAAATCAAAGATGTAGAGTGGACAATTTAGTTGAGGGAGCTCATCCCCTGATATGACTTTCTACAAGCTCTTCCTGGAGGAAAGACGATCAGAGAATCGCGGTGATCGATTCAACCGTGAGAACTAAGTCAAAGTGTCAAGAAAACTGCCGCATGTTATGACCTCAAAACGCGGAAGAATCAAGAGCCCCCGCATCCCGTCCCAGGCCAGGGAGCTCAACTTTCCCCAGCGCTAGGCCCCCCATCCCTGAGATGACCAATCCCCTCCCCTTCCTCCAGAACTCAGCCTCACTTTGCGCGGCCTCTGCCACCTGAAACCCCCTAGAATGAGCCAGTCAGGTTGCGATGCACCATCTTGGCTGCCATTTCCGTCGCACCCCCCGGGTGTGTAAGACACTTCTGCTGCGCTACAAGCTGAAAGCAGCGAGTGGTCGCGGAACTGGTTAAGGGACGCAAGCAAAGGACATGACCCCGCAAAGTCAGATAGGGTCTTGGCGGATCCACATTTAGGGCAGACAGGTCGATCACGTGATGGAGGAGTGAGGAGTGGGTGAGGTGGGGTGGAGAGTGCAAAGAAAGCTGCTCAGAGTTTCTTATCAGCGTTCAAGCTCGAGTTACGACGAGATCTCCAAAGCAAAGATGATATTTTGGCCGACTGAAGTTAAAGCACCGTTTTAGCCAACATCTAGAATCTCTTACATACTTCGTTCTCTAACCGGAAAAACACTTGTGGCGAAATCCAAACTTTAAATTTCCTAAACTCAACCTCCAACTTCCCTTCCTCTTCCTCTCCTCCCCCCCCCCCCACAAAACACAAAACTACAAACCTCTCAAATCCCCCATCAACTCAACTCTCCCTTCCACCCTTCTAACCTCATACACCCCAACGTTCCCCGCCGCATCCCCGACAACAAGCCACTTTCCATCTCTTGAAAACTCAAATACGCTCAATGCGGTAGACGTAGCCGCACTGCCCCCTTTCTCCTTATGATTGACATTCGCATTGGGACTCTCCAAGTTAGCAAATTGTCCCCCAAGCCCAACAAATCCCTTCTTTTTAGCAACTTCCGGCCACCTCCAGACATCCTCCGGCGGATTGTGTGGTACGGAGGAGAGATCAATGATCACTGCCCTGCTGGTGGTTGCGTCGAAGTAGGCTAGGAGTTGGCAGTCCGGTGAGATACATGCGTGGGCGTGGAGGGGAATGGGGAAGAGGGAAGTGGTATTGGTTGAAAGATGCCAGATCAGCACATAGCGATTGTTTGCGTAGAGGTGTGGGTTTTTGGGGGCTGATGGACTGTGGATGGGACTGGGTTGGAGGATGTGCTTTGAGAGAGAAGCAGATTGCGCGACTGTGGCGGGATCGCGTGCTGGAATCCAGACGGAGATGGCTCTGTCGCCGTGCGCGACGAGACAGCACGGGAGGGCGGTTTGGAGGGCGGGGTACTCGGGGACGCAGACGCGGTACGGTTTGTGGCGGGAGTCGTCTGTCAAGGTGGCTGAGTGGTAGGGAGATGGACCATGAATGCGATGAGCGGCCGACTTTGGTCGCATGTGCCATGCGATGAGTATCGTGGTGTACGTCCGAGGATGATCCCCTGGACGAGGACCTGCAGCTGCTACGAGCATTGGGGGATCAGAGTTGTAGGCAAGGTCAGGGAACTTGGGAACGAAAGGTAGGCCGGCCTTGAGAAACTCAATGGACTGATTGGGGTCCTCAACAAAGATTTGCCTTCCCCCGGGGTGATAGGAGAGGAAGTACCGATCGATGCGATCAAGCTTCGGCCGGTAGACGGCCAACGGGGCGTAGTTGATATGAAGCGCGTCGCGAGAGGCCGATGCCCAACGGTACGCTTCTTCGATCACCTGCACGGGCTTTCTTGAGCTGATACTACCCTTGGCGAAGTTGTAGATCTCGAGAGTAATGCCAAAATGCGTGCTGATGCCGATCAGTGACGCAGCCTCAGACAAGACCGCATGGCCGCGGACAAAGTATTCTCGTGATCGTAATCGCGGCTGGACGTAGGATGTGATCTTGACCGTGTCGTGTACAATGTTCTTCGAGAGAGACCATATCTTCACCTGCTTGTTGGCATGCTTGGTGACTAAAAAGCCCGCAAGAGGAGAGGTATCGATGTGGACAACCTCATTCCCCTTCCCCTTGGCCTTGTCCACTAAATGTCGAACAGGAACAAGCTGTATGCGAAACTGGTGTGGGCTGGCTGCTGTTGGGTCGAATAAGGTCAACTGGTCCAAGTGGCCTGTGCCGCTAAGAAAATTTCCAATGGTTGAGACTGTGTAAATAGGAAGGGCACGTCCAGATTCTAGAGGCGTTGGTGTTAGCGAATAATCTGCAGCACGTGCAGAGAGTTGTGGCGACATTGGAGTCTGGACAACGAAGCTTAGACTGGCCGTAGAAGAGGCTGAACGGGTAGGGTAATACGCAGTCACGGGGGTTTGGAGGATAGAGCCCCGAGAGATCGACGATGCTTTAGGGGCGTCTGCATCGAATTCGCCGGTATGTGCTGATGGAGCAGAGGAGCTAGCCAGCGTCTCCCTTGACAGCTGTGAAAACAATGCTGTGCTCGGAGCTCCAGATTTTGACCGTTGATGACTCTGGAACAGTCTTTGCTGAAAGGTGAGCCCCTGGTGTAATGGCTCGGACTGAAATGAGTAAGAACCCGGCTGCATCCTGTGGACTAGCCAACTCGAAGTGCGCACGGCTTCCGTTGACAAATGACGCTCATTAACTGGAAGTACAGGGGACTCGGGGTAGCCAACGGAACTCTGTCGTGGGTCGAACTGTTGAGGCTCCTCGTAAAAGTGCGGCTTGGTTGAAAGTAACGGAGTGGAGTGCTCATAATTTCCGTCGCTGCCGTCACGACGGAGATGATGCTGATTACTCTGGGCTAGTCCATTGTCTCCGGCACCTCGAAGTTCCGAGGGTAATGGATGGTTGGTAAAATATTGAATAGACGGCTGTCCTTTGAGGCTTATTACACTCAGTCTTGCCCAAATCTCCTTAGAGCGCCTGCTGGTTGGGGAGACGGGAGAGAGCTTGACAGTCGGGGTTTGTGCTGATGAAGGTTGAGTATAGCTTAGAACTTCCTGGAGGTAGAAATCAAGGGCTAGATGGACATCATCGTCAATGAACTTTACCGACGACGCATTACTCTGAATCTGCTCGACAGTGCTCGCGATTGTGTCTTGAATCGTCTTTGCTTCGCTTGAATCACGGATGGAAAGCCTGCATTGAGGTAAGAATCTAAGGTAGGGGTCACTGCATACTGGTCGGACACATACAAGGTAGCAACATCAAGCACCAGGGCAAGCGCTTCACGAAAAATTGCAATACTGCTACGACAGTTTGCCATCTCCGTGCGGCCATATGTAACCCATTGTTCTGGTCCGGTATACTTCCCCAGGACAGCGTCGATGTGTATAAGGGCATTGCCACAACACTCCAGTACGAGCAGTGTCTGGGACTGCAGTGATTCTGGGATCGCAGGCTGCTCTTTGATTAGTTCAAGGAGAAGACGGAGGTCGGACAAGTCATGGTTGACTGGGGCTAGATCCGCATGAGACAGGAGCACGGAGCGAATGAACTTTGTGATGATGACAGATGTAGAGGTGATGGCCGAAATAAGATACCCGATTGGCCGGGAGATCGTGAGAGACTCCATGATAGTTTAGTATGCACGAGAAATTGACCTAGACGTGAAGATGTCCCTTAATGCAGGTTGGCTCTAGAAATAATGACCGGAGCATCCAATGAAGTGACATATAGTGGATGTTGTTTTCGATACCGCAGCGAAGACATGTCGAGTGCTCCTAAAAGACACTCTTGAGTATGGCTGAAAGAGTCGTTCTTAACAAAAGCTTATCGGTTCTAAGCTGTTGTCTTTGTTCCATCCCCAGCAATGTGCAGCGAAACAAAGGATCGACAAAGGGTAGGCTGGATCAGGAACATGTGGCGTTCCCGGCTTCCCAATGAGACTCGGTGAGGCAAAGTCAGCGATGTCTTTGCTGAGAATAGACACAAGCCTGGATATTCAGCCTAGCTTTCAGATAAGCCTGGCCATCAGTGTCCATAACTTAACCAGGGGACACGCAGTACTCAGGCCAAGCAAAAGGCTTACCGAGATCTTAGATGCTGTTGAAGGAGAAGTCGGTTGACTGAGCAAACATTGGATCCCATGAGTGGAAGAGTGTGTCATCGTCGGTCATAGAGCTGGCTTCTAAGGCGCTGTTAGAGAATGCGGGTCCAAGGGTTCCGCTGACGACTTCAAAAACCTGATCCACAGCGCTTGGGAGGTATTTGCTCGGTTCCATGGCTGACTATTGTCTGTCTAATTTGACTGATGAAAAGCCCAGGCAAGGATGCTAGCGGCGGAGCTTTTCGTTGGCAGCAAATTGTAGGCCGCAGGCTGTAGTTAGGACAGGCTCGCATTTGCATCTGATAGGTGTTGATCAAGGACGTATGGAACTTCTTCTGGAAGCCTGGAATCCTGGGGGCTGAATTCCAATGGCCGCTTAATGCTGTCTAAGGTAGACTTGAACTTTTTCGTATTTGTTGCAGTGCGCTTGCTTGCGCTTTGAATGGTCTGGACCCAGGTGCTGTGCTCAAGTTCGTACCGGACGTTACAACGCCGCTCATGCCATCAGCATCGTGACTGCTCTCGCCGTTGCTGAAACCCGGAGAGCGAGCTATTGCGGAATTTTGTTTCAAAAACGGATTCACAGTGCGTCGGAGATTCGCAAGATGTTGATCAAGTTTCCTCATGACAACCTGGCTAAGCTGCGCGTTGATCCTGGCACTTGTCCATACTTCCCCCATTTTCTCCAGAATAGCAAGTACTTTCCTGAAGTTATCACTACTCCGAGGCCGAAATATGGGAATCCGGCTGAGGCGCCACGTTCGGTAGGCTACGCCTAATGACAGGGTAAGTGCACAAGGAACAAAAGGCATGGAACAGAGGTTGTAGTTGCTGACAACGCCGATAATCCGGTTGGAGGAGTGAGATCTCCTAGTATTCTTGCCATTGAAAGGCGGGTGTTGGTAGTAAGGACTTGACACAGGATCACATTCAAGGGCCGTACGAAAACGACCGCGCGGCATGCGAGCAGAGAGGACGCAGATGCCGTAGTTGAGGACTTCGAGGGTGGCTAGGCAACTCTGTATCTGTTGATTTGGCAGTTGGTCCTAGACTCTTCAAGAAATTTCTCCGGCTTTCTGACAGCCTCAACTTCAAGGATGACACGCTCAAATACAAGTACCGAAACCTTGGGCTCCGGCCTGTATTGTTTAACGACCTGATCAAGGAGGATGATCAAGGATATGAACAGTCTGAAGCTAGGCGGGTCGCATTTCTCTGGTGCCGGAATTCGCACGGAGTCATAGTTATGGAACAAGATTGGCCTTCCCGAGGAAACAGCCAGCAATCAGTCAATGGCGTGGAGGCACTTGAAGATCCGCCCCGAAATGCCCTGGTCGGCGGTGGGATAAGGCTTCTTGGCTTTAGTGAGAATATCGAGGTGAATGCCAAGGGTATGAGCAGGGCTGACAAGTTTGAGGAGAAGAGACATTGGCTCGAATCTTTCGGTGGCCTTTGACGGCTGCCAGAACGAAAGATATTACTGCCATGACTTGGAGCCGCAGAACGAAGAGGAACTGAATTTTTGTGTGCAGTTCGTCAAGCTTGTGAATGATGAAGTTGGTTATTCCCTGGATTAACTTATCGAAGGGAACACGTGACGCTTTGAGAAGGTGTCTCTAAAGGTAAGACAGAGGAGAGCCCCAGGGTCAGCGCCAGCAGCCAGGTAGATTATAGCCTGTACAAGCTCACGTAGGGGGCGCTCTTGCGGCAGCTCAATGAGGGTTGTTTTGTCAAAGATAGGGAGTATTGGGTGGATTTTCTCCAGATAGAGTTTCTTAAGACCTGCTAATCCGTTTCAGATGGCAGAACCTTCTGTGCAAGTACACAGTTAAGTAGTGTTTTGGCGAGCTCGGCAAACTTTGCCGTGTACTGTATGGGGACAGTGAGCCTATCCCGTCCTTGCAAAGAACAGACAAGGGGGGGCTGGAAGTGTCCATCGAGGTCGTAGAGCCCTCCCTTTTATGTGAGTTACTGCGGTCAAGGTGCGGATAAACCAAAGGTAGGACGCCGACATAAGCGTTAGGCAGTTCATCATCTTGGGCGCCGGCGGCCACGGTGACGAGCGCCATAGTGGCCTCCAAAAGGATGTCCTCTGGGTTTGTATCACCAAGAAACGACGGTGCAGGCTCCATCGATGTTGGCCGCCGAGTCCCTTGGGCTGCTTCACCAGACTTGCTATCAGGTTACGTGTCAGTATCCTGGTGAAAGAAGTTAAGCAATCGAGCAGCGGCATCAGAGGCATCCTTGCCGGATTCATCATCCTGGTGATGATACCGTTTCTTTAAGCTTAAATGTTAGCCTTAAATGGTATGTAACGTTGTGAGAGGCAAGTGATTCTCTGCATGGTGTTTCGCGACTCAGCACGCCGCGTCCCTTACGCTTCCTGCAGTAAAAGCATGCGTGATGAACCTGCTTCCGCTTGACGTGCAATCCTTCGGTTATCACGCTCGACAAATTTTAGCTGTGGACTTCGAGTACCATTGGCAGCCATCGTAAGCGTTCGCAAGAGCAACGAGACGCCTCAATGGTGATCAATCCTCTCGTCGAAGGAAACAATAGCCCGTCAGATCTCTGAATCCCCAAAAATAGGGCCGGGCTCCTCTGAGCCACGGCGAATCCCAATCTTTGCAGTTAAGGCCAAGCTCTGCGCCGACTGCTCCATCTTGATAACGGCGTCGGAGTTGAGGAACCAATCTAGCTACGGCATTGGCCGAGAGCCAAGAAGTTAATTATTGTGAAGACAACCAATCAGAAGTATGCTTCCAGTTCCACATGGCTCTCGATGTGGGTCCAATCAAACCTTCCTTTTTCGGTTACCGCCATTTTCCTTTTTTCCTTCACCTTCATTCAAGAAGTTCCTTCCGTTGTTGTGTGTTTCATTTACAGCCTCTGTTTCCTTTTTTTAAGTAATCGAAGTCAATTAAAGGAAACTTGAGTCCACGAGCATCTGGAATGGATCAAATCCTAGACAAAGTGTGTCCTCTTTGTTATTTTGGGCCCTCAAGCCCGCTAAAGCGATGACGTCGTTTTCCTGACTACCACTGACTGCGCAGCCGGTCATTTCGGCCATCTTCAACCTCATAGGAAAGGTTTGAAGTTTTAATGGCTTGACTGGTGTCTTTGAATTCTATGAAAAACCTACTGCTTTAATCTGGATCTCAATGAAAAGCACAGCTCCTACCATCAGGCTCGAAGGGCCATATGTGGACGAAACCCCCAAAGCTCCTGGTCAATCTGGCTCGGGAGCACATCCTCGAATCCCTTCGAGCTTCTAAAACGTTACAACTCTGAACTATATGAATGAAATTCAAAACTTCTCTGGCCACAACAATTAACTTACCCAAAAATGATGGCTCAAATGCTCTGCAAAAGGGGCCTAACGGCATGCCCTCGCAATTTTCTGGGACATGGTTGGTTAATGCGGCATGCTACCATCACACGTCATGCCACTTCGATGGCTTCCATGACCACTAACCCGAGTACCAAGCAAGAGGGAGATATCTCAAGTATTTTTGCTTCCCTCTCAGGAAAAGAGACGTCGCCTCTGCCCGATCGGTTCCGTGAACTCAAATTGCGCTTGGTCAAGGGCCATGAGAACGCTGTCATCGCAAGCTGGAAGCGTCTACTTGCTGTCCTGCAAAAGGAGACTGAAGCCATTGCTCTGTATGGGCCTTCCATTATTCCAGAAGTCAGGTTCAGCCATCTTTCGGAGGATCTCGCGGCGAAGAAGCAGGCAATTGAGAAACGTGGTGCTGCAGTCATCCGCGGTGTGATCAGGGAAGACCAAGCTAGGACATACAAGTTCGAGATTGAGGAGTACATTCGCCAAAATCCTCATACCAAGGGTTTGACTTCCCCTTGCTTCTTCTTAGAGACCCTTCACTGATTCCTTTCCAGGCTTCCCATCCTCCAACCCGCAAGTCTGGGAACTCTACTGGTCCCCAAGCCAAATCCGAGCTCGCGCCCATCCCTCCCTCTTAGCCACACAAACCGCCCTCATGACAACTCTTTGGCATTCCTCCAACCGATCTGCCCCGATCTCGTTTCGTGTTCCCCTAACGTACTGCGACCGCCTTCGTATTCGCCAACCAGGTGACGCCCGGTTCGCTTTAGGCCCTCACCAAGACGGAGGGAGCGTTGAGCGCTGGGAAGAAGATGGATATGGCCGTGGTAAAGTGTATGATGCCGTCTTCCGCGGGGAGTGGGATCACCCTGAGAGGGGATACGATCCTTATGATGCAGCTGGACGCATCCACGCCGTAACGGACTTGTATGGTGGACCTGGGGCATGCAGTATGTTTCGGGCTTTCCAGGGGTGGTTGGCAATGAGCGAGTTGAGGCCTTGGGAGGGTACATTGATGGTTGTACCGATCGTGAAGGAGGCGGAGGTGTATGTTCTTCTGAGGCCCTTCTTTAAGGCTGTGAAGAGCCTTGAAGAGGTTGGCAGGAACAAGTATCTGGACGAGGACAACTGGGAATTTACCGGAGGAGAGAAGATGGGAAGCGAACTACATGGTTCCGTTCCGGGGCTTTGCCAGGAGCTGAGTGATGAGTTGCATCCTCATCTTAGGCTTGACAAGAGTCTGGTGAATATCCCGGAGGTGAAGCCAGGAGACTATGTCGTGTGGCATTGTGACGGTAAGTCTTTACCCCTATCTAACACAATGACTCGGAAATTGCTAACGACCAAATACCAGTGATTCATGCCGTCGACAAGAAACACAACGGCGCGTCAGACTCAAGCGTCCTCTATATCCCAGTCTGTCCCACCACTGAGGGGAACGCTCGTTATGTGGCTCGTCAACTGGAAGCCTTGCGACAAGGAACTCCATCACCGGATTTCCCTGGGGGAGAAGGAGAATCTCGTCATGTTGCCCGTGGGACAGTCGAGTACGCCCAAAAGTGTTGTGATACTCTTGGGCTTCAGGCCATGGGCCTTAACAAGCTTGTTCCTGTTCAGGGTGACTCCCCAGGAGGAGCAGAAGCTGTGAGGAGGGCGAATGAGGTATTGGGATGGCAGTGACATGACCACTCTAAACAACCAATCTTTGATGGGAATGGGAATATCGCCAGAATTCTCACCAGTTGCGAGGGCCCAACTAGATTCCGAAAGGTTTCCAGCTAGTGCCATAGATCTGGTCGAATGAATAAAAACCCGGTTTGGTCATACCATTCTCGACTCCTTCACTAATTCTCCCACCTTATTACCATACTGCTGGAGGTGAACCTGCCGTGAGCAGATTAGAACGTACTTAGATATGAAGCCATGACGTAGGCAGGGGCCCAGTCAGAGGCAGCACACTTCTTCTCCGGGGAAATTGCATCATTAAGGACGCACTGACGTGCTGTCTGCATATAGTCTACCACCCACCTCATCCCCATGGACGAGCAAAGCTCTTAGAACAATATCCTCACAGATCTTGTACAACATTCAGGGGTTTTTGGTTGTCAACTCGCCTATATGCCCTCACTAATTCCGCGATCTTTATCCCGCAGCTGCTGGGCGTGCACTGTTACTCATTGTGATCACCGCAGGATCACAGCTCAGTTAAGACACTTGAGTACATCACAGCCCCATGCCATGGCAGCAGAGGAATTACCCAGCTTCCCCTTCAAACGGGCATCCGGACTCGATCCTCCAGCGGAATTTGCGCAATTACGCAAGAATAACCCTGTCTCCCAGGTCAAACTGTACGATGGAACCGCAGCATGGCTGGTGACGAAGCATAAGGACGTCTGCCAGGTAGCCACAGATGAGCGTCTGTCAAAGGTAAGCCCAGTCCTGAAGTCTAGACCACATCTCTCGGTTTATCTCCTAGACCAGCACTGACCTTGATCGGGTCCTGTACCCCTCCCCTTCCAACAGGAACGTCGAAGACCGGGCTTCCCCGAGTTCAGCGACGGCGGCAAGCAAGCCGCAAAACAGCGCCCAACCTTCGTCGACATGGATGCTCCAGACCACATGCGGTATCGCAGCATGGTGGCGGGCTGGTTCACGCCCGAGCATGTCGCATCGATGCAGCCGTACATCGACAAGACTGTCCAAGACCTGCTGGAGCGGCTGCGGCATAAGGGGTGTGCCGATGGGCCAGTGGATTTCGTGGAGGAGTTTGCGTTGCCAGTGCCGTCATATGTATGTGTCTTCCGATCCAATAAACGATGATTGTGATTCGTGGTTTTCCCCTGCATTGGGCTGAGAGGGGGTTGCAGATGCACAGTGTTGGTGCTAGGCTGACAATGGAGCTGATGCAAGATCATCTATACTATGTTGGGTGTGCCGTTTGAAGATCTGGAGATTTTGACGAAGCAGAATGTGGTTCGCACGAGCGGAAGCTCGACCGCGAGGGAGGCATCTGCTGCGGCGAAGTGAGTGCTGGCAGCGAGATGGAAGGAAAGGTCATGATTAACTGACTATTGACAGTGAACTCCTTCGCTACTTGAGTGACCTTGCTGACAAGAGAGCTAAGGAGCCAAAGAACGACATCATCAGTCAGTTGATGAAGGAACAGGTAGAACAGGGGAAATTATCAAAAGAAGATGCAGTCCAGATGGCGTTTCTGCTCCTGGTTGCTGGAAACGCAACCATGGTGAACATGATAGCCTTGGTAAGTCCCTGTTTGCCACTTCTCGCTTGAGAGACTGGAAAAACCCTGATGTTCTCCCAGGGCGTAGTAACCCTGGCCCTACACGCAGAAGCCCAACAAGCTCTGAAATCCGACCCCCCCAAATGGGCTGGCCCCTTCGTAGACGAGCTCTGCAGATATCACACAGCTTCAGCAATGGCGATGCGCCGCACGGCAAAGGAAAACCTCACCATCGGCGGCAAAGAGATCAAAGCCGGGCAGGGCATCATCGCGTCCAACCAGTCGGCCAATCGCGACGAAGACGTTTTCGTCGACCCGGACCGCTTCGATATCCGCCGTAGTTGGCCCGACCAGGATGCGCTGGGCTTCGGATACGGCCCACATCGCTGCATTGCCGAGCATTTGGCTAAGGCCGAGCTGAGGAGCGTGTTTTGTAAGTTCAGTTCTTACTTGCGCACTCGCCCCTTGCTGCTTTACCCCAAAGCGGCGGAGATCGCTTGACGGGGAGGGCATTCGAGAGGAGCGCAAGGGGTTAGAGAGATGTAGAGACAAGGGAGTAAAACTAAAACTAACACGGGCTCAGCACATTTGTGCGGAAGCCTTCCGAGTATTCGGCTCGCAGTGCCTATTGATAAGCTGGAGTATAGTCCGCTGGACCGGGACGTTGGGATTGTAAAGTTACCTGTGTGGTTTTGAGCGAGAGTTAGGGAGATCGTGAGATCTGCTTACATGTAGATCGCAAGTCAAGGTCGGCCGAACTTGCTTCTTGGCCAGACCCTCACTTTCATATCAACAAGTATGTTGCTCCGCTGGCTTTTATATAAGAAGTTAGTACCATAAATACCAAGATACTCAGATGAGGTAAACTTGCGATTCACTTAAACATAAAAGGGCAAGAGATACAGGTCATGTGAGGTTACTTAGGAGGTATGAACGCTAACGATCTAGTATGCATTACCAACAGCCACACTACTACCTTACAACCCCGGTTAGACTGCTAGTGTGGGCTTCTAATTTCCAGGAGAGATGTCAAGTGACCGGCGAGCTTTTCGGATGCTTCGCTTCAACGTTAAGCTCCTCTTTGTCTCAAAGAGGGTTTTGTAAAGTTCAAGCTGAGAAACTGGGAATTAATTGAAAACCTTTCAAAGCAAAATCAAACGCCGACTACAGCCCATATGCCAGTTTATCCGCATGTCCCCATACTTGATGAGACTTAACCTAGATTGTGGCATCCCGACGGAAAATCCCGTCTCCCAAGGACCCAGATGTGTTGGTTGACTTGGCTTCCCCCCCTTTAGCGAGAACGCCGAGGAGCCAAGCCAACCACCAACATCCAGCCCAGCCGCCTAGTCCTCATCCCCGATCCTGTGCCGCACACTTGCGTCAAGATGCATCGTCTCGGCAGAGGTTGGGGGAAGGCGGGTTATCCCATCCGTATCCGCACCATCCATCCACACCTCGGCGCTGTGAGTGCGAGGGTTCCAGTAACCCTCCCTGTTGGTTGGGTCTTGCGGGCTTGAAGCCGGTTACCGGTAGACGGGGGACGGTGGGATTCATTCCGCTGTTCGTTCTAGGAGTTCAGTGTTCACATGCAGTGCAGAGTTGCAGACGTTCCTGGCATATAGCGGAGAGATTCTCAGCACCTGCAGGCTTGAAAGTCGCAGCAGCTAGGGTCTGGGTCTAGACCTGAAAGGGCGGCTGGAACTGCTGTGGACGTTGGACCTTTGGGACCTGCATCACATACATTCGCTGCAGACAATCTCCCGCATATGAATCAATATTTGCTGTGCGTGCAAGGCTGGAGAAAATGTTTGATGCAGTTACTGATGCAGATGCAAAAACACAGACACACACACACCTGTGACACTTCTATGCCGTTTGTTGTGATTGATGCTCCATTTACTACCCATATCCGCTTAGTTCGGAGTGACGACAAAAGACAACCCGGAAAATATCCAATACACCCGCTTCCGTGCCCCGCAAAGACAACTGACCTCATCTGCGGCCTGCAGCCGAATTCTCGAGGACAAAGGCAAACCGGGAATCCTCTACAGCTTTCGAATCCTCCACATCTATTTGCGGCAGGATGAGTGCCGATATAACCGAACAAGTGCTGACAGCCAACGGTATAGAGTTTAGATCATGTAAAGTGGTCTGACTCTCAGCATAAATCCCTTCGACCGTACTTCCGACCCCGCAAAATCGAGAAATCTCAGTCAAAACAAAAATCTCGATCCCATCTGTAGTATGAACTGATCACGTTCCAATGCAATGGAAAGCCCTGACAAAGAGGAGAACCAATGACAGGGTGTTTGCAGTGGAACGTAAAATGTAGGAAAGCTTTATTTAAGCGTGTGTGAGATGCCAACTCGTAACAGGATGTGAGAATTACAAAGTTTCAAGCCGTAACTTGCTGTTGATGAGGTTCGCACTTTGTCCGCAACTGCAACTCACCCAACCCACTGCCACACCACCACCAACCCAGCCACCAATCCGTTTTGTGTTCCCTCTCTTCCGCTGTTGTGAATGGCAACCAACACCCAACCCCAGATTTTCTAGACATCCCGATCTCGAACGTTCATAGCGTAAGCCACATGAACTCTAACTGGTGCGCATGCTGTCACGGTGGTTCTGTGGCGTTGTCCGACCGTTAGTGCGCTGGGTCAGCACCAGTAACGCCACTTCTGCGCACAAATTTCGTTCTTCTACTGAAGCCTTGATGAATGCCACGGGGAGCGCCACGGGTTTCGTGGCTTGTTCGCTTATTGAGGCGAGCGGAAACTGAAGCGAAATCCCTTGTCAATGAGAGAGGAAACTCCCCTCGTGGACGCCCTGCTTGAAAATCCGTGGCGCTGCACCCCTTTCTTTTTACCCCAGATTTTCCCCAAGCCATCCGACAGCCACCACGAGTCTCGGAGTCATTGACAATGCCGCAAAAAAAAAAAAGTAAAGAAAGGAAAGCAAGGGGCGGCACATATGTAACTCCAAAACTACAACAGTAGCAGTTTCATCTCTAGTTAACACCTCACAAGGTGGCCTTGTCCCTGACCCGTGCCGCACAATCCACGCGGATCTTCGTCAATCACTGTCTTGGGTAAAAATGAACAGGGAAGCTCTGGGCTTGTCATCCGAACTTTTTATGCCATGATCGGATTATTTTCACACTGTGCGGTCAGGAGATCATATAAGCGCAGCATTTATACCCACAGCATCCAAGCCAATCAGATCGCACAGGTGCCTGGCAGCATTAACATTCTCAAGGGATATCTATTCTAACTGACAGTAGTCCTGCACTGTATATCCAAACCCCTGACCAAGAAAAAACCAGAGATCCAAACCCTGTTCAACATAACATGAAGGACTAACAAAGGAAACCTAGCATTGACAGCTACCTAGAAATTACCTATGCCTAGCGACCGTTTGTCCATAGGATTTTTGGCTTTTTCAGCTGGTACACACAGCGAGCTATTAATAGATAGAAAACAATTGAGAACTAATTATACAGCATGCGCGGGGAAATGCTCAACAGAATGGTCGCGGGGCGAGTCGCGACCGTTATCCGACGAGCGCATGTCGGACGAGCGCATGCCCAGGGATTTGGTCGAGCCGTTGCGGCTCATGTCCGGCAGATCGATGCACGTCTCGTCATCATATTCATCCTTATCCTTGCGCGAGTACGTCTTAGTCTCCACGCCGCCTTTCTGCGTCCTGCTGAGCGTGCCGATGCGGTCACGTGAGGCCATCGTCACACCGTTGGTGCTGCGATCGTGGATGTAGTAGCCTGAGCGGGCAGCGCGCGAGCCGGTCTGCGTGATGTTGACGCCCATGGCGGTCAGGCAGCGCTGGAGGATACCCTTTATGGCGGGCACGCAGGCGGCAAGCAGGCTAAGGTGCTGCTCGAGGGCAGTCCATGTGCAGAGGCGCACGCTGTAGGCCCATGAAACTTCCGCATCCTTGCCATAGTTCTGGATCTCGATGGTCTTGATGATGGACGAGACGCTGGCTAAGATACCCATACCCATGAGGACACAGACAAAGATGCGTTCGCGCAGGGGGCGGTTAAGTTTGCGGAGGAAGGTGGCCGGGGCGAAGGAGAGGAGAACGTCGGTCGTGATGTTGATGGCGGAGCCGATGTTCGACACGGCACGCTGAACTTCGTAAGAGACGCACTTGCCCTCACCGCTGAGAATCAAAGAAAAGTCCCAAGCAGCCCTCAGGGGGCGGCAGCAGATGGCGGTGTTGAAGAGAACATTGCCGACGCCGTAGACTGTTTGGATGGCTATGATGCTGTAGAGAAAGATGCGCCATCCGAGCTTCTTGCCCTGAATACGAAGGAGGGTGAGGGCGATTGAGATCTTAATGGCGGTCATAGACAAGCCCCAGATACCAATGGCGAGCCAGGAGTTCTTCATCGCGTACATGCTGCGGTCCCAAGAGATCTCGCCAGGTTGAAGGATCATGGTCGGGAATAACATGGCCCAGTTCGTACAAGTGAGGATCTTACAAAGTGCGGGATTAGCATTGCTTCCCAGCAACCTTCAGACTCCAGTCTCCGAGCATATACTTACAAAGCCGATTACGATGAAGTAGTCATCCAAGCCGACTTTCCATACTGGCACGACTCGCTGATAGATGCGAGTCACGAAGCTAAAGGTGCACAGGGCCATGAGCACAGCCGTCACGCCGACGAAGGCCTGGGCGAGTGTGGCGGCATGAGGAGTAATTTCTATGGCCGGCCAGTCAATGACAGTCGAGTTGCCAGCACCTGTGGCAGTTGAGTTGAGACCGGTCGTGGCATTGGTGGTCGTGACATCGAGCCCGTCTGCCGCTGACGCCATGGTGGCAGCTTAGGAGAGCCGAACGACAACGAGTAATCGACGACGAGGCTTGCGATAGCAGATCCTGGGCAGACTCGGGGGTGGTCGGCCTTTTTGAACAGGTGGAGGCATCCGGAACCGTCCAGCTGGAAGGGGATGCAAGATGTGAAGTGTTGGGTCGGGAGCCCAGCTTTCAGTTGGAAGTATTGTAAGTATAGGCCCTTGTTTACGATCTGATCTGAGCCATCTCGAAACTCAGGGGTCAAGCGCTCCCGGGGCCGTGGGAATGCATATGTATGTTGGTTTTTTGGTAGTATATCGCTGCAAGGTTGGGGAAACCTCACACACCAGGGCTGTAAAGGTCATAACCTTGGTCCCTGTCAATGTGGTACTGGATTGAAGATTTTTTGTTGTCCGCATCTTTACTGCTACGCAGTAAGAGGGAAAGCAATTCGAGCCTACGTGCGTTTGGCGCCAAACCCAAAGCGAAATTTCCTAGGAAGAGCAATGGTCTGATCTATCTGCATCCGCGGTTCTCAAGGCCCGATCCCCGTATCTGGGTTATCCCGGCACTGTACCGAATTTGACCAAGCGAGCGGCATGTTCTGTCTTGGGAGAGCTGGGGATGGGGGGTCGAGGTGGGAGTCCAGCGATGAACCCGCTACGGACGCAACGCTGATTCTGAACTTGTCAATTCCCCCGCTCCGAAATGGACGTGTTGGCTGGGCAGGTCTCCAGGGCCCCTGTCCCTAGTCCGACAAGCCTGGCAAGCCCCAGAACGCCCCAGAGGGCGGCAGTGGCCCAAGAAAAGTTCTGTAGCCGAAAAGATTTCAAGCTCGAGGCATGGGGGTCACTGGGCGGGGGTGCGTCAACCTTTCTTCACCCACGCCCCTGGCTCGGCTGGAGATGCATGGTGCAGCGGCCCGGGAGCCGAGTCTGTGCTAGAGATGTCGCCAACGTTGCTTGACATATACTCACATATATGTACTACATACGGTGGCGTTTCTCGTTACCGCTTCTGCCAGGGGCTTTCAATGCGGTCGGCCATGTTGACATTAGTGTACTTGTCAGAGATGGCAGCGTCTGGATGCCCTTCACCAGCCTCTCAGTTGGCCGTGAGCGACAATGCTGAACATTTTGCGGTGGCTTTGATTCTGAGGCCTAACCCAACACCACATGAGGGACGTGCGCCTGCAGTCGCTTGTCACAGGCGAGACTCCGGAGAGACAGGACGCCAGCGAACGTTGATAATTGGTGGTCGCGGTGATGCCGGCGCGCCAACCCAAGAGGGCATGGCGTAGATCTTTCGCATGGTGTCTTTTCCTTCCCCGTGGCCTTGATCCCTGGTCGGGTTTGTGTTGAAGCAACGAAAACTTGAAGCTTTTCCCGAAAGGGCAAAGTAAAGAATGGTGAAATCCATCGGCGAGATCCTACAAAGACCTAACGCCAATCACGGCAATCAGCTCCCGAGGCTGCGGATAGAGGACAACCCTCAAGTGAAGGTTTCACTGACAAAAATTTCAAGGGAAAGGATCAACAGCTGAGCGTGAGGGGAAACCCAAGGTCTAGATGCCGGGCAAAGTTCCTCCTACGTCTGTGGCTCTCGTTGCCATCACACCGATGAACCAGGGCCCAGGCTGTTGGGAGCAGTCATGTTGCCACAGAGCGACATGCGGATGCGAAGATGGGGAAAGAGGATCCGGGCAGTGGCTTGCGAGGCTGCAATCGACCTGGGGAAAGGCTGCAAGCTGGTTTCATTGGGCGGACTGGTCGTAGGTTGCGAGGTTTCATGGCGCTGCCGAGAAACTTCAGAAACCCTGGGTCTTTTGTGGACGATTGCAACTTTCTTGGTCCTTTGGCCCACCACTCATATCCGCCGGGCCGTTGCAGCGTCGAGAGACAGGGGAGAATGCCGCGCTGCGTTTCTAGGAAGCCAGGAAAGGGAGTCTGCAAGGCTTAAAATCAAAGACGGAATGAAAATGTGAAGATCGAGGTCGAAATTGACAGCTTTGCAATTGTCGTCGTCACAACGTTAGCCCAGCACCCACAGCACGCTAATGTAGCGCGAATCTTGTCTCCGGAACTTTTTTTTGCGCGCTTATTTCAATATTAACGTATTGAGGACATTGGAGAATTATCAATGCTTAGTCTCCAGCCGGACTGCGATCCGCGGGAATTGAGTTTGATCGGTTGCGGCCAACAAAAACTTAAATTAAGGGCCAAACCCTGAAGTGGTAAAATGCGTGCCGGTAGATGGGCAACTGCCGTCGGAATCTGTGTTCTACATTGGTGCCCGGAGTCGGACCCACTGCCAACTGACTCCCGCTGGCAGCTTCTGAAGCTCGAAATTTAAGTGGAAGCTACGTTTTGTTGAAAAAAATTCTCCTTCCTGTTCTGCAAAATTGCGGGCAAGAATGCAACATATATGCTCCAAAGGGGGCGACCGCCAATCCATTGCTCCCGATTTCTAGGGCTCTTATTTATCTCAAGTCATCTTCAAACAGAAATGATATAAATGATACTGTCCAGCTCCGATGTCTCCTCTCTAACCTCAAAAGGAGACCAGTTCCGTCAAACCAACACGAGTACGAATTCTTTGGAATTGCCACTTACGCATGCAGCCTCGGGGGTATTCCAGAATATATGCTCGTATGGTCGCTGCCCGTGTTTCAACTGCTGGATTCAACTCGTTTCAATGGGCTCCTCGGCTGTATCGTGATGTTTCGCGGTGTTTGGGGCTCGGCCGTCTCTCAGCAGGTGCAAAACTGTGGAAGGCTGGAACCTGGCAGATAAGATGCGGGGTTGCTCCGGGGCCAGCTCACCGAGTGGGCCGATACAGTGTGTTAGATGAGCCTTCATCAGATGCCATCGGACCAACATTCTGGATGTGAAACCCCTTCCAAACATCCCAATGGCCCAAAAATAGGGCAGTGTAACAAGTGCAACTCTAGCAACCCTAGAAGCACACCGCTTATCTAGAATCGGCGTGATCGGATTCGGAGGAAAAGCCTTCTTTCAACAACGTCAAAGCTCCTCCCGCCATAGTCTCTAGACTACCTACAGGCCCTACAGTGCCTATACTGATCCCCTCACGCCACTTCTACCTCCATAACCACCTCTAGCTGCTCCTCTACCGTAGCTACTAACGCCCCAGCCTACCATCATGGCAACCAAGCCCGCCACGGCCCGTATCACGGTCTCCTTGCGCGACATCGCCCAGTGCATAGATCACTCACTACTTCAACCAAGTTTGACGGACGCCGAGGTCGAGGCCGGCCTGTGCATCGCAAAGGAATATGGCGTCGCTGCTGCTTGCATTAAGCCATACTGCATTCCTGCTGCGCGCAAGGCCTTCGCCGGATCTAGCGTACGCGTCTGTGCTGTGATCAGCTTCCCCCATGGCAACTCGACTACGTCCATCAAAGTAGCCGAGGCCAGGGAGGCCGTGCAAGCTGGGGCTCACGAGATTGATATGGTGGTCAATATGGGCAAGGTCTTGGGGGGTGATTGGGATTATGTGCGCGAGGAGATTCGCGCGGTTAATGACGCTGTTACGGGCACTCGTGTTGCGGACGAGCCTGATGGGGAGACGGGCTTGCTCAAGGTCATCTTTGAGAATGACTTCCTCCAGGACGAGCACATTGTACGACTCTGCCAGATCTGTACGGAGCTGCGCGTGGCTTTTGTGAAGACCTCCTCGGGTTACGGCTTCGTTAAGCAAAGGAATGGCATGTATACCTACAAGGGCGCGACCATCCCTCACCTCAAACTCATGAAGGAGCATTCCGGTCCTGAGGTCCAGCTCAAGGCAGCCGGAGGCATCAGGACGCTGGATGAAGTACTCGCCATCATGTCCTTGGGTGTTTCCCGCATCGGGTGCTCGGCAACGGTGGCTATCCTGGAGGAGGCAAAGCAGAGAGGCATCACCAACGAGCCAACAGAGGTCGAGTTTTCTTTTCCCGAGGAGTCCTGACGAATCGTGAGTTCATGCTGGATCTCATAGGCGCTGAGATCAAAATGTCTGAGGTGTTATAAGGCCATAGAACGCAGCCCCAAACCCATGTGGACGCTTGTGGCGTCGGCTGTAGCGTCCCAAGAGCCGACTCGGAGGGGACAATGGCAAGCATTCACAGTCATCCCGTGTCACCTGTGATGAGGGACAATATCAAGAGATCCTGAAGACCAATACTATGCTCCCAGCGTTCACATCATCATCGTTTGTTTTTCTTTCTCCTCGTTCACTTCGCGCTCTATCCTTGCATTGGTTGGTAAATATCGACCATCTATCTCGTTTCCGGTATTTCATGATGGCTACATGGCAGGCTTGCGTTCTCCACGCTTTCCAGAGCATTAGTAATTTTTCTTCGTTTTCAAGCGCTTTGTGCAAAGCTGCTTGAATCGTCCAGATGGCTTCAGTTTTCCCAGACGGCTGGCCCATGAAAATGTACTGGGCCGTTTCGTCCAGCATCTATGCCTGCGACCCGTCAAAGACCGCGGTCATTGATTACGATGCCATCACTTGGCCAACAGAGGAGGAACGCCGCGAGCGCGAGAAACACTATGATGAGATCGCGGCGGATTACTATCATCTGGTCAGCCAGTCGTATGAGCGTGGATGGTGTGTGCTCTCCTCCTAATATTGCATCAGCCATGCAATTGAAACAAACTAGGAGCCAACTCTTCCATTGCTCACTCATCCACCCCGGCATATCCATCGTCGAGAGTCAGCAGCAATACGAACGCCAGTTCGCCGAGCTAGCCGGCTTGAAAAGGGCATGCGCGTCATCGACCTCGGCTGGGGTCTCGGCAATCCAGCACGCAATACCGTGCTCTACATGGGCTGCGAGATCGTTGGTGTCACAAACAGCCTGTGGAATGTCGAGCGCGGCACGCTGTTGGCCAAGCTGGTGGGGATGGAGCATTCAGTTACGACTGTGCCAGGCTGATTTTTTGGTAGGCCTGAGATGCATTCCTGTTGTGAACTGCTAATATGGCTTTGGAGAGTCGCTGACCAGATGGCTTTGTATCGGAATGTACCAAACAGGAACTCCCCTTCCCCGACGCTTCCTTCGACGCAGCCTACTTCATCGAAACGCTGTGCTACTCGCTCAATTTGGAGCTTGTCTACCGCGAAGTTGAGCGCATGCTGAAGCCGGGTGCACTCTTCACCTTCCGGGACTTCACCATGACCGAGAAGTGACCTCCAGACAATCGCAAGCATGTCAAGCTGAGGAAGCGGATCGAGTTCGAGAATGGGGTTACCAACATGTCATGGGTGCCGGATATGAGGGAAGCTGTTAGGAGGAGTGGTGTATTACTCTCTACTTTGTACCCCTGAACCTCTGTATCATGGATGTTAACGATTCAAAAGGCTTCGAAATTCACATAAAAGAAGCCCAAGTAATCCACTCGCACCCCGCCACCCTGTACTACAGGCCCGCGGACAACGTCTGGTGGGCGTTGCTCGTCCCCGATGGGCAGACTTCTGGAAGGTTGTACAGACGTCGCTTGTCGTCAGGGGCTGCATTGTTCTCATGCTACGCATTCTCATCTTACTGGGATGCGTGCCGTATGAGCTGAAGACTCCCATGGATTTGATGTGGTGTTGCAGAGCTATGACGATGGGCGGGAGGAAGGAGCTGTTTACGCCGTTGTATTTGTTTCATTTTAGGAAACCGGTTGAGGGGGATGGTGCTATCAATGAGGAGAGGAGTTGCGGGAGCGGGGGGTAAGGTGTCAGAGTTGGATGTGACGGGGGAGTGAAGGGAGTTTGGAGATTCAGGTTGAACCGGTTGAACCCTTGGTTTTGAGCCGAAGACCGTATATGTTTGGTTGATCCGCTGATACGGGCTGAAATGGGAGTTACTTGCTTGGCTATTTCATGAAAAGCTTTAATTCGTTTGTTGGTCGTGTCTTACTCTATCAAAAGTCATAAGTAACGGAGCAACCTCTATTAAGGGGTTGTCTATCTAGAAATGCATCTATGTTACGGGAGCTATGCAAGAAGACACTACACCATCATACTAATCTTCTTATCCTGAGATATTAGGTCTGGTGGGCATATGACCCGTGTTAATCAAAGCCAAGATAGATTGAGAACAAACAGAGCTCAAAACCAAATGATGATGCTGAATAATACTGGCCAAGTAAGTGTCCGCCGAATACATAGCTGGGGTCCAAAAAGAGAGAACAATGTGTCAATGTATATCGCATCAATATCGCATCAATGATGCCGAGAAAAAGTGAAGGTGGAACTAAATGCCGGCAATAACTAATGTACTCTCCAACGATTCAGTGGTTCCGGCAATATTGTGTACAAATTATATGTCCAGTCGGAACTTGACATATGACCGAACGATTCGGGAAAATCTCAGAGTGTATCAGGGGTCCATTCTTCTCTCACTACCATTCTACCCTGAATCTCTTCTATTGGCTTGCGAAAAAAAATGAATCCTACCATTGTCCGTTGTTTACATCTCAACGCCAGGCAGCTTGTCAAGCCCTGTTTTCTCGTCAGCATCCACATCAACACCAATACAGTTTCCACATCACAGGGGCAAGAACACTTACACTTATCATAATCCTCCCTAGCCGCCTGCTTCACAGTGCACCTCCGCGCCTCTTCAATGCTCTGGGTCCTTAGATTAGCGCACTGCGCGCCGAAGCAGCCTGCCGTGTCCATCGCGCGCTGCAGCGAGTCACCCTTCCACCCAAACACGTAGTCGCCATGCTGGCCCAGCCCCGTCGGGTCACCCGTTGAGAGGACGAACGGCTGTGATCCGTCCTCGGGCCACAGCGAGCGGTCGTTGAACTGAGTAGTGTCCCAGACGACTTCGTACATCAGCTGCGGGATGCGGACGGGGTGAGTGGATGGGCAGTTGCCTCCCAAAGACAGGAAGTCCGCGGGCCCGTTGACAGGGTAAGCAACGTGGTCTTGGTGGTTGGGAGTGTCGAGGTTTTTGCCGTCCCAGCAACTGGTTTCCTTGAGCTTTAGCACACAAGATCTGGGACAAGGACATACTTGGGGGTAGGATGGGGGACAAAACTCACGTAGGAAAGGCAATATTGGAGCGGATACCGCCCGGGCATGGCTTGTTCGGGAGAGCCTCGGTGTCGACGGCCGGGTCCATGCATGGAGCGCCGACGTCGCCGCCGAAGTTAGGGCCGGTGTAGCAGCGGTAGCAGTTCTGGCGCCGCAGGCGAGTGTCGGAGCGGGAACGCATGTTCGGATCGCCGACCAGCATGCGGAAGCCCTAAGTCCGTTAGCACCACAATTCTTTCCAGGTGGTTTGGTGACCCGGTGTGCTGGGGTTACGCACAGGCTTGAAGGCAGTGATCCGGCCAGGCTGGGCAGACACATAGTACACCAGAATGCCGCCCTGTGTCTGGGTGCTGAACCTGTCACCGAACTGGTAGGCGTGTCCGCCTTGGGGCACACGCTTGTAGCTGCCGTTGCGCGCACGGAAGTAGAGGTTCTGTTAAAGGCAGTGTCAGTGACGAATTACACCATGATACCTTGCCAGAGCACTTACAGCAGTCCAGTAGTTGGAAAAGTCATCCGCGAACGCGCAACTCGTGCAGGTAGCGTGCTCAGCAACATCATCCGTAGGCATGGTGACGTTAAAGGCGTTTCCGCCGACGATCTGGTGGATGTGTGGTGATGGGACCTGACCCGGGTTGACGAGGGGGTCGATGCGGTCGATGACAATGTTGGCGCAGCCAAAGCGAAGCATGGTCATCTGATTGAGACCGCCGAAGCCGAATTGGGGATAGGGGTTGGGCGAGGGCTCAGCCAGCGCCCGGGCCGCGAGGGCGAGCAGATAGGATATGTACCGCATCGTTAGCAGTTCCTTTGAAAATGTATGCAGACCGTCAGCCGGTGTTGGCAGGATTTCGAATAGCGACTTGATCAGTTTGAGGTGAGACAGCCAACCTTTGGGAGAAGGCTAGCAAGAAAACACAGGACAGCCTAGGTAGCCTTCGTTGGACAGGAGAAGGGGCAAACGCACGGCGCTCAGATCCCCTCTCCGATTTATAAGCCTCAGAGAAGGGAATCTTTCTCTATCCTGGTACTTCAGTAAGTCTGGTTCAACTGCCGTGGCAATATTGTAGATCTGAGTGCCGAGCCCACGCGTTTGGTGGCCGGTAGATTGGGCAATATCCATGTAGATGGTTGTCCGTATGCGGGAGCCTATCAGAGCTGCTGTAGCCGGCATTTTGGGAGTCTTGTGGCTTTGTGGGGTAAATGGGTAACATAGACGTTGACGATGATAATAGTGACTTTTACGGCAAATTCCCCGTCGACGAGTAAGAAGCGCGGAAAGCGACCCCATAGAAGTGGACAGCAGCCTAACAGAACGGCAAAATTGCGATAGGACGGGACAAACCTAAATAAAACACATGACACATCGCAAGCCAAAACTGAACAAAGAGTTGCCTCTTGGGGAAGCCATAAAAGATCGGGTAGAAGTTTTCGGGGGCGCTGGCATCGAAATATCAGGGATAGAGCATCCATCGGGAACGAAGGTTTCTTCCAGGAAGCTACTGCGATTTCGTTTGAACTTAATCGAATCTCTCTATATGATGCGAATGATTCGAACCATAAAATTCTTGTAGAGAGGGTAGATTGCTTCTAGTAAATTAGGATGCTTCATATCGTTCCAGTATCCGGTTTTCTCGCCTTTTTCCACTTCTGATTTGCAGCTTGCTGGAGTGTCGCAGCTCAGGCAATGAACTCCGCTATCTACTGGCACTCAGCCTTTCTGGGAGGTGACTACGCAGATAATGCATCCGCAATGCAATTCATGAAGAGAACGAAGGCAGAAACAAAAGGGGTTATATATACTCAACCTCTATGGTCCTTACCGTCTCTAATAGCTGGCCGATTGCTTCTCTAAGTTGCTGGAAGAAAGGACACATAAAAACAATGAAAGGAAGACTGAAGTGAAGAGAGAACAAAACAGCATATTTATATAAGAATTTCTAAGGAATTATCAGTTAACATCCCTAAATGGTAAGATAAGTCAGGATTTAGTTATCCTATCAATGGCATTGACCAGCACTCTAACCTCTTCAAGAACACAAGAACAATGGAACTACCCATTTGAGCTATGTTTCGTCAAGAGCATTTTCAGGTTTCTAGCCAGCATTGTTCTCCGTACCTTCTAGAGCTGTATTTGTCCATGAACTCCTGGCAGTCTGCCCGTTACTTGGCTCACCATTCCCAGGCTTCTCAGCTGCCTGACTGTTTCGATATTCTGAGGATCTTGAGATCGGCCTGCTCCTTCTCCTAGCCTCGCTTTCCAAGGTAACGTTCAAACACGTGACAGGTTTGATTGAGTGCAATGACGAAGTGTCATTGCACTGATCATCCTGGCTCCCTTGATCATCTTTCCGCATGGAATGCAGATTTTGTGCACCCTTTTCAGAACCTTCAACATTCATTGATGTTCTAGGATTTTGGCTTGTGTTTTCTTGATTCTCTGCAGCTTCAGACATTTGATGTTCTCCTGAAGTGCGCGGAGTTCCCGGACGTGAACCGTTTTCGGTTTCGCGAAGTCTAGATATAAGATCACGTATCACAGTAAGTTCTGTAGTGCTAATCGATGAACTGTCGCTGCTGGAGAGGCCTGAAAGCCGGCTATCGTTAGATAGCAACGATTCTCTAAGTCCTGAGGAGCTTTCGATGTCTTCAGCTAGCCTCTTCTGTCTTTGGCGAAACTCGATCTTGAACCAAGGAAACTGATTCCCATCGATCTTCCGTATCCGGAAGCGTTTCAAGAGCACGAAACCGAAGAAGGTTAATAAGCTAAGGATGATAGCTGCAAGAGCAAAGATGCCTAGGCCTAGGACAGATATTTGGAGCGTTTCGGACTGTCCGTCCTCGAAACCGAAGTTGAAGGCACCCATGCTAAATAAAGTCTTCGCCGTGTTAATACCATTGATTGTAGCGTGAGGTGCTTCTTTCCTAGGGAAAGGCCAGTACCATGAAAACTTACCGCCATGAATGTTGGGGGAAGGTAAAGCATTGTCAGCTGTGCAATCTTCTTCATAGTCTCGCTATCTTTCCTTGTCGCTATAGCAATCTCTTTCATATTTTCTCTATCTTCCTTGCTCGCTTGCGCAAGTGTAGCCATAGAATGTGTATTTCTCTGGATTGCACGGTTGGCAATGATCGAGAGCATGGAAGAAAGCTATTCAACCGTCTCAGAGTTAGCAATGTCATTATATCGAATCTTTATCGTGTGTACTGTTGCCGGCTGTGACCTACAATGTCTAGGCAAAGGCTAATGTCATGGTCGAGCGCCTCAATGCGATGTCGGAGGTTGATAGCAAGCGATTTTATGCCGAGCAGTTGATTGTCGACGTGGGAAAACTCCCAGTCCGGAATTTGAAGCAGTTTTTTATATTTCGTATGTTCTTCAATCGTCCGATCTGCCGTGTGTATAGTGGTGCGCACCAGCCATATCAGCTTCCCTAATCCTGAAAGCACCCTTCGCAGCTTCACTGAAGTGTACTTGATTTTCTCCTCTTCCTTGGTATCAAGATTGAACTTCAAAGAGAAGGCATATTCCGCCTAATATGGCATTAGCACGACCACATGCAAGATGTTATCAACACTATGGGCTTGAACTTACATGTCCTTTGAAAAAATTATCCAGGACGCTAGTCCCTGATTTAAGATACCGTATGTAGGCATTCATTACCGGTAGTATAAAAAAGAAGGGATCAGCCGTGAGAGCGAGATTCCGATGTAGCTTGGCGTTCCCCATGCAGGCCCTTGATATGTGATATAATGGCCAGGAACCGCCGTTTGCCTGCCACACATTACTGCATATGACAAGAGTTGTTATCTTTTTGGTAACGTTGTACCTTAGACACCAGAGCCCATTGCGGGTGTCTAATCCAGAAGGATCCATATATCCTGCCTTTTGACGTCGCCAATAAAGCTCAGGGAGGATATACCAGATATCTAGGTTGTTGGCACAAAGTCAGCTACTGATGAGAACAGATCGTATTCAGAACATACCGAAGATATATAAACTATCTTCCTGTTTACTTCGATCACTCATCGGTTGGCTAGCCTGGCATGTTGATCTCTCTGACTTTCCTCGACTTGTTCTGCTTGTGCAGGCATGCATGCCTACCTGCCATTCCCAAGCAGCCCCTGGTGGGAGATCAAGGCATGACAATAGCTCAAAAAACTCAAGCGATCCGGTATGTAGCCCTGGGAGGTCGAGGTCTATGATACTAGCTAATGTTAATATATATATATATATATATATATGTCGCATCCATCATTGTCTGGTGTACGTGGGGTTTGTACATACTATACATGTATATCACCGACCTCTTTACGTCGGTTTTCCATGATATCTTGGACAGCTTTGTCATAGTCTTTTGCAGAGTATGAACGCCTACACTTCACTAGATGACAGTAAGTAGATTGCTTTGATAAGTCTCTCTTGTATGGGTATGTGACTTGACCCATGTTTGCAGACGTACCTGATCCCGTGGAAGAAAACGCAATATATTCCATAAAAGGGAAAAGTTTAAGCATCAACTCTGCTCCATCGGGAAGGTTGGCCCGCCAGACCCATTTCTGTGTGTCTTCTTGTTTGCGACCAGTCGACGGGTCCACGCTCCAACACTCAAGAGCAGGTAGCTCGGTTTCAGGTGCATAAGCCACACATTCCCATGCCCCGTCCTCCCCAATATCCGGAATAACAGTTCCTTCAACACGCCCAGTAAATGTCGGAATGTTGAACACTTCGCTCTCCTCAGCAGATGCAGTTGATTCACCCCTGGCGGCTTCCATGGCAACTTGAGGAAGAAGTAGTCAACTCTGTGATGGCAAGAGATTTCTACGGCACAAAGCGAAGTATAATGAGGTTGGCCATAGCCTTTGGATTTATGTTGAATGCTGACTCTTCTCCCTTTAAGAAATTGAGCACCCAATTACTAGCTTAGCCTTCGATGTTGACCACCGCTCCAGAGCCTGGCGTTGGCGTTAGCCACGTGGGCTGGCTAGCGCAAGCAACTTAGGGCAAGGCTCTCGAATTCCAGTGGATGATCGGATGAAAACACACGACAACAGCTTTTTGATTCCTTTTCTCTTTCTCTTTCCTAAATGATGGATGATTTTGAACTTTGACCTCTCCCTTTCAGTTTTCTTTTATATATTCTCCATATTTTCGCCTCCCTTTTATTTTGCTTTTATATATCCTCCATATTTTCGCTCTATTTTTCTGCTTCCCTTCAAGGGCAGATGCTCTATCCAAAGGTTGTGTGTCTGTCAATCAGGTGATTCTAGTGATCAGTTGCTAAACCCCCACAGCCTAAAATAGCATCTATGTAACTGCGTGTGCGAATACCCCAAAATGAGCCCACCATTGTCCGATTTATGTCTAGTATGTATTGTCAGTCGTTCATGTCCATTAATAATCTTTCAAGCAAAAAACTATAGTTTGCTATGATGCCACCCGCGACACGATGTGCCCTGAGAGCTTCAGTGACTCTCTCAGTGGAGATGGTTCTAGCTGGGAGGAAATAATGCATAGACTTCCCGCCCACCTATGTTGTGGACCCCTGAAAGCATCCGACCACTGAAGATAGTGGAAATGCTTTTCAATGCCCTCAGCTGGGAGTTTCTCAACACACCCGCACTGGCAGATTCCAGACACTCTTGAAAGACGCGCCGCTACCAGGAATGCAGGGTGTACATTCTTGATATAGTGCCTATATAGTACTGCTGACATGAATAGTTCAGGCTGCAATGTGGCATACTACATAGAAAAATGGGTCAAATGAGAACAAGACAGCGTCTACTGAGACCCTTCCAAGGATGCCAAGACAGCAGTTTGCTTGTTAGCGCAGTACTCTTCTGCGAGTCACATCACACGTCAGAATACTAACTTGAAATTCTTGCACTCCCTCACATTCTAAATGTTGATCAACTTCCATACCGAGGCTTGGTTACTTGGCCAGTAACTTGGCCACACTAGAGGTGCAGTAGCCATATCTCTGCCGCCCCCTTCCCTATCTTCGATATCTACTCAAAATTTTAGGTCGATCTAGTCCTGAATGCTAGTATTCTGCCCTATTATTGCATTAGAACAAACAAAAATCCTTGCCGGGCCTTGTTGTGGTGTTCAGGACGTATCACACCGAGGAACAATTCGGGGCTGTATTTATACCTTTTGCAACACACATCCATACCAGACACACAAACCTTTGGCTTCCCTTTACTTCCCGCTGACAAGAACACAGACCTACTAACATGGCGCAACAGCCTGCTCAAAATCAAGACCGTAGGGCTTACAGAACCATCACGCAGAGATCACAAGTTCATTATATTACAATACATACCATGATGTCCCGTGAGTGTTTCAGAGGCACTCTGCGTGGAGATGTGGTGCCATCTGGTCGGCAAGAACTGTTCGTGGACGACCCACTTATATTGCAGAACCCCCTGCAGGCATGCAGCCACTGGGGACAGTGGTGATGCTCTCTGATGCCTTCGGTTGAAAGTCCCTGAACACACGTGCGCCGGCAGATGCGTATGCCAAATGTATGCCTTTCAGGGTCTATGTGCCTGATTTCATGAATGGTGAGTATATGCAGTTCCAAAAGGCTTGAATTCACATGAGAGCCCGTTCAATGGTCTTCTTCCCATAACGCCATCAGGCCATCATCTCCCTCTCCGCGTGCTGCTGCTGGACGAAGCTCACCCTCCACCGTCGCCCACAGCCTTGTTGCTTACCCGCCTGCGCAATCACATCGTCCGAGCTCTTGGCGTGATTTGGGTGCTCCCATCGCTCCTCACATTCCTCTGCCGCAATAGCCGATCTGCTGCTCACCCACTCGTGCTCGAATTTCTGCGAGCCTTGCGGCTGAAACCCCCGCTCGGGCCAGCCCGCAACAAGCTTGCGGTGGCAGGCTTTTGCTGGGGCGGACTGCACACCGTGCTCCTCAGGCACGATGCCCCGCAAAACAAACTCTGGTATGGCTCCAACCCTGGAAGCGAGGTCCCGCTCATCGACTGCCCCTTCACAGCCCACCCCAGTTTTGTATCAATCCCAAAGGTTCTAAGAGCCGTTTCACAGCTACTAAGTGTTGCTAATGGAGATAATGATGAGTGCATGGGCCAGAAGGGGATGCAGATTCTTATGCAAATCTTGAAGGCGAAGAATTATGAGTATGGCGAAGACAAGCACGAGGCTGTAGTTTAGCCTGGTGCCAAGCACGGCTTTGCAGTCCACAGAGACCGAAACAATCCGATGATGAAAGAAAGGGGAGAACAAAGCAAGGATCAGGCTGTGAGATGGTTCCAAGGGTGGTTTGGTGCATAAAGCTGATGCTGCTTCCATTCAATGACTTTAGGCATTTTTGAAAGGGAACAAATGAGGAGAAAAGCAAATGAAGAGTATTGCACATTTAAAGCCACCGTTTGTAGAAGTACAATGCCGTAGTAGCACTACCACAAACGTACATTTGTGAGTGTTGGAGAGGAAGCTGCTCAGGTGGGAGTTCTCAATGGCAAGACATACTGAACCCACTTAATTTCCTCCTCCTCGGTGAGGGGCTTGAACTTCTTCTCAGCCTTCCCGGAGATACCAGACAGCTCCTTTCTGAACTCTTCTGAATTGCCTGTAGAAAGCATGTATAAATTGATACGGCTCAAGAGGTCAGTAAGCGTTATGGTAGGCCATGGCGTGCAGTCCTTATGGCTCTGCTCCCCGGGAAGGCTTGATGATATCGTTGACCTTTTGAACAACAGTCTTGCGCAGCCGCTCAACCTCGACGACGAACTCCTTGACACTTATCCGCATGTTCCTTTCCCACGGGAGCGAGATCCTCTCACGTGACCACTTCCTGGCTGCCAGCTATTGGACCAGAACACCAAGCATGGTGATATCGCACCTCCTTCTTTGGGGTCTTGAAAACTTGAGCAGTAATGACGATTATAGCTGTAAGAACGCTCAAATAGTGCTTGTGTGATAAGCCGAACAGCGATGCGCAGGAGTTCCTCGCGCGCCTCTTCGACCGGCCCTAAGGAATATCTGTTAGCTCCAGAAAGTTGTTCACATAGGGTTGTCTCGACAGACTGAGAAGATTCAGCCGCTTGAGGTGCTCATTTGGCTAATGTCGTAGGTCGGGTAGCCATCTAGGAAGAGGTCAGCTTCAGGGCATGGGCTCGTTTTGCGGCATCGCAAGACCAATTCTCCAAGAACTTCTCTGAAGGTGTCACATGGGCACAACAGTCCAAGAAGAAGAAATATCCTTGAGAGCCAGCATATAGAGCACCGGTGACACAAGAGCTGAGAAGGACAAAGGCATATCTGATTGGTAGAGCCCGGGAAATATAAGGGGATAGCAAGAATGAGTTAGATAACCTTGCCACGCTGAGAAAAACCCCTGAAAATTGCAGGAGACCGCGAGGTACTCATAAGGGGCAAAGGCATTTTATAAAGGGAGCTACTTGAACACGATGAAGGATTCCTCTCTGTTTTCTTCTCCCCAACACAAGGACACTGAGGACCAAGAAAGATTATTGCACGTATCAATTGGCTTCGTTGTGCATCCCGCATCGTCAACGGCCATCATCTAACCAATTTGACCCACTGTCAATCCCTGGCTGCACCAGACCAAGTCACCCGTTACAGTAGATGCCTATACTTGGCATGAATAGCATGGAGTAGAGCCATTGTTGAGCGATCCCGAGATGTTCCATGCAGTTGCCGCACTGTACAAGAATGGGGTCTTCGTTATTCTTGATGCGCTGGACGAATATCAAATGAGCGATAATGTTCGTTCCAAGTTCATTAAAGCATTGCTGCGCCTTCCATCGAGGGAAAGTAATGCCAACCTGCTGGCTACATCCCGCCCTGTACCTGATATTGTGGAGGCCTTTTATGGACACTCTTATCTTGAAATCGTAGCTCTAAGGGACGACATCGAGAGATAAGTGCGCAATCAAATGTGCAATCGGCGCGCTGTCTCAAAGTATCCGGACGTCCAGCATGAAATTATTAGTTGCATTGCCAGTGCCGCAGATGGCATGTAAGTTATAGTATAACAACGATCTACCTTCTACACTACACACGCATGAGGGTGGGTGAGCATGGTTCTTATATAAGGTCAAGTGTGCAGCTGATCTCACTGGAGCCGGGACTGACCGAGGTAGGTCAGCGGCGACCACACCGTGGTCACTTGCAGCTAATAGCTGAGATCTTTGTCACGACCTGTAACGGGGGACTAGGTCTGGTGCAGGCAGGATCGACCATGGGTCAAACGGGTTAGATGACAGCCACTGATGATGTGAGATGCACGACGGAGTCAATTGATACGTGTAATGATCTTTCTTGGTCCTCAGTGTTCTCGTGTTTGGGAGAGGAAAAACTGCTGCTCTACTGGGCAGCGGTCACAGGATTGCTGGTATTTGCCAGACAATCAGCATACACTTTCAAGTACTCGCCAACTACCGTGTCTAGAAGAGTTTTCTTATCAGCAACCGCTTGAGTCGGGGAGTGGAGAGACTGCCACGAAAGAGGTACTTACAGATGCCATTCGCCTGACCTAAGTCAAAGGCCATGTACTTAGGAAGATCAGCCTCGTTTTCTCCATCCTCAAGCCACATCATGATCTCGACCGCATCGTTCTGGCAGTACTGCCGGGCAGTGTTGATAATGCCCACGACTCTGGCGACATCCCTCTGTAACACTATCCCGAGCTTTGTGAGCTCTTGGCGCGACTTCCCAATTTTACTGATATGCATGTTGGCCTCCTCAATCCGTTCCTCCTTTTTCTTCTTCTCCTGCTCAAAGTCTACAGATTGGGTTAGAACACTAGGAAATGACCAAGAGATAAAACATTAAGCATATGAGGGGATGAAAACCAACCGGTAATCTTGGCTGCCAGGCACGCCATGGCGGTGGTTGTGCCCATGCTAATAACCAAACCTGCCGCAGCAATGACGGGTAGCCAGGGTCCCGCAGCGGCAACAGCCAGACTCAGAGCGGGAACGGATGCAGTGCCTAAACCAAACGCACCGATAAGCCACGCTTTGAGTCGGCTTATATTCGAGTCCAGTTTTGTAATCCCCTCGAAAAGCTCTGCAATATCTTTGTTGAGAGCACCCTCTTTGCTGACCGCCCAGGCTTCGAAGCGACCAGTATAAGCCGTCATAGCAGAAAGGAACTTATTAAAGTCGTCATGAATCCCTTTGGCTTTATCCTCGAGGGCTTCAGCATCCTAAACTAGGTTAGCGCTACTACTTGACAGCGGGACAACCGTGAGTGTACCTTAATGAAATTGTTGATTGTCTCCTTTCTTTTGTCAATGGGGATGCTTTTATCGGCCGCAATTTTTATAATCACGCGATCAAAACCTGTTCTAAAAGTTAGCCTGTAATATTGCGGACAGGAGGGCACGGATAATGGGTAACGTGCGGTTAGCCTGTTGAGCAACCCCGACAGCGGTTACGCGGCTCCTATCCACGAGCTCCTGATAGCGCTGAGATACATCAGTCCTGGTCGGTCTTAAAAACAAATAGACAAGGGCAAATGGGTTATACCTGCTAAAGAGCGGTAAAATCAGCAAGCAGCTTCTTGGAGTCTGTTTCTCCATCCAAAGCAGCGAGGGAAGACAGCTTGCTCTTCACGTCCAAAAAGTCCTGAGCGACCTTCTTACAGAAGTTGGCACAGCCCTCGGCGTCCCACTTGAGATGGTCCCTCGCCTTGGCGAAAGCCTCGGCAAAACCTCTGCGAAACCTTTTCTCCTGTTCAGGGTCAAAATGAATCCCGTCAAGATCATGAGAAATTAGAACTTTCTTCTCAGCGTCGCTGAGCCCGTTAAAAGCCTTCATCGCACCATCGCACGTAGGGTCATTTTTGACCAGGGTATCAATCTTCCCAACGACAGATTCGTACGAGGGAGGGGCATCCAAGTCGTACGGGGGAGGTACGTCCACTGTGGCAGCCATGATAGTGAAGAAGATTCGTGGGAGAATGGAACAAAGTGCAACTATAGTACTTTAGAAGAGGGTTTGGAAAGTGTTCAGTAGTTTCCTGGAGAAAGACCAGAAACTGGCTGGGAAAGGAAGGGTATAAGTACTCAATTGGATCTACCTCAAGTGAGCAGCCCGGCAGCTGGTAGGGAGGGAATCTTTTCAGCTGCCCTTATGTTCACAATGTCGCTGTTTTAGGTAGCACAAGCAGTGTAACTCGCATTAGACTCATTTTCAGCTGGCTTCAAGACTCCTCGTGACGTTCTGTGACTGGCTATACTTACGATGGACCTAATAGACCGGTGGGTTCGCAACCGACGGCAAATGTCGACGCAGCATTGTTACTCCCTCAAGGCCTTCACGCATGCTAGCCTAGTAGCGATAATAGCTGCTAAGATATGTGCATAGTCAATGGGCTTCTCCTGGCTTGACACGGCAGTCAGAAAGTAGGCTATATCAGGCGATAGTGCTATTGAATAACAGCTGAACATCCAGAATAGGTCTAGGTAGTTAACGAGGGTTGTATGTGACATCATGAAGTGTTCTAGAAGCGTAGTGGATCCCAAGGTGCAAGTACTGCGCCGCGCAGAGATGTTTGGTGAGAGCGCGGCGGCTGTGATTCCCAACTTCCTACTCGCGATGTCTGCCGGCGGTGCGGTTGACGTTTTGCTTGTAGGCCAAGGCGGGCCGGCCCCGTCACCGGGGATGTGTTCGTGGCTGCCTTGTTTCAATGGAGACACTCGCTATACCCAAGGCTGTAGTGACCAAGGAAGAAACTTGTAGGTTACTCTGAGGGGGGGCTTTACCAAAAAGGTGATTCTCCACAAGAACAACGCAGCAAGATACAGAGCCACAACAGATTCGATAGCCCCATGTACAGCCCCATCTAGACTGCTGGAAGAGCGCCTCAGGTGAGATGAGGCTCATTTTTGCGGGGTTATACGTTGTTCCAGTGGAGACGCTCACTTTACCTAAGGCAGTAGCTGCCAAGCCAGCAAATTCTCAGGGTCAAAGCCGGAGAAAGCCCCAAAGTTTGTACAAAACGTTCAAAATGCACACCGCAACACACGTGCAGCATGTTAATATCGTTGGAATTACAAGTTCAGGTATGTTCTGGAACCGGGGAAAACATTTTGTTGTATTATTGTAGTTGTAGGAAAGTCGGTTTTACAGGGCTATTTTTACAGAGAAGTCCGCTTTAGACATAAGAGGGTGCTTTATCCCAACAAAGCTGTCTCCACTTAAACAACATAACTGGTCCTAATCATCAGCAGAAAACTTACGCTAAATCTTGACCAGGGGGCAACCTCGTAGTAGACCTGGAGAAGATCAACAGTTAGCCCGCTTCAATACTGCTCCCTGGTCTCATCGTGATGAGAACGGAGCAAGTCCTCTGGAAGACACTGAGCCGATTGGATTGAAAACTTAGGAGTCCCTGCGTTTCCCGAGTCTGCCGAGATCTGGGGCTTGGAGGTCGGCGCTTTGGATGTGAGAAAAACGGTAGGTAGGTCGTTTCTGCTCACTCGACTTCCCTGCTGCAATAGATTAAAGAGCATGTATTAGCCTGATTACAATCTAAAATGCGGTCTACATTACGTTACCCTCTTGGTTTGTCCGTTAGCGCAATATTTCGGGACCAGGATTTGCGCAACGACATCACAACCCAACTATAAAATAACTAATTTCAGAGCAAAATAAGTGGTATCAACTCATTGCTTGATCACTTCAACTTTTGACCAAAAATTGCTGGTCAAGGAAAACGGCGGATTAAACCTATATGGCTGACCAGGACCCCTGTCCAAAGTTTCACACTAACAATCAAACAAGGGTGGGTTATCAGTCTTCCCAAGCGCCCGGCTCACTTCCTTCCATCTTAGGAAACCAATGCCCCTTTTCTAGTTGTTCAAGACCCTGAATTCTATGCAATGGTCGACCGTGTATAAGTCCTCAGACCGTTAGGCACTTGCACAGTCAAAATCTGTATCCATAATCGGCAAATCTGGTGAGACCGCGTTCTCGACCGTATTTGGGAAGACAAAAGAAACTGTCGCATGAACACGGCAGTCCAAGGAAAGGGATGTCCCCGACTGCCAACACAAAGGACACCAGAGACAGGATGATTGTGAGCGGCACAAATACGTGGTTGATCCCGGAAGATGTCTAGAGCCGGATGACCGAAGAGAATGAGCCATATGGCCGAGGCATGATGAGGATTCTATAAAGGAAGCTGCCCGGTCATGATAGACTTCCCTTGGTTCCTCCTCTCCCTGACACAAGGACACTGAGGACCAAGAAAGATTATTACACGTAGTAATTGACTTCGCTGTGCACCCCACATCGTCAGTGGCCATCATCTAACCCATTTGACCTATTGTCGATCCCTGCCTGCACCAGACCAAGTCACCCGTTACAGAGACTGCCTGGGAACCATCATGTATCTGGACAAGCGAGGTACAAAGTCAGGGCAGCCGGGCTTTTTGGCTAACGCAGTGGTCGGCCAAATCAGGAACTAGGCAATTGAGCACTCGAGTGATGTGTTGGGCATCGAACTAGCTACCTATCTAGGTTAGAAACAAAGACCAGGAAGAACGACAAGCTATGACATCTCCAGGCTGCTGCTCTACTGGGAAGTGAGCACAGGCTGGCGGTGATCAGCCAAACAATTGGCAAACGTGGTCAAGTACTTGTTGACCACAAAATCTAGCAGAGTCCTGTCAGCAACCGCTCGGCCAAGTTGAAGAGTGGCGGGATTATCAAGAAAGCGTTGCTTACAGGCACCATCTGCCTTGGCTAAGCCCTTCAAGGCCAGGTATGGAGGGACTTGAAGATTAATATCCTCTTCTGCTGATTCAAGGTACTTCTTGATGTCTTTTGCATCATTTTTGCAGTAGTCCCAAGCGGTTAGCATAAGGTTGACGGCATGGGTGATATCAGTTTCCAGCTTCTTCCCGAGGTCTTTGAGCTCTTCGCGGGTCTGCTGAATCGTTTCCTTTTCGTTCTGAAGTTCTGTTATCTTTTCCTTCCTGGCTTTAACTCGCTCCTGGAGGACTGCAGATCGGGTCAGATAACTAAATCGCCAACGGAAAACATATTGAGGGGAGTTTGAACGGACGTGAAGCAACCAACCTTCTATTGCAACGGCCAAGCTAGCGACGCTGACGGCTCCGGCAAGACCCACGGCAAAAATAGCACCAATGATCAAGGGCCAGCTGACGGGTATTTCCATCAGGGCAAGGAGGCACCCGATGGCTGGAATGACGATGCCAGCAACGCCGGCAGTCGCTCCGCCAACAATACCCATGGCCTTGGATATGTTGTTGATCTTTAGCTCCAAGTCGGCAACCTCCCCGCGAAGCTGGTCAATCTCCTTATCGATAGCCTGTTCCTTCTTAGTGGACCAGGCGCTGAAGCGACCAACATACTTCCTCATGTCGTCAAGGAAGCGATGGAAGTCAACAGTGATATCTTTGGCTGTCTTCTCGAGCCCTTCAGCTTTCTAAAACAACAGGGTTAGCGCTGCTTCTTGATTGCAGGGACGAGCTTAAGCATACCGCGATCCAAAGCTCGACCTTCTTTACTTTGGTGTCCTTTGGGATGGTTTTGTCCAGAGCGATAGGCACAACCTCCTCGTCAAAGTCTGTTATGAAGGTTAGCTTTTGATAATGGGCAGGAGGGTGATATATGACATACCGCGAGCCTGGTGAGCGATGCTGACGGCTGAGTCACGACTCCTGTCTATGAGGCCCTCAAAGCGCTACTAGGAGTATCAGTCCTGGTTTCAAACCATAATAAACAAGGGCAGTGGGTCATGCCTGCTTAGAGCTTCCAAGTCATCCAAGAGCTTCTTGGATTCTTCGCCACCGTCCACAGCGGAGATGGAGGCCAGTTTTGACAACAAGGCATCAAAATCCTGCTGGGCCTTCTTACAGCTCGTGGCACAATCCTCAGCGCTCCACTGAAGATGGGATTCTGCGTGTTTAATGGCCTCGAGCGCTCGCTTGTTGAACTCGAGTTTCATAGCCTCGTCGGCCTCGATTTTGAAACTTTCGGGGGTATGAGACGCAAGAAACTCCTTCTCAACGTCGGTGAGGGACTCGACCGCCTCCTTAGCACCCTCGATCGTCGGGTTAGCTTTGAGTTTGGCATCGAGCTTGGCGATGATCGATTCGTATGAGGGAGGTGCTCCCACATCGTACGGCGGGGGCGCTTCCACTTCGGTGGCCATGGCTAGGAAGACTCGTGGTAGAAATGAAGAAGCTTGTGACTCTGGTATTTTGAAAGAGAACTTTGAGAAGTGTATTGTAGTCGCTAAAAGGGAGACAGGGCTCTGAGGGAAAGAGAGATCAAAGGATATAAGTAAGGAGTAAAAACTATCTGATGTGGAGAGAGCAGAAGCAACAAGACAGCCTCTGGAGGAGATACTCCTGTGACAATGTCCCCAAGTTGCTCTACATTGACGATACAGAGCTAGCATCCAAACTCGCATGATAGTGAGTTTTTCAGCTGGCTACCAGCGTGCTGAGGCTTGCTAGAGTGTACTTGTGATTGATCACCGGTCTAATGTGAATGGGTCTATGGGTCGCAGCCAAGCAATAGTACATGTCGTCACTGTATGCACCTGCGTGCACTATGACTAGTGTGTGTTTTCAGCTAGCTGCGAGCGTGCTGTCACTAGCTCTGCGTGCGATCTGCGCAATCAGACTATGGGCTATAACCAATGGTGTACATTGTCACTGTACATGTATACACCATAACGAGAATGAGGTTTCGCTAGCTACGAGCGGGCTGGAACTTGCTGTATCTAAGATCTTCCTGATGGGCCATTGAACCGCAACCAATGATATATCCGATATGTCATCAGTATATGTACATTAAGCATCACGATACTTAGGATGCTTCTACGGTAATGTAACGATCAGCTATTGTATGATCTATGACGTGGAATGCTCACCCTATCAATGGACTTGAACTCGACATCGGTACGGTAGCATTGGAGTAACCGGTGGGGATGACCGCTGTCATGGTTTCGCATGAATGGTGGCCTCAGATAACGTCGATGTCCAAAGAGCTAAGATGCATGCTGATGATTAGGTGTTGGATTCAGCAGGCAGGGATTACGGAGGAGCAAAGATAGATTGGGACCGGAAACGCAGCTGATCTGAGCAACAGCCTAAGGACTCAGTCTCTCACTGTTTCTGCTCTTTTACCTTTTTGAATTCGTTGACTGTAGATCATTACATATCTTAGAGGCAATGCGAGGAAGGCACACGAGTTGCCCTGTATTCCACTGATGGAAAATGGCTTCCGAAGCCTATGCGCTTGCCTGCGCAAACAAGGACCTCGTGATCAATCAGAGGAAGGCTTGACGGGATGAACCACTCAGGGCTGGTTACCCTGAGCGTTCGCACACTCAATACCACGACCTTTTCTGCTCCAGCGGAAATGGACAGCATCACCATCCATGTTGAGGGGACGGAGCGGGCAACAAGCGGAGTGGCGCGGTGTTGGTGCCTGAGACGACCAAGACCCCAGCCCTAAGCGGGCGCTGGAGGTCTCAGCCCCACGTTGCTAGCTCTCAGGTTGCAGAAAAGTGACCTCCTGAAGGGACAATTTAGATCCACTTGACCAGAGCCATGCATTTAAGCTCTACTTATACGCGTACCGCGATACGCGGGCATCGAGGTGCTAATTGTTAATGCAAAAGCGGGACGGCTAACTTGAGTCGAAAAGGGCACTCCGCTCGTCACTTGGTCCCTTGCTCCGAACGGGGGGTTTGCGTCGGATTCGGCTCGGCTCTCCTCCGCCCCTCCCCCACCCGGCAACTTCCTGGGGGAGCCTCTGGGTGGCCCCGTTCCGGCGCCCCAAAGTTCACGTCATGCCCATCCGCGACCAAGCACATATTTCTCTGCTTCCGCGTTGCCGCAACCCATCAATAATCCCCCAAGTGCCCCACACTACGGCTCATCCAATAACCAAATCCAGTAACATTGCGCCTTACCGTCAAGCATTTCACTTCTTCCAAAAAGGTGTACCACATCATTTTTTTCGAAAAAAAAGGTGTATGTTGGTTTAACTTTGGCTGTAAGGTGGGAATGCTGAGATTGATTAGCCTGTACCAGGGTTCATGGCTTTATACCCTACTAAAGATCTAAAGATAAGCTTAGTCACTAACAGTTTCAGTCTCAAACAGCAATGACAGGACATCAACTTCTGGCTATATCGAGTCAAATGCCAGTGGTCAGCTGGAGGTGCGCGGGGAAAATGATCCACATGTAGGGGCTAGACATCTCTGGTACGGCTGGACAAGTGGGGCGCAGGTAGCTAGTAGGCTTGTCTTTTGTTTTATCTGCTTATCTCTTGCATTTATCGATATCTTAATGAGGAGCAAGCCCCTCATGCTCTCCAACCTAAGCTCCTCCATCATCCTACTACGCGTTGACGATCTATTAATATGGATAAAGTTAGAAATTACTTTGCAAACAAGCTCTTCCATGCCCTTGAGGCGCCCAAGAGCATCAGTATAGGCGGCGTGCAGGTCCTGGTATGCCTTCTCGAGCGAAGACGAAGTGACGGGCCACTAGGGTGAACCTGTTCATTCTCCTCTTTCTCCGAGTAGCTGCTGCTAGGACGGTCCCAGGCATTAGGGATGAGGATAGCCTTCTCCTCAAGCAGACGCCGGAGGGAAGCAATCTCCTCCTGAGCCCGGTCAAGATCCATCTTCAATCCTATCGGACCCTTCTCGACCTGGAACTTCTGCTCAATGGCCTCCTCGGCGCGGCGGCGCAGCACATTAATCTCGTCACGAAGCTTGGTCACCTCGTGCTCGTAGCCCGCCTTCTTGGGCGACGCCGACAGCAGTCGGTCGCGCTCCATCTCGAGCTGCCGGATGCGCTTAGCATTCTCGCGGTTCTGGGGCCCCTGCCGCTCCAGCAGGCTCTTGAGGGCGCTGTGCAGGCATCGCGCTGCGCCTCGACGTTCCTGAGCCTCTCGGACAGCACCTGGCGCGACTCGCCCTGCTTGGTGGTGTTGGACCTAGCCAACAACTATGGCCGATTCTTGCGCAGGCCGGGGCTACCGGTGACAGACGCTGACCGCGATAGACCCATCGACATGCGTGTCGGCGGCGGCGGCGGGCTCCCGATAGAAGTTGACATTTTGAGCTCGGCATTCTCGGAACGCAGCATCTGCAATTCGTGCTGCAACCGGGAAGCTTCCTGGGCGCGTCGGGCATGCTCGGCACACTCGGCACGCAGGGCCTCGATCTCTTTCTGCAGCTTTGCCGTGTCGGCGATGAGCCGCTCGCGTTCGGCCTGTTCGGAACGGAGCTGCTCGAGCTCCTGCTGCATCTTGTGTATTTATTATTCATTTATTTATTTATATTTTTCAACCGTTTCACCACTGGGGGTGCTAAGTCGTGCCCACGGCGCCGGCGGGCAAGAGCTATCTAAGATATAATAATTACAGGTGACGCCGAAGGAAACACCCGCGTGGGAAAAAAACGACGTGAAGTATTAAAGGGCTGTTATGCCACATAATTGACGGGAGGGAGGCTACATTCTGGTTGTATCGTAGGCGAGCTTGGAATAATAGTCGCCTCGGCCTCGAGGCCCTCGACGCGGGCCTGCAACTGCAGGATGATCTCATCGCGCGGATTGTCGCGCTCGTTTGTAGCCGTTTCCAACTCATCCTTGAGGGCATTGAGCAGATCCTCAAAGTTAGCTCTTCGTTCAACCTGCGACTCAAATCCTCGCACTGGGCCTCGAGCTCCTTGACGCGCTGGGTGATGGAGGCATTGTTAATCTGCCCAACGTCGACCTGCGACGCTCGCCTCGACAGCTCCTGGATCTGCTGGTCCAATAGCCGCCGCTTCTCGCGAGTTTTTGTGGTGCCTTTTTGAGTTCATGGGCGGCATTTTTTTTTCCTTTGTTGATTACTCTTTCTTTGTTTTTTCGAATTTGCATGAACGACAAAAGAAAAGGGGTTTGGATAGATTTTCTAGAGACGAACAAGTGGGAGACAAAGGTGGGTAGGTAACAAGCAGAATTGAACGACGAGCCAGGCTTGAAGCAAATCAAGCAAACAACCAACCCGACCAACCGGCCAGCCAACCAACAACTGAGGAACGAAAAATACAGCGAACGAAAAAGGACATAATATCTACACACACCATCTAATGTCGAAAGGGAAAAACTATTATCGCTGAAACACAGAGTTTTTGTCTACTATGTTAGGAAGATAATAGAAAGGGGAGGATGGAGAAGAGAAGACACGGTTTTGGTTGGAAATGATGTAATAATACCTCCTCATTATCATTCATCATCTTGAGAGGTATTCCTAACTTGAAAATAACCACACTATAACTAGTTAATATCCCTCATTGTTCGCATCGGGCCTTGTTTTTAGCACTTCTCTAGTTTGGGTTAGGTACGCGTTTAGACTAGATCTCTGAAGGAAGGGTAAACCCTAAGGGACAGGGTTTGCTGGGCATTGGAGGAGCATTTGCATGTGATTCGGCCCGAGCAGTTTAGAGTGACGTTCTGTAAGATGGATGGGAGCACAAGGATCTTGAGATTCAAGAATTAAAGTTGCCATGACCGGATTCTAGATCTTGAGTCAGAGAAGACTCGATCAACAAATTCTAAACCCCAGTTTTCTAACTTAGCAATACCTATTAGAAACCTCTGCTCCTGTATTGCCACGGTTTACAAGACAATGATGGCCAAGCGCCGTTAAGTTGGGCTGCATTCAATGGCCAGACGGAGGTTGTTAAAGCTTTGTTATGTGATGGCAAGTTGACCCAGACCGACAAGACAATTATGGCCAAACACCGCTGCATTTTGCTGCATACGATGACTAGACGGAGGTTGTTAAAGCTCAGTTGTGTGGTGACTGAGTTTATCTAAACCGACAAGCCAACAACGGCCGAACGCCACTAAGTTTTGCTGCAGAGCAAAGCCAGATAGAGTTCGTTAAAGCTCTGTTATGTGATGGCCGAGTTGATCCAAACGGACAAGTGTAACAGGGCACTTGGTCTGGTGCAGACAGGGATCGACAATGGGTCAAATGGTTTATAAGGTAGCCATTGACGATGTGGGGCGCACAACGAAGTCAATTAATAATCTTTCTTGGTTCTCAGTGTCCTTACGTTAGGGAGAGGAAAATCAAGAGAAATCCTTCATCGTGTCCGGGCAGCTTCCTTTATGGAGTCCTCTTATCCTTCGTGAGTGCCTCAGCCTCCCAGGCTTTTCAGAGGTCTCGTCTTCCTGCCTCGGCCATCCGGATCACTCAGCCGTGTGGCTCCGTATATCTTCCGGGATCAGCTAGCCGCGCCAGCGGATAAGAAAGCGCCCTTTTTCACAAGCGGGCGACAAACGGGAGTAAACTGCTGCGAGAACTTGGGAGGGTAAATCTCGTACCATGAAAAGCCCTAAAGAGAATAGGCGGGTAGCGGAGCGACAAAGTCATAACTAATAGGCATACAAACAAAACCTACATCTCTCTAGACCGCACGATCAGCCTCCTCGGACCGTAGGGAGTTTTGTCTTGGGGTGCTCTATTCCTATGCAAGGGCAACAGCAGGCCGTGGATAAAATCATTAGAGGTAACGGCTCTCGGCCAGGCAATTCGGGGAGTAAACTCTGGGAAAGCAGATGGCGGGGTTGTTACACCTTGGCAACGAATAAGAATAATAACGCGGACAAGGACAGCGGTTGGGGTTGACTCCTGGGGTAACGTGGAGAGAGCATTTGGGGGACGGTTCAGCAGATGTTGTTCGGCAGAATTTGAAGGGAGAAAAACGGTCCACACAATCCCAGGGTTGAAAGGTAAATATCAAGAAGACTGGCTACCCCTGGTGTAAACAGTAAAGCAAATCCACAGCAGCGAGGAAGCAACCAGGAGTGCTCAGCGAAGGGCCAGAGAGGAGGGCAGCTTCCATAAGGCCCTCTAGTGTTTCACGCTCACTGTGTCACGTCCGCGAGTCTTCTGCATCGGCCAAGATAAGCAAAGCTCTTTTGCGCTCTTTCATCATAGATGACAAAAGCATTTCCGTCATCGTTTGATCGTTGCCAAGCCAGCCCTCCGAGCGATCCTCGGTACTTCTTAGGGGATAGTTTTTGATCCAAGGAACGCCAGGGAGAGGGTAATATTGTCAAAGAGTGGGCGTTGTGTAAGACATTCGAACCGTTGAAACGCTGCAACCTGCAACATGACACTGTAGCTCCTGGTATAGAGACTCAGAACAGTATCCGTGACGCTATGGAGGGAGGCCTGAATTTGCTGGAAGCGTTGCCCAAATCAGGATTCAGGTAATCGCACTCCTCAAAAAAGATAAACCAGGCTCTCTCCCATCGATATATATTTACACCGCTCTCCCCAACTAACTGAGCTGCTCAAAGTGATTTCAGCCAACTTGGCCCTTTCACAGTTCTCAACCGCCTTCCACTCCTAAACCATTCACTCGTGAGGATACCTGTTCCAGAGCTGGAGCCATTTCATCCGTGGATACGGTATCTTGACTAGAGCTTGGCTCTTCCTCTACCAGAGATTCTCGGTCGCTTGGCTTGGCTTGACTTGGGCTTGCTTGCTGACTACACGTGACTTGGAGAGAAGCTTACATGAACCAGAGGAGACTTGACCGGCCAGGCGACCCACGACTGGGGGGTACATGCTAGATACACTGGGTGGAATAGGTAAGCCACTCTCGTACCATACACATGCTCTATTTAAGTCCAGCAAGCAAGTCCGCTGGCTGGATTTGGATTGGGCAAGCCCAAAAATTGACGACTTGACTTGGCTTACTAGTTGTGGGCTCTTTGGGGAGTATTCTTACCAAAGAGCTACCTATGTAAAATAGGTAGGTAATAACAAACCCCGGTACATGTTGTAGTGACACCCTCAGTGCCCGCTGGGTCACAATCTCCCTGTTAAAAGACAGCCGAGGCATACCATGCTGCAGATCAAAACATATGAATTAATGCTCCCGAACCTAACCTTAACCGCCAACCCAAACCCTAACCACTGACAAGTTGAAGTTTGGTTGATTGTGGTGGTTCTGTAAGTGCAGTTGTGCGATAGTTTTTTTCGTGTGAGTTGCGAGGACTCATCGGAGCTGGCTACGAGCGCTAAGCGGAGTCCCCAGCTCAAAGGGAAGTGCGCAGCATCGAGTACTTTGCTGCGGAGGAAGCACGAACGACATGCCGTTGGCAAGGTCTCCAATCTGGAAAAGCATTACAAGGCTTCCATCTCGGCAATGGGGCGTCGCAGGCGGTGGAATGGAGCAAAATTCAAGGTCAGTGAAAAGCCCAAAGATCAAAGAGCCCAAAGGAAGGGTGTTTCTAAAAGAAGCTAAAGAATTTCAAATAAAAACCTTACATTTTCCCACCCTCACGCAACGTGGCTAACGGGTTTACACGGTTTGCATTCTTGGCGCCAGCTGTTTTGAGTTTTTGACAAGTTTAGTCGAACGGCTGTCACCGCCTGATAAACGTTGATCGATCCTGACTCTCGATCATCGCCGCTGCGAGCAGTGACGTCTTCCAAGCCCCGCCCCAGCCAAGCCAAGACGCCGCCGACGGTGGAAATATTCCGTGGCCGTGGATCATCTTGACCAATGATGGCGAGGCAGACATTGTGGGGTTGGCTCGCCGGATGGGTCGGCACGAGGAGCCAAGAGATCTTTAGCGCGTACCAAAAATAGAGAAAGTCCCCACTGGGCTAAAGCTTGCCATTCGTATTTGATCCACGTTTTCAGGATTTTGAACTTCGGACGAAGGCTGTGGGCTGATGATGACTTCAAGAGAAGAGAGAGGCGTGGTGCGTAGTCAGGAAGACTGGAAGAGGGGAAGTCTCGTTCAGCCGTTGAGCAGAAAGCATGTTAGGGCGTTGGGCTGAGATCGGCCGCTTCGGCGCTCGTGTCGGCCTATGACTTGCGAGTTGCTCAGTTGACGAAGGATCATGGCTATGCCCAGCAAACACTGGGCCTTGAAGCCCTTTGCTGCCAAATCTGTTGTCAAACTTCGACTTGTTGACTCTCCCGTCTCGTCATCAGCCGTTGCTCGATCGATTCTTTGTCTCTAATTTTTGCCTTCGCCGAATCGCCGATGTGTAGTCGCAGAGTTGGCGGCGATGGCGCTGCAGGCTAAGTGACTGACCGCCGTTGGCCTATTACGTACAGAATGGCAAATCCAGCCAATGGACTTTAGAAATCGACTTTACATCCCGAGTCTCAATATCGACGTCTTCACAGCCCATTGGATGGCCAGCCACTGGGTCTCTGTCTCTCCTAGCTCGGATTGCCACATTTGAAATATGGTGATCATACTTGGCTGCTCGAGCTATTGACCGTGACAACTGGCTTGGCTCGTATTGAGCTCGTCTTGGTTGGCATGCAGCTCTAACTCCACGCATCCGGCTCGATTCTTACCATTGCTGACAATCCAGCATCTCACTATGTTGGCAAAAGGTTGTGTGGCAGGGCTGCAGTATGATGTCGGAGTTGGGTATCTGGGCTGGTGATCCATCTTTGGCATCCACCGTTGACTCGGTAGTGTGTGGACTTGAGGAAGACATGACTGAGGAGTTTTGTGTATAAGAATCCCAAGACCTCCTTTCGATCCAGTCCTCTTCTCTGTTGCTATCACAACCCAGAATTACAACATCAGCAGAGCAGTCACACAAAGCTTCTTGACTCTCATCTACAACACCCAACCGATACCCAAACACTTCTCATCAGCATTCCATTTTCACACTCAACCAACTGAAAATGAAGTTCTTCACCGCCCTCCTCGCCCTGGCTATCACCGCCCTCGCGGCCCCTCATAATCCCAACAACAACGCTGACATCTCCGCCCGCAACGGCGGCGGCGAAACTTGCACGTTCGGCACCTACCGCTGCACGACCCCCAACACCGGTATTGAGATCTGCAATGTCACCAACAAGTGGGAACTCGTGGGCGACTGCCCGCAGGGCACGGAGTGCACCAACCTGGCGCAGAACGGCTACGAGCTGCCCTTCTGCACGACCAAGCCCAAGACTATCGACTCGCGCGACCCAGGCCACCACGGCGGTAGTGGCAGCAGCGGCGGCTGGTGGCCTGGCAGCTGGTGCCCTACCCCCGGCCGCTATGATTGCTTGGGCTGGGGCGCCATCCAGGTCTGCGATGTGACGCATATTTCGCGGTTTGTCGGGACGTGCCCTGCTGGCTCGCACTGCGCATATCTGCATGGTATTCCATACTGCGTTGCGAACTAATTGGATGTGAGAGAGACGGATGGAGAGAACTATTTGGATGGAGCATGATCATGGTTGTGGTCATGGGTCATGACATGAAGGGGAACTGAGAGGAACAGGTCACCAGAGATGGAAGCTGGGACGGGGAGCTTGGAAGGTCTGAATTCTTGTCATTCCTTGTTTGTATTTTTGAGGCGCCTCTTCTTTGAATTTTTGGTAATGATGATGAGCATCTAATCGAAGAAGTATCACTTAGTCGGCTTGTTCCCTAAATGCTAAAGCGAACACGGAGCATCTGTGTCTAGGTTATCTCACAATAACATGCCCTAGAATCGGCAAATGCAATTTCGGTGAATACCTAGTGTTTTCTAATTATTCCTATGTATCAGCAGTCTATGGAAGCCTCCAATTTACCACACAATCTTTTAGAAAGATATCATATCAGTCATATGCACCTTGGATGTTAATTCCGTTTATCAATGTCATTATGCAATATATCACATAAGGGGGGATGGGTGGGGGGAAGACAGGAAGAGTAAAACAATGCACGATCAGAAGAGGGGATACGATGGAAGTTATAAGTAAACCAAGAGGAAGAAGTCCAAGTGACATGGGAAACAGTCAAGCGATCACAGGCCTGAAGTCCCACGGAAGCTCCAGTACTGCGATTCCACGCTCGAGCTCACCCCAGTGAGTCCAGCATGGAAGCCAGCAACACTGGTGCCAGTCAGGCCAAAGTTGGCTTCCCACGGCAGTCTGCCCAAGGTATTGTAGTCCGGGGCAAATGCGTTCAGGTCATCGGAAGGGGGCGTGATGAAGCAGCCAGTTGTCGCAGTAAACGCAGGACCATCTGGACTTGATCCTGATATAGTTTCTATCAGGCCAAGCTCTGCCCTATTGTTGAGCTGTAGGAAGCTGCCATTCGAGACTGCGGGGTACGGGATGGCCTGGTGTGTATCTAATGGTGGTGCCAAGGTATACGACGCCGTTGTAACTGGCGTGTCTGGCAGGAAGCATTGTGACACAGCAGTCGCATCGGCCGTAGGGACATTGTTTCCTCTGTCCTCCCAGGCTTTGAAGGCTCTCCTCAGCGAGTCCTGGAGAAGCTTGGATATCGACTCCATGGGGATAGCATCTTGTGGCTGCATATGTCGGCCAGCCAACTCTTCCGCCGCTCGGGTGAAAATACGCGGCATTTCTGTCAGGAGGAAGTGCTGAAAGGTAAGACGGCAACGATCCTCCTCAGTCAGAATCGGAGCGACATCTTCGGCTACCTCTGGGTCTAGTGCTTATTCAGCACATACGAAATCACAAAACTTCGGGGGAGTGTTTAGAGCTCAACAAGGGTACTTACAGGGTGACGGCACTTCCTCGTTGGGAAAAAGGAGCTGGTAGATATCTCTCCACTTATCCTCATCTGACTGCTTTCTGGAGGTGTGCTTCCTGGACTTGAGCTTCTTCTCTTGGTCTGTTGTGATGTCTCCCGGATGGGCCAGGTCGTTGACTTCGCATTTGATGACTGCCCTTTCGTGGTCAGCCAACTCTTTGGAATCGTCGAACGTTTGCTTGCATCTCTGGCAGTGAATCGTATAGTGTCTCCGGTACAAGTGCTCTTTTAACCTGGATATTGTGGTCCATGACCTGATGGCGCACACCTCATGATCACGAATATTGTAGGTTTGTGGATCATGCTTCCGAAATGGGCATGCAAACCTCTTTGTACCACTTGGGTTGGGCCTTGCGAGTGATAATGGAGGGCGGTAACCCTCATCATCCTCCTCCTCCTCATCATCATCGTCACGTGGCAAGCGGCCTGCTGGACGGAGCCCGCCTTTTCCAGCTCCTCTCCAGGAGGAAGACGACTTTTGAACTCGCCCACCAACAACCCGCGATGGCGGAGAACCGTGTCCCCTTTCTCCAGCACATTGGTGGATTATGGCAGCCCAATACGAATTGTAACTAGCCCACAGCGATCTCATTCCTCGATTGACAGCGAGGTAGAAGGGTGTTACACATTCTTCTGCGATTACCGAGCCGCTATCTGACTCCAGCCAAGAACCTTGCTCAGAAAGGCTATCGTCTGCTGTCATATCCGGGCTAGAATAATGTGTAGAGGAGCTGCTGGATGTGAAGGTTGACAGAGCGTCTGAGCTAGCGTGGGGTCTGACTGGTGGCGTCCCAGGTTTTAAGAGAGTATTATTGTGCAGTTGGGTCTCCTTAAGTCCTTTGATGTCTCGTGTGATTCTGATACCAGAATGCTCATTTGAAGTTCGAATGGAGATAAGAGGAGCGCGGATTGCTGATTTCGGCCATGATGGCTCCAGATCACGAGCCGCTTGTCGCGCAGAGAACGATCTTCCCGATGCCGGGCTGTGATCCGACAGGGCAAGGTTCCGGTCACTCTCTACGCGGTGGAGGGTGCGCAGTTGACAGAAATGAGAGCTCAAGTGGTGCAAGGGATCATATGATCCTCCACTCTCCATCCGGGTAGATGAAGGGATATACTTCTTTCCCTCCATGACATCTTGCTTGTCTGGCGCTGCACGTTTCGATGTGGAAAGTGCTGTGAGGTCCAAAAAGGTAGGCTTGAATGGGGAGAGCTCTTCTGCGGACTTCGATCGCAGGCCAGAAGGGAAACTCATCAGCGGAGGCAATGGTGACATTGGAGACGAATCCTCACGCGATAATGACTGTTCGATAGCTGATGGTCCCAGCTTTGGTGATTGATCAGGACTCTGAGCAGGCTTCGGGTCCAGAGTTCTCAAGAACAGTTTGCTGACAAGGGTGCTGACGTTGGTCTCCGTTCGGATGCGGGCGGCATCAAATGCAGCAGTAGCAACCTCGAGTGCTGATCGTTTCCCCATGGAAAAGAACTCGAGAAGGTCCTGGAGTTTGGGCGGTTCGTGATCGAGTGATCGGCCAGTCGTGTTTGGGTCCCAGGAGAACCTGAGTTTTGCTCCTCGAGCCTTCTCTTCTTGCATTACCTTCTCTGTCCAAGCTTCCTGCACCTTTGGTTGATGAAGAAGGGCCTCTATGACTCGAGTGTGTTGCCATTCAGACTTCCCTTTACCCTCATCGTAATGCCTACCCACATGCTCCAAGTAATCGTTTCTGGAGGAGATAAATGCTGCACAGAAGCCGCACCCCCAAGCACTGCGAATGGAACTGTACCTGACTGACTCAGCCATATTGGGCCTTTGTTCGATGGAGTGGACGACGCTTTCATGCTCGACCAACAGGCCTGCTCGTGAGAAAATGGATGAGCAATAACGGCAGTGATACTGCTCCTTGCGATCATGGAGCTCCAGCTCATGGAGCTTCCAATCGGTCTTCGAGTCAAAAGAGGCATCGCAAAACGTGCACCAGTAGCGAGGGCAGAGGTCGAAGCAGGGTTCCTCGAATTCATTTAGAGGACTTGCTGGGATTGGTGACTCAAGAACTGAATCGTGGATTGAGTAGCGGGTTGCCGCAGAAAGAGTAGATGCTCTTGCTGAGAAAAGGCTGGGAACGGCCGAATCTCTACTTCGATTGCTCGAGGCAAATGAAAGCCATGAACTGCGGATGGTGTCTTCCTGGACTGAGTTGATTTTGTCTTCAACGGATCCCTGGAAGGGAAGCTGAGAAGGAGTCTGTTTCTGAGGAATCATAACATCCTCTGCAGTTTGGTGATGCTTGTTGACATCAGGATTGACCCCTACAGCATCCGGTGAGCCCTTTAGGGCTTTGATATCTTGTTGAGAACCGTGCGGGTTCATTGTGGCCAGGGGCAGTGTGATGAACCTGATGATGAGAAGATCACGAACCTGTGGCCATAATGAAGGACATCAGGCCATAAGAACATATGATGTTAAAGAATGAGGCTGCCTTCACTGTTACACAGCCGACGTCATGAGAAAAATGGGGAGAACAGAAAAGGTTGGCTGGCACTGGACATTTGCAGAGGTGAAGTGTTATCCGATATGGAGAAGCAGGCAGCAATGCAGCCATCCCGGCTTGGTTCTTTGTGAAATTGTTATATGGTTCCTGGAGGACGATATACGGTAGGGCAGACGTTCATCGCAGCTGCGCATGACCACACCTTGACTGCCCTTGTCACAGCCTGGCTTACAAGCAAGGTGTGGAAGTGTCAGGGCACTTGGTGTGTAATTGGTAGTGGAGCGTTGATGATTGGTCAGATCGAGTGCCTAAGGGACGGCATCCAGTTGTGAGCTCAAGGGCTGCTTGGCTGCCTCTTCCGGCTGATGGAAGGCATCTTCGCTCATCAAGGCAGTAGACGTAACGGCTTAATTCGCCCCACTTAGAAGATGCTAGTGCTTTTAATACGTCGTCATGCGGGGTCAAGTTGGTGCTTCACTTGAAGGTATCAGACTGGTCTTTTCCCGAATGTCTTCGGGGAGTCGCCGACATGGCGGTGGCTCAGGCTTGTCGAGGATGCAAATGCTACAAACTGCGCGGGTGGGGGAAGGGGGGTATCATCGAGGATTCGTTAGCTCAGCCTTCCAAGGCACTCCATAAGGCCCAGTGATTCAAAAGCCGAAGGATGACAGCTGTGCCAAACTTTGACAAACATCGGTTCAAGACCAATGATTGACTGCTTAAAAGTGACATGAAGGGATAAACAGAAGCAGAGCAACCGTCCATATTTACCACAAATGATTGATCAAAGATGCGGCTGATGAAGGCAACCCACGTCTTAGCATTGTAAAGCAGATCACCGTCGGCATCTTGTTGAATCCTGGTCCAATGATACTAGTACTTTGATGCAGTTAACTGAGCAGTAGGGCTGAAACTGCGGGCCGACACTTCAAATTGGGTTGCATGCTTCCTATCAGATCGGATCATGGCATGCATTCTTTGGGAAGATGCTGTGCACACAATTTTTTGGTGTCCAAGGTGTCCAAGTGCTAGCAGCTCTTGTGCTGCCAAAGGCAAACGCTGAACAGTTATTGGACATGAATCGAGCAGCTGCTACCGGCTGGCAGAACTTTCACCCCAATAATCTGTCGTCAGATAGGTACTTCCGCTGGCATGGCTGTTAATGCTGCAAGAGAGATGATAAATGATAAAAACGACGACCAGGAAAGAAAAGTGGAAAGGAATTAAGCTATTTAGTCTCGATGAGATCCCTGGTTTTTATTTATGATCTTGGGATCAAGAACATAGAACAAGTTAATCTATTTATCAAAGGCTTCTGATGTCAACAGATCTGTCCTCCGAGGATCACCTTATCGGTATATCGAGGTACGATAATGCATTGAGAGTAAGGCGGTTTATGCCAAGAAGCTCATCAACCCCACTTCGCGTGGTGGCTCGTGCGTGAGCTTGCCAAAAAATTTCAAAACTTCGGCGGTGGGAAAAATATTGAAGCTCAAGATTTGTCAAACGTCGGAATTAGTGGCCCATTGAACGTTTACGACAGCTTTGCGCAGGGTCAATACGCCGCCATTGCATCCGACGACATCATACCTGTGCCTGCTGTCATCAAAACGAGCCGCGATCTTATTCGGTCAAGATGGTAGTGGTCAACTTCTTGCTCTTCGAGAGCGCGGTAGGCTTCTCGCTCTTCGAGGTCGTTCACCAGGCCGACACTGTCGGTCTGGAGCTTCCTGAGGTCAAGGATGCGATGAAGACCCTCGACAAGTTTGGCAAGATGGTCAAGTTGCGCAGCTTCAATCCGTGGACGTAAGTTTTCGTCGAGCGTTGCGCGCGCCGTGTCTGTTGTATTGCCGACTGACCGATTTCGCTCTGTCCAGCTCTGCCGCGCAGGGTTTGGAAGCGATTAACCTCATTTCTGAGGGTATTATGCCCGAGTATCTTAAGAGTGCTCTTGAGATGAACCTTCCCCAGACCAGCGGAAAGAAGAGCAAGGTCGTGCTTGGCGTTGCCGACAAAAAACTTGCTGGCGAAATTACTGCTGCGTTCCCCGGTGTTCAATGCGAGGCTGCCGATACTTCTGAGGTCGTCGCGGCGCTGCTGCGCGGAATCCGCACCCATGCCAATAAGCTGCACAAGAGCCTCCAAGAGGGCGACATTGGCCGTGCGCAGCTCGGTCTCGGTCACGCCTATTCTCGCGCTAAGGTCAAGTTCAGCGTTCACAAGAACGACAACCACATTATTCAAGGCATTGCTACTCTTGATGCGCTCGACAAGTCGATCAACCAGGGTGCCATGCGAGTGAGGGAGTGGTACGGCTGGCACTTCCCTGAGCTTATTCGCATCGTTTCCGACAACATCACCTATGCGAAGGTTGTTCTTGCTATCGGCAATAAGTCGTCCTTGACTGACGAGAGTGTTGATGACCTCGCGAACGTGCTCAATCAAGATCAGGATAAGGCTCTTGCTATTATCCAGGCTGCTAAGGTGTCCATGGGTCAGGACATTAGCGAGGTTGATCTCCAGATGGTCAGGGATCTGGCTTCGAACGTCACCAGCATGGCCGATTACCGCCGTATCCTTGCCGAGTCTCTGGACAAGAAGATGAGTGAAGTTGCCCCCAACCTGCAAGTCATTTTGGGCACTCCGGTCGCTGCCCGCCTGATCGCCCATGCTGGCTCTCTCACCAATCTTGCCAAGTACCCGGCTTCCACCCTCCAAATCCTCGGTGCCGAGAAGGCCCTCTTCCGCGCCCTCAAGACCAAGAGTGCTACTCCCAAGTATGGTCTCCTCTACCAGAGCTCATTCATCGGTCGTGCCGGCCCTAAGGTTAAGGGCCGCATCTCCCGCTATCTGGCCAACAAGTGTTCTATTGCTAGCCGTATCGACAACTTCTCTGAAAAACCGACTCGTCACTTCGGTGAGGTCTTGCGCCAGCAGCTTGAGCAGCGTCTTGAGTGGTACGCCAAGGGCACTAAGCCCATGAAGAACAGCGAGGCCATGGAGAAGGCCATCAAGGCGGTCATGGCTGATGATGAGGAGACCCTGCCTGTTGCTGTTGATGCGATGGACATCGATAGCAAGAGCCCGGCTAAAGAGAAGAAGGATAAAAAGGAGAAGAAGGAGAAGAAAGAGAAGAAGGAGAAGAAGAAGGAGGATAAGGAAGAGAAAAAGAAGGACAAGAAGAGGAAGAGCCTGGGCGGCGAGGATGTCGAGATGGCGGACGCCGATGTTGGAGAAAACAAGAAAAAGAAGAAGAGGAAGTCTGAGATCGCCGAGTAAGTGCTCGACGTTCCTAAACATAATGCTTTCTCTTTCTGGTGGTCATTTGTTTGCTTTAATGTGTCTCTGTTTTCCTTATTTCATGGAGTTCGCGCGGGTTCGGGGTCTGGCAGATGGAGTTACCGGGTTGTTGGTCTGAACACACCTGATTTTCCAGTGGGATGTATCATACCAGATGGCATGGAAGTCGGAATCAAGGTAGTATCTGCCTGCAAAATTCATCACTAGATTCGGCCAACTGTGATTGTATGTGATTGAGATGAACCCAAAATGGAGTTGTAATGCCTTGTGTAAGTAGCGGAGGGCATAATTGTCGTTGTCTCAATTCGCATACATTTATCATCAATTACGATAAGGAAATCAGAAGTGGCCGGCTCCCAATGATACATGCTACGGCAGGAGAGCCTTGGCATCTCCTATGTGCAAGCAAGGAAAACAAACGCCACACGCCGAGCACCCGCCTTAAAGGTAAGAGAGGCACTCTATGCACCCGTCCAGTCCACATAACCCAACGCCCAAGGGAAGGGCACAGAGGCAAAGCGCCCACCTCTTTCAAAATGGAAACGAAACAGACGAACTGAGGAAATTATGCGCCCTCGCTGCCGAACTCTCTTGTCCATTCTTCGTTGCGTTTAAGGTCCTCTTCTGACACGGTCGGTCTGCTAGCCTTGATGGCCCGCAGGAAGTCTCTCTTCTCAACAAGAGGCTCGAGAAGCTGGTCGGCCTCAACCTGCTCCCATGTCATCTCAATAGCGGCTGGGTCGCCTGGAGAGCAGGGGGTGAGTTTCTCTTGGCCGTCGACGACGACCTGGCATGGGGTCAGCAACTTTGCCCAAAAAAGAGGTCATACAGAGCGGGACTAGTGAGAGAGTACCTTCTTGAAGTGCGTCGCCTGCTGGATTTTCCGCACAGGCTGCATCAGCGCGTCCTGTACAACAATACTGATATCCGACCCGGAGTAGCCCTCCGATGCGCGGGCCAGCTCACGGAAGTCTTCGGGCTTGAGGGCGGTCCTGGTGTCGCCGACGGCAAGCTTGAACATGGTGGTACGCGCAGCAAGATCGGGCAGGCCGATGTGTATTCGGCGCTGGAACCGTCGACGAATGGCAGCGTCGAGTTGCCACGGGATGTTGGTGGCACCCAGGATTAGCACGCCCGAGCTGTCCTTGCCCACGCCGTCCATTTGCACGAGCATCTCGGTCTTGATGCGGCGCGAGGCTTCCGACTCGCCTTCGCCACGTGGCCCGCAGAGGGCGTCGATCTCGTCGATGAAGATGATTGAGGGCTTGTTTTCGCGAGCCATCGCAAAGAGTTGTTTTACGAGCCTGGCGGTGGGATTATATCAGCAATGACCCAATGGGCATGTGCAGGTAATATCTGGCTTACCTTTCGCTCTCACCCATCCACTTGCTTACCAGATCTGAGCTGCTGATGCTGAAGAATGTGCTCTTCGCCTCGGTGGCCACAGCCTTGGCAAGATAACTCTTACCCGTTCCTGGCGGCCCGTAGAGCAAGATACCCCTCCACGGCTGCCTCTTACCGTGAAAAAGGTGCGGGAACTTGATAGGAAGCAGGACAGCCTCCTTGAGCGCCTCCTTTGCGCTGTCAAGACCAGCCACGTCGTCCCACCTGACGTTCGGCCTCTCCTGCAGGATAGCGCCAGCCAGGGCGTTACGCAGCTTTTTGCTGTCCTCGTCCAGACCATCATCGTCTTCGCCAGCAACTTTTCCTTTCCCTGTCCCTCCGGTGGTCGTGCCGTTAGCACCGACCATGCCCGGTTTCTTTCGTTTCGCCTCCATGTCTTGTAAATGTGCTTTCAGTTTCTCGGCCCGGTCCATGTACTCGCTTGTCTTGGCGCGGATCATCTCCTTGGATTTGGGGTTCTTCTCCCACTTGAGCGCGAGCATGAACAGCTCGAGGGCTTGGTAGTAGAGTTGGTAGGCCTTCTCGTACTGTGCGGCATTGTCGGCGTCGATTGCTAAGCGGACCTGCTTGATCGCACGGTCGAGGAAGTCTGTGTTGGACATGGCGGGCAGCAGGTGATGTATGGTTGACTGGTATCAGTCGGGTGGGATGGGCGGATTCGACCCTTGGACGGATGTTTTCTGTCACCAACTAGGGGTGGGGTATCAGAGACAGATGCAGAGGTTTTCTCCGTGTTGTAGACAAGGTGTGGCAATGATGGAATAGAAGCGATTGGACAACGGCGTCTGAGGCCTGGGCCTATTGAAGCAGCCCCAGCGCGAGGAGAGTGGTATTGTTTGTCTTGACTTTGAGAAGGGGACAATGCCACCCATCCGTTCGCTGGTCGTCGGTCTGGGCACAGGGCAGGCCGTCGACCAGGAAGCAGAGCCACAACGCGGGGCTGGCGCCACTTGTTTGACCGCTTGGCAACCGGGGAGCGGATTTGGTGTTAGGGTTATGTATGGGGCTTGCATACTAGTCGCTATCTGAGATTAACCCTCGACAGCGAGGAGCATCCACATTCAAGCTGCTGTCCTGCTCAATTACCAACAGCGAGCCAACCATCATCTGGTTGAAGTGCTTTTGACCTCTGTGCAGAAACTAGACTAGCGGGAATTTGTTACTCCCTTCGTGAATTATCATCAGAAACCATCGTCTCACGTTGCCAAATATTTGATCAAAAACGGGTGCCATGGCTGAAATCCAGGCCCGCCTTCAAGCCCTCTCTGAGGAGTTCAGCAAGCTCCAACAAGGTGTGATGAGTCCTGCCCCTCTCAACCCAAACTTGCTGACATATCAAAGATCTCCAAGATGCTCTGCAGTCAAGACAAAAGCTCGAGGCACAGAAGCAAGAGAACCTCGGGGTGCAGAAGGCATGTTTGTATGATGCCAGGGATCATGAACTCATACTGACCATGTTGTAGGAGTTCACGAAGCTCAAGGAAGGAGAAAACATCTACAAATTGATCGGCCCTGTTCTTCTCAAGCAAGACAAGGCCGATGCAGAAAGCACAGTCAATGGTCGTCTAGACTTTATTAACAAGGAAATGTGAGTTTGATATAAGAATCTAATCTCAGTCCTAGTCAAAAGCCGCTAACACTAAAACCACAGCAACCGGGTAGAAACTCTCATCAAGGAACTGCAGGGCAAGGTAGAAAAGAAGAAGGGGGAAATTATCCAGGTGCAAAGTGGTTTGCAAGCAGCGGCAGCTCAAGCCGTCAAGGCATGACGGAACCACTAGAGAGCGACATGATGGAGTTGTGCCCACTTTCATCTACTCGAAATGCCTTAAGCCATTACCTAAGTTGATTACCAAGCAATACCGATACAACCCCCAACGCCACGCTTCCCTTCTATCCGGAATGGAGATTATCCCTCTAAAAATACAAACCAAATTCCATCCGTGTCATACTGTCATTAATTGAGAGCCATAACAGTGAAGCCCCATGGGACACCAAGGTTCTTGCCCCATGCAGCATTCACAGACTGGTCTTCCGTCTTCTGCTCCTTCTTGCGACCCTCAATAACCCCAGAGATGAAGTCAACCACAGCTCGCTTGGCAAAGCAGGAGTTGATAATATCGGTTGTGTCGATTGTCTCGAGAACGGACTCACGCTGGTCGCTCTCAGCAAATAGCTGAAGCTCCCGAGAGAACAGACGCTGTGAGAGCTCGGGACCGGCAGCCTTCAGACGTTGGAAGATCAAGACCATGCCAGCAACGGCCTGCAGATACAAGCTGGACTTTTCATGATCGTCCAAGTCGGCAAGCACATGGGTCGACTTCTCGGTGACGAAAGAACGATGGAAGGTATCAAAGGTAACCTTCAACATGCTATCGAGAGCATCCGGCTGGCCGAGCACATTTTCAGGGTCGTTAAGGCCAAAGATATCACGGATCTTAGTGTAGCATTCGCTCAGAAGTGTGAAAATACAGGTCTCTGTGGGAATGGAGAGGTGCCCGTCAACGATGCTTAGCGGCTCAAGTGCTGCCTCAACACTGGCTGTTGGAGTTCAAACAACTGTCAGGCATGTCCCGTACAAACATCTACAAACATCGTAAGGAGCTACTGCTTATCGTGATACCACATACCATGGCACTTGAAGCTGTCAAGCTCAGGGCGGGTAGACATTGTGGGGACTCTTGTTGATAAGGTTTCCGTCTGATGGAGTCGCTGGGGTGGTTGGATGGGATGGATAGAAAATGGGACAGAATTGCATGGGGTATTGGAAGGCAGGAGAAGAGCTGAAGGAAAGAGTGATACAGCGCCCAGCAGCTGTCTTATAAGCCCATTACTCGGCCCCCTTACCTCAGCTAAGGGCTAGAATTTTATGGGCCATGCCACCCTTGTCAGGCTGACCGCTTCACGAACTGACAGCCGGGAGCACGAACCGAGAACTGGGCCTAAACCAGGTGGGCGGGCATGGTTTGGGACACCGAGCACATCAAAATAGTGATTAAGAGGGGGCAAGCGATGGATTTTCCATGCCGATAACTCCCGAAGGCTTTTATTTCCCCGAGAAAGTGCCATATCTTGCGGCGTGCATACCACAGGAGGTGGGATCGCGGCTGGGGGTTATCAACAAACGAGATTTGGCCAGTGAATTTTCCCATCCAGCCTTCTCGATTTAAGATCCGACAACGGTGGGTTGAGCAAAGAGCGCGCGGACTGGGTAAACCACTTCGTCGCAGTGCCCAAGAACATGCACCTCATACAGTGCGCGTGACTTTTAGCGATCGAGCTATTTTTTTCTCTTGTTTGTTGGCTCCCGTGGCCCGAACGGACAGATGGTTGGCCATCATTGCAGAACTTAAAGACGATGGGAAAATGAGAAAGTCCAAAAAATGCATCTCGTCCAGCGCATGGTCCCACCGCTGCGTGCTCGGTTGCTGCTGTAAATGCTGTCACGGTGCGCGGCACACCGATGCAGGCGTCCATGATCCGTCTTGGCCGTCTTGGCCTCTTCCCGCTTGCCAAGGCTGTAATTCTTGGCACTTGTGCTCTGGATTGTGGTCCGTGCAAGATGCCAAGACCGCATGTGGCCCCAGGGCAGACGATGCTGGCCCCGCGTTGATTCAGTCGTGTATCACCAACCCGAACCCCGAAGATGGAGAGGTCCATAACGGGTTGATAGCGGGGTTGTGATTGATGCAGCTGCCAGTAAGGTCCCCTCTTTTCGTGCCAGTACGCGACATCAGCCTGCTCACGCAACGCAACTCTCGTTCAACACTTGTCTCACGTCTGGCGAAAACCATTGTATTTCAGTGCTAAGCTAACTGTTCCTTCTAGTCGTCCTAGCGCTCAGCTCTAGTCACAAACTCCATTTCTGATTGCAGTCGAACAATTCATTGTCTGCTTCAGCTTTCCGCCATCGCCGGAGCTCGCATCTAAACATCGCCATTGGCCTACAGCTTTCAACCATCGACTTTTTGTCAGCCGATCCTTTACTCGATCTACTCATTAGTATTGGTCGGGCTATCTGAGGAAATGCCACGATGAACAGATCCAGCTTTGCGATCAACATGGAGGAAATAAAGAGCCCCCAGGAATTGTACGAAATAGCACATCGGTTCGACTGGAACCCGAAAGTCGAGTTCAGGTTTTGGGTGACTGCTGCCAACAGGCTTTACCATGAGGTTAGTGCCCTTGTGTCTTCTGCCTGACATTGATATTCGAAAAACATTGGTCTGATTTTCGTCGTGATCAGGGCCTGGCATATTTCCAAGATGGCGATCTCGCGCAGGCTTACATTTGCTTGCTTCGGTATTCCGCGCTTGTCGTGAAATGGCTACCAGACCATCCAGAGGCGAAACGATCAGAATCCCGGTCGGCTTATAAGCCGCTATTGAAGCGCACACAAAAAGTTCTAAGCATTCTTGAAGGGTTGCGCGCTGAGCTTAACGAGACCTACAAGCGTTATCAGCAATCTGCCGACAAACGTCGTGCTGCGCTCAGACATTCCCTTTATGGCTCTATATCGTCGACATATGGGCGTCATGCTGCCAATGACCCCACATTGGCATGGAGTTATGCTTCTGAGGCAGAAGTCTTAGATGCAGGGGCATATCAAGATTTGGCAGTTGATCTGGCGAAACGGGAAATGCGCCGCCGCCGAGATAGGGACGAGGACAGGCAGCGTCGAGTTGCGGGATACTGGGCTGACTGGAAGCAAGAACTGGATAGGAGAAGAGAAGAAGAGCGAGGAGTACAGCTTGAGAGGCAAGAAGAGCTGTTGAGCAGAGGAGAAGCGAAGAGAGACGCCAGCCGTTACATGGATGATGATGACTGGCGTCAGCAAATGAAGGAAGCTCGGCGCCAATTGGACCAGGCTCACGATACCGCGGCATTCATAGATCACTACTCTTACCAAACCACCACATACAATTACCCCGCGATCAGCAAGAGCTCCGCGGTCCGATATGAGAAGCCATCAATTTCTCAGAGGGAAGAGGCCTCGAGGCCTCTTCCCCCTCGCCCGCCCAAGGAACTCCCTCTAATACAACCTCTTGCCTCACCCCCGCCTCCTCCTGACAAAACACCCTTGGAGCTCGGGAGCCCCCCTCCATACAGTTCTTCTGTTCACGACGAAGAGGCACCACCGCTTCCTCCAAAAGCACTGGCTCCGCCACCAGCTGAGAACAAGAGAGTGACATTCAGACCAGCCGCATACCTCGAAAACGGTCAACCCCTTCGTCCTGTCTTTCTACCCAGCTCCTTGCGCCGTCGTTTCCTCGATATGGCCGCGGAGAACACCCGCAAGAACCTGGAGATGTGTGGCATCCTCTGTGGTACAACCGTTAACAACGCGCTCTTCATCTCACACCTGGTGATCCCCGAGCAAGAGTGCACGCCCAACACGTGCGAGACGGTCAACGAGCAGAGCTTGTTTGATTACTGTGACGAGCATGAGCTTATCGTGATTGGTTGGATCCATACCCATCCGACGCAGACTTGCTTCATGAGCTCGCGGGACTTGCACACGCATTCAGGATATCAGGTCATGATGCCTGAGAGCATCGCTATTGTTTGCGCGCCGAGTTATGATGAGTAAGTTCTCCCTTTCGCCTTGTTAGCCATCTACGACGATGCTGACCATCCAAGCTGGGGCATCTTCCGCCTTTCGCACCCTCCCGGGCTGGATTACATCCTGAACTGTGCGCACAGCGACACATTCCACACACACAATATTGACAACATATATCTCAATGCTGGTCAGCCTGATGGCCATGTTTACGAGTCAAGGTCCCTGGAGTTTGAGGTGGTGGACCTCCGGCCGTCGAAGCTGTAGCGGCGCTCCTGGGCGGCCAGATTAAGGCGATGGTCTTTGCGCGTGTTGTTGATTTCGGCGCCTGTCGTGAGGCTGTTGACGTGATGGCTCGTCATCTCGACAGATTTTGCGATTGGGTGTGGATGGGTCACTCTTTGGTGAGGTTGCTTGTGCTCAGCTCTTTTCGTTTTGTCCTTAGTTGGGATCTGGGTGGCTTTCCCGGTTGATGGTATTCCTCAGGTTCATGGCTTTTCATGGGTTCATGCCGTACATAGCATTGGAGTTCATGGGACTTGGGATGACAACTTGATTGGAATGGGGTTTGGGCAGGCATTGTGGTACCATCATTACATTGATCATGTTCTGAGTTGCTCGACTCTTCCCATTGCTATGGCTTTGCGGCCTTGCAAAAGTGCTCAACGGTTTGGAGGATCGTTTGGGGCTGAAGTTCATCAAGTCTCTGTACAACGGGAATATTGACATCGGGTTTCCTGGACTTACTTCTCTATGGTACATAGAAACGAATGTCATAAAGGGCTCAATGCCGTGCGATAGTCAGGGTTATTCACAAATTGGCTGCCTAACTTCTCCAGAGCAGTCGATGGTTAATGCGTCATCTATGCAGCAACTTCAGCTCCTGAGAGAAACAAACTTAAACAATACAACACAAAGAGACAGGCAAAGTTGCCATTAAGCTAAATAAGGTATCACGACAGACGTTACATTACAATATTTTCGGATACCATCCCATCATTCAAGCCCCATCGACCAATACTACTCACATCCACCTTTGCAACGACAATAGTCCCCAAACTCACAACTTAGCCTGCATCCCCTCTCCCTTCAAATCTTCAACAATCCCCCTGGCAATATGCTCTGCAATCGCCATAACGGTAATCATTGGATTCACGCCACTTGCACTGGGGAACACACTCGCATCAGCAACATACAGTCCCTCTGTTCCCCAAACCCTTCCCCTTGGATCAACAACCCCATCCTTCTCTCGCGCACTCATCCGACATGTCCCCATCTGATGGGCCGACGCAAACGGTGTACTGGGGGGTCTGTTGCCATGCTGCTTCAGTCTGGCAATCCACTTTTCAAAGTCATCTTTGGTTTTATCCGCGGACTTGTCGGCCGACACGACGAAAGGCTCGAGGCCTGGCAGAGCGGGGACGATTTCACGTGCGCCAGAAGAGAAGAGGATGCGGGAGAGCTCGATGATGCCGCGCAGGTTATGAGCGCGGTCGAAGTCGGAAGGGGTGTAGGCAATGCGCGGGCAGCCGGAGACGGGATCTCGGTAGATATGGCCTGTATCACGGTCGCGGCAGATGGCGATGAAGGCGTTGAGGTGGGGGTATTTGGCGGCATGGAGTTTGTAGTTTTGGCCGGTGGTCCAGGGGAGGAAGCTGAGGCAGAAGGAGGGCTAAGCAAAAGGATTAGTTTGTTGCGGGCGGAAGGAAAGGAGAACGGGGGAACATGCCATCATGGACATGGCTTCGAGTTTGACGCCGTGGCCTTTGCCGTCTAGGTTGTCAAAGTCGCTGACTACAGAGGTAAGACAGCCGCCTAGAGATGATGGTTAGTAGGGATTGATAGCAGAGGTAAGGGGCAACTTACCCTCCCATGGCTGAACATTCTCATCGAACACGCCCATAACGAAGTTCGTGGGATGCAAGTAGAGGTTCTTTCCGATTTGTGGGTTCTGTTCCGGTCAGTATCACTCACCTCGCTAACTTCTTCCCAGGCCAACTCACCTTCAAACCGCTATTCATCAACACAACCGGACTCCAAAGCGTACCACAGCTCACAACTACCTTCTTAGACTTCACAACCACCTTCACCTGCTCCGCACCACCCCTAGGCGTCCAAACACCCTCAACCCCCACAGCTACCCTCTTCCCCTTCTTCACGTCAAACAACACCTTATCAACTTTCATCCCCTCGACGAACTTCACTCCCTGCTCAGCCGCCTCAGGGAACCATCCATTCACTGGCCCATTCTTCTCCCCCTTCCAGCAGCCCAGCGTGCAATATCCATCATGATGGGCATTATCCCCACAATTCTGCGGCACGATCTTCGCGGTGTAGCCCAGCCTCTTGGCCCCCTCTAATAAGACCTTGTTTCCGTGACTGGGCGTCAACTTGTCCCCCGTCACACCCATATGCTTCCACACGCGATCCAGACATTTCTGGAAGTCTTCTGTCTCGAAGAACTCCAGCTTGCGTTCTTGCGCCCACTCCTTCCGGACAAAGTCTTGAGGCTGTAGGCTCGCGCTCCAGTTGACGGTACCGCCGCCGCCGAAGCAGGCGCCTGCTGTAACGGTGATGCTCCCGTCGTCAGACTCAATTACACCGCCGGCCTCGAAGAGATTCGCCAACCCGGTTGTTTGAGACATAGGGAAATGGGATGCATCAAAATGCCAGCCTTTTTCGATAACCAGCACATTCAGCCCTTTTCCAAACTCCGTAGCAAGCTTATGCGCCACCACACCAGCTCCACACCCCGAGCCGACGATGACCACATCCGTAGCGATTTCGACTGGAGCCTTGACATCCGGTCCCGGGCTGAATTGGAGAAATTCGTAGGGGTAGCTCTTCGAGCCAGCTACCCAAGCAGCCGGGACACGAGGAAAGCCGGTAAGAGGAGCGAAATAAGGCGTGCTCCGCAGCCAAGCAAGCTTGCCTAATGTGGTCATGGACTTGAAGAGGGCGCGGATGGACCATAGCGGAGAAGTGGCCCAAGAGCGGAGGATTTTGGTGCGGTCTTGGATAGATAGCAATGGCAAGGGACTCGCTCTATGTGTGAGGATTAGGGAACCCGCACGGGTGCTGAGGTTGAGATGTCAGTTTGCGGTTTGAGGAGCTGAAGGGAGATGACCTACCTCAGGACAGAAAGAAGGATCTTCAGTTCACGCTGTTTGCTTGGAGGAATGTTACTCAGGATGCATTTCATGAGCTGGGCGAATAGGGGGTTGTCTGAAGGACGTTCGGCAAGGTAGGCCTCGATGAGCTCGGCCGTTGGGTCAAGTGGAGTGACCGCGTTGCGGAGCTGAGATGCTGCATCGGAGTACTCTGCGCTGGAGAGGTGCAGGGCTGAAAGGTCATCTTGCATCCTGCTGCCCTGCTGTTGCTGAGCCGTGTCTTGGACGCGGATGGCCGGGATGACGGCATCCATCAGGGCCATAAGGACCTTCCATTGCGTTTCATTGAGGAACTCTGTGTAAGGAGGCAGGTCAACTGCGAGAGGCGCCGCGGCGGGCGATGCGTCGGGGGTTAGGGGTCGCATTGCGATGGCGCGTCTTGGAGCAGGAAGTATTTCGAGGCACAATCAACAGTGTTACGCAGGAAACAAGAGATAGTCGGCACTTTCCCTCGCCGCAATTGGACAGCCCCTCTGCTTTAGAAGCTCATGAGCTCCCAGCCCTTGAAGAAGATCGACGGAGTGGATCACAGAGCAGGCTGGGGCGAGACCTTGTTGATCTCCGCACGCTGGCACGCTGCATCCCAACCATCTCCACGAGTACCTTGTGATCGTTGATTCAAAAGCCGTAATGGTGGGCCAAGACAGGGGGCCAGCACGTTCTTGGCTGCGGGGTGGCTACGGGACGGTCCCGAGGGCGAGCATGGGTCAGGGCCCCAGGGGGCACTGAATCATGTTGGTCCACTGAAGCACAGCGCTGAGACATAGCGGCGGGAAGGGCATGAGGAAGGGGTGATGCAAAAGCATCTGATGTTGGCTTTGAGATGACTCGAGGATGAGCTCTCGGCAGATCAATCGGTTACTACGTTAGATCCTCTTAAGGTCTTGAGATGTTATTTACGGGACACCACAGGTACAGCTTCAAGCAACACAACATTTCCCGCTACGATGATGATTGTGGCCAGAACGCCTCCCTAATCCAGGCCTTCATCCTCTTGGTAGCATCACCTTCCACACCGTGCTCAGCCTCCATCAAGATCCAGTCATGAGCCTCATTCCTGCTCACCTCCAACCTAACCGGCATCCCAGGATTCCCGTGCTTCACAGCCTCCGCAAACCCGACACACTGATCCACGAAACACTCCTGCTCTCCCGCCGTGATATACACATTCCTGACCACCGTTTCGAGCCCAGCAAACCACCCCTCAACATTGGGTAAGTCCATCGGGAACGACCATCCCTTGCCCGCCGCCATCTCAGCATCGTATTTAGCAACATCCCCCAAAACTCCTGGCGCGTGTGTGATGATCATGTTCTTGTCAAACATATCGATTCCCCCGTTCCTCTTGTATCCGAACCAATGCGTCTTTGCGCTTAACCACGGTGAAACCAAAAATGCGCCGGCCAGCGGCTCGGGGATCGTGACGCCCTTGACTTCGGGGTGTGGGTGAAGGATATGGCTGAGTAGTTGTGCCACTAGATTCCCTCCTGCCGAGTCGCCTCCGATAATTAAATTCATGGGAGACGTTCCCATCCTCAATATATGGAACAACGCATCCACGGCTTGCTGCAGTTGCATGGGATACGTCGCGTCGGGGGAGAGAGCGTATTGCAAGAACGCAACCGCAATCTCCTCCCCCTCCTCAGCCCCCCCCGACTTCACGTTTTGCGATGATAGCAAGTATGCCCTGGCACACCACTCAAAGTGTCCCCTAATCGCGGGCACGACATACCCGCCTCCATGAAAAAACAAGACAAACTTCTTTGCCCTCTTGCGATCGCCAATCCACAAAAGCGAACTCTTCCCGTCAGGCAGGATCTCAATATCAACCGCCAATCTTGAAGCCAAAAACACAGCCTGTGCCTTCTTCTCGTCGCTATCCTTCCCACTCCTGCTAGCAGCCAGGGCTTTACTCTGCGCCCGACGCAACCAAGACTGGTACATGGCCGCGGTCGACGGCTGGATGAACTGGAGCTCGCGCGGGGAGAGCAGGCCGAAGCCGAGGCGGAAGTAGGCACATTTCAGCCAGAAACGGAGGGAGATGCCGCGGCGGAGAGCGAGCGTATAGCAGCGGAGGATGTTGAGGAGGAGTTGAGGGGGTGCTGTTGATTGTCATTAGTCCGACTGTTTGGTGAGATGGGGGATTTGAAGGATTGAGACAGACCTAGGAATAGGAACTTGAACAGCAGCCTCAGCTTCCCGATGAGGGAGAGCCCCTGTGGGCTGGTCAGTTGTCGATCGCGCGCCGCCATGATGATTAAGAGTGTTGATTGCGACGACGCGTCGCCCAAGCCTTAGCTCGGTGCGTGTCAGCTGCGCATTCAAGGCCTCTAAAAGTGTTTGGGCAAGAATGAAGCCGTGGGGGGATTTTCCTTGCCAGCAGCAATCTCAAAATAGGCAAAACACAGCTCCCAACCCTCACATCAGCCGTGCCGGGAGCGTGGTGATGGTGCTGGGAGCCTGCACACGCTGGCAGAGTCAGGTGAGGGCGGTCACTCGAGCCGAGATGGTTTTGCCGAGGCCGAGAGACACGCAGCAGCACAACAACCGTTTTCTTTCACCCTGCATGTGTGCCCGCAGCCAAGCGTTGTGCACCGAAAGCCAGATGCGCATTTGGCACCCAAAATTCAAGGTGGGGCCGCTAACGATACCCTGGGGTGTTTACCATTAGGCTCCATGACAAGGTTGCTGCGTATCGATGACCCTATTACTGCCCTACCAACGTAAAGCCGTATCCAAACATCACATAACTCCATTTACAGCACTACTCTGATCATGCAAATTGAAATGTACAATGCCATTAGGGAAGGCTACGAATAACAAAATTACAGAAAGAGCGCCTGATAAGGGTTCCTATATATGTGGGTTAACTATGAAGTATAGGGGCTTAGCACGCAGGCTCAGCATTTCAGCGTTTCAAGTCCCCACTGCCCAGGGACGTGCCCTGACCAGGACGAACTGTTGTAATGTGTACTTACTGTTTAACCCTCATGTGTCGAAAAACGTGCAACACCATACTTCAACGATAAACTACCTGCTAACTATGAAATGAGCAATGACCTCTTGATAATGAGTCCTGAACAGTTGGTAAGATGTAGTGAGACGGTGTCATGCGCAAGCTAAATCCCAAACGATTATTCTTCCCCCTGAACCGAAACCTGAAGTCAATAGTCATTGCATCGCGCAATTCCCAGATGTTCAACGGTCGGATAGCATGAAAAAGTCGAGATATCATCCTGAGAGACCTGTGTTTGCTTTGTTGCTTAGCTCTCTCAAGAATATAACGATATAGGGCAGTAAGCTCACGAGGAATTTCGTCAATGTCGTTCCAGATTGCTTCTGGGCTGTCATGACTCATTAGAGTGCGGTCCAAAATTTCCTGCGCCACAAGACGTTCCCATATAAAAACTCCAATAGCTTTGCTGACAAGGACCTGAATCATCTAGTCTCTCAATGTAGACCCAAGCTTTGCCTTTGAGTACATTGCAATGTCTCCCTTGTTGTACCTATGTGCTTCAACCAGAGCCATATTTTGCAGGCAATGGTGAAGATTAAAGTATTCTCGAGCGTCGAAGCAGATTCACAGCTTGAATCTCAAATGACAGTCCTTTGCCTCCATACTGATATTGAGGAGAAACCTGTCCGTGGCGTGGATTAAGTTCATAGCTGCCTGTGGATTTGCCTCCTTTTGTTGGAGAGGAGTGTCGGTATTGTCTGTATCGGCTTCTAATTTATCTAAATCATCTAGCATAACCCAGATATTATGTCTGTGTAGTGCCTGGCAAACAGCTTCTTTCCAGTATTCTTCGAGTTCTCCTCGCTCTCATCTCCAATTACTGTTCGCCATGGAGCCCATTGACTTTATTTTGTTCAATGCCGCAACGAATCTTTAGGATGTCTGTATATTTAGTTCTCCAAGAATTTGGTGAAGTAGGAAACAGTATAGCTCGATCGGCGTCTTCTGGAGTTTGAGCCACGCCCATGGATGAAGAAGGAACAAACTACGGACTGGTCAAGTTTTGCCTTCGCCTTTAAATGCTCCACCAGCAAGTGCATGAGAGTCGACTTCCCAGAGCCAGGTTTTCCCTGTATCCATAGGAATCTGCAGCTTTGGTTCGAAGTCCAGTTTTGGTATTCAGGGTGTTCCAAAAGCTATGTGCAGGTATTTTCTGTGGGGCGGTATTCGTCAACCTTGAAGTGATTGTATCTACTACTACCCATATCGTGGAAAGCAAGTGAGCGGAGAATATCTAAACTACAATTATCGTCAATCAGCTGTCTACAACATGAAGCTGCTAACATTTCAGATGCGACGATCAAGGCTATACAGCATTGATGATCATCAGAAAAGAGTTAGAACGAGCAAGACGACGGTTAAATTTTGACGAAGCTTCGACACGCATGATCCTCACAACAATCTCACATACCACTTATCTCGCCATACGATGCTTGCATGTGACCAGATGTTCCTCCGTAGGATGCCTGAGAAGAGAGCATCATGTCATGAAGATAGTCGAGCAAACGGATATAGCCAATGTCCTCATCTGAAGAGAATTTTATCATCTCAGAGTGGCTGGCCGGAACTAAGCATATGGAGCAGTTGGCTGGACTTTAATACTAGTCAGGGCCTCACAGTTCGGACTCCGGGGGGCAAGCCTGGGACGCTGCCCCAGGGCACCCTATCCTGTTACCATACCTCCCTCGCTCCCCTCACGAGCCCGCCCCAAGGCCAAAGTGCTGATCATTTAGATTCCGAGCCTAACGACCCAAAGTGGGTCCCAACCAGGCACATACCTAAAGCCGGCCGGTTTCAAGAGCTTTCCCCTGTACATAGTGCACTACACTCCCTCTAGCCCACGCCGGTTTTACCTATGCGGCTTTTTCCTGGCGTTACCTGTATTTAGTCCAACTTAGGTAGCTTTTGCCCGCCGACGTCGTGGGCACGACCCAGCAACCCTCAGTGGTGAACCCGGTCGAAAGATAGAATAAAGTATAAAGCCAAGGTCAGCAAAGGGTCCATGTCTTCAACTTCGATCAAGTAACCAAGCCAAAACACCTTACTGCTGACTTTTCAACAATTTCTACCTCCTTGAACCCACCCCCACCATACTTCATTACCTTTGTTTTTACCTTCTCAAAGGCACAGACAATCAAAATTTCCTTTCCCTCTTTCTGCATACCCCGAATAAGGTTGAAAGACTCATCATGCAAAGCTTCAAGGACTTCATTGTCCGTCTGAAGCACATCAAGTAGTGATGTGCTCACCGAAACAACAGGCGTCAAACCAAGGGCAGTCGCTGCCCACTTTCCCAATTGAGCAGCAACAGTCCCTGTATGTGGGGTGCTTAAGAAAATGATACCCCTGAGTGAAGTTAGAATGGATTTATATTATAGCATTTCGGCCAAGGGACGATCGGGATGCTTTCTTCAAACTCTATAAAGATCAGCGAGAAGGTTGTTTGCGTGATCAGCAAGATGGTTTTTCGATGCCCCAGAAGACTTAACCACATATGCATCGTAGCCAGATGTCAAAAGATGAGCCTTTTTACATACATCATCTTATGGGAGAAACTCCTTTAGCATGGTGTTATTGTTTTATGTGTCCATGTCGAATCTCGACTGCCTGAGAGTCCATGGATGAAGCAAATGTCGGCGATAGCTCGCTCAGGATTGTACCAGACGAATATGCCATTTTTGAAGGTGCGGGAATCGAATGTATCTCGCTGATGTGTTGCTTGCTGTGGTAAGTAGGGAACTATGTCTGAAATTGTACTGTGGTTGCTGCTACCGTCACCCGGGGATGCGCGTGCACTACCGGTAGGTGACGTATTAAATTGCCAGTCCATCGTCTCTGATGCCGGGCTTGCCGTTTTGAATAGGGACCAAAACCTGTGCTTTCCTATCCGAGTTTCGAGATCAAAAAGGAAGACTCGGAGGATACGGAAAATGAGGATAGCAAGCTAGAGCACAGGGGACAGAATCTTGTTTGATAGGGTGAGAGGCAAAGAGTTATGGATAAGTTATCAGTGGGCTTCCGGTTAGAAAGGCGGCTGAGTGTGGCACCAAAGATCGGGAGGAACTGTGGGAAGCGTTTAGCATGGAGAAGTGGGCTTTGGGGGTCGTCAAGCATCGTACTAATTACACCCTTGTCAATCTTGTTCTCCGGTTGAGTTAGCCATACGGACTGCCTATTACCTGAAGAGAGGCTAGGTGGGCGATGCCTTTACTGTGGTATATGCCTTAGCACCAAATGGTTGGTGCCCCACCACCTGTAGCTTGGTGGCTCCGAAGAACTACCCATACATGCACTACTTGTTCTACGTATTCGAGTTGGAATTAAGCTGGGCAGTACACCGGCCAAAATAGTAGACTGAAAAGTTAGGGATGGTTCCTGGTAGATCTGTTACTGTGGTCCAAGCTTCCATAGCCAAGAGTCTTCGCTTGCGATCCTGAAGTGCAGTGACGCTGTGATATCTCGTGGCGTGACTAGGCGATTAACCTCAGCGCAGGGTTGTGCTGCCTGGTCCCGTTGACAGCTCAATTCCAATTCGAACGAGTTGTATACGGGAGATATCTCCCAGTACCACCTGTCGTGCGAGCCGCAGGGTTGACTAGTCGTGGTGGCCATCCACCTCGTTGCAGGCTTTGCCCTCTGCTCCTCGGTTTTCTGCCCCTCAAGTCTTCTCCTTCTCAGCCCAACTTGGTTGAATCTTCACTTAGAGCAGCTTCCCAGAGTCATCATTAACATTACCCTCCATCACGCATTCTGACTATATGTACTTAGAAAGAGCAGCAACGTTTCATGCGTTCATGAGGTGCAGGTTGTGGATATGTATGAAGCGCTCGACTGACCTCCCAACGTTAGGAAACGTCACGTCCGACACTTGCACCACCATCACAAGCCACAGAAATCTCAACATCACAGCAACGTCCAACAGAGCAATCAACAGAAGATAGAAAGATAATATTGGTTCCCTAGAGTTAGGGTCATCAGCTTGTAGATCCAACTTTGTTCTTGATTAGGCGGTTAGGGTTCGGGTTAGCCGGTAGGGATAGGATGCAGCCAACATCCACCCATTCGCGAAGTTGCATGTGGAGAATGAACGCCGCACGAGATGCCGAGGAATTCGGCGAGGACGGGACGATTTTTGTCCGCTGGGAAGGCCAGGGGGTAGGCCTTGGGGACGGGGACCAGAAATTGGTGGAGTCTCTGCGTTCCAACAACAACCTGGCGTCAGAGCTTCAACATCAGATGGAGAATGATCTACCACTTTCTGGTGGTCTTGCTACCAAAACAGTGTTGACATATCTGTCGGTTACAAGAGCGTTGGGTAGATACCATATGGAGAGAAAATAACACAACTTAGGGAGGAAAGGAAAACCGAAGAGGTCAACGACTAAACACAGTTCAACAGCGCCTGAAAACATACGACCTCAGGAAGTCGGCCCCGTCCCGCCCAACTGACCACAATGCCAAGCGTCTTGCACCATAACCGGATGTTGGAAAGGATGGACCTATCGCTTACATGACAACGACTTATGCCTAATATAGCCGTCGGGTCCACCCCCAGATTGGGTTCGGATGTGGAGAGCATCTTAAGCGCAATGACCGGCCTTAACGGCATCAGGAATATCTAGAGGTAAGCCCAAGCCATATAAGTTTCCTAGGAAGAGCCGATGACTGACCCTGGCCCCAATCCTCACAACAACCTTCTAGCTCCAGTCACAGAGGTTAGTTACCACGCATTGCACCAAGATGGCCACCTACCGCGAATATGGAGGCTTCCACATCGACACTCTCGGCCGCGCCGTACGCAAAACCCTTTTGAACGAGAGCATCACCCTGCCCCTCGCCCTAGCAGCAACCTACCTCTCCCAGCCCTCTTCCGCAGCCATACTCACCAAGCTCCTCCACTACATCACCACACTCGGCATCAACCCCAAGACCCTGAACCTCCCCAAGTTTGCCCGCCTGGCACTTTACTTAGGTGCCACAGGCCTCGCCCTAACCACTAACGATACCCTCAACAAATGGGTCGCGAACAACTGGACGCGCAACAGCAGGAGTGAATGGGCCGACTGGTCCAAGGAGATCGTTGTCGTAACGGGCGGGAGTAGTGGCATCGGCCAACACATTGTCCAAGGCCTTTTGAAACGCAATCCCAGGACTACCATCGTCATTGTCGACTTTGCCCCTCTCTCATGGGTTCCTCCAGAGGGTATGCTCGGTAAGACTCTGCATTACTACCAAGCCGACCTGAGCAAAGCCGACGTCGTCGAGGATGTGTGTGCCCGCATCCGCAAGGAAGTTGGTCATCCAACAGTCCTGGTCAACAACGCGGGCATCTGCCGCGGCTTCACCATCGCCGACGGCACCTACGCCGACACGGACGCCACGCTGCGGACCAACCTTACGGCCCCCTTCCTTCTGATTAAGGAATTCCTCCCCCATATGGTCAGCACAAATCACGGACACATCGTCAACATCAGCTCCATGTCCGCCGTTGTGCCGCCGCCGGAAATGGTCGACTATGCGGCGAGCAAGGCGGGGTTGTTTGCCATGCATGAGGGGTTATCACTGGAGCTGAAGTATAGGTACAAGGCGCCGAAGGTTAGACTGACGTGTCTATTGCCAAATTTTATCCGAACGCCGCTCCTTACGGGGAAGGCGAGACACCCGAAGCAGCCGCAGTTTTTCGCACCGTTGTTAGATGTTGAAACTGTAAGTGAGAGGGTGGTCGAGGCGTTATATAGTGGGTATGGAGGGGTTCACTACCTTCCCGGAATAATGAGGTACATTACAATGCTGGTAGGTTTTCTGCTGGAGTTGAATTTCAACTCTGTAGATGATGCTAACGACTTGCTACAGAAGGGTGGCCCTGAATGGCTCTTCCGGACTCTCGTCTTCAGCACCACCAGGAATATGGACGTCGAGTTCAAGGGACGGCAGAAGATTGATGAGACTGGTGGTCTGATGGCCAATTAGGTCTTCAGCGTGATCCTACCGGATTTCTTGAAATTTACTTCTTGTCTGTGCTTACATTTACATGCGCGTGTACATATTTAACTCCTGCCATCTGCTTGGATATCTTGTTTTTTTTTTTTGGAATGATACCGCACTTTAGTTGAGCAGTCCTTCTCTCACTCTTCTACATCTACATCTTCCTCCTCAGGCTGGATCTTTCTTCCCTTCCCTTCCTCACCGAACCCCCCCTCAACCCCCTCTGAAGATCCCATCCCCCTTGGGAAGGTCAATCCTTCTTCAAACCCAACCTACCCTAAAACATTGTACCCCTCTTCGTACGATCGGATGCTTCTCTCTGTCCTCGCGACGTCGGAAACATTCCGAAATCACTACATTAGATGGAGTCTTTACCCCAGATCTTAGAGACCGGCGCAGCTTGGCATCTCCAATTCCCCGCATTTTGGGCTCCGGGGGAGGTTACATCGGATGTGGGGAGCCGAGGCTGCGGGACCGTCCCGGGTCGGGACAACATTGTCAATTGCGCCTGTGACGGTTATACATGGGATGAACCTACTTTCACGAAGGGGAAAGTGAAGAGTTCGGTCTTTTAGGAGTTCACCGGTTATCTTCGGGGTGAGACTGAGGGTGTAAGCTGGCTTTTCGAGGAATTTCATTTTCCATAACGTCAAGCGCCTTCAATTGAACTTTTTGATCCCGCAGCCTGCTTTCAGACTCCTGTCTCCTTACCAAACCCCCAATACCCTCTCGTGGAATCCCACTCCATCCCTAACTCATAACAATGACGGTCCCAGACTCTCAAGACATCTCCAATGGGCAAATTCCCTACACCCTCTTCGCCTGTATTGGCACAGGCTTCACCGGCATCTGCCTCGGTGCAACCCTCCGCCGCTGGTACGGCATAACCTCCTTAGCCCTCTTCACCCGCGACACCGAGCTGGGAGGCACCTGGTGGCAAAACCGGTACCCCGGCGCAGCTTGCGATGTGCCCTCAGCCTTGTACTCCCTTTCCTTCGCGCCGAACGCAAACTGGAGCAGGATTTTGCCTCCTGCCGACGAGTTGTGTGCGTATCTAAAAAGGGTTGCTGAACAATATGGCTTGGTGGAAAAAACGAGGTTTGGGACAGAAGTTGAGAGGGCGGTTTGGGCCGAGGAACGTGCGAGATGGAAATTGACTGTAAGGGAGATGAAGACGGGGAGAAGGTTTGAACACGAATGTAGCGTGTTGATCAGCGGAGCAGGGCAGTTTGGGAGTCCACGGGAGCTAGACATTCCAGGGGTTAAGAACTTCCGTGGACCGGTTTTCCACTCTGCGAGATGGAGACATGACGTGAGCCTGGAGGGCAAGAGGGTAGTGGTGTTTGGGAATGGGTGTACGGCGGCACAGATTGTGCCAAGTATCGTTGGTCAGGTGAAGCATTTGACGCAGATTGTGCGAGCAAAACATTGGGTTTATCCTCCTGTGGATGCCAGGATTCCGGAATGGGGGAAGGCGGTGCTCAGGACGGTGCCGGGGCTCACAAGGATAATGAGAACAGTGGTTTATTATCTTGCTGAAGAGGATTGGCAAGGGTTTGCAAACACCAAGGCGGGGAAAAAGTTTAGGGAGAAGAAGAGGAAGCAGGTGGAGAAGTATATGAGGGAAACGGCGCCAGTGAAGTATCACGACTTGCTGATCCCAGATTTTGAGATTGGGTGCAAGAGAAGGGTTTTTGACTCGAATTATTTGGCCAGCTTGCACTCAGAGAATCTGACGCTTACAAACGAGAAGCCGCTTGAGATCGTGGAGAACGGGGTCAAGATGGAGAGCGGGAAGGTCATTGAGGCGGACGTTATCGTGCTAGCCAACGGTTTCAATACCAACAGTGCTCTAAGTGACATCGAGATTGTTGGTCGCGGGGGCGAGACGCTTGCTCAGCATTGGGAGAGATTCGGCGGCCCTGAGGCATACAACTGCACCTCCTTGAGTGGCTTCCCGAATTTCTTTCTCATCCTAGGTGCGTCCATCCTTTATCCCATGAACGTTCTTGACTAAACGTCTCGATAGGTCCAAACACCCTCACAGGCCACACTTCTGCGGTCATGGCCATCGAAAACGGCATTAACTATGCCCTTCGCGTGCTGAAGCCCGTCCTCGAAGGTCACGCCAGCATCGCCTGCGTGAAGCATGAAGCTGAAGAGGCTTACTTCCAGCGCATCCAGGCTGCCCTGAAGGACATGGTCTGGACAGGCTGCAACAACTGGTACAGCCGTGGACCAGGTGGCAAGGTCTTTAACGGGTCGACGTATCCCTGGAGTCAGGCATACTATTGGTATGCTTGCTTGTTTCCTGTGTGGAAGGACTGGGAATACAGCGTAAGTGCGTCTCGAAAAGATTTACTGAGTTCGTCCACACTAACAGCATCGATAGGGAACAAAGCATAAGTCCGTTATTGTGAAGAAGCCGCGAACTGGTCTCTGGGTCATCAGTCTCGTCACACTTGTCAGCGGTCTGTTGGCGTGGACAAAGGGTCATCCAACTTCCCGTGTGGCTTCTCTGCTAGCTGCTCGGACCGCAGCGCTTCCTCTTTTGGTTGCTTGGGCCAAGGGTATCTTGCGTCTGGCTTAAGTGGAGAACCCATCTATCATTCGATCATCAGTCGCGTTGGCGATACCCTGTTCGTGCACATATCTGTACAAGGTAACTGTGACTCATCATTCGTCTGCGTAGATCAATTTTACGCTTCTCCTATTAGTGACCTGCTAGCTCTGCTGTTGGGGTGTTCTTTTGAGAGCGAGATTTGAACCTAGAATCCATTAGAGCTGCGCATATCCACGCCTGACCAAAACCCAAGTAACCAAAATTCCTCTAAGCCCAACACCCATAGATATTCCACCGTTGCTATTACATCAAAAAAAGCCGCCGGCGATTACATCAAGTGACTGATCCCAATTAAACAAAGCTGCGCCACCAAACATCTCAGATTCGGCAGCAGTGAACTGCCATTGGAAGTTCGCTCCTCCAAGCCCGATTTCATTTGCATGGGACGTCGGCGCTCCCTGTACACCGTTCACGCTTGTTGATGAATCATCTGTAGACATCAAGAGTCTCGGGGCTGTTCCGGCACGGGAGGACGGGGGATGATCCTTGTCTTCCAGAACGATGTTAATTGAAGGCATAACCATACTAAGAGTTCAAGAGAAAGCTTACCTGAGCTCACATGGGACATGACGTCCGCGTGAACCTTGCGCAGGAGTTTCAACGATCGATGGGCTGATATACTAAACGACGCAAAGTGTGTCAAGATCTCCTGGCATGCCATCCAGGCACTCTCCAGCCGCGTCTTGTCGAGTGACTCGACGAGGGCAGGGCAGAGATAGGCTAGGATAACGGCTAAGCCTCCAGTGAAAGCATCTTGCGGAAATTGTTAGTAAACAGACCCAAAGTTGGAGATATAAAACAAAGTTGCATACATAAGCCATCCCACCACCATCCCCCAGTGGTTTTGGTGCGGTATGTACAGCGAACCAGTTCAATTAGGTCCATAGCAGCGCTCAGACAAAGCCTAGCGCATCCCGAGGCAAAAGACTTGAACAATTCTTGGCTTGCGGAGTCCGGTCGAGTGGGTGAGGCAGGCTCGGAAGCAGTATTGGACTCTGCCCCTGCGCAAAGACGGGTGAGTATTGGACGATGCAGCATCAAGCGGAGGTACAAAAAGCTAGGAGATCGGTGTTAGTTTTGTCTCGTGAACTCTGAGTGAGGTTGTTGACATACCTCCCCCTGAGCACAGTCCTTTGGGTTATTATGACCCGTTGACGGCTCTCATCTAGGTGACTAATATCACAAGGGTTCTTCCACGACAGCAGCGGATTGACATCACTTTCATATCTCGTAAGTTTGTCGTCGAGCTTGAGAATCTCATCCATGCCATGGGGCCTAGAATCCTCCTGGTAGGCAGCCGTATATGGTCCTGGTGTTCCGCCCTGGGATGACTGGTATACACTGGACAATATCTCGCCCAATATCCGGCATTGCCGGATGTATTCGAGATAGAAATTCATTCTCGATGGTACTGATGGTGGTAGTCGCTCTTCGCCATCGAATTCTTCTGTCGACGGAAGAGACAAACTGGGCAAGTGTGCTGTCATGGTCGGCCGTCCGTAGATCATGCAGACGATCCTACTGCCATGTTAGTAAAATGAGATTATGGCATGTCTTGGGAAGCAGGCAGAACGCACATGTCCAGTACGACACATCCATGCCACGTCCTCCTCCGTATCTCTGTCTCTAGGGGTGAACGGGCAGTCCGGCCTGATTCAGTGTGTAAGCCCAGTCCCTGAGCCACGCGACAGGCCACTCCCACAGAGTTCCAGCACCTGCTGGCAAAGGGAGTACTTTGCAGCAATAAGGCCATTAGTAGCAGGGCCTGGACAACCCCAACATTGTGCATGTCTAAAAAGTCCAACCCCACAAATGCCTTGGCCCGGTTGAAGAAGGTTTCAACTGCCGTCAACTTCTCTCTGGGGTTCAAATCCGCAAACTGGCAGCCAATGGCGAAGATACCATTCAGAGCGCAGTGAAAAACGATCGTAGACGAGTCTGCTCCAGGAGAACTCCCGAGCCCCAGACCTGTCATAGAAGGCCCAGCGGGCTGCTCATGTGCTGGTCTCCACAGACTCTCATAAGCTTGCATAAACGTTGGCTTGTGAAAGAAGGGATACAACCAGTACACTTTCTCGAAGAAGAGCCCTAGTAGGTGATCTGCCAAGCTCCTTGGAGGTAGGGTAAACTTGTCTGCATACGCAAACTGTCCCTGAATAGATGCTCCGGGACGCATGAGACTAACAGGCAAATCCGGGACCCTCGCTGAACAGCTTCCCTGCTCCGGATGACAGGGCTTGTGGGGCTTGACAGACTTACAAGCTTCCTTCATGAACGAAGCCGCTGACGAGCTGCCGTAGAACTCATTTACAGCTTCAAAGGCCTGACACGCATCGTCCTCAGTGGAGACCGTGCCCATGGCCGTGATACTGGTCCTGATCTCTGTGTCATCAAGCCTGTCAGGCTCGGGAGTGCCAGCGCTGTGTCGGCAGCGGGATACAGCCGGCGAGGGGGCATGTTCTGGCAGGCTCCGAGTAGGGGGGTCTGGGGGCTGCAGGGCAGTTTCGCCCGGGCGAGGAGCGGGGTTCAGAGAGTGGGGGTCCGTCCGGGGCTCGCTCGGGGACCGGGCGTCGTCACTGACGGAGTCGATGGGAGGAGTGGGAATGCCATGGTCGGTACACAGCCGTTCTAGTCGGCGAATACGGTCGTGCAAGACCCGAATGTAACTGTGGGCTGGTGTCAACCGCGGGCTGTCATCACAACACAAGGAAGATCAAAATGTACATACGCCTCGTTGCTGGCCGTGCGAGCGTTCTCCAGCGTGTAAATGCACTGGTGGAGCGGCAGCGAGCGCCGTCGACAGGTGGAGCAGATCGGCTTTGCTCCGTCGCAACGCGATTTGCGGATGCGACATGGTTCGCAGGCCAGAGGTATCTTTCTCCGTCGTTGACGCTCGCTGCGACCGTCTGGGGTCATCCTCGGAGCATTCGGGGTGACTGTCAGGTGAAGCGGGTTGCCGCCGATGCTTGTGTGTATGGCGTTTAGCGGCGTTTAGCGGCGTGTTTGCGATTCAATAGTTGACCCTGTTAAGGGCGAGAGGGTTCGGCCAGATCCCGCAGCAATCGCGAAAGGCACAGTTTGCCACCGGATGACGCGCGCTAAACCTGGAATTTGCTGGATTGATAACAGATAAAAACGACTTTAAGTATAGCGACTTGTTTTGAGAGAGTTGTCAAATTCTCAAGATCGACGCGACGGGGCAAAAGGGAGAGCAGTGAACTTGTCGGAAACCTCCCGCAGACCCCTAAAAAAAATCGGAAGCATCCCAGGTCCGGAAGCCTCAGCCAATAAAAGGCTTTGTTATCAGCCCACCTTTCTTGCTTGGGCAAGTGGGGACTCCGTGATGATGGCGGGAAGATGCCGAGCTCGCCAAGATCTCAAAGCTCTTCATCAGTCGACTTTTCTTGTTATTCGAAGACTTGAAACACGAACAAAACGGTGGAATCGTTGCAGTTGTTTGAGGGTCGACTTGAGAAGCGGAATTCTTTTTACTGACGACAACTTGACACGCAAACCGACTGTTCTAATAACGTTTGGACGGCTAAAAATGAAGAGTATGCTCAATCCGTACTTATTGGTTGGCTAAAACCCTAACCCTCACAACCACACACATTGACAAATGCCATAAGAAAGTTTATTTCTCAGAATTCAGTCATTATTCTTTCTGTCCTTAATAATCGTCTAGACCATATCTGATAGCAGTATCCATTCTAATCAGTCCCCAGCATAAAATGAGCGGCTCTGCCACCCTCTTCTAACGCAACGCCCATGCCCTACCCACGAAGCTACCAACCACTATCAACTTGCCCCTCCTCTCAACTCGATCCCTTCACCGCGGCGGCGCCCGCCAAAACCACACATACACCGTCGGTAACTGACCCCCCCTCTTCTCACACCACCCCATCTCCCGAACAGTCCTCTTCATCATGACCTCATCATCCCCCCTAATATGCTCCTTCCAACCCCACGCCCCCCCGCCTTTCGGATACACCTCCCACATCTGGTTGAGGCTCTTATCCGGGTGATCGACACCGTTCCCCACAAACCATTGCTCCATTGTTGTGCTGGCTGGCACTTTCACCGGCATGAACTCAATCGCGTCATATGTTCCCGGCTGCAGCTTCCAGGGCTCCGTGGGACACATCAGCCGCACGACGTTCGCGTGGTCCGTTTGGAAGAAGTAGTTGTACCCTGGCTCGAGGCCGACGCCGCCTGTGGAGTTGATCAGGTTACCGGCGGGGAAGTCGGGGTTTATCAGGGGCGCAGGTTGCGGGACACGTCCGCTATTGTTGATACCGGATACATACTGATAATATTGGCCGTTGGCGTCAATCGCCCAGGTTGTGCCGATGCCGTTGGCGGGTAGTCCGACGCCTACGCCTGCGAAGGCTTGGGGTTGAGCAGGCTGGGCAGCGAGGGCGGTCTGGGCGGTCGCCATGCCACTGCTGTTCGGGTAGCCCACGTGGCAGTAGAGGATAGTGACGGGGCCAGCGGGGTTGGACGGGTTTATGGTGAAGTAGTAGGTGATTGGGGGGATGCCGGGACCGGAAGGCTGGGTCGTCCAGTGGTAGATGACGGGGGCTTGGGCGCTGCGGGTTGTGTAAGGGGGAGGAGGGCCGCTGTCAAGGGGGATGGATTGCGCTGCGAGGGAGTTGCCTGGAGGAGGGGGACCGGGATCGCGGCCGAAAGTCGGGTTGAAGCCTGCGCCGAGGTTGAAGTTGAAGGTCATTGCTTGCTTTGTGAGTGTCGGTTGACTGAGGTCGGTAGATGATATTGTGTGAAGACTTATCACCAGGGTTCAAGGCTGCTCAAGGGGTCGCAACTTGAGTGAAGTTGAGAGGTCGAAGTTCACCCAAGTGGACTGAGCGAATGTGAAGCGTGAGAGAAAGAGGTCGGTTTTCTTGGTTGGTAAGAAGACACGCTATATACTTCGCAGAATAGGGCTGACATGCCCCATGGTTAAACGTCGCAAGTTCGTCATTGAGAAGCTCTTCGTCTGTTCCTGATAGAAGCGTGTTAGCCACGTATGTTGATGAGTTTTCCCACTGACAGACAGAGTTCCGTTTGGACGTTTTCTCAACGATAACTCACCGTAATCTGGACTTCCTGTCTTCGGTCCCTGAAACAACCATGTGTCTTGCTACTCTTTGTCTGGATCCAACGTCGAAAAACGAACTCTAGATTTCCTCTCCGTCCGTGAATGACGAAGGAAATAAAGGTCCATGCTCTATGAAGCTGTGGCCTTTGCCTGCAGAAGACGAAACTCCGCTCACTGAATTGTCTCAGACTCAAGAAACCCTGAAATTGCTGACTGGTCGCTATATGTCGTTCGCCTCTGAACCAACCGTATTCGGCCACGATTTGTTCCAACCAGACATCTGGACTATCCCTGCTGTCGTCCCTCCACGACTAAGAAAGTGTTGTTCCAGCGAGCACTAGCGTGAAACCGCTCGCCTAGCCTAGCACGTGAAAAAGCTCTCAGACGACTGCACTTCAATCTCGTGGCTGTTTGCTCAATAGCTCACGTCTACCTCTTTTGACTGCTCGCCCTGAGCGGTCGATCGTATTTCAAGTCTAATCTTGATGCTTTGTGTCTGCAAACTCGGTTGATAAAGAGTCAACATCCAAGCTGGGGCACCATTTTATGTGTCAACTTACACGGACATTATACAAACAATATTGGCATGTATGTTGCAGCAAGGAAACTTAGCATTCAATGCTTGAATACTAATAAAGGCTCTTCCGCAACTCTACGCTTACTTCTGTTACACTCTTTTGCCTGAATTATCTTCATTCCTTTGCCGAAATGCCCGCTTTCGTCGGCTATTATGTAAATATTGTCAAGTAGTGTTTTCCAGAACAGAAGGTGACTTCGATCTGTCGATCCTACACAGTATCTGCTTCAAGACCTCACTTAACCCTGTGCTCGTTTACGAGAAGGATTAGCCGTCTCAACACAATGGCTGTCCACATGCTTTATGTCTAGATGGGCGAATCTGACACGTTACATGACTCATTGTCTCCGACGCACCTTAGCGGATCAAGTCTTTGTTGAAAAAGTCGGCTCGACACACGTGAATTAAACATGCGTTTGTGTTTTTGACACGTTGACTTCGCTGCCCGAGGACAAATAAACAGCAAAACGTTTCCTACGCAGACTTGGATCTCAATGTTAGTGTTGTTAGGGTCTTGAGTCATGGCCGGTAATATGCATCAGGTCACTCTTGAGTGGTACAGGCAAGCGTACCACTCCGAGGCTTCCAGAAAGCAGATAATTTATGATAGACAATGGTTGTTGACGGTATTGTAGCTCCATAAAAATGATAGTAGAGTACAGCGGAGTGATACAATGATGCAATCCCAGTCCTCGCAGGACTGAAAATATCAGCGGATAGCCCCAGCCTAATTCTGCCCCCATGTCCAAACGCAGAACTCCAGCACAACCAATCCCGAACGCCATTTCTATGCCCATAAATCCAGAACAAAGATACCCAGTTTATGAAGTCATCAACTCATCCCTCATCTTTTAACGACAGGTAGGTAGACACCTCCCCACACGGCCGCACTTAATCCCCAACCTCCAGGCCCACCAACCTCGCCCCAAATCCCTTCTTCCTCGCCTCCGGACTCCCACTCCTCGAAGGGGCCCCGTTCCCATTCTCTCCCTCCTTCGGAACAAGACTATCATAATACACCTCCGTCCTCACCGTAGCACAATAATCCCTCGCCCTCCAGTTCCACACATTCCTCCTGTACGGATCGGCCCCTGCCGCCAACAACGTCCTCAGCACTAACAGATGTCCGTTCCCACTGGCATAATGCAGCGCCGTGTTTCCCTCAATATCTGTCCTCGCGAGCGCGGCTTCGGCCCCGCCGGGGACGTAGGTTAACAAAATTTGCACAACCGTGTCGTGCCCCGACGACGAGGCGTGCATTATCGCATCACGGCCGCGCATATCTTGTCTTAGAATACAGCTCGGATCATGCTGGGCTAGGAAATGTACAACCTCAGTATGCCCCGCCGCAGAGGCCAGCATTAATGCGGTCTGGTGATCGTCGTTGAGGGCGGGCGTAGGCGATTCATGGCCCAGGGAGATGAGGAGTTGGACGATAGAGAGGTGCCCGAGGGAGGCGGCAAGATGCAGGTTAGTGTTGGCGTTGCCGGTCAGGGAGTGGTCTGGGTTGTGGAGCAGGTCGGGGTGGGTGCGCAGGATGCGGCGGACGAGGGGGGCATCGTTGAGGTGGATTGCGCGGCGCAGGCGGAGGGAGGGGTCGATCCTGACAGTGATAAGTATAATTTCAGTGCGAATATGTTGGTGACTTACATCTTGTATGTGTGAATTAAAGGCGACGATGGTTAGTCATGAGGATGAGAAGTGAACTGAGTCGAAGGATGGGAAATGCTGTGGTGTTGTGCTGCTGTTCCAGGTTTGCGGCGCAGCTAGCGGCTGGATGACCCCTGCATGGCGGGGCTGTCATAAGTGGAGCACAGCCCCACCCCCATATTTTCGATCCGAGTGGGGCAGATTTGCGGGACCACTGGACCCCTGCAATTTCTGCCATTTACGGAATTGCGATATCGGGTCTGAGGGTTCTTTATGATTATGAGTTAGATATTACAAAATGTTGCGCTCTCTTGCTTTAACCAAATGGAGCTGGACAGATCTCACAGGAAACCTGCTTAGGTGGGTCCTTGTTGCATAACCGCAGATCTGACCAAGTGGACCCTGTGACCCACTGACTGGCGAAATCGGGTACCGTACCTGGACGACCCGTGAATGCGGGGTTTCATGGAGGGACTTGGCCAAGGGGTGCTAATGTCTCTTCTTTCACCTTATCTCTACCTCTCCAGCACGTAAGGTTCACTCACTCTTTCAAATAACTCAGTTTGCCTATTTCCGGTATTGTCGGCTTCGTCATGTTGAGTTGGGTGAAGAGACGACTAGCCTCTTCTATGTTCGAGGATTACAGGGCCAGCAAAGCCAAAACTGGCTTTTTCCATCTTCATGTGGTGCTTACACTTGAGGTGAAGGCATTCTTTGCTGACTGACACATATGTACTTACCAAGTGTCAACTCACAATCCTGTTGCCAAAAAAAGGACCGACACTGACCACATCATACCCTCAACCATGATGTCTGACCCCATCAGGAGTATGAGTCCAACCTTCAATCCTTTCATGCGTTCTGTCGCTTTCTTCCATACATCGTATTAGTCGCACTCCCACACTATGGATATAACCCATACCTGCCCTCCCAACCCCTCCAACACGCCCGCCCCCACAGGCTGGGCCAAACTCCACCCAGAACTCTGCCTCCATGATCTACAACCTCGCCCGCACCCCGCCTCTTGTCCAATACGCTCCTCCAAAACGTCTTCTTTGCCCACCTCATCGACCTTCTGCACCTCCACTTCTTCCGCAAGATTCATTCCCTTTGTTTGACTACGATAAGCCTGAATCAGCTGCTGACAATTCCCCAGACCCTGATTTACTTCATTTCATCGATCTCGTCTCCCAGGAACGGCACATCACTTTTTCTGGCGACCGGTACATGTGGATCGGCTTCACCTGGATGCTGTGGAGCTGTCAAAGCCATCCGCTATTGAACAGTAAGTTCGAAGACATCCAGACGGTTAACTGCTGGGACTGGGATAAGGATATGAGCCCGCCACAGCAGTTGGCTGTGACGTATTATCGGAGGGAGGGGTGCGATGTGCAGAGTGTGGGGGATGTGGAAAATGAGCATGAGGATAGGATTTTATGTTTAATGGGGTTCAGGACGCAATCCGCGGAGGGATGTGCAGTGCAAAAAGGCCCAAAAGAGCTGAGATGGTGGGAGTGTCGAGATTGCGTGTATAACCCGTACTGGGTACAGTGTGAGGAGGAGGAGGAAGAGACGCAAGATGTGATGAAGCGTTTGGTGGATGGGATTAACAGAAGGCTTGGTAATTCTGTTGCCAATGATGATGCAACAGAGCCCTAGACAACAAGCCCCTTGACCTGCTTAAAATCCTTAACCTTCACATCCCTCCACACCAGCACCGACACAAAACTAATAACCTGCACCGCCGTAGACGCAATAATCATAATCCTCTGCGCATCCCCATACGCCCATTGAATCGCCTTCCTCGTTGGGCTCCCAATCTCATAAGAGAGCTGCTTCGGCAGCGAGCCGACAATCTCCGCCAAACTAGCCCTGCTTTCGGATGGGAGGTACTTCTCCAACTTTGTGGGGAAAATCCCACTCCATATAGCCCCTGCTACGGTTGATCCTATGGCACCTCCCACACTGGCAAACATCGCCTCCACCGCCAACACAACAGCGATATATTGATGCGTCGTTACTGCCATCACAGCCATCTGCTCACAGATCACCAAGGTTCCCCCGGCAACGGCAATAAAAATTTGACACATAACCACATAACCAATATTCACGTCCGGCTGACGGAACGCAGCCATCAGCCCAACGCCTAGTATCGTGACCGGTACACCGAAGTATAGTGCCAACCATTTGAACCGCCCCGACCATCTGACCGCGACACCGACGACAAGCGACCAGAAACAGCTCCCGATGGAGTATATGTTCATCACATAACTGGCGTGCGTCACGTCTAGACCGTTGACGACTTGCAGAAAGGAGGAGAAGTAGCTGTCCCAAATGTAGAAGGATACAAACAGTACTCCAGAAAGCACGCACGCTCCGAGAACGGTACGGTCAGTTAATAAAGAGTAGGGGATGAATGTTTTCGGGGCGAAGAAGCGTTCGTAGAGGGCGAAGAGGGGGATGAGGAGGAAGCCGATGATCAGGAGGGAGAGGATGAGAGGGGACTTCCAACCGGAAGGTTGGCGGGTGTAGAGGTTGAATGGGAGGAGGAAGAATGCTAGCCCGGCTGTGATGAGGAGCAGGCCGAGGACATCGAACTCGATGGCGTAGTACTTCAATTTCTCCCTCCACGACCTCGCAGAACCACCCCCCCTGCGCGCGGGAATCAACCCCCTCTTTCTGGCCTTGCGATAATTGATGTAAAACAATCCCAGCAACGGACTGCAAATAACAGGCGTAACAACAGCAAAAACTCCAAACCCCCACCTCCATCCGGGCCCCCTAAGGAAAGCATTCGCCAACGGGCCTCCAATCCAAACCGTGATGATATAAGGCGACGAGGCGAACGCAAACATCAGCGCCCTATTCTTTAGCGCCGATGTATCCGCGATAAAGACCGATATCGTGTAGCTTATCCCGTTATACCCAACCCAATAGAACACCTGCCCAGCAGCATACATATCGACTCCCCTGCACCCCGCCATCATGGCTAATCCGATCGTCAAGCACGCAAGCATGGACACAAACCCTTGTGGTCGTCCCCATATATCGAGGATCTTTGCGAGAGGCAGCTTGAACAGCCCACCGACAAGACTCGCAAAGATAGATGTAGCCGCGGTCAGGGAGTGCAATTGGAAGGAAGAGGTTACGTAAGGGGTCAAGATGGACGACATGCCTTGGTGGAGGGCGTCAGTGAAGTGGATGCACCAGATGCTGCAGAAGGAAGCGGTATCAGCTTCAGCTGGGACATACGACGGGATGGGGAAGGCGGTTGACATACGTGATGTAAGCTAGAATGAGATGGTTCCTTGTCCAAACTTTCGCGAGGGCTTCGACATCCTGCACGCCGGCCTGCGCATCTCGAGATATTTCGTCGCGGTCGGGGGTATCGGATGGAGGTGATGTCTGGGGGGCATGGTTGGCGGTGGTGGACTTTTCGCTTATCGCAGGTTTGTCGAGGCTATTTTGCGAGGGAGAGAGCTCTATATCTTGCTGCGACCATGAGATGGGTTCTTTCATGGTGAAGTTGATGAACCGCTCAGTCGGCACTAAGAGTTTGTTGGGAGTTGTGTTGGTGGCAGGGGTTGATGTGGACACGGCTATGCTGACAGCATGCGAGCCATGCCGATTATATCCTTGTTCACGATTGAGAGACTCCGTGGAGAAAAATGTTATGGTAAGTATAAGAATGAATATAGAGGTAAAACACTTCGAGAGCTGCTAGCTGGATCTTTACGGTTAGATGTTGGCAGATCTTAAAGACTGTTCTTGAGGCCGGTGAAAGGTTCCGCCAACGAGTTACGTGCCTGTTCCCATTCTGCCTTCCTATTCCCGCAGCTTCCATAATCGCTTACTCCCGCTGTTTACAGTTACATTCTTTGGTAAAACTTAACGGAAGGTGGAAGTGAACTCTCCACCCGGCGTTACACGACGTCATCTTACGGGTCAGTGCCAAGGATCCTGTGGTAAACCGGATAATGAAAGTTTTGGTTGGATACTTGGTATAGACACTCTTTGCCATCTTCCTAAACCTTCAGGATAAAATTTTAAAACTTATCATGAATTCAGCTGTTACTTATAGTTGGTCATCTTCCCCTAGTCCTCGACCCTCAAAACCCATCCATCCCCCTCTCTTTCCCCCAACGCATTCACCCCTCCCCACAAAACCACCCCTCGCCCATTCAGACACGAATCGGCTCCAAAGAACGCCCTCGACCCGGGATGGACCTTTCCCTCCTCCGTGATCAACTCTGCTGGCACGACCTCTGCCTCGTTCCATTTGAATTCCCTCGACCCTTCCCCTGGGATGACGTCTTTGATCTTGTCCTTGACCGCCGCAGTAGCAGCGCTGAGTCGGCGATGAAGAGGGAGTTGAAATGCCCAAACATCAGGACAGAAATCCCATCTCTTTGCCGAGGGGGAGACGGCGAGGCCGAAGAGGTATATTAGGTACTCCCTTCCATTGTCGATCTGAATGGGAGCCAGGTAGGCGCCGGTCCGGGGACGAGGGCTGGGACTGCCGGGGAGGATGGATACTGTGTGCCAGGCGAGGGCGTCAGCTTTCTCGCGTTCGACGGCAGAGCGGTGCAAGGGGAGGTAGTGGACTGTCGATATTGTGTCGCTTCCCTTATCTGGGGTATTGTTCGAGATGATGTACACAGTCCGGTTGACAAAAGCAGCGGCAACTGGGGGAGCAGGGGCCGAGGGGAGAGGGCTCCATGCTCCGCGGTCGAATTCGTACAGCCAGACTTCTTTCAAAACGCCCGCATCCTCGTCCCTGTTTGAGTCTGTTTGTCCTCCAACAAGGATCAGGTACTCTCCTTTGCTCTCCTCGTCGGAAGCAGGAAGTTGATCATCCAGGCCGCGGTCATCTTTCCCCCAAAACAACCAGTGTCCGTAGCGGGGTTTCATTTCGCCTTGCCCGAGGGGTGTAATATCTCCTGGGAATTTTGACCAGCTTAGGGTGTTGTGATTCCATTGCCAGATGCAATTCCCGTCAGTAGTTAGTGGCTTGAGCTCCCTTGTTTGATCAGCATCCTCCTTGTAACCTGCCTCTTCTTCCCTTGCTTCAGTGACAGGCTCAGAAACTACCCCCTTCCCGCCGTGAAGAAGAACTCTATGACCCCCCCTCGCACACGTCGCATGCCCACTTCTCGGAGCAGGGACGAGCACCTCCCCAGTCGACGGATCTTGGAGCGTAAAAGGCGGGTAGCATGTATGCGCCGTGCGGTAGTCATTTCCGCCATCCCCAGTTTGCTGCTCGTTTCGTTCCGAGTCTTCTGCCGGCTGTTGCTGATCCAATGCGTGATGGTGAGACCCAACGCCAATGTTAATTTCAATGTCGTCAGTATGCTGTGTATGTCGGTCCTCTGGCAGTGTGATGACGTGTATCGCCGGAGGGCAAAGTCTGCCATCTGAGTCTTGGCCCCCGAAGATGACTGCTTTAGCGTCAGAGAGGACGGTGAGGGTGTGGTGTGAGCGGGTTAAGGCCGGATGCCTACAATATAAGCTGTTAGTTATAAGTGAAAGTATGGTTGTGGAGGTAGAGAACTTGCGGTGTTGTTTTACCAGCTGGACTTGGGAGGTGTGTGAGCGAGAGCTTGAGCGGGGCAGGGGGAGAGGTGATGCTGCTTGCTGCTGCTGCGGCTACTTTGGTGGCAGCTGCGACGACTTTATCTGCCATTTCTGAAATAGTCGAAATGATTTAAGACTCACAATGATGTTGTATACCTCGATTGTCTCGTACCAGGCAACAAATTCCTTGGTGTTGAGGGCGTGATGCCAATCGTGGACATCTCGGCCGTTATGACGTCATCGACATCCATCGGGGACCAGGGTGGACCCTAACTGGCAGGCACCACTGGACCCTACCGCTGAACTGGAACCTTGACTTCGAGGACTTCGTACCCTCTGCAGTCCTTCCTGTATGTCTAAGTCTTAGAAGAGCGCCTGTCATCATCCTTCTCTCACCTGATTCACCGAAGCAGGCTATGCCATATATAATCCATCTCAGCCCCCAATTTCCCCCAAAACCGGAAAAGATCGCCCATATCGGCCCGGCCTGTCTCTATGAACCACACTTCTTCAACCTACTCCGTGTCGCTAACCGACCACTCTTTTTCCATTGACCGGAAAACTCGTGTAACCCCTGTCAGCACTCAGAGCAGGATGGTTTAGAATTATACCGAACGGTACAGCTATCCCGATACGGCCCTGCAGCCAAGGACAGTAAGTGGTTTGGTAAAGTCCGATGATATTGGTGACCGGTACGGCTGAAAGTTCCCCATTTTTTAGGCCTGAAAAGGGCACCTGATATGGAGCATGAAAACTAGTTATAGATAGGCACTGTATTTTTTCTGATGGGGCGCTGGCTTCTCTGCTACTGACTGGACCACTTCATGGACCGCGCAAAGAGTAGGTAAAGATTGGTGCGAGGATGGGTTCGAGAGTCAAGTCACTAAGAGGCGAGAGGGCATATAGTCGCGAGCCGGTGAAGGCAAACGTTTCAAGCAGCAATGCGGAGGACATGTGTAGGAAGGACGAAGCAGGATGCAGGCTGCATCTTGGGATCAGCGGGGGCTGCTGGTTGGATCAGGCTTCGTGATACGGGATTCCTCTCGGCGTAGCGCAACAGACAAACGACAGATGTAGAATATAAACCTTTGTAGACAATATGTTAAGTTTAATCAAAGAGACCTGTAATCAATAGCTATTAAGCGTTGCACTTCTCCATCTAAAAATGCCGTAAGCCAATGTGCTGTTAGCAGATACCATGGCCTCCCCAACGTCATCTGTTCCGTCGTCCCCAGCTACCTCCTCAAATGCCTCTGTACCTTGGGAAAAAAAGCCATCCGAAAAGCGCCTGGAAAAACCCTCCTCGTCGAAGACGCCCTGCACTCCAACCACCACGGCATCTTAGAGGCCCTCTGCAACCGCCACCAACACCATGGGCACCACCCCGGCAGCGACGATGACGGTGCCGGCCTCAGCGGTGGCAGCCAACCCCAAGGCTTCATTCCCGGCACGCTACTCCAGTTTATGATCAACCCAGAGGAAGTTGACCAAAAAAATCAAGGCCTTGGCCAAGGAAAATATCCTAATCGGAGACAAGATTCGGGATGCGCGTGTTGCCGTTCTCGAAGCTGTTGCTGCTTTTATTCCATGAAAAGACGAAAGAGGCTACGAGTGATAAAGGTCTTCGGGACACGGGGACACGGAGACGGGCTTTTACTGCGGAGTGTACAACATGGAGAATAAAGGCAACATCGAAGATGATGCGACGTTCGATCTGTTGCCGGGGAACGAAACCCGCATAAAAGAACAGCCACCGACGAATGACGAAAAAGGTGAACGAGGGGTTTGATATGGCATCGGTGGTGCTTAAGTTTATCAAAAAGTTTATCAAAAAGTCGTTTTTTTTTCTCTGGATACGACTCGTTGGATGGAAAGGGCATGCAGATCAACAGCTCGGTGAATTTCGGACAAGGTGTCGGGAATGCGTTCTGGCTTGGGAGCCTCGAGCAAATAGCGTATGGTGATGGGAAGAACCTTTTACATAACTTTACAAGGTGTGTTGATGTTATTGGGTGTGAGATGATGGTAAGTACCTGCTCACAACATGTCTTACCATACTAACAGATGATGTACAGCACGCCGTTCTCCAGTACAACTCGCCGCTGATCTATCGCAACGAGTCCGGCGCGCTCAACGAGAACATCGCCGACGTCTTCGGCATCATAGTGAAGCAGCTGTACGAGAACGAGGACGCCGAACACGCGGATTGGCTGGTCGGCGAAGGCTGCTAGCTTCCCGGCGTTTAAGGCGTCGCGCTGTGGAGCATAAAGGCCCCGAAAACAGCTTACGATGACCCGCGACTGGTAAGCCCCTCAACCCTCTCCCAATTTCCCATAAACTTATATTAACATTTATCGTGTAGGGTTTCCTACCTTTAACCAGACCACACCTCAAAAATTTTCCGAGCCCATGCGCAAGTACAGCACGTTCATCTACACGCACGACTACGCCGGCGTGTACATCTTCTCGGGCATCCCGAACCGCGCTTTCTACTTCGCATCCATCGCTTTCGGGGCGTGGAAGAAAGCGGGCAAAATCTGGTGGCGCGTGTTGACGAGCGGGCAGCTGACGCCGAATTGCACGTTTGTGAAGTTTTCAAATGCCACAATTAATGCTGCGAAGGAGCTATTTGGAAAATAGGCGGCTAAGATTGTGAGGAGCGCTTGGAATGAGGTTGGGGCGATGAGAAAGTTGTGAACTTGTAATGCGCTTGAGTCGTGAGCGAATCGGTGGATGTCTTGGTGTCATGATAAAATGCGAAGCAGTTATTGATAAGGGTTAGGGTAAGTAATAAGCCTCAATTCTATCTTCTGTCTTTGGAGTCGCCAGGCAGATGCCAACTTAAGTCTCGTAACTTCACACTGTTTCGCTGCGAATGCTTTGCGAGCGCGAACTCGTTTCGATCCAACGTATTGCTTGCTCTGGTTTTTTGCAGCAAAGTTACTCTAACATGGATTTTTATTTTCTTGTTACGACTGGCCGCTGACTTACCCCGCTTGCCCTGTGCGCTGAGTCTGAAGACGCCAGTTCGTTAAGCCATCCCATTCACCACCACATTTCTTCCAAGATGCTGGGTCACTCCACAAAGTTTCCAACACCTTAGCCTTCCAACACTACTGTTTTTCTTATTCCCCAAGTCAGACACTACGAGGGGCTCCTGGGCTAGTGCTTACTGTGGATATCTCCCCTCAGGATTCAGTAGCCTAAAAATTGTGGAGCGCTTTAAATTACTGTGTCCTCCAGGCACTCAGTTGTCTGCCCTCGAGGGCTGCAACTTTATTGCGTCGGAGGTTAGGACAGCTCACGTTATTGACTTCATCCAACCTCTTAATTCAGCACGTTGCCCTGCATCTAGCACCCAAATAAACTAAGCCACTTGGGCAGTCTGCACTCGGTTGTCTGCAAAATATCAAGTTTGGAACAGTCGACAGCTGCATCTGTTGTCAACAGTCTGGTCCAGAGGGCCAATACCCACGTTTACCCACGTTGCCCAGCGATGTGGCGGTTTGGCAGCTCAGCCTCACTGCGTGTGCAGCTGCACGTGTGATTGGCTGCGCCGAAGATCAAGCCTCAGGGTGAGGGGAATAGCGTAACCAGCGCGACGGGCTGAGTAAGGTCGACAGGGGTATTCGAGGTGCTGGGCTGATGGGGCAGAACATTTAATACTGCATGAAGGACTAGAGACTGTTGAACGGGGCACATCCTGAGCCTGTCTCAAAGTTTTGATTTTTTTTTCGAGCTTCCAGGCGGCAGCTACGCGTTGAGTCGGTTGTGTCGTCGGGTCTCATTGTTTCGAAGATTCGGTCAGGTTCCCGGCAAGCACACCTAACAATGGCGTCCTCACCCTACATCATCGGCGAATCGTCGCCGTTCCTCAAGCGCGTGCTGATTCCCTTCTGGGTTCTCCGTATCATCATCCTAATTGTCGAGGTTGGCATTTACAGCCTGTTGGTTGTCGCGTTGATCGCCAAGAAGGATGAAATCAAAGATGATCTAAAAGACGAATATAACACGAGCTTAGGCTGGTCGGCAGCCCTAGCTATCGCCCTTATTTGCGTGCTCATCTTCCTCGTCTGCCTGATCCTGGACATCGTCTGCATCATCAAACGCGCCCGGAGGACGCTTAGCCCACCATTCTTCCTCGGGGTCAACATTGGGCAGACAGTCTTTTTCACTATCAACTTTATTCTTTCTCTTATCGGGGCCAGGTCGAGTCCCATTGGTATTATTGTCGCCATCATTATCTTGTAAGTTAAAGGGTTACTTCCGTTCCAGTGTTCAATGCTAACATTTTCCAGCCTCTCCTTTTTTGGCATGCTTATCTACGCCGGTGTTGTCTACCACCACTATCGCAAGGGCACCCTCCGCGGCCGATACATACCGGCTCCTAATCCTGCACAAAATCTCGAGACCGGTCAGCAGTACGCCACTGGACTTGAGCCGCCAACGGCATATCCCCCCGAGACCACTGGCGTCATGGTGCAAACAACAGAGTATACTAGCCAGGTGTACACTGCGCCGATGTATATGCAGCCTCAGCCCTATGTGAGAGCTGCTGATGGGCTCGAAGCTGCGGCCGCCATCAGGAATACAACCAACAAGATCACGTTATGAGCGATAATTCTTAGTGCATGGAGATCTTTAGTCAACAATCATCATCAGTTCGGTTCAATTTAAATCCTTGGAAATGAGGTGCGATGTAGAATACCCATTGTGTTTTGGATATATGGATATATATATATACGTGAAGTTGGACGATGCTAAACATGTTGGTTTATTTTGAGCTGTTGTGTCCAAAACTTACTTACACTTCCTGTCTCAGAAATGACGTGAAGTTCAAAACCACAACTCATCATGACCCACCGCACCGGCAACCCATGCAACCGGGCCGGTCTGCATGCTCCGATTGGACATCTCCAACGTGTAGCATCTGACCCCCCAATGGCCACGACGCCAGACACGCAACGCTAACGCCCAACTTTGCGTGGTATTTCTGGGCAGCGATTGGCCACCTGGACCAACCAGCATCGAGCTAACGACGCACTTCTCAATCACTGGTTGGCCACGTCGAACCGTTGAAATACGACTATGCCTAGGCTCAAGTGGCCTCACCGTCTCTCCTGAACAAAGAAATTTCATGACCCCAGGAACTTACTCTCACTGTCGGGTCATGGGCGCCTTTTTGAGTTCAACACTCATCTTTCTTTGTTGCCTCAACTCCATCATCTCTACTATGCCCCGGTCTTTAACACACAGCACATAGAAACAGGAAAATGTCTTCCAACCCAGACGCAATTCCCCTCCGCCGCACCCGCTCCCGCCGCTCCATATTCCGCGAAGACTTCGACTCCCAGCACTCAACTCACTATCCCGACACCCTCAACCAGCCTGCAACGACCACCACACCCCCATCCCCAACGCCCCGCGACCTACGCCAGTCCGCCGCCGCCCATGAATTCGTCTTTGGCGGCCCTGGCCAACCAAAACCTCGCCGTTTAGGACTCTGGCACTTCCTCATCAGCCATGTCTCTATCATTGCGGCTCTTGTGGTCGGCATCATCTGTGTCGTTGTGTCGATAGTTTACACCAGCAACCTCGGCAAACGGGTGCTTGAATGTCCGGACTGGGTGAGGGAGTGCCCCGCGGCGGATGAGTGGACTGTTACGCATCTGGGGACCATCCAGGGGGTTATGACGTTGGTGTATACGATCGGCATGTTTGCCTTGGGGTATGTCGCTCTGGCGTTTGCGGAGACTGCGGTGTGGGCGGTGCTGCAGAAGCAGAGCTTTACGTTAAAGGTGTTGGACGCGTTTGTGTCAGCGACGAGGGGGAAGATTGTGGCGGTTCCGGCCGCGGTGCTGGCCGTGAGATCTGCGATTGCGGGGATTGTTTTGTTGTGTGCAGTTGTGGTGAGCCTGATGCCGTTTGTGGGGATGCCGTTGGTTGGGTGGGCGTATACGCCGGGGCTCGTTGGGAAACGGGTTGAGAGTGGTTATGTGCCGGGCGGGGGAATTACGGAGGTATTTGTGCAGGCGAACCCGCCCAACTCGGTGTTGGCTGGGGCGATGGTTGAGTATTACTCTTGGGCGAACGATCCGTCGGCGGAGCCAATGCCGGAGTATAGGGGTTGGTACATCGATAGGAAGACACTTAGGGGGAGGGGTGATTTCACCGCTCAGGCCGTCAAGCTACAGACGTCCATCTCGTGCGCTCCGCGCTCTCTCCTCCCAGAAAACTCAGGAGAAAATTACTTCTTCACCAACATGACGAAGACTGGCGACAATTCTGACCAGCTGCCGCAGATTAACCAAGACAAGGTCTGGGTCCACAAGACTCCCCACCTCGCAGTCTGGGTCGACGAATTCTCGTTCCTTTCTAAGCAGCAAACCCGCGCTACCCTCATCTTCGCCGCCTTCAACGGCACAATCGACGGAGGCGCAACGACTAAAGTCAACTTCGGAAACCTGGAAAACGTCTCTTCTATAGCTTGCGATATCAACATGACCGCTGCGGATGACATTCTCACTGTTGGAACAAACCCCCCTTCCGTCGAAGACCTCCCTCTTCTTTCTTCCATCGATACCCTAACCCTCCCCAGCTCTGCGTCTCAGGATACTCATCTCAATGAATTCCTCCTCTGGTTCGCAGTCGCGCCAGTTCTGACTGCACCGAGTGTTTACGGCAACCAGCCTTCTTTCCTCAACTTTAGCGCAACCGGTCTACCCATCCCTTATACTAAGCTGCCCTCCGATGAGGAGGATTACCCGACCCCCGAAGCCAATACCTGGACTATCGCCGGTCTTACAACCTTCGTCTATCTCTCCATCGGCGCAGTTGTCCAGTCAACCCTCTCCCAAACAGGCCCCGAACCCATCACCCTCACAACAAATGTTGACCTCCTCTCCTTCCTTTCGAACCGTACATTCCTCCTCCTCTTCCCTCCTCTGCTGACCTTCACCATCCTCATATTCTTCATGATCTACACAACCATGCTCCATGCTAAACACTCCATTCCCGTGCTTCGCCTCTTCTCGCTCCCCGAACTCCTCAAATCCTCCCAAACCCAATTCCTACGCGATATCGCTGGTGTGGATGCCGCCAAGGGCTATCTACCCGCCCATGATCTGGCAAAGACGAGGGTGAGGTTTGGCGTGGAGAGGACTGGGATGGGTTTGAATATGATGGGGTCGGTGGGGAGTTTGGGAGAGGAAGGGGAAGAGGGGGAGGGGGTACTGGGGTTGATCGATGGGAATACGATCCGGGAGGGGAGTTTGGGGAGTGAGGAATTGGAAGGGGATAAGAGGAGTGGGAGTAAGAGTAGTGTGCGGAGGGAGAAGAACGGGAGGGAGAGCAGGGGAGAGAGAAGGAGGGAGAGGGAGAGGCTAAGGAGGGACGGGGACGTGAAGAAGGTGCCGGGGATTACCTATATCTAGATCATTGTTTACAAGACACGATATATTGGATCGGATTATAGAGCTCATGAGAAGGTATGCCTGGCCTTGTTTTTTTTTCATGGCAAAGAAAGAAGGGATCATTGTCCGACTTCGTCATTGTACATTAATATATGAAGTACGGGACTGCAAGTGGTTATTTGATGTATAAAGAGATGGCTCGAGCTTGGAATCTCACGGAGAAATGACACGACATGGATAGTCATGCACAGGGATATGAAGTAAAAAAACACATCCTGAAGCACTTACGCTAGTCACATGAGTTAGTCATGTCATGCATAACAACGGGATTGATAGCCGCTGCTATGTTTAAGGGTTACATATAGATGCATATCACCTAATATCTTTTATCTTTCCTTGATAGGAATATCCAGGAACACCCAGTTTTGCCTTCGGCCTAAGTATGCCTGTATGCCAGAGCTCATGGTTCGTGTGCTCTAGATGATGATGTGGTCCTACTTTTAACCCTTTGATTAATGACCCCCACTGTTGCTACTTTGTGTACTATATGACTAAGTTATGTCAAGGACTCCCCAGTAATCAACAGCATAGGTGAAGAGAGATTTTTTTTTCAAGTCGTTCATCCGCCTCCTCGTACGTTCTTACAGGACCACTCGAAAATTCCTTGAACGAAAGGTATGATACGCAGGTATTTGCGATATTGAGATGGGCGTTTGGAAGCCACTGAGCCAAAGCACCCTGGAAACATTCTTGAACTGTATAGTGGATAAGTCAAATGATTTCGCTTTCTTTGTTGATGACGACGAGCCTTCAATATGCTGACAGCATGCCTTAGGCGTCAAGAATCGCGGTTTCATCAAGCTCGTCTTAACTGTCCTTGACAGCTCATGCATACTGAACATCTATCGTTTGAGAGGACATTTGGTATAGATAAGCAAAATAGCACATGGTTGGCAAGCTCCTTGTATCCAGCCGGTTGCCTATCGATTCGCTCCGTTGCGTTGTCATATGCCCGGCGTAATAGGGCAAGGTTGGGCTCATTTTTCTTAGTGTCATTTAAAGTTTTTTTTTCTTCAGTGCTTTACGAACAAGTTTTGCGCTAACTTTATTCTTCAAGAACTCGAAGAAGAGGTAAGTGAGTAGGAACCTGACGTTGTAAGTAAGCATATGCTTGATGGAATCAATAGCCCATTGGTCATGGAACACTAATGACTTCCATACTATCTGCGACACTAGCAATGCAATTGATGACCTCATGTTGGAAGTTCGGGTTCTTTGAGACAGCGCGCAAGTTGGACATCCGATTGCAGATGTGTCTCTCATTTTGCACTTTTTCAGCGCATCAACTATTACGGAAAACCCATCCTTGTACAATGCGGCAACAGCATGGAACATCGCCTCAAGATCGCTCAACGATGGCTGTGATCAATGCTTCTTGTGTTGAGCATGGGCATCCATGACTGCCGGTGGCGGCGGAAACTTGTCGCTGAGTAATTGATTTACGAGGCTGGCAATGAGCTGCTCCACGGTTTGGTCGTCTACGCACCGGAAGTTACAATATAGGTATGTGATACCAGCATCACGGTCTCCCTGGTTCCTTTGGAGATAATCATTGGCGATCGATACAAGGATAGCTTCCCCAGCACCAGGTATGCCAGGGCAGAAGAGATTTACCGGCTTTTTTGACAGCCTGGTAGTGCAAGTTGATCACGCCCGAAAAGTAAATTCAGGGTTTGCCATCGCTGATAGAGGTTTTCGACAGCTTCGCGCGCTTACCCAACATCAAGTGCAGCCTTGAGGCACTCCCATCCAAACCTATGACCATCTGCCCGTTTGTTCATCTTGGCGAGCAAATCTTGTAACTCGTCCTCAAAGATAGATAAGAGGTTAGTGGTGTCTGTATCTTGCAGGGGATCAAGCTCAGAAAGTAATGCTGAGGAATCGTCTTTGAAGGTGTTTGCAAATTTCGGGTCCGAGAAAAGATTATGGACTTGTAATATGGTGATATTGAGGGCCGCTGTGTTGAGACTGAAATTTTTCGCCTCCGCCTTAGCATCCTACCCGTTATTATAGGATTTGAAGTTATACTCCAAGAATTGGCAGGCCACTCCAATGGCGCCAACGATACCAGTAGGATCAAGCATGATAATACAAATGATGCCTTTGTAAGAGCATGATAAAGTGTATCAGAGCAGTAATTCAGAGGGTTAGATGGCGAAAGTTGTTTATAAGGGGAAAATGATGCGGAAAAGAGACGACGCTGAGAAGGGACTGAAAATCGTCCTCAGTCAGGGGGCAAAAATGCAACCGCAGAAGCTAATATAGTCAGACAGTGCAAAACCTCCTCGCAGTTTTTTAACCAAAGAGTTTTCAGCTTTGTTCTTTTTGCGAAAGACTTTAGAAGCCTTTTGAGAATGGTAGAGTCAGGAAGAGGTTCAAGATTGTGCTTAATATGCCTAACCGACATGACGACGCGGGGTCAGGCTGAAACATTAGCTCAAGGCAGTCAACGCCCATTGCAGAGTTGTTGTACAATCGTGTGACCCAAACGTGGTCTAATTAGTGGCGGACGCATCAACACAACTGTATATAGTTTAGTTAGAGGGCTATTGCACCCCGTCGTCGTGGGCACGACCTAGCATCCTCAATGGTTGAACCGTTCGAAAAACATAATTCAAGTCAATTCAATGAATCAACGCAACGCTGGAGCTGTAGACCCCAAAACCCTACTGCTTGACTCGGCTTGCTGCCCACCGCCCACAAGTCACAGAAAAGCTAGTTTGCCAGGTCCTTTGAAGGCCGCATAACCCCTTCTTTGTCGAAGAGATAGTTACGTTTCGAGGTTTAGCATGTATAGTCTTGACAGAAATTGAGCAGCCGTCCATAGCAGTCAAGCCTAATCACACGGAGGAGCCGACATCATTTGTCATGCTGGTATCTAGCGACTAACCGCAATGGATCGTAGCTTTGATGGTACAGCAAGGTTAATGGATTGTTTGCAAGGCAAGGCTTTCAAGACGGCCTAAGCATACGCCTTATCGCAGCAAAGATGGAGCCAGACTTGTTCGAGGACGTGTTGCCTGCGTTTTGACATCCGGCTAGATTCATTTCCAGTCGACGTATCTAGTAACAGGAATGTTCGAAGTAATTACCTTGCTCATTCTTGCCGAAAACTGGTGCATCTTTCTTCGAGTTGGTAGCGTATCCTTCTCCTCTCATCTGTTGGGTTCTGGAGAAAATACTGCTGGTCTTTATGTTTACAGAGCTGATCTCCCGTTGATCATAGGTTTGACGAGCAGAAGTGGAAATAACTTTGGCAGGGCGTCAACAGCCCAGCATCTTCCGACTCTGCGGACTCCTCACAATATCGAGCAATTTGACTCATCTGCAACTCATGATTTGCTACAAAGCCTCGAAAAGTTTGTACATATAGATAGAATTTCTACCCATCTAGGCTGTTTGGATTTGCAGCGCTCTCTGTTGCCGTTGGCCATCTTGCTGATGTCTTGGTTCATGATCAAACACACAGTCCGGTCGCAACAGCATCGCTGTTGTCATTACAACATGGTCCTTGCTCTATGCTCTAAACGACATTCCGGTAATCCATTCGAGTTAACTCGTTTGGAACGGTATCGCTAACAGCGGGATCAAAGGGATCTGGTTCTGGTCACCGACACATATCCTTTCTGGACTCCTCAGCTTCAGAAGCATGACAAATGAAGGCGTATCCTTACTCGGAAAATGATTAGAAGCAGTAGACCACCGTCCATCATGCGTACCATCTCGATCCCTGAATCTTGCTACATACGGATCACATCGATTGGGACAATACGCCTTGTTGATTGTCGTCGCTCTTGGTTAACCATGCATGAACAGGCTCCGAGTCCGGACCCATCAACCACTGTTGTACTATTCAGCCTGAAAGCTCAACCAGTTCGGACACTTAAAGCTGTCACTGAGGAGCAATTCCTTGGCACCTCCCGAGGCCTTATAAACAAACTCCAACCATGGAAGACCCGTCAGGCTTCGGTGTGTAATCGGAAACTAAGATCTTAGAATGCAAAGATCTGCATTCCTGCCGCATAGAGGTGGATTATTTCAGAGGGATAATGTAACATTCAGGCTGCGCCCGGCGCCGAGGAGACCTGTTAGTGCACAATCTGCAGGACTATTTTAAAATGGTCGATAAGATCAATTCATTGGCCCTAAGTGATCGAAGGCATGTTCTATTGAAGAGAAGAAAAGTCGGAGACGATGAGGAGTGGTTTAAGAGATGGCTAGAATCAGAGACTATGGTCAGTTGTTGAAGGCCATCAAGCTTATATGCAACGATGTTGAAGACCCAGAGGATTGGGGGTTTCTTGATGTATGGATTCTGAGGAGATGGGACAAAACCAGGGGAATTGAAGGGAAGAACGAAAGTTATGGTAACGCATGAGGCTGGACATTCAGCCTGCATTTCTGTTGCTCTTTCGACAAAGATGTATCGGGGAACGAGGATGATATGACCAATTCAATATGATGATTAAATGATACCAAGAGAACTATGACCAACGCCATCCCAATGCCAAATCACACGCCCACCGTTGAGAACCCCGAACACCGGACAACCAACACAATGACAAAAGCCCAAGCCTTTTTGCACCTCCCAAGAGACTGCCACACCATAGCTCCATGTGTCCCAATCAGCGATAGTCAGTTGCTTATCCTAACCCTTCCCATGACCTCATCGCTCCAGAGTAACATTATGCTCTGAAATCTGAGTTCCTTTGTCCCTGATCGAGGGAGTTCAATGCCAGAGCGGGAAAGAAACACAAAGGAAAAGAGAGAAATAACCGCATATAGGAGGACAATTAAAAAATGTAGATAAGCCCGTAGTCTTGCTCGAACAGCAAACAATCTGGGGTTAAGGGCATAAGCGTGAAAAATAGGCCAACCTATACCTGTGCTGAGCCCACTTTTGTGTCACTGCTGCCCTGCTGCAGAAGACAACAAGCCTGCATCGCCAAGCACCCAACGGCTAACAGGGCTCGTGTGTTGATGATAATGTTCAACAGATAACAGGGAAAAAAAAAAAGTCAGTGCAGGCGTAAAAGACAGTCGAAATATGGATAAAATATGTAGCGATAACACATTTTGGTTGGCTTTAGGCGGCTGTGTGACACATGTAGAGGGCGTTCGGTTCGGCAAGTCATGTGCGTTTCTTCCTCGGCCGAAAATGCCGAAGAAGGAGACAGCCGCATGATAGACATACCATCTGTCACCTAAGGCCGTCAGAACAGCCCATGGCCGCATGTAAATCAAGCCCAAGCCGCCGTGAGAAGCTGGAAAAGTGAGGGATTGTTGGTCCGTTGATGCTCTTTCAACATGATCGAGGATCGAAGTATGAGAGACTCGATCGGAGTTGGGAGGCAGCGCCCTCGACCCTCTCCTTGTCCCAGCCTATTGCCGGCTCCGCGCTTGATGGCTGCTTTAATCGACGAAATCACCGTTCGAACCGGTTGAGACGACCTGTTACCGGCGACTCCCAGGTTATGGTGATGTTGGAAGGCTGTCGTATGCTTCGAGAGGTCTGTTGCGGTTTTCGTGAATGCTTGCCCGCCGAGGCGACCTCCAAGTGGTTCACCACAGGGGTGACGATGGTACTGGCAGTCTTCTCTTGGATGTGGATGCGAACATGCTGCGGCTCATGAGGAAGCGGTTTCCTGTCGCCCTTGGGATATGGCGTCGGTGTACGGTACCGCACAGGTTGGCCACTGGAGGTCTTGGATCTTGACCTCCATAGCGCGGGAGGAACAAGCCAGTTGGGTTGCCTACCCAGGATCTTCTCGTCGTCATAGTCGGATGCCAGACGAGACGAGCCTCGTGAGGCGCACCGTGAGATAGCAGAGCCCATAGTGATTAGCGTAAAGAGGAGTAGAAGTAAAGGCGGCCTGGTACTGGCACAGACAATGACGAAGAGGGTGATCCTGGGAGGGCAGCACCAAGTGACTGTGGACTAGCAAGTAGTGTTCAGGCTTCAAAGCGGTTTGCAGGCTTCCGGAGCGCGCTGATAAAGTAGTTGGGAGTGTTGACGGTGGTTGTAGCCCTCTTACACGGCGGGCTGCGGTACATAAAAATGGCGCAAACCGGTTCCGGCAGGGAGGGCGGATGGACGGCAGCAAGTTGGGGTAAGATGGGCAACCTGACGCTCAGCAGATGCAAGCAGCAGGATGCAAGTTATGAGTGGAGGACAAAGTAGCAGTGGAGAGAGTGTTGGCACGAGCTAATGCCGGATACTGAGGAGTGAAGCAAGACAGGCGACTCAAAGGCCACAATGGCGACGCATTGGCATCACCAAGTGTCCGAGCCGTTTTATTGTCGGGTGCTGGTTGGGAAACGGCTGCTGGATATTTATCTGATAGCTCCAGCTGGGCAGTAGAAAGAGTAAGCCGCATCCACGACGCCGTCCACAAGCCATGTGAGCATGGCCCAGTGGGACTGAGAGGGATTGGGACACTAGAGAGCTGCGACACGGTGGTACCACGCAGTTATGGTGAATTAACCCCCCACAGAGACCGTCTTGGCACACGATTTTGACCAACTGCAATGCTGACGACGCGGGAGACAATGTAGATCAGATTGGCCCAGAGGTTCGCCCGCGCTCCGGACGCAGCGCAAGCCCCGAAGTGTACAAGCGAAGTTGCTCTGGTCTCTGGAGGGTGAATGAGCCGGGCGGATAAGAAGACGGCGATGGAGAGATGGAACACGGTGGTCGAGTGGGACCAGCCAGTGAGCACTGATGATGCACGTCTCCTGCTGTGGCATCGTTGAGTCCTCCTGACAGCAGCACAAGCTACCAGGTTGGTGTGCACCTAAATTTGGCATGATCATGGTCTATGTTGATGTTCCATTGATCTCAGCATTGGGCGATGCTGAAGAATAGCCCCGCCGTGTCCCATGTCCTGCGTGGGTGTGGGCAACGCATCAAAACCCGTCGAGGGAATTGCCCGGTTTCCACTCGGATCGCAAGCGAGAGAACGCGGGGAAGCGCAGCGAAGGGAACCTTCTCCACACCTGTCCCCACATCTTCTTCAATGCCGGGAAAAACGGCGCTGCCACGACAAAACCACCTCATGCACGAGACTCTCTCCTCTCACCCGCGACTACCAGAACAGACAGGCCCAACGGAGCGAGAAAGTTCCCACTCAACAATATTGCTCGTTGCCTGGACTGTCGTAGAGCCAGTTTCAACATCGCTCCTCGTTCTGGAGGACGAGCAATGCCTCCTGCCTTTTCGAGTCCCCGAGTCCGGATACCTTCTCGCTCGAGGTTCGTGGCGACGACCACGGCAGGCTTGGCTCGCTGCCAAGACGCTCTTACCCATGCAGATCCTCTCGGCATCGTGGATCACGGCCCGATTCGGCATGCCTCCCACACATTAACCCCTGCAGGACAGCCGGCTGCCACAGCCTCGCAGGGCAACCCGGGCAACGAGGAAAGCCATCGACGAAATCTTATTATCGCCCCGCAACCGGAAGCCAGACCAGGAAAAAACAAAATCTTGACGGGCTAGTTCGATGGGTCGAAAAGCAGAAAGGCCATTCGGGCCATTTTTGACGTTGCTCAGGGCTGAACTTGTCATCATGGTGCTACACACACCTCACTGACTCTCCCTCAGCCTGAACGCGTCATGATTCTGCATCTTGGGGCCTCGTTTTTTCTCGCCTACGCAATCCAGCTCCAAACCCTGTGTCCCGTGCCCCTGATGCGACGTTTTCCATCCTGACAGCCTCCAAGGGGCAAACTACGCGTGGTGTTCTGCACAACAGCTTGGCGGTGTGGCCATCGATCTTAGCAACGGTCGCCTGATGCTCCAATGTCCAGTCTTTACAATCCACGGACGGCGTAGAGGTGTCACCGATCTCTTGGCGACATCTAGGAGGCCTCGAAATTGCCATCTTGTCGACTCACACTGCCGCTCTTGGCACGGGTTCACACAGAGCTTCGGCGCTGACCGCTGAGGCATTGGGCACAGACGATGCAGAAACTCGTCTTGCACACGCGGCTCTCGGTCTCCGAACTGAAATGAGAGATAAACAGAAGAAGGCACAGACATTGGACCTCCACATCGCCAAGGCGCGGGTGTTTGACCGCCTTCCGCTCTGTTCATTTCAGAGACATCCCTCGATTGTCGGACATCGACCAGCAAAGCTAGAAACTTGATCACCTACGATTCCAAAAAGCCGTCAGACGTCGATTCGAAGCATCACCAAGATTTTTGCGGCATTTGATGTTCGCTCAGCTACCGCGGTTTAAAATTTCTACGCAACTTCTCAGGCCCAGTCTTACTTCAATCTTCCATCCTTGCTACAAGACAGAAGACTTTGACTTACATCCACAACCCAGACCTGAGACCCAACCGACGGGTAAAGTCTCACGACCCCCTCCCTTTGCCCCCATCAGCTCATTGTTCCCCTATCGATTTAGACTCCAGGAACTCTGATACAGACCCGCATCGCCATCGCCAAGCATCATATGCCATCCTGTCCTCCTCTTGGCACACTCTGGGTCCCGGCAACTGTGCCCGCCAAGCTGTTACATCTGGCGAGAAAGACTCTTGGCATACCGGCTTCCACTCCCATTATCAAGTTGTGTTTCACAAACGCCGTCTCTTTTGTTGCCCTCTCGGAGTCGCCCCGAAGATGGGTGACGACAACTCTTTGTGGTTACGAACCATGGGCATTTGTGTGATAGATGGCACTACAAGTCGACATTTTCGATAGACAGTGCCAGCAAACATCTCCACCAAGTTAGTTGTTGCCCTGTGTAACATGCATGCCATATCCCAAGGCACAATGCCGCAGCAACTCAGTGTGGTGAATCTTGACGCCTCAGATCAAGTACATATCAGTCCCGTCGGGCATCTATAGCGATGTCTAAAAACAGCTCAGTGTATTGCCATTATCTTGTCTGACAAGCACCATTATGTACTCCATCGTACAACACATCCTTTACTACATCACCTACTCGGCATGGAATATTCTGGACATCTCATCATTATGCCAACTTACAAACACTGAATGATAACTCTATGTGTTTGCTCAGCAACACCGCCATAAAAACACCCGATGGCGCAGCCCTCCTGCAGTTCATGCCTTAGATGCAGCCTGCATTACAGCAATGAAACAAAGTGTCAGTAAACAGAGAGTTCTACATGGGAAATTCAGTCAATTCTACATTGTCTCAGTCATGCTATTCTTACACTGCCTAGAAAAAGAAGAGCACGGTTCAAGTTCCATTCTGCCGCATATCGTATCCAAAATACCTCAACACTGGCGTTAGAGAATATCTTCTCAGCTTTGCATATGCGGCCCACAACGCGCAAAAACATCCATGCATCTGCATCATGTTGCATACGTTGAGTTTCAGAGTGTTCGCGAACATGACGGGCTGACGGTCTTCTGACGTTTCATTCACTCTCGAAGTTCTGCTGAAGTATTCAGCGGTTTTCCCTGCTCTCAGCACAATTTTCCATGACGGTCAGATCAGTCATCATTTGCCACATGTTTCTGGTTGTAAATCAACAGTCGAAGCAGCACTTGCTTACTTGCATAGCGTAATGGTCTCTGACTGTGAGCTGATGGCACTTACCTTAGGGTCTATCACCAATCTAACTACACCTCCTCACTGAAGTGATAACAATATCTCCCGTAGAAGCGGTCGTTCTATGATCTGATATAGCATTTCAAAATTGCGAAACAGATGTACTCAATGTAAAGGGCACATCTGCAAGCGGATGGGCCAGGCTTTGGCCCTTGGCCCTTCAATGCAACATGAGATCGATCGGGCTAATGCTAAGTGTCAATTTTCACATCATAATACGTACTCCTTCCAACACAATGGGTCTAAAGCTGTGTCTGTCACACACATTGCGCATTGGTGATGGATAACAGCGACCAGCCTCATATCTTCCCAACGTGGTGGTAGTATTGGCGGAATTGCCCCCAATCAGGCTTTCGTCTGAGATGAAGATGGCGATTACCGTCATGGTTTGTCGTCGACCTCTACGCTAGACCGCGGCACCAACTGTTAAGGGCATCAACTCGGCGAAAATGCATCAATAGTATTATTCCTTCCTAATCCTTGTGACACCTGTGTCTCAAATTCTCATCATGATGCCTTTTGGTTCGAACTGTACTAAAGGTTGACTCATGACCTCGACAAAATTTTGCGCTCGCTTCTGGACACGACACCATGCGCGAAAAACTAATCTTTGATCCTTGATTTTTTTTTGAAACTTCTTTCCTCACAGCGGAGTTGTTCTTGTATGAGACATCAGACCATACAAAAACCATCTCATTGCACAGAATCACTGATCAAGTTCGAAACAGAGATTTCTGGAACTCTTGTCGAATTCATTTGTGCTCCTGCCCTAGCTAGTCAGAATGGGTCAGCATAGACTGTCTTAAAAACCCGCAATTCCCGATCTCTACAGGCCCAATACTTACACAAACTGGGTTTTCATGCCAGTGCCGCAGGAAGCAGAGCGCATCTTGAGGCTACTTTTGTCTTGAACTCGACCATTCATGCAAGATGAGGAGCTGTTACGCAAGGTACGATTCCATGGGGAGACGTACCCTGTCATCCCGGGCCCAATGAAAGCCGTTCCAGTGGCAGTAACTTTGCATGCCATGGTTTGTCTGGTCGCCGATGAGATTCCCAATCTCCGTGGAGCAGGCAACAAGCATCGCCATATCACCATTAACACCACGCATGCTGCCTTCTGGCTCGCCACAATGACCCTAGCTTGGCTTGATGGCGAGTCAACGCCGGCTTTAGCCCTCCCAGGGCAAGCTGACATCCCTTCTTACCGACTGGGTGCACGGCTGGCAAGCGACTGCTCTCCTCCTCCATGCAATAGGCATCTGTCCTATGGCGACTCCCAGCGTCTGGTACAGCCCCCATGGCTCCCTCAATACCGAGCCTATGCTCCGTGCCAGGGGCATCGATCCCCACAACCCCAGCATTACCAACACCGCCGCGGCAGCAGCCCGCATTGCCGCTCATACTGCCCTCTTCACAGCTGCCAAACTGCACCACGGTATGCCCTTTGCAGGCGCTGCGGCGCGATCTGCAATACCCCAGCCCATTGGCTCGCCTCGCACACAGGTCCTGAAGCTTCTGCTGTGCCGCTCATCGATGTCCGGACGCAACCCGCGCATTCGATCCCCTTACTTCCTGTCCCCTACTCACGTTTAAACTCTACAGACCGCCATCACCTGGCTGGGATCAAGGTCGCCTCCCTCACCAGATTCATCGCTGGACCATGTATTCCGACAACCCTAGCAGCATTAGGAGCAAACATGGTCCGCGTGCATCCCCCGCAATTGAAGGACGTGAATATCTTGCAGTTAACGCTTACCGCCGGGCAAAATACGGTTGTTCTCGATCTTCGTAACACTGAAGGCCGGGCGAAGCTGTACTTCCTCGAAAATGCGGATATCTTTATCCAGGGGTATTGTCTCTCAAAATCAGAAAAAAGTCTGGTCTGACACTGGATGGTGTCTTTGGGGTAGCGCCGAAGAGGGGTCAGGGGGTTGTCTATGCAGCAAACTCTTTTGGTGAGAAGGCTGGCGTATTCACGGGACGAGCGGGACGCCAACAGATGACGGATCGTCTTACGGGCGCTGCGTCGGTGATCGGGAGGGCTTACAAGATAGCGGAGAAGAGCAGAGTAGGAACCGGAAATTATGGGAGAGTGTGTCCTCCCCTCGCTGCCGGTAAGTGACATGCTCCGTGGACCGATCGGCGCTGTGGGAGTTACGATGGCGTTGAAAAAACGGGTTATCAAAGGGGGCAGATGGATCGTGAGGGCTTCATTGGTGTTACACGGACATGGAAGTCCAAGGAAAATGGGTATCCCTGACTTCCAAACACAAGGGACACAAGGGACACCCGAGATAAAATGATTGTGAGAGGCGCGAACCAGTAGTTGATTTCAGGAGATAGTTGGAAGCCGCATGACCGAAAAGAATGAACCGGATGGCCGAGAAGATTCTCTAAAGGAAGGCAGTCGGACACGACGGACTTCTCTTGGTTTTCCTCTCCCGAACACAAGGACACTGAGGACCAAAAAGATTATTACACGTATTAATTGACTTCGTTGCGCACCCCACATCGTCAATGGCCATCATCTAACCCATTTGACCCATTGTCAATCCCTGCCTGCACCAGACCAAGTCACCCGTTACAACTGGTAAGGAATGATGTGTTCCTGCTCTCCGAAGACGTCGGCTTATACCTGTACAGACGGTCAGGGAGTGTAAGGGGAGGTTCAGCTGGACTAAGATGAAGGTCGAGCATTGCGTGTTGGGTTTATTTAGGATTGTATATGCGGGCTGTGGTGGGCATGACGTGTTGGTGGGGTATTTGGAGGAGGAGAGTGAGCAGTGGCAGAATTGGAAGGAGAGTCCATTTAGAGGAGGGATGAGATTGAGTGTGTTGAGGCCAGTGGTTAGTTCTGTAGATGAGAAGGGAGAGGAGGGGGGGTGCAGCCGGGTTGGAGGACGTGCAGTATGTGCTATGTGTGGTTGGATACGAAAGAGGCTAGTTTTGTCTGAGAGTTGAGCCTTTGGGTTTGCATGGTTAATAGAATGACGGGGCCTCTTGAATTTTCCTCAACTTTTGGGTACTGGTTTGGTATTTTGACTTGAAGTTACATTGGCTGGAGGTATGATTTCGTATGTTCAATTGAGAGCCAACTCTTTGATGAGGTGATAAGTCCAAGTCATTGAAGTTGAGCCTCTTACCAGTCATCATTTGGACCAGGAAGAGGCCCGACTTTGAAACTTGAATCTTGATGAACCGAGCACCAGGCTGTTAGCGGTTTGCTTATTTCTTTAATGATTAGCTATTGAACACATGTTCTGCACTTACATTTGATGTGATACACTCCACAAGCTCATCTCATGTCAATCCCATTATTTAGTTCATAATCTCGCACAGATATGTGAGCTGACTTGGCAAGTGGGACTGCTAAGAGGCCAAGACATGTTTATATCCACAAATGTTCAGCCGTATGAATCGCGACATTTCCCGACTCAAACAAAGCCCACTTACCGACCCCTAACCCGCACAAATACACAGCAAGGTCTGACACATAGGTAAACATATCATGCCGAAGACAATCATCCTCATCAGGCACGCAGAGGCCTTACACAATGTTGACCGTAAGCTCCGACCCCTCATCCTGCATCCCGGTTCCCAATCTCCAGCGCATCATAACCAATCCGCTAACCACTTGGCCTTCCCTTCCGGGGGTCGACTACAACACAGTCGCATACCATAGCGTCCCCGACCCGCCGCTGACCGAGCACGGCCACAAGCAGGCCTCCGAGCTGCGCGAGGCTCTGCGCGCTGGCATTCTGCGCAACCGAAAAGTCTCGCGCATCATCGTCAGCCCCATGCGCCGGGTGCTGCAGACTGCACACATCGCGTTGGATTGGCTCATTGAGGGGGAGAAGGTACCTGTTGTAGCGGATGCTAGGTGGCAGGGTGAGTTTGGAGTCATCGCAATTCATTATCTAGACGCCGCGAGGTGTGAGAGGGCTAACTCATGAGCAGAGCTCTACCCCAAACCGTGCGACACCCCCGTGCCCCTCTCGCAACTCGCTCCCGACTTCCCCAAAGTCGACTTCACCCAATGCGCCAACGACCCCGTCTATCCGGACAAAGCATCCTCCGCGGCAGCGAAGTACCATTACACGCGTACCGCTGTCTTGGCACGCGCCCAAGAAGCGCTGGGCGAGATTTACCAGCTCATGGAATCTAACTCGAGTCAGGATGAAGTTGTCATCGTAGTGTCGCACTCGAGTTTTTTGCGCGTCGGGGTGACAGGGCGGTGGTTCTGGAATGCGGATTATAGGGTTTTTGATTTGGTGAAGGGGGATCCGGGTAGGGGCGAAAGGGAGTATGAGCTGGTGGAGTGGGAGTTGACCAAGGGGAAGGGGGGGATGGGGTGGAGTAAGGAGGTTAGGGTTGAGATCGGTGGAGGATTACCTGATGCGTGAGGATGGGAATGAGCGAATGGGAAGGTTTTGTATGAAAGTTTCGATGGGATAAAGAGAGGGAGAGAGAAGATATAGACTGATGGTGTTAGGTTGGGTTGTTATGAGAACTGGTGGGTTTCTCTCATACTTTACGCGTGGAGATGGGTGGGTCCACGAGGGGAAGGGCGTGATGCAAGCCCGCAAAAACTTAAGAAAGGAAGATAATAATTAGAGAAAAAGAATCGGCGCGATTCCTGGACGAAGCTTGATTCAAAAAATTGAGATATATAAAAAAGGAAGTACAGGCAAAAGCGCAAGGTCCCACCCGGACTCGAACCGGGGTTGTCGGAAGGTTCTTAGGGAATCAAGCTGATTCCTCAGAATCCGAAGTGATAACCGCTACACTATGGAACCTTGGCAGAGAGTTAGCCTTAGTTAAATTTATAAGGCTTGATTGATTATCCTGAGATATCACACAATATGACTGGCAAAGATAACCAGACAAGAAATCAATGGTAGCCTCTACAACCACGTCTAGTTCAAGCTTGTTTCCAAGGGACTCTTCTTCCATCAGGCCTACTAACTACGCACCGCTACCTTCTCTCAACATCTCTCGTTCTCCTCGTTCAGGCCTTTGGTTTCTGAAGAATTAAGATCTCAACACTGTCAGCAAAGCCTCAACCATCCATCCTGATAGTCAGTGCCCCAGACAATCCGATCAAGATTGAATTGAAGATGGACCATCTAGTGGCTGCTAAGCACAAGATTAAACACATATGATATACGCAGGATTAGTTCAGTGTTTGTTTTGCTACTGATGAACTAGCAACCTGAGATATTAAGGATTGTTACCTAAACCCTACCTTTGCTTAATTGATGTTCAAAAGGATCCTGTATATTTTGGAAGAGAAACTTAATCACTATTTCCCCATGTGACTTAAGAGAATATGTGAAGTGAGAATGAAGGCTATCAAGGAAAACGGAGTGTCCAAGGAATAGTGCACCTTGACAAAAATAGTACCAAATTATAACGATCCAGACAGACCTCTTGGGATGGGTTTAAGAGTTGTATTGCTGACTGGAGAGTTTCTTGGGCCGGATGGCTCTTCTTGGAATCTATATACATCTCATGTACTCTTGTGGCTTCTCTTCATTCTTCCTCAGCAGCACAGACTGTTGAGAGTCAACATCCTTGGGTGTTGAGGAACACTTTCCCAATGTTCAGTTGTTAGGGGTAAATATCCGAGTTTGATGGGTCACAACTACCTTCTACTCTGATCAGTGAGTTGCACGGAAGCTGCTCTCCCCGATAGAGTCATTGTTGGTCGTGACACAAATAACTAAATAAAATAGAAAGTGGCCCAGTCACACCAAGTTCTTTTACCACACTAAATTGTCAAAAAAAAAAACTATGATCCCCAATCTCCTGTCAATTCCGTGTCCCGATCGTTGCATCTAGCCATTCGGCACAAGTGTGCAGTGGGGTATCATGATTCATGCTTTGAGAGTGTTTTCCCTACTGCACTGATTTTGAGCCGCTCTATTGGAGGAGGGCATGATTGAGATTTCCAACAAGGTAGTCAGCTACCATGGTGATGTTCCTTACCCCTATGTGTCAAACACACGGACTTACTCACATCAAGCCAATTTGAATATCTCTAGCACGATTTGAGTCTCTTCCATTGCTACCTTCGGTGTCCAGCTGCCATTCACGAACTTCTGGGTTACCACAGTAAGTGCCTTTGTCTTGGATGACACGAGTCCAAAGACCTGATTCATCATGTCGATGTCTTCCGAGAACTCCACTATTTCCAGTGGTAAAATAATTATCAGCATCAGCGTCTTCACCAGACATGATTAACACCTCCTAGCCTACCCTGTTGATGGCTTCACCAAGGTGTGTTCAAATCTTTAAGACCATTGGCTCACGAATTGATGCATGTCTTGCGCATTTCTGTGAAGTACTGAATCTCATTGAAATTTTGATCTGTTGTTACTATCTATGTTGGACCCGGAGCTACCCGTCTTGTGGATAATCCCATGATAAGCTCCATCCGGCGCTCGAGAGGGTGTTCCAATCATAGAGTATCTGTCGGCTGGTCATGATATCACTCCTTAGGAAAAGTTTGTAGGAGTAAAGCAGATAATGTTTAGCAGAAGTAGCTGTTTGTAAGAACGTTTAAAGTGTTTGGGGTCGTGATTATTCACCAATATTGAACTGACTCATATAGTGCAGTATTTATACATTGGAAGTCAGTGTTCCTCAAATCAAGCGGACGATACCGAGAAGAGTTTTCTGTCCTTAGATGACTTTGCTGTAAAATGGCTCGTAAAAATGAGAAATCTCATTTTACCAGTGGCCTTTTAAGCATCCGACAAAACAACCAGATATGCGTTCATTATCACCCTTGCTTTGTCTGACATTTGTCCCTTGCTTACCTTGACTCCCATGGAATGTACCAAAGCAAGCCTAGGCGTCCACTGTTACCTCTTTGCTATTCTTTTGTTTGGTCACCTAGCTTGAAGGCGGCTACGTATGTAAAATTTCCATAGAACACGATTCATTTCAATCCCGATCGGTGCTTCAGAAGTTCAACCAAATATTCATTCGCCGTCCTCTGCTAGTTTCTGCAGCAGTTGAAAGCTTGATAGGCACATCAGCCGGTGATGATTGTCTACATGCGGATGCCTGATGTTTGCTAACAGCATGTGAGCTTGTCTGCTATCTAAAGCTCCTTTTCAGCGCAAGCCACCAATCATGTTCCGTAACCAGGATCGATTTCTGGCTGCTGCTTCCCCTACTCTGTGTAACCATCCAACCATGGGCTCAACGCTTGGTCGTGGCGTAGCCAGCTACCTGGCGGCATAGTGCCCCTGACCAGAATGTCAGCAAACCTTCCTATTTCGGCCGCTATTCTGCGGCTGTGTAACGGCCTGCGCTTAAACTGTGGGGGCCGGAGTTTTCGTTTGTTAGCATGTTAGCAACCTTTGCACAGAGACTACAGTTTTATGTTACGAGGCTAACAACCAAAACCATGCCACATCTTACAACTCTATCCATGCCCCCGTTTGGGGGCTGTCAATGCACCGCAGCTAGCAGACCTAGCAGAGGGTCAATCGGAATACCCTCAAAGGTACCCCAGCCAAACTACCCAACACTTATATCCACTCATTGGGCATCCCACCATGAATGAACCTGGATACCCCATCTCTCCTCGTCGGATTTTACTGTCCTCGTAGTCTTCGTCTATGAGCTATACGGGTTAAGTCTACAACTCCTGAAGAGCTGAAGATATGGATGCTCACTCCACAAGGATACGTCTTTCTTCCCGTTCCCATGGTTCAAGGCGAATACTCGGACAATCCACAACCATCTACTAATCACTCAAACAATACAGCCTTCTATTCCTCAAACAACCTTGACGCGCCTTATATTTACGTTGAAAACCCGCCCTCCAGTCACTCATACCAACCAGTCCCATCTGACGATCACTCAGGAGGCCCATCCTCTAATCACTATGACTCCTCAAACCAGCTGCTCAGCGAAAACTGCCTGGACAAACCCCAGCCCGACGCCCACTCCGATTCAACCATATCTAACTATGCCTGGAACTTCCCCTGGTGGAGCGTTACTTGGCGCCTAACCAGCTCTGTTCTTTTCAGCATCCTAACTATGGTCGTCCTTTACCTACACGCCGACAAGCCTAGCCTGGACCTGTGGGAACGACGGATCTTCATCACACTGACTATCCTCTTCTCGTCGCTTGTCAGCTTGTCAGTGGGCTCGCTGCTTGTGGTGCTGGGCGCAGCCTTGCGCTGGCCGTTGCTGGCGTCGCGGGGGCATACTCCGCGGGAGGTCAACCTTATCTTGAGCATGGCTAATCCCTCGGGCTCGCTCAGGCTGCTGGGGTATTACTCTGGAGGTTGGGACAGGGGAAGGTTACGGTTCAGGAAGTGGAAGGCTACGACGTGGGTGGTGCTTCTGTATCTGGTTGTGAATATTATTGGGAGATTGAGCATTGCCATCTTTGGTTTGTCGTATGGCATGAATGAGAGCGTGGTCTACCCGGCTATGGTCAACGATTTTGGGAATAAGGGGTTTATGCAAGAGAGTTATATGTTGCGGGATTTAGGTGGGTCTTTCCCTACACATGTAGTAACAGGGGCTGACAGAGAACTGCGAGAGTGTAGCACAGGCGGCTAGATTCAGCATCACGGGAGTAGTGAACGTGCCTACTCCATTCAATAGATCAGACCCCTCAACTTATAATATGAATGACATTGGCGGGCTGGGCCTGAAACGTAGTGTCAACAGCGAAACTGGCGCAGTCACTTACACATATCCTCTCCGCGAGTATCGTGGACCAGAAGAATACCCTTCATCTGATAGGATTATGCACAGTTCGTCCACATGTAAGGGCCGCGTTGTTTATAATAGAACTGTATACGAAGATGGGAAGGTGATAGGAAGTCTATCTGGTAAGCAGAGCATCTTCATGTTCAAGCCACTCATCCATTGATATGGCACGGGACCAAGACTTACCACTCTCTCACCACAAGATGGTAATAGCACGCTCCCACAAGACAGCCCCACGTTCATGTACATACTGGATGCCCTCGATGGGGATGCTGCGAGCCAGTATGCAACGGGTCCCGACTCACTAACAACTCACTATACATGGGCTATGGACTGGGACGAATCTAAAATAGGCGACCCAGCAGCCTGCGCGACCACATGTAAGTAGAATGTGGCACCGTGACACTAGACTGGGTACGGCACAGTTCCTAACAAACTTTCCTCCTGCCCCCACCTTCTTCCCAGACATCCACCTGGGAGAAACACAATACGCAGTAGTCAACTGGCGCGGCAACGGCACCATCTCCTTCTTCTACGAATGCACCACCTGCCTAACCTCCAACTCCGGCATCCCCGGCCTTGACACCTCCATTCTCTCCAACTTCAACTCTTCCCGCCTGCCCTACGCAGCCGGCATCCTCCCCCGCATCAGCCCCTTCGACTACTTTTACGACTATTCTGGCCCGAGCGGCGAGTTCGTCGCGCGCGTCTATAGCTCCTCCTCAGAACGCATCCACCAGCCCCAACTCTTCGAGCTGCCTGACACACCATACTACTTCTACCTAGAGCCCAAATTTCACACTAAACCCGTCCCTCTCAATTTCGAAATTGAGATCGCCCACCTCGTAGCTCGCCTCCCCATCCTAGCCATCATCGGCGCTGAGCGTGAGCTCCCACGCAAAACACGCGATCCAAACGCCACGTCGGCAGACGCATACATCGTAACGAATCTTGAAGTCAAGTGGCCAAGAGCATTTGGAATCTTAGCTGGGTTAGTGGCAGGGCAGGTGCTGGTGATTGGAGTTGCGGCAGTTGCAACAAGGAATGTGCCGATCAGGGACCACGACAGTTTGTTGTCTGTAGCAAGGCTCCTGCGCACGGCGATGGAAAAGATTGAGGGACGGAGTATGGCGTCCGGAGAGGAGCTGGCAGAGTGTATTGAGAGGGAGCTGCGGCTTGGGGAGGGGATGAGGTACGGGACGGAGATAGTTGATGAGGGAACGAGGAGGGTGGATTTGTGGGAGGGGATGGGAGAAAATTTTGAGAGGGATAAGAAGTATGTTTGAAGGATTAACAGTAAGAAACAGAGTGAACAGAACGGAACGAGTGCTGTTGTGATGAAAACATCAAATATAGGTAGGAAAAATGGCTTGGCTAACCAGTTGGGCGAAAGCTCAAACCCCTTCCCCACCTCCTTGAAGATCTTCTCTATCTAACACATCGAATAGATTTCAAACGTAATTACTTCGAAAACTTATGATTTTATTGTAAAAATATAAAATCATCACTGATAATGATAACTTTGTAACGGTCTCAGGTCTGCTGTCAGATACCAGACATAACGCCTGATTTGAAATATCCTCCATACTCGCCAACACATAGTAGGTCCCAATGATCACGGGTGTAATACACCCTTGCTTGACCTCTTCGACGCTAGTAGTCGCTGTCAGACTTAGGGTTCTGCTTCGATGGGAGTCCCAGATGAACTCTTGTACCGACTCCTCTAGTAGCATGATAACTGACTGTGACTTGCTCCTTGAAATCATCATCGACAATCGCATCCGCACCCATCTCAAATAAATCAGGCAGACCCCGCACATTTCCACGCATACAACCGAACTCCTCAATCTTCTTTGACGGTGCTAAGTACTCTCGCCCGTCATGATCCTTATTGTTTGGACCTGGCTAGGTTGGCTCAATGTAACGATTCCTTTTGTGTCAAACTGTAAACTACCTTTTGTTACGATGTGATTGATCGTCCGATGCAGATATCGGTTATGTAAGCTAGAAGTAGTCGACTCTTTGATGGTGATCTTCCTCAACCCCCAACCTTGGGGCAGCCAGCTGCAATTACATACTTCTCAAGTTTTTGTTCCAGTTCATTCCTTCTTCAGCCTTCCATAATTATGTGGGATTGTGTCGAGATGTTGAGTTAACCGTTCGCCTTTCTCCATGTTGGCTGGTTTTCACGATCTCTCATGACGTCCGATGTTGGCAACCGTTTGAATGCCCAAATTCCGGAGCCATTGAAGTCAATGATCCAACTGAACTAACCCTTGTGTTTAAATGATGTTTATTCTGCGCAAGAACACAAAAACAAACACTTCTTGTTGGGCAAGCGTCTAACTCAGGTTCCAGTTCTAAGCAAACCAACTTAGCTAGATGCCAGCTATATTTGACCCTATATTACATTCTTGTAGAACATCTCCCAATGATCAAAATGACGGCATATTCAATAGCTTGCTTGAACGATACAAAGCCAGGGAACTGCGACCGGAAGGGATCAGTCCTGTGCTGTTGGAACCTAGGTATTCCGTGAACGGGACTATGGACGACGCAGAGCAATCAGAGGGGACGATAAACACTCCTGTCAACGGCAAACATCAGACTACCAGCCGTTTTTGTCTCCTTTTTGTCCTCATCAGCGGTTCTTGGATGTGTAATCAGAAGGGAGATACCAGCAGGGAGGTAACCCCCGCATCGCGGCCACGAGTTGTAGTGGCACAGATGCAGGTAAATACTTAAAGTTCGATTGGTTTTCGATGCATACCCTGCGTCCAGAATACTCGGCATTTTCATTCCGCAAGAGATCTGCTGCTCTCCAACATCAGCAGTGAAAAAAAAAAAAAAATTGAGGTTGGCTTCATTGCGCAATGACAGATCATTGATGGACGGAACTCTGAAAGGCAGCTATGCTCAGCCTGGGTTGGTTATCGATAAATCACTGGACCAACTCTCTTGATCCCACCAAATGGAAAGCTCTCTCCAGCCTTTAAGCAATAATCCCGACGGAGGTTTTCGCCTGCCGACTGCCACAGCTGATGACTAGGTCAAAATGGCACCACCTTGCTGCTAACGAGCTAAGGATTATCCATGCGCGCGCCCGTCATCCGTTCTTGTCATTTGTGTTCCCCGTCATAACTTCAGGTCACAAAGACATCTCGGACTCGTAGCTGCGCGGGAAGAGCTGACAGCATTTTCCTTTTTGGCAGATGATCCAGGTTGGAGCGGGCACACATCGGCTATCCTCAAGCCAGAGACCCAACCCCTGCTCACATCTCCTTTCCATCCATTCGGATCACTTCGGATGCAAGCTCTCGAAGAGCTAGCCCTCGAAGAGCTAGCCCAGGCGACGAGCGCGACGTCGAGTCCAACAGCGTGGCAAGCGTGATCTTAACCTTGGTGATAAACAAGGCATAACTACGACCATCCTGACCTCCTAAGATGTGGGGATTGTTCAATCGCCACTAAGAATCAGCTTAGCAGTCGTATGACGAGCACTCTCATCCGTGGTTGTTGCTACTCTGCAATGCCAGTGTGCGTGTAGACGACGTGCAACTTGCATTCCGGAGGTGGCATACATGTGGTGGTGTAGCAGCAGCAGCACACATACTACTACGTGTCCACGTGTTGTCGTCTAGCCGACACGACGAGGTCGGTGCTTTTGGCCGGGCGACGACCTTGGCGTTGACCAGGAGGCCATCTCCTCGGATCCCGAGGTGCGTCCACTTGGGATCTCCACCTAGCAGATGCACTTCTTTCTCGTTTGGATGAAGCTTCGAATTCCCGCTTCCTCATCTGAGTCAGCCAAAACAACAAGCAGCGACTATTGACGGATGCAGATTGACGGGTGATGAAAGGATTTGCCAACGTGAACCTGCACTCCACTGACTACAGCCAGATCAGGGATGACATCGCTAAAGGAAAGCTTACGTGCCCGAAGCTTTTCACGGCGCGCTCTCTGCAATAGGTCCGTTGATCTTTCAGACCCCCTTCCCCCCACACTAGCAAGGTGTATTACTACTGTATCTTGTTCGACCTGAGACCTCGGAATACCGCAGGGTGTTGCGTGCTGCTGACTATTTTTGTTCCGTCCCACGCGTCTGGTTCTGCCGTCCCTCAGCGGCAACGAGGTCGCAAGACGGTGAAGAGTGAGCATGGTTGCCTCCAGGGATGAAATCAGGGGGATGGTGACATTGAAGAAAGGGGGATATCCAAATTGAGACTCATATCAGACGGTGAGGCTTTGCAGAGTGACACCCAAGACAACAAGGTGCTCTAATTGCGGGGAAGGAAAAGCCACTGAACTAGGAGCAGTGCAGCCGTACGTAACTTGTTGTGATTGATGTTCGCCATGCTAACCCCCATCGCTACACGACGCGGGGGGAATGTCCTGGTCTGGCGCTAAAACACAAGTTTACGGGACTGTCGCTAAGGTTAGTCGACGGGGATGCAGGAAAAGTCCCGCCGGCGGCGGCAAGCGACAATAGACAGGGCTTGTCTTTGTCCGCCCTCGGCAACGATGATCCTAGCGTGAACGTTGGGAGATCCACCCAGCCTCTTTTAGCGTCGCTGACAGATCAACAACCGAATACGTCAAGTGGCCACCCAAGCCTGCCTTGAAACTCTGGCGGACTGTTTGGTCCGGAACCGGGACAAAGTTTTTGCTGGAGAGAGAGACGTCCATCTGAAGCTCAAAGATTCGACAGAGGGCTGGCTATGTAATTGAGAAGAGCACCATCAACAACCAAGAATAAACTGACGACACAGCCATTCACAATATGTTTTAATTGTTTGAGAACAGTACCCTAACACCTTGTAAGCAAGGTGGCAACGAAGATGCCGCTGCTAACGTAGTGCGAACTGTTGGTCCCTGGTCTGCTAGGGACAGACTCGTCCAGAATGGGGAAAAAGCCCATTGTCAGTAAGAGCTAGCACTTTCATCGCAGAGCCCTCGAACCCCATTACCTTGCTAACTAGCAAGCGAGGGGGCTAGAGCAGACTAAAAATCTGGCCGTAGTGACCCAGATTGGGAGGAGGCTGGAGCTAGAAAGTATTAGCCGTATACACCTAAGCTTAACTATAGTGAAGTGAATCATGTCAACAGACAGCATGTAAGTCGATGTCCCATGTAATAGAGATGTCAGCTTGGCGTTTTCATTGAGAAGGTTCCCCGAGCTCTTGGGCCCCGATGACTTGCGTCCACGTTGAGGCACAGCAAAGAAGGTCCGGAAGTCTCCGAGCTTTGCCATGTGCTTGCGTTGTGTCTGCTGATCCAGAGACTCGGGAAGGAAGATTACCGACAGCGGAGAGGGAGTGCCACGTTGTGGCCTGGTCGGCTTCTGCAACCATGAGTGGCCAGTCGGCTTGTTCTGATAGTGATAATTGTCCGTAAGGTAACCTCGAGGGCATTCCTGAGCCGTGGCGCTGGGAGTCTGAGCGTCCAGCAACACCAAAACGTAAGGATCACCGCTCGACCTGCAGGATGGAAAATTCGATGCAACGATAGGTCAGCTGGTGGCAGTTGGCCAAGAGGATGGGTGGCCAGGGGTCGGAAGGTGGGAGGACGAAGTAAACTTGGGAATCAACAAGAGAGAGCCACTCGCCCTGAGGCTAACCGCTCCCGTAGATCGAGGACAAAGAATACGAGAATGGTTAAAGGTTGCTCGGAAGGTGGGGATACCCTGGATAAGCTGGGGGATAAGCAATACCCAGCTCCCCTGTCGAGCTCTACCATAACCAACTGTGTAAACCCCGCCTTGTCTTTGCCAAGTTCATAGCTTCGGTTGCGTCGGCAGCAAGAGTAGAGCTCATTGATCATACCACGAGCTTTGGCTAATGGTTCGAAATACTTCACTAGCTCGGGAGGACGCTATCTCCCAGCACAAAGAGCCCGTAGGCACTCGGTCCAATATGCATGGCTTGAGCACCTGGGGAGCTGGGGAAATCGGTAAGCGAGACAAAGAGCGGGGAGAACGCGGATCACTGATCCTCAGTTTCTCCGCTTGGCCAGAGTTACTACAGTTACAGGTTGAACCGATGCATCTTCTATCAGCCGCGGATTAACAATTTGATCAAAATGCGGATCCATATTTGACAGCTAGATCCTAGATTACAAATTCCTTCAGCTGAGTGTGTAGTGTGACAGCACAATTGACGCGCTCATATCTACTACCTCGAACACAAGGCAGGCTGCGATTTTGTAGGATTCTTCGATTGCTGCTCGTCAAGGTTGAGCACAGTCGCCAGGGTTCTCAGAGACGCAAGCTGAGGAGCGAGAAGCGAGCGCGCAGGGTTGCTGCCTTTCGATTTGTGATACTTTTCTGTTTTCGTTCTCGAAGGATTTTTGCAAGAGGGACAACCCCGAAATTTCAGGGTGGCACTTGCCATTTTGCCAGATTCTGTTGGTTGTTAGCTTTGCTTCTTTCCTCGAGAATCCTTGAAATGTAACCCAAATGCCCCGTTATACCTTATCACCTTAGATAGCGCCCCGCTTTAGCAATATCACATCTTCCCACAGGCGCGGAAGTTGTCCGAAGGGTCCGATCCGCTCACAAACCGAAAAAAATGGTGAACCTCGCTCTCGTAGAAATCCCAACACCGACATAGCAACAATTGCACCCCTCTTACAGTACCTCACAGTCTCTACGGCATTCTCTTGAGCCGTTTTTGCTGAGCGTCCATTACCGGATATCCGAGTCGATACGTTGTATTTTTGATGTATGCCTTGCAGCTAACAGCATGCACCATCCCCGCGCGCGCGGGATAGTGTCGAGCGTTGATTTGAAGGACTGGCTCTTACATACAGAGGGACAAGGGTGGGAGTGCACATTCCCAACACTCAAGAGTATCGCCAACAGACCAGGGACTCCCTCTCCGCTGTAACCTTGACTATGCCTTCGGCTGCAAGAAGAGGGAAATGAGAACGAAAAACACGCAATCTTCCTAAATCGTCGAACGAACAGCCAGTAATAGCATCTTGGGATGCAGACTGCAGCTAATAGTTCAGTTTCGGCTCTGAAAGTTGACGCTGGCGAAGATCGTGATCGAGACAGGGCGGCTCTTTGTGAAGGTTGCACAATGTCGCCCGGCAGCCCGGACAGCCGGCCCATACAGTGCTTACGCACGTCCGCCCGGTGGCATTGTGTGACAGAAACCATCGTAAAGAAGCACAAACTAATGAACGACTATGACGCGATTTGCGCCATTGGCCTCAAAAAATGAAGTGGGAGATGCAGAATACTGCAACCCTAGCTCCTCTCGAGCCCGGATTTCTGATGTCTCTTTGTGCTGCGGCTGGCCTGCTGGCTGGAAACCAAAGGAGAAACGGACATTGCTATCAGCAATTGCGTGTCCCCAACAAGATCGGCCTTTTTGCTATTAGCCTATCTTTGATTTTACGTTGCACCGAGCTGCAAGAGGGTGTGCAGTATAGTATATGCTGGGTAAGTATCTGTAGGAGTGTACGAACTCTAATCTTTGCTGACGGCTATCGGTACATACTGCACTTCTAGAGTAAAACTCAGTGTGGCGGGCACCCTGATCGACGTGGGAGGGCAAACAGTTGGCGCGGAAAATTAACTTCTTAGTGGCGGCACTCATTCGTCAACCACAACATTCCCTATGCTTTGTGGCGTCGCCGCTTTGGTATTAGCCAGGCCCCCCCGCCTGCGGCGTCTGGCTGCTTGGCTGCGGAGACGGCCCCGGTCCCCGGTTCCCACTCGCGCAAGCGACGACGTGAGTGGACCGGATCTCGGCGGGCATCTCCCACTGCTTCTATGCCTTCGACCCTAGGCCGGATGTGGCATGGCCGGGAGCAGGATCCTGTGTGCCTGTGCGCCCCATTCCACGTGCATGTAACCGTCCACCCCCGTCGGCCCGCCCAGCGTCGCAGGGGGTGGCGGCAGACTGTTCACTACGCCAGGGCAGGGGACACTTTGCGAAGTTTTGGGAAAAAAGAGGACATCAACAACGCGACCCATGCAGCAATTGCTCCGAGAAGCGACTCCCCTGGTTCGGGGAGACCCTGTCCTGCCGAGAGGATGCAGAGAAACTCAGAGAGAGCAGCCAGGAAACCACCTTGACGACCCCCGGTACTTCCCCGTTGCAACCTCTCGTCACCTACGAGGCTCCCGGCCACACTCCTCCCGTTCCAGGTGTACCAGGGGCGATCCATGGTTGAGGTGTCGCACTCGCCGGATGGTTATAAGATGCTTCCCACGCCCACGTTTCATGCTTCCCGCTCTCTGTTGTCACCAGGCTCAGCCGTCTCTTCAACTTCATCATCAACACATTCGTCGCCGCCGACGCTGCTGTTTCTCTCGCTTCTTGCTTCACACAGCAGACCAGACTAGACCGTCGCCATAATGAAGTTCCTGTCTTTCGCTATTGCCTCCCTGGCCGCCGCCTCGGGCGCGTCGGCCATCAACCTGCCGTCCTTCGAGCAGTTCGCCATCGACTCCGGTCTTGCGCTCGCCGGTCTCAACGGTATCGCTCTGGTCAACTCGGCCTTCCATTACAAGGGCGGCTGCAATCCCCTGAACGTCAAGATTCGCCGGGAATGGTACGGAATCCTCAGTCTAGCTCGTGGGTGGAATTAGGGGGGGTCAAGGCTGACTGGAAATAGGAGGACATTGACCAAGAGTCAGCGGAGGCAGTACATTGCCGCTGTGAAGTGCGTCCTCAAGAAGCCCAGCATTCTCCCCAACGGCTGGGCCCCTGGGTCGAAGTCTCTCTTTGATGACTTCACCTGGGTGCACATGAACCAGACTCTGTTCATCCACAACACCGGTAACTTCCTCATCTGGCACCGGTACTTCATCCAGCTCTTCGAGGACGAACTTCAGAAGTGCGGCTACAACGGTAGGTGCTTTTGAACCTTTTTTATTTTATTTTTTTTTGGAGACAACTGAAGCTGACATATTTCAGGCGGTCTTCCCTACTGGGAGTGGGGATACGATGTCAAGAACCCCCGCGACTCGCCCGTCTTCGACGGCTCCGATACCTCGCTTGGTGGCGACGGCGAATACATCCCCAACAAGCCGAACGTCGAGATCACGCCGATTGGCTCTCCCGGTCCGATCATCCTCAAGCCCGGCACGGGTGGTGGTTGCGTCAAGACCGGCCCATTCGCCGGCATGATCACCCACCTCGGTCCCAGCACTGAGGCCGATCCCAACCAGGACAACCCGCGCTGCCTCAAGCGTGACCTCAACCCCGACTGCGCCCAGCGTTTCACCAGTTTCCGCAACACCACCGAGCTGATCCTTAACTCACCAAACATTGAGATCTTCCGTACTCACCTGGTATGTTATGACTGGTATTGTTTGAGGAGTCATATTGGTTCAGTGTTAACAAGTACAACAGGAGGGCGACCCGCGCTACACCCCCTACTCGCTTGGTGTTCACGGTGGCGGCCACTTCACCATTGCTGGTGACCCCGGCTCGGACGCTTTCATCTCCCCTGGTGACCCGGCCTTCTACCTGCACCACTCTCAGGTCGACCGTGTCTACTGGATCTGGCAGATGCTTGACTTCCAGAACCGTCAGGTATGTCCCCAGCCTCTCCACTCTCTGAAACTATAACTGCATGATGCTAATGTTTTGATCCAGACTGTCTTCGGTACCCAAGCCATCATGGACCTCTGGCCCGCTCCTAACACTACTGTCGAGGACGTCATCGATATCCGCCCGGTTGCCAGCAAGACCTACAAGATCAAGGAGCTCATGAACACCGTCGGTGGCCCGCTATGCTATATCTACATTTAAATTGTGATATAGCGTTATACTTTCGCTTTTCTTTCCTTTTCCGGCTTTGTTTTGATACACGCACATAGTTTTATCATTCATCTCATGGGAGTTTCGGCATACTGTTTCTACAACGGGATGGTCATCTGGTGTTCATCTAAGTCTTTCCACTGCCTTGGACCAGACATCAAAGACTGATCGGTTTATCGGGCTTTTTTTTGTGTTTTGCAACGTAGTGTAGGAGTGTTTTGGCCAAAGGCTCCTCGAATCAAATCTTAGTCATTAATGGCCGTAATTTTACGGGTACATCGCCCAAGATTTGTGCCGTCGATCCGTGTTTCACCTGCTGCATCCGTTTGAGCCGCTTAATGGGTGACCTCGGATGATGCCGACCGAGTGTACTGATCTGAGCCAGAGTATTGCTGAATCTCCAGTGAATATAAGTTTGGGTAATGTGTTCTTTGGGCTTTACAGCGCTAACAATTGTCTCCAATAGGTTGTGAATTTATTGTTTACTTCCCCATTACTCATACTTTCATCGCAAAACCCTAATCCTAGTGCTACCCCGGCACACAAAGTAAGCCCACCTCATCTCTAACATAATTTATAAATGTCTCTTATCATTGGCTAATGACTCCTTCTTTTCTCCACAACCCTGTCACCGTTCGCCAACGGCCAGACAACGGGCTCACCGATACAACGATTTCGACTCCTTGCGACGGCGCGAGCTGTTGCATGATGTCTCGATGCTCCGTGCAATTTGCGAGCAAGTACGGTCGCACCGAGGCGGAGGGGGTTAACGCAACCGGCCAACTGACTGGTCAATCAAGCATGCAATTGCAAGCGCGCCATTCGCTTGGATAAGTATCTTCTCTTGCATTCGATTCGAATCGCAATCGCCAGACCGCAACTTAAAAAAACGATTTTAAAGGTCGCTTTTTATTTCCGCACAGCCGCGGTCAATTGCAACTGCATGGAGGAAAAGACTTGTTGGACTTTTCGAGAGCCGTGCCGAGGCAAATCTCCAAGCAGCCAACAGCCAGAACATCAAATTTGGCCGGTCGAATCGAACCATTTACTGTTGCATTCGATCGGATCTTTTATTTCCATGTTTCATCGGTGACAATTGTTCCAAATAAACCTGGAAGGTTGGTCATAAATTTTTTTATAAAGAATAATTGAATTCAGGACATCTCCACATCACTCAGGAACCATCTCATCCCATCTCAAACTTAACCGATCGATCGACAATCGAATGTGCGTCCTCCGCTGTGCATTTGGGTGTGTGAGTGGGTCTTTTCCGCTGGCCACTAGCAAAAGGAGACCGGCCGTGCAGCAGCATCAGCAGCGTTGACTCCCCCTCCGTCTTGTCCCGCTGCCCGTCGGGGGGTTCAGCTCCCTCCGTACAAGAAGCCAAGCCCGATTGAGATTTTGAGTTTGCACGTCATGACAGCTACCGTCGAATTGAGTGCCGAGACGACGCCGTCGACCGTTAAAGCAATGAAGAGTTGCAAGCTCGGCCCGTGGGCTTGGAGGGCGAAACTATTGAGGGATGATGCACATGCTCCCGATTGGTGTCATCGGCGGCTGGTGAGACGGCCGGTCGGGTGTTTCATTTGATTTGGAGGATCATGAAGCTATCCGCTATAAAAAGAGGGACGGCGCCATGCAGATGGTACATGCTCACCTTGAGGTGAGAGCAAGGTGAACAGGACATGAGTCAAAAGTTCTAGGCCGGTCTTTGGTCGTAAAATGGGGAGAGCAAAAAATAGAACGAAGCAAACAATCGCGGGGGTGCGCATCGCTGCAAGCGCGGGCTTGTGCAGCGCGATTCGTCGGCGTTGTTTCGATCGCGGGTGACGGCGGCGCCTATTAGGCGCGCTTGTTTCGTTTCATGAAATTTAGGGCTGAAAACACCATCATGACTGGTTGTTTGGAGAATATACTATCATACACGCTGGCTTGGCTGATTTCGACCATAAGATAATATATAAGATGTTGTGCAGGACGAGAGATGGTGATGGCTTTTGTTCTATTCTCACCGGAGAACACTGTCAACCAAAAACAACGTCCTGTTAACTCTTTCCTTGTTTCCTTTAGTCTGTTTCCTTTTCTCTTTTTCCTTCTCTCTCGGTCGGGTATCGGGTCTCATAGAGGTCTTTTTTTTTAAAAAAAAAAAAAGTACGGGCTCTCTTTATTTCTCTCACAATTATAATCATAGCATTCAAGGTCCAGCGGCCTTCGGCAGCGCCATCCACCTTTCCTAGCTCTCCAACCAACAGTTGATCTGCTTTCAATCTCTCTATTCAAATCAGCACGCTGTCCAGGGGACAGCGTCAAAAAAAAAAACCGTCAAAACGGCGTCTACACGGCTTCCCGCTATTCCCGGCGATACCTACTTCCCGCCGCCGCCGACGGCACCTTTCCCGAAGCCGAAGTTTCCATTACGGACTGCGACTAAGGAACGGCCTTCTCTGCATATTGTTACCGAATTCCGGTCTCAAGGACCACTCAGGATGCGGTATCGACCGCCACAGCTAGGCGCTCTTGGTGTTACCTTCACTTTCGCGAGAGCTCTTCAGTTTGCTTCACTCATTGCCGTTATTGGGCTGTGTGCCAACTTTATCAATGATATAGCTGCTGCTGAGCATGATGCTCCTGCGGAGTTGATTGGTGCTCTCGTTGTGGTATGTATATTCCTGGTCTGTTAAGGAGTTCTTTTGATTTTGACATGGGTTACAGGCGGTTATTTCTGTCCTCTATGTGGTCATCACCTATATTCTCTACTACGATTCTATGCTTCCGCTATTAGTAGCCAGCGGGTTCGATGGAGTTCTCCTTATCGCAGCTATTGTTATTGCTGCTGTAATCGGAAAGCCCCTGCCGAAGCTAACTTGCTCTCGGCTGCTTGTTGCGAATGTTCTTACAATCACTGCCACACCCTTTTCTTTCGTAGCTCACCCTATCCGAACATCTACCGTCTCCAAGACGCTCTCCTATCCCGTCTTTGTTTCCCTAAGCAAGTCAACATGCATGGAGAGCAAGGCCGTCTGGGGCCTCTCCATCGCCCTCTGCATCCTCTTCGCCTTCTCCTCCTTCGTCTCCCTCGCCCTTTGGCACCGCGTCCGTCTCAGCGCCCTCCACACCAAAGACCTCGAAGGTTAGGGGTACGCGGGCGCCGCCAGGGACGTGGCGACGAGAAATGCTACCAAGCCAAAGAAGCAGCAACAGCCATGGAACATCGAGAACAAGCAAAACTTCGAGTCTGTCTCCCTTGACCCTGTTGTGCTGCCCCCTTCTATCCCGCCTGCCCCGCCGGTGCCCACCTACGCCCACGAGAAACCGCGATCTGTCCTGCCGCGTCTCACTGTGTCGACTGACCCTCGTTCTTCATTCTCCCGCCTCAGTAACGATTCTGACCTGTCGTCTGCTCCGACGAGTAGCTTTGATGTGGCGAGCCCTCCCCAGCAGGGTTTAAGGCCGCCGCCGGCGATGCACTCTCAGCGGTCGACTATTACACTTACGAATCCGGACATTCCTGTTAGGAGGGACGGTGAGGCGAGTTCCAGCTCGACGGACGGAATCTCGCCCTTGCTTTCAAGGGCTCCGTCCGCGCTGTTTTCTTCTCCCGGCTCCTCGACTTCCAAGATATCAAGTCCGGAGACCAACCTCAGGCGAAAATCTACCATCATCCCCGTTCCAGCAGTCCTCCCACTCGGGCAAATCCCCTCACCAACCCCTACCTCAGCAGGGGGCTCACTGCCTCCGGAGTACAAGCTCGTTCCAATTCCGATGTCGCGCTTTTCGACCGCACTGGCGGCGCAGATAAGCCTCTCCGAACAGACGGCCCGCAGCCCAACGGCCCCAGCCACTGAAATTGCCAAATTGAACCTAGGCAACCTCTCCGGCCTAGGCATCCTCTCCCGCTCCCTCAGTGGACGCCGTCTCACTCCGCGACAAGTCCCTGTGCAAGTCCCCGCGCAAGTCCCCGTTAAGGTCGAGACGCACGAGCTGCCGGAGAGAAAGCCTAACCCAGAGTTCCTGGGCGTACCTGGCGTCAACACAGGGATAGGGAAGGGGTTGACCACAGCGGACGTTCATTCCATTAGGGCAAGTATCGTTGAGCCCACGTCGGTGGTGACTACTAATCTTAGTCCCTTAAGTCCGAGTACGCTGGCCGGGGTGGTTAGTCCTTCGACGGAGTCTCTCAAACGAGAGGAAAGTAATGAGGTTGGGTTGGGGTTGGGGATATTTGGGAGTTTGAGGGGGAGAGGTGAGAAGGATAAAGAGAAGGACAAGCAGGGGAAGTGGGAAAGTGGAAGGCAAAAAAGGACGGTGTGGGATGTGGTCGATGGGTGGTGGGATCTGGGGTTGTTGGAGAGGATGGGAACCGTTAAGTCTGTTAGGAGGAAGAAGCAATGAGGGAAATGGGAATCGAGGGGGGGAAAAAAAATGGGTTTTGGAATAGAAGATTTGGGATGGTTGGTTTCCGGATAGGAGGGCCTTTTTTTTTAAAACCATATCGGCCCAGGTAGGCCGTGATCGTCCGGTCGGTCATTGTGTTTTTACTTTTTGGATATCGACTCTGCCTGATAATTGGTAGATTAATGTGATACCCTTGAATAAGAAATATGAATCGTATTTGACTATTTGACTAGGATGGCTCTGTTTATGTATGAATACAAGGGGAAGAGAACTTTGGGAGTGTTACGTGACTCCTTTCTGTCCTATGCGTACCTTGTTAACTTATCGAATGAAGGCTAGCCGATGTAGAGGAAACATTTTCCATAATATTAAGATAGGTAGAAGCTTCGTACTTTCTAGGTATATTCTAGGAACTCTACCGTCCTGGAGAAGAAGTCTTGAGAAACGAAGCGGTTAAGCACTAATCTGTTCTCATGGGTCCAAGCCAGTCTCACAACTAGCCTATAACAAAGAAACCTGCCAGGCTACGCCAAACCAGCGTCTCTGGATTATCTACAGAATGGTCTCAACAACCTGGACGACTTGAATCCAGTTACACCAGTTCTTGGGATGTCCCTCGAACCCGGTTCGATGTAAGAGTTGCTTGTCCGCTGGAGCATTGTCTTCCTCCGTTCGCCTCGATAGTGGACTTGGAATGGATTTCTCGTTAGCAAAGCGCTATAATTCTCGCGTGAGCTCACTGTAAGTCCGATCTCCCGGATCAATAAGTCCTTCCAGAGATTTTTACAAACAACCCGTTGCCTGCGACTGGCTATGTCTCTGTTCCGGGACGCATCATTGCTCGGTCAGGCGGTCCAGGTTGGAGAAACTGAGCGGCGATCCGGCATTTATAGCGACAGTGTATTTGTTTTGAAGTCTAGAATTAGGTAGTTGTTCTAGTGAACTACTTCTGACGCTATCGGTGTCCAGTGAGCAAAGGACCGCAGGACTTTTAGACTCCCGCAGTTGTTTACATCTCCATGATCACCTGTTACCGAGTAATTCGAGGCAATAGTCCCATCAGTGGTGAGGATGGGCTTCGATTCGGAAGAGCCATGGCAAATATCCCAAAAAGCATAGGGTATGTAATAGAACGATATCGGCAGGTCCCTCGGAGACCAGGCTGCTATATAGGCATTCAGGACTCTGGAATGCTGTTATAGCTTCTGGGTTCTCAAGAGTGAGAGTATTTGGCTAAAATTATATCTGAAACCACACAATTAAGCATAACCGAGGTAGTCAGAATGTCATGACTCATCATCATGCATATTGAATTGTTGTGTCTAGTCAGTGATCGATACACCAAATAGGTCTCTCGGGGCCCTGAAAACATGCCTGGCCCATTCTCTCCTTTCCAACATCAACTCCTCCACTCTAGACTCACCCATTCATGACTCGCTTTTACTGAGAAGAACCACCAGAGATGGTAATAACCTGCCCTACAATTGTTTACCAGTCAGCATGCCAGGCCTCTTCAGCAGATCGTAACAAAGGAGAAAGTGAACTCACCATTTACCCAACCACCATCCTCACTCGCCAAAAAAGCCACGACCCTCGCCACATCTTCCGGCACAGCGCACCTCCCCAAAGGACAATGCTCAGCCATCAGCCTCTCAATCTTCTCTGCCGGCCAGTCAGGCTGTCCGCCCGGAATATAATGCCATGCGTTCTGCGTAAACATGTCGCTCTTGATACCGCCTGGAGCAATGCCATTCACGGTAATTCCCTTGTCCCCGAAATCCGTTGCAAAGGCCTTCACCAGCCCGATCACTGCCATCTTGCTGCTGTTGTACAAAGCATGGTTCTTGACGCCCATCAAGCCTGCCGCGATGGACGTCATAAGGATCAGCCGGCCGTTCTTCTCCAAATGCTTGTACGCCGCCTGCCCCACGAAGAATTGTGCCCGCGCGTTGAGGTTGAAAACATGGTCGTATTTCTCCTCCGTGACGTCCAGCACGTGGTCCCACGACTCGGTGCCGCTGTTGGACATGACGATGTCGAGCCGGCCGAAGGCGGCCTTGGCTTCCTCGAAAAGGCGGTGGATTTCGGAAACTTTGGAGACGTCAGCCTGGATGGCGATCGCACGCGCGCCGTTGTTGTAGGACTCGATTTCCTTGACGACTTCTTGGGCTGGGCCCGCGGATGAAACGTAGTTTACTACGACGGAAGCGCCGCGGCGGGCGAGTTCCAGTGCGATGCCCTTGCCGATGCCGCGGCCGGCGCCGGTGACGAGGGCGACTTTGCCTTCGAGACTGGCGGTGGGGATAGCAATGACCATTATGAAGACTTTTGGGGCTTTGATGGGAGAGTTTGGTGTTACAGGAGTCTATACCAGTTTGAGACAATGTGCTTCTTCTATTTGACTTTGTGAACTGGGCTGGGTGAGACGAGGTAGAGAGATTAAGCAACGGGCATCCCAAGCTCTTGTATACTCGTCAAAGTGCTATTCTTTTCCTTCCTCTCCACGTATCTCATCTCCGGACGCCGTTGCCGTTGCCCGTCCGGTACTCCGGACTCAATCCGGAGTCAAGAGGGGAAGCCCCGATACCAGCTAGCCAGCCCTGAACCTGCGGCTTCCCCTCCGTTATGTCCGATGCTGTCCGGATTGCGATGCCTGCAATCTCCATGTTTTGCTGACTCTTTGACAGTTCTAGTCATCTGGATCACAGGAAAACAGCAAAACACGATCTGGAGCAGTGCAGGATGCCCAGTCTTGGGTGCCATTGAAACGCGAAGTTCAAGTAGTCCGGCAGCATCAGAGTTTAAAAGTCCTAACCTGGCGTTGCACAGGGCACGCCCCTGTCAGCCATCCGGGCTGCCGCTGCACCTACCTGCATGTCACTGCAGTCTCCGTGCCGATGACGTCGCAGGCCCAAAGTCCGGGGAAGCCAAGGCGAAGCATAAAAAGGCCTTGACCTTTTCTTGGGGTTTATTTCGGGTCTTTTTTGGGTTCCATGTTGTTGGTAGAGGCGCCGCAAGCAGACCAGACATTTACTTTCAGGTTTGCGAAACACTGGAATGCCGGGGCTGGATGTACAAAAATGTGCTGAGAGAAGTTTGCCGCCGACGGTGATAGCCTCAAACTTGACGTGGGATGTGGGGTGACGTCGATGATCGATATGTACGTATCTCGATCAAGTTGCAGCAGCCCCATCTCGCATCATCACACTGGAAACCAATTTGACCAATTTGGCAAGTGTCGAGCAATTGATGCCCAGCTAGTGATTTGGCGCAGCCCAAAGTAGGCAAGCAGGGCGGACACGTTGATGCGTGGCTGCTGAGTGGCCTATCGTTAAGATTTCAGCTGTACACAATCAATGCGTGTATATATAAACAAATCCACGGGACCACTGGGCCACGCCTTATCTTATCGCTAGGGAGCAAAACGCGAAAATGTCGCGTCAACCATCACAACAAAAAGGATTTTCCCATCGTTCGGCGGCCCAGGGCCGATGGGGTAAATGAGCCGACCGCCAAAGGGAAGGCTCGAGTTTTGGGGCGGGGACAGAGGGGATAGATTGGGGCTAGCGCACCCTTTTGGGCAGTCTTGGAAGGTCTTGGGTGCGCTGGATCAGGGCTGAGGTCAGCGCCGACGCCGACGCCGACTCCCGAGGCAGTTTCGAAATCACAGGTGACGGCAGAAACCATCCAAAGCGGAGCCAGAGCCAGCGAGATGAAACGCGGCCGCCCGCGGCAAGTAAGCGCACAACTCCCCGGCTGGCCAAAGCGCGCGGCAAGGTTGCTGTTGCAGAGAGAAATCGTAGACGCCAGAGATTAAATGGTGGAGAGCGCATGGAACAAGCATTGGCCTGAAATGAGATGAATGAAATGCACCAGGATGTCCTTGATTCAGCTCATTGATCGAGCAGTCAAAGCAATTTTGATTTGCATGGCAATGGCCGCGGTGGATTGGACCCGAAGCGCAGGGTGATAGCAGCTGCCGCAAGCAATCAGCGTCAGCAGCGCAGGAAAGTCAGGGCCCAGCGGGATTTTGCGATCGATTTCGTGGCAGTGGATCCCATCCATCTATCCACATCCTTCCACGGCTCCATTGGACCCTTGCGCCCGAGTGGGGGCCCCCGTCGGCAAGTGTGTGGCTCCTAGCTGCTGTTAGTACCTCCTTTTGTGGCTCGAGCGTCCAGCCCGATCGCTTCGCCGACCAATCGCAACGCCCAATCGCTCCTACGCGATCGTTGCCCTGGACAACATATGCGGGAAGCAAGAAAACAAAGCGCCACAAGGAGACATGGGTCCGGCGATCATTCACGACACCCTGCGTCGTCGTCACCAGGCCTCCTGGACTCGTGGACTGCACCATCCCAGCAGCCTAGTTCCTACTCCATCATCGCAACTTATCACGTCTCCCTCTGCGGGAAGACAAGCTTGAGCATTATACAGCGCTCGCTGCGAGCGATCTACACTTTGGTATCGCCTCACCGCCTTCACGTCCGGCGGTCAAAGACACGCAAAACACCCCCGAGGACAGCTGTCCGCGTCGTGGACGTGTCCTTTCTCGCAGTGACTCCATCGCATATCCGCGCATCTAGCATTCCTTAGCGACCTGCAGCATTTTTTTTTTTATCACATATCCAGGCCGCGGGCGAGACGGCCTCGTCGCTTGCGGCGGTCTGCGTGCGCCGTATCGGTGTGTGACGCGTATCGTGACTGTCGACGACAGAACTAACAAGTAGGAGTTTTAGCAGCATACCCATATATACACGCACGCATAGATTTAGCAGTTGCCACCGATACATCTAATATTGATGATCTCCCGTCCGTCCCCGATGAGTGCGCTTCACTCACGCCAGCGCCAACACCGGCGCCAGAACTCGACGCCGTCGGCCTTCGAGGCGGTCAAGATTGCCCCTCTGCCGAACTTGTCGCACTCTCGCCCCTCCACATCCCACCAGCATCGCCGTGGTATGAGTCTGGATGTTCGCCGACAGCAGTTTGTCCAGGCTGCGGCCGCGGCGGCCCAAGCACAGCAGCAGCAGCAGCAGCAGCAACAGACTCAACAACAACAACAACAACAACAACAACAACAACAGCAACAGCAACAACAATCTGATTTCACAGCAGCAATGGGAATTGACCCCGTGCTTTCCTCCGCGCCAGCAACACCGCAGCAGACCATTCTCCAGGACCCGCCGGGTTCGCGTCCCAGCACAAGCAGCTCATCCTTCAGCAACGCGTCCGGCCACTCGTTCCACGACGCTAATGATGCCTTTCTGCTATCGCCACAGGTGACGCCCCAGAGCCAGCGGTTTGCGGATTCCTTCTCGGGGCCGTCGCCTCTAGCCGAGATGAACAACCTATCGTTCGATTCGTTCCTCAATTTCGATATGCTGAAGACGCCGGGTAACTTTGGAAATGCGAGCGGCAGTATGGATCCGTCGTCCGAGTTTGATCTGTTTGGTGCCGGCAGTGCACTTTCGACGCCTACCTTTTTGACGTTCCCTGAGTCGAGCCCGTCGAGCGCGTGCCAGGGATGGATTTCGGAGGGGGAGGGGGCTGCGCCGCAGTCGAGGAGAGTATCGAGGAGGATAAGCAATGGAATCTTGGATAAGGTGGCCAAGTTCGAGACACTGAGCTTGCCGTCGGGGTCACGGCCGTCCACTCCTAGCAATCATAGTGAGTATCAACCTTTATATAGCTGCTCGTTAAAGACTAACCTCGCAGTCCCCAAAACACCTGTTGAGACTCCCAAGTCTGTCAAGCCAGATCCAATACCGGCCCGGCAGTCAGACCGGTTCGCTGATGGACATGATGAATCGATGGAGGAGACTCTCAAGCCCATCCGCCCCAACAAGGGGAAGCGCACGAATACCATTTTCGATGACTTCCGTAAACAGGCCGAAGCCATGGAGCAGCAGCAACAGCAACAGCAGACTGCGCCCGCGCCGCCTCAAAGAGCCAACACAATGCCCGTTCCCTTCCCAGCGCACGACATGACGCCCCCTGAGTTCGTCGATATGCGTGCCGTCAGCAACATGAATAGCATCCCGCACCCTCCAACAACCCAATCAAACCCTGACGGTCTGCCGATAGTGGCCCCCGTCGGCACACGAAACGTCTTCGAGAAGAAACCCGATCTCCAGCCCACACCCGGCCTGCTCCCGATCGTCCCTCTGCCTCCCGGGTCTCCCAAAAACAAGTCTCCGACCCGCCGCAACTCCCCCCACCGCCGCACCGAATCCGTCGCCTCGCTCGTCAGCGCAGCCAGCATCGCCGAGCTTAACATCGAGGAGACCCGCACGGAAACTGGCATCACCATGGAGGACATCGTGCAGTACATTCAGGGCCCAGATCCGTCCGACGGCAAGTGGATCTGCACTTACGAGAACTGCCTCAAGCGTTTCGGCCGAAAGGAGAACATCAAAAGCCACGTGCAAACCCACCTCAACGACCGCCAGTACAAATGTCCTACTTGCCAGAAGTGTTTCGTGCGCCAGCATGATCTGAAGAGGCATGCTAAGATTCATACGGGGATTAAGCCTTATCCGTGTGAATGCGGCAATAGTTTTGCGAGACATGATGCTTTGACGAGGCATCGCCAGCGGGGGATGTGCATTGGTGCTTTTGACGGGATTGTTCGCAAGGTGGTAAAACGTGGGCGGCCGAAGAAGATCCGTCCCGATATGGTCGAGAGGCGTGATAAAGCCGAGCGGACGAGGCGTAAGAATAAGTTGAACGAAACGAGCTCAGCTAGCAGTCAAGCCAGCTATTCCGAGGACTCTTCTGCCGCAAACTCCCCCACCACCGCCGCGCTGGACAACCTCATGGACGACGACCAGTTCCCTGGCCTCCTCGACCTGTCGTTGCCTCCTTCTGCTGTCTCGAGCTCAGCAGCGCCATCGCCGATTTCTTCCCTCCCTCCGGGCACACTACCCCTGCATCATCCCTCGGCAAACACCGCTTCAATACCAGACGTGTTCCCTCCAGCAACAACAACAACAACAGCAGCAGCAGCAGCAGCAGCAGCATCCTCCCATGCCCCGTCTCCGTCTTCTTCCCTGTCACATTACTCCTCTCATCTTTCCCCGCAACCTGTTTCCTCAGCTCCCCAATCCTCAGCCTCAACCCCCGCTCCTCTGTCAGAATCCCACTCTCTACCCCCCTCACGTCCTACAAGTGCTCGCCCGCCGTCGCCATCAGTCGCTGGCTCTGCGGCCCCCAGCCCAGGTAGTCTAGGCCTGCCCCTAGGCATGGGAATGGGCATGCCGCCTTTGACGAGCCAGTTTAACCCCCCTCAGGCTGCGCATCAGCCTGCACACTCGGGCGTGGAACTGCCGACTTCGCCGCCGGAGTTGTCCAGCACGTCTACTGCGGGGGCGGGATCCCCTCCTCCGACGGCAACCACCAGCTCCTCACAAGGCTTTCCTTCATCAAGCTTCGGCTTTTCGTCGCAATCTAGCGGGCTGGATACACCACGCGGACTGAACGGTGACGAAGAAGGGGACTCGATGGGGCTGCTAGGGTTTGGGGAATTTGGGACTGGACAGGATATGGGGATGCAAGGGGGGATCATGATGGGAGGGAATATGGGAGTTGGAATAGGGGGACTGCCGATGAAAGGGTTCGGGAGTGTTGGGGTGACGGGGGAGGAGGATTCTTATGAGACCATGTGGGCGGGGGTTGGTGGGGTAGAGGGAGAGTGGATTGGGTTTCAGGGGTGATGTCACTTCTCAAACTCAGGTGTGAATGAGGGGATGGAGTGACTTATCATCTCTTGCTCTTCTCTCAGACGTTTTTAGGCCCGCGAGGGGGGAAACGACCTCTTACTCTTACAAGCTTTTTTTTTTTTTGCGCTACTTATTTTCTGCTTTTTGTTTACCGCGAGCCACCAAGTCGAACTCTTACCCCTGCTCAAATAGTCAGGGCTACCTAATATCCACTTGACACCGTTATCTTTCCTTTTGTTATGGTTATATGTATGTTTTTTTTTTTTTGGTCGTTGAGAAGCAAGACTATTTTCGTTGCTTGTGTACATTATACAGGCAGGGCTCGGTACCAGGTTATAAGGTCTCGGCTGATATTTGAAATTTTCCTTTTGTCTCATATTTCAATTGTCTATCGGCTTGGAGGGTATATGCTTTGGAAGGAGTTTATTGGAATCATTGGAATCAGTCGGTTTTCTCATCTTCAAGATTTATTCTCCTTGGTTCATGCGCATGCACATGATAGGGGATGGTGATTTTCCTTTGTGTGTGTTCGGTCTGAATGGAGCTTATTGCAAATGTGTGAATAAATGATAGTTGAATAACATGCCACTTTTGAGTCTTGAAGCTTGGGTGTGATCCATATGTGAGTGGATGAGTGAAGGCATGAATGAAAGGCCGCCCTTGTAGCCCCTGCTTGGCGGCTTACATGTTCTTTTCGATTCTATATGATTCTGAATAAAATACTTAGTGTTAGTAGCGCAAGTACTGAAGCTGGTTTACGCCAATTGGGTTTCCATTAAGACAATATTCCAGCAAATAAGAGTGAGCAAGGTCAAAGCTGATCCATAACGACTGTTCAAGAGCTATCAACATGCAGGGTAGGAGTCTTGTCCCAAGCTGTCTGTTAGCTCCTCGTGTTCACAGAGGTACATATACATGTAGCAGGATAACTTGAGCGCTTGGCATCTTCTAGGTCAATAACCTTGCTGCCCTAAACACAGTCTAGTGTGAGGTTAAAGTCAATGATAGCACTATTTTCAACCTTAGAAACATTGTTCAATCCAACAACCAAACATCTTTCTAATTCTCCTTACATCTGTCGTGATTTTCTGTCCCAAGAGAGCACAGTGTATAAACAGTTTGCATACTATGAATACACTGTGCTAGTCCTCGTTACAAGAGGCAAACTGAGAACCCACCAGAATCATCACCCTCCTGTTCTTAGGCTCCCATAGCAACCACAGTCCTGCTGACCGACATCACAGCACAACAGCAAAGGGTTGTGTTCTCCGACGAGAACCAGCCCAGTGCTATCTAGGGACAGTTAACAACTCAACACCTTTCACTCCACATTAAAGTCTACAGTCAACTTCACCCCGCTCACCTTGATCTCTGAATCTCAACCGAGTCAACCCTGAACCTTAAGAGTTAGTTTGGTCAATTCAGTCGACTGACTGTTGCTGTACCGCGATTCAAACAAAATGCATACCCCAACTTCCCTTGAGGCCTTCGAGCACAAGGAGGCTATTGAGATGCACAGCTTTAATCCTGCCATCAGTCTCACCCGGGGTCTCCCTCAAGGCATTGATGCCGACATCCTGCTGCTCGGGGTCAAAGACGTTCGCGATATCCTTTACACAGTCTATGCCAACAATGGCTTCCCTGAGCGCAAAATTGACATCACCGTGTGTGAGAGTAACCAATACATCTTGGGTACGGTCGGTTACTTTGTCCCATAGCAAGAGCTCATGCTGATCCCCTCCCCCAGCCCGCGACATCACCCTCTACACCATCCTCCTTGACAATGACGAAACCGTCTCATTCGACCGCATTTGGGATCTCTACTACAACCTCTACATTGCCAGCACTGACCTAGACTACTACGAGTCCCACGTCACCAAGCTGATCACCCTCTCCAGTTCACCCTCATCCTGGCAAGCTGGCCCGTACGCCTCAACCATTCGCTTCTGTGACGAAGCATCGCTCAAGCTCCTCAATAAAGTCTGGCGAGACGCCGTCCAGATCTCTGTCAACAGGAAGTCCTCCCAAGAATGGTTCCAGAAGGGCCTGCAGGAGGCAAACGCCCAACCGAACCCGTGGAAGGGCGCCAGAAGAGTTGGCTGGCGATCTCTCGCTCCGCTGTATTCGCGTACCGCGGGCAAGATGCTGCTTGAGCTAACGGAACAGCACTGGGGCACGGGGAGGTCGTTCCCTAGGTCTGATGACGACACGAGCGAGCTGTTTCCCAATCCGAGTTTTGGTGTCGCTATTCGGAGGCCGAGTTTGTTGACGTACCCAACGGATCCCCTGCTGAGCTTCCATCTCGCTGCTGCTATTGCCAGGTTGCATGATGGGTCACCTCTGAAGCTGGATGACAGAGATGGGGAGGATAATCACCAGAAGAGGATGTACGAAGTGGCGAGGCTGCAGTTTAAGGAGTGGATCGAGGCGTTTAGGCTGGCGAGGGACAAGGTGACGCTGAGGTTTGAGGTCGCGGATTGTTTTGCGTTCTGCTATACGCTCAGGCATGCGGATGAGACGGGGGAAAGGTGTGCGCATTGGTATCGGGCCCGGGTTGGCGTTGAGCCGCTTGTTCTGGGGGAGGAGTACGGCAGTGATGGTACCGCGCCGAAGAAGTTTGATGTTGTTGACACAGCTACTCGGTCCGATCAGGCGGGCATCCTTAACCTGCTGGTGGCTGCCAAGCCGCTGCTGAAGGACGCCCCGTCGTCGACCCTCTACACCGATACCGCCCACGCCATCCAGGATATGGGCAAGTACGAGGAGCTTCTCCTCGGCCGGACGACTACCCTCTCAACCCTCCTCGGCCTGTACCCGATCACCGGTCTAACAGCCTCCAAGCCGTTGAACGCCGTCGACGAGATTCTCACAGCCTGGCAAGATCCGGCCCCCACCCCACAAGAAGGCCAGCCCGAGGCGGTCGGTACCGAAGAAAAGAAGGAGTCCGCTACCCACAAGAGCTACGGCTTCCGGCTCGCCTGGAAACTCGCCGACCGCATGGTCTGGCACGGGCAGGACCTGCCTGGCAGTCTCGAGGTTAAGGAAGATGATCTGCTTGTGTTGGCTAACAAGCTGTACTTTGATCTCTTCGAGTACCCGCACAAGGTGAACCAGCTGCCTGAAGAGGCAGAGCAGGTTGCGCACTTGAAGAAGGGCAAGCGCATGCAGTACCATGCCGGCTCGTTCGCGGCTATCTTGACTGCGCTGTGCAAGCATACCCAAGTTGATCCGTACTCGTTGGTGTCCAAGCTCGAGACGAGGATCAACGGGTACTGGGCGACGGTTGCCGGGCTGTATGAGAATAACGTGCAGCAGTTGCTTGCGGAGTTCCTGCTTACTATGCCTGCCGAGGTGAGGCAGACGCCGATAAACAGGCCGAGCTGGATGGGCTTGTACAGCTGGAAGGACGTCCCGCCCGTCGTGGCAGTTACGATTGCCATCCCGTGGGAGCACTGGAGTGCGGTGATGAACAGGACGAGGATTGGGGATCTGGCGGTGATGAACGGCTATGTGGCTTTCCCGCATAAGGATAAGGTTATTGAGAAAAGGGTCTACTGCGATATTCAGATCGCGTTTGGCGAGCCCGTCACGCAGGGAAAGCCGGACGAGGATGACTTTGCCATTGCGATTGACGAGCAGAACGACCAGGAGGCGAAATGCCCCATGATTGTCACGTTCAACGCCCTGACGGAAGATTTCCGGAGTGATGGCTACGTCGGCTTCCGCTGCAAGCGCACCCGGCACAACACGGATGGCTCGGAGGAGGAGACGCAGAACAGGTTCTACGAGTACCGCGTTCCTATCATCTCTCCCAACGTCCACGTGTCGAAGTTCCGGCCGGGCCAGACAGGCCACAAGATCAACGAGACTCACCTCCAGGGCTGGGCCGCCCGAGCCACGGCGCTGGAAACCCCCTCGCCAGATGCCAGCTTCCCGGTCACCTTCGACGACAAGTCCGAGAACATCACCATGCTCACGGGCCACTTAAGCATCACCTCCGACAAGGGCAAAGAGCTCCTCGCGGCCAAGGTCCCCATCGTCCTGCAACAATTCGACCCTTTCACTATCAACATCGCCTTCGGCAAAGCCAAGATTAAGAAAGACCTCATCCTGCCCCTCACCTTCCCCGCTCCCGTCACAAAGGAAGGCAGCAAGACCCGCATCGCCCGCACCTCAGGCTACATCGAGATCGACGCGCCGATGGTCAAGACTATGGAGCCCGTTCTGGATGATTATATCCTGCCCACCACACTCTACAAACAGCCCTCCACGGACAGCATCACCCCCGTCACCCTCAACACCCCCCACATCAACCTCGATACCCTGCCCATCCTCGCCCTAGACGACAAGTCCCGCATCCGCTTTCTCACCACCCTCACCTCGCTCACCTTCTCCTCGCGTGACAGACAGCTCCGCGAAGAAATACGCCGCGCGCAAGACGCCAAGAAGCAGCTTGACACCCCGCCCCCGGCGCGCCTAAATATCAAGGAGTCGCTGTTTACAATGTTCATGCTCGCTTCCGGTCTACAAGGCGGACAGACGGGTCTGTTCACACTTACACACCCCAAGCGTGGAGGGAACCACATGCTTTTCTTGGTGTCTGCTATCAGGCTGGATCCGGCGCATGGCAGTGTGGTGCTGGATGCAGCCGTCCTGCCTGTGACGACGGACTTGATCAGCGAGCATCGGATCGACGAGTTTTTGGTCACGCTGCGGGCTGTGGAAAGTTGTACGTTGACGGTGGATGATGCTGAGTTAGAGGCGTGGAAGAAGATGCTGCCTGCGCTGGCGGAGCGGTGTCGGACGTGGGAGCATGATAGGGAGAAGTGTGAGTATATCAAGACGGGGAATGTGCCTATCAGTTTGAAGGATGGTGATCCCGTGCTGTGCAGCTGTGGGATGGGTAAACTGCCAGAGGGGTTTAGCCCGCTACCGCTGTGGGACGACGGGCCGAGTAAGTACGCAACTAGAATTGCGATTAGCCCCGTGTATGCGACTGCGCTTGTGGAGAAGGTGGTCGATCCGCTGTTGACGGTGGAGGGACTTCAGAGGGAGGAGAGAAAGAAGGCAAAGCAGAAGAGAGAGTGGGAGGAGGAAGAGGAGCGGAAGGAAAAGGAGGCGAAGGGGGAGAAGGACAAGGATGGGGACGTGGAAATGGCCGAGGCCGGGGAGGAGGATGATTTTGACTATCCGTCGACCATCACGGAGGATGATGAGGAGTATAAGCGGATAAGGTGCTGGAATTGTGGGAAGATGGAGGGCGAAGATGGGGTGACGTTGAAGAGGTGCTTGCGGTGTCTTGAGGCGAGGTACTGCTCGTCGCAGTGTCAGAAGAAGGACTGGAAGAAGCATAAGATGGAATGTGAGGAGGCCGACGTGTATCATCAAGAAGAACAGCAGCAGCAGGCTCAGCCTCAGCCTCAGCAGTCATCGTGAGGAGAAGGATATAGATGGTCATGGGTTGTATAGGTAGGTACAGTGTTGTTAACGTCCTGGACAGGTCGGTCGGCATACGCAGTGTAAATATCAATTGATGATTACAACCGAGTGGAGGGCCTTGATGTGACTACAATATGATGCTCTCAGTGTACTTCAACGTTTTTGCAGCTTATTATCCGTCGTTAAGGTTGTGAGGTGCAGCAGATGCTCTCGGTTATGACTTTCAAAAGATCAGCACAGCGCAGCTTCATCCAGGTCCAGGATCACGGGCTTCCCGCCAGCAAGCTGGCGATCTCCCGAGCTAGCCGAGCAATGGAAGCTTCTCAAGCGCAGGAATCCAGGTTCAACGCTGGACAAACCGGACGATCCTACTGCGGCCGTTTTGCCGATGGTCGGTGGCCAGCCGGGTGTCCGATCATCATCAGTTTCAATTAACTTCTTTTTTTTTTAAAAAAAAAAAGAAAAAAAACCGCTAGAAATCTACAAAATCTCTGATAGCAGCCGCATGCAAGTGACAGCACACCAACAAAATTTTCCAGAAGCAAAAGAGATAGGTCAACAACTGGCAAAGCTACGGCAGCGTGGCGTCTGCTGCTTCAGGGTTGCAGCTTTCCATGCTTCTATTGCTGGGTTTACCCCGCCGTCAGTTGAGAAGGGGGGGAAAAGGGGGGAGGGGGAACCAGATGGAGGGTTCGGTTGGCGAAGAGGGGGGGAGAAAGAGGGAAAAGAGGGGGCGGAATGTTCAGCGTGGGTGTGTGTCCAATGCGTGCGTCATCAGGTGCTCTCTCACTCGTCGGCTATCATTTTGCCACTCATCCCGTGATCCGACCATCAAAATCACACACACCTTACCTGCTCCTGTTTGTGTTTGTTGGGAAGAGGAAAGATGCTCGTGAAGAGAGAGAAAAGGGGAAAAAACAAAGTCCAAATATTCTACACAAAGAGATCTTGCTGCAGCCACTCATGAAGTTCAGTGTGACTCGCTTGTATCGTCCATCGTCCATTGACGCTGTCCCTCATTCGTGCAGATCACGCAAAAGAGGAAGCCATTGACCAAAAGGCGCTGATTCCCGCATGTTTGACGTTTCAGAATCGGCACTCTGGGCATTTCCGGCCGTGTTCATCCGATGGACTGCTTGCACTAGGAACTGCTTGGAAGGGGACCTTGCGGCCTTAAAAACCGTGAGGGACACGAGGGTGACACCATGGTCACCACTAGTCTGCTTTAACAAATCACGGCAGCTAGGGTCGTCAAAAAAGCGGCCGACCGACACATTTACATACCGATCCAGTAAAAACAGATGCGGGCAAGTGTAGGTAGCTGCACTTCCGTCCGTCCTTGAACATCGTATCGCCGGCCTGCAGCGTAAACTGCTTGGTTATATATATCAGGGCAAAGGTGTTGGGTGGCCACCTGCAGACTGCAAATGCAGTTGTTGTGAGGGTGAGGACGGTGCTGGCATTTATCCGCAGATGGAAGGACGGTGTGTTTGTTGGGATATTATTGCGGGTTGGTGTGTGGTATGCCAGGCTTGCCATCTGCGAGATGTTACCACGACTATCAGTACCCCAAACATGGCGTTTGTTTAGATTGGGAATTTTTGTCTGTTTAGAAGCGATTTCTTGCCCTCATCGTTTGCATCGCTGTTCAAGAGATCTACTTCTGGGATAGGTCGAAGAAGTGAAAGAAACCTCTTTATCTTGCCATTTCCCCAGGACAGCTTCAACAGACCCATAAACTCCCATAGGATCTGCCATTCCATAAATCCAACGGTCTAAAAACCGGGAATCTTGTTTGATGACGGCGCCAGCGGGATGCTGTTTGCCCATATGGAAAAAGATAAGCCATCATGGGCCACCGGGAGGTGTGCTGTGTTTGCGCCAGATAATCGCCGATAGTGCTCTCTGTAGAGCTCCCAGCGAATTACTAACAGTGCCGCCCGCATACTAACAGATAGCCGCTGCGCCACACTGCATCACAGTGCACGCTGCAACCATCAACGACGACGGACGGCTGCGGCCCCTGAAATTTGTGCCTGGCAGACCCTGCAAGTTAAGCGGGCCCACCGGATAGGCGCGTCCGCGCAGGCCAATCAGCAGCGCGCTCTCGAGTGCTTGCTGTCCGCATGGGCGCATGATTGGCCAGTCCTGCCGCACACGGCCCCGTCGCGCTAATCCCAATTGGCAGGTCCCCTGGGGCCAGGAACGGCCGAGAGAGCAGGGGCCGTTGGGGGTTGTTCAGCAGGTTAGGTCCCGAGGTCCCCAGCGCAATTTCGTTTTTGCTTCCCCTTGTGGCTCGTGGGAGACGGTGGGCCCCGTTGGCACCCGTGGGACGAGGCCTTTGTGGGTGCTGCCGGCGCTGGCGTCTCGCTGTCTCGCCTGATTTCGTCTTTGCAACAAAACCACTGTCGCTCCCTCCACCAGAGTCACTCCTTTTGCGGCCAGTGTTACAGCTTTCGTGTAGGTGTGTGCTCTTTCAATCTTCCCCCATTCATCCATCCATCTCCATCCTTCTGCATCTCTGCACCACTCCACCCATCATCGACCATCGACGCGAGTTGTCGTCGACCTCATCTTCATCATCCAAACCATTGCCCTCCAGCAGACACCGCTACGGAAGCCTGGAGATGTGTTCCCAATCGTAGCCCCCCGGTCGCTGAACAAGGAGATACTCGCAGATCACGACCAACTCCACGATCTGTCCGACCCTGATCACTCGTTCACATTGTCTGTTCATCCAGCAAACAAAGCTTCACTTCGATATCGTGGGAACAAAGATACCACGAAACCCCCCTTTTTTTTCCTCTTGTATCCGGTGTTTTCTCCCTTCGCCGTTGGCGCCGCGATCCCCGTTTGAGGCTCTGTGGGCCTCTCCGAGAGACCCGACACCGACCGACAACCCATCTGAGTTTCCGAACAAGCCGTTGACGCAAACTCCCGAAAACCACGAACGATCATCATCGCCGACGCGACAACTTCACGTCGAGAGCGTCACCGGCTGGATTGAATCCAGCATCATCAAACACTGGAATCCATTTCTCGATCGATACCCCGATCCGCCGATCCTTCCATCAGACTAATATCAGACCGCCATCGCGATGAAGTCGGTCACGTTGTTGGCGGCCGCACTGCTCGCCGGCGCCGTAGATGCCATCTCACCAGAGAGATCCGACTTCTTCCTTTTTCCTCGCCAAAAGAAGGGTGTGCAGCAACCAAAGCAAGATCCCCAGCTCATGGTCGCCACAAACCAAGGCTGCTACAAGTCGCAGGGTGAATTGATATACAACGACACATTCATCTTCAACTCTATCGACCTTTGCGCGACAAAGACGTGCTACCCAGCCGGCTATGAAGTGGCGGCCTCGCGTGCAGGTAAAGAGTGTTTTTGTGGGCATAAGTACCCGCCGAAAGAAGACCTCGTCCCCGACAGCCAATGCAATGTTGGCTGTGGCGGTTACGATCTTCATGCATGTAAGTCACAGAAGCCAGTATCTTCCAGGTCTCCTCTAACTGTTCTAGGCGGCGGCGCCGAGACGTTCTCGGTTTACAATACCGGCAAATCGCTGGCAGTGAAGCACTCCGAGAAGACAGATGAAGACGAGCCTACCTCGACCGGGAAGCCCACCGTAACCTCAACCCAAGGAGCGGCCCAGACAATTATAATGACAGAGACTGCGGTCGTCGAGCCGGATAAGAAGGGCAGCAATACGGCAGGTATCGTTGCCGGCGTTGTGGTGAGCGTGGTGTTGGTGATCGCTGCTGGTACCGGTGTATACCTGTACCTGCGCCGCAAGCGCAATAAGGAGATCGAAGAAGAGCACCGTCGTAATGCTGCTGTCACCGCGTTCATGGGCAAGCCTGGTAGCAGCGGCGGCATGTCCATGACCGACTCGCGCCTCGACCCCATCCTTGCCGCCAGGAGGTTAAGCGACGGCAGCATTGCCGACAATCAAGACTATTCGCGGCGCATTCTTCGCGTAGGTTCCCTGTTTTCAGGATATTTAGGGTTTCAATCTAACTTCTGCAGGTCGTCAACACGTAATTGGCAGCACACCATAAGATTACGACAACCGGGGAAAACCAAGAACAAAACTCGTCCTGTATCTCTCTTTTTGATTAGCAGCATCACCGGCGTTGGGGGGGGGGAGGGGTAAATACTTTAACAGTCCTGTCAATTGGTGGTGGATTCGATCTACAAACGAACAGAAACTCTCTAGACTCGGCGTCTCCTTTTATTCTCTGCCAACACCACTACACAGTTCTTGAACAGCAGAAAGTTTCGGTCCTCTTTTAACTGAACTATCACTCTACCTATCAAAGCCTCTCTCCTTACCGTCGTCGTCCTCGTCTTTGATCTCTGTTCTCTGGCTCTGCTGCTGCTGCTGCTGCTGCTTGCGAAGTTATGGGTCTCTCTTGGTGGTTGGTAGTGTCTGTCTGTGGGAAGATTAGGGCCATTTATGTGTTGTGTCAGTGTCTTGTTATCTTTTGGGAAGAGGGAAATAACAACAATCGGTGAATATTCAACTCTATTAACTACAATCAGATCACGTGGGATGGGTTTTACAAAAGATTCAGTACAGGGTGCAGATGGCGTCCTCGGTCGAAAACTTTGGGCTACGTACACATTGCTGTCTTGCCTTTTACGCCTGTCTGGCTTCTTCATTCCGCTGAGAACCTCTCCTATTGTGAACTCGTCGATAGGAGGTGCTGTACCTCTTGACCTACCTTCCTACCTCTCATCTACCTATCTATTGACATTGAGATTTTAGAACTCTGGGGAAGTTGGGGCGGAACTTATATGCCCATTCACATGGCCTAGCATGCAGGAAGCGCTAGGCTCTGATCTTTGAGTGTGGTTGTGGAAAGGGATAGGATTTGACTATAGGGATTGGTTCTGGACTCTTTCTTACCCATAAGGTGTTTTAGTTTCCTGTATACATCTTGTATTTTCTCTCTGAGGTATGTGCCAGTATTTCGGATGGAGGGTTAGATCTGTCTATCTAGGTAGTTTAGTGTAGCAGGAGAATGGTGCAGTTGGGTCGTCTCTCTGATAATGTGGGATTGTCGTGCTCGATGTAGTCGAACTGCGTGAATAGGTTGTCGACGCAACAGGATGTTGGAGAGGTGTGTGATCACAAGAATCCATCCATCAATCCATCCGCCTACCTACCTTCGATCTTGATACCGAATCCTGCTTCTGGAAGATGGCCTTTCACCGGACAAAAACCGGGCAGTTTCTTGCTATCTCTAAGCGAGGTCGTCTTGGTGGTCGCTCCCACGTGTCTATCTCCCCGCATGACAAACTACCTATCCAACACTACCAATGTCGTTGCCACCTTACCACTAAAATTGGAACTTTGGGACTTTGGAAGTGCCGCCTCGCTTGCGCTGGTAGCGAAGGGTACTACGTACCATAGCTGGGAAGAGAAACAATAACAATACGGCATATGTATTTGAAAGATATTGTCCGAGTCTATTTTGCTGGTTGCAAGGGTTGTTGGGAGGAGTTGTTTATCTGGGAGATACTGACGTGCATATGTGGTTGAGTTCAGGTAGTGTAAGGGAAAGTAGGGTTTGGAGGTCACACAGCAGCCAGATAGAGAGTTTGGTTGTGATTGTGGATGAGAAGGAAGGGAATACGAGGCTAGATGGCGGTGTGGTTTTCTATAATGTGGGATGGATTGGTGGTTAGGATGCAGAAAACTGCATAGACACATCTTTCCATCAATGCAGTACTGGAACGGTGACGATGGTAGGTATGTTGTCCATCGCCCCCACGATCCAAGAGAAGAGTGCATGCCCCGTACTATTACGCACGGTCGTTGCTGTCAAGGTACCTTCCGTTGATTTATTCCGTTTGATTCCGTTTGTAAACGGTATCGCTGACAGTGGGGATATAGAGGAATTCGTTTTCGACCGCCGACACTTATCTGTCTGGGCGCTTCAGTCCCAGAAACATAAGATTGGCATCGCATCTGCGCCTAAGCCCTTGCGAGTTCTAAATCCGCTTGACATGCGTGTTTGGGGCTGGCATTAGTGAACCTGAGCGTGTGTAAGGCAAATGACTGTATGATGCTATGAAAGAGAGGAGGATGTAGAGATAAGATCGGGGTTGCATATGTTCACACGGGTGGCAAGGACAATCTCCGGGCTAGAGGTTCGCGAGCAGTCAGACAACTGGGGCCGAGGGGTATCAAGGACCCGAGCGTGAGCACTTACAATCCATTCGAAAGGTAGTGTCATTGTGATGGGGGACGGAAAAGCCTCGCTGGAGGGGTTGGTGAGGGAAGGAAGGCTTGCTTGCGAATGAGAACGAAAGGTTGCATGAATGTCCCGGTTAGTGGGGCACAGACTTGCTTCGAGGAAATGCTTCGAAGCTTGATGCAATGCCGATGCGACCGCATCATGTGTTGGATCTTTACTGCGGTAAATCGTATGCTAAGGTCGTCGTGAAAGCCTTTTTGAGACACTTCAACAGGACTTCTAGTAAAACTGCGCAGTACACTAACCGCAAGAAGTTGCAGCCGTCTGAACGCTTGGAACGACCAGGTATATAGTCGAAGTCTGGAAAAACCTTGGAGTGGAGGCTGACAATATGGTCTTTACGGGACATGAGACGGAAGAACTCTCAGAAGCAGGAAAAATGGATAAAGATAGGATTCAGTCATGTCAAGGGACCTGCTCCGGACCGGTATCACCAATGCAAAGCTAAAGGCATCTGACTTATTCGTACACTTAATATTCATTCACTCACTGCAGCTTGGCAACATCTTATCCTCCAGGCAACTCAGGAATTAGAACTTGATCCAAACTTAAACATCGAGACTGGCTGAAGCGGTAGCTGAGGACCTCGTTGTGCTTCTAGACTCACTGTGTGGAGTCTTGTGGAAGATATCCCTTAAAACCAAAAAGGTTTGGATCGATCTTCATGCAACCCTGATTCTAGCTGAATCTAGGTCCTGGCCGGGTTCTCTAATGGGCCTCCGTTATGACCAAGTTCGAATCCAACCCCTTCGGCGCCCTGAGAACCTGGAACGAGTAAACCTTGCTGCTACAATAACGGCAAAACAAGAAAAAAGCGAGATGAAGCCAACCTTCAAGGCCGGCCGCTGGGAGCAAGGAAGCCATAGTATGTTAACCTCATTTTACTATGTATATGGATGCTAGCATTTGAGTTTGTAGTGTCAGCTTTATTGCACTTCTTATCCCCTAATAGATATCCTACAATTTTGGAAATTTACGAGCAAACACATAACCTTTTTGCAAAAGAAAAATCTTTACCATACATAATCCAAAAAAAAATACTTCTCTTTACCTGACTATAGTGTTATGATTTCAATTTAACAGGGTACAGCTGGAACTGTCTCGCACATGAGAGATCGCTTGGAAGGTCCTGATCTAAAAAAGCGATGACGTTTAATCACCCCTTGCTGTCGATCAGCTATTCCTCTGTTGTATCATGAGCAAGACAGAACATGGAAGGAAAGGCTTAACTTGTAACGCAGAAAGGCATAAACTGGCCAATCAAGAAACAGCCAGGCATACCCTGTTGACATTCATACAGCTGAGAATGATAATCGGCTACATAGGCGTAAGAGTCACCAATGGAACAGTGACGGTCACTACGGGAGAATCGTGTATACAACTATGTAGCTAGTTTCCAGCTTAAGCATGTCCACGAGGGCTCCTCAGTCAGCAACACAAGCAGCTGCATGCCTCAACTGATGGCCACGGTATAAAAAATTTTGTGTGAGAACACTTATCTCTGAGATTAAATAAACCTATCACTAACTTTGAGCCCATTTCTGGAGGCCATGGAATCATAACAACTGGTGTTCTATTTTGTCAGGATCTCAACCTAGCTCGCTAGGAACTTGCTCCCCACTTACACTTGGCTCAGACCCAGCTTCTTTTAGAAAAATGGCACAATGTCCTCCTAACTATACAGTGCAAAGCAGGCAATTGCCAACATCGAACGATAAAGCTTACGAGCTTGTTCAGGACAATGAGAGCAACATTTGCAATAGAAATTTGCCTTACCAGAGAATAAAGATATCACATACTCTCCAAACAACTGAGAAATTGAAAAAGGAGTAAGAGCGTCTAGTATTAGAAAGCAAAGAGCAATGGAGTATGTAATGGGAGACTTGGTCTGGTGCAGGCAGGGATCGACGATGGGCTGGATTAGATAGCCACTGACAATGCGGGATGCATAACGAATTCGATTGATACGTGTAACAATGTTTCTTGGTCCTCAATATTCTTGGGTTAGGGAGAGGCAAAACCAAGAGAAGTTCTTCATCGTGCCCGATTAGGCTCCTTTATGAAATCCTCTCGACCATCTAGTTCATTCTTTTTCAGCCATGCGGCTCCAGATATCTCCTGGGGTCAACCACTGGTTTGTGCCGCTCACAATCCTTCTATCTCTGGTTTCTCTTGTGTTGGCATTCAGGAAGACCAATTTTCCTTGGAATGCCGTGCCCTTGTGGCAGCCTCGTTCACAATCAGCGGGTCGGTGTGTCTGCAGGTGCCATTGTGGGCCAGAATGTACACAGGGACGTTTTTGAAAAAGGTAGGTAAAACGTGCGCCTCTCCAGGTTGATGCGGTAGTTGTGTTCCCTGGCCTTCGCAGTAATAGATCCACGGAGCTTCGGGCGAGAAACTTTGATAGCAGAACCCGAGTTGACGGGGTAGACCTTCACGATGTCGCGTCTCTGGATGTTGAGTTTCTTGACGAGGAGAGTGATAATGCCGGCCGGAGTGACCTTCTGCCAGTTAGAGTAGTTTCTATCGACTCTCAGAAAGACACTGAGGCCAGGTCTTTCCGCTACCGCTCCATAACGCGCCGTAAGAAGTTCGGGGTTATCCGGGGTGGTACCCCTTGCCCAGCGTGGCCTGAATGAGGGAAGAGTAAAGCCTCAAGATAATGGGCTACCCGACCTTATTCAGGCTCCCTTCAAGGTTTCATTCGTGGTCTTCGACGGCTCGCAGGAATTTCTCGGTGACGGAAATGATGGCGCTAAGCTTCTTCGCCTTCTCCTCGCGGGCCCTCTTGAGAGCAGCGGGAACGCCCGCGCTCGAGGGGGCCATCTCGGAGAGGATGCTCGAGGGCCTTGGTGTTGAGTATTGACTCGCTCAGGTTCACCACTCCTGATTGGTTTTATCGCAACGTCGCCACCTTTGATTGGTTGGATTCAGAAGTCAGAGAAAGGGGGAAAGGTTGAGCCATTGATTAGAATGACGGTTATTAAGCCAGAACAAGTCTGGCGTAAGATTGAAGGTAGTCCAGAGCGAGAATGGGAAGAAAAAGGGGACGTTATCCATAGACGTGAGAAATATGAAGATTTTATCCATCGGCTAACTTAGCATTATCTACAGGAGCGCCGCCAGTCTTACATTAGTCACGACTGTCTCAATGACCTTACTCGGCGATAAAATAGCAGAGCTCTAACAACCTTGGTGCGGCCACACAATACAGCGCAACTCAGTGACATTATACCACCGTTGTTTTGTCGGATGAAATGCATTCCAAGGCGTCTCTCTGATCTTGGAAAAATCTGGTACAAAATTGTACCATCATACTGACTCATTCCCATTCTGTGATTAGGTCACGCAGTTGAGGAATGCAGGCCGAACACATTGATGCATGATGTTCCCAGTAGTCAACTGCATAGGTAAAGAGAGCTTTTTCGAGTCTTTCACGCGCCTCTTCACGCGTCCTGACAGGGCCACCTGAAAAGTCTTTAAACACAAGGTATGATATGCAAGTATTTGCGATATTGTGATGAGTGGTTGGGGACCACCGAGTCAAATCATTCTGAAAATATTCCCGAACTGTGTAGTGGATAAGTCGTATGATTCGCTTTCTCTGTCGATGGTAACGAGCCCACAACATGCCAAAAGCGTGCCTTCGGCATTGAGAATCGCGGTTTTATCAAGCTCGTTCTCACTGTCCTTGACAGCCCATGCATACTGAACTTCTATCATTTTGAGGGGACGTTTGGTCATTTATGCGCCGGAAGTTATAATATAGGTATGTGATGCCAACATCACAGTTTCCCAAGCTCCTTTGGAGATGATCGATGACGATCGATACAAGAATAGTCTTCCCAGCACCAGGTATGCCAGGGTTGAAGAGAGTCATTGGTTTCCTTGACAGGTAATGGCAGAAGGATAGGCAGACTGATGACTTCAAATATAAATATGTGCATAGAATCACCCATTCCCAGAGCCATGACGAGGACTCTCCAGTCAGCAATAGAAACAGTTGTCAACCAACAACTGGTGACCGCACTGAGTCCCATACTCTACTCTGTGAGGACCCTAGTCCCTCAAATTTTAAAACTTGGCCACTCCCTTCGAACCCATCTCAAGAGGTTGTGGAATCGCCACCCGCTACTCTTGACTTTGAGTGTGGAACTGTGGCCAATCAGCTTGATAAGAGTCTGAGGAATCTCAGCAAAATTGGAGGTGGAACTGTGACATCATTTTCCTAGAAGTTCTCTAGAACTTGATGTCGTAAGAACAGTTGGGAAAAGGCATTGTGTGGATAAAGATCATTTGGTGCATAAGCTGGCAACCTACGAAAGAGTTAGATGGGTCTGGATTACCTACTTAACTAGCCGGACGGGATCTGCTGCGGGTCACGTTGGGATGGTCATGGTAATCGTGAGCCAGGCCGACGTCACAGCCGGTACCATCATAGCTTGGAGATTTTTGAAGAGTTCTTAGGCCAATGGTTCAATATCAATTGAGGCGTTGGGGTGGTCCCATCTTTGTTTACGCTGCACCTCCCCAAAGCCCGTCGGCGCAGCAACAGCCTAGCTGCCGTCCAATGACCGACAATAGCCGAGTTCCGCAGGGCCCGCGCAGACGTCATCGACACCCACAAACGGCCCCAATTACCTACACCCTGCACCATCGCAAAACTTCGCGAGCGAGGGAAAAGCTAACCCTCGTAAACCTCAGCACCTTCCGGTCGCCTTCATCACATCTCACCAGCCATGGCCCCTCTAACCATGGGCCCCCGGATCCTCCTCTCCCTCTCCCCCTCCAGCGCCCTGCGCTTCACAAGCCAAACCCTCCGCACTGTCCTCCGCCGCCACGGCGCCGCAGCCTTCTACTCCTCAACTTCCTCTGGCCCGCTCATCCGCGTAACCGATTTGCCCGCCCCCGGCTCAGGTCACATCCGCATCCTAGAGCTCAACCGGCCCGAGGCGCGCAACGCAATCTCTAAGGCGTTGCTCGCGTCGCTGAGGGAAGAGATTGACGCCGTACACGAGCAATATGACCCTGTGACGGGGGAAGAACTGCCAAAACCGTCGTGGGCAAAGAGGTTTGGGGGCGTGGCGGGGGAGGATGAGAGGGGGCCGACGCGGGCGCTGATTATTGCGAGCGCGGTGGACACGTGCTTTTGTGCGGGGGCAGATTTGAAGGAGAGGAAGGGGTTTACGCAGGAGGAGTACGTGTTCCCCGGACTTGATATGGGCAGTTGGGGGAATGGAATCGGTAGCTAACAAGACTCTTCTAGGACTGCTGCCTTCCTCGATGCCCTCCGCTCCACTTTCTCTTCGCTCTCCTCCCTCCCCATCCCCACCATCTCTGCCATCTCCTCCATTGCCCTGGGCGGTGGCCTCGAGCTCGCCCTCTCAACCCACTTCCGCGTTCTCTCCTCCAACGCTCAAGTTGGCCTGCCCGAGACCCGCTTAGGCATCATCCCCGGCGCAGGCGGCACTTACCGTCTCCCGGCCCTCATCGGCATCCCCCGCGCGCGGGACCTCATCCTTACCGGCCGGCGCGTCGGCGCCGCGGAGGCCTACTTCCTGGGTATTGCCGACCGCCTGGTCGAGGTCGGCCCCGAGAACGAAGAAGAAGCCAAACAGTGGGAGGCGATGTCCGAGGAGGAGAGGGGCAAGAAGTTTTTGGATACGGCGAGGCGGGCGGCGCTCAGTGAGGCGGTACGACTGGCGCAGGAAATTTGCGAGGGCGGGCCGATCGCGATCAGGGCGGCGCTTAGGGCGGTCGAGCAGCCAAGTGAGGAGAGGGAAAATGCGATGTATGAGAGGGTGGTGAGGACGGAGGATCGGGATGAGGCGTTGAGGGCTTTTGCGGAGAAGAGGAAGCCTGTTTTCAAGGGGAGGTGAGGGCTTAGATTAGAGAGGCTGGGCTGTGAGGGGGCTGTTCGTGTTGGGCTATGGGTCTCGTACCAATTTTACGTGTTATTTGTGTGTACGAAGGTTATAAAGGCTGATGGGTTTGGGGTTGATATCACTAAGTTGGCTGCGGTTTATCGTAAGGTCCAAAATTCCAGGTGCTTGTTAATCTTGCTTATTTGGCACCTCGAACTGCTTCGACTCTGACCCAGCTTTTACGCGCGAGCTTTTAAAGGCCAGGTTCATCAGGTTTGGAGCTGGCCCCTGAACGAGACGTCATCGGTGTTATACCTTCCATAGCCAGATGATCAGCTCCGAGCAATGACATCACGACTGGCCACAGCATCTAGGAGAATCTTCTACACAAGTTCAGCCCTTCTTTTTTTTTTTTTTTTTTTCTTTTTAAAACAGCCGAGCTGTTCTCTTAAGCCGCTTAAGCTGTTGGATCGAAGCTCATCATTTCGGCAGAAGAACCCTAGCGAAATGTCATCCAGAGCCCTCGTATCCCGCCACCTAGCATCTCTCCCTCCCCGAACAACCCCCCTCCTCCTCCGTGCTACCATCACAACCACATCCAGCCATCAAAAAGCTGTCGTCGACTCAGCAAAAGACACTCTCACAAAGGTCGATCACGCCATCTCACAAAAACTTGTAGACGGCATCGACATCGGTAGTACGTTTGTTATTCATTGTTCCCTTCACCTTACCTACCTACCCTAAGAAAAAAAAATTCCATCTCGCCTGCGTCAATAGACTTCCTAGACCCCTTCGCGCCCGAACAACTTTCCTGGACATCCTTTTACACACCCACACCGCAGAGTGTTAACATCCCAACCATAGCCAAGGCGGCAGACACCCTCAAGTCTACAACAGAATCCGCCCGCGACAAAGCCCAAGACTTAGTCGACAAAGTCCGCACCGCCACCAGCACCAGCACCGGCGAAGCTAAGGGCAAGGTTCACGAGGCTGCTGGTGCAGCAAAAGGCATGACCTCCGAAGCGACAGGCAAGGCTAAGGGTGCCATGGGTGAGGCAGCGGGCAAGACGAAGGGAGCTATGGACATGGCAAAGGGCAAAATGGACGAGATGGCGAGTAATGTGAAGGGTGCTGCGAAGGAGAGGTGGCGGGGGATGTGAAGGGGGCGGCGCATGAGGTTGCTGGGAAGGTAAGGGGAGCGGCGGGGGAGGTTGGGAGACGGGGGACGGGGGAGTGGGGAGAATAATGGGAAGAGGTTGGAGAAGGATGATTGTATAATAGGGCTGTAGGATAGCATCTTCATATCATGATCCGGTTACACAGTTATGGCAATACATCCCGCAAAGCAGGTAATGTCCCACACCCGACAAAGGCCAATCCCATTGGTTTTTCGAGTCAACCTCTTCAAGTGTGATAAATCAATGTACCGGCACCACGACCCCCCGATTTAGTAGAACTAGTCGCCCGCAATCCGGAGACTGCAGTTGACAACGCTAAACCGGGCGGAAGCATTTGGTCAGTGAAAGACATGTCGCCGAAGCAACAGCCAGTGAAGTGGTGCCGGAGGACCCGACTCTATACGCCCCGACACGGTTATATTGTGTATGTGTACGGTAGCAGAGCTCGAGTCACCGTTATTCTTCCGCTCGGAATACAAAGCATCAAGGATTGCTCTCGCCTTGTGCTCCACCGTGCCGCGCGGATTTGAGGTTGTACATGGGGTAAATCAAATGTCGAAGTCGAGAATTGGATATGAGACGGGCCCTGGATGTAATAGACTTCATTTTGCTCACGTGATCGTACTAGACAAATAACATTAGTATCCCCTTGGGTATCCCACATACTCACATGTATTTTGTGTGTCCTCAACACACAAACTCTCCTCAAAACTTCTCTGGGAACAGCGCCGGATTGCGCTTAGCGCTCCGTTCCAGCACCTCCCTCAACAACCCGCCGCTCGCCTTTCTCTTAGCAGGCGAGATCGTAATCCTCTCCTTAACTTTTTCCATCTTCGGGCTGTCTAGCAACTCTTCCGGCTTCAAGCGCAGCAACTCCCTCATCTCCCGGGCCCTCGACCCGCCCCGCGGCGAGTGGACCTCCGCTGGCGCAACCTTCTGCTTGCCAAATAACGAGCTCTTTCCGCAGTCCTTCCCCAGCTCGGCTGCAGTACCCAAATGCTCAAGAGAAGGCTTCTAGCCCTCCTCGAAGAACACGCGCTTCCTACCGCGCTCGCGGGCCTGCTCCAGCTGCTCCAGCTCGCGATCAATCTCCATGATATCCAACAACTCCTGCTCGACATCGCGTCCCTCAGCATCCGCCTCGTCGTCGGGCAAATCAGCAGCCAACTCCAGATCGGTGGCAAACATGAATCCCTGCTGGCTGGACGGCGCCGATGTGGCCGGGATGGTCTCTTCATCGCCTGCGTCGGTCGACGGGATCGTGTCGATGGATTGCTCGAAGAGGGATTTGGAGTGACGTGAGCGAGGAGCGAAGAGGGTGCCGGGTTTTTCGGGGCGTTGGGTGAGGTTGAGGTTGAAGGAGACACTGGGTTTTTCGAGGGGTGGGTAGGCAACGATAGCGTTGACGGACTTAAATTCGTCGCGTTGCTTCTTGCGGGCGCCAAGGAGCCGGCTGGTAAGGGAGCTGGTCGGGGCATCCCCGTTCTCGTGGACGATAACAAGACGGCTCTCACCCTGGAGGAGGACTTCGATCGGTAGACCCTGGCTGCCGGAGTTGTCGTCTTCCTTGAGAATGCCGTTTGTGCTGGCGTTGGCGCGAACAGCCTTCGTGATGGCGACGGCGCCGGTGCACCGCTCGCCGAGAAGGCCGGCCGAGAGGTCTGTTAGGCGGATCATGCGTGTTGGTTGGGCGCCGCTCCAGAGGTTGACGCCACCGCCAGCGGCACGCCGCAGCTGCGAGTCCCAGAACTTGGATAGGACTGGGATCACGCACACAATAGGATCGGCACCGCCCAGAAAGAGGACAGCGCTTTCGTCCCCTGCGCCGCTAGTCAGTGTTGATGGAAGCTGTGCCACTGTAATGCCGCCACGGACAGCCGCCAGCTTCTCCGGAGAACCCCCGAAAGCCGTGGCAATGGCATCGCGCCGGGTATGCGGCGTCATCGGGACGAACTCTCCCGATGACGAGGACGACGCCTTCTGGGTAGTCGGGTTCCGAAGCGGGCTTGTGCCCTCAAGATGTCCGGTGACACTGAACGCCGTGATCGCCGTGCCACGGAGCCCAGCACTGGTTTTACTGAAGAGGTTTGAGCCACCGCCCGCGGCAGTCGGGCTGGCGCCGTCCAAATCCCAAATGCCCCATTGGCCATCAGCAAGCAAAGTCAGGATAGCACGACCTCGAGCAATCCACTCAGCTGCCACGATCGGTTTCCGAGAGGTCGACATAGCTGGGCCGCGAGCGAAGGGAGGGTAGAGTGAGATGAGCCAGGAGCCCTGGGACGGGAAGGGGCCTTCGGAGGTGTCGTCGGAGGGGAGAGAGGCGGTAGCATAATCGTAGATACGGACAGCATGGGGAGAGGCGACGGTAAGGAGCTGAGTAAGATTAACCGGGTTGAAGGATATGCTGGTCAGAGGAGAGGGCAGGTATTCGGTCTGGAAGGGCTCGACGCGATTGATGGTGCCCGGCTTCGCCTCCAAGGGCACGTCCCACAGCCGGAGGGTACCGCTAGCTTCCCTAGAATGGGCGGCTACAACGACACGGGTGATTGGCGCAGCTTGGGCAGCGCTCCTCTCCGAGGAGCGGCTGCGCGAGCTAGACCTATGCTTCACCAAGCTGATAGCGACACCATTGCACGAACGGCTCGGGCCCGTCAGCAGCGTCAGAGTCTCACCCCAAACGCCCTTGCCCGCATTGCCAGCCAACAGGGACTTGCGCAGCTCTGGCCTCGCCTTGGCCTCGTGAGACGGGGGTGTGAGCGGTAGGGTGATGACGTAGACATCGTTGGTCGCACAGGTCACGGCGAAGACGATCTTGGTCTTGAGGATATTGGCGCCATTCCAGGACGCGTCCTCAGCAGCGCATGGGGGCATCGGCAGGACTGCAATGTGGTTAACTGCGGTGCCCAATGCTAGGTCGAGGGTCTGGATGATCTCAGCGACGGAGCCGTCGGCCACTGACGGGCTGTCCTCAAACTCGGGCTTGTCGACGAAGGTAGGACCGGTCTCGTCGTCGGAGTCGATGATCATGACTGCATCTTCGGGCTTTGTGCCGTTGCGCTTCTCGTTGGTCTGGGGTTTCGGGGGCTTAAGCCGACGGCCGCCGCGCCAGACGACTGTCGCGCCGTTCTCATGGCCGTAGATGAGGATGGTCGCGCCCTGGGGAGACTGCACAGGGTATGTTTTCACATCGTAAATTCGACGCCCAAGGGAATAGCTGGAGACGATGTCAGTCAATTGGTGTTTTTGCTATGTGCCGGTCGTCGACCTGCCGTACGTGTGTTGTGTGTTTTGCAGCGTGCGCCGCATTCTGGGAACGGGCTGCAGGGCCATTTTTGGAGATTTGGCGAAGGCAGCAAGGGCGATGGTGTTGATCCCTTTGCCTATCCTCCTATCGAATAGCCGTTTGGGATGTTAATGGATAAATCAATAACCGGGAAATCAATTGATGCTGATTTTCATGCAGGCCATCGAGGGAGGAAGGGGTATGTCGTAGATGGGATTGCTGTTGCGCCGATGGGTGTTGATGCCAAAAGCTCAAATTTCGCCGCGTCCGCAGCCTTCGTTGCGGCGTTGCAGACGCGAAGGAGCTTGGGCCACAGCACTTGGTGGAGTGGACGGGGACGCGCCCCACTGACCCGCGTTTCCCGCGGAATGGTGGCTTGGCATCGGGGGCTCTCAGCCGCGCATTCAGCCTCGCGATATTCCTCTCGCGGCTCTCCGCCAGAGTTATCACGAACACCATATGACTTACCATCCAAGAGTTGTTTTGAGTGAATTATCCAATTCAGACATAACTTACAAAAAGCTCGCCGCATAATCCACTTGCGTTCAAATGAACCCCAGCTATGAAAATCTCTCTGCCCTAGCGGTACCGCTATGCCATATGGCTCGTCAGCTGAATGGTTTCACGGGCGCTCGGTGCTTAGGGAGAACCAAAATCTGCATCATAAATGCAGATGTTGCCTCGGAAGGGCTGTGAAGGAAGCCGGCGCCTGATTTGGGCTGCGAGAAGTTGGGATGAAATGCGAGAGGATCACATGTGAGAAGGGACTGGACATCTGACAGCCACGGACACTTCGTCTACCGACCCACTGTGCTCCCTGCTCTAGCACAATCGAGACATCTCGAGGCTACGCTCTCGTCGTCCTTCTTTGTTATCACAGGTACAGTCTCGATGTGGTTATTCTGACAGCTATCTAGCCTCCTCTATTGTATCCAGTCAGACACTTGGTCATGCTCCAATGTACGTTGACTTCCATTGAAGTGCGATCCATTCTACAAGTCCCTTAACAGGAGCATCCTACAAACGCAGATCAAGACAGATGCTCACTCCTAACGGACTCATCATCAATTTTTTTTTTCACAGTAGTCTTAGTGGTCCAGAACACAACCGAACAGAACCTGACAGTGTTGCGAGATTGCTCTCAAAATTATCTGCACCCTCCCTGAGAGCACACTCAACTCTATTATGAAACACCATCACTGGCGAGCGTTGAGAAAAAGTCGAGGTTAGCAGTTTTGCAGTATTGTCTGTCTGAACATGGCAACTCTCCGGGCACCACTCTCAATTAATCAGAACACATTTGAGCATCAGTGGTTTAGTGGTAAAATTCATCGTTGCCATCCGCAACATTCGATGAGCCCCGCGTTCGATTCGCGGCTGATGCATTTCTTTTGCAGCACTTTTGTCTTACCTTTCAACAATTTGACACACTTGAATCAAAATTTTACACTTTTTCTCGAAAAGTCTTTAGTTGAAGGTATAAGGAGCCCAACGGCCATTACTTAACCCTCGCCTTCAGGGGCACCAGCCCCCAAGTCCGCCAAAACTCCTCCGAGCTCAAACATCTGCCCAGCACCTCCTTCTCCCTTGGGAGCCCCAATACCCCCATCTCCCCCATCAACTCCCATACCCACCTGGCCTGCTCACTCACCTTCCCCTCCTCCTGTCCCTCCTCTGCCCATTCAACAAGCAACTCCCACCAATCATATACCACTCCGTCCGAAACCAACCATCTCTGTCCCCTTCCATGCTTCTCCCATTTCTCATCATCCACATCCACAACAGCCAAAATTGCCCTCGCCACATCCACTCCATGAATGAGATGTAAACTCGTCTTCCCCCTCACAGCCTCCTTACTCCCCGCCACGCGAACAACCCACCTCTTCGGATGCCGCTCGCCGCCCCAGAGCCCAGCCAGGTTGAGCACACACCCTCCTAGTAAGAGCAACTCATCCTCGGCCACAGCCCTCGGGTTTGCCCTATCAAAAGCACTATGCCTCGTAATCCATCCCCATCCCTTCTTCCCCTCCCCAGACCTAGACACCGTGGATCCCCCCTGCCCCCAAATCCCGGTACTTCCCAACTGCACAAACCTCGCCTTTGGTAGCCCCCGCTGTGGAGGATGCGTCTGCAAATAATGCTCCACCAATGTCCTACTCTGCCCCTCTCCTTTCATCGGAAAGGTAATAAGGATGTACCTCGCCCTAGGCAGCGCCCCAATCGCAGAAGTGATCTCTTCGTCCGGCGCATTCGGATCAAATTTGAAGGGGATCGTGGGTACGCCCGCGACGGTACGGCCTGTGGTAGTTGTTGCGGCGAAGGCGATGCCCCGCTGTTGGAGGAGGGGGATTAGGAAGGTAGCTGTCCAGCCTGCGCCGAGGATGAGGAGGTGGACGGAAGGGAGGAGTTCAGTCATGTTGGGGTTGGAGAGGGTTCTTGAGGGGTCGGAGTCTACTTCGGGTGTGGAAGTTGGAGGGTGTGAGGGGTTGTGCGAAGGAGCTGGAGTTACTGGGCGATGGTGTTGGATTCCTGCTGAAAGGGGCGCTGGCGTTGAACGTTGGTGTTGGTGTTACGGCTTCGGATGTTTTTGGTTTTGAGACTTAGGGGAAGTTGCTTGAAGGCGCTTGTCATCTGAGTAATGCTAGCTTGGTGACAGGTGAACCCAGTGTTGTGGGGTTCAGGGTAATGATATTGCCGGTTGTTAGGATTATCCCCTGCAAGAGATGATAAGGAGAAATCAAACAACCAGTTTAGCAGTTGGGGGTTAGTAGGAGCATGAGGAGAGTATCGGCCATGCCATGATGTGGGTGGAATGACGTGCATCCTTATGAACACCTGGAGAACTCTGGAAAATACATTGTCAAGATTAGGGTTAGGGTTTATCAAATACGCAAACAAGTTGTTGCATTGACACATGTTCAAAGTGAATCCTCAAACCGTATTGAACCCGGAGAGATTTTATCATCACTGTTTGGCCATTGGTAAAATCAATCTACTATGATGCATAGTGCTGCGGTATCTGGATTGACTTGGTTTTATCACAAGTTGTCACCTTGTAGGCAACATTCACTTTATCATCGGCCAACTGGCGTTCTGTGCATGAAAGCATTGGACAAATTGAGAATAAATAAATATGGGCTGCTATGCTATGACATACAATACATACACATAATATGAGATTCTCATCAATGTATGGATGGTGAATCGATATGACAGAATGAACCTGAAGTCAGGGGAAAAAAAACTTGTTGTATTCTGTCAATGGCTCCCTGATAAATCATGGAGGAGCACTCTTGGCCAAACTTCAATGTTATGATGCGATATGTAAAAAGGATGACAGGTTCATCCATTGTGAGTTATATTACAGTCTTGTGATAGTCATCCATGAGGGGGCTCATCCGTCCAACATGAGATTATGGATGAGGGTCAGAAAGACTACTTTCTACTTTCCTCATTCAATATTTCACTCTGACCTTTGTTCTTGAACTGTGCAATGAGATTCCCATGAAATAAAGGCTGCTCAGCATAGCAACCGTAACTGACATCCCAGCATATTAGCTCCAAAATAATGTCGATGAAGACAAACTCAGAAGTTCACATATCCTCGTCAACGAAATAGGTTGTAGCTGATATTCTTTTATTTCCCATTCTCACTTTATGCCTTTCACTACTTGGTTTTTGTCTTAACTTCATTCCCCACAATCAAATCACGTCTCGCTCACTTCCCCTGACCTTCATTTTTATCTTCGTCATATAAGAATGAAAGAGCTGAGCACAAACGTTGGATATCTGTGACAAGTGCTTCATTGGAAACGTTTTCTCATGTTTGGGATAAGGGGAAGGGCCTCGGCGTCGGCAGTGTGAGTTACAAGATGATGGAAGGAGGGAAGAGGATGTGTTTGTGAAGGTGACATGAGGAGGTTGACAGGGATGAGAGGAGCTAGGATCTTTTAGTGAAAAGGCTGGGTCCATTGTGATGGTGTATTCATAAAAGGCATGGGTGTTGTTGTGAGTCTGACTGTGGGTTTGACAAGAGTGAAGTGAACAAGAACCTGTGATGCGATAGATTCTTTGTTGAAGGTAAACGCTGCCACGATTAAAAAAATGAGGTGCTAGATGATCTTGAGTTAATTTATCGTATGCCACGTTAATGTGTTTTGCATCCGAGCTCTTCATAGATCAGAATTTAATACCTCAGTTATTGACATTATGGAGATTATTCATGGGTATATTGCCAATATTGCCATCTTATTTTCTCGATTAATCTGTTTCCCAATTCAAAGGAGCCAAACAAAGAAGTTAGGTATGTTGTGCTGTCATAGAACCGAAAGGTTAGCCGTACATGACCGTGGAAAATTACACTTGGCCTTCAACAATACATTTGTGTTTTCTTTGTCTCGCCATTAGCATGGGCATTGGCACACTTTCAAATGCCGAGCCGGACTGCGGAGCGCTTATACAACCGGAAGCTTGTTCCGTGGCCCACAAGCTTGGTACCACCTCCCGCACCAGCAACACCATATATTAATCTACATTTTGAAATGTTACCATCTGTGTCTGGGCTCTTGCCAAACCCCTCGAAACAGCCTGAAACCGTGGACCGTTCTACGTTGCTAAATCAACAATTCACAAAGAAAATACAACCGATCTCAGATTCATCGCCAACTTACACGAGACAATGCCCCCTCCAACAATCAGAGAACCCAAACCTCCCCCCTCCCGCTGGCCATCCACCTACAAAGCCGCCGTCTCTTTTACAATGGATAACTTAGGTGAAGCCCAAGATGTCTTGAACAGTGTCTGGCCTCATCCCATCGGCACACACCCTGCGGTCATTACCACACTCCCACGCATCTTGTCTTTACTGACAAAACACAACATTCGTGCAACATACTTTGCTGAAGCATGGAGCTTGGGAGTTTACCCCGATGCTGTAAGGGAGCTCCAGGAGGGAGGGCACGAAGTGGCATGGCACGGGTGGCAGCATGAGAGGTGGGAAATGTTGGATGGGAATAAGGAGAGGGAGTTGCTTAGGAAGAGTTGGGATGCTGCAAAAAAGGCGGGGGTGAGGTACCTTGGGTTTAGACCACCGGGTGGGAAGGTGAGCGAGCAGACGTGGAAGTTACTAGACGAGTATGGGGTGGAGTATATCTCTCTAGAGGGGAGGGCAGAAGAAACAGGGTTAGGGAAGGAAGGAATTGTGGTGCTGCCGTTTGAGTGGAAAACTGTGGATGCGTGGTGGTATATGGTGAAGTTTGCTTCGAAGAGGAAAGAAGCTGGGGAGAGCGAGGAGGTGAAAACAGCAAGGGATTTTAAGGAGTGGTTGATGAGGAGGTTGGATGAAATAAAAAGAGATGGGGGGTTCTTGTCGGTGTTATTTCACCCCTTTTTACAGGCTAGCGAAGAGAAGCTTGAGGTATTAGAGGCAGTGGTCAAGAGGATCAGTGAGGATCCAGAAATTTGGGTGGCCCCGTGTAAGGAGATTGCAGATTGGGTGAGGAAACATCCAGAATTGTATCAGGACAGGGGAGACTGATAGTGCGGGAAGCAGCAACGTACCTCCAAAATCCCGTCAGTTGAGAGTTCCTAATTTGTTGATTCCCTTCAGATATCGACATGTCGACGCTCACCATAGTGACTTGTGAGGGTCAATTGAGCACTGACAAGGCAAATCCCTTTTGTGCCGTGTGGGTTTTCTCAATGGGACAAAGGACTGACCCGGTGGTGGACGCCAAGGTAAAAGAGAGTCAAACAAGAGAATTGCTGTTTGCAATATCCAACTATTATTGAGCCCAATTGCTACCCTTAATTTCTTTGTCCCATCGACGGACAATGGCAACCCCCAGTCTCGAGAGACCTCAACGCCCAGTGAGAGATTGCCTCTTGAAAGCACCAAACATCGTCTTTGCTGTCATCATCAATCTTATTTTCCTACTTGATCCTGAGCATGCCAGCAAAAGATGAATGGGTCTAGGACTCCAAAGCATCCAATCTCTCCACAATTGAGACCCTAACAGCTATGAACAGACGTCATACCGTCAACCCTCTTCATGGGGGCACTTTCACATCAACGGTAAGAACACCAGACCAGTCCCGGGCCCGGTCTAATTCGTGAATACGTCTTTTACCCTGAGTACTTGGAAACCTGCACAGAAAGCTGCGAGGAAACCATTGATGCTACTACGGTTAAGGCAGCAGAGAAGCATCCCCTTAATTTCGCCAGCGACGGCACCGAGTCATTCCCGGCAGCTCTGGTAGTTGCAGTCCCCAAGAGTAAGGCAGGAAAGCAAAAAAATTAAAACGCTATGCCACTTGCAGTAAAACCTTACGTCTTGTGCTTGCGGAGAAACCAGAAGAAAAACCCTTCACCAGAGCGGCTTGCGCCAGCTCCAGCAGAATCGCACGGTCTCGCCGGCCCCGAGCTCAAGCTCTGCGCAAATGCTTGTCTCGTCCTCCGCCCGCCAGAGAGACAGCCCGGCCGGGCAAGGGACTGCCTCGTCCGCGGATGCAAGTCCGAGGAGAGGAGCACAATTCGCTGCCTGAACACCTTCCGCAACAACATTGCTCCCTACGTAGATCTCCTGGAGCTGCGGTATACAGGCAAGACTGGACTTGGTATCTTCTCGCGACCGGGCTGCTTCATCCCCAAGTATACCTTCATCAGCGAGTGATTAGACCAGATACCGCTAGAAGATGCGCTGGAAAGCCAGAGCGACTACGTGTTTGACCTGACCGGAGGAGTTCCAGAGATCAGGCTTGGGATTTCCATACCTGATAGGGATGATGAGCGGAGGGGCTCTTCTAAGAAGGTAAGGCAGTCGTTCCTGAAACCTTGCTGCAACCAGGTCGGAAACTGATTGTCGACGCCGGAACTTACGGCAACTGGATGCGGTTCGTGAACTCCTCGTGAAAGACTAATATTTAAGTCGAAGGGTACCAAGCTGGAAAGAAAAAAAGGTTGTCTACAAGACTGCGGAGGACCTTCGGGCAGGTGACCAACTCTTCATCGACTATAAAACCGGTTACTTCCAAGGATGCGGCTTGTTATGCCGATGTGACGTGTATCCTGAGCCGCATGCTCGAAGGGAAGGCGTGAAGAGGTAGGGATCATGGAGGTCTCTATACTTCCTTCACATTTTTATCCTCTTTTCATCATAGATAGACTAGTCAGGAGTGCAGAAATGACAATTTCGCAGGCAGGTAGACATATGAGGACTGCTATAAGGTTAATTCGAGAGCAGGCTCTCGTACCAGAATAGAGCCCTTGGTAAGGTTGGTCATTTAAAAATAAACGGCAATACAGGTGCATATACTCACTTGCTCTTTTCCAGTATCCCATTTCCGTAAAATTGTCCTGGAGATATTGATTCCCTGGATAAACTCGTAATATGTAAAAAATACTTGGGTCTTGTAAAACCTATGGCAGATCTTGTCAAGGATAGGTGATGGTAACGTTGGTGGGCGACCAAGGCATGGGCGAATAAATATTGCGCGACACAGGGTCGTGCCAGCGGACTTCCTAACTTTTAATGTACCTCGCAGTAGTGCTCTGAATTGGTGACTATGGCTCTAAGACTGCCCTCTTGGGGCGAACGAAACCCAGGCCATTCCGTTTTGATTCCCGCGGCGCCAGATACATCATGCAAACCCATATCATGACTCATAAAATCCGGATCAAACCGCGTCTATGTAGCCGAATGCCGCCAACCCAGAACGCCAATGCAAGAAGGTGTTATCCCATTTAGGCAGTCTTGGGAGCCTGGGTGGGGACAATCTTCTTGCCGTCCTTGTTGTAGCGGACGCGCGGGGGAGGAGCGCGGTTGCGACGGCCCTCACGGGAACGGACACTAGGGACGTCTTTGTCAGCGAGACGTGTTCTTTGTTCAGGGAAAATGGGGTACTAATGGCGGAGATAGGTTCGACCAAGGATCATCTCAGCCGCCCACGCCGCCCAGAAGGCGGACATGGTTGTCCCCGCCATACGGACAAACGTACCGGACAATCTTGCCGTGGATAGCGCAAGAGACGCAGTACTGCAGCTTGAGGTACATCTTGGGAACCGTGTACTCGGCGAACACCGAAGCGTCCGAGATATCACCTGTAGACATCCCAGGTCAGCAAACCCACGAGAAGATTGTCAAGGACCAGTAGAGTCGCGATTGTTGCTCAAATCAACTGATTCCTCGAGGAGCTGTCAGGCAGACGTACGGATAGCCGCAGACTCGACCATGTTGCGGATAGTGAACCGCTTGATGGCCTTGTCCTTGGGGGTGCACCGGGCGCAGTTGGAGCACCGGATGGGCTTGACGTGGCCGCGGCCTGGGAGAAATTGCATTAGTAAAAATTCATAGATATTATGATGACAGTCGCTGGTGCATACCCTTCTTGTTGCGGCCGTTATTCTTTCTCTTCTTGACCATTTTTGTCGGTGTCTTGAGTGCACTGGTTCTCAAGCGGTTGTGGGAGTGGAGGAAGGGAATTTCAGAACTCTTGTCAATATGGAAAAGATGAGGACTGGCCCCACAATTCCCCACATGTGATGAGCTGCGCGCGACCCAGGGCAAGCGGCCACAGAAACCCTAAGGAAGGGCCCGCAGTTCACGTGACACACACGGCTTGGCAGCGGGAAACTGTGGGGCCCACCCAAAAGTTCAAGGCCTTTCGGTGGGCGACCAAATTCCTGTTCCTCTTCATCAAGCGCAGCTTCACAACATCTACAGATTGCTGAGGAAGACATCTTGTCTAGGTATGTCTGCACGATGTTGCGAGCGGTTGCGCTACCACATCAAGCATGATTTTCTTCTCCCCTTCCGACCCATGATGATGCCCAATCTTGTTCCCGACCGGCGGGCTTGCGCGCACCAGCTCGCCGAGGCTCTTGGTTGACTCCTCGAGAGTCGGTCGTGCGCGAGCCCTAAAGTCACAATCTACCCATCTCACAATTCGCGCTCTCTCGACTGCCAGCCGTCTTTTTCTAACACATCCTCACCACTCAGCAGGCAATCATGCAGATCTTCGTGAAGACCCTCACGGGTAAGACCATTACCCTCGAGGTCGAGCCCTCGGACACCATCGACACTGTCAAGTCCAAGATCCAGGACAAGGAGGGCATCCCCCCGGATCAGCAGCGCCTGATCTTTGCGGGCAAGCAGCTCGAGGATGGCCGTACCCTCTCCGACTACAACATCCAGAAGGAGAGCACCCTCCACCTTGTGCTCCGCCTGCGTGGTGGTGCCAAGAAGAGGAAAAAGAAGGTCTACACCACTCCCAAGAAGATCAAGCACAAGCGCAAAAAGGTCAAGCTGGCCGTCCTTAAGTACTACAAGGTCGATAGCGACGGCAAGATTGAGCGCCTGCGCCGCGAGTGCCCCAACGAGAGCGTGAGTTTCAATCCTTCCGAAATTATACGACTTTTACATGCTGACCGATCTCCAGTGCGGTGCCGGTGTCTTCATGGCCTCTATGCAGGACCGTCAGTACTGCGGCCGCTGCCACCTCACCTATGTCTTCGACAAGAGCTCTTAAATTAAGTGTGCTTTAGGGAGGGGCAAAATGTTATGGGGACTGGGAACGGAATTGCGCTGAGCCGGCACGGGGAATGATCATGATTCAACGGCGTTTATGTACCTTAGAGGCGGGGCATACTCGGGTCGTGACCGGCAAGGGAAATGCAATTTGGGATGCGATAACCAATCAGCCATTTCTGCCTTGGGACTCTCGCACGGTCAGCGGCGCCACCAAGGCTGCGTAAATGGGGTCATATGCAGGCAGCTAGCTACTTATAGCGGCACCCAGAGAGAAATCCATCCACAAGTTCCCATCCAACCTCCCCACTGTTCCTTACTGGTTGGGGAACCCGTTCCTCAAGTTGTCGTACTTGGTGTGAGGGTATGTGATGCAGTTCTCCCTCCATTCAAGCCGAGTTGGCCCGCCCAGAACCTCAACCACATTACCAATGATACTTTCACACCCAGGCTTATCCGCACTCGACTCCCACCACATAGCTCCTCCCAAACCACGGTTGATGATGTACTCAGCCTTACGTCTGGCCATATCAACCGTATCATATGTCACCATCTTCCTCCTCACCGGATCGTAACAGTACGTGGCGCCCGCGCTCTCATCATATCTCACCTCCGAACCCTCCAATGGCAGCTTCTTGTAGTCATACACACCATTCTCCCACGTGCCTTCACCAATACCGCTGTACGGCGTACCGGGACCATCGGTATTCTCGAACGCCCGCCCATACAGCGGCATGCCCAGCACGATCTTACTAGGGGGCACACCCCGTGAGATGTAGTATCCCACAGCCTGCTCCGTGTTGAAGGGCGTGCACGAGTCATGCTGGCGGCAGTGGTACAGATTTGCCTGGTGCCCAGCGATGCGGTCCCAGGACCCGGCGTAGTCATACGCCATCATGTTCCAGAAGTCGAGGTACCGGTCCATGGCGGCAAGATTGAGCTTGGTGAAGTTGTGTGGGCCGGCCGGGGATGCCACGGTCAGGAGGAAGTGTGGGGGGTTGGAAGGGTTGACGGTGGCGGCATAACGGTCGAGGGCTGCGCGGACTTCGGCCAGGAGGAGGACAAAGTCATTGGCTTCGGTCTCGTTTTGTGGGTACTCCCAGTCGATGTCGAGGCCGTCGAAGCCGAGGTTTTTGAGCTATTGGAGTCAGAGGGGGTCTAAGCAAGTAGGGGAGAATGGACCTGGACGTACCAATTCCACGGAGGACTCAGCAAACCTGGCCCTACCCGCCGGCGTTGACGCCGGTTGCTTGAAGTTAGGACTGTACGTCCAACCACCAATGGACAGTAGGACCTTCAAATTGCGGTTGCGCCGCTTAAGAAGGTTCAGCTGCTTGAGACAGCCGTATAAATTGGTGCCCGTGTCGTTCCAGCTGTCGCCCTCCCAGTGGATATCCACGTCGGCCCATGGATCCGTCATGAATACCTCGCCGGAGTCTGGGCGCACGTTGGCGAAGGCATACAGCACATGTGTCAGCTTCTCAACCGGCAGGTCTTGAGGGCGGTGCTTGCGGGCATAGATGGCCCAGTTGACAAAATAGGCTACCGTGCGGTAGCCTGCGCAGGGTCCGCCGCCCATGGTTGGTGTTGGGGATGAGTATGCCGTTTTGAAGAGTGGTTAGAGTGTTGATATCAGGTATTCAAAAACTTGGGTGATGTCGGTTGAGGGGAAGAAATTGGAGTTGATGAATCTAGGAAGTCGTGACGCTGGGGATCAAGAAAGCAAAAAGAAGCGCTGTGACAGAGAAGAAACAGAAACCACTGAAGGCTACTGGACCTAATTGGCATAAATGTACTTCTTGGTCCTCGAAGCTCACCACTTTGGGACACAGTAAGGATACGTTGTTGTCAAGGGAGGGGAGAACGCGATGATGTACGAAGAGGACTCCAACTGGCGCTTGGCCATGACCCGCCGTGCGTCTGCACTGTACCAGCTTACCAATTTGGCTGTTCTTTCATTTAGAGCAGCTGATCGGACTTGATCCAAAGCTCTACAATTATCTCTCAAATCAATCTTGTTTGCAAATTTGGAGAGCTGAACATCCTGATAGTACCAAAATTTCAGATCTGTACAACCACCCTAGGTACGTCGTGTAACCTCCTCGTCGCCTCCGCGAAGATGTTGTGCCAGCTGAGACACAGTGCGACTCGAGCCTGTGAGGGGCATCAGCCATCGGCCCACTTACACGCAGCCCGCTGCGCCCCGTTCCAACTCACCAAACAGAGCTCGGTTGTCCCGCGCTAGAGTTTGATCCTGAGATTGTGACCACCAATTAAACTGATGAGGCTGGAAGGGAACCATTGATTGGGCTGGCGACAACCAGTCGTTGGTGATGTGGCAGCCTGGTGTGGGCCGAGGCCAGTGACGTTTCCAGTGGCGATGCAGCTTAATGTGGCAAGCCTCAATTGTGGCTGGAGTCCAGTTCAGCTGCCAAGACCGCGATGACGTCGGCTCTTTTCCAAGTGTTAACAACTTCACCAATCTTGATTTCCGTCATGGTGTCAAGGGGGTTTAATAATTGGCATCTACTTTCCTTCTAGTACGAGTTTTAACATGCCATAAACTTCCATATTGGGTTCTCAACTTGATTCAAGTGACTAGCAGTCTAGCACAGCCCCAACCCCCAGGCCAAATTGTCAAAGACGCATCAGCTGCGGTTCAGTATTAGCTCTTCTAGAAGATGATGTAATGCGTCCGAGGGATGCACGCAACCAGCTAAGACAGCAGCAGTTAGCCATATTTTTGAGCACAAACCTCCTGCCCCAACTCTGTCTCCCGCGCTTCTTCTTAAGAGCTTGGGGGAAATGTGGGGTGCTGCTTACGGTTGGCGGTCACCTTCATCTTCGAGGCATATGTACCGCACCAGTCGTTGCCCTTAAGCCTCTTAAACTCGAGACGTTCGCCCTTGCGTAGACAACGGCAGCTGATCCTTGCAGAGAACATGGACGCGCGTGTAATGTGCGCTGTGTTTATACTACATATTGTCCCCTGGCTAAAAAAGAGTGATAGCTTGACAAGCAAGACTCGTCTCTCAAAAGTACTTGGTGCGGCACCGTTAGATGGTGAGACTCACAATTGTCCTGCGCCCACATGTCAATCCTGATGTTGGCATACTCCCACTTCTCAAAGGACTCTTACCAGCTGCCTAGAGGTTCTCATACTCATCGAGATCTATTCAACCTGTGATCCAGGCACTAGCTTTTATACCAGGTCTGGCAGACCAGTATCCGATGCCATCACCGAGCTCAACCCAGACAGCATCGCTAGGGATGGGACCATTCACGTCGACACCAAGTGCCGTGGTGTCGAGGATGGACTCGGGGATAGTGTCGATCTCGGGCTTCGTAGCCAAGGTACTGACGGTGAGTGCAGTGGGCACAACAGTTCCAACACTGACAGCAAGGGTATTGATGTCTCAAATGTTCTCTGTGGCTGGTGCTGCGATGTGGATGGCAGAGAGGGTTAGTACAGAACCTATGATTGAAGAGCTGATGTGGCGTATCTTTAATGATAACAATGAACACTCGAACCAGGTGTTAATGAAGCTTTGTTGGTAATTGACTGGTCTAATAGATGCTGAGTAGACTTGAAGCTTCTGACTCTTTTATAAGAAAGCTTTCTGTTTTCAGATTTTCTTTACTGTGAGGATTCCTCTCCCTCAAGAATTGCTGATCCAGGCGCCTGGTACTCCAAGGCGACTCCATGACGAAAAGGGCAAAATCAAGTATTTGTCTATCACATACCATTTGACACAGTGCATTGTCTCAGTTTGTCTCTTTAATGCCGTCTGCCTTCCAAGCCAGAAGCTTGACGTAGTTTGCGTGACGGTTCTGTCAACTGCTAGACGTCGGATTTGCTTGGATATAAGAGAAAATTGAGAGCACATTGGATGTTAGGCAACAAAGACGCAAAAGATTCCTGTTTCTTGCATTGCATATCTCATATCTCATCAAGAGGTAGAACCACAAACTCTACCGTGCTCTACCGTGCATTAGCGATAGCGTTAAGAACAGGAGCGTGCCATCCAAGACCATAACTTATTATGAAATGGAGTACCGTGCTCATCAATAAAGATACAACCCAACTGTTTGATTGATACAAGAGCTGGCACAGCGTGGAAGGCCATAATTGCCGTGAGACAGTTAACTTTTCACTGATTGTTTTCTAGACTTTCGCAGTTTAGACTTGTCTCGACAGGAGCTTACCGCGCCTTAACTGCGACAAATTCTCAACTCTCCAAATTACTAAAATGCTATCAGGACAATGACGCGAACAAAACAAGCGTTCATCAACATCATCAGGTCAATTATGCATAACCATCAAAAATCTTCCTAAAACCTCGAGTTCATTCACCTTGCACACTCTTATGAAACTCAAGGCCCATTTACTTCTGGTCCACTGTATCAACGCAGGTATGTGGACTGTCTGGCTTGGGAACCAGGAAATGCGTGGATCGTAGTGTGTCCTCCAGGATTTTGGTGATAGCCACTCCCTCGGTTGGCAAGATGGCGTTGATCCTAGGGCACTGTCCTCTGTAACAGGGACCAATCTAGCCCTTCCTCCTTGGTCGGCCGCCACTGCTACTCCCGCTGCGGAGACCTTCCGCTCGCTCAGGCTGCTAGCGGACCGCCGACGATAAGCTTGAAGTTCCCTAGCCATTTTGTTAGAAACACTGCCGTCGATCTGCTTCGTCTGGCGCCACCGCCAATGTCCGCGGACTAGGCATGAAACACAACAACAGCAGGCTAGGTCTGGAGCTAAAGCAGGAATCGGAGACTACCGATAATGGTACCTGAAAGTCTCCTCGATGTGGCGTTTTGACGAAGCTGCCAAGAATCTCACGATCGAAGACCTGAAGAATCTAGCCCGAGTTGACAGAACACTAACTGTATGCCAATACTGCAGCAGAGAACGAAAAGTAGGTTGTTACTAGATAGATGGAGGCCTGCTCCGTAACCCAAAGAACTATCCTTCTGGGCACCCATGGAGTGTAAAGGCCACGAGAAATGCTGCTGGAGGTTGCAAAGCGTAGCAAGAGTGCTGCCGTAATTTCGCGCATGAACCTCATGTGAATACCGCTTCAGAGGTTCGTATAAGCAGGCGGTTGATTCGCTGTCGCCCCTGAGGTTAGGGGTATTCTTTTGTTTTGTTATTTCCCTTTTTGGAATGTTTATCACGTGATGCAATAGCTTGCCTGAGGTGGCCCGTGCCCAGGCTGCGCGCCAGCTGGAGCTCAGTAAGACGGGCGGGCAATTTTTTGGGCAGAGGGGACCCGCAGCATGGAAGCAAAGAGCCCCGCGGAAGGGTTCGACGCTTCGAGTTCGAACCCACCATCACCGCCAACCTTGGGACCTGAAGAGCCCCCTTCCAGCTAGTTTGTCGTGTCCAGCCTGCACCCGACAGTGAACTCCGTCAACATCTTCACACATATCCTGACCGTCCAAATTAGTGCAAAATGGCGTTCGCGGGGCAACCCCCGATGATTGTCGTGCTCAAGGAGGGCAAGTCGACCCCTCATTCTGCCGTGTTCTACGCGTTCCATGCCAGACCCAGAGCTATCACCTCTCATCCACTTCACTGCCTACCACAACTCCTATCATGACCTACCACAGTCATCTGCATGTGTTATGCCGTGTCCCGACTAACCTAGCTTCTTGCGCAAAGGCACGGACACCTCGCAGGGCAAGGGCCAGATCCTCTCCAACATCAACGCCTGCCTGGCCGTGCAGAGCACGATCAAGTCGACCCTGGGCCCCTATGGCGGTGACCTATTACTCGTCGATCAGAATGGCAAGCAGACCATTACTAATGACGGAGCTACCGTGATGAAGGTGCGCACCCTCGCCGCGAAACACGAGACGTTCGGCCAGACTCTGACACTAGGAAGCTTCTGGACATTGTCCACCCCGCCGCCCGTATCCTCGTCGATATCGCCCGGTCACAAGATGCGGAGGTTGGCGACGGCACGACATCGGTCGTCGTGCTCGCCGGTGAGATTTTGAAGGAGATTAAGGAGCATGTGGAGGCGGGAGTCAGCACGCAGATCATCATTAAGGGTCTGAGGAAAGCGGCATCCATGGCTGTCAACAAGATTAGGGAGATCGCTATCAACACAGAGGAGGGCGACCGCATTGATACCCTCCACAAACTAGCGGCGACCGCCATGACCAGCAAGCTTATCAAGCGAAACTCTGACTTCTTCACAAAGAGTGCGTACATCACGGTCCCGTCGTTGAGCAAAAGAGGGTGCTGACTGTCACAGTGGTTGTCGACGCCGTGCTGTCCCTCGACCAAGATGACCTTAACGAGAAGTTAATAGGCATGAAGAAGATTCCCGGCGGTTCTCTCACTGACTCGATCTTCGTCAAGGGCGTTGCCTTTAAGAAGACCTTCTCCTACGCTGGTTTCGAGCAACAGCCCAAGAAGTTCATCAAGCCCAAGATCTGCTGCCTGAACGTCGAGCTCGAGCTCAAGGCCGAGAAGGACAATGCCGAGGTGCGCGTCGAGCAAGTTTCTGAGTACCAGGCTATCGTCGACGCCGAATGGCAAATCATCTACAACAAGCTTGAGGCCATCTACAAGACCGGCGCGAAGGTTGTCCTCTCTAAACTTCCCATCGGCGACCTCGCCACGCAATACTTCGCCGACCGCGACATCTTCTGCGCAGGTCGCGTCACCTCCGAGGACATGGAGCGCGTCATCCAGGCAACCGGCGCCACGATCCAGAGCACCTGCTCAGACATCCGCCCCGAGCATCTCGGCACATGCGGGATCTTCGAAGAGCGTCAGATCGGCGGCGAGCGCTTCAACTTTTTCGAGGACTGCCCAGAGGCCAAGACATGCACTCTCGTCTTGCGCGGTGGCGCCGAGCAGTTCATCGCCGAAGTCGAGCGCTCTCTGCACGATGCCATCATGATCGTCAAGCGGGCGATCAAGAACAAGACCATCGTCGCCGGCGGCGGCGCCACGGAGATGGAGATCTCGGCCTATCTGCACCGGTACGCCGACCAGACTGTGCGCAACAAGCAGCAGGCCATCATCAAGAGCTTTGCCAAGGCGCTCGAGATTATCCCGCGGCAGCTGTGCGACAATGCCGGTTTCGACGCTACCGACATTCTGAACCGGCTGCGCGTGGAGCACAGGCGTGGCAACACCTGGGCGGGCGTGGACTTCCAGAACGAGAGTGTGGCCGATATGATGGAGAAGTTTGTCTGGGAACCGGCGCTCGTCAAGATCAATGCGATTAATGCGGCTACGGAGGCAGCGTGCCTTATTCTGAGTGTGGATGAGACTATCCGGAATGAGGAGAGCAAGACCCCGCCGGCGCCGGGCAGCAAGCCTGCGCGCGGTGGCGCGGGACGCGGTCGTGGACGGGGCATGCCGCGGCGGTGAAGTGAGAAAAGGAACGGGGAAAGGATAAAATGAATGTAGTTAGGTAGTCCCGATGTAATGAAAGGTGTGAGCAAATATCTATAATGGCCATAGATGAGCGTGACGTTTGCGACATTAGTGCGGATTAATCAGGTACAGTTAGCTACATTACAAAACCTCGACAGTGGTATAGCCCCTACTTCTCATAAAACCCCCTTTTGCGTTAATGAGACCAGCCCTACTAAAAATAAGGTATATCCAACCCATACACCGAACGCCCAAGCGATCCTATCTTGCACTTAAAAAACACAATGCTACTCTCAGCCCGTGCCATCCCCCAAACCTCCCTCTTCAACAACTCCAACTCCAACCCCAACTCCCACTCCAACACCAACGCCCATGCCTAACAACCCCCCATCATCCCCAACCATCCCATGCATCTTATCATCCTCAACCCCCCTATCTCCAGCAGCATTCCCAGGAATAACATGCCCCATCGGCCCAACCCCAACACCCACCCCAACCCCTGGCACACCCATACCAACTCCCACACTGACACCTACACTTCCCACATCCATTCCCCCCATCGGATCATCCCTCCTCAACCCCTGATGTTGCCCAACTCCATGCCCTTGATGGTGATGAATGTGCTCCTGGTGATTATGGTGAATGTGAGCAACTGCATCACTCACCTCTTGCTGGGCCTGCTCGAGGAGCATTTCTAGATCCCTGTCCATCGTGTCTGCGTCTTCGGGATCGGGAGCGGGATCCGGGTCTGCTTCTGCGTCGGCGTCGGCGTCGGCGTCGGCGTCGGCGTCTTCATCGACGGGGGTACGTGTATGCGTGCTTGTTGTGGTTGATGTCCCGGGCGCTTGGGAGTGTGTAACTGAGACTAAGACAGACTGGGAGCGGGTGGGGTGTTGCGGGAGGTTGTTGGCGGGATTAACGGGGTTACTACCACTGGTTGAAGGGGCCTCGTCTTCACCAGTTGCGTTGAGTAAGGCTTGGAAGGTGTCTGTGTCGGGATCGTGATGGGCTTGGGCTAGCCCTGAGGGATGCTGATGAAACGGGTGATGTGTTGGCTGGCCGTGCTGCTGCTGGTGATGATGATGATGATGATGATGATGATGATGACGGGGCGTGGTATCAAAAGGATTGGCATATGCGGCGGCAGCGGCAGCGGCATGGTGGAGGTGGTCGGCCGGATTGGATGCGGATTGGCTGATGATTTGTGGGTCGATAGGCGCGCTATAGTCCGGCGATACGGCGGATAAGCCTGAGAGGGATGCTGATGTGTGATGATGTGGGTGTGATGAGTGGAATGCTTTATATTGAGCATGGAGTTGTACTTGGCTGGGGTCGTGGTCGTGGCCCGTCACGGGGGAGCCTGTGTCCCCCGAAGCGAGGCCGTGATGAGCTGCTGCTGTTGCCCCTGGGGTCAGTATCGATATGGCTGCCGGGTCGGCATACTGGTGGTGGTGATGGTGTGCAGCGACAGAGAATGGAGCTAGATGGGAGGGGTCGGGCAGGCCCGGGCCGTCTGTAAGAGGTGGGGGCACCGGCGGGGGAGCATGCCGATGCTGCCCGAGGGTAGCAGCCGCTACAGCCGCAGCCGCAGCAACAGCGGGACTGATTATCTCCGGGGCAGGGCCAGCCGACGGTGCTGTTACCGGCACTGATGCAACGGCAGATACGCCGGCCGTGGTAGTAGTGACAGAAGCAGCAGAAGCAGCAGGACTTGGCGAGGCACGTTTACTGGGAGGCTGCAGCGCGTCTGAGCTGACAGCAACATTCACGGGCCGCTTCAATGGGTTGAGGTTGCTGACCCCCCCTTGCCCTGATACACCGGACGATGAACAACCCGTTACTGCCGGAGTCCCCTGATGGCTTTGAACCGCTGACGCAGCACCGGCATTGTTGTGGTTGCTACTCTTGCTAGACGACTCTTTGCATTCAGCACAATTTCTAATTACATCGGAGACGGTCTCCTTGATGCGGCTCCAGTGGTAGCGTTCGGCAATGGTGGCAGTCGTCTTGTTGATGCCGGCATGGGCCTGATTGTGCACCTGGCGGGCGATCTCGTACTGGCGCTGGGGGTCCGAGATGACCTCCTTGTCGTGCAGCATCAGGACGTCGTCGACCAGCTTGTAGTGGGTGGCAGCGCTACGCAGCCTGCTTTTTTCGGCTCGGTCAGCGCCGTTGGGATAGCGACCGGTTTTGAGATAGAACCGAATCTTGTCGAAACGCTCTTCACTCACAAGTTCCTCGTTGCCCGAGCCGCCGGCCGCGTCGCCCAGGTCGCGTCCGTAGATGATGGCGTCCACCAGCCGGTCCGGGTAGCTCTTGAGGTTGCCGGCGCCCTTGACGCGCCCGATGCGCTTGAAGCCCAGCGCGTCCCAGATTTTGCACGACGCCACGTTGGTCTCGTAGACCAGGTTGAACACCGAGTACTTGTAGCCCAGCTTGGGCGCCCAGTCGAGATACGCCTCGCCCATCAGCCGCCCAACACCACGATTGCGCGAGGCGTCCGTGACGATGAAGCCAGCATTGCAGATGTGGCTGCTGCGGCCCGGGTAGTTCGGTTTGATGTAGAACGTGCCCAGGCACTCCTTGGACCAGTCCTTGCCCTCGACCACGTCAGCCGGGCTCTCGATATGCCCTAGCAACATGATGCCGGCGAAGTTCTGGAACCAGTACGACGCAAACTTGTCGAAGCTCATGGGCTCCATCATCGGGTACGTGTCACCCTTCTCGATCTCTTTGTTGAACTGGTCGTTGAGGTACCGCAACAGCGATTCGGGCACCTGGTGACGGGACGCAAATGGCACGACGGTAGCAACCGTCTGGCGATCACGCAGGGTCACATGGCGCGGTTGGATCGACGGCGGCAGAGAGGGGTTGGCCGGGTCTGGGTAGGGGGGGTCACCCGAGACACGGTAGATGGTTGGCGCGTCGGGGTCCTCCAGAATGGCGGGCATTCTGGCGATGTAGGAGATCTGATGATGATGAGAATCAGTGTTCAGAAGATGAGAGTCACGATGCACGATGAGCGAAGGACGATAGGTAATGAGAGGCAGCAGCACCGAGCAAGCAGCGCTCGTCCACGAAGGAAAGGGGGGCGGGGGGTCGCCTGCATCTCCATCATCATCAGCATCAGCCTTGTGCGACCTCCAGAGCGCGTGGTAAGTCGATAACCATCGATAAAAATCAATACCCAAGCTACAGAAACAAGTAAAGACCCAGCGTTTGACCCGAAGTCTCACAAATGAGAGCCCGTACCTCAAGACACTGGATTCCCGCGTTCGCTTAAATCCCCCAAAATTTCCTTTGTCTCCTCCTCTCGGCTCTCCGGGCCCGTCGTGCGGCGTCCTCGGCGCTGCCCACGGCTCAGGTACCCGTTTCCGAGTCGGTTCCCGGACCTGTGCGGTGCGACCCGGCTGCAAGGCACACCAATCAGAGCAGTGACGGGGTGTGGCACGATGCGCGAAGAGACAGGGTGCAGTGACGTGACGGCAAGGTTGAGCCTGTGCTGAAAAGTTCGTGGTGATGATTTCTGCTTCGAAGTGCGGGGGAAGCCGGGAGTTTGGGGCATTTAACCTGCTTAGTCAGCAAAAGGTTCTCCCCAGAGGACCCCAGAGGAGTTGGTAAACTTATGATGATGTAACAATAACATGTAAGTTACACTGCTTTCTCCGAGAGCAGTCGGTGTCGACACAGCTAGTGACGACCAGTCAAGGAACACAGGAGAAGGGAGAGTACGCTCAAGTCTTAGACGTATTCCATATACTCGGCCAAAAAAAGTATAATTTACAACACCAAGTTCTATCATGATATAATACATCATATCATCCTAGCACATCCCGGATCCATTACAAACCCCTCTCACTCCTCTTCCTCCGGCGTGAGTCTGTCCTCTACGGGGGCCTCCCTGATGGACGCCGGATCGAACATGCGCTCCAGCAGCTCGTCATCCGTCATGTACGACTCCTCCGATGCCTGCTTCTGCAATTCGCCCAGCTTGTGCGCCTTGAGAATCTCCTCGGCCTCCTTACGCGCCTTGAGCTGCGCCGAGATGTTGATGTACCGCTCGACCGGGCCCGGGTTGCGCCACGTCACTAGGCCTTGCTCGGCCTCGTTCAGTCGTCTCCTCTGGCCACGCTCACCGGCCCGACCGAGGACGCCGGCAATTAGGGTGATGGAGCGGATGCTGGGGGGGGGGGTGGTGTGTGTAAGTAAGAGTCCCCGGATGGTAAGGGGGTATAAGGGGTCTTAAGGTGGCTTACCTATCATCGTTGGCCGGGATCTGGTACGTAACCCAGGTCGGGTCAGCATCAGTGTCAATGACACCAATAGTCGGGATATTCTCCAGGCCACACTCATGTAGCAGGGTGTAGTTCTCCTTGGGGTTGAAGCAGACGACCAGATCCGGGATAATTGGCCTGCAGTCGCGGATATGCTCATCGAATCCCTGCAGCGGCCGATCCCTCTCATCCACAACCTGCAGCTGCCTGTTGGCCAGGATAACATCACGGTTGGTAATCGCTCCTGGCGTCCACTTCTGGAACAAATGACACCCCTTCGCCAGCTCCGCGGCGCGCACCACCGCCGGCCTCATGCCCTTCCTCGTGCCCACAAACAGGATCAGCCCGCCATAATAAGCCACCTCCTCAACGACCCTCGCGGCACGCCTCAAATGCTCCGCGGTCGTCTCCAGCGAAATGATATGAATGCCCGCCCTCACACCATAGATATACCGCGAGTTCGCCGGGTTCCACAGCGAGGTATGATGGCCCATGTGCGTCTGGGCGGCCATGAGCATCTCGAGTGTCACATCATGCGGCGGGTTGTCGAGGTACTGGTAAGGGTGGTAGCGGGTCTCGACGAAGGAGCCGACCTTGTGGGTGGCGTCGCGCTGGTGCTGGTACTCGTACCAGTTGGGCGGGATCTTGGCCAGCTCGGCCTTGCGCGCGGCCTCTTTGGCCGCCTGGTATTGCTGGTAGGTGGTCATACGGCGGTAGCGCAGGGCAGAGTCATCTTGGGCGGCCGAGGGTTCGGCCGTTATTGTTTCCGTCGTGGTCGTCGTAGTGGTTGTGGTTGTCGTCCGCGGCGCGCTGCTCGACAGCGCTCGACATACTTGTGAAAAGGGCGCCGCAAGGGCTTGCCGGCCTGGGATTGTCCGTCAATTAGCCACCCGCGCAAACGTTAAACTGCGACTTTCCTGCTTACCGTGCCGGACGCCAAAATTCCTAATGATCATGGCGGAAACGGTGTTGCTGGGGTCATTGCCATAGAGGACGAGCCCAAGTCTCGAACCATGACCCGAGCAACTTTTCTCGGACCAATTGATGCAGCTGGTCCGTGCGCCGATGGTTCGCGGCTCTGGGCCAGATGCCAAGACTTGACCCCACCTCAACGTTTGAGCGGGGCACATCCACACAAAATATAGGAGATGAATTGGGGGGGGGGGAGATTGGGAGATTCATGACAAGAAAAAGAATCACAGACTTGGAAACAAAATATTACAAGGGAATGTCCGTTAATATTATACCTCTATCAAATCAAAAAAAAAAAAAAACTAACCATGAAACCATCCGGTACAGCAAGTTATGGCCTGGTATCCTCCAGTAACGAACGTAGGTGGCTACAGTATACTCGAAACCCTCGGTTGACCCTGAGAGACAAAGGAAAGTTTTCTGTGACGGAGACACGGGATACTATCTAAAGACCAACAAAAAGGTCATGCTAAGTTCGGTTTCTTTAAGAACTCTACCGGTTCTGCTGTTACCGGCTGGTCAACCTAGAAATCGTAAAAACACCCACAATGGCCACGGCTAACATGGCAATGGCGCCTGGCAGCAGCAGCTCATTAGGCACGCCGGGGATAACCTGTTCCACCGGCTGCACAGTCCTAGTGCGCCCATGCCGACGGCGCACAGGGATATCTTCCTCATCCGAGAGCTCCTCCTCATCCTCGTCCTCAGATTCCACGACCTTACGGCGACGCAGGACTGAGGACTCGGGAGGTGTCGGCAGGGGCTCGGCAACAGGTTGCGACTTGACCGGCATCTCCTTGGGGTCGTGCACAAACAAATCGACCTTGTCGCGGTGACCGTGCCGTGCAGTGATGATAGCCTCTAGAAGATCTTGGTCGGTGGTGATGGAGACCGGGTCACCTTCGTCGTCCAGGTAGCTCAGGGCAAAGCCGCCCGAGACCTTGCCCTCCTCGACCATCGGGGCACCACCAATAGCCTCGACCTCGTCACCCAGCTTGCCGACGACGTTTGCGACGAACTCAGCAATACCATGGGCAGCGATGACCTGAAGCCTGTGAACACGGCCGCTGGGCGCCTTGAACTTGAAAGTAAATGGAACATCGCCGGGCGGGATATCGGGCGAAGGGCCGAGGGCACTACCGTCGTCAAGCCCAGCACGGCTTGCGGAGTCGCCAGGCGCCACGCTATCCGTGATGTGACGGCCCATATCCGGTGACACCAGCGACCGCGTGTGATGGGTGTGCTGGAAGGAGCCGTCACCCGAGACCATCGACTCAGTCTCATGATCGAGGGACAGCCAAAACTTGTTCCAGGCCGGGCCCTCGTTGTCGGTCGTGTTCATGCTGTTGATCTGTTCGAGCGTAGCGTACGTGAGCTTCAGCACGTCAACCATGCCGATGATCTCGCCAGCATCGTTCATCACAGGGAGGTTAAGGTAGTGGCCGTCGTGCATCTTCCGCAGAGCGGCCTGGATGCTCATGTCCATAGGTGCAAAGTCGGGGTGCGGGGTCATGACCCGGACGACGCTGCAGGTCGCGGGGTCGAGGCCGGGGGCAATGACACGAAGGACGACATCCTTGCTGGTAAAGATGCCGGTAATAGCGCCCTGATCCTGAACCAGCACAGCCGTCGTATGGTTCTCCCTCATGAGCTGTGCGGCCTCCCTCACCGACGTGCGCACGTTGACCGTGACCGGCGGTCGGCCGTCAAGAATCGACTCGAGCGTAGGGCCAGACATCTTGTGACGCAGGGCCTCGACGTACTGGATGAGGTGCTGAGGATGGCTCGTACCCAGCTCAGACTGCACACCCTCGAGGGCGTCGTACAGACGGCGTGAAGAAGCATAGGCACGCTCCAGTTTCTCCATGGCGTCGTAGAAGCACTTTGTGATATCGAGAACACCCGAGATATCCTGGTTTTCATCCATAACAGGCAAGTGGCGGAAGCCCTTGCGCACCATCAAGTCGAGAGCATCGGTTGCGCTGGTGTCTGTCCTGGCGCACAGCGGGTTCTTGGTCATAATCTCGGCGACGGCGACGTTGGTAGCCTTCAGCCCGGCGCCGACAACACGGAAGGCAAGATCCTTGGCAGTAAAGATGCCGGCAATGCGGTCGTCATCGTCCGTCACGAGCACGCAGTCCTCGCGCTTGGCGGCCATCAACTGGGCCGCCTCGGCGACCGTCGTGGACGGCTTGATCTGCAGTGCTTGGCTGGGCTTGAGGGCAAGGACGGTGCCTGGGGGAGCCTTTCTCGTCGTACGGGTGCGGGCTGTGAGGTGCTTCTTCTTCTGGAGATCCTTCTCCATCTTCCGGCGGATGGCCTGGACGACAACTGCATGTAAGCCCGATGCTCGACCACGAGCGGGGCAGGCGGGCGGAAAGCGATCAATCAGCGATCGCAGCGGGCGACAACCGGACGTACCTCATCTCTCTTACTCTGCTTCTCTCGGCTGGCACTGACGGCCGACGTGCCAATGTCGCTCGAAGTATCGGCGACGGGCCTTGGAATGCCCGACGGGGGCACTGCGCCGCGGCCCTGGCCACGAGGGGTTCTCAGCGTGCCCGTATTGGACGACATGGTTAGCGGTGAGGGGATTCGTCTGCGGGTTTGGCTCGAATCGCTCGATCGAGCAGAGTTGTCACGTCGTCACGTCGTCGTGAGGGTGAGTTGTCAAGTAAATATTCTGTCGACCCCCCGGACTCCCGGCACGCGGATTTACGGAGAGCGCCAACGTTTGGAGCGAGGTCGCCTCTCAACAACTCGAGGTCGCAGGCCAATGAGGCGATGGATCAGATGATGAGACTGGAGTCCTGCGGGAGAAGGAAAAATACGGGTTCAAAATTGGACCCTGGCAGCCCTTGCCGGCGGGGAATGCACGGGCCACCTCACAAGAGCCGGTTTCCGCTTGCTGTCACTCGCTGGGAGTCGCTGGGCGCAACGTCGCTTGTTAAGGCTTGGCACTCGATCTCGCGTGCGGAAAGGGCTCCATCGACAAGTCTTGATGGAAACGCTCAGCCTGCAGCGCTTCCTACCATTAAGTGGCTGCCATCTGTAGAATTATGCCCATATGATCATAGAGCGATGGTATAGCGGTTTTTGCTGACAGTCACTCTGATACTTCCTGTCAAATCTTCAGCTCGATAAGCCCTTAGACTCTCCCCCTCCAGGAAGCACTCTGTACTATTGAGTTTTTATTTTTCTTGCTGCTAGTGTTATGATGGGGGATCTGAGATGCAATTGCCATGTCCAAGCTCAGCTGCGATATTTGGGATCAGGCCACTCTCTTCAGCCACCACCACCTGAGGGTCACCATTCAGGTTAAAAGAGACAGTCCTGAAGAGCCTCACCCGAGGGCAGTTACTGCTTTGCATTGTCCCACTGAAACTTTGGATTTTTTTTTTTTTTTTTACAAAGAACCCAAATCCATAATATAACTGTGCACGAGAATAACTAAACCGACCCAAAAACATCTTCAAAGCTTAGCATATAGCACACGCAAGTTCTTTTTGGGAGTGCTTGAACCACTTGGTGACTGTTGAAGCCGCTGACAGCACAAACTCAGTCTTTGTGAAAGATATCTGCCAGGTGTCGCAACCATTTGTCCCTCAAGATCTTGAACCAAGACTAAAGTTGCCGACTGGAGTCAAGATCGACACCCCGCGCATGTAACACAACGGAATCAGGCTCATAACGTCATAATCTTGATCGTTCCGCCTTTCCTGTCCGTGCCTGAATCAATGGTTTCCAAGGTGGCTGCTGAAAATGCATGCGCTGCTAGAGGCCCTGGTTTCTTGGAATAGTCTGGGCCAGTGAAGTTCCATGCTTGCATCAGCATGAGCGCGGGACAAGAATTGGTGGATCGCTTGGCCATTCCAGCCAATCAATCTGTGTGCCTGTACCGTTTAGTGCCTTGTGGACCCCTGTCTCCAGCCTGGTGGTCCCTTTCGTCCAGGATGCCAGGTACGTCACTTTGCCCATCCTGGATCTGAGAGAACCAGGGAGGTAAATTAACGGAGCAGAAGACCCTGTTCCTGCTGGTTCCAGGTTCCTGTTCTCTTCTGCCTCAACTATCTTTCTCACCCATTCTTTCGCTCTCAAAACCCCTCTCCTCCCCCTCCCTAGTTTTGTGCGGCCAACACTCTTTCACAAAAGCGCCAGAGAGCGCGAGACGCCAGCATTATTCACGACGGGCCGAGTCGGCAATCCAGCCCTGACACTCGCTCCTCCTCGCACTTCTTTCTGGTTCCAGCGATACCATTCCCTGTACTCGCATTCCTTGCGCAATTGGGAGTTCTCTCGTTCGACGCGACCGCCCTCGTTCAGAGCAGCCCTTTTCCAGTTAGCCGCCTACCTTAGCCTCTTCACGCGATTCCGTGGCAAATCTTTTCGTTGCCCACAACCGATTCTATTCCATCATTGAGCCTGACTTTTCGGTACCTCGCTTCGCCAACACAGCCATCTTTTCTGTCCTGAAAGAGTGCTCTTTTCAGACCCTTGTATCTCTCCACCTGCGCAACGTCCGTAGCCAGCCTTAGCAGCGCCAAGCATTCTTCCTAACCAACTATTCAACCGCACTCACCAGCCTCTCGGTCGCTTCATCACTGTTTTGCGACTCACCAAACATCCATCGTTTGAGTATATTCTAGTCAGGACAAAAAAAAATAAAGAAATAGCATAGCAATCATGGCAGGGATATCAACGTCTCGACGGGACGTAATCGCATCGCCGATCCACTCATTTGCGACAGGCCTCAGACACGCCATCGGCCATTCGCTGGGTCGCCGGAAGGACGACGAATGTCATCCCCAGCCGGGTGTCGATCTCTGTGAGAAGCCCGCCATCTCGTCCAACTCCACGACGTGGGTCATTGTTGGCGTCATTGTGTGAGTCTATCTTGCCTTAGCACCCTGTTTGATGGCAGCCAACAATCCAAGAGCGATCAACGCTAACAGACATTCCAGCGGCTCCCTTATCTTTCTCGCCCTCTCCATCCTTGTCGTCCTGCACTTCCGCCGGCGGAGACAAGACAAGCGTGAGGACATGGAAGAGCGCTTCCAGCCGAGCGATTACGGTTTAGATGACATCCCATCGACCACGCGCAAGAAGCATTTCGCAGCAAGCGCGGACGATGTCTCGACGACTACCTCGCCCGCCGGCTATCCCCGGCGCTCACGCGATCCGTTGCAGTCCGCGACCGATCTGAAGTCTCCTCCTCCTGGGTACCACGGTAATGGGAATGGCAACGGATATTTGAATCCGTTCGATGATGCGTCCTCGTTCAGGTCTGGCACCGGCTCGTCTTATCCGCCTAGTCGGCGGGGGGAGAAGTGAGGTGGTTGTTTGGGACTGAGTGGTAAGATTGGGATATGCGCAGTTTTAAGACGGCGACGGTGGCAGCAATAGTTTTTCTTTGGTATGGTTGATGACGAACGAATTGTTGATGGGTTTCGGTTGGGACATATAATGACCAAGACGGTACGGTACGGCATCAACAGCATGGGAGACGAGTTTTTCACGATAACAACACGGACGGATGAATCGGTAGTCACGGCCACAACCGCGCGACGAGGGTTTGGATGTACGATAACGGAACAGGGGTAACATCTCTCTTCCATAACGCAGGAATGGGATGGGATTGGCATTGGAGGCGGGAACCGGACGGGACAGATGGATGGACGGACGGGCTGGTTGGCGAGCTGGGCGGCGAAAAACCGTTTGTGTAATATTCATTCTCTGCTGTGTACCTTTTTCTTCTCGGGAGGGAGGGAGTTTGGTACGGCGTGCGTGGGTTCAGCGTTGTTTTCTTTTTCGGTCTCTTCTGACTTGATGTGTGTCTACATAGGTTAATAGGATGTCCTGTTTTCTTGTCTTATCCGAAGTTGCGACATAGCTTCAGTCGGCCGGTCTTATCGCAAGGCAATCAATTCTGTTGGACCGTGTTCCGCGCTGCCCTGACGGGTGAACCGGCAGCACCCGCGCTCCCTCTTGCGTTGTGTCACAGTGTCCGTCCAATCCTTTTTTTTTTTTTTTTTGCCGTCTGGATACAGCAGATGCCAAGGACGCGCGCTTATCGGAGCCAAGGAGATGTCGACGACGATCCTGCAGCTTGTAGACGGCTGCAGCGAAGGATCCGGAAAGCAGAAGGTTTGTGGCCGACTCTGAGGAATCTAGACCTAGACATTCGGCGTTGAACAACGTGCTTCTGCCGCCATTGCATATCCCTAAAGGACCATGATCGACATTCGGAAAGAAGGGACTCGCGCTATCTGGAATCTGACGTTGATTATACATCATTTTGTGAAAAGACATTTTTCCAGAAGCACGTCGTTTAGACAAATCTGTACAAACTATCCATTAAGTGCAAGCCCTTGCCTCGAAGATCAACAACTCCCCAACCCTGATGAAGCAAGAAAACAATACTCAAAGTAATACAGGGTATCTGACCAAAGCCCACTCGAAAGGAAAGATACAAGGAGCAAGTCTTCTACCATCCTATACCGCACCCGCGTCACCTCAACCGCAAACTAATCCCTTATTGTTTTCCCCAGTCCTTATTATCCAAACTCAAACTCTTCATCCTAGGCCCTCCTCGACGTCATTCTTCTCATTGTCAAATGGAGATACCCCCCTAACCTGGGAAGCCCATCACCGAATCCACTCCCTCACCCAAACGATCCCCACATCGCCGGGCACCATCAACATAGCGGCCACTTTTGCGACCATGTTGCTTGACACGCTTTTTGATAAGGCGTGAAGATAGTCGGTCGCCATCCGCTGGTACGCGGATGGTCCTGTGGTAGCCCCTGGGATGCTATCGAGAATCAGCGCACCCACTGGCAGCCGTGTCTTTTGCTTGCGCCCGGTATGCGTGGGCTAGGAGGACTGCTTTGAAGGGCCCTCCTTCGGAGAAAGCGTGGAGGCTGATTTGTAATGGATGGTTTGAGTTGGGGTTGGGATTGGGGAATGGCGAACTTGACTCAAACGAATGGGGAAATGACAGTTTCTGATGCGGTTTAGGGGGGGAGATATTGACGATTCTAAATGAAAACGTGAACGAGATACAGGTGCGTCTCCTTGACCTTCCGACTTGCTCTGAGAGACGATGGAGGATATTTACTTCACCGCTGGTTGCAGGGCCTTGATGTTATGTGACATCAAATGTAGCAGGGGATCAGTCAGGGAGGTGGTTATCGCAAGAATTGTAACAAAAGAAAACAGCATGTTGTAGGAAGTAGTATTTTTTTTCTTGATGTGCTGGGGGGGGGAGCACCATTCCAGATAGTCAAGATGATCAGAGAGTATGGGAAGGTCGCGCTAATTGGGATGGTTAGAGTGTAAGAATCAGAGGGGAGATCTGATGAGGGGGAAGAAGGTTGTGGCGTGGTGACGATATTACTGCCGTCTTGGGCTGAGTTGCTAGAGTTAGGGGAGAACCCACCGTCCTGTAGATAGATGGATGAGGCTAAATGAGTGAAGTCAACAAGGGCAAAGGCAGCAGATTTCTTTCCCATGGTGGCACGATCTTGATGTTGATGATTATTAAGAGGATTGTAACGAAGATCAGACAATCTCAATTGCTGCCAACCTCTTCATTCAGGAGATGGTTGAGGGGAAAATCGGACAACTCTTGACGTGGGGACTTATGCTTTTACTATCAACCTTTTATCTGCTCCATCTCAAGGTACTATAAAGATGGGGTAGGTATGTATAAATTTATGAGAGCCCTTACACAAGTGTTGTGATCAAGGGCTCAGATCTCACAGGCCACTGTCTTATTGGGCCACCGATAAGCTGATAACTGCTTTTTTGATGTTTATTCCCATGCCCATCTTCACAGGTCAATGACACTAATGAATATACTTGTGATGACTGACAACTTTTGGATACATCCCAAAAGATGTCCTGTAGTTTTGCGCCGCACATTGTACCTTGGGGTTGAGGAACGCAGTGGTGGCATCGGTAGGCAAGTCGACACTTACCAACATTTTACCGAAGTTTCTATCAACACACACAATTTTACGCCATATTTGGAAATTTAGAGCCATCGACATCACTGTTAGCCGCGCTCTGGGACAGTTGGTACGGGATGAGTGTGACGTGATGCAGGGATGAGATGCAAGCACGTTACGCAAACGCGATAGGCGCCTTGACAGCAATAGCGACACATTGCCACATGGGTATTGATGGATTATTTTGTGCGCAACTGATCGCAGACGTTGGTACTCCGAAAGCGTCCGTGTGGGGTCGTGAGTACGGGTTGAGTTTTGTTGCCGTGGTAGAGTCTGTGCGAGCACAGCAGATGACGAGAAAGATCACAAGAGACAATGGGAACAGAATTGGAAGACATGACAATGGAAGGTACTGGCTATCTTCACCGATAGAATACTAGCTACGGCCGATGCATTGCCGCAAAACAAGACCGTTGTGATGAATGAATGCATCGGGAAGCTTGACGTTAATCTGATTGGAATGGGTCACAGTGATGGACAGGGTCCTTGTTCGTCTGATCAATCTTCGTCTCATAATGTTTGCCTGTCTTAAACATCCTCTAACCCGGTAATAAAAGGTCAAAGTTGCTAACCAAAGATGATTTGGAACGATGTCTTCACCAACGATGTAGCCAACTACTATTCTGAGTTGACTTGACCTTGTGGTGATGGGAAAGCGACAACCATCTGGAGTGTACGCACTACAACGGCTGCCATGCCGATTGTGGGATAGACTGCTGGTAAGGTAGCCCGCCTTTCATACGCTCTTTTGCAAGATATGCTTACTGTCAACAACGATGGTGACTTCACCATGGCCCGGAGCACCTGGACGTGGCACCTCAACTATGGTTGACTTTGCATTCGGACCAACAGCAAGCACCTGGCAAAACACTAGCTTCTATCAATACCTAGAGTGCGCATGGCCTGGTATAGAAACCCTTTGGCAGCTTCAAGCAAACGCTATGATAGTATTTGCCAGAGTTACATCTGTTATATCTGTGCCAGGCGGTTTGTGCTCAAACAAATGACTCTTGGTGGTTAAATAAACATATCTCGCAGCCTTAGGGAGCGATGGGCTCTCTTATTCTTGTTCTACTCTCTGTTCAGGTGGCGGATACCGGAGGATGCTTGGGCCACCAGCTCTCTAATCCCCGTTCCTTTCTCCCTGGCCCTCTTTTTCCTTGCCCAGAGTTCCTCATTTTGTAATCAACATTGACTTTCGGCCTTTGCATTGACGGTGTCAGTGTCTTTGTGTTTTCCATTTGTCGTCATTCACACAGATATCCATCGACATAAATAACCCCATCCCCTCGCGACACTTCATTTGCTGATTTCTTCCTTCGAATCGGCAAATTATTTTTTTCAACATGGGCAGAGATGGTGACCTGATTGAAATCCGGCCAGATCAATTAGAGAGGGGTGAGCGGCCGCTGGCCGCCGCTGAGAACGAGTGGAAGCCAGGCAGCAAGGAGTATGCTGTCATGGTGACCCTCTCCGTCATCTCTCTCATGGTAGCTCTCGATGCCACTATTCTCGTGTCTGTCCTGCCAGTATGTCATCAACCCTATGTCTACATTTTTTTTTATCCAGTAACCCCGACTAACTATCCCCAGACCCTCGCGATCGACCTAGGCGGAACCGCCACCGACGCATTCTGGGCCGGCACCTCCTACCTACTGTCTTGCGCCGTATGCCAGCCGTTCATCGCCGCGCTGTCCGACATCTTCGGGCGAAAGGAAATGCTCCTGCTGTCCGTCTTCTTCTTCACAATCGGCACGATCCTGTGTGCGCCCGTCGCGAAGGACTTCACCGTCTTCTTCGTGGGGCGCTCTATCCAGGGCATCGGCGGCGGCGGCATCATCACCATGGGCCAAGTCATTTTTGCCGATATCGTCCCCCTGCGCCAGCGTCCGAAGTATTTCTCTATGGTTTTGGCTGCTTGGGCGCTGGGTAGCGTGCTAGGACCCCTGATTGGTGGTTTGTTTGTCGAGCATGTTATTTGGGCTTGGTGCTTCTACATCAACGTAAGTCGCCGTCGCGCATCACCAATTATCGGCGAGTTCATGGATTAACTGGCATTTAGTTACCCTTCTGCGCCGTCGGTCTTGTGTTGGTTCCAATCTATGTCAAGCTCAAGACCCAGAAGACCTCGATCATATCCAAGCTGCGCCGCGTTGACTGGCTTGGTGGTTTCCTGTTCATCGGCGGCATGACCAGCTTTCTCATCGGTCTCTCGTGGGCCGGTATCCAGTTCGAGTGGAAGTCGGCCGAGACGATCGCTCCCATGGTCGTCGGCATCGTCGGTGTCGTTGCCTCTCTTTTCTGGGAGTGCTACGGCGCTGTCGAGCCCTTCCTCAGGCCTAGTCTGTTCAATTCTCGCTCGACCCTAGCTACTTACGCCATTGCGCTGTTCCAGGGCTTCATCGTGAGTACACCAACCAAGGAATAGCCAAAAGAGGACGATTAGCTAACCTTCACAGCTCTTCTGCGCCCTCTACTACATCCCCTTCTACTTCACTGCCATCAAGTTCCACCGCCCGACGCGCTCCGGCTTGGACATCTTCCCCGTGACTTGCTTCCTCCTCCCCGGTAGCATCATCATCTCTCTGATGACAACCCGGTTGGGCCGCTACCGCTGGGCCATCTGGAGCGGCGGCGTTGTCACCGCCATTGCCTGCGGTCTGCTGGTTCTCTTCCGCCAGCACACCAAGACCGCCGTCTGGGCTGTCATTCTGGCTGTCTTTGGCATCGGCAACGGCATGTTGTTGACTAGCGTCAACATCGGCATCCAGGCCGCCAGTCGCGTTGAGGATGCGGGTCGCGCGGCTGCCATGTACGCTTTCATGCGTACTCTGGGCATGTCCATTGGTGTAGCTGTGGGCGGTACCGTCTTCCAGAATGTCATGAGCAACAAGCTCAATGAGCTTGGTCTGCCGACTCAGATCTCCAAGGACTCTGAAGCATTTGTCGCTAAGATGTACGAGATGGCTCCGGAGGATCCAGTGCGCATCGGTGCTCAAAAGGCCTGTAGGTTGCATCTGTTTTTGTGGTTTAGCTCGTTGTACGTTGGTGAAACATGGCTGACTTTGTTTGTAGACCTATCCGGCTTCCACGGCGTCTACTGGACCATCACGGGCGCCGCCGTCGCCTCCTTCCTCATCTCCCTCCTCATCAAGCAGTACTCCATGGACAAGCTTCTCGCCACAAAGTTCGTCCTCAAGGGTGCCTCCCGCCCCGTCATGGTCTCCAGCGCGGCCGGTCCTGACGAACCCTCCGACCGCGTCGATAACGCCGCGAACAACACTACTTCGTGCGAAGAGATCACCCCTGCCGAGGAAACCAAGCTCGTCCCCACCGAAACCGTCACCTCCGCCTTCTCTCCCCTGCCAACCCCGGCTGGCACAAACCTCACCGTCTCGGACGCGATCATGCCCGCCCCTGTCTCTGGCAGCATCCATCCTTCTGCTCCCTCAAGTTCAACAACCTCGCAACCCTCATCCGCTCCTGCCACGTCTCAGCAACATGGGTTATCTGGGGAATCCGAGCAAGCAGCCATCGTTTACCTCGTCCGTCCCGGCGGCGCAATCCTCCCCGTTAAGGTCGTCCAGCAGCGTAGGCAGCCCGCCCCATCGTATGACGATGCTGTGGCTGCTACATCGGCAGCGGCAGCGGCTGCCGCTGCTGCTGGAGCTTCTGGGAACAGTGAGGGGTCGTCTAGCTCTGCTGCTGCTGCGGGTAGGGGTGCTAAGACGACCCAACCCAAAGGGCAGGCCGAGGTTCAGGCCGAGGCTGAGGGTCAGGGTCAGGGTCAGAGTGAGGGGCAGAAGACCAAGAAGGAAGGTGGCGAGAGTGAGGGCGAGGAGTCGAAGGTGTTTCACATCATTTCAGAGGCGTACTTTGAGGACGAGGAGGGCCACGCCCAGACGGTTGTTATGGATTACTATCCGGTTTGGATGATGCCCAACTAAACAGGTGTCGTAACTAGGTACCTGCCTGCATTTGGGGTTGAGCGTGCAATTTCCTTGGAGGATTACATACTTCGGTGCCTGATGTCGTCGGCGTGGGAGAGTTACCTGTTTCTGTTTGAGTTTCAGCTCATTGCATGTTGATGGGTGTGCAAGACGGCGTTGTGGACAAGACGGGAGATAGGCTGGACTTGTGATACCCTTTGTTTTCCCCCTTTTTGTGAGGGTGTTTCGCGATTAGTATCAGATTATTTATTTATTTATTTCTTATTTTTATTTTTTATTTTTTATTTTTATTTTTATTTTTTATTTTTTATTTTTTATTTTTTTTTTTTTACTCACTGTCCCCTGATTGCACTGAAATTGGTAACGGCATCGTTTGTGACGCTGCATGACCCTCCGTGATGTTTGTGTCGGTGAAGGAACAACCCTAACCCTGAAGCCTCTTGGCTCTCACGCAAGGCCACTTTCCATTTTTGTTAGCCCCACACATTTTGTGAACCTGTAATTGGCTGAAAATTGTTGCTAAAATTAGGGCTTTTGCTCGGCTCCGCCACAATGGCGCCTGTCTTGCGACCCACATCTGACAAACTGTTGTTAGCTGGAGGAGGGTCGAAGATGGGCCAACCTCCAAGTTCTGTGTTGTACAAAAGGATCCAGAGAATTTGTGGGGAGAATTGTGGTCCTTCTGGCTGGAGTCAAGATTTAAGGTCTCGGAAGTTCAGAGAAAGCTGTCAGACGGTGTTCTCAGCGTGAATCTTCGCGTAAATTACAAATGTCCTGAGTTTGGTCGTTGGCCTCTTAGCGGGACCATTATTGACAAAGTCCTCTACTTTATCCTCAACTACATGTCTCCCTCAACGAGAACCAGCAGAAACTTTGATCATATAAGAACGGAAACATGTTGGCATGTCGGTTTATACTCGGTGACGTTCCTATTCCCTCCACACTTCCACGATCAAGCCGAAGTTAACACTCACTCATTGCTTCACAAAGCATCTTGCAAACACCAAACAGCATGTATTCATGGAAAGTTATAGCGCTCCTTACAGCGCTCAAAACCCCAGCTCTTTCTCAATCGCTGCCAGCCTGCATCGTTCCCTGCCTCCTCACTGTTCCATTTCACTTGGGCTGTTCCAGTCCGATCGACGTGAGCTGCCTCTGCAGCAATGAAGAAGGCAAGAAATGGCAGCAAACTGTGGCAGAGTGCAACGCGAATCGAAAGAATAAAGTAAACGTCAATGACGGAAACGACAGTGACTCCGATGATGAGAATGACCTGGCTTGCGAGGAGGATGAGTTCCAAAAGGAGGTCAAGTTAGAAGACTTTTGTCGGACGATTGAGAATGCGAAGGATGGGCCAAGTGAAATCATCGGAGGTTTCAAAAAACTGTTAGGTATTGGTGAGAACGATGGGGCTACTGGAAACGGTACAGTTTTTCAAAACGGGGAGAATGGGGGTATCTCGGGCGGGAAGGTGAAGGGCGCGTTGGTAGGGGCGTTAGTAAATGTCGTTCTGGATCTGTTATGGCGATAAACAAACTGACTTTTGTGTATGTGTTGAAGCATGTAAGAAGGGCTGATAAACTTTAGGCGGCAAGGATGATGGAGCTGGCGCCTTCGTTTGGTGAGACAACTGAATTGAGGACAAGGACATTGCTACCTTTGCAGGCTGACATCTCGAGAGTTGGCAGCCTTATTCATTCACTTTGAGGCTGGCAACTTCAAGATTTCATTATGTATACAACTCTCAGTCTCTTATTTTGACGTTTGCAATGTTGGCATGAAAAGCTCTGCTCAACGATGCCTTCCTTGAAGGAGCTCATCTAAGTGCCGGTGTCAATCACATGAATGGTTGCCTGGCAGCCAGAAACTGGTTCTCCATCTGACATCGGGACCTCTCCTCCTGATTACTTCGATTTTCAGGTTTCTGACTTGACACCTGTCTGCAGATTGCATTGTGTGCAGTGACATCTTTCACTTTCTGCTCCCATCGATCGTGGTTCTTCCTCAGCTGGGTCATTGGTGAATAGCATGAGGCCAAGAAGTATCAAGCGTCGGACGTAACGGAAACAATTTTATGGTTCCAGGATATCTGTCCAACTGTTCAAATTCTTCCGAAGCTTGAATTGATTTTGGGTTTGAAGTTTGATGATGGACAGTCGTTCAGGGGCTGTTGCCATGGCAATGTTCGGCTGACCATGGACAAGGAGAAGAGGATTTGTCTGCCATTGCTATCCTGTGCCGCCCGTTATGAGATGTTCTGCAGCACATTTAACGGCAGTAACTGGAGGGTCGGTCGGTTCTCAGCCTTCGGTGATGATTCTGCCAGACTGGGAAAAAAAGCGTTCAATGAAAAGAGCCCCATGGACAACGATACGGTGTTGGGATACCGGAAAGGTTGATGAATTCCTGACACCATGGTTCCGACCTGACGAGCCAATCTTAGCATCTGAGCGCAAACAGGAACAACATACGGCTTAGCTTCCACTTGCAAAGTTCCTTGCCCATCTCTCTGGTTTGGAAGATCTCGTCTATGCATGCGCCAACCAAGTTCCCACATGTGTGCTCGCAGCATTGCATGAGCACCGTTCACTGGCCCGTTTGCATGTTCGAACATTCAGCATTCGCAGCCTGTACCAGGAAGCCAGAGAGTTGAATGGCATCGATCCAGATGAACTCATCTTGATCACATCCCCATGCCTCTACGGAATTTGTGTTGGATACACTGGTCATGAGAACGAGATTTTCGACGAGTTTATGAAGCATCTTCGCACTAGATACGCCACCAGATTGAAGCGAGTGCAAATAACGATGTAAAGGGGATCTGATCTGTATATTTGATGACCAGCCCGTCGGCCGTAGGGCTTGTGCTGCTCATGATTCTTGGATCCCATTCTTACGAGAGGATTCAAGATCTTGAGGCCGTTCGCAATAACGAGCCCAACTCGACAGTCTCGATTTGGCCGGTGCCATGAGACCCACCGATCTTTTCCATTGGCTCGACCTCACCAATCTCGAGTGTCTTAAATCACTAGATCTCTCTTTTCCCTCTATCGGTGCGGTTTTGAGTATGAAGCCACTAGCCACTGCTGGTACTTTTTCATCCTTGGAGCATCTGGGGCTCTCTATGGAATTATGATACAGGTATTATCAAGACAGATCGACTAGTGAGCCTCCTCGAGCGTTACGCCCGCTTTACAGCGTGGTTATTCGGTTCAGTCCTGGCAAAGGACGTCCTGTTCCATACTCCAACATCAGGGAAAAACTTTGCAGCGACTAAAAGTGAAAACTTGACAGAGACGGCCTCTCTATTGAGAGGCAAATATTGGTGCTGCAAAAATAGTGTCATAACCTCGAAGCTATCCCTCCGCTATATATCCTAGGGTTATACGGGTGCCCTCTACCGAAAACCTTTTGAGATTTTTCTTAAACGCCACGCAAAGAATACCACCTCTCCTGTTCCATGATCCCGGGCGCAAATCCAATCTCCGAAAATCCACCATCCGATGGAGTGAAGGTCTGCTCTTCGTTGGGCAGAAGGGTGCCAATTCCGATAGTCTCCATAAACAGCCACTCTAGAGGTGCCTTAGCCTTTGGCCTCTCCGCAATTTTCGCAAAGATTGCTCGCGCTAGGTGCTCGTCGATGGCATGATTAAGCAATATTTCTCGGACAAAAAAGATTATCACCCTCATCGGTTTGGTTAATACCGTTCTCCTGTAGCTCACAGTCGAATTGAAGATAGATACGTCGCAGCCTGGCGAATTGGCCCAGCATTCGGTAAATGGAAACCTTTTGTGGTCTTCCCGAATATCTGTGCATCCACAGCCTGATGCGCTCAAGGCTTTGGCAGCATCTCCGGATTGCTTGAAGTCTCCTTAAAGTATACAGAGTGGACTTGTTGAGCGTTAACCTTAAGCTGTGTAAAGTCCGCCGTGAACCAACCTGGTCTACAGAGAAGGTGGCTGGGGACATGAGAAACAAAGTTTGAGCGATTGGCGAAGAAGCGTGGGAAGCCTGGGCAGCGCCGTGGCCAAACACTGAAAACAAGGGAAACTGGGAGAATAATTGAAAGAACCTGCCTCTGTGAACCGACGAATTTAATAACTGCAATGGTTGAAAGAGCTTTGCATAATGAGCTTCCACTCCGCCCATTGGCCATCTGAACTCGAATGATGACAGAGTGGATAAACTGCGACCGGTTGTACATCAAGAATCACTGGAAAGGCCAAGTAGTTATCTATCCGAAGGGCCAGTTTGCAGACAATGGAGAGCTTGAGAGGAAGCTGCAATGTATCCTAGTGCGGGCAGCAACAAGTATGCTTGACTAAAATATATGGAATGAGATATTGCCGGGGGCCGATGACGATATGAACTGGATGGACCGCTGGCACAGCTTCCCTCTCCCGGACGGCGGCTCAGAGAGATAGGCAGGAGTATCGGAATTACATAAGGACTCCGGAAAGAAGTCAGATTCGTCTGATTCCGGATCTGAGCACTAATCGGCGGATGGGGATACGGATCGGCCATCTAGTTACGATGTAGAAGGTGCATAAATCGACTCGTCTGAGACAACGGCCCTCGCTGTCGTGGGGCCGTTGACAATTGAATCTTCGCCATACTAGATGACCAGCGCATATGCATAGACAAGCTACCATATGCTCTGGCTGTTGTACTTAGAGATGACGCCAACTAATTGCTAATGATACATTTTTGATTTCGAATCGTTGATTGAAGTGAGCAAGGAGGCTTGTTTGGGTAAGGCCTAGGAAGGACAGTGGACTCTGCGCTTGCAGATTATTCGGAATAATAAAGATGTTATCGCCGTTTCGAGATCAACAAGGAGCTTCGCGATAGTGGTGCTTTAAGAATGGTCGTTATGTCAGCCAACATTAATGGCTGCTGACCTGCTGGACCCGACTGCCTGGGTGAGAGGGGCGCCGACGTCATGGCACAGGACCGTTGAGGGCCTGTGCAGCCAATCGGCATGATACGGGGGAGCAACGTGGGGGCCTTGTGCTTGGTGGATATTTATGCCTACCCCACCATGTTCCACAAAAGCTTTCACGCCGGCCCGTCTTTGTTTGCTGGCTGGTATTGGCGTTCTCCATTTTTTTTGGCAGTTCCAAACACAACCCTCAGGTCGTGGCACGTCATGGTCCTCTCTGATGCGCTGTCCAACCCCCGACCAAGCCGTTTTGGTATTTCCTGGTGGACATCTCTTGGGATTACGGGCTTGTCGCCGACGTTCTTCAACCTTTCAACCATCGCTAAATCCTTAAACCCTTAGCTCATCAAGCTTGGTGCGTAGGTCATGGGGTTATCGAATTTTCTCGATCCCCCCACATTAGCAATCTGCTAACCGGACCGAGGCAGTCCCGCTTCCTGTCCCCATCTCGCTTTGCCATAATCCCTTCAAAGGAAATGCTGAGCGACCAGGAGATCGCAAGAGCAGCTCTGGAGCTCGCAGAGTTTCGCCGGAACGATGCACTCGCGAAGCTGTTGGACCAGTACGAGGTCCTCATCCAGAGTTACAAGCGCCTGAAGAGTGACTATGAAGAGGAGCGCGAGGCCCGAGAAAAGTACAAGCAGATGGCCAAGGATCAAGAGAGAAACCCCTTCGTACTAGTCCTCGTCGACGGCGATGGCTACGTCTTTAACGAAAACCTAATTGCAAAGAAGGCCGAGGGTGGCAATATCGCAGCTCAGATGCTGAACGACGAGATCAAAGCCAGTCTTAGGCGGAGGGGTCTCGAACATTGCCAGATTATGATCCGTGTTTATGCCAACGTCAAGGGCCTGTCGCATGCGCTGTGTAAGGCGGGCCTTGTCGGCGGAGAAAGCCGGTCGTTGGCTCCGTTCATTGCATCCTTCAATCGGTCGTACGGTCTGACCGAGTTCGTTGATGCCGGAGAGCTTAAGGAGAATGCTGACTTTAAGCTGCGTGCCCTCCTGCGTCTATATGCTGACAATACTCAATGCAAGCACATCTACTTTGCTGCTTGCCATGATGTCGGCTATATATCTGAGCTTACGCCTTTCATGGGCAACAGTTCCAAGTTCACGCTCATCAATACCCCCGGCATCCGATTCCATGACGAGTTTACCAAGCTGGGCATGGGTATTGAGGAGTTTCGCAACGTGTTCACCCACAGGCCTCTTGATGGGCTCCCATACCGTCCTGCTACCAACGGTACCGGCAACCACAAAATTCCGGCGGTACCGACGTCTCCTATCAAGCCGTCGGCCACTCTTAGCACGCCGTCTACTAAGAGCTCATCTAAAGATGAGTCGAAGACAATCTGCATCTTCCATACTATTGGAAAGTGCCGTTATGGCAAATCCTGCAAGAATCTGCATCCGATTGAGGCATCATCGGATGTGAAGTCTGTCCCCTCCACGCCGACGTTTTCGACAACGAGCAGCAGCAAGATTGCACCAACTACAGACGAGTTCCCCGGCCCGTTTGCTAACCTCGTCGCCGATTTGCCGCGCAAGAGCGATATCCCTCCGGGTTTTGTTGCCGTAAATGCCAACAACTACCGGCTCGATCCCATCCTACCCCGCATCACGCCCGAACAACAGAGCAGGCTGAAGGCGCGTATCGATAAGCGTCGCGTGTGCAACAACTATCAACTTTCCGGACGCTGTGACAATGGTGATAGATGCGAGTACGACCATACTCCGCTGGAGGAAGATCTTAAGCCAGCGCTGGAGTGTCTCGCTCGCTCGCAGCCTTGTTCTCGGCGTGGCGCCTGCCGGATTGATGGTTGCCCTCATGGCCATATTTGCCAGATACTTGACTGCAAGTTCCGTGGGGGCAAGACATACTGTCGCCTTGGCCACCTTGCGCATGGGGAGAAGCTTGTGTTTGACAGGCTGGTCCCTGCCATCGGTAGGAAGGGGACTGGGAGCGTTATGAGCGGGAGCAGCGCTTCCAGTGGGTAAATCATGATGACATCAAGCCATAAGAGGGACCATGGAGGGCTTTAGACGATACAGAAATCGTATCGTCAGGTTGTCTGAGGGGGATAGGATTATTATTGAGGAGGTAATCTGGGAGTTCGGACACGGTCAAGCCATGGCCTAGATTGAACGGGCTTAGAAAAAAAAAAAACTCTCGGAAGATATGGACTCAACCTATCCGACATATCCGCCGTCATATCGATGCCCATAAGAAGAGCATCGTAAGTTTTGGGGGCCGTATCGGAATGCAGCATATTACCAAGGTCGTCATATGTTGGGATCTATGGGTCGAGATCTCTCTCATTGAAGCATACAGCACTGCACCGTCACCTTCCTTGCCCGGCAAATAATGCGGCCTACAGCTGTATGAACACCTGACGCTCTACCAATTAGAGATTATGAGATGGAGGGTATGCTTGGTATGAAGGTTCTAGTGAGGGGAGGTGCAGCTGTTGGGAAACAGCATATGTTGTGAGGTGTAAGATATCATCAACAAGAGAAAGCGGCAATGAACTACCACCTCATGTAGCGTGAGTAGCTGTAGCATAGCTTTAGACAACAGCATTAGAGAAATATTAGTTAACGATTCTCTAGGTTTCTCGCTTTGACAGACTTTAGGGTACTCGATAACAAGGGATGTGATCTTACTGCTGTCATATCACCTTTGTCGACCTCACTTCGCCATTGAAGAATTGGTTTTCCTCACCCTTGTCCATCAGAGGACCTTGCCCACAGGCAACAGAGCACGTGCTCACGATCAGATGCATCACATCTCAGATCAACAGCTCGACAGAGCTTCTAGACCTGTTGTTCTCCTTCCCCTTCAAGGCTCGGTCAGTCAGACAACGGCGGGTAGATGCAGCAGCCATTGACAGAAAAATGAGGGGTCAAGGTGAGGGATAGAGGAGCGGTCAGCATCGTCATGAGTCCACTACGCCCTTTGCATGTGATGTCCATGGTCAGATAGAGGCCGATATTGCCTACTGACAGGCCACATACTGCCCGTTGCATATTCAACCGGAGCGACGACTCTGCCCGAGCTCGATGCCTTCAGCATTGCATCAGAGCGACGATGCGATGCCAGCAAACATCACAGCTTATCATGAAGCTCCTCGTCGAAGCAGTTTCTCCTTTCATCTACGAACTCGTTGCCCTCAAGACCCTTCAACGCGACATCGCATCATCGCCCTAGACCCGCGCGGTTGACTCCCCAAGCGGAAGGTTGCAATCTAGACTCCAGAAGCTCCCAGTCAGTCAGCCACTCAACAGCTGCTGTGGTTTCCGCGGGACATCCCCTGATGGCGCCGCAAGTACCGTACACGCTATGTGCGGCCTCTAATGTTAGCCCTGACTCTAAGGAAAAGCTTATCAAGCCTTCGTGCGGGTGGCGGGGACAGGCTAGACCACGGGCGGACTGTTAAAACTGTTGCCCCACATTCAACCTGTCCACGAAGGCTCAAAACTGCTGGGTGGGCACGCGGGATATATGAAGCTTAGCCTGAGCCGGGCTGTTCCAACGGTCGTCGTGTTGGGAAGGTTACAGTGGCTCAGGCGGCCCGCCGCTCGGCGTTGGTGTCCCGAAACGGCAGTTAAATAGCCGGGTTGCTGCGCACCCGTTTTAGCTATGGCAGGATGGCGAGGGAGGGGTAATCGAATCTATTCTCAATTCTCACTTACTGCTCGTGGGTTGGGTATGGGTATGGATGGGTAGGGTGTTTCGAGACGATGAGGAATCCGCTCGACCGGGGGAAAGGGCTGGGGTTGGGGATATGCTTGGAGATGACAGGTATAAGAGTGCCGCGAGACGGCGTCGATGGTGATGCTGGCGTTCTGGACGACATCACCACGGTTCACAGCCCCCGTGTGACCTGTCTGCCTGTCTAGTCACCAAACGCTTCTTCTCATCACCAACAATGAAGCTCTCCATCCTCCTCACCTCCGGGCTCGCCGCGGTGGCCAGCGCCATCGCCATTGGCGACCGCCCCGCCAACCGCAAGAGCTACTCCGGCTACAAGGTGTTCCGCGTCGATGTCGAGAATGAGGCAGTCGCTGAGCGCCTGAACAAGGTCATCGATACTCTGGGCCTGTCGACCTGGAAGGCCCGCCCGCGCGCCGGCTACACGGCTGATATCGTCGTCCCGCCGACGGCGCTGCTCCAGTTCGAGAGCGAGGTCGCCGACCTGAAGACGATGACGATGCATGAGGATCTGGAGAAGAGCATTGAGGAGGAGTCGGCCTTCGGCATCTATGCTGGTATGTGAAGTGCAAAATCTAGATGGTTGATGGGGGCCGGGAGAGCTAACAGACGTAGCCGGTACTGCCAACGAGACGTGGTTCAACTCGTACCACGCGTACAACGACCATCTTCAGTTCCTGCGCGACCTGCAGTCGTCGTACCCGGATCGCTCCGCTATCGTCACGGCCGGCAACTCAAACGGTGGCCGCGCCATCACTGGCATTCACTTCTGGGGCGACTCGGGCAAGGGCAAGCCCGCTGTTGTCTTCCACGGTACCGTCCACGCTCGCGAGTGGATCACCACCATGGTGAGTAGCTGCATTTAGCCGGTATGGGAGGGTATAATCTGTACTGACAGGGACCAGGTCGTTGAGTACTTCGCCTACTACATGCTGACCAATTCCAACACGACTGAGATGAAGTCGTTCCTGAACAAATACGACTTCTACTTCTTCCCAATCGTCAACCCTGATGGCAAGCAGCCCTATATTCTCCGCATCCATTCCCATGGGCTTTTCTAACAGCGTCTAGGCTTTGTCTACACCCAAACCAACGACCGCCTCTGGCGCAAGAACCGCCAGACCAACTCGGGCAGCAGCTGCGTCGGCCGCGATATCAACCGCAACTGGCCCTACCAGTGGTCAGTCTCGGGCGGTGCCTCGACCAACCCCTGCGCCGAGGACTACAAGGGTGCCAAGCAGAGCGACGCCCCCGAGACGACCGCTCTCGCCGCCTGGCTCACCAACATCAAGTCTTCTCAGGGCATCAAGCTGTACATTGACTGGCACTCGTACAGTCAGCTGTTCATGACCCGTACGCGCGCCGCGCCCCCCCCCCTCCCTCCCCCCTCCTCCCCCCCAACAGCCCTCTTCTCATTAATGGTGCTAACAGGTAAACAGCATACGGCTACTCTTGCACTGCCCGCGCCTCGAATAACGCCGAGCTGCAGTCTCTCGCGTCCGGCGCCGCCGCCGCCATCAAGGCCGTCTATGGCACTTCCTTCAATACCGGCCCCATCTGCAGCACCATCTACAAGGCTACTGGCAACAGCGTCGACTATGTCAAGGACGTTATTGGCGCCACCTACGTCTTCACCGCTGAGCTGCGCGACAAGGGTAACTACGGCTTCCTGCTGCCTGCTAACCAAATCAAGCCCAGCGGTGTTGAGGCTTGGGCGGGCGTAAGGTACCTGCTTTTGAACATGAAGTAAAGGACTGGAGAGAGTATGGGAGACGGTGAGAGGGTGTACATATGGTATGAGATATGTGATATTGTATACATATTGTGGGGGGATGTACATATTCGCTTCGTGGTACATAGCTGAATGAAGGCGTTTGGGGAGATGCTTGCAGCCCATAAACGGTCACCGATTTCAGACAGGAGACAGAGAGCCCAGCCAGTACAAGTACACACTGTGCGCCATCTGTTCCCCACCCCCCCCCCCCCGATTGTTGACAAGCAGATGACGAAAATGTTGGTTATAAAGGGCCTTTCTGCATACCAAGATGTTAACGAAAATGCACATGCGAAGAACCAGTCATTGTATATCAATCAACTTTACTAAACCCATAATATGCCATGAGCTCTATCAACAAAAGGACAACTTAGTTTATACCCCCATTCCTTCCTAACCATTATAACCCCCCTAGAACCCCCTCCACAACCTCCCCCAACATCCTCAACCCATACCCCTTGGCCACATTCCTAAACACCCCCAATTTCCTCATCACTTCATGTCTATCGACCGTAGCAACCCATTCCCCACTACAAGTACAATACTCCATGAACTCGGCCCCCTCCCCCCTAAGTACGCCACACCTTCCACACTTCACATCCTGCGCAGTCCACTGCACCAACAACCCCTCGACTTCCGCCAGTAACCTCTCTTCGACCGCGTTGCGGTCATATTCTTGCCCACAGAAGGGGCAAGACCAGACCCAGTTATTTTCGCCCTTCTCATTTGTATTGGGTAATAAATCCTCGTCGCGACATAGGTCGAGGTCCCGAGCGAGGGTACAATTGTCGCAACTGAACTGGGGGATGCGCAGCGAGGCAGAAGGGTTGACGAAGGCGGCGGTGCGGGAGAATTCGCGGACATCGAAGAGAGAGAGAAGCTCTTTACGGAGGAGGCGGGCTTCCAGCGTGATGTTTTTGTCGAGGGAGAGGATCTGCATGAGGGATTTAACTAGCTCCAGGATGGGATTGGCTGTACTTGACACCGGAGTCTTGTCCTTGCCATTGGGGGAGGTCGAGGATCTAGAGCTGGGCAACGCGGCTTGGGGAGTCAAATGGGCGAGGTGTGAACCAGGGAGTAAGGGGAAGGAGTAGTCTTCGGCTAGTTCGGGATGCAGCAACTCGCGCTTCTGCGCGGCAATGAGGTTCATGATTTCCTTCTTGAGCGGCTTCTCGAATGCCTTGCCCAGAATGATCTGTCCAGGAGCGTCCTCCGCCAAGCCGGCATTGTCGCGCACGGGGAGCTGTGTCAGGCGCGGGGTAGCAGTCGGATCATCCCCCGTCGTCTGCGGCCTTTTCAAACCATGCATAAGCTCGATAAACTCGACGACCCAGTCGCGGAAGACAGGCTGCAGCCGCAGGGGAAGGAATGTCGCCATCTGCCAGTGCATAACGAGCTGTAATTCCTGCTCAACCTTGTCGGTAGCCACCTCCTGGCAGGCCTTGCCGCCGTAATTGTACTCGTCGTACCACACCAGGTAATCCCAGTACTCCTTGATCTCGAGATCAATAAAATGAAACAGCGGCTTGGCCTTGATGCTCTTGAGGATGTATTGCGCGTAGGCAAACGCGTTCCCCACCTCAGTCTTGGTCGTCTGCAGCAGCAGCCGATTCGGGCTGGCAAACACGACCTGGGACCCGACGCGTCGGAAGTCCTGCATGAGCTGCAACAGCGCCTTGCGGCTCATCATCTGCACGTAGTAGTGCAGCGCGCGGTCGTAGAGGCAGGATGCAGGAGACTCGACCCACCGCACTAGGTGCTGCACCATGACGTCGGCCATGGTCGAACCCTTGCAAGCTTCAGCCCACCAGGATTTGACCATTTCGCGGAGGACTTGGACTGCGGCGTTGGCGAAGGTGTTTTCCGCATAGAGGACCTCGTTGCCTTCGCCGCAGGAGGAGCTGTCGGCTGCGGGGTTGAAGGAAATGCTTTCGGCCCCTTCGAGCTCATTGATGAGAGAGGAGGTGAGGATCGTGTTGATGGCGAGGTTGCGGACTTCGAGGTCGATGCACACCGAGGCATATGTGCCGGGGTTGTTGACGGACGGCATCTGGACTTGATCCAGCGGACCAGCAACGTCGTCCTTCTCGTAGCCAGCATGATCCGGCCTTGGGCTAGGCGACCACCACAGCACGACATTGTTCGCCTGCAGACGCCTTGCATAGGCGACGTCGATCAAGAATCTCGGATCATCCTTCTCCAGATTACAAAGCGGCACATCACCATACCGCGCCAACGCCGTCAAATGCGTGATCCATGACCCCAGACTCAGGTAATGGTTCACCAGCCGCCTCGCCGCAACAGTCTGCCACCCAAGCGGCGGCAGGCTGCTATCCGCCTGATCATACTGCAACGGCAACACAGGGAACTCTCCCAATATCGGGATTTCATGCACCAACAGATTCCTCTGCGACGACTGAATCACCATCATCGTCGGCCCAGACTCCTCCTTCTTCATCTTCTTCACCACGTCCCCAACCTCGAGGAACGCCTTACGCCTTGTCGTGACTTGCGTGATCTTAAAGTTCAGCTTATCCTGGTACGGGAAGCACTCCTGCCAGCCCTCCACGCCCTCACTGCGTCTCCTAGCCAGGTAGTCGGCATAGATCTTGCCCACATTGGGCATATCCTGCCCACCGTCACGGTTCTTCTGCTGGATGATGATATGCGCGTGCTCGCCGGTCGACGAGAACAGGCCAAAGATCTGTCGCTCGCCGGCGCTGATATGCGATAGGTAGATGTACGCCATGCGCGCGTTTTCCAAGTACGGCTTCGGCTTCTCGGGGCGCTTGAGACCAGACAGGTCGAAGCCCTGCTCCAAACCTTTGCCTAGAACACCCGGCTGGCTCTCATCAATGGTGCAGGTGTTACCCAGCTGCAAGACAGCACGCAGGTTGAGGGGGATCTGTTTTTCATAGACGCCTTCCACGCTAGGATGGTTGAAGAGGAGAGAGAACTTCTCGGCCTCGGCGAAGTAGATCTCCTCCGGGACGGTCAGCTTAAATAGGTGTACCGACGAGTGGCCATTAGGCAGGGTGTGATAGACCTGTTCAACGTGGCAGCCGTCCACTTCGATGTCGGGGAGGTCTTTACTCTTCAGGTTCAGGAAGACTTGTCGGGGGACGTTGATCTTGACTGCGTGGATCTTGTTTTCAATCAAGACATACGCCAGCACGATACCCGGGCTCTCGGTCGCCCGCAGCTGGAGAACCTGCCAGGTATTCCGGAAAGTCATCTCAGCTTGGCTGCGGAAAGTCTGCTGAATGTTGCTCTGGAGGAGGTTACCGCGGCGCTCACCAAAGAGATGCCTTCTCCTGGCGCGTGCCTGCTTCTGGATCTTCCATTTCTTCTTCTGATACTCCAAGAACGCGACATAATCCTCACTCGGATCAGGCATCTTTTTCGGCAGCGTAGCAAACGGATCATCCTTCTGAACCTCTGGCTCAGGCGACTTACGCTTCTGCGCCTTCGCCTGTTGCTGCGACGCCGAGATCACCTCACTAAGAGTCTTCGGCTTCAACAGCTTCCCGATATCCTCCATATCTCCAATCGTCGATGCCGCCGTATTCGGCGGCTCAGTCTCCTCCAACGGCTTCTTGCTGATCGAGAAGACGTCCGTCAGCTTCTGCTGCTTCAGCTTGTCATCCTTCTGCCGGATCCTGCGCTCCAGCCAGTCTGGGTGCGGCACGCGCGGGACAGGATTGCGGACTTTTTGCAGCGCCGCGGGGATGGTAATGAGCTTCTGGATGACGGAGCCCAAACGCTCGATGTAATAGTCCCAGTCAATGAGGGCACGCGGGTCGGTGTCGGCGGGTTCTTCTCTGAGCCACTTCTTGAGGTACATTCGCTTGGTTTCCTCTTCGGCTGCGAAAATGGCGACGGGGACGGCGCGCTCGGTGACAGGGGCATTCTTGGGCTTGGAGCAAATGATGAACTTGCAGTTCAGACCCTTGTCCTTGACCATGCCTTCGCCGAGGAAGTCGGCGAGACGCTTGGCGGTCGTGATGGAGGTTGACTTCTGCCCGGCGTACTCGGCCAGCGTCTTGGTCATGCTGCGGTTCTCCGAAATCAAGTCCATCAGCTCCTCGTCAGCGAGAGTCGAACCCTTGTTGTAGAGCACGTCGAGCCAGCGGTTTGCGACCTTGGCCACGGCAGCATAGCACTCGGACAGCGTGGTGCCCTCGAGGAAGAACTTGAAGATTTGTTGCTGGAAGATCTTGATCAGTTTCAGCTCACCACGTCTCTTCACCTCGAAGCCCTTCAACTCAGCGAGACTGCCGTCATGGTTGAAGACGGCGTAGCGCTTCTTCAGGTTCTTGTCCTCCTCCTTGGACGTCGGGATGATCATGGCCTTGTACGGACCGTCGACCTCAAAGAAGATGGAGTTGTCGCTATGCGTCTCATACTTGAATGTCTTGGGATCAACCAGGGTCTGATACTGGTGGTTGGTGAACCGCGCGTGGACCAGGTGGTTGAGCATGACGCAGGGATACGAGATGTTCATCTTCTTCCCGTTCTTGAGCTTGAACGAGAAATTCTCGGGGAATGAACCTGGTAGCATGCACCAGATACCATCCGTATCCAACTCCAGCGGCCTCCCCAGCCGCTCAATCAGAGACCGCGCCATCTGGATGATGGTCGCACCGGTCAAACAAGTAACACCAGCCATTTCCATGGAGTACCATCTTGAACCCTTGCGCATGACATAGCCGTAGAATGAGTTCAAGATGACCTTGTGTGCCAACTGCAGCGAGTCAAACAGCACAATCATCTTCTTGGCATTCTCAATCTCAGACGCCGGCGCGCCTTGGGACTTGAGTGCCTCGGTCTTGCCCTTCCACACCTTCGCCTTGCCTTTGAAGTCATAGCGACGGTCGCGGAAATCGCGCACCGTGTTGACGTAGAAGGGGTTCTCCCTCTGGCAAATGATGGCCTCGCGCACGATGGTGGTGGACTCGTGGATCTTGTGGTAGACTTTTTGGCAGTAGAGCTGGAGGCGCTTCTTGATGAGTGATGCTTGCTCGTCCGCGCTGAGATCATTCCACGTCCGCATGGGGGCATTGGGACCCCTGCCGGGAAACTTCTCATTCTCGAGCGCGTGTCGGATCATGTTGTACTCGTCGCGCTTGGCGGGCAAGTACTCGCCTCGCCATGCCCAGGGGAGTCGTCTGTCGCAGTTTTTACCGGGACGATTGAAGTCGCATGCTGCGCAGGTAGACTCGGAGATCATAGAGTCCGGCTGCAGTCGGTTGGTTGTCATGATGTTGGGGTACATGGAGGCGACGTCAAGATGGTAGATCAGCGGCCTCTCGTAGCGATTGGGTGTCGCCTTGAGGCCCAACAGCTTGTCAGCAATCTGCTGTCTGACCTCGTCATAGTTCTCGATGTCCTCCAACTTCTTCTTCTCTTCGACCGTGATACTGAACTTCAAAGCCGCATCAAGATCGCGGATGAGCTCGTCCACGGCGCTCGGGTCGATTGCGAAGTTCACAGGAATATCAGACCGGAAGACGCCAGCTTCCAAACTTTCGACGTGACCACCAACGTAGGTCTCAGAGTCGAGCAGGTGACCTTCCCAGAAGGCTTCCTTCGGCGCGACGTGCTTATTGGGAAGAACAATGTTACCCTTGTAGGCCTGCACCATCAACAGCATCTCACAAAGCGTGCCAGTACCCTTCCGCAAGGTGTCGTCGGGACCCAGGGGCAAGATAGTACACAAGGAGAAGATAAATGGGTGCACATATTTCATGTACAGGTAGTAGGTCGCGACAGCGTCGGAGACTGAATACTCGGCCAATGTCTGCGGCCTTTCGCTGGCATAGGGCGTCATGAGCTCAGGGTCGAGCTCGTCGGGGTCATAGCCGAGTTTGGCAACGGTGACAGCCTTCAAACCACGACTACCCTGAGGCAAGTAAGAGTCACGGTTGACCCAATGGAAGCAGTCCATGTGCACGCTGTAGTTGCACTGGTACTGATCCTCGCTATTCTTGCGCCAGCCAATCTCATGGTACATGTCGATGCCGTTAACGCTAGCTCGGGCCTCGACAAACGACCAATCGAAGAAGTCACCGTTGTAAGTGGCAATAACCGTCGGTCGGGCCTCCTTGACGTGGAGGAAGAAACGCTCTAGCACAGCCTTCTCGTCAGGCTCATTGAAGATCATGAACGGACCCGGGTACTCCGGCTTGGGGGTGTAGTCGAAGTCCCGGATGTCCTCGGAGACGATCTCTCGGTTGGTGATGAGGAAACCTTGACCGTCGATCATGTACGACATCATCATGATCTGGTCAACCGCGGGGTCGGGAAACTTGAGGGGTGCTTTGGTTGTCTCGATATCGAAGGCCATGACAACCGGGTCTGCCGGCGCCAGGCGCTCTTCGTTCAGGGTGATGGTGGTGGTGCCATTCTTGGCTTCGACAAAGTACCATTTGCCGACTCGGATATCTGAGGAGACGTTAGCAAGTGCCTTCTCATAGGATAGAGTTCCCATACCTAAGTCTATCATTACTCTAACGTGGTATGGGACGTCATATTCTCGGATATCGACAATGTGGTCGCTGGCCTCCGCAAAGCCAGCATTATTCCGTCTATCGTCATCTCTCCCGTCGATATCAAACAGGTCAAGGTTACCGTTCGCACTGAGAAAGTTAGCCAGCGTCAACAGGGAAGATAAAAAGGGAGGAGAAGGCGAGAGGGGGGGGGGGAAGGTTCAGCTTACTTCGCGACCTCAGCATATGTATCCATGGCATCCATGCCCTTCTTATTCTTCTCCGCAATAGGCATGATATCCCTCCTAGCAGCCATCAAATCCTGAACATTATGGAACCTCAACTCCAGAAACGTCCTCTTATACCCCAACAAATGATTCGGCATACTCAAATCCTCCTTTTCAATCCTCCTCACACTCTTCACCACACCCCCTCCTGGGACCCTCTTACACCACTCCTCAACCTCCCCCTCATGCCCCTTCCGACAAGCAACCAAAAAATAAGGTTCATACTCTACCGTCGCCTTGAACGTCGACCCATCCTCCTCAATGAAATAACAATCCAACGCGGCTCTGCCACCTCCCCCGGGAACCCGGGGGTCGTCAATGGCCGTCGGATGCACATTGACAAGCCACCCTTCTTTCTTCTTGCCGGCGTCGTAGCGGGCAAAGCCCATGTTCTCGTCGATCTGGTGGGCGAGTCGCGTGCGCTCCCATTTTTCGTCGATGGAGGTCGCCTCGCCGCGGGCGCTGGTCGAGGCGGCGAAGGTGCGGGTTCGCGGGCCGTGGTAGGCCACTTTGGCGGTGCCGCCGCGGCGGTAGCCTTTTTGGGGACGTCGGAGGGTTGTGTTGGGCATTTTGGAGGTTGGTGAGGAGGAATGATTAGAGAATAGTTGGATTAGTGTTGGTTGGAGAATAGGGCTGCCCGCTGGTCCAGCCGGGGACAGGCTCGACGAGAGTAGAAAAAGCGAGAGCGAGTGTTGAAGTGTGGGCAGGGTCCGAGTCCGATTATGCTTCGGATTGGACTTCGAGTTAAGAACGAGGTCGAAATCCAAGCGCTCAGAGGGCCGTCATTGAAATGAGAACATTTGACTTCTTCAACATCGGCGGCCTGGAGAGAGGTGTTGTGGCCAAGCATGGGTTGTTGCTGCCCCTGTCTGACGGTAGACTGTGTGGGTGGGCAAAAACCCATTAAACAAAGATGTTAATGGACGCGTCGGACGCGACCTGCGTGACGCGACGCGATTGGGTGGGCCGGCTGTTTGGGTGGGGGATAAGCTCTTTCGATAAGTCGCATGATAAAGCCTACGATAACGATCCCTAACCCTCGAGAACAACCCTGCCAAATCTTGTCGGGTGAGCACGGCCCGAACCGCGAATAGCAGATCAGACGGGTAGCGAAGCACCGAGATCTGTGAAGGGAGAGATTTCAAGAAGGAGGAGATACTGCCTACATCACAGTATCGTACTTGTCTCCTGGATGATCAATTGGACAACTATGACTGACTTCTAGCCTTTAACAGTCTCCCGCCCTTTCCAACAAGAGCATCCCAAGCCAAGTTGCCCTCACCGACGAGATCACCTTCGAACCACTCTTCACCACGTCTCTCCTCTTCCAAAGTCACCCAACATGTCCTCTACAGAACAACCCCGCTCCCAAACAGCCGCAGACCCCTCCCGCCCCTGGCTTCAATCCTCAACCGGCAGCGTCCCATCCAGCCAGCCCCCGTCTTCAGACCCGTCCCAACCGCAGCAACCCACTCAAATTTCGTCCAACTCCAAGCCCCCCACAGTAACCGAAGCCCTCGCCAGCATCAAACCCTCCGACTTCTTAACAATCCACCAAAAACCATGCGCGCGCCCCGGGCTGCTAACCGGTATCGGCGCCGGCGCAGTTGTCGGCATCCTGCGCTTTATCATCGGGGCTCCTGTCCCCAAGGCAGCCAACTGGGCTGTGGGCACAGCAGTTGTTGGGGCAATCGGGCAATATGAGTACTGTCAGTATCAGAGGAGGCAAGAGAAGGAGAAGGTGAAGAGGGTGGTGCAGGTGTATGCGGAGAAGGCAAGGAAGGAGAAGGAAGAGAGGGAACGGAAGGAGAGGGAGGAGAGGGAACGACGAGAAAGGGAGGAGAGGGAGAGGGCGAAGAGGTGGTGGAAGTTTTGGTGATGTAGGGAAGTTGAAGGAGAGAGTTTGGGTGTACATATATACCTGTGTACTATACTTAAGGGAAGGGGTCGGTTGGAAAGGGAAAGAGAAATGCGCATTGCCATTAGAAGCATATATCCGTATACGAGTAGTCACTCCGTGGCTAGCCAATTTTGCTCTCATTGAGAGATGCTCAAGTAGCCGTTAACCATGCAGAGCATATGACCCCTACTAACTCCTTCGCCGCCAAATACACAGGAGATGCCCGCTCCATACCTCTGATGCCATACCAAGTCCCAGTCCCAGTCCCTGTCCCTATCCAAGTCCATCCCGAACGCCATCCAAATACTCATCCCAACCCATTCCAATTCCAATTCCAATTCCAATTGAGAAGAAACCCGTTGAAATCCCTAAACCTTAAACCCCAACAACAGCAGCCTCCACAAACCTAACCCTCCTAACAGCCTTCTCCTTCTTCGCCGGCGGCGGCGGCGGCGGCGGCGGCGCGGCATCCTTCACGATCCCCCCTCTCCTCATCAACCTCTCCCTCCTCGCCTCACTCTCAACGCGTTTCCTGTACTCCGCAAGCTGCTGCCGTCTCCTCATCAACCTCGCCTGTGCCATCGCGGGAGTAGGCTTGAATCCAATCCCGTTGATTCCCGTGCCGTCATCATCACTGTCGTTCGGATCGTAGATGGTGATCTCGTCGTCGCGCCAGGTGAGGGAGGCCCGCAGGGGGTCGGTGATTTTTCTTCTGGCGGCGACAGAAGCAGCAGTGCCTGCCGGGCGCTTGGCCGCAGGCGCTGGGGTATTGGCTGCCAGATTGAATGGGTTGCGCGGGTGTGTGGCGAGCAGTTTGGCCGTATAGGGTGCAGGACGCTTGCGGTGTTTGGCGAGGGTCATGGGCGTGTGGTCGGCGGGAAGTAAAGGGGAGGAGGGGGGGAGGGTAAGGGTTGTGGGAGTTGGCTCGGATTGGCGGACCACAGCGTCGTCTAGGGCGATGTGGATCGGACGAGGGGTTTGCGGGAGGTATGCTGTGCTTGATGCGTTTTGTTCTGCAGTCTCAATCGATGCCCTATTGGTGATAGCAATGGCCGGCGTGTCGGTCACAAGCGAATACTTGACTTCGGCGTCGGCATCACGCATGTCAATCTCTGGAGGCGGGAGTCTGATGCGTTTCCGATGCCCGCCCTCCTCGGTGTCGATGCCGATTGGGTCCTCACCCGCCGTGCCGCCACAGCAGCCAACGCCTCCGCCTCCTCCTCCTCCACTGCCAGTGGCACCGACAACTCCACTTGTCTGCTGGCTGGAGCTGCTGCAGGCGTTGTCATCTCCACCTCCGCCCACGGCCATACCCCGAAACTCGTGCGCAACTTGCGTGCGGGGACTCAGGCATGTTCCAGCGTGAGCTCTGTGCCCATTGTCTCCTCTATCTGTGGAGGCCGTCGGGACACTGAGAGAGAATGTGTATGGGTATGGGGTGATGTGCAGCCGTGACATGCCGTCGTTGAGCATGTCATCCCGTTTGCGCTTACTGGGAGTTGGCAATACGGTTTCCGTCATTGTTGTTGTTGTTGTTGTTGTTATTGTTGTTGACCGATTGATTGATTTGGTGATTGACGATTGACTGTGACCTGCGGGTTGCCGGGCGTGCGGATGCTCTCAGCGTAGGTTGATTGTTGTCGGTAAAGTCGGCTACAGATTGTTGATAAAAAGGTTCAAGTAATGCACTGGAGCCCTTTGTCAGTTGAAGAGCATAGCATCGCAAAGTCTCGGCGCAGGAGCGATTAAGATCAAAAGGAAGTGTGCCCGAGCGGGAATTAAGGCAACAATTGAAGATGAGACGAATAGGGTGAGAACGAAGCCCAAAAAAACGTGGCATTCCAGATGGCGCAGATGGTGGATGAAATCGATTGATGGACTTAGGGCCGGCTAAGTTTGCAGGGCCACTTGCCTCCATGCTTGCTATTCGATGGCCTTAGTGGTCTTCACGTGGCTCCTGTGGTGAAATCGGTACGACCGCCCAGCAAGCCAAGCAGCCCTCTGTGATTGCCGCCTGCAGGGCTCACTGCCCGCTGGATACGACGGATGGAAGATGCGCAGCATGCGCATCAGCCCAGAGGGCCCAGACGTCGGGAATCAGGAAGTTGATGCTGGCCAGAGGAGAGTGGGGCCACCGTCTTGGTGGGGTATAAGGGCCACTATCGCGGCTGTTAGTGCTTGAGAGCATTGGCTCGACGATTATCCAGTTTTGTAACAAAATTGATTGCACAACCTCCCATACAACCTCTTTAGTAGTATCTACCTATAATATATCTCATCTCTTGTAATGTGGTGTCATACCGTGTGTTCGTAGGAGGGCTATCCTGACCCGCTCAATGAACAGCTTAGACAGTCTTAATATAGCCTGATGGTGATAGGATGTCCCGTAAGCCTACGCCAAGAGCCCCACCTTGAACCCCACATCATGCCCTCTGTCAGCCCTGTGCAACTCTAAAACGACACTATTGCCCGACATGAACCATTGTTGTTTTCGATGTTGGGCCCATTCCTGTCTGAAGAGAGGGTATGTTTCACTCAGCTGTGTTGGTCATTTCTGTTTGGAGTTTGGACAAGAGGTTACTCTGCGCCCCACGGCTTTAAAGAGCTCAAACATCTCCTGCATTCCACACCGATGGAAGCAGTTTAGCGCAGGTGCCCAAGCCTTTCGAAACCCTTTGAATGCTTTGGCCACGTCTGCTTGTCTGCTTCAACGTTTACCTTAATTTCCCATCTTTTAATGCATCACAAAACCGCGAAATCCCAATGTTCCTGCCGATGTGAATTTGGGCTGTTAGCCTACCCTTGGGCAGCTACCAAAGTTCAAGTCGGGCTTGCTGTGTAGCTTAGCTGAAAGATTAGTGCGTCTCTGTGATGGTAACACATGGCTTCTAGCTACTTGGTTGGGGCCGACTAATGACTGGCATGACGGCGACAGTGTTATTTTTTTTTTTCGGCTCGTCATGCATGGACTGTGATAGATATCTTTGGTCCACAATTTCATGAGAAGTAAACAGCCGATGATTCGTTCCAGATCTTCTGCTTTCTTGAAACATCGACTTCCTGGGAGATGTTGCTTCGTTTACCGAACGGCAAGCGGGACATCCACCCTTACCCAGTTCCCTGGATCAGACGGCCTGGCCGGCGTCATGCATAATTACGGGACTCTTTCTGCTCGTCTCCAGAATCCGGAAATTCAGCGAATGAATGTGTATAGACTGTAATGACATAGATACCTCATCCAACCATTGATCATTTGACCAGATTGTGGACGGAAAAGTCATTGTTCTCGTCCTGCAACTGCGTGAATCAACATCTAGACAAGCGAACCAGCTTTGGAAGACTGACCCTCAGTTTTCAGGCATCATGGTCTCAGGATCTCATCGCTGGGCTGACCAGCATATCCATCGTTGCAGAAACAAAGCCCTCGTCTCCATTTGCCTGTGATTTATTTCCAATGCCACACCTATGTGCTCTCTTCACTTTTTCATGTATAAATGACATACTATTTGTGCAGTCGAAGTCGGAAATCGCCTTCACAGGGTTGGTTTACTAGACAAGATGTCTTTCCGAGGCAGTAGACCAAGCTATAGATAAGTCACTGCTTCCTTAGCACCCTCGTCCTGAAAACCATTTTCGATAACACTGACTGTTGGCTCACGTATGTCAAAACACATCCCATCGTCGTACGTACCTGGGACTACGTCAGGCACTGTTACACAAATGCTATAACCATGGCAGTGAGCATTCAAATGTTCCTCCATCGCACCAATAACTGCTGCGCAAACTCAATGCCACAAGAAAAAGGATCTCAGTCCTCATCGTGAATGAGTCCGAACAGGTTAAACCTATGCGTTATCCTCGCCAGGCCCTTTGTTCCTTGAAACCATATGCGGGGTTCTGGCTGCATGGGCTACGCAATTCCTAATCACCGGGAAAATTTGTACAGACATGGAAGTGTTCCCTCGTTTCCCATGCAGGAGCATATTGGCAACGTCATGAGCTTTAATGACGGTCAACACCATGGCCAAGCTCACAGTGAATTTATCACCAAGTTCTTGAACCTTTCCCGCCTGCAGTCTATGTTGAGTTCCGTTAAACCTGCATTGGAACCCTGAACTACATGACTCAACCACTCGAGCCAGCACCTCTTACAGATATACTACATCACGAGATAAGAAGAGCTCCTCCCATGACTTGATAGCGAATTTCATGTGGTAATGCTTACGGGAGCCTTTGCCCAACATGCTTTCAATCTTAATATTGCAGTTTGATGGCTCTTAAAGGTTAGCTGATGCTGACAAGTGAACTTCAAAACCAAGGAGAAGGAGTATGGAATTGTTTGGACATAACGGTAGTGATTGTGGAATGAAACACTATATCCACTGTCGATATTCGACATAAAGGTCCTAGTTCTTTATCTGCACCACCTCATTCAAATCACTGATTAAAACATACAATATTAAACAATATCATTTGTTAAGCACTGCTGCACAAGTTGCCAATACTTCTCATGTGCTTAGTCCACGACATCCTGGTTAGTAGCGGTTGGGTTGCTCACAGGATTGAGTCGGTCGACTGCGCTCTCCCTCCTAGATTTTCAGCACGTCCTAGTCCTGAAGCCTCCTGGGCCATCAAGGGTGGGTTATTTTAAGTACCATCATTGTCTTCCTAGGCATCCTTAGGATATGGGCGACCTGGGCATGGCCGAAGGGCAATGCCAGTACACTCATCATCCATCTTGAGAGAAACGTGGGCATATATGTGTGTCTTCTCATCCATATAAAGCTTCTTCAGACCGGCTTTAACCTGCTCATCAGAGAGCTCAGACCTTGGGTTGGAGCCAGTAACATCTCCTGAGGAATGCACGCTGACAGATGTGCAGACAACTTTCCCAGAGTCAAGATCCACAGTTGCCATGATAGGGCATCCTCTTTTGTCATGGCCTGGGCCTTGTAGGCCAACGAAATTCCCATGATTGATGGAGTCCTTGATGCGGTCGAGAACTTAATTTTTTTTTTTTTTTTTTTGCTGAACCCAAGGGATCCCAGGTCTCTGTTAAGCTTGGTCACTGTTGTTGTTATGATGGTTCTGCTACATGGTGCAACAATATCAACTCCTGGATAGAGAAGTACAATACTAAATTGTGATGGATAGAGCCCAATCTTGGATGTTTATTCATCCATTGCCTGGTATCATGGAATCATCTGCGTGGCGGGGTCGGAGGGGTTGGTGCCTGCTTCACGGCCGAAACTTCAAGCTGTGGGTGACATGGGCAACCAGGTTTCAGGAGCATCAAGAAAAGGTATATCTGGTAAGCAAAGAGATTGGAAGGTCCTCAATAATAAAAGAGGCTGTGAAGAAACCACTTGTAGATATCTTGAATCACTTGCCAACCTTTCAGAACAAAGGGAGGAAGAATTGCTTAAGGGACACGGAAGAACAGGCATGTAGAAGCAGGAAGTGGTTAGAGCTCTCGACACAGGGTTAGGGTTCAGCCAGGCACAGTGACAGTTAAAGATATTAACAGAGCAGGATTGTCATCAAAACAGTGGAGACTTGAAAGGAAGTGCAATATCTATGATTGAGGCTACTGAAGCTTGTTAAGCAATACGGCTGAGTTCACAGAAACTATGGTGAAGTGTGCGTTGCTCCGAAGCTTGTGGATGATAACCCTAACCCTGTGACCATCAGGCACTGCGTAACTATGCATGCACACTGCCCTGGCACCTAAGCCCCCACAGCAGCCAGCCCCTGAACCAACAAGAGCACAGTCTCTCGGCTCTCATCACACCACTGCTTTTCGCACCATTTCACTATGAACCGTCTTCCGGTATGCCTTTCCAGGAACTTCGTCCATTATGTCCTCAAAATCCTCTGACGTTCTTGTAGTCGGCGCTGGAGTCGCCGGATGTGCGATCGCGGTGGCTTTTGCCAAGCAAGATCGCCGCGTCGTCGTCGAGCGCAGCTTGCGCGAGCCCGACCGCATTGTTGGCGAGCTGCTGCAGCCGGGAGGAGTGGATGCACTCGCAAAGCTCGGCTTGAGTCATTGTCTTGAGGGTATCGAAGCGACGCCCGTTGAGGGCTACCATCTCTATTGGAATGGCCAGGAGACGTCATTTTGGTTCTGCCCGTTGGACGGAGAGAAAGATGCCCCTGTGGGGATGAGCTTTTCATCATGGTCAGTTCGTTTCAAATCTTCGTCGCGCTGTCATGGGCACCGAAAACGCTACCTTGATTGAGGCTACTGCCGTGGAGATGATCCGTGATGGGGAAACCGGTGCGGTGATCGGGGCGAAGTGTTCGCGCAGTGGCGGGGAGCCAGAAGAGGTTGGTTGGAGACTCTGAACACTTTTGGCGCATGTTATGTGCTTACTACTTACACCTTTGTAGTTCTACGCATCTCTGACGATTCTTGCTGATGGTTCCACGTCAAATTTTCGGTCACAATTCACCCGTTACCGGCCTGTATCACGGTCGCGGTTTTGGGGCCTCGAGTTGGTCAATGCTGAACTTCCTATCCCCAGATATGCCTATGGTATCTTGGGGATAGGAGGGCCAATTTTGATGTATCGTCTCAGCAACAGGGAGACTCGGGTTCTGATTGATATTCCGGATGACATCTACGGCAGTCTTGGTTCCCCTGACTCGGTCAGGGACTACATCCGGGAACATATTGTCCCCTCCTTCCCCGAACCAGTGCGGGCTAATCTCGAGGAAGCAGTTAGGGAGAGTCGCCTACGAAGCATGCCCAATGCCAGCATGCCATCGTCCACGAACACGACTCCAGGGCTAGTACTGCTGGGTGATGTCGCGAACATGCGGCATCCTCTTACAGGTTCTGGCATGACTGTTGCACTCAAGGATGCCGTTTTGCTTGCTGAGATGTTGAGCCCGGCAAATGTTCCTTCACTAAATGATACAGGATCTGTATTGGCACAACTCAAGCGATATCACTGGAAGCGGAAGTCTCACAGCGCCTCTCTTAACATGCTGGCCCAGGCGCTCTATCTCCTGTTCGTTGGCAAAGGTTCGTTGTTCCCATGGCGTGATGCAGCATCAATTGCTAAACATCGATTCAGACAACATTGTGGGAATCATGCAACGTGGTTTTGTCCGCTATGTCCAAGGAGGAGAAAAGAACTTTGCAGAACCCGCCTGGATCATGGGCGGGATTGTCGATAGCCCCTTGGTCCTCTTTCGGCATTTCTTCAAGATTGCCTTCTATAGCATCGGCTTGCACTTCCAGGAGTCTGGAGTGCTCGGTTTTCCTGCGGCTCTTGTCAGATCGGTACTGTTGCTCGCATCAGCGGTTCGAATGATTTGGGCGCCAATTGTGAACGAACTGACGTGGTGAAGCGTCAAGCATCTGTAAGCGCCAAGGCGGCCAGGCGGCTTACACAGTAAGCTGGCGGTTCGCGCTGGTTGGCAGCTTTCATATGCAGGGCGGCAACGGAAACAACGGTGGCGGCCGAAGTGCTGTTGCCGATGCCACGCAATGTTGTTTGTCCAGCCTTACCGTTCTGGCCGAAAAAGTCTGAACGAGGCATCAGTGATGATCTCCCGTATGGCCCGAAATCCTTTGCAGTTTTGAAAACCACGATCATGCGATAAGAGATACATCTCTTGCAGTTACCATCGTATATTTGTGCCCATGATGGCATGATGGCTGCGACAGAAGGGACAGTAGGCTGGACCTCGTCCCCAGATGTCAGGGGCACCCTTGACATTTTATGCTCGAACTTCTTAGTCCTTTTTGTATGCGTCTGGACAATCTTGCACCACAACTTGCAAGCAAAGGACGATGGCTACTGGACGATATTCTTTCGCAAGCTGCGCTGGGCCGTGCTCGCGGTGGCAGCGCCCGAGATGCTCACACTCTTTGCCGTGATGCAGTGGAATGCAACCAACATCTCCGTCCGGAAAATGCGCGATCTGGGCTTCAAGAACTGGACTCGTGTCCACGCCTTCTATGCCAATGCGGGCGGATTCTTCCTTAAAGCCCCTGACTTCCCTGCATTCCCGCTCAACGCCACATCGCTCCATTACCTCCTTCAGCAGAAACGCATCACCCTACCCAACCTCTCGCGCGACAACATCTGGGACCGCAGCAAGGCTGACCATTTCGCAAAGTTCGTCGCCTTTCTCCAGGCTGGCTGGACGATCCTACACATCGTCGCGCGCCGGATCCAAAACCTCACTGTGACTCCTCTCGAAGTTTTTACCGCCGCCTTCATCGTCCCTTCGTTTGCTACCGCATGGGCATGGGCCGATAAGCCGCAGAACGTTGCGGAACCGACTGTCCTCGAAGTAGACTGGACAATTGCAGACCTCCTTCTATCAGCCGGTGATGCTGCGAAGGAACCGTACGTCGACACCCCTCTAGATTTTGTTGAGAAGCCCGTATGGGCAGGATGGAAGCGCCGACGCAGCTTATTCCATTTCGGAGGGCTTAACAGGCGTCCATCGCCTCGCATCCCGAACGATTATTCTCCTCCGCCACCGACGGGCACCGAAGCAACGATTGTGTGGGTTGTGTCCGTCATACATGCGGGGCTTCACGTCCTATGCTGGAACTTTCCCTTCCCTACCCGCTTCGAGTCACTCGCATGGCGGTCGGCAAGCGTCATATTACTTGTGTGCATGGCCATTGGCGGGTTAGTCCCCGTCTTATCGACTAGGGAGTGGTTCGACTTTGAGTTCAGCATGATCTGGATCTGGGTCAAGGAGGCGAGGAAGATGACGTGGGTTAGACGATGCCTTTTTAATAGGATTGTGGACTGTGCATATGTGGTGTACATCCTGGCAAGGGTGGTCATTTTAGTGGTGATTTTTCTGCTTTTCGGGCCATGCCTAGAGATGTATATGCAGATGTACAGTGGACGACGTTTTTACCGCATGTGGATTGATCGGATCGGCACTGGTCATCTTCAACTATGTCCGCCTCTCTTCTCTGTGCTATCATCGTGATATTTGACCTGTTAGTACGGCTCCGATCCGTACTCCTCGTTATCCGTGCCATCTCCACGACCTAAGCGGCCCCTATGGGAACGGAGTCTTCCCATCCTGGCATCGAAGATGGGCAAACTGGGTCGGCCGTCGACGGAGATGAACGCATTTGTGTCGGCTAAGTAGTGTCAACGAGCCGTTCTTCAAAACAATGGGCAAATGGACTCACCAAAGCCGGTGGGATGACTGTTAACATAGATGTTTTCCCACTCCTTCTTCGGAGAGTAGTACGCCTCATGCATAATACTCAGATGGGGATGAGTATTGGTGATTTTATTCCACCATTCCCTTCATGCAACAAGGTTAGCTCACGATCTTCTTCCCTACCGGGAACGATGACACATACCAGGCCTTGCGATGCAGGGCACTATGCGCATAAGCATGGAGACCCTCTATTGTGCGGAAATAGCAAAGACTCATCACTTGGTTGGTAGTATGACGCTCAGTCGAGACGAAGGAGGTATGGCCGAGGACTAGCAATGCTGTTAGCTTTTGGAGAGGACAATCTCAGCTTAAGGAAAAAAAAAAAAAACTTACATTTAAACTCCTCCGCCCTCTCATGTAACTCCTTCAGCATAGCATCCATTAAATCGCCCACTTCCTTGAAGCCGGGGCCCAGGATGCCGAACGGACTTAACCGAATCATCAGCAACTACTCCCGTCACGAAGAACCCTCAAGTAACATACTGGTTCGACCTCGCCCCAAGCGAAATCACCACCAATCCCCTCTCTGCCACCTCACCAGGGACTTCGCCCTCCTTGTTAGGTAGCTGGGCAGTCCACTTCCCTGGGACAACGCCATCCATCTGATGGTTGGGCAGCAGTCTCACGGTAGCTAGCACCGCACATGTCGCGCGGAACAGCAGGAGTGTAAGGGCTGGCGCCAGAGCAAGATGGGCTGGGAAAAGGAAGAGGAGGAAGGATTGAGTGATGGCGCCGAGAGCGAGCCATGTTGAGATGGGGAAGTTGTCGCGGAGGATCTTAGGGCGAGGAGGGGTATATTAGCCGCCCAGAGCTCAGAAATGAAAGAATGGAAATGAGCGTACAGAGTAGAAGTACGTATCTGAGAGCTTCGCATGGACATATGTCCTTGGCACCGTATTCCTGGACACCAATGGCTCGAACTTCATCTTGACCGCCTTCTTGTCGCCTTTCTCATGTTGTCGCGACGTTGAGAATGAAACTGCGTCTCGCCGCTGATGCGCTCACATACATCGTTCAAATATTTCCCCCTTATCAAGATGATCCCACCGTGTGTATCCAGGCGGTGCCCACCCGACCACCTAAGGATACGGACCGAATCCCCGGAACGGGAGTGATTACCGGCGATCATTGGGGCCGGATGGGATATGGCCTGTCGTTAGGCCCGGAAGCTGAGGGAGCCATGGAGTTCGGCGACTTGACTCTTGTGGAGCTGGATATGGTGGGGTGGAGTCCGATGTGACGGGGACGGAGCAACAAAAAAGCTCAGGCGGAGACGAAAAAGCTGTGCGCCAGCCGCGAATCGAACGCGGGGCTCATCGAACCTTGCCTGAATGGCAACGATGAATTTTACCACTAAACCACTGGCGCTTATGAGGTTTGATGTCCAAATGGTTTCGGTAGAGAGTTTAACTGCAGTGGCGATGGCAACACCACGAGACAAACGAGTACTAAGGGAGTGGTGAAAACAAATCGAGACCATGCTTTGAAAGACAAACGCAATGCTGAACTCGTAGCTAAATCAACCATCCACTCAAAGATTCCCTGCATTTCCCCTCTCTAACCCCTTCCGCGACCCCTCTCCATCGCTGGGGGGCTTCCGAGGGAACATCCAATCCCAGTAACTGTTCTCCCACCAGCCCCTAGTAATTGTCGTCGCATTGCGACAGTTCGGCTTCTTATACGAGTCGCGATCGCCAAACGGCCACATCGGGATGAAACAGACCTCACCATACCCGCAGCCAGGTGTGCACTTCTTGAAGGTTGTCCAGCCAAGCTTCTGCATCAAGTTCTTGACGACCTGCTTCGCCTTCTCCACAGCAGCTTCGTCGGCATCTTCATTCTCAACAACCAGCTTGCGGACATCAAAGAGCGCGGTGCAGATTGCGAAGGTGACTGTCTCAACTGCAGCGAGGATGGCATGGTCTTCTAATGTCGTAAGGGTGAGGGGCGAAGTATACATCTTTGCGCAACGGGCCATCGCAGCGCTGAAGCCCTCATCCTTCTCTCCATAGTCGATGTACGTGTCCAGAAGTGAGCTAACCTCCACTCGGATAAGTTGAAGCAATGATTCATCCTGAACCATAACCTGCAGGCGCTCTGCATACCTCGCCACAATCATATCCACCACAGCCTGCCAATCAATCCCGCTCTCGGTCTCTGCACCTGAACCCCTCTTCCGCACAAGCTCCTCAATTCTCGAGCGAAGGCCCTTAAGCTGCTCATCCGTCAAACCCGACAACCGCGGCATACCCCTCTCCCAGACCACATCGACATCATACCACAACGCTGAAACAACCGCTCTCCAATCGATATTTGCCCTCCCCGACCCAATCCCATCGTACCGCCTTGCAACGGCACGCATGTACTCAAAGATCCTCACCTGCTCACCCTCATCCTGCCTTCCTGACCCGGGTGGGCCAGGTGGTCTTTCGAACTTGGCATCAGGCCTTTGTCTAGCGCCGTCAAACTTGATCGCTGGATCCTTGAAGTCGCAGAGGATGACTTCAAAGCCAGCTTCCATTCTGATTACTCCAGATAGGCCCCATGCGGTGACCAAGTCACACAGTTCTCTGGCGCGACCCCATTCATCCATGATATCAGCTGTGCGATTGAGTCGGAGCAGGAAGTCTTGGGTATCAAGTGTGCCTTGTGGGGTGTTGCCTGCCGAGGTACCATCTAGGTAGAGGAGTGGTAGAGGGGCAATTGTTCGGTATGTGTGGAGGTAGCCATGGCTTTCCTCTTCTCCGCCAACCTTGGTCCAAGGTTTTGGATGTGGGAGATGATCCTTGGAGGAAATTGCCGGGGGAAAAGGGAAGGGATGTTGCTCATCCTTCGCATTTGGGAACGGAGGAGGTCCTGGGGAGACTCCTGGACGACCCCCAGGTTCACTGCCTGGAGAAGAAGGAGGGGGGAACTTGTGCCTTGCTCGAGCAAATTGTTCGGCATGTTCGATCTCAAAGGCAAGCCATTCTGGGCCCTTAGGTGGGATTGGTGAATGGGTGCCGTGGTGAAGGACAACTCCCGGAGGGATAATCACCAAGAAAAGGGACATGCCATTATGGTTGAGTGAAGATCCCCACTGACGCAGGGCCGAGTGTAGGCTGTTGAAGATGGCGAATGCATTCTTGCGAGCAGCAGCCTCACTGGGAACGATGGTGCTGTTGGCGATAAGCGACTGACCGGCTGCTTCGGGTGTCGCCGAGCACAAAGAACTGACGGCTAGCCCCAGGGCTGCGAGCTGCGAAAGAGTGAGCATTGTCTCAGGCTGATAAAGCAGAGATTCACCCACAACGACATAAAGTCTTCAACTGAAGGGTTTAAAGATCTGTCGAGATTTCTGTCAGGATGCTTTTGGGGAGTCGGGCAAGTGGGGAAGATAACGCGTCCTGGGACGCTTATGGCGCCAAGATCATTGAAACCCTCCCAATCGTGTGGAACAACAGCTGCTGACATGTTGGCCAGGGACGGGAAGACGACAACGGCGAACCTATTTCATTGGTGTCCTCGCAATTCAAGGATATTGTGATTGAAAGCAGTGCTCAAAATTTTAATTTTTTTTTCGACCTAAGATTACAGGAGTATGTTAGTATGATCCTCAACCGAGGTTGAGAACCGATATCTTCCCACGAGACTCACCTAACCCTCCACCTGTTTGATCCCCTGCGCTTGCAGCTTCAACTCAGCTTCATTGAACTCATCATCCTCCGTCGGCAAGTCCATATGAAACGTCGCTATCTGCGCAGCCTTCACGTTCACCTCGCCATCCGTCTCAAACTCCAAGATATGCCCCCCACGCTGCCTGTCCTCAGCAATAAAATGGAAGTGATCACCCGCCACATTGACCCCCATGATATACTCTGGACACCTAAACCCGACTACCGCCCCCTTCACCTTCTCAAAGTTATGCGTCGTCTGCCGACTGCACACATCTACCATCCCCTCTCTCGGCCTGATCTGCCCTCCCGCCGTGCGCACCACCACCTTCGCGAACACACCGTCTATTCGAACAACCAGGAAATGATTCCTCGCCTTGGGGAACAGCCCATTCAGTAGCCTGGTAAAATCCTGCTTCCCCTTGACTGCGGCGCGCGTCTCTATCGTCGGCTTGAACCGGGTGACTGTCGCGAATGGGGTTAGTACCGCAGAGGGGTCGGCGATGTGGATGACGGAGCCGTCATGCTTCATTGCATAGCACTGGCCGTCTAGGACGATCATCTCGCCATCCATGTAGCGGAAGGTTCCTAGGCCGTGGTCGCCATGGGCGAGGATTCGCGAGATGGGCACGCCGTGAGAGGCGACGCCGTCCATCAACGCGGAGACGATAGAGAATTGGTAGACTTCGTTGTAGGACATCGCGTTTTATCCTGTGAAAAATAAGGCTGGTAGGTTGGTGTGTAATCACTGAGCTCGCTCTTCTTATGTTTTTGCAGTCTTGAGTCTTTGACTGTTGAGTTGTGCCCCGCCGGCACTTGTGTGGGGCGAAATAGGCGAGTGTTGCGATTCCAGGGATTGAGCGAGTTCGAGCTCCGGTAGGGGACTTCGAATCCTGGTGCGCCGTCGGATTCCCTTGCCTGCGGGTGCCTCGGTTCGTGAAACGTAATTGTTCACCTGCTCGTTCCACAAAGGCAATGTTTGCCCATGCGTTACTGAGACAAGATATTTTCATCCAAGTGCACTCCAACATAGCTCCCGTCCATCATCTCGGCTCCACCCGGCGCCAAGCTCCTGCTGACCAAATGAGCTACAACCTGTAATTTCGACATGGCAAAATGGTGACAAGCAATCAGACTAACGTCGGTGTTTTTAAACCAAAAGAGAGAATTATGAGTATCTATGATTTAACATTATCCCGAATTGTTACACAAAAATGATGCTGGTGCCTGCCGATCTCAACCCTCAGTTCAGTGACACAAAGTCTCATCAGCATACAGAATACTACTGCTTTACAACGAAGTCTACGAAGATCTCCATGAGGGGAGAGGAAAAAACTATGCGCCAGCCGCGAATCGAACGCGGGGCTCATCGAACCTTGCCTAGGTGGCAACGATGAATTTTACCACTAAACCACTGGCGCTTGGTGTGTTTCGGATGTTCGCTGTCCCGGCAGGGCGGGAGTGGAAATTTTGTGCAGAGCTCAAGGGTAAAGCTCCGAGTGTTCCAGATTGCGTGGGGCGTGGTGTCGTGCAGGTTCAGGTTGTGGTGAAGCTGCAATTACCGCTGGAGTTATTCAGGGTTGCGGGGTGATTGAGAAGGTGCTGGGTTATGATGCCCAGATCTTGGGCCAATGTCAACATTGCAACGCGAATCTTGCATTTTCTTAAATCATTCGAGTTTTTGGTTCAGCATCAGGAAATCCCGATCTGACCTAACTCCGCAAAGTGCTAGGCAAGTTGAGATCGGTTCCTGGGGAGACCCTAACCCTGCTCCGCCGAGATTTGTGCTTAGCCCCACCGCAACTCCCCCGCCAAACAGACGGTGAGGCTCAAAGTCCGATCAGGAGACAGGAAAAAAGGAGCGAGAATCAAGCTGGAATGTGACAAAAGTGTCAAAATTCAATTGCAAAAAAATGTGCCAATATCAAACATCTTTGACGTCCTGTCTCACCGATTGACTCACCTTACCACCCTCAAGTCCCCACACCCTGGCGAAACCCAAATCCCGCACACCCACCTCAACTCCACCACACCAAATCTCCCACCAAACAAAATCCACACAGAGCTCCCTTATAACCACAAATACCTGCCATCAACAACAACGAGACAGAAACATGGGCCGCTGGTCTAGTGGTATGATTCTCGCTTAGGGTTCACCCTGAAGCATTGAGCGAGCTGAGAGACAGCCCGCTCAACTTGGTTGCGAGAGGTCCCGGGTTCGATCCCCGGGTGGCCCCCTTCTCGTTTCTCGTCTTCTTTCTCCTCGCCATGCTTTGGGCCGCTGGTCTAGTGGTATGATTCTCGCTTAGGGCTCACCCTGAAATCCAAAAGCTTGCTCTCAAGCTTGCGAGAGGTCCCGGGTTCGATCCCCGGGTGGCCCCAATTAGAGGGAGAGGGAGAGGTTTAGGTATATTTTTGAGCAGAGTGTCTCTCGCTGGAGAGTTTCCCTTTTGATCCCGGTAGGATTGTGTGATTAGAAGTCACTGAACGCCTTCTTGAGGCCAAGCTCAAGTGCCTGTTGTGAGCAAACTACTTCTGGTGATTTGCTTGGTATGTGCGCACTCTTTCCATGTCTTTTTTCGACTGTCATCGACTTCTTCTCCAGGCAACTTTTGCTTTTTTTCGTCTTTGCTGCTAGCTTCCCTGGAACACATAATTGACAGCTCAAGGAAAAGATATGTGGCTCGGTGATGACCACTTGGATTACCGCTGCGTTTTGCGACATACATCTGATGACTTCAGGTTCATTACGTAGGGAAAATGCTAACCTTTCCGACTGGATGTTAGTAGTTCATCCTATCTTGCAGACAACTGAAATAAGCCATAGGTCCATAGATGTACCGCCACTGCGGCCACACAGTATATTGTGTTGAGTAGGTCCATTCTGTCGGGACAGCCAAAGCAAAGGCTTGGCGGTGACAAAAAGGAGCTTGGCGAACACCACGGCGATGTGAGGCTTATATTGACAAGACCACATACAAAGAGAATCCTCGCGAGCGCTCTTTTTGCCCTTTTTTTACTGCGGGCAGTCAGTTGACAAGCAAAGGGAAACCTTTAATCACGCAGGTGGGAGTTAAGCCTAAGCCTAATCCACCGCTCGTCCGTTGATCAAACCGCATCTTACCACCCCTGGCGATCTCGTTCTCCTTTTCAACAGTTCACTCAAAAGCGTCCTGGTATAGGCCGTCAATGTATTCCCTAAGCATCCTCATATATTTTTCACGCTGCACTCGGCGAGTCGTTGTTAGCTCTACTACGTCGATGCTCTCCGATGTCTATATGGGCAACCCTCGCCTACTCAGTCGCAAAATGGGGTTTTACAAGGATGTCCATCAGTATTTTTAATTTCCAGTACGATATATTATCTTCAGGTGCTCTCATGGATATGACAAATTATCATCAAAATTCGCAGCTTGGATCCGATCAATTCTCTGGCACTGCCCCTGTAAACAACTGTTTCAGATACTTTAACTCCTGTACCTTCTGTCTCACATCTATCTTTTCATTACTATGCTGTTTCATCCGTCAAGTATGGGAAAGAAAAAGCTATACAGACGGGGCGACTTTCCTCATACAGTGTTCAAACAGTTCATCCATTTGATCCACGAGCTTCTAGATGACACTGTTCAGTGGGCTGTCCTCTGATTATGTTGAAATCAGCACAGTTCAATATCTGACTTTCCCCGTACATGTCTTTTCATATGACTGAAATAACAAACAACATAGACCTGCCAAATCACGAGTCAAATCTCCTCCAAACCACCTCCCTCCAGGAACTTTTGATAACTGATTTGGGCTGCAGCAAAGGCGGTCGAGTATTCCTGATCAGCACCAGACCCGTATTGCCGCTTCGTTTTCCCGGTAGGCACAGCTGCAGAAACAGTGACATATTTGAAGAATGGAAAAGGGGCTAGTAGCCAGAGTGTTGTTACGAAGAAGGAGCCATGAGCAGCGAGTCCGAAGCATAACCCCTTATACAGGCTCACCGATGGAATCGCTTTGACAATTGCTGGCATATTTTTGAGAAATAATGTCTCGTTTTAAGATGCATAGGTACCTCCTGAATTATGTTTTATCCTGCCGTTGTACTCTGAATTTAGCATTAGTGTTTAGTACAAAGACACTTTGATATTTCCACAAGATGAAACACTATCTAATTGTAACTTTTGGTAGACATGGGGTTAACTATATCTGGATTGATATAGCACTTGATAGCCCAAACAAACAATAACAACAGAATTAGCAGCTATGCTGTATCAGCTTATCATTGCAATATATCCTTGGACGGTTCTTGTGGTTAGTTTCACGGATAATGTGGCCCTTGTTTCCTTGTCCTGAAGTACACTAAGCATGTATATTATTGTCCCTTGGACATTGAATACATGACATTCATCTTGTAAATTGTGCAAGCCGTAGTGCAGCAGGGTTTGTTAATTCCAAGGTATTAGGGGGGAAAGCCTAGAAAAGGGGGAAATTGGAAGGTGAATGGAGTGAATAAAATGGAATGAAAGAGTTGAAAAATGGAAGAAGGAATGAAGAAAGACATATACAACCAGAAGCCGAGCGTCAGCAGAGGTAGTAAATGGAAGGTGTTATAAGCATCAGTCATAGCATTCACTCTGATGTACAATCCGTGGGTGACGAGAGGGGCACTTAGCCTGATTCTGAGGATTTGAACTGGCTGTTCACTTCACAAAATATCTCTGATCCTTGGTACATATCTTTTTTTTGTATGCTGAACTTATATACCACCTGGAGCCATGACAGTTCGAGGAGGAAGCGTACGCCCGCTGGTGAAAGATGGGATACCCCACGTCCTGTGTAATCGCTCCGAAGGTGACTCTCATAGGCAGTGTATCTCACAAGTCCAGCTGTGCAACCATCTTAGCATTGTGAGTTTACCCTGTCATTCTGATTATGCTCATGGATTGCATGGGGGTGGCCAGCTAGTTGACTGATGCCTCTGGGATTCCTAAGCGTTTGTCAAGCGTTAACTTGTCACTTCCAATCAAAAGGCACCGGAGGGTGGATCAAGGAGGTCATTGTAATACATATGATATAGAGGACAGGCGGTTTTTCATGGTAGAGAGGCCGCCTTCAAATGCATTTCCTATGTGATTGGTCGCCTGTTTCGTAGACAGCAATCGAGAGTTAAGATGCATAGCATCCAAGTGCCGCCACTTTGACATGGAGTGTGCCCAATCTTTGTCATCAGGGAATGATGTCAAGATAGTATCCCTTCAATCTCAGTAATTGTCACCCATCGACCGACTTTTTCAGTGTCTGATGGGATGTTAGATTGTGGAGTTTGCGAACCCATTGGGCATGCAGCATTCGATGTCGCACTGTGCGACACTGCGCAATGCATGCCAAGCACGCCATGTGGAATAGTGCGGGACGGGCCGCGTCGACCATGCAGATCACTCCACATGCCTGGAATGGAATAGTTTCGACATCACTTCTTCCACCTCAAGAGGCAAAGGACAGGTCACCACAATATAATAGAGAAACAGGTAACTTCGAAAGTCATAGGTGTAATATTATAATATTTAAAGACACTTTTTGGAGTCTTGTTATTGACGTTAGTGTATATGATGTAGTAAACAGCAAAGCATCTGCTTGAAGTTCCAAAACTCCTCATAAGCAGGATGTCGGGTAAGTACACATTTTGGGTGTTAAGCCAGATAATTCATGGGCTTGCAGACACATTACACACACACATGCTGACATTACATGCCAAATATATGGTTTGGGTTTAGAAATGACCAGGTGCCCCAGACATGTGATAGGTCGTGAAAACAAGTCCCATTCGGTATCTTGAGGCATACATGGAAGGCTGAATTCATTCCCCTGCAGCGCGAGGAATCATAACAGACTGACCATTTCCAATGGGGATAATCTTTTGAGAAGAGTCGGCGACAGACAACTTGCATTGTGTTCATTCACATCTTCAGAAAAAAAGGTCTGTCTAGACAGCTCCCAGAAGAGACTGGGCAAAAGGGTATTCTCCTACCCAATTAGCCCTTACTGGATCGACACATGAAGTACCTGTGGAACCAAAAGACGAATCAACTCGAGTAAAGAATGGAGGCAACCTATATGAAGGGTTGGCGAGTTAAACTCAAGTGATGAGGCTCTTGTATAAAAAACCTTGTCAATTGTAAGAATACGCCTTGTAGTGAAAGAGCAGTAGTTTCAGAGCCGGTGTGACCGTCAGTTGCTATCCAGTAATTGCTCTAAACTATGTTCTATAACAGGTAACTGTTTCATGAGTCCGTAAGAGACACACACCTCAATTATTACTGGAAAGGGTCTGATAAAATCAGTCCAATGATGTCGGGGTCGAAAACCGGTCGCTAGCCATAACACCCGTTCATGCACGCAACTATAGATGCTATCACAGCTCATGGAATGAACACATATGCTAGCGACGTAATGTGATCGTTCTAACCTCGATTTCTCAAGGATCATAGGCAGGTATGTCTCTTAAACGATGCAAAAACTGCTGTCCTCATGATTATCCGCTGATCCCAGGAGATAATCCAGAGACTTTAGCAATAGCCATGCAACCATTTCCACGGCTCCTCTAATTTGACCCTAGCTCAGGCTGTTAATGCCATTGACAGCATAAACATTATGGGGGCACAAATGTTGAATGGAACCAATATATGCCGACCGCATATTACACGGAACTGGAAATTTTCCTGTCTGGCCAAAGTTTCCCCAGACTCTTGTCGCAAAACCCTACCTTCCTCTTTTAGAAGGTGGGGTGATCTGCAAGATCGGTGTGCGGCTCGTCCCGAGACATCTCACCAACATTGAGAGACGCATGTCGTTGCGTGGCCTCTGCTGTGCGACAAATTCTGAAACGAGTGTGCCTCTACCATTTTTAATTTTTGTTGTGATATATTCTCTGGTTGACACATCTGTGTTGCCAACAGTGAGATCGAAATTGACCCGAGTCTTGATCACGATCCTTGTCACCGTGAAGCTCGTGCTTAGTGTCACGACCAACAATGACTCTATCTGGGCGAGTAGCTTCCGTGCAACTCACTGATCAGAGTAGAAGGGAGTTGTGACCCATCGAACTCGGATATCCGTCCGCAACAACTGAACATTGGGAAAGCGTTCCTCAACACCCAAAGATATTGACTCTCAAGAGTCCGTGCTGTTGAGGAAGAAGGAAGGGAAGCCACAAGAGTGCATGAGATGTATATAGATTCCAAGCAGGGTCATCTGGCCCAAGAAACTCTCCAGTTATCAATACAAACAGTTGCTTACCAACCGGTGGCCACAACAGCCACTTTGGTTGTGTGAGAACTCCTGTCTCTCAACCCAGCAGCCTGGCAACTCTCAAACCCATCTCAGGAGGTCTGTCTGGGTCATCAGTTGTGCGCCAGACGGGCATCATAAGCGCTAGGGGACCTTGTAGCTCACATTTGTCGCAGTAATTGGTTCCTAAGTATAACCATTCACATGCGGTGCCCTCCTGCGTCAACCTACAAGCTTTGAAGCCTGAAGAGATTCTTAATCTGATGAAGAAAATAAAATTAGCTACTGAAGCACTTTTTAAGTAAAGTCTGTATGCTCATAACTTCAAGAGAGGTGTTCTGTCGACAAGTCTCTTTGACTAGCTACCTATAACGGACTGGGCTATTATTTCCGTCCGTTCCCTGAGCTTGTCTCCGCATTCTAATAGGATGATCGATGATGATCTCCTGCTTGCGGACATCTTTGATCCACTGTTCTACAATCTCAGAGACTCCGTCGTCGCAATCTTGACACAATATCTGATGATTCGTTAATAACTAGACTGCGACTTTGCAATGCAAAGTTACCCGTGATATTGCAGAATTATTGGCTAAAATTTTCTCAAATCAACGCAGATCAATCTAACCCCTTCTTAATCCGATCTCCAAACGAACAGAAGTATCTTACCACCGTCCAGTATTTCCTGCTTAGCAGTCACAGCCAAACAATAAGAATCAATGCTAGCTACACGAATCGGTCTCATTTATTAATGAAAGTCTTGTAGACATGGGCATATCCTACCATAACCGGCAATTGACGAGCGGGGACTTGACGAAAGCCATGTTGAAGCGAGAGGCCATGAATATTAACTCCTATACGTATGGTTAATGTCCTCAAACTAGCACTACTACGTTATCTCTGGAAATAACTTCATGCCTCTCTGGACCCGGATACGGTGCTGGTGTAAGCATACATGGCTACATATTTTTTTTTTTTTGCAAAATCAGCAAATGTGCATACTTGCTATTAATCGTGGGTGCGGTACCTGCAGCAACGTCTGGGAGGGTAGGCTCCAAACCCCATCCAAATCCACTTCCACTTCAGATCTCACACTCTTCCCTTCCCTTTCATCTGATTTCAGAAACGAAACCTTTCTTCAAACACCCAAATGTATTTCTTGAGAGATTTTCGTTGCCTTCTGCATCACTCTGGTCACTTTCTTTGAAGCGACTTACTCCGTCCTACTTGATCAATTGCAAACATTCAGTTTGACCTAATCCTTCCCATCCACGGCCAGCTTCTCTAACCAAGTAGCTTCGCGGATCAGATCAGCAAAATGTCTGCCTGGCCTACCAATAACTCCAACAATCGCCCGCCTCGCGAAACGGGCTTCCTCGACGCCAGCAATCTGGTAACTAAACCTCCTTGGTTCTCATACCTTCCTCCTCTCGCGATATCCTGACTCATCATCCGGTACTAGCTTCCCGGGGTGTGCGCCGGGTGCGCCCGCAACTTTGAGCCAGCTATGCAAGAAATGACAGAGTCACTCATCGACATGCGCTCCGCGTTGGTACGCTTCTACCGCGCCATGGACTACATGCGTAAGAATTTGAAGCCCGAGGCGATGGTACACAAGCACCGTCTCGAAATGTATGAAATGCAGAAGGAGAATTCCAAGCTCCTTGATCAGGTCAAGAAACTGAGGGAGGAGAACCGGCATTTGAAGGAGCTCTTGGGGTGTCAGACGCACGGACAACAGGCCGATGAGCCGAAGAAGTAGGTGAGTGTTACTTTGATCGCTTATGACGTTGGTTTTGCAGTATGAGTTAAGGTTAACCGCGACTGTTTCAACACTCTGAGGCCTCCGCTGAGCAAGTCGAGACTGACATCAAGAGTAAAGGCGCTGAAGCCAACAAGGATGATTTCATCCTGTTCAGGATCGCCTGAAGGGTAAAGGTTGTGATGCTGGTCGCTCTTCTGGGGCTAACAGACAATCTTGAAAGACATTGGGGAGTGCAACTAATACCACAGGCACTTAGATTTTCTGGATCCATTACTCAACGCTATGGACTTGAAAGATGTGAGCTTTGAACAGGTTGCGGGCCATTTGCGTCCTTGTACGCCCTCGTCATCGTGACACAACCTCCAAACATCAATTCAATATCTGTCAAAGCGAGTATGTTACCGCTAGATTTCTCCATGGTCTCTCATACTTCTCTTGAAAGCAGTCAAGGACCATCTCTAGGGTGGCGGAATGTTCCAAACATGACTAAAGCGAGACGTCTAAAACGCACCGAGATATACCTGGTTGTACATCTCAAGACAAATATCACATAATCCTACATATCCTGTTGGTACAAGCTCAAGGGCAAAAAGGGCTGCCTCATTCATGACCTGCGTTCTCAAGAGCATGCGGGAGCCTACAAATGTTACCTCCATGTGAGTTGACATTCAACAGTCCTGTGTCCCGTAACCAAAGTAACGCCTCAAAATCCACAATATGGGCTTTTATAGTGGCTTCTCAATTGATCAGTTTGGTCACGTTCAGGTTCAGAATATAGGAGACTCGAGTTCTCCGGTTTTCCGTGATATATGTATGGCATCCAATCAGTGCATCGTGGTCAAGACAGAAAAAAAATGATTGCCAAAATTCTCCTCAATTGTTTTGTGATCAAATATTTCCAAGTCAGCTCCGTGATTTGTGAGATCATTGGCCAAAAATAAGATGCTCTGGATCTGCCAAATCCTTTGACCCGCGATGAAGATCGAGCTCTGGATCTCAAAAGTTTGGTGGGCTTGTAATCAAGGTTCTGATCGCACTGTACGGACTGTGTTACTTTTTGCGGCTGCATGCCAAGATCACCAATCCAGATCAATGCGGGACGAGCCGCGCCCCCACCGCGTCGGGTCGCCCCACTTTTCTGATTAGGGCTGACCCCTCAACGTGCGCAGGGGTTTGGAGGACGTCGGATCAGTGACGACCATGCAACAACATTCAGTAGTATTGATGATCTCGGATGCCAAGTGATTCAAGTAGTTCATACAAAAAGCAACTGGTTTCTTCCCCGAGGTTGTTCCAGTTAGCTTTAGAACTATGAGATTTTCCCTTCGGAACCATGTCTCACTTCTGTCTAGACATAAGTCTGGCATTGGAGAGGTAGGGTACGCATGAGGGTAGAACTTCTACCATAGTGTGGCTACCACTCCCTGAATTGAGAAGTACAGAAATTGTCACAACTGGACATATTGGCTCATAAACTTATTGTTCTGTGTTATCTATAACATGTATGCGGGAAAGAGATTCTCTTGGTTTCTCTATACACCCGTACATTTACTTGTAACTCTGACGGTTTGCGAACCATGTCATCTACTTGAGTCCAAATTTGAGAACGGTTCAGGATTCAATGGCATGAGATATCAAATAGCAGATTCGATGCAAAGAGGCAGGCTTTGTCTAGCCTCGATATACCACTCATTTTCACTTTGGTCTTGGCTCATTGTCCGTTAAGTCCCGAAAGTCAAGTATGATAAAGAGAAACAGTATCTCTGCAATATATTATCGTAATTAAACGGTTTAGTTCATCATCGTTTTCTGCAGTAAATTTGGTGTACAGCTTTTAAATGACGTCAATCCCTAAACGCTTCATGTGGTTAGGGACGAAGACAATCGCCTAGATGCTTGATGGTGCAACACTGGCAAGCTGTCGATTTTTGTTCTACTTTCATTTTAGCCGAATGGTCATTCCCAGCTGTAAATTGCTTCTTCTGGCTCTGATGGAATCAACGAATGCGGACTGGATGAGTCTTTGCCTACAATTTCTGAGCGCTGCTGGATGGGGCTGGGTGAATCTGGAATATCGTGGCTGAAATAATGATGAGCTGGATCAAAAATGGGCGTAGCATGGTTGAAATTTCTGATTTTCCGGATCGGAAAATTGACCAGCGAGATCAGGAGTTGGCGAAGAGGGTGTAAATCATGCGGGAGCATCTGCAGTCCGGAGGTGTACGCCTGTAGTTGGCAGACGTGCATTGACCACCTCCCAGACTTATAAATATATTTGAATTTACGGAATACCTCTTTTTTTCTCATTCCGGCCAGACCAGCCGACCAATTCTTCGCCTTTGCCTTCGGCCTTTGCCCTTTGCTTCGGCAGTCTGGTTTCCTCTGCCGCCCTCGCCAAACCTTTTTTTTCCAACAATGCTGAACACCTGGAGCCGCCGCGAGCGCGCCAAGTTCCGAGCTCAACATGAGGCCCAATACGTAAGCCCTTTCTACTTTCTGCTACGGTGCTAAGTTTCTGCCACTACCAAAACACCTGTTTGGGCGTAGAATCACAATTGCCATCTTTTTAAGTTGCTCTTTGCCGTCACTTGCCAACAGGTTGGCTTCTCGCCAGGCTGTGACGTGACATGCCTGGAACCATGACTAAGTCTAAGGGGTCTGTGCATAGTCGTGATATACTTGGAGCCAAGCCGGCTTCGATACCGATCTCAGTTGACTATAGAATGAAAACTTGACTCTGTTGGTCTGCTTCGGGCGCCTGGCAAGTGTCTGGAGGGCTGGGGATATTGGACCTGCGGCTGATAATGGCGTACAGCAGAGCACCTCTTTTGATAGTGATATGCTGGGACCGGCGGGCGAAGAGTGATGCAGTATCAGGAGCCTCTGGTCACCAGGAGACTTATTCAGCTTTGATTAACACCTTCTGACTTTTTTTTTTTTTGCAGAACTCTTCTTCGTCTTCAGCGCTTGGGAATCAGCCCATGCCCAACGACTCTTTGGTAGGTCCTTTACTTCTTTGTTTTATCTTTCCCCCTCCTCTATCGTCATACACCAGAGTACACACTCACTCCCCTGTGGAGAATCTATTCAATTCTGCCGAGCACTAGCTGACCTACAGACTTCATCGCCGATCAACCCTTTCTTTTCTAGTGGCGCTTGCTTTTCTTCTTCTGTAAGTCCAACTCCTTTCATTCCCTCAACCTCAGTTTACCTTTTCCATCTTGCATTTACCATCTTTCATCTCCCATCTGTGTTCCATGTTCCCATCTCCCATATTGACCAAGAATGTCCTGCTCATACATTTACAGAAATGTTCTTAATTTTCACCAAGCTCGTCCCGTGCCTTCGAGTTCTTCGGTAAGCCCTATCAACCTCTGCCCCACACGCAATCTACTCTGTCATTTACCCTCATCTCTCCCTTCGCCCACACACACTTCGGCATGTTGATGACCCAGATTATAGGATAGCTTCGCGTGTTCTGTTGGTTCGGCTTACCAGCTCAACAGGTGTTTTTCTGACAAGATGTGTTCACAGACTTCAAACAATGAGCAGTCGCGTGAGGCTGCTTCATCCAACACTTCTTCTGCTGGTGTTACCGGCAATGAGGATGTAAGTCAAACTATCAATTTGCTCGCTTTGTCTCAGAATGTTAACATTCGGGATTTTCCCAACCAGAACAAAGATCCCTTCGACGTTGCTGGGCTGCTGGCGGCGCTCGCCGATGCATTGTCGCGCTCTGAGGGGAGGGACGCTGCGCTGGCCGCCATCCGAGCGGCATGCAGTGGCACCGGCAAGCACCCGGCCCAGCAACAGCAGCGAGTGGGCTGGCGGGACGTGGCCCTGCTCCAGCGCATAGAGGCGTTAGAGCGCGACAATTCTGCACTCCGCAAGGAGCTCATCGTCATTGCTGAGCTTCGCAACGGCATTGCAGAGCTCCGCGATGCTGTCTCGAAGCTCCGCGGCCACATGGAGACTCTGTCCAGGCAACTGGACGGGGTCTTCATCAATTTTTATAACATGATGTGAGGCCCTGTAAGTTCCTCCTTCGCTCACACTCTAAACCCTCGTACCCGGCCATTGCCTAAACTGCCATCGTCTTGCAGACCACAAAGTCGTCGCTCCTCCTGTGCCGCGCCCTTCGTCAGCCTTTTTCTTCTCATATATCAATATTTGTAATAAGATATGCCATTTTTGATCTATGCTTGTCTCTCTAATGCTTGCACCATGCTGTCATCATTACTTTGCTACACATTTGAGGAGCATCTTACTTCCACGTCGACTATTTCCTTTGCCCCAGTCCCCGGAATTCCGTGAAGTTGCATACCTTCGTTTATGCGGGCAGCTTATAAATAGCTCCTTCACTGCTGATCCGCCATACTTGCCTTACTGCTCCCCTACTCCATCAGCCCTCTCACGTTTGAGGTTTAGATATACGTGATCGTTACCGTTGTTACCCAACTGTGGCCAATATCAATGTTCTATCTTTCACCAAGATTCCCAACGTGAACGATTCAGGCTGCCGGCCTTTGATAATTAGACCTTGTCACAGACCTTGTGGCAGACCTTCCATGCAAACGATTTAATCCAAACGGACTCGGCAATCTCTCAGACGAAGCCGAGCTGCTCCGACATCACGACGTCTAGAATTGTTGCAAGATATCCTAAGAAGCTTTGGTCTCTAAAGCAACAACGGTCCCTCGCCGACTCTATTGCTCACGGATCCTTGAAATAGGCAGTATTGGACCGAATGCACCTCATCACGCTTCTACATTTTGCACTGATATTATACATCATCCATGGTCTCATCTCGTGCCAAATCTCACTTGTTTTTGTGCTCCTTATATCTACGGTACTATCATTTGTCATTTGTTGACTGCTTTCGAAAGTGGCATTCGCCGACAGGACTGGAAGCTGAATGCCTCCGCTCTCCTGAGCTAGAGAAGTTGACCATCTTGAATCCCTAACAATGACTCTTGATTCACTCCTGGTGTCGAATACTTCAGCCTTCCAAACTCGAGCAACCAAACATATATCCTGATAGCAGCGAACAGGTTAACTCGCCGCTTGAGTCTTCCTTGGTAAAGGTCGACATCGTCAAAACCATCGGCTTACGCCCCTTGGTGGTGCCCTCCGCTCGGTGCTGAGCGCCCACACCGTGTTTGGTCTTTAGGGAGGCAAAGTCAAGTATGATACCCGGCTCAAAACCGCCATGTTTCTTGACCTGGCTGACAACCACGTACGCCAGGCCAGACTAAAAATCTTTCTCTGAGATGTTCATGACTGCCTGATCAATAGTAACTACTCCCTGACGTTTGTGAATCATGATGGCAAAAGGCTGTCATCAAGGGAAACTGAGAGCCTATTGACCGGTGGTGTGTCTTCGATGCTATATAATGCTAACCTAGAAAGATGTGAAGTAAATCTAGATAAATGTTGGGCTGATTGAGAGACAGCGACAAATCAATAGGGAACACAGGGCTACCTTAGATCAAAGTCAGCACTGTTGATGCTGTGCCATCATAGTTGTTCGGTCGGTTTATATTGCTTCTGGACAAGCAAACAATCGGCTTATGTTGCACGCTTTTTGCGGATGTTACGCATCAGATATCTCCAGGGGAGTCTCAATACGTGGGCTGGGCTAGGTACCGTGACTTGTACTTGATTAACCATCGGATTGAGCTTCTGGATAGGAGCAAGGCTGAATTGCTGAGATTGGAGCATGGGAGCATCAGCCGTATATATAATAAAGCTGTCCTCACGTTTGCTATGGATCGGATGGCTCTTCGCAAGTGGGAGCAACAAAGGCATGACGAGTAGAAATAACAGCCATTGTTGATATTATAACAGTGAGAACAGATAGAGAGAGAATGCAGAAACAAGATAATATCATCTGTAACGTTCAGTTCCATGGGCACTCCTGCCTTGGTCGGTCGTTGATCCCAGCAATGACCAACTGGAAAGCAACGGATAGCCACAAATTGCCTCGTCGATCAGCCTGTGTCTTTAATCAATGAACATACCGGTAACTGTAACAACCACATATCAGCCATCCAGTAGCTTCCAAGCATCCTAACTTAACAGTCCGCAATCCTCATCCATTCGTCGTCCTGTTTCCCTGCGGTTTATTCCCCAGGCAATCAAAGGGCATCCCCGCCATGATGCTTAACACTCCCAACCCTAACCCTTGATCGCTACCCACCAGCCCCATGCTGCTCTCTGAGCTCACCGAGCTCCACCAGGAAGAGGGGCGCGGCCTCCATCACGAAAATAGGCTGAAATCAGGAAGATGTCAGCGGGTGGGTGACAGGGCTCCTGGGGGACCACAGGCATGTCATGTGCGACAGACCGAGCGCAGAATGCGGCCGTGCAGTCGTGCCGTCGCTCCCGTCGCATCAGGGTCAGGGCCAGCAGCAAGATGGCACGGAGTTCCGGCTTGTCCTTCCTAAACATGACGAGGGGGAGCATTGGATTGCGCTATGCTCCCCCACCTGCCGAAGGATGACCCATTGAATGAGGGGGAGAAATAAAACACGCGCCGTGCCACGACAGTGACGGGATTCCGTGCTCTTTTTTCCTCTTCTTCTGTTGCTGCATTTTCCCCCTCACCTGGCTCGTTGACATCACCCTACCGTCAATCCTTTACCCCCAAACCAAGACCCCAAAAAATAGCCAAAATGTCCGACGCCCCCGTCTCCTTCCTTCCCTACGGTGCAATCATCCAGTCGCTGAACGTCGGCGGGCTCAATATCGTGCAGGGCTTCCCGCGCCAGGAGGACTATGAGAAGTTCAACTTCCCCTATTTTGGCGCGACCATTGGCCGTGTCGCGAACCGCATCAAGGGCGCTCAGCTCGACAGCATCAATGGTGGCAAGACCTATGCGCTGGCAAAAAACAACGGCCCTAACAACCTACACGGCGGCAATGTTGGCTGGGACAAGAAGGTGTGGAATGGGCCGACTCCGATGGGTATCAGGCAGATTCCTGGACTAGGAGAGATCGAGGGTGGTGAGAGCGTAAAGTTCGATCTGGTTAGCCCTGATGGTGAGGAGGGTTTCCCTGGTACTGTAGAGGTCAGCGTGGTGTATACCGTTGGCAAGCAGCAGCAGGATGGTAAGGAGGTGATTGTGCTGGGTATGGAGTATGAGGCTGAGCTGGTTGGCGGTGCTGAGGAGACGGTCGTTAACCTGACGAACCACTCGTGAGTTCCCAAGAATATCAAGAAGGTCCGTAGAGACACTGAGCTAACGGAACCAGCTACTTCAACCTCTCCGGCGCCCCTACCATCGAAGGCACAGTCGTCACCCTCTGCACAAACACCCACCTCCCGCTCGACGACGGCGGCATCCCCATCGCCGGCCCCGCTCCCTTCCCCAAGGTCGAGGGCAACACACCTTTCGTTCTGGGCGCTGTCGATCCCGATATTGATGACTGTTTCGTTGTCAACACCGACAGCAAAACCATCCCGATCGACACTCGCAACGAGAAGCTCGTCAAGCTGGTCGAGGCGCACCACCCTGACTCCAAGGTTCACCTTGAGGTGTACAGTACCGAGCCGGCCTTCCAGTTCTACACGGGCAAGTACATTGATGTGCCAGAGGTTCCTGGCGCTCTGGCGAGGGGTAAAAGGAGTGGTTTCTGTGTTGAGCCGAGCCGGTATGTGAACGCGATCAATGTGGAGGAGTGGAAGAACCAGGTGCTGCTGAAGAAGGGCGAGAAGTACGGCTCCAGGATTGTGTACCGCGCTTGGAGGGAGTAGAGAAGTTCTGGGGATCGATTGGCTGTACAATATTGCTTTGATTTCGAGTTGGTATATCCTGAAGTGAACACAGCAATTTCCCACGACGGTCCTCATCTTACTCTTCCTCAATCTCTACTCCCTCTGCTTCCTCCCTATGTCTCTTCCCATTCCCCCGATCCATCTGCTTTCTCCATATCCTCACGAGCACCTCACTTGAACTCGCCTCCTCAACCCCTTTATCCTCCCTCTTCCTCAAAAACCTCGGAAACCGCAAACTCAACCCTCTGTCCTCCACCGCCATCCCCATCCCCGCCGTATACGTTGGACTAACAGTCACATCAGCAAACGCCACCTCCCACACCTCGCACGGCTCAAACCACACATCCGGCTCTGGCCCGCTGTACTCGATCCATCCCGGCCTCCGGGGATGAGTATTCTTCCTCTCGCCTGTAACCTCCCCATCATCATAAAACTCCCGCATGGCTCTGTAGAACGCGTCAGTAAATCCAGACATGCACTTACAGACCGCCTCGAGGGCGCCAGTCTCGTCGTTCCGGACTGCGAGCAGGATGGGCGACCACCAGCGGGCTTTGCGGCCCTGCCCATGCCAGGCTGCGATCGGGACGAGGTCAAGGGTGTCGGAGTGCGAGGCGGTATAGTCTTTTTTGACTTTGAGCCAGGACTCAAGGCGCTTGTCGGGTTGGTAGGTTGAGAGGAGGGGCTTGCGGCGGGGCTTCTTTTCGGCGAGGGAGGGCTTGGAGCCTTTCTTGCTTGGGGAGGGGGTTGAGTCGGGATCAGGCAGGGCTGGGTCCTCGTCGTTGCCAAGGGCTGCGTTGGTGAGGTCGGCACCGGGCTCAGGGTCTAGTAGCTTGACCATGATTCCTTCGCATTTGTCCTCGACAGCTTTCTTAAAGAATTCTTGGATTGCTTCTGCGTCTTCGCTTGTCGCATCCTGGCTCTTAACCCAGGTGAACTTCCCAGGGACTTCCTTGAATTTGGTCCTCAGAAGCTCCCTCCTGCGACGAAAGGGCTCTTCCAACAACGCCTTTCCATTCAGATACATGAGATCAAAGGCGAACAAACAGACATCAACCTTCACCTTGCTCAGGTCAACATCTTTCCTCCCGCGACCTGCGAGCGTCTGAAATGGCATCAATGCCCCTGTCACCTTGTCAACGGCGACAACTTCGCCCTCGAGGATGAAGCCCTCCACTTCATCCTCTTTGATTTGTGGGATGAGAGCTACCAGATCGGGATATTGTCCCGTGATGTTCTCCAAGTGGCGAGAGTATATGGACACATGGCCATCAGATGAACAATGAACCTGTGCTCGTTGTCCATCATACTTGTATTCACAAGCAAAGGCACGACCTTCCAGCCGTGAAAGAACTTCAGCCAAGTCACGGGTAATGCTCCCCAGCATAGGGCGAAGAGGTGTGTGCAGAGTAAGTCCACATTTCTCCAGCAAGATGTCGGCAGAGGAGATCCCATGGTTTAAGAGGGCTGGTATCAGGGCATTATAGTCTGGATGACGCGCGAAGAGGGTCTTGAGCAAGGTCTCAGTTTTGGCATAGATAGCGGCAAGAGAGTCCTTTTTGAGTTTGCGAAGCTCTTCTTGAGTATACGGGACGTTGTATGAAGCATTTGGAGGGATGGAGAGCAAGAAAGCTCTGGACAGAGCGATCAGTAGAGTTGTTCCGACAGCACCTATGCGTAGCTGTGTGATGTGAGCCAGCGTTCGGCGTAATGCTGTTGAGGAGATTGGATGACTTACATGCTGACAAAGCGTCCTCACCACGTACCGACTCTCCTCACCACCCCTAGCATCCTGCAACAACCGATCGACAATTCTCTGCTTGGTTTCTCCGCTCCCTGGCCCCTGAGCTTTCGCGATCTTCACCAAACTTTGATAGACGCCCTTAATAGTCAAAGGCTTTGGTTTCCGAAAGGTAAAGCCCCCCTTTTTCTTGGCTTCAAAGGCCACGTCTCCCGCATCGCCGACCTTATCATACAGTGCCTTCAGCGCCCTGTTATCCAATCCACAAGCCGTTTTCAGCGCTTTGGATATTGCCGCCCCGCCGATGCCGAGCTCCATACCCTGGACCCAAGGAGGTGCGATGGCGTTGGTAGAGAGCCATACTGCAGGGAGAAGGCTGTCTGGGTCTCCTTCGATGAGCAGTCGGAGGGTGTTGGTTAGGGTGTCAACAATCTTGATGCGAGATTGAGTGTTGTTGACAAGAGTGAAGCACCGTGTTAGGAGGGCGTAGGGAGCCCCAGATTCGGATGTCCAAGAGGGAAGAAGGCCTGGCAAACACTTGGATGGCGCGAAAGTCAGGGGATTCTCGTCGAGCGGAAGGGAAGCGACGAGTGGATCATCCGAGGATGGTGTTGCGGAGAGAGACAGGATATTCTGAGCAACGGTTGGCTTAGGTGTTGATAATTTTGTGGTATCTGGTGCTGCATCAGCCTGCGCAGACTTCTTGGGACTAGTAACTTGAGGTTGGACTGGCTCAGGAGGTTGTTGGCTTGCAGAGAAAACCCTCGCTTCGGCGTCGAACTCGGCCTGGAGCTTTTGAGCAAGCTTTTCATCGGTCAAGATCTGATCTGTCTGATCAATCTGGGTTGACGGTAGCGTCGGGTCCGGTGTTGAGGATGGTCTTGGGGAGCTTTTCTGATTCTGCTTTCCGAAAAAGTAATCAAGAGTTCGAGCTGGAGTCGAACCCTCGGATGCATTGTTCAACTTTCGCTTCTTTGGCGGCATTTTGGACGATTATGAGGAAAAACGGAACCCCATCTCAGAGGTCTACACAACGACTACAGTATATACGTCAATATCGTGAGGACTTCCGTAAAGCAAGTGGCCCAGGAGCCAGCGTAAGGAACGTTGGGCGGAAATAGAGGATTACAAGTAGCACGCTGGTGTTTACATAAGCCCAAAGAGCCTCATCATGAGGAATATGCATAAGACGCTCATGAATAGGAAAACCGAACGTGATTCAAGACATACGAGGAATGAGAATCAAAAGGGAGCACTGACCCAGTATTTCAAGTCTACACTAAGGGTGAAGCAGGTTCTGTTCAAGCCATTGCTCTCTTAGATATCTGGCGTGGAAAAAGACCTGAAGAAAATCAGATATCCATTTGAGTTTAGGGATCCGATAAACATCCATCACCGAGACATCAACTGTCCGTCTGCCTGGATAGACAGGCAATGACGTCGGACAGGCAGACGCGCTCCATCCGGGTGCCGCGCGACCCAGCCACGGAAGCACGTGCCTGCCAGGGGTAACCCCACCAGCACTAACCGCAAGATGCGCCCACAAAAAGGTTAGGCTTGGCGCAAAACCAAGCCCCACCTCGGCGATATTGTCCACAGTGATTGGGAAGGGCTCGCCAAAACACCCTGGCAGAGCCCCCCCCCTTCCCCAGCAACGCAAAAACGTTTTTGGATTTTTCCTCATCCCTCCAGAACCCCCCTCAACACCGGCCCCCCAAGATGAACGGCGAGGACCCCCAAGAGCGGCCAGAGCAGATCCGCAACATCATCAACGGGTTGGAGCGCTACAACCCGCAGGCCGCCGATATCCTCGAGGCCTACCTCACTCAGCAATGTGAGGAGAAGTTCACGGACTGCGCGAGCAATCGCGCGCTGCTCAAGCTGTACGTGCTTATATTACTTTTTCGAGCCCAACCCCAACTGGTCCTCTATGATGAGTCTTTTCTATACGCCTGACCGCAAGCGGATTAATTACCCTGCCTGCGACTGGAGTTCGTATATTAGCTCTATCTGAGAGGACTACCCCTCCCCCACGCCTCTCTGCTCTCTGTTCTCAGCATTGGGTCTCAATAGATCGCCTGCTCACATCCCCAACAGCTACCAGCTCAACCCCGACCGCATCAAAGATGAGGTCATCACAAACATCCTGGTCAAGGCCATGACGCAGTTCCCTTCGGCCCAGTTCGACCTGGCGCTGCATCTCCTGCTTCCCTCGCACACCTCCGCGGGCCCGAACTCGCCCTCGTCCGACCTCGCCGAGGCGATCAGCAAGCTGCGCGTGCTCAACGCCCAGCTGGAGGGCGCACAGTACGCCAAGTTCTGGGAGACGCTGGCCAGCGACGACATCTACGCGGACCTGACGGCCGACATCCGCGGTTTCGAGGAGACTATCCGGGTGCGCATCGCGGCGCTGGTGGGACAGGCCTTCCGTGAAATCCAGGCGAGCGTGCTGGAGAGCTGGCTCGGCTTCCGGAGCGTCGACGAGGTCAAGAAGTTTGTCGTCGAGACGTGCGGTTGGACAGTTGACGACGCCGGCGTTGTGCACGTGCCTAAGAACCCGGACAACGAGGCCAAGAAGATGGAGATCCGCGAGGACGTGTCCATCGACATGTTCAGCAAGGTCATCAGGCGGTCCTGGGAGGACAGCGCATAATTTCCCTGGCTGGGCTGGGTCAAGATGACACACTTTGCTCTCTCACTCCTGACGAAACGTAACATGGGCCTCGTATCATGACTTTTTTACCCTCTCCCGTTTTCTTTCGCATCTGGTGGTAAAAACTGCGTATCACGTATCACGTATATGGCGTTTGGGTTGTTCTGGCGGGCACGGGTCGCCGCGCCGCGGATGGGCTGGGGCTGCAAAGGGCCAAGGCAAACAAATGGGTGTCTGTCTGGATTACATGGGTTCTATGTTAATATCATAGCCTCATTGCGCAGATGCCAACACGATGAATGACTGGGACCGTTTCATAGCTTTCCCCATTTCGCACCGTACATGCCATTGTACCCCTCTCACCTCTTAACCGTCAACTCCTCCCACTGCACCCCAGCCCACTCCTCCACATACCCCGTCTCCCCATTCCTCTGTCCCCTTTCTGTACAATCCTTCTCGCACACACCCACAATAATCGTCCCCCAATCCATCCCCTCCGCAATATCATTATCTTCCTCCGACTCCAGCTGCTCAATCGCGTGCGGCGTCAGCTGCACCTCAAACACCCTATTCGCACCACAGTTGCTGCACCGTGGCATTCCTGGGCCGCCCGCCTTCAACAGCTTACCGACTGCATCGGCCTTGCTGTACAGCAACGGCTGGCCACCAAACTCATACCGGATGCATTGTTCTGGATTCTGCCCAACAATATCGGCGAACTTTTGGAAGGTCGTGTCCATGTTCGATTCGTAGGTCTCCTTATCCTCCTGGCCGCCGCCGCCGGAGCTGTCATCGTTATCAAGCTCCATCGGGACAGCGGCAGTGTTTTGTGTAACAGGAGGGGGAGTTGGGTCGAGGGCCTCGTACTCGGCGTCAGAGAGCCAGCGGACGGGGTAAGGCTTGGGTAGGTCGTTGGGAGAGGTTGGCCAGGGCTCAGGAGGAGGGGCTGGCCCATGAGAAACGGGTTGTTGGGGGTTGTTGAGGGAGAGGGTTTCAGCAAAGGTTTTGGGGAGGGCGTCGGCTGCATTTTGGGTTATTTCTTTCGTTTCTGGAGTATCGGCTGAAGAGGCAGGTTTTGCTGGCCCAAATGGGTTGACGCCAGAAGGCTTCGCCGTGAAGGGGTTCCCACCTGACCCTGATCCAGAACCCGTCATGAAGGGGTTCGCCTTAGCCGTCCCTCCAGTAGACGGCTTCACGCCGAAGATACTCTCTCCCAACCCCAGCTCAGATGCCTTAACCTCCTTTTTGGGTTCCGCCTCCTCAAGTTGTTTCCCTTGCTTCTTATGCTCAATCAACAACTCTTCGGAAACCCTGACGCCTCTCAGGGCGCGCACACAGCCTTCCTTGCGTCGACAGCTTCGTCTGCGACAGGAAAATACATACAACCGGCGTTCGTGACCAGGGAAACGGCCGGGGAGTTCGCCGTTCAGCTGGAGGAGGAGGACCATTAGGTCATTGCAGACCTTGCAGCGGGCAAGCCGTGCCGAGGGGGGATGGGAGGGGTCAATCCAGTCCTATTTAAACAGACAATCAGTTAGCAAGCGTCTAATCAAGATTTGTTATGGGATTGGAGAAATTTTGTGCATACAGGTGTCCCTCCCAACCGGCTAACCTCCTCGCCATTGGAATCAGTCGAGGCATAGCCCAGAAGAACGTTGGTCTCGGTGTACTCAACGTCGGATTCGGAGTCGCTGTCGTCGTAGGGGGCCATTTTTCTAGAATTTCTGTACAAAACACCCACTTGGAGCAAAAAAATTCCAACAGAAGGATAATTTGCCAACTTGTTTAGATTTGTTGGCGTTGCCTGTCGCAAGTCACCGTGCAGCTTCTCGGAAAATTTTGGTGGGGTCATTTTGCTACCCCGCCATTTCGCCCGCACTTCAGCGACAGCATTGACGTCCCCCCCAACCATGGAAACGGCCGCTCATAAGAGTTCACAGAGGCAAAATACTGTACACCACGCAGAACACATATCCAATCTGACACATCACACCTGTCCTGCATATATTCTTCTCTACCAGCAGTATTTTACAGGCTTCACAGATGCAATGCATTAACTGCTGCAACATATTTACTCCTCAACACCCTCCATTCCTCCCGGCCCTCCCGGGCCACCGCTGCGGCCCATCTGCCGCGCCTTGAGCAGCTCATCGCACAGCAGCAGGTTGGAAGCGATGCTCGAGCTGGACGCGATGCAGTTGCGCAGGACACGGAACGAGTCGAACACACCCTCCAGCACGGGATCCATAGGCTGACCGGTCTGGAGATCAATACCGGCCACGTTACCGGCACGAAGCTCGTCTTGCAGGAGAGCCACTGTAGATAGCTTAGCTACTGCCCAGAACTAGACAAACAGATGAGACAGTTTACTTACCAGCATCCTGCACGTCCAAGCCAGCGTTAGCTGCCAGAGTCTTGGGAATGACCAGCAGCGCATCGGCAAACGCCTCGACGCCAAACTTCGCCTTGCCCTTGACCGTCTTGAGGAACTCGTCGCTGCGCAGGTGCGCTGCGCATGCGACGTGGAAGGCGCCAGCACCGGGCACAACAGCCTTGTCGACAATGCAGTTATATACACTGCGCAGGCCGTCGCGTACGGCGTCGGTCACCTGGGTGATGGTGTGCTGATTGGGACCCTTGATCAGGATGGTCACAGACTTGGGGTCCTTGACATCCTCGACGAAAGTGTACTTCTCCTCGCCCAGCTGCTGCTCGTACACTAGGCCAGCCCAACCCAGCACGTCGGGTGACAGGTCGTCCACGCTGTTCTGCGCCACGCCGCCGCAAACGAGCTGCAGACGCTCCATGTTGCGCCTCTTGGCTCTCCGGAGAGCCAAAATGCCGTTCTTGGCCAGGACGTCGAGAGACAGGGGGTCGATACCCTTCTGGTTGATAACGACGAAGTTCTTGTTTGGGTCGTTGCCGCACACTTGCTTCTTGAGCTCGACGATCTTCTTGAGCTTGAGGTCGACAAACTTCCGTTCGCTCTCCACCAGCTTGTCGCGCTGTTCGGCGCTCGAGTAGAAGAAGCCGGAGTTGATCTCGGACTTCTCGTACTCCAAGCTGACGTTGAGGGTCAGGATATAGGCGTTTTCTACCCGCTTGGGCATGTCGGGGTGCCGAGCGCCGTGGTCGAGGGCAAGGCCGCGAATAAGTTGTGTGTCGGAAGCAGTCCGGTGTTGCATCTTCATGATTTCGATCATGTGCAAGTCGGGCTTAGCCGGGGGCTGGTATATGGCCAGAACGGCATCAACGATGCTGGGTGTGAGGTGTTGGGCAAGGCTAGAACTCAGCTTGGTTGATAGCGATGTCCTGGCAACATTGAGGAGAAGCTCACGGTCGATATCCTTGGGCAGCTTGAACTTGTCCAGGAACTACAGATCAATGTCAGTCATAGACAATGATATCATCAGTCTCCTGAACACACCTTGAGCGCCTCATTCTTGGCAATCTCGAAGCCATCGGTGATGATACGAGGGTGAAGCCCCTCCTGGATGTAGCGGTCTGCCTGCTTGAGGAGCTCGCCGACCAACAACACGACGGATGTTGTGCCATCGCCGCAGATATCGTCCTGAGCCGTCGCCGCGCGTGCGATCATAACAGCGGTAGGGTTTTGTATTTGCATCTCGCGGAGCAGGACATTGCCGTCCTTTGTCAGTTTGATCTTGACGGCGTCAGCATCTATTCGGGGTCATCTTGTCGGCTCGTTCATTTGGTTGACCGTACCTGGCCCGCGCCATCAACAAGCCTGCTCCAGTTAGCCCAAGTTCCAGTCCGCCAAACCAAACCATATAGGGAACTCTTTCATACATCTTGATGGTGCCCATGGGGCCCAGATTCGACTTCAGGACATCCTGGAGACCCTCACCGGCACTTATGTTGACACGAAGTGCCTCTTGCCTCCTCTGTAAACACGAACTGTCAGACTCTGGTCATCGACGCCCTCATCGACGCAGTCGTCTTCTTCTGGGGACAGGGGCGCACCCTCGACTCCGCTTTCGGGTTCAGGAGCTGTGCTGCTGACATGGCCGGGAATTATTGGCGACAAAATGGGTTCCAATGGACGGTCGGTCGGGATATGTGATTACTTTGCGGACTGTACAGCTGGAACGTTGTTGCTATCGCCGCCTCCTCGAACGTTAACTTTTTTTTTCCTTCGGTGTTGAGCTACCCAGGTTGCAGGCCGTGCAGGTTTGGGCGGAGGGGCAGCCAGCAGGCAGGGATGTCCCACAAGAAGCTCGGGCCAATGCAGCTGTGGATAGCCTGTGGAAAGCTCATGGAATCTGACAGTGACTGCCGGGCTGCCAGACCGCCCGCCATCACTGAACTGAGGGGCCACTGGTCTGAGGGGCCCAATCTTGGCTTATGTAAGCCGCCTGCCAGGGTTCACCACCCGTCCTAGGAGGGTTCTGGAATGCCGGGCAACGGCCGGCCCCGTCTCGAAACTCCTCTTTTGGCCTGCTTGCATCTCTTGTTCAAGTATAAAAACGGCAATAGTTTATTTCAAACATAATTTTTCATCCGTGTATCAGACTGGTCCTATACCCTTTGGGCTGCTGATGGATCTCGGACCGCTTCATTTCCGGCAAGCTGACTGACTTGTCAACACGGTTATAGGAAATAGTTGATGTCTTGACGGGTTGGGGGTCTGCAGTAGTGCTGACAAAATGCGATGTTAGATATGTTTAAGATGTGTGGAGTTTACTGAGACACTAGCTTGTCTGTCAACAACTCTCAGCCCTATCGTACCTCTCGTATCGTACAGTTTATTAACAACCAGACAGTTTCTTCAGACCCTTGCTAAGTAGCACCCGCATACCGGCACAGTGCCTTGTAGGAGTGGACAGATTCGGTAGCCGACTCTGCAGCTGGACACCACTGTCCGCATCTGACTTGGCTGCGTGTCCAATCTCTATAAGTTGAGTTGGTATCTCACTCACCTCTTAGCGGCAATCCACCTGCCCTCTGAGTATAAATCTACTGCCGATCACTATTGCTTGATGCAGGTCATCTCAGGATCAGTGACGGACGTCGTATTCATACAGCATCAGCTTGTTCGCCCAGAGTTGTTTAGTTGAGCACCGGAAAACTAACTTACCTCACCACCGCCCATCATGAAATTGCCCCTGGGCTCACTGGGGCTTAACACCTTGGCTCTTCTGGGCCTTGGTGCTGCCCAAACCCAAGTTGCTATCATAGGTTCGTTGACAACAAACACTCTGGCTCTGCTTGGACACAGATGTCCGGCCGGGGCGCATGTGTGCATGTGCTGACCGTTGTACAGGCGCCGGAGCGGCTGGATCATCCACCGCGTACCATTTGTCTCAGTATGCCAACGATCTGGGACTCAACGTCAACATCACAATCTTTGAGAAGGAGAATCGCATTGGTGGTCGTACACTCACCATTAACCCGTACGGTGATGCCTCGCAGGTGGTTGAGTTGGGTGCCAGTATTTTCGTTCAAATCAATCAGATCCTCTACAATGCTGCACAGCAGTTTGGTCTGATTACGATCGGTCAGAACAGCGATTCGGGTGTCGAGGGTCACCTAGGCGTCTGGGACGGTGACCAGTTCTTGTTCACCCTGGATGAGCGTCTCCCTGAATGGTTCAACAACCTCAAGGTTGCCCTGAGATACGGCGTTACCGCCCCTCGACGGACCCAGCAGCTGGTCGCCAGCGTCATCGGGCAATTCCTGCGAATTTATCAGCCTCCTCACTTCCCATTCTCGTCGCTGACAGATGTCGTGGCGAACCTGGGTCTAACCAACGTGACCGGAGTCTCCGGCGAACAGTTCCTCAATGCCAATGGGGTAAGTGTCTATGAACGTTTGCTGTCGTTTCAACAAAAACTCAAATAACCTTGCACAGATCAGCTCTTTATGGCAGCATGACTTTATTCAGGCCCTTACTCGGTTAATTATGCCTCTAACCTTGCTAACATGCATGGCCTGGATGCCTTGGTATGTCTACTACGTATTAGCCTGCCCAGACCAAGTACGCTGACACCGATAGGTTTCCGTTGCCGCCGAGGGTGCCGTGCAAGTTCTGGGGGGCAACTGGCAGATCTTCCAGAAGATGGTTGAGGCGTCCGGGGCCACCATCAACCTGAATTCCCCTGTTATCGGTCTCAAGAAGAGCGGCAGCAAGTACGCCATCCAGACCATCTCTGGATCAAGTAACACGACCTATCAGATTACCTTCGACAAGGTCATCCTCGCCAACCCTTTCCAGTTTAGCAATATCGACGTCGGCTCCGGCGTCCTGACCAGCTCTATCGAGTCGGTCCCGTACGTCCAGCTGCACGTCACCATCTTCTCGTCGTCCAAGCGCCTCAAGCCGCAATACTTCAAGTGGCCCGGCTTCCTCAACGTACCAACCGGCATCCTGACCACTCTCGCCAAAGCCGACAATGCGAACTCCGGCTCCCAAGGTGTTGGCAAGGCCGGCTTCTTCAGCTGTACTATCCTGCGTACTGCTATCAACCCGGCGACCAAGAAAAAGGAATACATCTACAAGATCTTCTCCCCGCAGGCGTTAACACCATCCCTGCTAAGGTATGCCACGCCTTTCAAATCTTGAGGAGCAGCATCACTGACCGTTGCCCCAGCGCCCTCTTTGGACAAACTGTGCCAGACACATTTACGGGCTCTGGTAGCCCGATAAGCTGGTATTACCCGCATGTTTTTCACTCGTATCCCAAGGCCGTGCCGCGCACGAGTTTTCAGGACATTATTGTAGGCGACGGGGTCTACTACACTTCGGGCATCGAGCCCTTCATCTCCACCATGGAGACATCGGCGCTGATGGGCAAGAATGTCGCGCGCCTAATTGTTGACGACCTGGCCAGCGGCGACTCGTCCCAGGTCAAGTCCAGGTTTGGAAGTAACAGGTTTGGTGCGATCCGGAAGCAAGGTCCACCGGAGTGGCCGCCCAGGTGGTGAGCCAGAGAAGGCGAGAAGGATCACAGGATGATGATGTATCAGCACCTGTGCATAATGTTGGTATTCCGTGCGGCCACAGAGACAACCATGAAACCTTAGAATGCTGTTAGGGAACCATAATCAGAAATTCCATTAAATACATGCCATGTTAACTTGATGATGACTGTCATGTGAGTTTTCGTCTCTGCGGCCTGTGGTGTATGGATGAATTATTTATTGGCCTGGATCTTGCAGGTCGCACCCTGCGATCCTGTGGCGCAACCCCTTCTCTGTGGCGCGTATCCACAGCATGGCCACACCGCCTTCCGCCCACAGCAAAGCCAAACATTTTCTGGTTGCCCATGACGCAGCACCCCGCTGCAGCTGCACAAAGACCAAGACTCTGCCAGCGTGACAGCGTGGTGCACGACAAGGGAAGAAAGCCCCCTCTTCCACGCGTCAGGATCCAAACAAACCTTGCGACCCGTCCCTCTCGTCTGGTTTGACTCTGGTTGTCGTCTTTTCCCCATCCTGCGACTTTTACGCGCCCCCAACATTGACGGCGACGACCGTTTCTGCTCAGCCCCTCTCCCCGCTGTTTACCAACAAAAGGACAAAAACACATCAGCAGCCACCATGTTTGTGCTCCGGAATGGTAAGCTCTGCCCCGCTCCACGCTCCCACGCTTTCGCCTTTTGCCTCCTGCCTCCACGCGGTCGAGTTTCGACCACCTTCGCACAAATTCCTTTTATCCTACTGTCTCCATCTCGCTTTTGCCTTGCCTGCCGCTGTCAAACTTTACTGCTAATACTGCGCAGTCGGAAAGCTGCTGTTCGGCTCCAGCAACCAGGAGACTCTGATCGAGCTACCACAAGGCCAGCTTTATCTGGTGCGACCGCTGTCTCCCAAGGGCTACTCCGAGCTTATCTTCAAGGACGCCTCGGCGCGAATTCGGCGCACTGCCCAGGACTTCCACTACCAGCTAGTTGTCCAGCGCGTCTACGAAGAAGGCGAGGCCGAACTTCTTGCTGAGGAAGAGGGTGAGGACGGTGGCGCCGACGCCGACGCTCTTGGTAGTGAACGCGACGAGAAGACTTTCCTTCTAGACGAGGCGCTTCACTTCCGTGTCGAGAACCGCGAGGGCAGTGAGCGAGTCCTGGCTTGGCGCGACCTGAGCGGAGACGCTGGCGACGTCTACGAGTTTGTGTGCGACGCGAGCATTTCGTCCAAGCAGGTGCAGCAGTTTGAGCGCATTGCCCGTGAGTGCCAGTACGAACGCAAGTACCGCAAGCCGCATACCACTGCCTCCGAAGAGGATCTCAAGCAGTTCGAGTTTGCCGACGAGCCTCCTATCCCCCAGGCCAGCCCCATTCATAGCCCAACATTGGCCCGGTCCATTGACGCAATCGACGATATGGCTCTGAACAAGCGCGACAGTTCCCCGGAGCCTCCAACTCCCGCCAAGAGGGGCAAGGAGCGGGATATGAAGCCTCCGGCAGTGTCGCAGCATCCCAAGGCGCGTGAGCTGCTCGCAGCCGAGATCGCCGAGCTGCACTTCTTCGACTTTCCCTCGGGCACCTTCGTTCTGCAAGATGCGTCCGTGACTGCGAAGGTCATGGAGATTGGCGACTGGGAGTACTGGCTCGAGGTTTCTAGTGCTGACCGCGACTGGCTTGGTATTCCCGTTGTGGCTGAGATTAACCCCGTATTCAATTTCGAGTTTTTATCTTTCATCTTCAACCAGTTCACCGATGATGGTTCTGCGTACTCGTGGCTCCTGCGGTTCAAAGACCAACCAACTCTGGAGAGGTTCCAGCAAGGCCTGCTGCAAGCCCTCTGGGAGCGTCTCAATGAGATGAAATGGTCGAAGATCAAGGATAAGGAGCGCGATTATGTCGCTGATGCCTTCAACGACCTCGCAATGGAGGACTCGGAGAGTGTCGAGGAAGAAGAGGAAGAAGGGAGGGACGAAGACGGGGAGTCTGAAGAGGAGGAGGAAGAGGAGGAGGAGGAGGATGACCGTGCACAGAGCGAGCACTATGACAGCGACGAGGAGCAGGACGATGTTGACTATAAACCCAAGGACGGCGATGTCAATAAGATGCTCGCTGTCGGTTACAAGCACGACCGGTCATTTGTCGTGCGCGGCTCCAAGATCGGCGTCTTCAAGCATACGCCGAACAACCACCTCGAGTTCAGCACCAACATCTCGAAAGTTCAGACGCCCAAGGGCGAGCTGTTTTCTCCCAAGAAGGTTATGCTCCATAATGAGGACCGTAACCTTATCCTCCAGAAGGACAACGACCCGAACAAGCTGTACCGTATGGATCTCGAGTATGGCAAGGTTGTTGACGAGTGGACGGTTCACGAGGACATCCCCGTCGTTACCTTCGCCCCTGAGAACAAGTTTGCCCAAATGACCAGCGAGCCTACCTTCCTGGGTATCAGTCGTAACGCCCTCTACCGTGTCGATCCCCGCTTGCCGGGCAGCAAGCTGGTCGACTCGCAGCTCAAGCAGTACGTCAGCAAGAACGATTTCAGTGCTCTGGCCACTACGAAACAAGGCTACATCGCCGTAGCGTCCAACAAGGGCGACGTGCGCCTCTTCGACCGCTTGGGTATCAATGCTAAGACGCACATCCCTGCCCTCGGCGAGCCCATTATTGGCCTCGATGTCTCTGCCGACGGCCGTTGGGTCCTCGCCACCTGCAAGACCTACCTTTTACTGATCGACGCGCTGCAAAAGTCGGGCAAGAACGAGGGAAAGCTCGGCTTCGAGAAGTCTTTCGCAGCCGACGCCAAGCCCCAACCGCGTCGTCTGGCTCTGACCCCCGAGCACGTTGCACAGTTTGCCTATGAGACGGGCAAGGGCGTGAGCTTCACACCGGCCAAGTTTAACACGGGTGAGGGTGCCGAGGAGACGAGCATCATTACTGCTTCTGGCCCGTACATCATTGAGTGGAGCCTGAAGAAAGTTCTTGCGGGTAAGAAGGCGCCATACCTCATCAAGAGGTACACGGATGATGTCAAGGCGGACGACTTCAAATTTGGTACGGATAAGAATGTCATTGTTGCTCTGCCACACGAGGTCAACATGGTCAGCCATGCTAGATTGAAAAGGCCTACCAGAGAGAGTATTGCTGGAGACTTTGGACGCAGGACGTCGGCGAGGTATGCCACGCCTGGTAGGTCCCGGTTGGGGAGAGGAGATATCGTGCAGGAGTATTGAAGTGGTGAGGGAGGGTGAGGGGATTAGAACGAAAGGGTGTCTTTGCCTTTTTTTTTGTTCCTTTGTGGAGTTATGGAATACCAAAGTGATATCTTTTCCCTGGCATGGTGGTCGATGGGATGTGATGTTAATACCTTGTTGTTTGGAAGTTGTTTCTGTTTGGTGCCTGATGTTGCTATGCTAAGGGATCTTTGGCGGTGAATGTGTAATCCTCATGTAGTGATATTGTTATTTTGAGAAATACGACTGACCTTTCTGCGAGCTTTCAGATGTCTTAGTTTCCTGCCACTCAACTGCTTGCCACGCGGCTTTGCAGCCTTTTTGGTTGTGCTGGAGACTCCCAAGCTCCGGTTTAGCCGTATACTGGTCTGGATTTAGAAGTGTGCAGAAAGCACCAGTAATCCTTCGAGCCTCTATGTTTTGGCATCTAACGCCGCAGTCTAATATCTTCACGATGATTGGCGCCATTCTCTCGTCTACACTAGTCTTTTGACATTAAGGCGCCTGTGCAGCCATCCCAGCTCGACTTCGACTCAGAGCCTTGTGTAACATGTGCCCACATATCAGGTCGATGCTGCACTATCTTTACTCGTCCGGCCTCCAAAAACAGCTAGCCTACTGCTCGAGTACCCTTACAGCAGTAATGCGTCCCTGTAATAATCCGGCTAAGCGATAAAACTGCATCGTGACTTCAGAGGGTGAAACATGGCTTGGGGCCCGCATGTGATGGTTGGTAACGAGAAGGGTAATGGAGACAACGAGGGAGGTTGGAGTTCAACAAGGCTGAGAAGTGTAGTCGATAATGGATAAAGGCTGTTGACACTTTCCAACGTTCAAACTATTTTCACTTTGCGGCGGATGATCGCCGGTTTACGGAAACGGGGAACATCCATCAGCAGCTGTTTGGACATTCTTTCAACACGACCGACCTCCAGACTACGACCTTCGCTTCAAGATAGATTTGCCGATGCTTCATTCCGGCCCTACTGCGTCGGGGTTACTCACAATGACTTTGCCACCAATCATTACATTTCAGGCTTCTCAGCATACTACGGTATACGGTCGCTCAACCGACATTCCCACGCTTTTCTCAAGGCAAGAATTCGACTTTTCTCTAGCCACTCACACATCTTGTCCTGATTATGTTGGTGTGGAAGAAGGAGCCCTAATACTTGCAATCCCTATCCTTGCCACTCTTTGGATCATTCCGGTCGCAGTATTCTGGTTCTTCACTTTCCGGCTCGTACCTGAGAAGGACTCCCCATTTCGCCGAGGCGTTATCTGGTTGAAGGGGGTTTTTCCCCTTTGGGTGATGTACATTCAACATAGTCGATATCGATTGACTTAGGGGCTAACTGACAAATCGTTAGAACCTTACTAGTTATGACAATATACGGTGCTTGGATAGCCGAACTGAAAAGGCTTGGAAATACGGGGGTAATCCTCTCAGAAGGTCATGCCTTTGCCCGTCATGTCTCTGATGTTGTGCTCTTTATTACTCTGTTTTGAGCTCGGCCACGGCCTTCTCTTCCATTTTGGTGGACAGCCAGCTTGGGTCAAAAAGAAACTTCGCTTTTTCATCCTCCAATGGGCAGGAGTCCTAATTCTACTCTCCGGCATCGTATTTGGCTACGCAATCTATGCAATTCTTGAGGAATCGTAGGTCATCTACTCCTCATATCTAGCCAAGATGTCACTGAATGCGTGTTGACAGCGGTGAATCGAAAGCGATGGGATATCCTGGAGTAAATTTAGGGGGGCCGTTGCTATCTTGATGTGGATTACAAGCATTCCTCTACTTGGCTTCATTTGGTTCGTGTACATAACACTCAGGAACGATTCAGCACTGATTGATGTAAGTTGGGAATGGTGACTATCAGCCATATTAGAGCCATCACTCTCAAGACTTCATCCGCTAACAAAAGCTATCAACGCACAGAAAAGGCCATGTCTGCTACTCCTATTGTCTGCCATCCTCGAATTCATTCGCCTTGCTGTCATCATGGCAGTTACCATCTGCTGGTATATCATACCAAAAGAAGCTTGGGGTGATCGCCTCTTCTATTGGATAGAGGATCTGGACCAAACCTACTATATCGATGCAGGGTCCTTCAGTGAAGTCCTGGCTCTATGGGTTATCTCACCGCTTGTCGACACTACCTGCATGGGACTGCTTCTCATCTTTCTCTACCTAGCCGTTCGCAAACCCGCCAGAGGACGCTGGTCGCCTATTTCTCAGATCGAAGTAACTACTCCAAAGCAAGACAGTGTACAGAATCCTACAGATTCGAAGACCTCGACCAGCACCTACAATGAACCCACTCATCCATCTAACCCTCCTTCAAGCGGAGTGAATTTCCCGCTCAATGACTTGTCCAGGTCTCTGAGCAACATACCAGCCGCCATAGCTATGTCCCAACAGCAAATGCAGAACCAGGCACAGTCCCAACAACCACTGATCCTGATGGTGTTACCCTGTGGGCAGATGATGTCACAGACATCACAGACATATCAACGACTTTTCCAAGCGGCTGAGCTACTTGCTAATATCGTGGTGCCATCCCCCAACCAACAGCCGGCAGGACAGGGGGGAGGGACGAATACTGTGCCTGACGTGCCAGCGAATGTGGCCGAGTTGAAAGGGAGTTATCCAGGGGATAACTCACTCCATTTAGGAGGAAACGGCGTGGTCTCGGACCAGCCCAGTACTGTGTGCCCATCGATGCAACCCTGAAAGTTATCTTATTTTGTTAAACAAATCATTACGACCTACGAACATGGCGAAAACGCCACGAAGGGCGTTCAGGAGTGTGAAATCTTCCAGGTTGGCACAATTTACTAATATCTACGATCTTAAACATGTACGCATAGAAGAAGTCCACCTTCTTCAGGCTAGTACAGGCAGATTGCTATTGGTGGATACATGAGCAGTGTTGGACGATGTCAATGACGTAAGTCATCCAATACTAACTTGGCTTTTAACCTAATAACTGAAGCTCTTCTCTGAGCTACACACTAGCAACAACAGAGAAGTCTCATCACTCTTTTAACTGCTTATACTTATTAGCACTCAAAGACGTTAGCATGCCATCTGAAGTCAAGGACAAAAAAGGTGAATCGATACAAGAAGGAGAGCATGTGTTTGCACGTTCGAGAGGTGGTAGACACGAAGGCGAAGTTGAGAGGATAGTGACTTCCAAAAAAGAAGCTGAGAGGGAAGGTGTCAAGCATTCGCCAAAGGTTTGTCAAGATTGCCTTGAGTAATAGCAAAGTCTAACCACCTTCAGGTCCTCTACACTGATCAACATGGCCATCATGTCCAGCATAACCCAGCAGCCATAGAGCATGGGGAATATAAAAAGTAACTTTACTAGGCCACTAAAACAGAAATGAAGGCATATGTAATGTGTCGGGCCGGTAAAGAATGTCTTAATTATCATCTGACAAGTTGCCATATCGTGAGGTATCATCAGCAATTACTCCCAACATTCCTAGCAATAATCCCAATCTCGTTTTCATCATGCCATGCCATCATCACAAGCTATGTACATATATTTTAATTACAAAACAACTGTTCAGTCCCCTAAGCCCTCACCTCTGCCCCCTTGGACGATCCCCACCCATGCACATGGAAGGTCCCACTCAGCTTCTTCTTCAGCCCCATCTTCTGCAGAAGTGACACCTTATCCTTCGCCTTAACCGCAGCCTCAAACTCCTTATCGCGCTGGTTGCTTGGTGAGAAGAGAGATATTGGCAATGCGCAGGGCGGCAGGCCGTTCGGGTTGCGTTGGGCAGCGACAGCGTTGGCGTTAGAGGTCGCGCTCAGCCCGGCCAGGTTCAGCGGTGCGGGGGCGGCGCCCGCGCCGTGGTCTTCCCACCCGTCGGTGAACCTGCTTGAGTTGGGACGCTTCCGCCAACCTGCTGCTGCTGCTCTTGCTGCTCCCGCTGCTGGATCTGGGTTGGGGTCGAGATACCCAGCCCCTGAGCCTGAGCTTGCTCCTGACCCTCCTTTCCTCCGCTGCCAGGCCGCTGCAACACCGACCCAGTGCTGCTCCGATACCCACTATCACCCGACTTTCTCCCGAGCACTACAGCCAAATTTGTCTCGCTTCCACAAGCTTCCGGCAGACCGGGCAGGGTGCTCCGGCTGCTCATGGCCCCAGGAATGCCGCCCATCATGTCCCTCCTAAACGTCTCAGTTCCTTCTTGGACAGGGCTTACGCTGTTACTGAAAGACGTGAATGCCGTGTTGACCGTCGACGCGGGGCTCACCGCGCTGTTGAGTGTCGTGGCCATGGAGCTGATGCTGCCCATGGAGCTGACAGAGCGGCCTGCTGAGGGGCTGGTGGAGAGGGCTGAGGCCGGGGAAGCCTCTCGGAGGAAGGTAGGCCGATGGGTGGGGATTTGGAGGGTTGAGAGTTGTCTGCGGGGGTCCTGGGCCCGGGTTGTAGTGGTCGTGGGCTGGGCAGAGGGCTCCGGTGTGGCCGTCATACTGCGAGCAGGAGGGAGCTCAGTTTCTTCCTGGTCAGAGGCAATGTTCTCGTCGATACGGCGCATCGGTGGCTCGACACTGCGTTCACGGAGGGAGCGAGGACCACGGTGACCGCGACGGAGGGCTTTGGCCTGAGGAAGTTGCTCGGGAGCAGACTGGGCTTGCTCGGATATCTCAGGCATAGTCGAGACAGAGCTCGGGAGAGGAGGAACCGGGGGCTGGGTCTCCTGCTCACTCCCCTCTAGCTTCCTGAGAATAGCCTCGCTCGAGGTACGGCGCACACTAGCCCGACGATGCATGTCAGGGCTGGACGGCAGACCGATGATCACGCCGTTAGGAGGATTGCGAGGTCTAGAACGCCGCTTGGTCGTGCTTGCAGCTGAGGACTCAGTCTCATCGGCAGAAGGATGGCCATCGGCATTCTTGTCAGTCAGTGGCAGGGAAACCTCGCTGCGGGTCTGACGTATCGAGCCAGTCCTCAAAGGACGGAGGTCGACGCTGTTGGCACGGCGATGAGAATCCTGTCTTTTCAGGGGAGTGGTTTGAATATCGGCTGGCGTTTCTGCCTGCTTCTTCTCTTGCTGCTCCTCCTCCTGAGGGACCTCATCCAAGCGAGTCTCGTAATCCGGCTTCTTGGGCTCCCACTTCTCCTTGCTTGAGGATTCATCCTCACTGTCACTGTCCCTCGCATTCTTCCTCCTCTTAGCCCGAAGGCTGTGCTTGCCGCCAAGGGCACTTCGGGCACGCAAGCGAGACCGGCCACGCTCGGCGTCCCGGTCCCTGTTGTCTTCCTCTTGACGAACTGCATCGAGAAGGTGCTGTTGGACGGCGATGGGACCGTGAAGAGGGCACGAGAGGACGTTCGGAGACAGCTTCCGCAGCACCTCGGCCTCGGTCGACTTCTCGATGGGGCAGTAGCGGCGACGCTCGACTGCCTTATGGCATTTCATCCACTGGATGAAGTAGTGCTGCTGCCCAGCAGGGCAGCCAGTGTAAGGAGTGTAGTCGTAGGTGCACATGTCGTTGAGATTGTCGACAGTGCTAAGACGTTGAGTGACCGAGTGTGAAGACTAAGGACTGACTGATGTGACAGATCTCCAGTAAGGTAACGGAGTACCTCAGCACCAGGCTGGGTGTATTAGTATTATACAATGGTTAAATGACTACACAAGGAAGGACTGAAGACGAAACTGCTTGAAGATCATGAGAAAACAAGACTCCATTGAGGACAGGGGGGAAAGGAGTGACTTGAAAATATACGAATTACCCGCTTGACCTTCCGTGGTATTGATCATGCCGGTTGCGCAACACCTGCGGTGAGTTCGCATGCTGGTGTCAAAAAAAAAAGGCTCACATCACGCTATCGAGTGCCCGCATCTGGTATCTGCAGCTGGCGAGGGCACCAATTTCCGCTGTGATATCGGTGCCGAGACCTGCCATCGCCGAAGTGAGCAACGCACAATGGCATCACCACCAGCGCCGTCCAGCCAGCTTGCTCACACCCCGCACGTTTGTCGACGTCGACGTTCGCGATGGACCAGGACACCATGTGGACGAAGATAAAAATAGAGAGGTCCTGCACGGATCGCTGGCCAATCAGAGAGTGCGCTTAACGCCCCCAACGAGCCGGGCTTCTCTTGGCGATCGCTGGCTGGTGTGATGCCCCTGCGGGTGATCGGCAGCAGAGCAACGCCATTGGCTGCCCATTGGGTTCGGCATGCAAGCTGTCAACGAAGAACGTGCAGCTGGGCGCTTACACACCTCCCTCACACCTTGGCCAGAGGGCGTGCAATGGAACGTTAACGGTGGGAGATATTTTCCTTGTCTGGGAATTAGAAAGCTGCTGGATATTCGACAATTCGAGCTATTTTGCCTGGGGAGACCTTGATTGGAAGCTTCGATGCCATTTCCCACCAACTTCCCACTAAAAACCTGCTTTCAGCGGAGGAAATGGAGAATCGAACGATAAACTATTCAGAGATTGGAACGGAGGATAACCCTTCACAGTTGCTGGGATTTCGGCTTTCCTGATGCGAGTTGATTGAGAGAGTGGATTTGCATGATTCTATCTTGGCGAGATCCCTGGAACTACATGCTCCAGCAGCGGTCGTCACCGCAGTTCCCATCATACAGGACCCAGAAGGATCCGGGAGTGGCGAGGAAGTCAATGACTACAATGGCCTTGTGTCAAACCGTAATTCTTTCAAAATAGCCACTCAATATCAGGCTTCTGAAAGGGCGAGATGCTTATTCAACCTCAACATCTGAATGAGTCCCCCTCGAGATCTATTCTGTCAGCAAGTCGGTGCCTCTGAAAGAGGGATAGCACCCAATTCCCCGCTCTGAGTTGCTCATTGAGGCCAACCTGCTAAACCAGTTTAGTCTATGGGCTATTCCCTTTCCAAAACGGTTAGAAGGAATGTGATGTCGGTGCAGAGGATGCTATCCTCCAAGAATAGCTATCACGGTCGACAACTCCGCAAAATTGAGAGATCATTCCCCAGCCCTCTACGTCACTAATATGTATTTTCATTCGCTGGATTTCGTGCCTCGGCTGATCCGCTGCTTTTTTTAGTGCCCAGCTGCCTGGTGGTGATGCTTCACGCAGTCCAAGAGAGCTGCCTGCGTGGTTGAAGTCGCCAAACGCTGAAAATGGTGCACGAGTTGAAGGCTTGAGATAGCACATGATCACGGAGCTCTCCCAGAGATGTGTTAAACACCATGATTCGTCGTTATCTTTTGCTGCTGGTCAAGTTGATGCCATTTTCAGGCTCCTTAGTGTAAAGCTATTTGCCCCTCATGAGTCATCGTCAGTGTGCGTTGTACGATCGAGGGCGGCGGAGAGGGCAACCTCAAACCAGTGATACAGGTTGAATCAGTACAACCTGCCAATGGGTCAACGAAATTGTTGAATTGAACCATATGAACTGTTGTTTCAAGTAAAGATTGTAGAAATTTAATTGTCTTGAGATACGGTCTGTTGTGCTACCGAAGCTTTCACCGTTCTTCTATTGGGTAAGAGCTACTGTAGCCGGAAGGCGCTTAAGTTGAGACTTAACTCTCGTTTGAGCTTCCAACTGGTGTTTAAAGGTAAAATTTGAGCAAACAACTTAGACAATTGTCTATGAAAGTGCATATTGTAAAGATGTGAACAGATGGGTAAGGGGGAGGAACCAACAAGCTTGCTGTGCCACACAACGACATGTTTTATCCACTTCTACCCCAGCGGCTGGGTGTAGTACCCAAGCGCCCTCTTCCCGAAATCCTAATCTCCCTACACTGCAGCACAGCTTCAGCGTCTATGCCGAGTTGAGCAGTTTTAGAACCCCAATTACACTCACTCCACTGACAACGCGGTCGAATTTTGGCGAACAATTCCAGAGCTCCGGGTCGGGAAGCGCTCTCCACATCTTCGTCATGTATGTAGACGCTGAAGCAGCGGCTGCATGTACCGGCCGCAGATCACGGCCGCAGCTACAGCGAATACAACATTGGCAGCGATGCTTCTCAGCCCTACGCAAATGACTAGTCCAGGGGTTTGATGGCTTGAGAATATATTGCACTGGTTTCACGGCATGCGGTGAGTGTTGACTACACTTCTCGTTGGAGGGGGAGTAAGCAGGCTGAGCGTCAACGACCACGCAGGAAAGAGATGGTTAACAAGCAGGGCGGCGTACCGAATTTATCATGAACCAGAACTGCTCGATCTCAGTGGATTCTGACCGATGAAAGTAAGTCTCAGGTAGGTAACCTGGTCTTTTAGACATTGGAATGCGACTGCAGGCTCGAACTTTGGACATTCACTTTTCAAATATGTCCTTGAAAAGCTGGCCCAGAAAGGATCAATAAGTTGGCCATCTAGATAGACCCGATGATGAGGCTGTGTCTTGAATGTCGAGCGGCTACTCTCATCACACTTCCCCCAGGTCTCAGCTGGACGCAAGTCACATCAGCCTGCCAGCACAGGATTCATTTCAGCCCCAGCATTCGCTCACTGGTCCGTCCCAGTCAGACGGGGCTGTCTTTCTCCAATAAGCCACATCATACTTATCACCAGAGTGTCAGCCACACAACCACAAGCCATCGGGAACGAAACTCTTATCATTCCCTCTACCTAACCTCACGTACTTCCTCATTACCCCATCCACCTGAATTACAATAACCCCAACAAATCATCACTCGCCTTCCCACTTCCACTCTGTGCTCCTTGCTCTCCAGTATTAATACGCCCCAGCTGCTGCCCAGGCGGCGGCGGCGCACTGGCCCCACTCAAGTCCAGCCCAGCAAACCCAGACATCAAATCCGCCATGCCTCCACTTCCTGCTGTCAGAGTTGGGGCAGAGGTTGAGGTAGACGAGGAGGTAGGCTGCAGCGGCGGGGCATCCCACAGCCCCATGATATCAGCCATTGCGCCAGTCGGCTGTCCCATCGGCGGGGGACTAGCCACGCGATCGGGGGTACCGGGCGTCGCGCTGGCGGGAACAGCACCATCGAAGTCGATGTCGAGCAGGTTCTCCACATTCGCCTGAGGAACAGCAGCCGCACCGGCGGCGCCGTTGGCACCGACAGCAGCAGCAGCAGCGGCCACAGAGGCGGCAATGGGATTTTCAGCTGCGTTCTGGCGTAGTTCCTGGATGGCCGCTCGTTGGATGGCGTCGGCGCCGAAGCGACCCTTGCCAACGAATGACTCCGGCGGTTTGTGGTAGACTGAGGCAAGAGTCGAGAGTTCGGAGAGGAGTTGTTCCAGGAGAGGAGCGGGTAGGGAGGAAACGGTTGTGGTGATGGGTGGTTTTTGAGAGAGAATGATGTTCTGGGTTAAGGTTAGCAATGAAGAGAAGGTTAAGGAAGGGGTCAGGGGACGAACCTTTGCGACATCCAAGTCACCAGAGAGGAGACGCCAATAGATGTAGGCGCGGTCGCGGATATCGGGGTTATCGCACTCAGCCGTAGCGAGCTGAAGCACTTTCTGTACGAGTCCTTGGTTGTTTTGAGGCTTCTTGAGGAAGAGCTTCACCACGGCGGTGAGGATTTGCAGTTGGGTCTGCGATGTTAGCCGACATAACCTACAAGTCAAAATGAGCGAACTCACCTGAGTAAATTCCTCCGTAAAAACTTCCACAAAACCTGCTAATATCTTGTCCGCATTGCTGATCTTCTCGGCATACTCGCCGACAATCCAAATGAGTGCCCCACGAGCATCGGGATTGTCCAACTCGTCGATGTACTTGCACAGCGTCGGAATCACGCCCTCATATCCAGGATACTTGCGCAGGATATCCTTTATGACCACGATCACCTCCTGCACGACATAGTTGACCTTCGTGGCTATGAGGTCGAGCAGGGCATTTACGCACTTCTCAGCCGCAGCCTCGATCTTAATAGCCACTTGGCCGATAGCCTTGATTGCCCGCTTAACAAAGTCGATATCTAGCTCCAGTGCGTACTCACGCAACTCTGAAAGCAGCTGCTCGTAGTTGCGCTCGTTCGCTATTCTCACCATAATCTCAAGCTTCTGGAGCTTGACGTACGGCGGATCGTTGTACTTGCAGAAGAATACCCTCATCTCCTTGCTGAGGATGTCGGGCTTGGCTTGCAGAAGCAAGTCGATGTTCCTGAGCGCGACATATTGCACCTCAGGGGCAGAAGAAACAAGGGTAACTAATCGGTTAGCGGGGAATCGGAACAGTCGCAAAGAAGTAGACGTACCTAACGGAGGAGCCATCTTCTTGAGATATATTCGGACCAGTTCCGGGTTAATAACCTTCATGTGGATAAAGACAACCTTGATGGCAGCCAGGACGACGCTAGGGTTGACATGCTGGAACTGTGGAACTACACGCTCGCAGATGTGTTCCGATTCCTTCGGGTCTGTTGGCGGGTAATTGGCGAGAGTAGTCAGGATAGTAACGCGCCCCCATTCAGTGCACTCATTCAGAGCCATAAGCAGCTTTTTGAGCGTAGCGGGTGTCATGATCAGGGCATTCGTCTCGGGCGCAGTCTCCTGAATTTCGGCCAATGCCTGCACTGAGTTGGCGACGACCATGGGATTCGGGTCGCCGATCATCTCCTTAAGCATGTCCAGAAAACCGTTCTCAATGCACATGGTTGGGTTCATGTCGAATAGTTTGGCCACGCAGATGGCAGCGGTCTTGCGCACGTATGGTGACTCGTCTCGTAGCGTTTTGCGCAGCGGCTCCTCCAAATATTCCACCATCTTGTCGACGCGAACGCAGCCCATGGTCCGGATGGCCAACGCGCGGATAAGAGGATTCGGGTCTTCTGAGTCCTGGACGAATGTGTTCACGGCGAGAATGCAAAGGTCAGGATGTGTTTTCGCATAATTTCTGTCCAAGTCAGCGTTCCGCCGTTCTTATATCGAAAAAATCCTGGGACCTCAGGGGCCAACGAACATTAAGTACAGATAAACGAGTTTCTTCTGGTCCAGATCAGGAGTCGCAATGTTCTTGAGCACGTCAGGGAAAAGCGCCGACACATCTTTGCCCAGTGTCATGGCCATGATGGTCTTCTGGATGGCTTCCTTGCGCTCATGGGCATACTGCGACACCAGGCCGGCGCGAAGCTCGAAAGTCTCGCCCTTGCGCGGGGGTGCGAAGGCCCCGCGGATTCTGTTCACGGCGCTAGCCATCGTTTGTGTTGGGTCTGAGAATTACGTGCTGAAGGGTATCACGGAAGCGATTTGAGTGGCTTGGGTACTTAAACTTCGAAAGATAGGTAGGGCGTGGGCAACAGGTTGTTTAAAGGGCCCAGGGGGAGAGGGGTCCGCAGGAGGGGGATCCAAAGGGGGGCGGTGAGCTGACGGGCGCAAGAGAAGATGAGGTTTCGGTTATCAAGAATAGGCCCAGAACATCAGCCGGCCGTTTTGGCTTAGAATATGCCCTGGAAGTTCTGTAATTGGGCAAGCCAGGGCGACTGTCGAGGTGCGGTTGCCGCAGGCCGTCAATGTGGGATGGCGACTTGCTGGCCAAGTCTGAACATCGTCAGTCTGGTCTGTCAGCTACGTGGCTTGGCAGCGTGCTCTAGCCACAAGCGGGTGGCTTGACCGCGGGGTCTTCCACCCAGTCTCAACACCATGGTTTCAAGACTTGGAGCTTTACATAAACAGACTTCCGTCGCCGAGCCTTATAAAAAGTCTGGAATTGGATCGAGGGGGAACCAATGGTATGGTATAAATTTCCAATAGGAGAAATCTTGTAGCTGACATCTTAGCCAAACGTCCCAAATCTACGTCGCCTCTTCATCGAGGCCCGAACCGATGATGAAGAACGAGCCGTATCAAGAAAAGCTGTAAGTTTACAGCACTCAGCAATCGCGATTTATTCATCTCCTCTAACAGCGTTGCTTAGTTCTACAATGCACTCCTATTTCTCGGATCTGTAGCCGTCTTTAGCCTGATAGCTCAGAGAATGAATGCAACGAAATGAAGTCTTTCCATGTCCCGACATACAGCTGACCCATATCATTCTTGAAAGCCTCTGGGCACTATGACGCTCGAAAAAGGATATCTGTAACGAAAAGGAGTAGGTAGTGATGAGGAGACAAAAAGGGAAAATGCGCAAAAAAACAAGGCGGTCCCATTGAATGAGCGTCACCTGTAGGATTCGAACCTACGCTCCCGAAGGAACTGCCTAATCAGCTAACCGGTGGATTAGCAGGGCAGCGCGTTAACCACTCCGCCAAAGTGACTTGTTGCGGGATACGCCGACAATCGAACTTGATAAACACAAACTCACAGCGCCAGAATGGCGAAACCCAACAACTTCGAGAAATATCCCCAGAACCACCTCATTTACTTTAGAGGAGTTAGGTTATGAGCCCAGATGATAGATTCAAGTGTTGGCATCACGGCTATAGTCCATGCCGTACCATAGCAACAAACATGTTTTATGCATGCTCCAAACAGCACCATTGTAAAGCAATCCCTGGGTATCTCTATTGTACAAGCCATATTTCAGACCGCAGCAATAATACCATAGCAATCTTAGCCAAGCACAGTAGTGGACCACCACCTCACTTTTGGGCTTTGTTTACTCCGAATCGCTCTCATCGCCCAGGAATGCCAGCGGATCCTTTCGTTTTACAGGCCTCTTCGCCCTGACTGCGATCTTGCTGCTACTCTCTTCATCATCACTCTCCCCGCTCTTCCTGCCTTCCTTCTCTCGCTCTTCATCCTCGCTCTCTTCATCTTCAATTTTGTATCCCCGTCGTCCAGCCTGTGCAGCAGCTCGTCTCCTAGCTCCCCGACCGCTTTCCCCATCCACAATCCCCAAGCCCCAGCTCTTCTCCCCCTGAATCACCTCACCCAACTCTGCAGCCAACTCCCTGCGCTCACGAATCTCCTTCGCCTTTGCCTCGCTGAAGCGTCCGGTCATACCAACATCCACAAGCGCCTGCTTGAGCACAGCAATCTTCTCCTTTGCTGTGTTGGCGCCCCGCTTCTTGAACTCAAATGCCCAGACCTTGCGCACACCACATTTGAGGAGTTGTGTTTGCAGGAGTTTAATTTGCTGTTCATCAGGGGAAATATCTGTGCCGGAGGCGGAAGTAGATTTACTACTACCCCTTTTCGAAGTGGTCGTACCAGAGCCCTTTAGAGCGCGCTTGCGCTTCTGAGGGGGAGGTTCATCAAGAACAGAGGAAAGTTCACTTGATGAATCATCATCTTGTTTGCTGTTTGCCGACTCCTCTGCCATGGGAGGGGCCTTAATGGAAGCTGATTTGGCTTTACCCTTATGTTTGCGATTGGCCAGGTCGTCATCGATGACGGAAGACAGCTCGCTCGACGAGACTTCAGCGGCCTTCTCGGACTTTTCGGAAGCATCGGACATAGGGCTATCGCTTTCTTGTGCCTTGGACTCCTCTCTCTCCTTTTCTATGTTTTCCTCCTCGTCATCTTCGTCACCGGAGCTAGTCTTTGATTGTCTCTTCGGTTTTATCATAACCTTGCGTTTTTTGGAAGGCCGATCTGATACATCCTCGCTCTTCTCGGACTCTTCCTCAGGAGTTGAAACCTTCTTCCTGCGACCCTTTTTCGTGCCGTTGGAGGTGGTGGCACCAGTCCGACCCTTCTTCTGGGGCGGAGAGGGCTCTTCTTGCTCCTGTGACACATCCGGTTCGTTCTGAAGCTTTTCCTGCAGTTTGTTAGCGTATGCAGACCTTTAAGCTAGAAGTCACCAAACCGGGTGTACATACCACTTCCTCAAGGATAAGCTGTTTGCTCTTCGCCTTCCAATCACCCTCCTTCAAAAAACCTTCCTCAAGCCCAAGCTTCTTCTCCACAATTTGCCGGGCATAGTTGACAGTTAGTTGATCCCGATCATTCTTCCATATCTCACGAACAGCTTTGACAATGGTTTGGGTGACCTTGTCGGAAATCCGAGGTGCCATGGTATGCATGGAATCAAACTGGACAAATATGGATAAAATCACCAGATGTTATACCTGGCAATCGAGATAAACCAAAACTAGGTCCAGAACAGTAACAATGTTGAAGCTGCTAACAGACGCGGTCTGACGGGTTATGTGATGCGCGATACGTTGTTGAACGCGACTGTGGCGGGGCCACAGCCCAAGCAGGCTGCCGATTCATGCACGCCATGCATGGAGCAACGACTAGCCATCGAAGAGTGATCTGTGCACCATGGTTCCACCAGGTGGGTCTGCGTGCAGGCCTTGCCTGTCTTTTGGCTGCAGTTCGAATTCTTTTACTTGCCTACATACCTATTCAATAGCCAAATACCTGGAATAAGAAACATCTTCTGTGGTCTGTCCAGATGGTGTTCTCAACAAATTTTAGGCGGAATTTGATATATGCCAGTTGAGCTGCAAATCTAAAGTTTATGGTGATGATTATCAAGTGTCAGCTGTAGCCAACGCTGCTGGCTGAGGACTGAGGAAGTTACCAATTTATAATGATTCAGGTTGTACAATCTGGAGAATGATGTAGTGGACGGTCGACGAGCTGTCTTGCTGTAACCCCTCCAACAATAATATCAAATAGCTCCTAAGGGTACTGGAATAGTGGAGGATTACAATTGATTATGCTGGTAACAAGTTCAGTGCTTTGTGGCTTGGCGATTGAGGCACAAGGGCATTATGTTGGGCTGTGCTCAAATGTCAACCCATGTAACAGCTGGCGACGTATAACTTCGTCACCCAGGGCCGAAGGTAGCATCCATTGATCAGAACCCGCTCCCAGTCCGCTGACTAGAAGAAAATGTCAAGTCCAACAATGTACGTGGAAGTCTATGAATACACCGAAACCATATAACACTGGCATTGCCCAACCCAGACTTGCCGATCATATCCAACTCAACTTGGCCCAAAGTACCCTACGGATCCGCGGTATACCGTCCCTTAAGATATGTTTCATAATCCATCTACGGTTCTGATGCCGAAGATTCATCCCTTCCTCTCTTATTTCCTCTCCACGATCCATTAAAATTATGTTTTACTAGCGCAGCTGGCGGAATAGTTCCGTCGTTCGTACTCCCCGAGTGTTTTTGGCCCATACCAAAGCCATCGATTGTTAAGACATAAATGTCACCGATTAGTCTAGGTGCATTCATGTACGACAGATTCTTCGGCTCCAACAGTGACGGATCGTACTCCTGCAACTGCTCAAAGACGACATCGGTCCACGCCGCCGGCCCTGTTGAGTTCATGACTTCCTTACTGGTTGGCTTCAAGCTCTCTAGTGGCACCTGATGTAATGCAGACAAGTCATCCAACGAAGTCAAGATCCGGCTAATCATCTTCTTGAACACAGGATGTCCCGGGGCGGCGGCGATCGTCCACTGGCAAAACTGAACCTCATGTAGGATGTCTGCCCACATCGGCCCATCGCGACGGTCGAACTCGAGGCCAACGACAAGCCTTACGCGGTCCTTAAGATGCGGCGGTACCCAGAAGTCGATGGGCTTAAGTGCGACGGTGTCGGTATCACTGTAGACGCCACCCTCGACGGAGAGAATCAAATATCGCAGAAAATCAGACTTCTGGCCGACGTTGGGCATTTTCTCCCATGTGGAGAGGATGCGCGGATTGTCACCGAAGTATTGCCTGACAAAGCGATCTCCGCGATCCTGACCGATGAGGTTGCTGTGGAGGGATAAGGTTAACGTGCATTATATTGTCGTCGTGGAGGATCGACAAGCTTACTATTCATAGTCCGGATTCAGAGCAAGCCAGGACGGGATATCCTTGAGCTTTGCAGGATCCGAGATCCAGGTTTGATTCTGTAAGACCCTCTTAGGGAGCATGATCTGCCATATCTTCCGTGGAATTCCGGTATTATCAATGGCAGCAGCGCTATGTGATGAATGGCGCCAGGCGTCGAGAGCAGGCGTTGGCGATGGGGTGGCGGTAACAGTGACGGTTATCACAGAGGGCTTCGACTGCCCAACCGTTGAGGACTGGACTTGCGGGTGCGGGAGGGTCCTGGTAAAGTCTGTCACATCACGGACGAGCCCTCCATAGACCCAGAGGGCAGCGACGAGCATGCCCAGGGCCAGGCAGCTGAGGGCGTAGACACGGCTCTGGCGACGGGTTGAATGGGCAGCCAGCAGCGCGCGCAGGGAGGAAAACGAATGGGCGAGCGAAGGGGCATTGGAGCCCGGGTGTTCAGAGACGGGCATCATAAAAAACGAGGGACGACGTCAACGGATCGAGATGCACAGGTAACAGGACGACATCGAAGAGAGCGGATTATGAGGACATTTCAACAACTCGGTAGATCGCGGGGAAGGGAACGTGATAGAGAGCGTATCCATGCTGATCCGAAAGAAACATACGGTTGACATGGTTCTCGACCTTTTTTTGGGCCGCGGCTACAAATGCGCTGTGATTCCTTGCCCCTGGGCTGATAGCCTGCGGCAAGAAGGGTTGTCCCGAACACCTGCCCGAGCGGAGGGTTTGCAGGCAGACTAGGCGTCGAGGATGAGCCCAGCCGCAAACGAGTTCCATTCCCCCATCCTGTGGATTCCCCTAGTGGGGTTCTTTCATGGAGACAGTGGGGGTAAGTCTGCAACTCCGCAACGATCCTTGAGAGCGTTCGGCTCGCAGTTTCGTGGTGCTCGAACGGAGCCAACGTTGTTATCAAAATCAGAGGCGTCATAAGTGCTGGGCTACCAGTCTCGTTCTTCTCAGGTGTCTACAATGCGTGCCCGAGCCCCGGAGAGAATATGTCTCGTCTTACCAATACGTCGCACCACTCAGTGTCGGGGCTGAAGTTCAGGTTTCGCCTATTGGACGAGTTCGCAGCAAATGTTGGCGTTACAGCGCAACGCCCCGAGGCTCCCAGCGCAGACCACCCACCTCCACGGCGCGATATCTGTGGGTGCGTTTTGCGGTCTTGTTGCGATGCCAATGATGATTACTGTTGACTATTTTTCTAGGCATGGTGTAGGCCCGTGTGTTTGCAGACTTGGGGGGTTGCATTGGGCTAGCCAACCTACAATAGCTGCAGGCAGAACAGAGATAGCGGAACACGAAGCCCCGTTTCCTCGTACTAACGATTCTGATGGGTCAGGTTTATACTGCGGCACACCACATGATTAACTTGCTGTCACAAAGACGAACGGTGAACTTTGTGTGTGGTTGTGGGAAATTGATCAGGGGGGCCAGATTTTTCGAACGATCTGGAATGTTGTCTTAACCACAGAGCCTGATGACGACATTGGCATGCAAAGCCCTATCCAACTCCATAAGCAACCATCTCAGTTCGGTCCTGTTGTGATGGTGGGCGTTTCATGTTTGTCTTATATAGTCTTCCTGATAGTCTACGACCATCTATTTGTATCATGACTCTCAAGAAGAATATCTGAGCTTGAAGTGATAATAAGCTTATTTCTTCCCCACATGAGCCCTACAACCCTACATATGCCCAAGTGGCGATCAATCTAAGCCACATAAAACTTGACCATTAGCACGCGACACGCCCTTACGGAGCCTTTCGACATGTCCAAGGTCATCTATCAAAGCCCCTGAGAAATAACAAATTTTAGAAGGACAGGTTTCCCTGCTAGGCTCCTGTCATAATCGTTGAAGCCCTCGCACACTTCAGATACAGAGCCTTGCTCCAACTAGCGTATGATACCTGGCTTTAAATGTTAGTAACAAACAAGCCAGAGCCACGATGTGAGCTAGGTCAATATTTGACTGATGATACTTGTAGTGAACCCGTCGTGACAGGAAACACCCTCGACTTGGCCTTACTCTCATGGGTCACTTTCTGTTGATAAGCCTTGAGTTCATCGCCTTCGAAGGCATGGGGTCTGTGTCTCCTTCACATTGCATTTCACACTGTTCTCATTTCAAGAAGAGGTCCAACAATTTTATTTTTCTCAGACTACAGTTTTCATGAGTCTGGTGCTCACTTGGAGACACCGAACTAACACGAGTGACGACAATGCACAAGCCGGAGAAAGTTGGTTGTCTCACCAGTCTTTTTCAGCTTAATGTCGGCAACCGGGCCATCTTCCCGATGGAAGGTCATAATGTCACTGTTGCACAACAAATAATTGAGACATTGATGTGGGATGTGATAAGGCAGAGTGTGGATGGATATCCACATAACACAGAAAGCTGGCCAAGCAGTCGGAAGAGAACCTAATCCCAAAGTCTGCCCTAGCCATGAAACCAGCAAAACCCTAACCCTGATAAGAGCCGCGCTGCCATGGTTGTTGTTGCCAAGACCCGTGCCCCTCACCGCTCGAGCCGTTCAGGGAATGGACACATGAAACAGAACAGGCAGGCATAAAGTGAAGCTGCATTCCACACACATAAGTTTATGGGATATTTTGACGATCACTTGCAAAAAATTGACGTTGTTGTGCCGAGCCGTTGATCATCTATCAGGAAGTTCAGAATTAGATCTGCCACGATGGTGCGGGAATCAATCCTACTGGCACTTGTCGCCCTTCCTACTTCGACCCTTTCCTTGCACACATCTCCAGGCCTGCCCTTCGTAATCAACACCTGGGGCGGCCCCTTCACAGCAGCCACTGATGCTGCTTACCTCGCCCTGATCAACAGCGCAACGGTATCGGCCCTCGACGCGGTTGAGATCGGCTGTGCGACATGCGAGCGCAACCAATGCGATGGCACTGTCGGTTTCGGTGGATCGCCCGATGAATCCTGCGAGACGACGCTCGACGCCATGATCATGGACGGCACAACCATGAAGAGCGGCGCTGTGGCTGGGCTGCGACGCGTGAAGCATGCTATTGCTGTTGCTCGGGCTGTCCTGCACCACACGCGACATTCGTTGCTGGTGGGGGACCTGGCGACGCAGTTTGCGGTTGAAAATGGGTTTGTAGAGGAGAATCTCTCGACAGAGGAGAGCAAGAGGAGATGTGAAGAATGGAGGGCAAGGAATTGCCAAGCGAACTACAGAATGAACGTGGAACCAGATCCTAGCACATCCTGCGGACCGTACAAGCCACTTCCGTTAGATCAGTCGGCGTTGGCATGGGCCGTTGCACAGAATCCGGAGCCGCCGTCGCACGACACAATATCCATGGTGGCGATCCACTCTTCCGGAGCCATGGCAGCCGGCACGTCAACCAACGGAGCATCATTCAAGGTTCCGGGTCGGGTTGGTGACGGGCCTATCGTCGGGAGTGGATCATATGTGGATGGTGATGTGGGCGGGTGCGGGGCGACCGGTGATGGGGACATAATGATGCGCTTCCTGCCGTGTTACCAGGCCGTGGAGAACCTCCGAAGGGGGATGAGCCCGACAGAAGCGGCAGAGGATGCGGTGCGGCGCATGTTGAGGAAGTACCCGGACATTTCAAGCGGGATTGTAGTGGTGAACAAGAAGGGAGACCACGGCGCAGCAGCGTCTGGTTGGACTTTCACCTATGCTTATCGCGGCGGTGAAATGAATGCAACGGCTGTGGTGACTGTGCCACCGCTGACAGCGAAGGATGAGCTTTGACTGTGCTGCGGCCGCAATACCAACCGTTTTTGCCGCAAGTGACACACCAAATAGCGCCAGCGTCATGCAAACTTTTTTTCGCGCTGCAAATTGCTTTTATCCCTTGCGTGAGGCTTGCGCTCGGCGCGGTTTGCCGAGACGTAGCAGGTGCCTGAGAGCCTCTGGCACGCTGAACCCTGACGGCATGCCACAGAGCAATCTGGAGAAGCTCCACTAAACGCAGGTCCCATACCTCTGGACCAATCAAAGGCACAAACCATCTTGTTCCTGCATGTGGGGGACCAATCGGCGGTCTCCACTGATCCGAGCTAAGGCCGCCCTGGGCTCCAACCAGCTCTGCCAGTCCCCTGGCCCAATCTCGGCCACCTGGTTAATATCAGCCATTTGGTGCCATCCGGAGATGTTTGGCCCAAAGACTCGCGCGCTCCTTCTATTTTCCCTCATCTCCGCCCAATTCGAGCGTTCGTGCTGCTCAGCTTTTTCATCCTGGCAGCCTGTGTCGGTATCGTCTTCAGACCGCCATGGTGCCGTGCCATGTCATTCCTTTGAACTGAAGCTGGCGATGAGATAGAGATTTGGTCACCACACACTCCTTCGAGACCTCTGACGACCATCGAGCTTGGCTCCCACGATCTTTCTACACGACGAATTTGTACGACGAACTGCGAGTACAGCAACAGTAACACTACCAGCAGCAAGGCAACCACACAGGCACGCAGGCAGCCCGTATCATCACTCTTTGCATTTATTGACCATCCATTCAACCCATTGCTTTCATTCTTTGACTTGCTTCAACATTTGGCGATATGCGTTGGTTTACCTTCGTTTCTTCGCTTCTTGCAGCGACTGGAGCCTATGCCGCCAAAGGCACCATCTGGGCGACGCCCCATGAGAGCTACTCGTCATCTGTCGGCGTCCTTGGCTGCAAAGTCGACACAAACCGCATCGCTTACTGGCCCAACTCGGTCGACTGCAACAACATATGTGTTAAACTCAAGTACGAGGGCCGCGAGCTGACTCTCCTGCGCATCGACCAGTCTGAGGGCGCCCACGATATCAGCTACTCGGCCTGGAACTATCTCTACACCGGCTACTGGGCCACTGAAAAGCCAGCTGTCGGTGGCCCCTTGCCGATGGAGTACGAGGATGTGGACCCGTCCCAATGCGCTGACATTATCAAGACCAAGGACCACAAGTTGCCGCTCAGCGCCTCCAACAGTATGAACTTTCTGGCTAGCTGTCTCGCCACAGATACCTGGGTTGGCAAGAACTACCAGCTCTATAATATCCTTGACCCCATCTGCTCCTGGGGCCACAATGAGAAGTGCAACCTCGATTGGCCTAACAACAACCAGGCCAGCTGCCCCCATCAGCTGGGCACCCCGGCTGTCTTGACTGACACGCCGGTCTACAACGTCCAGTATATGACTGGCAAGCTGGTCCTTGCATCTTCTGGGCAGGTTGTCGATGGGACAGGTGCCCAGCCGGCGGACAGCGCAGCGTCGACTGTCACGCCCACCCTGCCACTGCCATCTTTGACATCTCTGCCGACGCCACTGACGGTTGTCGTGTCGCATTTGAAGCAAAACATGGGTGGGAGATCCTCGCAGGGGAACAAGGTCGCAATGATGACGATGGGCTTCTTTTCGTACTGGCTGCTTTATGGGTTATGGTAGCAAGTGTTTGATGAATCTTTTTTTCTTGGATACCCTGCGAATGAATATACGTCGTTGATACCCAAACGGTCTTTTCCATACGAGTCTGATGTTTATCCCTGTTTTGTTGATTGTTCCTCCCTTTGTACATCCCTGCGCTGCCCTCGAAAAGTTTCGTATGGCTACGAGTTCTTTCAGTGTCAGTCTACGAATTCGACAGACCTTTGGAGCGCCATCCCTTCGCAGAACGTCTGCGAAGATTCCAATGGCTTTGTTTTCGGCATCCCGCAAGTCTACCTAGAAACAGGGGTGAGATATACATTGAGCTTCCCTTTCTCCCACAAATTAAATATCCGTTGGTTGTCCATCCAGTTCAAGCTGTCATTCGAGATACGCAGGTCGAAGTTCCATAGAATCCTGGAGAGGATAAGACGCATCTCAATGTACGCCAGGTTCTTGCCCAGACAATTTCGAGGACCCAGATGGAACGGCTGGAAAGCGTCCTTATGGTCATCTGCAAACGCCGGATCGCCCAGCCAACGCTCAGGCTGGAACTTGAACGGATCCTTGAAGTGCTCCTCGTTGTGATACATTGCCCATTGGTGGACGGCAACGACAGTCTGTCTCCGTTAGGATCACACTACTCTTCTCGGGTTCGGGTTCGATATCAACTTACATCCTCCGGAACATAATGTCCCGCAACCATGGCTCCTCCCTCCGGGACTACCCGTGGCAGACCGATCGGCACTGGGGGATACATACGCAGCGCTTCGTCAAGGCAAGCCAGGAGATAGGGCAAGGTGCTAACGCTCGAGAAATTGATCTCATCTTCGGATTTGAAGGCGCCCCTGATCTCGGCCGCGAGTTTCCTCAATGCGTCGGGGTTCGTGCAGAGTAGGTATGTCACGCCGGAAAGAAGGGTTGCTGTTGTCTCCGATCCGCAAATAACAAGGATACCGCTGTTGGCGACGAGTTGCTCGAGAGTGAGACCCTGTGGTGGTTAGTCTTCAACTAAATGAACTTAACAGTAACGATTCAGCATACCCACTCGTCTCTCCTCTTCAACAACCCATTAACGAGATCTGGCCGTTGCTCTCTGATCTGCATACGCCGCTTCAGTTTATCCGCCGCCATGGCGTTATGCTTGGCATGCTCCTTGAAGACCCTCTTCGGAATCATCCAGAACAAGAGCTTCATCAATGGCGGGAAGTGCTGGACCAGGCACTGGAAGATAGTCCCTGCCCGGGCGACATCAAAGATGGCCTTCACCCAGGGGTGATATCTCGAGTTCTCAAGGCAACCAAAGCTGTGGCTTGTCAACACTCTTCCCTACCACGCACGAGGCAGAGACAACCCACCTCTCACCAAACGCCAAATCCCCAATAACATCAAACGTCGTAAAATTATACCACGCCACCATATCAACTGGCACGGTGCCATCCCGTCCATGTTCCCTGAGCCTACGAATTAACAAATCAATGTATCCTTTTATCAACGGCTGCTGCTCCCTCATGCACCGATCACTAAACCCGTGGCTCAGTGCTCTCCTCAAGCGAGCATGTTCCTCCCGCCCAGAGTTGGTAATATCGATTGGAATGTTGTCGACGGGCCGGTAGAACTTCATCCACTTGCCCATTTCCTTTTGTAACTCATGCTTTCCCTGGCCAGCGGCTGCATGTTCACTGCCATCACCGGGTAGGGTGCTGGCGCCAGCTGCTGCCCGATGACCCATTATGTCTTTCCATGCCCTAGGGTCCGCAAAAGCGAGCTCGTTAGGGGCGACACGGACAACAGGACCGTAGCGCCGGTGAAGAGCAAGCATGTCGAAGGGGCGGGTGCCGCGGATGTGGGCGAAGGAGTATGGGATACGAGTCACGCGGTTAAGGAGGGGGCCTGGGAAGTGCCGGAGGGGATGGAGGAAGAGGTTGTAGAAGACGTTGGAGAGAATGTAGAGGGCGACCTGGTCGGTGGATTAGGTCTGGTCATCTAAAAGGGAGGAAACGGCGAGAGAGGTGTGCCTCACGGATAGGAAGCTCAGGCCAATGGCCTGGGCTGGGGTCAGTTGGACTTGGAGAAGTTCCACGAGAGCCATCTTGATGCCACCACTCAAGCAGATTGGGCTGCTGGTGATGGTGAGGCCAGAAGAAGGTAGGAGATCTAGATTCTCGATAGGCATTTAACCGTGGGTAGACTTTTCAGCGCTGAAGCCTACTGGCTCTCCCATCCAGACTAATATACATTGCAGTTGTCGGGGTCTAGCGTCGTCCGACACTCCGGTCTTGATGTGGAAGGTAGTTTATGCGGCTTGCAACTGTGTCGTACTCATGCTGGACTAGTGTTGACTCTTGACCGGGTACGAGTACGAGAGAAGGGTTCGGGTGTGGTCCATGATGTAGAAGAACTGCATGATAACCACACTGGCTAGACCTAACCCAATGATATATTTCTCTCACGATGGGACGAGCCTTAGGTGCAGATGGAGCATGGTCATTTTGTTAGAAAGCAACTAAGTTCGACTGGTTGACAGCATCGATGGAGATATCGGTTTCTACAAAAAGCTGCCAAGGATAGAACATTTCGTATACTAAGGTCTCGAAATCAGCCTAGATGAAACCGAAAACGAGCCCGCATGGTGGAGACCAGGGAAAGTTTCGTGTTAAGTTGGACAAACAGGAATCCTCTGGCATCTGACAGCGTTATCTTTAACTTCATATGGAACACAAGAGAGTTTGTTGTCCGCTGTGTATGGCAGCTTAATTAAAGCATTTGTATGCGATGTAGGAGCCCATTTCATAGCAACGAAAGCTTACCTAGCTATAAACTCTTTGTAGGACGGCAAAATTTTACCAAGCTGTCAACATGATTGCTCACCTTGTTCAATTTCCGAAGCTTTTACATTTGTCATCGGCAATAAATCCTGGCATGAGGTACTCTTCACTTAGGAGCCGCATGTAAAAAGGCAACCCAAGACTTGACATCAAGCCACTGACGAGCGCCGTCAAGCCTCATGCTCGCCACAAGCATGTGTCGTCTCTCCTGTCCGGAACGAGCCGTCAAGTTCGGGATTGAGGGTTTGTGACAACGGTGCAAAACAGCAGCCAAAACTCGAAGAAGGCCTGGCTGTGACGAGCTGATAACGACCAAAAGCGCCAAGAACGTGACCGTTGAAGTGGATCCTCAAGCTAACGGAGTTGCAGGTGTTTCGGGCCGGGAAGCGCGAGGAGAATCGGTGACACAAGCCAGTGACGTCGAGGGCCTTGACTGAGGCACCGAGATCTCGCCCAGTGCCCTGGTGGAGGGCTGTGCGCGCTTGATTGGCCTTTGCTGATTGCCGGCTAAACTCGCGAGCGGAACGGCAGAGGAGTAAAGGAAAAGCCGCAGTGATGTGTTCGCTCAAAAGGCCGCGTTGCCAGTCCAGCTGTTAATGGAAGTCCTGAGCCTCTTGAAGTCATTATCCTTTAGTATAGTTCATCTTGAGCCTTGAGGGATCAGAGAAGGAAGATTCAAAACGTGGAGTGGAAGTTGATGACAGCATCTTTCCAGTGATTGGCCAGAAAGGTGCTCAAAAAGAACTCGTGGACCACCAAGCACCAAACCTGGGTGTCACAGACGTTGCTGTCAGCATCTGACATTCTCAACTTGGATGACCTGGCGAGCCTGGCTGGTTCTGCGTTCTGCGTCGTATATAGAATTGGCGCATCAGCGTTTCATTCCGCAGGCTGCAGATGGAGCTCGAGGCATCTATTTCCCGGGAGACACTGAGACTTCTGAAACACCCTGACGTTCAGAGACGGCATTATCAAAAGTCAGGATGCGCCATTTGCGAGCAAAACACTACCTGGATAGCCTGACGTAAACGGGCCGCAACAGCGGCGCTTTGCCGCCAACCAGCCGGCTGATTGTCCAGGATGACAAGCGAGAGTGCCGTAAAACTAAACGAGGCGAGGAAGAAGTCACGGTGAGTGGGCCAGACCGGGAATTTATCGTGAAGATTTCGCGCATTTGCTCTTCTCAGTGTTGGAGCTGCGACTCTCCGAGACGCGTTGCTTGAGTGACTGCGTCCATTGGTGGGGCTCTGAAAATAACGGAAAACCAAGCTTGACAGGGGCAGCCAGCAGCGGGACCAAGCGGCTTGCTCTCCGGTGCTACAATCCCTGCTTCGGCCAAAAAGCAGCTAGAACATTACGTCCGCGTCGCCCAACTTTCATGAGAAGCAACAAAAGCCACGAGGACATCACAGGCGGCGAAGGCCCGCTGACGGCATATTTCTTGTCTAGTCCCCCGTCTTGTGGCGCTGATAAGCTCGACTTTTGTCCTATCTCTGCAACAAATCGACTCTTCCACGCGAATTTTGTTTGCTGTCCCGTTGTAAAATTTGTTGGAGGGGCAGATCTTCAAAAACCTTCTAAGACCCTGGAAATTCAGAGCCACGTTCTTTACCCCAACCCTGACCTACCCCGCTCCCCAGCCTAAGTGCCCCGCCTAAGCCTAGCAGAAGCGTGTAGGCCCAGCTCCAGTGCCAGCTTCGATTGGATCCAGGATAAACATAACGTCACTGACACCCACGCCCACTTGTCTGAAGAATTAATTCTGCCGCATCTTTCAAACGTTGCTTATCGTGCGGTAACCGATAATAGACGAGACGAGAGATAGGGGGTCCTCAATACCTATCATATCAGCAGGCTACACGACGACGGGCAAGCTCTAACCGGGGGGCACCAATCCTTCCTCGTGTGACAGACTCGACCTTAGACCCAAGGACTCGAGCGCCGCTGTCACCATGCCGAGCCTTGTCGAAGACCAGGGCGCTCCGCCCGGCAGGCTGCTTTTGATCTCGAACCGCCTGCCTATCACTATCAAGCGCAGCGATGATGGCCAGTACACCTTCTCCATGTCGTCGGGCGGTCTCGTTACTGGCCTGAGCGGTCTCTCCAAGACTACGAGCTTCCAGTGGTACGGCTGGCCGGGCCTTGAGGTGCCCGAGTCGGAGGCTGGCCCCATGCGCCAGCAATTGCGCGAGAAGTACAATGCAATTCCTGTCTTCGTCGATGATGAGCTTGCCGATCGGCACTACAACGGCTTTGCCAGTACGTTCCCATCCTTAGGGTCTACTTACTCCTTACCTTCATGCTCACTTCCGTGGTTACAGACTCCATTCTCTGGCCCCTCTTCCACTACCACCCCGGTGAGATTACCTTCGACGAAGCTGCCTGGGCAGCCTACCGTGATGTGAACAAGCTCTTCGCCGACACAGTCATCAAGGATATTCAGGATGGTGACCTGGTTTGGGTCCACGACTACCACCTCATGCTGCTGCCCAACCTTCTGCGCAAGATGATCGGCGACACAAAGAAGAACGTTCGCATCGGCTTTTTCCTGCACACCCCGTTCCCTAGCAGCGAGATCTACCGCATCTTACCCGTCCGCGAGGAGCTCCTGATCGGTGTGTTGAGCTGCGACCTGATCGGCTTCCACACCTACGACTACGCTCGGCACTTCCTCAGCAGCTGCTCGCGCATCCTGGGAACGGCGACGACGCCCAACGGCGTGGAATGGCGTGGCCGGTTCGTGACGGTTGGTGCATTCCCGATTGGAATTGACCCGGACAAGTTCGTCGAAGGCCTCAAGAAGCCGAGCGTGCAGAACCGGATTGAGACCCTGAAGCGTAAGTTCGAAGGGGTCAAGCTGATCGTCGGCGTCGACCGTCTCGACTACATTAAGGGCGTGCCGCAGAAGTTGCATGCCCTTGAGGTCTTCTTGACCGAGCATCCTGAATGGATTGGCAAGATTGTCTTGGTCCAGGTTGCCGTCCCCAGCAGACAAGACGTCGAGGAGTACCAGAACTTGCGTGCCGTTGTCAACGAACTGGTTGGTCGTATCAATGGCAAGTTTGGCACGATTGAGTTCATGCCAATTCACTTCCTGCACCAGTCGGTTACCTTTGATGAGTTGACTGCTCTGTATGCCGTTAGTGACGTGTGCTTGGTCAGCTCAACGCGCGATGGTATGAACTTGGTTTCATATGAGTACATCGCCACGCAGCGCGATCGTCATGGTGTTATGATTCTGTCTGAGTTCACTGGTGCTGCTCAGTCGCTGAACGGCAGTATCATTGTCAACCCATGGAACACGGAGGAGCTGGCAAATGCCATTCATGAGGCAGTCACTATGTCTCCTGAGCAGAGGGAGGCCAACTTCAAGAAGCTGGAGCGCTACGTGTTCAAGTACACGAGTGCTTGGTGGGGACAAAGCTTTGTGTCTGAACTTCTGCGGTGCACTTCCTCGTCAAACTCGAATGCTGCTGCTGCGGCAGCAGCACCTGAGAAGCCTTCTTCATCATTGGAGCCTCCGGTCACTCCAACCACTCCCTCACCGCCAGAGAATGGCACGGCAGCTGAGGAGAGTAAGCAGAAGGATGAAGACGTAAAGGAACTTGCTCCAGAGGAGGTGCCCAAGCAAGAGGGTCAGGCATCTGCTGAGTGAGGGGGGTAGTCGTTGGTGAGAAGGAATGTGGATCATGAATTGTTCTGCTAGGTCGGGTCAAGGTTTGAGATATGCTAAGTGAATGATGAATACCGGGTTTTACCTGGTTGGAGTAAAGGAGGGCTTATATATGAGGTGATACTCCGGCCCCTGTGGATTTTCTTGCTATTCTTTTCTTCGTCGGTCTTGCTTGTCCTATTGTGGTGGGAGTTGTTTTTCATCTTTGAGCACTCAAATCAATGATAGACATTTACCAGCTGCCTAGTTGGTGATGATAAGGCAAAGGAACACAAAACTCTGGGCTTTTGTTGCTGCAAGCCATCCTCCTCTTTGCCTCACTTGAGACTTCCCCATAACAAAAAGTGCGTTGGATTGATGAATTGGTGATACCGAAGGCTGCCATACCTTAACTTCCATCCCAGATATTATCATCTTCGGAGGGTTAACACCAGAAAAACGTTGAGGACTCGATTTTTGGACTTCGGCATCGAACAGGTAAACAGTCCTTGGCTTACATGCCTCGGCTCTTCCAAGTGCTCTCGGGTATAGGAACCCTGGCTATCACCGGCATACAACTCCAGGAAGGTGACATGTTTTCACGGACCTCTGGTTGGATTGTTGACTGTAAATCGGACTAGACGATATCCACAACGGTCTGCTACCTAGCCGTGCATCATTGTCGTGTACACCCCAAACGGTCTGGTTACAAATTTCTTCATCCCGACTGGCCGATCACAACATAGACCTGTTGCAACAGTTCTAAAGTCCCACCGCATGCACGGCATTATTTGCCTTAGCCACTGCCGAGCCGATTCACATCAGCATAATCCAGCGTGACTCGGCGACGTCGGCACTTTTACAGTATCTTGACCACAAACTAGTTAACCACCTATGCACGCCTACCTCAGCAGAGGTAGGTAAACGGCATTAGCACTCCCGCCACGACAGCTCGGGATGTATCTCTGCCCTGCATGCTCGGCCGGAGCACCATCCTAATGAGGGAAGTTGATGCTGCTAACAGTCAGCAACCCTTCATCATGCCCGGTCCACATGGCGAGGGGGAATCGAGATGACTCGATCGTAGACTTAACATGCCGTTGGCAGACATCCTCGCAGGGAAAGATGTATGGCGGGGCATACGACACATTACCTACCTGTTTTGTGCGATGACGATATTTACGGGGGAGATGTAACTGGCTGGCGGTTGCGGGACGAAGGGACCGGGCGCCAAGTGTGGGATGTTACCTTCCAGTCCCGGTTGTGTTGAGGATTGAAGCATGGGGCTGTGGGGGATAGGGAACACGGAGATCGGTGATGCTAATGGTGACGGCCTGAACGGAGATGACAGAGAAGGCGAAAGCCTTCGGGGATATATCAAGAGAGGCTGGCCGTGAGCATCACCTACAGACTTGATCATCACCAGGCGAACATCCAACAACCCTCAGGCAGTATCACCATGAAGCCAACACCCTTCATCCTCGCGGCAACAGCCGCACACGCCCAAATCAAAACCGCCAGTATCATGGAAGAACTGATGGCCCTTAAAGAAGCCGAATGGGATACCTTTGCACAGCAAGGACTCTTCGGCGGCTCAGCCCTCTACCCCAAGATCTCTAACCGTATCCCCTGCATCAACGGTAAAGCCGTCCTCTCAACGAAAGGCAACAACACCTACTCCTGCCGCAACGTTGACCTCCACGCTTTCCTCTCCCATGAAGACCTCGGTTCGCAAGCCAAGGCGGGTAACGACGTCTGGGGCTGGACGTCGCCAGCCGGACGGGAGTTTGGCATCGTCGGACAGCGTGACGGGGTCGCCTTCGTTGAGGTCGACACTAAGACCGGCGCCTTGACATACCTCGGCCGGCTGGACACCCACACAGATGCGACAAACTGGCGGGACATCAAGGTTATTGGCCATCACGCGTACATCGGCGCCGAGTCGCACGATCACGGCCTGCAGATCTTCGACCTGCGCAAGCTGGAAGCCATCCGTCCGCAGGCCAAATCCTTCTGGTGGGACTTCCTTGGCCTGTTCACCCCCAAACCTCAGTTCACCCCCAAGGTGTTCAACAAAACAACCGATATCACCGCTCACTTCGCCGGCTTCGGCGCCTCGCACAACATCGTGGCTCACCCCGAACGCAACATGATCTACGCGGTCGGCGGCCGTTCCGGAGCCAACGCCCGGGACACGCCCTGCAAGGGCGGCATGTTCATGGTCGATGTGTCAGACCCTACAAACCCGACCTCACCAGGCTGTGTCCCACAGGATGGGTATGTCCATGACGCACAATGTGTGGTGTACCGCGGGCCGGATGTCCGGTACCAAGGCCGCGAGATCTGCTTCAATTTCAACGAGGACTCATTGACGATCATGGACCTGACGGATAAGAGCAACCCGGTAGTGGTCAGTCGCACGGGGTACAACGGTGTGGCGTATAGTCATCAGGGGTGGCTGGTGGATGAGGGGATGGAGTGGTTGTTGCTGGACGATGAGCTCGATGAGAGGAGTGGGACGGTCCCCTTTGGCGATGGTAGGACGACGACGTATATTTGGAATGTGACCAATCTAGAGAATCCGATAAACACCGGCTTCTACAAAAGCCCGGCAAGGTCGATTGATCACAACCAATATGTGCACAAGGGGTTGACGTATCAAGCGAATTATGCGTCGGGGCTAAGGATTGTGGACGTATCGGGGGTTGAGATTGACCCGACGGGAGGTAACTTTGAGGAGGTCGGCTTCTTCGATTGTTATCCGGAGGATGATGAGACCGAGGGCAGCTTGGCCTTCATTGGGACGTGGTCGGTGTATCCGTACTTCAAGTCGGGGTACATTCTCTTGAACTCGATCGAGAGAGGTATCTTTTCGTTGAAGTACACAGGGAGGAAAGCCAGATGGTATTCTGGGAAGGATTAGGAACGATATAAGGGAGAGGTACAAATAAATGTTAGAATGAACCTTAAGGGGTCACATGGATGGTGGCATGGTCTCATGGCAACTGTTCCGGTCAGAGTTTTATGTTTATATGTTTCCATAGGACCTAGTAAAGCGGTGTAGTAAGCAGGCAAATGTACAGACCTGATTTACCAAGATAACATCTAAGATCTACATCTACAAGAACCATCAGAGGTCTGGGAAATCCAAAACCTACCTTCTCCACGGCCCTATCCCCTCCTCTGCAAGCGCCAGCTGCGCGAACCTGATCCTGCGGTCCTCCTCATCCAGGGCTTCCGCAGCAGCAACCTGCTCCTCCATCGTTTTAAAGTACGGAGAACCATCTGCCTCGCACTGCACATCCTCCTTTGGCAGCTTGCCTTCGTAAAAGTACTCCCTCACATGATTCGCTACACACCGGGAAGGAACGGCTGTCGAGCAGTGCCCATATCCCTTTACCTCGACGATACGGGACCCAGCATACGCCTGGCTGGCGGCACGGGCTGACATGAGTGGACACACGGGGTCGTATGTAGTTGAAAGTATGAGAATAGGATGCGCTGTTTGGACGACTGAGACACCACGCTTGGGAGGAGAGTAGGTGTGTGTGCGGGGGATGGTCCAGGCCTGCTTCGAGAAGTAGAAGTCAAAGGCGTCTTCACTGAAGAGTGACTGGTTGAAGAACGGGATCAGTTCATCAAGGAGGGCCTTGCGGGTGTTGGGCCAATGGGCAGGGCCAGATAACCCATCGTTCAGGCTAATGACCTTGAAGGCCTCGCCCTCGAGATCAAATGGACTTTTTTGGCCATATTCCAGGAATGCTGGGGTTGCGTTGCCCTTGAGAAGAGCAGCCAAGTTGCTGGCTAGCCTACTCCAGGAAGCGGGCTTGTAGAGTGCTGGAAAGATACCGCCGTACAAGATGTCCCAGTAGTCCAGCACACCATACTTTTCGGCGTTGACATACACTGGCACAGGGTCATCACGTAGCTTGCCGATTTCGCGAAGCAACATGTCTGCAAGCTCCTCCTTTGTAGATGCCAACTGAGCCAAGTCGCACTTCCATTTTCCAGCCTTGATGCATTCTTCGATAAAGCCGTTCCAGACGGCGTCTGTATCGGTCATCATCTCCTTGTCAAGACGGCTTTCATACCAGTCCCATTGATTCGCGACACCGTCAATTACAACTCTCTCAGTCCGCTCAGGGAAGAGGGCTGCGTATGTCTGCCCAAGAAGCGTGCCATAGCTGAAGCCCCAATACCAAAGTCCTCTCTGTCCAAGAGCGTCCAAAATCGAGTTCATATCTGCAGCTGTCTGTGGTGTGTTGATGTACTTTCCATGTGGCCCCATGGTTTCCTGGCACGCTTTTGCAAAGTTCTGGCTCCATGCCCATAGCTCGCCACTATCCTCAACAACCTTCTTATCACGAACGAAGCCAAGCCGCTCTCGTAACTCTGGAGTCTTATAGCAGCTAGCACGTGGGATTGAACCGTTCACACCACGCGGATCGAAGCCAATCAGGTGAACCCCGTCCCCAAGAACATCACGCAGCTTGGCACCGAGACGGTAGACAAACTGTGTGCCAGAACCGCCAGGTCCCCCTGGGTTGAGCAGGATATTGGGGAGAGGTGTGTCGCTCGTGCGGTTGCTGCGCAGTCGGATAAGGGGAATGGTGAAGGTCTTGTCAGAGGACCGTTCGCTGAAGTGATCGATGGGTACACTAAGGTTCGTGCACTCAAGAAGCTCATTGTTAAGGGTACCACATGGTATCCATGAGATGCGCTCTCCCGGGTAGGTAACGGGAGAAGGGATAGACGAAGGAGTGATGCCCAGAGAGTCATCCTGAGCTGATTCAAAAAGGATCAGTTCGTGTGCGGTATTTACAACGAAAAACACAATGAGACACAGCAAAAGATTCCGAATATAGTTGTATTTCTTGTCAACAATCCGAAAACGGAGTTCGTGGAATAAGGCGACCAACCAACACTGCTGGAGGCGACAATATGCGTATTGACGAACGGGCTGGGGGGCAGCCTGGAGAGGGGTTGTTTGGCAGTGACACGCTTCATCTTGGTACCCCCTGCATTTGTCGCTGTCTAGCAACCCAAAGCTGGGGCCCTTTGCCTTCGCCATGGTTTCGATGGCGTTGTTGACAGGACGTCCCTGGTGGCTGGATGTGATATGATACTCTGTGTTGTTGGTGTTCTGCCTTGAGACAGAGACTGTGGTGTGCAGGCGTCCAGCGGTGTCGGCTGGGGCGGGTGGAGCTGGGCTGTGTGGAGCTGCCAGTGGGCCCTTGAGGGTCCATGGGCAAAGCGGGTCACTTCAGATCGGTAATGGGTGGAGCATTCCCGACCCGGGGATGTCGCATCTCGACGTCATTTGTCACCTTTTAATCCGATGGCCATTCCCCCAAAACCGCCTTGAGACCAAAAAGTAAGGATTCAGTTCCTAATTTGGAGCATTGCAATAATGAGATCCATATCCTCAACTTTTGCTTGAGGTTCTGCTGAGTAAGCTCATCGCTTAGTCCACTCGGAGACCCTTTCATTCAATGCCATTAACATTCACCTCCAGACCCCAGGCTTCTCCCGTCCCTTTGGGGCAAGCAGGCTTCAACACTCATGGCAGGGTGATAAGGTGACTGACATAGCCTCCAAAGTCCCATTTTGGTAGTCCGATTACTGCGTAGGAGAATTTGTCCTACATGGCATCAACGGAACTATCGATTTTCTGCAGAATCTGGGATCAATGTCGATTGCAGCCACAGGTGTCACAAACCTGCGAGGCTAGTCAACATCCCCCAACTTCTTGTGTAACTGGTCTTTCTGACTAGCCCAGAAGTCTGCAGACTGCTGTGTTTTTTTGTTGCCATGCCATCCGCTGGGCGGAACTAACCTTGCTCACCAGCTCTGCAGCCCCATGAATCTGGATTGTCATCAGGAAGCCAAGCTCAGCATTCACTCTCTTCACACTGTGGCCCTGCTTGCTTGGCACGCCTAATGTCCTAAATGTCTAGCCCTTCCACTTATCCAAACAGTGTGGTTGCAACAAAGATGTGGGAAACGATCTTGGCATTGGCTGTGCAACAGGTGGTTAACTTTAGCTGCAGGAAGGTTTTGAAAGTCCGATGGCTGTTTGACAGCCGACTCTTGGTCACAAACGTCACAGCGAGAAGCTTCACGATGCTTGACAAGATGGAGGCTATCTATATTAACGACAGCCGATCGTAATGGAGTACGATGGCTTTCATGCTTCCCAAGACAATTGGAGCTTCAGCATTATTGTAGTTTCAGAGCTCACAAACACCACAGGATGTGGCCCGCTTTTGGAATCAAACGGTTTTGCTTCTCACTTCTCCTTGTTCACCAGGCTTCCGCTGCTCCGGCATGCCCGCCGTTTCCCTTGGTTCAACTTGCTCTTGGGAACTGTACAGTCCTGAGAAGCGGCAGTGACATCCACTCATTCGGTATCAAAGCTAGTATTGGTGGGACGGAGATTTGTTTTACTCCATCGACTGTGACAAATGATACCTTCCTCACGACTAGCCTTCTGTGTGAAAAAGAGAGCAATAGAGTCGATGCAGAAGGAATAATCATGACAGAATCTCAATGTTCGTCACGACGAGGGCATTTCATCACGGATTTCCAGGTTCAAGATCTATCAGCGGATACCATCCGCCAAAAAAATCCGTCTTGGACAAACCTGGGGGATAATGAAATCGGGACGGCTGCAAAGACCACTCTGAAATTATATGACCAGTCCGTCGATTTGGATGTCGTCTTGATAACATCGGGAAAACATTTCACTGCTTCCCATCTTGGTCTTGGGTCAGCATCCCCATTCCTCCGAAAACTCAAACAAATGGGACTCATCAATTCTCTGTCATGGGGCATCAACGTTGGCTCGCAATCCGTTTTATCTCCTAGACGTGGAAGTCTCGTACTTGGTGGGTACGATCAAGCTAGCGTTGTTTCATCGTCATTTTCGGATTATCCAATCACAAACAATCCTATTGGAGGGCGTGTCTGCCCTTTGCAAGTCACCGTCCATAACTTGACCTGGATTCCTGACGAGACCGACCGTGACAAAATGAATAAAGTCGATATCATCACGAAAGCCAGCGAAAAACCGTGGTGTATAGAACCGTAAGTCACGACGAACTCCACAGACCCGACAAAGATCGATATTCTCCTGACATCAACTCCTTCACTAGGTATGATAACCTGTTCCGGCTACCTTTGGAGACTATAGAGTCTATCAAGAGATTGTTCAGCGATCTCACCGGCTATCAAGGGAGTCCTGTTGGCCCGCAGGAATACAGTAAGGACTTGTTGAACCTCGAACCTGGACTTGTCTATCCAGCTGATGCAGGGTCCTTTAATGGATCCTTCCGATTTGTGTTGGAGAATAGCCTCGTCGTCGACATCCCCGCTTACGAATTATGGTCACCACTGCGGGGACTCGACAAGGCCGGTGCCTTGGTTATTGATAGACGCTATAATGAGTTGAAAGTTTTCCATGAAGGAAGTCCTGCCCACGCCAGCGTCCTCGGGAAAGCCTTTCTTTCACAGGTAGGCCGATTTTTTCCCCCAATTACTACATGGTTAAAGATCTCAAGCTAATACTCTCACTCGCCTAGGTATACTTGTTTGTTAACTTGAGACTAGAACATTCCATCTGGCCCCACAGAATCTCGATGCTGCTTCCCCATTTCCAGTCTCATACCCAAAATGCAATACGAACGACAGAAGACTTGACCCTAAAGACAAAGGCTTCATTGCCGTCGGTGCTGCAGTGCTTTTCATGCTTGGTGTGATCACTGCTTACGCAATTTGTCGTTGTCAAAAGATTCGTTCTCGGCGGGAGCCAACTGAAGGAGTGACCCATACATTGACAACATCAAGCATAAGGGGAGGCTCACCTTTTGAACCTGTCGTTGCAGGTAATGGAGAGCACAACCCGCAACTTTCTCAGGCAGAAGACCCATTTGCAGGAGCCGTTCCGGGAGGTATACCATTGGTAAATCACTTAGAGAACGGCAAAACCTCAATGAAAAAGGGCACAGCGGATGACACGGACAAGGAGAAACACTTACATCCTAAGGAAATAGAGGAGAAAGAAAATCGGAACTCTGCTAAAGTGCCAGTTTCTGAGTTGCCAGATCACCCTTCTCGAGCAACTCAAACAGAATCGAACGCTCAAGAGCAAGCTGGGCTATCCCATTACTCGGCGACCGGCAATGATGGTTTCTACCAGGAACAGAATGACAGTCCTCAGCCGGCATAGTGAGCACCCTCCTCTCTCTAGATAGACGAAGCTCCGGAGAACTGAGATAGTGAAAGCGATGAAATCAAAGCGCCGATATGAGAGATGTCATCTTAGAATAGCTTAGTTTATATCGGAGGAGTATTGAATGGTGCTGAATGGTATCAGTTCTTGATTTTGGTGTCCTCTGACTGGAATTGATGGCATTGGAAGGAAGGATTTCGGTCGTTTTTGTTCCATGATACCCTTTGCAATAACGTGCAGTTGTCTTGACTATGCGGGGTTATCCCTCCTGTCTGTCACTATAACTTTATTGAACTGTGTTAGGGCATTTTGAGAATATTTGAGGACATTGTGACGTTGTCTTGAGGACATCCTGAGGACGGATAGTCGTCGCCGGGGTCAGCCGTTCCCGATGATCTTTATTCGAACCCTGCAGGATTCGCGTTTCCTCAGACGTGCGGCTGCAACGCTACGGTGCTTGCAGATGCCTAACCTCTGCAGCAGTAAAGATTTAAACGCATCTCTCCTCCAAAGCAACTCTTCAGATCAACTGAAAACAAGCAATTCACAATTGAACTCGTCATCAGCACTTTATCATCAGACATTCTAGTCAGGCCGTCTTTTTGGTCGAAGTCATTGAAGTTGTTCATCATGCAAAATCCCCAAGTCCCTGGCATTCTACGCTTAACTCCTAAGATCCGACGACGCATCTATGAGTACACAGGTGTACGCGAGCGGATAGTCAATCTCTCTAACGTCATGCACAACTTGGGCGCCTTCACCTTCAAAGATGTTATGTGGCGGGACTATGACGCTGGCCCATATTATGGCTTATTGTTATCCTGCCGTGCCATTTACAACGAGGTCATCCCTTTACTATACTCGATCCAGTGGTTTGTCATCCGGTACCAACCGAACAGGACCCTGTCCGCTCTGCGTGCTCTCCGTCCACTCGCCTTGGCGTCCATGTTTTATCTAAAGATCGTCCTTGACCAAGTCTCCTGTCACCTAGAACGTCCAGGATGTGGAGAGAAGACGCATTGCTGTCATCGACTTGATCTGGAAAAGTGCTGTTGGAGAGCTCAGTGCCTAAGAGAGCCACACACGCCCATTGAACCTCATGCACCATCATCTTGGGGCAGGCGGGTATTTGCCGTGATCCTCATCACTGGCCTGGATATCACGATCTGCCCGTCCCTATAAAGGAACCACGTTCTTATTCAAAGGAGATGGTCAAAGAGTGGCACGCGGCAGCAGCTCATCTTGCGGCGCATATAACTCCTGGGAGGCTTGAACTGTCTTTGGTCTGCGATCTTTGACCCGGGGATGAGGATGGCGCGCGGGAGATTCTGGCCGGTGTCGCCCTTCTCCCAAAGCTGAAGGATTGCCATATTCGTCTTTGTGGTGCACCCGACTCGACGCTTAGAGGTCTGGCGCAAGATGCAGTTTCTGAGAGTATTAAGAATAAGAACGCCTGCTCAGTCCCTTACGCCTTCCATCCTCTCCCGAGAAACACACGCTACAAAAAAGGGAACACGGACAACCCATTTTCTCGACCTGCCACGTGAAATTCGCCTACAGATACTTACATACACTGATTTGGTTACCCCTTGAAAACAAGTCGAGTGGAGCAGGGAGAGAAACAATTTTCGGGCTGCGCAAGCACAGTGCGATGGCAGAGAATGGGGGCTTTGCGATGATCGACACAGTAGATGTGCGTTCTTTGGATGCGCAGACAGTCCTTGGAGTTCAGAGGACTGGAGCATTGGCTGTTTCTGCTACCGCAGCCATGCTGCATACTCTTCTACTTGCAAATGCTGTAGGCCACCAACCCCCCTTTTTCTGGTCTGCCGTACGCTCTATCACGATGCCAATATGGTTTTCTATTCCGAGAATCGATTCATTGTTATCGATGGTCCGCTATCCAGTGACGGAGTTTACCAAAGGCATTCTTGGATCAGGCATTACCCGCACGACACATTTGCTGCCAGTTACTTCCTTCGCAAAAAAGTCCCCCTGCACTGTTTACAACATATCCGCTTTTTGGAAGTGGTCTTCTCCAGATTCGGTCATGGACATTGGCCATCGCGAGATCATCCTGCTATGTGTGACTGGCGTCAGACGATCAGTTGGTTAAAGGATAGCATTAACCTGGCCGCCCTTACTATAAGGTTGGTCGTGCCGCATGCCAACGAGTTGTTGGAAATCTATAGCCAATTTCTTTCAAAGGAAGAAGGTGAACAAATTCTAGCTGTGTATAGGCTACTGGTAGAACCGTTCCAGTCCCTGGGGTGTAAAGGCGAACATCCTTTGGCACGATTCTATGCTGATTTCACATGGCCTTGGACATGGGATATATGGGGAGGAGAGAGGACAAGGGGGGAAGAGCATGACCGGATTTTGGAGAAGGAGAAAGAGCTTAACGCTCAGGCTGAACTCTTTGTGATGGGAGACCGGTACGATCGTGTGGTTGGAGACAGGCCGGAACGAAGCGTTTGGACAGTGTCCTGCGAAGACTATTGGTACTGTTAAAAGTTGGCTGTCCTGTTACCAAAGCGTCGTGCAGTTATGGCGATGATTCTCGATCAATTACCGCTTATGTTAGCAGCAATACGCCATAGGCCTGGACAATTCCTTTTCCCATGAGGAGATCTAACATAAATGGAGATTGCCCTATGCTTTCGTCGCTTATCGACACGGCATTATATCCAAAACCTCACTCTAAGTTGGTGTTGATTCCTCGCCATACAGCCACATGGTTGCCTAGTACAGACTTTTCCAGGAATAGCATTGTGCTATTCATCATATATTACATTCTGTTATGTAATTTCCACCTGTCAGAAATGGAGCATGCATGAGACAAAATACATGCCTGCCAAGAACTGTCTAGACATGTAGATGCAATGTGTGATTATATGTCCACTAATATGATTCCAATATAACTGCCAATACTAAATAAGTGACTGATAACAAAAGAAAGTGGACTAAATATATGTAGGCCCAGCAGTAAAGCGGATGACATGATGAAGCTGGCATGATATTTGTCAGACCAAGCAATGGAAAGGAAAGGAAAGGGAATATAGGCAATGGCACATGTGATGAAGGCCATAATGGTGACGCTCACAATAAACACCGCAATCATGACATCTTCTCGTTCGCGACTTGTGGTATGTGATTAATCTTCCAATTTACAACTACTTCTAAGAGACATGAAGGGGAAAGGAGAATGTTGGTGATCCAGATCACGTCAACAAGGTATAAGCAAACCATGGGTGACCCCAGGCGTCAGGTGACGCAAACTATGCAGATGTGGGGGAAGTAGAGAAACACTGATCATTTCACATTGTTTTTGTGGATTGTTACACGATTGTTTGTCATAAAAACCTCCTGCACTTGGAAATACAGTTTTGTTGTTTGACAGAAGGCGTGGTTGTTGGTTTAACAACGTCCGGGGCGAAGGAAAGGGGAACCCTAACCCTGATATTTCCCACCCCAGAGGCTCTCACCAAGACATCACCAAACGGTGAGTAGTCAGCCTTTGGCTCTGCTTGACGATGGCCAGCTTAGTAAACTGTCTTAAAGTATAAAATTCTTGCTAGACTGCTGGCCATTTATTTACTTTGATTGTTGAGGGCAGTACTGCATCCATATCGCGGATGCCGTGCCACCCTTCAAACTGACAGAAGACTCAGACCAAGCTACCTAACATTCACGCTGCTCCTACTCGGAAAGGCTCCCCTTGAAAAAAAAATGTAAAATGGAATTCGCCACCTTCGTTGACAGGATTATGCAGCCATGGTTGGTAAAATCAAGGCGGCTCGGGCGGTTTGAATTGGTCTGAAGTCTTTCAATCTCGTTTTCACCCTGAAGCACCAGGCATTCACCACAAAAACAACGTATCTCGACCATCATCATCACACCTGCTGCCCTAAACACTTTATATGAGACTTATGCCAAGTTCTGCTATAAACTTTGGCAAATTCCTCTCATCGTTGCGTGCCAACCAACCTCATAAACTACTAAGGCCTCATACCTGCTCAACAACGTTCACAACAACCGACAAACAACTCCTTCAAAATGTTTTCTAAATCTCTAAACACTATCGCTATTTTGGCTGCTGCCATAGCTAACTTGAGCAATGCTTCTCCTGTCAAGGAAGGAGTTGAAGCCAACACCGGCCCTCGAATGGCTGCCGCCATCAGCAGCGCAAACATTGATGCTCTCAACAATATCGGCACCATAAACCTGACTCGTCGTAGCAACGATGGTTCCTTTACCTGGTACAACACCGGGTTGGGAGCCTGTGGCCAAGTTCATACCGATGCTGACTTGGTCGTGGCCTTGAGTGCCCCGCTCTTCGACCCTTACACCCCGAACAGTAATCCCAATTACAACTCTCTTTGCAATAGGCGCCTGCGGGCCAATTACAACGGTCGCAGTGTCGATGCTACTGTCGTCGACCGTTGCCTTGCTTGTGCTACTTATGACCTTGATCTCAGTCCGGCTGCCTTCCAGCAGCTGGCCGATCTCAGTGTGGGTCGTATCCAGGGCACTTGGGACTGGATTTGAATGAGTCAATGTTGCTCCAAAATCACCTGGTCACCGATAGGAAGGGTTTGTGCGGTGAATCAATAGAGTTGTGGATTAAAGGACAATGGGAAACTGTGAAGCTGGAACATTGGATGAGTCTGCTGAGTGTAATGAGAGAAGGCAATGAGTTCCAAGCAGAGATCAAAATAATTGGTCCCCAGGAAGGAGGTGCTCAAGCAGGTTTATCTGTTTCACCAATCTTTGGTTCATTTTAGCTAGCTGTGATACATGCTTGTTATCAAATGAGTTGGATACCACAAGCCTTACTCTGCTCACGATGGTTTTCCTTTCCAATGTGATTTTTGTTCACGACTTCATTGTAGGTGTTTGTGCAATTGCATTCTTTAATCTTTGTGAATTATCACATAGATCGAAAGGTTATCTGCACATATATTAAACATTCTTGTTCCTGCATTAGCCATTAATACCCACTGCAGCCCTGTGGTTCCGGAACATCAAACAAGAACTGGTCAACTCAAGCGGATCGTCATTATGGCCAAAAGTAACCGAAAATATGCTCCTCATACAGGCCAACACCCTCCTGCCAACAACAATAATAGAACGGAACATCTCATTGTCGGCACATCCAACTCGTCTTATCGCCTCTCCCAACATCCGCCTCTGTCATGCCCTCCTGCTATTTCGCAAGATAATACCCAACCCTCTCGGCGTTTTCTCATTTGCGGCTAGCACCTCTATGCCGCTGCTGAGCCCACTCCCGCAAAGCTGACCTATCTCTTCAGTGCCAACCTAACCATCGCCGAGCCGGTCAGCATCGGATCTGTCCCCTACGACACGGGAGTTTTGCTCATTATCATTGGTGGTAACTTTTCCGGCCCAGTCCTCAAAGGCAATCATGAAATCCCTGCTCCCACACAACATGTCTCAGGTTAACTTCCAACCAGACAAAATCGGCAGCGGCCTCGACTGAGGCCTGACGGACAGTAACAGGGTCTTTAGCCCAGATGATCTATACACACTGCACACGGACGACGGTGCTACTATTCTGGTGTTTGAGAAGGGCCATGCACCACATGTACACATCTTGTTCGAGACGGCCAGCGAGAAGTACAGGGGTTGAGCCTGGCTGCGACATATGCGATAGGAGGACCAAATGAGGCCGAAGTGGGGTTTGATATTTGGCAGGTGAGTACTGTATGAAACAGTAAGATGCTTTCATACGGCAGTATGGCTAACTTTGTCGGCTCGAATCGGAAAATAGAGGCCCAAACTTTCATCTTGAGTTTGATTGCGATGAAGTGCTTCATTGTAACAGCAGCCACCACATGATGCTTAACAGTGCTACGGCAATTGCTATGCCAAGCACCTTGCGTATCTCCTGTCGCTTTTTGTCTTCCGCTCGTTGACGAAACTGTCGCGCTTGTTGGCACAGATCCTCAATTTCCTCCTGTGTTGGTGGTGGCCTGCTGAGAATGCGATCAATGTCCTCTTGGTTGAGTTCCATAAGCGTGTCTTAACTAATGGTACTATCGAAATATTGAGGTCTTGGTGGCTGCAAAATGCATCGGACGGAGCAAGGCTGGGATCGACGCTTCAAGTCACGAGAACATGAGTTCCTCACAATGGTTTGCTTGCAAGTGTCAACGTGGCAGCAGACTATGTGGCGCAGCTCTGAGCTAACCAAGCCAAGCATCGCATTTGTAGTCAGCAAGGTGACACCATAACCATATACTAGTCAATTGACACAAGATTTATCGAATTTACTGAGTTCTAGAAGTAGAGAACAAGGTAGATGGAGAAGGTTACGACTGCGCCAACCCTTCGAGCTTTGTCAGTTCATACTATTGAGCAGTTAGACCAATGAAGCTTGCTCCGCTTGCAAGCCTAGCTGCATGGCTTCACCGTTCATCAATCCCTGGAGATAATAATACCCAACAAGCTGGTAGTATCCAAGGTGCTTGGCGCTTTTGTGAAGAAAGAATAGTTGAATCCCATGGATCATCCAGATCTCATCTCTATTAAAATATACATGTACATTCGCGATACTACTTCGGATAGATATATTTAGCAGCCTTGGGGGATTCGATTGAGATGGAGAAGTAGAAGGAGCATTTTCATGGCGAAATGATGCTCATCTGTCATGAGTTAGGGGTTATTGTGACGATTTTACAACTTCCCTAGATGGGCTCGAAGGTAGTAGCCAGGTTGTAGAACCTGAGGGACTAATGTCCTCACACAGTAGAGTATGGAATTCACCGGTCACCAGTTGTTGGTTGACAACTGTTTCTATTGCTGACTGGAGGAGTTCTCATCACGGCTCTTGGAACGAGCGATTCTATCTACATTTCTATATTCAAGAGTTTTTAACATGCCTACGCTGTCATTCCAATATCACCAGGTGTTACGCTTGAATATCAGTACTTTCTTTGCATTGATAATTTTCCACTCTTCTGATTGCTGATGTTCTGATCGTAACAAGCCTCGCCTTGAATGGCTACATCCTGGCCGTAACAGTTATGTCACAGTTTTTTTTTATAGAAAAAAAGGATTGTATCACTCCAAGCTTTTTGCCATATAGCTTCAAGGGGCACTCGACCACAGCTATCCAAGAAAGAGTGTAAAAAGCATCTATTTTTGTCAGCCAATAGGTGTACCCCATGGGTGATTAGGTCAGAGCACTCAGCACCGTAAAGGACCGCTTCCCAGTGACTCAAGGCTATCCCTTTCAGGGCAAAGAATCTATCTCTGCTCCTCAAGAACTCGAACATCGTGAAACTGGAAAGCATATAAAAGAAAAAGCCTAACTATATACCATCGAGACCATCTTGGCACGGCACGGCGTGGTTGCGACGAACCAAAGAAGAGCAATAGCGTGCTCTGAGACAGGCAAGCATGTCCAAGGCGGTTGTGAAGTCAACAAGGGCGTAGCGAGGAACACGGAACATGACAATAGTACCAAAAATGAATTTTGCACTAGCAAAGCTGGATGGTGCCTTTAATATCAGCGATGAGTTTTTATACCTGGGCAGCCAATGACCGCACCCACAAGATCCGAAACGTGTACTTCTCGTCTACCACAAATACAGATCAGCCTTCTTGCCGATATGAACTCTTGAATAACCCAGAGGCATTTCAACCATGGTCGTCCGAAGAATTGCATAGCACGACCCCATACGAGATCATACTTATTCGGTAATTTGGTACTAAGCCATTTTTCCAAATAAGTTTTACCTCGCGGAAGTGTTAATTTGAAGATTTTGGACGCATTTTCCGGAGGTAGCAAGGGATCCTTTTCATTGCATTCATTGTTGATAAGAACTCTGGGCCAGATATTTTTACGGCTTCATCTTGCCAATAGGTTTAGAGCTGAAACAACTGCTTCGTCTTCCTCCCCGAGATCAACGACAACGTGATGTGCCTGCCAGTAAATATATGGCACTAATAATACTTGGTGACCTTTCTCGTTTGCGTCGATGGTTGATACACACTGCGTCTGCTCACACAATCATTCCAGGGCAGCGGACCCTGGAAGACAGAGAGGAACATGAAGGTCGTTGGCGTCTGCTACGGCGCCGTCTTGCCACCCAAAGCTGATCATAATGTGGCAAGGTTGCAACTCGCCCACGGTACTGGCGATGGCGATAGTGACGTAGTAGCGAGGTTAGGGATACCGGTAGGGAGTGTGCGGTGCTCCAAAGTTCAATTGCGTCTGAGAGACGTTGGATCTTGAGCATGGAGAAACAAAGTACATGGTTTATGCTCACTACCGCACATGTATGAGAAACAGATATACGGCGCATCGGTATGGTCTTCTGGTCTTCACTGAAAGATCCTGCCAGCGTTTTTCCTTGGGGTCGGAGGTTGTAGTACTCCAGGCAACCTGTAAGAGGTGAGCTAAAGTCATCATTCAGAACTAAATGCAGGACCCTGATTGTTCAACCAGATAGTGTGCGGTTCGTATAAGGTACCATAGCGATGATTCAAAGCCGTAATCTCAAAGTTGCAATGGCGGGGTGCACCAGGTAATGATCAACGTGTGGAGAAGTGTGCAGAAGATAGAAAGAAGATTGAGAAGAACTGACGCACAGGATGCCAGAGCGAAAGCTTCGTCTAAGCTCTGGGCTTTGACAATTCGCTGCCGAGCAAAAGCTATAGGTTCAGGCATCATCCTCTTTACTGCAAGGACAAGATGTTAAGTGAGGGAAAGCGTGCCCACTAAGCTGCACCAGCAACAGAGCTGTAGTATCAGGCAGACTCATATCTTGGCATTGACATGTGGGAGTTAGCATCGTTCAAGCGTGGAAGACTCAGCAACACTTAAATACCAAGAGTGAGCGCGCTTTTGAGCTCACAAACGGTCACAAGAGCTCAACTTCGCGCACCCAGATGACCAAGCCATCATAGGGACGAAAACACCTCCACACCCGTATTCAACCCCTTCAAGATTTCTCATAATCCATGAACCCGGATTCTTCTAGCACTCCAATCTAGGTTACTCACGGGTGTCTTGAACACTTAATAGGGCAAAAACCGATTGCTATTTGATCGAAAGCTTGTGGGAATGCCTCTGACAGGGCTTTTCTGGTCGATATTCGTCATAGATATACTGCGTGCCGTTGGGATGCATGCATTCACCCACGCCGAAACGGTGATGAATTTCGATTATGCTGTTAGCATAGAAGTTATAGCATGGCAATCAGACAGACTGAGGCCATAAACTCTGGGGATTAGATGATTATTTGGCTAATGAGCTAGCACTTGCGTCTCGACGTTGAGCCCTTCATTTCCGGGCTCAATTACAAAGTGGTGGAAGCAGAAACCAATTGCTATGCATCGGTATAGGCTGGAATGGCTCAAAAGGGTTCGAAACAGAGAGTATCTTGGTGCTTACTGTTAAAGTGGCATAGCTCACTTCATTCCGCCATTAGATATCATGTGTGTGAGGTACAACATAATAACGCAATATATTTTCAACTATTATTTTTTCAATGCTGAAGGACAAAAATCCCTAGCGTAGCGTTTCCATAACAAGCCGTCAGTATGGCTGCCTTGTTGCCATTGCCTGTTTGAGCCTCGATCATTGGTCGCAGTTATCGCCGTTTATCGCAGCGCGCGAGTCGCCATACCTGCACTTTTTCCTTCTGATTGGTCCGCCCCTTGACCGCTCGGGGCCTTCCCATTGATTCCTTGCTATGCCGTCTGCAGAGCAGCTGCCGACTTAAACTTTCAGCCGTAACAACCAAGCTATGGAATGAGAGAGAGAGATGTTCTCACACAGAATGTTCAACAATGTGGTCATCACTTGGGGTAAGCAACTTTTTGTATTGCTGATTGAGAAATCCTCATGGACATCCACGGGCGGATGACTAGCCACATCCTTACATACACAATGCTGGTCATTCTCCTGTGGTGATTGTCACTGTTATCTAGGTAATTTTTCACCGTGTATGTGGTCGATTATTATTCTTGGTTGGGTGATTACCAATGGGACACGCGTGACTGCTTCTTGATTAACCAGCATTCTCTATGCCTTTTCCGCCTGATAATTTAGGCCCTCATTTTTATGCTGGCTTCCATCTTAGCCTCTATTTCCCCTGTTCTTCAGGACTCTTCTGTCTTATATCCCCCCGTAAGACTGTATTGTCAGCTGTCAGCCTCCGCTACAAGGGTTTCCAGACTTGGACTATATATACCGGGTAGTTCCAAGCGTTCGAACGTTGTAATTACTTGCGGTTCGAGTGCTGAGCGATCTTGACCAGAAGTCCCGTTGGAGTGTCTCAGAAAGGCTTTCAAGACGGCCTTATAGCATACGCCCTATCGCAGCAAAGACCCAACACACCGTTCGGTCACAACGGCATTATTTTGCCCCTAACGGCACGGCTGTTTGCTATCAAGTACCTTCCGTTGATTTATTCCGTTTGACTCCGATTGTAAACGGTATCGCTATCAGCGGGAACACAGGGATCCGTTTTCGGCTGCCGACGCTTATCCTTTTTGAGACCCTCTGTTCCAGAAACGTAAGGATTAGTGTCGCATCATCATTATCATCATCTCAAACAGACAGACTCCCAGAGGCACAACTCTCAGGATTTTGGGCGCATCCTCTCAGCCAGGCAAGCAAGCAAGGCTGCGAGTAGGCAAGCGAAACAAACAAAAGGCTCTATGGAGCCTTGCCAGCTGACGGACCGTTGTGCGAAAGTCCTCTTAGTGGCCTTGCTTCAGCCCAGAATCCTGGGTTCAACGCCTAAACACCGTCATGCCGTAGGTAGCCTAGTTGCCCGTTTAATAGCAGGAAGCTTAGCTGTCTTGGCGTGTTGTTCCCCAGGTGCAGACATCAAAAGCTAACCTTAGCTGGTACGTTTGGTGAGGTGAGACACCGTCGGGAGAAGCAGCGACATGTGTATTTGGGTAATACGGATGTGTGACCTGCGAGATTGGTATTTAAGGGTATCTGGACGCAACTCTTGAAGTCCGTCATCGGATGCGTGCTTGACGTAAGGCGGTAAACCAGGTGTTAGTTGTGTGAATATTATCAGCGGTTAAGAATCGGTATTGACATCTGCAGATGACTTTGTCACACACGACCTACGATCATCACTATATCGTTATGTACAGTACAACGTAATTGCTTGCAAACTTGGCGCCATCGTCCCGACTGCTTGATGGAGATGTATAAAGGCGCATGATGCCTATCACTGTTTGCCTCATAAATGACTGACCGTCATGTTTCTTCCCGAAACCGCGCAGCTTGGCTCGGCGTGGCGTGCCAGGGGTAAAGATGTCCTGGCCGAGACGGATCGCGTCTAGGTGTGGACTGTTGGACTTGTTGACATGTACCCTTTAAAAAGCGTAAGCTTCGCATTTAAGCTTTAAACTTTCTCAAACCTGGATGTTTTCACTCTGAAGATCCTTCGCCTGCGTCGTGTACCCAGATCGAGTGGATCTCATATCATCGCAAGCCCGGATTCGGATTTTGGCGTCCGGAAATGATGCCAATCGCAATTTTCCCATTCCGCAACCTTCGTTCCGTGTCCTCATTCTGGTCGAGGGAGACTTCCCATGCTGAGCTTTGGTAAAAAGACAAACTTAACGTTGCCGACCTCGGTTCAGAAGGCTCACCAATCGCTTCGTGAAGTAACCCCGGCTCTCCCGGCGAACCCCGCATCCGGACGGGACTGATCTAGAAGTTTTTGGCTGCGCGGTGCCGAGCCGGTCAGGTGCTGTTCAACGGTGCCGTTTTAAAGACAACACTGTTGCCACGGTGCACCTTCAGTTTCTGACAAGATCAATGGTCGTTGATGACAGAGGAAATGTTGGGCACCTATCAAGAGGGTTAAGTGTTGAACAGGAACACCGGCCTCTCCGTCCTTGGGCACCGAGAGGTGGAGCAAAAGAGCTCCCTTGAATCTTTGGTTATACGACAAATCGGTCTCTGAAAAAAGGAACTTTTTTGATGGCAGGGGTGACTAGGAGATTTTGACGCCACCTGCTTGGCAGCTTTTGGCTGTAGGCGCAGGCCAACACTTCCTACAGCAAAGGCAAAGACTCCAAGACAACACCAATGGCCTTAACTTCTGGGTCAAAAAAACCTTATGGCACGTGAATGCCTCGCTTCGGCTCACCTCACTCCAATCGCACGGCGATACTTCGTAGCCCACTGAGAAGCTTCCACGCAGCGAAATATTTTTGGACTTCCAGAAGGAATCGCCAACCCACATGACACATCCAAAGCTCCACGACACTACACTAGTGCGGAGACTTTCGGGCCGATCTGAGTTGACACTTCTGCACGAGAGTGTAGCCAAGAGGACATGAAGACGGCTTTGGTTCCCACCGGGGATGCCCTGGCCGAGAAATTGATGCAACGCTAACCACAGGCCCAGAAACGGGCCGGTTCCGGAACAAGGACCTTGATCAATGTGTGTATGAACTAGCCGCACGTCGTCGCGATGTATGCGAGGGAGTTAGGTAGTTTGCTAAGGGTTGCAACCATATACCACGACGAGATGCCTACATCCTCTCAAGACCATGGGTGCTCGCTTCGAGCTTGATGCCGTCCGAGATGAAATGCGATTGCAAACTCTGTCAAAACCTGGTAGACAAAGAGCCCTGCCGACGACAACATCGTCGACAGGGCGCAATATGGGCTGAACTGATGAGCACTGTTGGTTTCGGAGAGGGTTACGGCGCAGATATTGCCAATGTATCTTCTGCACGGAACCGTCTGCAGTAAGCCTGCGAGGTTACTTCATCCATGCATGTCTCCTCCATGACTCCGTCCAGAAGTTGACGTTGATGGACACTTGAGGTCTATATTGGGCCAGTTGGCGTCCGAGGGGAAGTTGTGCGGATAATCTGTGGAGCCAAACTTACTGCACGTAGGAAACAGACATGGAAATTATGGAAACATGGAAGGAATGCATTTTCCTGGCCAGCATTTGCAACATGACCGTAAAAAAACTCCTTATAGCAAACATCGGCGTCGATCAGTAAAGCCTACGAATGCACGAATGGCAATCATTCGATGACATAATATTGAAAAGTGTGAGGCCTGGACCTCTGATCAGCAACCATCATCAGAACAACCCATCCTGGAGGTGGTGTTTGAACTAGAGAACGGAAGAAAGTTCAGGGGTTTCGGGGTGCAGTCTGGGGCTGTGTTGGGGTAAATGGTGGGGTTTCGTGGGCCGGAACCCCGGGTATTTCGACCAGTCAGAGAACAAAACGGCAGGCCAAGCAGCCAACGGCGCAGCAGCCACACATGTCATCGATCTTTGGTCTGGGGAAGAAGACTGAGTGGCCCGGAAAAGAAAAGCAGTTGCGTTGATTTTCGGTATGCTGCACCCACCATTGTTCACGTCCACAGCTCTGATAATGGAACAGGCGCAATCTTGTCCTTCGTGGAAGCTTCGAAGAACATTTCCCCGGCCGGGGAAATTCGTGGGGCCCCGACAATTGCTAGATGAAGAGCACTGGATCCCAATACATCTTGTAAAGGGCGCTATGAGGAAACCAGTCCACCAGAAAGGACCGTTTTTAGGGGATGGTTCCCTGCTAGTTCAGCAACCCTGTTTCCAGGAACATACGTCGATGTCAGAAACGAAGGGTAACAAGCGAAGACCCGTCACTCTGGCTCAGGTCACAGCTTCTGCTGGGCAAAGCGAGGCTGGCTCCGTGACAGCTGACAGTTGCCACCACCACTGCCGACGCCGCTGAGCTGGTCATACTGATGGAACCAACTGACCGCCTCTGACCGGCGTCACCCGTTGCTAAGAGGCTTGGCTTATGGTTCTGCGATGCCAGGGGCCAAGGTCATGTCGGATGGCGGTTCCAAGATCCAATGGATCGTTCCATGATGAGGGTCCATGAGAAGAACAGAGTCAAATGTCACCTCAATGATGGCGTTTGCTCGGAGCCGCACTCGGCGTTCGATGAAGCAGGAAGTACCATTAGCAGACAGGTCAGGCAAGCAGGAGAGCGAGCAGAAGATGTCAGCGGTCTCGGCTCCTAGGTGTGTCATGCTGGCATTCGTACCAACAGATGAGGTCTCGGGAAGCCGCTGAAAGCAGTCAACCGTAACTATCTAGTATGCAAAATCAGCAGAACGGCCAAGCTCGCCAATCGTACATGGTCATATCCGGGAATGGCGCGCATCGCGCATAATCACAGGCTGGGTGCTGGTGGGTTGTGTGTTGTAAGATACGGCTCCGAGGCTGGCTTGGCTCCGGATTACGGCCGCGCTTCAGGACTGTTCGAGCCCTGCAAAAGAGAGCCTTAGCTCTTCGGGAGTTTGTGCGGCACAACAGCGGGAGGGATAGCCAAGAAATGGCCAAGCGCCCTATCGTGGCAGCTCGCTAATCTTATCGTTATACATACGGTAAGTTACGGCAACTTCTGTGGCTGGTTGCGAGCGCTGGCGCTCGTCACCGCGTCTTTCTTGGGCACACCAGAGCTCGCTTTTGCAACCCTCTGGAGAAAAAGAACCGCGCTGCCAGTGAATCGAAGCTAGATCTCGGCAATGACTGTTGGAAACGGCGCTGAGACCCTGAGTCTGCGCCTGAGCGGAAGGTGCAGTAGACCGGACCGACTCGGCCAATTTTACAGCGGTCTGTCGAACCAATGACGCTGCCGCAAGAGACATGCTCTACCAGACACCGACAGACACCACGCCAAAGCCGCACTGAGCAAGCAGCAGGAGAGGAGCATTACCAGCGTGTGTGCAGAGCCAGCAGCGGCCGACAACAATCCGGCCAGCTGGCAGCAGGTTTGCCGTTCACAACCTGTTTCAGCCAACAAGGCTTCAACTCGCCAGCTGCTGGAGATCCTTGGGCTGGTGAGCTCATCTCGGCCTCACTCCAGTCGCTTTTCCCCACCACAGTCGCATCCTTCGCAAACCTCCCCTATCGCGGAGGTAGTGTTCTCTCCACGAGGTCAACGTGTGAAACTCCATGGGGAATGCACAGGCGCTGGAGCAGAAGTGCGGGCCCCCATGGGACGATGGGCGTGAGAAAGGCCGGGGCTGGTCCGGGGGATTGGAAAGGCGTAGGAACTATGGAAGCGTAGCTGCCCGTAATGAAGCCGGCGACGACGCGAAGTGATGATGGCGACGAGAGCCCACACACAGAGATGCATTCGATGAACGGAGGATCCCCGGACGTTACAACGAGCCAAGGGGGTGCCGCAGATTCTCGGCGGTATTCTGCATGGAAGCCCCATCTCGCCCCCATCGCCCATCGCCCCGCGGGGCCCAGCTGGGTCCCCGCATCAAGCCAATGCGTTCGATCCGGCGGGACAGCGGCGAAATACTACCTAGCACGCTTTTTTGCTAGGTCGAGCGTAATCGACGACGCCGGCCCCTGCTGGCCGCTGATTCGCCGGCTTCGACTAACACGCGACTTTCCAAAACCAGGGCCACCGGGTATGCCCAAGATGGCAGGGAACACCACTTGCAGCCGTTGTTTCTTGCCGGGAGAGGGAGACGGAGATAGCGAGCTGACTGCCTGGCTCTCCGGCTGGCCTAGGTTGCAGGAAGTGAGTCCTTGCGTCCCAAATTTCATATATCTAGACTCTGCTCGTCTTCCCTTCCCGGCATCCTATGCCTGGTTCCGCAGCGCCTTATATTAAGTCTTCATCTTCCCGCCTCTTTTCCGGGCTCCCTTTCTTTCTCTGCGCGCTCCGCTTCAGGTCTTCTGACTTCCTGCCGATCATCTTCCTTCGGTGTGTTTACCTCACCGCCAACAGGAAAGATAACAAGAAGCCAGACCCCCGAATTCGACAAATTCACTAGCTTGCCCTTCTCTGCTGTGGCATCATGGGTGAGAAGGTTGAGAGGGAAGAAGACGTCGCGGTCGCCACCCACCACGCGGCTGGCCTGGCCACTACCGACGATGTTGAGCGCATCGAGGCCCCCGTCACCTGGAAGGCCTATCTGATCTGCGCCTTCGCCTCCTTCGGTGGTATCTTCTTCGGTTACGACTCTGGTTACATCAATGGCGTCCTGGCTGCCGACATCTTCATCAAGGCCGTCGAGGGCCCCACTGCTACATCTGTCTCGGAATCTCACCAGTCCCTAATTGTTTCGATCCTGTCTTGCGGTACCTTCTTTGGCGCTGTCATTGCTGGCGATCTCGCCGACTGGATTGGCCGCAAGTGGACTGTCATCTTGGGTTGCCTCATCTACATCATCGGTGTTGTTATCCAGACGATCACGGGTCTCGGCGATGCTCTGGCTGCCATCGTGGCGGGCCGTCTGATTGCCGGCATTGGTGTCGGTTTCGAGTCGGCCATCGTCATTCTCTACATGTCTGAAATCGTAGGTAGACATCGTCACTACAGCTGGGTGACTTTAGTGAGCTAACAAAATCATAGTGCCCCCGCAAGGTCCGTGGCGCCCTGGTTGCTGGCTACCAGTTCTGCATCACTATCGGTCTCATGCTCGCCTCGTGCGTCATCTACGCTACCGAGGACCGCACCGATACTGGCTCGTACCGCATTCCTATTGCCATCCAGTTCGTCTGGGCCCTCATCCTAGCCTTTGGCCTCATGTGCCTTCCCGACTCTCCTCGCTACTTTGTCAAGAAGGGCAACCTGAACGCTGCCGCTGCATCTCTGTCGCGCTTGCGTGGTCAGCCTGAGAACTCCGAGTATATCCAGGTTGAGCTTGCTGAGATCGTTGCCAACGAGGAGTACGAGCGTCAGCTCATCCCTGCCACCACCTGGCTCGGCAGCTGGGCCAACTGCTTCAAGGGCTCTCTCTGGAAGTCGAACTCTAACCTGCGCAAGACCATCCTGGGTACCTCTCTGCAGATGATGCAGCAATGGTGAGTTCAAATGACTTTATGTGTCCCCTCATGGCCAGCGGCTAACGCTTGTTAGGACCGGTGTCAACTTCATCTTCTACTACTCGACCCCCTTCCTTAAATCGACCGGCGCTATTAAGGACAGCTTCTTAATGTCCATGGTCTTCACCATCATCAACGTCTTCTCGACCCCCGTCTCTTTCTACACTGTTGAACGCTTCGGTCGCCGCACCATACTCTTCTGGGGTGCCCTGGGCATGCTTATCTGCCAGTTCCTTGTCGCCATCATTGGTGTTACCGTTGGCTTCAACCACACCCATCCCGATCCTGCTGACCCGGAGGCGACTCTCGCCAACAACGTTTCGGCCGTCAACGCCCAGATTGCCTTCATCGCCATCTTCATCTTCTTCTTCGCCTCGACCTGGGGTCCAGGTGCCTGGATTGTTATTGGCGAGATCTTCCCTCTGCCCATCCGCTCTCGTGGCGTCGGTCTTTCGACTGCTTCCAACTGGCTGTGGAACACCATCATTGCCGTCATTACCCCTTATATGGTCGGCGAGAACCGTGGTAACATGAAGAGCTCAGTCTTCTTCGTATGGGGTGGTCTCTGCACCGTTGCCTGGATCTACACCTACTTCCTGGTTCCTGAGACCAAGGGTCTCACTCTTGAGCAGGTCGACAAGATGATGGAGGAGACCACTCCTCGTACCTCGGCCAAGTGGAAGCCGACCACTACCTTCTCCGCCGGCGGCGTCAAGGTTACCAAGGGTGCTGGCAGCGGCAGCGACTCGAAGGAGGTTGTTTAAGGGAAATGCATTACGAAAAAACGTGACCTAATGAAGTGGGTGAAAAGTGGAAGAAGTGATGCGTTGAGCGAGCGAGCAGAGCAAGTTTATATCCCATCTTATGTTTACTGACATCATCCTCTGTCCTATTTGGACTTACGCGCCCTGGGTTTGGTCGTTTGTCTACAAGAGGATACCCTTACTTAGGTCAATGACCATGCACTACTAAGTTGATGTTTATGTGTTTGCACAAAGCACTCGGAGTCTCTTGGTTTGCTGGCGTTTGGCTGAAATCTAGCAAGTGTGTGATTGGCACGACAGTGATGAGAATGAGTTAAAAAGCTTGCTTGGGCTATGTGATGCAAGAGAGACAACTGCATCTCATGGTGAGATACCATTATTCTTTTCCCAGGGCAAAAAAAATATCTGTTTAAACGCCCATCGCATCTATGTAAATACTTACTCTCAAATACGTAATTCAACTCATGCAAGCCCAATAGTTTTCACCCTGTGTGCTTTGACGCGCATGTGAAACTCTGTCGGCGGACCCGGGGGTTCGGGTGGGTAAAGATCCATAGTTTCAAGGATGAAAGGACGGGGAGGAGCCGAACTTGAAAGGCATGAGCTCATCTCAAGACTCGGCAACCCCGTAATTGGTTTCATGCTTTTTCTAGAACACATTGGTGAAAAATATCAGCGGTATGCTTGTCCTCCTGTCGTATAGTGCCCATGCGTGTCCATGCGGGCGCCTGGAATGATGAACCAGACTAATGACTCCATTGTCTGAACAGTAGTAGCACAGCAGAGTCGCATTGGCGTCTTTTCACATTGCAGAAGTCAATCCGGTGTGTCAGATCGCTCCGATTACTGAAGATCTGTACAAGGAACAAGATCGATCGGGGAGATCTCTAACAACAGCGATGAGTATCTAAGGTCCCCTTTTCGGTGTTTTCTCTGGGAAAACAAGATCTTGGATGATCGTGATTTGCAGCAAGTCGATCCTCCTGTGCTGTGCAGCGAGCGGCTGCCTGTTTTTAGCGGCAGAGCATAAAGCGGCCTCTCACAACTGCCGCGTCTCGGGGAAAAAAATCCCCCGCACAGCGGCTGCAAGTGCAGTCTTGGCTCTAAATTTGCCGGGTGGACAAGCGCGACTGGGAGCGCATGTTATTGGCGGACATTCCATAAGAAGGTCAGCTAACAGCTGTTCAGCACTTGTCTCCAGCTGACTACCCCGCAATGTTCCACTGCTTCCCTCGTTGCGGCGGGGCTCTGTACAGGTTCGCGCCGCCATGCAACATCACGACGCTCGTCCTGTGGATTGCTCGCTGGAGTGGTTAATGGAGTCTTTGGGATTGCCAGCGTCATCCATTCGTGCGCTTGGGGTACTTGGAGATGTCACGAGATGATACGGTTTTCGGCAGCTGGGTGGATGGGCCGAGCGCGTGCCGAGCGGTCCTGGCGTGGGCGGGATGATGGGGGAGGTTTATTATACATACATAGAGCGCCGCCGTGACAACAATGGGACTGTTTACCTATTCGTGATACCCTCCATCGCAACACCAAGGAAGGACTGGGATATTGACCAATTCCACAACAGATCACAGCTTGATTCGCAGCTCCGGCAGCCTGGATCAGGGTTGAAGTTGCAGCTGTCTGAATCGACGTTTCCACAAAGCCCAGCTGTTGCACAAGACATCAAATTGCCATCGCAACAGTGTCCTTGACAAGAATCATCTCGTGCGGCATCGACTTACAGTCACCTGGAATTACGCCTGTGGCCTCCTACAACATAGAGAAATTGGCTGCAAAGAAGCTGCAGACTTTCTCACTCCCTCCGGGCCGAATATCATACCTCTCAGTGCAGCGCCTTTTTTTTTCGTGTCCACCAGTTTTCCCGGGCCTTTCTTGTGTAACAGCTCCTTGAGGCTGAGACACGCCCCTAACCCTCTCACCTCACACCAGCATCCATTCCGAAACCTAACCCACTGCCGCACGACTCCAATATGCCGCTTCCCGCTGGTGTCTATCGTGCCGACCACGTCGGCAGTTTCTTGCGCCCGAAGCCGATCCTGGCTGCCCGGGAGACCCTGGAGACGGCCAACCCAATCTCCAAAGCTGACCTGCGCAAGCTGGAGGATGAGCACATTGCTGAGGTCGTGAAGAAGCAGGTCGCTGCTGGCCTTCATTCCGTCACCGACGGCGAGTTCCGTCGTCGGTGGTTCCACATTGACTTCCTCCAGCATCTGGCGGGCGTTGAGCACCGGGGCAGCGTGCAGTCGACGAATGTGACGACCCACGGAGTTACTCCGCCGAAGCTGGTCATCACGGGCAAGGTCGGCCACCCGGCCCCAATCCAGGTCGACGACTACAAATTCGTCGAATCTGTCCGCCAGCAGCTCCCGGCCGATGTAGCCGCCAAGATCACGACCAAGGTATGCATCCCGTCTCCGACGATGGTGCACTTCCGCGGCGGACGGGAGGCCATCTCCACCGAGGCATACCCCACGCTGGACTCCTTCTTCGACGACCTCGTGGCTGCCTACCAGGCCGAGCTGGACGACCTGTATGCCGCCGGCTGCAGGTTCGTGCAGTTTGACGACACCAATCTGGCCTACCTCTGCGATGAGGGCATGCGGGCGGAGGCCGCCAAGCGTCACGGCGAAGACCCCCAGAAACTCACCAAACAATACGCCGCGCTGATCAACAGGGCCATCAGCAAGCGGCCGAAGGACCTCGTCATCGGCATCCACCTGTGCCGTGGCAACTTCCGGTCTCAGTGGTTTGCCCAGGGCGGCTACGAGCCTGTCGCCGAGACGCTCTTCCGTGAGCTCGATGTTGATGTTTATTTCCTCGAGTACGACGATGCCCGGTCTGGCGGGTTCGAGCCGCTGCGCTTCCTGCCGGAGAACAAGATTGTGGTGCTCGGCGTAATGAGTAGCAAGAAGGCTGAGCTTGATAATAAGGAAGAGATCATCAAGCGGCTGAAAGAAGCCGCTTCGTTCTGCCCTCGCGGGCTTGATCAGCTCTGCCTGTCTCATCAGTGTGGCTTCAGCTCGACTATGGAGGGTAATGACCTTACTGAGGAGCAGCAATGGGCGAAAATTAGATTGGAGGTTGAAATCGCCAAGGAGGTTTGGGGAGAGGATTTGACGGTTTGAGTGGCCTACACTATCTGACATAATCGTTTCAACACTTGATACCCCCATTTTTGCTTCGGTTCGCTTTTCAACAGCGATACGTAGAAATCATGGAAAAGGATGGGAAAGGGTTGGTTAGGTCGGCCGGAGCATCCTGATAGGCTCAGCATTGCCAGTGAAACAATCTTCATTAAGGGACCATTCTTACAGTGTGTATTATTTGTTCGGTAATCTTATAACGAATAAAAGCATGCTTTTGTCTCCAACGGTGATTCGGATCCTCTCGAGGTACATTCCATGATTCCTTCCGATTCGCATGTCATCGGGATCTGTGACGTGGCCTGCCGCATGTTTCCAATTTTTCGGGATTCGGTACAATTTTCGACGCCACTGACATCTGCGCTGTGGGCTTCTGAGAGATCGTCGAAGGATCACTGTGTTTCCTGGATGATCGCATCTTGCTACCGTGATCCGCTCAAGGCAAGTCCGATGGGCTTCGGATCTCAACGGCGGGCCGGCCAACTTTGCGAATGCATTTGAGGTAACTATTCCACAGCTTTATGGAATTTGGAAGAGTATTGAGATAATTACAGGTGTTCATGACTAGCTTTTACAGTTACGTTCGGAAGACACCAGCGAATCATTCCCTGAACGCCTGTTCAACGCCAGCTGGGAATAGCAACCTCCTTTCCTGCCGAACTCCTGAAATCAGGTAGCTATCTCCATCTTGTCGCGGTTCATCCTCCTATAACTAATTGTACATCGTCTTGACATTTGAGCCCTTCTCTTCGGCTCTCAAAGTTTACAGACACCAGCACCATCTCATCACTCGCCGACTAATCCTCGTCTCCGACGCGGATCCTCCCCTCGAGAGGGAGGCCCTGGGACCAGTACCCGTCGATCTCAACGCTGGTCTCGGCGATGGACCGGTTGCTGATCACTAGCCAGAAGCTGGACCCAGCCAGCAGCAGCACATCGAGTACCGCAAAAATCAGGATCTCGGTGTCCACGTTGGTCCGGCGCGCGATGGTCGTGATTCCCCAGACACTGGTGCACTGTCAGTATGCAAGATAGATGTCACCATGAAAAGGGGGGAACTCACATCGGATACGCCAACCACAACGCCAGCACATACACGGCCATGCCCGCCCACAGCTTGGACAACCTCTGCCCACGCGCACTGCTTAGCTTGGCTCCATGCACTGCCACATGCCAGGTAGCAAAGACATAGCCCAGGGCACTGATCGTGAACCAGCCCCACCTTTCAATGGTCCCTTCTTCACCAAGCGCAGCGAACATCCCTCCCAACACCATAATCGTGTTAGCGACCACAGCCATCAGAGTATGGGCACCGCTAACACCTGCCAACAAGCACAGGTTAACCAGGACTAACGGCATGGACAGCGCCCAACCAACATATCGCGCCCAGTAGACCTGGCGGCAGATCTCGTGGAAAGTGTCCGGCGCGTGCTTGTGGGAGTCCTTGACCTGATAACAGTTGAGGGCCGAGCCGGCGTGCGGGGAGGTCGCCATGGCGAAGTAAGAGAGGGCGGAGAAGAGCGGAATCAAGGTTGCCGTGATGTGGAACAGGCGTCGGGCGATGGGCACACGCCAGGAGAGGAGAGCGAAGACAGCTGTTGACAAGGTCATCAGGGCAAACAGCACCCACAGCGTGCGGTGGCCATGGTGTGTGGACAGCTGGTATTCAGTGGGGGTTGCTGGGAGATCATCAGAGGAGGTCGTTGCTGCATGTTGAGTAAAGGGGAAACGTACGGATTACTGTTGGGATGGGTCCTGGATGAGAAGTGGTGGTTGCCTTGAGGGCGTTATAGCTCGGATAGAGCAGTTCAGCGACGAGGTCTGGATGAATCATTGTTGATGATGTGTTTACTATTAATCGAAATCTTTTGATATTGAAATCAGAGTGTTAGGCCAAGCTGCGTCCCTTGATTATGAATACTCGTCTCGCTGAGCAATAAGGAGAAAACTGAAGTCTCGGGACCATGAGTTACATTCCCATCTTAAAGCTTTGTGAACGGACATTTGCCTCCATCAAGGTCACCTGAATGGCAGCTGTGACGCAAACCCGCTCGGGTATAAGACGTCATGCTCTTTGACCTCTTTTTGTGCCGGACGTTATCACCGACTACCGCGGACATGCCGCCGGCCCATCGGCAGACTTCCTAGAGTTCAGTCATCATATGGCCCTGATGCCCAGATACCTTGTATCTCCATGTCCAGAATGTCCTTGTCTAGACAACAGTGATGTTGCGGCAGCAGTTGTCGATGACGTTCAACGCAGAGGATGATGTTTGGCCCTTGACCTAACCTTAGGATATCTTGGTTGAAACTTAAAAAAAGTTTAAGTCCTGGACAATCATTAGTCGTTAGTCATCACTCTAGTAAACAAGCAAGCAACCAGTTCATCCAGGAGCCAGATGTTCGGCCCAAGAAATAAGCCGTCGACAGCCAGGATAACAAGACGATGGTCCGCTCGGCAGCAACTCATCCTTGTTCGTGGTCAATTGATTGGCTTCCGATGACTCCATCAGGAGATAGGTCGTGGAGATGCGACGTCATCCTGTGCCCACGGTGTTCTAGCTTCCCCGCATCACCAGTTTGTAGAGCCGATTACAAAAAGAGAAATGGTGTTGGACCGCTCAAGAGCGGAAACCCACGGCTCTCGAATTCGGTTTATTTTCACATGACGTTCGCTACCCTGAGTTGCATGAAGAGGAAACTGAACCATCTCTCGTTGATATCGAGACATTCTCAATTAGAGCCAATATTCCACAGCAACTTGGGACACCCTAGAATTCGCCAAGCACCACCGAGATGGCCACTCACCTAGAAAACTGCCCAATCATAGGGACAACCAATACCACTCTTCCCCCCTCTCACCCCGACATTGATTTCTCCCAACCAGGCCAGCGCTGCCCTATCGTCGGCGCAACAACCGACCACCACGCCCACCTCCTCCACAAACACCCCTTAGTCCCTATCCCAGCCGACCGCCGCCCTTCTGATGCCTCTGCCTGCCCAGCCTTGAAGAATCGCATCGTCAATTCCCCTCACGCGCGCGAGATGGACGACAGTGTGTGTCCCATCGTGGGCACTGCGACGACAGTTCTGCCGCTGGATCATCCTCAGCTAGAGGGGAAAGAGGAGGAGAAGGAGTGCCCTATCACAAAGGCTAAGGTTGGACATCATAAGGGCAAGGTAACTAATCATCCAGATGTGAGTCAGGCGGGGGAGGGGAGGGTCTGCCCGGTTGTGCATGTGCATTCCAAGAGTGAGGTCGGAGAGGAGTTGAAGAAGGAGTTGCCTGGGGCATGAGGAGGTTTATAGCATTGGAGGATTGGAGGATCGGGATTTGAGGTTTAGATGGCGATAATCTGTACAAAAAATGGAACTATGAGGGGGCAAGGGAAGTGCCGTCATGATTGAAGATAATGGAAAAGCAGTCGGCTGGTAATGTTCTTAACTTCATGGAACAGTTTTTTATAGTGATGAAAGTGCTCAAAAAAATAACATGAATTACATACTGCCGATCGTATGCCTACGAGTTGCATAATTGGATTCTTTTACATGTGCAAGGCTTGCAAAGTTAACTGCAGTGAAAGTTGAAGTCAAAATCGGGAGGAACGGATAGGAGAAACGCGATAAGGTAATCTATCGAGAAGACTAGCCTTATCAACAGACTACTCGTCGCTTTCTCCATTAGTCTCTCAAGGTATCAGCTTATCGATAGAAACCTTCTGCTTTATCACCTATCTTATCATGCTATCTGCGTTTATCTTATCTTTCGTATCTTATCAGACTCACATGCGGAACACCCCAGCCTTCATCAGAGATTAAGCCGTCGACATCGTACGCTACACTCAACTTCCCTTTAAAACAATTGCTTCGATTTAGTGTATTTTGTAATATCTAATGTGGATCTGCGAACCAAAAGAGTCGCGCATGTCGTTGTGCAGCTTTACTGTCCCGGCCAACACCAACATGAAACCCTCACCGATCGTGTCAGCTCAACTGTGCCGCTCGTAGGCCTCGAGATGCTAGCTGACGCACATGTCGCAAGTCTGGATGTTGGTGACAGGTAGCTTTGTGATTTTACGACGGCTACCAAGATGCCGCAGACCCGGGTGGTGTCCCCAGTGTGCCTCCTGACCCAACGCCGCGACGCACATTGCCCGACATCATGACCGCTGACTTCCCGTTCCAGCTCGGTGGCACAAACCGGGGAATCTGAGATCATTGATGATGATAATGTGTAAATATAGTTCTTGCGACATGTGAGATCAGTCACTCTACGTATGAGGCCACTGGCAAGTTTGAAACTTCGTGTTGTGTTGGGGATGAACATGAGTTGCGAGTTTAAAAGGCCTCTGGCCATGTATGTCGCTGGCCATCAGTTGAGGAAGCTCATCCAGAGGTCCTGATCCAGGTGTCAATAAGGGTCATTTGAGTCTAATGTCAACGCTACCGCTCGAAATTGTAAGTCTACAGCATGTCTAGTGGTCACGTTGTCATCGATGGAGCGCAACATGGGGTCTGTCTCCGATATACGCCGGCTTTCCTCCATTAGGAGTAGTACGGTGACCATGGATATGACCGTGAACGACTCTCCCTTGGTCAATACCACGTTCTCACAGTCCTTAACCTCACATAAAACGTCTCTGGTATCAGCCTACAGCAATGACCACCTAGACGAGTTTGACCTGCCTTCTCTTCCCAGTACACCCTCTGTCTCACAGTCTAGCAGTTCTCTCTTCTCTTCCTTGAATTCCTTCCCCAGTCCGACCACAAATCCGGAACTCTTCGTCGGCCGCACCAGCAGCCCAATGCGTCACCGCGGGCTACCGATTCGCTCGTGCTCAAGAAGCGCTTCTTCCTCGTCTTCATCTTCTCTTTCATCATCAGGCTCGCCTTCAAGGCCATCGTCTCCCATGTTTGTCGGAACCTCGACAGTTCCAGATACGGTAAATGACGCGATAGCGAGCACACTGCCACCCATCATTCGCCCGGCGAGGAGAACACCGTACTATCCGCCAAATTCCTCGCGTAATATCGACCACACTCGAGTATACATGACGAGAGGGCCGCATTACGTGCCGAACTGGACTCCGCTCTCGAGCTTGCCGAGACATGTCCAGCTAAGAATTCAGGAAAAGATGTGTCGATTCGAGGCTTACTAGGGAGCTCAAGTAAGCCGTTCTCCAGAAACAGGTTGGGCATTCTGTAATCATGGGTGTTGCATAGTCGGGCGCGCTCCTTGTATTTGTGTCCTGGTAGTATCATCAGCAGACAATACTCAAACGCCACTACAGTATATTCTTAGTTTGACTTCAAGGTTAAATGTATGACGGTACCAGCCACTTACTGCCTCCTTGCATTATCGAATCATTTCTTCTTTTTCGTTCTTATAGCACGAGTTTTAAGTCGGTTTATAAACAGGTAACTCCTTTTGGTTTAGTTCAACTGTAGATGTTCCCTTTTCGCATTCGTCATCAACCTCGAGATGCAGGTCACTTCTACTCCTGAGCCTAGAGCTCGAAATGTACTTAATAAAGTCCCAGTTCAACATGGGAGAAGCCTCCTCTGGCAGTCCGAGCTGCTTGGCCTTCCCTCGAGTCGATGGCCTCGACAGGTCGTCGTCTTTCAGAATGCAGGTTTTATCGGCCAGCCTCTGATAGCTGGAGCCACTGATTTTGAAGCACAGCTTTGACAGTGTGTGATCAATCCAAGATCCAGATTTTGACATGGCTGGTTGTGTCTAGTCAGGTTTTCGCTGATTGGAAGCAACAGTGTGTCCCCTTGCTACAACCTGTGGGATTGCTATCAAGAAATGTTAAGGCACAACTTCTTTCACAAAGAAAAGATGTCGCATTCTGGAACTGGCAGCATGTCTAGGCCTTCTGTGTGGAGAAAATTCTCAATTTCATCATCGTTTGAGTGTTGCCAGTCCCGCAGGCTGTACTTTGTGGGTCCGAGTTATGGCCTCTACATCTCGGCGGCCTCAGTCCGCACCCAGGCCGCAACGAAGCACCAAGGCCTGTCAGCAAATACTCTGAAACACAACAGCGAGGTTATTCAAAGACCATCGTTGAAAGATCACATGACAACTTCTTAACACCCTGTTTCCTCCATTCACAGGCAGCACTGACCCAATCACTGACCATTACAACTGGGTTGACTTCGACGGAACACGGGACAGACCATTTCGAAGACCCAGAGGACTCTATCAAAGACCATGGTCTCATTCATGAGTTGTTTTATTATGAGGAGAGTGACCACATCAAGTATAATACTAAGTTTCTGCCCGATGAAGATCAACCCTGATGCCCCTTCTCTCATTGTTCCTTCAGCTGTGGTCCCAGATCCGGTCCTGCAAAATAAGTTCCTCAACGCCATACCAACCATTACTTCTTAAATAACTGAGAAAAGATGAACCGTCGCTATGCCCCATACGCCCCGTACCCAGCGATAGCCTCCTATCATCCCGGCTTCCCGCCTCCTGTCCCTGTTCTTTATGCCAGTCCTCCCCCGCCACAACACCCTCCCTGCCCTCCGGGATCCGGAACAACAAATACAATATGGACTACTTCCTTGGCAACAGCAGCGACTACCGCAGGGCCGATTATCGAAGATTTGGTTGCCCCTCCCCGGCCTCATATCGCCTCTCCACCCATGGGGGTTGGGATAGGAGCAGGTTACCCACCGCCGTTACCAGCCTTGACCATGGGGATAGGGCCTCCGGTGGGAATGGTAATCACGCACGCAACACCTATGCCACAAGTTCAGGATGTCTACGGGATTAGACCACCAACCGCAGGGCCAGTTCCTGCGGTGCCGGTACCAGCTCCTCAGCCTACCTCATCGATGGGGTTTGTTCCTATGCCGCTTCCAGCTGCTACAGCGTCAACGGTGATGGAAAAAGTGCAGCAGGCTCAAACACAAACGCCTCTACCAACAAAACAGCAAGCAAGCACGCAAGAAACAGGACAAAATCAGGCTCAACCTACAGGAATGACATCAAGAAGGCCATCATTTCCTCCAACACAGGAATATCCACAGTCACCTCAGCTGCAACAGCAACGACAACATCGTGGTCAATACCGTCAGCATCAGAATCAGTCTCAGGATCAACACTATGCACGAACATATCAACAACAGACATTACCATCGAGCCAGCTTGTCCCCATCCCAACACCTCCCCGAAGCCCTCCCCAAAGACCCTCCACCAAAAGGACAGCAGGTGCTTCAACCTTTGACCAGGTTTCAGAGGATAAAGGCTTTGCCTGTACAGCGACCATGCCAGGCTCCGCAGTAAATACAGCTGGAACTCGAACCCCTCTGGCAGAAGAGGAGTTATTAATGGACATAAGGCTGACCCCTGAGGAAGAAGAAGAGTTGAGGAGAGTTTTTGCCAAGGATTTGGGGGAGTTGTGAGGTTAGCTTTGATAGCTATTTTTTACAAGACTTTCCTCCAAGCCACCTTTCAGTTCATAGGCCATTATCTACAAAGCCCAGTATTGTTTTGTTTGGCTAATGCCAATTGTCGGATTGAGTTCCAGTTATTGCAAAACTTTACCTATGTTTATCATTTATGCATGAGAAGACTGGGTTATCAAAGTAGCCCTGCCTCTTTTCTGCAAGTATGTGACAATTAGAGGCTACCTCTTTGTAAAAGTCTTTCTAGAGTCTCCACTTTTACTCATTGAATGCTGAGCAAAATGCTTTTAATGAAAATTGCTGGCAAGCTAAGTCACCTGCATGAGGTTGATCTTTTGCAGCAGCTGAGTACTTTGCATTTTACGCTAACAATTGCATCTGTCACAAATAATAAAGGTCCAGAGTAGCACATAACTGTGACTTTCCAAGTTAATATAGACGGCCATTCATGACACTCGCAGTTATTCACATTGCAGTCCGGTCCTCCTCATGAAGCAAACTATGTACTCCATCACATTTTTGCAACAATTTTCGATCGAAAGTATTGCCACTATTGTGCCCATTTGAACCAATTACCACAATCATAAGCCACCCCCATCAACAGTGGGATACCCACTCCAAGCATGATTACCCCGCATAATCATGCCCAATGGCCACCACATTGAGAACTGTTTCAGGAAGGTTGAAAAGATGTCTTGTGAGGGTTTTCCAACAGTCAGGAAGCCGGTGGGATGATTGTCCTCCCAATAGCGTGGCCAGAGAGGGTCTTTGTGTCTGAGCACACAACGTTTTATAGCTTCCCTTCTGGGTTTCAGATCACAAGTAATGGTGTGCTCAAGTGCAGTAGAACACTAAAATAACTCTCTGAACAGCAAATTGAAGTTGATGTCCCTCCCACGAAGCCACCTTCCAAAAGACACTCTCAAGCAGGGTGAATGCTACATGCACATGTCACCTCAAACATTTCAGGGTACGGGTTCCGTCCATGCCGTTCTTCCAGGTCTTTAGGTTTATTCCAATCCCATGGGTGAAGAACCGAGGGATGAAACGCTGAGGCTTGCTTGTGAAGCCCTACATAGGGGAGGGAGGATGGCATTTGACAATGAGCAAACGCAGGGTCTAGGAGTTTTCAGGAGCTGCACAGTTGCTGTTTTCTCAGCTGCAATGAAGATTCTTGGGCCTGCAGCCACAGAGCTGACATAGGCAGGTGGGATACTCCTGCATGTGTGGCTGCCGGTAGTTCACTACATTCAGCATGCTCCTCAGAAACTTTTGATGGATGGATGGCACGCTCCTGCGTGCTTCTTCCAATAGCTTCAGGTTATTTTCGGGTATGATGAGACGGCCTGTCGGGGGAGACTTTTACAAGAGTCAAGGCAAGAAAAGGATGCTGCGCTTCCAAAACCTGCATGCAGAAGCTTGGGTAGAGGAAACCTTGCAGCCCTTCTGTTGGGACAGGATGTCATTTCTTGGTGTTGCTGTTGTTACCGTGGTATTTGGGTTTTTAGCTATTCCTCCCCTTAAAGTCACTATTCTTGCACCGAACCCTGTCATCTCATGATACGTGGCTGTGAGCCCTTGCTGCACATCGCCTGGATAATCCTTAGATCCTCAGGCCAATGCACATTAACTGCAACTCCAGACTATCATGATGGCCTGTGATCTGCCTGCACAACCGACGAAGACGGAAGCAAGGGAGATCAGTGGACTTCGCGGAGTGAGTCCCCACTCTGTTTGCGTGGCAGTGGACACACTTTCATGAACTTAAATTTTGGTGAAGAGGGTGTTTATTGAGGAGGAAGCAACGAGGATCGGATTGAAGGGTGTCATCGGTGTAACCATGAGCCCAGGTGTTGGTTCCAGCTTGGATGAGAAGTGGAGCGAGCAAAGGGAAGATAAGGTTGTGCACACTGAATAGATAGGATCCATGATCTCATCTCTCATCAGGGTTCAGCTTGTGATGTTTTGAAGATTTTGTTTTTGGCAAGTTGGTGAGTAAGAACAGCCAAAAAGCCGAAATTTGGTTTGTAAGATTGCGATCTGAGTGTAGGAGCTTCTAGAACATATTGCAAGGCCCTAGGCTTGGAAAGTGAGCTGACAGCAGCAAAGCCTTTTTGGTCATTATCTTGCAGATGGCTAAACGGCTGAGATATTGAAGTCCCGTTGCTTGCGGCATTCAGTACAGGAGGGACAGGGATGAAAACGAAAGCCACTGCTGGGCAGTTGTGGTGCCCTGACATGGACCCTTGTCATTGTCGTCGTCGCAGTGGGCCGGGATTGGGCAAGCTCCTTCGGGCATTTTTCCGCTTTCTTTCGCGCGGCCGACATCTCCAAACTGCTTTTCTCCCAGTCTCATGAAACGTGGACAAGATGACGGAAGCCAGCGAACGCCCTCGCAATAGATTCGAATTTTCACCACTTCCAGATCGCGATAACAAGCATTCGGGCCGTCTATAATCCACTTGCAATATGGAGACGCCCTTCACGCTAGGCATCGCGCCGCGCGTGCACCACAAAAGAGCGAAGAAAAAGAGGTTGGAGCCGTGTTGCTGGAACAAGACAAGCCCCCGACCCGCCTGCACTCCACCGTTTCGGGCAGTGAACTCCGAGCCGGCTGCCGAGCTTATCAAAGTAGAGGGGTCGTCAGCACACGGGGAAACACGCAGCTGGCGAGAAAGCGCAAAAACGGCAAAATGGCAAGATACAGTGATGTTAACCGCAAGGAGCTGGGCTGATAGCAACGGCACTGGGGCAACCCTGGAGAAGATGCACGCCCAGAACCCTTGTCTGCCACATGGTAGTGAAACCTCGCCAATCAACGGTCGGGGCAGCGGGTTGCTCAATTTCCTGATGATTCCGGCCCGGGTGTGGAATGGTGGATGAGCTTCGATGGCGGGACGCCGCGTGGGGGAAGCCTGGCCAGGCTTCGATGTCAGGGGCCCGGCTCTGGCCTTGGCTTTGGGGGAGATTTGGAATGGATTTGGAATGAAGGGGGAGGGGTATTGCTGACGGTCTTCTGCAGCATGCACGCCATCTGCATTAGCAGGCTTGTGAAAAGAGCCTCGGTGGCTTCTTTTAGAAGATAACACCATTGTTTCACAGTTGCGTGTCGAGGATGGGATTCTTGCTGCAGCCGCATTCTTGTGCTTCACAACGACTTAGCCCCTATCAAGCAAGCATTCTAGTCTCTTGCTGTCGCCAGCAAGGACAACATTGAAGAAGTTATTGTGACCATGACGACGCCATAAGCAACAACCCTGAATCTCACCAACACTCAAGGTCTCTATCAAGATGGGATTCTACTCAGAAGCGCCGCCGGCACGGCCATTCAGCGAGGACAAGTCGGTGCTGTTAACATCATGGTGGATCACCCTGATGAGCACTGTTGTGATCCTGTTACGGTTAATGGGCCGTCTTGTACGCGTTGAACGCCTGTTTGGCGAAGACAAGCTCTCCGCAGTCGTGTTGCTGCCAATGTTTGCCCGAATGGGGCTTATTCACCCAGTACTGATGTATGGCACCAACAATGTCAAGGTCGATGGGATCATTTTCAGCGAGGACGAGATTCGCCACAGAGAGATGGGCAGCAAACTTGTTCTGGCGAGCAGAGTGATGCATGCTGGAATGTGAGTTTGTCCTCAGATATCACGGTCCAAACAGATGACTGACCTGCGCAGCCTTTGGGTCTTCAAGCTTGTCACTCTCGCCTTTCTCTACCGTCTGGTCTCCAACTCAGGCAACACCCGCTATACTTTCATTCTCCGCTTCATCAATGTTTCTCTCCTTTTTACTTTCCTCGCGATCGTCATCTCAACTCTCGCCGAGTGCTCCCCTCCAGCACCATTCCCCCACAACTGGCAGGTCGTCCCCGACCCGGGAGGCCGCTGCCGTCAGGGCTATGCCCAACTCATCGTTGCAGCCGTTGGCAATGCCCTAACCGACGTCATGCTCGTCTTTTTCCCTGTGCTCATTATCTGGCGGCACAGCAGCCGACTGGGGTTGTCCGTAGGAAGAAGAGCATTGCTGGTTTTCCTGTTCGGGCTGCATTTGTTCACAGCAGCTGTGGCCATTTACAAGGTGCTTGCTATCATGAAAGAGGGAGGGTACCAAGCGACGAGATCGATGTGGGCATCCGTCGAGGTACTGGTAGCAACGTTCGCGACAAATGCCCTGGTCATTGGCACATTTGTCAGGGATAAGGGCATTAAGAAGAAGAGGAAACCGCAGTACGAGCCTCCTCCAATTGACGAGGTCATGGCTCATCACAGGAGGGGCAGCAGCAAGATGAAGACGGGAGAATGGGAAGAGGACAGTGAGGGCGATGATCCTGAGATTGTCAGAGAGGTAATCAAGACAATGCCTTCCAAGGGACACCAGCATCGCCCGAGCCTGCATCAACGGGTTGCTAGCGGCGGCCTGATTGTGAAGGAGGCGCCCTTGGAGGGAGGGAGAGTCAGCCGGACAGACAGTAGAGACTCGCTGATTCCGCGGGGCCGGGATCGCATCCATGCTGTCTCGATGCCGGACCCGGACACAAAGATTATCCAGACCACTACGATTGAGGTTACGGTGTCTAAGATGGATGAGAAGCAGCGGGCTGCATATATTCAGGAGACGAATGGGCTCATTCTTCGGCCCGAGGACGCCCTGGTGTTACGTCCTGAGGACGTTATTGTGCGATCGGGATCTCGAGGCAGAGCAATGGCGACAGCGTTGCCCGTCAGGGAGATGCAGCCCCTGAATGTTGATGGAAAGATTGAAGGTATTGCTTAATTTTGCTATGTTCGTGTTTACGATTTGGGTTGCTATGTAGTTCATGATACCTCTGGATGATACCATGATGCGTTTCCTGTTTGTTTCCTTGCTCAAAGACTTCGCCTCAAGCGCCGTGACAGCCTTCCGTACTTTCTTCAAACCATCCAAATCCTCAGCTCTTGGCGGTGAGCCATCGCCGAACCCAATACCTCGGTGCACGGAGACACAGAAGGTTCGTGCACTGATAAGGGTGTCATGATAACGGAGGGCAAAAGTGAAAACAGCCAACCGGTCCGGGCGCCGAGATACGGTGATAAACTGCTGCTGTGCTGGAGCCTGGAGAAAAATCGCACAAGACAATCCAATAGCCGGCTCAACGGACTCCATCCACCTCGTGGCAGAAGGAGCTTGGCTTCGCCGGTCTGGTTGGCTGTTGTGAGCACCCCACTAAGAGCGGCCGCTTGAACCATCAGGGGTAACACCGCCGGCATGTGACTAACACCAGTTTGGCGTGCTTGCAGAGCAGAGATAAGTGGGATGGTACGTAAACGGGGAGGGATGGAGCACGCCACAACGGGATGAGGGATCAGATCAGGGACGGAATTCCTCTGAAAGCGAGGGGAAATCAGAGGTCTCCAGAGACGCTCTACTCTCCTGTTGACTTGCAGCCCTACCGAGATCAAGTTTCCCTTTTGGCGAGTTCGGTCTGCAGTGGGATGTTACAAGGCCGACCGAAGCCTTAACATGGCACAGCGGAGCGCGTGGTTTTCTGCCGTGTCGCATGTTCAAATGCTCTCTTTCCAGTCTCAAGTCCCAGCAGTCTGGCGCGCTCTCACGTTTCCCCGGCCTTTTGCTGGCCCAGTTACATCTCTAAGCTGTTCATCGACCCCTGTCGTTTTACCCTCCTGCTCCTTGAGATAAGTATTGGACCGCGTGTGGCCTGAGCTGGAGTGTTGCAGTCTGGCGTTGCAGCGCTCCCAGAGCAGCATAGCGGCATGTCAAGGGGTTTTCGATGGTGAATGCAACGTCCTAAAATGTCGTCAGGGATCCTGTCGATGGAGTGCTGTATGCTGCTGCTATGCTCTGTGTACCACCGCACCCAACGCCCATGCATGTTGCAGATTGCAGTCGTTAATCACAGGCCGACCGGTTGTGTGGGTTGCGTGGACCGCCATTTCTGGATGTGCGGCCGGTGCCGACCTCCCATGGCATCGGTGACAGGCTGTGTGGGTGTCCTTGTGTGATCTGTCGGGGATGTCCTGGTTCATGTACCCAGACTTCAACCTGGGTAATCCCTCCACTTAATCGCCAGTTCGGATCGCCGGTCTGCAACTTTAGGGAGTCCACTTTTTTTTCTCTTCGCCTTTTCCCTCGCTTCTTGGAATTGGGGTTTGTGTGACACTTTCTCAGTGACGACAGCTATCAACGCCTGGTCCCGACCTTAAACACCTCGGTGGCCGATATTGAAGACTGGGAAGAAAGTCAAGGACACCTAGTTCCTTCAACCTCAACCCAGAAATTGTGCTCCTTGTAAAACACCCTATCACTTGGCTAGACGGGATCATCTCGATGTGTGCTTAACCAGGAAAGAGTGAAGATGGCGTCGGATCGAGCGTATCGGTCGCAAACTCTTTTTTGTTGACGTGTTGACGACATCGATTTGACCTGAACGCAGTTTCTGACACCCACGCCTCGCAACCTCAATCTCAAGATCTCAAAAGCAACATTAGATCTGAACCCCCTATACCCATAACATATCCATCAGACCCCCATTATACTTCACCGTCTGCCGGCCAGACCCCATTTCTCACGCTTACCTCCCCTCCTATGCCTGACAGTGTCACCATGGCGCACGACATCGAGCTCTCGCACCTCGACAAACAACAGCACGTCTCCGCCTCAGGGAGCATCCTAACAGCCCACGACGAAGGGCACACTCCGAGCCACAAATCCATGTCGACGGTTCCGCAGCCCTCAACCTCTTCGCAGCAACCCCTCGACGACTATCACAACAGCCGGTATAGCTCTGACCCCGCGGACGACGATGACGCACAGCACGACCACACCTTCCGCGGTCATTTCAATCACTTTATCGACTCCTTTCGTCGGCAGAACCCCCCTTCCTATTACAGCAGCAGTAACCGCTCTAGTCTTCCTCGGAGTCTAACTTACTGTGATGACTTTGATGTCGACCTGGAACGGCACCAGCCCATCCGGCGGAGGCCACGGCATAAGCATAAGGAGGATGGACGGTTCTTTGACCTGCGTAGTGCCAGCACCAAGACGGCAAGCACATTGTTAGCGAGGGAGTTGAAGGCCAGGCATTTGCAGATGATCGCTATCTCTGGCTCTATTGGGACTGGTTTGTTCGTCGCAAGCGGGAAGGCACTTAGTGAGGGCGGACCGGCGTCCGTTGTACTCGCTTATGTGTTGGTTGGTGTGATGATGTACTGCACAATGCAGGCGCTGGGAGAGCTGGCTGTTGTTTTCCCTGTGGCTGGTAGTTATTCAGCGTTCTCGACGAGATTTTTGGATCCTAGTTGGGGTTTTGCTATGGGCTGGAAGTAAGTCTGCTCAACGAGGCCCTTTTTTTTGGTGTTGGATGCTGACAAACTCCAACAGCTACGCCCTTCAGTGGATCGTTGTCCTCCCTTTGGAGGTCATCGCTGGCGCATTAACAATAGGGTACTGGAACCCTGGGCTCAGCAGAGCTATCTTCGTGACTATCTTCCTCCTCGTTATCATCGTCATCAACCTGTGCGGTATCAAAGGCTATGGTGAAGCAGAATTCGTCTTCGCAATTGTCAAGGTCACAGCCGTGGTTGGCTTCATGTGCGTCATCTTTCCTTTCTGTTCCGGGTTCGACCTCCAGCTAACCCCTTAAACAGCCTGCTCGGCATCGTGATCAACATCGGCGGCACCCCAACATCAGGATACATCGGTGGCCGCTACTGGCGCGACCCTGGGGCCTTCAATAATGGTTTCAAGGGGTTGTGCTCCGTCTTCGTGACCGCAGCCTTCGCCTTCGCGGGTACGGAGCTGGTCGGTCTAGCCGCTGCCGAAACCGCGAATCCTCGCAAATCGCTGCCCACAGCCATCAAACAGGTCTTCTGGCGTATCACCCTCTTCTACATCGTCTCCTTGACGCTAGTCGGCCTGCTGGTCCCCTACACAGAGCCCCGGCTCCTACACGCCTCCTCCATCGCTGATGCCTCAGCCTCTCCCTTCGTAATCGCCATCGAGTCCGCGGGAGCAACCATTCTTCCCTCTGTTATGAACGGCGTCATCCTGATATCTGTCATCTCTGTCGGTAACTCATCCGTCTTCGGTTCCAGTCGCACTCTAGCCGCTCTAGCCGAACAAGGACAGGCACCGAAGATCCTAGCCTACGTCGATCGTCGCGGTCGACCTCTTGTTTCGATCTTGGTCGTCTCGGCTGTAGGTCTACTGGCCTACCTTGCCGACTCGCACGGCCACGGCCGAGTATTCGACTGGCTCCTCGCCATTTCGGGTCTTTCGTCCATCTTTACGTGGGCGTCAACTTGTCTGGCGCACATCCGTCTCCGGACTGCATGGGCCCGCGCCGGTCGTAGTTTGGAAGAGATGGCCTTCAGGGCACAAGCTGGCATATGGGGTAGTTGGTTGGGCTTCGCACTGAACGTTGCTATCCTGGCCGCGCAGATCTGGGTGTCGATTTCGCCTATTCGCTCGGGAGAGGACGCCAATAAGCCATTAAGTGCGAGCGATATCGCGTACAGCTTTTTTGTGCAGTGTCTTGCTCTTCCTGTCGTGTTGGTTATGTGGTTGGGACATAAGCTCTGGTATAAGACGAGCTATGTTAAGATCGAGGATATGGATATCGATACCGGAAGGCGGGATATTGGCCGGTTGGATATTATCAAGGCGCAGGAGGAAGAGGATCGGGCGACATGGCCGACATGGAAGAAGGTTTATAGGTTCATCTGTTAACGATATCTGGATATATGGATGTAATGACTCCTTTCGTTTATGGTATATGCTCGGCAATATGATATTTCTTGATGACAATACCTGTTCACCCAGATGGTTGGATCCAATTGTCTTCGAACACTGTTCACCAGCCGTACTTCGTGGCTTCGGATATCTCAATTTTTAAATTCTCGTGATTTATCCAACTTCGATGACTACTAGTCGTACTGTATGACAGCATTCTATTCAAAAATGTCGCCAATCTACAGCCAAACACTCACCTTGCCCAATCCGCCACTCACAGCCTTTACCCGGCTACCAATTTGAACAGGACTACCCTCCCACACCACGAAATGCCCTTCCTCGACGTCGGGCTCTTTGATACCCAGCATGCGGTAGACATTTCCGCTAACGAGTTCCAGAGCTTCTTTCTCACCCTTGACCCTGCCCTCACCATTGTTCAACACCCAACCTGCCAACAGCGACAAATCTCTCACCACCCAGTCCTCCTCAAGACCAATTGCAACGGTTACGCCTGCATCAAGCAGGTAATCAACGCATGTCCCGTTAGTGAGCGGGGCACCAGTCAGGGCACGGCGTTGGTCCCAAGTTGTGGCGTACGACAAGAGCGGTGCAAGGACAACGCTAACGTTAGCGGCGGCGAGGTCGTGAGCAACAAGGTAGGACTCGGCACCGCCGAGGATGACCAGGCGGATGTGAGAAGCTGGGTAGGTCTTCTCGACGGTCGACTTAACCTTGAGCAGCGCAGCAATGGCATCGGCACTGTGGACAGTAACCACGAGAGGAAGAGTGCCGTTGGCGACCAGACGAAGGTAGGACTCTTCGGAGTAGGGTTCCGGGCTGGAGCTGATTGTCGAGTTAAGAGAAGCAGCCGCTTTGAGGAGTTTCTTACGTAAGGAACCCACTGCTGCAGAGATAGACGGGGTGTCTGACTGGGGGCCCTTGACAGACAAATCCAAAGTATAGTGGACTGAAGCATCAGACACGAAGATAGCATTCTTGTCAAGAGCGCTTTTTGCGCCCGTTAAGAAGCCGACGCTAGTACCGTGGTGAGTGGCACCACCATTGAGCTTCGGGGCCGAGATGGCCTTGGTGACGCCGTAAGCATAGGCGACATTCGTCTTGGTGTTATCAAGAACCAGACCATCTTCACCACGGGTGAAGCTGCCATCGCTCGGGCCATTGTCGGTGTCATCCTCGGCATCGATGGCGTTGAGCCCGATCTTGGAGCCAAAAGCGGTGAGAGACTTGGTCAAGTAGCCATCTCTAAGGGTGATGATAGGAGTCTCAGAACGTGACGCAATCTGCAGCTCGCTTTCGCAAATCCCAATGCACGCAATCTTGCCCTTTGAAATGACCACTGTCACATTGCGGGCGGTAGGGAAGTCACCGTCCAGCAAGACCTTGGATACACCGACGAAGACAACATTGTCCAAGGACACTGGACCCTCTGGGATCTTGGACAAGTTCTCGTCGGGTACAATGAGCTCAAGGGTAGACTTCTTCAGCTCATACGGCTTCTCGAACTGCGCAACGCCGTCAATCCAGACCTGAACCGGAGCCGCACCGACACTCAGTGGATCACTGTCCCATACAACGACGTCAGCATCGAAGCCCGGCTTGACTTTACCAAGCCTCTTCCCGAAGCCGAGGCGCTCAGCAGGCGCACTCGTAACAGCAGCCAGAGCGGCATGGTAAGGTAGGCCGTAGCGATATGCCTTCGCAGCCTCAAAGAGGACATGCTGGGCATTCAGAACCGGATTGTCACTGACGTAGATGGGAGTCAATCCATTGTCGTACAGGATCTTGCCGGCGTGCTCAGACGCCGTGGCTGCTTCGGACTTGTACCACATGTTGTCGGCAAAGAGGGCCGATGCCGGCGGCTCACCATACGCACGCTTGAGGATCTGCGAGCTCATTAGATCACTGTGCGCCATTAATCTTGGGCTTGAAGATCTCACCTCCGGAACAAGATACGTCTGATGGGCATGATGAAACGCCCGAACCTTGAACTTGAATTCATTCGTGTGGTCGACAAAGGCTTCCAAGTCAGGAATGGTATAGCAGTGGGTGTTAAGGCGCACTTGGTCCCTCAACAAGGCTCCCAGTGATTCCCAACGTAGATCCTGTGGCAGGTAGCTCCGCATCTTGTGAATGCCGGCCGCCTCAGCAAGATCGCACCAGTCGTCTTGCTCGCGAACCAGCTTTGCTGCCTGCTCAAACGCGTGGCGGAATTCCCAGCTCTCACCCATGCGGCTCGTGGGCCCCTTATCGCCCGGCCTGCCATACACGCGCTTGGCGTTCTCGCCACAGGCCATCTTCATGAAGCGCCAATTGCGTTCGGGATCAGCCAGCATGTCCGCAGCGCTAGTCTCGTTACGACCGTTGGCTCTTCCGACTGCGTGCTTGATCACGTAGGCCTCACCGCCCATGTTGTTAGCGGAGCCGGGGAGAACCAAGCTCGTGGTGACGCCGCCGGACTTGATGACTTGCAGTTGAGGGTCGTTTGGCTGGATAGCGTCGATGGAACGGACATAAGGTGTAATATCGGAAGACATCTCGTTGGTATCTTCGGTACCCCAGAGCTCTGGAAGCGAGGAAGCCCCGGCATGGCTATGCATGTCAATGATGCCTGCAGTGAGGGGACGACCCCGAGCGTTGAACACAATAGTGTCCTCAGGCAAAGAGGAGACATCTATCTCAGAGGATACAGTTTTGATGAGACCATACTGCAGGAATACATCGGCTCTGATCCAGCTGTAACCCTTGCCCTTGCGGGCATCCTCTGGAGAGGTCCCAGGAACCGGCTCGCCAATCCATACGGTAGCATTCTTAATGAGAGTTGGCGGTTGGCCATCAATGTAGCGAGCATTTCGTTCTCTTCCTATGCCAATTGGGTCCTTGGGATGGCTGCGCAGGCGTTTGCAGGTGTGCAGGTCCTCACGGAGTCGCTTCACCGAGAGACCATGTCGGTTGAGGTGCTTTGCCGGTGTCACAGATGGCTCAGAGGGACGCGATAGCTGCTTCCACTGAGCAAAGGCGATGAAGCACAGACAGGCAAGCGCTAGGATGCGCAGGGCCCTTGAGCGACGCGGCTTGAAGTGTCGACGCCGCCATGACGATGATGACACTGCTGACGGGGACTTGAGTGGGCCGTCGGCCAACAATGGTGGAGGTTGACCCTTCAACTTGTCCATTGTCGCTCGCAGCTGTGAGAGCAAAGGACCTTCGTTTGTCTAATGCAAAACCTTGGAAATTTTCCCTAGCCTGAAGCAAGAATCATCGAAATTGAGAAGAGCTCAAAGATAATTTGGAAGATTTCAGGGAGAGGAAGCTGCGAGTCGTCCACGTGGATGATGTGAAGCGTGGAGCGTGGACACCAACAAGGTGGGGCAGTACCACATCACACACTTCATCCACCAACCAATCAGCGTGTGCGACGGAAACGGAAGGTGCTTAAAGAGGATGGTCTGTTAGTGCAGCATACAAACAACGCTCCGCTGTCATCCATTGCAAGTCTTTCAATGTCTCTTCTTCTGCAGAATTGTTCTATTTTAGGTATTAGTTTGGGAGCGCATAAAAAAATGAGTGACTGATTCATAGAAACCGTTAGCGAGCATGAAGACTGGGCATTGACTTATCTAAATGTTCCCAGCTAATGGTGGATGGCTGGGAAGCTGAAAGTTCCAAAGTGCGTTCCGAAGCTTTCGCGCTTCGTGTTGTGGAACATGGGGATTACTGCAAAAAAAAAAAAAGGTTTACGGGGGGCAATATGTTCCGAATGACGAACTTTTAGGTGCCGTTGTAGCCGACTTGTCAGTATACCATGATGTTCCACAAACAACAGCTGCAGGGGGTGTGGGCCTAGAAAGCAAGCTTCATCGAGATTTCCTATGCGCCGGAGGCCTGCTTCATCAGTAAAATCAAGACTATCTCCATGGAAACTTGACAAGAACAGAGTCATTTTAAGTATTACAGGTTGGTTAGATGATAACATTCTATATGCGGACAAGTTGTCCACAGGCGCTGAGCTGGACATGTTTGTAGTTTTGTGTTTCCATAAGCCTGAAAGTGAATGCAACAACGCCATAAGAACATACGTCAGTCTGAGCACAGACACATATAGTAGTCACCATTCCTCTGCTCTTCTCCATGACAGTTCTAGCCAAGATCTTGCTCTTCCATTCTCTGTCCACCAGGATGCCTACCAGAGGCATACTTTGTTTTTTGTCCTTATCTACCCGCGGTTTGGCAGCAGCCATTGCTCTTGGGCCACGACGACCAAAGGATAAGTCGGGTGCTATCGTACTCGGAGGAGTATTAGCTGGCCTCGTCTTTCTTGTTGGGGTAGTTGCTTTGATACTTTTTGTCTGCATCCCTGGGAATTTGGTCAAAAACAAAAGCCAAAAACAGCATCGCAAAACGAATGAGGCGCACATCTGCTCAAGAGAGTAAGTGGACGTTCTTCTAGTTTTGCTCTTCCATAAACACAAGCAGCGACCATCGAGTTGACCTCTTGGATAGACAATGCCTTTATCCAGCCCATCATCCTTGTTCGAGGCGCTGTAGGGGTGTCTTACCACGTTATCCATCAGTGAAAAGCATGAACACACCAACAAAGCTGAATAGGGTGATGGTTCCACGTGCTAAATCCCGTCCAGCTGTTCTAGTCACTCGTCATAATAGAGTTCTTGGATATGGACACGTTTGGGAACTTGGGCGTCTTCGAAGAACGAAAAAAAATAGTATATCTTTAAGGAATAACAGACATGGACAAGGCAACTACACTGCAAAGATACCTGCATATGAACTTGCAGGATTCTTAGTTGATATTGCGGCTTGTAAAGAACCTAAACAATAGTGGATTGGGTATCGTCTGCACCAACTCATGCTCCAGTTCTACGGGTTCTACTCTTTTCTTCCCTCTACCTCTTCTCATTTACCAAAACATTCGTAGCGCTGGATTTTTTTTCTCTTTCTCCTCATTTAGCATCTCTTCAAGTTTCTGAATGAGTGTGTCATGAATACTCGGATCCGCCATGACAAGCCCCCAGTTATCGGTGAGTCTCGACTGTCCTTTCGCAAAATCGAATGTCTTGCCTCGAAGATCGGTCACTTTACCAGGTCCAGATTCCCTATAGATCAACTGCGTCCCGACATGATCATGGATATCCCAGATCTCCTTGGGACCAGGTTTCGGCCAGCGCACCTGGACCAAGTTCCGTCCACCAAATATGGCTCGTACGTTGCGCATATGGCTAGCGTACGGACCAGAGTTCTGCTCTGGAGGGTAACTGACATTCAGTCGTGTACACAGTTCTTTGACTTTCTCTGAGAGAGACGCAGGACTTGTAGGTGAATCAACAAACAACACGTTGCTGAGATCAGCTGCTGGCGGGGGCAGAAGGTTTCGACTGAGAAGTTCCGAACCCAAGTTTTCGCGGGAGAGGTCCTTTTCCTCGAAGGTACCAGGCCACATTCTTCTCACCCTTGCGCCTTGACATCTTTCGGCGGAGAGTAGGCATCCAAATCCTGCCAAATCCGCATTCGAATCCAACACAAAATCATCGTCTCCAATATCGAAACTCCTCCTGCTGGCAGGCAACCGGAGGTTAGGACACCCCACGGCAGCAACAGCTTCCCCTTCACCGTCCACAAGGGCCAACATCACCGCATATTGCCCTCCTGTCAAATATCGAGATGTGCCATCCACCGGGTCCATACACCAAAACCGGTCTCCCTTTCGGATGGTCTGTGGTCCTCTCTTCGGGACCAAACCTTCGAATAGTTTTAACAACTCCTCTTCATTGTTTGGCCTTGCAGAGCTTCCCCCTAATGCTTTCTCTCCCCAATTATCGAGTTTCGTTGACTCAACAACCTCGAATACCCGCCTCCTAAATTCGGGATCAGAACGCAGGCGCTCAATACTTTCCTCTGCTATGATCTTGTCGTTCTTGAACTTTTCACTGGCGCGGATGGCAGCTATCAGAAGGGCTTGCGCGGCATAGTCGGCGACAGTCACGACGGATTTGTCATCCTTTAAAAATTTATTAAGGCTAGCCCATGTCCCGTCACATTGCCTATCTGGTGTTTGTGACTTAAGATATCGGGAGAGAGGTGACTCAGGGTGGATCTTGTCCTGGAGAGATGGAATCGTTGCTAAGACGCGCTTCGTGGCTAGGCTGGCTCTCTCGACTGCAAGCTCGGCGAGATTGCGCGCGGCAGCATATTCGGAAGACGATGGTTGACCGTCCAAGAGAACCATGTTGTGAAATTTTCCTGAGCGATGACGTTATGGGGATATAGCTCAGGTTAAGTTCATGACAACTTGCAATGAGACCAAGAATTTGGTGGTTGACAATTGGGCTTAAACAGATGTCTAACCAGCGTTTTATTGACTTTCAGTGACATTATATGAGAATTGGACAGGGTCATCTTCTCTTATACTCCTCGAAGGCAAAATGGGTAAGCACGTTGATATAAGGCAGCTTGGGCAGCTGAACGAGCGTGCCATTTTTCAGGTTTCTTTTCATCCATGCTTTTCATCGGGAGGGGTTTCAGGTCTAATCGGAAGGGTCCACTCGCGTTCCGAGTCATTCATTGGCTGGAAACCACGTGGCTTTTGCCGCACCTGACGGTGGGTGGCGGAGCTGGGGGCGCAGGCAATGATGCGCTGAGGGGAAGCGGGGAAACGCCGTCGTTTCTTTTCCTACACTCCCTGAGCCACTGGAAAAATGACCCCAACCCTTCCAGAACCGCCACAACCCCCAACATCACCTGCAGCTAGCAGCACTCTGTATCCGCCAACGCACATGCATGCAAGATTTCCGATCTTGGCTCGGTGTTCCGGAATCAAGCTCGCTTGCCCTTGACAAGTTTGTTTTTTTGCTCAGGGGGAGATTTGGTAGCGAAGAACGATGCGCTTTGTGGCTTTGTTCTAGGCTTCATTGGCTTATCGACGGGATCCTCGGCTGCGTGAGCAGAACAGGTCATTACTAGTCATCATGATTCCGCCAGATGCTGTTGGTTTGAGCATCCGTTTCATAGGACAAAGGATCTGGTCCTCCATGCGGCTCTTGTGTTGATGCTGTTGTGCCATCAAGTCCAACCGACCCAAGTACGTAGCTAGTGTGTCATCGGCTTTTCAGTCATTCAACCCTGTTTGGCAGCTTCACCGCGGATGCTTCAGTAACCTATCTAGGTAAAAAGCCATATATTGCGGCTTTGTTACCATCTCATCCCACCTTCGACGCAGCCTTCTCTTTGACAAAGATTCCCGAATGCTGCATGATTTTAAGATAATAAGCCGGTGGTCAAAATCGTGATCCCTGGTATCACGTCGACAGCGGTGGCTGAGAGCATTGGATTCCTAGGATTCTTGACGCGCATTTATCAGCTGCCTGCAGCACCGGAAGCCTCACGTTTTCTCCGATCCGTTTGCTGGGTCAAGACAAGTAAAAGTGCGGTGAAAAGTAAGGCTAGAAGCCACCAAGCAGCGCCTTGGGAGACTGCAGCCTGAGCACATGGTTTCTTTCCGATACCCAAGGGGCCGTGGTTATATCTCAGGGCCTCGGCTGGTTTATGATTCCACAATTGCCAGGTGCTAATCCTTACTTCCTAGAGGTATACAGGTCACATATCAGTCGGTTCCAGGACCCCAATCAACGCGCACTATGTATCCCGCCAGATTGGGGCTGTGCCTTCCCCTGCCTGGTGTGTAAAAATACCGAGTGAGCCGGTCGTCCTCATCGATGCTGACAACAACCCTGAAGGCTTGGAGAAAACCTAGAACCACTTGTCCCAAGGAACAGATGAACTGTCGCCAGTGTTAAGTATGGAGGTAGCAGTGTCTCTTCGGGGATGCAGGTTTTACAGGGACTCTGGACTAGTGGCAGAGCATCAATAGAGCTAATAAACTCGATGCTATGGTATAGTATCCGGAGTGTTTGGTGGCCAAAGGGTACACTAACTTATTTTGTAAATCTCGCGCTCACATTGTTGCATCGTTAACCACCGACAAAGTTTTGGGCCTGAACTACCTTCAAATCTTTCCGATCCCGACCCCGAGCTTGACTACCCGTTCAACAAGAGAAAGCGGTGTCAACTTGAACTTGTATGGGGCCTTTGTGAAGTTTCCAACCTGGGTGATGTTAACCCCAGCCTCTCCCCAGTCATTCTCTGTCATTGTTGTTAGCAACTTGAGGAATGCTTCCAGCGCGATGGGAGACTCACTTGCACCGAGATTTGCAAACCCGTCAAGTTCCTCATCCCCACAAGAGCACGTATTCGGCGAGTCCTCCGGAATTACCAAGCCGTAGGTGCTTAGAGCCTCACGGGTGTTGCCTCGGAACACATTCCCCTCAACGAGGATTTGGTTGTACGAGCGTGAATGAATGGCCTGATACAGAAAGTCTGCATACACGTTGTTGTAGACATGTTGGTGGCCGAATCTGCCTGCCGGTCCTCGAGTGCCGGCGTTGCGCCAATAGTTATGATGATATGTTACGTGCAGCTTCCCGAAGTCTTCGTCGCGCAGCGCCGCGTCGTTGCCAACTAAAGATGACTTCCAATGGTCGTGGAAATAGTTCCACGAGACAGTGATCCAGTCGGACCCGCGGATTACGTCTACTTGGCCGTCCTAAGCAAGTCAGCATCTTTCTCTGGGGTCGGCTGGGCGAAAGCGCTCACATAGAAATCTGGCCCCTTTGAGATGTCTGACTCGAATTCATTGTGGTCGACCCACACCCTCGTCGAGTTCCGGATGGTGATACAGTCATTGTCCTTGATAAAGCTGATCTTTAAGTTCCGGATGATCACGTTGCTGACATGATACACATCCAAGCCGCTGCCGGTAATGTGTGCCGTCTTCCCAAAGCCAATGACTGACTTGTTGGCTCCGATCTTCAATCGCGACGGGAGGTTGATCTCTCCTATGACGAGCACAATTCGCGGGTCGTTCCCCGTCACTGCTGCTTTAAAATCGGCTGCATTGTCGACAGTTACCGTTTCGCCACCCTCACCGCCTGTCGTGGGCCCTATCGGGTTATCTTTCGCATAGCCCTCGACATCCCACGAAGCCAGTCCTAACCACTCCAGCGGATGAGCTGCCGCCAAATGAGTGACAAAGAGAGTGAAGAACAAAGTCCTGAACCGCATGGTGGGCGATCCGGGATCTGATATAGAGGGACGCGATCTCCCAAGATCATTCAGTCTGGGGTCTTCTGCAGTATGCCGTGCTTCCCCTTAGGTGAGGCTGTCAGCCTTTCGCGATCCCAAATATGGCCTGAACATGGTGTACAATATAACACTGGAAACGACATTCCACACAGGGAAGCGTCCTACCAGCGTTGCATCGGATGGACTTCTCCGTCCAGACACTATTGCCAAGCCGGACGCCGGCCAAGGAGACTCTCACGCGACTGGTGGAACTATGCTGCCCGTATAACCGGGACATGGGGCCGGAACCCGGCATCCACGCAAGAAACTCAGCTTCGGCGATAGCACCGATTGTCGACTGAAGGAACTTCCGAGGTCTGCGGCAAAGTTATATCATCAATAGCATATTTCCCGACAAGCATTAAATTCAGGTTGCATTGAGTAACAATCTACACAGTACCTACACCAGCTTTTTGAGCGCCTAAAGCCACTCAACTTTCCTCCTGATTATCCTGTGTCTTCTGCTGAGGCTCCTTCTCCTCTTTTGGCTCCTCCCCCCTCAACTTTTCTTCTTTCGTTTCCTCATTCTTCTCGCCCTTCACCTCCTTTTCTTTCTTCTTCCTTTCTTCTTCCTCAGCCTTCTTCTGCTCACCAAGCTCCCTCTCGATCCTCTTGATCACGTTGTCCATCATCTTCAGCTTGTCGCGCCCAAACGGACCCGGCACGCCCCATCCAACAATCTCATGCTTGACCTTGAGAGAGTACTCAAGGGCCTTCTCAAGGTTCCCGGCATGGTAATACAGCCGGCCGGCTGTCTCGTACAAATCGGCCATGTGCTCGGTCAGCTGCTCGACTGCAATGAGGTCAAACATCTTCTCAGCGCCCTGAACAGCCTCCTGGAAGGAGCCGTTCTGGGCTAGCTTGAGAACTTCATTCTGCAAACGCCGAATCTCAAGCAAGTTGGCATCGGAGGCATTGACTACCTCTGGAGGTGAGGTGCATAGTTCACAGTGGCTGACAGGTGTCAGTGAAAACTCGGCGAGAGGATGATTCTCAAGCTACTCACCATTCAAAGCCCCATGTACTCTTGAGCATCCTTTGCCGTTCCTTGGAAGTTCTTCCTGCCGGGGAATCTGACAACTGTCAGCAGTTTCAGTCTAAAGCTTGCCAGTCACCAAGACTCACAGGTGATGGTAATCTCCTCTCCTGGTTGGATCTCCCTTGCCGACCAAAGCGTCATGGCAAGCGTGGTGTCGGAGAAGTGAATGAAGGCACTGTGGTCATTAGTACTCGCTCATCTCTTTTTGCCAGTTACGACACATACTTGGGCCGGCAGTTGTGGTTGATCCTCTACCCAGTCATTAGCTTCGCCTCTACGAACTTACAGGTGAACAAAACTTACCGCTAAGTTTGTAAACAGCGCCATTACCTCTCGTCCCCCAACCGCAACCCCAAAGCTATTTGTCAACATCACATCCTCCACAAACCCAACTCCCTCCTTCCCCTGAATCGCCAGCCCCCTCACGCTCTTCGGCTCTGGCAGCTGATCAACTGCCAACTCCAACAAATCTTGCACATCCTCGCGCATCACATCCGCTGGGTACTCCACATTTGCCAGAACGGACGCATAATCTATCATGATTGCCTTCCCCTTTGGGATCTTCCTGGTCGCTACCAACCCCAGCCCCTTCCCAGGTACCTCACGCACCTCATACGGCGGAGGGTACTCCAGCTTCTCGGGCGCAAAGAAATGTGCTGGGTCATCGTTGAGATCGTGGAGACTGTGAAAGGGATTGAGGGCTGAGGAAGAGGCTAGCTCGGGGGTTGTGAGAACTGATATGCCATGGCGGGAGTAGGGCGGGAGATGGGCGGCGGTGTAAACGCAGTAGGGTGTTTCGGAGGACTCGATGCAGCGAGGGGGATGTGTCCAGGGGAGCCAGGAGGCTGGGTTGTTGGGGGCGGGAACAGTGTGGGAGGTTGGGAAGCTTAGGTGTGGTGGTGCGCCACCACGGGCACATTGGGAGGGTTGGATGGAGGATGAGAGGGTGAAGGGGGTGAAAAGGAGGGCCGAGAGAATATGCTGAACCCTAAGGAAAGCCATGATGAGGGTTAGGGTTAGGGTAAATTCTCAGGTTAAGAAAACATGATGGATGAACAGGAAGGGACAGGCGAATTCGACGTGAAAGGTAAGATAAATTGAGATGGTACGCAAGTTGACAGCTTGCATATCCATATCACGGGCTCCGTAGCGTGGTTCGTACCTTGGGAGGACATTTAGCCGAGTGTCGATGAGGTTGTGTCTTTACACTTGGCTCCGTGCCAAGACCATACTGACTTGGTAGCTTGGTGACACCATCATACATTTAACCGCAGCGTCAACGGCATAGATTTGTGTGATCCCCGTTTCTGGGACTATCGACAATGCTATAATTAGCAGAGGCTATGGATCCCTACCCACCACCTAAATGTCACTTTTATACTACGCAGCAGCCATATACAAGTCCAGTCCCTCATCGGTTACCCACCTCACCTTCACCCCCGGCGCAACATACCATATCGCCCCCTCTTCGACATCCACGAGCTTTCCCTCAGCCTCCATCTTTCCTGCTCCCCTCACAACGATCATAATCCCCGGCCCATCACCCCCCTCCATCTCCCCCTCAGCATTTTCCCCCAACTCAATCCTCCACACCTCAAATTCCTCAACCCCCGGCGGCCGATACCTCACCACGCGCGCCCCCTCCCCCTCCGTCGCTTTCTCCTTGACTTTCAACTTGATATCACCCGGCCCCTGACCCTCTATCAACAATGCGTTAACAAATATATCTACGTCATCACGCTCCTCTTCTGGACAAAACCCCGCATTCAGCACGTTATCACTCCGCGCCATGCACTCCAGCACGTCGCCGGATAAGTAGGCGTGGATGCCGTTTGCAGGAATAAATACCGCTTCACCGGGGGAGAGTGTGAAGTAATTGAGACAAGTCAGCGAGACGAGAATGCCTGGGTCGGTGGGGGAATACTGTTCTTCTAGTCGGGGGAGAAGCGTCCGGATGTAGGCTGATTCCCCTAGGAGAGATTTTGGCGCGTGCTTGAGCTGGGACAGGGCAAAGCGGAGGTCTTCCCCTGGGGCAGTGAGGATGTTTCGAGTCAAGGATCGTAAGGTGCCCTCAGTGAACGGGCGCCCGGGGTCATGCGTCACAGGGACGAAGGGGCGTAGTGCGGGGAGGGAGAAGAGCTCTGTGATGTGGGAGAGGGGTTTCCATCCGGCGAAGAGCTCGAAGCGGGAGAGTGCGATGGCGATCTCGGGTTTGTGGTTAGGGTCCTGGAAGTGGACAGGGTACTTGGAGTGGAGGAGGGAGGAGATGCGCTTGTCGGGGTGAAGTTGGAGGGGAAGGGCTTTGGCGATGGAGAGGATCTTTGGGAGGAAGGGCAGTTGGCTGCCCAGTTGGGTGATTACTTTGCGCCCGAGGAGAGTGTCTTTGTTTTCGGAGAGGACATGGTTCAGGGGCTCGCCTGTGGTAAGGACACGAGCTGGGTTGGTATGGTAGTCGCCAAACCAAAGCTCGGAGTAGGGAGTGTCGGAACTGATGGTGAAGTTTCGGTCGGTCTTTGAGCAGAGACGGGCAGCAAGCGATTCGTTGCCGTGTTTGCCCCAAGGGTAGTTGTTGCAAGCTCCAACCAACTGGAATATTCGCGCTGCCATAGTACATGTTACACTGTACAACGTAAACTTGATAGCACATCAATCTCTTGCAGCAGGAGCATCCATCCAGATTCGTAAAGCTTCACAACCTTTCAAGTTTAATTTCACTTACTAATTGGATGGTGTCGCTGTCATTTCCAAAATGTTGCGATCTCCCTCGCCCCTGCAAGGTTTGGATCCTTAACGTCATCATTTTACATTAGTGAATTACAGTATGAAAACTAGTCTGCTGCACTGTGCGTTTCATCACTCCGTCACAAAGGGACGATTCATCCATAACCGATTTCAAACATCTCGAGACTCATAGTTTTTTTGTGAAGTTTGAATTGAATATCATTGTTTCTGATCGAAATCTATAAGAATGTATCTTCTTTGATGCATTTCGTGACAAATTCACAGGCCTAAACTCTTAAATATACACCCAGACTTACCACTTGAACATGAAGAAAAGTCCATAGTGGAAGGGTATGATCCACATTTAAGATTTCGAAATGAGAATTATTCTTATAGAATAGTCCATATAATTTTTTTCGCATGCTCTTTATCTTCTTAGGGCAGAATTAGTATTCATACGGGGATCTACAAGAATAGTCTGTCAGCAGGACCTAGTTAGGGTAGTTCTTATCATTCTGCATCATGATCTCTCATGCTTCTTCAGACTGGAGAATCTACAACATCAGAGATCAAGATATAGGATCTTCAGCGACAGACCAATAACAACACAATCGATCGTGCGTCGTTTAGTGAAGAGATCAGTTACACCCAGAAAACCACTCGAGTCGTTGTTATATTGTCTCCTTGTTTGATATTTTGTTGTCTTTTCACTGTTGACGTACTCAACGAAACGGATTATTCTAGACTACTCTTTATGACTCTCAACAGAACCCATTGGCAGTATTGTGAATAGCACCAAACTTACCGTTACATGAACCCTGAACAATGTGCATTTAGGTATGAATTGAGGATGCCATGACGCCAATATCGGCTCGATTGTCAGCTTTGCCACCAGCCCGAGCCACAATACCACATATACATATTATGCATGGCAAACACATGTGTTCAATCAGGCCAGGATAACGAGGAATGTTTACCATGCAATCTCTCAATGGGCACTTGACGAAGGAGATACTTGACATTAGGTTTGGAGCTAGTACTCATCTAACCATGCTACCCTGACAACACCTTTCCAGCCTATCAACTTGCAGCTAATAATAATACATAATGCACAGGAAACCCTAAACCAGAACTCCAAAATCCGAATCAACCAAACAAGCATTCACACTTTTCCCCCTATGACCCTGAGACACTCATTAGTGCAGGTAGTAGAAAGCAATTGCAAGCAGAGCCAGACCGGCATTGACGGCATTAGGAACAGGCGAGCCCCCAGCAGCACCAAATAGCGGGTTCTTTCCCTTCTTCCCATCCTTCTTCTTCTTGTGCTTGTCATCGTTGCAGTCATCGTCATTGCAGTCGTCATCACAGTGATCACCTTCACATTTCTTGTCGCAATGGTCGCCAACACACTTCTCCTTTTCCTCGATGTGGCACTTCTCCTCGCAATGGGAGTCGCCTTGGCATTCCTTGACGCAGTTGGACTGGTACTTGAGGCCATATCCATCGTCGTAGCCATTATCGTGGTGACCACCATCGTAGTGACCATCATCATGACCATGCTCATATTGATTGTCATGGCTGCATGAGTGAGAGGAGCAGCTTTCGTGCTGATAACTACCACCATCATGAAGCTCGAGATCAGTCACAATGTTGTGGTAGCACTTGTCCTTAAGAAGGGGCTCAATGACCGAAGGGACGTCGTGGCAGGCAGCAAAGACTTGGCGCAGGTCTTGCTTGATGGTGTCGAGCCAAGCATCGCGCCATACATAGAACAGGGTCTTGTCAGACTCCTTGATGTGGTGCTTGTGATTCCGGTTGTCAAACTTGACGTCACGGCAATCATCGGAGACCCAGCCTAACTTTCTGCCGAGGGACTCAAGGTGAGGAGGGTAGGTCGGATTCGGTGGCAAATGGGGAGTGATGTGCGAGGCAATGTTATGGCATGATTCAGGGATCTTGTCCTCTTGTAGGTGGTTGTGGCAGTGGTGTCCTTCTAAGGCGTGCTTGCCATTGCAGCCACCATACTCGCCATCAGGGAGAGGAGCAATAGGTGAAGCGTTGACGACAGCAAAGATGCTGGCAACCAGGGGCAGAGCGTAAGTAAGGCGAGCCATTTTGAAATACTGGAAAGCGAAACTTCGTATAGATGGAGTTTAAAACAGAAGTGAAGCTGAGGATACAATAAAAGAGCACTGGACAAAGTATTCGAGATGGCGAATTGACTGAGCTGACCTGGAGACTTGAGAGCAAAGAGTGGGATGGGGGAAGAAGAGAGACTTTGAGGGTAGAATTCTGTTTATCTGGCGTGACGATCCCCCGTGTCCTTCCTTCTCTTTGCCGCCCGCCTTTGGACTTACCGTGACTGCCGACAGGCAAATCAACAGAGGAAATCACTGACAATTGCTTTCCAGTCTTGACGTCTTGAGTGGAATCGTGGAGTTTCACATGCTTCCTAGAAGCCAAATATGTTCTCATCCTCGACATACCCCCAATCTGGCCGCCAAGTCAATGTCTGGATGCCCCTTGGGAAAAATAGGACGGAAGGTACATACCGTTCAATGCAGGAAGAGCGACCCCTTTGATTAACCCCGGAGGACCGCATAAGAACACTGCATTTCCCTCCCCGGGAGGAAACAACACTCTTTTTAATGAATTTGCATTTACCAATCCCCTTTCACCCTTCCAGTCATCCCCAGGCTGGCTCAAGATATGAGTGACCCTGATTCGTCCTTGACTTTCTTTCACAAACCTTTCCAGCTCCTCCCGTAGCAAAATATCACCTTCGGTTTTATTGGCATCCACGGCCCTCACTTCTGGTGCCTCTTCTCCAGCTTGGATCTCGCTCATGACCCGAGCCATGAGTGCATACCCAGGGGTGATTCCCGATCCGCCAAGGACAAGCGACACACGAGGGAAGCGCAGTCTGCGCTCGGCAGAGTGCGGGTCGTGTGGATTGGCACCGCGAATAAGGAATGTCGAGTGGCCCTCGTAGATGACGTCACCGGTTGGACCCCTGATCTCGACTTCCTCACCCAGGGGCATGCAGTCGAGAAGGTTGGAGAGGGCTCCTCCGGGCTGGGAAGGTGTGGGGAAGTAAGTTTTGATGGTCAAGTCGAAGGTGCGATTCTCATTTGTGGGCGCAGGATTGGTCTGGCCAGCATGTGATTCAGGTCTGTTGCTCGTTGAAGCCGTCGATGAGAAGGAATGGCCAGTCGAAGTGGGTGACTCGGGAGGAGTAGGTGGACCCTTGGCCTGCGATCCCTTATCGCAGCTTTTCACAGTTCGTTGACTTGTCTCGCGAACACCTGGAGGGGAAGGGATTACTGGTCGAGTAGGGGTGTAGGATCGGACAACCATCTTGTCTTGCAAGTGGAAGCCTACTTGAATGTGCTGGCAAGTCTCGACTCCAAGGCTTGACTTGCCTTCTGGCAGCTCAAAGGTGTACGTCCGCGTATCTCTAGAGACAGATCGTCGGTCAACCAGCCTGACTGGCAGCCATCGCTGCAGTTCGAGGGCTAAATGACCTCCCTTCCCTCTTTTTTCAGCCCTTGTGGCTCGTTCTTTGGCAATGACCTCAGCAGTTTGCTGGATGTACTTCGCTGTCTTTTCGGTTACAGAACCGAGCAGGCATTCTGTTTCTCGTCAGCATGGTTCTGGCGTCTCGACGGCAGATGCACACACCCCGCAGCTTATGGTGAGCAAATTCATCATGGATGCTCTCAAATTGTTCAGTTGTCTCATAATGACATTTTCCGGCATGTGTCATAATGGACGCCTTCCCACCGGGATGCCATTCAAGGACGCTTGTTACATCATAAACCTTGTTGTTGATAACCATCCAGCAGGCGTCAGGTTTGTCGTGCTTCTCAATTTCCTCTCGAGTAAACTGCTTTTCTGGGATCCCGCCCTCTTGTTTGGTCTGCGCCAAAAGAAGCTCCTGGGATGGCTGCATCCATCCACCGCTCAAAGATGCAGCCTCAGTGGGATGACGGAACATGATGGCTACACCATCACCCCGCTGCTCTGTAATCAGGTCTGTCTTCACGGTATACCACGAATTATTCATCATGCCCAGCACATTCCACTCGAAGTCCGGAGGTTGCCTGTTTTTTGTCGCATCCCAGCATCGCACGATAACGTTGGGTGCTCGTACCAGCTTCGCAAGCTCAACCTCGACATCCCAAAAAACCCATGCCCAGAACTTATTGCCATGTCTGATGGGGAAGTCGGGAAACTTTCTCTTTGCCCACAGCCATTTCTTTCCGCCATCGATGGACACTTCGACTCTTTGAACCTCTAGGCCGGCTCCCGCATAGGCAAAGCCCTGGATGTGATACATCTCCCCTGCCTTTGCTTTATTCAACGGTATCTTCTCGCCTTGCCCTGGACGACACACCACAGCGTTAACAGGTTGCTCATAAATCGCCGAGCTAGGATGGTGAAACAGTGCTTTAGCAATCTCGCTTCCAGTGTCACGTATAAATTCTGGGAGCAGTCGGTTGTCCCAAATATGGTAGTAGCTTTGGTTTTCATGATCTGTGATCCAAATCCTCTTCAACCACTTCACGCTTCTACCGCCCACATGTCCGGGTACGACAAGGCGAACAGGATAACCATGATCCGGGGGCAGGGGAAGATCATTCATGTACAGAGCGAGAAGAACGTCGTTGGCTGGGTTCATTACGTATTCCAGGGGCAAAGAGGTTTCGTATGGCCCTCCGCTGGGGTTGTCAGCGCCAGCAAAATTGACGTAGAGCCTTCTTCCTCTCCCATCGTCCATTTGCCCGGTTGATGGGACAACGCCGGCGTCTAACAGTACGTCTCGCACTAGCGGTCCTTTCCAGTAGGCACAGCCAACCGATCCAGCACCATTGTTGGCACCTTTTGTCTTACGCAAGAGGTTCATCTCCTTCCTGCGGTTGCCTGTGCATGCCATCGCGACAGGGATGTTGATCATGCGAGAGGAGAAGCGGGTTTTGAGGTCATGCATGCTCAGCGACACGAGCAAACACTTCCTTTCGTTACCTCCTGCATTGGAGCTCTCGAAACCAGATATTTCCAGATGGTGCAATTCCCAGAGCAACCGAGGCACTGCTCCGTGATTTCTAACGAAGTGTAACTCATTTGGGGTGATCAAGCCGCCAGCGAAGAGATCAGAAAGCGAGGGTTCAGCGTTGAAGGGATGGTTTCCAGTCAGACGTATGAGAGCGCTGCTGCGTGGAAGCCAGTTGTCAGGAGTAAATTGGTCCTGCGCATCGATACTGATTGTTGAACGGTTCTGGGTTTGTGGGCATACACGATGGCCTGAGTTTTGCTTCAAGGTGGTAAGAAGGTTGGATTCCGATTCAATCTCGCAGAGGAGGGCGCGCTGTTGAGGGCTGAGATTCTGCTCTTTCGCCTTTCCATCCTCCGATGCAGGCTCTCTTTCGTCTTTTACCTGTCCGTCCTTCTCGCCTGCGTTCCCTTTCTTCTTCCCTTCCTGCTTCCGCTCCTTCTCCTCCCTTTCCACATTGACTGGCCACCTCTGTCCATACTTGACCCAATCCTCCGTCGTCTCGAGAACATACCTCCAACCCAACGACCGATCGCCTGGATGTCGCAGGTGAAAGGAGGTCTGGTGCTCAATCAAGTCCCGAAAATTGACCAAGTCCCCAGCTGACACTCGCTGCCTGATCTCCTCGCGTTTACGTCGGGCCTCGGCGATCTCTGCCTCGCTGAGCTCGCGGTCGACCTCCGGCTCAGTTAACCCCGGACGACGGCCCTCGTGGTTCTTGAAGCCGATCGCGTGTGCGCGGAGTTGGATCCAGTCGGGCTCATTGAGAATATCTTGTGGGGAAGAGCCCGGGTGAGGAGTTATGGTGACCTCCCAAGGGATGCGTTGTGGCACGGCCATGGTGGTAAATGGCTACCGCGGGATGGCCTTCGGTACCTGGAGTAAGGGTTTGATTTTAACAGGTTGCGGGTGTATGCCCCCGGGGGATCGGCAGTGATGGGAAATGCATCTCGAGAAACAGCCGTCAGCTGAACTCCGAGTTGAGCTCTGGAACTCATGATGTCATGACATGACTTGGCAGTTGACGTCAGACGAAAAGGACCCTCGGTGAGCGATGAGTTCAAGAGTCGGGCTGGAAGCAGTGTAGCACGGACTGCTCACCGGCAGCTATGTGGACGCTCTGCGGTCTGTGCAGAAGACACCTTCATGTTGGCAATAGCATATTTTATCATCAGGAGTGAGATCTACGCGATGTGATGCTGGAATCCGCGTTGATCAGCTGACGGAAGTCGTGGGAGGGAATGGTCAACAACAGATGGGACAAAAGCAAATGTAGTCACTGACGTCGAGGCTAAGATCGGTTGTATTCCATACACAAGTTGACTTCTCAACCGCGATACTCAGCACAAGACTCGGTTCTATAGTGTAGCGGTTATCACTTCGGATTCTGAGAAATCCAGTCTTCTTAGAAGATTCCGACAACCCCGGTTCGAATCCGGGTAGGACCTCTATTCTACGAAATTTTTTTTCCCACCCTCGTCTTCGAAACCGTCTTTTGGGCTTGTGGTTCGAGCCTGCTAATTGACTCCACTTCCGGGGGCTGGCGGAAGATTTTGGTCCGGGATCAGAGTGTAGCCTCAGTTCAATCGTGTCTCTGCCATCGTTGTCATGCGTTCTTTTCAAAGTTTGGGACAAATCAACATTAGTGATATCAACAGAAGCTTTCGCGGCTAAACGACTGAATTCCGTTCTCTGGCGTGGACAGTTGAGTGAAATCATCCATGCATGGCAAAACCGCACGGCCGAGTTGGCGAGGGTTAGATATCGTTTGAAATGGTGATGAGTGTTTCATCAAGACAGCTACGAAAACATTTCTGCTCCAAGCACATTAGGTATCATAACCAAGGTAACTTGTCCATCTATCTCCAAACGGTGTCTCTCCACGCCCTCGAGAAATTACCCACACTCACACATTCACTCATCCCACGCAACACGCATCGACGCAGGCCACGCGCTATACGCGGCCCAGTCGTCGCGCATGTACTGCACGCGTCCGGTGCTCTTGCCCGTCCGGTCGGGCACCACCACCTTCTTCAGCTCGCCCTGCGGACCCGGCGTGCGCCGCAAGTTCTTGCGTGCAAAACACCGCGCGGAAGAACTCCACCAGCGTTGCGTCGCGCACGGCAGTTCCTCCAAGGAAGACCGCGTCGGGTGAGGCGTCGAGATGTGCGTATAGTGAGCGCGCGTGCGTGTGCAGTGAAGGGTCGGGTTGGGCGGGCTCACAGGCGGAGGGCGACTGTGATGGGGAGTTAGTTTCATGTTTGTTGGGATGAGGTGTGGGTGATGAGGGGAGACGTACCGTGTTCAGGGTGACGAAGTCGCCTGCTTCGATGCTGTTCTCCACTGTTGGGATGGTATCGGCAGCGACGGCCTGGAAGACTAGGTGTGTGCTGCCTCCTAGACGGATGCCCTCGAGAGCGTAGCCAAGAAGCAGCGAGTCGACCTGCTCGGAGGCAGGCTGAGTTGCGAGTGACTGGATCGCCTCGCGAAACTGCGCTCTAGCTGGAGAGAGGTAGAAGTCAACCGCTTCGGTGAACTGTAACATTGGGTTAGCGGTTCCTGATATTGTGATAGGATACAATCACTTACGATCTTTGTCTGGTAGGCGACAACCGCGGCCGAAGCAGCCAGAACGTGAGCCCAAGTAATGTCATGCCTGCTCACGCCAGCCTTGGTCAACGCCTTGATCAACTTAGCGCCATAGCTGCTCAGCGGCTGACTCTTGTTCGACTTGGGACTCTTAACAGTCTTCTCAATGGCTGTCGCCAGCTGACTGGACAGCGTCTTTACCGCCTGGAGCAACGGGAACTTCTTGACAACATCAACTTGGGTGAAAAGCACGGTAGCAATAGTTGACAGGACCACGTGTAGCTCATGCTCGGTGTAGAAGCCCTTCTTATTGGCCCTGCTTTCAAGCGGCAGGCCAAAGAGCTCGGAAACGAAGTACGTGGGCGCAAGGGCAGCCACATCTCTCACCAGATCGGCCATGCGGTTGCCCGCCAGGTCGTAACTTCTGAGATCAAGAAGCTCGGCGACCTTCTGGCGGTAGAATGCCTTCACGGTCACAACAAAATCGTCATCGAACACACTCTCGCTAACCTGCTGACGTAGTTGATCATGTGTCTTCGCGTCGCCAGACAACTTGGCCTTGCCCTGGTCGGCAAGGGGACGAAGAGCCTCGAGCCATGCACCCCGGTACTTCTCCTGTCCGGCCAGAACATGGCGAACACCCTCGGGCTCCTTGACTTCCGCCGTCTTCCTGAGACGACCGGGACGGCAGAAGTCGAACAGATGGTCGCGCTTGAGGTCCTTGACGATCTTCTCTGTCTCAGATGGAACCACCATAGGATAGTGGGCATAGACAGAGTTGTAGTTGAAATGGTTGGGGAAAGCATTGAGGAATAACTTGTAGAAGACGCAGCCATGGTTGACGTTCAGGTCATACTGAACATCGTTGTAGCCCCAGTTGGTCAGGTGGCGTGGGCTGTAGTCGATGGTGTAGTGCCGGTCACTGCGGACGAGGACCACTGCATCCGAGAGCACGACACGAGAGATAGTATAGGTCGGGGCGATGCCCACGCCAGGCACCATGGGCTCCTTGCGCTCCTCGGCGACAATGCCGGGATACAACTCGACGAAGTCAGGGTGGTCGTACAGACGGCGGAGGGCATCGGCGACGCCAGGGTCAGAGTTGATGTCCTCGAATGTCTCGTACGGCTTGAGGCCGAAGTGCCTGCGGAACTCATTAAGGCTGGCAACATTCCATTTGCGGCCTTGGATGATACCCAGTATCTCAATGGCACGCATTGAGGCGGGCACGTTCCGAGCGCCAAACGAGCCGGCACAGTCCTCGATGGCCGACACGATGCACTCAACAAGGTCATCATCGCTGAACTTGCCATCCGGACCTCTCTTGAACTTATTGAACGGCCGCTGCAGAGGATCTTCTGGCAGCCTGCTCTCAAACATGGCGAAGCCTGCAAGCAGATCCTGCACGCCGACCTCTGCCGACGGCTTGCCAAACAGGTCCCAATAGAACTCCTCGATCCACTTTTCATCCTTTTCAGAGATGCAGCTGTGCCAGCGGTAGCAGAGGTTGAACTCTGCTGAAACGACGTTGCCGGTACCGCGCTCTGCTCCCTGCCTGACATCGGCCTCAATACCGGTGTTGACACGAGGATCTAGGGTCCACGTCGTGTCTACACGGTTGAGCTTCACTCACGTCAGCACTTTATTCCATACCAGTAGTCATTGGGATGTGATCGCTTACATTCACAATATTCCGCACGTAATCAAGCAACATGATGTTGATGTACAACCCGGACGTGACGAGTCGTGCAGTCTGGAACAGATCCTCATCATACTTCTTCCACGCCGCCGCAGCCTTGTCGCCCTGCAATGATGGTGACGGCGCGGTGAACCTGCCGTCTTCGTTGATGGAGATCAGATTGTCGCAGACATAGTTGTGGAACCGGTTGAACATGATAAGCAAGACTCCGACACCAGGGGGCAGGCCATGGATACGCTTATCCGCAAAACAATCGGGCTTCAACTTGCCGTCCTTGAATGTGCGGATAGTGTTCTGCATCTCTTGGTTACTGCCATAGAGGGGAGACAGGTCAAGGTAAGATGACGTCTTGGACCGGCTCACGTCGTGGTGGTCGGTCCAGAAGAGGTCTGTCGTAAGTTAATCCCCTGATCTAAAGGAAATCCAACTCTAGGTCACCTACCATGAATGACAATGCTGGCCCAGTACCAGAGGATGCTGGAAACATTGTTGGGATGCTTCTTGTACTCTGTACGCTTCATGACGGAATCGAAAACGAGCCCTGGATCTGGCAGAGCACCCTTGCGCAAAACTGTGGTGTTCACGGACCTGGCGTACGGACTGCCGGCGGCCCCAAGTTGGGGAAACATAATATTCTAGGGCCATCAGCATTTACTGTTCCCATATCTCGTCCTATGGAAAGATGAAAACTCACGTTGTAAGACCCATCAGCCTGCCGATACCTGTACTTGTCCCCCACATACAGAGAAGGTGGATGCCCAAGGGAGTTCCAAAGCTCGCCCAGAAAAGTGTTGGTAAGCTCCACGCGAAGCTTCGAGTCATTAGGAAGATTTGCGACTAACTGAATGACCCTTTCCATAATCATTGTCTTATCATCAGTGAGCTTCTCGCCCTTCACGCGGGCAAGGACGACCTGCTTCAGCGTTTTGATATCTGTGTGCGCTGTCAGCTTGCTCGAACCGAATAAATAAAGCCCCAAGACTACACGTACCAGCAGAGCGCAACGTCTTGAGATCCTGCTTGAGCTTGCCCCATTTCCTCGGCTCGTTGACAGGTCCAGGTCCCTCTTGGTTTGGCGCTGGCTTGATTGTCGCCTGGAAGATCTGGGCACACCGTTCTAAAGCATTGGCGACGCCTTCTTTATCGGACTTCGTCGGCATTACTTTGCGAGGAGTCGGCTTAGGCTTTGCTTTACTGGCCAACTTTTCGCGACCCTCCTGTGGTGCCTTCTCTCGCCCATTGGAAGCATGACGCGAGGCAGTCACCTTTGCGCCGTTCATGGTGTTTTCGCCGTTTTGGGACGTGTCTACCGCCATCTCTATCTCGCAAAACTATGCAGGAGGAGTGGATGAGAACTGCAAAAATGGGAGAGTGTTCACGGTGTCTTCACCGTCATCGACAGGGCGCAGGAAGCAGAAACGCACTCCAATATGGTGCGACCTCAAAAAGACGTACGGATGGATAAAATCTAGACTGCTTCCCTTACGCTTATTATGTATCCAGACAATATCCTCCGGGGATAGCCCTCGCGGGTACCCACAGCTAGTCGGTATACACCTACACATTTGTACAGTCCCACAAGCTCAGATGGCATTGAACACGACGTCAACGCCCCTTGTTCGGCGTCTGTCCCAGTCAGCTGAAGAGGAGCATCTCCACCACCTGCACAAGTGTAGCCGCCAGCCCCGACACTCAGCAGTCAAGTCAATGTAAGAGGAGCGTGCCATCCGCAAGCCTTTGTCGTTCATAAAACTTAGTGGAGCATACCGAGATCTGCATCTTGCAGGCTAAGGACAAGGGTTTGGGGTAGAAGGTGCAATGCGCTGCTTTCTTAAGCAAATCAAGATCATTTTCGCGGTCTTGCATCGGCCTGGCTAGGAGGTTGGAGACGAGTTGCCACACTGCACTCTAGGGCACGGATGAAGAGCTGGTTTGATGAGCTGGTTGTTTGGTGACCAATCACCCAAGCCGCTGTTGATCTGCGCGCAGGACTAGTGCATAAGCAGACGAACTTCAACCTGTACTACAGTAGTCCCCTTATGCCAGCACAAGGCCTCCCCCATAACACCCAAGAGCAACTTGATAAGGTAAAAATTTGGGTGGCAGGGCATATCAGAGTCTTAGAGGCTGAGAGTTGTTTTTACTGAATCGTTTACTTAGAATTGAATAGGAGGTGATTGGGCTGAATCCGGGGCAGCTAAGTACTTGAAACGTACACGGGCCGGGCTCCGACGTGTTGTCGATCGGATCTCACGTTGGATCGGGGCCAAAAGAGAGACCAATCATAGCGAAAAGAAGTCTCCTTTTCGGAGCTTATTTTGATCAGGCGGGAGAGTGACGGCTAGCCGCAGTTTCCGCGCTTGTCGCTTGCCCCCTTGTCCCAGGAACCTCCAGTCCAAAGATCCATGCAAGGGGCTGCCACAGTAAGTAACATGCTCAGCTGAAAGCAAGGGGCGCGCAAAAAAACGGGATCTCCCGTGGCCCGAACAACAACACACCGAGCAATTGATGGAGGCTGACCGCTATGTAACCCACAAGGATCAACGACAGAAACATATTCTCTTTTTCCGGGAAAGGTGGGCCATCGCATGCATGACGAAGACAAAATCGGTCTTCATTTGGGGAGTGTGATCGACATAAGACAGTGGTCGGTTGGTCGTCAGAAAGAAGATAGGTTTAAAAACAATACAATCCTGGTTAATTTGTTAGCATAGCACCTTTCTGCAAGCCGTGGACCATTTCTGGAGAGAGGCTTGAAGCTCTCATATCTGACCGATTATCGGATTCAATTAGCTTAACTCTCTGATGGAGACGCCTTTAGTGGCTTGCAGAGAATATCACACTAACAAACAGACCAGGGTTGTCTTGTAGAAGGGCATGTCGGCCTTGACCTCACTCCTGGGCTGCAGCAGGGACAGAGGAGCAGGATGTAGAAAAATGGCACGCATGCTTCGACATACAGTGGTATCAGTCACACGTCAATAAGAATCTGCACGAAAGACGTACATTAGTTCTGTTCATCTAGGTGGTCAATCTTTACAGGCTTCATCGACCACGTCTTTTCAACTGCTGCCCAACACGAAGGCAAACTCTTCCTAAAGATTGGACCAAGACATGGACTCACCACGTCTGAAACCAAGCTCCCGTGATGGCCATTTCACGGCCTCAAATACCGGACTGGAAAGGACACGCGAGATAGGAGACGAATTCTCGAATTGTGTCCTATCCCGGCCAGTCACTCCTAGAACTATGGAGAAGCATGCTTACGGTGCGCATCGCAAACCCAGGAAGATTGTGCTCTGCTTCGATGGCACAGGAAATAAATTCCAGGGAGATGACAGCGACAGCAACATTTTGAAGATCTTCAGGATGTTGGATCGAACAGCAAGTGATCAGTGTAAGTCCACAGTGACCCTGTGTTTCCATAGCAGGTAAAGCTAACGATAAGCTTGTAGACCATTACTATCAGCGTGAGTCGATATCGAATCATCTAGAAATGTGACTGTTGGAAGGCACTGCTGACCCGTACAACCAAACAGCGGGAATTGGCACCTACGTGGTGTCAAAGAGCCTGAGCCATACAGGCAGGATAGCTCGGCTCAAATCGTGGTGCATGAAGGCGAAAGACTCAGCGATTGGCTCGTCGTTCGACCAACATGTTGTCGGGGGATATCGATTTCTCATGCGTTACTATGACCCTGGCGATGAGATATACATTTTTGGTTTTTCTCGCGGTGCTTACATTGCTCGCTTTCTTGCCGAGATGCTAGACTACGTCGGTCTACTCTCTCATGGCAATGAGGAAATGGTGGTGTTTGCATGGAAGGCCTTTGCCAACTGGCAAAGAAGGCGAGAGAGCACCACGCCAGCCGGTATTAGACAAAAGAAGGAGATGTATGCATTCATGAGGGGATTCCGCGAGACATTCTCGCGGCCAGTACGAAGGATCCGATTCCTCGGCCTTTTCGACACCGTCAACAGCGTACCACAATTTGAAGCTGCTTGGATGGAACGCAGCAAATTTCCCTACACTGCGCGCACATCAGCAAAAGTGATACGTCACGCAGTGAGCATAGATGAGCGGCGCGCCAAATTTCGGCAAGACCTGATTTACCAGAGCGGCCAGAACAAGACCTCGAAGGGAGGTGGACGGAGCAAGGACAAGACAAGTGGGAATGGAGAAAGGTACAGAAGAAAATCCAGCTTCAGCTCAGCAAAGCCAGCCGACGGCGTGACGCTTCACAATGAACGCGGGCGCTGCTTGACACTGGACACGCCGGATGATGAAGCTCCATACCGTGTTCGCTCGCACTCGATTCGCTCTCGTCGAACAGGCATGACAGGTGCTTCTGATTTGGACCATCACCAAGATGTGAAGTCCGAGCTCTCTGTCGCCATCCATCCACACGATGAAGACGTCTTGTCCATTGCCGAGTCTGAGGATGAATCAGACCAGGACATTGATGAGGTGTGGTTTGCCGGCGGTCATGCAGATGTTGGTGGAGGCTGGGAAGTTCCCCCAGACTCCAAGCCGGCCAGCCATATCCCTCTTGTGTGGATGGTGCATGAAGCGATGAAAGCCGGGCTTACGTTTGACCTCGACAAAGTTCGTGAGATGGGATGCATGGAAGCATTCGACGACGAGTCCATGGCAGCCAATAGCAGCATCAACAATGGCAAAGCAGAAGCTCTCCACACGGCAAGAGCACCAAGCAATTCTCGAGTGCTTCCGGTCCCCAATATCATGATCCGGTCCCCGACAACGATGTTATGCGAGCCCTCTACAAAACCTTCTCACGGAGCAGATAGACCCGGGAAAGTTACGTCCTCCGCTGTCGAGAGCGGCGATGGCCACCGTGAGACGTTCAGAGAAATGATGGACAAGGCATGTATCGCTCGACTCCATGATCCTCTTGAGTTTGGCGGCGGCCTGCCTTGGGGATCTACTTTAACCTGGAAGATCATGGAGTAAGTGTATACGCCGCTTCAGACAAGCATTGGCGCGAGAACTGGTAAAGATAACACAAGACAGATATCTGCCCTTCCGTCGTATGGATCTTCAGCCAGATGGATCGTGGAAACCCATCCGCTGGCCTCTTCCATGCGGAGAGGTCCGTGATATCCCGGAAAACGCGCGTGTCCATGGAAGTGTTATCCGGCGCATGCAACTGGATGACAAGTACAGACCAGGAAACCTCATCGTCGGTGGCGGAGGCAGGGGCGTTCGCGTCGCACCAAAGGAGTACGGGATTGGCGATTGGGTCTGTGTTGCAAATGAAGGCTCTCCCGTGAACGAAATTTGGATGAAGAGGAGCGTGGTCGAAAAAATGAGGAATAACAATACCAAAAACTAATAAGGTGACAAGGGAGGGACCGATTGCAAAAAGTCAGAAGACTGTATCCATGTAGATAGGGTTGGACTCTCACCGAGATGTCCGTTTCTACCATCTCCTGTCCTACACTTTCCACAGGTACCCGGGCAGCGGTGACCATACGCCAACAACTCAGCGCAGGCCACAGGACAGCGTTATGACTTTGATGGGATATCAACCCTTATTTTTCTGGGGCCGAGGCGCCCAAAAGAATAAGTGTCGGTGGCCAAAAACGGACCCCTTTGCTCCCGCTATTAGTGATACCGTTTTCAGACGGGGGCCAAACGGTATGAATTAACGGAAGGTACTTGATAGGAAACGCCTGTGTCGTAAGGGGCACAATGCTTGAGCGTTTAGCCCATGCAAACATGGGGCAATCCCTGTAATACAGTGTTCTTGCGGCCTTACGGGTTGACCCAGCAAAAGGTCACGACTCACAATATCCGCAAGCCAAAGATTCACTGTGCCATGTACACCAACCTTTAGTTGGGCGGATGAGCTCACTAGGCATTACCGTACATTCCATCCCGAAGTCGAAGTTGCTGGCAAGCATTGTTGGCGCGGTGGTCACAGCAGCCACAGCGGTTAACTCAACCGTTAAGAATATACTCATATATATGTCTCATTAAAATCCGTCTAGCACTAAAACACAATGATTTAGATGGTTGGTCAGTTAGTTTAAAGACTACTACTACAGATAAGGTTCCATGCATACTTACAGTTTACCCCTTATGTGATTGTTGGTGCGGAATTTTAGACAGGGGTTCTGGTAAGCCTTACACTATAAACCCCAGTTTCTTGCTTTAAAACCACTTCGGTCAAAAACTAGTTGGCATAATCAAGCAATATATTCAATATATTCTCTATCCATTAATACCTGTTTCTCGTGATAAAACTTGTTGTTCTGCGATTCAGTTGTAATGTCGTTAGACAAACCCCGGTCCCAAAGTTTTGCGCGAACGAACAAGCCAAGGGAGTATTGAACAATCAAAAGCGGGATAGCAAGAATAGGCCCACAGTTTTTTTTTTTTTTTTCATGCATCTGAATTAACGTGATGAGATGCACCGGTTAGGATTGGGGTTGCGACATTGCTGTGAAGGATCATGAGAATAACATATAGGTAACACGCATATAGAACACACGCATCCAAGCCTGATGACACGATGGCCCCTAAGGCGAAACCATAGTTACTGCAATGGAAGTAGTGTATGTAGTGGAAGAGGCTTAATTCCGTAACCTATCGTATCTACTCGCAAAAAAGTCGGGGATCTTTTGCATCAATAACCAGGATCACAGTTAGATATAGAGATGCTAACAAATTCGCTGTCTACCAAAGGGATGGTAGGATGTGGATCCTAAACTGTCTGCTTTTTTGGCGTTCTGCACTTAAACTTGAATTCTTTATATAAAAAGGTATATCCTGTACTGCGAGATACAAACTTCATCGCAACTGGCTCCTAAGCTTCAAATGCTCATCTGCCAGATTGAACAGCAACCAAGTGGATTTACCAGGTCATGCTTCTTACACAATAGCAACTAAAAAAAGAATGCCTTTAGCTTCCTTAAAAACTGGAAGCTATGAACTACCACGTATTGAAAAAAAAATCCAAGCTAGCTATTGACATCGCCCAAGTGAAGAACTGCATCGCATCACCTATTCCACTCCACTGCCATAGACTCCCTCACGAAGCACCACCTTTCAGCAGTACCATCGGGGCAGTATTCCCGCTGTCTACGTCACAATCAAGCCCTTCTACATTCTTTTCCTTGATAATGTATTCTGCATATCCTATCGGCCTGTTTGCCATCATTGCGCCACCACAAAGGCATCATCGGTTGGTTGAGGTCAATAGCAAGAACCATAAAGCTGAAAACTCTTTGGTTAACAAACCTGCAGGGACGTTTCGCACTATCTGGTTATCTTTGTTTCTGCAATTACATTCTTGCTACCTGATTCAGGACACTTCTCACTCAGGCCCTTCACAGCGTTGGCTCTCTTCTTCCATCATTTTTTTCCCTTGTAAGTACTCTTTTGCTATCCAACCCTTATAAACACTGCTTTGCTACACTTTATGCTCTCACCCAGGCATCACTGGCATCGTCATATAGTTGACCTTGCTGGTATCGTTGATGTCATCAAAGTGGCCAACCAAGTCTTGGAGTATACATTTAAGTTCTATAACAACTGGAAGACACTGATGCGTAGGCAAAAAGTTCCATTCTGAAACTAGGGGCCCCCAAGACCACCTACTATAACATGTCTCTAACCTTCCCTCGGACCGGAAGTTTGCAAACGCCTTCGACAATGATTCTTCAGCATCGCTTTCTAAGCTTGATCCCGTACGCGATATAGACGCCACTGTTCTCTTATCTACCAGTAAGGATGAGCGGCGAAAGTTTGCTCACCAAGTTGAAAAGTGGACAGATGGTCGTTTAGTTTGGATGGGAGGGCGTGGAAGGTTAGCTCTGCCCATGATTCTGCATCGTTTTGATTAATAGAGCGCCCATCTGGATCAAGTGCTTCTGAGAACGCATCAGCGGCATCATTTCCCCGACTAGCCGACACTCATCGCTACAGCTTCAAGCTACACTCTCGAGTTTAGGATAGTCTCGATCCAACGAAACTGAGACTTTTTAGTGCTCTATGACTTATATTCCGGTAGCAGACAAATATAAGCGAGATGCTGAACCTTCAAACGTACTCAGTGGCGCACCAGCTCGGTTTTATATGCGCCTTGTGGAACTATTGCGTTTGATACTCTCATTATGCTCGTTATCTGCCTCACCGTTAGAGGAGTCTTAACCAAGTTCAGCGCAAGAGAGAGCATGGTTACCTAACGGAGGTGGACGATGTCATGGTTCTTTGTTGGAAATATATTCCTTGTCGAGGTTGGGGTATCAAGGGTCGTTACAATGCTGGCGTTTCTCAAAATGCCAGATATAGATGAAGAGAGGCTCCGTAGCCCGTGATCAAGGGCTATCTTTGCCTGAACATGAGGGAAATGATCGTGTTGCTCAAGGTCTTATGGCTGAGTCGGCTCAGTTGAAAGATCAAGGACTATCGAGCTTGGTATTCCGTGTCATTCGGACACGAGGACTTAATGTCGTAGTTTCTATCATTCACAAACACCTGATCTCGGCATGGAAAGCTGTATCTCGTGTCAACGCGGCGATTCCAGGCTTTCTCTTCGGTGTACTTACCGAAGTAATTGGGGGGATGGTAATGGTGGCAAAGATGATAGTTGAATTCAACAACTGCAGGTATATTGGCTGAATGTTGCTAGTCATTAGAGGAAACGCTTATGTTTGTAGTACTCTAGTTACTCCTTTTCTTTTGGTTTTCCTAGCGCTTCAAGATATCTCAAGAATTTGTTGGCAGAGAATGAAAACAAGTGCTTTCTCATGGCTTGTGGCCATCCCCCAGCTTTGCGCTTTGTATCGTATGAGGGTAAAGTTACCAACTGACCTCAACAACCTTAATTGGCATAAATAGCAACTCTTAGATGCAAGATCAGTATTGATCGGATTTCAATAACCAGTTAAGGGACAGAGAAGAGAGGCGATGCAGCAGTCTTGCAGGAATATGGCATGGGCTGATCGACTCTAGACTCAGACCAGGCAGTGCGGTTCAGATAGCGTCCTGCTTCAAAAGGCTTCGTCTCAATCCTTTTCTTCTTATTTTAGCTCTCACCCACATCTCTTCGATTTTTCGGCCTGGTACATCTCCACTGCTCTATCATGCTGCTCTCAACATGGACACCGCTCAGCACCACACTCAACACCACTCTCACCACAAATGGAACGAGCAACGGAGAATTCTATCTCGTTTGCGAGCCATCCGCGGGCTGGTCAGTCTTGAAGTTCTTTCTTGTCAATCATGTGGCCCACTGTTTTACCATCAGAGCCGTTCCTGGGGCGTCCGCTGGCAGCTACATCATTGCCGCCGTTGCTGCACTTTTCTTTCTTCCGTGGGCTTTCTCCGTGGAATTGACGGGATAGTCTGTCATGCACGGTTTGCACAGGACTGTAAAGATGATCTAGGAAGGCGGCACGTGCCGGAGCCCTTTATACCCTTAGCCGGGGGTGGCTATGGCGGCCAATGATTTGGGATACGCTGCAACACTCTTTTCACTTGACTCAGCAACATAATGAGGCCATCGATTCAAAAAAGAGCTCTAGGTTGAGTTTCAACCCGGTTGTTCTGGGTAGGTCTCAAATCAGTTAGCCTAAGAGCAATGGCAATAGTTATTATAGCTTAAAGGCAAATAACCACCCAGTTAATCATAACTAGAAGGAGAACAGTCAAATGCGCCATTGTCCGGCGTCATCTTAAAGATCCACATGACTTATGCAATAGCGAAATCATTGGGGCTCTCCAGTCAAATAATTCCCCGCACTCAAGTTCAGTGCATTGTAATATAAAAACATCCTCATACATGTTCCATGGCTCATATCACTACAAGAAGGACGAACACACACTCACTGAAGTCCCTGCTCACGCTAAGTTGGCTTGGAACCGTTGCATCACCAGGAGTCCTCGGTTGACGGAAGAGTGGCAGCGACACGGTATATCATCGATATATAACTTTCCAAAAGCTGTTCTTGGAGTCTTGCAAGCTATCGCCACAAGTTATACCCTGTATCGAGCTTATGGAGATCAGATTTCGAGATACGGATACGCTGCGTTCGGCCTAGCTGTAACACCATACCTCCTCATGTCCATCCTCAATCGTTTGGCGGAGGCTCTCACGCCAACCTATCCGACTTATAATCTCGTACGCTCGGATGCAATGACCGAAGCTGAACTTCGACATAAAGACAATTGTTAGCCGCAAGTGACCACACCGTGGTCACCGTTGACCTACCTCGGTCAACCCGCGCTCCACTGAGGTCAGGGGCACACTTGACCTTATATAAGAGCCATGCTCATCCACCTTCACGAGTGTGTAGTTTAGAAGGTAGAGCGTTGTTATTCTGCGGCACCCATTGTGCTTGACAGATTCCCTCAGGGCCGCGTGTTCTGCAGGGCAACGCCCAAGTAAATACTCCCATCCACATCCACCATTATCCTTTACATCCAACAACAATGAACCAAAAATTTTCGATGGTGTAATTGGCAGTCTCGTTCCAGTTAGTGCCACAGAAGACACTGATGAAAAGGAAGGCAGTGCTTTAACTGAAACGCAGCTTTCTGAATGGAAAGTAATCGGAGAACATCGTTTTTACAAATGCTGGCTTTGGAACATGTGCCTAGGGTATGTTTGATACCTTCGCGGTCTAGCCACTGCGAAACTCATTTCTCTGGTTCTGGTTCTTATCTAGCTATGGTGCATAGTTTGGACCGATACTTGCCATTGAAGGAGCTGGATCTTTCGAAAGATGGGGAGATGAAGTTATTAGATGGTATGAATGACCACGTTGTCGCTTCAATTCTGACATGCAATTACTGCCCCGAAGCACATGTCAAAATCTTCACGGAGAAACCATCGCGTTACCAGCTGATACGGGAGCTCCATGAGTAGATGACATACGGCGCGAGAGGAACGGGGATTATCCCATGTATCTAGATGCCTGTTATCTGTATGGTAATCGTTGGCATTTTGAGCAAGTTTCACCGTGGGGACAGTACGGCCGCTCAACGGACGTGGACAATATCATGGCTCATTCTTGGAAACTTTTTTGGAGTTTTCATCGAATGTTATGGATTTATGCTGGTAAACCATAGCGCTCACCATTGTGCAAAATGGTTACGGAAAGCTTTGTTGGAAGCAGCTCGCGGCGTATTACCTGGCGAGCCTATAGCCAAACATCTACGACATCTAGACAGCGTGACAAGCATGTTGGAGCTGGCGTTTCGTGTAGCTTAACAATTAAGATTTAAAGTAGCACTGAAGATAATTTGCCCATATAGGCGACGCGTACTATTCAGGTTTTGGAGTCAGGATCCAGACGCGATAGTCATGAGCATCCTGATTATGGTTTTCTTACATCCGCAATGGGGGGGATGGCGATGGTTGGACGCATGATTCGGGACTTTGACGACTGCACTCTCCGTGGACTACCACCAAGATTGCTGTTACTAGTGGCTGTCTTATTGTATGGCATATTCCTGCTCTCCGAGCGTGCGTGACCAAGTCAACCCTACAACTCCCCCAGCAGTTGTTAGCAAGCTTGAGCAAGCGAGGGGTTTCAACCTTTCCTTCTTTCGCTGATTCCCGGATCCAGCCAATCATAGGAGGCGAAGTTGGGATAAACCAATCAGAAGTGGTTAACTGAACGACCCGACGCTCAACACCAAGTTCCATCTCAATCTCGCTGCGTTGGGAGGATTTCAGGAGTACGATACCAGTAATTACACAAAAAGAGTAATATTACATAAACACACAGGCTAACAAACAACAGCATTACCGAAGTTTCCCTGCTGACCATGGATCATGTTCCTTCGGCTCAGCTTCTCAGCTCGCCCCCAGCTCTCCCCTTTCCAACATCTCAACCCAGCGGCATTTTTCACCACAACAACTTCTGCCACTGATGCATTTACACACAAGCTAAGGGTTTAGACTAGCTACTAGCTATTATAAACTACGGTATCGAGCCCGGCAAGTAGGACGAGGACTCGTGCTATGTTATTCTCCTTTTTTTCTGGCAATCTGCCCCACCGATGAGTAGGATGACGAGTTGAAGCGAACGACAGGAGCGAAAGATAAAAGGACGCGACAACATGTCGCAAATATTCAGAAACGGAACCAAAGGCTGCAGCATCCTGGCATGACGCGTCAGTAACCCCGAAGCTGATGCCCAGAAGGACCCGACGTGATGGAAACCTGGATATTGCCTCCATGGTACCAAGAAAGACACGAACCGAAGAACAAGGAACGAGACGATAGGCAAAGGAGCGAACACTGTTTCAGACCGACCATAACTCCCAGCAAACCAGCCAACAGGACCACTGCTACCACCCAACTCAAGCCATTCCTCCTTGGCTCATCCCGGCATCATCCAGAATCATCAGATCAATCGCGATTTATCATCCTGACTAACTCAGCCGGCGGCGGTGCAGGCCTAGGCGGAGGGACCCGCAGTTGAGTCGTCGTGTTTGGATATCCAAGGGCCGGTACCGGTGGCGAAAGCGAAAGGGAACCAAACTTTGTTGGGGTGCGAGGAGGTGACATTGAGCCCATAGAGTCGGCTCCTGAGCCCGGTCCCCACGTACCCGAAGTCGAGGGCGGCTGCGGAAACTTCTCCGACACGTACGACAGCATGGACGGCGAGAACACACCGCTGCTGGCTAGGCTAGTCTCGCTCAAGCTGCTGACGTTGCTATCCTGGCTGTTAGGCCTCGACCGGCGGCGTCGGTTGTCCAGACATTGGTAGTCGTACGGATAATACTGCTGTTGCTGCTGCTGGTCTTGCGGAGGAGGGGGAGGAGGCCGGCGAGCGGATGGCGGCGGGGTAGGCACCTTCATGCCCGACTCTGTCGCTGTCACCATGACTGTCGGGAAATTGGCTGAGAGCGGGGACACCGCAGTAACTTGCGGCAGCTCAGGGCTGAGATGATCCGCGAAGGGGTCTGAAGCGACGGAGATGGGACGTGGACGTGAGAAGCGACGTGACAGGCGTGACATGCCTCGGTTGCTCTGCGTAACAGGTGGTGGCAGAATCGTCCCGCAGGTTGGAGTGAGGCTGCCCCTCTTTTCGTTTAGAATCGCGTTCGTTGTTCTTTCGGCAGGAGCCGCGTAGGCGCTCTTTTCGAGAATGGCATCACCATGGCTGCCGTCTGTGAACAACAAGCTGCCGCCCATGGAAGAGCGCCAGGATTGATGCCTGTCAAAGCGGGAGTATGGCCAGAGATTGAATGGGTTGAGAGTGGAAAGCCTGTGCCTCATCCGCTGCATGCTCGGGTGGTCGCGAAAGCGATACAGGATGAAGAAAATGATCAGGATCAAAACGACGAACACAGCTGGGGGTACGTTAGTATCTAGATGCTAAGTGAGTGTCAAAAGGGGACCACGTACTAATGCATCCACCAATAACTCCAGCCATATTATTGCCATTCGAGCTGTCTGGCAAAGCACTGGTGCGAGGGCCGCCGCTGTTTCCAGTACCTCTATTTCCGGGAAATTCACCGACCGTGCCGCCATTCGAGCCACGCCCTCCATTAACTCTGTCTTCCCACTCATCGGCATCATCCCAAACCCAAGTGAATTCTCCATTCTTATCATACCCAGTGCTGCCACCAGAACCAGAGTTTTCCGGACTGGAGCCTCCCCAAGTTTGGGCGACCGCTTTTGTGTCATCCTCCGACTGAGTCGACCATTTGGACTGATTGGAGCCAGACCCCGAACCAGACGATGAGCTACCACCACCATTGGGTCCCCGCGATGAACCAAACGAGCTAGTGTTTCCGGCAGATTCTTGCTGGTTTTGGCTCTTGCTTTCAGAGCCACTGTTGCTACCACTAGACGAGTTGGACTTGCTCCTGCCGGATGACACTCCTTGATTTTGGTCGGATTGTCCGCTGGTGTTCCCTTCATTACCGCTGCTGTTGCCGGCGTTGGTGTTGCCGCTGTTGCTGCTATTATTGCTGCTGTTGCCAATATTGAATCCAGAGCTGGAGTTTCCTCCAGAGCTAGAGTCCCCTCCAGAGCTGGAGCTTCCGGAGTTAATCCCTGGTTTCCCAGAGTTAGAACTGGAAGGAGAAGGTGCGGGTGTGCTTGAGCCTGAGCCAGAACTTGTGCTCGGTTTTGAGCCTGAGTTCGATCCTGAGCTGGAGCCCGAGCTGGAGTTGGAAGAACCGGAGTCAGAGTTCGAGGGCCTGGAGCCAGATGATCCAGAGTTCGGCGAATATGAATTGGAAGAACCTCCTGAACTTGAGCCGCCGCCCGAGTTCGAGCCCCCACCGTTATTGGCCGGTGGCTGAGGGGCCGGCGGGTTTGGAGTTGCAGACTGCTGAGGAGTCGTGGGCTGTTGCGGTGTCGGTGTAGGGGCAGGCTGGGGATCAGGAGTAGACGCCGGGGGCTGGGTTTGAGGTGTTGGGATTGGAGAGGGAGATGTCGAGCCAAAGGTTCCAGCGCAACCATTCTTTTGGCCGGTGAGAAGGTTGCACACCGGATCCGTGACGGCTCCCAGGAGCTCTCCCAAGAGACGTTTGGAGAGCATTCCTCCGAGACGGGGACTAGAGTCTGTCGCCGTCATTTTGCCATGAAATGAGTGTGTGACTATTCAAACAATCAGGACGTTCAGCGACAAGTCCCAGGAATCATCGCTGTCCTCTGACAGCAGAGCGTCAGTGATATTTCAGAAAGAAGGCCAGAGGCCACCGAAGTTTGCGATATCAAACGAGTGAGCTAAGGTCGGCATCAAACATCAAGAAGGAAAGAATAGGATGTCTGGGTTGGAAACATCTAGGACATAAAGTCCAGCGCTCCTCTTACGAGTTAAGGAGAGCTATGATTCAAAATAGAACTAGTGGAGGCTTGAAGCTAGAGGTCTTCGCAGCCTCAAAAAGGCCGAGGACTCAATGGAGGACAAGCGGGCGGATGGGCCGATCGTCCGGAGGTCTGGGGCCACCGGAGATTCAATGAGGTCGGGCGTAGCCGGCTCCGACAGGTTGGAATAGTAAGGTGCCTGCATGAACCATTGTAGCGCATGTTTTGCCTGGCTGTCGCACCCCGGACAAATCAAGAAAAAAAAAACAAACCAAAAAATGACAGAAGCTCGGGACTGGACGATACTGCAGTACGGTTGCCTTTCCAGGAAGTGATCACCAACACCATGCCTGGCAGTTTTCCCCTCCTGGGCTTAGGGCGTGAGTTGTTCCCTTGAGATGGTGGTCGTGGCAGGACAAACTCCTGCAGCTCTCTTCAGCTCAGGCTTGGCCATCACCTGCGGCTGAAAGTGAAACGGATCCCTGTGAATTTTCACATCAAGCAGGTCTCACTCGTCGGTGGACCGAATGAGCCAAAGACGTCACATTCAGTGTGGCTGTTTAAAGACTCGAGTGTCCTCAGTAAAGGCCAGAGATCTTGTTCAGCTTCTGTCAAGTCAAAATTTGGTGAGTTTTCCTTGACCAACTCATCAGTATCTTACTGTTTCTGGATGCCTCTCAAGGTGCAGTTCGTCACCGTGTAAACGATGTAGATTACGTAGATGTTTGCTTATCTTCTCTTCTGCTTTCCCCCTGGTCTTTGTCTTGCCACGGTCAAGAGGTTCATAGATACAAGGATGGCGTTGCAACGGCTACCATCCCGCCGTGGGGGGGTGGAGAGATCAACCAAAACAACGCCTGATTGGTAGCTGGAGTCCGCAAATCGTCGGCCTTTTGCCCTGCAAGGCTCGACCCCCCGATGGTCTGCCCACGTTCACGGATAGCCGGCCTTGATGGAGCCGAGAAGACATACAGGCTCCGCAAGTCGCTTCCCTTCGCCGCGGCACTTCTTTTTTTTTTTGGCTTCTCTCAACGTTCTTGAAGAATCATACCTCCAGTCGGCTGCAAATTTTGACCGCAGGATGAGATGGCCACCAATATGGAAGTGTTTGCCGATGCTCTTATCAGGATCAAGGCAAGCGCCCGGAGGGATACACTGAACTAGGTCACTTCGTTTTTGCTTTCCCGCATCATCCTGTTCAAGCTATCCTGCTGTTAATGTGATCAATAAAACAAAACACCAGGTCTCTGACACAGCGATACAATACTAAGCCTTGAAGAGCAATACTAACATGAGCTTCAATTATTGAGGATTCTTGGGATATCGCCATCGTAATCAGTTATCAAAATGCCCAACCAGCATGAACAAGAGTCCACCATGACTCAAGATGGAGGTTTGAACAGTCCAACATACCCCTCACTTGATGGACTTAATCGTCAAAACCGGTATCTTGGCCTTGAAGATTCTCAACCTTATTCTTTGGCTGCAAAGCAAGCTGTCACCGACTAAGTTTCTCCTCGGAGGTGCCGTCTGGATCACTGTGTTCTTCCTGGCTCCTCTTCGAAGGCTCCAGATCGGCCTTCCACCCAACCGACAGATGTTTGCAACATGAGCAGTGGAACTACTATTGTGGAGCATAGTGAAAGCGCTCACTTGACCGGGCTATGAAGCCAGAGGTGTGTGTGGACTCCAGAGATCGTTGGGGCGGTGGCCAAGTGCAAGGCTGACTGATCAAGGCTCTGCCGAGCCGAGGCCGGGAAAAACCGCTGACGTCGTAGCCAGAGAGTAACGTGATGATGAGGCTGAATTATACTATGACAGGCCACGCTTCCGTTCAGTGTCATACATGCCGGCCCCAACAAGTCTTTGACAGGCTGCAACAGACTGCAACCTTTTCAATCTCACACGTCGTGTCTGCAACCTGCAATGTTTTTCACGAGTCCTCCGATCCTCCTGCTCGCTTGGTTGACACCTTCACTACCTCTTTTCAGCGCGGACCCAGAAGTCTCGTGTCTCCCACACACCATTGTTAACAATGATCGGCGGTTTGAGCGGGTCCACAAGCGACCAGTTGTATCGTCTCATAAGCTGCACCCCAGTTAGCTTCGTTTCAGGATTTTGCCGGATCTCAACGGGGCCAACTCCCGGCCCGCGCCGTTTGTAGCGCATGCAACATAGGGTCTAGATCCACGTCATTTTGTCATGAGCCCCCGCCGCGGAACATCGACCCGCTCAACTTCAACAACCTTCTAGAAAGAAAAGAACTAAAGACTTCAAATTAACTACTGTGAGCAATAAAAGACTCACCTCAGCAATAACTTTGCGCATCTCCACGTATGCCAACGACCGTCCGGCACACACGTACTGTACACTGCCGAACACGAGCTCCACCTTACGAAGCATCTGCGCGAACCGTGTATCTTCTGCTGCATCTCCTGCTACTACCTTTACCTCCTTCTCTGCCTGCAGCCATCTCTCCGGCCGGAAGCAGTCTGCATCTGCGCCCCAGAACTGCTTGTCTCTGCAGATGCCGTAAACACCAAGTGCCGTGTCGATCTCTGTGCCGGGAGGGAGATAAACGCCCTGGATCACATCACCTTGTTTGGTGATGGTAGGCGAAGACAACGAGAAGGTCGCAGATATGGTTGAGTGGGGGACAACCTTGGGGAACGGGCAGGACGTGGCTGGAGGGAAAAGACGCAAGCCTTCACGGACCACAGCCTGGAGATAGGGCAGTGTACGCGCTTGCGCGTCGGAGATAATGTTTTCGGAGCTGATGTCACTCTCCGAGGGGGAAGAGGAGTAGAAGGCGTCCAACTCGACCTGGAGGGCGTGGTAAGCCGTCGGGTTGGTGAGCAGTTGCAAGAAGGTAGTACGTAAGAAGGACGCGACGGTATCGGAGCCGGCCAGGCTAGGTTGCGGTAGTTGAGCTAGTTATGATGTAATCAATTTGAGCCGGCGTCGTGGGAGCAGTGACCAACGCCGACGCTAAGCCGGGTGGTATAAAGAGGTTGGTTGGAGGGACAAGCATACAACTGAAGACCAACTTCTTGGCGGAGGGCTGACAGTGGGAGACCGTGGTCGATGAAAGACTGAAGTATGTCCCTTTTGGACTTGTCGTCCAGGCTCAAACGTTTGGTGATCACTTTGTCAACACTCCTTTGCAACAGCGTCAGCCCTGAGTTCAACTTTTTTGAAAGGATAGTTATCAATGGAGTTTCACTTAATCATAGCACCCAGCCCAACCTCCTGTCCTTCATGAGGCTGAAGCAGGTAGATCGGCCACTTCTGGAGCAAGCCCCAGATGTTCATGTTGTATCCCAGAGCCACAATCACTGGGAGTCCAGACTTCAGCGTAACAATAATGTTGTCGATGTCCGAGTCCTTTTCAAGAATACCAAATGGCTCACTGTACGCGATCTCTCCGATCGCATCGAGCGTATAGAAGTGCGCTTTCTCGCCAAAATCCATTGGCACACAGTCGCCTGGATTGCAGGCATACTTACGGTCAATCAATCTAATAAAAGATGAGATAGCCCGGTCGAAGCCCTTCTCGAGATCTTCCGTATCACGGCCGGTGTACTATCGAAACGAGAAAGTGTCAGACCTCTGTCTCTCAAAGTCCAAGAAGAAATTACAAGTTCTCTGGGCAAGCCTACCGCAGGCATGACACGCTTTAGCCTGTCCTTACGGAGCTCGGGATCTCGAATATTTGACACGTGATCATCCTCGCGCAAAATCCTATGGATCTTGTACCACTCTGATTTGCGATACTCAGTGCGGGCTCCTGAGATCCGGTAGAGAGCATCCGAGTCCATGACTACAACCTGCGTCGGGGCAACCCTGATGACGGGGCCTGGCTTGTGTCAGTGGGATGTGGCTTATTTTCACGGTTTGGTCCGGGCGTTGCTCATGTTGATCACTCACCATACTTTTCAGAGAGTTGATGAATGTCTTGAACTAATGTGCGATTCATAAACCGTTTTATGATCCAGAAATTAGTCCATCCGCAAACTGCTGGACCAGGAACATGACGGAGGGGCAACCATCGCTGGACCCTGTGGACGACAAAGGCCAAAAGAAGCAAGCCTAACGCGAAATAAACAGCCTCCCTAGTTGAAAAGCCGTATCCAAAGATGTCCACGGCCATCTTGGCCAGGGCTGGACAACAGGCTACCTGGTGCTTAGTCTTGGTTGCACAGGTTTAATGTTATGAGCGATCAACGCAAGCAACTAACGATACAAGGACTGTTGACGAGCTACTGAACACTTAAAGTTGTTATCCTCAAGGCCAACAGCGAGAAGCCATAACTTTAAACCTCCAACTAAACCCCCAGGTACCCCAAAAGACGTGATGTCAAAGCTGTTTCTTCTTACGCATCCCACCTAACCTCTTGTCTCTTGACCTTATTATTAGATCCACTACCCGATAATCACCGGCCCGCTCCATGTTTCTCCCCATCTCTCTTGCCGCTCAGTAGCAAGTGACTTTCTTGCCGACACCACATTTCCCGTGAAGATTCCTGGAAATTTGTTCGCACCTAACCAGGTGTCATGCCTTTCCGCAGAAGATCTGAGCCCAGTTCTCATTTCTCTTATGGCAACTCCAGCGAATCATTTTCCTCGCTTTCAGTTTAACCTTGACCGACTCGAACCCCATTGGCATGTGACAGGGGAATGGGCTGATCTTTTTCCACTCAGCGCAGAGATAATGGTGGGGGATGATGGGATGACCCCTGTGTTGGTGCATGCGCAGGGAGCAAGCTATAAGTTCAAGAAATCAATTTTTGGATTCTGTGATAGAGGTTTGACTGGAAAAGTAGTCTCAGAAAGGGGAGCTGAATACGGTGATTGCGATGCAACAGGATAGCGAAAACAGACATGCAGTATCATTGTGGTGTGACTGAGCAAAAGCCCTCAAACCTCTGGTGGGTTTCACAGTTACCACTCGGGGAATATGTGAAATGGAGTGTACACCGACAATTCCTCGAGTTCCCTTTTCTGGCTAGAATCCTTTTGCTTTAAAATCAGCATCACAAACATTTCCACATATCAAAGCAGCCAGAGAGCCTTCGCTGTTGCTGGCACTGCACCCTGCCACCTGACACCGCTCTGATTCGAGTGAACAAAGCCTCACAAAAGTAGGGCTATGTGCCATGTGCATAGTGGCGCTCTGGTCACGCCGTTTATATCTTTGTTTATGGCCTGTAACATGTATGCATAGATAGCAGCTGCATATCCTACAGGACTACTACTTATGGCATCGTGATGCTGAGTAAGGTACCGAAGATGGCACATGTCGAGTGGGAAGGGTTGCTGTGCTACCAGAGATAGAACCCCTAAACTGATACCGAATGCTGTCTGTGTTACTGTCGCAGATCGAATGTTTGAGATGGCAGATTTGTGTAGCCCTACCGTACAAGATGTCAATTGGAGCGCTTTGCATAGTGAGTGTATAAGATCTTAATGATGAGAATCGTCAGAATGATGAGTGGATAGAACCAGAACGTTTGAAATGTTTATTCGAAGCGTATGGCAAACTTCGGCAATGCAAGAAGCTCAAACGTGCTGAAAACGGTCCCGTGATCTCTTCGGCGAACCTATCTCCGAGATCTGGATCTGAAGACGCACCGAGAGTACAAAACCCGCTGAGAGAACCACACTATGACGGATGTAACCTTCCACATGTGTCGCTGTGGGCCGCAGAGCCTCACAACGACTTCGTACCTACTTTTTGAGCAGTAAAAAAGAAGCAGATGCTTCGTTTAGTCTACGTTTTAGTCAACTGCAAATGAAAGATGCAGACCAAGATGTGGACTGTGACCATTTGGTATGACGGAACTCTTTATTTCAGAGGGTTACAAGTCGGGAGGTGGTCCATCCTCACCGAGGAATGCCTCTAATAAAGCTCCTGTGGCCATCTTCCTAGGGCATTTGATCTTTTTGCGGCAATATAAACCTCGGAATGATGCTTCTACATGGTCCAACTAACCTGAGTGTTATATACATGCGGCGACGAAGATAAAACTACTGTCAGCCGAGGAAACCGGACATATGTCAAAGTTTGTCATTAGCCCCGGAAAAATTTGTATACTCATCAACCCGAGCTTGAGTTCACTGTCTTCAAAGCAGCCGTTCTCAATCTGGAGCATGGAGTCGGGGACTTAGGCTTTAAAGCCGGAATGTCTAGGTCAACGGTTTCAGGGGCAATCCTTCTACAGAGAGATCCAGAACAGAATGAGATTCCCATTTGGGAGAAAAGACATCAAGTTCTGATCCAATATATTGTTTTCCAAGAACAGCGATGTGCTGCTCGGCAACAAAATGCTTTGTTGTTGACACGGCTTCAGTGATGCTCGGGCCGAGGTGTCAGTGGAGCCTTGACGGTTTTGATACCCACCTGGACCCGGACATCCGGGGCCTAGCTCTTCCTTGCAGTGGGGAGAAAGCACGGGACCGGCCCGTCCTTCGAGCAGTTCGTGCCTGGCTAGGTGCTGGAGCTTGTGATCTTCGCCCTACGAGGTTGAAGTATATGCATAGACTAGAACAACACCTGGTATCAGCGAGAAAACCGGGCTGCCACGTGTGGATGGAGTTTCAGGGACAAAGATCGTGTGAGCTTGGACAATGGCAAAAAAGATGGTGAGAGCGTGGAAGAGGGAATCCCGAACTTTGCCGGCAAGCAACGTGGTTGTGGCCAGAGGTTCAGCGAGCAAGGAGCGCATCCCGATATGACCCTCACCATCACACGAGGGCGGTGGAGGGCCATGGATTTGGTGGATCGAGGTCAAGGTTTCTTCGAGAAAATTTTTAAGGTCAGACCCTTGCTCCGCCAGTGAAGGTGAGGTGAGTCCTGCTCACCAAGCTCACCGTTGGCTGCGGTTTTTCAATAGGCGGACCGGCGGAGTGCCAAGCATACTTAATAATAATGGACCCTACCCCAGAGCTGACCTCTGACAATAGTGTTATTGAATTTTGGCGGGGTCGAGCCGAGTCTTGTTGATGAGAAGGTGACAGGTCGGCGGACGGCGGACCAATGGGCCGGGGCGCGCCGCGTGTTATTGGCGTCTCTGTGCCGCCTTGAAGATGAGAAAACTTTTCACGTTCTTTTTAATGTTGGGACACACAGAAAGGCCGCTGATTGCTTTCCCATTGATTTCCTTAGAAGCGGGGCTCGAGGCAATGACTCCAAGATGCATCCTGCATCCGCGATCGCAACCCGCGGGATGATGCAGAGGACGTCCAACATGCACATCGACACACGCAGTTTTCGAGAAGAGTCGGAACGCTGCAAGGCAGGCCAAGGGCAAGCAAGCGTGGAAACCTTGGAAGAAGCTTGGGCAATGAAATCGCGGGGAATGGATCATGCCATGATATGATTGGATGGAACAGGCAAAAACCCGGTTTGCGCCTCTTTTGTGGCTCGATCCACCCCACTGGTCCCTGGGTGGCTTGTGGAGCCGGCATCCTCGGGGCCAGCCAACGTCGACAAGGGTCCGCATCCTCCTCTCAACCACAACTTCACATCTCATCAGCCTTTGCCTGAGATTAGTCGGCGACGAGTGTGTGTGTGCCACTGCCCAGTGTGCCCACAGGGTCACGGCCCATTTTTCGCTCCCGTGTCTGTCAAAAGCCGCATCCGCGGACCCAGTCTCTATGGTACGACAGACGCAAGACGCAATGCCTTATCCGACAACGATGGGTCTTTCACATTCTCCCATGCCCTCTGCGTCTTCTGAGCAGCTGAGCAGCGAGCACTCATCCCTGATGCCGGCCGGCTCATGCCCCGGGAATGCCTGCCGTCATCTTCGTGGAGCCACGATGAAGGTCACCCACTCACCACACGCCATTCGACTGCTTTTCCCATCCGCCATGACTCCGAGTCGCGAGCTTCAATAAGAGGTAGTGCCCTGCCTGCTTCTCCTGAAGCTCTGGCTGTCGAGTCTTGAAGCCACGTCTCCGTCTTCCCCAGGGACAACAACGCCAACCAACGACAGCCACTCCCTCGAGCCTGGCATGCGGATATCCAACTAGACCTTTGCCGATCGACACACGACCAACGGCATCTGCCCGTCACTGAGGTCAAGGGAAAAACCACAGGTCTTCGAGATCTATCAGATCGCCAACCATGACCCCCGTCCCGCTCCCTTCGACGACGCCGGTGATCGACCCTTCCCGGGCAGCCGAAAGCAAGACGGCCCAGATCCTCGCCGTGCTGACTGTCTTCCATGCCATTGCTCTCATTACTGTGTCGCTCCGCATCTACGTTCGCACTGTCCTCATCCGGGCTCTTGGCAAGGATGATCTGCTCATGGTTGCCTCTGTTGTATGGACATCCTCCCCGTTCCCGTGGACGCAGCTCATCGTGTTCATCTATCTGACACCGCGCCACAACAGCTGTGTGCTCTTGGAGGATGGATCATCTTTGTCGTCCAGGCTCAACATGGACTGGGGAAGCACCAGGAGACTATCTCCCCAAGTGACTTGGTCTCCATCAACCGCGCCTCCTTTGCGCAGTCCATTCTTTCCGGCATTTGTGCCATGGCATTCCTTAAGATCTCCATCGGGTTCAACCTCCTGCGGCTCGACGCTACTCGGTGGTACAGGTGGTCCCTTTGGGCAACAATCGGTATGCCCCCTTATTAGAAGACCTCGAAAGTAACTATTTCCTGACTGTTATGCTGTAGTTTTTGTCGTATGCTACTCAATCCTGGGCATGATTTCGTTCCTTGTTCATTGCGTGCCCGTTTCCGGTCATTGGAATCCCGCCGTTCATGCCAAGTGCTACGACATCGATTTGTTTGTCGCATTCGGCATCATCAATACATCGTTCAACATCTTTACCGACGTTCTTTTTGCCACCTTCCCCATTCCTGTCATCTGGTCACTCCAGATGAAGAAAAAAGAGCGGCTCTATTTGATCATCATTCTGAACCTTGGATACTTGTAGGTTCCTTCGATCTGGGAACGCCTTCAGAGTTACTGACCTTTTCAGCGCTGTTGCCATGGGCATTGTCAAGGCTGTCTACCAAATGGGCTTTGCTAAGGAAGACGACAAAACGTTCCAGCAGTCCACTCATTTTTGGGGATTGTAAGCTTATCGGCCCCTCCCAGCATCGGACGACGATCTAACAACTATTTGCAGCTTGCAGCTCAACATTGGCATAATTGCGGCGTGTGCCCCTGCACTCAAGCCGATCGTCACCCGCGTCATGCATCTCCACGACCACCACAGTGAGACTGTCAGGAATGGTGCTCATTCCCCGATTCATGACGTCCATGACAACGGATTCAGGAGATCGAGAGCCCCTGGCCACCACAACATGGATCTGGAAGCCGGCCGGGGATTTCCGGCACCTGAATTCGACGACGAAAACGCGCTCGCTCCCGCCAAGGACGACAGCTCCAGTGCAGCAACGAGTTTTTACAAACACCAATCGACTGGCAGCACGAGCAGTGACGAGGTCGTGTTGCCAATACCCCTTCCAACTCTCCAAGAGGTCGAGGCTAGGTGGAAGATCGTAAAGACCACCGAGATCGTGGTCACAGTGGACCATAACTAATGATCGTTGTAACGACTTACATCCCGGTGGCCAGCGGAGAGCAGGGTCTCAACATAATGGATTACGGAGCAGGGTTGCTCTGGGGCATGGTCTCGACGACGTAAAGAGCTTGGTCTCAACACTCAATGTTGGAGCAGGGCCTCACACACCACCAACGAGCAGGCCTTCGACACGCTGAGGAGCTGGACCTCGAAGCGGAGGAGCAGGATCTCGTTCTCATGTGATGAATGATACCATTTTCTTCCCTTTGTTGATCGCGCACTTTCAGCAGCATTTGTGCTTTTACTTCCTCTGTACATACGTATGTACAAACCTAGGAGATACCCATTTTTGCCGGCACAAAAATCAAGATTTCATGATGCCGCGCCAAGAGGATATCTGTTGATATCTGACCTGAGAATGAGTCTTACACCTAGACCAAGGTCTTGATCGCTATGTTACGTACAGCCGTCGTTGCCAAGACGCTAATGCAGGAACCACACCATGGCTGCAGCTCTCGCTCCCACGGTAGCCAGGTCCTAGTTTGAAGTTCCAAGGCAAAAAGTGCCGCGTCTGTCGGCAATTATCGCTTCAATGGAAATCGGCTTCCCTCCAACACATAGCCGGTGGCCTGTTCCTATAAATATGTAAGACATTCCCCTCCTCAAGCAGGTTTCCCTATCCGTATTCGTTACTGTTAACTAAAGATGGAAACTGGACCCTTCCGATTAGAATCTTCCCTGCCGTCGGGTGTGAGTGAGTGTCCAACACCTGCCGGGCTTGATCTCCGAATCCGTATGTGATCGTCCCATCCAACGTCCGAAGCTTCAGTGCCTGAGCCCCAGCTCCGGCTCCGGACCAGGGTTAGGGTTGTTATTACAGATAAGGTCGGCACATTAACAGCAACAATAGCTTTTGGAAGTGGTTTAGATACGTTGAACTTAACATTTAGAAAGCGTTTTTTCTGGATTCTGTGTCATTTGTGACATGACTAAGCACCTGTTCCGGGTTTGCATAGTCTCACAAAAGGCGCTAACAGCCAGTGAACTTTATCCACGGACCTCAAATGCTGCCTTGATGGGGCTAAGACTTAGAAGAGCCACAGGGCAAGAGAAGGCTTCGTAAAGTTGATCACTTTAGGAAAATTCTTAAGAATAAAGTGAGTTTCTCTTCATAGTAGCATCAGCAGGAGCCATGGTCAATCTGGCTCATCACCATGCTAACCCCGAATTGACATAAGAACTCAACCTGAACAACGCTGAACTACCTCTTAGGAGGTCAACAGCTAAGATTCAGAGACCTAGACCCTTTGAAAGAAGTACTAAACTGCATCCATTGCTGCTCTGAAACTGTATTATCTGTACCTGACCCCTCATTCAATCGTCTTTAAACTTCTGGTGACGGTAACTCACACCTTCACCTCACTTTCAATCTTTCACCACCGTCAGATTAGACCTCCACTACCCCCTCGCCATGAAGCCCTCACCCATATCCTTCCCCTGCTCAGCACGTGGGCATCTATCACGAATCCAGAACCTCTCTTGGCCGCACCTGAAAGACCCCGGCCCAAGCCCATTCCCCATCCCTTCCAGATAAGCCTAACCAGAAGGAACCTCTACCAGGATGCCTGATGTAAGAAGTAGCATATTTTGTCTCAATGGTCGTGCCTTTCGATTATAAACATATCCAAGAAAAATAGTTCTTCAAATATTCAAGTATCAATACTGACAGTGCTATCTAGCTCAACATGGTCTAAGTTTAACCCCCAGGGTATGTAATGTTCTCTACATCCTCGGGAGACAGTTTCGTCGAGGAATGAGATTGGAGGGTTATCAGACTTGTCAAGGGGGCTAATTTTGATTGATGGTGTGTTGGCTAGGGGTTGTCATTTTGGATGATGTGCAGGTGGTGCTGTCGAGCTTTGGGTGTGAGCGTTGTTATTGCAGTCTGGGCATGACTCCAAAGGATATGTCATGACTCACGTTCCCCAAATACGATGTTATGAACATAGTATGTTGGCGAAATTACTTCAAATGGAAGACAAAAGTTCGAAACGGCATTGTACACTTTATTAAACCGAGGTGCTGGACCATACCATTTTGAACCTTTTAGCCTTTCAGCCGTGTATCTGACCTTTCAGCCATATATCTGACCTTTTGCCACTTAATCCTTGATCAAATATCTTTTTCATCTCTTTCTGGGATTCAAGAGCAATGAAAGATCATGATATCTTTCCCATGTTCACAAGGTCGTTCCCTTCTGATCTTTGTTGTGTGAATGCTCCTTCACTGGGTGGTCGGTCTTTCACTTCCCTTTGCATGTACAATAATAGGAATGAACTATCAGCATTGTCTAGGAACAGAAAGCTCAAACTACTTTACATCTTTCTCATCAATACTGTCCGAGATACAAGCATCATCAAATCTATGATCATGACTGCCTAGCCTTCCCAGCCCTCATGATCTTGCAACACTTTCAATGGTAGAATGTGCTTCTTCACATTCCCGATAGTTTGATATCAATAAAGTTTGCATATTCATAGAATGGACTACAGCTGACAGGCTACACGCTGTATAGAGCACGATAACATCCAGTGGAAAGAGATAACCATCGAGAAGTGTGAAAACCGTTGCCTCGGACACTCCCGCTAAATGAATTCGGCAGTCTTGTATATGCTTCTTGATAGTCAATGTTATCTTCAAAGTTTCCCACTGTGCTAACGCATATCTGACGTTCGTTACGGTTATAATTAAAACTGACAGTGCTTTCAGCTCTAAGAATCGGACAGAGAGTGACAAAATAGCACTCCAACGTTCCCAGAGGCAATCGCAACAAGCCCTTGTGGTGATCACACTTCATAGTGCAGCTTGATATGTCCAGCCGCCCTTCATCTGTGGCTTAGAAAGAGACTGTGTGGTCTCATAGAACCGAGGCAGAAGTTTGGATGAATTAGGCATCGACTACATCGCCGAGGCCAACGTGCCCTAATTCCTCCACACGTAGAATCGCTCCCTGTCGAATTCTTCCCATCGTAACTCATCTCGGCGCCGTGCCAGGACAACTTTTACTCCTCCAGACAGATCAGACTTCACACAAGAAGGAATTTGGGCACATTTTTCACGAGCAGTCGTGTGATGGAGGGCGCTCAGTATCCCGCCTCGTCAACCGAGCCTCCTGGACTCGATCTTCCAGCCGGGGAGGAACGAATCTACCACTGGCAGGGCGAAGAGACCCATCTACCCACAGCCCCAGCACCGAGGAAGCGAGAAGAGATGGCCAACGAGTGTGCAAAACTTCACGACAAAATTCTGCAGACGGCCAGGATGGAAGAGGATGGCCTTGAATACATTCACTGCCCGCTGATTGACTTCAAGCGCTTCTTCGAGTTGTATACTCATATCCATTTGTACAACAACATGGAAGCCACCGTGTCAGCAACGAACCCGACCCCAAACCAGCTCCTCGAGTTTGCGGCTTCAGTCCCGAGCGGGCAAAGTTCTCTGCCGTCTCAGCACCCGCTTCTGCCCCCTCTCACTGTGGCCCCCTCTGAGCTGACTCCGGCCAAGCGTAGCCGCGGTCGTCCCCCTAAAAACAAGGGTGAGTTTAAGTTATATCACACAATCCGAGAGGAAACTGATCTTTCTCGAGCTTCAGCACAAGTCCTTGGCCCAACCCAAGGCCTGGATCAGCGTCTTGCGGCTGCTTCGGCAGCCGTCTCTGGCCGGCCCTTCCCTCCGGTGCCGACCTACGACGAGCCTGTGGCCGGGGCTCAGCCCCAGCCCACCACCGCCGTCAGCACCAGCATTACTCCCGATCTGCTTCAGCCGCCAGCGGGGCAGCCCGCCGCCCTGCAAGCCCTGACCGACTTCCAAAATGAGAAGTACCTCTCGTTCTGGCAAATGGGCTACGAGGCGGCCTTCCGCCCGGCGTTTGAGGAGGGTCGTCGTGCCGCCGCGCCCATAGCTTACGCGGTGCATCTGAACGGGCTGCGCGATATACGTCCTCGTCTTGAGACTGTGAAGGGATATGTCAAATTTGGGATGGGTCGTCACGCCGATGGCTACAAAGCCTCCAAGAAAAAATATGCTACTACAGCTAGAAACCTGGATCCGGCGTCGATTGCCAAGTCTGCCAATTCTGCTCTCAGAGTTGGCCAGACCATCGCTGGCATTGGAAAGGCTTTGGCCCTTGCGCAGTCCTCGGCTACGCAGACATCTACTCCGACCCCTATCATCGGTCAGCCTACGACGAACCAGGGAGCGTCCGCTCTTTTCTCCCAACCCTCTATTTCCGCTCCCACCATTGGTCAGATCCTCGGCAACCAAAGCATGACTCCCGCCCCAGGAAACAACAACTCCGTCCTGGCTGCTCCAAACGCCAGTTTGACGACTCCTACTGAGAACCCGGGCAGCACTTCGAACACAACAACCGCCGTCTTCGTCCCTCTCCCGACGACAACTAGCAATAACAACTCTCAGGGCAGCCAATTAACCAATGCTCCCAACAATCCTACTCGGAATGTTACCCCTGCGCAAACTCAAAGCCAGACCCTCTCTGAGTGCACAAGTACCCAAAATCCTCCTGCCGAACCCCCTCTGACACCTTCCCAGCAACGCCTCCAAGCCTTACGCAACGCCCTCGTCGAACTCGACATCATCTCCACGGGAATGGACAACCTCATCGCACGCACTGAGAGGGCGTCCAATACCACTCTCCCTATCGATTTTGACAGCTTGATGCGAATCGCGTTTGAAGGAGAGGACAGTTTCGAGGCAGAGTTAATGAAGGTTGTTGGGGCGGATCCTATCGGAAAAGCTAAGGTTAGGCACGAGATGAAGAAGTTGCTTGGGAAGAGCGTTATGAAGGAGCATGGTCAAGGCATGCAGGCGGCTCAGGCCGCCTTGGATGAGAGTGACGTTTCCCTTGGTCAGGAGGTTGAGTCTGTCCAGAATGGTCAGGGTCTTTTGGGTGCTCAGACTGTCCAGGGCCATCAAACCTTTCAAGCTGGTTAGCTAGGTCAAGGCTTCCAGGCTGCCCAGAATACCCAGGCCCCTCGGGGCGCTCAAGCTTTTAAGACTGCTCAGGCTGGGCATGTTAACCGCGGTTTTCAGATTCCGAAGGTGGCGATGCAGGCCAATTACTCCAAGTCGCCGGAGTGGCTGTGTGATGGAATGGGTGATGAAAGTAGTGGGGTTTGGTGAGGGGTATGGATGGTCAGGAGAGCATCAATTAAGAGTCTCATGCGGGCTGAAGCAGGCTCGATCATTCCATGGTTAGACATTTAAACGGCATTTACAGGATCATGTCGCACAGTCTACGGGAAACGGCGTTTGGAGGGGAGGGAGGAGGGGTGTTCTGTGGGTGAACTGCTGAATGGACAATGGAAGGATCAGCTTTTCGGGCTTCGGTGTTGGGATGGACAGATGGCTGGGGAGGGAAAATGGCTCAAGATACCCAACACATCGTGTAACCCCAGGTACTTTGTGACAGCATGAGTCTGCTCATCAGCCAACACAAGCACACATAATAAAGCTCAGAACACAGAAACAGGTGCCATCTATATGCATCAACTCAGTTGAATAAGCATTGCTCAAGGGTATGGTTAAATGAACTCGCAAAAAAAAATCTACATTACGTATGCAGTCCCATAATCCCAGATTTACCCATTCCTCTTAGAAAACCCAAACGCCAACCGCTTTAACCCGAATAACCCCACCTAGGGGCATTGATGATGATGCCCATCAAGCAACCTGAGATAATTCCTGTCATGGGCAGGGTGATGATCCAGCCCAGATAAATCCAGGCAACCATGCGCCAGTTGACGGTGCGCCAGGTACCTGAGCAGAGACCGACACCGACGGTGGCGCCTGTGATGCACTGGGTTGTGGAAACAGGGAGTTCTGATTACAGTCAGCATCCTGCTCGAGCTTAGAATCGGAATAGAGTAGGAACTTACTCAGCCGGGTGGCCAGGATGACGGTGATGGCAGCGCCAAGCTCCATAGAGAAACCACGAGAGGGGGACTGAAGGGTCAGGCGGTTGCCAAGGTTGCGCATGATGTGGTAGCCATAGGTCCAGACACCGAGAACCAAGCAACAGCCACCAAAGACCAAGATCCAAGTCGGCACCTGGGATTTGCCGCTGGCAGGGACCAGACCCTGGTTCCAGATCTGGAAGACAGTAGCATAAGGGCCGATAGCGTTGGCAATATCGTTGGCACCGTGAGTAAAGGAAGCCGTAGCAGCAGTCATGATCTGCAGAAAGCTGTACATGTACTCGGCCTTGTTGTCATAGTGGGCGGCATAAGCATGTACTTCCTCGAGGTTCCGGGCGAGCGCGCTGTTGGTGCTCGTAGCGTTTACGACATCCTTGTCAACACCACGCAGAAGCAGCCACTTGAAGTACCAGAAGAGGACCTTGCTCTCGTACCACTTGCCGTCGGGCTTGGGCCCAACGAGGCTCTTGCGCTGCGGCACTGGGACAGCTGGCTCAGTAGCGATGTCATTGGAAGACGAAGCGCCATTGAGCTTCTGCTCCACGCTGTCGCTGCCGCCGTTGGCGGCGGAAGCCTCGACATCGCCACGAGCAGCAGCCCGGCGAGCCTCGAGCTCCTCCTTGGTGAGACGACCCTCGTAGTAATTCTTGACTACAGGGCTGACTCCTTCAGGGGGAGGAGGGACTTCACCGCGACGCAGAAGGAGGGGACCCAGGGGGATATGCCACCAGCGGAGCTGCCAATCATCGCAGATGACAACGCGGTACAGCCAGGGCATGAGGGTGCAAGCGACCAAGATACCGAAGCCAGCACCGACGCCAACGATAGTACCAGCGACCTGGGCATCTGTCAAGTCGATTTTATAACTGCCACCCTTCCAGAGCAAGAGCATAGTGAGCAGCGAAGCCGTGACGGCGAAGTAGATCGGAACGAGAACGAGCGCGTTACGAACGGGGTTCTTCCGGAGCATGACGAAGTACTTGGTAATAAGGAAGATGATGGAAGCGAAGCAACCTGCGAGGCCAGGGGCGATAATCCAGGCCAGGAAGACCTGAATGACACCGGAGTTGATCCGACCGGTACCGCCGCCCTTGCCAACCCATTGAATGCCTGTGCTGGTGGTTAGAGCTGTCCGCAACGATATGTATAGCTCGAGGTTGTGAAGAGTTACCGTCAGCGCCAACAGAAGCAATACCCATTCCGATCACACCGCCCATGATGGAGTGGGTAGTGGACACGGGCATTCCCATCTTGGTTGCGAAGGTGAGATAGCATGACGAAGCGACGACGGCGCAGACCATGCCAAGCATGAGCATCGCGGGGTCATTGACGAAGAGCGTGGTATCGACAATCTTGGTGCGGATGGTGTCGGCAACACGGGCGCCAACGCCAACGGAACCGGCAAACTCCATGACAGAGGCCAGAACCATGGCCTGGAGATAGGTAACGGACTGTGAGGCGACCGACGTCGCCCAGGAGTTGGCAACATCATTGGCACCTGTAGAAAGAGGAAGTTCAGTCGCGTCAGCAAGACATGTCTTGGACCTTTAGCGCTTATGGGAAAGTCGCATACCTATGTTCCACGCATCGAGCGCCGCAAATATGGTGCCTATAGCAAAGAGGTAGTTGAATTCGGTGAGAGGCATGGTGCCGCGGCCCTGGGAGGATGTTTGGGCAGAAGATGATCGGGAGAAAACTGGGAAAGATTGGCTGGACTGGGTTAGGGAGCAGAAGAGATGAACAGAGACAGGAGGGCACAGCAGCAGCATTTAAATTTGAGATGCGTGCCAGCACGTGGGTGTTGTTCTACCAGAGTAACCTGAGTCCAGACTATCTTTTGCCTCTCCCCCACTATTGTAGACCCACTGCAAGCTCTGCAGGTTCAGTGGCAGGCTAGGCGCAGACCGTGCGTCGTCTGAACCAGCATCCAGCTTGCGGGATGATGGCTGAGCAGCATCATTCCGGGAATAATGGTGTGGGACGAGTTCCACTATCTTCAGACCAGGGATGAGCAGCCTGCCAGCGCCTATCCACCTCTCACATCGCTCCAACAGGCCAACGTGGGCTTTGTTTCAGCCATTATAAGCTCTTCAGCACGCCAAAATGGACAAAGACATAGGACTTCTCTGTCACCTGTTGGTTCGACGTTCGTGGGGGTTTGCCAGGGAGCTCGGTCAAAAACCCAAGTTTGGATGAACACAGCACTCTACGCCACGCCAACTGGGACGCGCAGAGAACAGCTGACAGCAGCCAGCCCATGTCGCAGAATGCAGAGCGCAGAACGAACAGATTGCCGAGCATATGACTATGCAGTCATCTAAAGCAGTGTGAGCTTATTAGATAACGATACATATCCTGATAGAGACATAAATCAGAGATGCAGCACGTTTGCGTTACCAGGTTACTAGAATCTGAAGAGTGAGGTATGATCTCCCCTCTTTCTATATAAATTACACCGCGCCTATGTTTAGCGGTCAGGAGTTAGCGTGTTGGCGATACATTCCCCCTTTTACCACCGCCTCCTACAACACATCGCCGCCGGCATCAAATCGCGATCAAGAGACGTCATTGTACGGAATAGAACTGGAGCCCCCACAGACAAGGACTGCCTCCGATAGCTACGTATCGCGCCAGTACGAATTGGTCCTGGGGTAGGCATCTCGAGACCCAAGACGTGGACATCTCGCTACGGGCATGTTGCAGAAACGGTCTGGACCGAGCAGTCACTACATATGGAGGGTGTTGAGTGCCGTTCTGCTGGGTCCTTCACACCACGGCCAAGCATGGTTCGCGACCGTACAGAAGCGTCCCTTCGAGCACGTGCATCAGCGATCGGGGCAGCCCAAAAGCCGGGATCGGTATTGGCATCTTCTCGGGAAGAAGGTGAGAACCTGCAATAATTCCTACCCAGTCATGCGGGGCTTGTCCTAGTTGGCAGCCGTCAAGGCACAGAAGAAAAAGAAGGCGAGGCCAATGAGAGAAGCTTCGGAGGAGATGAAGTTGGTGCGAAAAGCAACCAAGATCGGCACGATCGCTTGGCATTCGCGCCGCCTAGTCTTGGCAAGACTTGGCGTTATCCGGGGCTCCAATATACGACCAATCAGAGCGCTTCATGCCCCAACGTGCGAAATCCACTCGTGCTGGCGGTGACGACGCAAGGTCGGCATGATTGCCGCTGCCAGCCTCATCAACGGCAAAGCCAAGACAGGTCCACACGCACGTCAAACCTTTTCGTAAGAGGTCCTCCTTAATTGCATGGTTGTCCTAAGAAGCGCTTCAACGGGTCATCATCGTGTTGCCATGCAGCACCCCCAGGGAATCGGCTGCAGCAGGCACAGCCCAGAGAAATCACGAATACCCTTCAATGCTTCCGCTGTGGTGCTCCAGACCAATAAGCCCGGTGCATGTTATCTTCCCTTGTCGCGTGCCCCGTGCCGTGGGCTTGATACTGACAACTTCTTGACAAGCTGGTGTTCTGTGGTTCGCTGTCAGTGTCCCCCTCTCCCCCTTTCCTTCATACTCTCTGAGTCCGATTCCCCGGGATGCAACTATCAATGAATCTCCCAGAGACTTGTACGACACCTGCCGCGTTACATCTTCCATCCACGAAACAGAAGATGCAATGGCATGTTGGTTGCGGGCGGATACGCAGTGGCACTCATCCTTCCATGGCTTTGGGTCTGGATGTTGGAGGATCGTCAGGTACCCTTTGGTGTCTCAACAAAAGCTTCAACGTGGGACATGGATTGCCGTAATTGAGAGAAGCGTTTATCTTGTAACCCACCATATGGCCACGTATAGTCCGGTATTTCCCGGCCTACCGAACACCTGGTTTTTGCTAGGTTTCTGCTGCAAGATTCCCGTTGAGCCTTCGTTTACCAAGTCTACTTGTGAGTGTAGAAGGATGGCAAGCTCATATGTAACGCTTTCTTGACTTTCTCGGGCATATTGGAGAATTAATACACTGAACATACCCTTGCTGTTAGCTTTCAAAAACTGACATCACTGTTCCCCCAAACAGATACTTCATGATTTTAATTCGCGAACTTCGAAGTAAACGGCTTCCCCTTTCTACGCTGTTGCCGAGCGAGAAGCAGGCTTTTCGGTGAGGTATCACCTTTTACATATCCTAATCGCTAGTTCCAGGTGTTGCTGCAACCTGTTTATCATGGGCTCCAAAACTCATGCGTAATTCAGGGGAATTTGCTTTCCACATAACGTTTTTTTTTCGAAACACTGCCGTCCAAGACTGCTGGCTCTCTCCTTTACCCTGTAACGTAGGGATCAACACGTTCGGATGGAAGGATTAATGCAATGAATGCTTGCCTTTAGGGAAGTATTGAGTGAAACACATCAATATTTGATATCCTTCAACTTTCTGGCCTGTATCTGTTCATCCAAATGGAGACTTTCAAAGTTCAAGCAGCATCAGAAAATAAAACAACAGGACGGCCATGAGCAGTCGCATGAACCGTGGAGCCAGCAGTTCAATTACCCGCAGCTGGGCACCCACGCGAACCACATTAATCACATACGATGAATAAACCAAACAACGGGAGCACCTTTCTCAAGGTAAATATACTACAGGCACTCTGTCGTGTTGACAACCCAATGTTCTTGGCATTTCAGGGGTTATCTTGCCGCGAAACGCCATAACCCTAACCCTTAGATGCTTCACCGGCGAGTTTGCCGAAGCGCCATGGTCGGTGTGGAGACGGCCAGCGCTTATTGAACTCCTGCAGGGCGGCAGCGCGCGCGGTTGGTAGCAGATAACGGAGGTAAACTTGGAAATTTGGCTCCTCATTAGTAGGCTAAGCGCGGGCGGTTGTCCGCGGATGAGATCGTCATCTCCAATGGGCTTCTGGTTTATTTCAGCTGTGGCTGCAGGCCTACTACCTCCCGTTTCGTGTGGCTTCGCTTCAAAGGAGGATTTACAAGAGCGGTGAAGTTCCGGTCCACATGTAGATACTTTAATCCACCCCTGGCACTTAAATAAGGAGAACACCAGCAAATTCCAGCTCTCAAGTGAATCAAGGTTCCCGGGCATCGTAAGTAAGTGGTCACTATGTCGACAAGCGTATCACCAGCGATTCGACCTTCACCTCGCGGCGACAGAGAGCCAAGGTATGATCAAGATCGCCGGCCACAGCCACGTTTACCTGGGCTGCCACCCCGTCCAGTACCAAAGCAAAGATCGTCATCACATCCTGGAGTCAGCCAGACCGCGGGTGTCAGTCAACGGCAACAGCAACACCCTATTGCGACTTATCCTCGGAACTACTTGCGAACGATTCCGGCTTCGAAACCGATCCAAGTACCCTATCAGTCGCATAATTCACAACGAAGACATCCGTCAACGACACCACGCCCATCCACCGATACCCCGAGGATTTCCCCAGATTATTATCCTCCTCTTAGTTACATCTACACCCACACACCTGATCAAGACGGCCACATGTCGCTCCTTGCCCCTGAACCCTTCCCAAGTCCGGCTAATACGCGCAAGCCACTGTTTACGGTGCAGTACCCGAGCTGGTGGGCAGTACTTGGGAAGATGAAAGTATATTCACATGTCGACGAGAGAGGGAGTATCAACAACGGGACGGAGCCATCAGAAGCAAGGCAATGTGCCCTGATTAAATTCCACGATTGGCCAAAAGGAAAGACGGTGGTAGAAATGGGTCGGGAAACCAAATTTAAGTTCAGGAAGAGGTTCCAAAGCCAATGCGGACTTCCTGGCGGTGGCCCAGGAGGGATGTGGGAGTGGGCTGTTGATCAGGGCGCGAGGTGTTTGGTACTTCGATCTATACCGCATGCATCATCGGGAGCTGGAAGATATCAACATGGCGGAGTCGTGATCGCACGGTTTGTCGCGTCAACGGAGGATGTGAAGTGGGCGACGGAAAGAGGCGCGGGATGGTTGGAGATTTTGTGGCCTCGGGGGCTGACGGGCGAGCAGTTCCAGGAGGTCTTTGTCACGTTGGTTGCGGAGATGGAGAGGAGGAGAAGGAGAAATGAGGAGCTGAATGAGCTTGATGATCCGTTTAATCCATGGTCTTGCATCTAAGGGATGTTGATGGGTTGGTGTTATTGAAGGTTGACATAGATAAGACCAGTGCTGCTGGCAGCACGCTGCGCTCGCACAGCGATGTTTTACACATTTTTAGACGGATGTAACTACGACATTGTAATACGGCGCTTACTTATTTCGTACAGCCGAGACTAATTTTTTTTTTTTTGGACGGCTTTTTCTTTCTGCATCCGGCTATTGTTCGTTGCCATTATACGCAATGCGATCCGGCGCATCACCTTTATCTCCCACTCCAGCCGTCGCCAGCTCCAAAAGTTGTCTTGACACCTCGGTGTACCCCTTTAAGTTATCCTTGGCGAGGAAGTAAGCTGCGAGTCCCGCCACATGTGGCGCAGCCATGCTTGTCCCGCTCATCATCAATGTGGCGTTGTCGTGCTCCGCGAACGCGCTCGGGATTGTGACTCCAGGCGCGAAGATGTCGACTCCCGGCCCCCAGTTCGAAAAATCCGCTTTATAGTCATCCCGCCCGATTGCCCCAACAGTGATAGCTGTGCTTGCAGACGCAGGCGAGTACTCACTTGCATTAGCTCTGTCGTTACCTGCAGCCGCAATGACTGTGATGCCCATGTCGGTGGCTGCCTTCACGGCTTCGTTGACTGATTGTGTGTATGGCCCGCCCAACGACATATTAATGACGCTGCGGGATGCAACTCCACGTTTTGTTGCATCCGAAACGGCCCAATTGAGCCCCTGCAACAATCCAGACATGTACCCTGATCCAGTCTTGTCCAGCACCTTGACCGCGACGACCGTGGCTTTCTTTACGACGCCGTAGGTTCGGCCTGCAATTGTTCCGGCAACATGGGTCCCGTGTCCATCTTCGTCAATGTCAGGAGTGTTTTCAACGAAGTTGGCTCCCCAGATGGCGCGGCTGCGGCCAAAAAATGTTGTACCATTGGTCGTTGTGCTGTTCGCCAACTCCCACGGATCATCTAAAAACTCAGCGTGTGTCGTCCGAATCCCGGTGTCGAGGACATACACGCGCACCCCTTGGCCTGCTGACGTGTCATAGACGTAGTCAGCAAAGTTGCGTGCGCGATGGGAAATGCGGGCTAGCCCCCAGGGAGCATGGGGCTGAGTAATGGTGTCTCGTTTAGCTGGCGTGGGAATGCGACGGTAGAACGGATGGACGTGGATCGCATGAGACAGTCTCGTTGCTTTGACAACCGTGTCTTTCTCAATGTAGTCGATCTGACAATCGATTAGTTATCAGTTCCTTGCTATTCAAGACGCTGAGGCTTGCCAGTTCTGAGTTCACAAGCTCCTCCAGAGTACCCAGAGGTAGCTCAGCGAGATATCCATGCAGTCCAGGTACGTCGAGTTTGCCAAAGATTCCCCTTTTCCCACCCTGGAGAGCCTTACTGTTGATATCCTTTTCATGCTCTTTTTGTTTCGCATCATCCGCATCAGGTTTGTACTTGACAATGTATCTATCAGGGATTAACAGTCCCAACGGTAGGTGGTCATTAAAGATCGGAGCGAGGGCATAGGCTGTCTGAGAAAAATAAAAGCTAATGATAACGAAAAGAACGATGACGGAGCCAAAAATGTCCATGTTTTTTTTAAAAAAATGGAGAAGGATAAGACATCACATTGAAAGCAATGACTGGGTTATAAATTGTGTAGCTCTTGGGGATATGGTTCCTGACGGCCACTCATTGAAATCTAGCGCTAGCTCCGGGCACGGAAGATATTTATGTTGATCCAGATATAACACTAATTCAATCGGGATCTAGTGAAAAATTGCTAACGAACATCGCTGTCGATCGTTGGGTCAAAGAAACCACCCGCGTCTTGGTGACTGAGACAACCGTATCACGAAGTCTTTCGTTCCTTTATCTCTATGGAGAGCAATGGATATGGCCTCTTGGGTCTCGTTACACGTCCGGGTGCTTCTGTGGGGATCCCAGTTGCACTGGAAATGAGTGCGCATAGAGATTGTGTTGTGTCGGGTTTTCGCATTGTTAAACAAACATGCCATGCATCCTACGCGCACAGGATGAGCAACCTCAAGAATATATTTCTGTGCCATGAATTTAAGACACAGAGAGACAAAACAGCCACCTGCAATGAATGCCTCTATCCTTTGGCAACAGTTCACACTTTATGTTGGATGTAAAAGAAAATGGTGGATGTGGATGGGAGTAATTACTTGTGCGTTGCCCTGCAGAACACGTGGCCCTGGGGGAATCTGTCAAACACAATGTGTGCCGCAGAATAACAACTCTCTACCTTCTTAACTACACACGCGTGAAGGTGGATGAGCATGGCTCTTATATAAGGTCAAATGTGCCCCTGACATCAGTGGAGCGCGGGTTGACCAAGGTAGGTCAACGGTGACCACACCGTGGTCACTTGTGGCTAACACTTTATTTCGTCTGTCTTCCCCCTTTCCCCTACCTCTCCATTTACCTTTTCCCTTCCTAGGCCAGGGGCAATCAGAATCATTGTCGCTGTCACGGTCACTGTCGCTACTGGAGCTATCGGTGTCATGCCCAGACTTGCGCCCGGCGGATCATCCGGTGTTCTCACCGGTGCACTCCGCCGGGCTCAGGCCAGCACAACCTTCAATGGCAACGAGATCCTCCCTATCTGTCAAGGGCTCGCGAGGAAACAGACTTCGTTTGGTCTCCTCAACCGCCCACATATCGGTGTTTTCTGGATGAGTAAGGCCACCTCGAATCGCTAAGCTTCAGCAGAGTGAGAGTCATAGGAATAACTGAGGGTTCGCACCAGTTTGCTCAGTAGGAGGATGCCAAGCTTCGTGACGAGGCCAATGATGGTGATGGTGGTGATGTCCCAAGAGCCCTTCCTCGCTGAGAATTTCTTCGAGAGCAGAATTCTGACTGACTACAAGTGGAAGAGAGGAAGGGGTGGACGTAATTCCAGCTTTTGCACCCTGAATGGCATATATCAGGGCTGTCAGCATATCAACGGGACACCTGTTGGAAGTCGGAACTGCATCTTGCGAGAAGATCGACGATCGATGGATTGGAGCTAGTCAATTCCGTTGGAGAGGCCACAAAAGTGGTGATTAAGAAAGGGAAGCATGCAGTACAAAGAGATAAAATATATCGAGAGCAATCCGCTGACATCATGAATAAGAGCCCTCGAAAGTATGACTGGGACCAAAACTGTCCTGATATTATTGATTATATTGCCTGGTTTAAACACAACTGAGTCCACCATCGGTTATATCTAGATCCTGGATGACATTGTTGAGCTGCCGAAGAAGAAAGGTTTTGCTACACATCCACGGAACAATTCAGTTGCGTCCATGCCAAGGAAGCACCCCGCAACCACAAATATTGGTTTTTGAGTCCTTCCTTACCTCCCAGAAATCCGCCAAGATCAGTGCACCATGCATTTGAGGGACCATCATAGTCGAAACAAGTGCACTTTACAGGCCTTTCAATTGGACAAAAGGGATAATATTGTCATTACAACTCTTGAGAATTGTCGTCGCATGTCGCATGTTGCATGTCAGTTGTCGAAGGCCAGTATAGTGATCACCTAGAATCCAGAAAAATTCCCAAGAAAGTTTCTTTGACTGTGAGAGGGGTATGATAGATGGGGCATACAACGGCTGCCTACAGAGCTTTCAAGAATTTTCCCGTTCGGAAGGTTGCTGATTCGGTTGCTAGAAATGACCGTTTAGCTCCTGTGACCGAATCACGGAAGATAGCGTCTATATAGTTAGCATGCATTTATGGCTCGATACTTGTGACGATGTATGATACCCTCTAGGAACTAGGTGAAAGTGATGCCTTCAGTTGATCTCCAGTTTGAGCAATACGCGAGCGAAAAGGGGGATCACAGCTTCATACTTGCCCCAGACACCCTTGCTGCCATTGGTAAGACAGCCACGTTCGACTGAACTTCACAGGCCAATATTGCCAATCACAGGACTAATGAGTTCTCGGTCGAACGCTTCAAGTAAGGAGCGAAGAGAGCAGTAATTCGATTACAATATCGATTGTTCTGATGCGGCAGTCCTTCCAAAGCCTGACTGCAGCTGCTCGGAAACTTCCCAGCCATGATTGAGAAACTCTGGGCTGTCAATGTCGATCATGGCCCTTCTCATAGAAAACGCTGAGTTAATTTTCTATTTCCCCGAGATGCAGGGCTTCACATTGCATGCATACCTTAGTCTCAGCTGAGTGTCAATAATGGGTCCACAGTGACACAAGCAAGATCAGGAGTGTGCTCACAGTTTGCCCTAAGATCTCAGTTTCGGGTTTGAGCAACAAGTTGACTACCATCTACGGGTCTAGAACTTCTCTATCATGGCAATGAGTTGGTTGTTCTCTGAATGACTGCTGAGCTTGTGCATGATCAAGCATCATGGACTCTAGGGTTCCATTCGAGTCCCAAGTTCAGGGCTAAGCACAGAATACAAGTGATGTCTATCCCCGAGATTGTACAACTTAGATAACAGAACCCCCTGATAGGCAGCTTGAACAGCGATACGGGTAAGGAAGATTCGACAAGAACGTCTTGGAAGCTGTCTCGAAATGCTCGAGTTCGGGAGCGGGGATTGACGGATAAGCGACGGTGAGTGGCAACTGTTTGTCCTCCCCTTGCAGGTGCGGCTGGAAGCAGATGTGCGGAGAAGTCACCGACTCCTCCCGTCGGGTGTGCGCGAGTAAAACAATACCAAGCCCTAATGTGGGCAAGGACAGCGCGAAACAGCCTGGACACTGTGTAGTATGCTGTGCATATCTTTGTTCCATTGACAGTTTAACCTGCATGTCATCTGCTGCATCCGACAGGACAATCGACAGCGCAAGAACAATTCCGCAGTTTATTTTTGTTGCCTGCCACTGAGCTGAATGCTTGTGTCTCGTGGAGGGCTGGATAATTGGATAAAGGACACAGGACACTACAAACAATATTGAGAGATGACTTCAGCTGCTCCCGGAGGTTGCCTGCAGGGACAAGCAAACCTGCAGCCTTGAAAGTTTCCATTTACCCATGATCTAACTCTACAGATCATATCCTAAAACGCCTCGACGTGGCTAGTGTAATGAGGACGATCAAAATAAAATCCCCGTATGTCTTGTCAAGTCACGGCCGTTTTGCTGATCGGCTGATCGATCTAGAACGTTTGCCGGATCGCCCCGTTGATGTATCCTTGCGTTGTTTCGGGATATCAAAACTGGGGAAGTTTGGGCACAGTCTACATACAGATTCTTCCAAACACCGGGGACATGGAAGCTGTCATGTTGTACAAGTACGTAGGCTCCCATGAGCTGAAAGCCACCTGCGTCATGGATAAGTCAACCGCTCGGCGCTGAAAATGGTTAGGCGGCGCAGCCGGCGTAGGTTATCCATGGGCTGGAAGTCGGTGATACTTTCATATCCCGAAGCAAATAGGAAAAGATCGCCAGTTCAATTTGACTGGCCCCCTGTAAATCTCCCAGAAATAGCAGAGATGCCGCAAAAGATCACCAAACCTCCAGGAACGAAGTTTCAGGGTTGCGCAAGTCTCAGGCCAACCTGCAGGAAGAGGGCACGGATGACTGCAGGGCAAGAGTTGAGAAGTCTAGATTCTAAACCAACATTCAGCTCAGCCAGCAATGAGGACGACGGCCAAGGAGGGATGGGAGGTAAGACCTTGAGAGCTGCACCTTGATGGATCAGGGGGAGAACCACAGTCAGGAGGAAAGGGAGGGAGGGAGGGGGAAGAGGTTGAATGATGGCTGGATGGTGAGAAACGCTGTGTGGACATGGGAGACGACTAGCCCAGGCCAGAGAGTGCTCTGGCAGCTACCCAAATGTCTATAAAAGCCCCGACCTCTCCCTCCATCGAGCTGCCAACATCCTCATCAACATCGATAACAACCTCTTCTCAGACAAGCCTTCTCTCAAGCCAGCAGCAACAGAACCAACCTCAAAAACAGCGCCATTTCCTAGCCCAACTCAAAATGCAGTTTTCCAACTTCATCACGGTCCTCGCTATGGCCATGACGGCCACTGCTCTCCCGGCTCCCGCCGAGGAAATCAACAACTCCGAGCTCGTCGCCCGCAGCGGTGGCAATGGCAATATCTACCAGGGCAATTGCTCCAACAATGCTAAGCAGACTTGTTGCATAAAGGCTAGCAACGCCGCCGGCCTGCTGACTATCCTGGGTGGCCTGGTGAACGTTAAAACGGACGACCTGCTCTGCTCCGTTAACGTCCTCGGCGGTCCTTGCAATGCCGAGTCGTACTGCTGCACGACAAACGCCAGCGGGGTGAGTGTCTGCTTTTCCCTGTGATCCGTAACTTGATGGTTGACTCTTGAGAACAGAATGGTTTGGTCGTCATCAATGCGCTCAACTGCGTCAAGATCTAAGGGTTGCCGCCGCCACAAGTCTCACGGCCCTTCGTTAACTCTCAGCTAGGAGAGTATGGGCTAAGTAATGGAGCTTGGAAACAATGTTGACTGGGTTCTTGGTATCTGGAATGGAGTGTCGATGGGGTTGGTCTCGAACAGGGCATGGACTGAGTAATTGTTAACTTCGCTTCGAGTTGTTAGTGTTAAGTTATCAAATAGCCGGCTACCTGCTCTCTGCCTTCATGTGCTGTGAAAGTAAGATAACTCCCAGGCCGCTGCGGAAACTGTCAGCCAGTCGGCCAAGCAGCGGAACAGGGATAACTAGTATATACATGACTAAACAGTTAACAGTACCTATTCTACCTGACTGATATATTATTTGTTTTGAACGCAGGAGATGACATGGCACGAAGAGGGGAAGTAATATATACGGATTGCTGTAAACATGTTAAAGTCCGTTAACCGTGTCACTTCTCTGGGACCTGTGTCTGCGTCATTGGGGCCAATGTCGAAGGGGGTGGTGGTGGCTGCCCAGCGACAGGGTGAGTAACATCGTTCCCTAAGCACAGCGCCGCCTGCGGAGGTTGTTGATCTGATGGGACGCTCTGAAGGTACTGGGACTGTATCCGGCCGTAAGGTTGCTGGGTAAGAACAGTTGGAGCAGGTGGTGGTTGAGAGAGAGATTGCTGGTCAGATGGAGGAAGACTTTGCACAGGCACTTGGCCTTGAGACCACCCTGGGGCCTGGCTTAGAGACGGTTGTTGTGGCTGTGGTTGTTGCGAAACATCAGCGTTGGATGTGGGAGGCTGATCAAGGAGAATGTGGTCTCTGGAATGGAGTGTTAGTAAAAATCGTGATCCGTATATTCAGACTCGACCATGAAACTGAGAGCTAACAGAAGGGTACAACGGAGTGAGGTAGCGGTAAAAATAAATGACGCCTTACTGTTGACCAGCCTCAGCGCCCCTTTCACCTTGGGCGCTTTCCTCTCTTTCTGTGTTTTGGCTTGATGTTGGCGCGACCTTCCTGGGCCGGCCAGTACGTATGCCAACGGTTGGGGTCTTCTTCTTGAGCGCGTACTTGACTTGATGCAGAGTGTATCCGGTGACGCGCTGGATCTCGGTTGGTCCCATCCGCGCGTCGCGGTACAAGACCTGGCAGCGGAAGATATCCTCAGCCGTTAGTTGCTTCCTGCCCGGAACACCTGGAGGCCGGCCCATTCTGAGTTTCTAATTGTCTTGATTCTTCCTCAGGCTCTTTAGGCTACAAAGTATTTGCTGAGGTTGGATATTGCTGAGTTGATGTTGTCGCCGTCAGCAATTGGCGGTCGAACATGAAGCACGTGATCTCAACTTGTCACTGGCGAAAGCGGGTCGGGGCTCATCTAAAAGGTGGGGAAACTGGCTATGGGTCTGACAACCACTGTGGTTGCATACGAAGCATTACCACCCCACTATCGACCAAGACCTTTCCCAATGAACTTTCGAGTCACTTTGTGTACGATTACCGGATTCGGTAGTTGCCGCATGGATGGCTTGCTTGTTGGCCAACAACTTCAGGACAGAACAACTCTGCCAAGAAAAGCCAAGAGTAAAGTCTAGCACTTGATCCAGACTCTCGGTTAGAGTCTCGCGATCAGCCAATACCAGTAAACACCATTTCTGATCGAGGACTCTATGCTGTATCGAAAAAGGGGAATGAGCTATAATTAGTTGGTTCTTTACCTTTTTGACTTCCTTTCTGGAAACTTCGGCGTTGTGCAGAAAAAAAAGCGGCTTTCTCAGAGATGCGTATTTACGCAACAACAAAAGTTTTGTGCTCAAAAGTGGGGAGAGGGAGGTCTTGGTCAAATAGTGGGGCAAAAACGTTTATATGCCAAGGACAGCGAGTGTCAAATTCCCACCAACCATGAACTGCCTCACCAACACCTTCAAGGGATGAGATCGCCATCTATCATCCTTCCCATGACCTTGTCAAACTCTATGAGGATGTCATTCACTGGTGTTCTTTCAATAAAATCGACTGTTTTTGATATAACTTCCACATTGCAAACATGGCACAAATCAGACTAATCACCAGCGCTCTTCACACCCTCCCATCCTGAGTAAGTACTTTCCTGTGCATATCCTCTCCAGAATCAATGGTGATGGAATCACAGTACCTTGTAAATGAGTTGTGATGTGCATGTATAGGAGAAAGTTCACAGAAATAAGGAAATACTTCACTTCAGATGTAAACGATGAAGTAGTCTTTCTTTGTGCAGTGCCCCTCCTGATGTTGTGATTCTTTGTCGACAACCACAAGATGAAGGGGAAGTTCTTTGCTACGATCTTCGCGCAAGTCTCATTGAGCGGCCTACTCCCCAGTTTCTTGGCAACGCAGGACACTGGCAAAACGTTCAACCTGCTGGCACTCCTCATCAGCATGGGCGCGCCCAGGAAGAGTATGCTACCGAATACGCACGCCTGCAGCGGGAGGGCGGCGAAGAGGAGCTAAGGTGCGATAATACGATTCGACTGGCCACCCGTGTTGCTTAAGCTCTCCTGTCAGAAGTTTTAGACGGCCAAATGAGAGAAAGCGAATGGGATCTTGATGAAGCTGATATGGGATTCGATGACCCAAAACCCACAACCCGTCATGGCTAATGGAAACATCACACCAACACTGCAGAGGGTCAACGCTACTTTGCATCGTACGGCACAGGGTTCCGCCTATGTCCTTCGCGCTCCAGAAGTGCTTCGCCACTTGCCGCACAAAATTGTCAGCTCGACAGTTAAACAGCCACCCGAAGACCGGAATAAGACCATATATTGCCAACCACAGCCCCAGTTCAACGCATGGCTTGTTCCCTTAGCAATATTACCGAGCAAGCTTCTTCCAAGGTGGACTACGACGAGCCACCGCAACAGACAACATGACACCAGAGCGATTCCCCCACAGTAAGAGCTAGGGTTGCCTGATGGCACTCGCCTTCTACTTAGGTCTTGGTAAGGATTCTGACCATCAACCACATGTCTACCTAAGGATGTATATTGTTCGCCTGTTATTGAAACTATAAACAGTTTTCCCAAACTACAAAAAGACGAGGGAGGGCAGTAAAAATGTTAGCAAAAGAATGGGCTCTCAGTTTTTGAGCTCTTACCCAAGATTTACTGGTAGCTGATATGATCGCTAGCTTTAATACAGACTTTTCTTGCTTTCTCAGCTCCAACACTTGACGTAGATCGCAATGTGGATAAGCTATTGCACGTTGAATCAGCTTTTCGACTGCCCTATCACATCGGTCTGTTGATGATGCCTTCCATTAGACTTGGTACAACTGATAGGAAATTGCAGCTTCCACAACCAGTAACTCCCATGGCATGTGAAACGCTCTAGATGTGCTCCGAACAGGAAGCAATCTGATTCTTCAATCACAGTCCAACCATATATCCTGACTTAGAACAGTTAGTGCTCTCTCTCTCCATCAACTTGTCTTTTATCTTAAGCCTTCATCATTATGGACAACCAGCCCTCTGCAAGTGACCCCGAGCCGCCATCCCCCCTCGGCCAAACTCTTTCTGTCGCCATCATTGGCGGTGGCGTTGCAGGTCTGGCTCTTGCAGCCGGTCTCATCAAAAACCCACACCTCGACGTTCATGTGTACGAGGCTGACTCCGAAATTCGCGATTATGGTGCCGGACTTACGCTCCATCGCAATGGGCTCGAAGCCATGGCCTACATTGGCCCCGAGATCCGCAAGGCTTATCTGGATGCCGCTATTTCCATCGCGGAGGAAGAGAACGAAGAGACCGCAACCGAAGTTTACTTGGCTTGCGGCGAGCATGCGGGACAGGTCATCGCTGAGCTCGGCCGTGCCAAAGGTCGGAAGAGCCTGAGTCGCGCGGACCTGATCCGTGCTCTACTGACCATAATCCCCAAGGAACGCGTCCATTTTGGCGAAAGGCTGGCGAAAATCAAGAGCTACAATGCAAAATTGCGGGAGATACGTTTTACATTTGAAAAGGACGCCCAGATCTATACCGCAAATTGTTTGTTTGGTGCCGACGGCATCAACAGCATCGTCCGCAAGTACATCTTAGGAGCTAACCACCCTGCCGCGAGCCCCAAAAACACAGACAACTGGTATATGTATCGCATACAGATTCCCATGAAGGTCGCTCGCGAATACGGGGTTGACGACCGGCTAACCCGCACTGTGCCAATCTCGCTTGGTCCCCATGGCCACCTCAACTGCATACCCCTGAACAAAGGGACAAGATTGAGCGTCGGGATTGCGTTGCGCAACCTCAAGTACCAACCTTACATCAAATACTCTTCTGCGTCTGACCCTCCATTGAACCGGAGTGACCTTCCGTCTATTCCCTCAATACTAACCAGTGTCTACCATCCCATCACGCATCCGCTTCTAAACCTCTTGTCCAATCCTCCTATCGAGGGAGGGAAGGATATCGAAGTTCAAATCTTCGCTCAACCGCTCCAAGATCTTGATCGAGTCGACACCTATCTCCGCAAGGGCGAAAGACAGCCGATCACCATCCTCGGTGATGCAGCCCATGCTGCTCTGCCCTTTGCAGGGCAGGGTGCAGCTCAGGCTTTTGAGGACGCAGCGATTCTCAGTTGCCTGTTCAGCATGGTAAAAACTCGGCGGCACGCATTCTACGCAATGACGGCGTATGAACAGGTCCGATTGGAACGGGCCCAGACTGTGAGGGACGCTGCCAGACGGTATGGACTAATATATGCATGGGCGGACAATGATGGTGTAAGGGGCGAGAAGCGAGGGGTGGCCAACTTTTTGAGGCACTATGGCAAGTGGATGAACGAACTGGATATCAAAGCAGTGGTACAAGAGGCGAAAAGCAAGTTCTAGGAGATGGCGGCGGATAATGTGAATGAGGATACGGACAGAAGTGAATCTCCGAGGAGCAGACGCCGGACCATAACAGGTGGGAAACGAACAGAATTGTACAAGAAATCGGTATCGTCATGGTGGTCAGCGTCTGAGTCGTCATGAAGTGGGTGGTGGTGGAGCCACTTGGATTGCTCGGTGACGGTTAGGGCTAAGTAAACATGCCCAAGAGGCAAAAAAGTCTATAGTCAGCTTGTCAACATCGCAGCGATTGTATTTATGTGTCAGGCAACTTGCTAGATTCAGCACATTTGCTTGAGACATCATTTCCCGAGGAATGTCCCAGGGATCCTTTTTGTGTGTATGCCAACAACACCTGGAGACTTCAAGACCATAACCACCTATTTTTCTTAAGCCCAGTCAGTGATACTGCACTGCGTTTCAAGCAACATAATGATCCGTCTCCTTCATCACTGCTCTGGGTCAGCCATACAAGACGGGAAGAGGAAGGCTAAGGGAATGTACTATTGGAGAGGTTGCGAGGGTAACTCACTATCAGGCAGTTCTGGTCAGGTAAGTTGAATTAAGGGGTAAAGGAAGCAAAAATTATCAGGATTTTGAAGCAGTAACAACCAAAAAGAGTCTATGGCACGGCCCGTTTGTACCTACACATATAGACGGACATCCATAGGCTAGGGCTGATGCAGCATGAGGGCCAAGGAGGGGCGACTGTGGATGGTTTTTTTCGCTGGTTGTACGTAATTTCAAGCTATTCGTAACTCAACAGTAAAAAACGGTAGACGAGAATACTATACAGAGACGGTAAACAATTTTATAATGGCAATGACATAAATCCCGGATGCCAAACCTGACCTGACATTGGCAAGGGAGGATATTTGAAGTTCGGACTCCACAAGACCAAGGACACCAGTGTGTATTGGTCTGTAACATTACGCACCTTACCACAGTAATTTACGTGCAATCGCTACTCGACTTGGAAATTCGCGCCCGGTAACTTCTAAAAGAAGGTTAGGGACATGGCTGCATCAGAGCGGACCCAAGCTCTTACTGGGCGACCATTAGAGGTGTAAACACCGGCCGTTAGCATGGGTCTTTAACGGAGGGGTTCTACAACGAGAATGTCGGTTGCATGATCATTTCGAATTTTTTCTTGGTGTGGGAATCATCGATTGTTCATAGACAAAGGAACTTCTCTTTCTGCTCAATGAACTCATCCCCCCAAAGACAATGACAGGTTGCCCCATTTCGGCGTTCACCATCTCCTTTTCCCGCCCAAGTTGTTCCCTGAAATACCTATGCTGGATTCAGACCTATCAACCTTGCCTTAATCTGCAAGGCGATCAATCTTGAATAGTATCTGCAGAGCGCAAAATTGCCTCCATGGAACCAAAGCCCCGGGTGGCCAGTCGGCCCCCAGACACCCCTCATCTCCCCCTCTTCATTCCATCCCCAGATGCCTTGAAACGTGGGTGGTAAGTCATCTCCCAACAGTTCTCGTGCCGTAGTACCCATATTGTCATACCCAGTGGCAAAGACAACCGAATCAGCTTGCAGAACGGTCCCGTCCGAGAGCTTAACACCCCAAGGGAGCACCTCAACAGGCTCAACGCCATGCTTGACCTTGATCTTGCCATCAGCGATCATCTGCGCAGCGCCGACATCAATGTAGTATCCACAACCTCGCTGGAAGTATTTGCACACAAGCCCAGCCCCGTTCGGGCCACGATCTAACTTGAACCCGGCATGCTCCAGGCCATCGAGAATGGCCTTGTCACGCTCAGCCAGGATGTCTGTCAGATCAACCTGAACCGCCTTCAAAATTTCGCTTGGAAGTGACCACATGGCTAGATCACCATCCTCGACCGGGGGACCGCCTTCTTCATACAGCCCACCATACAGTAGTTTCACAGCCCCATCGCTTGATACCACGTAGGTCGTTGACCGCTGCACCACAGTCACGTCGTACCCTTGTTCAGCAAACTCCTGGGCGATGTCAAGACCTGAAGTGCACGCCCCTATCACGACCGCGCTTTTGCCTTTGCTGTTTAGCGGTGCACGATGAAACTCTGACGAATGGCAGAGGAGATCTCCTTGGAATGTATCGATTCCAGGGATGTCTGGCAAAGGGGCTTTTCCGGAGTGATGACCGGTAGCAAAAACAATGTGCTTAGGGTGAAAGACCCGAATCTTTTCCTCATCTGTCTCAAGGTTTCTGCGCCGAAGCGATACTATCCACCTGTTTGCAGAGGCGTCCCACGAAGCTGATACCAACTGCGTTTGCGTCCACACCACAAGATCCAATGCTTTTGCGTATGACTCGACCCAGTCGGCAATCTTATCCTTGGATGAGAATACAGGCCATGATTCCGGAAATGGATAGTACGGTAGATGGTCGTACCAAACCGGGTCGTGCAACACTAGGTGGTCGTATCGTTTCCGCCAACTGTCTCCTACAGCCTTGTTCTTCTCAATGATCAGTGTTGAGACTCCTAACATCTTCAGGCGTGCAGCGGCTGTTAGTCCAGCCTGTCCAGCTCCTAAACGCAAACTTAGTCAGCATAAAAACCGGCGTCGATCTCCAACATAAACCACAAGACTTACCAATTACTACCACATCCGGGCCTTCCACTCCTTCAAACTCAATCTCGGCCTTCCTCAACTCTTTCCAGGTTTTTCTCCCCACAACCTCTCCTTGCTCTGGCCCTTTGCTTCTCTTTGGCCCAGTGAGCTCTTCGTGTCTAAAGATCCCCTCGAGCGAGGTAAACAGAGTCCAGATATGCCACTCTTCTGCACCACCAACCTCTCTGGAGACCTTCACAGCGCGAATAACCCCTCTTCCCCAGCCAACAAGTGTTTTTACTTTGAGAAACGCCTGGACACCTGGGATACCTTGTTTGGGTCTGAAGTCTGTGAACTTTGGTTTCCGAAAGGGTGAGGAAGTGTCAATTGTGAACTGGATGGTTTTCCAATGGAGCGTTTCGGTTTTGAGCCATCTCGCGATGTTATCTCGTCCTTTGAGGGTTCTCAACGTCCATGAAAGCATGAGGTGATCGCGCCAAAAGCCGCATGCTCCATTGCCACTGGTGCTGTTCTCTGGCTTCTCAGCAAGGAAGAGGGAGGCAACGTTGTCATGCTCATCCCTCGGGAGAGAGTAGTTTAGCTGGTCGAGAAGGCCCTGAATGACCGACTCCGCGTCTGAATCGGCTTGAGTTGAAGGGAGGACCACGGTTGGCCATGGCGCTGGAGGGAGGTTGTGAGATCCAGGGACGACCCGGTCGTCCGGGCTAGACATCGTTGCTTTATGGTCGGAAGAACCAAAGCTTAAAGTTTTGTTTATAGGTAGATAGATTTGCCCCTGATACTCCGTATTGAAGTGGGCCAAAAGAAGAGTCGTTGAAAGCGATCGGGTAGGTGACAATAGCCCAACGACCAGAAGCTTTGCCCTTCCACAGTTGGTGACGAGATCTCAAGATGTTTGAACCAAACACCCTCGCTCATTCTTACCCTGCAATTTATACAACTGTTAGAATATCAACACAAAGCAACATTGCATTGCACCTGATGATGTTCCCCTCATTTGCACTTGCACAGCTGTCCTTTACCCCGCTTCCCCCACCCTCCGGCTCTGCGCCTGAGCGTATCAGATCCATCCTGCAATTACGTGAATGGTTGCACAACAGGAGGTTCGGATGTCACACTTCGGATGATCGTCAGACGGGACTATCGGCACTCAGGAGCCGTAACATCGTGTCTTATTAAAACTCTTGGCCTGCCTATTGGCGATCCTGCTCGCATGCCTGGAGGGCTGGCTTAGTGTACACTTAACATTACAACTGTGGTTCCCGATCTCAAATGTAATACTCAGGTCGAGGCATGGGTTTTGCCACGTGGATATTGAATGGATGTTTGCGTTGCGCGACTTCCTGTCCGCAATCTGGATAGAGGAAGAAACCATGCTGTTTATAACAGAGCATCAAAGGGTAGCATCACAATTATCCTTGCCATAACAAAAACAGCATTGAGAGCAGAAGGATGGGCAGAGCAGTGTCACTTTGCGACTACCTATATAAGGAATGTACAAGCATTATGACCTCTCCCGCCATTCCTTATTACCAGTGGTCACCGCTAATCCCTATCCAGCAACCATGACCCCAACAAGCACAGGTAGGCTCCCTCGTATTCCCAGGTAGTTGTCGCTGAAGTGCAAGAACCACTCAGTAACAAAATATCACAACTGAATCTCGACAAAACATCAAGGCCTCATACCTGCAATTACACTCCATACCATCCCATTAATACCCAGACTCATCATTGTACCTTTAACGCCCCGTATCTTCCGGTTTCGGTTTAAACACCAATCTGATCCTACTGAATCTCCTCCCTAGCCTTCATCACAGCACCAGCAATATCCATGCACAACGCCCGAATCGTGACACCACTCAACAACTTCATGACGGCGACATCATACCCAAGGGTCTTCCAGATCCAAGTACGAATCTCCACCGCAGCAAGGGAATCAACACCCAGCTCGCTAATGGTATGATCGCCCGAGATGCTGCCCTCGGCAAGGTGCAACTGGCACTGAAGACGCGTGACAATCCCATCTACCAACAACTTAACCACCTCTTGCTTGTCCGAAGCCATATTTACAAGCTCCTTCAACGATGGTTGGTGTTCCTTGCCGTCGACACCACCAGAAACACATTCTTCATCCGTTTCAGCCACACGGAAAAGGTGTGAAAACCGCGGGTCGAAATGCCAATGGAGGTACCGATCGGCAGGGTCAAATCGGCGCAAGCCAGTTACAATGTCGTATATTTGCTCGCACTTGACAACATCTTGTCCGGGGATCGGCTTGCCCGCGACAATGGCCTCAAGGAACATATGATGAATGTCGCGCTCCGAGATGGGCGGGTACCCCTCGCGCTCAAGACCCTGGTACAGCTCATCCTTCTCGCGATGCAAGAAGCCGAGGCCGTAGATGACACCAATGTTGAGTACCGAACCAGGGAGGCCTTGAGACCGGCGGAGAGCGGCGAGACCGTTCATGTACATGTTGGCAGATGAATAATTGGATTGGCCGGCGTGCCCACCAATCGCGGCAAAAGACGAAGTCATAATGAAGAAATCCATGTCTGGCTCGTTAAAGACTGAATGCAAGTTGTAGGAGCCAACTGTTTTGGGGCGCAGGACGCGATGCCAAGTCTCAATGGACATCTCGGAGAAAACTCTGTCGTCGAGCACCATTGCGCCGTTGACGACGCCGCCCACAGGGGGCAGCTTGTAGTGAGAGAAGAGCTTCGTCTTGTACTGCTTTACTTGCTTGAGGTCGGTCACATCCAGTCGCTCAAAGACCACCTTGACACCCTGGGGCATGTGGTGAACCCAATTGGGTAGCTTCTCGGGAATGTTGCGACTCGACAGGACGAAGTTCCTTGCACCTTGCTGAACGAAAAGCGTACACAAGCTTTGGCCAAAGTCTCTCGTCAATCCGACTATCACATAAGTCCTGTCAGGCCGCAGCAGTTGTGTACCAATGACGGGCTTGACGATGCAGGGAATTAAGCACTCGGCCTTCCAGTTGATGGTTTTGAAAAGAGGGAGAGTCGTCGCAGTTAACTGCAGCAGTTGAGGCACAGACACAGGTGCGGACCAGGTTGGCGCGGACTTAATGGCTTCCACCTTGTGAACAACAGTTTCAAACCACTTCCAGTCCTTGATACAGATTCCCCCCACTTTGGCTGCGGAGACGTCGTCATCAGCCAGCTTCTTCGCCAGCATCTCGGGGCCCTCAAAGTCTGCGAAGAGCTGTGATCGGCCAAAGTAGGTACAGCCAGCAGGCAGAGCTTGCTTCAGCTTCTTGGTGAATGGATGAGATTCCGGCAACAAATTGACGACTGTGATATGCTGAGCCCTTGCAGGCGATAGCAGAACCCGAATTTGTCTGCTAGACATCCCATAATGAACAGCGTAGTTCTTAGACGACGCTATTTCCGGATCCTGGCTGCAAACTGTGAGTTCAACATTTTGACCATCAGTTAGCTCCTTCAGACACTCTGCAAGAAGCTTGTCAGGCTCAAAAATGATGGCATGACTGCGCTTGATTTTTTTCATGATGGCGTCGGCTGCAATGTAGCGTACTATCAACGCAAAGCAAGCTTCGTCGTTAGAGTTTGCTCTGTCGATGGGAATCTCCGCCCAAGCAACAACTTCGTTGTGTCTCGGATCGGCTGACACGACAATATGGGAGGAGTTTGTGGTCGAGAAGACGAGGCAGCGCCTGGTATCCGCCAGATTCCTAACCAGGCACATGTAGGCAGAGAACTCCTTCCTGCCAATATTTAGCGTCATGGGCTCAGCGGTGCTGAACAAGGTCTCGAAGACCACCAACATAGATGGGACTTGCTTGTTGACATCCCGCACAATGTGGGCGCTGAACAGCCTATTGTTGGTCTTAGAACCGGAAGGAGAGATGCTGACAACCTTCTCGAGCGTGTTTACCTCCTTGACGATAACCCTCCGCGGGGCATTGACTCGCTCATTGCCCTCTTTCCAGGGCACCACTCGTGGAATCCATGGGCAACCAGAACGGTAATGTATCTCCGGCTCAGTGACCCAAAGCATAGGCTGTGTCGAAGCGTTTCCTTCGGCCAACGACTTGAAATCGAGTTGCAGCAAACATGAGACGATCTCATTACCAACTGCGGCGCACACCTGCTCATAGTCCATCTGATTGTCCATGTCGATCATCCGAAGACATACTCCGGGCGTTTCTGCAGCCAACGTCCTGGCAAAGCCAAAGGATGCGGCGTGCTCGGGGTTGCGCACGAGCGCATCTTGGGTAACCCAAATGATCGTCATGTTTGGTCGAAAAAGTTGCTTCAATACCTGCATGCTCTTTTCTGTCATGGTTGAGATGATCGGCTGGTCCATGTCTGCAAGAATGATCACAGCTGAGACTTCACTCGACACAACAACGCTGTCGAAATCATCAAAGTGGTCAATATCAGCAAAGTGCACCGTTAGCACGCTCGCGATGCGACATGCAATGCGAGTCGTATGCACTTTCTTGCCACCCACAATGAGCAAGCGGCCTGTCTTGCGCCTGGTGAGATCACAGGCCGGTTGGATCAGTACTTTCTTGCTCTCTGCCTCGTTATGACGGATCATGATTGCGAGCCCTTTACTAGATACTTGTGTGGAGTTTTTGATCGTCTCTGAGAACCCGCAGGCCTGGAGAGCGACGAACCAGTCCTCCCAGCTGGGTGTCTCCGGCCAGTGCAAATCCCCATTCCTGTACCTTACCCAAAAACGTCCCTCAAGGAGATTGATAAGGTCGTCTGGGACGTGGACAAGAACCAAGAAGCCTCCTGGACGCATGACTCTCTTGAGTGTGTCAAGCGCCGTGGTTGCAACATGGGGCTTGGAAACCGATGTGGTGAGGATGGCGAGATCGTAAGTGACCGTGTCCTGCTCGCCCAAAAGCGAGTAGAGGTCGAACTTAGCCACCTTTATCTTCTTCCCCAACATGTCGCAGAATGGGCGGCGGTCAGCCAGCTTCTCTTCTGGCTTCGTTCCTAGATGATAGGACATGAATGAATCGCCCAACCCATCCAAAATATGCTGAGTGAGCGACAGGCTAGGGTCCGTCAAGGCCAAAACATTCAGCCGCGCATACTTGTGGGCGATCTGCTTGATGATCCGAGTCAAGTGCTGCTGAAGGGCGACAATGTGAACAACTTCTCTAATGAAGTGTGACAGCTCAGCGTCAAATACTTCGAGCTGGCCATAGTCCATATGAGAGACAAGGTTGAGGATTGTAGAGTAGGGAGAGTTGTTGACAAATTTCTTGATTGATTCTTCCGTGTCTTGATACAACCGGAGCACCGAAGGTAGATGGGTCTTGTCCAGCCCACCAAGAGCTTGGCGGGCGTAGAAGGCAGCCACACGGAAGCAGCTGTCGAGCAGCAGCTTGCACGCGTGGGGGCATGGATCAGTGAATTGCCTTGACGACACGATCTCGAAGTCGCAGTCGAGCTCGAAGGTGGTGGTAAGGTAGAGCTCGTGGTCTTGCTCGGGCTTTGTCGTGCCCCAGGAACCTACTGTGAGCCCTTGGATTTGAATTTCCATTTCGCCACTCTCGTTGTAGATCTCAATGTCGGCAGTGAAAGAAGCTCCTGTGTTTTCTGTGATCGGGCTCTCCTTTGTGAGGTAAGCGTCGACATAGAGGAAGTCATGGATATTTTGCCTCTCGCAAATCGCCAGGTTGAAACGAACTGACTCGATATCGACGGGCAAGAACGAGGTCCAGATAGAGTTGTCTCCTGGTGAGGAAATTGTGACAAATGCCGTCTGAAGGCAAGTATCCAATGTCGCAGGACTAATTCGAAGAGATGTGGTATCCTCTTCGTGATGTCTCTTCACAACAGCGGTCGAAAAATTGAAACGGCGCCTCAGCTCCTGCAAGCCCTTGAACGGGCCGGTGTAGAAGAGGCCCGTTTCAGCCATCATCTTGTAAAAGCCCTGTTCGCTAGCCCGTACAGTTTCCGGTTGCCCCTGCGCCCGGCGTGGGAACACATCAGCACTTGGCTCCTCAAGGATGACGGTCATGGAGCCAGTGAAGTTCTTCTTCATGTCGATGTTCCCGTTTGCCTGAGTCGACGTCAGCGTGAAAGATGCCTTGATCTCCTCAAATGATTCATGCTCGACTGTGAGCGAAAAGAGAACTTCGACGTCGGCGTCGGGCTCGAGAACGATCCCAGAAGAGAACTTGAGGTTATGCAGCTCAACAATGGATGCATTGCGGCTATTGAGCACAACCTTGGCAGCATCCAGGGCCATGATGAGGTAGGCTGAGGCTGGAAGAAGAGCCTGACCTTGAAAGCTGTGATGCTTCACCCATGGCAGATGCTCGTACTTGAGCATGTTGCGCCAGCGGAGCGTGAACTTGTTATCGTCACGCGTGCGGACGCCCAGGAGTTCATGAGGTTGTTGTGTTTTGAAGTGGTATTGACGTGAGATGCGTGACTCCCGATAGAAAATCTGGGAGTGGTCCCATGGGTAGGCAGGTGGGTCAAGCAGCCGATGATGAACAAGATCAGGCCGGGCTGAGGAGACTGCAAACTGCCGAATATGGTCTGTAGCACCAGAGAACAAAGTCCACATCCAGCCAAGAAAATCGGAGAAGGCCTCGCGGTCATCCTTTTGGCGGTTGAGTAAGCCTGAGTACGGCAGGAAGGGAATCTTCATCTCATCCATAATCGCCTTAACATGGCTTGTGAGTGACGGACGTGGGCCGACCTCAATGACGCAGTCAAAAGGGTCTTCGTTGGGAGCTTGAGTAAGCGCTGAGGTCAGAGCCTCATAGAAAAGAACCGGCTTGACCATGTTTTCCTTCCAGTATGAGGCCTTCAGTTCGGCCATCCGCGGTTCGCCTGAGCCATAGACGCTTGATACCCACTTTGTTCCATTGCCCTTGCGTGGTTGGATCTTACTGGCCTGCAAAACCTCCAAGTATTTTTGTGAAGAAGCTTCCATGTGCGGTGAATGGTACGCCTTGTCAACCGGTAACATGTGAGCAACTGTTATCTCTCGACGCTGCTTAAGGGAATTGCGAGCTTGTTCTATGGCATCTTTGTTGCCAGAGAGCGTGATTCCATTCGGGGAGTTGTTGGCAGCGATCCACAACCGGCCAGAGTACTCTTCCTAGGAGCACAGATCTTCAGCCTGCTGCTTGTTGAGACCAATGACTGCGAGCATACCCCCAGACGCACCATTCTTGCCGCACACATCATTGACTCCCATTCCACGATAGTGCGCAATCATAATGGCATCACGCATCGAAAGCTTGCCTGCAGCATAAGCCGCCGCAATCTCACCAGAAGAGTGGCCAACAACTGTGTGGAAGGTTATGCCCATGTCCCGCAACAGCTTAACAAGAGCGATCTGAACAGCTGAGCACAGAGGCTGAGAGACATGCGCCTCATCAACGTGGGACTGCTCTGGATCGGCGAGAATTTCCTCCTCGAGTGTCCAGTGCGGAGGATGCGGGCAGGATTGGAGGATGCTGTCCATCTCCCGAATGGTGGAGGCAAATGCCTCAGAGGCTCGGAGCAAGGAACGAGACATGGTCGCCCACTGTACTCCCTGGCCGGTGAAGATACCTAGGATCTTAGGAGGTCGAATATTGTCTTTGGCACGAGTGCCGCAATTGCCCGCTTTGATGAGTTCTTCGAGCTTCTGAATCATATCCGAAGAAGAAAGGCCAGAAACAGAGGCACGGAAAGGAAAATGGGTGCGATAGGCAACTGAATGCCAAGCGATCTCTTCGCTAGGGATCTCTGGGTGGCCAAAAATATAGTCGCGGTAGGACTTGGCCACAGCAGTCAAGGCTTTCGGAGATGGAGCTGAGATCAACAAGGGAAGACAGGGCCGACGGCTGTTTTCGACAATACCATTTTCCTTGGGCTTGAGAGACGCCGGGATCTTCAACCCTTTGCAAAAAGCCTTTGCGACAGGGATATGGATGTCCGGAATGAATTCCTCAATGATGGCGTGGGCATTTGTGCCCCCAAAACCAAACGAGTTGACACTCCCACGTTTAGGTTGACCGCTGGGAACAGCGGGCCATGGGTAGCAATGAGTTGGAATGCGCAAATATGAGTAGTACTTGGCGACTTCTGGGTTCAGTTCCTCGAAATGCAGATTTGGCGGAATGGCGTTGTTGTGCATGCTCAGGACGACTTTGAGGAGCCCTGCGAGGCCTGCAGCACCTTCGGTATGGCCAATAATTGTCTTGATAGATCCGACTAGCAGTCTGGATTTAGGCTTGGCGGTATGAGGATTCTGACTGAAGAAGGCATCCTCGATTGCATGGGCCTCGTTGGGGTCGCCGACGCGAGTTCCAGTACCGTGGGCTTCGAAGTACTGACAACGGTCTGTCTCAGAACGGGGATCCAACCCAGCATTCTTGTAGGTATCTTGAATGAGATGTGATTGGGCTTCCCAGTTTGGCATGGTAATGCCTTGCGTTCGGCCATCGGAGTTGACTCCCGTCTCGCGGATGATAGCTTCGATGCGATCGCCGTCTCGAATGGCTTTGCTTAATGGCTTGAGAAAGACAGCTGCGATACCCTCTCCACGTGCATACCCATCTGCTCTGTTATCCCACATACGACAGTGGCCGGAGGGGCTAAGCATGTGTAAACTTGACTCGACAATAAACTGTTCTGGAACCAGAATCAGATTGGCCCCAGCCACGCAGGCCATCTCGCAATCGCCCGAACGGATGCACAAGACTGCTTGATGGAGAGCGACAAGGCTTGAGGAACAGGCAGTGTCGATCGTCATGGATGGGCCATTCCAGTTGAAGAAATATGAAATCCGGTTTGACAGGATGGATCGGGCATTCCCAGTTGCATAGTATTGGCTAGTATAGAGTTCATCCCGCTGTGAGAGGGTGTCGTAGTCACCGGTCATGACGCCTGCAAACACCGCGACTTTCTTCCCCGAGTAGTCACGGAGACAATAGCCTGCCGACTCAAGGGCCTCGTATACAACCTCAAGAAGCATACGCTGCTGCGGATCGATCGCAGCCGCTTCCTTGGGTGTAATGTTGAAGAAAGTGGCGTCGAAGACTCGATGGTCCTGGTCAAGGAAATACGCCTTGGGTGAGTCGGTCGTCCCATGGTACTCTCCGTTAGAGTGGAAGAAGGCATCAATATTGAAGCGCTCGATAGGTACCTTGCGAGACAGGTCGATTGGAGATTGGAGAAGCTTCCACAACTCAGACGGCCTGCTCACTCCTCCGGCAAAGCGACAGCTCGAGCCGATGATGGCAATCGGCTCTGCGCGAGGGGGTTTGTACGCCATGGCGATTCCCCTTCGCGCTCACCGATGCCAGTGTTGTAGGCAGGTGTCAGACTGCTGGCAAAGGTCAGTATTCCAGGTTTGCTGTCGCAAGTCGGCCAAGGCCCAGTGAGGTCCGGAGGACGAGAACCTGCGACTCGGCCCGAGGATGAAGTGCGGGAATGAGGGTTAAGGGGCTCTTACTGCGAGTGATATAAAGCAAGCAGATGGCAGGTAATGTATAGATAATGTGTCGTTGGCCGTAAGATACCGCTTGTCCTAACCCTCAGGCGTAGTGAGCAGATCTGAGGAAGTCGGACACAGCTAGCAGAGGTGAGTAGGAAAGAACAGAGGATGACATGGCAGACTTTTTTTTTGATAAAATATGGGGATATTGGGCGATTTATGCTCTTACAGGGGCGCAGTGCTGTGAGTGCTGTGTTTGGAGATGTGGGGCCAGTCTTCTGCGCAGCGACTGAGGTCCATACAGTGACCACAAGGCCTCAGAAGACTGCGACAGCAACAGCATAATGAGGAAGGTCATGCTTTCACGCTGTGGAAAATATGTTCACACTCTCCAGAAATAGGTTATCACGTGCTTCATCTGGTGTTAACGATGGAGAAGGACCCTTGTGATAGGTCCCCAGGCAGGACCGTGTCCATTCACTTTCCTTACCCCAGAGCCCGAAGGTTGGTAGAATGATCCATTTAATCATAAGATGTGCATCATTATCTAAAATAAGAGATGTTGAAATGAGTACCGGGATCTAGAATGCCTTACATGAGAAAAGGCCACGCTCTCCCCAGAGATGCTTTGAGTGACAAGTGTATCCCATGTTGAACAAGACTGACTCTTTTAGTGTTCTGGGCCTCTTAACTCTAAACAAAGGCACTTCTAAAAAGAATAGCGCCAATGGAATATTATAGATGAAGTTCCCACTGATAATACTTCCATTAACCCTGTCATTAGCCGTCTGTTACAGCTTTCCCATTGGAGTGCATGAATGGTAGAAACCTCATTGCATAAAACTCCATTCTTCAGACCACATCATCAGCAAGAATGAAGCTGATAAATCAAGCTTTGTAGCATCAAAGCATGATGAAATGGCCCCTTTAAAGCTTTGATGCTAAATGTTCGGGGCTCTTTTTGTTGACAAAACTTCGAGATCTTCCAGGTTGCCATAGATTTGTGGGGATGTCGTTGTGTCCCTCCATTTCAATGACGTCATTAGCCCTGGGTGCCCCCACTATACTCAACAACCCACTGATCAGGGTTCACTATCGAGTTCACTATCAGTCAGCCGGCTTCCTAATATAAATAAGATTTCAGAACCCTGCTCATATTTCTCACTAATTCTGGACTGACCTACAATATTCGATTAAAATGTCATCACCCCAGATGTCTATGGAGTCTGGCGTTGTTAACCGGAGATGCAGGGCTCTAGGATCCATCCTTCATCACAGTGGATCCACGGGAATCTGCGGCCCGCAGCTTGGCGTGACAGGGGCAAATTGGGAAGATCACCATGCCTGACTCTGGACACTGTGCGACCCCACAGATTGTGGGGTGGAGCACAGTGTAGCTTTCATGCTCCAAGTCCAACGAAGGCCGATGAGAGGAAATCTTCTAGTTGGTCAACTAATTCAATCATCGTTCAAAGATCTGCTTAGGCAAGATCTCAGGTAGCCTTGTAGAACCGGATGGGGTTGTTTACTGCCAGAACGAGATGATGGAAATGATCTGAACCAAAGGTTTCAGCTTTCTTGTCTGGACAGGACGCTTAAGAGATCGGATCTGAGTTCAAAGTAATTGAATGGTGTGAGTAAGTAGTCAAGTCCAAATATGTGAGGTAATCAGCACTAGTAAGCATCTAGCACATGGAGATCGGTTGCGCATAATCGAGATGGCTAGAGCAAAACTCTTATTCGTATTCTTTGACAACATCACTGCTGACCAAATGACATTTCCTTGCCTTTTTTTTCGAGGGATCTCGGCTTCAACCATGGTCACCTTGAATATGTCAGAAGACTCGGTGCTTCGCCTGAAAATACTCACCCTCGGCAACTGGTTACACTCATTTTATAAGCGATCAACCACGATGGCAAGCTGCTCTTCCACATATCAAGATCCAGGAAAGCAGGCCAGTTCCAGATAAATTGTTCGGTTCTAGGTGCTTATGTACAGAAGAGGGGATCCCTTGCTAACCCAGGTATCAAACGTAATTGACCAACATTTATTACCACAACCACAATTCCCAGCCAACTCCAGATTATTGATGCAGGTTGCTAATACACACTGACCTAAGGCGCTCACTCGTCCGGAACGTCACCCGTAGAGAAAAGCTCCAAGAAAACTCTGTTCTTGTCCACGCCCATGCCAACAAGACCACGCCTGACATCTATCATAAAGCTCTCCGGTCCACAAATGTAGTATTCGGCCTGTGGGTTGTTCACGAACAAGTCCTTCTCGGCATCCAGCTTCTCCAGAGAGAGACGAGTGCCCGCAAACTGGTAGTGAACGCCTTCCTGATCTTCGGGACCGACATTCTTGAGGAAAACGACTGAGTTGACGTTGTCATTGGCCTTGGTAATCTCCCGAACCGCATCTCCAAACGGCTGCACGGCGCGAGAGCGAGAGGCGTGAATCCAAGAGATGGGCCGCTTAACAACCGCCGAGGGCCCGGTGAGGCTATCTAGAATGGCCTTAAGCGGAGTGGCGCCAACACCAGCAGAGATGAGCACAACAGGAACGCCGGCCTTCGAAGCGTCGGTTGGGTCCAGGAAGAACTCGCCCTGCGGATGTGACAGCTCGACCTCATCACCGACGTTGTACTTCTCGTGCAGCTTGTTAGAGATAATGCCCGGGATGCCGGCTTCCGTACCCTCCTCCTTCTTAACGCTGATGCGGTAGTAGCCAGACTCCGGGGAATAGCCCTCGCTCAAGCTGTACTGCCGGCTTTGCAGATAGCCTAACTCGGGGACATCAACCTGCAAGCTGACGTATTGGCCAGGCTGGAAACGGGGCAGTGGGAGAGCGCCGTCAGACGGAGCCAGATAGAAGCTGGTGATGCTATCGCTTTCACGCTCCTTTCGGACAATACGGAACTTGCGCCAACCGAGCCACTTGTCGGCCTTATTCTGCTTGTAGAGGTCGCCTTCGACCTTGATGAAGATCTTGGCTAGTACACCGTAGGCAGCAACCCAGGCGTCGACGATCTCAGGAGTGGCGGCCGCGCCAAGAACCTGGCCGATAGCCTGAATCAGGTACTTGCCGACGATGTCGTACTGCTCCGCTGTAACCTGCAGAGAAACGTGCTTATGCGCAATACGTTCGACGGCGTGCTTCAGCTTGTCGAGATCATCGACATAAGTGGCATACGCGAGCACAGCGTTAGCAAGGGCCCGCGGCTGGCGACCTGTCCTCTGGCTGGTAGTGCTGAATATGTTGTTGAGTTCGGGAACCTCCCGAAGCATGTTCTCGTAGAACTTTGTTGTGATTGTCACACCGTACTCCTTGAGGACAGGAGCTGTCGACTTGACGAGATCGATCTGGCTCTGGGTGAGAGGGGCTGCCATGGTGCTTGCTTGTTTTTGGTGATGCTGATAGCTAAGTGCAGGGAAGGTTTGGTTGAGGCTTGAAGGACGAAGTCGAGACGAAGCAACTGGTGATGGCTTAGCAAGTGTCAAGGCAAGTCTGGCGAAGGTTCCAGGTCGAGCCATGCCTGAGTTTGGTGGAAGAGAGAGATTTATATGTGAAGATTCAACGGAGAGGATGCTGCAATCCTAGATATCACAATCCACAAACACAGCTCTCCCCTTCGTTGTTGCACACGAGTATTTTATGATCTACGACATCCCGGTCCTGTTCCACGTCTTTTAGTGCAACGCTTTGTTTGCGACATGACGCTTCCCTGCCCGAAAGTTGCCGGGCTGCGTGTTGAGGTCGCATGCGATGAGGCTTCTCTCCTGATCGTGGATGCGCGCGGCGATGGTGGTACCACCAGGGGCACCGTTGGATCACCGCCGAACAGAGCATCTCCGAGGGCCGCCTGCATTTCCTCCATTGCGGCTGTTCAACGCCGACAAAAGACAGGAAACAGCGATGTCCCAATTGGCTGGCCCCTATTGGTTCATCGCATCCTGCCAAACGCGAATCCAGACGAGCTCGTGGGGAAATCCCAGGAACTCCAGGCGTGGATCGCGTACATCAGCTCACAATTTCTAAAAGATTCCGGGAAACATTGGCTGACTCAGCATGCCCCACGAACTACACATTTCCGCGGCGGGAACATCCGCTGTCGGGGTCTCGATTGAGCCATCAACCAAAACCCGATCCTTCGAGATGGGAAAAACTGGCAGCCGTCCCCGACCGCAGTCTGGCTTCTCGATGACGCCACTCTCAGATGCACAGCCGCCTGAGACACAGCCCTTTTTGTTTCGCGGATCGGGCTGAAATGGTTCTTGGCAAACCTTAAGCGAGCCCCGCATAGCTTACGCGCCTTTGGGCGAACCAATCGCGTGGGATTCTCATCAAAGTCTTCTTCCCGAGGTCTGATTAGCGAACGAATCAGGGTTAGGGTTAAAGTTGAGCGGAGAAGCACAACTCCTCGGGGACTCGGAGAAGCTTGCGACGCCTAGAGCAGTGGGCTGACCTTTTTCTATTTAGGGGTGTCGAGGACCGGAGCATCAGCATACTGGAAAGTTGTTTCATGTACTTTTTTGCGCTCATCTTCTAGTGCACCTATGGTTGACCCGCTAAGGACCCTGAGCAAGCAGGGAGGGGATCAGGGAACTCTCGGCCTGCTGCAGTGTTGTAGTGTTCGCAATGTTCTCAATGTCGGAAAATTCGGGAAATCTCGTCTCTAACTAAATAATACACTTGAGGATGTTAATTTAAAAAGACCACCAAGCAACTGTCGCCTTTACCCTGCCCGGTGTATTGGGCTAGAATTATACGGAGCTTTGCTCAGGTTGAACCCTGTGCCATGGGAGCACTTTCGCCGATCTTCCAGGCAGGTAACACCCCTTACTAGTGGGACATTGAGCCGGAGGCAATGGTTCTTAGAAGGAGACATACTGGAAGTAATATAATGGTCTAAAAAGCCCACGGCCCACGGCAATATGGCTAGTCAGATATGGCTTCCAGGTTTTGTTGATCCAAACTAACAACCTACCAGTGCGGATAGTGTCCAGTCTATGCCCAATGAGCACTTCTAAGAAGTTGTTTCAAGCCCCATTTCTTGCATCCTCCCAGTTTCCAGATACCTACCTTTTTATTGAATCCGAATACTATTGCAACAATTTTGGCCGGTCTGCGTTGTTTGGCAGTTCTCCGTCCTCGGTTCAAGGTCCCTGCCAAGTTTGTCAGGACAACTCAAGATCACCTTATCAATGAAGGAACGGGGTTATACTAAGCATTCGATAGCAGCTTCAGGTCGCTTAAAGGCTTTTGTCCCGCATTCGCTGGTCTTGAGTTCTATCAACTACTCATTACTGTTTCCAGGTCTTCCTTTTTCGTGTTCTGCCGCTTGAAGGTGGAGCTCAGGATGCAAAGGATTATTCGAAGAGAGTCATGCTCATCCACCTTCATGTGTGTATAGTTTAGAAGGTAGAGCGTTGTTATTCTGTGGCACCCATTGTGCTTGACAGATTCCCTCAGGGCCGCGTGTTCTGCAGGGCAACGCCCAAGTAAATGCTCCCATCCACATTCACCATTTTCTTTTACATCCAACAGAGGCGCAAGAGCTTGTATTCTGGAATCTTTATCAGGTCCCGGCACAGCTGGGAGATCCGATGTTTAGAGCATTCCCCTATTCTCAGCACAAACATCATTGTGATGTTGCAAGTGCGAACTAAGATCACAGCAAGAGTTTTGTTGGATCGGTCATATGAAGATCTTCCGGTGTCAAACAGCATGTGGATTTAAGGTTTGCACTTGAATCTTGCAATGACACGGGTCTACCAGAACTGCTTGCCTTATCGCGAGAACTTTTATGGTCTTGGTGATAAGACGGCTCCGAACAGGCCGCTGCCGAAGGGTAAGTGTTTTCGACTCGACTCTGATGTGTTTTAAAGTGGAACACGATTAAGACAGAATGTGTTTAGCTTACTCCACACCACCTTCAACCACACAGTGACTGAATTCGCCCTGGCAAAAAGGCTCGTTCTTAAATGATCGGTCTATATGGCTCTCGCCGGCTACTTGGCTGTAGTGACGCAGAACTGGAAGCGATCTAGCCTTTCACTTCTACTCAAGTCCCCCAAGCATAGCAATTCCACAATGCCCCTGATCACCAAAATGATCTGTTTTGACATTGTTACACTTCAAATCATATCCTCTATGATCACTTAGGCCTGATTCTTGGCATGCGATCTATCATCGATCGTGTTGATGATCTTGAAATCGGGGTATACGACCTTTATGTTAACCTTAGCACTGGGCTTCGTGTTATGTATGAAGTGAATGTGCAGCCAGATCCACATCTGGCCCGCTGAGATCTAGGAAAAAATATCCACAGTTTGGAGAGTACCGAGCGGGGAGTGAAACTTGTGTGCTTGATACAGCATTTTACAGTGGGGTGCTTGATCAAATTGTCACTAACGCCGAGGAACATTGAAACAAGCCTGCAATAATGCTCAGGCTATATCAACACTGGGCAGATCGAGACTTTCAGACCGTCAACGGGGTGGAAACAAGCCAGATTCCTATGCACGCCCTCAAGAGTGAGCATGGTGCGTGGAAGGGAAGCCGGGCTACAAGAAGACGGTGGGTGAATCTATGAGTATTATTCCATATCACTATTGGCATATATCTCCTTTAACCGGCCGCTAACCCACTAGATTCTAGGCCTTGGATGCAGAGATTCCTTGACCTAGGCTACAACATCAAAAATCACTGGAAGATTGATAGCTATTTTGTTGAAGTTCAACCAAATTCTGTGGGTAAAAAGGTGAAAGGTAACGATTTAACGTCCTTGACTGACGGGGTGGGAAGATAATGCCACGTGTTTTGAATCTTTTGAAAGTAGAAAGGCAAAAAATGAACCAATGATTGATTTGTTCCCCGATTGCTGGATCAGAATAAGATCGCGTCTCTGAGTAACCTTTACATGGTTGCATCAGTGTTCGGGCAATCATTAGAGTCGCAATCTTTGTCATTTTCTTGTCAGAGTGAAACCCGAGATGCGACCCTCGGGGCAATGCTCGACCACCTCGCACTGCTCCAAGGTCAAATGCAAAAAATTCTAAGAGCAAAACAGCGATGACAGAGACTATGAAGAAATGGCCACTGAGCCAGATACCGGGAATTTAGGTAGCAATTCATAGTAATAACTAACAGTTGCAAAACTTTCTCCGGGGCCTGCGGTAAAGTTGATGTTTGCACTCCCCCTGGACCGCTGACCAGGCAACAAGCCAGGACCAGAACACTAAGCTCTCCCAGTACTGCCGCTCTTGGATACCTCACTCGGGGGCAAGTACCAGCAAAAAGCATGAACGGTCCCTGATATTCTGTGTTTTTTTTTGCCCCAAATTTTTGTTGAATTAAACCAGAATTCTGAATGGCCTTTGCAACCCTGGGACTGTCGGCGTTCTGAATTGCACCACGTTGACAAACAGCCCACGTGCACGGGACATCAAGCGCCTATGGAGGGGAGCCAACCACGCCTGATATCTTACCTTTCGTTCTCGTTTCTTTTACGCACTTCTTTTACAATATGCGAACTTTGCGACCTCCTGTATAAAATTGAAGCACCAAGATCCATGCTCACCAAACTTTTGTATCACAATCGGGTCAAATTATGTTTCCGAGCTGTGATGTCTACCACAAAGGAGACGAACGCTAACTGTGGGTTCCCAGGAGCATCTCCCATACGTCCTAAAGACTTAGATAAGGAATTGAACGAGAATAAAAAAAAGGAAAGCCATAATTGACAAAGCCAAGTACTTGGTTACTGAAACGCTTCAGGTGCCTTTCTGCTTGAAGCGAGCTTATCGACAGTTCATAAAACTTGAAGAACAATGGATCATAGAGGGTGGATAAAAAGAAGAGGAGTCAGAGTAAGTTTCATACTGAATCCCAATACTGTCCACCAACTAAAACTATTTAGCAATGATGCTATATTCAAGATCATCGAGGAAGTACCCAAGCCCACTGGGGGGTATAAGCCGAAGAAGTTCAGGAAAAAGTGAATGGTCATTAGATAACGCTGAGTTCTACGACTTTATGTATAGAGTTTTGCGCTCAGAGTACAAGTTCTACATGTCAAACCGTAGCCCAGAACTTCTAGTAAGGAAGATTCGCGACTCCAGGAAGAGCATCGGCCCAGATTCACTAGAACATCGGTTAAAAAATGCGGGAATTCTAATCAAGAAAGTAATACACTTTACAACGCCTCTTACGGGATGTATGGTCAAAAACCCTGTATCCCGTCACCCGGTGGACCATACAGAAGACAAGCTGATTTCTCAGCCGACATGACTATCTCTCTAAAGGAAATACAGAGCAGCATCGGAAAGTATAATGGCGCTCGTTTAGCATTCCTCTGATTAAAGAAGAAGGCGGAAAAGGCAACATAAACTGGATCGAGAAGGGCATCATAAAGGTTGACTGTGACACTCTTTTCTTCGACACAACTCTCAATGAGGGGCTCGTCCAATTGCTCAAAGAGATCTATCAATGGCCTGGGATCATTATCAAGCAGTTTACATGTAGTGTGCGTGCAAATAAGTGTCTACCATGTGCCAAACCGGCTTTCGGAGCAATATGACGTGTTCTCGAGATATGGAGCAGTGGATTCGTGACATGTGATCCGACCATTTACGTGCTGTAAAAAATGTAATAAAATGAAAAGTGCACTCAAGAGGTCAGCTAGCACTTTTCTGAGGGCTGTGAATTTGGTCAAGTGGCCCAAGTAGATGACCAAAGTTGGAGCTCTCTCGTGCTGGACGATGCATAGATTCTAAAAAAGGGGCAAGACGTGCTTCAAGTTCAAGCTAGAGTCTACAATAACGAGGCCTTAAGTCCTACAATGTTAGGGCTGATGTAGTCGCTAACCCACATCCAAGAGACTCGAGAGCAAGCGTGGATTCAGGAGTTCGCGAGTGTCGAGCACGAAGCTCTTCTTGCTGCAAGTGTGGTCATGTTTTAGTGACTGCCTGCAATTTTGACATCAGAACTAAGGCTAAAAGACTCTGAGCACCAAATATTAGATCGACAGACGGATTGCTGACCCTCTAAGAGTTACCAGGCCCATGAGTGACTGCCAGAGGAATAGTTGTGAGGTTTAGCAACAGAGAGCCCCAAGCGACTGCCTGTATTTTCTCTCCCTTGGTAGGCAACCAAATGCATGAATAGGGCAAGAAATCAAATGAAAATACCTTATTTTCAGCTTCAACATCTCCATTGTTCCCTGAACTGCATCCCAGTGTGCCTCCTCAACTTTCCTTATCGATGTCTAGCATCAGCGATCAACCCTAAAAAAATCCACATTATTCCATTTTCAGTAAGTGGGGTTAACAGCTGGGGAAGCGCGTAAGTGGGGGCTGTCGCGTTGCTGTGGCGTTGACGCGTAAAGAGCCTTACGGTCTCATTTCGCCGTGTTCGACCCCAGACACACCCACCTTTTGAATCTGACACCCTTGTGTTCAAAACGTTCGGGGAGTTTTCTTTTGTTGTTTCATATCATGTTCTTCGTAACTACTGATATCAGCCCCTGATCAAGCTTCCAACATGACAGTTACCGAGAACCAACAGGTCCTTCAACCCTCTGAGCCCGCCGCAGCAACTCCCGACAAGACCGGCGAGCAGACCCGCCATGAAGAATATCAATATCTTGACCTCGTTAGAGAAATCCTGAATGAAGGGGAGCTCCGTCGTGACAGGTATACAATTCATTGCGCTTGTTTCAATTAAGACTATTATGTCGACAACCCAGCTAACCGCTTTCTATTAGGACGGGCACTGGCACCTATTCCATCTTCGCTCCCCGTCCTCTAAAATTTTCGCTTAACCGCAACGGCACGCCCATTCTGCCCCTCCTTACCACCAAACGCGTCTACACTAAAGCCATCATCGCCGAGCTCCTCTGGTTCATCTCTGGCGACACCTCGGCCAAAACTCTCTCCGCGCAAGGCGTCAAGATCTGGGACGGCAACGGGTCGCGGGCCTTCCTTGACAGCTTAGGCTTCACAGACCGCGAAGAAGGCGACCTGGGACCCGTGTATGGCTTCCAATGGCGGCACTTCGGCGCGCAGTACGTTGACTGCCATACGGATTACACGGGCCAGGGTGTGGACCAGCTGGCGCGGATCGTTCACACTCTGCGGACGAACCCGTACGACCGGCGGCTGGTGCTGAGCGCGTGGAACCCGGCCGACATGGCGAAGATGGTACTACCGCCGTGCCACATGTTTGCTCAGTTTTATGTGTCTTTCCCGCAGAATGCCCGCTCGGGGGGTAAGCCGGTCTCTTTGCCGTCACCCTCCCAAGACGGCGAACAACACGACAATCAACTAAAGCCTAAAGGCTACCTTCACTGCCAACTTTATCAACGCTCCTGCGATATGGGGCTCGGCGTGCCCTTCAACATTGCGTCGTACGCGCTGCTGACACATATGCTAGCGCACGCGTGCGACCTAGTACCGGGATCTCTGACACATGTAATGGGCGACGCGCACGTGTACCTGAACCATGTGGACGCGCTGCGCATGCAACTGGAGCGGGAGCCGGCCGGGGAGTTCCCCGAACTCGAGATCAAGCGGCCCAAAGGCGACGGCGTCATCGACGGCTGGAAGCCCGAGGACTTTGTGATCAAGGGGTACAACCCGCATAAGGCGATAGTGATGGAGATGTCAGTGTGAAGACGATTGCCGTGGTTCTCTTTGCTACCTGTTTCATTCATTTGCTCTTCAAAGTATGTTACTCTGATATGATGTCTGAGTAATGGAATTTTTGGCATGCCTTTCATCATAAGAGGCTACGTAATGTTGACAGGTTTAGGGATAGGCACGAAGAGCCATCGCAGTTCATATCTGGGAAAACCACCGTTTGTTTCATTCACGAATTAAAACTACATCTCTCGGTTGAAAATCAAGCAAAATCCTGATGCAAGAAAGCGAGACATCTCAAAAGGCCACCTCTACCACGAAGCTATCTGATCCCAAGTCCTCATCCCATGGTATATCATGGCATATCAGTGCCCCTGCCACAAACCACCAGAACAACTCAGACCTGGTTTTGATTAGCTACCAACCAAAGAGACCTCCTCAAGCCTCGGCCTCGGTCTCGGCAGGAGTCGCCTGCGGTTCAGTGACCTCCTTCGGCTCCTCAGGCTCAACAGGCCTAGGGTGCACAGGCACCTTCTTGTTCTCCGTGAAGTGGCGGGGCAGACGGTTCTCATGAGGCTGGTAGGGATAGCCGGCCTCCTCACGAGCCATATCATTGACCCAGCGCTCATTGCCCTTGAGACCGCCCTTACCATGGCGCTCAACACCGACCTCATGCCACTTGGATGCAAGGTAGTACCAGGCAAGGGCATTGCCGACGGTACCAACCTCGTCCGAGACACCGGTCGACGCCGCATGGGACATGCGCTTCCAGAGGTCGTCGTCGGTGAAGAGCTCCATGAGGTGGGTGGCCACGGCCTTCCAGTCGCCAGGGGCGACGAGGAAGCCGTTGACTTTGTCCTTGACCTGGAGCGGGATACCGCCGGTATTGGTGACGATGACGGGGCGGCCGGCATGCAGAGCCTCCGAGACCTTGACCTCGAAACCCTCGCGGGTCGAGAGCTGGAGGACGACGTGGGCATTGGCCAGGAGGGTGTTGATCAGCTGATCGTTGGGGTCAAGGCGCATAACGCTGACGTCCTTTACCAGGTCGGGGTAGTAGGTCTCGAGCTGGCTCATGGTCTGATCGTAGATCAAGCTAGCATCGGGGTCGTCGACGGAGCCGTTCCCGCAAATAACGAGCTGCGGCGGGTCGGGCATGCCCGCGCTCTCCCAGCGCCGGCGGAACTCGGCATACGAGTCGATGACGGTTGGGATACCCTTAGATGGGTCGAAGCGAGCCACTTGGATGATGTACTTGCGAGCAGGCCAGTTGAGCTCAGTCCTGTTAACGCAATTTAGCAAGCTGCTATGATAAAGTACGACCGAACATCAAAACTTACATCCGCTGGCTGTGGCAAGCAATGTTGTAGATGTTGCCATAGTAGCCAGAGTCCCACTTGTTGAGCTTCTTGTTGAGACCGTCCAGCCAGTCCGTAGTGGCTGGCAGGTAGACGACCTTGTCTCTCGGCACATTGTGAGGGACGAAGATCGGGATGGGGTGGCTAATGAACATGTCGGCATACTGGATGTTGCTCCAGAGGAAATCCCAGATATCGGCCTGAGGGGTTCCTGGCTTGGCCACAAGGTCGCTACGGATCTGGATATGGGACCTGTACAGCACAGGGCGGTACGGAGTAACCTTCTTGATAAGCGGGATGAGGCCAGGCATTTGCGGGTCATCGATCTTAGGTCGTCAGCTTCAACTGTCACACAAACATCTCTGCGGTGCCAGAACCCCCACGTCCTCCTGCAGGAGGCTCCCGATCATGTGCTTGGAGTTGCAGCAACTCTCAGCCAAGGGGGCGCGCCACACTTGGGGGTGAGGGGCATCCGGAAATTTTGTGGTAACAGATGTCTGTACTTACAATGACAATGTCAGCACCACCCTCCTCAGGCGGGCGTAGAGGACCACCCTCGGAGAACCAATAGCGATTGGCATTTTCGGTGATCCAGTCAATGACAGCCTGCTTCTCTTCGGCCGAAACACGCTGATCGGGGTGGCTAACACCCTGTAGGATGTTGTGGATGTTCTTGGTGATATGGAACACTCCAGGACGTGGCTTCGGCACTACACTCTGTCAACTCCTTGTCCCTCGAGGTTACAGACTAGGTATTGCTTGTAATACTTACCATACCACGTCAGATCAACGCCCATGAGCCTTGAAAAGCGCACCAAGGCATGGCGCATCAGGGCAACACCACCACCCTGAGGAGTCGAGCTGAAAAAGGCGATCTTGGTCTTTTTCTGGCGCAGCTTCTTGGCAAAGGTCATCATAGTTTCCCAGGTAGAATTGTTGACGGTGTCCTTGTGGTTTTGGACGGTCGTGAGGTGAGCGCGGAAGCCGCAGTCGGTCTGGACAACACCGCGCCAGCCGACCTGGAGGATGGGAACCAAAGATGGGCCGAAGTTCCTGTCGTTTTTTCGTTAGTTTTGAGCTCAATTTTTTTCCCCCCCTCTTTCTCAACCAGACGTACATGATGCATTTGCGGGCCATAGAATCGGCCTGCTCATCAACGCGCTTAACGTCCCAGAAAGACCTCTCTTTATGCTCATCATCAGGGCGCAACACGATCGGCACAATGTCCAGCTCCAGCCAGAGCCGTGAGCAGAGAGTTGGGCTCATGTACTTGAGCGTGGTCGGCAGACCAGCGCCAACGAACTTGGCGAAGTTTTCGTGCTCATATTTCTCAACCTCTTCAATGATGTAGTCCGCAATCAGGTCGGCACCCATGCGCATGGCATCGTCGAGAACAATGTGCTTGACGGAGAAATCGACGAGATAAACAGTGTCATGGATGGCGAGTGCGACCACAGCAGTGTGATCGTCCGCGAACACGGCCGAGATACCCAAGAAGAGGGTCTATTTGATGCAAAAACAGTTAGTGAGGATCCGGAGGAAGAAATGCACCCAGGCAAGTGCAGAGGCGCCCATCAGAATGCAGACAACGAGCCAGATCAGAAAGTCCACCATGAATGTTCGATTGTAGTGACAAATTAGACAGAAGTCTTTGAAAGCATGGACTTGAGGGAATGGAGGAGATAAAACACGGCAAAGACGAGTATTCATGTACAAAACTAGACAAATCACAAAATACCCAACGCATCCCAGACCATCTCGACTGTACACATTGCTACTTCATAGAGACCTCACTTGGACAGTATGACGTGTATGTGCTTCACGGGTGGTACTTCGCAGGCTCGCATGTGAAGGCAGACAAGGAGTGACATACCGTCAGCGAGGGACCAAAATGTCCCTCCTTCTCAGCGAGGGTGCTCATCTGGCGCTTACGGTGCACCGAAGTGCCCGTAGAGAACTTGCGGCTCTTCTCCATGGCCATGGCTGTGTTGTAGGCGTTGACGGCTGAACGAATGCTAAGTCGGGGAGCAGTGCGACGGGGTCGTTGGGAGTAGGGATGTGAGCGGCCTGTTGGAGTTTCGGAGCCACTCGACGTAGGAGAAGGTGTACCACTGGCAAACGTGCGGATGTAATCCCGGTCGACGATGTTGGGAGGAGGAGGGAGGGCAGCTTCGGATGAGCTGGAGAAGAACGACTGGCTTATAAGATCGCCACTAGACCCTGCTGCAGTGTCCGTATGGGCCCACGGTTCTTGAGCACAAGGATTAGAATAAGGCGGTGGGTCACCGCTGTGCGACCGGGGGGCGTGTGAATGTCCGGTGCGTGATGTGTGCAATGATGGGACTGCTGGGCCAGATGGGCCAGTAGAAATGGTGGTTTGTAATGATTTCTGAGTAACGGTGTCGGTATTGGTATCGGGATCGGGCTTGTGTCTGTTGGAGCTGGAAGAACCAGGCGCGTGTGAGCTCAGGGTCACAGATTCCAGCCGGTAACGCAGTTCATCTGTTTCGTCACTGTCGGTGCTGTGCGGGGCCGCCAAAGATGCTGTCGAGTTGGATGAGGGGTGTTGGATGCGGGAGTGTGTGGCATGGGACTTGGAGGGGGCGTGGGGTGAGTTGCCAGTGGGCTGAAGAGTGGGCCGGCAGAAGGCTGCAGCAGCAACTTCCTGGCCCAGATTTGGAAGTGCAGGTGCAAGTGGTGTTTCTGCCTCGACTTGCCGCCACTCGGCCCCAGCTCTCAGGTTCTTTCTGGCTTGCTGCTGTTGCTTTTGCTGGGACGTCTTCTCATCCACTTCCTGCTGCTGCGGCGGGGTGGGCATGTGTATCTGCTCCCCCTCCTCAGACCGGGCAGCACCAAACGACTTGCGATGGAAGGATTCTTGATCCTCCAGGTCTCGGCCTTGCTGGCGCTGCTTCTGTTGCTGTTGTTCATTCATACCTTACCACGTCCACACTGCTGCACGGCCGATTTCTGCCTTACGTGCTACCGCCACCTGCGAGATGCCATCGTCAATGTCTCGTCCCGATGTTTTGGGGAGCACCGAAGGTAAGGAGCCGAGCTTAAGGTTCTCTCTTCCGCTTCTGCCCCTTCCCTGTCCCACCCAACCTATGTAGCATCGTCCCTCCTCTCCCCTCCCCCCCCCCCCCCCAAACAATAGAGCGGACACACACAACATTCCCCGTTACCCCCGCGCGCTGTGACATTTACACACTAGCAGCCATGCACGCGCTTTGGTACGTGATGGAAGCCATGTAATCCGTAATTGCATATACACTGAGCATGTGCAGGGCCATCCCCGCTATCAGTCGGTACCCGCGGACTCATCAATCGCTACACTAGCAGCGGTGGTCGATGGTCATTGACAGGGTCCGCGGGCTGCAACCGCTGCAAGCTGCCCCTCGCCGCAGCTTTGGGTATCTATCCGGCATGTGGAGGGGCACGATGTGACCCGAAGCCGCGTCTGCTAATTGGATGGGCTGGCTTGCGGTCAAGATCCCAAGGCCGACGGTGTCCCCAACGAATGAGTCTTGTGTGAGCACTTGTTTCTGCTGCTAGCAATGCGCATGGGGATGCGGCTAACTGATGTCGGTGAACGACTAGCCATCAAACCACATTGTGCCAGTTGTGTTCTGGATCTGACTGACGGAGGGCCCGGTAGCAGTGCAGGTTCAGGAGGGGTGGTGACATCTAAGACATCCAAGGGATGACAAGCCCAATGAGAACGCCAGCGGGGCCATTTGGGGGATTGGGGCCTTGACCCAATATGCGCGGGAGGAAAACACACACCCATGAGAACACCGGAAACATTACGTAGAAGATTCGACTTACAAAAATGGGATTGCGCCGGCGGTGAGGGTAGCAGCGCACCCAGCCGAATGGTGAGAAGGCTCCGGTCGGTTACGCAGCAGACTCAAAAAAGTCTGAGGGGGTTCCCGGCTCGGGCAGTAGTTTCCGGTCTGGATGCGAATCGCTCTGCGCAACGGAAATTCAGGAGTCTTTGAGTTTGTGAAATGCCTGGTTCAAGGTGGTTCAATCTTCGAAGGATGTTGAACTGAGAACTGAGGCCAACTCGGCACAGGCTGAATGGACAAAGCAAAGCATTGTCAAATGCTTCGTTGAACTTGTCCAGATTTACATCAGATTTGGAGTTGCCGAGTGTCAAGGCAAGTTTTCATGGCTGTCGTCTCGTATCTCCACCAAGGCAGTGTGGTGATGTCAACCCACAGCCTGGCCTGTCGTCGTCTCCTGGTGGAGTCGACGACAAGGATTAAGACGTCGCGAACCGGGAGCTAGTGCGCTGGAATGTGGGGAAGCGGGCTTCGATGATTCCAGAGTGGATTCGTGTGGGGTTGTAGAGGAAACAAATTGAAACCGTCCGACGCGCGAGGACGCCAACTACGAGACATTATTACCACTTCAACAAGCCGATACAAACACGAGTCGAAAGCAATGGCTCAGATATTGGACAAACTCAAGCGTATGAAGCCCGAATATGGCAATTGCCACACTTAACCTATGCCAAGACTGTAGGGTTCTTCTGCTGCTGCGTTGGGCGATCTCTCCGATCTTTCCTTGATCATATGATTCTGATCATCAAAGACTCGACCAAGACATCCCGCGTTGCTGTCGCTTCCGTATACACAGGCCCTGCAACGAAATGAGAAGCCAAATAGCCCAGGAGTTGCTGATCTTAAAATAGACTATAAGTCAATGTCTGATATACTTCATGCCAACTGCTGAACTGAGCAAAGTCAACGTCATCGGTAATAAGTATACGATGTAAGACCGCCATGAGGTAAGCCCATGATCAGCAGCCGCTACTACCATGGTACCGTGGAAAAGGATCGTAACAAAGCAAAAGCGGGCGAACCAACGAGGCAACTGATGGTCATGTGGCCCAGGGTTTTGGGAAAGATGTCGACGCCAACAAGACTCAAGATAACAACAGTAGCTTGCTGTCTGCTAAGTCTCCGGGCCTGACCATCAGTCCACGGTGGGGCAGTCGGACAACGGCAAACCCCCACTGTAACAGAACAACAGCCCTTCACGTCATGAAGTTTTAAATGAGGCTGACATCGAGGGCGGTGTTCAACTGCCGACTAATTATCATCACTCGGGAGCCAAACACACGCTATCAACAAAAAAGAAGAAAACACTATCCTGAAGTTCAAGCCCAACGCCATAGAAACACATGTGTCAGACCTGCCTATCACGTTATTCTTTCTCATTCTTTGCTTTTCCTTTCGGTTCATCAGCCCCAAACGATGTATAATCGATTATGCATTTCTTGCTGAATTGGGTAGGATGACTTACATTGAAGCTGGCCATTCGACCAACCGTCGCTTTCCCCCCGATCAGCGTTGCATCTGCGGCCAGCTGTATTCATGCCTTATGTTGAGGTTAACCAATGTTACAACCCCGTCAGTACCATGAAGCGCCCTTGACCGCAACGGCCGTTTCGGCAGGTGGATTTCTTAGCCTGGGTATCATCACGCCATGCATACGGAAGAATACGGTGTAGGTACACAGGGCAGGTAGCAGTCGGATGACCTCGCGCGTTGGACACCGGATGGCCGGGAAGTCGTACGCGAGTGACGCGGTGCCGCCACGGACCGGGGCAGATCTACCGCAGTATCGGAATCGGGGGCCCTGAGGGCCGGAAAAACAAAGTGGAGTGGGTAGGAAATGGCAGCCGTCGTACGTCAAAACAACACAGAAGGTCGGCTCTTGAATTCATTTGTTGGTGCCTGGATTTCATGAGCATACACCAGGAGTGTTTGGGTGTCATACTGCGCGGCATTGAGTCACAAACCACGATGTTGGATGCCGCACTGCTGCGGGTGATCGCAACCGCAGAGTCAAGATGCTTCTTGATCCAAGCAACGTGCCTATGGCGGCTATGAAATTTGGACATCTAGGAGTCCCCGATCAGCGTACGCAAATCCGCAGACTGCACTCGCGCTAACCTCAAGCACACAAAAACCAGGGATTACTTGGACACAGCCCGCCCACACCGGCTACCAGTAGCGCTCGCTTGTTTAGGCCTTCTCAAAGCGCTGGGCAACCGTCTTCCAATTGATGACGTTCCAGATGGCCTCGAAGTACTCGGCCTTGCGGTTCTCGTACTGGAGGTAGTAGGCATGCTCCCAGGCGTCGATGCCCATGAGCGGCACAAGCTGACCCGTGACAGGATCCTGGTTGGCACGAGTCACGATAGCGAGGTTGCCACTGTCCTTGTCCTTCGCCAACCACGCCCAGCCGCTACCCTGAATGCCGGTGAGTGCCGCGTTCATTTGCTTGCGGAAGGTCTCGAAGGAGCCGAAGTCAGCCTCGATGGCTTTCTGTTTTTGACAAGAAACGCAGCGTCAGCCAGTGGTTCTTTGTCAACGGCCCCCTGCCGAGACAGCTTGAACAACACAGGATTGCTTGAACGCACCTTGAGGGCACCATCGGGCTCACCACCACCCTCGCGGCTGGCAGGAGCAAGGTTTTCCCAGAACAGGGTGTGGTTGAGGTGACCACCACCGTGGAAGTTGAGCAGAGGGGCAAGAGACGCCGCCTTGGTGAAGTCGCCTTTGGCCTCGGCTTCAGCAATTGCCTCGAGAGCGCTATTGAGGCCGTTGACATAGGTCTGGTGGTGCTTCGAGTGGTGAAGCTCCATGATACGGGCCGAGATATAAGGCTCCAGGGCGCCGTAGTCGTCTGCAACATTACATCGGTTGGTTAGACCATAGCCAGCGGGACATGCAGCATTACGAAAATCGGATCCGGAATGTCAGAGCGCGAAGCTGCTACTCACACTTCAGGTCGGGCAGGGTGGCCTTGCCGCGCACGAAGCTGTTGCCAGCCAGCGAGCGCTTGGCAGCGAGAGCACCATGCCGGGCGAGAACAGTGCGGAACAGAGAAGCAGACATTTTGACGGCGTTGATGGTAATGCAGGTGAGCCAATTGCGTATAGCACGGTCCGTATCCGAGGAGGCAGGCGTCTGCGCGTTTTCCAAAGAGCTGCGGGAAGCAGTGCTCTCAAAAAAGTCCTGGTTTGATGCTCGGATGGAATTTCGGTCGAAGCTTCGGCAGAAGCGGCGCTAAGAGAGCACGAGGGAGCTTCTCAATTTCGTCATTGGCCCCACCACCCCGCTTGCTTCTCTGGCTTCAGGGTTCCTGATCGCATTCGCGGAGCTTCGATCTTTCTCAGTTCTTGGTGATTTGTCAGCCACTTCAGCCACATATCAGCCCGTTTTTCTTATTGTCAAGCCACACTCGAAGCCCAGTCGCCCCTCCAAGACTGGGCCTCGGCGCGTCGTCAGCGCGTGCCAAATAATCAACCTCGATATCATCGATATCCAGTTCTTTGTGGAGGCTTGGAGATGCTCATTGGTGTTGATTCCGGGCTTGGTTGATACTGCTTGAGTGGGTGCATTCTTGTCGTATCTAACTTTTAAACCTCAAGATGTCATACTACGACATTGACGCCATTCTGACCGATGCAGAGGTAGATGCCCACCTGATCTGCCATAGAACGATTAACCATTGTTCTAACACTTCCGTCTTTTCTTTTAGAAAATCCCATGCACTTTTCAACTCGATATTCCGGATCTTGGATATCTGGATAACGCGCCTGATCGGCCGCTAAAGGCTGGCACCAAGGTCAACCTCCCCTTTTGGCTGGCTGAGATGCTGGCCATTGCAAATGCAGGCGATGTCGACGGCAAGCAGTATATTACGTTCGACCTTCCCCCGGCGCTTAGTAACGATGTTGTTCAGGCCTTGAAGGCTGATCCGCGGTCCGTCCCGCTCCGTGATCAAAGCGCCCATTTCTATGCCCTTGCAACTCGCATGATGGAGCTGTCGGATGAGCCCGAGCTTGCTTCCGTTCTTCGCAAGACCTTTGTCACTCGGGCATCTGAGATCGCGTTGCATGCTCGTAAAGTGGGAGGAGTCGGTCACAGCAAAGGAAAGGGCTCAGAAGAGGGAAGCAATCTCGGTATTGGTGGTGCAGGCGAAGAGTTCCTTCGCGGCCTGGACGAGTGGGAGAGGAAACTCTTCCGCAAAGCTCACGATGGTGCCAAAGCCACCAAGGAATGGATGGAAACCATCAAAAGGCACTGAGGCTTGTCAGGGCAAGGTTGAAGAGAGCCCCAAGTTGAATTCCAGCAATATGATGATGTTTGCGGCCTCTTGAAGCCCCGAGCGAGCGCTGGTCAACACACGCAAGCCCGACATGTCGGGTTGACTGGACTCCGCTCACCACATACTGATTCGAATACCATCCTCCCCAGCTTCGGACGCAGCTGGGTCGTTCCGTCCCTTATACCTCGGCGCGATCTCGTTCTCAACGCTTCTACGAAGCTGACTCATGATGCAGCCGCCCTCCGATGACAACAATCGCTTATTCCTGGCAACTTTTCGTTGAGTAACACAAACCCTTGACCTGTCCTCCCGCGCAGCCCCACCAGTGCGGGGTTGCATACATGCTCGGGGGGACAGGAGCTCATTGCATGAGCTGATTTTGTGTGAGCTGAGTGCTCAATTACTTGGTTTTTATGACTGTCAAACCTTCCGATGAAGCAGTGACTGTTGTGGGAGAAATAAACCGGCTTGTCAACTTCCGCAAATGTTGTCGTGGACAATCTTTCTGCAGGCACCGCGCGCGGCAAGCCTGGGCAATGTGTCTCGCAGCAGTTTCCGAGGAATTCGACGACTTGCGACAGGTATTGCAGATCAAGCTGCCCAAGCAACGAGCTCCGAGCAAGCCCGTCAACAAGCTGTCAGTCAGTATTCAGCTGGGAAAGACGGCCAGTATCAGCAATGGGCAAAGCGCGTCTTTCACCAAGCGGTTGCCGCTGATAGCCCAAGGCATGACTGGACCAGAGAAGAGATTTCGGCCATCTACAACCAACCCTTGATGGAATTGGCCTATCAAGCTGTGAGCCCTTCCATTTATCATGCTGCCACAACCCTTGTGAAGCGTAAATGGCTGATGCTTCGAACCAATCTCAGGCCAACGTGCATCGTCGGTTCCACAATCCTTCTGAGGTCCAGTTGTGCACTCTGATGAATATCAAGACCGGTGGCTGCACCGAGGATTGCGCTTACTGCGCGCAGTCGACCCGTTATCAGAAGGGCACGGGTATCAAGGCCAAGCGCGTCGAAACCGTTGAATCTGTCTTAGAGGCGGCGCGGATTGCCAAAGCGAATGGCAGCACCAGGTTCTGTATGGGCGCCGCATGGCGCGATATGCGCGGCCGTAAGAACAGTCTCCGGGTCATAAAAGAAATGGTTTCGGGCGTTCGAGCCATGGGCATGGAAGTGTGTGTTACGCTTGGTATGATTGACGAGAGGCAGGCCAAAGAGCTGAAGGAGGCTGGTTTGACGGCATACAATCACAATGTTGACACCAGCCGTGAGTTCTACCCTAGCATCATCACAACGCGCACATATGACGAGAGGCTCAAGACCCTGAGTCATGTTCGTAATGCGGGAATCAACGTTTGCTCAGGCGGCATTCTCGGGTTGGGAGAGTCGGAAGAAGACCGCATCGGACTGTTGCATACGGTATCAACACTGCCAAGTCACCCCGAGAGCTTCCCGGTCAATGCTCTCGTCCCTATCAAGGGTACGCCGCTAGGTGAGAAGAAGCCGGTTGAGTTTACGGTCATACTGCGCACAATTGCCGCTGCTCGCATTGTTATGCCGGCCACTATCATCCGGATTGCTGCAGGCCGGAAGACTATGAGCGAGGAGCAACAGGCACTGTGTTTCATGGCGGGTGCAAATGCCGTCTTCACGGGCGAGAAGATGCTGACGACGGAGTGCAATGGTTGGGATGAGGATACCGCGATGTTTGGTCGCTGGGGACTGCAGCCGATGAAGAGCTTTCAGAAGTCACCGCCTAGTCCGGTCGACAATGGAGCTGTGACTGTTGGTCAGTGACACATATCTTGACTCACCTAGGGAAAATATATTCCAGTTGCCCCATCTTCATGATGGATCTGTGTTCTTAACCGTCCTGTTAACGAAAGGCTGCAGAGCCTTGCTCAATATCCCCTTGTTGATCAGCTTTATTGCTATGCTGAATCTCCTTAGTCGATGATGATGAGAAATATGACGCTGTTGTTGGCACCGGTCAGCGGGAGCCATCGGCATCGCTAACCGCCCACGGCGTGTCATGTTCAATCTCTGATGTGGGAGGGTAATAAGGCCCACCTCTTGCGCAATAGTGTGGAGCAGGCTGACGACCGCAATGCAACCATCGACGGTTGGGCTTGGCCTGCAAACGTCTTTATCATTCCCTAAGAATATGTAGGACATCATGATAGTGCGCCAGCTCACCACTGCGAAGTGAGGGTAGGCGCATGGACTTGCTGTGGGCATCCTGCTAAAACAAAGCTTTCCTGGTGTCTTGGTTTCAGGTCTCGGCTGTAGCGTGGCATGAGTATCTCACTCAAACTTGGATCTGGCTGTGGCTGACAAGGGAGAACGCCCTTCTGGGAGCCGGCCAAGACTGTATGAATGTGTCGATGATAATCTGGGTCCACGGCCTCTCCAACCAATTGCTGGTGGCCTTGTAGGCTTGGTCCCCCACAACTCTCCAGGTGAACGGACGCTCATTTGACGATTTTTCTGCCAAGCTTCGAGGGCGCACTGTGATCAAAACAGGGGCCGCTCAGGGGATTGATCGCGCGGCCCCCATAAGGTTGGAACACGCAAGTTCTGAACAGCGGAACAGGGGCCGTCGAGATTTCCTGCTTCAACCCTCAATTACCCGCACTCGTTCATTGCTAATCTGTACCTTGTGGCTCACTTTTCAGTCTACTTTTTTTTGCAGCACTCGATGCATACACTTCTACCGAGTACCAAACCTACGACGCTCGTTTGATTACTTTAATCCTATAATTTTTTCACTTCATTCGATTGGCCCATTTCTCCTTTTGCGCTGTCGCTCGTTTGTCTCTCCATGTCGCCAGCGTCGAGACGGTCTTAGGAATCATCATCCTCTCTATAGTTGTTCTCCAGACTGCCAACCCAGTGTTCTCCTTCAGCGCAAGCATTTCCATCGCCAAGGGGTTTTCGCCGATCGCAATCACGAGCATGAAACACCTCTCGCTGGCGGGAGCCACGGCCCGCCGCCTTTTAAATCGCCAGACAGTTGCCATTGCCCTGGCAATATCGGTTGTTTGGCTTCTAATTGCTCAGTTCCACGATGATGTTTCTCAAAGATGGTCCAAGAACCTGTCCAATAAGTCTCCATCGAACATATTCCCCGGTCTGGGGAACTCGGGGAACTCCAATTCAGTACACCGCATGCCGACACACAATGTACTACCCGAGCTTCCTCCGCGCAAGCTCTGCTACGGCCCCCGCGGCTTTCTGTTGGGCAAGAGTCCCGAGGATGATCTCGTTGATCGGGAACTGGATGCACGTATGTGGAATAGATAGTCTGCTGTCTTGGTACGAATCTTACGGTCCTCATGCTGACTGAATTACGTTAGCCTATCCCGAGCCTTGGGCTGGCTCGTACGAGGAAACGGGTCTCGACATTACTCTCATGACTGCAGAGCAGAGATACGGACCATACGGCTTCGGCGAGGACAAGCCCGAGTACAACCGTTCGCGTGTCGAATGGGACAAGATCGACTGGGGCAAGCTCCAGAATGATTGCTTTGAGAGAAATCGTCATCGGTTCCCCGCGGCCGCCAAGCCATTGAACGACACGCGCACAGATGTCCGGTTTTCCTATCGCAACGTTACGCAGATTCCCGAGGTCCGCCACTGGCACCAGTTCGAGCCGACCAGGAGGACTGCTATCGTTGTCCGCACTTGGCGCGGCTTCAAGTACCTGCCCGAAGACTTCTACTATCTCCGTTCTCTGATTGCCGAGACCGCGCTCAAGTCTGGAGGCGAGTATCAAGTTATCCTGCTCGTTGACATGAAGAGCCGCGATGGCTACGAGCACAACATCTTTTCGTCCCCCGAGGCCTACGAACAAGGCTTCAAGGATGCTGGAGTGCCGCCAGAGTTCCGGTCCATCACAATTCTGTGGGATGACAATCTCTTGGAAAACTGGTACTCCAAGATCTCGGAACACAGGTACGTCTGAGTAACCCACGGTTTTCATACCCGCACCTCTGACCATGCATGTCCAGAACCATGTGGCAGGTTTATCAGCCCATGCAGCTTCTGGCTCTCCACTACCCCGAGTTTGATCACTTTTGGCAGATCGAAATGGATATGCGCTTCCTCGGAGATGCAGGCAAATACTTGGACGCCCTTGCCAGAACTGCGCGCAACGATCCCCGAAAGCAGGCTCTCGAGCGCTCCATGTTTTGGCACATGATTTCAGAGATCGGTAGCTTCGGCGAGTTGGCTCGTGCCGTCGACGAGGTTAATGCGGGCGGCTCCTTTGCCTGGGGCCCTTTGCCCGTCCCTGAGATTTCGCCCATCGGACCGGAGCCCCCAGTAGCTGATCCCCGTGACGACGACTTCCAGTGGGGCGTTGGGGAAGAGGCCGATGCTATCGTTACGTCATATTGTATGAACGCGGACAACCCCGGTAATACCTGGTCATTCCGCGACTGGATGGGCGGGCTCTCAACCGATCCCAAGCCGCCACGCTTTTATTGCCCTCCAGCGATCCAGCGCGCTAGCCGCAATCTCCTCTTCGTCATCCACCAAGCCCAGCTCGAGCAAGGCATCTACGTCCCGTCTGAGGCGACTCTCCCAACCTTCGCCCTCTGGCACGGACTCAAGCTTAGCTTCCCGCAACATCCCGTCTTCCATCGCGAAAAGGACGACTTTGAGATGAAGTCACAGTGGTGGCGCGGCGGGCCCCGGAAGAGCAGTACCGGCCTTGGGCCGGATGAACCCAGTCATCCCAGAGGACTTGGACTTACGTTCTGGTGGGAGTCTGATTGGCCGCGGGAGATCTTCAGCCACTTCATGGGCGTCGCGCCTGAGGGCGAACCCAGGCCGTGGTTGTTGTACGACCTGGATGGTAAGATCTGGGCGCCGAATGTGGTGCTGCATCCAGTGAAGCATTTGCCGGAGGACGAGAAGGCGGCAGAGGACGAGGCCGCGGGCGAGGAGTCGAATTCCCAGGCGCACCAAGGAAAGAATCAATGACCAGTCACCTAACCACAAAGTCGGCATTATAGAGCAACAGCTCCCTGCTCTCGAGAATTTAACGGTATGTAATGGGATTGCCATGTATGGATGGCAAAATTGCATAGGGACGGATATACGGAAAGCGTCAGGTGGACAGCGGAAACCAAACAGCGTTTACAACAATACCCCTCAATGCACATGCTACTACTTGCCTGGGAGGATCTTGGGAATTGGAGTTCTGGGTGGGTGAATGGTTGCATGGGTTGATAATCCGCAGGATGGATGATGATGATGATGAGTCTGAGTAACTTACTCTGGAATGGGACTTGGGCTTGATTATGGGGAGCATGACATCGTGGCCATTTCTGATGCTTTGGCACAGAGGCCAGTTATGGCTGTGGTAAAGTTTAGTGTTCATCATCTAGGTTATCCCCTCCTTTTTCACTCCTCCTTTTTCACTTCTTTGTATCTATGTTGTGTGTGATGTATCAACCCTTCTTTTTGGATCGTTCTTCCCCAGGTATATATAATGCTCTCGTATGTTATCTGCCGCTCCCCTGGTGCCGGGATTTTGATGTTCTCGACACATGGAGAATACTGGATAAGATATAGAGTTCGGAACATGTTTGTTGGCATGTTCGTTGAGGGTGCCTACGCTATCCGTAGGTACTGTAGGCCGTTTGCAGGTGATGTTTCCTGATATCCCCGTCCTTACTTTCCTTCACAGATCTCTTTTCTGCTGGCATTGATTGCCCTTACATAACCAACTTTGGATTCGTTGGGCAATTCTAACCAGATTTACGGGAAGCCAGCGCACAACTTTGAGGGCTTTTCAGAAATCTTGGGGAGCACATCGCCGGTCAGAACCCAGCGATATAGACGGTTATCTGCCAGTAGAAACCGAGATTTCACTTTCCAAGATACCCAGGGAGCATTAACCCACGTCCAGATGCGCAAGCTCATTAATAAGCGAAATCTTTGTCTACACTCCAAGCCCTTAGACACCCACAAGAACACAATACAACCCCAACATCGCCCACTCCCTTCTTCTATCTACTCCTCTTACGCACTAAAAGTCCACGAGCTCTCCCAGCTATACCTCTGCCCGGGGCCAAATATCTGCTTCTCTAGCCGACCCCACTCCGGACTATAAACGTCTCACTGTTAGCACATTGATTCCCTTCAATCAGAAATGGCTTAGGCGATACTCACTGGTTGATCCCATCCGGCCACTCCTGCGCCTCGATCGCAATGCAGCTACTCCTCCCCACCGTATCCCTCCCTTCCAATCCCTGAGTACTCTTCAGCTTGGCGCTCCCATTCATCCAATTACACGTATACACCACCACACCAGGCTGATCAGTCCTCAGCTCTGCCTTCACACCCGAAAACTCACTACTCAGCACCACGACCACGGGCCTCTCTTCCCCGTCCTTTGTCTCTGGAATGTCATCGAAGAGCCAATACCCGTTATATCCCTCACACATGCCGCCGCCGCCGCAGTTACCTGCGAACTGGGGAAGATGGCGGGAGTGGCCGAGTGGCCGGCCTTCGTGGCCGGCGCTGTGGAAGTCGTTGATGGAGTTGGCAGCAGCAGTGAGGATCTTGCCTGTGGGCAGCGCAGCGTCGTCGGCCTCGAGGTAGCGAGGGGAGTAGGGCAGGGCAAGGGTGTGGTTCCAAATGAGTGAGGTGGCGGGGTTACGGTAGGCGTCAAGGTTAAAGTAGGTGTGTTGAGTTAGGAGGATGGCTTTCACATTTAGTTAGTGACAGGGCTGGTTAGACAGACGAAGGGAAGAAGGGGGGATATACGGGTCTTGTTGTCAAGGGAGTGCGCCGTCATCTTGATATGCCAGGTGTTGTTCGTCACAGAGTAGGTTACGTTGGCCTCGACACGCCCGGGGAAGCCCTTGGACGACTCGGACTCATCAAGCAAGGAGAAAGTGATGGAGTCCGCGGTGTAAGCTGTTACATTCCAGTAGCGGAATGACCAGTTGTTGGTGCCACTGTGGAGAGTGTTCTCACCATCGTTACGTTCTGTCTCGTAGGTTACCCCGTCGATTGTGTACCGGGCCTTACCGATTCGCCCGGCGTAGCAGCCGGGGATGGCGTTGTAGACTGGGTGGCCGGGGTCCACGGCTGTGGCATGTTAGTTGATCAATGGAGGGATATTGGGAGAGAGTGAGGATTGTGCTAACGGTAATAATCGACGTCGTCATAGCCGAGGACGACATCGATATCTTCGCCGTTTTTGTCTTTCACGAAGAGGTTTGTTAGGGTGGCGCCATAGGGGATAAACTGATAATGTATTGTCAGCTTTCCCAGGGGTAACTGCCTGGAGAACATAGAATGGGGCCTACCTGGGCCTTGATACCAGGAGCGGAGATGGTATACCGTCCATCTTCATCTATTTTCGGAGCACTGTCACAACGAGCGAGCACAACTGCGTCGGCCACGGCGGCCAGGATCAGGGCAGAGAGTCTCATGTTGACGTTTGCTTGTAGTGAGAAACGATACGTAACGTGTCAACGAACGCTGGACGAACCAACGGAGACCTATCATATCTTTTTGAGGATTTACATCATATATGAAGAAGGATAGACTCCCATCCTTTATAATCCTTCCAGCCCAGGATTCATTCTGGCATCCTAACCCCTCCTTCAAATCCCGCAATGAACTCCTTCCATTGCCTATTCCCACTCCATATTTCCATATGAGTACGCGTCGTAGTGCCGAGACCGTGGGATAAAAACCCCCAGATTCTCCAGATGTATCAGGATATTCCCGCGTCGGGGGGGAAAGATCCGTCGATCTACTATGTGCATTAGGGCTTGGTGTTCTGAGTTCTTCCGGATTATTTGACGGAATAATCAGGTTGAGCAGGGGGGATACCCTTCCTCCTCGCCTGCACTTCAACTTATCTCATGCTGGCCTCAGAGAGTGATATTCTCATGGGACCTTGAATATGAAGTTATAGACATCTTCAGGAAGAAATTCTAAAGTCTGTCTGCTTAAGAATCCACCCCTCCGCCCAGCAAGTCCAATACTGGATGCTTGCATTAGAGAGCGTAGCATTAGGATGAGTGTCATCTCGGCATCGCAATGCTACCTACCAGAAACTGAGAATCATTAATACATAACATCAAGCAAGAGCGTAATAGTGACACGTGAATCGCTAATCGACAATCAAATCAGCAGTATCTCATCGTTTGGGTATCCAATCTACCTTCCGGGAACTCATCTTCAACATGACTGCCCCTGTGCTGCATTCCCAAAGACAAGAGAATTTGACAAAAACTTCTTTTCTAGTCCTATCACTTATCTCTCCAATATCATGTCCAGCAGAGTGCAGCAACCCTGGAGCACGCAAAGGCGAGCCAAGATAACCTCCTAACTCTGCCACTCAGGCAGACTGCCTGCCGCTTCCAAAAGATCCAAAACCACCAACCAATCCAACCAGCCAGCCAACCTCCTTGCCTCTCCAGCCCAGTCATTACCATCTTGACATTACTAAGTAAGTCTACCTAAAAGAGTTATGGAGTTATTCGGGAAGAGAGCGCGGCTAGCGCGAGATTAGATGACGCCAACGCGCTCGTGATGCTGCAGAGGCGCTTTTGGGGAAAATGAAAAAAAATATAGGTACATGCAATAGCCACATATATACTTTCATGAGTCATGAAATAAGCCATGACGCTGATGCCAAAACATTACCGCTTCATTTGATATAATCCAACCCGAGGAAAACCAACCCGGCTCGCCGAGGTCTCATCGTCTTCTGTCGTCGCTCACTTTTCGTCACTCGTCGTCTCCATTTCACCATCTTCATCACAGTCTCAAAAAATGCCTCGTCTTTACTGGGTCTTCTTCTTGTCCTGCGGGATGGGGTTGCCTTTCTCGTCGACGAGACCCTTTTGACGCATGACTTTGAGGGCATCGATCAGGGGGTCGAGCTCAGGTTGGGGCGGGCGATGGGACTTCCAGTAGCTGTCGCACCAGGTGAAGTACTGGCCGTAGTTGACGGTGAAGTAGATGTGATGCAGAGTGTGGTGGGCAGGGCTGTTAATGTACTTCTCGAGCCAGTGGCCGCTGATCATGTCGCCGTCGTGGATCAAGATGGTCCAGACCTGAACCGCGATGAAAAGGAAGATGTATAGGTACTTCTGCAGGGGGCAGATAAAGACGAAAACGCTGATATCGAGTTAGCATTGCTGCCCCTACCCCGCGAGAAAAAGAGGGGGGAGTCGACGGGTCACATACTGGTAAGGCAGAGATTGCGCGTAGCCGTCAAGAGGGTGGAAAGCCAGAGCAGCGAAGGGGGTCGGGACTACATGCTGGTGAGTATTTAACCTCAAATGCCCGAATAAGGGCAAAACTTACTGATCCACTTGTGATGCGGCTTGTGGATATACTTATAGACGGCGGGGTGGTGCTCGAGACGGTGAATCCAGTAGATCATGATATCGTTCCAGATCATGAATAGGATACTTGAGATGATGAGCCAGGGCCAACCATACTCGTCGATGTGCGTGTATAGCAAGCTCTTTCCGCGAACCTCGGCGAGGAAGAAGGGCAGCGTCAGAATGTTGATGAAGGGAACGGCCCACATCGAGGACACAATCTCCTGCCGCACTTGGTTTTTGAGGAATTTTGGGTGGTACTCAAGGCGACGGTCAAAGACGAAGTAATAAGACAGCGCGCTAAACACAAAGTACAGCGCCGTCGCGCCGATCTGAGTGATAATGAAAAGCGAGATGCACTGCCGCAGGATGTTGTCGCGCGGCCATGCTGACCCAAAAGAAAGGGGCGACTGTTGTTGGGCAGCGGCAGCACCAGCGCCAGCAGCGAAGGTTGCGTTGCCAGAGATGGGCACCGGTTTGGCGGGCACGAAATAGGCATAGGCCTTATCAAAGACCAAGGGGTCCAGGATCTCGAGAGCGACGTCCATGGCGGGCTACGGAAGGGACGGAAGCGAGGGGAACGGGGACGACTGCTGCAGGGACGATGACACCACGACGACGACCACGACCACGACGACGAAGACGTTGAGGTTGGCGATGGGATGGAAGAAGAAGATAGCGAGGGAGACTGGCCGCGATATGGAAATCGTGGTCGTAGTCTTGGGCCTCTGCTAAGTTTCGAGATAGGTGGTACGGAGGAAAAAAAGAAGGGCAGCTCGGGCGCCGATAGATAAGGTGTAACAAAAATCGAGAATTGGAGCGCGCAAAATGGGAAAAACGGGGCAATTGGGCAAAAGAAGCGCGAAGTGAGTGACGCTCCAATGGCACGATTTTGCGGCTTGTCCAACTTCCGGGTCCCGTGGCTTCCCACAAAGCTCGCCAGACCCTCCACGACTTGCCAGGCTTGCCCCCACTTCGGTTAAATTGCGGTGGCTCAGGTGGGCAGATCCAAGTTTTTCTCGCCGATGCTCGTCGTTCCTGCGTCGTCTGTTCCCTTTCAGCCAATCCCCTTCGATCCCTGCGCTCGGAACGCGCCGGCCCCGCTCTGCGCACAAGCCAAAAAGCCAGGGTCCACGGCGTTGAAACGATCAGATAAACGGCTGACTCAGCAGGCACCCTTCCCCAACCTTCCCTGCGGCGATATCGGCTTGTTTTCCGTCTGTTTTTACGAATACGGGTCACGTGACATACGCTTTTCTCGCCCAACAAACGCGAAAGCGAGTTCTCAACAGTAACACCGTGCCAAACCGATGGGCACGCTTTGGGTAATAAGCACGACTATTAACCCATAGCGCGGGCCTGATCCGTACTCCTAGATGCATACGGAATAGATCGCCTACACCCAAGGGGCTGTCTTTTGGGTGCAATCGGCGTGTGGCGAGCCTCGCGATCCTCCACGCAAGCGCCGAAGTTCCTGACATGGCGTCGTTTCATACCCGTTTCTCCGAGTTTGCCGATCTATCAAAATAAATAATTAGAAGCTGCCTCTGTTCGAGGGTTGCAATGTTCCAGAAAAGCGTCAACAACACTTGGAATATATAGTTGATCTCATACATAACACTATTTTTCGCAGTCCCTGTTGTTGCACGGATTCCATATTCCCGCCATTAGGCTGTCATGGCAGCAACTTGGTTGGTTGTCCAGTTGTCCGCGATAACATGCTACGGGGCCTTTCCATCACTCTTTTTCGGGTGGCGAGCAAGACTGTTCTTTATCAATAGCTCGGTATGATGCTTGAAACTTCAGGAAATGTTTGAGACAACAGTTTGAGCCTGAAACGTCAACAACGGCATCGGATGAGGACGTTCACCACCACGCCACTCCGCGGGCTTCCGGACCACCACCCCTTATGTGATGCCAAGACTAAGATTCACTCGGTGACCGGTGTGGCTGTCGCTCTCCGCACCCCGGCTTCCGAGCTCCGAGAGGGCCCACTTGGATCCGCAGGCAGCCAACAGCCTGGTCCACAGCTCAAAAAATGCCGTGTCCGTATCCGCATTATGGCAACAAATCGCAACAAACAGAAAGATGTTTTCGTGAGCCAACAGTTTTTTCCCACAACTCTTGTTTACCAAGCTAACGTTCAATTACCTCCAGACACAAGCAAATATGACATAACCGGCAGCTAAGTTCCACAACCAGCACAATATCTCTCTCCTGGCAATGTCTCAATCGTTTCCCTCCTCCACTTTCACCACAACCTGCCTGATCACACTCTGCCGTAGAATCTCTTCTTCCAACACCCGTCCTATATGCGTTCTTTGCACATCAATATCGCCCCCCTTGATCCACCTGAACAGCATACCTAGAATCACTATAGGACTGACCTTGAACTTGCACGCGTCATGCACCCTCCCCAACCTCAATATCTCCCATGTGCTCCATCTGCACGGGGCGAAGATATCGGCAAAGCTAAATGTAGGAGGAGTACGAACAGAAGACGAACACTCTCCTTGATGTTATCCCAGCCTTCAACGATGGCATTTGCAAGAAATATCACGGATCGTAGGAGTCCAGCGACTTTCCATTTTGACATGATTCTCGTTTCCGTTTCTGTATTTCAGGGGAAGCGCAAAGAGTGACGGACTGGCTGTACACCAGCTCCCGCATCCTCATGTAAGCTGTGTGGAAATATGTTAGGTTCAAGGCGCATATGAAGAGGGCTGGTCTCGAACGAGATTCCTTAATTTGCACTAGAGTATCTTTGGTTTCCCCTGATCTAAGTGTCACCGCAGCACAATATGACCCACGGAGCCTCAAACCCGCTCCTCTGGTATGAACCTGGTACAGAAAACAAGACAACGTTCCGTCTAGGATGCAAACGGTGACGTCAGAAAGGGTTCCACTAAACCGTTCCTTGTCAACACAAACGACTCATCCTGGTCACTGAAAATGATTACAGTGTCTGCACTGTGTACGGCGACCATTTCAGGGCCATCGCCATGAGAGCTACAAGCTGCTTAATCCGACAATCTAAGCTCCATCGTCAAGGATAACCCTTATTGGACGGCTCGACTTCGTGACAGCCGTGAGAAATACATTTACATTGAAAGGAACTGAGGCTTCATCTATATCACCAAAATTCCAAGATTGCACTCTCCGGTTAAAGAACGCATTTCAAGATGGAGGCAATGGTGTGGCGCTGCTCCAGAAGGTCCGGTGCGTTTATGGAAAGTGGCTGAACCTACTTCGAGTCTGTTGTTCCACTGAAGCTGGTCTATCTGATGCATTATTTTGACAAGTTTCTCGTGCCACTTGGGTAACTTGCGATATTCTGGGATTTTCTGTCGGCACGTCTGTTCCTGCCACTGGAGGATCTGAAGGCGGAGATCGGCATGCTGCTGTGATAAATTGAACTATTTCGTGACAAAGGATGCCGGCTTCCCAAAGTTGTTTAAAAATGCGAGGATAGCCTCGGCTTATGGGGCTTCTCCGGCAATCAAAGCAGGTCTCAATCCCCCAGAGACGGCCCATTTCAGCCTCCTTGAAACGGATCAATGGATGGATGAACCCACGAGAGAAGCCCATGTCATATTCTAACAAACCACGTGATATGGGTAGCAATTCTGTCTTCTGCCACCCAGGATCCATCGCTGTAAGGTACAAGATGGATAAGGCTTTAGAACCCCCTGTCTGCATGCTCAAGTGTTATGTTGGTGCGTCTCTCGGGAATCAAAGCATAGTTCAAGTAACGCAACTGCACAAGAACTCTACTGCGGGTGTAAAGCATGCCGAGCTTACGATTTAGCCTGACCCTGCACTGTCATCAGGGCAGGTTAGTTGAGTGTACATCAAACACTCTTCTGAACAGCCTGTAACGGGTGAATTGGTCTGGTGCAGGCAGGGATCGACAATAGGTCAAATGGGTTAGATGATGGCCACTGACGATGTGAGGTGCACAGCGAAATCAATTACTACGTGTAATAATCTTTCTTGGTCCTTGTGTCAGGGAGGGGAGGAACCAAGGGAAGTCTATCATGATCGGGCAGCTTCCTTTTATAGAATCCTCATCATGCCTCCGCCATATGGCTCATTCTCTTCAGTCATCCGGCTCTAGACATCTTCCGGGATCAACCACGTATTTGTGCCGCTCACAATCACCCTGTCTCTGGTGTCCCTTGTGTTGGCAGTCGGGGACATCCCTTTCCTTGGACTGCCGTGTCCATGTGACATAGCCTCTTGGCTGTATCGTCCCCTAAGGCCTTCAGGGTCTGCAACCAAAAAGCAATAACTGAAAGGCACCTTGACTGACAAGCTTACGAGAACCATCCAAATAACCTGGCTATCTTGGCTTCTGCAACTGTGGCCTCCCCTTCTGAGAACTCCGTGCACAGAGTCTCATCGCTTTGATAGCCCTCTTCTGCATCTCTTGTCCTTAGAAAATTTTTTTGCCATCGAACTCTTTCAAATTCTTTTCTGCTATGCTCTACTATACACTTACAAATGCGTCAGGGGTATCACCATGATTGACCCTATTGGTGCTATCGGCGTGGCGGCCGATTCTTGGAATATACCTTCAAGTTTTACAACAACTGAAAGGATGTTAAGGCGGAGACAAAAGGCTTCAATTTCGAAGTATGGGCCCTCAAGATTACCCTACCACATGCTCGTTCTATTATCTCGGAGTACCTCAAGGCTGCACTTGATTGTGATAAAGATCCCTAGATTGTTGAAAACCTTCATCGGTGACACCAACCCTCGAATTTGCTCTTCGGGTGCGATTAACTTTCCCGTCAAACCAAGATTTCAAAAACAAGCAATTCAAGTTCAGAAGCTTCAGTTTGATTAACAACGGACGGGGGGGGGGATCGAGACGAGTATCCATCAGTTATTTACAGACCAATGCGATGGCATACAGTGTGACTTCCATGGTTCAAGAGATATATATCGCTGAAATTCGATAAAAAATTGAAGTAATGCTTCAGTAGCCTATTCGCTCTTACACGCCGACGTTCTATACCAAAGTCAAGAAGGCACAGGACAGTGGCTCCTGTACTCTTCTCAGTTCTAGAATGGTATTATAAACCTTGTTTCCTTCGGACCTACTTAACTTTCCTCAAGCTAATCAGTTCATCAGACTGTCAAGGAAGCTAGTGACTCTCATCTGCCCCGGTATACATGGTGCTAGGAAAACTATCCTTGTACTGATAGTAAGTCTTCCTGGACGAGCTACCATGTGTCAAGTAGCTCAACACTGATGAGTGTAAACGTCACTATCTACATCTCCAAGCCTGACAAGAACAACGCCATCGCCTAGGAGTGTAAGAGCATTGCGGTGCTGTACCTGACGGATGTCTTTGGGCTGGCACATGTGTAAAACAAACTGTGAGTTCTGACAGCTACGGAAAAAGCATGGGAATATTGCTAGCAAGACCGGGGAGAGGTACCAGGTCGTGGTGTATTCGGATAGGAATCATGGGTTTGGGGTCATGGCTGATGTGAGCGTTGAGGCGGAGAAGTGGGTGAAGGAACAGGCGTTTTGCAGGAGGTTAGGAGGTTAAGTCGGTTTGTGGTTGGGAAGCGAGTTGGGATGGATGAGGGTGATGAGGCGATGATGAGGATTGCCGTGGAGATGGGATATGTATAGGACGCTTCAGGCAGGAAGATACAGCAAATGCACTACAATTACGGAGAATGTAAATTAAATTATTTATTATTAACGCAAAGATTCAAAAGACTAATCTAATTAGGAGTAATTTTCTGGATCATCCTTTTCATTCAGCATCTCCATCTCCTTGACCTTTTACAAGTATAAGTTTGTTAAATCTAACTAGTAATGGATGGAGAATGTTGTACACTCTTTTGCTGAACTTCTCTCTCCTGATTGGGACATATCAGGCTTTACAGGCGCAAAAAATCTTCTCCGGGCAAAAAGAAATGAACGCGACATCGAGAACAACACGTAAGCATTGCAAAAAAAAAAGAATGAATGTTGTGTCAAGCAAAGAAATGGGAACTCTGAGGAGCGGACCCACGACCTCAGTATTACTTTGGTGTGTGGCCAGATCATACCGTAATATGAGACTTGCACTCTTTCAACAGAGCCAAACTTCCTTTTCTAGTATTTGGCTCAAAAATAAGGGCGTAGGTAAACGCAAGTGATCACCAAGACTTTTTTACTCCCTTGATGCTCGACCGATAATTTTTTGCGAGAGTTCTTCAATATTTCGCAACCTTGGTCTCGGGGAGAGGTTGCAGAAACTCTAAAAGTTTATCTTGGCAATTGCCGTATCATTTATTGGCCCATGTGCAGATGCGTCGGGTTTTGCACGATCAAGGGATAGAAACGGTTGTGTAAAACGAATTGCTCTCTTCCTGGGTGAACTTACATTAGTATCAGGTTCTTCAGGTCTGGGGCAACTTGCGCAAGTGGGGTTAGGGTTACCGCCTGAAGTTCACAAGTTGTGCTCTACGGAGAGAAAGAGTATGAGTAATATTGATCGATATCAGCATGCTCAGTAAGATTGTAGAATGTCCCCGCAGGCAGTGTTGTGGGGTTCTTAAAGATGAGCAGCTAAGGAGTGGAGGTCCTTTTAAAACGCAGTGAGAGCATAACCATGTCCCATTATTATCCAAGCCACTTAACGCTGGCTTGCCATCGAAAAATAACATGGAGATAGTGAGGTGGTTGTTCTTGGCGTCAACTTAGATTTCAAAACCCCCTCTGCTTCGTAAGCTATTGCAACATCTGCTACGGACAGTCTGCTCCTCTCCGCCCATGTTGCTCGTGCAGGACAGAGGACTCCATCCCTAGCCTCCCCCAATACTCAAGGCTCCTAATTCCGTTCATGCCTGATACCCACTGCTGAGCCTGGTGAAGTAGAGCAGATTCCTTGCTTGACCCAACGGGCTTCATGCATATGACGTCGCCTAGCTGCCGTTGTGTAACCATACGAACTACGCTCGTGCCAAGTTACCCAAATGGGTCGAGAACAGGGCATCATGGTACGCCGAAAACATTAGTCTAACTGAACACTTTATTGGGGCTACGGTAGCTAGCAGGCAGCGGCACAGCAAGGCTTTTCCCAAGATTTTAAGGAAAATATGAACTCTGTGTGATTGAGACATATGCTACATGGCCCACGAGTATTGCAAAATATTCAGCTATAGACATACATATTCAACATTAATGGTCTACCAATCAGACGCGACCTCAACAACGACGAGGTTAGATAACGAATGGCGAGCTGGCAAGCTTGGCGCGATGTATCTAGTACCTTGAATAGCCATGAGTTTGGAAGTATGAAAGGATGTAGATGTCCAGTAGAACAAGTTAGCTTTTTCAGCGTTCTTCAAGTCCCGAAACTACCAGAAAATCTTGACAGACTTCACTTCTTTTCTCCCCACTAGCTCCAGCGTTGCAATCCGAGAGGATCATACCTGCTTGTCACGATGCTTCAGCTGAACTCGACATCCTAGAATCTCTCAGAACTGTCACCGAGCCATCTCAAGGTCTACTCAGGCGGCTTCTAGAGAGTAGTACATTTGGGAAACCCAGTCCAGGGAGCATCCATTCACCGGGAATTCATTGTCCAGGGTGGCACGAGGGAGATCGCCAGCGAAGAAAAGCCGAAGCCCAGCTCAAACACCTCGACTCCAAGAGCACTTCTCCCTCTTGTCTCCTGGCCATTTTCAGCAACATCCTGCAAGCAAGGATCTGGGTTATTCAGGCGGGCCTGACGACGAAGAAGCTGCGATACGAGGCTGCAGTGGTCATATACTGCATCAAATGCGATAAGATCCCTCCCTCGGCCTGCATCTTGAGCTCTTAGTGGCTTGACCACGAATGGGATGACTTGTCAGGTTACATGTATTCCCTGAACAAATAGTCCATTGAATCCTGTGAAAAGCACTCGTGGTGAAAGAAGTGCGGGTCGGAATGTTTCCGAGCTACCTCAGCCTACTGCTTCTGCTAAAGGGCATATACTAATCCTCTGCGCGTACGCAGATGACCCAGTGAAATGATAGAAATGGCTCATCCCAAAGAACTAGATGCTCATGAAGATGTGCCTGGCCGACTAGGAAGCCAAGCTGTGTGCCATATCGAAAGCTACAGTAACTGTAACGGTAACGCTGGACCTTGCCAGCTCTTCATTGCGGCGAGCGTGGCGCTTCATGGAATTATGCTCGTCCCGGATGCTATGCCGAAGTAGCTGGCCACGGCTTTAGTTCCCATTCTCTCATCCCACAAAACAGCTCCGCGCCGGGCCAGACGACAATGCCACGAAATTTCGAAAGCCAGAATCCCCACCACAGACTGTCCTAAAAATAACCTGGCAGGCAGATCTCCCTGTACACTCCATCGGGCGCCTACTAGGATGGGATTGAGAGGTTGACTGCGGAGAGAAGGGTGTCATCACCTCCGCAAGACATCCGTCCCTCTCTCACCACTAGAGTCGTTTAGCCAAAGTTTTGCCGTGCCACGTAGACTGTCGAATTCTGTCCATAAGTTGTGGGAGTTGTACGCAAAGGCTGAAGGCAAGTCTCCGGGGATGAGAGAGGAGGAGCTGCTGCGGTGGCTTGGAGAGCGGGATCGTGGGTCGTCGTCTGAGGGCGTTGTGCGCTGCTCTGAGTTGCATAGACGAATGAGGAAAGAGAACCATTTTATGGTTTGAACGTGAGAACGATGTTAATTGGCATGAAGGGGTGATCGGAGGAGAATGGGGAGTTGTTGCGTGCTGACGCCAACGGTCAACTGATCTTGGGGCGATAGCCAAGTTTGCTTTCTCTTGATGTTGTCCTCAAGTTCAACAGATATTCTTGAGGGGTAGCTTGTCGAGAGCACATGTTGGTATTGTTGCAACCACCGCAAAACACGTTAAGGCTTGAAAATAGCAGTGCCGCAGCGGGGTGGTGCATTGCCATCGAGGCCTGAGCCGTGACCAACACTCCTGGAAGGCAAAAAGATAGATGCAACCTGTAACTGTCATGCCACTGCCATTGAGGTTTCAAGGACAGAAACACGGAATTAAGTGCTCGTCGTTGGGTACTCATACATCCATTCCATGCCTACCCCGCGTCTGCTCTTGCGAATTTCGTCCCCAAGCCTGACTTTGAACTAATGAGCGCTCATGGATGGGGAACAAGTCACTCATGCTGCCTGCTTGGTTTCGATGTACGATGATAACACAGCATTCTCGGAGCTAGCTTCCCAGTGTTGGTCGTTCCGGCATGCCCTGCTTGAGCTCATGTTGTTGGCCGGGTCGTTCCCAACTGCAAAAGGCTTTTGGGCAGATATACAGTGACCTGAATGCATGCACACATTAACGTTGCCCAATGATAACACGATGCGACAAAAAAGAGAATTCTGCCACTCCAACAGTCGCGACTCTTGCTGTGGGAAAAGGTGGTTCTCGAAACCTTGGTTACTGGCCCTCCTCGTGAAGAAATGAGCGCATAAAAGTCGAGTTGCTCAGTAATGATATCCAATTATGCACCCTAACGATGTTTCTTTGGTTGCCCATGTCGATAACTCTCCCTCACTCAGGGCTCTCTCAGACGTGAAGATTTTCTTGATACTCTAGTTACTTGCCAACGTCACCCTCTTCCTCACCATTCGACATGACAACCCAGGTCGACTTTCTTGCCCCCATGCTAGCGCCCCGCACCTTGAGGGGAGATCCTCTCCCTAAGAGGCTTTGGCGTGTGACCCATCGGAGCACTCAGTCCATCATAGACCTAGATACCGGCGATATGTTGGCGGCCAAAAGGGACGAGTTCAACGATCTAGATGACTTCCGAGACGATATAGTGCGGCACGTGAATTGGGAGAACAGGATCCCGACGCGCTTCATCTCCGTCTGGGGCACCTATCCCCGAGCACACAACTGGATTCAAATGGAATGCATTTGGGCCCCAGCTGAGATGTGGGAGATCGACGTGGAGATCGCGCTCGAAGAGGGCGCCCGCATCATGCAGGTCGAACTTCTGATGGCAAGGCTCGACTTTTACCACCCGCAAATCCCCAACACGAGTGGGTGTTCCTCCACCGCATACCGCGCAAAGCTATCATAAACGTCACGCTTTGGAAGCCTCTTAGGTGTAAGGGAACGACACGTCTTTGAAATTGCTGCCTATCACACTCGATGCTAATCACCATTATCAGGGATGCTGACGCCTCCGTCTACTCCTCATCGTGTCCTTGTTGAGCAGTCGAGGCAGGACGTTGGTAGTGACCAGGAGGATTCTCCCCAGACCTCGCATGACGAGTCTCAGGCGTGGAGTGAGGTTGAAACAAGGGAGGAGACAGAACAACCCGTCTCCGAAGTTGGCTCTGGTCACAACTCGGATGAGGAGGAGAGCGATGGAGAAGAGGAAGCTGCTACACAGGAAGCGAAGAGTGAAGCGTCAACAGAGGCAGGACGAGAGAATTGGCAGTCTGGTCGGGAGGAAGAAGAGGAGGGCGTCGAAAGTATTGAAAGTCAGCTGGTTAACCTGACTATTTGAGAGAACTTTCTCTGATAATCTGTTAGAGGCATCAACTTGGATAAGAGACAATGACTGATAGCAAAGGCCAAGTTGGGCCATTGACCGACAGCCCGTACACCCCTGCTAGGTGGCTTAGTGGTCTGGCAGCCCCCATGAAAATCAAAGAAAGACAACAGGGAGACCTTGCACATTATAAGAAAAGCACAATCGCGTGGCCAGGGTTGTCGACGAAAGAAATAGTTTGACCGTTTCAAATGGGCCTTTAAGCCAACGTTACCGTTTGCGCTCTATCTAGCTAATGACAACAATACCCAAACATCAGCGGGTTTCTGTGGCGAGACGGTATCCAGGGCCACTTCCTCCAGTGCCCCTCTCCCTTGACAATCCTCTTGCTGGTCGCCTAGACCTCAGAGCATTTTGGCGCTCACATCAACTATTTGAAAATAGAAAATCACAACTCGAACCTTCAGGGTCAGCCAGGGACCATCAAACAGGACCAGCCATCCCTCCTCAACGCTTTTCCTACTCTCCCCCACGCATGACCTCACAATCTCGATCGATGCACACCCCTGACAACGAAGAATCAGAATTGGAACATTCTAGCTTGGACATCCACATATTTCACACTCACCCCTCATAACCCATTTTCTTTTTCTTTTTTTTTTTCGTTTTCCTACTTCTCGTCCTTTTCCAACACCACTCATCTATCCCACGAATACGTACCGGTTTTTCCCTCTCGGGTATTTTCCCGCGTGTACATAGCTTAGACTAGCGAGTGCATATGTACCTTTTGCCCGCCGGCGTTGTGCGCACGACCGAGCATCTTCATGGGTGATACGGGTCGGAAATGCAATCCAATTCAGTTCAATCAGCGGGTTCCACGTACGGCACGATAGCGTCGCAGCAGAAAGAAGTTTGAGCATAGTCTCCAGGCAGCATCGCTCCAGAACGACGGGCGAATCGGGCGTGTAGCGTGGGATTTATTAGATTCATCGGGCTTATGAGGGTTGCTTTGCCAATACTTATATGTTCGATCCAGGTCTTGTTGACTGGACATGAATTTTGCGTGGTTCACATCCTCCGTAGAGTGCTCAAATAAACGGACCGCGATGGCATTAGATATCCTTTTCCAAAGAGCAACTTATGACTCATGCCGAAGATATAGATACATAGATACATAACGTGTGACTATAGCCGCAGTCACCGATTCAATCATTCAAGCACCTAACCTGGGTATCACAGTATTGGGTATCCCTCATCAAGATCCGCGCGCCAACCAGGACTGACCCAAAGAAAAAGAGCGAAAAGGAAAAACAAAAAAGCCTTATCATGACCCATTATTGATGGATCATGCACAATTTCCTTCTTCTACACAGGCGGTAGCCTCTCCCTCGTGTTAGTCAAATCTTCCATGCTACTCGTCCCACTATTATTTTTTCCCGTATTTCCCCACATGACCCCCACCTGATTAGCTCCCTGGCTACCAGAAGCACCAGCTCTGCCGGTCCTTCCATAACTCATTTGTTTGGCCTTGCCTCCATGCCCATGGATATCAGTGATCTCAACGATGCTGACCCTTCTCTGACCAAAGCAAGACATGCCCCCCTGCCACGGCCACAACGACTGCACGGTGCTCATAATTTGATAGCACAGGACCTTGAACGCGGACCAGGACGTAACGATGTAGATGATCCCGTTCCAGAAACCCTGCAGCGGCAAGACAAACGCGGAAGCGTAGTAAAGCTCACGAGACACTGCGCCGTTGTAAACCAGGCTGTACACGCGGTTGGCAGACGAGGGCACCCAAGTAATGAGCAGGACCAGGAAGAAGAGCATCGCGCACTTGCAGTAGGACCAGGTGGCGTTGTGCGTCTCGTACTGGTTTCGACGGCGCGCGGCTTGCATGGCAGCTTGGGTGTTGGGGTTTACGTTGCCAGGGAGGATGGTGATTTGCGTCGCGGTGGAGGCGACCTTGGCCATAACGTTACCTGCTGAATTGCTAGCAACCTGGGTCAGACCATGGGGATTGCTAGTAACCGGAGCGAGGGTCTCGATGGAGTCGATGTCATCATCGGACTGCCGGTTCGCGGGGTCTGCCGAAATGGTAACGGTGTAGGAAACGTTCGGGTCCTGCTTATGCGGGCCGGGAGCGTTGGGGATGCCGGATGTCCCTCCGATAGCAGCTGCCGGGGGAGGTTGGATGATCTCGGTGGTCTGGACGACTTCGGTGGTTTTAAAGTTGATTGCTGGAGAGAACTCGTTGTAGGGGAAGAACGAATCGGCGCCAACAACCGTGCCGCCTGCACTGGAACTGAAGTTCAGCATGCGTTGACGCTTCTTGTAGATCTCACGTCCTGCACGGATGTAAATCGTGATGGTGATGATGATAGAGACCCTGAAGGGAATGTTAGTACACTTCTGATCAGCTTGTCGCTCACACACCTGGTCGCAGCATACCAAACGGGTCCGTAAAACGAAGCAATTCGCCAGACATCCCACTCAGTCTTGATCCAGCACCACAGAAGGGCGTTTCCGTAAACCCGGCCCTGACTCTTGGTCGAAACCCAAATGAAGGCAAGTCCGGGGATGAGAGGAACCCCCAGGCATCCGGCCCAGTAGATGGGCTCCATCCTCCTCAGCATCCTGCCATCGTACTTATGGTAGAAGGTAAGATAGACGTTGATGGCCATGCACATTGCCCAGTAGGCATCACCTTGCATGAACCTGCTAACAGTCAGTGACTGGAGCATGAAGGAGCTTCAAGACTTTACATACACCTGAATCAGGAATGCTTGCAACTGGCACCCAAAGGAGTCTACTCTTGTGGTAAAGCTTCTTGTCATCAACGTGGCAACATTCGTCAACATGTTGCCAAACGTCGCATAGAAGACCATGCGATTGATGGCTCTTTGCCTGAAGGAGCTGCAGAAGGTGAATGTGAGCAGGACGACGAGGCATCCTATCAGCGAGATGGCCGAGCACCCTCTCTCGATGGCGACGATCTTGTCGAGGTCCTCTGGTGATAGTGACGACATGGTTGCTGTCTTTCTCTGAGTTCGACCCCTCAAAGGGAAGTGAACAAGTAACCAATCCACCCACACGGGGCGGCAACCTGCATATGTAGGAATGTAGGTACGTGGATAGCAGAGGATCTTGAATCGGTATTTAACCACGTTGCCGAGCTGTCTCAGGCCGACGTTGCCTCCCCGTGCCCCTGTCTGGTGCCCTCGGTGGGTGTGTCGCGCAGGACGATGACGGGATGCTGGGACACTAGTCTAGTGTGGTCCACAGCAAAGGATCCAATTGACTCGTTAAACATACTTCTTGAGCAATTGAGAGCGGTTGAGCAGGAGGGCGACCAGTTTATGGTTTCATGAAGAGGACAAATGCTGCCTCTCTAAATGCAACCAAACATCTTGGCCTCATTCGGGGAGACCATATTCGGATTCTTCAAGATCCCCGCGACACGAATGACCAGTTCTTGGGAGATCGGATATAGAGCTGTAGTGATTGGTTGCATGGGAGATCATTTGGACTGGTCGTTACGCTAACTGATAGTGCCATGGGACTCTGGGGTAGACTCTCTAGCTACAATGCCGGACACCAAGACTTGGTGTTGCGTCGCTGCAGGGCTAGTGACAAGGGAGGGGTGTTAGAGGCTACGCCATGAAGTGGCTGACGGAAGAACTCACCCTCTTCCCCTCTTTCTCCGCAGCGGCGCAACGACACCATACGGCTTTTGGATGTGGCGCCGCGTCTGGAGCAAGCCAGACTGGGCTGTAGCGGTGGCAAGCACTAACAGAATCGCATGATTTTGGGTCGTGCAGAGGTTCCTTTTCCACTTTGGGATCTCTTGTGCAGATTGCAGGTTTTGGTTCGGCAGCATGAGTCGCTAGTGTTGGCAAGCACTCGACGGTCAGGAAAGGCCCTGTCTAGGCTTGCATATGTACGAAGACCTCGAAAACTTACCTCCATCTTCGTTCACTAAAGTTGATATGGGGAGAATTAGTAGGTCATGCGTTTAAGTAAAGCACATGGAGCATCTTGGCATTACAATATCCAGCGAGCACAGTCTTCTTTCCGTATTGCTCGGACCCATCCTCCAAGAAGATGTTGTGAAGTATTTACCTGGGAACGATGTTGCTTCTCAAAATGTGGGCACGGACAGCAGGTTGGCCTAGCGTAGTTGTAACGTTGGGACAACGCTAAAGATCTGGGTCCCTGGTGCCGAGACCTGCGAGTGTACAAGTATGTACGTAACAAGGAGCGCGCAGCAAGCCATTATGGAAACTTTCCGACAATAGCCATGAGCGTACTAAGTGGTCTACGTACTCGAAGCGTCGGTGAACTTCGGATGGCTGACGGGCTCGTTGTATTCTTTCACCTCGACATTCCATCCCACTCCTCTTCAGCAAAGAGGCATCTCTCTGGCTCTCAGGTTGAATTGTTTGCAGGTGACGGGTGCGCATCAACAAGTGTTAAAGAGTGGATTCTCGAGTGAGCCAGCTTGGAGAGGTCTTGAAATCGGGTCTTGCAAATGCAGCCGAGAGCAGACCGGCTGGTCGGTTTTGGGAACAATCCGATGTGTGCCTGCGATGGCTTGGCAGCATGCAGCAAGATTAATGTGAGGGACTCGAGTCCGTGGTGGCTGCTCCGGACATGGCTGGTGGCAACCCAAGGCTTCGGAGTTCGGTACAGGACAAGAAAGCGCACGGATTGTGGCAAGGATCACATCCGTCCAGTGAGGTTTGCGGGTTGCCATGTGGCTGATCTTCGCCCTTCACCTTGGCTCACCGCCGTGGCAGGGAATTGTGTCAAATGCGACTGAGGCTACGTTGCTCCAGCGGAGACAGCTTTTCGAGTAAAGTGCCCCCCTCCTGCAAATTGCAAAGTTCTTTGCAAAGCAACTCGCAAAAAGCGCTTTGTTCACAGCGACAACATTACAATAAAACTTTCATTATTCCCGATCTTGCATGCTTTGGAGCTTGCAATTCCAGTGGTATGCATATGTTGTATGCTGTTGTGTACGTTTTACCAGGTTTGACTGGATATTTTGGGGTACATCCAACGTTTTCTCCAGTTTCAACGCTGAGCGTAACCCTGAGAATCTTTGGCTTGGCTGCGACTGTGAAAGGTTTAGTGAGACCGTCTCCACTGGAACGTACTCCACGCGATCCCACCCGCCCGAGGCCCTTGTTGCGGCTTGCGAGCGAACCAGACATCGAAAAGAGCCTTCGCCAACAGCCCCAATGAAGCCTGCCCAGCTTCGCTATTTTTTTTTTTTTTTTACGATGGCTTTTAAACGGTTCTCTGCAAAATTTTGCAAGAAGACAGTTAACGGTTGAACTTCGCCAATTGCAAATTCTCAGATCCTCTCCGCCCTTCGACTTCAGCCGTCTGCCGCTCTCCTATTGAATCTTTGCCACGATGGAAGTTGGCGAGGGTTCGCAGACTCGATGTGGATGCGGAATTGATTAGCCGAGCTCAATATCCTGCACTGCTGCAGTTCTCCCTACATCAACAGGTGCCCCAAGAACCAAGAAGCGCTTGTTAGTCATGAATTAAGATCTCTGGTTGCTGCACTATGTACATACGCTCTTGAATTTCGAGTCCAGGGGTTTGCAGAGGTAGAATGTCCGCCAAGCTTCCCTTTTATGATTCACCACGTGCTGCTGTGGAGCAAGGAGTGGCTGCCTGCAACCATGTGCCGTTAAGGAGCCCTGAGCTCTTGGGAATGGGAAAGATCCTGGCCATCGTTTACGAACATGCGCAACACGCGCAGCTTCATGCAGGTTTGGCTGCGTGGACAACTCCAGTACTTTGTGACCACAGCCTCCTGAAGTCTACTGTACATAGTCACTGTTCCGGGATCCGAGTTTGGTTATGAGGGAAGAACAGAACCTGCCTACGCATGCGTGCTGCATAAAAGGAGTTTCGGGAGATGCGGGCCGTAAGCTCGTTGGAGGTTTGAAATTGGTGCTTGGCCAAGAACATCGCGACCACGGAGCCACGTGCGCACGGACAAAACTGGTTTCTTGGCATGCGTCTTCGCGAGGTCGAACCAGGAAATGGTGTTCGGCCCCGCAAAACCCACACCCCGCATTTGCCTACCCTACCTCCACTGTCCCCGCCAACTCCATCGCAGACCCTCAAAGTCGGACTCAGACCCACTACACGCAGGCCAATCTTCACGGCAACGCGTCCATACTATCCTGCGATGCAGGTAGAAGGAAGCGCCACATATTGCTGTTCAGCGCCAATGCCTTCTAACACCAGTTGGTTTGCAAACGTGTAGTTTGTGACATCAACTACAACACTAGGCATTAACATACCAATCGCCATGTTGGGAACAGCTGATGATGCGCTCAACTCTGCCCAGTACCAATAGAGAGAGACATCTAGCAGCGGGTGATCGAAGTCCTGGCCATGGAATTTTACTATGCTTAAAGTGGGAAGCTCGATACCAAACGTCGCAATGTGCCCACGCGAGACATGATTGCCTGTTCGCCAAAGGTCGGAGAAAGGATGCTACAACCCGGTAAACCATGTCTTGCTGACAAAAGCTCAAGTTCTATTAACCTCAAACCACGCGTCTGCAGCCCTCATAGATGCCACTAAACTCAATAATACATTGGCAATCCCTTGTTGTGTGCTCATGTTACACAGCAATGTTACCGCACTGATGACAACGTTGCATTACCCGCATCCTCGTCACTCAAGATAAACCTAAAACGCAGATACTGCTTGCAGCTGCACATCAGGAAGCGGATTGCATATTTCACAGCGGTATACCACAGGCCTGGTTCAGCACATACATGATAAGCCGGAATCTACTGCTAACACTGATTGAGAGATAAGGAACATGGTTATCGGCTTTCGAGATGCTGTTGCTGTCTCTGTACCTCTATGTAAGCATGGGCACAGTGTGTTTTAGTTTTCAACCCAAATTGTTCCAGGAGTCAATAGTAGGTCCTTATCACTGGTAAGTAAAGTATGCACCTTGACCTGAACTCTACAACTTGAAGATTTGGGACAACATTTTGAATCCGGAACTGCTACCATAATAGGTTTCTCTACCTTCAAGCGTGTCCTCGTGCTGCAATGCTTCCATCTCGCGAATGTGCTCTGACCCTGTGCTACGGGTAGCAAGCGGTTTTGGTACTAATTTTGTAGGTCTGTTCTCTGTAACCAAGCACGCTAACTGCTTCATCTTATGCAGCTGACGGACTGTTGATGGATTCGTCATCCTGCCAAGAGAGCAAGCCGACGACATCATCACGTGGCTTATGGAGACAGCGCTGCTTCTTCCATGGCACCGGATGTTTTCGATTTGTTGAGGGGACTAGGGAACATGCAGCAGAAGTCTTCGATTCCATTCCAGAAGCAAACCAGGCTTTGTTGGATGTATATCCATTCGCGTTGTGTTCTTGGCTTTGCAGGGCCAACCCAACAAGCCCTTTTGTTTGCCCAACTTAGCTGAGATACAGTAGAAAGTGAGTAGGTGGAAAAGCAAGCCAGGGCATATGATTATAATGTTGCATAATAAATTCCAAAAAAAGAGAGACTTGAATGGTATTTTCTACCCGTCTCATTTTTGAGGGTGTTTGGTCGTGCCCACGACGGCGGCGGGAAAGAGATACTTACCTAGTTACACTTTACCTCCAAGTATCCTCGTGCGTCACCGGAGGAAATTGCTTATTTTGGTATGGGATGCCGCGTATAGTGAGCGTCTTCGATCAGGGTCCAGCAAACGCGAAGCGAACATACCCCTAAATGGACTGTACAGGGCTTTAGCATCAATGAGAGCACTACCGCCTACTCCGACTGTCTTTAATCATATCTGAAGGATTCCTGAGGTCTCCATAAGCAATATAATGAGTTGTAGGTAACAGTTAGGTCAGAAGATCTCAGCAGATGCTGCGTTGATGAACCAGGACCAAGCTGAGGATATTGGGTGCGAGTCTCATGAACGAACAAACACTGGACCTCGGGCGAAGAGAAAAAGGTCCTCGAGTCAGAACTGTATCAAAATGAGCACTTGGAGCGAACAGTCATTAGTTGCTCTTAGCAGATATTTTTGTACGGTTTACCAGTGAAAATGGGTGACATCTAAGTTATTGATCTCCGGGTAGGTTTGAATTAATTTCGAAGCTTAACAGAAGAGAACTTGTTCTATGGACTTGGCTCGGCTTTCCATAGTTGAATGCATCTATCTCGGTACTTTTAGATGTCATACCGGACTCCATGATAGGTCCACATCCACTTATGTCACTGAATCGGATGGGTGATTTGCTCCTCTGCCACAATACTGAGAGGATTGACGATGTAACTTTTGCGACTGCGTCGCCTTTGAGGTAGGTAGAGACATGGATTCTGCTTCCGCTTTCTTTGGAATCCCTTCGCCTTTCTTCTCCTTGGCGAATCCTGTCTTCCCGCTGATGTTCGCAGATGATAATTGTAACAGGGGACTTGGTCTGGTGCAGGCAAAGATATATAATGGGTCAAATGGGTTAGATGATAGCCACTGACGATAGGGGGTGCACAAGAAAGTCAATTGATACGTGTAGCAATCTTTCTTGGTCCTCAGTGTCCTTGTGTTAGGGTGAGGAATAACCAAGAGAAGTCCTTCATCGTGTCCTGGCAGCTTCCTTTATGGAATCCGCTTGCACTTGTGCGTGCCTCGGCCTTCCAGGCTTTTCAAAGGTCTCGTTCTCCTGCCTCGACCATTTGGCTCATTCGGTCGTGTGGTTCCATATATCTTCCGGGTTCAACCACGTATTTGTGTCGTTCACAATCATTCTATCTCTGGTGTCCCTTGTGTTGGCAGGCGGGATACTCCTTTTCTTGGACTGCCGTGTCCATGTGACAGTAACCACTGTTGGAGGTTCTCTCTGACACAATGTTTTAAAGACCTTAGCACTAGAGCTCTGCACTTTACAACCGCCTGCTCTTTTCATTTCTGAATTCTTTGACATTAAATGAAGCTTCTATATAATGCCGTAGTACTTGGAGAAGCGCAGTCCTGGATAGATTGGAGAGAGCATTCCTCGTCTTTACGTTGACAAATTTTTCTCTTTTTATGAGGGGTGAAGGAAGCGAAGGAAAACTCAGACGGAATTTTAGTTCTTGAAACGACGATATTAATAGACGATCCATTCCAGAGCTTTTTATTAGATAGACTGTCCTGGTTGTCTATGCATCAAAGCAATTGATGGATCGCTCGTCCAGCATGCCCCGGAAGCAACGCTAAGTAGTTAGCTAGGTTTTTGTTCCCCCGTATTTGTTGCATCGTTTTGTCACCAATCCTTACTCAGCGTTACCTTTTCGCCAAAGCAGATCTCATGAGATGATTTAACCTACGACTTCGCTTTGTTGTGGACTCCGCGCTTTGCATACGCTGTGACTCCTGATACGGGAAATGTTGTTTCCCCACCCCTTTAGCCAGCCAGTAACTCTTGAGTCTCTCATATCAGATACATCTCGCGATACCCTCGTCCATTAACTTATTATCTTTTACCATAATCAACTCAGCTATCCTTCCACGCTGTTCACTCCTGTTGGCATAGGTCGTACGACGTACTAAGGATTGTTGTGTCGACTGTAGTGACCGTTAAACTTTTGAATATGTTAACTTCTTTTATGATATCATGAATAAACCTACACAATATGAGGGCCCAGGATCCCTAACCTTGAAGTCAACTGGAGTCTTCCATTACTTACAGGACCATTCAACAGTGGAGGGGCGCTGCTCACTGCTGACGAAGTAATTTCATGGTTTTCTCCTGTGATTGAGGGGCAAGTACAATGCTTGAATCTAGCTGTAGCTTGAGTCTTTGGAAACAATGAATTTTGAGCCAGTCATAGTGAGTTTCCCAAACTTTACGATATGTTAACTTGATATTGTCTTAAGTACTGACCCGCTTCCTCATGTGGGTTTGTTAACAGCCACTTGAATTGTTGATGACTGGAAGCTGGGATGAGGAGATTTACCTCATAAGCGCTCGGTTGTGCAATTGGAATCAGTTTACCCTGCAGGTCCCGGGCCTCTTTCCTCTTGCTATCTCTTTCCAAAATTTCCAAAAGTTTGCCGAGTCATGGCGTATAATAAGCCGGGTCTCAAGGACTCGGGGAAGATATTGGCATAACTTGATCGGCCGACAGAGCAGTCTTATCTATAGGCCGATATCAAGAGCAAGATAGAGCCCTCCATCTCGTCGGTGCTGGCAACCCTACCAGCGGCTGCAAGGTACCGATTGCAACCTCCAGCTGCCAAGAAGGGCTTCTGCGGGGAAGATTAGCGAGCGGAAGTCATCCAAGGTATTGGAGCCGACCATATGTATAGCACCGGATGTTGCGAATGCAGGGAGTGAGCTAGAGGTCATCTCATGGACTAAGCAGCCGTTTCAATGAGCGCTGGTTGAGAAAGCCGTCACCATCAAAAGTACAGTTGGCAGCGGTTGAGGCTGTTGGTCACGCAGCGATGTCGAAGTATGGTAGCCTGAATCAGTCGAAAGTGCCGGTGGCGCCGACTGTGCCGGTTTCGCTTGTGGCTCGCGGGGGCAAGGTTGGATTTTGGCAGAGTTGCAGGCGGCGAGCGCTGTCGTATTATTTGTCGCCTCCGAAACCCGGACGACCTGCGGCTTCGAAGAGTAGAAAATCCTGCTCGATTTAGCCATATTTAATATCGAGAGAGTGGTGCTGTTGTGAGAAAATATTTTTTTTGCCGGTTGCGAGAAGGCAGTGGAATTTTGGGCCAAGTTTCTGTGTGTCTCCTGGCTTTGGGCTTGATGCATGCTGATTTACAGTTGCTCACAAACGCTCCAAGTGCGGGGCCAAAGGAGAGCAGCACTGCAACCTAAGACTTTCGTGACAACAGACCGCTGCAGTTTCTGCGCATCATCTGATGGTGTCTGAGTGCCCAAACGGAAAGCCTAACAAATGGCAAATGAAAAACTCTCGCAAGAAAAGATGGACTTCTGTCTCTTTGATTTTGGGTACCTTTTAGTCATTGGCATATAGGTAGATGGGAAGCCAGCAGCCCTCCGAGAGCCGGCCCGAGGGATAGGAGCTTAGGAAAGGTTGACGGAACGCCGAAGGAGGGTCCATTCCGCGGAGGCGCACAGGCCACCTCCTCAGGCAGGCAAGTGGGGGCTTCCCACTGAGCCCTCCGCACTCCGCACGACCCCTGCACACCCAACATCGACTGCCGTGGCCCGTGGCGCGAGAGTAGGGTGTTGTTTGCCCGGGGAATTCTTCAGAGGCAGCCGCGTTTACGACTGCCGTCCATAGGATGTGGACCTAATATGGCAGATTCGGCACCTTCTGTGCAGCAGAAATGCACTCAATGATGTTGAGCGAGCCGCGAGCTACTTGGTAAAGCAGCCAGGCGTGCAATGGCAGGCGCAACTGGCAGCTGGAGCCTGCCCACGGTGGCACCCTAGGGCAAGTACGTATGCGGGATGAGAAGAGTTTTTCAAGCACTAGACTTGTTGGAAACGCGGGATGGCATGTCACAGGGTGGGCAATTTCTGTTGAGTCTGCTGACTGCCTAAGTCGTCGGGACAGTGATGACCGAAGCCTGACTCTGCCCTCGATGACCCCACGTTTTCTCTTCTCCCATCTTGCTTTACGCTTTACCCAGGACAAAGCGGTGAGATGGTTTTCAGAATGAAGCCGTTTTGCCGTATGTTCCCTGCTCCTCGGCCCGCTGGGCAGATCGTGCAGATGGCAAGCTAACCTGGAATGTAGGTACCGGCAGACGGGCAGGTCAGCTGAGACATTGTGGTTACCTGGCTTGTGCCGTCAATGGCCATCTCGGGCAGCGTACCAGTCCGTACCAGTCCGGCATGGATGGCGCTCCTCTCGTCCCGCCTCATATCCACGCGTCCCCACTTGTGTCCTGCGACTACTGCCAGCCTAACAGGACAGGATGGATTCAATGACATGGTATTGTCGAACCAAATGCCTTCCCGATCCACTTTGTGTGCCCCTCCTTTCCGCCCCTCCAAAAGATGAGACAGGTACCCGATGGTCCCCTGAGCTGACTGGTCGGTCTTGGACGAAGAAAGGACCGGCCCGACGTCTGGCTTTACACTGAGGCTTGACGCTTTACTTGGTTCGAGGTCTCCTGGTGTACGGTTCCTGTCATCACAGTCCTGCAACACGTTCAAGTATCCTCGGTTTGCCCCGACTTCATCTCTCTGCGCTCTTTGCGCTTTCGACAAGCTTCTTTCACCGCGTACTGCCCACTGGCCCGCTGCTAACACTCCAACACTTCGCAAGATGAGGAGAGAAGCCATCATCCGCCCCTCTAACAATGGCAACCGCTACGAGCTCACCAGTCCAACGGTCATGCCCAAGGCCGCCGGCTTCCTGTGGAACCAGAAGATGATGATCCAGATCACCTGTCGCGGTTATGCCACGGCTCAGTTCATGCAGCCCGAGCCGTCCAAGTACGCTCATGCCCCGAACATCGAGGCCAAGACGTTTATGCAGCCCGAGCAGAACTACTACACACACCATCCTGGCCGCTTTGTCTACATCAAGGACCTTGAGACAGGGAAACTCTTCTCGGCCCCGTATGAGCCAGTCCGCGCACCCGCCGACCGCTTCGTCTTCTCTGTGGGCAAGACCGATGTCGCTTGGTCTGTCGAGAACCTCGGCATCCGCGTCGAGATGGCAATGGGGCTGCCCACACACGATGTGGTTGAGCTCTGGACTATCAGGGTCACCAATATCTCGGGCCGTCCCCGCACCATCAGCGTCACTCCCTACTTCCCTATCGGGTATATGTCATGGATGAACCAATCAGCTGAGTGGAATCCTGAGCTGGTCGGCATCGTGGCAAGCTGTGTCACCCCTTATCAGAAAGCCGAAGACTACTTCAAGAATAAGTACCTCAAGGACAAGACGTACTTCATCTGCGAAACACCTCCAGACTCATGGGAGGCCAACCAGGAGGCATTCGAGGGCGAGGGTGGGCTTCACTGCCCATCGGCCTTGCAGCTACCACAACTTAGCGGCAGTGATGCGCGCTATGAGACACCGACGGCAGCTGTGCAATACCTCCTTTCCCTAGGACCGGGCGAAGAGCGCGAGTACCGTTTCATATTTGGTCCTGCTTATGACGAAGCCGAGGTCCGTGAAATGAAGAATCGCTACTTGAGTAAGCAGGCCTTTCTGAGGACAGCCGCTGAGTATGCTGCGTACATGGAGCGGGGGCGTGGCTGTCTGTACATTGAGACTCCGGATAAGGATCTGGATAACTTTGTCAACAACTGGCTTCCTCGCCAAGTGTACTACCACGGCGATGTCAACCGACTGACCACGGATCCACAGACGCGCAATTACTTGCAGGACAACATGGGCATGAATTACATCAAGCCAGAAGTCTCTCGGAAGGCGTTTCTCACGGCGCTTTCGCAACAGCGTCCGGATGGCTCCATGCCGGATGGCATTATTTTGGTTGAGGGCGCTCAGTTGAAGTACATCAACCAAGTTCCCCATACTGATCACTGTGTCTGGCTGCCTGTGACACTCGAACTGTATCTCTCCGAGACTGGCGATTACTCTCTATTAGAGGAGTATGTGCAGACGAAGAAAGATAACTTTACCGTGTTTGAAAGACTCTGCAGGGCCATGGACTGGCTATTGAAAGCGAGAGACGAGCGGGGGCTCAGCTACATTGCGCAGGGCGACTGGTGCGATCCGATGAACATGGTCGGCTACAGGGGCAAGGGAGTGTCTGGTTGGCTGACGCTGGCAACTGCTCACGCATTGAATCTCTGGGCAGACGTCTGTGAGCATGAGGGCAAGAAAAACCTCGCCAAACGGTACCGGGATGGCGCAGATGAATGCAATTCTGCAGCCAACAAGTACCTCTGGGACGGCGATTGGTTCGCCCGCGGCATCACCGACGACAACGTCGTCTTTGGTGTTAAGAAGGACCCGAAGGCCGCATCTGGCTCAATCCCCAATCCTGGGCCATCCTGAGCGGCGCTGCCAGCAAAGAACAGATCGCACGCATGATTCCCCAGATCGACCAGCAGCTCAACACTCCGTATGGTGTGCTCATGTTCGCCCCGCCCTTCACCAAGATGCGCGAAGATATCGGCCGCGTCACGCAAAAGGCCATTGGGTCGGCCGAGAACGGCGCCGTCTACAACCATGCCGGAGCCTTTTACATCTGGTCCCTCTACAAGCTGGGCAACCAGCCCGACCGGGCTTACACCCATCTTCGTCAAATGATCCCCGGTCCCAGCGAGGCCGACTACTTCCAGCGCGGCCAGCTACCCGTCTACATCCCCAACTACTACCGCGGTGGCTGGCGCGAATTCCCCCGGACCGCAGGCCGCTCGAGCCAGTTGTTTAACACAGGGACCGTATCATGGGTGTACCGGTGCGTGATTGAGGGGCTGTGTGGGTTACGCGGGGATGATGATGGTCTCTGGGTCCGGCCACAGTTGCCAAGTACATGGGATAGGATGAGGGTGACGCGTGTCTTCCGGGGTGCGACGTTTGTTGTGGAAGTAAGGCGCGGGGATGTTGATACGGTTGTCGTCAAGGTCGGCGACCTCATCTTGCATGAGCCGAAGGTGACCGACTTCCGGGCGGGTGAGACGGTTAAGGTTGAGGTAGTGGTGCCGCAGTAGGTCGGTTGCCGTAATGTGTGATGACAACCGTACCTGTTGCGAGCTGGAAATATCTTAGAGGTGGCATGTTGAGGAATATTGTTTTACGACTTTAGAGCATCCCCCACACGTAAGGTTCCCCTGAGTACCTAATCAAATTCATGGGCAGCTTTTGTCCAGTTATTGCACTTACAACTAATGAGAGGTAATGTAAGCGAGTTAGATGGACCGTTTCTCTGTCTTACCAAAAAGTATCTGAGATCCGCAAGCTTTGTCAACAGTTCTCTTGACGAAACAAACCCATTCCCGGTGCCGAAACCCAGGAATTTAACAAGCAGCCTGCCTCCGACAGCTAGGTTATTCCTGTCCGATTGACCTTTTCTCACTGCAATGGACAAAAGTCCCTCGGCCGGACCTCGGCGTGCATCTTGCTTATTCTGAGCTTCCCGAGACGTTTAATGGTAAGATGGTGCGGTCAAAGGAACGTCATCACGGTGGACAAAGAGTGGGCATCCCGGTTGCGAGTTAGGGGTAGCTGCGCATGGACTTCAGGCACGGGGGGGGCACTGCGCACACGAGGGGGAATTGGGTCCCTCGCCACTTTACTTTTGCTTCATGGGATTTTACTAAGTAGGTTGGCTACGCTTAACAAACCGCCAGCTTGGGATGAGCAGATAATTGAGTCTTTCGCTGGGGAATTTGGGGGATACTTTGCCTGTTGGATGCAGTGTATTGGACGGCTTTGGAAATGGGGGATTGGAGGGATTATCAAGCTCGGAGCTGTAGTCCAAGCTCTTGCTTTGAAGCTCCAAGAGCTTACAGCAACAGTTTTAGCTCCGACGCCACCATACCTCCTGTCTCCAGAAAAACTCAGATTCTGACGCACACGTATCCTTTTATCGCCGACCAATATCGACTTTATCCTGGTCGTGTCATTACCTAGCCACACGCAAGCCTTCCAACAAGCAGTTGGCCATGGTTGTGAGCCGGCCGATACCCGTTTCCCGGCCCGATGACTCGTCTACTTAATCATTGATGCCCGTCCACTGAGAGGTGGCTTTCATTTCCTCTGACACAACAGACAGGCTTGATCAAACTTGATCAATAAGTTTGTTACCACACGCATGAAGCTCACCTTCTCGACTCTGACTTTGCTTTTCCTGTTTGCGTCTCCCTACCTTGCCTTTCCTACCAACCCTTCGACCGCTAACGCCCACACTTCTGAGGGCGCTCCTAAAGTTGCCGGTGACACCAACAATCACGGCAAAAGGACTGCTGCTGGTGGTGGTGTCAAAACCGTCAATGCTAGTGACGGACTCAACACTGATGGACATGGCCTGAACGCTACAGCCGCAGATGCGGCCAAAACAGTCCATGAAACCACACCCGTCGCCAAAGACGCTACGGCGGGGGAGATGCTCTATTTCTTCCCCGTCTCGGCCCCCATCGCTGAAGATATTTCTGCCGCGGTTGACATGGACACATCCAATCTGTACGGCACAGGTTACAACACCAATCCCAAGTCCGACGCCAACACCGACGTTAACAGCGCTAATGGTCCCGCGGCCGACAATGCCAAAGCAACCGCCACAGAGACAGACCACACCATCCGTCCTCCCATGGGGCCAATGGGCATGGGAATGGGAATGGCCCCCATGGACATGGGAATGGGCATGCCAATGATGGGTATGGGCATGGCCCCTATGGCAATGGGAATGGGAATGCGTCCTGGCATGATGGGCATGGGCATGCCGATGCCGGTGATGATGCCGGGGTTGAGCCCCTTGCCGGGAATGGCGATGCCTGTTCCTGTGGACCCGGTTCCCGCGCCAGCGCCGGTTGTGCCGGCCGGAACTGTCCCGCCGGCGGGGGGTGTGCCGGCTGCGGTTAGGCCGGTCAACGCGAGGGGTTGGGTTGAGGTTGACACTGAAGAGAAGTTCGGAGGAGGTGGAGGCAGGTATGGCAAGCGTGATGCTACTTCTTCGGAGAAAGAGGGACATGCCCCTACCCCTGATGCGGGCTTTAATTGGGTTGGTGAAACTGAAGGAGTGAACAAGGAGTACGCCAAGCGCCAGATGGGTGGCATGGCCGGTATGAGAGGTGGTTATCCCGGGACTGGATATGGCGGAGGATATTATGTCTATGGATATCCGCGGTATGGAGGGTATGCTATTGGGTATGGACGTGGTGGGTATGGAGGAGTCGGATATGGTGCTGGTGGATATGGACGGGGTACGGGAGGGTATGCTGGTGGCATGGGCGGTATTGGAGGAGGTGGTATGGGCGGTGGTATGGGCGGCATGGGTGGCATGGGTGGCGGTGGTGGTATGGGAGGAGGAGGTGGTGGGGGAGGAGGCTTCTAAGAAGCTCCGACGTTCTGAAGACTGTTTAGTTGACGATTAACGATGCTATGGAGCTTGGAAACACAGCAAATGATCACTGGCATGGCTTTTTTACAAGGAGGAAAATCACGACCACAGATTGTATTCGTGGATAAGGAAGCTTAGTAATAATGTGGGAGGAAAATATTTGGTATGGAAAAGTATATACACGAAATTTGTACCTAATCAGTGTATCTTATGTACTTGTTCAGGGGGGCAGTGCTTCAAGCATGAACACGTTGGTGTCGGATGTACTGCTTCCCAGTGCTATGTACAGAGGCTGCGTTCAAGGTGTTTGGTGTTTACCAAGTGCGGGGAATGCACTGCTCAGGATTAGCTGGATCCTACGTGAGGGAAAAAAGAATGGATGAGCCTTACCTGAGCATACCACGGGTTATACGTAGTGCAGAGTCCTTCGGCACAGACAGTTGGGCCGACATAGCCGCTGCCACCGCTGCAAGTTGTCAGTTAACATTTCCAAGAAGGCGACTCAGAGGATGGTCACACAACTCACCATTGACCCCAGAGCGTCTGCGCCGAGGTAGCGGGAGGGGGCGTGACGACAGGAGTTGAGACCACGGTGGTGAAGGTAGTGGTAGTTGGCCGAGCTGAAGTACTGGTCGAAGTGCGAGTCGAAGGGACAGTAGTCGACCCGGGCTGGCCATTGCCGCCTCCAGGGCTGCCCTGGCCCCAGCGGAAGCAATCCGCGCCGTCACAATCCAACTGGAAAAATTCAACAACCGTATTTTCCTGCACCTTGATATCATGCGGCACGCCCTGGGCACTCCAAGCCTGCAGCCATCCATTCCCATACACACTCTTCGTCCATCCGGATAGCGGCGTATTGCTTACGACTTGCGTCGGCTGGTCGCCTAGACCCAACACATTTGTCCACTCCTTCACCGCTTCCCCGTGATTCACATAGCTCACAACCTCGTCCGCCGTCCCATGGAAAAGCGCCACTTTCGGTCGCCATCCGTCATATCCGGGATACGCTGCCCGCACACGGTTCCCCCATTCCTCCGCACTCTTGATCACCTGGCCCCGAGCACAGCCATCGTGCCAGTACCCATACTTTCCCTCACTGTTCTCGGGCTCGTAGCATCCGAACGGCACGCCAGCAAATGAGGCGCCGGCGGCGAACACGTCCGGATAGGCGCCCAGCAGGACCTGGCTCATCATGGCTCCGGACGACACACCCGTGACGAAGACCCTCCCGGCATCGGCTCCATAGCGGTTGATAGTCCACTTCACCATGCTCACGATGCCGAGACTATCACCGCCGCCCTCGTGGGTGAGGGTTTCCTTAGAAGAGACGTCCCAGCATTGATCGGCGGCGTTGGGGCTGCCGGGATAAATAACGATGTAGCCGTATCTATCGGCGAGGTTGGCGAATTGGGAGCCGGCGAAGGCGGCTTGGGGAGAACCATGGCACCAGTGAGGGTTGACGAGGATGGGGGGTGCGGGAGGCAGATTGTCGGGGACATAGATGTAGAAGGAGACGTTGCGGGGATTAGAGGCAAGAGGTTCGGTGATGTGTTCGAGGGTTGCCGCAAGGGCGGCTGTAGGGGTCAAAAGGATGGCCAACTTCATCTTCATTTTCATGATGCCTCTGATGGTGATGATTTAGTTTCAGAGTTAAGCCTTGAGGTTCGAGGCGTCCAAATGAAGGCAGTGAGACTAGGGGGTCTGGACATAACATAGTAGAGATGGATATGAGTGAGCGGTATAAGTACTGCTTCTGTTTATATTATGATGGCCGGTAAGGTAGCATGACAAGGTGGTTTCTTAAAGGCTCCCCTGTGGCCTGCCGGGCCGAGAGGTCGGGCGCTGGCCTCGGAGCATCTCCGCCCGTTGCCAGATTGGGCCCGTTCTGCGCGCCGAGACGGACGGCAAGGCCGCCTGCTACCTTGAACTCGCCTACCAGGAAACCTTAAAATACCTACTCTTCGGACTGCGACGCCGACGTAGGATAGGCGCCCCAATCATCATAATATTTTGACAGCGAAGCTCCGCTGAGAAGCGTTGACTGATGACTCCACTCTCGCCTGCGCTGGGTATGGTGTAAATCACCGATACCATCATGCGCTCGATTGAGGAGAAACCTCAATCAGGAATGAAACCTAGTTTTTTTTTTTTTGTCTTTTACTCATAGAACGCTGAGAGGCATCCTGCATGCTCTCTCAACCTTGACGTAAATTGTTGCTTGGTGGCAGTTTGTCTTCGATCGCGTATCTTATCGCTTATTTACGGCTTATCGTTGCCTACCCCGGTCTCGGTGATCTCAAGGCATTGAACTTGGCACTTTCACCACCCTTTACTGACCCAGATCACTCGCGAATATTCCTCTAAAAACCATTGGAAACATTATACAACTTTTTTCTCGATCACTGGTTTGCAACCAGGTTTACTAAGTAAATTTCATGGAATCTTGCAAACTTCCAACTGTGTTTGTTATGGACAGCGGAAACAGCCTCCTTTAATCCAAATTGGAACTACTGGAACTATCTACCTGAGATCTTTCCTCAATCCAAGCCATTACTGATAGCTGATGGTCAGAGTTATTGCACCCTGCGAGTGTCTTCTTTCCTTGTTAAACCAGTAACGGAAAGAGCCAAGGTCTTTCTCACAGAATCCCCCCTTCTCTCTCCATAGCAAGTTTGTGTGATCTTCTGGTTTCAGGACACCATGTTTCGGACAAGCCAAAAAAGTGTCCCAGTGGCTTGTCGGACAGTCGTTTTTCCTCGTACTCAGTATCACCGGAGACTGGTGGTGCCCGGGTTGTACGACAGCTACAGCGCATGATTGGCAAGTCCACAGGCGCCGATATTGAGAGGCGTGGTTCACTGGTTCCCTGGGGAATGGATTTAAGGTCAGGTGGTTCCAGGGTCTCATTGACCTTATTTTGATTTGAAAACACTTGTTAACTGCTTCTTCTTTGTGATTGATTTCTCAACACGTCAACAAACTGCAAAGCTCGTGCTTTCACACAAGATGGAGCCATCCAAACACACAGGGCCCTTGAGAGTTCTGATTATTGGAGCAGGTAAGAATCACCCCGGTGTCTTGATGTATTGTTCTCCGATTAGATTGGTTCGTTGACACAATGGCATGGCTAAGGTTCCGCTGGTCTTTTGTTGGCGCAAATCTTCAAAAAGGCAAGGCTGTCGCTCCTCGCATGCCTTCTTAGATCACAACTCACCTCCTCCCTCCTCTTCTTCAGGCTGGAATTTTGGCAACAGTCTTCGAGCAAGACAGTGGCCCCGACGCCCGCCCTCGCGACTGGAGCTTTGGCATCTACTGGGCCCAGTCACGCATCGACGAATGCCTGACCGACGACCTGAAGGCTCTGGTCGACACAGTCCAAACCGACCCCTCGTACCGCCGGATCCCAGATTCAGTGCTCCCCTTGTATCATGGCACGACAGGAGAGCTGCTCAAGGCTCTACCTGCTCCCTACGCCATCCGGTTGAAGCGGAAAGCATGGCTGGGCTTGCTTCGAACAGGGGTTGACGTTAGAGTAAGGCATCTACCTATCTATCTTTATCCTATCTTCCCTTCGATTGAAGCATGATCTAACCACCAGGTCTGCAGTGGAGCAAAAAGCTCATCGACATCATCACAACAGAGGACGGTGTGACTGCCAGATTCTCAGACGGGACCACAGAAACCGGAACACTCCTTATCGGCTGTGAGGGAGCCCACAGCTTCACACGCCAGTGGCTCTTCCGGTCTTCTCCTCAAGACGCAGCTCTGCAACATGCCCCATTTACGTCGTTCGTGACCATCACCAAACTGGGGGAAATCGGCCGCGCGCTCGTGGACATTCATCCCACATACGCCATCGCCCCAGAGCCAGACGGCTTCTACACGTTCTGGTGTTCGCATGATCATGTTGGAAATGACCCCTCCGAGTGGACGTTCCTAATTATCTTGACGTGGGCAACTGATCGCACGGTAGATCACGATGCGCTAAGCAGAAACAATGATCTATTGCTGGCCGATGTCCGCAAGCGCAGTGACCATTTGGCATATCCTTTCAGGGACATGATTGCGGCCATTCCGAGGGATGCGAAGATTTGGTATCATGATCATATGAACTACTGGCCGACTAAGGCGTGGGATAATAGGGGCGGGCGGGTCACGTTGGCGGGAGACGCAGCGCATACCATGACTTTTCGTAAGTCTTGTGTCTAAGTTGGATGGGAAGTAGTACTAATAAGCCTCTGTAGATCGTGGCCAAGGCCTCGGAAACGCCATTGAGGATGTAGCCGAGCTGCAGACCTACCTCCGTTCCATGAAGTGCCACACGAGAGAGGAGCTAGCCAAGGTTGTGGCAGAGTATGAGAAGGAGGTTTGGAAGAGAGGGGCTGAGGTTGTGGAGGAGAACCTTCAGAACACATATATGGTGCATGATTGGGAGAGGCTGACCCAGAGCCCACTGTTTGCCGGGCTCCATCGGCTGGACTCGGGGGCGAGGCACTAGTCATGGAGCTCTCTATATGTTGGATGAGTAGCTTGGGGATATTTGCCATGCCCTAAGATGATAATATAAGTTTTTTTTCTTGATAAGCCGGCCAAGGAATGGACAGAAACAAACTCAAGACGCAAAGACAGCATGCTTCCCGAACGATACCTTCTCATTGCTCTTCTATTCCCCTCTCTGATCTTCACCTCCATCCTGAGAATCTTCATCCGCCCACCTAATCGTCCTTGGTCTCTCCCTCCTCCCCCTCGCCCACCTCCCCCGTCCCCCCTCCTTTCCTCCCCAGCCACAACCCTAACACCCCCTCGAAACCATCTCGCCCCATCCCCCGCCCCAAGCACCCTCTGCTGCTCCCAACCTTGCCTCACATCCCTCTTCACGCCAGCAGACCTCTGCCTAACTGCCTCGTCAATCCTCTCACCTCCCCTTTGGCTTCCGCCTGCCCCTTCCGGACCTCTTTCCCCCAAACCAGCACTCTCCATCCTCCTTAATGCGATCTCTTGGTCCTGCCTTTCCCTGCTCCCAAGCCCACCTTCCTCCCTCCCTGACCTCCTTCTCCTTCCCCCAGACAACGATAACAGCCCCCACCTAACCTTCTCTACACATCCAAATCCCCTTGCCCCACCCCGGAAGCAACATACCCAAGCCACCCCCACAGGCCACAGCCACCCCATCATAAACAGCCCCACTGTCGTGGCAACACCCACTGGGTTCTGGTGCAGGTATTCATGCCGATGGTGCACTAGCCAGAGACCCGCTAGGAGGGATAATAAACTGTAGGTTCCTAGCACCGTGATGAGGATTTCGTAGTGATGGTGGAGGTGGAAGCCTGTATGTCCGTGGGAGGGTTCAGAGGAGGAGGAGTCTAAGGGGGAGAGAGGGAGGTGGTCTTCGTCTTCGGTGAGGTCGTCGGCTGGTTGCGAGGGGAGGGGGGTGACTGACGCTGTGGGGGTTGGTGGGGGGAAGGAGGGGAGGGTTATGGTTATGGTTTGTGTTTGGATTGGGAAGGGAGTGGTGATGGTTATGGTGATGAAGGTTGTCGAGGTCGGGAGAAGGATTGTTGAAAGGGTTGGGGGTTTAGTGGTGATTGTGGATGTCTTGCTGGCAGGGATGGGTGGCACAACGCTGCTAGTACTGAGGGTGGCGGTAAGGTCGGTGCTGATGATGGTTTCTGTGAGCGTTTGTAAGGTAGAGGTAGTAGCGAGCGTTGGGACCATTGTGTTTGTTGGTATTGGGCTTGATGGTATGCAAGATATAGAACTATCAATCGGGATGGGAAAGCTGCAAGACATGTTGGACTTCTTGGAGAAGAATTAATATCAGTTATGGCTCCATACGAGGGAAAAGAGACAACGATTTTCGACGACTTACCTTTGGAGCTCAGCTAGATGCTTCTGTGCTGAAGGTACAAAAGTGGAAAACAGTCAAGAGTCAAGACGACCAGCATGCCACCCGTGATATAAGCGAGCCGGGTAATCACAGCACATTGACCATTGGACATCTCGGTGGACATTGTGTAACCAAGTACTTGGGTTACCTCCACTTATAGGTGATGCGAGATCCACAATGTTTGTCCATCCTCGAGCGGATGGTGCTTCAGACTTTGCCCTTATTCACTGCTTATTAGTGGGACTCATGTTGGATGGAAGCATTAGGAAACAAGGAGCAATATTTACGTGCTGCTTCGTGATCAGAAACAAAGAGACGGCACCATGTCATTCACATATAGTCATGTCTGGGTAGAGTTCCATTACAAATATTGATATTATAAGATAGCCAATGGAATACGCTTCGCTTTCCTGCCATGACTGCACCCGGCCTATCTAGGAGGGTAATACTGTCTAATTTAAAGATAGGAAGGGAAACCTACTTCATCCCTCTTTTGGCATGGTGTATGCTTTTTCGTATATTGTAGCCATCATGTTTTTTCGCTGTTCCTCTTCCCCTTTTCCTTATCTTTTCTTCCTCCCTAATTTGCAGTAATCCAGCCATCAATCTTCTTCTCAAGCTCACTGAAAAGCTTCCCTTTATTGGCTTTCAGATGAGGAGCTCCCGAGGCCTTCTAGGAGTGTCTGAGAGTCTCTATGATTGAAGTCACACTCTTTATGAAAACTAAGGCTAAGTTTGTCGGTGCATGAGGTATTTGTAGAATCAAGCTTTCCCAGAAGGGGCTCATACACTTGTTTATCTTTTTCAATCAGCCACCAATTCATTCTATTAATTCATTTAACATTGCGGATATAGTGGAGAGGGGCTGCATCGTGTTCTAATTTCGTGCATGACATACTTAAAGATGTGTTTTGCATCTTAGGTTCGGATGTGATGATATCTATGATAACTCCGGTGACAGTTCAAAAAAAATTGCGCGCTTTTCTTCTCAGTTCCTTTGGTTTAGAGTGCCCATCGTAGTTAGTGAGCAGATATATTTCAACTGCTTCTCTGAACTGCCTTGGTCCTCCGCATCTGGCAACCTGATGATATCATCAAAAGGATATGCACAGGAAACAACAGTTCTATCACTCATGATATCTGGGATAACTGTAGGAAAAGTTGGTATGCCAGTGCGCTCAAGCTGCTTTGGTCGCTGATTCTTCTGTGTTTTTGGCGGTGACTGGGGCTTTAAACTCCTATCTTCTGCTGTTGTGCAAAGCTAAATCAACAATAACGGTTAATGATAATAAGTATCTTGATGAATTTGAAACCAATCTCAAGCCAAGTCTGGTGACCATGAATGGCCAGTTCACTTGGAATTTAACCATATTGTAATGGGTGACTTGGTCTGGTGAAGACAGGGATCGACAATGGGTCAAATGGGTTAGATGATGGCCACTGACGATTTGGGGTGCACAGCGAAGTCAATTACTACGTGTAATAATCTTTCTTGGTCCTCAGTGTCCTTTTGTTGGGAAGAGGAAAGCCCAAGAGAAATCCTTCGTTGTGTCCAAGTAGCTCCCCTTATAAAATCTCCTTGCCTTTGTGAGTACCTCGCGGTCTCCTGCAATCTTCAGGGGTTCTCCTCAGCGTGGCAAGGTTATCTAACTCATTCTTGCCATCCCGTCATATTTTCTGGGCTCTACCAATCAGATATGCCTTTGCTCTTCTCAGCTCTTGTATCACTGGTGTTCTATATGTCGACTGTCAAGGATATTTCTTCTCCTTGGACTGCCGTATCCATGTGACACATATAATGAACCAGGCACTCACTAATAAGTTGGGAGGATGCGGATAGTAAGACAAAGAACATTGTAAATTCATATATTAGTAGTGAGACTTGTGACGACTAAATGCCATTTTTTTTGTATGCTGGCTTTGTTTTTTGGTCAAGTCTCCATCCTCTACGGTTTCCAAGATCTACAGGCTCAGGACTCAAGGATTACCTCCCAGACGAAGTAATGTAACAATACGATACTGACACATCGAGTACATGTTCTCATAACACTATGCGCTTCAAAGTTGCGATGTCATAGGATTGTAAATTTACATGAATCAAAGACTAAATGGTATTCTTGTCATTCAGTTTAAGAGATTATCATTATAAGTTGAGGGAACACAAATCATCAACAACGGGCTATGTTGGTTGATCAATGACGTGATTCAATACGTGACTCTCAAAGTGACTGGGAATGCTATCTATCTACCTTATCCATAATCCCTTCTGCCTATGAAGTCAAACCTACTTAGTTAATGTCGAAATATCATCCGCTGAAAAAAAGCCCCATGAAACCTCTGGGGGTTATGGCTAAACGATGTTATTTACCCGCCTGTAGGAGGTAATGTGAGCTAGTCGTAGTTGATGGATGCGGGGCGTTAAAGTCTGTAAGGACTTACAGCCTTAACCGGAGCACCCTTAGGAGCCGCCGCATGAACAGCTCTCCTGGCCCCTCTTGCCACCATCACAACTGCAGTCGGGTGTCTTGACGAGTTGTGGGGTGAAGATGACTAAAGAGTTGGCTCTGTGGTGCTTTTCTGGCTCAGCTGGTTCTAAGTTCTCACGACTAACCTTGACAGTCTGTCTGGGCTCACGTCTTCAGGTAATCTGAGATATGAAACATCACCTTGTATTTCTGGCCTTCCTAATGAAACTGCAGAGTCTTCTCAATGCGCACAAGCAGAGCTCGAGGTGTCCTTCAGGAAAGCGTTCAACATGACATACCTACTAGACCTTCGAAGCACGACAGCATACTCATATTGCTCCGCTGATAACGATGAAGCAGTGAGCTCACCCGATGTCGAGGGTTGTATCTAGGGATCTCTGCTGAGCATAGGACAGACTACATGGCGAATTGTGAGCAATATATACTTTATGTACAACGATTCTAGCTAACTTGTCAACCCTGATTGCTATTCAAGCGAGATATGAGCAGTAGCTCACTCCTGTAACAGGACTCCTCTGTCTGAACGATACTGTATCCACTAAGGGCCAAATTCAGAGTGCTGACCCTTACACACTGGAGGATGGAGGTTCTGAGACACCTGTCCTGCCGACTTCCACAATTGTCGGCATCATCGCCAGATCAGTGGCTCTCCTGTTGCTCTTACTGCTGTGATATTCGTCGATTGCGTGCGCTGTTGATGTAACAAATGCACACGTCAGATCAAGTCTCGATGCCATGCGTCGTGTTTGTCCTTCCAGTGCAAAACACACATGCTGTCCCCTCGTTGTTGGCCTGGTGTCAACAATCCCGGTTCTCAGGGGTTTCCTCAGCCAGACAGCAGTTCTGGTGTTCGAAAACCACCTCAACACGTCAGCGAAGCCCTTGCTTATAGTCATCCAGTGCACGATGACAATGAGACGGCCAGCACAGCAACCACTGCCACAACCAAGAAGCATAACATGGCCTCTCTCTCATCGTTGCATCAGCTAAAACTACCGTCCCTCCCTCGCCTTCTCCACTGCCACAGGCCCATACCTCGACCCCCCTCATCCGACTTTAACTCCCCTCTTTCAGCCACCGTATCCATCCACAGCACTTCGTCCCTGCTTCCGCCCCCTCCGCCGGGTATCCGTAAGTACAACCCTGCCGAGTACGGTGTGCTCAACAGCTCGCCTTTGTCGCCCCTTAGCAGGGTAGCAGCACATTTAGTAGTTCCATCTCCGCCTCTGGTATGGGATTTAATTCAACTTTGAGCAGTCCCGGGAGCAGGCTGGAAAAAGGGAATGTGGCTGACTGGATGGATCAGAAACTTTATCATGCTTCTTCTCGTGCACCTCCTCGGACCAAAACGTCCTCTCAAAGCCCTGGTTTGAGACTGCTTCAGATTCCGCCGTGCCGGAGAGGATGTCGGAACGGAAGAGGCCGCCTCCTCCTGATCGGCCGGCTAGCAGTAATGGCGTGAAGTCTGGTGGTGTGTCAGTTTTTTTCCTCCTCCGCCGCCCACTCCTAAAACGCCGAGGAAAAGTGGTCTTCTTACTGCGGCTAGTAGGGTTATATTGAAGAAAAAGTGGGGTGACTGACCTATAATTGGCAGTCTAGTTGAGTCGGTGGAGATCAAGAGTCAGTTTAAGAGTTCTCTAAGGAGATGAGGTCTTGGTTACGGATGTGATGATCATATGCGTCTGTTGACGGTGTTAATGTTTCAGGTTGAAGAAGCTTGGATATGACTGCATAGGTGTGTATGATGCTGTAAGTGTGCATGGCATCGTGGCTTGCGAGTTTGCAGCTGGAGAGAACTGCCAGTGAGGGGACGACCGGTGATGAGCAGACGCAAATACGTTACTGAAGGTACTGCCAGCTTATATTGATACAGTACATCATATGAATATTGTAATTTCGGGTAATAAGCTCGATGTTATGTATACAAGTCCTAAACCTTAACATACTTTTGCCTTATCTATCCGCCAAGGTTTTATAATACATGAGCCTATACACTAGCAGTAGCCCACACACCTTGTCTCTTTTCTCGACATCACTTCGTTGACTCTATCAGCCGTGTGGAAGGATACTAAATCGGCGATTTGGTGTTCCGAGAAAGTCTCTCTAAGCAGGATACCAGGAGTAAAGCTCATAGCAACTGTAAGGAACCGGAAAGTGGATCCCAAGCTGATCACCTGAGAACCTGTCGGGCCGAAGGAGGATATCGGTAGATTTCTGGTTGCTTACGACGTGGCTGGCGCAAAATGAGAGTACGATCGTACGTCTCTCTATATCTACATGTTTCGATTTTGTTGTGATGAATCAGTGTGAAATATGAGGCATTATGTCAAGATCGTCCTGAGTATTACTGTAGCTAGTAGCCACGGGTTTGGCTTTACTCGTAGCTTTCGCTCTCACTGCAAGACCCCTGAGAATCCCTATCCTTGAAAAGTGGAAAATAATGGTAAGTGGAAAAAGTACGCGGTCACCGAGTACCAGGTCGTGGCTTTCGGAAGAGATTGCGTACTAGACATATCTGATTTCACGATTACACTTAGGCACTCGGTCTGTGAAGACACGGGTAAACCTGCAAACATACAACAATGTGGCTGACATTGGTGGCGTCCCAATCCGTCTGGGTGGGTATCGGAGCGAATCCGAACCAATACCTTGCCATTCGCCAGCTGTATTGGACAAACACCACGTGGAGAAAGCTCAATTGGTGATGTCACTGGCCAGAGGCGAGCTGAAAGCCTTGGTTTTGGTTCAGGCTTGCTGATGAAAAGTATGTTGACTAACAGTTTCTCTTGTGTCAACTTTCAATAGCTCGGATTCTGTTGCTTAACAGTGCTACAGAGGATCCTGTTCATGGTTTTTGCCCTTCACTTCGAGATTCTAATCCCCGTTGATTCAGTCCGTCGAAGCTCCCATTGGCTCTCCCATACCAGACACCGAACTTCTTTCATTCGTGCGTTGTGGGATATTGAGGTAACGAGATATTTCAGTCCTATGATTCCTCTCCATGATGGTAAAGTTACAGTTTAATCCTGAACACCTAATCTCTTCCAAGCACAGCTGCACAAATGGACCAACAATCTTACGAAAACCCCTCCTTTATTGGTTGTAGATGTAACACAAACAACCTTGATTTTGAGGCCTTAAGAAGACACAGCTCTTTTCACTCTCTTGACATCAACACCTGGATTATCCTTCTAAAGTTCCGAGGGCTGACCAACCAAACTATTTCAGTTCTGGGGGTTCGTAGGTAGACTGTTCAAGTGGAAATATTATCCGATAACAGAAATCGTTTCTGGTCTCTTTTAGTAAAACTAAGACGTAACTAAGACGTAAAGTATCACATTCGGTCATGACCTCAGTGCTTCTGACTGTCAGAAGGGAACAATCACCTGTGGGTAGAAGACCAGATGCACACTGCCCACTTTCTGTTGAATTCTCATATTCAGAATACTCGAAAGATATCCATGTCGGTGGCTTCGACGCCCTCGAGCAATTATCCAGCTGAACCAGAGGTGGCCGTCTTTGTAGGCCAGTGCTGTTCCGGGTGGCTGCAGACCTTAGTTCGTTACCGCTGGCACAGGACGTGGTGTCCTCGAAATCATGTCCACTCACCGCTGGGGGACAGTGATGACACTGGCCGAGGGGGACATGAAAAATATTGAAGTTCCGTTGAGCGGAGAGACTTTGCCGTGCTATTCTTGGTCTCTTGTTCAACGCCTTATCCGTGGTTGCGAGAAGGCCGCAGTCGTCACATCTCAGCACGCCTTCTAAGCCAGCCATTTCTCCTAATCGGGGGATCTGGTGTCTCATCAGCTGGTATTGAGCCCCTCCTTGCAGCAGGAACAAGTTTCTTTGTGATACTATATTCCGTATGGGGACAACAAACATGTCATGGAGGACTCGATGGCGAGCTGAAACGTGAGGATTTCCGTTGTGCTTGGAGCCTCTTGCTAAGAGTTGAGGGTGCTCGTTTTTGAAACGAGAAACAACAGCATTCGCAAAACTTATTCAAACTATGTACGCCCGATTATATATGGAGGCCAACACCTGCTACTCCCTCGGCAATCCTCTCGCTTCGACAGAAAGCACCGCAACGTCTTCTCTGTTTTCACGAGTTACGCAAACAATCATCCCCCGAACTCCACAAATCGTTGTTCTTTTCCTATTCTTCTTCCACCATGACTTCCAAGCTTCCCTACGACCCTCAGCTTGTTCTGGGCAGTGTTCTTGAGGGCAGAGCACTTAAGACCCTTACTGACATTGCCAAAGCCTCCGCCGAGCCTGATGCACTATGGGATCAGCTCCAAACGCTCATTGCTTCCAGGAGACGTCTTGACATGACTAAGACGGAGCTTAGTAACCTTGGAATTGAGAACTCTGAGCTCGCAGACATTGACAAGAACATTGGAGACCTGAACAAGACGATCGTGGACCTCGGCAAACAATACGCGCAGAAAAGGTTGGAAGCTGAGAACCAGATTCGGGAGCTGCAATCCAAGATCTCCTCAGTTCATGCCGATGTTGAAAGCCCGATCGACTACGTTCAGACCGCGATCAAGCAGATGCCGCTTGCGCAGATACTCTCAATCTGGATGTTCAGTATTTCAGCTTGGACAGCAACAAGCAGGATGCGTTCACGTTCGCACAGCAAGTTGGGGATTACGTGGCTTCATCCTTCAGTTGGCTGGGTCAGGAGGTCGCGACACAAATCAGCCAGGCTGCGTCGACACAGGTCAGCAGCCAGACCAGCAAGCACACGATTATCGGTACCCTGGTGATTACCGCGTCCTGCAGCCATAAGACCTCGAAGGTCCTGGCGCCTCTTGTCATTGACGTCAACAAGGCCATCGGGGTCTGGAACACCCTATTCCCTGATGACAATATTCCGTCGACGAGTATGTCACTGGAGAATGCGTATAACCTGATCAAGGAGGCCTCTGCAAACACGGATGGCAAGGAAAAGAACAGGTTCACCATCATCTCGGGGATGACCATGGGTTCCTGCTTCGTATGCATGGTCCACATTCTCAATACCAGCAATACCGCGGCTCAAGAGATCATGCAAGATGTCAAGCAGACGCTACAGGTTCAGGCGCAGATGGATGCAGCATCATGGTTCGCTAAGATGTCCGGTGGGTTTGGCGCGGATTTCAATCTCGCTGAGAGTGTCAAGAGTCTCTTCAGTACCCAGAATATCCAGTCTCATGTTACCCTTGCCTGCCTGGGTGTTATCCCATCAATCGTCTCGAACGAGGTTCAGCTGAGCGTTGAGGGCTTTTCTAAGTTCGATCCGGCGAGTAGCATGGAGGCCCTGAGCATTCTCGACAGCAGCACTGCTGATCAGGCAGACTCGATTAAGGGTGCAGCCGAGGCGGCTCGCAAGGGCCAAGAGATGGTCACGCTCAAGACCAGCACAATGAAGGCTGCTCTGACGGCTCTGGGAGAGATAGATGACGGCCGTAACAAGGTCCTCGACATCAACTCTATGATGACTGCCTTCGAGGACTACCTCCGCAAGGTTGAGGAAGGCGATTCTGGCATACCTGTCAATTACTACACCAAAGACTACACCAAGGATGTCATCCTCAAGATGTGGATCGCCAAGTATTATCCTGGCCGTGACCCTACCGAGATACACCCTGGCGGTGATGATCAGTAAATGTCAAGCTCAGCATATAGGGGCAAGGTCCATTCTCAGACAAGTTGAAGTAGAACAAAAAACATGCATTGTTGGGTGAGCTGAGCGAGGAGCATGAACTCAGATTGCCCCCGGTTACTTTCCTTTTTTTTTTCTCTGTGCTTTTTCCTGATTGATCTCCTTGTTGTTGCCGGCCGGTCTTCACACTCTAATTGCTGATCGCGATCGCCCTGTCAGTTCTGTTAGTCCTAGTTAGGCACCTAGTCAGTTGCAATTGACAGTTTGTTTTACCAATGATATCTTCCGCCAACGTCCGATAGCACGCCTACAAGCCATGGCCACAATGCCCTTTGCGATATGCACCAATACAAATGTCGATAACAGCAGAATGTCCCAAGAGAGAGTTAGTGCGCAGAGCTAAGTTGTTTCCTTCTCACATTCTCAGCACGGCGCCTTTACTCCCGCTGATACGTCTAAACAATAGCTCTGAATGTTGATTACATACTCTAAGACTATTTCCTTTGTTTACCAAGTCCACCTAATCGTACTATTGTCTAGGAATTGGCAAGAAGGGACAGTCAAAATTCCACTAGTGGTAGATGAAAGTCATTCAAGAGCCGGTGTTTTCCCCTTAGATATCCACCTCTATGGGATGTGAAACCGGTCCAATTCAAAGAAAGAATTGGGGGAACCCAGCCTGATTCTTCTTCGAGGCTCCAGGGGACGTACATAGCTTTTCGCTTCTGTTGTGGCCTTCTGGTCAGGAACCCTCCTCGACTAGAGGCATTGTTGCTTAGCATCAATGTAAGTACTGTACTTAGAGTCCCCCTCCATCTTTGGAAAATAAACCAACTTTGTAAGTCCTTAAATGGCCCCGTCAAACAAAGAACTCTCCACTCCAAGCCTCTGCAACGGCCTTCGCAACCAACCTGTTAATCAGCACGCCCGGATGGTAGTCATTGAACCACAGACACGACATTCCATCGCTGTTGTAGCACTCATTGTCCGGGGCGCCATAGGCAGTCGGATTGTCGAGAGCAGTGTCGAAGGGGCCCAAAGTGTCAACAATCTTGGCCGTCACTCCGCTGTTCTGCGCCGTAAATTCCTCCAGGCGCCTGGCAATGGCCGTGTTGTACTTCTTGATCGCCTGGAGCTCCATGGCGCGGACTTCAGCAGATTCTCCGAGCATAGCGGGCGTCCGGTGGATGGCTTTTGGGTTGTCGTGTTAGCTTCCTTTTTCGTCGGGCTAGATCGTTGAGGGTAACACTCACAAGGAACGCCCAACAGCACGAACTTCCTAGCGCCAGCATCGTAAAGGATCTGCAACTGTCTGAAATAACTATCCATGATTCTCTCCACGATATCCTCATAATCCTCCTTCCACCACGTGTTTCCCACATCATTCACGCCCATCCACACACCAAACAGTGCATTTTCCGACGTCCAGGGGGCATACTCTGGATGGCTGGCGATGCTCTCGCTGAACTGTGCGACCTGATCGACAAAGCTTAGCACGTCGGGACGCCAGGGCTCGACGATGGAGGCGTTGGTTGTAGCACCGCCGTACGCGTAGTTGTAGGTGAGCAAGGTCGAGGCGTTGAATTCTGCGGTCAGGAAGCCGACCCAGTTATAGCCACCCGAGGCAGTCCAGCCGGGGAGAGGGGGGGTTACCGAGCGGGTTGCCGGGGGATGGCTTCGTGCCGGTGATGTCGAAGCCTGTTTGAGAGTAAGAATCGCCGCTGGAGGAGGTCAGACCGTGTCTTTCTGTACGAAGGGGACAAGCAAGGTTACGTACAAAGTAATTAGGTACTGGATCTCGCAGCCGTCGGTGCTGGTGGGTGCGGGGGCGATGCTGGTTGATGTCGTGCGAGTTGAGGTGACCAACGTCGTCGATGAGCTTGAAGTGGTTACAACCGGGGAGATCGTCATAGCTGACGAAATGGAGATGCTCGTGCTGGTGCTCGACGTCGCTGAAGACGAGCTCGTCTCGGTCGGGGTGTCCGAGGTGCTCGTCGAGCTTGTCGAGGGTGCCTCACCCGGGACGCACTGGTCTATGGCTCGGTCAGCCCCAATTCTTCAGATTAATCCACTTTCCCTCGAGCTCCTACTCACGATACCAGTCATTCCAGGCCTGACAATACGACCCAGAAGGGCATTGCGTTGGCCCATTGTAATTAATCCCGCCACATTGATGCCATAGCTGACTAGTGCCTGACGACTGAGCAAGCGCTGGAGCCGCAAGCATAGCCAGCGCGGCGGCGCCGGCGATAAGGCTCTGTCCACCCATAGCGTTGGAGGATGACAAGCCCGAGTCAACAACAACTGGGACTGAATCTTGCGAAGATGGTCATAACCTCCCCAACATGCTATGGCGATCTCCCTCCTGGGCACTACCCTAATATATTAAGCTCCAGTATGCGGTCTGCCATGCCCATATTCAACGTCGACCTCGTTGTTCCGCTCTCCCGGGTATGTGATCGTAATGTAGTAACCTCCAAATGGTGTAAGACGATTGGTGGATTCCTCCCCTCGACCCCCGAAAGTGGGTCAACCCAATGCAGGAGGGCGGAAGGAGACGTTGCGCGGGGATGGGACGCCGAACAGGCGAGAGCGACAGATAGTCCAGGCTAATGATTCGTCTCGAAGCTTACACAGCGGAGGTTCCCCCGGGATAGGCGAAGACGCCGATGGGGAGGAACCCGAAGGGGGGGGGGGGGAAATGATGCTCCGATATACTAGAGTTGAACTTGGGTTGAAGCTCCATATACCATGGCGGGGAAAAGAAGATGAATATAGATGCGTTCCGAAGATGTAGACGCCATCCTTGTAGGGGATGAAAATGAGGGCTTTGCGAGGTCTGAGAGTCATTCAGTAAAAGGATGGTAAACAAAGTCTGGAAGTTGGGAGGAGCCAACTCTTACTGAGTGTTAGACTCGTTTTTGTGTGAGGCCAGTATGGCAAATACCAGGACGCCAAGACAAATAATCGATGCAACGCACTTGGGGACCGTTCAAACTGGGCCGCTGAAACAGACATCAAGTAAACAGTATATGGTATCATACAGAACCAGCCAACCTAACCCTAATACCCAACCAATTACCCAACCATTCCAGTTAGCATCCTTTCCCCAAGTTCATTATGGGTATCATCGTATTCCCTGATTGTCACATGCCTCCATCATCTATCTCCCTCACACTGTCTCCTTCCACACTGGCAAGAAAATAAACATCAGCACACACACCGTCGCAAAGATACTGCCTCCCACCAAGCTCTGAAACACAATTTTTTCTCTGCAATCTCCTCAAATGTCTCTCCTGCACCTTCAGCCTCCGGTCAAATATCATCAGCCTCTTCAGTGTTGCCAACACACTAAACCCCTTTGCCAGTCGCTTATTCTCCTTCATTCCGCCTCCTTGGCCCGACCTCCTCCTGCTATCCTTATTCACCATGGTCCCCTCAGCATCCTCACCAACCCTCTCCCACGGCAAAGGCTGCCTCCGAGAGAAGAGCAACAGAAAGAAACAGCTTCCCCGCAACCCGCTCAACACCAACGTCATGCCAAGCCACCAGAGCGGCCACGGCGCCCACGCCTCCCATCTCGTGTGCGCGCCACGGAAGGGGTGAAACGCCCGCACGAAGACGACAAGGAAGCCGCAGAGTAGATTCAGCCAGCCCAGGACTGTGGCGACACACACCGTCTCGAAGGTGCCGTTGCCGACGCCGAGACGAATAAAGTTCCGATGCGAGCAGTTGCGAAGGAGCGAGTAAACGTAGTCGGCAACGGGACGCAGGGCCGAGGGATGCTGTGTGCGCTGGAGGTCGGCGAGGGCTTGGGCGCGCATGGCTGGGGGGATGTTTAGTTCCTTGGGGGAGTTGGGGAGCAGGAAGAGGTTCTTGATGACTTCGAGGTCTTCGGAGAGGGGACGGGTACGCGAGGGCTCGGGGACCTTGAGCGAGGTGGTTTCGCTTGCCGACGTAGACTGGGAGCGGGATAGCTTAGAGCGAGCGTTGCCATTGGGGGGCGTTGGGGGCGGGGGAGGGAAGGCACAGGAGCCGCCGCAGGCGGCAGTCGTAGGGATCAGGAAGGAGATGCGATTGAGGGCAGCCCGGGCTGATAAGAGTCAGAGAAGTTCTGCCTTAATTAAGGGGGGAAGAGGAGGGTGTCTGGGCAGTGCTTACCGGCTTCCAGGTCGAGGGTATCCTCCTGCTCGTTATCGCTGCCGTCATCATCATTGGAATTTCGGTTTGCCAGACTGTCACCAGCCTTGATGCGAGAGACAGACGAGCTCGAGTAGCCGGCGGAAGGGAGAGCTCCGTAATTCTTGTCATCGACGTTGAGCCGACCCTTCTCCCAAGCTGCCTCATAATTCTTGAACCTACTAAGGGTCAGTGTTTGTCACAATGTATGGGACTCAGAGTCTCCCACCAGATGTAGAACTCCAAGTTCTCGGCCGAGAACTCAATGTACTTGAGGTACATGTAGAAGTCATACAGGGACATGGGACTGCCTGTAAGGCGTCAGGTTACGTCCTTGCCAAAGCACTTCCATATGTGCTCTTACAGGTTTTATTGGCAAGTATCCTCTCGAGGCGCAGACGAGAAGGGATGCCGCCATGGCGGTCAGGGCTCATGGGGCGCTTGCCCGTGCTAATGCTGGTGGCATAATCCCTGATGTCGCGATACTCTGGCTTCTTGTACCAGCTCAGCCATGATGGGATGCGGAACGACATGGCGGTGACTGATGGATGAGTGCCCAACGTGCTGTTGAGATCGAGTCGAAAGGGCCACGATCTAGGATTATGTCAAGTCTTGAGAGATCGTCAGAAGTAGGAAGCCACCTGCATGTCTCACTCCGACGCTAGTCTAGCAGAGGCTTGGTCCATCGAAGAGATCAATAAGATCCAGAAGAAGAGGGTGAGAGAGGGGAAAGGGGGAGGGGGAGCAGTCCGACAAGCATATGTAGGGCCCAGAAGGCAGATAGAGCCGTCGAGATCGGGCACGCTCGGTGATACCGCTCCACTGACCGTCTACGTCCACATCCATATCCCATCCACGTCCACATCCACATTCACATCCACTCCCGTTGGCGGTTGGGCTAAAACCAAGCCGATAATGCATGAAACAGGCCATAGCGTTTGTGATGTTTCTTGCGCACCGAAATCCCAGCACCCGGCACCCACAGCACAGAGTACTGGAAGCGATCGCGTGCAGGGAGATCCGTGCCCTGCAGCGAATGTCCAAGCCAGACTTCGGTAGGTGACCACTTGACACCTGGTACTGAAGACAGAGTATCCAAACAGTGGGGATTGCTAGGGCCTCCACATGGCACATCCTGCATCCTGCAAGGCGGAGTGATCAGGGAGAGAATGTGTGGATTGTTCATTCCTCATTCTGGCCAATTTGGTGGCAGCCTCCGAGTGTTTGGAGTGTTTGGAAACATGAACGCAAGCAGCTGAGTGCTGAGATCGGAGCCGTCAATTTTTTACGGTTTGCTACAGCTCATCCTCAGCCGCAGGTTTCCGTCATGACGCCTCGGGACGACAACGGATAGACAGGGGGTCAAGGAGCAGGTGAGCGCAGGATCTTCATGACCTGCTTGCTTGTGCTTGGCTTTTTCGCATCTTCGTCTTCGTCTGCTTTCCTGTCGTGGCTGTTTGCTTGCAGCCGACAGATCATTTCCCTTCTGCTCCTACTGACAGCCTACAGCCAGCCTGTCGTTCCTGGAGGCTGTCTGTCAGTATGTCTTCACACAGTAAGCACTTGTCCATTCTCGCAGCGTTTCCGCTCTTTTTCTACCCCTCCTCTATTTCACTTTTCCTCTTGCCGGTCCGTTCTGGAGACACATCACAGGGCGGGAGCCCACACCGCAGACTGCTATCAGGTCAAAGCGCCTTCTCCGCGTGCATCGCAGCCTATTAGAGAACAGATATCAAAAGCGCACACGACGGCGTCCGAGTCGATGTCACCGTCTCGGGTGTTTGTACGCGATGGTGTCGTAGCGTTGATAGCGCGGATTCCCAAACGGAATCCGGCCGGCACAAGATTAGCAGTCCCTGGGTTAAATTCGCTTTTTGCTTGCTGCTTGTTGTGATGGCTGCTGCAATCGAATTCCAATCGGCGCCAACGGTGCTGTGGCCCGTGGCCTTTGGTCCTTGTTTTCTGCGATTGCCGCGCTGCTCCATTCTTCGGAACCCTCAAACGGGCCCTCAGATCCTGGTCCCTGCACCTAACCTCTCATTCTTGGCTCTGATCTTCCATTTCGTCTCCACTCTTGGGAATTAAAGCAAGGGCCAGTGGTTCCCATAACTCCCCCACCCACGTGGCCCAAGCCAGGCACCAGGGTCCAGATTCTTGCAACATCTTTCGCAACACTTCGACCGAGAACAACCCGAGCCTTGCTCCTTCCGGCTGAGCGTCTTCTTCTCCTCTCCACTTCTCCCAGCTTTTAGCTACACAGTGCCCAGCTGGGTCTGCCGCAGACCGCCAAGCCTGCAAAGAGTGGAAGCCTAAGTGGCCCTGAGGGCCCGTGCGGCTCCTGGGCATTGGGGTTGAGCCCTTTCCCACGCCACCATACCTGGCTGGTCTTGGACCCCTGATGAATGTCATACAGGCCGGCCGCGTTTTTTTGTGTCCAGCCGATTTGGAATCCGGCTTCCGAGTTGGCGCTGCCGCTCTGGCATCGTCAAGCCTTATCGGAATCTTCCGTGACCCGCTCGATAAGCTGGACGTTCGCGCAGCCTCAGGTCTGTGATCGACTATGGGAAGCTGACAAGCTGGGCTGTTTATCAACCCCACGATAGTGAAGTCATTGACGTCAATGTTGACTTGAAACTCTGCCTCTTTTGCCCTTTTCCCTCTCCCCGACCCCCAGCGTGGAACTCCATCCTTTGATACTACGAGCTGGGCAGGCGCAGTGATTGCATAGCTTCGCAATTTTCAACCCTACGCCACACTTTTTGGCGTTCTCGCTAACCAATGCTATCTCTGCCTTCACAACCGGGTTTGGCACTGAACGTTCGCAGCTGAGAAGTAACGCTGGCCGAGGTTGTAACAGTGCAAGATGGTGGCGTCAGGTCGCAGTGTGTTGCGTGACAAGACATTTTGCTACAAAGTCAGGCAACGAGACGAACCAATTTGCTCCAGTTTCACAGCGTGTTACTCAGCTCATAAAACCCTTAGCTGCCATTTGTCTTCGTGCTGCAGGTACAACCGAACTCTTCCGGCACTTGGAGATCAATGCATCTTTGTTTCTATTTTCCGACCGTTTCACCACTGAGGGTGCTAAGTCGTGCCCACGGCGCCGTAGGGAGATCAATGCATCACCCAGTTCCCGCAGATGCCCTCCCGTTCGGCGGAAGATTCAAGTCTGCTGTCTTGATGCCCGCGAATATTGTTTAGTCTTCATGTGGGGAAAAAAAAGCAAGAAATACTCTCCAAGGGTCAACTGGTGGCGTAAGAGAGAGCAATCTCGGTCCTGTGGTATGACAGCTGCTGGCGTAGCGGATGGAATCTCTTGACCATGATTCAGAACAACCCGAAACTGATGTTCAAAAAGGCCCCTCCACAAGCGACAGTTCTGCCCAGAGTTTGCGACCTCCGTATTGCTAACTGGGCAGAAAAGAATGCTGTTAGTCTTCAGCGGACTTGCTAGCACTTGAGCAGCGCTGTAACAGCTCGTGAAGCATCTCCACAAGTCCTTCCAAGCGGCTTGAGAAGTGAGAGGCTTCTTCCCATGTTGCTCTGCTTCAGTTGATAACAAGTTACAAGCAACGTTATTACATGCTCCCATCGAGTAGTCCATGGACACGAACTCGGAAGGGGCTTCCGTGAGAGACTGCCAGTCTTCTTGGCCAAGTTGTGGGTAAGACTAACTCAAGGAAAGATACCAGAAGGGTCGCGATGATAGGTATATAAGAATCTGCTGTAGCTCGGTTAATAACTACCAATCTGATGCCGAGTGTTTGATAACAGATACACAAAAAACAGTTAGTTGCACGCTCGCGTAAGAGCCACATATTTGTCAACTAAGAGATATATCATTGAGTCTATTAGGGCATTGTTCACAATATCCAAAGCCCTCTTCTCACTGAGACTAAAACATAAGATAACACTTAAACCTAGTATAGGCATCCTCTTTGGCCTTTTACTATTCTCCCCTCTGTATCTAGTTCCCCGGTTCGAACTGTCACCCCATAGCGTGCGTAACCTCCCTCTTCCTCTCCGGCAACATGTCATCCTTCACCCACAACAACGCCCTGATCTCCTCCTCCGCACTCTTCCCCGTCAATGCATCCGTCACAATCTGCATCACCCTCCCATACAACAGATTCATCTCCAAGCAGCTCGTCACGGCCAACAGCTTGCACGACAACCTCGAGCTCGGCAGGTGGTAGATTTACCCCCCATCCCAAGTATGGATTTTGATCCTTTCACGAGCCGCGGCCCGCTCCGCTGGCAATGCTTCCGAAGCCTTCGCTTCCACTTTATTGTGCCCGCTCTTCCTACGCGTAGCCATCAGCTCAACCATAGTCTGCTCCTTGGGCAGATCTTTGTATTGCGTAGCCCAGTGAAAGATGTGTTTCAGATGTTCGTTGTTGACGTTCTGGATGTTGAGGAGGATGGGATTGACCCATACATTTGCGTGGCCGCCTAAGTCGGCGAAGGCCATGCAGAGGACGGCAAAGCGTTCCAAGGCGAGAAGCTCGGCCTCGAAGGTTCTGGTTTGGGGGCCATTGGCAACGTTTTTGATGTTGATTAGAATGAGAGGGAGCCAAGGTGGAGGGCTTGCAGGGGGAAGGGGATGGGGGATAGGAAAAGAGGAAAACATGTTGTTGTTCACCAAGTCCGGCTGAGTCGGGGTTGACTTGCCAGATGAGAGGACTGGTTCGGAGAGCTGCTTCACTCAGAGCCTGGATGAACGGGGATCCGAGATCGACTATCATGACTATCTCGGTTAATATACCTCGATGGATTGAGTCCATTGCTTGAGTCAGTCCTGCCATTTGATTGGTGGCAACCAAGAACCTCAGCAATTGTGATGATGGTTTTGCGATCGATATGGTTCTATTTTAACAGTTATGCTTGGGCCAGAGTTTGGCTTGGGACTTGTTCCATTAGCAGTTACACAATAACTTGTTTGTATCTGGCTGAAAACTGATAATTGTTTCTTGGGTCCGGTGATACTTGTAGTTTCTGTCACGCATTATGATAAGACTGAGTGACTGAGAGTCCAGAGAAAACCACCTTGGTTAGGTCCGCATTCTGAGCTGCTCGCTATGAGAGTTTGTAACCATCCTGCCTACTTCTTACCTAAGCAGAATTGCTTGAGAGGACATGATTGAGGTAATTCAAGGTATTTAGGTGAGGTTGTTGTCCTCTATAGTTGGATGGTTTGAACAGTCAAATATCATCAACTCAACCACAGCGGTTGTAACTACAGCTTGGGCGGTATGAAAAATTGGAATTTCACCGTTGAGTAATTGAGATACCATGGTATGCCATAATATCTTGCATGTTCTTCAGTCACCTGAGCAGACATCCTCTCGGAACGGTAGAAAGCCAATGTGGGCGTGCACCAGAGCAGTAAAGCCAAGCATGACACTTATTACAATGAATTAGTCTCCGTTTTTGGAGGTATTGCCATGATAAGAAATGCTCGGAGACTAAGGGGTCATGACTACCTAGTTATGTTTCAATAAATAACATCTCAGGTTGTTGCCAGGATATACTAAACACAGATCTGATCACAGGTTAGGCGTCAAGCGCGCTGAGATAAACCCTATTGACACTCGACACCCACGATTCTAGCCTCTCAGGTCCTGAGCGCTGGATCGTGGCTGTTTCATGTTTTTCAAGCTTCCAATCCTCCAGAGGCTTGGGCATTGATGTTAAGGCAGATATGGTTGGGAACAACCCGGATATAATTGATGAACAAGGCTGGGATAATGCTCAAAATAGGCGACAGAATTTTGGTGAGGCCGGGCCTTAACTAGCGAATAGAGATGAGTTCTTTTCTTAGAACATACAAATCCCCAATCTCCCAATGGTGGTTCGAGAGCGGAGATCTTATCTTCCTTTTACCATCGTAAAGTTCACTTCCGAAAACGTAGTTTTTCCCCCCTGCACTGCTGACATGCATGCTTGGAACCTCTTTCTCTGACTCTAGCCACAATGGCTATGTCATCATCCTGTCCTGTTTCCGCCCATTTGGATAGTCACATGTTATCGCCCAGCCAAGGTTCCCTTTCCCAATGTGACCTTCCTCACTTCGACTATCTTTGCCGCTGCCCATCCAAGTGCGGCACAGGGCTCTCACAACATGAGGCTATTGCCTGGCCGCAGCCCGTAGTATCGGGACAGTGGGCGCTAGTGGAACGGGAGGATGGCACGCAAAACAAGAGTGATAGTGGCGACGGGACAAGAAAAAAGCGGGGGAAAAGGTTGCCGGGAGGGGCCAAGACCGATTGGCTGAATAGTTTACTTGAAAAGTTCGCAGCAAGGGATTCATAGAAACAACGGCAGCACACAAGCACAAATGAACCATTCTTCTCAGAGTGGTAAGGTAAGTGGGCCATTGATGTTACACAAACGTGGCGCGTGAGATGGAACAGATCGACAAAGCCACAGGCCACAAGGTCAAACAGCTGCGACCTCGAGATCTAGCCTATGGTAACACCAAGACGAATGTTGCGGGTAATTGTCTTCAAAAAATATAGATCAACAGCCTTCCTCTCACTACTGCAGATGTTAGATGCATCATGAACGGGCGGCTAAATCCTACGGCTGGATCGCCTTCGCCATTCCATTTCATCATCAAGCCCTGGCCCACACTGCGACTGTTGGTGCTTGTGTGCAGAGGAGGGTGCAGCCGGACAAGCGAAACGGGATAAGTCCCGGAATCAAGCAAGGTTGTTTTGGTTGGTTGGACGAATTAAGTACCTCACACGATGCTCGAAAGAATGGGATAAACTGCGCCACAGCCAACCACACACCACATGGCCAAGCACCTAAGTACCCCAAGCAGACCCAAACAGCCGCGTGTGAATGTCTGTTCCATTTCGATCGCCGCGCCGCCGATCACATTTGTACTTCCGCAATCTGTCGGCAAAGACATGTTATCTATGATTGCTTCCCCGGCGTTTGTGGCATGAGGTACCCCAATGCCAGCAGTAACCCGTAGGGCCTGCATATCAGCACCTTGCCTTCTTCTGAATCGTCTGACGCTTGACGTCTTCTCCAAACCCAAATTCCCGGGGCATCCTTGGTAGAATAATCAAGAACCCAAAGCATGACGCGCAGATTAACTTCTCCATTATCATCATCATATTCACCACATCCGAACAACCTGCTCTGGCTGTTGTTCACGGGTGCGAGCGTGCTACCATGGCAGGGCACCTGTGCCGCTGAAACAAAGTGCTACGACACATGGGGGAATGAGGACCCAGATCAACAACCATGCCTATCTGGCTCATCAGACACCGCGACCTGGTGCTGTCGCAAGACCGACCAGTGCCTGACTAACGGGCTTTGCCTCAGCCCCGGCCTGAATAATCTCATGACCCAGCAGGGTTGTACAGATAAAAACTGGGGCGCGCCGTGTATTAAGTTTTGTTCGAGCAAACGTGCGTGTGCGCCATTCCGACAACAATCATGTGGAACTGCTTACTGACACCTACCTCCAAACAGAACAAGATCTGGGTGTGGTTCCTTTACTCCCCTGCCCCTCCAGCTTCGACGCCCGCACTGGTGCCGTCAAGTTCTGTTGTGGCCCTGAAGCCACCTCCTGCTGCGCGACCCCCTCCCTTTGGATCACCATCGCGACTGCCACCGCTATTCCCTCCCGCTCTTCCTCTTCTTCAGCCTCCAACCAAACCCTCAAAATCGGTCTCGGTATCGGTCTCGGCATAGGCATCCCCATCCTGCTCGTCCTCCTCGGGGTGCTTTACCTCCTCTGCCAACCCGTCCGTCGGCGCGGCTACGCTAAGTCCTCCTCGCGCGGCGGAACAAGCACCAACGGTGGCGACAAAAATCGCAGAAGAAGAGGCCGCAGACAGTCGTTCGGCGACATCGATACCAACCCGCCACCCGCAAGCGATGACGAAGCCAATGCAACAGGGCGCGTGGAATGGGCCGATCAGCAGAATTACCCCCCGCCGCCGCCAGCGACGATCGGGTCTATGGGGAGCTGGCGGTCTGCTTTCCAGTATGGGTTCCATCACCACCAGCAGCATCAACAGCCGCCGCCTAGTCCGCGGGAGCTGGATGCGGAGGAGCCGAATGTTCGATCGAGGAAGGGAGGGGGGTTAGCGAGATTCAGAGCGGAGTTGCCGGCGGATAATGTGCCGAAGGAAGACAGGAGTGTGTCAAGGCAGGAGGGTAAGGGGAATAAGGTGCCGGCGGAGAATGTCGAGTTGCCCACGCCGGATAGGGTCAGTCCGCCGCCGAGGTCGGATTCGTTAGGGAATTTGTTGAACAAGAAAGAAAAGGGGGAGAGGGTCGCGGATGGTCAATAAGGACAAAGGTAGGAGAGTGTCATGTCTTCGAAGGAATGCTGTCATCATCCATGGGACATTGGCCCCGCACATAAGAATAGAGCTATTTTGTATTCTGCTGATCATCGTCCCGATTCTAGCGTATAGACAAAGGGAAGACCAAGGAATATAATAATAGGAAAAGCAGAGAAAGAGGGAAAAAAGACAAAAGAGAAGTGTCTGTTGACATCGGGAATTGAGCCCGACGTGGGGGTCGAACCCACAACCTTGAGATGACGGAGATCTTGATATCCTTAAGAGTCTCACGCTCTACCGATTGAGCTAGCCGGGCGCCCGCTGTATTTGGTGAAGATATTGCCTTCGGCGCAGAGTTTTTCTTTGGACTGCACTGGCAAATTTTCTACCTCCGTGGAACTTTGGGGTGGACCTCTTCGCGTTTTGGGGGCGCGTCTGTGGAGATGTCACGGGATTTAGTGATGTGGGTCGGAGGATGGTGCCAAAACGGACCGGAACGGACCGTCTCGGGTGCAAATCAGCTGAATCGGTCGCCGTGGTCGACCCAGGAAGTTGCCGATCGTAAACACCAGCCCCTGGAGGAACGACTACTAGGCATATTGCCACATGGAGGGAGCGAGCTATGAAATGAATTCCACGTTTGGACATTCTTCCAATATTACCCTTTAATCCACTTGCCCGTCAGTGATTGCCGTGAGTCCTTCGCATGGACAGTGATTCTGATGGGATATGATATACCCATGATCAATAGCAGGCAAACTCCCATCTTCGATTGCAAGATTTGAAGATATGAGGGATGGGATACCAAGAAAAGGCTCAAACGCCAGCACAGAACAAAGGCCAGGCCTCGGTGTCTCGAAGCCCTCCCATGCTATTCTTCGGATGCGACGGGTCCGGATGCCAAGCACACATTCACCCCGGGCTACAAAGACATGTCGAAAGTCCTGGAGAGTTTGCTGCGCTTAATCTCCTTTATCATTTCAAGACCTTGTGACATGTTCTTTGGTACTTCTCAGTTGAGTAAAAGATCTTCAGCTGTTCATGGCCATTGTCCTTGTCCATTCCCATCTCCGTAACTATACGGGAACTCGACTTCGATCCTTCAAAGTTATCTTAAGTTTAGGCTCTTGTATATAAATCCCGATTTTCTCCTGATCTGTTCTGTTTTGATTATAAGTCGCCATTATTATTATTACAATCGTCCTCCACTCGACAGATCCACCTTTCAAGGTACTATCGTGTTGGGGTGTTGGGCATATTCACACACTTCGTTCTATGCTAGATATCGTCTCCGACTTTAAACTTCTTATCATCTATTGTCTGGCTCATTCGCCACATCAGCAACCACTATGAATTGTTCTGTCCCCGTTCTTGCCAACCTCCAGGCTTTTGACCCTATCCTCCTCCCGGAGACAGCCTACGACGGCCACAACACCGAGCCACTCCAGTTATATGGCCCGGGCAAACTACACCCAACACACCTCGGTGATGCTATTGGCCCAGCTGAAGCCCCTAATCGCTTTCGGATCGTAGCAAAACTCGACCACAGCAATCATTCGACCTCCTGGCTTGCCCGAGACGGTCTCAACGACACTTGGCGTCGGGTCGACTTCCTGACCGGCTCGCCTGACATCGGCCGCAACAAAGCTGAGTCAATGACACTCTCCATTCAGACCTATCGGGCAGCGCCTGGCGCGGACATTGCCCGAGCGGACGCAAAAGGTGTGCCACTCGAGATGTTCACCATCGCCGGACCCAACGGAAAACATAGTGTTGTCGTGTTCCCCCTCAACGGGGATTTCAATTGTTTTCGTTGGGGTATCGAGCCTGATCTAGACGAGGTAGAGATGAATGAAACCTGGTTCGTCGCCAAATGCACAAAGCTTCGTCAGACACAAGGCTGCGCTGGTCCGGTCTCGATCCACGAGATCACAGAGCAGGAGATTTTGCAGATTCTTGGCCGTCCTAACGTGATCATGGTCACCAACACCCTATTTAATGACTTCGTTGTTGATTCTGATATTAGGAGGAACCAGGTCCCTGTTTACTTGGTTGAACGTCCTGAAAGAATCACCATCGACAAGGGTTAATGAGTGACCAATAGGTGCAACGATACAAAAGATTTTGAGAGCAGAGATGGAACATGTTACACTCCTTTAACATGTTTGGTCAAAGGAATTGTCATGCAGTAGCGAAAACTTCTGGCGTTCGCTTCTAAGGGCATTCCATGTATGGCAAGTAGGTCAACGGCTTGCACAGTACACTTGTTTCCTTTCCTCTTGTTTACTATTGTAACGGGGGACTTTGTCTGGTGCAGGCAGGGATCAACAATGGTTCAAATGGGTGATGGCCACTGAGGATGTGGGGTGCACAACGAAGTCAATTGACACGTGTATTAATCTTTGTTTGTCCTGAGTGTCCCTGCGTTAAGGAAGGAAAAAACCAAGTCCTTCATTGTGTCCGGCTAGCTTCCTTTATAGAATCCTATTGCCCTTGTGAGTCCCTCGGCCTTCCAGGCTATTCAGGGGTCTCGTCCTCCTGCCTCGACCATCTGGCTCATTCGGTCGTGTGGTTCTATATATCTTCCAGAATCAACCACGTATTTGTGTCGTTCACAATCATTCTATCTCTGGTGTCCCTTGTGTTGGCAGTCGGTATACCCCTTTCCTTGAACTGCCGTAACCGTGTGACAACAATGATATAAGCCACCATTTCAACCCTCCTTCCGTGTGTAGAACATTTAATCGTTAACAAGCATATCATATATCAACCGGTCCACCCCTGAGGGTGCAAGGTCGTGCCCACGACGACGGCAAGTAACAGCTACTTAACTAATCTATATACAAGTAACACCGGAAGAAAAGCCCGCACGGGGGCAAAACCAGTGTGAGCAAGGGGGTGGGGGTTGTGTATCCTGGGTTAAGTGGGGGTTACCTTTGCACGATCTCGGGATGTGGATCTCTATCTGCGACTCTGACCCCGGGGAATCGGCGTCGGAGTCGCCGTTCCTGTGGGGCTGGCGTTGGGTGCGCAGTGGGAGCGAAGGGATCTCCAGGTCGAGATAGGGCGTCCCGTGGCGGCATCCCAGGCCCCAGAGCTCGACTTGAGAGGATCTAGGCCTATATAGTTCGAAAGAAGACCAGAAGGCCCGCGGACCCAGCCTGCTATCGAGCGGGTTGTTGAAGGCAGTGAGGGGGCAGGAGAAGAAGTGACCTCTGGACTCTACTCTGCCGCAGGGGCACTGCTTTATCGCCTTCACAGGGGGTAGTTGAACCGCACATGGTACGCCAAGAAGTCTCTATAGCCCGAGGCCTTTGCTAGTCAACAGGAGAGACACTGCTGAGAGAATCTTTCGAGAAAGGGCTTTGCTATTTGTCCATCCCAAAGGGCCGAGGAAGGTTTGTTAACCCGCCATTATCTACGCATGTCTGAGCAAGGCATTCGGCACCTCTTGGGAGGGTCGAGAGAGAGGCCGAGCCACGCTCTAGCGCCTGGGAGTTTGGGCTCTCTCTGGCGTCTGGCGTCAAGACCAGAGGCTGCCTGGTGCAAACGGGACCGGCCGCGGTAAAGGGGGTCGTGCAAGCCTCACCTGCAGAGGGTGATTAGCTAGCAGCATCACAATGCGGTTCTTCCACCGTGCCCGTTCTCTGTCCAGCAGGTACTCGGGGCAGAGGCCGGCAAGCCACCAGGGCCAAGGGGTTGGTATTGTCCCCCACACCGGGAATATCACCCTCTGTGCTGTGTTTGCAACCTTGGTGAGAGATGACCAACCGACGTGAACCTGGATGCGACCAACCGGCCATTGACCCCAGCCCTTTGTGGGCCGGTATCAAGCTGGACCATGCCGCACACAAGGAAGGGGGCGACGACCGCACTGGAGATGTTTGGGCCGGCCGCGGGGGGGAACCCCGGGCTCTCGCGTTAGACAGGCGCTTGACCAAACCCACCACCACAGCCGTCACCGACGTCCTCTCGGCCGCCCGCGCCGCAGGGCTGAGCTTAAGGTCCAGCGAGACTCCTAGCCACTTGATGGATTTACCAGGGGAAAAATACACCCCTTCCACCTGTGCGGAAATCTTCGCAGAATCGAACCTGCTCACTTTGCCCCAGCCTCAGGGGGGAATATAGAAGACCTTTGTCTTGTTAGAATCGATCATGAGGCCCAGCCCCGGGGGATCAAGCCAAAAATGTACAGAAAACATGCGTCGTTCTGACGACAAATGCCATTACTTTCCTCTTTATTCCCTTTTTCAGGACGAAGCTTGCCGTAGATTGAGCAAGTGATGGTCACTCAGGCTTTAACAAGAAGTAAATGAAGAAACTGCTCTTGAGGGAAATAGACCTACTTAATTGGGGAAGGCAAATCGCGCCGACGAGCTGGTTTAGACCGAGCTGCTTCTCGCTCCTTGCCGGCAGTAAACACACCTCACACCAGCTCGAGTACCATTTTATCTCATTGACATTATCTCAAGCTCAGTCGGCTCACGTCCGGCGGCGTGAGGTTGTTCTTTGCCTGTGTTTTGCAGCTTGTCAATGGTATCTTACTATTGCTCTTGTTCGAGGCCCTGGTACCGTTACTCTTTCCACAGCCGGCACCTGCCACGGCCCAAATCAGAACCCGTGGTCGTTCGCTGGCTGATGTAGCCGACGAGATCTGAACCCGTTTATCTAACTGGACGAGTGTTCCAGGAGCCCAGAAAGGCTAAGCAATGATGGGCAATGAAGCCCTAACGATATTAAGGCTGGTTCTGTCACACGGAGACGGCAGTCCAATGAAAGGGGTATACCCGACTGCCAACACAAGGCACACCAGAGATAGAATGGTTGGGAACGACACAAATACATGATTGATCCCGGAAGATAGATGGAGCCACACGATTGAATGAGCCAGAGGGCTGAGGCAGGAGGACGAGACCTATAAAAAGCCTGGAAGGCCGAGGCACTCACAAGGGCAATAGGATTCTATAAAGGAAGCTAGCCCGACACAATGAAGGGCTTCTCTTGGTTCTTCTTCTTCCTAACACAAGGACACTGAGGACCAAGTTTGTTACACGTATTAATTGACTTCTTTGTGCACTCCACATCGTCAACGGCCATCGTCTAACCCATTTGACCCATTGCCGATCCCTGCCTGCACCAGACCAAGTCACCCGTTACAGGTTTCCCCAACCTGGACTCTGAGGAGGAGGGCACTTGAACTTCCTAAATTAGAGTTAAAAGCAGCAAGTACCGCGAACTGTTGTGCGAAGCTAAGGGTGTCACTTAACTCTGCGATCGAGAGTTCCTGTAGGACCCCCGACCGCTGCCGCCGGCTCAACCCCTGCCTGATCACGTTAAGGAACATCATGGAGAAAAAAGCTTTGATCTCCTTTAGTGCTTTCTGTGGGATCTCGGATACGAGCTGGCAGATCCCATAATCTAGTGCGGGAAATAGCTCGTTGTCAGGCTGCGAACGGAGGTAGAAATTCCAAGTCCTGCCAGTCGGTCCCGCGGGCTTGGAACGCGGCTCCCAGGGGCTGCCAGCAGCGGCATTTACACTTGCGCCCAGAAAAAACAATTATCGGCAGCTAAAAACGAATCCCTTTGCTCTGACTGTTAGCGATAGCGTACCAAACGGAGTCGAACGGAAGAATCGATGGGAAGGCGCTTGACAGCAACGACCGTGTCGCAAGGGGCATAGCAATGCCGTTGCAACCGATTTGTGTGCTGGATCGTGATCCAAAACGCCAACAACATGGCCAACGGCAACAAAGAGCGCTACAAAGTCAAGCAGCCCAGATAGGTAGGATTTTATTTCTGCGTATGAATTTTCCGAGGCTTTCCAGCGAATTCTGAATTGCAGATGAGCCACTTGCTCGATTTTGTGAGCAGTACGTACAGGCAAAAGATACCGGGATTACGGTACGCTGCTAAAGTTATTTCCATCTCCGCTAATTGAAATCTATAAAGAACACGAGATGCAACGCTGTGAAGATAAAGACTATCAGTAGTTTCTCCAGAACCCAAGTTGAATGGAGAAGAGTATACCGTCGAACTCGAAAAAAGGTGTACCCGTCTTTGGCAAAAGTTAGCGAGTGAGTATTACTCTCTTATCGGGCATTACCCTTCCCCTAGTTATGTTAACTAAAATTGAAACCAGCTAGACGTCGGAATGCATGCAACATTCTCTCGAGCAGGTCTATTTAGAGATCTACTGCTATAAGACGTGTACCAAGACTGTCTAGAAAGTCTTTCTGAGACGCTGCATTAGAACTTCTGGTAATGACTGCCCAGCACTCGAACAACACGAGGTTACAACCGTCCAGATGCTTGGAGCCACGCGGTATATAGCCGAAGTCTAAAACACTTTGTAACAAAGGCTGACAGTACAGCCTTACGGGACATGAGACGGAGGCACCCTGAAGAACAGAACAAATGGGGATTGAGATAGGAGCCAGGCACATCAATGGACCGGCCAGTCGCCGAAATCACTAAGTCGAAAGGCAATTATCCTATTTTTTAAATATAACATTTATTCACTGACTGTAGTTTGGTAGCATCTTATCCTGCAAGCAACCATGGGGTTCGAGCTTGATCCAACCTTAACCATTGATAAGTTAGGAGTAATAGCTAAGGACCTTCTTGTATCTCTGGACATGCATTGGAGTCATGCAGAAAATAGCCCTGTAACCCAAACGCTCGGATCGATATCCACATAACGCTGATTCTGGCCGAACTTTTGTTCAGACTGGTTTTCTAAATGGCCTCCGTTATAACTAAGTTCACATCCAACTCCTTCAGCACACGAGAACCCGAAACAAGTAAGCCTTGCTGCTACAATCACGATAGAACAAGAGAGATAATTCTGACTCTCGCAGCCGGCTGCTGGGAGCGAGCAAACCGTTGTATGGCAACCTCATTTCACTATATATATGGATGCTGACATTTGAGTGTGTAACGCTAGTTTTGCTGTTTTTCCTGTCGCCTGCTAGATGCTGTGTCTTATAGCTTATTTGTTAGTTTGTTGTCTATGATGATGTGTTTAAGACGCCATTCAAGTCTCTCATTGAGACCCTGAATCGCCAGAACCCCCAATATATAGGAGCACCAGACGAAAAATAACGGGCATTAACTGTAGGCGGATGTGTTGAGGCAGGTAATTTTCTTGGAGCACCCTTTCCGGGTTTGCCATCAAGAAGGGCCGTAACGCTAGGGTAAGCGGAGATTATAGTGTCCAAGCCAGTAGATCCACAATAGGAACAGTATGTATATACTGTGCTTACCATAAAGTCTACTTAGCACCAACGCGAAGGTCTTATGGCCATAGTAATTGTCTACTATCAGTTACTGGTCATGGACGGTACCAATGTTGCCGATATCTACAGTGATCCATGTCGCAAAGGAGTTCATTGACTTTCTTTTCAGGAAAGGTCATAACGCGGCAGGCAAGAATGACGAATTCCACCTGGCGTAACGCCGAGCGGGCCTAACTCGATATGAGCTTGCGCCCATCTCTTCGACTGTTGACGAGGTCGAGCAACTCAACAATCAACAGGATGTCCAAAACCTCCGGAAAGAATGCTAAGCAAACAAGAAAAAATTGGCGCAAAGTCAATAGAGATCAAGAGGATATATAACCAATACCATGGCCTAGCACTAAGGCTCTGAAACCTTATGGAGGAGAAACGAGAAAAGTATTTTAAGGAAGCCGATCAGAGGAGGGCACTAGGACAATCGATGGAAGACTTTCGACATGTATCTTCAAATCTATACAAGCCCATGCCACAACGTCGCGCATCTCAAGTTGCACGGATCGAGCAATCTCTTCGGAATAGCAATATCGGGGGCTAATGACGGGCCCAGCATCTTTCACAACCCACTTTTAAGGCATATAAATGTCTGTCTCAATGATTTGAAGATGACGCAGGACAATCTTCTCAATGAAGTGTCCGACACAAAGAGCAGGGAACCGATATCTGCAACGGAATATTCAAATGGATATGCTTGCTCTGCAACGAGGAGTTTGCACAGTGTAGCAGACTAACAAAGCATAGCCAGCAAAGGCACTTTCAGAAAAGAGTTTTCGACGAAGCCTTCCCATGTCCTCAATGTCAACGAGACGGTCAGATGCACGAACGAGAACACAACCACTGGAGCAGCTAAGTTCACCAGTTTCACGGTCTGACGTTCACACCATGTTCACCAACACTAAGCTTCCAGGCTCAACGTAGCAGTAAAGAGAAGGTGCAAAAAGCAAGATCTGCCTGCTGCTTACTATACACTAGGGCGAGATAGGTTGTTAGTAGCAAGTTAGGCTTTGTAGGCATGTTGACTGCACACTTCACCCCTGATTCGTTAGTTCAAATTTTATGTAGATAGAGATGATGGTTGCAACTTTCAGTATCTTAAAATACAAAGCCCAATTGAGACAGTGTCGTTCCAGACTGCAATGCTTGTTTTACCGGACCGTCTCACGTGACTCTTCTATTTTGCCCCTCTTCGGCGCATGGCCAAGTGCAGGCCCCTGCCAGCTCATGCTAGCTGGGCCCTGTAAACTGAAGATTAAAGTTAGCCAGTGTCATATAAGAAACTTCGAGATCCTGATGTTAAGTCAGCCAGTGCCATCTAAAAAGTTGTAAAATCCTGCTATTTTGTGGGGAGATTGGAATATCCGAAGTCAGAGGTAGTTAGGGAAGGAGGCCTCAACCTTCCATTAACCTCTACTGTAACATCACAACTATCATCAATCGCGATTAGTCATTAGATGCCAACGTGGCGAAGATTGTCGGCTCTTCTATGTTATTTCCCTCGATTGCCGTGAATGGCCGCTCAAATTCTTATAAATATTCGGTAGATTATACATGCTGGGCTTCGAACAGCAATTATCTCTCTGATAAAAAAAGGGGCTATGCGGCCTTTTGCAAGACCTGGCAAAGTAGTCTCGTTGTGACTTGTGGGTGGTGTGCAGCAAGCCAAGCCAAGCAGTAGGATTTCGGGGTTGCAGCTTCAGGGTTGTGTTGATGCGTCTGCCGCGAACAAGAGCACGTTTTTGGGTCATAAAACTGTGCAGGAATTCTGCCATATATTGCTTCGACTGCCTTACGCTTATGATTTAGCCTGACCCCGCACCGTCATGGCAATTAAGTATATGGGCATAAATCTGAACCTCTTCCTGGCTCTCTTATCCCCCAAAGCTCTCTGGAGCCTATGGCAAAAACCATAATGCTGCAAACGCTTTAGTTAACAAACCCGCAAGGACGCTTCGCACTGTCTGGCTATATCGGTTTTTGCGATTTCAATCTTTCCTCCTTACTGAGGACACTTCTCACTCAGTCCCTCCACAGCGTTGTCTCTTTCCTGCATCATATTTTCTCCTTGTATATATCCTTCACCATCTGACCCTCTCAAATACTGCTCTGCTACACTTTATTATACTCTCACAAAGGCATCACTGGTATCATCATGCTTGATCCTACTGGTATTGTTGGCGTCATCGGAGTGGCCGGCCAAATCTTGGAGTATGCCTTCAAGTTTTATAACAACTGGAAGGATGCTAAGGCGGAGGCAAAAAGTTTCATTCTCGAAGTAGCGGCCCTCAAGACCATCCTACTACATGTCCATAATCTTCTCTCGGACCCGAAATTTGCAAACGCTTTCGAAGAGGATTCTTCAGCATTGCTTTCTGAGCTTGATCCAGAGCATGATGCGGACACCGCTATCCTCTTGTCTGCCTGTGAAGATGAACTACAGCGTTTGCTCGCCAAGATAAAAAAGCGGGCAGATGCTCATAGGTTTGGATGGGAGTGCCTCAAGGCTGCACTTGATGGCGGAAAAGCGCGTGAAGCTGTCGAAAACCTCCATCGCCGATTCCAAACCCTGACCTTGCTCTTCGAACGTGATCAACTTGCACTTCAAACCAAAACTCTACAGCAAACGATTGAGGCCAGAGAAGATCAGAACCGAAACCATCAAACCCAAGTTCAGAAGCTTTGGTCCATTGAACAACGGATGAGTGGGATCGAAGAGGGCGTCAATACCGTTATTTCACAGACACATACCGCTGATGCTCTCCAAAAACATGGAGAAATACTTCAGTGGCTGTCTTCAGTGGACTATTCTCCACAACAGGCCGATTTTCTACGCCGAAGACAAGAAGGCACAGGACAGTGGTTCCTAGAATCTCCTCAATTTCAGGAATGGTATAGTGCTTTTTTCCTTCATACCTGTCTCGTTCCTGTTTTTTTCTCGAGCTAATCAGTCCACCAGGCTGTCAAGGAAGCCAGTGACCCTCTTCTGCCCGGGCATACCTGGCGCTGGGAAGACTATCCTTGTATCGACCGTCATCGATTACCTCCAAAGGAACTTGGGAGATCATGATGTTGGAATCGCATACCTATACTGTAACTTCCGGCGCGTAGACGACCAAACCGTGGAGCAGCTCATCGCTAACCTCATAAAGCAACTACTCAGCGACAAGTTTCCACCCCCACCTGCAGTCATGGATGCCTATGCTCAACACAAGAAACATAGATCACAACCATCGTTGAGCGATCTTGAGGCGATGTTCCATGCTGTTGCCGCACTGCACAAGGATGGAGTCTTCGTTATAGTTGATGCGCTGGACGAGTGCCAAATGAGTGACAGTGTTCGTTCCAATTTCATTGAAGCATTGCTGCGCCTTCAGTCGAGGGAAAGTAATGTCAACATTCTGGCCACATCCCGCCCTGTACCTGATATCGTGGAAGCCTTTGATGGGCACTCCCGCCTTGAGATAGTAGCCCGGAGGGACGACATCGAGCGATACATGCGCAATCGGATGTCTACCTTGCGCACTGTTTCAAAGAACCCGGAACTCCAACATGAGATCATCAGTTGCATTGCCAGTGTCGCAAATGGCATGTAAGTCATTAGTGTTCCATGAACCATGGGTTGTTAATTCAATTGAGCGTCTGATTACTTACAAAGTCAGGTTTCTGCTCGCTCACCTTTTTTTCGAGTCCTTGAAAGATAAGGTTAGCGCAAAACTTATCCGCAAAACACTGAAGGAGCTCCGAAACGACTCTATGGAAAATGAGCCAAAGCTTGCCCTATTACGCCGGGCATATGACAATGCAATGGAGCGAATCAATGGGCAACCGGCTGGATACAAGGAGCTTGCCCAGCATGTGCTATCCTGGATCGTGTGCGCCAAACGTCCTCTCAAAATGATAGATGTTCAGTATGCGTGGGCTGTTAAGGACAGTGAAAACGAGCTTGATGAAACCGCAATTCCTGATGCTGAAGACATGCTTTTGGCATGCTGCGGGCTCGTTGTTATCGACAAAGAAAGCGAAATCATTCGACTTGTCCACTATACAGTTCAGGAATATTTCCGGGATACTTTGAGTCGGTGGTTTCCGACCGCCCATCTTGACATCGCAAGTACCTGCGCATCATACCTTTCGTTCAAGAACTTTTCAGGTGGCCCTGTCAGAACGTATGAGGAGGCGCACAAACGGCTTGAAAAACCTCTCTTCACCTATGCTGTTGACTATTGGGGATATCATGCATCTGCGTGTTCCGCCTGCACTCCTCGGCTAATTGACTTACTGACAAATTCGGAATGGGTCAGTATTGTGGTGCAACTTTGTGACATCTTTTCGGACTTCAGAAAATATTATCCTTGGCTTCCTTCGGTGGATTTGGTGCCATCTCAGAATGCGTTTCACATAGTTGGCGTCTATGGGCTCAATGATTTAGTCAAGGTACTCCTTTACCGTTACCAGGATATTGATCCAGCTCGGCAAGACAAGTTCGGTCGAACTCCGCTGAGTTACGCTGCAGAGTATGGCCGTACAGAGGTTGTTAAAACTCTGTTATGTGATGAACGAGTTGATTCAGACCGACAAGACAACGAAGGTCGAACGCCACTGAGTTACGCTGCAGGGAATGGCCATGTAGAGGTTGTGGAAACTCTGTTATATGACGGCCGAGTTGATCCAGACCGACAAGACAAGACCGGTCGAACGCCACTGAGCTACGCTACATTGGGTGGCCGTGTGGAGGTTGTTAAAACTCTATTATCTCAAGGTCAAGTTGATCCAGATCGACAGGACTACGAAGAACGAACGCCGCTGAGTTACGCTGCAAAGTATGGCCGTACAGAGGTTGTTAAAACTCTGTTATGTGATGAACGAGTTGATTCAGACCGACAAGACAAGTTCGGTCGAACGCCACTGAGTTACGCTGCAAGGAATGGCCATGTAGAGGTTGTTAGAACTCTGCTATGTGATGGCCGAGTTGATCCAGACCGACCAGACAAAGAAGGTCGAACGGCGTTAAGTCATGCTGCAGAGCATGGCCATACGGAGGTTGTTATAACTCTATTATCTGATGGCCGAGTTGATCCAGACCAGCAAGACATGTTCGGTGGAACGCCGCTGAGCTACGCTGCGTTGGGTGGCCGTGTAGAGGTTGTTCAAACTCTGTTTTCTGATGGCCGATTCAATCGAACCCGACAAGATAACCAAGGTCGAACGGCGCTGAGTTACGCTGCACAGTGTGGCCTCGCCGACATTGTTATAGCTCTTTTATGTGATGGCCGAGTTGATCCAGACCAACAAGACAACAAAGGTCGAACTCCTCTGAGTTACGCAGCAAACCGTGGCCAAATAGATATTGTTAAAGCTCTGCTCTCTGATGGCCGAGTTGATCCAGACCGACAAGACAAGGAAGGCCGAACACCGCTAAGTTGGGCTGCACAGTTTGGTAATAAGCAGGTTGTTAAAGCTTTGCTGTTCAAGGGTCGAGTTAATCCAGACCAACAAGACGATTATGGTCGAACACCGCTGAGTTGGGCTGCAGACTATGGTGGTACGCAGGTTGTTAAGACTCTGTTACATGATGGCCAAGTTGATCCAGACCGACAAGACAACTGTGGCCGAACGCCCCTGAGCTACGCTGCAGCCAATGACCATACGGAGATTGTTAAAACTCTGTTATGTGATGACCGAGTTGATCCAGACCGACAAGACGAGAAAGGCCAAACGCCGCTAAGTTACGCCGTAGAGTATGGCTGTACAGAGGTTGTTGAAACTCTATTATCTGATGGCCGAGTTAATCCAGACCGACAAGATGAGAAAGGCCGAACGCCGCTAAGCTACGCCGCAGAGCGTGGTGGTACGCAGGTTGTTAAAACTCTGTTACGTGATGGCCGAGTTGATCCAGACCGACAAGACAACCGTGGCCGAACGCCCCTGAGCTACGCTGCAGCCAATGGCCATACGGAGATCGTTAAAACTCTGTTATGTGATGACCGGGTTGACCCAGACCGACAAGACGAGGAAGGCCGAACGCCGCTAAGTTACGCCGCACGGTGTGGCTTTACAGAGGCTGTTAGGACTCTATTATCTGATAGCCGAGTTAATCTAGATCGACAAGACAACTGTGGCCGAACGCCGCTGAGTTGGACAATTTATGACCATACGGAAGTTGTTGAAGCTGTGTTATCCGACAGCTCAGTTAGGTCAACCGGTTCGGCAGGATCAGTCTTAGACTAACGTCATTCCTTCGGATATTACTTAGCTAGTCTTCAAAAGACTTATTTCACTCATATATATATAGATAGTACTCTCTTGCTCTCTCCTTTCCTAATTCTAGACTCTCTTGCTTCCTTTTGCTTTCTTAAGATTCTCGGAGAGTACATAGTATGCTAATTCTCTTTTTCAAGAGAAGATCTTATCGCAAACGTTGCACTCATCCTCACAACCAAATTTGTAACCTATATTTGTTTGAAGTTAGAAATTGTCTCATTTGTATTTCGTAGTCTGAAAGACATTATGTCAACTTCCCAAACGAAGCTGGCTCTGGGCGAAGTGTAAGTGGGGAGCAAGTTTTCGATGAACTAGTGTATCGATTCTACGACCTCCTGACATGGGTTGGACTGTGGCGACCAAGCTATGGAATTTGAGAGACAGGAGTTCTCATACGTAATATTCAATCCTGTAGTCACCCGTTGGGGAAGGCAACTGTGTTACGACCAACAGCTGGTCAGCTGCGGTCTCTCTGCTAGGCAAAAGGAGGACCAAGAAATATTAAGAAGGGGTTTTGGGGGAAGGGAGCGAATCAACAACCAATCGGGACGAAAAGATCGCTGTCATCAATGAAAGCTCATCACCTACGTCGATAACCCATAACTTCGACGGATATAGTAGGAAGACCTTGAGTGTAAATACACCTAAATAGAGGTTTATGAACACCACTTAGTCGAGGAGTTCTTCAATATGCAATACAAACAGTTGCTTACCGCAACTGGTAACCATAGTGAACATTCTGTGTGAGAACTCCTGTCTCTCAGATTCCATGACCTGGTCGCGCCACTTCGACACCATCTCGGGAGGTTGTGGATTCGTCACATTGTAGGCGTTCCCCACAGTTTTAACCCTGAGTGCAACCATGAGAACTTCTGACTCAGCAATTATTATCTTGAGAATACATCGTATCGCCAGGAAGAAGATGTAGCAACCGCTAGAGAAGGTAGGACATGGATACCCGAGGTGGGTATTATATTCTTCTGTTTCTTGTTTTTTTTTTTTTCAAACTTATATACTTAAGAAGTAAAGGTAATGGGTTCCATCACCAGAAACCCTCTCTCGGAGCAAGGAAGGCATAAACATTTCAGCCACGGCGAGAAATATCGCACGATCAAAAGAGTGCTTACATACTTTGAACCACCCAGCCTGGTAGGGCTGCACGTATCTATGCTATATCTCTCACACGTGATGTCCAATGGTGGATCTGGAAATGAGTCGTGCCGGTTAACAGCAAGCACTAAGGTGCCCTCCGTTTCGGAACCGTTTAGGCCATTCCAACTTATAAGATGCGTCTTAGTGTTCGCTAGGGTGACCATGGCCTTGAACCGCAGGCGTTGGGAGTGAGAAGTGTTAGGTTGTACGGTGCATGAGACCTTGCTTAGACCGCAGAGTCTGCTCCCCCAGAAGTCGACACAACTGTCCAACTACAACTTGCAGGGGTAGCAAGACTCGTCTGCATCGCAGTGCTCTTCGAGGACCTCTGGAGTGCAGGACATCCGATAAAACTACCCGTATATCACCACCATCACGATATCACTCTAAAACAATCGATGATCAAGTAGAGAATACACCCAAACCATGAATTCGACATCTACACATACACATGCTATCCAACCCAAGACCACACCCCACCCATGTACACCCCTACAAATACCATACAAGAATACCAACACAGCAAAAGGACATTCCCCCCAGCTTTCTAATCCCACCAAAACGAACCAAATCCTAAACACCCAATTTATGCCGTGACATGATAGCCGTACATGCATGCCATACAAATATAAACAGAAAAACAATCCAACCAAACAGATGGTATCCCCAACACAGCCGGCCCTCACAGATGCAGGCCAAAAAGAACCCCCACTCTCAACCAAACCAAACCTTCCCAACCCACACAATACTGTATACAGACGAAAACATATCCATACACAAAAAAAGGCAGCCCCCCAATTGAACCAAAACACCCCCACCTAAGTCGGACTCACCCCTTCCCCGCAGCAGCAGTCCCCTTCCTCTTCGGAGCCGGCTTACCGACCCCCTCCATCTCCTCGCCGCTAGCAGCTGCAGCTGCAGCGGCCCTCTTAGCTGCCAGCCCAGCAGAAGTTGACCTTGTGGTCCGTCCGGTTGGGGCGGACCCAGCAGCAGCAGACTTGGCGCTGGCGCGGGGGGCACCAGCGGGAGCGGTACGGGCACCACGGACCACAGCAGTAGGCTTTGCACCCGGCTTGGCAGCCGGGGAACGGGCAGACGGCGCAGCAGCACGGCCAGGGGCTGGGCTAGACGTAGAGGCCGACCTTTTCTTGCCGGCAGAGCCAGCAGCAGCAGCAGCGGCGGCGGCGGGGGCCTCCCCAGGCACGACAGACTTAGCGACCGGCTTAGGGGGCGGCAGTCGGGACGAGCGGGTGGAGCGCTTGGCGGTCGCAGACGACGCAGGCGCAACAGCAGGGCCAGCAGGGCCAGCAGAAGGTGCAGTAGCAGCGGCGGTGGAGGCGGGGGAAGCCTTGCGCTTCCCGGCAACAACCTTTTTCTTTGCCAGGACGGGCTGCGTCTTGGCGACGGCGGCACCAACAGTCGGCTCAGCCTCAGCAATTTCATCCCCATCGGGGATGACAGTTTCCAGACTAGCAGCAGCCTGGCGCTCGGCTCCAGTTATCACAGTCGGGGATGGTTCGCGATAACTGACCAGGTTCTCGGCGAAGCGGACCGACTTCTTAGGTTTGTCGGTCTGCTTGGCCGGAACCTGAGCTTCGCTGCCCTTCTTGGGCTCCATTACGTCGTCAATGCCGACCTTCTTCCTAACTTCCAGGTCGGCGTTCAGCATCAGGAGCATCAGCGGGGGCGGGATGGCGGCGCCCTTGTTGTTGCGGGTGTTGACGCGCGTGAGAGCCTCGAGCTCAAGTTCCTTCTTACGGTCTTGAGGCGTAGGACGGGAAGGCTTTGCGGGGGTCGTGGGGCTGGCTCCAGCACGACTGACACGCGCACGCGGGATCTGCGAGAGGGCGATGTTGGCAGAGGGAGCGGAACGAGTGAGATCGACGCGTGTGGTGCGAGCGCGGGTTGAGCGACGCAAGCCAGCCGATGCCTGGTCGGATGAGTTATTTTGGTCGGGGCTCTCTCCATCGATAGAAGTCGGCACAGCATCAAGGCTGCGACGGCGTTTGAGCCGGCGGCCGGTCGGCTGAGGTTCTGATGGGGCTGCTTCCTTAGAGGCGACGTCGTTGTTGAACTCATCCAGCTTCCGTTTCTTGTTTCCGGTGGTAGGACTGTTAGGGCTCTTTTCGCCGAGAGGAGTTCTGCTGGGGGATGTGTCGGATTCTACCTTGGATGGGGTCGCGCCGAAGATGTGGCCGCGGCGTTCAGACTTGGCAGCGGCATTGGCTGCGAGGGCGGCAGTCTTCTCTGCGGTAACCCTGGTGATAAAGTCGCGGAGCATGTCCATGTCGGATTCGGTGGAGCCATCTTGGGGCTTCAGGGGCTCCGTAGCGGTAACGCGAAGCTGATCGGCATTGTCATTGCTCGCAGCAGAGAGCTCCTCAATGGGGGCATCCTTCATGACAGTGTCCTCATCAACCTGCTGCTCGTGGGTGGGCTCTTCAAACTCCGGCAGATCTTTCTCTTGAGAGGAGCCCGAGGTGATATTGGTCGGGGAAGATGTGTGCCCATTGATGGGCGTGAACTTAGGAGACGATTCGGCATCCAACTCGGCAGTAAGTTGTGATGGCTTCCGGGGAGAGGAATGCTCTGTAGTAGCTTGCTCGGGCGAAGACGCGGGAGGGGGGGAAGAGGTAGGGGTGGACGTAGCATCTTTGCTAGCAGCCGTAATTAAAGTTTCAGATGAGGCATCCCCGACTTTATCCGAGGCCATGGGCGATGGCGAAGTCGCGTCAAAGCAAGTCTGGATAGCAGAGGGAAAGTGAGCAAGGAGCTCATCATTATCATTCAGGTCCTTTGTGGGCGTCGTTTCCTTGGGGACAGGCTTCGGCGAATCAGACGTCGACAAGCCACTCGACGTGGCGTCGACGTCGGGAGAGGTGTTGGTTGCACCAATGACTTCGGCAGCCTCGGCAGCTGGCGATTGCGCGTTGGCTGCCGCTTTCGGGGTTGCAGGCAGGCAGGAGGACCTGCTGGGGGTCTCGGTGGAGGCCGGGGATGGATTGCCCGAGGGAGTGGCCGAGCGCGAGGGAACGTCGGGGGTGTCGGGCGGATTTCTGCTGCCGGCAGCGAAGAGGGCGGCCAGCGAAGACAACGGGGAGTCGACCCCAGCAGAGGGGGTAACAGCGGGCGCAGGCGTTGTCTCGGCGCGCGTCTGCACCGGACCCTGCGTGGCAGCCCCGTCTTTGGGTGCCGCGCTGGGCTTGCCGAATATGTCGAGATCGGTTTTCATGTCGATCTCGACGACACGTTGCGCATTCTTAAGAGTCGCGTTCGCGCTCCTCAAGTTGTCTGTCGTCAGCGTGCCGACCTCATTATGGTCGGCACGGAAGCTAGAAAAGGAGTTGCGCCGTTCCTTCGTCGGCTTGGGTGTGGCGGCTTGCACGTTGCTCAACGTCGTAAAACTGTGACGGCGGTTAGGGCTCTTGCGGCTCTTAAGCGCAAGCAGCCGAGCGGCGCCACTAGAGATGCGATCGAGCCGTTTGGCCGCGTGGAGGGAGGTGCGCCTGTGAGTCTCATATATCGGCTCGGGCTGCGAGTCGACGACAGGAGAATCGAAGAGAAGGGGAAGAAGTGGCGTAGATGGAGAAGGTTGCGTGGTAGCGGGGGTAGCAACGCTCGGTTTCGCACTCGAGGTAACCGCTTTGTCCTCTCTTTGTTGAGTCGGAGTAGAGGGCTTGAGAGGAAACTTCCTGGGGGGGGTAATCTTAATCGAGTTGAGATTGACCTTTGTCGGCGTAGCATTGACGCGGAATGTGCGGTGCGGCGAGTCGACGACCTTGGTCGGGGAGAGGCAACCCAACGACTTTTTGACTGGGGACATGAACAGCGCAGACTTCTTAACGGGAGACAGCCTAACTGCGGCCAGCTGCTTGGACGGCGATCTGCTAAGACGCCGAGTACAACGCCGGGCCATCTGCTTTGCGTCGAGCTTGGAGGGGGTCTCGATGGGTGGGGCGCTAGTCGACGGAACCTTGAACTCGATGTAGGGCTGCAGATGGGCAACCATGCGATCCTGCTTCTTAGGTTCGATGGGCCAACGCGAGTGATGGCGCTTCCTTGGAACCCATTTGAGCTTCTCTTCGGCATAAGTGGTTCTTCTGCGTGCGGGGAGAGGCGCCGTCATGGCAGCCAGTGCTTTATCGTGAACAGCTCTCATAACGGCATCTGTGACCAACTTGTTAGACCTAATCGCGGCAGTGTGTAACAGTGGTGAGTGAAGGAGTTAAAACTTACCGCGAGCCTTGGTCAATTCATTCTTGCCATCGCGGGGCTCGTCAATCTTAGGATGCCACTTGGGCTCGCCCCAGACGGGGATGTGGCCTTCGTGACGCATGCGCTTCCTCGGACCTTGCCCGTTGCTAGCGAGCTCGGTCATGGCGACGACATAGTTGCGTGGAAGCGGCGCGTTGACGAGGCCGGCCACTCTCTTCCAGATCTTGGGCTGGCGACGCATGCCGGGAACGGGCGCAACGGCGACGCGTTCCCACGATCTAGGGTGAATGAGTTGGGTAGGGAGAAAGCATTCCGCGGGAACGGAAATACTACGCCATCATCATGAGTACATGGCTCGGGACGAAGAAAAAAATGAGACGAAGTCGACTTACGGCTGGAACGTGGCTGTGGATGTGGGAGTCGGGCTGGGCTCGCGCGCGGCCTCGGGGCCGGGGGATGCGAAGTCAAACATGGTGGGTATTTGTGTGGTTCCAGTTAGGGCTATAATAAAAAGCAAGAGCTAAGAAGTTGAAGAAGCAGAAGAAAACTAAGCAAGTAATCGGTAAGGTAGGCAAATAGAAGAAGTTGGGTATCTTCACGATGAAAATGGTCGGAGATGGACGTAGTGGTGGCTAATTCATGTTCTGTTGAACGGACACGAAATGAGCTTCGTCGGTTCAACGCGACGTGGAGAGGAGAAATCGCGAAGGTCGCGTCGCTGCGGAGGAGAAAGAGAGAATCAGCGGTTTCTCCAAGACATCATCCAGAAAGAAGACCAGGGTAGGGTCAGGGTCCATGTTTACTTTTCCCAAGCCCCAACCAATCAAGAGTTCCCAAATCTTGACAGCTCCAAAAAGCGCGGCGGTGCCAAGACATAAACGTCAGATCGCGCCATGACCCACGCTGCTAAGAGGGGCTTATCGTCACGTGACTCCAAATCTTTCCCGCCCGGGAGGTTCATCGAACGTCGGCTCCACCAAAACTTCGTGCTCCTGCGAACAACGGCGACTCTTCTATCGAGAAGATCCCCCTCCCTCCAGCCCGTTGTCGTTTAGGCGATGCCAGAGAGGTTGCCGCAGCACCACTGTTCAACATGACGAACCGTAACCCGATGCGGCTTCCGCCGCTGCCCCAACTGCGTGTGCGCAACCCCAACAAGCCGGAGCCGAACCCTTGCCTGGGTGTCATGACCTCGGTGCTGGGTAAGCACCCCTTCTCCATTCTCTCAATCGATGCCTCTATCGGGCAGTTGACTGACTTGTTGGTGTCTAGCTTGCTGGGCCTCAGCCGGCTTCAATGGCCGCGGCTGCCAGACCGTCGAGGCGGCGCTGCGCGCGTGCATGGACGGCCCGCCGCCGCCGAGGAAGATGGGCAACACTATCAACTACCATCTAGCCCGTTTCGCTCGCCGTGTGACCCAGCCCGGCACGAAGAACAAATAAGCGAATTGAATAGGGGGAGTTTGCAAGAACCAGGTGACATATTCATGCCTTGCCTGGAAGGCTTTGTGGCCGGATGGAACATGTGGCGCTTCGTTCAGCGGTTTCAACTTCACGCGACTTGGAGATGGAAGGAGGATGATGTGCCTCAGCATCGACTTGATACTCCGCCCTTCCCATCCGCACCGTCCGTCTGCCGTTGTCGTTTTAAGGCGAGATCCCTGCTCCATGACGTGACCGTATATTACAGCCACGCAGCATAACAACGACTCGTGCAGCCCAGCTTGCGTGATGGATGCAGATGGAGTCTGGCTTCAGGGCGTCACGAAATATATGTACATTTTTGTACGGCGAGAAGCAGGCGTCAAGGTGTAATGTATTAGGCTAGACGAAAGGATGGCATCTAGACTTGTATTTTCTCTGTACAATAAAGCTCCGTCGATCAGCAGTTTTACAGTTTTTGTTACACCACATAACCGAGCAAGCGGGAAAACGACTCTCAAAACAGGAATGCTCCCTGGGTATTCAGATCTAGACGGCACTCAACTACCGGTAGACGGCCAGCAACATGAAAAGCAACAACATCTACATCCCCTTCCGCTCAAGTCTGCTGTCTGCCGTATCTTCATGTCCTCCATCATCCCCCCCTTCACACGTCTCCGGCACCTCTCTGGCAACATTCCATCCTCTTCCACTACTTAACTTCCCTCTTGCACAAAAAAGAGAAGTGAACCGGTGTCATCCCAATCGACCACTTATATTGACAGCAACCAACCAGCCAACCAACCAGCCAACTCATGGTAGCAGTAATAGTAATGAATTCCCCATGGACACATATCCCGAGAAACATACCTGAGTTCACAGAAAACAAAACTGTAAAATAGAGACATGTCCTAGTTAGTAGGCAGCTTCGATGGGTTTGATGGCTCAACTGATCGAAAAAGATGAGATGACAAGATGATGATGTGAGAGAGAAGAGACACAAAAAAGACTCAAAAAAGTATTTCCAAGAAGGGGGTAGTGTAGTGAGAGAGTGAAACGGGGTATCTCCAGGTAAGGTTTCTGATTCCATTCACTCAGCCTGAGAATCCCCCTGGTCGAGGCTGCATTGAGCCCCGTGTGGCGGCCACGAAAAGCATGGAGAAGTGTAGCCGACCGATTCGATGGGAAAGAGCTCCAGGGTCATGGGGTTGTGCATGTGTAGGGCGACTCTATGCATGGATCATCAATATATGAGCATGAGTAAAGCAAAAGGAAAAGGTTTGAAGCGAGAGTGCCCCAACCACGGTCGCAGCTAGACCGTGTATTGTGGACATCGTGGGTGGGGGTTGTAAAGGAAGTTATGTCGTGGCATAGTGGATATGTCGAGTGGCGGTGTGATATCTCTTCTAGAGGGGTATCAACCAGATCTTGCGGAACTTATTCCCGCTCAGTATGTATGTATGATCGCCTGAAGTGGAATTGAAATCCTTGACCGGCGTGCAGCTCTTGCGAATAGCGATAGCCATATATGCTCCCAAACGCCAAAGACTCCGAAGAGAGCTCCACCCCCCCCCCTTTTTTGTAAGGATGTCGGTTGGGTTGATGATTGATAACGGACGAGGGAACTTATTCTGCTGTTGGCAAGCTTCACGCGTTGCCCATCCGCCTATCAATGTAGCTCACCAACGCAGAACAATTCAATTTCGCCCATGGCGCCAGGCAAGCTGGCATGAGTCTCCCGCCACTCCGAGATGGCAATCTGGATATCCTCGTCGCTCTCGATGGTCACAAAGTCACCGTCCTCATCCCGGTACCTCAACTTCAGATCGCCCCTAGCGATGCTGCTGTTGGTGAGCCGAGCGAGCTTGACGTCAATACGGTCGACCAGACTCTGGTAGGTAATGTTGAACTGAGCGACGAGAGTAAAGTAGTTACCCCCATCGTAGTTGACTTTAACCTTGAGCTGGTTCGGCATCGTGATGTCAGGAGTGGGGGGCACCATGTTGTGACCCGATGTGAGCGGTGCTGTGCCGGGTCCCGGAGCAACGTGCCTGCCATGGTCAACAGGCGCCAACGGGGGAAGACCTGCAGGCGGAGGCCCTGGTGGCGGCAGGTTTGTCACAGTGCCAGGGGTGCCTTGGCGAGGATAGATAGGATGGGTGGGGAACTGTGCCATGGTGCCTCCGGTGAGTTGCCTTGCGCGCTGAGCACCGGGAGAGTTTGTGTTGGTGCGGAGAGGAAGCTCGGTCTGCGCGGGACTTCCTGAGTTGCTCCGCGGAATGTTGGAATCGTGTCGCACATGGGTTGGGTGCGGGGGATGCCCTTGGAGGTGAGCCGGGATGTTGGGAACAGCAGGAATCTGGCCGCCGCCCCTCGACTCGCCGTTGATATTAGGCGTGCTGTAGCTGCGACTACGCTGCTGTTGGAGCTGAGAGTTGTCCCGCGGCATAACTGGCATGGATGGGCCTCTGGGATTGCGGCCATTGGCAGCAGCGCCGAACGCATTGGATGGCGACGAACCGTCCCGAGACGGAGCACGAGGTGCTGCTGGGGCTGTGTACCGGTTGTTATCCTCAGACGACCAGTTAGATGAGCCGGTCTTGGGGAATGGATACCCTGAACCGCCAGCAAAGATGCCGCTGGTGGTACTTGTCCGACTGCTGGCGGGGGAGTCCACTGGCGAGAAATAGGAATCCGCGCCCCGAGGAACAGGCGATGATGCCTGAGTGCTTAGACTGAGAGGAGTAGGAACGGCGGGCGGGACGCCTGGAAAGCGTGGGGGTGGTACGCGGGACGTCCCATTCATCGGATGAGAACCATCGATGCTCGTCGCTGAACGGCTGCGCAAGCTGGTGCTTGACGGGTTCCGTTGCATAGTACCTGGCATCGCGATCGGATATTGAGGTTGGGAAGCGGTCGGCGTGGATCCCGGAGCACTGTCGCTGGGCTGATCGTCGTCTGAGTCTTCTTGCTGGACGTATGGGTTGACCAGGTTCTGTTGCTGCTCGTTGATCCAAGCAAATGTCGGTGGCGGCTTGTCCGGGCTGTCCTGGGGCTGAGGCGCATTGAGCTTGCGCTGCTGCTCGAGACCTGCCGCCCATTTCTTCATGGTCTCTTCATTCTGAAACTTGATCATGAAATTCTCTACACCTGGATCGCCTTTCCACCAAATCTGGACCATATAGGAGCCTAATACCAGTCAGCAAGCAAGTGCGGCAGTGGGGGGGGGGGGGGAAGGGAGGAGGGAGGGGAGAAAACACAGAATCGTAGGGTTCGCACGCACCTGGCTTAGACATGGCAACCACATCTGTGACATTTGTCATAAAGATGCGGCCCTTGAGTTGTAACTTGGCATTCTTATTGCGCACCTTAGGCTGAGCCGGCCGTGCCTTGTCCCTTTTATCCTTGGTCTTGCCAGGGACGACCTCCTTGCAGCAGAGCAAGATGCATTCAAACAGGTAAATCTCGTACTAAAGTTCGATAAGTCAACGCTTTATGTCCATTCCAGACCAGATGCAGGGAGTTCTTACGTCCTTCTCCTGGTCACCCTTGCCAGTGATGACAGTGTACACACCGTGGAGGAGCAGCTTGCCAAACTGCTCAACCCGGTGCTTCTTCCAGTCTTCCACTCTAGCGATTAAGTCTTCCAGGGCCTCATCGAGAAGATCACGATCCACGGCTTCATTGGCCTTTTGAAGCACTCGCTCGGCCGCATCAATGCCTGCTTGGAGGTCGGCTTTAACAGCCTCGTCGTCACTCTTCTTAAGCAGATCCTATGATACGGTTAGCTTGGCCAACGAACCTTACCAGATCCAAGTCCCACCTACCTTAAGCAAAAGCGGGTATTTAACAAGGCGCTGCATGGGCTTCAGCAGGAAGCCGTCCAGTGTGTTGAAATCGCAGGCGACTGGATGCTCGGTAGCCTGGATTTTATCAAAAACCTGCTGTGCGAGCTGTCCAGCCTTCCGCTGATTCTGGATGAAAGGCTGATAACACGCGTTGAAGCCCTCCTCTAGGCTCACAAACAGACTTCCCCATTCCTGCCGTGACGCCGGCATGGAGTTTATAGTTTCGACCCGGATGAGAAACCTACGCTGGAAGTCCAGGATAGAGTTGATGTTGAGGAAGATGTTATGCAGGACATCTCCGGGAATGATCCCGTTTTCTTCCAGCGTCTTCTTAAGGTCGTGCAAGTTCTCCAGGTCCTGAACATACTTCCGCTCGGTATCTACCAACTCGCGTACGATGTAGTCTCGGTAACTCATCTTCGAATTGGTCGTTTGAGTCGGCTCGTTTTCAGGATAGGGCTGGATGTCGAGGAGCAGCCCTCGCTGTTCGGCTAGGTCGAGCACATGGTTAATGACAGAAGTGACCTGTAGTCGTAAGTCAGGATGAGATCCACGGTAAATATCAGCGATGGCAAAGGCATTGGGATAAACAACACACCTTGACAAATCCTGTAGTGTCATTGCCTGTCAGATCGGTAATAATAAAAACCTCGGACGTAGCGAGATTCAGTTTGGACTTGCAAGCCTCGACGAATCGAAGAATGGCGATCTTTGACCGCTTCGCCTCGCTCGGCGCGGCATCTTCGGGAACTTGTAGCGGTGTTTCGGGCTGAAGCGAATTGTAGATGGTGAGCAGTGGGTGCCCGGTCCGAAGCAGCTTCCATAAGGATTCCACTGGGCCTCCTTCTTCGGGATCCTGAGCCATCTGCTCAAGCTGCTCGAGGTAGGGCTCGAAGCCCGGCACCTTGGCCAAACGCTGCTTCAACGTGACGCATATTTGATACAGGGAACGCGAGGCATCGGCCTTCTGGTTAATGATGTTGCTGGTAGCGACGGGCTGGCCATTTGCGGGAGCCGAAATCGTCGTCGACGCGGACAGCGAGTTCAGCGATGTGGTGGAGCTGGTCGCTGCGGGAAAGGTCGCCGCGCCGCGGGGGGCGCCTGGTGTCGCCATTTCGTTCATTCAACGTCTAAGCAGGGAGCTGGAGGGCCCGTAGTTCATGCGAAGAAGGGAAGCATGTGCCGTGGCCTAGTTCCCCATTCGCAGCACGCCAGTGGCGGGTCCACGAGGCGAGCGAGTTGGATAGGGCCAGCCCCAATTCCTTGGAGGATGGACGGATGTCGAGACAAGGATCGACGGAGCTCTGCGCGGCCTCGAGGATGGATGTCGGGCGCTGCAAGAAGCGAACGACTCGAGAATTGAAGGCTGAGCGCGGTCGGGTTCGGTGGAATGCGGCGGTTCGGGGGTCGCTGCGATCAGACAACTCGGTTGGGTGGTGAGTGTTCAGGTGAGAGTTATCGCGAGAGGTGGCCTGGTCGTCTCGCTTGGCGCTCGCTGTCGCTCCACGATCCGCTTGATCTTGGTTGGGCGGGAAAACGCAACGCAGGGCACGTCTTCCAAGTCGCGGAGCTCGGAATCTCGATCGCCGTCCTCGTGCTTCTACCGGTATCGAGGGCACAGCGATGTTTGATATTCGGTCGCGAAGCTGTTTGCCCGAAGGATGGATGAGCAGATGGTATGGGAAGGTGGTTTGGTTGGAATATGATGACTTGCTTCCTCCCCCCTGAAACTGGAACCGAGTCGGAGGGCGAATGAACAATGGACAATGGGCTGAATCGATCGGTTTGTCTTTCGCCTGGTGCTGGGTGTAGCTAGTTTAGGGATTGGCGGCTATCGGCCGTTATGCGCGTCTGTCGTCTCAAGACTAGAAAATAGGCGGATGAAAAACAGCAGCCGCAGATGAAGCCTACTGGCTGTACTCAGGGTCGAATCACGACGTCGAGGGTGGTTTTGAAACCGAGGGTCGTGGCAAGTGACCACTCTCGGAAATGGTTGGTTGGCGCGCACGAGGTCCAAGTTTGGGCGGCCCGTTTTGGCTTCCAGGTTGACTTGCGAGGCGCTGATGTGGGCTCACTCATCCTGGAGTGTGGGCGGGAAATGGGGGCTAAAAGGCTAATGCGGGGGCAGCGGTCAGCACGGTCGGACCGCTCCTGCCTGGCACTCACGCTGACAACGCTAGGTACCGGTACACCGCACATGCACCGAGGGAGTAAAAGTTTCTGAGAAGTTCTCCATATCTAGCGGTACAAGTACATGCCCCCTCGCCAAATCCTCAATGGAACAGCGGCAGCTCGACGCTCGACTGCAGCAACATCGCCGATGAGATCCAATGATGGTCGATTGAGTTGTAGTACCCCGAGTCCTCAATGGCACTGCACGGCCTTTTACCATGGCTGCTGCCCGGACCTAGGAGGGAACCCTATCTCAGGGTTGTATAATTATATGGAAATTCAGTACGCCAGCAATGAGCAGCTTCAGGCCCAGCATCTCCCATGCCGACCATTTGCTGACTTGCTCAGAGATGGGATGGGTCTCTCCATATATGCATATGCCAGCTATACATATCCCACAGCTTGTTTATTGACCGTCCATCCCCACGGAAACATAGTCAAACTTGCTGTACCCTGAACGTTGGCACGAGAGATATCATAGCTACAGCCGCCACCTTGAATCCTAAATGTCGGATGAATCGATAATCCCAACATCAACAGAGTCAGGACAATGTATCATTGACAACTGGCGTCCAGCGTCGCAGTGGCATGCCCCTTCAGGCTGGGGCAGCCCTTTCGGATAGCGTGCCGAAAAAAAAAAAAAAAACATGGAATTCTCTCTTCCATGGCACCCGGGTTTCTGCTCGAAATTTATACATACGTATTTTGCCAAACCGTGAAATCCCGACTAGGCGCTTTAGGCTTCCAGGACTTGCTCGAGGGATGGCGAACTGTGCGAGAGGATGCTTCCCCTTGGTGTAGCGTGTTGCTGATCGACCTGGCGCTACCCCCACACAAGGCATGATTTTGACGTGTTGCTTGTTTCAGAACTCCCACAAACGTTTCTTGCCCTCGCCCTCACTGCAAGCAATTAGTTTAGGTACTCATGCAGCCTTCTTGATTTTACACCTAGAGTTATAGGTAATAAAGAGATCGGTCTTGATCTGTAGTCGGAGGTCATGTTTGTCTCCAAGGGCATGCCAGCAGCAGCACGCCATCGCAGAATAGGAGTTGGCCGTGGGGGGCAACATTTCCGACATGTCTCTCGGTAACTTGCGAATCGTTATCGAGATCGCGCGGTTCGTATTTCACTCACAGGCGTCATAAACCACTATGATCGGTAATCTTGCACCTAGACAATGGCATTCCGGCTGCATGGCCGATTTGCATCCCAGTCTGCTGCCGCGTGGCTGTGTTCGGATCGATGTTTCCGACACTCTCCACGACAGGGCATCGGGATGCACCAACGTCGTCCGGTGATGTCATAGGGTCCCATGGTTGGGTGCAAGGCGCCAGCGTATTCAACCCTCCGAAAAGTGCGCGAGTCTCGAGGATTGAGAGAGCATCTTGGGGAACGACCTCTGGCTGGTTGGGTGTCGGCTGATTGATAGGAGACAAGCAACCAAGCAATGGTAGCAAAGGCTGAGGGCTCCGTCGACGAACCGAGACAAACTGACGGAAAAGACGTGGGGCTGAGCTTCAATGTTGGCAGATCGCGGATGACACTAAAGGGAAAAAAAAGGAAAGACCCGACAGTTCGGGACGCTAGAGAAGGTCCGTCTCGGGCAGGGAGATGACTTGACTTTACCTCTGAGGGGAACTTTTCAAAGGTTCTTTTGTAGGATACCACGTGAAAAGGCAGCGAGGATCTGTGAAAATGACAGGAAGCAAAAGTTGTTGCGTCATCCTCAATGTCCATCATGTCCCATGGAACGCTTCCACAAAGATTCCAGGTCGGCACACTACAGCTCCGAACAGGCACCACTCTGGATCCGATGTGTCAGTGGGGCGATAGAGCCCCGCTAGCCCCTCTGGGACAAGCGTAGCCAGTCAGCCCCACTTCTCCCCGCCATCCAAGCCATCCAAGGATCGTCGAGGAACCCCGAAGCAGCAGGCCCCAGTGGCGGAGAGGGCCGCCAAAGTCTCTGGCAGCAAAATCACTGGAAGGCCTTTTGTCAGCCACCTGCAAGGAGCCCTGGAGTTGTATGCTGGATCCAGGCTCTGAGGCATTGGGCGGGCGCGAACCGACGACGACAACACACCATTAAACCACCGCTTTGTTCGATCAATCAAAATCCACCAACAACAACAATAACTACTACTACTACTACTACTACTACTGCTGCTGCTGGTGCTGCTGCTGCAACAACATATGTGGATGGGCAGCCTTGACATCCTCTGCCCTGTGTTACCGCACCAAGGATCGACACTCCTCGGTGTCCCGACCGGCTGGCGCGTGCAGAGACAAGTATCTCTCAGGACCATCACCTGCTTACCGACCTGATAACCAGAACACTCGTCGCTTGGAGCGAACCATCCATCCAGCCAGTCCTGTCCCTGACGAACCATGGCTGCCGGTTTCACCGCTCAGCCCGACGAAGGATACTCGGAAGATCCTCTGACGGCATTGTCGCTGGCGGCGTCATCTGCGAACTCGTTGACTAAGTCCCGAGAGGGCGGCGGTCTGGCAGCGCTGGCAGCTTCGAGAGGCGGCAATGACTTCCCCCAGTGGATGCTGGACCATCTCTCCGAGCTCCCAATATCTCGCAAGACCGGTTAGTGTTTATGCTTGTTTGTTGCTTGCATTCCCCCGTTCATGTATGTGTTGACCGTCGCTGGACAGAGCTTGTGATGGCCTTGCTCAATGAGCTTCCCACTCGCGTTGTGTCACAGATCGTGAACCAACTATCGCCCCGTCTTTACATCGACTTCGTCAGTTATCTCCCTCCGGAAGTGTGCTTGAAGATCCTGGGCTACCTAGATCCCGTTTCGCTGATCAACGTCGCACAATGCTGTCGGGCATGGTACGATTTGGCCTTGGATCGGAAGCTATGGGAGCAGCTTTACTATCTCGAAGGCTGGAAGGTCCTGCCCGACGAGATGGCACGGGCAGAGGCCGAAATGAATGGGCGTTTTGCCGGCTCGGATCGTAGCGGCGTACGGAGGACGTCATCCGAAGAGGATGGCAATTCAGTTAAAAAGCGGGCCATCTCACACTCCCCGAAACTGGATGCGGACATAGACATGGAGATGGCTGATGTGGAATCATCTATCCCTCGTGAGAGCTCCTCAGATTCAAGGATGTCTGGGATGTCGGGGCACAGCATATTTGGCGGGTACCAGACACCTGGGGGACAGGGCATCGTTTCCGGTTCCAAGAACAAAATGGCAGACAAAGGCAAGGGTAAAGAGCTGGCATCCTGCCCGTCTAGTTCTGCGCCGTCGAGCATTTCCGCAGCAAGGCTGTCGGGTCCTCGGCCACGGATCGAAAAGTCGACTCTTTGGGTTTGGGACACAGGCTCAAAGCGATACAGGCTCAACTGGAAATATCTCTATTCCATGCGGCGTCGGCTGGAGGCGAACTGGGAGCGTGGAAAGTATACCAACTTTCAGTTTCCACACCCCGATCATCCCGAAGAAGGTCATGGAGAATGTGTTTACACGATTCAATACAACTCACAGTATCTCGTCAGTGGCAGCAGGGATCGGACTATCAAGATCTGGGACATGAAGACCAAGAGATGTTTACGAACTCTCAGGAAGCACCAGGGTTCAGTGTTGTGCCTGCAGTTTGACTCGGACCCTGAGGAAGATATCATTGTTTCTGGCAGCTCGGATTCAGACGTCATCATCTGGAAGTTCTCAACCGGTCAGGAGGTCCAGATTCTTAAGCATGCTCACCGCGAGTCGGTTTTAAACGTTCGATTTGACAAGCGCGTCTTGGTGACGTGTTCTAAGGATAAAACGATTAAGGTTTTCAATCGCCGACCGTTACGGTACGGCGATTTGGGATACCAGCCGGTCGATCCTGTCGGCAGGTTAGTTAAGGATCCCGCTAACAGCATTCCAATGAGCCCGGAAGACTATCCAGTGATACCCCCTTGGACCATGATCGGTGTGTTGGAAGGGCATAATGCGGCCGTCAATGCAGTGCAGGTGCATGGCAGGGAAGTGGTGTCTGCTAGTGGCGATCGGCACATCAAGATCTGGGACTGGCCGAAGCAGACATGCGTGCGCACGATTCTAGCGCATAATAAGGGCATTGCATGCGTGCAGTATGACGGTCGCCGGATTGTGAGCGGTAGCAGCGACAACGAGGTCAAAGTTTTTGACCGCCAGTCGGGTGTTGAAGTGGCAAGCTTACGTTCTCACACTAATCTTGTGCGTACTGTGCATGCTGGTTTTGGCGACCTGCCGTACAGTGTCGAAGATGATCTCCGCGAGGCCAGGCGCGTCGACGAAGAGTACTGGAAGGCGTTCGAGCAAGGCCTGCTTGATGACTCTCAACGCTCAAGACAAGGCCGGCGCCAGGGCAATGCTGGGTCTAGGAGACCGCAAGACATCCGCGCGATCGGAGCTAGTCTCCCCCCGGGCGGCGGTGGTGGCAAGTATGGCCGCATTGTCAGTGGAAGTTACGATGCCAGCATCATTGTTTGGAGAAGGGATAAAGAGGGGGTCTGGAAGGACCAGCATCACTTCAAGCAGGAGGATGCTGCGCTCAATGCCTTGCGTCAGCACTGGGCTCGGCAGGCCATGTTACAGCAGCAACAACAAGCCTACCAGGCCGCTCAACAACAACAGCAGCAGCAGGCAGGAGGGCAAAGAAGAGGTGCTGCACCACCTTCGACAACTCCTCTTGCTCCTGGAGGCACGCCTAGCCTTGCCGTTGATGCAACGCTCCCTCCTACCGGCACCATCGCATCCCAATCAAACCAACCGGGTCACAACTCAACGCCAACGGCTTCGTTTGTTGGCCACAGCCCACTCCAACCGATTTATCAGATCATTGACAATGCGGTGCAAAACGGCCCGCAGGCTCTCCTCGAAGCGATTGCCACACACCCGGCCATCCTTCAGCAACGGACTTATGTCAATTCCGCGATTGATAGACTCCCCGATCCAGTTTCAAGAAGCCAGCTCCGACAGGCCTATTCAGGGGCAATAATCCGTGCTCAATTCCAGCATGTACAGCAAAATCGTGAGGAACTGCAGACCCAGACAGAGGGTACACCAGCTCCAGCGTCTACTTCTGCTGCCGGCCCAGGTTCCTCACAGTCCGCAGACATCCCAGTTGCTGTCGCTGCCAGCAGCACGCACCCCGGATCACCCGCAATGCACCCCTATCACAACCTCACCCCAGCCCAGATTGCCGCTGCTGAGGCACACCAAGCCCACTCCTTCTTCCCCGACCGACGATTCATTCCTCCTCCGCCACCAGCCCTCGCACCGGTCAACCTCGCCGGGCCGAATCCCCTTGCCTCTCATGCAGCCATCGCTCCCGCAGCCCTTGTCTCGCCCCATGTGGCAGCGGCGCCGGCGTTGCAGCATCACCCGCACATCGCGCAACCGCCGCTCGAGATGCCCGACACGGGCAACCCTGCGCGGGTGTTCAAGCTGCAGTATGATGCCAGACGTATCATTTGCTGTAGTCAGCGGAGCGTCATTGTGGGATGGGACTTTTGCAATGGCGATCCGGAGCTGGAAGAGGCTAGTCGGTTCTTCGGACCGATCGAATGATTGAAGATCTTACAGGGATAAAATGGGGTTTAATCTGGCTGAGCAGGTGGTTAAGAGCATAGCATAGGTGTTGAATAGGGTTCAAGCATTGGCACATGCGAGGCCTTGGTTATATTTGTACTATTCCTTGGGGAACATGGCACTTGTACGCATTAGATGTACAAATTTTAATCAATTATCACTTAGTGTTCGAACCTTGTGGTATAGAAGTCTCGCTGTAGTAGCACATCATGTCGCTTATCAATCCGTCATATATACACAGAGCCAGACAGACAGCCTAGACTCCCATCCCAAACCCCCCCCCCTCCCCCCTTTTGATCTCGAATTGAAAGATTAGCCTGCCGCCTCCTTGACCTTCGTGCCAGTTTGTTGCGGCGGCTCGTCAATAAACTCAGGGACTTCATCCTGCAAGAAGCTGGGTAACGAGCCCTCGGGCCCAGCTGACAACCCAAGCTCCCGCTCATACTCCATCTCCTGCCCCAGGGCTTCTAGCTCAGCATCCAGTTCAGCCTCATCCACATCCTCCGGAATGGCATAACTCCTAGCCAGGCTCTCCTGTATCTCATTCCCCACATCCAACAAATCGGCCATCTCGTCCTGCAGCCGCTCGATCTTGTCGATATCCACCTTTCCATACTCCTTCTTCAGCGCCTTGGTCGTCGACTTGAGCGCATCAATCGTCACCATCGTGTTCTTGAGATTGTCTTGCATTGTTTGTGCCTGCTCCATGTTCCACGCCTGTGCCTCGAGCTGGTCGCGCTGTGCTTCGTACTGCTTGCGCCGCTGAAGGACTTTGATTGCCTTTTGCTTGAGGGCTGTCTTGCCTGGCCCGTCGCGCATCTTGGATAGCTTGGCTTGGTAGCCTTGCAGTTCTGCGTCGAGTTCTTTGAGTTTCACGTTGATGCGCCCGATCCGCTCTTCGAGACTGCTGATAGCAGAGTTGAGTGTTGGTTTGGGCGCCTTGGGCGCGGCTGTGCCGAAGAGACGATTCATTCTGAGAGACACGACTTGAAAAAGGATCTTTGATCAGGCGACACTTTGAGGCTAGATGCAGATGATATTAACTATCAAAGACTAATGTGGGACTGTTGATCGGATCGTAATCGTGGTCGCCGCGATCTCTTCTGGTTGTCGTTTACCTCTGTGAGGCGTCACCTGTAATGTAGGAATGCTGCGTCGTTGCGGGGAGTAGGGAGACCGGCCGTTAGCGAAGGCTGGCAGGTGGGGCTTTCTTGGCACTTCCGTTTCGGGCATGCAACCTGACCCTTGTGCCCCCTACCTCTCACTCTCCAGTTCTCCGACCACCGACACCGAGATGATGATATCAATTCAGCGCTTGAGCGTTCCTGCGATCTGCATCGGACCTCCGCTGCTCTTAAGCCCGATACAAGGTATCCAATATAAGCACATTTGTCAGCTCCCGCCGAGCTCGAACCACAGCCAAGAGCTACGAATGCTGTGAAACCAAAATTCAGGACATCGAAGCGATGTAATTTAAACCCCAATACTCTCCGGCTTGATAACCTCAAATACAAGCTATGTTCTATCTTGTTCCCCCATTCTCCATTCCCATTTTCCTACCCTGAGCGTGGTGAGTTTGCACAGTGACTCGGATCGCATAAAGAGAGCCGTCGACTCCCATTGCGCACTGTTTCCAGTGGCGAGCCCGCGGTCCTGATCTTGATACGATCCAACCTTGTCTCAAACCTCCAATTGCCCTCACCCATCCGAGTCATCCCTCCTTCAAGCATCAAAACTTCTCTATCGCAATCATGACCCTCCAAAACATCCTCGTCGTCGGCGCCACAGGCAAGCAAGGCCGTGCCGTCGTCAACGCTCTCCTCAAAAACCCCAACAATGCCCCCCACATCCTAGCTCTCACCCGCAACCCCGACTCCGCCAACGCCCAGTCCCTCCTTTCAGCCTTTAAGGATGGCCAAGTCGAGCTCGTCAAGGGCGACACCGGCGAGCCGAAGGCTATCTTCGAGGGCCGTCCTAAAGACTCCATTGACGGCATCTTCATCGTCACCGTCATGCAACAGAAGCTCTCCGAGGAACAACAGGCTATCCCCTTGATCGACACTGCCGTCGACCACGGCGTCAAGCACATCGTCTTCACGTCTGTAGAACGTGGCGGAAATGAGAAGAGCTGGACCAACCCGACTACTGTGCCGCACTTCAAGGCTAAGCATAATGTCGAGATCTACCTGCGCGACAAGGCCGCTAAGTCTAACGGTGCCTTCACCTGGACCATTCTCCGTCCGGTTGCTTTCATGGATAACTGGAACCCTGGCGCGTTCGCGAGCATGATGACGGCCATGTGGGCGTCGTCAATGTCGGAGGACAAGAAGCTGCAGCTGATCAGCGTGCATGATATTGGAGAATTCGCTGCGCTTTCGTTCAAGGATCCGGCCAAGTGGGCTGGCAAGGCGGTCGGCCTGGCCGGTGATGAGCTCACGCTGAAGGAGGTGAAGGAGAAGTTTCAGAAAGTCACGGGCAAGCCGCTTCCTCACTCGTGGAACATCCTGGGCAAATTTATGCTGTGGATGGTTACCGATCTGAGGCTGATGTTTGCTTGGTTTGATAAGGAGGGGTATGGCGCTGACATCGCGGAATTGCGGAAGGAGTTCCCTCCTCTGATGGACTTTGAGACTTGGCTGCGGGAGGAAAGTGGTTGGAAGGAGGACAAAGCTTAAAGGTAAGGCGAATGGTTGCTCTGCAATATGTGAGTAGGAAAGGTTTGTTTCTTTCGGTTAGTCAGGATTCCAGGAATGGGCAGCGACAAAGGACTCAATGGACTTATTGGAAAATAATTCTCCAGACTGTATATATGCCCAGCTGCTTGAGGCTTCAATTCCACGCGCATCACTTTATTTTATCACAGTCGTATTAGAGAAAAGGGTGTTCCAACAAAGCAGATTGGCGTTGATATACTTTCGAAATTGTCTACAGACAAATGCTTGTTTGTACAGTGCATGAAGCCCGTGCTTCAAGGGAACAGCTACCCGGTCATCGCGCAATGCTCCCACATACGCCTCTTCAACCTTCCTGTCGTGTATTCCATGGTCCCTCAGCACCTGTACGGTCCGGCTGCGGGCGTGAAGTTGCCAACCTGATACATGCCATCGGGGTCGCCCAAGCACTCGGCTACGACCATCAGTTAGCATCACAAACACACAAACATCCTCATTTCGAGAAACAGCAAATACATACCAACGGTGACAAGCTTAAGGTTATTCTGCTTCGCCCAGTTGATCAACCACGGCGTAAGGGTCTGGACCGTGCTGGCATAAGTCTCATGCATGAGTGGGATATGACCATTGCCACTAGTCCCAGCCTGCAGGAAGGCCTGCTGGCTCTGCTGGGGCGTGCGATTGTTCCAATCGCCCGAGTCAATCGAGTTGGTGATGACCTTGTAGCCCATGCTGCGCATGACGTTGAGGAACTGACCGCCGGTATCGAGGTACGGCGGGCGCATGTACGTCGGCTTGACGCCTATCAGGTTGACCAAGGCATCCTCCAAGCGCGTCATCTCGCTGCGGATCTGCGACTCGCCCATGCTTCCCATCCGCTGATGGCTCCAGCTGTGGCTGGCGACTTGGTGACCCGAGTTGAAGGTCTTCTTGACGGCATCTGCCCAGTTGTAAATGCACCCGTAGAGAGTTCCCGTCCAGAAGAAAGTGCCCTTGGCGCCTCCCTGGTCCAGGATGTCGACTAGTTGGGAGGTGTACTGATACGGACCGTCATCGTAGGCCAGCGCCAGCATGCCTGGGTTGCTGCAACGCTGGATGATGACACCGGGGCTGGGAGCCCGCTTGACGAACTCAACCGGATTGAGGACGGGGTATGCCGCGGCACTCGAGACCAGCAGCAAGCCGGTGATCACTATGTGCTTGAGCATCTTGGCTCTTTGGTTCTTAGTGCTTGGCTCAGGCTTAACAAGGTGTAGCGACAAACCGACAAAACAAAGCGATGTTTGGGGTTTCTATCCCTGTTTATATCCCAAAATCCCGTTTTGTTGTTCTTCTCCCCGCAGACGGTATACACTCTCTTCGAAAAGGAACTCCCGGGATGAATATGCTGCTGAAAAGGTCAATTTGCGGGGAGAAAGCAATCCCGGTAGAATGGACCGCACGTATAGCGCAATTCCATGAGCTTAAGAGTGGCCTTATACAGGCGATCACATATGAAATCCGGGGTACTGATGAATCTTGAGCAGCAACATGGGTACATCTACCCTAGAACTCCTTTGGGTAAATCGGAATTAATATCTCCCCACGGGATCGTCGATCACAGATCATGAGCGGCAAACAGGCGTGGCATTTAGCCGTGTTACACATCACTTATACGCGTTCAAGCAATCGTCGCGCTATGTTTCAAGTACTTCCTTGACGTAAACTATCATGCGCCCCGATCATGACCGTCATGACGACCAGGTCAACTGCCCTCTCCTTTAATGAGCACATTGGAAGGTGAGACTATGGAAGCTATTTCTAGAAGGCCAGGAAGCTCAAGCATGAAACACCACGAAAAGGGGTTTCATCTTGGAAGTTGGGAAACTCCACTTTGGATGTCCTGACTTCGTCTCGACTATGCTTCAGAGTAACTTCGGCACCAATCTCCTCAGCAAATGATTAAAACAGAGTCTGAAACGTATGAGATACTCCGTTTTTTGTATTGATGACTACCTCAAAAAGAGAATGGAAAGAGAGTGTGAAAGCGTTATTGTATGCTGGGGAAGGGTTGGGGAGCTTGTTGGCTGGGGTTTACCAATTAGAAATGAGATATTTGAAGACAACGTGCACTTCCCGAACCTTGAAGAGCCGGAAAACAGCGGTTTTATATATTCTCCGAATGGTGAATACATATCCTGACATAGGCTCATATTTGGTGATTGCATTGATCGTGACTGAAGTCGAGGCAGTTAGCAGCTTGCCTTGTTAATCCTATCAGATAGCAGAAATGGAAGGGGGAAAGGAACGGGAGACTGAATGGAAGAATCCGAGGAAGCACGCTCTGGAAGACAGAAAGGAATAAGCTAGATGTCATGAGGGGTCACTGGTGGGACATGACTTCGAGAATATAGAATGCCTCGTTTGACACAATCTAGAGAGCCAGCTAAGGGAGCATCGCAGTCTCCAGACTCTTGTACCTCGAAAAAAGGATACAGAGGTTCCATCATCCGTTTACCCGAAGGGAGAGATTTAGGCAACATAGCTTGCTCAGCAAGCCGGTAAGAGCTATTGAGAAGGGCCTCTACAGTGTTGACAAGCATCTCGGTAGCGTTTGCTTAAGTTGCCAACCTAACCGACACCAAGGCCTCTATGCACGTACGCCACGCCGGGTGAGAGCTAGCCGCTAAGGCAGGCTTTTCCAGTGAGTTCCCCAGGTGTGTCGGTGAGAGAGAAGCTGAATAGCCTTCACCGTTGTGACTACTTGTGCATTCCACTGCATCTCTGCAACATGTCGCTAACACAAAAGTTCCAGAAGCTCAAAGATGACGTTCATATGGCACCACTGGGAGTCTCCTGAAGGTGTTGTGTGGTTTCAACACCCCTGGCCAAGAATAACGTTGATCTTAGCGGGCAGTAGCACTGCGGCACAGCCCTGTGGCAGGTGCGAATACTACATGGGCGTAAGGTACCAAACTGGGCCAATTTAACCGATGACAAGGGCGTGCAGCATTACTACGCCCGCATACCGGGTAAAAGGAGAGAGGAGAGATCCAGGTCTCAATACAAACTGGCTAAATTCGATTCTTTGCGGAGGGGGGGGGGAGGGCAGGATGGAAAAAGCTGTTGTGTTCCAAATGAGTTGAGCAGCTTGGAGAAATGAATGTTTAGCTGCTCCCTTCATGACAGAAAACATGGAAAGCAATGCAAAGGGGCGATTGTATGAGATCGGTAACAAGTTCCCAAGAAGGGTTGGCTTCGGACTATCTTCGGTGACATGAACTGGTTTGAGCGATTGTCGCAACTCACCCAGCGACAATTCCAATGGCCTCAGAATTAAAGGGCAACATCGTATCTGCGAGCATCGAATGACATGTGAGTTTGCAGCGTTGTGTTTGGGCACCTTTGCAGTACTGCAACTCTGTAAAGTCTTCCTGTCAATCCATCAAAACGGATGTCACCAGTTTCGTGTTAACATGGGCGGGTAAAAAGAGTTGGGTTGCCGTGCATCGCAAAAACTGCCGGCCGAAGACCCGTTAATCCGGGTCGGTAGTTGATGGCAATTCTTAAAGGTCAGGAAATATCGGCATTTGTCACCAAGTCGGAAGACTAGAAAAGCTTACTGTAGAGCCGCAAAATGACTCGCTTTATTCAGGGTGATTATCGGCAATGGGAACTCTCTAATGGGTGGTCTTCGAGCAGTGATTCGTCAGCAACACTTCCCCAAGGCGTAGCTGGCCGCCAAGCAAACCACATGTCCTCGACCAAGCATCTATGCCTCGGCCAAAGAGCTGTTAATTGCCCCAGTTGTGACTTGCCTGTTGGTTCCGATATCAATCGGAAGGAATCGGCATTTTTGACTCTTCCATGAGTTCGTGAAAGGGACGAGGCTTTTTCTTGTCACCGAGACAAAAAGGGCTCACAGCCTTAGGGCTAGAGTGACATGTTAAGTCCCCGCAGTGTGCATCAACCCAGTGTGATGGGTTGACATGCGGAGCGCGCTACTGCAGGCCAGCCCAGACTAGGTCAAGAAGATTCCCAAGCTCATGCAGGCAGGAAGCTTGTGTTTTGGTGTTTTGCAACGCTGGGTCATTTTGATCCTTGTGATGGTGGGAAGTTCCGTCTGGTGCGGGCAGGGGATGGTGCTCGGAAAAATTTCCGTGGACCGAGGCCCCAAGGCAAGTGCCGCCGCCAGTAGACTGGATGGGAAGGTCGGGAGTGAACGCTGCCAGGAATCGAATGGCTACGACAAAGATTCTTGAGCAGCGGGAAAGTTGTGCCGTTGATGTCCAGGATCCTAAGGTGGCGTACTTCAGAAACCGCGGTTTGCTGTTCAGATTCCAGCCTTCTAACCAATACTGCGCGATATACTACACGACATGCTCGCACTCGCTAACATCTCAAGATCGGGTTCTGCCTTAGGGGAGAATGGCATGACAGCTGCTGCGTGGTTCAAGGCCACAGAGGTCCAGAACCTCGGACGATGTTGTCATTCGTGCATCAGGTAAGGAAGCCGTACCAGCGCCTTGGGGCTGGAACAATTAAAGTGGACCGCAGGATCGGTGGCACTTTTGATGATGTTTTGATAATACAGAAGTAAGCAGGGAAAAAGCGATGAGTGCGGTTCTGATTTCCCAAGAAGGTGAAGAGATGGTCAGAGACTTAGGGTTAAACACCGCATGGCTGCTTCCTCGATGTGTGCCTGGTCCTTGTCTTCCCCGGCCCTCTGGGGCGGCATCAAGGGAAGTGGCGCATGTTTGTGGCTTTGTGGCCTATTGCGGCCTCGTCTCATTGGTTAACCGCGCGGTTGGCGCATAGCCCCTTCCGCGCGCCATCACAGCCGCAGACGTCGTCCGACAATCTAGAACTTCTTGGGCATTGCTTTGCGAGACTCTCTTCTTTCGTCTCATCTGCTTCCTCTTTTCCAGTCTGCTATTTCATTCTTTGGGCGGGGCTGCGATCAGAACATCAGCCCGCTACCTACCAGTTCCATATTAAAGACAGTAAGGCTTACAGTGCCGATGGACGCGCACTTGACAGCAAACGGACTGATCTTCCTCTTCAGCAGAGGTTTCCAACTTGACAGGACTTGATTCCCTTCTGCGGGCAACGGGTGAGCTGGAAATTCGTATCGCAGATACCCCAAAGATTCGGCGTCTTGGCAACGTTGTCGTCGAGCCAATCCACGTGCCTGATTATAACTTGGGTCAAGAGTGAGGAGATCTTAGCGCATCACGAGCGGTTCCGGATGAGGTCTAGTCAGGAACGGCTGGCACAATCGGCATGTGGGTGGAAAATGAACGATGCATTGGAGATCTGCGCGCTGAACTGCCGCAGATCATCGATGATGTTGGACGATTCCCGCGATCAATGAGGCCTCATTCGATACCCTTAAGATTCCTCCACGTGGTGTTCCAGCCATATGTCCGGTTGGATGGAGCCAGGACTGTCCGGAGATGGTAGGTTGATGCGGCTCTTCGAGACATCTGATCGGTCTGCTTTGACAGCTCGGCTTGACTCGCTTGACACTTTCGCTGCGACATTCGAGAAGATCCAGTTGTTGCAACGCTTCCAGCCTGTTTATGGGTTGAGGAAGGTCAAGCGCCCCGAGTTTGCTCGTTCTTGTCAGGCGCCGAGGCTTGTGGCTGGACCTGAAGCAGCTAATTCCAAGCAAAGAGAGAGAGTCTCAACTGCACAGGTCAAACCGGGGAGCCCCTGAAATCATGGGCCCTGCGATGGAGGTACGTAGCGGAGGTACGGAGGTACTCGGCGTCACCGACATCCCGGACAACGGAGAGGTCTCTCGTCGGTGTGGCACGGTGAAGTCTGGGGGCTTGCCGTGGCTTCGATGAAGCAGACGGCCGTTCCTCGGGCCAAAACTGGAAGTGGCAGGTGTCGTTGCCATCGGCAGTGCCAATGAATCAATTAGGGAGTAGGTGGATGAGGGCCCCCTGTCACACTTCATGGAAAGTTTTCTCGAAGGCTTCGAAAAGTGGGCCCGCCGTGCTGAGGCATGCTTGGACCTGCCTGGAACAGGTGATGGCCACGCCAGATTCCACGTGTTTGAAGCCCGCCAAACCAGGACCACCACCTCAGATCTCACAATGCCTCAGAATCCTCGACACGTTGCAGGCCCGTTGCGATCCACACACATCATCGAGGATCACCACTGGACGATGAGCGGCACGCTCGGAAGCCGAGTCGCTCTCTGCTCGAACCACGTCCCTGTCAGTCTCCGCTGTTCACCTTGCGCGCTTTTCCCGCCTTCTGTTTTGGTATATTCTGTTGTCAAGAAATCGAGAACCCCCACGGGCACCCATGATGGCCCTCGACTTGTCCAGCGTCTGGAAACTGTTAGGACAGCTTGTTCTGTTACATGTATCTTCTGCCGCTTCGGAGATACGTATGGGAGCATTGGGCGGTCCAAGTACCGTTTAGCGGCTGGTTCGGCAAACCGCTGTGCACGTTGTAAGCGAGCCCGTTTTGCAGTGCAAGAAACAGCCTGCAACCCTGCGGCGACGCGCAAGATCTCCAAAGGGCGAACTTCTGGAAAGCGCTCGGATCCCTCCAATAACGCTCTCGGCGTTGTGTGCGCTTCCAAAATGCCAATCGGCCTGCAAAACCAGTAGTTAAGAGGGATTCTATAATGACGACACTAGGATGTGGACGATGCAGGCAAAGGTTGACAGCTATGACGGTGTAGCAGGTATCTGTAGTTGGCAGTTTTTGCGATAGCTGGGAGCAGTGAAGGTGGTGTTGGCGATGCGACTGTGTCTGTGCAACGAGGTGCTTCACATCCCAGGATAGGATGGTGTCAACGGCCTTGCAGCCGAAGGCTTCGGCGTCCACCTTCTTCAGGATTAGGTTGATGGATTTAGCTCTGGAAACAACTCCCGAAAGAGTAGAAGCTGTGGCTCCACAGTTGGACGGACCGACGGAACAGAACTCCAGACGAATGCTCCGGATTCCTTCTGTTTTGGCCGGCTGACGGCCTCCTCCGCGTTTCACCCCCAGAGCCCCAGAGCGCAGGACAAACTTGACCCTCTCAGCACGTGTTCTCTGACCCGGATGAGAGAGTGTCGGCTGCATTGCCGGCTCCGAGGATACAACCAGCCAAAAGGCGTTTGTACAGAGATCCGGGGACCGGCTACAACCACGTGCAACCCTTGAGGCGACCGTAACTCATGAACTGTGGTGCTGAAATGCTTCATGGAATTGCTGAACACATCACGCTGGACCTTCCTGCTTGCAATTCACGTCCATTGTGTCTTTGAAACGCAAAGGAGTGCATACGCACATCACCTTGAGCTTTCATATCGCTTCTGGTAGGAAATTACCTTTTCTGCTGATTGGGCTGGCGAGTTACAGACACGGAACAAAGACGGCCGAAGTCTTCTGATGTTCCGAAAAAAAAGTTGGGCTCCCATGGAAACAGGCTTGCATTGACTGGTGGGCTTTCAGACCGGGTGTTCACCATCTACGGCTGCGAGGAGTTGTCCACAAAATCATCATCAATGGCAGTGGTGGGTACAGGTACCATTGACCCACCAAACCTGAGGCCACAACCACACCGTTCTGGCACTCCGTTTTTTTACACTTTAGGGCCGTTTGTCTGCCTGAAAACTGTCTCACAAATATGGAATGTCTGTCAAAGCATGAATGCACACAAAACTGAAACCCCTTAGGCAATTGTTTTGATGCATTTGAGGTAGCAAGCTCTCTATTTCCACGGAGGGTTACAGTGCCGTAATAAGAACTGAATTGTGCTCTGTGTGGAATCGTTCGCGTCTTCCCAAGCCGCGAAACCACGACGCGATGTTCTCGAAGTCCCACATTGGGCTCATGGCAACCGACCATTATCCCGGCAATTTGTCGAGTGCCTCTTGCCTTAGGCGCCTTAGGCGCGCACTCAAGCTTCATACCTCAGACCAGAACATCCAGAGATCTCATGTCTCCAAGAGTGTTCGTCTGATGTAGCATGGAGGATCTACAAACGTGAAGGCAGTGCATGAGATTGCGTTATCTCGGTTCAATTCCAGGGCATAACGGCGCCCCGTTGAATTTCGTGCTACTGTCCATGTAGGTACCTACCTACCGAAGGAAAGTGTTCCAAGATCCCGCAGGTACGTACCTGAGTACAACTGGAGGCCCGCGCCCACATCATCCCCAATCATACACCCCCCTGCCACCGACAGCAGGGGGTGAGAACTACACCAGACCCCTTGGAAGCACGGGCCCAGAATCTAGACCTCCAACTGACAAGCTACTTACCTCGGAGATTCCCAAGTTAAATACAATATCCCCCCAAGTCCATGGCCTGGGTTCCCATCTTCTGGCATCCAGGACTACCGTCTACCACGATATCAGCTTTTCTGACCGCAACTTGACAAGACATATATCAGACCCGACGACGACGAGGTCAGCTCACCGAGACTCGACCTCTACTGCTCAGTATTCCTTGCAATTGCTACGACACTCTGTCGATACGCGATCATTTACTGCCAGCATATAGTTGTCCAAGTTCTCGTCGATCGTGTCGACTCTTTTCAAGAACCATATATTTCAACTTTTCACTTTCAAGATGTGCGACTACACTCAGCGCGAGTATTCCTGCGGCCACTTCCGCTGGATCGCCTCCAAGTGGTGCCGCGAGTATACCCTCACGCACAAGAGATGCCAGCCCAATGTCACCCATTTTGAGTACCGCGCAGATGAGCCTTGTGGTATGTTTAGTTCCCTGAGCCTGCTGCCCTCGCATACAGAGAGACTAACTCTTAAAATCAGGCGAGTGCAAGCCGAAGGAGTACCCGCCTTGGGAGAACCTCATCCGCCGCAACAAGCAGGCCACCTACTAAGGGGCTATCAACAGTCACCTTTTTACACAACCATGTGGATGCAGCAACGGGGACTAGCGCTCTTTCGAGACCCGGTAGAGCTCAGAGACAGGAGCGACATGGCGATCAGCACCACCGAACCACAGATCGAGGGATTCTCCAGGCAATTAGCGGCCATCAGCACCCAGCTTACGACGAGTCAACCCATCGGTGACGAATAGAGCCAGACTTTACGAACTACACAGCCAGTCTTAAGTCGAATGAGCAGCCACGATGCTGAACTGACTGCGACACGAGCTCGACAACGATACGGAACAGTAATGGGAACAATCAGTCATCATTGAGTCAGAACAGCCGCCACAGAAAAAAAAACCTGGTTTCAGGTCCTGCAATGCAGATACAACGGAGCATTGCACCATCGCAGCCATCGAACCATTGACGGCGCCAACTGCGCCGAAGACCCGCTCTCCACTTGCATCGCGACCGCCGCTGCCGTTGCTGCTCCTGGCCCCACGGGCCGTTTCTTGACTTGCATCCAATCACTTGCATCAACCCCCGCTTTGGGACGCGGACTTTGAAAATTTTTCGTTCTTCGGCCTTTTTGTCTTCCATGTATGTTTTTTAACCTTGGGCACGCAAACCATTGGGCGTTGTACATAGAACGGATTGTGCTTTCTTGGGTGGGGATGGCGCCGAAAACGGAGCATTTGGTACTCCTGGCTGGGCTGGGGCTCGAGTATAGGGTTGGATTTTTTTTTGGATTTGTCTTGGTGCGTTATTGGGATATGCTTTATTGTGGGATACCAGGGATCTATGGAGTTGGTACGATACAGGATTTTGGAAAGCCTTCTTTCAATTAAGACAGGGTCCCCGCGAGGAGGAAGAACATAGAGACGCGATTATTGCTTGGTTTGGAAAGTTAGCTAGTTCGATACCATTTCTTTGCCTAGCTGGTTACACTGACAATAATGAACACAATAATACAATACGAATTGGGAGACATCGGTAGAAAGAGCCGATCCATCGTGCAACAGGTTACGCAAAGTTGTTACCCCTTGTTGGGCTGCTTTCTTCGATGATGTCCAAAGTCCGGTGGCAGTGCAGGCCGCAGATCTTCCCAGCTCATCGGGCAGCTCTGCGTCATCATTGGTGGATCTTGACCCAATCTTGAGTCAGGGAAACGCGCAGGACTGATGGGTTTGTAATCTGTACCACTGTTGTTGGCTTGCTCTGCTGGCACTCCAACTGGGTACCTACCTATTTACACAGTAGTACCATGGGCTGGCAGGCACAGGAGAGGTGTGCGCGCTAAAGATCACTTTCGCCCCTCCATTTTGCCGACCAAGATTGTGAGTCTGGAACTTTCTCTCTGCCAGTTCATCACCTCCCTACCCTTAAACAACAAAGTATGGATAGGCACGCCTGTCTCTGCACCTCTGCTCTCTGACGCTCAGGCTGTGATTCCAACACAAGAAACCTCAATCAGCTGATTTCACTCAGGGGATTTCCCCCATCTTATCACGGCGCTTCAGCTTGCCGAAAAGAGAACGGAAACAGCCCCGCCTTCCGAGAAGAGCATGGTGATTACCAGATCTCAGTTTTGTCAGCCACGAATGAGGATCGTGCGGCGTCTAGGATATCTTCTATCCTCAGCTCCAGGCTCGTGGACTGGCTGATGAAGTGCTGTGACAGCCTCTATACCCCATAAATGGACTACATATGGTGTAGTGACAACTGTGTGCCTGCGCAATAATGGCCCCGCAGCGAGACAACGGCCCTGGTGGCACCGGAGGTTTTCCGTAGCCAAGGACCGGCAGGCAGGCGTTTTCGACGTGTCAGCCAGGTTTGCATCCAATGCCGATGTGGTCTGGACATTGAGAATGCTTCGTCGCTGCTCTGCTCAATGGGCCAATACTGTGGAACACGGAGCTGCACATCCCTATTATTGCCCATTTGCTAACCTTGAGCTGTTGTCCAACTACCTGGCGTCTGGGACGGTAACACAAGGATGGGCATGCTTTGCTGATGCTGTTCTTGTTATCTTGATAAACTACAGTTGTCGACGGCAGCCTGGTCAGGTAGTTATCTGCCCACCTTCGTGTAGACACCGGCTTCTTGAGACTCACCTATGACGTTGGGTGTCGTGTTCACCCGTCTATACTTCGGCTCGAGGGATGATGAAATCGGCTTTGTCAACCACTGGAAGGAATTGGGTTTTGGTGTGCTAATATGTGGTGTGGCTAGCTTCCAATTTACGGCTTCCTTCACTCATTCTCCTATCCAAGTAATCTTCCCCCAGCCGGAATAGAGCCAATTCATGTTGTGTATCGGCTGTCTACACTACTTGACAAACCAATTCATACCCCTCGGCCGTAAAGACCTTCACAGCTATGAACTGTTGCCCACAACCTGCGTGTTGCAGGTCTTGTGTCGGTGACGTATGCGGACACCTGCGTACGTGTATGTACATTTGCACATACGGAAAACAACAACTAGATCAGGAACTGGATCTATCAGATCGCTGCAAGACGCCCACCTGCCCTGGTATTGGGAGCTTATGTATTATGCCGAGACAGGCATGCGAGGAACATCACTATTGGGCTTTGAAAACTAATATACCGATACATCATCGTCGACAGGATGGATGCAGTTACGCACAGTATCCCTCTCTCGCGCAAGAATTCATATATGACAGCGACGCTCAAGATCTTTGTAGGGCTGGATCCAGATCATTCTATGGGAAGATCTTAAACCGCATCATGTTTGCTGCCACCTTGGGGCATGGTCAGTCAGACCCTCAAGGAAGCATACGCATTTTAGTCACACTGCAGCCCGTACGTAGAAGCGCCCTCTCGTCGCTGTTGTTTTCAATTCCCTGTACCACTGTGGCGGACGAAGGAAGTGCATTTCGCGACACAGGCTACGACCTTCGCAACGATGACGATGTGTAATGACATTGTGCCGGCAAGTTGTGGTACTCCTACCATCTGGAACCAGTCAAAATGGATACCTGCCCTGGCATGAAATCATATTGTGCGTTACACAAGCACACAGAACCATCGGCGGCAGACAGATTTCGGGGTGTTTTCAGCCGACTTGCTTGCAACGCTATCTGCGTGCGAATTGCACTACTGTGTCTAACCTGAGCGTTCTCATCATAACTGGACGATATCATTACTGACTCACTCAAATAAATATCGCCACTTGTAGCAATGCATATTCCAAACATTCCTCTTATAGGTGACTGCAATAGAAGCAACGCAGTCCCAAGAAACCCTGACATCTTGTTGAACTTATGGTAAGTGTGCCTTGGAACTTGCCGGCTTCGTCTAATGTTTTGATGGCGTCCGCATTCGTGTTCCGTCTCGACTATAGCGCCATTTTCTCTATCGCTTTGCTGTCCGTGATTTTGTCGTTATCAATCACCCGACCTACGTCTTCCAAATCTTCTCACTGTTGAGGTCTGTTCTGTCCATCAAGGATGCCAAGACCCCCCGGCTAAGACCCGGCAAATAGTATCAAGATGGGGGCCCCGAAGAGATCTCCAGCGGGATTCGACCGGATCGCCGTGGGAATATCCACACTTCCGTACAAGCCGACATTTCTCGGCTGTTAAGGCCGATGAAACATATCTATTTCATAGCTTTCTTGACCACTCTATCCTGCAAATTCACTTGAAATCCATGGTAAGGTTATGGTATAGCATTGCTACTTGCAGATGAACAGGGGTGTTGTGCCCGCTAATGCATAAGGGAAAGGTTGGCTTGCAGAGCCTGCAGCATGGCGAACATGGAGTGACGGTTCAACTCTTGGACTGAGGGCAACGAAAAGGATGGTTTATAACCCGGAAGCTTACCTACTTATGTAATCTACGCTGTGAGTGCGGAGCAACCCGTGACCTATTTTGCTGTTTTAAGCCACCAATTGTTGGACGTTAGTGGTGGCACTGTGTGTGAATTTCAATGATACTGGGGTAACTCACCTCGATAACCTCCACAAGGTAATGAGCCTGTAAGGCTCCGCCAGTATCCGAAAGGATAATGTCACGGTATAACCCATATGATATGATAAATCAACAATGGCTGGCTGCTTGCTGATCGGATAAGTTCCGACAGGTGGTAATATTCCGCTTGCTGGTCTCTGCCATGGGAAAGAAAATGACTGGAATGATATTGAACCGCGAATGGCTTACTACGGGACGTACTCTTCGATCCTCCAAAGCTCAAGATTTCCCGGTAAAAGGATGTGCAACGAGAGTCTGTGTATATTGCTCATGGAATCCCTCTCTATATTGAACCGGTGAACAGTCATGGCAGACAAAAAAAGACGCGCAGATTCCATCGCTTTTTCTGGTTTCTGAACCTTGGAACGTGACTTCTGCCCAGGAAGATCATGACAATTGTCCAAGACTTCCTAGCGTGCTTACCGGTGGGACACACAAGCAAACACCAAGACTGAAATATGCAGCTGGTGGAGGAACACCTATTCCAAGATTTTGCACGGCAAGTATCTGTCCCTCCGTTAAACCTCGGGTCATGAATCCGGTGATATATATATATCAGGTGACTTCCTAACTCTGCAGTACAGCTAGTGAACTTGTTCAACATCCGAGCAAAGCTTGTGTTACCTCTTTCATACTGACTTAGTGGGAAGTGCAAAATACTGCCGACATGATCCTCACTCAGCGTCTCTACGTGACCGGGGGGATGTCGACACGAACAAATCTCAGACACTAAAGCTTCAGCCGACCCAATACTTTACGCAACAGCTTCATCCCGTAAATGGCGAGGCTTTCCCCACGAGGTAGGTAAAATCTCCGGTGTCACAAGCATGGCGACCCCGATACATATCGCAAGCATGCTGCACGAGGTCTGGACCCCTATGATGATCCCGGGTCTGCGCACAGAGCATCCCAAGAAGTGTCTGTGAGTTAGGTAGAGTGCGGCAAGAGAATATTCCATGGCAAGGGTCATGGAATAGGGGAGTGGAATGGAGCATGGGGCCCCGCGTCTGGAACGTGACGCCGGCAAATACTGCCCCCATAGTCTTTTCCATGTTTGGGTTGTCGATATGGTTGGTTGTGGCCACAGCTGAAGTGGTGGGGACTTGACTTGTTACCGTGCGCTGAGATTGAGGGTGACCAGGCGCGGCGCTCCGAACTCTGCTGTTGGTGAGACCACGATCTGTTGGTTTCCTTGTGGAAGCTGAATAGTTCGCGAATATGACGGTAATCGGGACATGGTTTGTGCCATGGTTATTTGCAGTGCTTATGATAAGGGTTCGTACATACAAGGCGGGCTCCAGGGTTTCAGTCAGCATCAGCGTAGCCGGTCCACACCAGCCAACCCATGCACCCTGAAGATCCGCTAGCCGACCGCTGTTGAAACATTCCGCGACAATGTACGCGCCGAACCTTAATACGGAATGGTACCGCTGGAAGTGAAGTCTACGATAGACAACATCGATGTCTCAATTCTCAGCTGCCACTTATACTTACAACTTCCCTTGATTTGGATGCTCGTTTCAAAGGCTAAACATGTACATGAGTAGGTGCGCCGTTAGTGAGGTTGTAGAACGGAACAATTTCCCCTCGAAGTCTGTCAGTTTTCAATTTTTCCCATCTTTTTTCTCACAACCATCACTGCCGTTACCCTGAGCCGCCGCAGTGTTCCCCACATCGACAGCTGGCCCCTGTTAGCCCGCTACCTTGGTCCCCTGTTGGGGTTGGCCTCAGCAGGTCGCAGCGCCCAGCGAGCCTTATGATGACAAACAACATCGCCTTGAAAGCATTGCATCTTGGACTCGGACTGAGATAACACAGCACTAAAAGGGAGAACTGACGCGGTAAGATCAAATTGACCGTGTGAAATCTCTTCCATGATTGAGTTATCCTTGGTTAAGCCTTTTCTGCCTTGCTTGCCGCCGTCTCTGTTACGCTCCTACGAAGGTTAACAATCACGCACCTATTATATGCGACTACCACATCCGAAGGCCTGTCAGCAATGGAAAGGAGTCAGCCAGGGCAGCATCCTTTTCCATGCGTCCCGCACGTCTTACGCGGGCCGTCTAAGCGCCCCGTAACCGCAACGCTCCGACTGGGTGTTCTTTAGTTAGTCTCTTGTTGCCGAATGCCATCATTACCTTGGCAGTTGACCGTAGTTACATTCAGCCCGGGCTGCCGGCTCACCGAGTCATAGCAGGCTTGTAATATAGGTTCTGTCTCCGGTTCTGGGTGGTGAGGTGAGTGTACAAGACTGTTGCACAATCTTGGTACCTTGAACGGGAGGGAAAACGGACGGGTTGAGAAACGGACAAGAGTTTATCGCAGCAATGACGGAAGTCGAGGCTTTGATGTGGGTGTCTAGAGAGGTCGAGCTAGACTTGGTCAGCCATAAACGTATGATCATTCCCTCTATCACCAATCCTTCAATGTTGCAAGCTGTGGGATATGATTCTCCAACCAAGAACTGCTATCAGAACTGCATGCGTAATGTTCATTCTGATTCATCATCATCTTGTATCCAGCCATCATTTTCCCCAGCACTCCAAAAATTGATGCTTGAATAGGTGCATGACCCCCACACCGCTCAGCCACTTGCCTCCAGGCTTCACTATGGGCCATTCTCCTTCTAATCATGAACATCAGTCATCACCTTTCCAAATCCCACACATTATAACAACCACCTATCAAGCTTCTCATCACGCACACTCATTATAATCCCCGAAACCCACTTTGACAGTAGAGAGTTTCCCCTTCCTTCAGTTGCTCCGCGGCGCGCCACGGAGTTCTTCACTCTCTCATTTGTAAATAACTTGCATCACCATCCTGTTGTTCCCCCATCCCATCGTCAGCCACCTTAGCCACCCACTCTCTTGTCAGCCTCACCTTCTATCTCTTTCCCCCACGCAACTCACCGGTTGGTGAACGAAATAGGATCGGAGCTTGGCAACTCGGTGTGCATTTCCTATAAGGTTGGAGAAGGATTCTATGGAGCCTTTCTGGCTGCTCTTTACTGACCAAATAACCTCCGATGAAATGATAAAGAACCTGGATACTTCATGCAGTCATATGTGGGGGCATGCACAAGCTGCCCTGTAGTTCCTGTTCCAAGGAGACGGTATCTACGCCATCGCCAGGAGAACAAATTCGTCAGAAGAACAAACTCGTCAGAACAAGAGGTGTGTGGGATTACATCTATTGTGCTGCAAAACGAAGAAAGCCCAAACGCAACCGGATGTGATGCTCCGGCATGCCTTGCCGTCATCGTTGTATCCCCAAGTCTCTTGAGCAAAAGCCACCTTCTAGGTACAATTGGTTGAGATCGATGCCGTCACAACGCCGGTAGCGGCCTTCTTGACCAGGCTCGGCCTATCACCAAGAATTCCACCTCGCGATGTATGTCACTAGACGTTCCCAGCTCCAGATCGGTTCCACAATCGGCACCGGTGAGAGCCTTGCCGGACCGGCAGTGGGTCTTGACCGGAACAGGCTCCAAGTCCCGTGCAACACAGCAGACGCGCAGTGCACAAACCGGTAACAATCTACGCTACGCACTTAGTCAGCATGGACTATATGCGATCAGTGTTGTGCAAGCAAGCAGGTATCGCCAATGAGGATGCGCTTCTCTAACCTGATGTTCAAGATGCTTGAGCCTCATGTCAGACATTACAAACAAAGACTGCCATCCATCCATCCATCCATCCATCCATATTCAATCCCGGTTTCAACGGGTTGCTTGTTTGATACCCCTTCTCGAAAGCCGCATCGCTATCAATAATTGGGTTGCTGTACTCCTATGTCCCTGATGGAATGGTAATTGGAATTCGCATCATCAGAGATATGGTGGCTGGACTACCAGTTCTGACACAGCCCACGGAGCCTGGATCGCAACACATGTAGAAATAGACTTGCGCTCACCAATAGCAGAAGCGCTGAAGGTTCCTGAACCTCATTGATGCAATCATAAGTCCTTCGACGTAACATGATTTGATGTTTCCTAGTGTAGTGCAGAGTATATGAGTGGTCTTCAGGCATATCTGCGCGACGGTTGGGCAGCTCCAAGCCCAAAGATAACGCTCCGCACTATGATTTGTGCGGCGGAATGGAGAGAGCCTAGTGCAACACCGGGAGCTATTCGCACCCTCAAGCCTCCAAAACATCTGGGCAAAGCTGCTAACAGTTGTCCGAAATGGCGAAAGGTCAAAACAACAACCCTCCCAGGTTCCGGTACATCTTTCCCAAACGGACCTGAAGCCCTCTGGTTCAAAGAGAGCACAAGCTTCTCTTCCGTCAAGTCCTCCGTTTTCTCTGATCTTGACCTCTACTCATTACCCCTTTGGGCGTGTTGCAGGGACACTGTGGAGGCGGTGTTGGCCACACCAGCCCACGGACCCGACAGTTTGGATCGAACGACCCCACGATGTAACGGCAATGGCTGCAGCTGCCTTGGCAGGGCTGCAACGTGTCGATGGATGATCGAGCATGAGTTGTCGCACTTATCCCACACAAAAGTCTGCGTGTCGTACAGCTATTCGAGAGTAGAGAGTGACTGATAGCGTGATGCCCCAAGTAGTTGTCCCTTCCAAGGCATTCTATGTTGGCTGAAGAGGATTCACCGCGTAAGAATGGTCTACTAACGGCAAACATAGTGCTATCTTCCTTTTATGTACAACACTTGAGACCCGGAAGTTTGGGTCGGTATTCAGGAAGGGTATGCCGTGCAACGCAATGCATCACATGCGGAGAAGACAAGGAGTTTGTACTTCCGAAGTGCGCGCTGTGATGGAGGGGGAGGTTTCGGGTATCCGAACAAGCCAGCGATTGTGTTTGGGAGATGATCGCGGCAAACGATCGGAGTTTCGGCAGCGACAACGACGCAAGGGAGTGTTGTTGGGGAGGGAATTGGATCCAGGGAAGATCTGCGCATCGAAGACGAAGTGTACAAGCAGATCTGAGACACGGGCGATCTCACTCGAGTCAGTTCGCCTTCTTATCTCCGATCTCAATCGGGTTAGCAACGGCTCTGTCATGTTTGCTCGTGAGGCTGCCGTCTGGGCAGAACAATTTCCTCGCGGCGAACACACTGGAGGACGAAGGGATAGATTAGATCGCATCCGATCGAGCCTTCCCAGATAACTGCTGAAGGCCAGCTAACGACATAGCCATGAGCCTCGGGCTAACACCACTACATGGGCAGATAGCCGGCTAGTGGCACCAGGGCTGAACCTAGAGTCCTGCAAAACTCAGTTTTTAACTTCTTAGCAGCCTGTTCCTATTCATCCTGGCATTCACTGTCATAGAAGCGCTTGTTGGGGGCTGACGAATGTGTGATGATGCTCAATAAGATTTTGTGGCGTTGCCATGTCCAGTTAAAGAAGAGGATCGGACCCGGAAGTCAGGTGCTGCCGGACTCAAGGCCAGGGTTGACGACAAGGTTCGGTCTAGGAAAACAAGGACAATTGGATATGATCATTCAACTGACCATATCCCATAGCTCGTGCCGCCCGAATGACCTCGCTCTTGCAACATCATGAGACTGCAGTAGCCGCGCAACTCTGGCAGACCAGAAGGCCATCTCTGAGGTGTCATGGCGGTCATGGCCGCCCCACCATTTGCCGGTCTTATCGCCGGTTGGGTTGTGGCCTTTACCAGGTACTGCCAGCCACCAGACAGAGAATGCACACTGGACGACGCAGCCTGCGGCGGTCAAAAGTGTCAGGGAAAGGCCAATATTGCGCCCCACCCAAGGCGAGGTGGTTGCTTGGCCAGAGCCCGGGGTTTTCGTTGTTGACGTTGCCGGCGACTTCGCCGACGTGGACGCCGATGGCGGTGCCGGCGACGGTGGAGTTGACGATGCGCATAACCTGCGCCATTCTTTGGGGCCGAAGCAAACTGTTGTGTAAACCAGGCCGATGTCAAGAACCAGCTACATGATAAGACCGATCTTCTTGAGGGGCATCTTGCAGACGTAGAACAAGTTGATGATCTCCCACGACAAATTGATGATGAGGGCCAATACCGGCATACCATATGACTTTGTGGCCAGCGAACGACGCGTCATGAGCACATAGGCCAGGCTCCAGAGCAGAAACACGACACTCATGGCCACGCTGTGGAATGGCACGACCCATTTGGGCGTGTGTGGCGGCGAGGATGTCGAGGGAGTCCATAGCAATATGCAGAGGGGCTCTTTCGTCGCGTAAAAGCGTACGTAGTAGTCTTGTTGAGCTGGGTGTGTTGCCTTTGGGGTTAAAAGCTGGCGATAGAAGACGGTCGTGAAGGATGAGAGGCGAGATCAAAAAAGATACCAGAATGTTTCGTGTCTCACGACAGAAATGCTGCCGACCGTTAAGCTGTGTAACAGCCTAACCCTTGGGACGCGGGAGAGCAGCACGTAGTAGGCAGTATATGCCAGACCGAGCGCGTTCAAGAGGAAAGCTGGTAGGGTACTGGGCTGACGTGATCCTGCAGCTCTGAGGAAGGTACGGGTCTTCCTATTGGTCCCACCCGTCCTGAGGTTTCAATCGCCAACATCGGCAAATCGCAAAAAGCTTCGATAAGGTAGCTGCCGTGCGTTGCAGCCGCGATCGAAGTAAAGACCGTGGAAAAATCGATAATGATAATAATGTATAGATCAGACGCTGGCCCATTTGGCCGAGGTAGTCATATTGCAAAACTTGTATCGGGTTTTTAGTTGTCTCAATTCTGGAAGTCCCCTTCCTCTTTCCCTGACCCTGGAAGTCAAACGTCTCCCATCTGTTGAACCAATGACAGAGCTCTGTTCAGCTTACGGTAACCAAATGGACAGCACTTACATGTGCCAACTGTGTTTTCCATCACACAAGCCCCAACCATGCTGCGAAGTCGAGATATGTCTCTCAACGCATTTGTCAAGGACGATCAGAAATACATTGACCAAAATGGCTTCCTCTGTGCCACCAACTCAATCTCTTTCGGCTGCTCCGATCTATTTTTGGGGTAAGTAGGTGCTGAAATGGGTGACAAAACGGTGACAATTTAGGTAGGCAGTGTCTTCGTGTTGTTCACCATCATGTTCCCTTTTATCTAAAACTGCCAATACTTTGGACGATGGTTCGGTTGACATCTCGATCCGAGCGGAGTTTGGTTGTCAAAAACAGAAGGCGGGGTATTTTGTGCGGGGTAGCAGCCAGGGGTTCTGATCAAGGACAACGCTGGACGCGTCGAGTTGCGACTCCGCGATGAACCGGCGATCTCCCCAGCAACCAGGTACGGTATATTGAGCACAATGGACTCTCAAGAGTCGAAGCTTAAAGGCTTCGGCACATGGCGCCGGTCTGAAGTTCGGCCAAGCCCAATTCACCAGTTGGCTGAAGCAAACAGCGAAGAGGTTGGGGGCGCGAAAGGCACAAGAAGCCGATGGCTAGAGCAAACAACCCAGCACCCTCGATGCCTGAACCACCATCGACCATATCGCAGACTCGGCAACTCCCGCGCCGTCCAAAGGAAAAGACCAACCAGGTAGTTATCCATGGAATCACGACTATCAATTGCGCCCCAGACAACAGTGCAGTCGATGCAATCGACCTAGGTCGAGGAGTTCGCCGATACCATCGCCAAGTATGCTAGTCCCGACGACGTTCCTGATGTGGCTATTAACATCTCAATTGATGTCGTTATTCTGTGCAATAAGGGCTTCAATTTCTTCCAGAAAGCGACGAAAAACACTACCAGAAAGAAGATCAAGCAGAGTAACTCCAGCCATGCCCACATATCGGTACTGCAGCGTGTCCTGGCCAAGCTCGAGGGCCTGGTTAGCGCAAGAACTTCTTGGGGAGCGAAAATGCCGGCAAAATATAACTGTCGGATCAACATGACAGATTTCAATAACATGATCGGATGCCTTGAGGTACAAGCTGCTGCGAATAGGACTCAGAAAGCTGTTATTGAGAGGGTTGAGTTTGAGACCGAAACCACACCCACCCTTTCCAAGAAGTCATCGAGGAAGTCAGCCAAGAAGCAACGGAAGCCGGAGAAGCCCTGAAGGCCTGGGTCAAGTCGAACAATGGTCGCCCCTGGATCGACAAAATCGACTTTAGCTTTGCTGGGTCTGGCGATGAGGAGGATGACGAGTTTGATCTCTACATGATGGTCTACTGTTTCTTCGAGGATTTAAACACCATCTGCAACAAAATGCCAAGAACCATGTCTCCTACTGCTCTGGGTGTCCTCACCAACGTGGCCTGCAAGGTTTTCCATGATCCGATGAAGTACTGCAAAGATCTTGGCTTCAAGAAGCATTGGAAGAGCCGTCCCCTTGGAAATGAACCACTACATCGTGGAGGACTTCATGTGGCCTGACAAGCAGTCTTGCCTCATGGGCAAGGGTGTCAACGAGGACCCTGAATTCTTCATGCATCAGCAGGAACCCATTGAGGTCGGTCAGCTTGACTTCCGTAAGAGGTTCTTCTGCAGCTAGCTAGAATATGAATTCGTATTGTTGAACGACATTGTTAATGTAGCAGCCTATTTGTATCACTCCGCACTTGCTGCTGATTCGACGGTACCGGCATGGGACATGACGAGACACTACGCCAAAACCTATGTTAGGGGCAGCCAATTTAAGCTTGATTTAAGCGATGCTAGAGGTCCGGCGGCTATCACCTAGAACTTCGGAAAGCTTCCAAGAAAAGAGCCAGAGAAGGAGTCCACCGAGGTCCGTTTTAGCGATATCAGATAGTTTGTGCTTGACGCCAGTATCCAGAAGATATTCAACAGTTACGCCTGGGATGAGCGCCGATTTCGCGACTTTATTTACCCCGATTATCTTCGCGAGCTTACTGCATACCGGTTTCATATCGAGAAAGGCCAGGCCAAGGGCATGCAGAATGGGAATGCTGCCAACGGCACGAGCGCTGCATCTGAGGGTCATGGAAGTGATGACAGCAAGGCACGCGTCAAGCGAGAGACTGCTCTAGTCAAAGCTGACAAACACAATCTCACCAATCTTGCTCCTTTGGAGATGTTTGACCTGGTGGACAAGGCTGTTGTGTCACAGTTGGGGTGCCCGGAGGGGGGGGGGCTTTTGATTCTCAACTATCTCGAGCTCTTTCACAAATCCGTTGCTTTCCTGGAGGTTGTCGCTGCTGGGTTGGTCTGGAGTTCGAGGAACGCCTGGGTCCGAAGGAACCAGACTTTGCCGTGCACCTGAATTGCGTCCCCCTCCGGCTGATTGAGGGTTTAGACGCGAATGGGGACGAAGCGAATATTCTGACCACCATCTGCAGTATATCGCACAGTTTTTGTTGGTCAGGAACCGTGAGCGCAGCTCCCTAGCTGCCTAATCCTTGTCCCAAAACTCAGACCCCAAATATTGGCGTTTTCCACCCATGAGCGTTGCGGTATTTGTACTGACAAGTCCAACGCCCTCTTTTTGGAACGCATCCACTTCTGTAAATGACGTAACACAATTGGTCAAGCATTTCCCAGGAACCTTGAAAAGGAGTACTGAGTCCCGATTCTGCTTGCGGAAGTTGCAAGAATGCAGCCTTCTATTTCAATTTGTCACACTTCGAGCCTTGATGTGTTAGATAATCGAAACTTTTGGATAGCTCAACTGCCATTTTTGGCGATTGCGATACTCTCCAGACACAGCCTCTCGAGCTGTCGCTTTTTCATCGCACAAAGCTAAGCCTGATGGTTTGCACATGAGGCCAGGTCATTGGGCCTGTAATTTACTCCGGTCATATAGTTTGAATTCTGTGCCGCTCACTTTGTCTTCGACATCCTTGTTCATTAGCGTTTCCTCTCTATTGTGGAGTTGTTGGTTTCAATGGCGACCAACCTTGACGCTATTCTCAAGAAATACGCTGCCCAGGGCACCGACACCAAGAACAAGGTTCTCGGCGCCGCATTCGTGGTAGTTAGCAAAAATGGTATAGCCACACTGATATTGCTCTCCCTCGATTAAGCCCTCCAGTTAACTCTCTCTTTCTTCAGGCATCCTCTACTCCGGCTCAGCAGGCCGCAACCAACTCTCCCCCTTTCCGCGGCCTTCACTCCTTCCTCCGTAACCTACATAGCCTCCATGTCCAAATTCCCAACCTCCCTTCGCGCGATGCAACTCGTCGAACGCGGCCTACTTTCCCTCGATGATGACGTCCGCCCCCATCTCCCCGAGCTCGCATCCTCTCTTGTGCTGAAAGGCTTCCAGTCTGATGGAACACCCATTCTCGAACCTTACGACGTCCCGGTCACACTCCGCCAGTTGCTCTCGCATACTGCGGGGCTGGGGTATGACATCCCGGATGAGGATCTCATCCGCTGGGCGCGAGAGGTCAAGCACACGGCTAAGTCCACTGGCGGCACGTTGCAGGGTTTGATGTTTCCCATGCGGTTTGTGCCCGGGGAGACGTGGTCTTATGGTACGGCTATCGAGTGGGTCGGTATACCCATCGAGCGGATCACGGGGAAGAGGTTGGAGGAGTACATGAAGGAGGAAATCTTCGATAAATTGGGTATGGAGAGCTCTGGGTTTTATTTACGAAGGCTGTTAGAGGGCGGGAGCGGGAAGGAAGAGAGGTTTGTTCCGATTGCGATCAGGGATACGGTGAGTGGGGAGTTGAGCTTGGCCATGGAGTGTCCTATCCCTTTGGAGTAGGCTGGTGCAGAATGTTTTGCGAGCGCTTGCGGGTGGTGAGGAAGGATTAATTACGAAGGAGAGTGCCGAGTTAATGGTTGCTCCGCAGTTGAATAAGCAGCAGAGAGAAGAATTGGAGAAGATTGTGTACGGGGAGGAGGTAACTTGGCTTACGCCGTTGCTTGAGAGGAAAGCTGAGGGACCACTGGATTATGGATTGGCTGGGATGATCAACTTGGAGGATATGGAGGGACGAAGGAGGGCGGGGAGCATGATGTGGCTTGGAACTGCTGGCTCTCACTGGGTAAGTTTGTTTCCGTCGTCTCACACTCGATTATAGGTTGCTTTTGCTGACTATGGGCATTAGTGGATTGATCCTAAGGCTGGGGTTGGAGGAGTGCGGTTTGCTACTGTGTTCCCATGGGGTGATCCTGTAATCAGGGATCTGTTTGTCGAGTTAGAAAGGGGCGTTTATGAGGACCTTTTTCATATCTCAAAGTAGTCTGCATCGTGCTTATCTTGTTCGGCTTTCCTAGCAAAACTTCCCAATTCAGATGCTCAATCCTCTTTTCGGTTTCGATGGGGGTTGAACTCAGGCAAATGGTGGCATTACGATCAAGAAGAGACTATCTGCCAATGTCAACTGTCACAAATGATGCAAGAATAACCCGTGGAATCCTAGTGCTCCCTCATGTCGGCTGCGGTGGGACCCCAGAGAAAGTAGCCACCGGCCCATCAATGCCAACACAAACATACACATTTGCCCACATCCCAGTGCAATCCGGAGCAGCTGAAGGGTTCCACTCATGAAAGTTACTGTGATGAACCCGTGTCAGCTTCATGCCTATTGACTTGCTTTCAAAGGACGGAGGATTCAAGATAGCTCCTTACCTGAGCGTGATCTTTGCATGATTAACAATTTCCCAGCATGTATCTCCCGGCTGGACAAAGTAGAAACGTCGACAGCCTTCGATCATGGACTGGAAAGGGTGTTAGCGCGGTTGGGACCTTGGTATGGTGGTTAGCTCGCGGAAAAGGTGGAAGTGTAGTTACCTGGATCGGCTGAGGGGTGCTGACGAGCAGCTCACTGGTAATGCTACTGGCAGGACGTGCTGTGGATGTCACTGCTTGCCCTGAAGTTGTTGACATCCCGGAGGTTAAGGTTGATAGTGGTTTATCGGCGGTGGTAACACTAATCGCACTTGTCGATGTCGTGGTTGTCTCGTCTTCAGGGAGAAACAGTGTTGTGGGTACTGGGGCAGTCCGGGTTGTAGGCGTGCCTGGAACAGCCACACAATACCAGACATTGTCCTGTAAAGCATGTTGACTCAGCTCTCATGGACTGGACACTCTCAGGATACTCCTGTCAAAACTTGGAGATTGACTTACCTCGATCCGAGAACAATCAGTACCAACAGATGGGTTCCACACCTTAATGTCCTGCTCGGAGAATGTCCCAAACATAACGACTAGATCCTCGCAGGTGTCACCCAACGAGGTTTGGTACCAAGCCACACAGTTAGCAGCTGAGTCCTCCGGCACCCCTGACGCGGGTTTGATACCGACTGTCTGGGGCAGTGGCAAGTTACCATCATCATAGGCACCAACGCAGTAGTATCTGTCTTCAAGAAGGCCCGCGCAGTTGCCATTGAGGACAGGATTCCATTGGAAGAATTACTGCTGTGTGATCTCGCTGTGTTCTAAAAGGATGTCCTCGCACGTTTCGTCCTAGAAAACAAAAACAGGTAGGCGGTCGGGGATCCGTATACCTTCGGCCAGTACTTGATGTGACTTGTAAATACCGGCCCGGAAAAGAAGGAAAGAGGGAAAAGCAAACAGAAAGGTATCCATAGAGCATTTACCCTGTTATAAAATATCTTACCTTTCTTGCTTGGTAAAAGTCGACACAATTCGTTGGCATAGGGCCGTGGGACGGAGTTGGAGTGAACTGAGGATCAAGCGTTGGCAATGGGGGCTCTGTCCATGACACATATGGTGGGAGAGTTGCATTCTCAGCGAGCGTCGGTAGTAGTAAGCCGACTGTTCCGGTGACTTGGGGCCGGATTCCTACACAGACCCAGTAGCCTACATAGAGACCAGAACAGTCGGTTCCAACTGCCGGGTTCCATGCAAAGCTGTTCCATAAGAATTAGAACTCATTACCTAACCTCGGTTATATGGGGGTACTCATGCAGCAGCACTTACAAGTCTGCCAATGTGATCCAAGTTCGGTAACGTTGCCAAATGCTTTCGCAAGTGTCTGGCCCCTGAACCTGATACCAGTCATTACAGAAACTAGGTTGACCAGCTTGAGTCATAGTTGGCGGCCAAGAGTCGTCTGGCGCTGGTGTTTCAATAACCCAGCTGCTGAGGGGATGTCGAATGGAGTAGGTAGAATTAAAAAACTCTGTGGTTGTTGTAGTCAAAGGTGTGGTAGTGGTAAATTCTGAGATCAAGATAGAGCTTGAAGGGCCAACCCCAATGCAATAGGCATAGCCAAGCCAGAAATTAATCGTACAGTCCTTCGACACCGCTGGATTGAACTCATGAAACTGCTCTCTGGAAATCCCGTAGAGACTTGTGATAATGTCACAGTCCTGGTTGGCTTCAACAAGATGCCACCGGTTGCAGTTGCTTGGTGTCCCGGTGATTGTTGGACCAGGAGAACGTGTACCTTGAGATTGAGTTGTTGTTGTTAATGTCGTTGTTTTACTAGCACTACCGTTGGAGGCAGTGATCTCCTGACGGGATACGCCAACGCAATAGGCGTACCCAGCCCAGAAGTTCTGGGTGCAGTCCTCTGATACATCCGGATTCCACGTCAAGAATTGACTGTGACTAATTCCATAAAAGGATTCGATTTCAGTGCAGGTGTCGCCGCTTTGGACAATATGCCATGAAGTGCAATCAGGAGATACTCCTGGATGGGTTGGTCCTGGTGACGATGTCGCTTGGGGTAGTATTGTATTGACTAGATAACTCAGGAGAATGATAGTCTCCTGAAGTTTCCAACTTTGTCGATGCATTGTCACTCTTGCAAGCCTGCAGACAAGCCATGATGGATTAGTACTAAGTAAACGTCGGATTTGTCCAGTCTCTTACTTACAGAAAGGTTGAGGCAGACAATAGTAGAGTTCTGGATCGTTGTTGACTACAAGTAAAGCTTAAGTCCGAGCGTATATAGGCATGCATCAGCACTTAGAGGAGTATGATATCAACCAACTCTGGCCAAGGCTAACAAAACCCCGTTCCTGCTGGATTGATCATGATGAGATCTTCTCCAAGTTACGAGTCGCCAACAGGCGGAATAAGAGATACAATATAATATGCCGGAGCAGACATGGGTGTTGCAGGGAGATATTAGGGATTACATGTTTTGATTGGCATTGTTATTATAAGGGTATCTGCAGTACCGGGCAAAGCATAGAGCTCCTTGAAGGCTTAGGATCCACACTACGCATTTTCGGCTGGAGCTGCTTTAAGGAGATACAGTGTGAACCTTTCCCTGTCCCACACTGTTGTCAGATCTTGTGGGTTGTCTGGTCTTATATCCCTTGCAATAGGGCCGGTGATCTTAAGATGTAAGCTTTGAGCGCACCTTGTTACTAATCGCCATGCATATATGGATGCAACTGTAACTCTGATGTTCAGTCACGTTTTGGCAGGAGAGGGAGCGGGCAAGGTTGCCACTGCACCATATAGTCATGATAGAGTGGTCGTCCTGGTCGCCTCAGGTCCGCCGGACACATGCCGGAAAGGAAAAAAAAACATAATTCTCTTTTAGCTTCTGGCATATCCATATCAAACCTTCTAGTTCACCACAGAAAGCAACCTATCTAACAAAGTAGGCTGGACTCGCAACTCCCATTCTCATAACATCATGGTGACTAACTTATGCTTCAAAGGAAGCATCTTTCGGTGCCATATTCTCATATTGCCTTACCGTCTCGACTACAAGCAAGAGAACGAGCTCATCAGCAATATGCTGATCCTTATCGCAACCGTTTGTTGTATCCTGGCCGCTACCACTGCTAATGCTGGCAGTTCGTTCTGGGAGCAGTCGGTGCGAATACAGTCACCACACCCGGTGGAACGCCTAGAGCTTGATGAAATCGGTCACGCAGTGAAGAACAATGAGATTCACGATGCAATTGTCAAGCGATATGGCCGCATTGTGGCCCATAGTACACTCTCCAAGTTTTTGCTTTGGCCAAATGCGGAAATAACGTACTGCTACGCAACAAAAACAGCCCGTGATGTTATGAAGACGTATGTTGATGCCGCAATCGATGTGTGGCATCGGCATGGGGCCCATCCTGCTGAGTTCAAGTTTAAAGAGTTGACTAAATCCTGGTGGCGCACGCCAATGGTTGGAGAGGAATGTACTAACCATCCGCAACGAGAGTTAATCTTGGTTATCTATTATGATCCAGACGGGGGATTGTCCACCAGTTTGGCTCTGCAGGCGCCCAACAGGTTCTCCAGTGGACCCAGCACTCATCTCACCGATCGTGATGACTTGGGATGGCTCGATGTCACGGCAAATGTGGTTCACGAACTTGGTCATGCTTGGGGACTTCTTCATGAGCATCAAAATCCTTATCTCTGGACTCAGGCAAACGGCTGGGAATACTACGCTGTCACTGGACCACTTACTGCTGATAGCATTCATGACTACGACGGACGTCGGGCTCACGGCCAGCCCGGTTTTGGCACCACAGCTTCACCATTCCGCTGCCAAGATCTGAAGGACTATCCTGAAATGGTCGCGAAAGTAGAAGCGCTGTTTCCCAATCTCCGCCGCATGCAGGCAGAAGAGATACAATTGACCTGTTCTTCTCGAACCGCAGCAGCGAGCAAAAGGTTTTCTGCAAGCAATTGGTTACCATTTCCTCCTGCGCAGAAGGATGTTTTCTGGGAATACACATCCAGCGCATCATGGAACAACCTGGATTGGGCTTCTGTTATGCTCTATCCCTCTGGAGCCGGAGCGGTTGGTGGTGTGTTTCCTCCTGAACCAGGATTATCAGTACGGGAACGGGATCACCGGTTCGCCATTCTGGTTGATGGGAATGGCAATTCCTTCCCACGCTATAACTTGGTACCGTCGACCCGTGATATCCAAGGGCTCCGGAGACTTTACAAGGACAAATATTTCCCTCACGGCGACCCTCTCCTACCCAATAATGTTGCTCACAAGTTGTTTGCTCACTTCAGAAACGCCTGGAAGCGAGCAAACTGTGTCCAAGCTTGAGTGTTTCCGCTCAGCCACCAGCATACCACTCGGAGCAAGCAAGCTTCCTTGGGATCATGATAAGGTCTAGCATAACCGGAGATCTAATGGCTATTAATTCCCTTTCTCTGGTTCATATCTTCTAGATTACTTCCTTCATTTCATCTTTGTTGTCGGTTATTGTTTCCCCATATCTTGACTGTTTCTTAGTCCTAAGTGCCTTCTTTGCGCCCTGCAACATTCGAGAAAGACAGGGATCCCATCTCAGGAGAATCGATATGCTGGGTCACCTTAGCTACGTTGCTGAGAAAAGATCAATTCGGATTCCTAGATATAGCTTAGCTGGCTTTTTTTGGAAGAGTGGCTAAGGTAGGATGTGGGATGAGAACAACTGAGACTCTGGAAGTTTCAAATATGATGCCATTGTGCTTGCTTTTGTGATGGATCTGTTGGTCCGGAAATGCTCAGGGGTAAAAGTTGCCGTCAGGAAGGAGTATTTTACCAAGTTGACATGAAATAAGCAATATGTTCAATCTCCCATGGCGTATATCATTTCTTTATTACTTGTCAGCATCTTCTGTTTGGTCGAGGTGTTGCTGGTGTGACACCTCGTTCGCCTTGTGTTGATTCCCTTCCGCCACGGGTTGCGCAGTATATGCCAAACCTTGCCAAACCCTTATCTTATCATCTTATCGGCAACTTTTTTATCGCTACCCTTCCATTCCCCTCCCGTCACCCTGTCATTGCAACCTGCACTTGAGTCGGATTCGGCGTTGTAAACATTAATTACATGATACGATGAGAGAAGCTGACAGAGAACGATTTGGTAGGCTTTTGGACTGGTCTCAAGGCCACGGAGCGAAGCTGCACGAAAATGTTGAGATCTACTGGGACAATGTCACCCGTTTCTCCTTGCGCATAAAGCCTTCGCTAAAGTCGTCACTAGAACAGCTTGAGCCTGGATTCACGGCTGTCACTTGTCCAGTATCTACGACACTATCATACCTGAATGCTTTGATCGATGGGCCAATTATGTGCGATTTCACTTCGAATAAGCCAACCGTCAGCAGCCCTCCTGCGTTTCCTCCCCGTTTCATGGACTCGCTCCCTCCCCACGTCATCGGCCGCTTCTTCTTGATCAAGGAATATCTTAAGGGAGAGAATTCATTTTGGTGGCCTTACATTGCTACTCTTCCTCAGCCAGAACAAGTCAATTCCTGGACATTACCAGCGTTTTGGCCTGAGGACGATATCCAGTTCCTCGAAGGGACGAATGCCCATGTTGCTATTGGTGAGATCCAGGCCAACATCAAACGCGAGTACAAGCAAGCACGCAAAGTCCTCAAGGAAGAAAACTTCCCCAATTGGAAAGAATATTCTCAAATGCTGTACAAATGGGCATTCAGTATATTTACTAGCCGAAGCTTCCGGCCATCCTTGATACTCTCGCAATCTGTCAAGGACTATGTCTCGACCTTACTTCCATCAGCCCGCGAGATTGACGACTTCTCTATCCTCCAACCTCTTTTCGACATTGCCAACCATTCAATGACAGCGACATACACGTGGGATACTACATCAGACCCCAACTGTTGCCAGCTCATCTGCCAAGATTCCTACCGTCCAGGAGACCAGGTCTTCAACAATTATGGCTTCAAGACCAACAGCGAGCTGCTGCTTGCCTATGGCTTCATCCTCCCAGAAACAGATACGTTACACAACGACTATGTGCATGTTCGGAAAAGGCAGCAGCCTGAAGGAGAAAATGCCAGCAAGTCAGACGACCAGCCCAAAGATTTTCTTATCTCGCTGCGCTCGATGAATGATGCCAGCTCGCTTGCCGGTAAGATAAGACTCACCCACACTGGGCTTGGAAGCAGATTTGCATCTCTGCCAGCTTTTGCACACTTCGAGCCTGCGCTTGTGGACGATCTTGCTTCGGTCATATCATCTCAAGTCCCTGAGGTCAAGGATGCGCTAGAGCAGTGGCAAAATGAGAAGCCTACATCAGAGGACAGAGAGTTGCCAGAATTGATTCAGGACCTCGTCGATCGTGTCAAAGGCGCCCTTGCAGGAAAGCTGCAATATGACTACGAGCGATTGAAGCAGGCAGAGATGGAAATGGCTGGCGAAAATGACGAGCTTCCTCCTCCCTGTAATTCCAACCAACAGCTTGCAATCGAGTATAGAATGCAGTGTGAGAAGGTCCTTATCTCTGCCTTAGAATCGCTGATGGAAGGGGAAGAGATTCAGGACGATGGTGACGGCGAAAGCGATTCGAGTACTTCGCATCACTAAAGAGCTACCTACGTCATTCCAAATCACAAAATTCATTATCTGCTAAATGGCTTCAGTATCCTCGAGGATTTTTCATGCAGCTCCAACAGTCGTGTTCTTTTGCCGTCTCCGAATGTATTAGTATGCTGTGCTCTCTGCTCAGGCACGATGGGACCGGGACCACCCACCTCTTGAGTACTGTTGCCCAACGCATTAACGACTCGACAACTTGGCCGAGTGGTTAAGGCGACAGACTTGAATCAGGCGATTCATGAGATCTGTTGGGTTCGCCCTCACAGGTTCGAATCCTGTAGTTGTCGCTTCGCTTCGATTTTTGCATTTTTCCCCTTCACATTCCATGTCTAATTCTCGACGTGACCTAGAGTATTCGGCATATTTTTTCTATGGATGCACCCAAAAGGTTCTTCCACCTATTGAACCGTATCACACGGTTTTCGCATACCCCTGTGCCCAGTGGTTACCCCTGGAAGCTTGGCACCAGGGACGCGCAAACTCAGGATGCAGTCCCGGGCATTCGACTTCAAGTCGGTCCCGAGCTCCTGTTGCAGCTGATCAACTCAGATACTAATAGCGGTAGCTAACCAGGTTGTGATTACATGCTTGCAGTTCGGCTAAAGGGCGTTGATGATCCAAGCGATCGGTGCGACCTGTCGGAGACGGGTGCGCGCCCGCGTCCTGGCCGTTGGAGTTTTCTCCCGTGCGGTTTGTCGATCTCAAAAAAGATCACAACCAATATCTGCAACCCTAAGATTGCCTGAATATCAAGCCGGCTTTTCTTCTATGGCGTCGGCTTCGCCACATGTCCGATATCACGTCCGGTGGGATGTCCGGAGATTCGGTTGTTCCTGGATTTCTATCTTCGACTTTAGGCTTCAGGATGCTTTTAAACCTTTCAGCACGATTCCAACTGCAGTTATAGCTCATTTCTGATTGCAAGAGGCATGAATTAACTTCGTCGACGTTTTGAAGATTCAGACGCCAAGTACTCAATTGTTAGTCAGAGCTTCATCATGTCCCCTACTACCACCAGCGATATTCAGTCTGAGGAACTTCTTCCCGAGATCCTCGTTCTCTGCACTTCCTCCACGGCCCCAGGACGTATGTCGATATCTCTTTTCCTCCTATATCTCATTAACGCACTTGTTCTAACTTTATGATGCCAGATGTCCTGCCTCTGACTGCCATTGCGCGCCATCTTACCTCCCGGGGTTTCTCTGTGACCTTTGTCGGTGCTCCTCATCATGCCGACTTGATTTCCTCCTCTGGTGCCTCATTCTTCCCAGTTCACGAATCTCTTACCATCGAAAAGGGCCAGTATCGCCAATGGGGTGCTGCTCGCGCTGCCTTCCCCGAGGGCATGGCCCGTATGGCACAGGACTTCAAGACATTCTTCATTGGCCAAATCCCGGGGCAGGTAGAGAGCACTCGTGCTGGTCTGAAGCATGTGCTGAAGAAGGTAAAAGCGGAAGGCCTTGGCCGAAAGATTGTTATCATCAACGAAACGATGTGGTTCGGGTTCCTCCCATGGAAATGGGGCGCCGAACTGCCCTCCCTCGATCACAGCGACAATGGCGAAGAATCTCCCCTCCTTACCCCCCCATCCCTAGGCATCAATGTCACCCCTTTGATGCTTGACGCCGACCATTTACCCCCCTTTCCAACCTGCCTTCTCCCCTCCTCAGACGACAACCATTCTGCTCGCAAGCGCGATCGTGTTCTGAAAGATTGGCTCTACCGCTTCGTTGTGCGCGAAGCCTACGACGGCTTCCGCGACCTCATCCGCGCCGCTGGTGGCCTCAATGTACCCGACGAGTGGATGATCAACCTCAGCGTAACAGCCCACAACACCACCCTGCAGCTGTGCCATCCCGCGTTGGAGTACCCTCGTCCCGACTTGCCACCGCATGTCAAGTTTGCGGGGTGTGTGCCGCCGAGCGGGGCGGTACCGAAGGGGTTTGTATTCCCTTTGTGGTGGCAGGCTGATGTGGTTGAAAATGTGGAGAAAAGGAGGATTGTAGTTGTGTCGCAGGGGACGTTGGCGAGGGATTACAGCATGTTGTTGGCGCCAACAGCGAAGGCACTCGCAGGCAGGGAGGATGTTTTGCTGATCGCGCTGTTGGGGAAGGGGGGTTTAGAGGTTCCCCCTGGTATCTTGCCTGCCTCTGAGGAACAAGGGGATGTGGGGAACGTCCGTGTGGTCGACTTCATCCCGTACGATGCCGTGCTCAAGTATGCTGACGTCATGGTGTTTAATGCCGGCTATGGAGGGTTTGTCCACTGTGTGGTCAACGGCGTGCCAGTTATTGCCGCCGGTCTTACGGAGGACAAGTGTGAGGTATCTGCTCGGGTCGAGTGGACTGGCGTTGGCATCAATCTCCGTACAGGTCGACCGTCCGCTGAGGCTGTGGCGTCTGCTGTGGATGAAATCTTGACTAATCCAAAATATCGGGCTCGTGCGAGGGAGCTGGCGACTGAAGTGTCTAAGGAGAATGCACTAGAGGTTGTGGAGAAGGAAGTTTGTGTTCTGGCTGGGCTTTGTTGAATTTATCTCCATGTCAAGATGCAGATGCGTCCTGCGAACTTGAATCTATCAACATTGACTATCTGAGCCTTTGTCACATACTTCCCATCACCTATGGTGTTCTCATGCTATACAAAGTAAATATTAACCATTACCCGAGCATCCCCATTACCCGAGCATCCCCATTCTTCATACCTCTCCAACTGCGGGTTAGCCTTCCACTTGTGCGTGTATCCCTTCGAGCGCCCCTGAACCTTGAGGTTATTAAAGCAGCGATTGCTAGTCCAGATGTGTGTATGGAAGCTGGCATACCATTCCCAGCCATTATGCTCATCCGGGTTTTCATAGTATCTGACCTCCCACTTATCAGCTTTACCTGCGCATCTCCGGACGTTGTCCCGCAATAACTCTCCATTGTCCGACCCAAGCCAACCTCGACCTTCAATTACATACTTGCTGTAAAAGACCTTGTACTCGCCGCGACAGCGTCCATCGGCCCGGGTGATGTGGTTACGTCGATAAAGCGGGGTGATTTCGTACTGGTAGTTGCCGCGGGTATGCCATCCTCCATATTTGAGGTTCAAGGGGTTTATGTCGCTATCAGTGTCACAGCGATTGATGATGCCGTTCATAGCTGCCAAGCAGTCGGCCTTGTCAAAAAACAAGGCGTTTTTGTTGACTCGAACGATAAACTCTACCTCTTCCGGCGTACCTATATTGTACCTCTTGCTAAAGCTCCAATTATCATCCCAATCGGGTGGCGCGACGACGTCTCTCTCGCAAAATTGCTTGGCGAGCTTATTGACAGTCTCAAACTGTGTGTATGCCTGACGTAGAGGTTGTCCGCGCCAGCAGTGGAAAGTGTCCTCCTGAATTTCACAAGAATCCACGACTATATCGAGCTGCTGTGCTTTCACTGTCGCCAATGTTTGCAGGGCAAAAGCAGCCATGGCCTCATGTCCTTTAGGATTGGGGTGAAAGAGCTGCCCAAGTCCATCAGGTAAACCGAACCCCAAGGTCCAGTCGAAGGAGTTGTCTCCTGGACAGTCAGGATGAGCTGGCGCACGGCGATGAAGTTGGCGCTTCACTTCAGTCTGGGGGTTGCGGGATGTGCCTGGTGGGTAATATCGGCCTTTGACTCCAGAGATCCCATCGAACATCGCGTGAGGCTTTCGATCAAACTGAGGTCTCGCTCCATCCCCCTCAGTAACATTTCCCCTAACAACTCCCTCAGTTTCGTCACGACGACGCAGTTCATTATTTAGTGGTCCATGCCTGTCGGGCCTGGTGTCCTGCTTAAAGAATAGCAATTCAGGCTGATGAAAGTCCGGGTATGTTCCAGTGCTCCTTGGTGAACAGAATTGACCGTCCACCAGCTCAGGAAAGAAACTCCAGTCTGCGAAGCCAATATCGTAAACCTTGTTCCGGTCGTTGTGAAGCTCCTCGACCACCTCTCGAATAGCCCGGTTGATCTGGTGAACCAAGTCATTGAAGACCCGCCTCCGCTCAATCGTCAGACGCAGAAAGTCACTTCGACCAAAGAAGTCCAGTTCTCCATAGGTAGCTAGTGCCCACTGGTATTTCTCGGGGTTTGCGCAATCCTCATTCTCGGTATTGAAGAATGGGGCATAGCCAAGATAGACCACAATCCCCCCTCGCTTGACCTTTTGCTTCAGGGCATTAAGGATCTCGCGAATGTTTGGCTTGAGAATTGTGTTTATGTTTTCCCTCGCCTTATTAATGACCTCATGACAGACTTCCTCGCCAAAGTACGCAACGAAAACGCATCGAACAAGCATTGCTGCCTTTACAAGTGATGTTAACGAACCATAACAGAATAAGGATAGCAAAAGAAAAGAAAGAATGACATGGGAAGGTAGAAACGAAGGATGAAGGGGAAAAGGGAAGGAAGATTGAAAGAAAGATCGAAGGAGAGAGTCAAGTAGAGAATTAAAGAGAGAAGAAAGGAAAGCAGAAAGAGGAGCAAGGGGGAGAGCCTGAAAGGAGGAATAGAGGGAAGATGGAATATAGAAGAGAAGAATAAAAATAAAAGAAAAACGAAGGGAAGTTCAAGGGAAGAATGAAGGGAATAGAAAGTTACAATAGAATGTATATCTTACCAGACACAAATCATTTCCACCAGCAGTGAGCATCACCAAATCCAAGTTGCCTTCAAGCTGCTGGACCTGCTGGAACACATCATAGGATCGAGCGCCACTGCAGGCCAAGTATTGGAAGTTGTTACTGTCGGATCCAATGGCGCGGTTGACGATATTAGGCCAAGTGTATGTGTAGCGGGAGCATTCGTACGCCCCAGGAGACCGGTCCAAGCCTCCCGAGCCTATGCCTGCAGTGAAGCTGTCGCCAATGGCTGCCCATCGTTGAATAAAGCTCAATTCCACTTCGTCAACAAGGCCAGGATCCTGTCTTTTAGAGAGTCGCGATGTCGACGTGTCATTAGTGACGGGGCGTCGGGCATAGTGAAGTACAGAGCAAAACGATAATGTCGGCCATAACATGACCAGAAAAAGCCATGACGGTGAAATCATTGCACAAAATTTGGTGAAACAAAAGGCACTGGTGTTCAAGCGAAGCGTAGAGTGACGTTTAACATCAGTGAGATAGCATTGCGCAATTACACATCCAGTCTCTATTGTATCATGGAGAAAGTTAGTGACCAGAACCTAGACATGGAAGCCATTTATTCCAGGTGATGGCTATGAAGATGCTTATTGGAACGGACAAACAGAAGCCTTGGGTAGGTAGATTCCCTAAAGCCTAAAGCCTGTCACGCGATGAAGATGGGCCCTTCTTCACCCTGAACCGTGTTGTACCTGTTAGTGAAGATGGAGTCTCTCATTAGCAAGCAACAAGGGATTTCGAGACTCACTTACACACAATGGATAACATACTCTCAGTTACCCTGAGGCTTTGCATAGAACGCCTATGGCATCTCTCAAGGTTTCATTTGCTCCAGCTATGTCAGCACAAGTAATTACAACCATAAGCACTATACTATGGTCTTTGTCAGCGAAACCCATATGATACTACCTTCATAATAATCAATGCTACACTGTGCCATGCGTACCGTACAGTTAGTGCATCACGCATTCTTACCTGGATTTGCGTATTTGCTGGTTTGGGAAGTAAACTGCTTCTCATTGACACTAAACTCTTTCGACACTTGACAGCATCGTGCTTAGCAAAACATGGGAAATTATATGAGGATGTGTGACAGGCAGTAATATATTGGGGGCGATTACTCATCAAGCAGTTTTACCGGTCATTACACGGGCGCAGGCTGTACTCAGCATAACTGAGGTCCTCGCACTCGAAGGGGCTGGACAGGGAAGCAACAGTATGGTCATGCTTATACTCTGTCAGGTTCACCATAATCTGGAGGAATTTCATCATAGAGTCTTCTTAGCTACCTTCCTAGGGTTCATCGCCTGTTGTATCTCTGAGTCCTGTTTTCAACACCGATCTTCCTTAAGTTTAATGTTCTTTCGCAAAGGACATGAACCTTGCACCTATTCTTTTTAATCCAATACACTTAGATTGTGTCTCGACAAGTAGACGAGGAACATGCGTTTCATCAAAGTTTCCATACTGTTGATTGTGGGAGGGGTTGTTGTTCAAGCGCTAAGCTTCAATGGCTCTCTTCATCTTGGAGAAATCCATGTTCGAGCCCCTGAGGAGGACGTCGATTACATGTGCTCGACAACAAAGCCATGCAAGCTTGGTTGCTGTGGTCCTTTGTAAGCTCCAAAGCCGGGTTTTGTCTTATGATAATGACTAACCACGAGCATGTAGAGATGCCAACGGCAATGGAATATGCGGCGGTGGCCCCGAGTTTTGCAGTCCCGGCCGTTGCACCTCAAATTGTGACTGGAAAAGTGAATGCGATCCTGGTTGGGGGGCCGAATGGTCGCAAGCATCAAAGTGCCCTCTCAACGTGTGCTGCAGCCGATTTGGCTTTTGCGGAACCACGCAGAGCTTCTGCGAGGGCAAGAAAGTGGCCAGCCCGGAATGTCCTATCGAGCAGCTTACTTCCGACAAACGCACTGTTGCCTATTATGAAGGCTGGAATCTCGGCAGGCCCTGCGGGACTATGAAGCCAGAGGAGATCCCTCTGGGACACATCACGCACATAAACTTCGCATTTGCGATGATACACCCGCAAACTTTTCATGTTGTGGACATGAACCCTGAGACAGCTCAGTTGTATGGCGCCGTTACAGCGTTGAAGGCAAGACAGCCTGGATTACAGGTCTGGATTGCCATTGGAGGGTGGGCTATGAACGACCCAGGCCCCTATCGCACTGCATTCTCCGATATGGTTAGCTCAGATGCCAACCAGGATGCGTTCTTCGAGTCACTGATCAAGTTCATGCAACGATACGACTTTGACGGAGTGGATCTGGACTGGGAGGCAAGTGACCTCAGGAGAATAGCAACAGTCTGGAGTCACACGACTAACAGAGATTTGAGCAGTACCCAGTGGCAGATGATCGCGGCGGAATTCCAGCAGACTTCGAAAATTACCCTCGAATGGTGCGACGACTCTGAGAGCGCTTGAATCGGACTGGGAGGAGGTATGGTATCAGTATGGCAATTCCGGCGGCCTATTGGTATCTCAGGGGTTTTAACCTCCAGGAGCTGGAGCCATGGATTGACTGGTTCAATATCATGACTTACGATATCCATGGCACATGGGATAGTACCGTGCGGGCAATAGGCTCTTATATCTACGCCCGCACAAATCTGACAGAGATCCATCAAGGGCTGGAATTGCTATGGAGAAACAACGTCAACCCCGAGAGGGTTAACCTTGGGCTTGGCTTATATGGGAGAAGTAACTCGATCCTCTGCAGACATGCAATTTGGTACATAAGCTGACTTCAAGTGATAGGCTTTACACTAGCGGGCCCTAATTGTCGAGACCCTGGCTGCCCTTTCATTCCTTCAACTGGTGGCGATGCAGGTCGATGCACAGGCACTCCTGGTGTTCTGTCGGCATAGGAAATCAACGAGATTATTAGAAACGGCGGCCAGCAGCGCCTTCACGAAGCTGATGCTGTTCAAATTGTGACATGGAATCAGAACCAGTGGGTTAGCTGGGATAATGCAACAACCCTGAAAATGAAACAGGACTTTGCAAACCGACGGTGTCTAGGAGGGTAAGTGTGTCATTTCCAGCCTTGATCTCCTTCTATCACACAGAGTCCAAGTGGAATCAAGCTTGAAGCAGTATACGATCTTAGATTCAAATGATAATAACTAACCAATAATAGGACAATGATTTGGGCCATTGACTTGGACGACGGAACGCTTATCGATGCGTTAGGTTCCAACTTGAAGCGAGAGAAGAGCCCGGTCTATGAGGATGATTATTACGACTGTGTTATATTATCCTAACTGTAAACTACCGTACCAAGAATAAACATATCGCTTGTTACCTGATGGATAACCTTGCCACGTTGAGGAGAGCCCCTGAAGATCGCAGAAGACTGCGAGGCACTCACAAGGGCAAAGGGATTCTATAAGGGGAGCTACTTGGACATAATGAAGGATTTCGCTTGGGCTTTCCTCTCCCCAACACAAGGACACTGAGGATCAAGAAAGTTTATTACACGTAGTAATTGACTTCGCTGTGCACCCCACATCGTCAGTGGCCATCATATAACCCATTTGACCCATTGTCGATCCCTGTCTGCACTAGACCAAGTCACCCGTTACAGGTACAGTGGCTATGTGACTCCATTCGAACGGTTTCTAGAAAGGGTGAACTAGGAACCGGGTTGACGATGACAGTGGAAATCAAAATGCTTTGAGTTTTATGAGCTTCAAGCAACGTTTTCTATTGTCCATCAGACACTTAGTCAGATAGGGCAGAGAGTACTTACTGAAGAAAGTAGAGGAAGGCTAGAGAACAAGATATGTGTGATCAACTTCCGTATACTGCAAGTAAGCCCTCAAATGCGTTTCGGTACACCAGAGTCATAGTTTGTGCCGCTCACAATCATTCTGTCTCCGGTGTCCCTGTTGTGGCAGTCAGGAATGCCCCTTTTCCTTGGACTGCCGTGTCTGTGTGACATTTCCAGTTAGCACAATGCACAATCCCCATCCATGGCCACGCTCAAAAACAGAAGACTTTTATCCTGTACCTTATCCCGTATTGACATTGTACTCAATCAACCTCTGAAATGATGAGTTGTTACAAGGCGCTTCTGTGGCATAGGTGATTGATTGGCTTGTTAGTTGTTATGCTGGTGACCTTGTAGAAGTTGTTTGAAACCTTTGTCACTCTGGAAGCTTTAAAACTAAATGGCTGACTGGCCGGCCAGCCTTGTAGTGTCAAGATTTTCTTACCTGACTGGCCGACTCGGTACTGGGAATGTATCTGGCAAAAAAAAAAGGCAGGAACTGGCCTACTTGTATGACCTAACCTAAAAACAGGGCCTTCAATCTGTTAGCCGCTTATGCTGTTCCTAGTAGGGGGGTTCTATAATGGCTCACGAGACTGCTCTTGGGCAGGTAAGGTGTGAGCTGCCTTACCCATGACGCATAGAGGCTAAAATGATTACAGCTTATCCCATGATACTTCTCTCTGAAACCGGAGCTGGCGCTTCTGAAGCATTAGCTTTGGATAGGGTTTTCTTTCTTCTATAAATACTACTTTTTTTCATTTCGCTGTCAGACAGTGTAAAACACTCTGTTATCTTCCGGCCTCGTCTCTCGATGAACCAAGAAAATAGGTAATTATGATATCTTTCATTGTGTCTTTCCTCTCAATGTCTACTGATTATGTAATGAACGAAAGTCAACTTGCAACTAGCTCTTTTATTTACGAAACTTCCAATTTCGACCGTAAAATTGGCTCTGCCTGCTAAGTACAAGCCATGGAATTATACGTCCGAGATAAATATGAATCAAGATTGATAACGCTTTCATCCTACATTTCACAGTGGAAATTGTGTCATCGACATTTGCAACCCGGCATGGAAGTCATGCGAGATGGCCAGCAGATAGGTCGAAGGAAAATAATCGCCGGTAGCCAATTGCCCTGTGCGTTCATAGCTAACCGTGAGTCTCTGTAATTAGTAACTGTTGGTCATATTGAAGTTTCCCGCTTTACAACATGTCGAAAGGTCAAACAAACTTCTCCAAGCCAGCACTCGTGGATGTTGGATGGACGTCTGGAACATAATGAAGGCAAGACCTTACACTCTATGATTTAGTAGCCAGCTTTTATTTTGGGAGATACCCAAAATGCCGCAGACGACACTTCGTCATTTGTCTCAAACGCTGAAGCTCCCGTGGTCAAGTCACTGGCTTCCAGGTCTGCGATAGGATAGCCAAAGCTCAGCTTTACGCTCAAACCCTGTCCTGCACCGAGGCCTTTCCAGCCGATCATGGTAGTCTTCTATCCATATACGGAAGTTTGCTTAAATGAATTGTACGGAATCTGCTGTTCGGTTTCTCAGCAATCCCGGAGCCATTCGGTTTAAAAGGCAACATTGGTCAGTCCGCGGGAGAGGCACGATGCTTCACAGGTCATTTCGCTTGCCGACTAGAGCGTAGAGGCTTACATCCTTGTGTGATATATCGCATATATAGTCACGAGTTGGTGAACAGTTAGTGAAGTTAGTATAGAGATGCCTGCGGCATCACTGGCAGGATTGAAGCTCTCCAAACTCTTACGGAGACACTTGTTCGTGATTCTGTTAAGCAAAGGCTTTGGGAGAAGCTTCCCGACAACCACAACCAGTACACCGATGGTCGCATCATCGATTGCTAGTTCATGGTTACCGAATTCTCTCCCAGCCCTAGAACTACCGCGCTCAATTTCTTATGATGTTCGGCAGGCACCCTGGAGGCCGCGTTTAGATGTCCTAACACTAATCACCAACCATTGTGGTCAGTGCACTCAACCTGTGTCATAAGCCACCAAGTCCCCGTTGAACTCAATGTGGCTCAGGACCTCCATGCTGAATGGAAAATGTCGAAACTGATGCTAATGGAAGCAAGATGTATGATGTAAAAAAAGCCAAACTTGATCCAATATAGCTGGGCTGACGGTGACAGTTTATTTCTGCTCAGACAGAGGTGCATAATCCATACCTTTTCGATTGCCCCCAGAACGCGGCTATGAGGCAGTGAGAAAAATGAACTAATTGTTTTTTTGTGATATAGAACGTCTTGGCGGAACACGAAATGAAGTGGTGCAGAATTGGTGAAAATTGGTGAGACTGCATCATGAAAACTAAGACCCAATTGTAAAGATCAAAGGAAGGGTAGAAAGGGAGAGAATGAGCATGAAGTTCTGCAGGAGAAAGGAAATACCAAATGAAGAACATTCTGAACTTAACTTCGTAGGAATGTGCGACCAGGAATGGCGTTTTGGCAAGGCAACTCGCGTTGGCTTAAACTCTTGTAGCCTGCTATTATCTGCATCAGACAATAAAAATTGGATACGACGAAACATATCAAGTTTCTTAATTCAAGAAAAAGACCAAACGATGTAGTATCCAGGCATCAACTGACAGTAGTTGACGAGGGTGTGATCAAGACAGGTGTTTATCTTTCAGAGATCATGATAGTTATCACCACTCCCCAGCCAGTCCGGCTTTCCCACACGCCAAATTGGTTCTCCTTTCGAAATGTAACCTCCCCAACCTTTGCGATCATCTTAACCGGGGAGGAAGAGGCTTCAGCACTGTCGGGGGCACTAGTTGGGGTCGAAGGCAAAGTTGTCGTCGAGACCTGATCCCTATCCGCTTTCTTGGACTTACTTCCCCCAAAACCCAACCGAGCAATCCACCCCAACTTTTCCTCACGCGTTGCTGTTTTCCGCTCAATAACAATAGCATGAACTTTCTTTCTATCCAAGTCAGGCTCTGGCTGTAACCGCTTTGCCAGTCTCTTAGCCATTTCTTCATCGTCCCACCATAACGGATCTCCTGAGAACCCTTTTCCGTCCCCGAGCTCTTCTGTCTCGAACCAACCCCATTCGTCAATGGTCTCATCAACTTCGTCTCTTAGAGTACTGATTAACTTCGGCCGGTGTGGCCTTTGTCTACTACTCTTGCCATCCTTGGTGTGAGCAGGGTCTTCAACCCGACTGACCTCGACGACTTCTCCTTCAAGAACACGTTCCCTGGCACCGGTAAGCTCCCAGCCCTCGGGCACAGCCACAGCTGGCACGAGCGTCAGTTCAGAAATGCGAGGAATGTTGCCAAAACAATCAAGCAATCTTCCAGATGATAGGCGACTAAGAAAGTCCTCGACGGAAGGAAGCATCAACATGATGGTATTCGCATCCCTAACATCTTGAGATGTCTTTCGGGCAGCAATGGTCTGGCGAAGTAATTCGGGTAGCGCGCGTATGTGGTTTGATAAGGGGGACCAGAACACTGAACTTGTCGATGGTCTGACTTTAGAGTCTACACCAGAGATGGCTTCGTTGTAGGAAGGAGGGAGATCATCGGAAGTGCCCATATTCGTGCTGTGTAATCGATGACTCGAGCAATATAATGTTAGCACGTAAAGCGTTGGCGGTAACAGCGAGCTGTTTAACACATAACGTGGATGATGGGGCAGTGATGTGCAGATTAGGACATTTAGCACTGGACTACCACAATGAAGAGCTGAGTTGATGGGGAACCGGAGTGCGGATAATGCTTCAAACTGAAAGGGAGGATCACCCAATACCTGTTTTTCAAGTTGAACAGACAGCTTCCCGAACAGAGGGCAGAAAGCTTTGCATTGCGCGGGATACCTCAAACCCCAGATGTACATCTGGATCACATATCTCAACAAGGCGGGGGTCCTGCAGGATAAGAGGTCTAGGTAATCCCAACCCTGTGGCCGTCGTGATTGGGAGACTAAGTGCATATCCGCCCAGTTGCCTGAAAACCTACTACTGTCCCTTCGAAGGTTCCCAGATATCACAAGCTCCCCCGCACTTGAGGGATTCAGGTCGATCAAGCATCTCCAATGAGAAGTGAGGACAAAAGAGGCTGAGCGACTGTGGAGTGGGGCGCAGTCGCGCCATGAGGGGTATGGCTCTGCGCCAAGTGAAGATGGCGACCCAGTAAGGTAGGACTTGACGCTGTCACACAATATTTAAAATGCTTAGAGCATTTCTTTTGCCTGCTTGTCAGAAAGCCTCGGTATCGTTGAATCTGTTTAATCCGAGCTTTCCATCTTTCTGACAGCATTTCTCTTTGCTGCCTTCATCTCGTCCTCCCTCGTCGCTCCTGCTTTCAATTGGCTTATATCCTGGGGTTTTTAACCCAATGTTGCTGGGGTGTGAGTTCTACGATGTGAAAAGACAGTTTCATTAACAGCTGTGGCGATGGTATTGATGAGGGTGTTGTCAGGTAATTGCTGTGTAAAGCAGCGCTCCGCCCAGAGAAGGATTCTAGAAGCCCGCTCCCATAACCTGAAGACCTCATTTTGCGTCGTGTGATTGGTGCTGCTTGTTCGTGACAAAAAGAGAAAACCAAACCTTATTGCAGATTCTTCTGTAGAATTTCTTATGCAGGATCCCGGGCTGGTTACCAATTTGACTCTGAAAGGTGGAGTTGCATATCCAGGACAGACATCCAATAGTGCCAGGTGGCTGATTGCTGGGGCCGCTAGGTGATTTTAGCGCGGTTGTTAGGCTGACCAGCTGCTGAAGCAATCTGAGCCGAAAGCGCTCGGTTTCCCAGACAGTGGGCGGTAACAACTACCCGCATCTAACCCAAGACATTTGTATGTGCACTTGAGTGAAGGTAAGTGATAGCAAGGCTTCGAGAAGACATCGCCCGACCCCGCAGTAAGCAGTCCGACGCAGTGCATATTTTCGCCGAACAAACATTGGTTCATGATCCTTCTTTGCGCACGCGTGAAGCCACACAAATGCTGACACGTGGTTCTCTAGCTGCTGCCAGATGGGAGCTGCAGATAGGAGGGGTTGTCTCTGTGACCTGACTTGTTATCAGGGTTCAGAACCGGGGTCGGTGAGGCTGAGTATCTCCGCCTGACGAGGACCGGGCTTATGCCGGCTGTCGAATCGGAAAATAGTAAGACACAGTCGCAGGGACGGCAAGGCAGACCTGGTATCCCACGGGCCAGTCTTACAATCATCAACCATGCATAGCGCCCAAAATGCTCAAGTTCCAGTTGACGGCTATGCTGGCGCCCGCTTTATCTGAAGAATGTAGCAATGCCAAGCAAGCGGGAGTGTTGAGAGCGATTTGAGTTTAATAGTCTTACCCAAATGGGGTGGCCTGGGTTTCTCGGGCTTGTGATTTAACAACACCTGCAGGATACATAAATCTTAAACTTTCCCTGTGTTTTGCTAACAACACTTATTCATTGATCGAGGGCACGATTTTCCTTCCGCATACCCTTAGCGTTGTGAACTTTGTGCCCGACAGCCTGAGCCCAGGTCAGATGTGTCGTTTGGCAACAGCATAACAGATAACGATCCAATTTATAAACTGAAAGAGCTCGGGCATATCTCGACCGTCAAGATGTTGCCAAGATACAGGATTGCGGCTCCTGATGAGTACCTTGCCGTTACTGGCATGGGAATTAAGAATAGTATGTTTTCTTCCTTTTAAGACGCCTTCACTAACTATTGGGCAGCCGGAACTAACATACCCCAAGTCAAGATCACCAAGGCAACATGGGTGATGCCATTTCAAAGATGTTTTCGGTTCAGCGTGCATCCGCACGACTATCCAATGAATCTCCAGGCCATGACCAAGGAAAAACTTCAAGTCGTGTTGCCAGTAGTCTTTACAATTGGCCCAAATGTCAACAAACGCGGTGGTCATTCTCGATCTTCCTCTAGCAATTCCGCGAATAGAGCTGAAGGACAGGCAGAAGACGGGGAATGGCGTCGCGACGATGATGCGGGAGATGCCCTGATGAAATACGCCATGCTTCTGGCAGACTCGAAGGCCACAAAGAAGGGAACGACAAGTGCCAATGATCGTGACTTTCTCGAAAACATCGTCAAGGGTATCATCGAGGGTGAAGTCCGCGTGTTGGTCTCCTCCATGACAATGGAAGAGATCTTCAGCGAACGCGAAGTCTTCAAGCGTCGCATTTTCCGCAACATTCAAGGAGAATTGGATCAATTTGGGTTAAAGATCTTCAACGCAAATGTACGTGCGCCCTAGTTTTCTTATATTCGTCGTTCTTTTATGTTGTGGTGATGTTTACAAGAGGAGGATGGGAGGTGGGGGTGATTTGCCCCTGAGCCCCCTTTTCTCCTATCCTCTCGCTTAACCCCAACCCTTCCTCTTTGCCTGCAATACACACCTTGCAAGGACGCCTAACCTTTCACATAATACTAACACTGTTGCAGGTTAAAGAGCTGAAGGATGCCCCGAACTCTGTGTACTTTGAATCACTCAGCCGCAAGGCTCATGAAGGAGCCACTAACCAGGCTCGAATCGATGTCGCTGAAGCACAGTTGCGTGGTACCGTCGGCGAAGCCAGGCGCAAGGGTGAGCAAGAGAAGGAAATCGCTAGAATCAAGGGCGACCAGGAACGCGAGATTGCGAAGATTCATGCTGAGACGGCGGTCCAAAAGACCGAGCGCGACATTGAGCGCGCTCAGGCCGAGGCTATTCTTGCAACTCGCAAAACTGAGCTCGATCGCGATGTCGAGATCGCCCGTATCCATGCCAAGCGCAAAGCCCAAGCCCAAGATGAGGAACTCAAGCGCGAAGTCGAGACGAAGCGTGCGGCGGCCGAATTGGAACGTCTCCGCGCTACAGATGTCGTCAAAGCCACCATCAGCCGTGAAGCTCAGCAACAAGCGGCCGATGCCAAGGCTTACGAGGTCGAAGCTCAAGCCAGGGCTGCTGCCGAAAGCAAAAGGCAGCAGGTAGATGCCGACGCTTACAAGACCAAAGTTGACGCAGAGGTGATCGCGCACAAGACGCGCGTGGATGCTGATGCCAAACGGTACCAAACTGAAACAGACGCCAAGGCCAACTTCGAGAAGCAGAAGCAGCAGGCCGATGCCGATGTTTATAAGGTTAAGGTGGACACGGAGACAGCAGCCTTCAAAACGAAGCTTGATGCCGAAGCTTGGTGCTACGCTACTGTTCACAACGCCGACGCCAAACTACAGAAGACCCTCAAGGAAGCTGAGGGTTTGAAGGCGATGGCTGAAGCCTATGCTAAGATGGCGGACGCCTTCGGTGGTCCGGCTGGCTTGCTGCAGTACATGATGATTGAGAAGGGTACCTACGTTGAGTTAGCCAAGGCCAACGCCGAGGCCATCCGTGGCTTGCAGCCCAAGATCAGCGTCTGGAACACTGGTCCCGAGGCCGGCACCGATGGCCCGGCTGGTGGGGCCATCGTCAACCAGAGCAGCATTGCTACTATGCGCAACATTTACCAAATGTTACCCCCTCTGATGACTACCATCAACGAGCAAACCGGCATATCACTACCAGAATGGCAGTTTGGCCGCCTAGCTGGGCAGATGTCACAGCTCGAAAGGGGAGAGATTAAGCCAAACCACGGATGAAGCCCATAGGGTTCACGTCTCTTATCACTCGTTATTTTGCTCTCACTTTTATTTCATAATCTTCGTATATGATTTATCGTTACACCTGGAAAGCATGATACCTCCGCCATTATTCTACATCTCAACTCAACGTAAATGTTCTGCGAGAAAATGCAGGACCCCAAGATCCAAATTGCATGCTAACAAGCTTTCTTGTCTGCGTACCGCTATCATTTCTCCGAAGGGTATGGGCCTATACTTTTGCTATTGAGTGTATCAAGTCATCAGTTTGCGTCCAGTTATAGCGGAAGTTATGTACAATAGGAATTGGCCATGAACTATCAAAGATATATGTGCGTACCTATGATCGGCTTGTCCACTTATCCTATGTTCAACATCTACATGCTGATTTGACGCTGTTCCGTGGCTATCTATATCCTTACACACGGTGCTCGAAGTTCCGTACAGCAATAGCCACACGTCTTAAGCATATTCGCTTCTTAGTCTTGACCTCTACTAATACACGTCTCATTCTCCTCGTTCAGTTGTCAGTCTACATCCCTTTCTCAATCCCTAAATTTTTTCTTGAATCATTTCTTTCTCCCACTCTTTTATCTTACCAATTTATACGTGTGCTTTTCGAACTTTTCAGAAGCTAAGAGTCCACGGTTCCACGGAATTTATCGATATTTGGCTTAAAAACAAGACATGAGAGAAATATCCTAGTGTCATGACCAACAGAAGCACTATCTGGAGGAGTGGGTTCCATACAACCAACTGATCGGAGAAAAAAGGAGTTGTGACCCATCAAACCCAGATATCCACCTCCGACAACTTCACGCATTGGGGAGTAACTTCCTAACGCCAAAAGGCCCTAATCCGCAAGAGTTTGTGCCATTGAGCAGGAACAGAGAAAGCCCACAAGGGTATATAATATATATAGATTCCAGGCAGGGCCGTCTGGCAAATGAAGCTCACCAGTCAGCAGTATAAACAGTTGTCTGTTCAACTGGTAATCACAGGGATTATTTTTATTGTGTGGGAAACCCTGTCTCTCAGGTCCAGCGACCTGGCACGTCTCAAACCCATCTGAGGTCTCTCTGAACCGTCACGCCTAGAGAGGAGGGAGCTTAGCAAAAACGCAACATTGAAACACGCTCTATAATGGAATTAAATATTCCACCTGAGAAGACACTAAGATCAAGTACTTTAATGATACTGCACGGTCTCTGTTCTAGAAATCGTTGCTTCGAGGGCTGATAAAGGGCACAGGCAAGCTTATATTCTCTAACTGTGACAAAACATATTATATTTGCTAACTCTAAGAAAATAGGAGAGAGAGATAGGATGCCATTTCGTTATGCGGAGATCAGTGAGATTCAAAACCCCAGAGACAACGTTATCAGTCCAGTAAAACTCATCCTCATTCGGAATTTGGGGATTAGCGCAGTTTGTGAAACAAGTTGGACAGAACTTGTTGCCAACACATCTCAACAAGGCTTCAAACAGGTAGTTTGGACAAAGCTTAGGTATCCCGTTCTCTGCGAGATGAGCAGGGGTAATAATAACAAGTTCAATCTTAGCAAACCTAAAGGTGAGAAAATGCTAAAGCGAGGACTTGTTTCTGATGTAGACGTGGTTGGCACGCTTCAGATACCAACACCTCATGATGCTAGACGTGGGCAGAACGAGAAACCCGCTCACCTTTGCCAGATTTCAGCAATCAACATTGAAGTAGTGAGACAGGGACTAAGTCACTCCTGGCAGACAGCAGATTCTGGAACAATCTAGGAGTACTTCGGAAGTGTGGGCGCTGGCACTTGGGAGATGCGTCTACGACGAAGTATTCTTGGACATCGAGATAAGTAAGACTTGCTCAGACTCCATAAGTTCCCACCCCCTTCTCTCCTTCCCAGCAACTGACACGGAGAGAGCTCGATAAGTGTGTGTCATGACTTTAACAAGAGTGAGTATGACGATAAGGTTGAAGCTCATGGCCGGTCCATGAAAGATCATCCAAAGGCGTGCGAAGGGTCTCAGAATCAGATCTTGGTCCTCACCTATAGTAACTTTCCTATCTTTGGTGACGAAGAGGGGATTTTCGATGATTCTCACCTTGATGAGAATGGAAGCGACTACGACAACCGATGAGATTAAGAGAAGCAGTGGTGATGACATATGAAGATGGTGTTAAGCAAGGTCCAAAGAATTGGTAGCAGAGGATATTGCGAGGATTGATTTTAGATGTGGAGACTGAGCAGGCTTTCACTTTCCTCAGACATAGGAGAAACTCCAGGGAGTTACCTGCAGACAGAAACACATTTGTTTGGTTCTTATCTACTATTAATATCACTAAAATTCAGTTCGACAAAGTCGCCAAAACTTGGAGAGACATCTTCGATATCAACGCTACATTGATTTTGATATTTCCCTAGCTCCAGCACTTTTGGGCCAGAAAAATTGGGCGGGATGGGCTTGAGCCGTTGATGCAGTACGTCGAAATAACTCAGCTTCAGTTGTCCGGTATATATGCGTATAGGAAGAGAAAAACAGCAAGTACGTACTGACACCTCTAAGTTTCCTCAGCTCTCCATGTGAGGGCAATTGCCTTTAACGAAAATGAGAGTTGAAGAACGCGGGCTCTCTTAAGCAACAGCTGATAATTTTAGAAAGCAGTCTTGTGAGTTAAAGGTCAGTAAAATTAAACATTCAAGGAGAGTCTGGTCAAGTCCCAGAAGGCGAGAATCAATCTGTTGATGCTGACCTTGTATTGCAAATTTCGGGAACTTGGTAGGAAAATGCGAATTTGGAAGTCGGGAGCAGCGCCTGTTACTCAAAAACGCGATTAATCCGTTTAAAGAGCTGTGAAAATAGAGTATGTGTTTCTTCGTAGCACGGATGCATGTGTGTATATGGATGAAAAGTCAAAAACAGAAAATTATTGGATAATATAACTTTTCCGCGTCGTGCCATTAATGAAAGTTGCCATCTATCCAGTCACGAATTGATGCACCCGAGGCATATAGAGAAACATTTTCCGAGTTTTATTCGATCGTCAACATCATTAATACACAGTTCAACAACACTTTTTCAGAACCATATCCACGGCCAATGGCCGTACTCTTCATTGACTTCCTCAAGGCCGGTACCTCACCGCTATCTCTTCAGTGGCCCAAACGCCAAATTAGGCTGTAAAGGGCAATATCAAAGTCATGGGAGTCTACGTCAACATACTCCGCCATCATCTCTGTTTTGGCCGTTTATCTAAGCAGTTTATTTGGCAACAGGATCGTACGCTGTCCCCGATCGTATATTAGGACAGAATTCGAGCAAGAGCCCCGACTTGATTTTTTAGCTCCTCGCTCTCCCTAGGAGCGTTCTTGAGCACCTTCTCCAACAAATGGTTGACCTGGAGACCAGGAGCTGTGGGTGGATTACCCTGTGCCGTTTGGATGCGTGAGACTTGGAACTGTAGGAAGAACTTTGGCAGCTTGATGGCAAGGTTGCCGCCAACGGACCGAATACCAGCTTCAGTGGCCAGATAGACGTCAAGTTGCTTTTGGAAGGTAGCAAGATCGGCGTTCCGCAGCGGGGTAGGGGTTGCGAATCTACTCAGGGCAAATTGGAGAGGCGTCTGTGAGGATGTGGCAAAGTTGATGGATGAGAACGTGATGCCACCCGAGGACACATCAGGTACTCCAGAAAGTGTAGTGCGGCGGGGGTTGCAGCTGATCCGGTCCTTAATCTGGTTGGTTATATCAGCAGTTTCCTTGGGGAGTTGTTGGTTGCCAATGATGAAGCAGGCCGAGGGGTTTTGACGTTCTACAAGAGCGGGAGCTAAAAATCTTGTAAGCCGGTGAACTCTGGAACACCAAACCGATAGACCTACCTGCAGCGGCAAAGCCAACACCAAGAGTAAGGAAAGTGAGGAACTTCATTTTTGAATATCACAAAGAGAAAAAAAAACGGTGATCTGATAGGGAAATCAGGATTGAAGAAAACTTGGGTTGTGCCTGCCAACCCAACAGGAAAAAAATAATGCAGAGAAAACAGACCGGCGAGTAATGCAGAATGTAGATCAGCCCATCAAAAACAACATTGGACAGGTGGCAGATCGCTTCTTAATAGAAGTTTAAGCATTTGCTGAATGAAACTTCAATCCTTTAGAGTTAGGGGCTCTGTGCCTCACCGTTTCATGTTGGTCCCTGGATGCACCCTAACCATAGGTGTAGACAAAGCGATTCTCAGGTATTGTTCGGGAGAGTCCCCTTGCACACAACAGTATTTGGTGACATTGAACAGTCCGGGGGAATAGGGGTTTCATGTTGGCACTCACAGCAGGCGATGCGAACTTCATGGTGAAACTGGCATGGTCGCGTTTCACACACTGCCCTGTTACTTACCCCTGGCTCTTGGATACGCCGACTTTAGCAGATAGGCCGAAGCACAAGAAAAAAACAAGTCGCATCGATGCAAAAGGACCACTTTGAAAGTTTTAGGGGTTTGTAAACCAAGGTAAGGAGAGCTCGACGCGACCAGGCGCAAGGAGCTGAGATCGCTGCACGTTGTAGCGCGCGACCCCAAATCTCGGGACGAGAGTGGGTCTCTGCCGCGCATCTTGCTTCCTCGGCATCTGCCCCTGTCAGAGTGTGATTTTAAGCAATCTACAACCAGAACTGTAGAATATAGATGTACGTGCGATTTCCTGGGATTTAGAATTGATCAAGCACAATTCCAGTAAAATAGGGGCAAGGCGATCGAAACCAACCCCATAATGAACGATGCTCTCGGCTTTTTTGCAAGCATCCTTGCTCCATAGCGAGGCAAACAAACCCTTTGTGCCCCGCAATTCAAGGTCTAGTTGTGATGCCAAGACACCCGTTCTCCTGTACTGCCGCGAGACTTCATGGGGTTCAGTTCAATCCAACGAGTCCACCTTCGAGTTGAGTACAGCTTTCGGGAAAACCCAGAATTCTCAAGTTGGATGCATTTGGATGCGGTGTTCATGCACCTCTTTCCAGAGTTGATTACGAAAGCGTTTTCGTAATGATCTCTTGTATCCATGATGGCTTGCTTGCTCCTCCCCTAACCTGTGCGAATTGTTTTGCTCCCTGTGCTGCCCTTAGGATAGCATGTGGGTAGTACAAGTCGTACTGGATGGAAAAGGTGCCACTTGTAGGTTCCATTGCATCATTGATCCACGAGCACAGCGCCGTCAGTCATGACAGAGATTATGTCTTCAGCATTTGGTATCGAGCGAAAACATCGACAAAAGTCTCCACTACAGTCGGCTCCATCGCGTTTTGCCAAGACCGCATTCCAGATTCGTCATTCTGTGGAAGAATGGCGAGACATGTCTCGATGACACGGGCTCTAACACCCATCTCGGACTCAAAATGTATACATAAAGTCAAGAGGTCTTTCGAAGTTTGATGTTGGAAAACCAGATATCCAGCCCCAACGTACCGGACGGGACTTCAGCCATTTTCAGAAGACTTTCAACAACGAAAACTACATCTCTGTAGCCGCAGACCAAAAATGGCCGCCCGATTCGCTCTCCATGGCCTCTGCCGGCCCCTGGCCAACTCTACTCTTCTCGCCAAGTCACAAGCCATCCGCCTCATCTCGACTACCAAAGCTCTCCAGTCTACGCTCCCTGTCGCCATCTCAGGCACCGGCATTGGCGTCCTGCAACACATCTCCGTCCCAGGAAAGACCTACAGTTTCACCGCCGACACCTACCCCATCCTGGGTGGCGAGGACTCGGCCCCCTCTCCTGTCGTTTACTCTCTCGCTGCTCTAAGCGCCTGCAACCAGGTTACCGGCGCCGTGGTGGCCAAGGATCACGGCATCAGGCTGGGCCAGTGGCATGTTGATGTTGAGGCGCAGCTGCCCACTAAGACTCTTGTCAAGGGCGAGGAAGGAAACCCCAACTGGGAGAGTGTGAAACTCAAGTTGCGCGTTCAGACGGATATCCCTGAGGGGAGCGCCGAGTTTGAGAAGTTTGTGTCGGAGGTTGAGAGGAGATGCCCTATCACTGCGCTGTTCAAAAGGAGTGGTGTGAAGTATGAGAGTGAATGGGTCAATGAAAAGCTTTGAGGGGAGGGGGCTCGAAACTGTTAACTGCAAGGACGATGCTGGTTTATTTGGGTAAAGGGGGTTATGAGCTTGGTTTGGATACTGGCGTTATGGTCTCTGGGATGATCTAGATTCATCCATGATACCTCGAGTAACACTGGATAAAATGATATCAAGAACGAACTCGCTACCTTTACGGTCTGCACAAATGGTGTGAGTTTATTTCTTTATTTTGATACTCAACTTCTTCATCTTGTATCCGACATACGCACTACTGAGCAGTAGCAGTCTTGGCAGCCAAGTCCTTCAGGCCCTCCTCCAGGGTCTGCAAACCCTGGATTCCCAAGTCTTCCTTGGTCAGAACCTTTCCCCCAGAGACATCACTCCAGCTCTTCTCCCTGGTAGCATCCCAATAGTCCATCATCACGCCTAGCTCCTCCGCCAAAACAGGCCACAACTCCCGAAACGCCTCAGGATCAATCTTTACATACTTTGTCTTCTTGCCATGCGTCTCCCCCCATAGCTTCAGCAGACCTTCCACGCTAATCGTCTCTACAGCAGCCAGCACATATGCGCCGTTGGCTGCCTTCTCCGGCTGCTCGACCGCAGCACGCACAAACTTGCCCAGATTCAGCCTCACATCCCCAATTGTCGAAATAGGCGTCTCAGGCGACCAGCTACCCAGCTGCACATGCACGTCGGCAAACGCAGTCGGCACCTTGAAAGGCGTGTACACAGGGAATGAATAATTCGTGTGGTACCACGTCACCCAGAGGAACGTCGTCTTGGCCAGCAGCGCGGGCTCCTTCTCCCGAATGTAATCGTCGACCGAGGCCTTGCCGTCGAAATGGGGCACGCTGAACTTGCCGCCACTCACGGCGTGGCTGTTGGGCAGCGTGCTCCAGATGAAGTGCTCAAGGGAATCAGTGACCGCGGCCGCCTGTGCAATGTTGATTCCCTGCTGCTTTTCGATCTCGGCAGTCTTGGGCCCGTCGAAGAGCTTCGCGAAGGGCTCGAAGAAGTTGGTGACCGCAAAGATAATGTGTGAGCCGGCGAAGGCGGTCTTGAGGCTTGCGAGGTCGTTGAAGTCTCCTTGGACGACCTCGGCGCCTTTGGCGGCCAGGGCTTGGGCTGGGGCACCAGAGGGATTGCGAGTAATGGTCCGGACTTTGTAGGAGGGGTCATTGATAAAGGAGGCGACGACGCCCTGGCCTTGAGCGCCAGTTGCCCCGAGGATTGTAATGATCTTGGCCATGGTGCTTTGTTGGCAGGGTGATGTGTCCTGTGGGAAATGACGTCACAAGATGAAGGAATGTCTTTCACAAGGGAGTAAGGGCAAGAAAACCTTTGATCTCTGCTTTCCACTTGTGATTTTGGATCGCTCAAAGATTCCTCATATCGCCGCTTGCATGGTGGTTTTGAATCCACTATATATGCTTTTCCGTCAGCACCAGCTTACGCCATTCACATTTTGGGATGATGCTTTTTATAGACATCATTGCGATGTTGCAGCCCGTATGGCTGACAAATCTGCCGGCTGACCAATTTTCTTTCACATCATGAACAGACAGACACAGGAAGTGCGGGGCATATCTGGGTCCATAAAAGAAGCATCAATGCGCTATCAATTTCCACTATCGTAGAGAAGAATGTACTACGTACTAGGTAGATAATTGCGTGCAAATGGAAAGTGAGCTTGAGTTAAGAGCTCGACACGAGTCATGCACCATCTTTCTCCATCAAGATCGTAAGCTTATAAATCTTTCCTTTTTAGATATGCAGGGTTCGATGCAAGCTTTCTTGAGAGATGGCTAATAGATTCCCCGCATCCGTGGGTGACAGAGGACTTGTGCCATGCAGCCTCGAAAACGAATGATTGAAATGATTGTGTTTTCCGACCAAGTCTACCTAGATGGGCACAGGTCATGCCCACAGTGCCGGAAGGCCTAAGGTAATGCAGCTAATGGGGGGGCGGAAACTCTTGGCATTCGGCTCCACGAGTATTCCATATATGGCTAGTGAATCAATGGCTTACACTTGTTTCCTTTTCTTTTGTCTGTATAAGCCACCGTCTCTACCATCCTTCTTATATGTAGAGCATTGCATAGGTAACAAGCATAACATCCGATTTCATTCTGCTCATTATTCAAGCCTACTGGCTTATATTACTCTCCAGTCCTTCTGCTGACCATTTTGCGTGATATAAACAGATATCTCCTTGTCTCTGTCAGCAATCTGTGTTGCTCGTATGTTGTCAGGAATAGGGTCTAACAACAGAAATTCATCAGAATCGTAGACATTCGGAGCTTTCAACGACAATCTGAGGTAGCAATTGATGCTTTGAAGTCTTCAGGCTCAACAGCTTTCTCACGTTCGAGTGGGTACATGTATACCAAATCCTTTACGAGTTGCAGAACCTCGTTCCCTTGCTTCGTTCAGCATATTGCCAGTCAGCTTGAACACCAGAGTCTCCGGCGCTTCTAATGTCATTCCCGCATCCGTCAATGTTATCACGAACGACAGATACAGGTTATTGATGGTCAGATTATAAGCCGGGAAGTACTTTCTCGATAAATTGGAGCGAGGATCGAGGGGGCATCTTGTTGGCACAATAGGTGTGACGGGATGTTAAGATTTGTAGATATCAATATTGCTATGCCTAGGATTAGTCAGGTGCCAGGCTGGAAACAACCCGAGGATGTAGGCTGGGTAATTAGGAGAACTCACAAGACGTAAGCATCTACTGCCCCTCGGTTGTCTGCAGCTGCATTCACCCAAACAGCAACGCTCCGATGTCCTACCGGGAATATGCCCCATCCGTTCTCATCGATGATGACCTGTCCAGGACACCACCTCAATAGATCTGTCCACATCTCGCCAGCGTGGTGTTTCCCAACAAACATCCGCTTACTGGCATATTCCCATCCGTTGGTCATAACAACGGCCAATCCATTGCCCCCTGATTTCGAGGGATGGCCTTCACGCGTAAAGCCCACACATCGAGGATCGTCGAAGTAATCGTACTGCGAACCATAGGCCCAAAACTTTCGGGCGAGCATCATCTTAGGTATTACTACCCCACCGCAAGGTGGTGTAATGAGACCTGGAAGGGCAGGATGTGACGGTTGAGCGACGTAGCCATATAAATCTGCATAGAAAACACATGGAAGTCCTGTGTTGGCACGAAGCAAGATGAGGGCGTAAGCGAATGGGACGAAGAATGGAGCGATGGGCGTCTGCGAGTGGTTAGTGTGTGGAAGCTGGCGCATAGAAGGGAGGAAACATACCCCTAAAGGCTGTCCTGGTTGCTATGAAGGAAGGTAAGTATCAATATTGTGAGTATGCTAGGAGAGATGGCAAAGCAGGAGACAGCACCTAGAGCTCCGCCGTGACTTTGCCATGTCAACTTACAGTATCGTGATTGGTGACAAATGTCTAAATAAAACCATGTTAGTCCAAATGCTCTCGCTCGGGATATATTAAGGGCAACACTGCACTCACCACTGCATTATGGGGTCTCCATAGACATAGCGAATCATCGAATATTTTTCTCAAGTCCCCCCTCTCCTGCAACAAGGAGATCTTGCTAAAGTTCGATACGAGCTGAATGTCAAAAAGTGATAAACGATGGTTCACGAAGTCAATAAGCTTGGCAAGGAATTCAGAGTCTTCGCGCCAGTATTCGCCAACGATGAACCAATCTCGTAGGCCATGGGAGTCCAAATGAAAAAGTAAGTCCCGCAGAAACTGCAAACTGTAATGCTTGAGCGCATCAAGCCGCAAGCCACCCAGCCGCAACTGGGTTGGTAGCCACTTAACCCAACGGAAAAGCTCTGCTCTCACTTCAGGGTGCCGATGGTCGATATCCGCAAACATCCTCACACAAAACATCAGTACGAACGTCATTTACTCGGAGATAAGATAGGTATACCCACAGGAAGTCATAATTCCCCAACTCTTCATCCACATCCTCGGCCCACTCCTTTCCCTGGAATTTCCACACTCCCTTTTCTCTCCCATTATCATCATAGTCAACTCCCGTGAAGTGTTCCTTGCGCCACTTCATCGAGCTATATTGCCCTCCTCGTCCATGAAACTCAAACCCAGTCCACGCTCCAATCTCCCTCGAAGGGCCCATCTCTCTCCTCCGGTCCTTATCATCCATCTTCGTCGCAACAGCTCTCTCCACAAAATCCCCTCCGGCTTTATGATTTATCACCGCATCGAACAACACCCGCACACCATGCCTCTCCGCCTCCTCAGCCATCTCCACCAACTCCCTTTTACTCCCCCACTTCGTTCTGCGCGACCCCTTCTGCTCAAACTCCCCTAAATCCCACAAATCATACACATCATACCCGTTACCAGCTCGTCCATCCGCCGCCTTGCACGCTGGCGGGATCCAAAGCTTGGTGACGCCCAAAAACGCGAGCGAGGGGATCGCGTTCCGCAATCGGATCCAGTGCTGCCCGTCGGCGGGGACGTGCCACTCGAAACCTTGAAAGAGGATTTCGTTGTCGGGACAGGGCTGGCCGGGAGAAATGAGGTAGGGGTTAGGGAGGTCGGCGGCTGAGAGGCGCTTGCGGAGGGGTCGCAGGTTGGCAGAGTAGCCGGAGCCGGGCTCTTGGCGGCGGGCGGCAGCTTGGAGGGCCTGGAGGTGTGGGGGGAGAGGGGGAGAAGGGAGTTTGAGAAAAGATGACATTGGTGGTTCAGGCGCTGAGGAGGTTCCTTGGGGGTTCGGGCGGCAGAAATGAACGGATTGAGAGCGAGCCTCGCAGTGAGAGTTTGTCCTCCTTTCTGGTCTTCTCCCCTGAGATCCGGACAGTCCAATCCTCGAATTTTGAGAACACTCTGTTGCAGGGATTGGCCTTGGTTTCGATATGTTTCCGCAATGTTATAGAGTAAATTCTGGGCGCCCTATGGAACTTTTCCACTTAATCGCATCAAGTATTTTGTTTCTTCGACTATTTGATCTTGGATGTGACTCCTTCAGGCTTATGTGAGTGAGAAACAAATGACGGTGAAGATGCCAAGCCACGTACTCATCACGAAGACGACGAGAGAGTGGTGGTCCGTGCGTCTCTTCAGCAACCTCCTATTGTTTAGACTTTTCTACCCCTGAATATCACCAGGGAAACGGGTAAATCTGGGATCCACATGATGTTTCTTTAAGTTTCTGGGGCTTGTTCAATGTGTTAGCTGTCGGCATGATTGCTTCTTATAACCTGCACAGCTCATTTTGCCTACAAAGACTTGAGATAATATTCAGGGAAACGCCTGAGAACGGATTCAATAGACAGTCTTTTCGAACCATTAGCCTCAGCACCATTATGCTATAGGCCTTATAAGACCAACCAACCTTAATCCATTTTTAACAAATGTTAATTTATTGTATTATTTGACAATCTAGACAGACCTCCTGAGATGGATTCGAGAGGTACCAGGTCTCTGGACCTGAGAGACAAGAGTTCTCACACAACCAAAGTGGCCGTTGCGGTCACCAGTTGGTAAGCAACTGTGTAATATTGCTGACTAGAGACTTACTTTGGCCAGATGGCCCTGCACAGACTCTATATACATCACACACACCCTTGTGGCTTCCCTTCCTTCCTCCTCAACAGCACAAACTGTTGAGGGTCAACATGCTTGGGTGTTGAGGAACACCTTCCTAATGCTTGATTGTTGGGGGCAGATATCCGAGTTTGATGGGTTATAACTCCCTTTACTGCTATCAGTTAGCAGCATGGAAGCCACTTTCCGGATAGAGCCGGTGTTGGTCGTGAAATATTAGCTTTTCCTTAGTATTTGAGAAGTAAAGCATCAATATACAGTTTTCCTCTATTCTTGTTGCATGTACATAATGGCGTATTACTAGCCACAGTAGTTGCACGTGTTAACATTTGACAACTCCTCTTTGCTTTCTTTTTCTCATCCTTCCTTCTTTCTCTCCTATTTTTCTTCCCTCCTGCCTTGTTACTTTCTCTCTTTCTGTTCTTCTTGTTTGCTAGGATCAACAAGGATGTCACGCGGGAAAGCGGAGCCAAACACAAAGGACCAATAAAACGCGGCTCATGCAGCCCCAAAAGGTCATCAAGCCAAGAAATACAAACGAGGGACTAAAAGATCGTGAGAAATGAAGAAATGCTATATTATATAAGGTAGATATATTCCTTATTGGTAGAATCGTAGGTATGGTGGACGAAAAGTTCCTGAGTCGGCAATACAAACAGTTGCCCAAACAAACTGGTGATCGCAGTGCTTCTGAATTCATGTGAGAACTCTTGTCTCTCAGACCCATCAATCTTGGACCAAATCTGAACACATCTTAGGAAGGCTATTTGAGTCATCATTTCGTTCCCCTCTGTCTATAGTACGAAGAGACTTTCTCAAGATACATATTTAACAACTTGAAATTATCAAGACGAAAAGAAGAATAAAGGAACGAGGGAAAGAGATAAAGCAATCAGGCATGTTTCTTGTGACTTCTGAGCTCAGTTCTAGCATTATCCTGAAATTTTCTTCTGTCACAGGTAGACTCCATGGGGCTGTTTCCGTATCTGTTTGGTATCGGGAGCTTGTGGTCCCACACACTGCGTCTACTTAAAGACATGAACGATCTAAGGGAGAATTAAGGACCACAAAATCACCTATATTAGCGTCTGTGAAATCTCCGGAGTTGGGATGAATATCTGTGTGCAATGGACATCAGCAAATGGCATATGGATCAGCCATACCTCAACCTCCGAGTTTCATTCTCTGCTTTCCTATCTATATATATACTACACTTATAGTCACTCCTTATGGTAGGCTCAACAAGCTCAGAAAGCACTATTTTCTTCCTTACACTCATTCAAAACTGCTCTTCACTCACGATTTGCCGTTGACGGTGCGACAAACTGTGACCGAACTAGTCCGTTACCATCTGTGAGCACAGGACTCAACCGAGCTCTTAACAGATCCATCCTCACATTAGAACTCTCCCTTTCACACAACCACTCCATGCACCCTGCTCACTGTGCTTGTCGCAAGGTTACCAGCATGCTTATCCAATCTCCCAACTTCATCAAAAACAATTGAAGGGATAGGCACCAACACCACTACAAGATGACTCTTTCCTTGAATTCAAAAAGATGCAAATAAAGAGGTTGTGTTTCTTACCAACTGCATACAAGAGAATAAGAAAAGATATGTCAGACTGGATCTGTCGTCCGCGATTGCTATAAATTCCTAGCACCAACTGATCCTGTTCTCTTTAGTTTCTTGCGCGACTTCCTCACATGGTGATCTTTTTGCTCTTTTTTCCCTTTTCCATGCCTCTCAGGTGCCCTTCACGTCTGGCGCAATATATGTTGGTGGGAAGATGCTGGTGAGCGTGACAGTCTGGAGGAGATATGGTAAGTAGCGTTGGGCATGGGTTTGTAACATACAATCTTAACATTATCACATTTGAGAACACTACTTCACATGAAGAGTCTATATGTCGTACTAAATGCTAAAAGTGGGATCATTTTCGTTGAAATGTTCGAATGTCAACTTCTCGCCGTCAGGCTTAAGACAAGACTCCCGGTTTCCATTTATATCACGGTGCTTAGACCCTACAACACACATGGCTCTTCCAGGTTTTTGAAGTCATAAAATGCTGATTAATGTTAGCAGCTAAGGGTCTACTGCATCAACCCCATCGCTCTAGACTACACCAGAGAGTCTCCGAAGTAACCAGCTTATTATTCAATGGATTAAGACCGATCAGCAGTGTTTGAACCATGCGGAGTAACTATCGGCAGTTCGCACTTCACATACACTTATTGTTGGATACCCCCCATTTTTGTTCTTCCGATGTGGATAGCTTCTTGCAACTACAAAAGAATGATACTCTTCCTTTCGATGAGCTGAGGGAATTTTCAGATGAGCAGGTTCGAGCTCCAAGTGTTCATTCAGCTTGTTGTGGATTTTTGATTCTCATCTGACCAGAATCATGACTTTAGAGGATTCGGAAGAACAAATGGAAAAATTTGTTAAATTTCTCGGACCACTCCTGGAGGCCTCGAGTGATTGAAGAACGATTAAGCCTGGATGGATCAGTATTAACTGATGCAGAGAAGGTGGGTGCAGAGGAGCTCGGTATTATGTGGACTATCCCCTTTGGATACTACACTCCTCAACAGACAATCCATTATTTTTGAGATTCCAAGACAGTCTTGAGGAGTACTTTAACTTGCTGGATTAACTACAGGTGGGGTAACATATAAAGAATGTTGCAATGGCATTCCGTTAACACTTGATTCCAGTCTGTAATTTTTTATTTCTCTTTTTCTCAACTTTTTCTAACATTCCGGCTTTGAGCTCAAATGCCACTGCTTTGCACTTGTCTTGCTCAATGTCTGTGCTCAAGCTCCCCAATTTTGCTTGTGACACCTAGAACCTCTTCTAAAATCAGATTGCTTGACTTAGTGTGTAACAAAACAGCACGGCCAAGGAGGAACTAAGCGCATGTAAAGATGATCCTCTCAGATATTTTTAATATCCTCGTCCTCCCAAACATTATCGCTTGCCATTAGGCTGGGTTCAATACTTATAAGATAATTGCGCGAAAAGATAAGAAGGATAAATAGATGCCACAGAAATGAATGTTCAACTAGAAAGAAGAGAAAGATTATATTGTGTCTAAGGCAGAATAGGGTACCAGCATAATCCTAAGCGGTAGAAGCAACTATCCCTCTCCATCACCATCACAACGACACCCAGAAAAGGACTGCTGGGATACTTCACCAGTGTCCTTTGAGATCTTTATGCCTCTTCACGTTATCCGACCTCCCCTTATAGTCACATTTGCCGCACTGGCTTTCCTCTTTAGGGATCCCCAGCGCTCTTGCCTCCTCCGGATGATTAGCCCACATATGCCTGTTCCTATCCTTGGTTTCTGCACCACCAGCTCCACATATCTGACATATTCTGGGCCGGTTGTGGTTCTTTTGATGTTTTCTGTCCACATGGAGAGGGAGTTAGCACTGATGCTGTGTTGAGATCAAGTATGGCTGACAGATGTAGGTGAGAGAAGGAGACTGTACCTACTTCAGATCACAGTTACGGCTGAAAGAGCGGTTGCAGCCCTCAAAATCGCAGACATGAGGAGCAGCCCTCGTTCTCCCAATACTCGTAGAGGACAGGGCAGAATCGTCATGCAAAGAAGCAACTGTACAAGCAGGATCCAGCATTGGGGGATAGATTGGAGAACCAAGAGTTTGCGAAGCATCCACAAGTTGAGCCTGTGCAGTTTGCATAACGAGGTTGATATCACTAGTCCCTCCACTAGATTGCCAGGAGCTTTCAGTTAAAGGTGGTGCTGCTGGTGATGCTACATGTGGATCAGGGATAAATGTTTGTGCATCATGCCAGACAAGTGTTGACGTTAAGTCATTGACAACAAGAAAAGGAAAGGTCGTCTGGCTGTCTTCAGTGCTTTCGGGCATGAAGGGTTCCGAAGACGTGAGGGAGACAGTAATAATGTCTTCGAGACTATCATGATGGTAGCTTCGGTAGGAATTGGTGTCCTCCATTGCTTCAAGAGATCAAGTCCAGGATCCGTTGTTGTCGATGAACACCAGGTCGGAAGACCATTTGGGGACAGGGTTACCTCATGCACATCGCAACCAACGTTGTTGAAAAGGGTCTTAGAGATCCTTGAGCTCACGTACGTCTCACTAACCGCCAAAACGCCGGTGGTGGCCAAGTCTTATACCTATCTAACTGCGCAACAATTTGGACTTTTCGACTGTCACGTAGTCTGGATGCTCTCTGTGACAGAAAAACAATCATGCCACTTCGCACTCATACTGATGACTTGGCAACTTGTCATCCATTAAAGTTCGGATTTGTGCGTCAAAGTTTGAGGCCCACCATCTTCATACAGACTACATCGGTGTGAGTGATACGCCTATGTAGCTATACCAATGCCCATGTCCAGGCCTACAAAGCCTTATATTCGATGTCAATACCGATAATTGGACCGTCACTTTGTTACCTTTCTAAAAGTAAAAGCGTTAGATAGAATCATGGGTGACAGACTGCGCCGCTATGGACCATGATGTTCGGGGGGTGTATCTATAATTCTTGGTTTGCAATCACCGAGTCAGAGGCTGAATTCTGGTAAAAAAAAAATATTTTTCAGCTTATTGTTCTGCTGTAGTCAAGCTGTATGCTTTCAACCTAAGGGACTATTTGACGGTCTTTGACGACGGCTCACTCAAACAATGAGAGAGTCGCGCAGGATAACGTTCTGTTGTTTTGCTTTTAATCCTCTGTTCTTCCACCCAATCCTTCTTTCATCCAGTCTCGCTTCTTTTTATTGTTCCATTTTTCGCTTTTCCTTTTTTCATTCCTTTTCCATCATTTCAATATCCTACTCTTCCTTCATCTGTTCCTTTTTCCTGCCATTCTTTCCTTTGGGTGAACCACATCTCCTGAGCTGCTGTTTGGTGTTGTTGGGGCTTTAGGAAGTATGGTGCGAAATACAACCTTGTAACGGTACGGGCAACAACGGCCATCCCTCCAGTAAGCCCCACTCAACGGCTGCCCCTCCTGAAAACCCGTGTTCTTCGTACGCGACCACGGAACTTTCTCAAATTCGTTCCATCCTCAACCTCCCACATCAGGCTTCTCCTAGAAGCTAGTCCATTACATAACTTTGGCTCTTCAAACAGTCTCACCAATCAGATCGTCCTGCTCCGTTTCTTAAACCACTATGGCTGCCGAAAGTGACCAACAACTCCAGTATGCTTCCTTCTGGGACGCGAAGTACTCACAATCAGACGGGTCGCAACCGGTTCACGAATGGTTCCGCAATTTTGAGCAACTGGAGCCCTTCCTCACTAAATACGTCTTCTCAGTTCCCGGCTTCAAGCCCAATGACAACCCCCTGATCCTGCATGCCGGCTCAGGCGACAGCGTATGTTCCAACCGCCTCTTTCGCCCCTCTGCCAAACGCCCCCTTCGCCGACTAACGTCATGACATTCAACCTCCCGTCTCCCAGACCATCCCCCATGACTTCTACGCGAAAGGCTACCGCAAACAACTATGCGTCGATTTCTCGCAAACCGTGGTGAACCTTATGTCGAAGCGGCACAAGCCCTATGAAGGGATAGAGTGGCGCCTAATGGACCTACGCGATATGCAAGGTGTAGAGGACTCGTCAGTTGATGTAATCTTCGATAAGGGCGCGCTTGATGCCATGGTATACGGGCCCATGTTTTCGCCTCCGAAGGAAGTGAAGGACAATGTGCAGGCATATCTCAAGGAGGTGAGTTTCGGATGGGCTTTGTCAAGACTTTTGGCTCTGCAATGGTCGCTCTGTTCAGCCCTGTGTTGTACGCTGACATCCTGTGTCTCTATAAGGCCCATCGTGTCCTCAAGCCGAATGGAAAGTTCCTATGGGTAGGATTCCGCCAGCCTCTCCAGATGCAGTACATCTGGAACCTTGACGAGCTGTGGAAGATTGAAAAAAGGGAAAATATGGGTGAGCCAGGTGGGTTGTCGTACTACGGCTGGGTGTTCAGCAAAGTCACAACAAAATCAGACGGCAAAAGTGAGAGTCCAGTGTCGCAGGCGTAAGGTGAAGCGTCCATTGCCAATATTAACGGCTCTTACATTTACCTCATGCAAAAAGTAGAGCCAACAAGGATTAAATCCATGAAGGATCCATTAGCCCTAGTATCTTCCAACTGATCATGCTGCATACCTCACACCAAGAACTCCATCGGCACGACAATAGTGGATTAAGTTACAACACATCTTCGGAATCTCCTCCCTGGCCATTACTTTCTTCTCTCTCTTTTCCCAGCGACAAGGTGAGAAAACTCTTGAATGGCCATAATCTCATTCAAATACGGCCTGCGGCCATCACCCTTGACAGCCTAGGCATACCGATTAATAACAGGAAGGCGCTCCCAGAACGATGCGATCTCTTTGGTAAGATCCTCGAAGCAACCGCATATCGCTATGGCGATCGGTTCCATACTATTAGCCTCCGAGTCGAAGTTTATTGGCGTTAGATGGATGCTTACCGCTGAGGAGCCCTGGATGAGTCCAAGTGCCGTCCCTAGGGCAGGCTGGAATTCGGCGAAATGAGAGATGAAGTCGACTGTTGCGTTAACGCGTTCGAGGAATGGCTTGACCCGCCTTAGGCCTCGACGCAGGAATGACTTCTTGAGGTGAACCTGATCAGCCTCGTCCGGCTGCTGAAAGAGCTAAGTCAGAGTGGTGCCACTCCCCAGCCTTCCCCTCACCTCATCGTTGGATGACGATAGGGATCTTTGCTGAGCAGACTCGGGAATACTGGTAGAATCTTCCAGATCTGGATCTGGAGTTGCCTGGGACATGAGGGACATGAGAGCGACTAGGTTGGGGTATGGGATCCAGAATCTCGTGAGTCTGGAGGTTTTGGCTTGGTCGCAGCTTGTTCCATAGGCAGGGCCTCGAGCTTCTGTGGCCCAGCATGTTAATCAGAATCGTAGATAAACTCCCATGACGCGGCTCAGCCCCCATTCCCCCGAAACAGGAAGATTGAAACGTGCAGGGGAGATGCTGTCGCTGCCAAGATTGTTCCAGTGCTGAAAATCCGCGATCTTCGCTTCTTCTCGCCTGGAGAGTAGCAAGTGTTTTGCAGAACCTGGACCCTACAACTTCAATTCTAGGGGCCTGGACTCGATGTGCTTCAACCATCTGAACATTTGGTCAGGTACAACAGGGATAATTCCACTGCACCAGGCATATCCTGGACGATTCGTATGTAGTTGGTTTATCGTGATCGTACCACACGACCAACCAACAGCAGCGAAAGCAGTCAACTTATGTTGCGCATCATGCGAGCGTGCTTGCGGAGGTTTGGGGGGTTGGTGAGGTTTGGGATCTGGGGATACGTACAGTTAGACTTGAGGATAACGATCAGACTACAACGATCATCCGGCCATAACGCTATGGACCGTGGGAACCATCGTGATTTTATAGGGAAGTGGTTCCCTAGCGATTGGACATGCGATACGGTTTCTGCTTAGTCACACATACAAAATGATGAATATGGTTATGTAACGACCTATATTCCCTGATGGAGAGCTATTTCTCCTACTCTATTCAAGGTAGAAAGTATGCAGTTATCTGTGTTTCCGCTCCTTTTCTTCCACAGAGCAAACTAGTTAATCTCAGGCCATTTAGAACAAGGTGTATTTGATAGCCTCGTGCGTCTGTTCATGGAAAGTCATTACCTTTGAAGAATACGGACAATGAAGAAGGAATAGGGGTCAACAAGACATAAAGGGAACAGGCACGGTTACTCCTGGGCCCAACTCTCAGCCGTGTGGCATGCTTATATCCCTCAACAACGTTGATCATAACAACCAGAGCACATCCCAATGTCATACCCCATACATGAGCTTGGTTAACGCTGCCGCTTCTGGAGCTACTACCCAAACCTCCACAGAGGTGGCTACAAGCCCCCCAACCTTCATCGTCACCCAGCCAACTAACTGGATGTCCAACTTATTACCAAGCACAGCAGTCCAAACCACGGGGCTAGCTCGGTCTTCCTTAACGACTGACCGTAGAGCCATCGTTGAGCGTTGGGCTTCAATGCAGCAGTATGACACTGACACTATGATACCACATTCGCAGGCTAGTCCACGCACTCAGTGACAACAGCAAGACATCAGCCAGGCCAAATCCAGGGAAAGGATATAGAGCTAGCAGACTTGAGCCATAAAGCCAGAATACAACTGCTGAGAGGCCCAATAGGAAGGTCGCATGCATTTCACTGTCGCTCTCAGGGCTAGGGTACTCGACGCATCCTGCTTCAAGGAAGACTTTCACTCGACAAGTGGGGAAGGGTTTTCTGGGCCAACCCAGAGAAGTAATATTAGCAATGAGAGCTATGCGTCTGGTGTGGAGAGAAAGTAGTCTAAACTTGGGAGCGAGGACGTGATCATGATGCTCACATGATGTAAAACGAGATAGGAAGGTTCAGTGCAAGGTACGGGATAAACATTGGAGACCAGAAAGGCACGGCTTTGGTAGGGAAAAGAGGTATAAAGGGGGGGGGGAGAGCCTTCGGAGATCGACTGGGGTCGGGGAGTGGCCTTGATGGTCAGCAGACGTCAATGCCCAGAAACCGTAGTGTTAATAGCAGTTGAAAACAGCTCCCAAAAATAATTATCAGCCTTTTTGAGCCTTTTATTGGTAAGGCGGTCATTTCAACCAACAGGACCTCAGGTGCATTAGACTCTAGTTACTGGAGTAACTCCTCCCAACGCTTGGTGACGATGTTATTAGTCGGTTATTAAGCTGCCTACAAACCCAGAACCAGAACAAATAGTTTGATCTCCATTTTCCAGTCTTCGCTTCTTTCCTTCTCTCCTTCTCTCCTTTTTTCCTCCATCCTTCCTCTTGTATCTTTTCAACACAGTGGCAACTGCAAAGTAGATACTAGGCCTGGGCGAACAGGCAGAAGGTATGGAGCGAGTGAGCTGTATCCTAAGTAGAAAAAAAATTGGCTAGAAATGTGGTCTAGAAGATAGGCTCTATACATACGTAGAGAGGAAAGTAGTAGTCACGTAAGGCGGCACGTGATAACCAGTCTGACCAGTGCGACACTTTTCAATTCGGTTACGAGATATGACTTAGGTTTCATCATGATACTTTCCGGCATTGGGGGTTCCATGGGACGCGGCGGGAAGACAGTCTCTTTCTTTGTTAATAAGGCAGTCTTTTACACACCCGGCTCCAAGCACAATAGAAGGTTCATCACTTTGACTTTTGAATGCCTTGTCCCTGCTGTTGCCCCTGAGACGGGCCCTCTGTAGCCTTCTTCGCCTCTTGCTCCCTCGCAGCCTTGAACTTCTCCGCAAGTTGCTTTCTATCGTCTCCAGTCAGTGACTTCCTACCGTCTATTGACAACCTTACTGGCAAGAAACTCACTCCTTCTCCCTAATGTACTGCTCCTCAAAGGCCTTCTCCCGGTTGTTGAGCGGGTTAGGGTTCATTTTGTTTGTTTCGGGTCTCTTATGTGACGATCAAACACGGTTGGAGCAGTCTCTCGTTGTCTTCGGTCGTGATCTGGGTTGCTGCACGGGAGATCTGCGGGGACGGCGGATCTGGCTCGGGTCCAGGCGGTTGGGATCATGAGATTGGGCTGGCTGTGACGTCAGCTTCGGGGTTGGAGGGGTACCGTTGTACCAGCGGGGATGGGGCTTCGACTCGGCTCCTGCTACAGGCTTGAGAAAAAGCATCGTGCTGCATTGCCCCTGGACAAATATTTAACCAAGAATTTTTTGTTAGAGAGCTGGAGTTTCAAGAGTTTTCTTTGTCTGATGTCGGAGCTGGAGTCGACACAAAGGCACTTAGCTCTAACCTTCTTACCTCTCTGCCCAGGCACTATCTCTATCATTGTCACTTCAAGAGTCACGCTGCTAAAGTATCAACTCTCCAAGCTCAGGCCACCAGCAGCGCTAAAGCTGCATCTGACCCTTGCTCCTGCACGCGATCTAGACCCTAAAACCCTTCACAAGCCGAAGCGCGTCGGTGGTACCCGAGGTCATCCCATCTTCCCCGCAATCCCGCAGCATCCACTAGGCCAGGCCCGTCCTCTCTGGAACCCCTCCCGAGTCCTTGGTCAGTTTTATATCTCGGTCAGGGGCCGACCCGACCCGTCAGCCTTTTCCTTCGCAGCAGACCAGGCCTGATCCCGGCTCATGGTTTTGTCGTCACGTCGATTGAAGGCAAAGGGTTATATCAGCATTTGGCAGCAAAGGATTTCCAGGCTCAATTGCTGAGACACCGACGACAATAACCCCACCATGAGACAGTCTCTCCGCTTTGCTCGCGCGTCTTCCGGGCTGGCCGCCGCGCTTTCCTCCGCGCCGAAGACTCCAGCCGCTCTGAGGCTGTCCCAGCTGGCACAGCTTCGCAATACCTGTGTCACAGCCCAGCCATTGACCTTCGTCCGGCAGGTCCGGCTCAACCACGCCGATGCTACGAAGACTTCTTCTGAGTCTGAGGCTGAGGCAGTGGCCCCCGCAAGGTCACCCGTCGAACCGCCCGTGGATGGGTCGACCCTCGTCGACCATGTAGCCGGCGCACCTGGCGAAGAGAGCGTGGTGACGCCGCCCGTTGAGGAGGGGGAAGAGCAGTGGCACGTGCCGCGGCGGTACCGGCGCAAGGATAAGATCGACCTGCCGCTGAACCAGCGCTACGACGAGAAGCGAAGGATGGTGTTCCCGAACCGGCTGCGCGACGATTACGGCGTGATGCAGTGGAACGCGACGACACTGCGTGTCCGCTACTCCGACTCCGACAAGCCGCTGGACCTGCCGACGCTGTTCCTGCGCGATGGCTGCCAGTGCCCCAAGTGTGTTGATCCCAGCTCGGGCCAGAAGACCTTTTCGACTACCGACCTCCCCGATGCTCCCTCCATTATGTCTGCGCGGGCCATGCCCGACGGCACGGTCGAGATCATCTGGCACAACGATCCCCTGTCCGAAGGGGGTAAGCATCAGACGCTGCTCAAGCCCGAGCTTATCAAGCGCTGGCGCGAGGGCGACAACACCACTCGTGGGCAGAACATCCCCTCTGGCCCCATGATCCCCTGGGACCGGGCAATGTACCAGGCCCTCCTCAACAAAGGCTGGTGCCGCGTGAAGTACAAGGACTGGATCCACAACGACAACGCCTTCTGGTCGGCCTTCCACGACTTCTGCCGGACGGGCCTCCTCTTCGTGACCGACGTGCCAGAAGACGAGGCCTCCGTCGAGCGCATCGCCAAGCGCATCGGCCCCCTCCAGCACACCTTCTACGGTTGGACCTGGGACGTGCGCTCGAAGCCACGCGCCGAAAACGTCGCCTACACCAACGTCTTCCTCGGCCTGCACCAAGACTTGATGTACCACAACCCGATCCCTCGCGTTCAGCTCCTCCACTGCCTGGCCAACTCCTGCGAGGGCGGAGAGTCCCTCTTCGCCTCGGGCATCCGCGCCGCTTACGAGCTGCAACAAACCGATCCGATCAACTACGGCGTGCTGACGCGGTACGACACTCACTACTGCTACGACCGCAACGGACACTACTATCACGCGCGGCGGTGCACCATCGTCGAGGGTCTCCCGGGAGGTCCCATCATGACGCATTGGGCCCCACCCTTCCAGGGCACACAGCGGCGGCTTAGCGGCCCCGTTCAGCCGAGCCTGCTGCGCTGGAAGCGGGCGGCGACAGCGTTCCAAAAGACGATTGAGGACGAGCGCAACATGTATGAATACAAGCTCAAGCCGGGCGAGTGCGTCATCTTTGACAACCAGCGCGTGCTGCATGGTCGTAGGGAGTTCCAGACCACTCAGGGGTCGAGATGGCTCAAGGGCGCGTACATCTCGCCGCAGGTGTTTGCGGCAAAGGAGACGGAGCTCGCGCACCGCCTGGGCAGGAGGTTCATTGACAAGGATGAGATCATGGCGTGGGTGAGCCAGGAGAGGAAGCTGGTCCGGGACACGCTGCCGGATGAGCTGAAGGAGAAGGTCAACCTTGTGGAGGAGGACCGCCTATTTGAGGGCGCTGAGAGGCTGCACAAAGCTATGAAGGAGGAGTTGAAGACTGTAAATAACTGGCGCAGGTATTTGGAGGAGCACCAGTCGGAGGGCGAGCAGGCTGAGGTGTCTCAGTAAGCGTTATTTAATAGTTACGATACCTACCTTCAATGTATATGTAGCCTTGTACACACAACTACCCTTGGCTGCATTTGTACCCATACACTGCGAGCCACGCATTATGGAACACACATCTCACAGCAGCACCGAAGAACATGCCTTGGAAGGACCCAGCTCGTATTTTTCTGCATACGATGGCCTGCCCGTTCAGGGGCATATGACCATGCCGAATCCTCTCCCAAATATCTTCCTTTTTTTAAGCCAGCCAGCACCGCTTGCTTAAGCAGCAATGGTGACCTCGACCTCAACGCCAGCCTCGATGTTGATAATGATCTGCTTGACGATCTCGGTCGGGGCAGTCAGGTCGATCAGGCGCTTATGGATGCGCATCTCGTAGGCGTCCCAGGTCTTGGAACCCTCACCGCAAGGAGTCTTGCGGGTCTATCAGGGGGGTCAGCACAGTTTCTTGGAACTCTCTTCGTTATCGATCTTGGGGGGGGGGGGCGTACAGTGATCTTGAGGGTCTTGGTGGGCATGCGAACAGGGCCCTTGACGCGAAGGTCCTTGTTCTTGGCACGCTCAATGAGCTCCTGGCAGACCTTCTCAAGGGACTGGACCTTGCGGGAGGTCAGAGTGATGCCTAAGCTGGTCAGTTGATGGGTCCCTCGTAAGACATCGCAACGATCACGTACGGATCTTGTGGACCTTCTATATCAGGAATCAGCATGATGTTGTCGACAGCAACAATCAAGCGGAGATACTAACCGGCGCCTCGCCGAAGTCCTTCTCGGCCTTCTGGTACGACATTTTGGCTAATGGGCTGCTTAAGAAGATAGGTCCTTCACGACTCGACACCTGGTTTGCAGATGTTCGGCAAAGTGATGAAGGCGCAAGCGTGTGCTGCTGGGAAAGGAGAGGAGCTTGCTCGACTTTTTTTTGTGCGTGTGTCTTTTTTCTGTGGATTTTTCGAGGTTTTGGTGGGGACTGATGGTTTTGCATGGGAAAATCTTGGCAGGGCTGCTGAGCCCCATGTGGCTGGTAATAATCTGTGGGTTGAAGTGGCTTGTTCGGCCTTGTGGGTCTAGGGGACTTGTCAATCCGGACCACTGCTGCGGCAACGGTCAGTGACACACCGGCGAGGGGGCGAACAGTAAGGCAGTGAGACCATGGAACGAAACAGTGGGGACAAATGACCGGCTTTACTCAGACGTCAAGTATAGTGAGCCTGTTGATATAATTTGGCTCATCTTTTTGGCCTCTTCTGATCTTCTGGGGCTTCCGCTCCAGTTTTCAAATCCCAACTTTTCTTCCTCAGGACCCCCTAGCGGACAGCCGTCCCTGTCCTTTGTTTTTGCCATCAGCCATTCACAGTTTCTCGTCTCAGTCAACACCAACACTCAACATCATCAATCTTGGCGCTCTTGACAATACCAACAGCATACCTACCATGGTCTCGCTCCCCTCATTCGCTCTCTTTCCCATCGCCACATGGCGCGATCAAATCGTGCCAGATGAGTGGGTGTCATGCCTAAATGCTTGGGCTGTCCTCGTTGAAAGCCATCTCTCTCTTCCAGAAAACGATTTCGTTACGGTCTCACTTAAGGATGAGAGCCTAAGGGGGTTTCTGGTCTCTTTTGCCCGGGAGGTTGCCGCCAACGGCACTGCATGCGTAGGGCCCTCACAATCAGCCAAGCGGCTGCTCAAAGGCTGTCTATTGTTGGTCACCAAGATTCTGCAGTCACCTTCGCCACCCAAGTCACTCCTCGAGTGGGAGTTTCTTGCCGACCTGAGTAGAATTTACGGCAAAAAGGCCGAGCCGGTTTTCTCTCAATTATCAACTACAGCACGCGAGTTGCTCGATGCCTCATTGTCCGAACTCAAAAAGTTCTTAATCAAGAACCTCGACGCTGGTCTCAAAGGGGGCAACCTCAAGGCAATCGAGGAGCGTCTAGAGCATGTCAACGACCTCATCCGTGTCAGCCCAGCAGTAGCAGAGTTTTTTCTCACTGGTAGCGATTTTCTCGATGGGTTAATTAGCTGCTACAAAATTGCGAACCCGCCGCTGCGCAAGGCCCTCATCGCCACCACCTACCTATGTCTCATGGGCGTTGCTGATGGCCAGAAACTTTCTGCGCTTAGTGATCAGCTCTACTCCCTCAAAGCTGCGGGCGCAGCCCACAAGTCGGGTCCTCTCAGTGAAGATGGCTCTCTTGTTGCGGAATTGGTCACCTCAACCCCCTTACTCCAACGGCTCCAGCACAAGCTTAATACTTCCGAATCCTCCTCACGTTTGACCTCCGTCCTCAAGGAACTATCATCCTTCAAAAAGCCCAACAGCACCATCACCAAACCAAAACGCCTCATTCGCCGACGCATCGACAAGGGCAAAGCCCCCATACGCTCCCTCGACTCCTTCCCCTCCGACCAACAACAAGAAGACATCCACCTCCTCAGCCTAATCTCCCAAGTCCAAGACCTCTTTCCGGACCTCGGCGCCGGCTTCATAGCCCGCCTACTCCAAGAATACTCCAACTCCCCCGAGCAAGCAATCGCCCACCTCCTAGACGACTCCCTCCCGCCCCACCTCGCCTCCGCCGACCGCTCCGAGCCCCTAACCTCCTTCAAACAACCTGCTCATCCCCCTCCTCATCCCGATACCCCAGAATTCAACCCGGCAGACGAGCTCTCCGACTCCGACATCGAAATCCTCACCGCCGCGACACAAAACAAACTCCACCTCGGCAAGCGCCGTCTCTCTGCTTCCCTCCCTGCGGCCCCCTCTAAGCAAACCATCCTCTCCGCCCTCGCCGCATTCGACTCTGATGACGACGAACGCGACGATACGTATGATGCAGCTGACGTGGGCGGAACAATCGATGCACGCCCGGAGGACGCTAAACTGGTTGCGGCAGAAACGGGCTCTCTTACCGGAGTGCCAGTTGATGTGGAAATGGTGTTGGCAAGGACGTGGTTGGCTAATCCCGGTGTGTTCGCGCGTGATGCGACGACAAGGAGGTCGAAGGAGAGAGCAAAGTTGAGGGAAGAGGCGGGGGGGATGACGGATGAAGCGGTCGAGGGATGGGCGGTGATGGTGCAGAGGGATGACGGGTTGAGGAGAAAGGTTGAGAGGAGATATGGAGAGCTTGGCAAGGGAGCGAAAGCGCATGATGGTGCGGGCATACAGGATGTTATCATTGAGAGGACGAAGTGGCGTGCTGGGGATGATGCTACGGAGGGCACGGAAGGGACGGAGGATACGGAAGAGGGTGAAGGGGATGAGGAGGCTGGACGTGGTGCCGGAGTCAGGGTCGGCGTTTCTGGAGCAGGCCGTGGGAGGGGTCGTGGTCGGGGAGGTCGTGGCAGAGGCGGTGGTAGAGGTGGTGGCGGGCAGCCATCATCTGGAGGTCCGGCAGTTGATAGACGGAGGAAGGAAGCAAACAAGGCGAGTCGGGCGAACCATAACCGGCGCGACCAGAGGGCGCGGAAGATGTTCAAGGGCGCTGGACTGGGCGGTTAATAAAGGTTACACACAAGTTGATGTGTCTAGATTTGGATTGGATTTCTGAAGATATTGCTAAAGAGGCTCATTGTTTTCGAATTATAAGACGATGCGCCAGCATCATCATGGATTAATTAGTTGAAACGTGGTTAACAGTCAGGAACAGGCATCAATAGACTTAGGCTACGTACGATGATACCCAGCTTTCCGCACTTAGAATCCCATCATGTTTGTGAGCAATACAAAAAGTTCGCCTTTGTCTTGGGGATCCAATTCTTATATTTGCCGAACGCCATCCCAAAAAATCTATTGAAACTATATCATCGCCACTTGATTGGAAATTGCACAAGTTAACCTCACTCCGAACCATGTAATAACACACCCAGGTCTCTAGAAATCCCAAACACACCATTCCCTCCTCGGCGGCACCTCTGGCATCCCGCCCTCAAACCTCCCCTTCTCCAGAAAACTCTGCCACTGCCTCTTAACCCCCTCATCCTCATACACCTTTGGATCCTCCGCCTCCGTATCAGCCGTATACGCCGGCGCGCCATCGGGCATCCAGATCCTGACGAGCGTCCCATCAAACTGCCTGATATGCGGCACTGGCTTGGCAGCGCCCTTGGGCGTCTCGTACACGACGGGCTTGCCCTTGAAGGTATCGAGCCCGCCGGCAGGATTCTTGGTCGCGTAGGATAATAGGTCGGGATGCTGACGGGTAGAGCCAGGGTGATAGGGGCTCTTGGAAGCAGGGGCTTGCGCCCCGGCAGGGCTGGCGCCGATGGTGCTGGTTGCGTTGCCTAACTGGCTGAAGCCACTGGTAGCGGCCTGGCTGCCAAAAGCAGAGGTCGTAGATGGCTGGCCGAAAACATTGGACGGTTGTTGTTGCTGTTGACCGAAAAGGCTGGGACTGCCGAAGGTGCCAGCCTGCTGGGGTTGTTGCTGGCCAAAGGCACTGCTTTGTGTGCTCGGCTGCCCGAAGGGATTCTGTGCAGTAGTAGTAGACGGCTGCCCGAAGGCAGACGCCGGAGCCGCAGGCTTTCCAAAAGAGTTGGCAGCTTGTTGGCTAGGCTGGCCGAAAGGGTTCGCCGGTTGTGTCGCCTGCGCTGCCGCACCGAATGGACTCGGCGCTGTCGTCGTCGAAGCACCGAACGCGCTGCCAGCTGATGTCCCAAAAGCACCCGGCTTAGGACCTAGTGCTGACGGCTGGCCAAATGCAGACTGTCCGAATGCGGGCTGCCCGAACGCAGGCTGGCCAAACGCCGGCTGACCGAAAGCGCTCGGTTTAGCGCCGAGTACTGAGGGTTGGCCAAACGTAGAACCCGTTTGTGGGCTGCCAAAGGCAGAACCACCGCCAAGCGCCGATGGTTTGCCAAAAGCAGAGACAGGCTGCGATGGCTGTCCGAAGGCCGGCGTGCCAAAAGCACTGGACTTCTGGCCCAAGGGAGAGGGTTGGCCAAAGGCGCTGGTCGATGGCGTCGAAGGCGCGCCGAATGGGTTTAGCGGTGCCGCTGAGGATTGCTGGAAGGGATTGACGTTCCTGCCAAAAACGCTGCCGCCAGTACTGCTGCCCTTGGACGACTCTCTGCAAATGTCTATCCGATTCGGGTGCTTGTTGGCCGCATCCAAGATGAACTGGACAGCGGCAGGAATGTTTTGTAGGGTATTTTGTATCTGCTGCTGGGCTGCCTGGTAGGCTGCTTGAATCTCATTTAACTATGGGCGGGTCAATCAACAAAGGTCAGACGCTAACAGATCGTGGGCGGAGAAACGCACAGCGCCCTGGGGGTTTCCAGCCATCAGGCCATTATAGAAGTGTAGTCGGATCTCCTCAAAACTCTGTTCGCGGGGGTAACCGCCGAAGAGCTGCTCGGGAGCATCGCGGCCAGGACCGTAGCAAGAGAGGATCCACGTCGGCAGCTCACTGGTCAGATCTTTCTGGATAGCATCTTCAGAGAGACCAGGGTAGTGGGGAGGTTCTGGAGCTGTCCGAGTAAGTAATTGCCAGCACAATCCCGCCTGAGTATGGCGCACCTGACACGCGACCGCCCATGCCTTGACCTGACCCTGACAAAGCGCCGAAGCGATTGTAGTTCTGGCCCCCCTTTGGAGGATGTTCAAACTTGCAAGCATCTAGTGCACGGGTAATGCGCGTTAGCCATTGGGGATCCTAGATCGTGGTTGGGCATGAATCATGGTGATCGCGGGGCAGTCGGGCGGGACAGAGATGGGTCGAGGCGCAACGAATGATTGGCGTCACTTCGCAGGACTCGAGAGGTTGGTGGGAGCAGGCGGAGGGAAGGCTGAAGAGAAAGACTGGGCTGGGAAGGGCGATGAGAACGGGCACGCGGAAAAGTCAAACGGGCATCGCGTACTTCCATTGCGGCAGTATCCTTGCTGCCAAAAGCGACAGACAGTCATCGTGCTAGTTGATTTAGTGTTACGGCCGGGTGTTGATACAAGAGGATGGTGGTGACATGGCGATGGCTCAGTGGTTGGTCGGTCAATCGAGCTGCCGTTGCGCTGGGAAACAGTGCGATCGCGTCTTGGCGGCGTTTATCGATAGGCGTTAATGAGGCGACATCACAAGCCACCAATGCCCCGGGCCACGCAGCATGCGAGTGGAGCTTGAGCCCGGCGGTTCGGCGTCATGTGTGGCTGTACTAATATGTGGCTGAGCACAGATTTGCGGCTTGGGAGAGAGGCCCCACCCCCACAGTCTCGCGGCGACGCCGACCCACCACCACATCTCAAACGCCGTGGAATGCCGAGCTGCAGACGCGATTCTCTCGAGTTGCATTTCGCCATCGCGCATCAGACTCGAGCTAACTCTCGATGTTGTTGAGGATTCTTGCCTTGAGTTGGCCGTTTGTTTGCGGCGACGGTTGGCTTACAGTGAATCATTTCTTAACCTTCAAGGACTGAATGGCTGTCCAGTGGTTCCGTCTCAACGTTTTAGAGTCGAGAGACTTGAAGTCATATTCGACATCGCAATCCTCCACGTCCAAGACCCATCAAGGAGAAACCCCAGATTCCGCTAGCGATGAAATCTGGGGTAGCATCCATCGCCCCCCGTTCGGGGGTATCAACATGCAGAGCCGCCGACAACTTGTCACCGCCGCGGAACTGTTCCTATCTTCCAGTTTCTATTCCGCCATTGCTGATCGTAGTCTTGTTCTCCCGTTCTGACCTCTACTTGTAAAAACAGATAAATATAAGTAAATGATAAAAAGTCAATTCAACACAAAACAAGGGCTATGTCCATGCATGTGTCCAGAACACCTGTCAATGACTTGTTACCTGAAGTCCGTTGTCCTAACTCCTGGCTCCCCGGCTCTGATGCCTTCAATTGATAAGTGATAAAGACGCCGCTCAAGCTTGTGCCGCCGCAAGCCGAACTGCATCCCTACAGCTGCTCCCTGCCCTCCTCCAGCTCTCCTCGCAAACGCCAGCTTCCAGGAAGCACAGGGCGCCGATGCTTCGACCCCTTTCGACCCTGTCGCCATCCCATCTCCGGGCCAATCACCACTTCAGTCGCCGTCTCCAGCTGCGCATCAGTGCCATCACGGCAATCACGGGAACATGGAGGACAACCTCCTCTTCCTCCGCGCCCCGGCTCTCTGCCCCTGCCCTCCGCCGGTAGCCATTGCGTAATGAGGCCGGCTCTTGCCAGCCGTGGTGCTTTTATATTATCCATGTTTCCCCCATCGGGCTGTTCTGCCATGTCTCCTTTGCTAGGTCGCACACTGTCTTCTCAAGTGTAGTTAGTGTTAATAGCCTCATCCCCCGAGTCCGTGCCCGTGACGCGATGCACTTCAATACAGATCACCTCCAGCTCTGGCTGGGCCTAGGAGTCGTGGCCGGGCTGCTTTATGTAAGCCATCTATACCCGATACCCAAGTCCAACAATGCTAACGCACGTAGATCTGCGGCTTGGTTATCTACCGTCTTTTCTTCCATCCCCTGGCCAAGTACCCAGGTCCCTTCCTGGCAAAACTGACCGATGCTTACATGCTCTACTACGCCTGGCGCGGCGATCGTCATCTCGAGTTCTGGAGATTACACGAGAAGTACGGCAAGTTTGTGCGCTTCGCGCCAAACGGGCTCTCGATCAACTCGAACCAGGCGCTCAAGGACATCTACGGCTTCCGCTCCAATGTGCGCAAGTCCGAGTTCTACGATGCCTTCGTGCACCCGGCGCCAAACACCCACAACACGCGAGATAAGGAACTGCATGCTCGAAAGCGCCGCGTGCTGTCCCACGCATTCTCCGATTCAGCTATCAAGGAGGTCGAGCGCTACATTCTCGCCAACATTCGCACATTCTGCGATGCCATCGGCGACTATGGCCGCAACCTTGCCGAACGCAAGGGCTGGAGTACGCCCAAGAATATGTCTGACTGGTGCAACTGGCTGGCCATGGATATTTTAGGAGACCTCTGCTTCGGCAAGGCCTTCCACATGCTGGACCGTCCAGACAACCGCTATGCTATTGACCTAGTCGGTGTTGCGGCGCAGCGCCATCTCTTGGTAAGTTTCTGAACTTTGGCCTGACAAGGAAATAGCTAACCTTCTCAGTGCGGTACTATGCCCATTGTCAACAAGCTGAACCTTGACCGCATCCTCTTCCGCAACATTGCTGCTGGTCGCGCCCGTTATATGGCATACAGCCGCTCTCAGCTCGCTGAGCGCACGGCCCTGGGCGATGAGACTGATCGTCGCGACTTCTTCTACTACCTCTTGACTGCTCGTGACCCTGAAACTGGCCAGGGCTTTACTACCCCTGAACTTTGGGCCGAATCGAATCTCCTGTACGTTTTCAGCCTTCTGTCTACCAACCTTCTTTGAGCCTTACTGACATCACACAAGCATCATTGCCGGCAGCGACACAACCTCTACCGCCATGGCCGCAACCCTCTTCTACCTTACCCGGCATCCGGACGCCCTCAAGCTCGTCACCCAAGAAATCCGCTCCAAATTCACAAACCTTGAAGACATCCACCAATCTCCGCAACTCACCTCCTGCACCTACCTGCGCGCCTGTATCGATGAAGCCATGCGCTTGTCCCCCTCCGTCGGCGGCATCCTCCCGCGCGAGGTCCTCCCAGGCGGCATCACCATTGACGGCCAGCGCGTCCCTGCCGGCGTGGTCGTCGGCGTTCCGCACTACACGATCCACCACAACGCGGCTTACTACCCGGATCCGTTCAGCTACCGCCCAGAGCGCTGGATCTCGGGGCAGCTGCCGGATGGGACACAGTCGCCTTTCACGCAGAACCAGGTCGCCCTGGCACAGAGCGCGTTCTGTCCTTTCTCGATCGGCCCTCGCGGTTGCATTGGTAAGGGGTTGGCTTATGTCGAGATGACGAATACCCTGGCTCGTGTGCTGTGGCTGTATGATGTGCGTCGGGCTCCTGGGGTGGAAGATCCTGGTGAAGGTGGAAAGCCGGGCGCGGTGTACGGCCGGCATCGGAAGGACGAGTTCCAGTTGGTCGATATCTTTACGAGTTTGAAGGATGGGCCATTGGTAGAGTTTAGGAAGAGGAGTGATCTGGAGTAGGTAGATGAGTGGACTGGAGATAAGTAAGTTGCAACGATTAACGAGTGATGTACTGGGGGTAGGTGTTTAGGGAGTATGGGGGTCTAAGGGTTAAAGAAGCATGCATAACTTCTTATGTACATTGCTTTGGGACTAGCATGGGCTGCCTTGTTTATAGCCAGCGAATGTAAGCTTCTGTATGATGAATCGAGTTTGACGTCATATCATGGAGGTGACCAAGATGCTGTTTAGAGCGAATTCTTTCCCGTGCACCTGATATGCACTCAAGGTTAGTGGACAACACAAGTACAGTTCACTGTAAACGTAGGTGCCCAAGATGCAAATGTTATAAGATCAAGTTAATGAGAGGCAGATGATCGTATTGATCTTTTTCAATGTCAACACATCGACTTCTGGTGACCTGACCTGTACCAGTGCCCTTCGAAAAAAAAAAAAAAGTTTCCCTGACCCAGCAGTTAAAAGCCTAAGACTGAAGTTAACCACCAGTTGAGAAGCCCCTCCGAATAACAGCCAATAGTTGACATTAACGATTGCTCATCAAACAACTGCCTAAGTCATCCGAACCTCTGAAAGGGCTAACCACATAGGCCGGCCTCCGCCCTTCCTGGGGGCCCAAACCACAAATCATAAAAAACACCCAAAAACAAAAGCAATATATCAAAATGTCTTCTCTCCCCAGGAGAGGGGGCCTCTGAAGGAGAAAGAGACAAAAAATACCAGGAGTTCAATATTTCTGCCCCCACGCGGGATTGAACCGCGGACCTCAGCATGATCATTTCATTTACGGGTTGTGGACCCGTGACCGATAATACGAGTGCTGCGCTCTACCACTGAGCTATAAGGGCTGTTGTTACTCTGCGCCGAGCTACATTGACCTTTGAGGAGGTATGCGGCACCTAATGCGGGAAGCACCACAGTACCACTCTTGAGCAATGTATTGTGTCTAAGATAAAAAGGCCGAAGATCCCAACGAGCGGGAAATTGGAGGTGAACGGACAGCCTCTGGATAAAGCAACGGAACGAGCTGACAAGACTTCTGCAATGTCTCGAACGTAACCTCCAAGTCTCGTGATTGATAGTCAGCTGTCACCGCGTGTTTATTGGCGAAATCTCCAGTCGGCTGTTGCTACTTCAACCGTTCTAGAACAGATCCAAACTAGATGATCTGGCTTCACTAAATCAGGTTCTGACAGCACCAGCAGGCATATATTGACTTACGCAAGATATGATAAACAGAGGTTTTCTCTCACCCTCACCTGCTTTTACCAGTATCAGGATGCTGTTTTTGCATCCATTCTCGTGGACAATAAGCGTTTCCATGTCTCATTTGCAGACAATGCCACATCAAGAATATGGAACCGTAACGAGCCATTAACCATTCTCATGCGCCGTTGAGGTATAATTACATCGCACCCCATCTTCGTCGCAAGCAAAATGCCATTGTGAGTGTTCCCTAGTAGCATAATGTCTACCCGCCATGTCCGAAAAAAAAAGAACCCACCCTCTCCCCGGGGATGACTGCAGTTCCTGTAGAACAACCGCAACTTTTGTTGCTTCCCATAACAGAAGAAACCTCAACCACCCATATACCTCCCGTTCATCTCTTTCTCACCGACGCCACATCTCCCCCACCGGAGATATCTCCATGGGCACCATCGGGCTGACCGTCAGCACCGAAATGGTACGACTGCTCCATCCGCGGACGTCCCACGAGTCAACTACCGAGCGCATCGCCTACTTGCCCACGGCAGCGGAGAGGACCTGTGTGCGGAAGAAGCCGCCCTTGGTTTTCTCGATGACCTGCTGGTATACCGAACTAGGCGGGTGGTTCATGACGACGGTGCCCTCCTTGTAGTCGATCTTGGCATCGAGCCTCGTGTCGCGGATGTAGTTGACGATATGCTTCTCGGCCGCGTCGGCGGTCAGGCCGAGCAGGCCGGACAGTTCACGCAAAGAGATGCGCGCGTGGATCTTGCAGTAGCTCTCGAACATGAGAATGCGCGCGTTCTCGACGAACTCGCTGGCGTGCGCCAGCAGGAAGAAGTCGCTGCGGCAGACCTCCTCGGCGAGAACCAGCTGCTGCTTGGCATCCTCAAAGTCGAAGTCGATGAAGAGGGCGTGGATGAATTGTGTCACGGGGTCCTGGTACTCGTACGCCTCCTGCTTGATGATGCGGACGATGTCCTTGAGGTGTTTCTGCTGGACACCGGAGTTCTTGACCCGGCCGCGGGCCGTCACAATGGCCACGGTCAGGTACCGCAGAATCCAGGGAGTGTAAGCTTGGATCGAGTTGATGTAGGCCGGGCTCATAAAGAGGTCGAGAATAGGCTCACGCGCCTTGTCATAGTTGAAGAGGGGGAAGAGAGCCCAATGCACAAGGGCAGTGCGGTGTTGCAGCTGCGCAACAGCGTTCTGGGACAACTTCGAGTCGATCAGCTCCTTAACCTTCTGCAACTCCTCCATGGCGGACTCCCAATTCATAGTCAGAATCTCGCAGGCCAATCGACCCCATGTCGCGTAGGAAACCTTGTCGTTATCGGTCGACAGAACACGGAAGCGGTAGAGAAGCTCGGAGGCGTCGCCGTAGTTGCCGCAGCTGTAGTGAAGGTTGCCGAAGTCGAAAAGGGCGTTAACCATCTCGATGGTGACCTGGTAGCATATCAATCAGCACGACATGTCCTCCTCGAGCCAATCATCCAAGAACAAAATCATACCTGGTGAGTGCCCTTGAGGTACTCCAAGTTGGCCACCTTGTCGCTGCGCAGCTTGTCGACGACATCGTCGCGCTCAAGGAGCTCCCTAATCTTGCTCGTCTCCTTCTCCAGCTTCTCCAGCTGGCCGACAACCTTCTGTTTCCTCTCGGCGAACTCGGCTGGGGCGTCCTTAACGCCCTCCAGCTCGCAGTAAAGGTTGGCGACATAGTCGGTCATGTTGGTCTTCTTGAGCAGTGCATACTTGGCCTGGGTGATCTCGCGCGCCTTGGCGGGGTCCTTAACCTCGTTGGTCTCCTCATCGACTAGTTGCCCGGCGGCGAACTCGAGCAGAGGGAAGAGAAGGTGCCGGTCGAGGTGTGGGGCGAGCTTAAGGATCAGATCGTATTCGGCCACCGACGGGCGGCCGTTGCTTGCGTCGACAGCCATGTTTGGTATGCGGTAGGGAAACGTGAGAAGTGGGAAAGTCGGTTAGAAATGCGGTCGGACTCGGTAGTTTCAAGATCGCAGGGGTCAACGTCGCCAGCGGAAATTGGGCTGGACTCGGTAGCAGCAAATCGTCGAAGAGGGGCCGAGATGCAGGAGTACCTCCACGATCTCGGTGGTTTTTCGGTCGGGGAGACTGAGAAGCGGGTCGGAATCGGCTGCACAGAGGATGAGGGAAAAAGGCAGCCCGGGTAGAGATTCAGACGCAATGGAGAGCCAGCCCACCAATGTCGAAAAACAAAGCGCTCCTCTCGCTGGTGCTGGTTTTGATCTTTGGTGGGGTCAAAATTTGGAAATGTGATCCAAACGTGGGCGGTGCGCTGCGGGCAGGCTGCCCAGCGCTGAGTGGCTGCGCAGATAGCGCAGGGGTCAATACTTGGCACATGTGGGTTCACTTCATCGTCTCGGCAGCAATCATTATTGAGGGTTAGGGTTAAGCCTGACATATCATCCTTCTCCAGGACTCGATTTTCGCCGACCCCTCCCCAGATCAGGAAAAGGCGGTCAGGGCGCGCAAGAACGTCTTTTGTTCGTCTGCTCTTCAACATCGCCGGCGACACCCACGACAGCCCCCCTCGCAGCAGCAGCGCCCAGCGGCCAAAGGACGACCAACCGACTGCCGCCGCCAATTTACACAATGTTCCGTCCCGCAGGCCTCATGCAGGCCTTCGCTGCCCCAGCCCGGCGCGTGCTGGTTCCAACATCATCCGTAATCCCGGCGCCCTTCCTTCTGGCCAGCAGGACCTTCGCCAGCGCCAACCAGTCCCAAATTGAAGCCACCTCAACATCGACCTCTAGCCCTCCTCCTCCTCCTCCTCCTCCTCCTAATCCTCTCCCGACTTCCAGCTTCCAGACCGCCGTCCAATCCGAGTCCCAACAATCACTACCAAAGCCCCAACCTACAAAACCCGCCGCTCGTAACGTTCCGCCCCTCCCGTTCTTCGTCGACCGAACACCCTCGGGCCATCTGCCCGTGTACCACCTGACCAAGCGGAGCGGTACCAAGAAGTTGACGGTGATCAAGAAGATCTCTGGAGACTCGGCGGCGCTTCGGGATATGCTGGCTCGGGATCTGGGTCTGGTGTCGTCGGGCATGGAGGAGGTCAGCAAAAAGCACAGGAAGCGCAAGAAGCAGGCGCAGGAGGCGGTGGTATTGAATAGCTTGACAAAGCACGTCTATGTACAGGTGGGTTTCCCTGCCTTCCCCTGTCTTGAAGGTCATGTGGGATGAGAAGGGCATGAGGTGTATTAGGAAAAGTACTGACGTTGTACAGGGCTTCCGTAAGCCCGAGGTTCTCGAGTGGCTGAAGTCGAAGGGGTTCTAAGCTGGTTACGACTGGAGCAATCGGAACGCTCTGAACAACGAATAGGAGAGGGAGTGACGAGTTCGTTTAATCTGGAAGCCTTGCCGAAGAGGCCATGACGATCTCTCTTCCTGTTCTTCTGTTCGGATGTCTTAGAAGAAAGACACTAAAGAGGTCCACTGGCCTGCGGCTATGGCGCAGCTACCAACAAATTTGAGGGTAAAGTTGATGGTATACGGGGGACGGGGTGAGATAGAAGGACTAGATCTGCACTCCGGTGTCTCTTACACGGGGACTTTGGAGATGTGTATTATACCACCTGTAAAAATTGTGTGATAGTTACCTTCATGACTGCTACCATTGCTTTGGGATAGACGGCCATCATGAGAACAAATGCATACGTATGTTGAAGTAATCATGGATATTGGCCCAAGACCATACATAAGCTATGAAACATTACACACATGAACAAAACCAAACCACTCAATCACTCAAGACTCGTAATTTTTCTTTTCCAACACCACAAGTCTATACAACACCAGCACAATGAGAACATAGTAATGTGTAGAGAGTATCAAGTACGATCAGGTAGGTGCCTAGGTAAGGGAGGTAGTATGCTATAGCCTAGGCAATTGTGACGGGCAAACACCAAATAACTTGACCAGAAAAAAGGGCACGTATATCAAAACCCCACGCGCCCTCAAAGAGACGAGATATCCGCCGCCGCCGTCTCCATTGCCATCCCCGTCCATTCCTGCATCCAACCTTCCATCCATCCATCCATCCATCCATCCATCCATCCGTCCGTCCGTCCAGGTTTCGTTCCTCCTTTTTTTCTTGTCAACCATCTCAAGACCAACCAGTTACAAAACCAGAGCCTATCCATGGCTGAGAGGAAAGTGGTAAGAGAGCCTCAATGAAAAAAAAAAAGAAAACATGTAAAGGAGAGAGAGGAAATACATAACAACACAACACAGAACAGCGTATAAAGCCACCCCAAAGTGCATTCACCGATCGATCCACCCATCCAGTCGCTCGTATGTGGCCATCGTCCGTCTGTCTGGATGTATCCAAACGCCCCGAACGCCGGCGCCATAAAAATGCTCGACTCATCCCCCCCTCTCTCAAACGGAAACCACTTCTTCCGCCATGCTCTCCAAAGCCAACAAATCCGCCAGCAAACCTGGTTTACCCCATTCCTGAGCCTGCATCTGCAGGGCACCGAGGACACTCTCCTTCGGCGGGATGACGTTCGGCGGAATGCCGCCCAAAGCCGGATCTGAGGGATCCCTGGCCTTTTCGCAAAGCTTCCTGAGCATGCTAATCGCCAGACCAATGATATACAGCAAATCCATATCCCTCTTGACAGTAGGCTGGGAAGGGACGCCTCTTGACCCGGGAGGAGGCCGAGTTTGGACTATCGTGCCCGTTTCGAATTGCGCACTGAGCTGTCTGGTTAGCAGGAACAGATTTTGGGCGAAGCCATCGCCTGAGGCAAGCCATGCCCGAGTAACACCGCTGTCGGCGCCGGGCGCCAGACCGGCCATGATATCGGCTGCGAGCAAGCCTTGCATAAGGATTGGCTTGCGAACATCGACCAAACTGGGCATCGGATGGCGATGGTCACGAGTATGGTCTGGGATAGGGGCGATAGCAAGGGCGAATGTCCGAGTGAGGAGCTCGCAGGGAGGATCTGTGGAAAGGGCAGGCTCGGCGGCGAATATGGTCTTGTAGTATGTCCTGTTCGGCTCGTCGCGGGCAAGAAGTTTGGCAAGGCAATCGACTGCATGAGGAAGGTAAGGATGCAAGGCGGGCTCGTAAGAAGGGAAGAAAAGCCGGCCATCTGACCAAGTTGGGCCGGGCTGTGGGACGAAGGCAAGAAGGAACTGAAGCAAGCAGAAAGCCTGCTCCCGACCGGGAATCTCGATTGCAGGGGCGATGTTTGATAGAAGAGTAACCAGGTCCTTCATGAGATCCAAAGTGTCGTTGTATGTACGCATAAGCATCTCACGGGTGCCCAGGTACCGAATGACGACGCAAATGAACTTAACAACAGTCTCGTCGGCAAGTGGCCCATGATTCTCCTCGTGGCACGAGAAGTTACGAAGGATAGTCGTGATGCAGATAAGCCGATCAACGGCCCGGTTGAGATCGTGGTCGCTGGTGCCGAGCATCGTGACGTTTTGTAAGCCGAACTTCTCGATCTTGCAATTGCGCACAATGTCCTCGTAAGACGGGACCGTGATCTCGTCTGACGTCTCTTCCGAGTTCTCGACAAGCAGGTCGAGCTGCTCCTCAGCACATTCTATTAAGGCCTCGACCAGCTCTTCGCAATGCCGTAAGTCGATCTGAGGAACGGGGAATGGGTGGTTCGGTGCGACCCAGTGGTGATCTTTGTGGGTAAGGATGGCCAGTGTGTCGAGAGCAACGCGCACTTCGCCGTGGATACCACTCTGGATGCTCTTGGTAAGGGCGTGGATATCGACATTGCCCAGCTCAAGCGGCGACGGAACATCGATCTTTGACCTCTGTAGCTCCTCGCCGATCTTCCACAAAGCGTTGAGTTCGTGGCCGCCATACGTCGTCAACTTCTGAGAGCAGGGAACATATTCCTCCGGATTGGTGTGAAACGGCGTGGATATCTTCAACACAACGTCCTGTTCAGGTATACCATGGCTTTCAGGATGCGTTGATCCAGGCAGTGATTCGGTCCCTGCCTTGCTCTGTGCTGGAGATGGCATGGGGAACCCCTCGGCAGTAGGCGTTGACATAGTCCGCGATAAGTTGTTGCGCACGTGTCCTTGGCTGGCAAGCATCGACTGTTGGCCTGGCACAGGCTGACCGGCTGGGAAACCATTGGGATGCTGAGCACCCGGCGGCTTTACAGGCGACTGAACTTGACCTGGCTGGAGTCCTTGCTGGAGTTGCGATTGGGCGACAGGCTGCATCATCTGTGGCGGCATTTGCCCGCCAGGCATCATCTTGGTTGGTGTAGCTTGCCCCATAGCTTGCGGATGTCCCATGGCTCCTTGTTGCTGCATGCGCATCTTCTGCTGCGTGGTCCAGACCTCCTCAAACCTGACCAGATTCCTCTCGTATGCTGCTCTGAGCTGTTGGGCCGCGGACGGCAGCTGCGAAGGCTGGAAGCCCATTGCCTGAGCCACTTGAACCCAGGCATTGTTCTGCGTCACACTGCGATAACCGCCAGCCTTTGTATAAACGATAGCAAATAGGTTGTAGAGGGAAATCTGGCGACCTTCAATGACCGGATTCATCTCGAACGGGAGAACCTTAGAGCTCATGAAAGTCGTCAGATGTTTCATGAATTGATCCGGCGGAGGTGCTCTCAGAGGCTGAGGAGCCATGCCAGGTTGCGGCCTCATAGCGCCTGGCGGGATTTGGCCATTCGGCATGCCGGGTCTCGGAGCGGCGGCCATCATGTTGCGAGCTTGCGCTTGTGCCTGGTTCGGGCCTGGCTGCGCTTGCATCATGTTCTGGCCTGCAGCCATCTGTTGCATCTGGATACTAGCTCGCTGCAGCTGCTGCTGCTGCAACTGCATTTGGTACAAAATCTTCTGCTGCTCCAACGGATTCCGAGCCTGAGCCAATTGCTGCTGGAGCATAATGTTCGGCACCTGACCAACCATCTGACCCGGCATTTGACCTGGCATCTGCCCGGGAAGCTGGACTGGCATCTGTCCAGGCATCTGGCCCGGCATCTGTCCGGGTAACTGTCCTGGGATCTGTCCGGGTACCTGGCCAGGAAGTTGCCCCGGCATCTGACCAGGCAACTGTCCGGGCATCATCTGCCCCGGTAGCTGGCCGGGCATCTGGCCGGGAATCTGTCCAGGTATTTGACCTGCCATCTGCATTTGTTGCGGCAACTGGCCCATCTGGCCTGGCATCTGTCCTGGCATTTGGCCAGGCATTTGACCAGGCATTTGACCAGGCATTTGACCAGGCATTTGACCAGGCATTTGACCGGCCATTTGGCCAGGTATCTGACCTGCCATCTGGCCAGGCATTTGACCTGGCATTTGCCCTGGCACCTGGCCCATCTGTTGTGGCATCATCTGGCCAGCGATCGGGTTTGGAGTCGGAGAAGGACGCGCAGGAGACTGACCGGGCGCGAATTGCGGGTTGAAGTTTTGCTGGAATGCGTTCTGTTGCATGAACGGCTGCGGCGTACCGCCATGTTCCGATGGCATCGATGGGGTCTGGGGAAATTGCTGCGCGGCGGGAGAGAATGGATGGGGAGACGAGGATGCGACGCGCTGGGGAACGCTACCAGGACGCATCTGGTTCGCCATGATGGGAGAGGGTGTCGCATTCGTCGAGCCATTGGTCTGGAGATGAGGGTATGGAGATGGTTGAGTAGACGGCGGCTGAGTTATGGGCGGCTGCTGGAAGCCCTGAAAGCCGGACTGCTGCGGTGTCTCTGCGCGCGAAGTCGGTAGCATGCCAGGTGCCGGGCGCGGCGACTGGGCCATGCCATCCTCTCGCGGGCGGGGCCGCTTCGACGGCACGACCGAGTTCGTCTGGTACATGGGGTTCGGGAACGAGGGTGACGCATTTCGCATGGGCCCTGCGGGGCCAGCAGGGCCTCCAGGAGCGCCGGGAGCACTAGGACCGGCACCAGGACCGGGCCCGTTGGGCTGCATGACGATCTGTTGCGGGTTCGCGAACTGCGCGTTGAACTGGGCTGGGTTGGCCATGAAAGCGGACGGGTCCATCATGTTGCCGGCGGCGACAGCAGATGGATCGCTGAGCTGGGGGAAGCCGTTGCCATTGTGATTGGGGACTGCGGAGGGGACTGCGGCGGAGTCGCTGATCCAAGAGGAGTTCATGTCGGTCGGCGGTCGAGTGCGGGAGTGGCAATGGTCGCGCCCATCAGCGGAGGGGGAACTGCTGGTGCTGGAATGGCTAAAGGCTTGCAGCGCGGTTAGCGGTCGGCGGCACCGTGGAACGCGGCAAACAATGGACCACGAGAGCCCGAAGCAAAAAATGATTATTTGGCGATGGGCTGGAACGCGGGTGCGGCCTGGCGCGATGGAGCTGTCGCGTCGCGCTGCGGTTGTGTCGGGGTGTCGGGGGAGGCAGTTGTGCAGTGCAGTGCAGTGGTAATGGTTAAACGGGGCAAGGCAAAGAACGGTGCGGCCCTGCTTGCGGGTTGGGGTTGGAGGGTTGGCGCTGAGCTGGCCCGCTGGGCCCGGGTTCTGGGGGAAGAGGGTTGCTTGGCCTGGTAAGTGCAGTTCCTTGCCTGCTTCCTCCTGCTCCCTGCTCTGTTGCTCTCTTTGGCTGCTGGCTGGCTGCCTTTGTTTGGTCGCGGGCTGGAGGATTCTGGATCCACTCGCAAAAAAGCGCGACAGAAACAGAAACCACAGAGAGGCAACGGAAGGCAAAGACGGAGCAAGCAAATGCACAATGCACCTTAGACCCGTAGACGCTCTGGGCCCCAAGCAGAACCGCGAAAGAACAGCAGCACCAGGCAGGCGTGCAGGGACAAGGATACGTGACTGTGGGCAATGGAGAGAGTACTTTTGGATAGGGACGTGGACATGTAGAAGCCCATCAGCCCTGTCTGCGATGGATGGCCGACAGCGACACAAGATCGAACTGGGACCAGGAGCAGCAGCAAACAACACGACTGGACTGCCAGAAGCTTGAATAATCGCTGGACACTGAATGCCCAGACTGAGATATAATGCATTAAGCGCAATCCCAGTTCAGAGTCTAGCCGGCGTCCTGGGCGCAAGACGCCCTCAACCCGCGCCCAGGCTGACCTCGATCGCGAGTGTGGAGGCGGACGGGCTGGGGAATGAATCTCGAAAACAAAAACCACGACCCAGCCTTGCACCGAAAAGAAGCCCGGAGTCCCGGAGTCGCAGACTCCTGCACTCCTACTCCTGGGCTCCCGGCCGCTGGGCGACGGGGATGCCATCGGCCGCGTGGACCAACGCCCGCCGCTCGCAAAATTTTCGCAAGCACGTTCCCGGCGTCGCCACTCTCCGGCCAGTGATCAGTGCCCGCACAGTCCCGGTGCCATCGAGGCCATGGACGACGGCTCCGACGCCGACTCAATCCATCGCAAGGCTGCACTCGCAGGGCTCTCCAATCGCTTGGCTGTTCGGGGTGGATAAGGGAGGGGGGGAAAGCAAAGGAAAGGGCAGGTCTTACCTCTCTGTTACCGTTCGGCGGCTGCGGAGGCGGGCGCGCGTGTTGCCTGTGCCTGGTGCCTGTTGCTTGCTTGTCGGATTCCACTGTCCAGTCCAGTCTTTCTGCGACAGAGCGCCCGAGTGATTCTTTCACCCTGCCCAAACAATGCGACCAAGAACAGCCTAGCGCGGTGGGGCTGTGATGCCACCCATTTAGCCAATCAGCGCATCGATATGTCGATGCATTCTGATAGGCCTGATTGTCGACTCTTTTCCTCCGCGACTTTGATCTGTCTGGCGCTGGGCAGCTGGACCAGAGGCCGAGTTTGAGACTGCTATGTAAGGCCACGAGGAAAAGACCAGCAAACTCACTGTAGATGGGATAACTATGGCAGAAAGTGCCATACTGCTACGCCTGGCGTCGTTTATAAAAGGTCGGCTGTCGTTCTGCGCGGTTTCATGGACGCTTTTGACCAGTAACCCAGATGAAAAAGATGCCTGCTTTCTCATCCACGTCCTCGTCCAAGTGAGGGTTGATGGATGACTGAGCTGCTTCTGTGACAGATGCCATCATGTCGAAAACTGCTGCTTTGTCGAACGGTAATCCGCCGTAGAGATCGGAACTCGCTGGACTTCTGAATCATCGCCATTCAAAACATTGTGCTGCCTTTTCAGACGGATATATTTTCAGATTTTGTCTCTTGACCGCCCGGGCAAGAGCCCCGCTGCTTGATGAACACTGCATTGGAGCACCATACATTGCTCATCAGACATGACATGCTGGGATCACAGTGTGTTCCTCCGCAGACATCGAGACGAAAAAAAAAAAGCTCTGTCCAGACAGCAGAAAACAATGAGAGAGAAAAGGAGCAATCACAATTCCCGAGAATCAAGAGCAAATTTAACGCGAAAAGGCCCTTTCCCCTCGATCGCCGGGGGCGTCTGGGTCTGGGCTGACGAGCGTTGTCATCTGGGGAACCGGGTCCGTCCCACATGGCTTGCCGAGCGTGGTGGGGATCCCGGTCACCCTCACCACCCACCCGCAGGGAAACCATCATGACCCAAATGCCGTCGCTCGTCGCTGGCGAATGAGCGGGGACAGACGACGCCGTCAAAAGCTGAGTTGTTGACGAATCTGTCACAATCTCCATCCAGCTCGCAGCAATGACGCGCTTTTTTCGCTAACGATGAATCAAATCTTAAGATTCCTGCTGTCAGGGGCAGCCTGCATCCAACTGTCATCTGGGAAACTGTCGTGTCCCTGCCGTCAGGGCAGTAAGGTGACCTGCCGAGCGATAACGGGCACCACGTCACGGTCCACCCGGCGCCACAACAGTGCAATAATCTCGATCAAAGCTGTCGAAATGCAAGAGATTATGAACGCAGGATGTCAGACAGAGCAAAAATGCAGAGGGACAGAAGGGGAAACGTGGGCAGTTGGATTTTTAAATGTCGACAGCCCTCCAACACCAAAGTCACTCTGACAAGCCAGGCAATAAAATTTCTCCGGCCAGCAAAAAACCAAAAAAAAAAAAACCATTCGATCCATCCACTCATCAATGTTCTGTCCACTGGCCGCTGCGCTGCGTTTTCGTGCCTGCCACCGACCCAGCAAACCCAAAATGCTTTGGTGCGCTTTTCTCACCTCAGGTCCCACTGTCCCTGTGCATCGTGACCATCGTGACCGTCATCCTTGGAAGAGTGCAGATCCTATTGATCAAGACTCGATCCACGAGGCCGAATGTCTGGGATTTAACCATCCGAGGACCTTCTCCTCATCGCTTCATCTCGCATCCGACTGATCCCTTAGCCCTTCTTCGAAAGAAATCGGGTTTTCTTTTTTCGCCCAGAGCCTCTCCCGTCCCTCAATGTCGGATCCAGCGCATTATCCTGCAGACGCATCAATGGAAATGGTAAGATGATAGCAGGCTGGTGAAAGAATACTTGCGTGTGACAAAGCTTGTCTTCCTTTGGGCTTTGCTCTTCCCTCTCTCCTCGTCTGTCTCCCCAACCCATACACACATAAACCCCTCCTCGGGCACCATTGACCGCAGAACGAAGCCGAATGATGATCAAGAATCCAAGCTGGTTGTACTAGCCCAGGAGGGACTCAACAGACACACTGATGATGCTACCTTTACAGCAAGAATGTGAAGTGCTGGCTCCGTGGTCCCTTTTACCTTGTTCCGCGCTCACGTTCCACGCGGCTGTTGGGCGGGGAATGCAGGTTCCGCGGTTAACAAGCCATCATCAAAAGCCTTACTCCAACTTCATAACTCCCAGGCCTGCAGCAAAGCTCGTACTTTGCTGATATATAGTGTCCTTTGCAATCCCATGAAAACAGTCATCAAATTGATCTCTTGCCAAATAATCTCTTAGTTCTTTTCTTCAAAGCCAAATTTATGGTCATATTCAGGAGCCTCACCACCACCCAATCGTGACCCTGGTAACAAACTTGGGGGGTACACTAAGAGTTTAACCGCTTTCGGAACAAGTCACCCCGCCTTGCAGCCTGATCCAAAGGCAGAACGTCACATCCCAGAAAGTGCCTATAGACGTGGTGAATCTTGTCCTCTGTTCACTTTATAATTGAGCCGAGTGACTTCAATCGTGACAGCTGCAGCAATAGACCTCCCAAGTTTTCGTCATGATGTGCTGGTTATAGCAGTTGATAGAGCTCCAAGTTCCTTTGAAGTTATCAGGGTTAGGGTTAACATCAGACCATCCAGCCTCCAGAGCGCATCTGCAACAGTGGAACTCTCTAAACCTTACTCTGGCGATGCTACTCTATCTGCCTTCCCAAACAGACAATATGTGTTATAGAGATTTATCGTATAATACACTGAATATGTTTTTCCGGGTGTGATCTGAAACTGGAGTTGATGAAGTTGCTTGGCTCCCTAAAACACAACATTATTATCACAAGTTGCCTTAGAACTCTCATGTTCGAGAGATGCGACCTTTTGACCAAAAGGTCCAGTTGAGGAGGAGTCTGTTCTGGTTTCTTTCACATCCCATGACCTCGTGAACATGCCTGCCGCTCAAAGTAAACATTAGTGCATAACAAAATGCAAGATAGGTAACCCAACGTTCTGCCATGCATGTCAGCCCACACGTAAAGCAGATTCTCTGGAGTGCCATAATTTGTATGTTGAAGCTAAAAATCATGTAAGATATTTCTCAGATGATTTATCTTTACTTGAAAAGTGCTGTTATCATGAAGTCAAATCACAACTGCAAGTTCATTTGTGTGGAAGTCTGAACAAATTAAAGTATTTCTCACAACTTGAACGCCAGCAAAACTGAAGTTGGATTCATCAATGGCGCCAGCCAGGCTAAGCATGCAATTCCCCCAAAGTATAGAAATCGAAATATCCATTAGATACTTTTGCATTTGAATTTCTCATATGGTCTGTATTGTTTGTCACCTGTAGCTATCGTTCCCAACTGAGCTACTCAGCAAGTTCAAAATGACGAATGAGCCGTGGCTGACGGGTTACTTGACATGTTAACACATATATAGACTGCCAATCAAGCCGATTATCTTGACCATGTCGCCTGGAGAGAGACATCTCTTTCAGTCATATTCGAACCGTTACAGCTTGTTGTCAACAAGAGGGGATAGTAATGAGCGTACGTGTGCAGATAGGTTTCGTGTCTAGTTGTCAGCTGTCGCTTTCTCTTGGACAGACTTTCAAGGATTACCAAAAGACACAACCTCAGCTTTTGGCAACAAACAAGCACATTGAGTTCAGAACAAGACCTAAGATCCCTCCCGAGGTATTAGTTTTAAACTAAAAGAGGGAGCAATCAATCCACGATTTCAAGACAATCTGAACTAGCTCAGTTTTAGAGTTGCACAGTGCCCACGACTATGACCACACTGTCCCCTACAAACCCTGGCCTACTTTCTCAATCAGCAAACAAACTTGACATAGCACTCCCTTCTCATGCTCACAATTAGACGTGTTGTCACGCGCCCACTTGCTTCATTTCCTCCAAATAAACTGTCATTCTGCTTCACCAGCAATCAGTGCTTTCATCCATACCACATCAATGCCCAGGGACAAAACTCGCGACCCAGCTCCGCCGCGTCGTTCACTGCGGTTGCGGTCGGCGAATATGTCGAAGGAGGATGAAGATGAGACAGCGAAGAAGACAAGTGTGAAGAATGTGGCTAAGCCAACTTCAGCTACATCGAAGGCAGCTGGGAAGGCTGCAAAGGCGAAGGCGGAGGAGACTGTGTCCGAGGAAAAGTCTTCACCTGGAGTTAAGACGGAGAAGGAGACTAAGAAACGGCCCGCCGAGGAGAGTGAAGAACCGGCGCCAGCACCCAAGGCGAAAAGGAGCCGGTGCAAGAAGGCTATGGCTGCTGCTAAAGCTGCGTCTGTAGCTGAGACTAAGGAGCAGCCGTCGGAAGACAAGAAGGCAGACATTTCTACAATAATCAGACCCTCATCATCCTCAGATAGCACAGAAAGCGGTGAAAGGAATTACTGGCTCATGAAGGCCGAGCCCGAGACTCGTTTAGAGAACGGAGTGGACGTCAAATTTTCGATCGACGACCTAGCAGCGAGGACAGAGCCAGAGCCGTGGGATGGTAAAGAGCCTAATTTTTTTTTCTTTCTTGTTCATTTCAAAGTGTCTACCTATATCCTAACGTGCAAAATCAGGCATCCGCAACTACGCCGCCCGCAACAACCTCCGCGCCATGAAAAAGGGCGATCTTGCTTTCTTCTACCACTCCAACTGCAAGGAACCCGGCATCGTTGGTACAATGGAAATTGTGCAAGAGCACTCGCCCGATTGTAAGCCTTCCCTCTCGCTATCCCTTCTCCACTCACTAACAAACCATGCAGTATCCGCCCACGACCCCAAAGCCCCCTACTACGATCCTTCCTCGGACCCAGCCAATCCCAAATGGAGTGTCGTGCATGTCAAGTTCCGCAGTAAATTCTCGGTCCCCATCGGGCTGAAGGAGCTGCGGGACCTGGGAAAGCCGGGTGGCCCTCTCGAACACATGCAGTTGCTGCGTCAGGGGAGGCTGAGCGTGAGCAAAGTGTCGAAGGCAGAATGGGACTTCTTGATGAACTTGGCGGAAGAGAAGGCGAAAGCGGTAGCGAAATGATGTGAAAGATGCAACAGGTTATGGATGGATGGAATCCCTGGGATAGTGGACGAGATTGTAATGGTAATTGTAATTAAGTTCATTAAATCATTATCATAGATTTTGACCCTCTTTGCAGCCAAACGATCAGCTGGGCGACTCCTCCAGCGAGCGCTTGGTGTGCTCCAATACGGTGCGGATGGCAGCATCCAGCTTCTCAATTGCAAGAATACCATCCATCCAGGCGACCATCTTCGTCGCCAGCGCCTTCCTATCGGTCGTGCTCTGCAGCGCGGCCTTGAGGCGGGCAAGCGACTCGCGTAGGGCCTTAGGGAACGCCGGCGTAAGCACATCGACGCCGACAAGCGGCTGGCGGATGTGCACGCTCCAGGTGCACGGGTGGTTGGGGAAGAGCTCCTGCATGGTGGTGACCACATGAGAGATGATCCGCTCGTGGCAGGAGAGATGTCCAAACTTGGCGAACACGTCGAAGAACTTCTCGGCGGCGGCAGGGCCCCAGAAGGGCTGCTTCCGGGCGACGTCGAAAACGGCGATGGGAATTGCGCCGCTGAGAGCGGGGCTCTGCTCGAGCTTCTTGGTCTGCTCGGCGTCGAAGACTGGCTTGGCAGCCTTCTTGGTGCCGTCGGTGCCCTCGGCGTCCGGATCGGGCAGGATAAGCCCGTCCTCGTCGCCGCTGTCGTCCTCGGTGTCCTCCCCAATCGGGATGATGTCGCCCTCTTCCTGACCCTCGGTAGCCTTGATGGCTTCGAGAGCATTGACACCTTTTCTCACACCCTGCCCTTGCTTCTTGGCTTCCATGCGCGCAAGCCAGTCCATCTCGCAGCGGGCATACTCCAGCCAGAGCGTCGGCTCGCGCGTGCAGAAACGGCAACCACGCAGGAAGTGGGCGCGCGCACGCTGCATATCGCCGTTCTGAGCTGCGCGACGACCGGCGAGTGTCCAAAGCGAGGCGTTCATCGGGTGAAGGCGCAGAGCGCGGGTCATGATACGGCGCCAGCGCTTTGTCGCTTTCACCTGGGCGGCGAATTCAAGGTAGGCGAGCCATAACTCGATGCTTCCAGGATGCTTGAGAACTGCGCGCTCGAAGATGCCGAAGGTGCGAGCTTGGCTGGCGTGAGAGGTGACGGAGCGGATGTTGAGACGGGCGCAGCGTTTCGCACGTAAGCGATCTAGCGAGCGTTCCCAGTTGACGTAGTTGAGGAAATCGGTCGGCTTGGTGCCGGGGGCGAGCACAAGATGTTCGAAATCGGACCGTTTGGCTACGAGGTTGCGAATTTCGTCCTGGTGTCGTTAGTTTAGGGTCGAGGTGCTGGATTGGGGGAAGTGTAGGAGTCCTACTTTGGTGAAGATCTCCTTCTCCTCCCACTCGCGCAGCTCGGGAGCCGCCCGTTCGAGATAAAACCGCGCCTTATCTGCTACCCAGGCCATGCTTGCGTTGATACGGCCTCAGTTAGGGCATGTGGACTGGTGTGATGAGGTTGGCCGATTGCAACTGGACGAGGTCGCTTATGAACTTGTTTCTGCAATGGAGCATCCTCAACTTTTTAGTGGGGCTCTCATGAGGTCGAATTCTGCCGTATTCACCGCCCGCGCACGAGCCATCAGGCCACGTTTGGGCTGCTGACGGCAGCGGCGCATCCCTGATAGCCTCAGGCCAGCGAGGTCTTGGGCCCCACAACGCTGCGACCCCGGTGCGGGCTTCGGCAGGGATTGGAGCGTTGTGCGGTTCTGGGCGCGTATTGTCTTCTCGATCGCCAATTGGTCGAATGTCAATGTGGACGCTCTGCTGTGAAAGATGTGAGTGGCTCTCACGGCGGCACCGGGATTCCGACAGCACCGACGTCTCCGTTTCAACGCCCGCGCTAAGTTTCGCGTCCCATTACCAATTGTTTTCTTTCCTCCCACCTGGGTCCTGAGATACCTTCGCACCACCACCCTTTTGTCGTCTTCTTGACGCTCGTTCGTCTTGTTGTCCTATTATCTGGTGACACTCATTTCTGTAGGCGTGGGCAGCCAGCACTTCTTTTCCTCGGAGCTGTCTGATATGTCTTGCCATCGATCTCTTTCCTAGTTCGACCTAACCCTGGCGCCATCTCTTGTGATTTTTGTCTGGTCTTGAACATCCTCGACAACTCGCTAGCTACGCTTCGACCATGGCGTCCCGATATAAGGACAAGGACGCCGGCGCTGTGCTCTCGTTCAGCGGCCAATGGGTCAGCTGGTCGCACACAGCCTTTGCCTACCGTGTGTCCCCTCGCTCCCTCTGTGCCTACGACCGATCAGCAAGCTTCGATGGAGACTGACAGCAACATCTTTCCCAGTTGCATTTCTGAGCGCTCTCATCATTGGCTGCTCTTTGCACTACCACAAGATTGTTCAGAATGAGTGGTATGGCTACCCCCAGGAGTGGTTCCCCTCAGTGTCTGCCACTATCGGCGACCGTTATCCCGAGCGCTCCATCTTCATGATCGCGATCGCCATCACTTCCGGTATGTCCGGCTTGCGCCAGACCTTTATGAAGCTCCGCTTGGGGAGGCTTTCGCTGACAGCCCAGGCCCGCGCTTTGCTCTCGTTGGCCTCTGGTACCTGCTTACCGCGAAGCCGGGCCACACTCTTCCCAAGGCTGTCGCCATCTCGGGCCTTATCCGTACCTTGACGTGTGGTGGCTGGACCTATATCACGTCGACCGATGACCACGACTGGCACGACATCTTGATGATCTCATACATCATATTCACCCTTCCCTGGACGACCGGCTGTATCCTGCTGAGCCCGCCCAACGCAAAGGCGATCAAGTACCGCAAGTACATTGCCGGTGCCTTCTTCGGCACTCTCGTGCCCCTGATATACTTCTTCATCCAGCACAAGGTTCACCGTGTGCCGGGAGGTAGGAGCTCTTTGTTTGTTTGCGCAAGCTGTTTGAGGAAAAACCCCTGCTGACAGCGCAGCCTACACCATCTACGCCTTCTTCGAGTGGTCGCTGATTGTTCTGGACGTCGCCTTCGACGCCGTCACCGCGCTGGACTTTGATACGTTCGAGCTGGTTGTCAAGGATGTCAAGGGCATGAGCAAGGGGTACGTGCAATGGCTTCCTAGATAGCCGCCCCTGGACCCTGGGTTCTGCGTCGCGCATTTTGTGGGCCAGGACTTGTATCTATCCGTATCTGCAAACGAGAGATGATGTCATGTTCTAAAAAACCCGGGTCTCCATAGTTCGAACAACTCGTCTGTGCCCGCTGCCGTGCTCGAGAAGGAGTAAGCGCAACCCCCATATATCATCATTTGCGCCGGTCAACTGATGGCTAACCCCCTTTCCAGAAAGGAGAAGCCCGTCTTCGTCGGCTTTCGCCTGAGCGATGCCCTCGACATTGCCGCTGATGTGTACCATGGGGTAGGTGTTCCTCAGCTGGTTGAAAACTGGGCGTTGCTAATAGTTCCAGTTCGTCTTCTGGAGCGTCCTGACCAGCTTGGGTCTGGTCATTTGGTGTAAGTTCTTCCGTAAACTCCTCGCTGGGCTCATGCTCATTCTTTCCAGACTTCCCCCTCTGGCACATGGGCATCTCCGGCTACGAGGCCCTTGTCTTGACGACCATTACCCCCGCCTTCCTTGGTATCAAGATGTTTCGTTCACTTGTTGTCCAGAATCAGCGCTTCTTCCACCTTCTCGCCCTGTCTGGCCTCGCGGCTTATCTCGTCAAGGACCCTGTCTACAGGCTCTTCACCGTCGGCTTTGGCGTCGCTACCGGCTGCCTTGCCTGGGTCGCTACGCTGCTGGCAGACTCGGCTCAGCCTGCTCGGCTCGAGACGCGCATTCTGGCCTGGACCATTGGCCTGATCATGTCGTCTGTCGCCAAGTTTGCCTGGCACACGAACAACCCCGTCTGGCCCATCATGCACGCGGCCAATGGAGGCTGGAATGGCACCGGCCTGGTTTTCGGCATTCTTGCTGCTCTGCGCTTCACTCGCCGTGCGCCCTTGAGCGGCGGCGATGCTCCCCAGGAGAAGAACGGCTCGTCCCTGCTCTCTGCCCTGAGCATTGGCGGCCTGTTTTTCGGTCTGCACTCACTGCTTTCCGACACCAGCACCATGATCTCATGGGTTTGGGACGGCTATCCGGTCCGCGGCCCTGTCGCTAACGTCCATGGCTGGTATACCATTATTGCCATGACCATTGGCGTTGCTATTGGTGTTCTCCGGCCTGATCTTGTCACGTCGTGGACTGCTTATGGCGTGGCTTGCGTTGGCGCCGCCATCCTGACCATCTACCCTCACTGGTTTGGCTACTATGGCGGCTTGACCCTAGCCATGTATTTGATGGCTGTCGCGTTCCCCTTGATTAGCAGCGCCGCCAAGAAGAACGTCGCTGTCACCTTCGGCCTCGGCTTCATGATCTACAACCTCCTGGTGCTCTTCCATGTCTGGGTCGTGGCCTATGCCTTTGTGCCTGGCGGCCCTCTTGTGCGCGAACATACCGACTGGATCATGATTACCATGATGCTGTCCATCGGCGCCGGTGTTTTCGATCTCATCTCTCAACAAGCCCGGTCTGGCCGTAAGACTGTTAAGGCCTCTGATCGCACGCGCCCCAGTGCCACGGGCCATCGCCGCTACCATGCCGGTGTGCTCGGTTTCCTGCACCTCTTCTTCCTCCTCGCCAACGTGCGCCGTTTCCCCTCGAATGACTACAAGCCTCACCATGCCAACGACCGTCTCATCACCGCCGGTATCTGGACCATTCACTTTTACCTCGACAACGACATGTGGTCGTCCGAGTACCGCATGCGCGACCTGATCAAAGAGCTTGAGATCGACGTCATCGGCCTCCTCGAGTCTGACACCCAGCGCATCATCATGGGCAACCGCGACACTTCCCAATTCCTGGCCGAAGACCTTGGCATGTATGTCGACTACGGTCCGGGCCCGAACAAGCACACCTGGGGTGCCGCCCTCCTCTCCAAGTTCCCCATCCTCAACTCGACCCACCACCTGCTCCCCTCCCCCGTCGGCGAGCTCGCCCCCGCAATCCACGCCACGCTCGACGTGTACGGTACCCTGGTCGACGTCTTCGTCTTCCACTCCGGCCAGGAAGAAGACCCTGAAGACCGCCGTCTCCAGTCAGAGTATATGGCCAAACTGATGGGCTCCTCGCCCCGGCCCAGCATCCTCCTATCGTATCTGGTCACTCGCCCGCTCGAGGGCAACTACAACACCTATGTGTCCCAAACCTCCGGCATGAAGGACGTCGATCCGACCGACTGGGACCGCTGGTGCGAGTACATCCTGTACAAGGGCCTGCGTAGGACGGGATATGCCCGCATCAGCCGGAGTACCATTACCGATACGGAACTACAGGTGGCGAAGTTTGTGGTGCCGAGCAACGAGGAGGAGCAAGCCAAGGCTTGGGACGTGTCCGAGGAGTTACGGATGAGGCGAGTTGAGGAGCACGAGGTGCCAGAGGGTTGGAGGTTCCCGCAGATGTTTAGGGGTGAGGGTGTTAGGGGACATCGGTATCATGTTTTTGATGAGCCGAGGTATTATAATTATTGAGGGATGGGATGAGATATGATGGATGTGATGATGATTTGGGAGGTCTAGATGGCTTGGTTGGGAGGTGTAGGTGTTTGGATGCATAGGATGGGTGGTTCATTTGCTTCTTCTCAGGTCGGCGTACGGATTACGAGGCCGGCAGATCCTTCTTTTGTGGGCATACCTTTCCTTGATGTATTGCTGTGTACAGATACGTGTTAAGAATGATAATGCCGATAATGCGATGATATGTCATGTAATAGTCTTGAGTTTCGGTTGGACTTTGACCATTAAGAGAGTGAGCATACAACCAATCCCAAAGTCAATTGGTAGCATAGCTATGTGTCTACCTAGGCGTAATCATCTCATCTAACCGAACAACTCATGTCCTAGTTTTTACCAGCCCTCCCTTCCAGCGAGCCACATCCTCCCCTTCAACTCCTCAATCGCCCCATCACGCAACCACCACGACGGCTCTTCTTCCAGGGAGCCAACTCCGATACCAGCAGTACCAATTCTCTCGCCAGCCTTGTCCTGCTCCTCCTTAGCAGTCCCTTCTCCCGCACCCTGTTCCTCCCCGACGCCAATCGAAACCTTTTTCTTCCCCTTGCCCGCCGCGGTGCCTTTCTTCCCTCTTCCCTTTCCTTTTCCTTTGCCTTTCTCTCCCGCATCTTGCTCCGTTTGCTCAGCAGCCTGCTCAGAACTAGAGGAGGTAGCAGCCCTCCTAGCAGCCTCAACCTCTCTCTCTGCAGCAAACACGCCTCTCCGTTCAGCCCACTCAAACAACATCCTTAGCCCAACCAGCCTATCCCTGCTCCAGCCGTCTTCCAATCCCGAGCGTAGGACTAGCCTGGCATCAACAGCCGTGGTGGCCGCCTCGCTAGTCCCAGCAACATCAGGGGCACCAAAGCCGGCGGCGGAGGCGAACCCGAACCGATCCAGAACCACTGCACGCTCCGCACGGGAAAGGGATTGCAACGATGGTAGCGTAAAAAGCCATTCCAAAGGGTCCTTTCCCCCTTGTCCATAAGCGACCCCCCCTTCGGGGGTTGGATCCCCAACTGATGGGAGGGCCGTGTTGTCGCCAAGCGCGCGGAGCGTAGCAGCAAATGTGCCCTCGCTGGCTGGTCTGCGGCGGAGGTAGACGGTCTGGTTGTCGCGGAAGTCGGAGATGAGCTTGGGGCTGGAGGCAAAGTCGATAGTGAGGTCCCAGTAGCCGAGGGAGCGGGCGTCGGTTTCGACACGGAGGATATCGTCTAGCGGAGGGAGTAGACAAGGGGTCTGTTTGCGGATCGCTACGCTAGCAGCACCAGCTGCTGCTTCTGAGGTTTTCGGTTTGGGGTTTGCGAAGCCATGACTGCTATCTTCCTGTGCAGAAGCAGCGATGGCAGATTGTGATCCCCCTTTAAGATGTATGACGATAGGCACGTTGAGTGGTTCGCCAGTAGCAAAATCCTTGACGACCAGACACCTTGGCTCGGTTGCCAACACCCAAAAATGCCTGAACGCTTGCAGATGCGAGCGATTATCCTGCACACTCGTGGGGAACAGGGGATAGAACGCGATCAGCAGGGCTGCTACCGCAAGATCACCCGTCCCAAAGGTAGCAGTGCCACAGCCCAAGAACAGCGCTCCTATCGCCAAATGGGCTGCCATATGGCTGCCATATGTAGTGTTGGCGTCATCCCTTCCATGGAGAGCACGCAATCTTCTGAGCACGACAATATCCCCTGTACCAGCCATCACAGCTGCACACGAGAGTGCCACTACGTCCATACACATATTGGCATTGCTTCTCGCGAGCTCAGCGTCAAAGTTATCTACCGGCAGCCGGACGATGCGCATGAACTGGTCAAGGTAGTGCACGAGCAGGTCACGCACGCGCAGGTTGGCTGAACCAGCAAAGCGTAGGCCAAGGGAAAAGCATAACCCTGCGACGATGGAGAAGAATGGGAGGTCGCAGCTGGAGAGCTTAGTCACAGTAGTGAGTTGGTAGCGTGACTGGTAGGCTTGAGGCAGACGCTTGCGAATCCAGTCGAAGGTTGGGTCAACATCGTTCCAGACGATAAGATTTCGTGCAACTGTACGGAGCAGGAGGATGTCCGGGCGGACGTAGTCGAACTGCAACATCGTGTCGGGAATGTCGATCTTGCGAGCGACGATGTGGTCCTCAGACTTGAGGTAGATCAAGGCGATAGCGACAACGGCTCCAGCAGCCGAGCGGTCCAGAACATGGACCTTCTCGACCCCTTTGACTGCTGTTGCCAGAGTAAGCAGCTTCTCAGTCAGCTGCATATCTCTTAGACCCCTGAGATCACCACCCTTCCCAAGATTGATCAGCCCGAGGGCGAAGCCAGCGGCAAGGCGATAGCTTTCGTCACGGATATCGTCATCTTCCTCATCGACGTCGGTTGCTTCGATCTCCTTCAGAATGTTTTCGCTCATGCGGCGGTGCTGGCTGTTGCAGTACAGCAAACCGATGCCCATGATGCCAGTAGTTTGTGTATGCCGCGAGATGTTAAGCTCAGCCGAGCCAGCAGGCATCATGCGAGTGACATGGACTGACAAGAGTCTTGTGATAAGCGAGTCCATGGTGCCAATGTACGACGCAGCCAGACCAAGCAGCAGACCAATTGTGGTCATGGTGTGCTTGGGAGTCAGGTACTTGAAAGCAACCCACTTAGCAACACCCTTGAGGTGCCCATTGAGGCCAAGTGCAAGCAAGAACCCAGCATGACGGTTGCTAAGGTCCTGGCCAGGTTTGTTGAACAGGATCCACGAGGTGTCGATACCCTTGGCGTGCGGCGAGATGGCAAGACCACCAGCAACACCCTGGTGGAAGAAGGCCCAGTTGATCTTTTCCTCAGGGAACATGCTCTTGTCGACGCCGACCGTATTGTTAGCTGGCTTGACGACGCACGTGAGGTTGAAGCCCGGTATATGGTATTTTTGGGTCAGTAATGGGAAGCGCAGAGCAAAGTACAGCAGGCCCCGACCGGCGGGGATGGCCAGCGTGCTTGTCGCGGTAGTCGTGACAAGCTCCTTCTGGCGCTCTAGGTATTCGGCCTCCGTCCATTCGGGTCGAGGATCGAGTCGTACAACACGGTTCTTGATAGTTGACAGAAGATTACGTGCTTCGTTAAGGCGGCGGTCCTCACGAAAGAGCGACCGCACGACGGTTTGGCGCTCGACGTCTTCCGTTTCTTCGACGTGCTCGTGTAAGCCCAGCAGGTTTTGACAGAGCATGCGATAATCCCACTTGGCCACATGTGAAGGACCCTGAGTATGTTTAGCAAAGAGCCGACTAACATCTTGAGGTGGACTTACAGCAGGATCTGACAACGGTGCCTTGGTCGATTTCCTGGGTCTCAATACGGCACACATATCCGGTCTTCCAACCAACTTCAAGAGATCCTCTGGCCACGAGGGCGGCGGGCTTGGCTGACAGATCGAAATGACATCCTGCAGCGGCGTCAAGATTGCCTCAGGAAGCGTCTCAAGGATCTGAGGAGTAAAGCCACAATCATGCATGGCAACAACCACATCGAATCGGCTGCTAGTCGAGCCCAAACGGGCAAAGAAGCGTTGGAACATAAGCGTGCGTGGCGTCAGGCTTGACCAGAGCTTCCCTCGTAGGCGGCCACCAACAGTGTCCCGGGTTGCCGTGGCATAGAGTTGGGCTAGCGTCGGGAACTCGGGGCCACGGCCAGCTGTGAGGTGACCTTGGACCCAGGTAAGGACGCAGTATTCGGATGCAGGCTCGGGAAGGCCGGAAATGGCAGGATGAACTAGAGAGTTAGCTTGATTCCTGGTTAGATTCATGAACCATACTTACTTAGATCTTGAGCCGCGTTGACATCAGCCAGCGTGCTCAGAGCATACATCTCTTCGTATTTCTTCCAGCCAACCCATTTGAACAGTACGCATAACAAAGCCCTCACATCATTTGGCCCAGGAGACAGGTCCTCCGGAACCATGATATTGAGCTTCTGTTCCTCCATAAACAGATGAAGTGCCAACAGCATGCTGCATGCCATCGTCTCACGTGGGTTTCCGATCTGATTCAGAGCCGTGGGCAAGAACCCTTCAAACCCAAAAGCTTTTAGCCCACCATCAGATGCCATCCACCTTTTAGCCAGCCCAACATGCGTGGGGATAAACCCCTCCGAGAACCATCCCCCTGCACTGGGACCTGAGGGTTGCGGTGGAGGCTCAAGATCAAGAATCCATTGCCAGGCTCTTGACCTCATCCATCTAGGACATCCCATCGCTCCAGGTGCCTGACGCGCGAGCATAACATCCCACTCAGTCATAGTCGTAGATGAGGTCTCACCGCCGAGTGTTCGTAGCGAACTTTCACTATGATGGCTAAGCGCAAGGATGCTGGACAGGATCAGGATCACAGCAGCAGACCATTCCCTATTGACGAGAGGATACTCGTTTGGCTGGGGTGGGAGGGTATGCAGCCACTGCATGATATGGGCCCAGCCAGCCACTATCTTGTCGGCGTAAGAAGAAGGGAGGACACTGCGGCAGACGTCGAGGACTTTGCGGACCTGAGGATGTGTGGGCTGGAGCTGGATGCGGATGCGATGGTGGCGGCCATCGTGGTCGCGCAGGTCGACCTCTCCAGCCGTGTTTGTATGGCAGAGGGCATCAATTGCCTTGCTGCTGAGCTCTGTGGTTTTGGGAGTTGCTAGTTGACTGGCATATGAGACGGGGAATCCTAGAGGATTCGCATCGTCTAGTCTCAGATCGGGTAGATGAACGGTGGTGACCTTGCCCCATGGTGACTGAAGACTGAGCTCCCTGCCACCACGGTTGTCTTCCGACAGAATCATGATGGTCTCGTAGCCATCGCTGATCTTGCACGAGTCAACCACACTCTGGACCCTTCTAGGCTCGCCAGGCACGATGTGGATGCTTCTCGTCGGGGTTTGTTTCGAACTGTTCCGGCCCGAGGTGTGTTCCTCACGCTGCTCGAGGTACAGCGTCAGCAGCTGGAGCCGCTTGTCTACCGGGTCTTGGATGGCAATGAGCAGGACGGGTCGTCCCTGATCATCGGGAGCGGTCGATGGGCTAAGGAGGAAGAACACCTTAGCCTGCAACCGCGCAGGCTTGCTGGATAGCGAGTACCGTAGGTTGGTGCTCTCCATGTTGACGCTCTGGATCTTGGTGAATAGCATCTCTTGTTCGAGGCCGTCAAAGCCGTGGTCTTCCAAGCCCATGTTATGGAACGCCTCGAAGTCACCACCGGCCTTGAGCTCCTCCAGGAGATCGTCAATAGGCGGGTCTGGGGGGTGGTTGATGCTCCGGTTCAAGCTCGCACTGAAGCTCGGCCCACCGTATCCGCTGCTCAGTCGTCCCCGCTGACTGCCATGCGAGTCACCACGCCGACCGCCATGATGGGATGCATGGAGAGTTGGCTCGACAAAGCTCCCTCGATCCTGCGAAGCCGATAAGTCGGCGCGGGCCAGCAGGGAGCTCACGCGACGTGACTGCTTGCTGGTGGCCTCATTGTTTTTGTCCGGGTCCAGAGAGCTCAGGGCCTTGTCAAGGGCCTTATCACGGTCTTCTTCCTTGACTTTTGCTCCCTTCTTGGATTTTTTTCCGGGTAATGGGGCAGCACCAAAGCTCTCTCTCGTCGATTGGTGTAGAGGTGTGCTAGCGCCGCTGGCAAGGCCCGGAGCCATGGAGCTTCGCCGGCGGGATGGCTTCGGTTTGGACTTTTTTTGTTGCTTTACGAATGGGTCTTGCATTTCGAGGTACGACAACCTCCAGACTGTGTACGTGTTGGCCTCGCGATTGGCTGTGACGGCGAGGATGAGGTTGCTATTAGAACCCAATTCGGAAAATTGGGGCACACGGAGAGACTCGACATGCAAAATCTCCTCCGAAGGACTTAAAAAGTTAGGACTAGGGGAACGACCCCGTCTATGACTAGTCTTAGGGCGCTCGGGATGGGTGACAACCAAGCCGAGCTCCAGCAGCGGATCAGTTAGGCACACTAAGCGCGGCCAATGGCTATCAGGAGCCTCAACAACATGCTGCCACATATTCTCCAAGGTAAAGCTCAGCCGTAGGGGCAGGGTCTTGGGGTTACCAAGGCCCTCCGTCGAGAACTCGGCGAAGCTATGCCCCGAGTCCCGCGTGTAGCCAGCTGGCGGCAGTGGCGACACGAAAGAACTGGGGGTCACCTTTGGTAGACGCATGGACACCGATGCGCCGTCAGGACGCAGCTTGCGCTGGATGATGACGCCCCGGGGGGCAGCACATGCCGACTCAACCTCAAACGGCATATGCACGACATGGCTGGTGCCCGACAGAAAGTAGATATGCGCTTGGGTCTTGAGGAAGACAACGAGGGCACGACATAGTGGCGGAGGGGACCGTTTTGGTGTTGATGAGGGAGGTTTGCGGATAGGGCTACCGATGGTTTGGGCCGAGCTGGCCGTCGTCGTGATGCTGTCCTCAGAGCCAGGGAACCAGGCCAGCAGAGCTTGGGTTATGGGCTCCTTCTCAACATCAAAGCTGAAACTCTTACGGAATAGGCCGCCACGTGACCATAGCACGCATGTCGACGTCGTCAGCAGCTCATCCTCGTACTGGTGGCCGTCCTCAACGGTGATAATTGTTTCCCAGGTGTACAGGGACGGCGACGGATCGGGAGGAAGAATACCCTCGTCGATAGCGTGCTGCAGAGAAGCTGGCCGGTGCAGGCCGAGGGATGTGACGGAGGCCATGATGACTTTGAGCGTAATGTGTAATCGGGTTTATCGAGTCGTGCTCTTCAGCCGTCAAGGTTCCCTCAAAAGATAGAAAAGGGAACTGAGTCGAGCCTTAGAGGGCAGGTCACCGGCAAACAGGAAGGAGAGAGAATGGGATGTCACTCTAACCCATTTTGAAATCAGACAGGGCAAGAACCTGGGATTCTACACCCAGGAATACGGGGCCACACCTGCGTCGGTGTGTTTTGTCCCAGCAATTCCTCAGGTTTGAATTAAAGCTTCAACCCGAACGAGGTGAAAGTGAAGGGCGACTCAAATTCCAGAACGCGATTCCCTTGTGCTCAAGTCGCACAGTTGGAGTCGCGGTCTTGATGGTCCCACTATGGTGGGGTATGCCCCTCTCTGATTGGACAGAAGTCCACAACAGCCTGGGCCCGGCACCAAACCCCTGCAGCCCCAACCGGCAGCGGTCAGTGCGGGACACGTGGGGTTGGCAGAAATGGCAGCATCTGATTGGCTTCGAGGGCCGAGCTCTGGCTGATCTCACTGGCTGCTCGGCGGCGCCCAGCGCCTTGGGGCTCTGACGTAGCGCTGAGCGCCCCTGCAACGGACTGGCAACGGACACTCAATCGAAGCTGTTGGATGATCGCATGCCCAAAGCTCCCAAGTTTTTGACTTGGTACCCATCTTCAATCATTCCACAACCAACTTCAGAGCACCGAGTTCGAACACTCGCTGTCTCTGTGCTCCCGACGTCCCGTAACGCCATGCAGTTGCCATTGTCCAGGCTGCCCGCATCAACATGACCGACAGCTCGCCACCACCCGGCGACAACGACGCGAAGCACAACAACGATGCTCTCGCCCTGCCGCCAGGTCCCAGCTCCGAAACCGCTGCTGATGAGAGTTCAGCCATGACGCAGGCGCAGGACGAGCAAGGTGCGAGCGAACCTCAGCCGACGACTGCAGCGCAGTTGGGGATGGCTGGTGACCGAAGCCAGGGGGAAGATATCCATGGAGAGGGCGACGACGAGGCCGAAGATGACGAGGATGACGAAGAAGAAGAAGAGGAAGAAGAAGAGGAAGAGGAAGAGGAAGAGGAGGAAGAGCCAAAGCTCAAGTATGCCCGTCTGACACAGCATCTGGGCGGGGTGTACCGCAACGGCGATGCGACGAGCGCCTTTCTGGTTGCCAGCGACAAGATGGTTCGATACCTCACTTCGGTAATTGTTGACTGCTCTTGGACTAACGAGACGCTCTGCAGATTGTTGGCACCCACAATGGCAATATTGTCAGTGTTTCCTGTTTGCCTTTGATATGATCTCTTGCTAACTTCCCCAGCACGTCCTCCAAGTTCCCAGCTTCCAGCCGCTGCGTGTGTACCACGCCCACTCCGCCTCCGTCAGCTCCATCTCCATCTCTCCTTATCCTCCTCCACTGCCAGCCCCTGGGCCGGGACTCATCCGGTCCCCGACCAGCCCACTGCGCACGAGTACCTCAACCGCAGATACCCAGACGTCCTCGGCTGCAAGGCGACCCCGCGAGCTTCCTCCAGTTCCAAATACACCTTCAAATAACATCTACATCGCCACATCTTCCATCGATGGTAACATCTGCGTCCAATCGCTTGTTGATGTGCGCGATGTCTCACTACGCAACTTTGCCCGCCCCGTCCAGGCTGTGGCACTATCGCCGGAGTACAAGCACGACAGGATGTATCTATCTGGCGGTCTAGCCGGCCAGCTCATCCTGACTGTCGGCCCTCCCGTTGGTCGCAGCACGGCAACCACAACTGGCGCTGCGGCCCAGGCGGCCGGCTGGTTGGGCAGCATGGTCGGTGTTGGCACTGGCAAGGACACTGTGCTGCATTCCGGCGAGGGCACCATCACTACTATCAAATGGTCGTTGTCAGGCAAGTATGTGGTGTGGCTGAATGAGCATGGCATTAAAATCATGCGCACGAAGCTTCATCTCGAAGCGGCCGATGCCGATGATGCCTGGAAGCGAATAGGCCATATCGATCGCCCGCAGACTGAGGAGTGGGATACTATGGCGAGCGTGTGGAAGGGTCGCGTTGAATGGATCGATGAGCAGGCTATCGAACAGGACGAGCCTAGCCTCGAAAGGCGTGACTCAGTGTTGTCGCCAGCTGCAGAAAGCCTTAAGCAGCAGCAGTTGAAGGCAACGAAGAAGATCGAGAGGTTGCTCGTCGGTTGGGGTGGGACTATCTGGATCATCCATGTCCATCCCGGTGGCATCGGTGTCGGCAAGAATGCTGGTGAGCGGTCCGCCGGTCGGGCCGAGATTGTGAAGATGTGAGTATTTAGACCTCTCTGTCCATTGTTTGTGTACTGACTCTGCAGACTACGCATGGATTGCATCATTTCCGGCATTTCGTTGTATACCCAAAACCTGTTGCTAGTTCTTGCTTACTGCTTACCTGAGGAAGACGATGAGTCGACCATGGAGGAGAACACTCCCCGGAAACCGTCGGGCGGCATTCCCCGTAAACTCAACAACCAACCTCCAGAGCTCCGGTTGATTGACCTGACCTCCCAGAGTGAGGTCGACAAAGACGGCCTTTGCATTAGTCGCTTCGAGCGGCTCTCTGCCCACGATTATCACCTGGGCGTTCTACACGCCCAAACCATCGCAGCTGCCCAGTCCTCTCGCGGTGCGCTCGAGACTTTAGTCGGGCTGGGGACCGATGCACTCAGCATGGCACTCAATCCGATGTCGCTGTTCAGTTCAGCAGCCAGCATCCGCAGCAAGGACAGCGACTCTGGGTCGAAGATTGCCCCGCCTTCGCGTCAGAGACGCTCATTTTCAGTACACCCACACCTCGAGAAGCCTGGTATCAAGATCTTTATTCATAGTCCGTATGACTGTGTGTTGGCTACCAAGCGCGACCTTTCTGATCACCTTACCTGGCTCCTGGAACACCAGAAGTACCAGGAAGCTTGGGAGCTGGTCGACCACCATCCCGAGATCGTCACTCCTTCGCCTGCGGAGAGCGGGACTCCGACTACCCCCACACCGCAACAGACTACCCAGAGCAGTGATGACTTCTATGACGACACGGCCTCCATAGCAGACCTCAAGGGTTTCCACTCGCCAGCTGAACGCGAGAAGCGTCGCATCGGCGACCTTTGGGTGCAGGAACTCGTCAAAGCAGAAAACTGGGTCCGCGCAGGCCAGGTATGTGGCCAGGTTGTGGGCACCCCCGACAAGTGGGAGAAGTGGGTTAAAACCTTTGCCGACGCTGGCAAGCTTGACGATATCGTGGAGCATATCCCCTCGGAGCGGACACAGCCCCCGATTCCGGGAAGTGTCTACGAGCTGTGTCTGGGCCATTACCTGCAGAGTAGCAAACCCAGATTTAGGGGCCTGCTGCAGCGTTGGTCTCCAGATTTGTTCGATGTTAGTGCCGTGACGGCCTCGCTGGAGGATCAGCTTCGCTTCCGTGACGTCCGGGAGGACAGTATTGAGGACGGAGAAGTCGGAAGGGATTGGAAAATTGTGGTTGAGAGTCTTGCGAAGCTTCACGAGGCAAGCGGCAGGAACAGGGATGCGCTGCGGTGCTATGTTAAGCTGCATGATGCGGACAATGCAATGCGGCTTATCCGCGATAGGCATCTTGCTGATGCTGTGACCGATGATATACCGAGCTTTATCACCCTGCGTGTGCCCCCTGGCCGGGCAGGAAAGATGAGCCGGCAGGAGTTGGAGCAGGCGACCTCTGAGGCGATTACCTTGCTTGTGGATAACGCGCAGCATGGATTGGTCAAGCCGGACGTTGTTATTAGCCAGCTGCAGGCGAGGAAGATGGATTTGTATACATTCTTCTACCTGAGAGGGTTGTGGAGAGGTGATGGCATCCATCATCATGGGGAGGGAACCCAGGCTAGGCTGGTGAGCGAGAGTCAGAGTTTGGTGGACCAGTTCGCCGATTTAGCCGTGCATCTGTTTGCGATGTATGACCAGGGGCTGTTGAATAGCTTCTTGAGGACGTCGACGGCATATGCCTTCGAAAAGGTAGGCCTTCCCTTTCTCTACTCCTCACATTTGGTCAAGACTGACCTGTTATGATATAGGCTGCCCAAGAATGCGAGTCCCACAACTATATCCCCGAGCTCGTCTACCTATACTCGAAAACCGGTCAGACTAAGCGGGCCCTCTACCTCATCATCGACCGACTGGGCGATGTCTCGCGTGCCATTGCCTTCGCCAAGGAACAGAACGACCCTGACCTGTGGGAGGACCTGCTGTCGTACAGCATGGACAAGCCTCGGTTTATCCGTGCCTTGCTGGAGCAGGTGACAGTCACTGTCGGCAGCGCGACATCGACGGCAGCAGTTAACCCTGTCGCACTGGTCAGAAGGATACCTGAGGGCTTGGAAATCGATGGTCTTCGGGAGGGCTTGTTACACATTGTGCGCGACCATGAAATCATGTGGAGCATATGCGAAGGCGCTGCCAAAGTCCTGCGCTCAGAGGTCGCCGAAGCTCAAGCTCGTCTCCGAGCCGGCCAGCGCCGCCCCGTCAAGTTCGACATGCCTTCTGCCAAAGAACGCGCCGCCGTCGTCGCAAACGGTCACGCCAAAGGCCCCGAGCCGAAAGCCACTTCACAAACCCCTGCCAACGGGGCTGCTAACTCCGATCCCGGTCCTGAACCTTTCCTCCTCCCGGTCAAGAAATCAGCTATCAAGTCTGGCGCGGCAAAGAAATGCACCCCTGGCCACTGTGCTGTCTGCCTCTCGCCCTTCATTGAATGGGAAACCCACACCTTGGTTGGCTTTGCCTGTGGACATGTCTTCCATTTGCCCCATCTCCTAGCCAAACTCTACCCCAATGAGAGGGAGGAGGACTGGGTGGCGCAGGGGTTGTTAGGTCAAGTGTTACCCGCTGCTGGGGCCGGCTTTGGTTTTGAGGATGAAGAAGATGAGGATGGGTTTGGGCTGGGGGGGCATAGAGCTACGTTGATGGCTCTAGGGGCTGGGCGGTCCGTTGGGGCGAAGGTTACACATGCGAGGTTGTTGAGGGAGAGGATACGGGGAGGATGTCCTGTCTGTGGGGAAGGGCAATCGACTGATGGGGGCAGGTAAGGGTAAGGGACTTACCTGCCCTTCTGGGAGATGATATTGAGTTTTACTAATCAGGGTCGTTTCAATGTTTCTTTGTCTCGTCCAAAATTCTTCATAGCGTGCATTGGTCTGGGATCAACGGGATGGCATGCGGTTTCTATCATCAACCTTCGATGCTGTATAGTACTTCCGTTTGGCGTGCGTACATAGGGTCTGGTCTAATTTTCGTGATACCATTTCTCAATATGACCACCAAGCCTTTGAGAACCCAGGGGTTGAAAACTATAGTCGTTATCTTGGCTTAGAGGAGGGGAGTGTCGAGGACTCGGCAATCATCAACCTATGCTGCTTCTCTAAGTATCAACAACTAGCAAGGGCGTGTAGCTCATTTGGTAGAGCGCTCGCTTAGCATCTGTGGGTACTCCCTATCTGGGGAGTTCCGCTCCTACAATGGTTTGCGAGAGGTACTGGGTTCGATTCCCAGCTCGTCCAGCTCAGTTAACTTTCCTCCTGATCCAATTGGGTGGATTCCCCTTTTACTCTTACCGCATTTATTTTTCTGTAGAGATTTTTGTGCGGCTCTTTTGGCTGAGACAGTGTAACTCCCCCAAACCCCGCATCCAAGCAGCCCCTCATGCCCCTTCTCCTAGCTTGAGCTTCAGCTTAAGCTGACAGCCTAATGTTGAAATGAGCGGATGAGCCGATGTCTGGTCATCGACACGCCGTCTAAGATCCCGATCTCAAACTTTTATGCTCCAGTTTGCGGCTGCGGCCCAGAGCCCGGGAAATCTTTAACGTCCCAGCTGTGAAAGCGGGTCCCACTACGACACGCGCTGATTTGTAAGCAGTGTCTTAGCTATCATGGAGGAGCCAAGGGAGTTCATTCCTAGGGATGCAACACTGCTTACGGACGCAAGTCTGGGACTTGGAAGTGGAACGTTCGAGAAGGCAGGGTCATGGTATGACGAGACATGTTGATGAAGGATATTGTTGCTAAGAAATGCAGCAGCTCATAATAGCTGCGTGCAATTCTGCTGACAAAACCCAGCTGTTAGCCGTGGAGAGACCCGGGCGACGCTGCATGCTTCAATAAAGACAAGCAACGGATTGTTGCGGATGAATTCAACGTATATATAGGGGGATCGTGCCAGGCATTCCGTGGCGTTTTTGAGCCTTGAGTCTATATACGAGTTTGTTGCAATCTCGACTCTCAAGCACGCAATACATCAATTTCTTACCCCCAACCACGAGCCAACCTACCACCTTGATCTCCGATTGAGTGAAGTCACTGTCACACAGCATCACATCACATCACATAATCAACATGGCTCCCTTCGGCAAGATCTACAGCTACCCTGGCAACTACCGCGTTGCGCGGGTGAGTCCGCCCCTCCTTCATGACAACTCCCACCAACTGGGTCCCTCTCCACTCAGCCTCATCCCATCATCTTCTCCATCATAAGCCATGGCTGAGCCCTAACACAACCCAGACCCTCGCCCTCGCCGAGCTCAACGGCCTCGAGGTCGTCCTCGACCCCGACTTCCAGATGGGCGTGACCAACAAGACGCCCGAGTTCCTCGCCAAGTTCCCGCTGGGCAAGGTCCCGGCCTTCGAATCCGCTGACGGCAGCTTCCACCTGACCGAGGGCCAGGCCATCGCGCGCTATGTCGCCGACAGCGGGCCGAAGGCTGCCCAGCTGCTCGGCGCCGACCCCAAGACCCGCGCGCTGATCGACCAGTGGGCATGCTTTGCCGAGCAGGAGTTGGGGATGCACCTCCTGCTGCCGGTGCGAATGACGCTGTTCAAGATAATTCCCTTTGACGAGGCTCGCTACGACCAGTGCGCGGCCAACTTTGAGCGCGCGCTCAAGAGGCTCGATGTCGCTCTGCAGGGCGGCAAGAAGTTCCTCGTTGGCGACCAGCTCACTTTCGCTGATGTCATGGTACTCGGCCCGCTGTCGCTCGCGACCAAAGTGTTGGTTGATGCCGAGATGAGGAAGGCTGCGCCGAATGTTGAGGGATATCTCAAGGGCTTGTTGGAGATTCCTGAGTTGAAGAAGGCGTTTGGCGAGCTGGTACTGATTGAGACTCGGGTTAAGGCCTGAATAGTTAGATGGAAAGGAGGATAGAGAAAATATAGAGTTTGGGGTTTGACCGTTTTCAGGGCTAGATTGCGGTGACCTAAGTGAGGAAGAACCTTGTTCCATGCAGGTTATCGCAGCAGTGTGACAACGTACGACAATCCCCCACTGACGTTGCCCGACTTCAGTCGGCAGATGCAATTGCAGATGCAGGTGCCCCGCGATAAATACCCAATGCCGGTCTTTGACTAGCAGTCTCCGAAATTCGCACTTTCCCCAAGCCTTGTCCCCCCCTGCAGTGAGGCTCTGAGGGGAAGATATTGCCACAGACTCATGTCAGCGCGCTCTATTGGAGATAGGTTGCTATTGTGCTCTGCAGATATAGCTACTACAGTGTCAGCTACCGTGCCACCACAGAGTTAGCTATTTCGATCCAATGCCTTGCTCTTCATTCTCTGTGGACAATAGCTAATGAGCTACTGGCCTGTCAAATGATTCTCCGGCGATGGTGAATCTTAACTTTCAAAATCCTTAAGTGTTGACTATTTGGTCTCGCTTCTCACAACCAAGTCCAACATCGTCAGTATCACCATGGTCAACACTCAGAGGATCGGCGGGCCCGGGCTTCGCAATGCTATTGTCCGGCATATCCCTTTATACGGTCAAGATGCAGCCCCTGTGCAAACTATCAGCATCGCAGAAATCATGGACAGTCTTTTTCTGCGCCGTAAGCTATCATGATTCTCCGTAAAAACACTTGCTAACCGCCACTTTAGCCCCTGGTCAGCCCCGGGAGCCGTTTCGCTTCTGGTCGTCTGGCCCTCGCCCAGCTCTCCCTTCAGTTTCACCTACCCTCGATCCCAGTGCTATTTTCGACTCCTGGGAGCCCCATAGTTGGCGATCAAGAAGTGCCTGCCAGGGGTTGGTTAACCCGAAGATCAAGGCCTACCTTATAGCCCCTCTTCCAGCCTGGATGAGCTTCGATGATTCCCCGTTGAATGAGCCGGAGGATTCCGACGACATCCTGCCCCAGTGGTATTACCCTCCGCGGGTGGTCGCCACTGTCTGTAGTGGGGCCGGCCCTAGGACTACAGGCGGGCAGCCTCAATCGGCGGGAGCAGAGCTCCTGCACCCCCTGGATGCTCAGTGCTCTCCGGACAAAACGGATGATGAAGAAGACGAAAACGGCGACGAAAAGTGCCAACATTCTCCGGCAAAGGGGGTGAGCACCCCCAAGCCCCCGATCTTGCCGATCGCAATGCACCATCTCGCCGATATCATCCTCCTGGAGGCCATGGACAACTACCGTGGGAGGGCTAAGGTGTGGTTCGCCGAGCAACGGGGCTAGAGTTCCCACTTTCTGGAGCCTATCGTTAGCTTTTTGCACGGACCCAAGCAGCTGAATGTTTCACAGGACCAAACATCGTGTCAAGAAGCGCGACATGAAAACGTCACGGGTGATCAGACAGAAAGCAGGAGCAGCATCTTGGATGATGACGCGGCAAGCGAGCACTGGGTCGAGCTCACAGACAAAGCTAGCCTGCTTGATTCGGACGAGGAAGCGAAGACAGAGCAGGTTGAGCCGGAGTGGGTGATGGTTGAGGCAGCATAAGTCGATTAAGCTTGGGCTTTGAAACTAGGGGCGTATTCTGCGATTCAGATCTCATTTCAGTAGAAACTTTACCGTAAAGTCTGTTAGGGATATGGCAAAAGGGGGTGTACGAGATACCGCAATAATAGGCACAGTTTGTATAAATATTAGTGGGCGATTTTTCGAGATGATACACACAGACCAGCTGCAGAAAAACTCGTCTACACAATTTAGCAGCCGACGCCCAACCAAGCCCTGTCTGGGAGCCCCGGCGACGCGGGCCTCAGCTTGGCTAAGGCTACCCCCAAGTCCCGTCAGACCACGGATGATCCCACCCTTGACATAGCATCATAGTGGCGGTCGAATAAGCCTTAGTCCAGATTGTTGGGTGGCCCCTCAGTTAAACTCTTCCTCGCTCTCTTCGACACAAAGTGTCTGGCTAGATGGGTCGCGGAGGTATCTGGACAGGGGAACTTTCTGGAGTACCATTTCAGGTTCAACCACCCAAATGCGATCAGAATTTGCCCTTGGGGCTCGATGGCCTCCAGAGGCTATTTCCTGAGATGCCCGCTTTCGACCTTCAATAACCCTATGGCAGAACGTCTGAACCCCAGAGTCTTTTGGCATTCTCACCAACATTTGAGAACAAGAGAGTACAACTCGAGCTTCACGGTTCCGCCCGAGATGAACAGATGGGGCGAACTGTTCCCATCCTACGCCTCCCTGTCTCCTCCCCTCGCTTGGTTTAACACCTCCAAAACCTTTATCCCCTCTAGCAACTCATAATCAGATCCAGAACTATCTACTTTAGATATCCCCATTTCTGGTATTTTCCCTACCTAACCCCATTTCCCATCCCCTCATGATATCCTCTCACAGCAACACACCGTTTTTTTTTGAGATTTTCCAGCGTGTATATAGTGTAGTCTAAGCAGCCCATAATCACCTCCTGTCCTCCACAGTCGTGGGCACGATCAAGCACCCTTAAGGGTGAGATGGGTCGAAAATGGGATTCAACTCAATACATGAAGAAAACATTTTGGTTTTTGGAGACATGTTTTCCAAGGAAATGCATGTTGAAATCAAAAGAGCCAAAGACCTCTGATACTTTTCTTCGGAGCCACTTGGTTTTTCTGGGAGGTTTGCTGCCTTTATCACCGCTCCAACTTCCGCCAATTTACTGTCCGAACTAATACCTAACCTGAAGTGCCATGATGCTTATTATCCAGTGAAGCACTTATGAAGAACAAAGTTCTGCACTGTAATCATGATAAAGTCAACACAAGTCTATTAGGGTTCTTGTACGAGTGCAAATGTGACGATTCCACAACTTCCTGAGATAAGTTCGAAATAGTAGCTAAGTTGTAGAACTTGAGAGACTTAGGTCCTCACCCAGTAGTGTATATGATGTACTGCGGTCACCAGTTGTTGGTTCAGAACTGTTTTATTGCTCACTGAGGAGCCCTCGTCATGGCTATGGGGGATGGTGAATCTTATTTTTTTTCCATAGTTATACTCAAGAGTCGTTGGTATGCCTGCCCTGCTATTCAGGTTATCATCGAGAGGTCGATTATTGGCGGTTCTTGGCGACGAAAGTATTCCCCTGCTTGCGATTGGTCCGTTTCTTGGCCCCATTTTTGCTTCCTTATCGGTCCTTCTTCCACTGCTGCGGTGCGGCTGCTGGTCCACACCTGGGCTGTTACAACAGACTTTTGAGCCCCAGGTAGAGATAGCACTAGGTCACTGAAGCATGGTTAAGCCAGAGTCGGCGTGAAAAGTCTCATTGAAGAGTGCGGAGTAGAGCAGGTTGTCCATGATCACCCAACTTGAACATCTAATGGAACACATTGTGCTAGGATGAAGGGTAAAGGCTCTGATGGCATTTAAACCCTACAGGGTACTCTTCTGATAGCCTTTGGTCAAACCGTCAATGGTCTTATAGGCGCCTGGAAAACATTATTAGTCTAGGGCCTAGAAGGATGCTATGCTGTTTTCTGAAGGCTGGAGATGGAGCGGCGGGCTAGACGACCCTATGCTTTCACCAAATTGCTATCAGTGCCATGGTGGTTGTGTGTGCACTTACTGTGGAATGTTTTCCGCAACAATTCGAGGGATGGTTGTTGTGGGTTGTCGCAGGAAGGAGATTTGATTTTTGAGATTGTAGTTGATCAGGCATAAAGCAACTTCTACTTGAAACTAACTAAAGATGAAACTGTTAGACTGAAGTGACCAAATATCCATGTCCAATAAAAATGCTTACATGGAAGTCTGTAAGAAATCGTGCATTTTGCGTATCCAGAGGAATCCTTCCACAGGTCTCCCAGGAGTTTTGCTCTACGCTTGGTTGAATCACCCCGCAACAGTGTTCCCACATAAAAAGATCCCTCCAACAAAGGTCCAGCCAACATAGCTAAGCCTTGAACGGGTGACTCGTCTAGTGGTTAGGACACTTCGTTGTGGTTCCGTACGGAAACATGACGACCGAAGAAACCCTGGTTCGATTCCAGGGTCACCCACACTTTTTTTTTCCATCTATTCAATCGGAATCAGTCGAGAAACCTGGAGGTGATGTGCTGTGTGCTTTAGATAATTTAACATAATTCGGCTTTCCTCTTGGTTGTGAGGCGCGACTCCTGCGATATCCTACCCCTGAATGGGGACTCTACATAAAGGGACCTGTCCTTGGTCTCGAGTCAGATCTCACAGGTCAATTTGGGAGAACAAAAATGTGCCTATATTCAAAGTTAACATAACATTAACAGAGTTTAACCGAGGTGGCTTAACAATACTTACCACTTGCAGTTTGCTACATCCAGTTAGTAATAAGTCGGAGTTATGGATGGCTGTGCTCACCTGCGAAAAAATTTGGCATACGGATGCTTAACCACCCTGCCAATTAAAAGCTTTATGGTTAGGTAAGCCAACAGAGTCCCTGGATGTTTCACAGCTTCACACTCGTCGAGCCTATGGACTTCATGCCTCAACTATGATAGTATCTCCAACTTCAGCCGTTGAAGGTTTACGAGCCCAGGGTTTCCTGATCCAGGGCTAGCCATCATCATTTATCACATTATGCTATTTGGGAACGCAATTTTTCACAAGCAGCTGGACATTCAAATGATTCTAGTCACTTACTGGCTTGCTGGCGCCTGGCATTTATGTCGCTAGTCAGATATCCAGATGGCCGAAGAGAACAGGATAACGGTGGTTAACGTCACCCTATAGCCGAAGAGCTCTTGAGGCTGAATTGCTACGCCAGCCTATACGTAACTGATTTCTAGTTCAGGTTCTTTATCCCATATACTGTCTGTTTCGGGGCCTGCCTAGGCTATTGGAGCTTCGTGGTTCCAAGTCAATTTTGAATACCTTGGCTGTGCTCCTAGCTGATAAGTGACCATTGAGCTTGACAGTTCTCTGTCCATCTTGGCAAGCTTAGAGCGAATGCTTCTTGAGATAGTTCGCAATATCGCAAGTAGTGAAGCTGTAGCGAGAGTCACTAGGTTGGCTGGTTCCTGCAAAAGTCTCGGGAATCAGGACCGAGGGGGAACCGGTCATGGTATCATTGGATTATTGTCTAACCTAAACTTCTATTTTGATCTCAGCCCAGCTTTAAGCAGGACTTTATGCAAGGGATGGCGTCCTCAGAGATGGAATCACAGCGATAGACTATATTTTCTAAGCAGCTCTATGTGTCCGCTGCTTGCTGTCGATATCACATCACTGCCTAGTTCTGCTATCTGGTTGGTCTCTACGAGCATTGCATGAAGCTCTCACAGCCACGTCGCCTCCAATCACCTCTAATGCCACAAGACCACTTCTTTCCACATGCTTCTTTTTCCCAACTTGATGATCCTAACGGTACTCACCGTTGTGCTGTTTCTTAGCCAACAACATACTCCTCAGATTGGTAAAACCATACGCCACCCCGATTTCATCGTGCATTTCTATTTTCGTCTCTCTGTCCCACCCCTACGCCGTCTCCTCAAAACCCCAGACTAACCATGCCCGACAAAGCAGGTGGGTCACTAAACCTTGTTCTTCCCTCAAAGCCAGCATCAACTGCTGTCCAACATCAAACAATGACTCCAGTCTTGGCACACCCAACGCCCGTCGGCTGTGCACGCCCAGGCGACCAGTCAGCTTGCAGCACCTCAGCGACGGCCGGTAGGGCTGAGCTGAATCACATCGGAGTTAAGGCTGCGTGGCTGGACGTGGTCAGTCAGTCTCGGGCTGGCAGCCGGCGGATTCCAGTTGACATCATCCAGACCAGGGACGATGGATATTGGTTGGAGGGCAAACGTCTTTGGGGTTGAGTGTTGGGCATCATCATCATAAGACTCAGTTACTCGCGATGAAGTGGACGACGAGAGAAAGGTAGGTGGAGGCTGTGTGTTGGTGATAGGAGTTCTAGCCGTCGGGGTGCAAGGGGGGGGAGGGAGGATGTGTAAGAATAGAAGATGAAGCTGAGAATTAAGTCCACTTGGACAGCGGAAAAACTGTATATAAAGCCGTGAAGAGTCTAGGATCGCTAGAGATAGACATGAAGATCAAGAAACAACTCAATTCAACATCAAACACAACAGTCAAACTGAGCGAGCAGGTTGAACATGCACTACCCTCTTTTCCGAGCAGCCCTAGGCCTGCTCTTCCTCTGGGTTATCCTAGCCCAAGCCCAAGAGCAGTCCTTCGCCATCAAGCTGAACAACGTGGCCTATGTTAGACAAAGGTCGAACTCTAGCTTTATCTCTTCGCTCATTAAGCGCGTTGGCTACAACGGCCAGGAACCCAAGAGCGTCGCTGTCAAGCCTCTTTTCAGGCAGGACCTCCTAGCCAAGATCGACCGCCAGGCTACCAACAACCAGAGGCATTCGCTTGACCGGTGGTATGAGGTCAAAATCGTGCCTGCCCCTGAGCCAGTTGTAGTATTACGTCGAAACGACACCCTGTCAGAAGATCCTGCACAGGGCGATAAAATCCCAGCTTATGTAGTCAAGTTCATGCAGGACTTGATCAAGCTGCAGGAGATTACGAACATTCACCCGTTGCTGGATCACGATGATCCTCAGGTCGACACCATCAACCCAGCCGATGATCCCCGGAGTGGACGCCAGGGGTACCTTGATCCTGCCCCGGGTGGAATCGATGCGAGGTACGCGTGGAGAGTGCCTGGTGGCACAGGTCGAGGTGTCACCGTGGTAGACTTGGAGCAGGGGTTCAATTTGGATCACGAAGATTTGGTAAGAGTACCTGTCTCGTAGCAGATGGGATTCAGATGGCTAATGAATGCAGCCACGGAACATTGACTTGATTGGGGGCCACATAATAGCTTCGTCAAGGTTTCACGGCACTGGCGTGCTTGGCGAGCTGTTCATGGTGGATAATAAGATCGGGGGCGTTGGTATCGTCCCGAACGCCAGGGGCCGCGTTGTTTCGTACGGAACTGCCTCGGGGGGTGAAGACATCCCCAATGCGATCTTGGAAGCCGTCGCAGTCCTTCACTTTGGTGACATTCTCCTCCTGGAAGTTCAAACACGTGACCCAGTGACTGGGACGAGGGGATGGCCAGTCGAAATCCGGGATGAGATTTTTGAAGAGATTCAGTATGCCACATCACTGGGCATCACGGTAATTGAGGCCGCGGGAAACGGTGGCTACGACCTAGACAATTACCAGAACATCGAGGGAGATCGCATCTTCTTCCGGCAGGGAGGCCTACGGAGCGGCTTCCGAGAGTCAGGCGCAGTGATGGTCGGTGCGGCGAGTTCAACGGTACCCCATACACGGATGTGGTTCTCAAATCACGGCAGTCGGGTCGATGTGTACGCATGGGGAGAGAATGTCGCCACAGCATTTGCCAACACAACAATAGGCGTCAACAACTTATACACGGATACTTTTAACGGTACATCGAGCGCAAGTGGTATCATCGCTGGCGCAGCAGCTGCCGCCCAAGGCATGTCCGTGGCGCATCGAAACATCAGGCTCTCTCCCCAACAAATGCGAACTATCCTTCAAGTCAACGGCACGCAGTCGCGGAACCCTGGCGTGGATCGTATCGGCGTCATGCCAAACCTGCGGTCTATCGCCGACCAGATTGCCAACCCGGACGGTCAGTTCGCTGTTGACGTGTATTTCCGCGACCAGGTGGGCGATGTTGGGTTGGTTCCGACAACCGGGGGTGTGTACAGGTCCCCAGATATCATCGTGCGCCAGTGGCCCTACGTCAATCCCAGCACGGCCCTCGGTACTGGGAGTGGTACAGAAGATAACGTGGCACTCTCCCATGATGTAGTTTCAGGAAGGGAGCACTCACTATATGTGCGAGTGCAAAACCGTGGCACGGCCGATACATCCCAGGACACAGAGGTCAAGCTGTGGTGGTCCCGTCCAACTACCCTTAATACACCGAACCTATGGAATTTCATCGGCACAGCCTTGATCCGTGCCCCCGTGCGCGGGTCCCGTCAGCGTTTCTCCGTGTCTGATCGATTGGCATGGCCGGCCAACAGGTTACCGCCGGCATTGCCGAACCAGAAGGACCATTACTGCTTTGTGGCAATTGCAGACACGCCGAACCAGGACCCTGAGCCTCTTCTGCCACAGAGCTTTGAGCAGTTCGACAGGTTCGTGAAGGAAAACAACAATGTCGCCTGGAGAAACTTCAACGTGCTGCCTGCTCCGGCCAATGACACATCGCCAGGAGGGGATCCCTCTATGCCAGGTTTCCATCGGTTGATTGTTTACGTGCCTGGCGCGTGGGATAGCGACTAGACGTTCACTCTCAACACTCATGGCAAGTTGCCGGCAGGTTCGCAAGCCTTCATTCGCGTACCACGCAATTTTACAAGCGCACTTGGAGATGGAGGACGGTTTGGCGACCTTGGCAAGGGCAACGGTGGAGGAAGTGGGGGAAATGGTGGCAATGGGGGCGATGGCGGGGACGGCGGTGCTGGCGGCAATGGGGGAAGGGGTGGCAACGGCGGTAATGGTGGTGATGGAGGTAATGGCGGCAGTGGAGGGAATGGCGGCAACGGCGGTAATGGGGGTCATGGAGGGAATGGTGGTAACGGAGGTGATGGCGGTGCTGGTGGCAGTGGGGGCAACGGGGGTAACGGCGGCAGTGGCGGTAATGGTGGTGATGGAGGACATGGCGGTAACGGAGGAAATGGAGGAAATGGGGGTAATGGGGGTAATGGAGGGAACGGTGGTGTTGGCGGCAATGGCGGCAGTGGCGGCAACGGAGGAAATGGCGGTGATGGAGGCAGTGGCGGCAACGGAGGCAATGGCGGCAACGGAGGCAATGGCGGTGATGGAGGCAGTGGTGGCAACGGAGGCAATGGCGGTGATGGAGGCGACGGGGGTGACGGTGGTGACGGTGGTGATGGTGGTGATGGTGGTAATGGTGGTGACGGCGGTCAAGGGGGGGATGATTGGGACGACGATGACAGCTGTGGCGGCCATGGTGGCCGTGGTGAGAAAGGCAGCAAGGGTGGTTATGGTCGAGGCGGCAGAGGAGGTCATGGCGGCAAGGGCTGCAAGTGCCACGACAAGCGCCAGACTCATAATCAGGGAGATGAAAAGGTCCAGGTGGAGCTTAAGATTGACGGCGACGAGACCTTAGGAGTTGGTGTGCTTCCTCAGGGAAGCATCACTGAGGTCGAGATCTTCATCAAGGTGCCGGATACGGCCTATACCAACGGCGGCGAGCACGAGTTCGCCATCGCTCAGGCGTGGAAGGGCTCCGAGCTCGGCAGAGTCACTTGGCGCTTTGCTGCTGTTGATTTGGACCCCTAAGGGACAGGGCATGGATGGATCCATGGATGGAGGAGATGAATCTGGTCCAGAATTTGCTTAGCAATGGGACAGGATTGGATAGCAGGGCTACCGGTAGATTGTTGCTTGGACAACTCACGGCTTGTGCTGGGGCAAGGAGATGATCACGAGATGACTTTCATTTTCATTTCCTTACTCTCTTGTTTCTTCTCTGTTGAGGCTGTGTTAGCTTGACTCTCTTCTCAATAATACAAACGTTTCCAAACACTGGTAACTTGTGTACAATCTGTTTTTGAGTGTCGCCGAGACAGTCGAAGGACTGACCGCAGAAGAGAATGGGGACCGGGAATAGTTAAAGACAGGGACAATGGATGGTGGTAAGGTTTATGATCAGTGGACCAGAGGATTCACCATGACGATGACTTCATATATTAAGTATGTGCGAGAAGGAATCTCGTTCCAATTCTGTCGGGCAGTAAAAAAAAAAAAAAAATTGTTTAGGCAGCAGTGTCAATATGTGGAGTTTCTGCCCTCCATCCGCTGACTCTTGGTCATGTGCAACCTTGAGCAGTCAGGAACGACCCAAGTTCCTTTTTGGATGACCGCCATCTCCACTTCACGATCACAGGAACTTTAACTTCATCAAACTGGTCGTCGCCGCAGTCTAACTGTGGAGTAGTAGTCTATTCCCATCGTCATCACAACCTCATTACCATAATTAATACACCATATCCAGCAAGATGCCCCATTCAGCCTCATCATCCCGCCGGAACTCTAACGGCTTGCGGTCCTTCATGAGCACAAACACAGAATTGCCCTTGAAGTAAACCGACACGCCCTTCTTCCCATCCGGCCCAGAAATCCGGTACAGAGGACCCTCGGCATGGATCTTGTTCCTCTCTGGCATGAACTGCAAATCATGCTCCTGGCACCACTCCTCAAGCACCTGCCGGAAGGTGATCTCCTCAGGCGGCTTGCCAACAGTCGCTCTCTCCTTTTCTTTCTCTCTTTCTCTCTCACGCTCCCTCTCCTTCTCTGTCCTTCTCCTCTCTTCCCTTCCCGTGCGGAGCGCAGGACCACGCTCAGGGGGTTTGAGTTCATCCTTGGCCCGATTACCAAGATCCAGAGCCCTCTCGATCATGGCAGTCCCCTTCTCAAACTCGGCCGTGATCGACGGCAGCGCCTTGATGTCATCCGGGAACACCTGATCCTGCCACCATTCGAACCACTGGCCAATCTCCTCGTAGTTGGCATCTTCCAAGAGTAGCCACTGGTACAGTGCATCGTGCCACATGGGGAAGACCTCGGCAACGATGACCTCGCCGACCATCTCGGGACGAATAACTTCTGTCCACTCGAAGACTTTGTCGAGGATATCGATGTACGGTCCTTGATCGCGAGGGTCAACGCGGAACTTCTGCCGTAGATACTTCGCCATGGCCGGTAGGAGATGGTTCATCATCAGCGGTGTCCAATAGTCGCTGCTACGTCCGTGCTCTGGCCACAGGACCTGCTTCCAGTGCTTCAGGCCGGGGATTACGCCGCGCGAGAAGTCCCAGGCATCGATCAGCGTCCTAAACTTTCGGCGCACATCCGCGACAAGTCCAGTAGCAGCCTTTGCATCTAGGTGGCTCGCCGGTAGGTACGGCAGCCAAGGGAAGATCCAGCGGTGTGGTAAGTTGTGTGTGTGCTTCCTTGGCTGCCACTTCTCGACGGCCTCCTCCAGCTTGCGGACAACGTCCCTCAGCAGCTGAGCACGCACAAAGCCTGGCAGGAGTGCATCCCAGGCTTCAAGTACAGCAATCAGGGGCTCTGGCTCGCGGACATCCCACTCCCGCACAGAAGCTGCCACGGTGCGTAGCCACAGCTCGTACATCATGGTCTCGTAAGGCGTAGCAGAGGGTTTGCGGTAGGTCTTCTTCTTGGGCTTTTGGTCCAGGCCCAGTAGCGACCGGATTTCCTTCATGCCATCGACAAAACTGGGTTTGGGCTCCTCAAGGGGATCCCACAGCTGCCGGAACTGGTTAAAGAGAGGATGAATGGCGGCCACGGCCAGTGCACCGAGCTCGTCGCGAACCTGCGGAAGCATGGTGCCAACGATGAGGGACGTTGTAGCACTGGCCAAGCCAGCAATGATACGCTCAAGGCGGTACTCCAAGTCCTTCTTCTGGTCGAGCTCGCCGCTTTCAGGGGGTCGCAAAGCTGTTTCGCATGCGGTTGTGACAGACCGGTTGCCTTGCAAGCTGGCCTCGAGCTCCTCGAGCTCCTGGCGCTCCTGCTGCAGCTGTAAGTCGATGTAGGCCTTACGCTCCTGTAAGCTCTGCCACTCCTCCAAGATAGCCATGAAGTCGGCCTGAGCCCGCTTGATGAGCTTGCGCTTCTCCGCTGCTTCAACGGACTCGGCTGTGGGGGCAGCACCAGTCCCGCCAGTCGGGGTCATCAGCCCGGACGTGGAGGTAAGCAGCTTCTTCTCTGGCCCAGTCATGTCAAGAATGGGCGTGAATGCCTCTGGGATATGCAGGCCTGGAGCTACCTTTTTGATCTCCTCCATTGTCAAGTACTTGGGCTTCTGAGGCCGAGGTGTGCTAGCTCCGCTGCCGGAACCGCTGCCGATCTTGCCAGCAAGCCCCTTCTTCTTCTTCGCAGCCTTCTTCTTCCTCTCTTCTTCCGACGAGTCGATGACCTCCTCACCACGAAGCCTGGCCTGGCGCTTCTCTTCTTCCCTCTCTTGCTTCGTTTTTTCCTTCACCGCACCGAGACCAACGCCCTGCGGGCGCAGGTTGACCTCAATGATGACATTTCGACCTTGTCCATCTTTACCAAGACCCTGACCCTCCTTGTACCCCATCTTAGCCAGCATCCTCGCACCGAACGAGTTCGGGTTGATCTTAGTCTTGCCATCCTTCGTCGGCTGGAACGCGCTCGGCAGGGCTGTACGCGGCGGCGTCGGCTCATCATTGCGGGCAAGCAGTGTTGGCGCGCGGGCAGATGTCGGGGTGAAGCCGGGTCCGAGAGGGTTGCTCGGATCGATCTTGGACTTGACAAAGCGCTGGAAGGGCGGCGGTTTCTTAGTCGTCGTTTCCTGCTGTGTTGGCAGCGTCCAGCCTAATCCCCCTTGTGGCTGCGACGTAGCCGACGTGGAAGAGGGCTTGAAGCCGAGCCCAACGCCGCCCATCTCGTCGTCTTCATCTTCGTCCACGTCATCCTCTGTCAAGGCGGCGGGCACCCCGCCGGGATCATCATCATCGTATTCATTATCCACAGCCTCCTGCTGCTTTCTCTCATCATCATTGCTCTCCTCTTCATCACTTTCCGACGAATCCTCCTCCTTCTTCTGCTGCCCTCCCGACACGAAATTAACGCCCCTATTCCGCAGCGGCTTGTGCTTCCACCTGCGCGCAGGGCCTTCGTCCTCGTCGCTGTCCTCGGCAAAAATGCCGAGTGCCGCGCTCTCCTTAGGGTCGCGACCCGTGCGCCGGCGCTTGCGCGGGTTGTAATCGGCGAACTCGTCGTCGTGTGGGTTGCGCGAGGGGATCACATAGTCGTCGGAGTCGGAGTCGCCATCGGAATCGGACGAGGAGTAGGCGTCAACACTGGAGTTTTTGAGACGCGCTGGGTCGAATTGAAGGTCGTCGAGGCGCGCCATAATTGCGCACAAGGCTGACTGATGAGGACTATGATGACTCCTGTCCTAGGCAGGGTGCGATGCGGAGGAAAGATTGTAGGTGGCGACGTCGGGGTTGGCCTGCTGCGCACTGCTGCACCTTGCTCCAGAAATTTGGCGGATGCTCGCCGTAGGCCATTGGGGCAAGTTACCTACTACCATTCAGCGTTTGGAGCCTTCTCTGCCTTGACGATTATGGAACAGTACAGGAACTGTGCTCGAGCCAGCTTTCCTCGTTATCTCAGCCACTCATTGGAAGAAACGGATGACTAGGACCCACAGTGCACCGTACGCAGTATTCGACGAACTGAAGCCCACGATTAGAGGAGATGCCAGCTGTAGATGTTGTCGATGCAACGTCACTTAAGGACTTTCCTACACCCTTGGTCTGCCCAGTTGTGCTTAAAGTAAGTTTGTGAGACAGCTAACTTGAGAACATGGGACTTGTAGCCGAAAGCTTTAACACAGAATCTAGGCATTACGGAGCCGTAAGGATTCGATGCAAATCCTTCAAGTCTGGATTAGAGGCACCCAAAAAATATAAGCGCAAGGGGCCGTTTTCGGCCCCCTTTGTTCTGGTTGTTGGCAAAGAGAGCTTCCAAATGGAGTCAAACGGAATGAATTAATGGAAGGTACATAACAGCAAGGAGCACAGCAACGCCGCCGCAACAGGACCTGCGTGGTCACGTCCAACAAACCAACAAGTTTGCCATGGGCAAAAAAAAGAGCGATGCAAGTTCCAGGCAGCCTAGATATGTAGAAAGTATATAAATACGTACAAAACCCGTCGAGAGTTCGCAGTGAGTGCGGAGTTACTAATGATTTGATTACTTAGTTCTATAAGGAGTCCGCAGAGTCACGAAAATCATTTTCACCTCAGCTCGCGATCTCCATGATCAACGGGAGATAAGCGCTGTGCAGATGAGCCTATCAGTTTTTTCCTTCAGAATTCAACAGATGATAGAAGATAAGTGTGTCCTGAACTCCAAGCAAAGTGCGCCCGTCTTTGGAAAAACATCTATGTTTTGACTCCTATCCATCTGGCTGTGATCACGCATTTCCACCCCACAACGGTCCTCAAACTTGCGAATGAGACTGTGCTCAACCAATAGAACGGCAAAACTGGTCGCCCCTGGAAGCGGAGACGTTGGTAAGTGGCCGTTGGTGCAAAAACAACTCTTACCTATGGTGTCGAAAATGCCATTGCACCAATTATACCACCTGCTGATCAGGCGGGACATCGCAGCTCCGTTCCAGGGCATCTTATCGGAGTTTCTTCAATGTGCTTCGCATCGCGCCTACCGCAAGATTATACAAGCAAAAAAAAAAGTAAGAAAAAGGCAGACGGCAAAGGCTGAAGGAACGTATATCTACACCTTAACCTCGACAACGCCACCAACACCTGGCGATCCCTCCACTCCCTCCAACCCGGCCCGGGCCCTTTTGTGGTGGTAGGGGACTTCAACACTCACCACCCCGACTGGGACCCCAGGGCTCGGTCAAACCCTAGAGGGGTTATGGTCAGAGCGTGGGTCTCCACAAAGGGACTACACATCCTCAACCCCGAGGACCCGACACACCGCGGCGGTGGTGTTATTGACCTTGCGCTCGGTCCTCCCAGGGCCTACGCGGAGTTTTGCTCACTGGGCCTCTTGTTTCCCTTGACAACCCATTCGCGGGAAGGATGGACCCTAAGGCCTTCTGGTCCTCCTTCCAACTTTTTAAATCAAGAGTCTCCCGGGCCGAACTCTAAAGGCAGCCTGCGAACCCTGCCCAGTGACGGCTCTCCCTCTCTCCACATTGATCCTCTTCCCCCAAACCCCCCTTCGAACCCGAGGGTCAGACACAGTTCCCCTGAACTCCTCTCCCTCCCCTCAACCATGTGACATAACAGCCCTTCAATACTTCGCGTCGGTTTTTTTTTCCCACTCGGATTATTTCCTCCGGCGTCACGTGTAATTGGTTTGCTTCAGATAGCTCTTGCCCGCCGGCGCCGTGGGCACGACTTAGCACCCCCAGTGGTGAAACGGTCGAAAAATATAAATAAATAAGTAATACAATAGCTATGCTCATCTACCCCATGCGTGTATGACTTAGAAGGTATAGCGTTGTTATTCTGCGGCACCCCATTGTGCTTGACAGATTCCCTCAGTGTCATATGGACATGGCAGTTTAAGGAGAATATCCTTGACAGTTGACATATAGAACACCAGTGACACAAGAGCTGAGGAGGGCAAAGGCTTATCTGATTGGTAGAGCCCGGAAAATATGAGGGGGTGGCAAGAATGAGTTAGATAGCCTTGCCACGCTGAGGAGAACCCCTGAAGATTGCAGGAGACTGCGAGGTACTCACAAAGGCAAAGGGATTTTATAAGGGGAGCTGCTCGGGCACTATGAAGGATTTCTCTTGGGCTTTCCTCTCCCCAACACAAGGACACTGAGGACCAAGAAAGATTATTTACACGTAGTAATTGACTTCGCGCTGCACCCCACATCGTCAGTGGCCATCATCTAACCCATTTGACCCATTGTCGATCCCTGTCTGCAATAGACCAAGTTACCTGTTACAGGTGTCCCTTGCGTTGGCAGTCGGGGATACTCCTTTCCTTGGACTGCTGTGTCCGTTTGAAAAAGAAAAATGACGAAGTATGGAGTTGTAGTCACTTCATAGACGAAATACAACACTTTCAAGTGGCGTCCTTCAAGATCTCAATGTTAACTCACGTGGCTATTGATAATGAGGAGCATAGTACAAACCTCGTTTTATCTTGAGAGCCTTTTCTCTGCTTTTTTGCTTGCTTATTTTAATGTTTATACATTGCATGATTTTGCTGTCTCCACTGCGTTGAACTTGTTCCCCCATCCTTCGTGCAGGGCAAAAGCAGACAGCAGCCTGGCCCTTGGAATATGAAAACACTTGTTCAAAGAAGTGCTGGCCGTTGAAATAGAGGCTGTTTGCTGTGATTACAAAGGGGCTGTGGACAAAATACGTTTCTCGACATCAACCGCGTTAATTATCCCCAGGTGCTTCTTTCTGTACGTTCTGCTTGAGTTGTAAATATTGGAGTGGTCGTTCCAGTTCCATGAAACGCACATCGACCTCTCTAAAGTGGCTTGTATTTCTTCCAGAGGAAAAGCGAGTAATGTAAGTTTGTTTTGAAGAGCAATAGCGCTACGTAAAAGCCGTTCGTTGTTGAGCATGGTCGCTGATCTAGAAATTATGGTCTAGTCAGCGTCTGGAGTTTGCTCCTTTGTAGCGAAAGATGCCAAGCAGGCTGATTACAAATCCAGGCTTGTAACACCAAGAGAAGATCTGAGTTTGCTTCTTAGATCTTGACTTCCAACGTCTCGATCTTCTGGTGATCGAATGGATAGGAGATTCTTGGCTTGACCTGGCAGCTCCTTGCTTCGACTAGCATCAGCTTAATTGGTGTTTTGAAATCCACTACCAAGCTCTCCAAGGTGTGCAGCTCCTCTTGACATTTGCTGAGTCTGTCAAAAAGGGCATCTCCCAACAAGTTGTCATCATATCTGAGTTGAGGATGCAAGGATTCTGTGCTTTGCAATGTGGTTCTGAGAGAGTCGATCTTCCATGCAGCAGATCTACGATCTTTATTGTGGCAGTCAGGTGCTCCAAGATACTCTTCCATACATCCATATATTTGAAAGCCGAAAGAAACCACGCCGATGACAAGCCCGGGGCAGAAAGGGGGTCCATCATTTGATCCTCCCCTCAAAGGCCAAGATTCGAAATAGGAGATTATAAACGGTAATTGTGTCGATTGTTGAGGGAAACTGAGTGTTCAAGTGAGGCTGTGAGGCAAATAACTGCACGAGAGCATGAGCACTGCTCAGCACCTGAAACTCTGGCATATTTAAGGGAACAATGGATAAAGGAGTTGGTACGTGAATGTACAATCACCTAGTGCAGGGAAAGTGGGGGCCTTTTGCTCTGTTTTTTGAGGCTATGTGCAAGCACTAAGCAAGCAGGGACTCGGAAATGCTGTTGTGCATGACTGTTGAAAAGTTGGGGTTAGGAAAATTCTTTTTGAAAATAGTAGCATGGCCCAATCTCAAGTCAATGGAGCAGTTGGTGCACAGCCTATGGTAAATGTTGGAAGCAACCGAATGCTGCCCTCGGAGCGGAGCTTGGTGATCACAAAATGTGCAAGAATTCCCTAGCAATCCTGCTTAGGGGCAAAGGAACAAGGAAGATTCAACAATTGACATCTTGACATGGTTTTCCGATACTCTCTCGGACACGCTAGATGCTAAAATCATTGATGAGATGAGTATTTGGCGATTCATTTTCCCTCGCATCAGATCACTGGTGTATCAATGGCTTAGACGGGCTAGCTTGTTGCTGGTTCCAATCACACGTAACCCAATGTGAGCACCCCTTTCCACCCTAGCGCACCCAGTCTCTTTCCGTATCCGATGTTTTCCTGTTCCTGAAGAAAACGACATCCTAATTTCTATCTCTGCTTCCACATCAAAGTCCTGTGACATGGCTCATGATATGTGTTTGCTGCTGCTCTCTCACAGATGACGCAGGTGGTGAGGACTGGTGTTACATATCTGCTTTTTCACTTGAAAATTGGCACCTATCATTGAAGATATGGGGAGACATGCCGGATACTCCTTAGTTATATCCGCATAGCATCATAGCTTAATAGATTAGTATGGCTAACAAAGACACAAAGGCCACATCATCAAAGAGGCAGCATTACTACACACTGAGTCACCAGCATTACGACGGTTGATGCATGCTCAGGAGGACAAATCTTGTAGAATTAAAAATAAAGTGAAGCTAGCCTGAGGCAACAAAGGAGTCGGGCACCGAGTTAACAGCGGAACAGGGAGCCATCCTAAGGCTTGTTCCTGGACGGGTCTGCCGAGTCCAACCATGCTCTATATATTCATATAAGCCGGTTAGTGGAGAAAAGACCGAATTTAGAGTATATATATATGTATATATATATATAGAAGTTTGAGTGTCTCTTTGTACGTATAAGATTGGGGCCCCTTCTAACCCTACTAAGTAAAAGTAACGTTGATACAAAAACTGGTACGTCTGTGACGATCCAGACAGTCCTTCTGAGATGGGTTCAAGAGATGCCAGGTCTCTGGACCTAGAGACAAGAGTCCTCACACAGTCAAAGTGGCCGTTGTGGTCACCAGTTGGTAAGCAGTTGTTTGTAATATTGCTGACTGGAGATCTTCTTCGGCCAGATGGCCTGCCTGGTATCTATATACATCACATACAACCTTGTGGCTTCCCTTCCTTCCTCTTCAACAGCACACACTGTTGAGGGTCAATATCCTTGGGTGTTGTAGAACACCTTCCCAATGATCGATTGTTGTGGGCGGATATCTGAGTTTGATGGGTTACAACTCCCTTTTACTCAGATCAGTCAGTAACATGGAAGCCACTTTCCCAGATAGAGCCGTTGTTTGTCGTGAAAACTCCTTTATTGTGCCTATCAACATTTAAGAAAAACACTTGTTTATCGATCTTAATGTTTTTGTACATAAAAAGCCGGATGGCTGTACTATGTTTGGATTAGTTCTTTTATATTTAGATTTGTTCATAATCCACCAACTCATGAGTAAAGAGGAGAGGGTTAAGAAGTGCTTTCTTAGTTTATACTTTGTCTCAATAAAGGATCATGTGATTAGTATAGTTGCTTAATGACTTACGTTCGTTTATTTACAGTTATAAAGATGATACACGACTTAGCTGATAGAGAGCAGGACGGCATTTTACCTTAATCTGAAGGGACCCTATTCTTAAACTCTTTTACAGCCAGGCTAGCAACTTCTTACACTAAGGAGGGAAACTTACAAGTGTATGTTAACAGTGACCTGTTATCAAGATATTATATGTATCCAAAAATTTTGACACTATGAATGCTAGATCCAGAATATAGAATCGGGGTGCTTCCTTGGAAGTAGTCTTGATCGCTAATCCACTCCTACACTATTCCTACGGGGAAAGTTCTAAGCAGCGTACAAAATTAACAGTCCATTTCCCGTTTGTTACATAATCTCTTTGCTCGCAGACTTCGCCAAGCTGGTATGCCCTTTCCTTGGACACCATTGCGATATTGTACGTGCCCTAGCCAAATACCAGGGGCCTTTTCAAATCTAACCCTAGCAGCACAAAATATAGAATCATCCAACCTACACTGGCACCGGAGCCCTTTGCCCCTTGACCTCTTCAATCGGCCCTTGCAAGGCAAGTAGTAAGCCTGCGAGCTCACAGCCAGCCGGCTACCTTCCTCTCCGAAGCATCAGGAATCTCTTCAGTCATATTATTTCCATGCTCGAAGTTAACATATGTTCCTTTCAAATAGAGGGGCAGATCCGCATTGCAGGGCCAGGCCGTCCCTCACGGCTGGTGTCCACTCCCCTTGATATAAGGCGGGCCGCACGGGTGACCGTTGACGATGCGATGCAATTTGTGCGAATGCCAGGAGACCTGCGAAACCTGGTCCGTCACTATGCCAGGCAGGACTCGTACCTATGGGACACCATTGATCGTGGTTCTGCATGGACGCCGTGGTCACACCACATACCAAGTGCGCAGCTGCGTGTGCAGTTTTTTCAGGCTGTGTTGAAGGTCATTGATGGTAAGTCATGCTTTAATGTTTGACGTGGTTGACTCTGGCAGCATGCGCTTCTCCTGAACTGGTTTTTGGGCCTTTTTACAAGAAAAAGAAATCAGAATTAGGAGAATATACACTAGCTTCATGTTCTTAGTCCACACTCTAACACGTGAGTAATATCTCCCAGTACTGTGCCAGCTAACCTTTGGACCAGATTTGATTCCCCGTGTCACCTTTTGTCTTGCCGACTGGCAAGCGACCACCAGGCCAATTCCAGCTTTCCCAAATTTCAAGGCCAGATCAGACTCCCAGTCCAACTCTTGCTCTTCTTCTCCCCATCAACCAGTACCGTCTCATTCACTTGTCCCTGCTCCCTCCCCTGCTCTCTCGCCAGCTGCTCCAACAACCCTGTGGCCCACCTCAAGCGTCCAGGCCCATAACCCTTTATTCTCCAGGCTGCAGTGGGCTGTTCAACGAGCCTCTCCAAGGCTGGAAGAGTACCGCTCCATGGTCTCTCGCTCCTCGACTACGGGGATAACCAACCATTCTTCTGAGTCTCAGCAGGGTCAACGTGTACAGACACAGCGGCAGGTCGTGCAGCCGCAGCAGACCTTAACCCCTGCACGTAGCTCGACTGGTAGCTTCACTATGGAGCCTGACTGGCACGATGCTAGATCTGAGGGGAGCACCACGGATGTTTCGGACGTCGATTCGATGACCAGGTGCGTGATCTTGGGCTACGCTCGGTACCATCCTGGCGAGGGTAATCCACAGGACTTGACTGTGAATGATAGCAACAAGGATGTTGGCTCTGATGCTAACTTTGCCCGGCCTCGTGACAGCCTGAAGCTTTCTGATTATAACACTCTGAAGTCAGATAACGCCAGCGTAGATGCCACCCAAGTCGCCCTGGCCCCCGTAACTGAGCAAACCCAGACCAGCCAGAAAACTAATGAACAGGAGCAGTTCCCATTAAACCCCACACTGACAGAGTCCTCTCCAGGCCCAGGAGCAGATAGTGAGGAGTCAATGGGAAACGGCAACGAGGCTAACAAACAGGACTCTCTACGACGCCAGTTTACTCCCTGTCATCAGTCTTCTCCAGTCACCACCCCGGCGACCTCAGTGTCTCTCCTATCTTCGAAAATTGACTTAGCTGTGGAGGAAAATACTTCTGCCCTCAGCCTATCGCCAGCAACCACGGATGACATCCAGCCCACGGCAAACCAAGAGGATAATACTAACGGAGAGATACCTGATGATCACTGCGCGACAAACAAGGGTGAATGATCCACATTGAAAGTCTGTATTCTTATCATGTCTTCGTAGAAGTCTAACATCATACAGTGAACCTTGAGGACCTGAAAGACGCCGCCAATACCCCCATCGTCCCCACCATCATTCCAACCCTTCCCTCAGAATTCCCTGTTATCCTGCCGGGCCCACCCTTCAGTGGCACACGGCCCTGAAGTGAGCGATAGCGAGGAGGACATCATGGCACGCTACGTACCCAACCACTTCTCCAAATCATGTGCCCACCCCACTGCCGAGCAGTTAAAGACTGACTCGGCCGCACAAGAGACTCAAGAGCTGGGTTGGGAGATTGTTACCGTCGAGGAGGCTCCTGTTATGGAAGAGAACGGGAAAGGAGCCAACAGACGGCATTGTCGTCAGGCAGAGCTTGCCAGGATGGCTTCCAGCTGGACTAGGGGATTGACCCGTTGGTGGTGAGTTGGGAGCCGCTGGTACAAAGAGCTAAGAAGGCGTTGTGTAAGGGATTGTGGGTGAAGGTTCGAAATTGAAAGAGTGATTACTGCGCCTTTACAGTTGGAGTTTCAGTGTGTTTCATAAGAGCTTGAATTGACATTAACAATCTTGAATCTTCGAATAAGCTTTGGAATTGTCTGGCCGTTATACAAAACAGTTCGTTTAGAGGTTTGTGGCTTGTCGGTGCATTTGTGGTTGTGGTTTTTAAACTGCTCAATACTCGGTAGTTATCGCTTATTCGGATATCTCCAAGCATGTTCCCTTAGTTCGATGGGTCATTGTCGCGGTGCGTATTAGCAGGGGCATGCTGATGATCGCTTTGCCTCATATAAACTTGTGCATACCTTGGGTATCTCTCTGCCTTATAATGTCGCTAGAAGTTTAGTCATGGGAGATTGTTTAGGAGATGTGCTTCCTGACTTCATGTTCTGACAAGGCGGCATTTCCTGTTCTTTTGCTCAGGGGTAAAAGGGGAATGGAGAAGCCAACCAACCATCTATTCCAAGTTCCGCTGAATGGAGTGCTTGTGACATACTGCTAGTAATACAGAAAAAATCGAGATGCTCTTCGAAACAGTACCGAGCACAGAGACATGCTTTGTCTTGTGCTGAATAGTCCTTCCCTCCCCCCACCTTAACCCTTTTCTCCCCCACAACACACGCCCCATTTTACCCCGGACGTACCCCCACTCATTCCTACACCCACAACTCCACTTTCTCCCCCCATTTCATAACTTTCTCCATCAGCTCTCCCCGCCTTAAACCCTCGTAGATCTCCCCCGCTAAGCTCCCCAGGATCCTGCTCCTGACCTTCACCTCCTCTTCATTCTTTAGCCCAATATCCTCCCCGGATTTCCACCTTCTGACCAATAAAGGCGGATGGTCCTCGACACCCCGATTCATCGGCACCTTCAGTTCTTCACGCACCCATTTCCACACGGCCGCCGTCAAGGGGCTGACCCAGCGCGTGGTTGTAGGGTGCGTGAAGAAGGATGATCTCACAGCGCGATAGCACTGCTGCAGCGCCGAGGCAGCCTCAGAGCGGAACTCACGGATTGCGGACGTCGTCAACTCGTAACCGTTGAGTATTTCGAGCAATTCGGCGATGGCCTCGCCCACAGCCAAGCGACTCCGGTCCGGCAAGTCCTTATGCGCCAGACGATCCCACTTTTGCATGATGGCGTGGCTGACCTTATTGAGGAGCTCATCCTTGACCTCGATGCCGTCTACAAGCTTCTGCAAAGCAGACTTCAGCGCTGCCGGTACCAGCAGAGCAAATTCCCGGCCCAAACACCGCAGATCTAATGCCTGACACAGCACATAGAGATATGTGGCTGCCATCAACGAGACAAGTTCAACTGCCTCAAGGGCATAGCGCCCTGCGACGAGTGCCATGGAGTTGACACTCTGGTTGGCCATTTCAGCAATCTGAACGTGCGACGAGACCGGACGAGCAAGGTAGGCCAACTCGGCGGCATATGCAGCCATGTTGACGTCGAATCCCTTGGCTGTGAACGATGCCGAGGGGTCGTCAGCAGACAAGTTCGGCGGCAGGCCCTTATTGGTCGCGTTGTTGATCAGTTCCGTGCACTGGGTGAAGAGGAGTCTGCCGAGGTTCTGCAGCGCAGTCATGGTCTTCTCCATCGCCGAGGTGATAGCCATGGCCTGGAAGTTCCCTCCATGATGGACGCGCAAGCCATGAGCATCGATGAGAGGGTTATCAGTGGTGGAGTTCAGCTCGATCTCGACCTGGCGCGTGGCCAGCCGCAAGTCCTCGAGCTGGGGACCGATCCATTGGGGTGCGGTTCGTAAGGGGTACCGGTCCTGGGCTAAGCCAACGCGATGCTTGGAGGACGCCTCGTCGGAGGGACAGAGTTTTGAGTCTCGCAAAAAGTTGTAGATGTTATGTGCGACCTCTGTCTGGCCAGAGTGTGGCCGGACCTGAGAAATAAAGGGGTCGTAGTTGTTGATAGTGCCGTCAAGAGCTTCAGTGCCCATCGCGGTCAGCACCTGCACGAGGAGCGCCAACTGGTTGGCCTCGTGTATCGCGAGACAGGCAACTGCGCAACTGGGCGCCGTGCCGTTGGTGATACCCAGGCCTTCCTTGGCCTGAAGGCGAACTGGCCTGATACCGGCTATCTCGAGGGTCTCGCTGGCAGGGATGACCTTGGGCCGGCCGTTAGGTTCCTTGCCGCCGATCCGGACGTAGATATCCGGGTTGCCCTCAATAGCGCCGGCGATGTATGAAAGCGTTGAGAGGTCGCCCGATGAGGAGATGCTTCCGCGCAGGGGCACCACTGGCGTCATATCCAGCGCCAACAACTTCATGACAGATTCGATCACACTGACACGAACCGCGGAATGACCTCTCATCAGGGAATTGCACCTGATGAGCATCGACGCCCTAACGACAGGAACAGGCAACGCGTGGCTGCGCAGCAGCTGGTTATCCTTGACGTCCCCTTCATCTTCAGGGTCTCTCTTGTCGGCTTTCAGCAAGATGCCGACATTGAGATGCTGGATGGCTGCATCCTGCAAGCGCTCAAAGTTTTGCGTGCGCGTGTCGGCGCTGCCGCCAAACCCGGTGTTAACGCCATAGACGACTTGGCCCAGCTCGAGCTCATGCTGCAGGAAGTTAACGCTTTTCAGGATCTCTTGCTGTCTGATCGGGTCGGACGTCAACTGGGCCGGAACGCCGCGCCTGTGAGGGTCAGTTTGAGTGCTCTACTGGGCGAGTGGTTAGGGTTTTGTCACCCACATAGAGACGGCCACCACGTCGGCGATGGTCAGGTCATGGCCATTGACGACCACCGGGGAACCGGAGCGCAGGCGGTCCTGGAGCCGCGTCCATTCGGCATAGGTGGCATTGGCATGCGGGGTTATTACGTTTGGGAAGACCACTGTACTGCCCATATTGGTGATAATGATGCTTGATAGGTTTACCTATAGTTTGGTTTGCGCGATTCGCTGATAATGTTGCAACGTTCGACACGAAGGATGCAATACAAAGCCTCGGGGGTCAAGTGGGCAGTCCAAGCCGTCTTAAGGTTGCTGAAATGATAGGAAGCTGCGCTGGCGCAGTCGAGCTGTCCTCTTCACAGTCCCGGTCTTCGGACTGAGAGTCAACCTTCTCAACACATTTTTACACATTTTTTCCGTCGCTATTTTTTCTCAACCCGACCCTTGCCCGGCGGACGTTGTTAGCGTGCAGCCGCAAAAACCAAGCTTTCCGTTGACCCCTGTCCCTTGCTGCCGGTTCTCGGAATGGCTTCCGGTTCCGTGACGTTGGACGACCAGCTTTCCGGGTTGGGGGTAGCGGCTCTTCCGCTTTTCCCCGTCTCTTAGCCCGCCGATTCAGCATCACCAGTGCCCGCTAACTATATGTCACTAACTTGGAACAGGTCAGAGTACAGAGGATGTTGAGTAAACCTGCAAGAAGCTATGTATGATGAGGCCAGCTTGTGACAGGGTAGCATTGGCACAGACCCTTGTCCTCGCTTACCTGCCTGCTTTCGGATAACCAGAGGTGTTGTGTGAGATTTTCCCTGGGGTGCTTTTTGACTGTGACGGATCATATGTCTTGCTTCCCACGTAAACACGAAGAGATGGTGCTATGCATGTCTAGCCAGTCATGTTTGGATTGGGCACGCCCATGCACAGAGATCGTGATCTAAGTATTGCGGGCGCTTACATGATCGGATGGTCCTAGATCTCGAATGATCTTGTGCACTTTGGCCATGATGCAGGTCACCGCGTCTAACGGCTGGGAAGGATGCATGCCGGTCAATAATGGCAGCACTTAGGTGTGAAGTTTAACCGGGAAAATTGAAGAGCCGAAACTTTAAAAGTGATCACGAAAACGGCCGCAAGAACGCCGCGTGGACTAAGATTCGAACCAACCCGGGCCATGGATTTACCGTTAGTGGTGTTCATAATCGATGGGCAGCAGACAAGGATACTGAACTCCGATAGGAATATAGATGTTAGACTGGTTTCTGTCTGGAGGGCTGATCAGAACAGGGAGCAAGAATGGCGGCCGGAGAATGCTGTGACTGACAGCCCAACTTCTAGTCATGTTTCCTAATTAAAACTTGGGACCCCAGATTCTTTAGATAATGCAACGTGGACGTCTCAAGCCACGCTGTTCGATATTGCGCTCAGCCTGAAGTCCAGCCAGGGTCAACGTTGGTTCACGATCAAGGAAAGCAACGTTTTTTGCGAAGATCTTCCAATAAGCGCCATGAGAGGACAAAGGTGAGTAGACAGCTGGAGCACTTGTGACCTCGTGACATAACTATTCCCCAATGCTAACAGTAACAGTAATGTTAAAGGTGAAATGGGTTATACCATCCAAAGAGATGGAGTAACGAGGCAGTGTCGCAATAAATGTTGCCAGCCGTCATCTATGTCGCAGATGAAGGGCTGCAATGGTCTACTTATAGGGAGAAAATTAGATATTGGGTCCTATGAGCGGAAAACAAGTGAACACATCTCGGATCAAGCCCGGAGAAACATAGTCAACATAAAACGTGGCGTGCTAAACATAACCGGAATTGAAAATGACAATAATGTTGCTGCAGCATGCCGATGACCATTCAGACATGACGCAGAGGGCCGGCAAACTCGAACCCAGACGATGAAAACGGCCCAAAAGGCGAGGCCGCGTGCAAGAGAGATCTTACTCGGTGTAACCTGGCCTACGCTTTACCCTCGTGATGAGCACGTTGCTGACTCTACCACTTGTTCCGCTCGCGAGTTCTTTCATCATAGCAGCTTATCCTTCCTTCTGGTACCAGGGAGAAGGAAGAGAGTTTGTCCCATAGGCATTATGTGAACCAAAGGGGGTACAGCATGAGAACCCGAGAAGTCGCTTCTCTATGGGGTCGTCCATGTCCGGTCCGAGTCGGTAAAAATCACAACCCGGAGCTGTGCTAGATGGCTGGCAGCATCGACTGGTATGGACATTGCCAGCGGACATCCAACATGTCTCCGAGCAAACAAAATCAGCAGCAGCGGGGCATCATCGTGTTACACCCCCTCCCCCTCTCCAAACAGATGCATGCCGTGCTGCAAATAGGCAAGGGGCATCTATGGTATGTTTCCTTCCCAAGATACCGGAGTTTCCGCAAGTCATGCATCGCTAACTGAAATCGAGAATTAATATGCCAAGCCTCGGGACGCCGCAGTCGAGTCCGTGGGTGTTGACCGGCATTCCTCCAACTATGTCCGACGGGCGTTGGGGTCCATCCCCATGACATGGGAAACTGAACTTTCCAACTTGCTAAGGCTGTGAAATATCCGCCAGGGGATCACAAAGATAAATGGGAAAGATCCACCATCAACCTCAAACTTTCCCAAAGCCATCTAACGCCCCGTTGAGCCTGCCCAGTACGGATCCAGCACATGAAAGTGGTGAACCTCTTCCGCCGTCTCCTCTGTTTCTTCTCCTCAAAAAGCTCCGACACCAGCTCCGAGACGTTTCCAGCTGAGCAACCACAGCAGTCTCTCAAAGAAGCTTCTTCTTCTTTTACATCGTCTTCGGCAAACGGAACATCCATCCAACTCAACAACACTATAACCAAAATGTCGAGCGTTGCTGGTAAGCCGGCTGGCAAGTACGACGAGATTCCCGGGCCTCTTGGCCTCGGAGCCGCCTCGCTGGCGGGCAAGGTTGCACTCGTGACTGGTGCTGGTACGTACAATTTGGTTCTGTTTTTGGCCCTGCAAAAAAGATCGATTAGTGGGCGGCAGGACGGGACAATATTTTACCCCAACTAATGTCCGATTGCCCATGATCTTGCTCTGGTTACACAAATATGGTCAACGAGCCGGTCCTCCTATGCTACCGTAACTGTGCAGCATGCTGATCAGTGCAGGCCGTGGCATTGGTCGCGAAATTGCCCTCGAGCTGGGCCGCCGCGGTGCCAAGGTGATTATCAACTATGCCAACAGTGAAGCGACAGCGCAGGAGGTGGTCAACCAAATCAAGAAAAACGGGTCAGATGCAGCGTCCGTCAAGGCAAACGTGTCGGACGTTGACCAGATTGTGCGCATGTTTGAGGAGGCCAAGAAGATCTTTGGTAAGATCGACATTGTTGTGTCCAATAGCGGTGTTGTATCGTTCGGCCATGTCAAGGATGTCACTCCAGAGGAGTTTGACCGCGTCTTCAATATCAACACCCGCGGCCAGTTCTTTGTTGCCCGTGAAGCCTACAAGAACTTGGAGGTCGGCGGCCGTCTGATCATGATGGGCTCCATCACTGGTCAGGCGAAGATGGTGCCTCGTCACGCTGTCTACTCCGGCAGCAAGGGTGCCATTGAAACATTTGTGCGCTGCTTGGCCGTCGGTAGGTTCTGTTCCATCTATCTTCTGTTACGCGCGAGCTGACAGGAGTAGATTTTGGCGACAAGAAGTGCACAGTCAATTGCGTTGCCCCCGGTGGCATCAAGACGGACATGTACCATGCCGTGTGCCGCGAGTACATCCCTGGTGGTGACAAGCTCAACGATGAGGAAGTCGACGAGGTAAGAACCACTACCTATCTGTGCGAAAGATCCCAGCTAACGCGAATAGTATGCGGCTGGTTGGTCTCCTATTCATCGTGTCGGTCTGCCTATCGACGTGGCCCGTGTTGTCTGCTTCCTGGCTTCTCAAGACGGCGAGTGGATCAACGGCAAGGTGATTGGTATTGACGGCGGTGCTTGCATGTAATGATAGAAGGCGATGATGTGTTATGGTTCCGGATAGACGTTATGGCTGAGCTTGCTTTTGCGATTCTACGGTTATGATGAGCCCTAGTCAGGGTAGTAATTCTGCTATTTTCAACTTCTAGACACTCGGGCGTTGAACGGTTCCTGTGATGAACTTGAGCTAACAATTTCGGTTCTTGTCCACTCATCGGTCTGAAGTCTAAGATAGTAGTCTGTCCAAAAAGCCATCCCTATACCCCAGCAATTGAAAACTCATCGGTCAACTTGTGAAATATAAAGGAGTTTGGGAATGTTAACCCTAACCCTGGAAATCGCCTTCGGGAGGTCTTACCCCGCGTTGTTCTTGATCTCGGATGCTGTCGTCATCAACTAGCCTCGTCTTCCAGTAAACATGCTAACATGCATCGAAGCAGAAAATGAGCCAGCCAACACCTATCACTGGGCACAATGATCGCAACAGGATCATGGTCATAGGTGACTCCATCTCCCATGGTCGAGAAGGAGACTACACCTGGAGATACCGCCTATGGCAGTGGTTCGGCGAGCAGAACATCAACGTAGGGTTTTTCGGGCCGTTTGAGGGGACAGAACCACCACTCAAACCTGAACCTCCACGCCCACCAAGGTTTCCTGGAGAGGAGGAAGAGATTAGATGGCCGAGAGTTGATGGCGGGTATGCTAGGGACGTGGACAGGAAGTTCTTGGAGGGGGGGGGTGTCGGCATTTCGCGGTCGGCGGTAGACAGGCGAAGCAAGTGAGGGCGTCTGTGAGAGATGAGGTGAAGAGATGGAGGCCGAATTTGTGTGTCATTGAGTTGGGTTTTAATGATCTTGCCTTGGGAGGGGATAAGCCGGAGAAGGTTGTGGGTAATATCAAGGGAATTGTAGAGGAGGTTCAGCAAGCGGTGAGGGAGAACTTTGAGAAGGAGGTGCGGATTCTGGTTGCGGATGTGCCGAGGAGGAAACCATACCCTGGAATGGGGAACTTGGCTGAACGAATCGAAAATGTGGATTGGATTTTGAGAAAGCAGATCGAAGGGGGTTCGTGGGGGGGAGAAGTACGGTTGGTAAGGTTGAGTGAGCAGTACGACTGTAAGTCTTCTGGGTGCGATGAAGGCTGACTGGGCGACTGACTGAGGAGACAGGTTGCAACGCGGCGTATGATGGACTGCATCCAAATGCCTTAGGGGAGTTCCAAATTGCGAGGGCCGTCTCACGGGTGCTGGTCGAAGAGTTTGCTATCGGTCAAAGTCCATTAACGATTCCAGTGGAATTACCCTCTCGTCCGGTGCCAACCCCGACCAATGTTACGGCTGTGCCCGAACCTAGCGGCATCGCGGTGACTTGGGATGCAGTCTATGGGGCATTTGGCTATGATCTGCGCATGCGGGCTGTTGGAACAGAAGAATGGGAGTACCATCATACTCGGAGTAACCGACTTGATGCCACGTTGTGTACTCGGGGGCAGGCTTGGGAGTTCCAAGTACGCACTAGCGGCGGGGATTCGGTCAAAGGACCGTGGAGTGACAGTGTATCAGCTGTGCCAGACACTGAGACAGTACCGCCGCCGAGAAATATTGTTACTCATGCAACAGAGACTGGACTCATTGCCACGTGGGATCCTCCAGACCTTGGAGAGAGTGCTGGACATTTGGATCGCTATGCGGTCATAGTCGGCCATGAATATTGCCGAAACGTGGTATTTGTCTATGGCGTTAGAGGAGAAAAGGTGGAAGTCAATTCCCTTTTTCCTGGTCATCGGTTTTATGTCAAGGTTAAGACATGGACTAGCGTAGGTGGAGGATGCCCTGCGGAGGGCTACCCCGTTACAGTAGGCAGGGGAATTCCTCCAACACCTGGCGACATATCGCTAGAGGCTATGGGAAACACAGCCATTGAGATAAGTTGGACTGGACACCCGGACGCTGCATGGTATAGTATCTGGGTTAGAGAGCAGAGAAGTGGTTGGGAAACCAGGCTGCAACACAACCCCGGGCCTGGTGCTAGACCTCAGTGGCCTTATCCGGCACAGTCCGCTGACAGGGAGAAGTTCGTTTTCTATACCGGAGACAAGATGCCATGGAATCTGGAGTTCTCTGTCGCCGCATACAACGGCCGTGACGGGTCTGCGTGGTCAGAATGGGTTTCACTTTCTGACCACCCTCCTGATGTGTCGATTGAGAATACGGACTCCATTGTCATCAGACTTTTGTACAAAGCTCTGGATGATCATACCAACTAACAATGAGTAGTGTTAAGCATGTGGTTGGATGGAATAATATCTCGTAAAAACGTAAACGAATCCGCCCAACTCTTCCTGTGTCGATGTTTTGAACTTTCAAGTTGGCTGGACAACGTCATATCTGCTTATGCAGAGTAGGTGTTAAGCGAGGCGCAGACACGTGCTCCAAAAACGTGGCAGGGGAGCTGAAACAAGGGAGATCGTCTTGGCAAACAAGACCTCCGGCGCGCTGAAACGGCCGGTCTTTGGTGTTGCGCGACATGTCGTCGACGCGCGATTTATCTTGGTGGCTGCAGCCCGCCACGTGATTTGGCCATGGCTTGTTTGTCAGTGCTTTGTCTACAACCGAAGCAGGACTCTCAACCAGTTTTTAGCAGAATGATCGTTATTGCAGAACTGAGAAGTGAAAATGGCAGTGAGGTACCGTATCTTTGGTTCCTGAAGTCGGTCACCAGGCAGAGAAATCCCACTGGAACCCAAAATCCATGTGGCCCATGCACTGCCAGCTGAATCTAGGGGTGGAATCCAAGGCCAGCCAATCATAAATTTGGGGTGGTGGATCCTGGCAGCCGTCAGCAGCGTTGGGCACAGGGCGACAGTGCTTGCCTGCGGTCTGGGCCAGGACCCAAGCCCCCAGCAACACACGGCGACGCAGCGGGCAGAGCGCAGAGCGGCCAGGAGAAAGCCATCATTTCTTCATCGAGCTTTTGCATCCACTCCCGCAACACCACACCACGGCACCTGGACAAGCGCACGTCCGAGACTCTGGTGTCAACAGCGACAGCGATAGACATTTTCCTTTTTTTTTTTTACTTTTTTCTTCCGCCATTTTGGTCTAGGTTAGTTGCCTGGACGTGTACCATTAGTCTCATTTGACGAGCTTTCTGTGCGTACTTCCCCTCCTTCCCCTCCCGACTCCGGCAGCGTCATCCCACCACGCACACAGAACCCTTTTGCTCGTTAACGAGCCCAACCGATTTCTTTCACCAAACCCGAATACCTGAATACCAATTTAGTTCTCCCTTAGGCAATTGCTTGCATCTTTATTACGGGATCGCACAGCGCGTCCACTGCTCGCCCCACCTTGTCGCTGTCGACGGGGACTCCGGCTGGGCCCCTGGCTAACCCGCTGCTCTACTGCAGATATCAGATATCAAAGATACCCCTCCCCTGCGGCATACTCAACTTCCTGCCACCTACCATCCAGCGGAAACTCAATTCGCATCCACGCCTTTTGGTCGGGCCGCTCTTCTTCCTTGGGGTCGCCGCGCGAGTCTCACGACCTCCAATCGCAGCATACCTGGCGTCGACGTATGCGATTGCTCGAGCCGCGCGAGTCCTCGCATAACCACGACATTCAGTCTTCTCGTCAGTGCCGCGCTACCGGTGCTGTGACGTGACAACCAACTACCTCAAAATAATCAACTGCCCAACATGTTCTGGCGGTTTGGCGGTTACGCCAATGTCTCGACTATCGATACCATCCTCGAGAAGGACAACTTCCAGCTCGAAGAACTGCTCGATGAGACCGACCTAATTCAGGAACTTAAGCAGCATAATGCCAAGTTGATTGAGTACCTCCGAGAGCCCAAGGTGCTAGAGAAGCTCCTGCAGTATGTTGTAGCTCCAAAGCTCGAGCCCGTCGCCTCGCAGGACGACAACGACGAGACCGAAGATGAGGACGAAATCAAGGGCAAGGGCCTCTCGCTCTCATTCAACTCATCTACCTCGACCTGCGACGATGCTGAGAAGAAGCGTAATCGCTATGCTTTTGTTGCCGCCGAGATCTTGTCAGCCGACGTCTGGTCACTCTATGAGGCCCTTCTGGAAAGCAGGGACCTGCTCGTCAACTTTTGGCAGTTCCTGACGAGGCCATCGCCGCTTGATCCACTGCAGGCGAGCTACTTCACCAAAGTCAACGAGTCCCTCTTCGACAAGAAGACAGCGGAGATGATCGATCTGTTAAAGTCGATGGATGGCGCTGTGGCCAACCTCCTTCGACATGTGGACTGCCCCATGATCATGGACCTGTTGCTTAAGATCATCAGCCTCGAAAGAAATGAGGCAGGCCAGGGAATTGTCGAATGGTTATACAGCCAAGATCTCATGCCAACCCTGATCTCATTTCTTGGGCCTGAACATCCCTGGTCGACTCAAACTTCTGCTGCCGACTTTATCAAAGCCATTATTACTGTGTCGGCCAATGCGTCTCAGAACGAGCAGGCTTGCATCGGTCCCAATGAGCTCACGCGCCAACTCGTATCCAGACCATGTGTCGAGCAGCTCATCAAGTATATGCTCGGTGGCGGTAACCCGCTAACTTGTGGTGTTGGCATCGTTATCGAAGTTATCAGGAAGAACAACTCGGATTATGATCCCGAGGGCGTCGATATTCATGCACCTCCCACGAGCAAGGACCCCATCTACCTAGGCACTCTGCTTCGCCTTTTCGCCGAGCATATCCCTGATTTTATGAACCTCATAATGACCGCCCCTGCCCAAGAGCATCGCCTCAACTCTACCTTTGGCGATCGCATCGAGCCCCTCGGCTTTGACAGGTTCAAGACATGCGAGCTCATGGCCGAACTTTTACACTGCAGCAACATGGTGCTGCTTAATGAGCCTGGCTCTGAGGAGTTTATTGCCGCCCGAGATGCCGAACGGCACAGGCTACGGGCCGAGGGCAAGTTGATGCCTACTCCTGGAGCAGCTGGCCCTATGCGGAGAGAGAATCTGTCCTTGCAGGCGTCACAGCTGTCGGCTGCAGACGAGAACCGCAAGCTGGAGGTCACGAACAGCTCGGTTGAGGACGATGGATTCGAGGAGGTGTCTCATGCTGCCGAGGAGGAGATCACCCACGGTGTTTTGGAGTTGCCTGATGCGCCGCTGCCTACGGGGTCGAGTTTGCTCGATAAGGACGACGACGACTTTGTTGATGAACCTCTAAGCTCGCCGAGGCTTAAATATAGCGAGCCTGTTAGGTCGGACGACCAGTCACCATTTGAGGATCCTGATTTGGTGGTTCCCCCGCTTTCGCCAAAGAAGCAGACCGAGCAGGACAGCTCCTCTGGCAAGACGCCTGGGCCATCAGGGACGAAGGAGGAAGAAAAGGAACGACCTACAACCATGGTCGAACCTAGTCCCGCCAAGCCGGTCGAAGAGAAACCTCCGCCCAAGACAGAAGAGATAGCAAAGGAGGATACTCCGTCCCAACCAAGTGAAACGGCCGCAGAGACGACAGCTGCCAGCCAGACAGCTTCAGAGGGTGACTCCACACTTGAGCAGTCCCGAGACACCATCGACGAGTCAGTCAATACTTCGATTGTCATCGCAAATATTACTGAGGCGCCGAATCCCGTCGAGACTACACCCCCTCCGGCCAAGCCAGTTGTCGGTGACTTCCTCAAGATGCAGCTCGTCAAGTACAATGTTGTCCCTACTATCCTCAGCTTCTTTTTCAAGTACCCGTGGAACAACTTCTTGCACAATGTGGTTTACGACATTGTGCAGCAAGTTTTCAACGGCCCCATGGACCGTGGCTACAATCCGACCCTTGCTACCAGCCTTTTTGAGCAGGCGGACATCACAACACAAATCATCAATGGGCAGAAGGCCAGCGAGAAATCTGAAGCCGAGATCAAGACTCGCCAAGGCTACATGGGCCATCTGACCCTCATTGCAGAAGAAGTGGTCAAGTTCACAGAGCGTCACCCGCCGGAGCTGCTCAGCGAGACTGTGCTCAACAAGGTTATGGCGCCTGAATGGGTTCAGTACGTTGAGGGCCCACTTGCTGAGACCCGTGAACGCGACAATGCCATCCTGGGCGGCGTCCGGCCTGAAGCCGTGATGGCTCGTGGCAGTGCTAGCCTGATGGGTTTTGCCGGCCTGAGCTCAATCGGTCTAAGTGCAAGCGCCTCGAATGCCCTTGCCGAGGCTGGCTTGAATGGCGGCCTGGACTCGGGTGAAGGGTCTGGTAGTCTTGGTGCCTTCTCCATCAGCGCCGGGACTCTCATGAGCGGATTCGGAAGCAGTAGTGATGAAGACGACGACGAAGAGCAGGAAACTGAGGAGGATGTCAACAACGAGGTTGGTAGAACTTCCCCTTCTTTTGGAGACTGTGGAAGTCCTCTGGGGCCCAGTGGCACCGGGGCTTACTTCCGATCCTTCTCTCAGGCACGCAGCCTTACTGCGCTGGATGAGGCCGTGAGAAATGGGAATGGGTTTGGCGCTATTGGCGATGGCAGACCACATGTACATGCTTCGTGGTCGTATGCTGAGGCGCCGCACAGTACCGAGGGGGATGATGTGATGGATCTAGATGAGGCAGTGCCGGCATTGGAGGACTTCCAGAGAGATGGCACCGTTCAGAGTGGTGCTTCTGCGGCTGCTGACGATCTCGGCTTCGATTTTGTCGAGCCGTGGGACGCGTCCAGGCTGTGCTCTTAGTACGAGCCAGGCCTAATGTGTTTCCATCCTCTGCTCACCCCCAATGGCGTTGCCCGGATCGATAAGCAGCAGCGTTGAGCTCCTGGCCAAGGGCTGGGTGCTGTATGGATATCGCAAGCTATGTTTCCTTTGTTTTCTCTAGAAAATATGGACTTTTTGTGCCGCATTTCGACAGCCGAGTGACTTTGGCATGGCTAGGTTGGGCTGCTGAAGTCGCCGGTGTGTGCTGTCGGTCCCATACTCTGCTATATTCCCTCCTTCAGTCCAACTTCTCTGGACTTTTGTGCCTTATCCTATCGCCATCATTTCCTGGATCATCCCCGCTCTGTGTTTCGGTGTCTTTGGCAGGGCATGTACTAACATGTCTTCAGTTCCGGGCCTACACCAACTCCCTCAACAGCGACAACAGCAACTCTCTTAACCCTCCCTCTATTCCCCCGCCCCCTCCCCCTCCCCCGCCACTCAACATCCCTCCGTCTCGTGCGCGCTTACAGCTAGCTGCCCGTCTTGCTATGAACAAGCGCAATGCCGAGGCGGCTGCTCAAGCCAACGAAGCTCAGTCCACAACCAATGGTGATCCAGACAGCAGCCTGCTCCACGAAGATGACGATGACGACCCTGGCTTTGGCCTGCCTAGCAGCGAAAGGATTTCTAACCCATTTGAGGATTATGAAGAGGAAGACGAAGACGAGGAAGATGTGGAGGATAATTCCAGTGATGATGGCGATCCCTCCGCCGCAGCTGCCGGAAACAACAATGTGAGCAGCAGCTCTGGTCTTGGCTGGAACCGTGGGTCGTGGTGGCGTAACGTTGTCCGTCGTGGTGCCAGAAGGTTCGAAGCTGATGATGATGACGACGATGATGGCTTGGGGCTGGGTCGGGTCGAGAAGTTTGGTGATGGCCGAGATGACTCGTCCAGTAGTGATGACGATGCTCGTCCTTCGGGCGGCGGTTTCGGCACTAGTGGAGGATTTGATGATGCCTTTGAGGATGAGGAGTTTGGCGACTTTGCCATGCCGGAGGTTGATGCGGCTACAAAGGCAGCTGCTGGCTCAGGCTCTGCAAGTGGTGCCACTGCCGCCGGCGGGACGATAGGCTCGGGAACGGGATTCTCTGGGATTGATCCCGAGAGAGAAACTATCCTTGTTAAACCGACACCTGTTCATGCGAAGTCAGGGATTGGCCCGTTCAGCAGCTTCTGGCCCTTCTCCACTCCGAAGTTTGGTCTCGGTGAGGATAAGGAAAAGGAAAAGGAGGCAACTCCGGCGTTTGAGAAGGAGGGTGCAACTTCGGCTGAAGAAGCTCACACCGGTACAACGGCCGTCACATTCCCCTCAACCACTACCACGGTGACAAAGTCTGCTACACCATCCTCGACAGGTACGCTAGCTGATGAACCAGTCGAATTGGCCAAAGAAGAGGCTGAGCCGGAGCCAGGCACGGATGCTGAGGTGGTCGAGGTCGAACTAGTGTTGGATGATCGCGACCGGATTCCGATAGCAGCCACTATCCCTGCGCCTTCGACTGCTGATGTCAGCAAGGAGCAGAAAGAAGAGAGGATGGTATTTTCACATCATCGGAAGAAGGATAGTGTTGATGGTGATGGCGAAGGCGAGGAGATCATCATTCACCCGCCTGTTGGCGAGGGTCTGCGTTGAGCTGGCTTCCTTGGCACACACAGGGGTCTGGTCTTGGCTGAGAGTTAACGCAAGGGTTAGGGTTTAATTAAGGTAGAGATGATGACGAAGTGAGTGAAGGGTATTGTTGGGCTGTGTAGATGTTGAATGGAAGAGGGATTGATGGATTAAGAAAGCAACGGGTAATACGGGTGTTTATCAGACAAATCGAGGGAGCGGTCACATTGTGCTACCTTCCAATGCCCTACGAACAAGGATGGAGGGTGCCATGTCCGTTACTTGTGTATTTGTAGGTGCTCTACGGATTACGTTTAGGTTTGCATCAATGCATGATGTTTGTCGGTTTGTTTTCTATGAACCGTCGTATATCCGTATCTCTTCAGTTACAGCCTTTCCTGGCGCAGACATCTGTGTTGCCTTCAAGTAGGCATCGTCCTCTATCCTTTGGAATCAGGCCTGACGGGAGATATGACACCAGGGCATCATCGATATGTCCCTTACCCATGGCATCAAGAAAAAAAGGAGGAAGGTATCCATGCAACCTTGAAAATGCTAGGCCAATAATTTAATTGAGGAAGAGAATACATGGTATATAAGGTATCCGGATATCCATTCATACAGTCCAAACACGCATTCCTGTCATATCCAAACCCAGTAAGCAATCTTCCCCCTTGGCCAACTCTCTAAGACCTTGGCATAAGAATCTCAAACCATCCTGCACTCCTGGTATCAAATCCAAACAGAATATCCCCTACCAAGGGGAAGATGTCACCCGGCGGCAGCCTATCCCACCGTCTTCTTGTCCTCCCAGGGCCATTACCACTCCCGTTCGCATTGCTATTCCCAGCAGCCGGTTGGCTATCCCCCTCACCCAGTGCCTGCTGACCGCCTCCTCCTGCCTGCCCCGCATCAACCGCCATCCCCCCTTCTCCCCCATCCCCTCCACCAGACGCAGCAGTCCCTGGTATCGGCCCCAACACTATCCCCGGCCCAGGCTCCGTTCCGATTCCCTGCCCTGTTGCCCCTCCTCCCTGCGCTGGCGCAGGGAAATCCCCATGACCGCCCTCTGAAACCCGTTCCTGGACTTCTTTTGCAATCGCGGGGTCGATCTCATCCTCTTCCGTGACGAAATGCAGATATACTCCATCCGTGACGCCCCATGTTGGCTTGACGAACACCCGGCTCGGGTCCACGCCTACCTTGACTTGTCCGATACATCGGATTGCTCCGTCGTTATACCGGAATATAGCGCCCTTGAAAAGACCGGGGTATTGAGCGCGCATGGGTAACTGGAAGGGGAAGCTGAAGGACCCGCCCAGTAAGGGCGTCGATGGGGTCGGTGTGCCGGGCGACGTGGGAGGTGGCGAGCTGGACAGAGAAGCGTAGTAAATTTCGACCGAAGCAATGTTTGTTAGCGGGGCGCGGCTGAAATGATGGAATTCGCTGATGCGGCCTGGCAAGCTCGGGTTGCGGCGAAAGCCCCAGGGGTGTCGGCCTGATCGGGAGGAACGGATGGGTGTGCCGGAGGGTAAGCGGGTGGATGTTGATGAGGCTAAGGAGGATGGGTTGGTTGAGGTGGGAGGATAGAGAGTGGTCGGGTCGTCGGAGTTGGGGGTGTCAGAGTAGACGCCTATGAAGGCGACACTGGCGCCGTCGGCGGGCTCACCATAGATGAGGGCGGTCGGGTTGACGCGGCAGCGGTCGTAAGTCTTGACTTTCTTGGCAGTCTTTCCCACGTCGAGGATAAGGTCGCCTGAGAGACGCTTGCGGATCTACAGATGTTAAAAAGGAGGTGTTAGCATGAGGCGGAAGCTGTACAACATGGTAGAGGGGGGCTGGTATGGACATACGAGAACCGCTAGCAGCTCGTCAGAGAGCTCGTCTGCACCAGTCGGTGCGACTGAGGACCGGAAGCCAAACACCTCCAGCTTGTCCTGATCAGATACGGGCACGTATATCCAGACAGATTTTAATTGATAGCCGGGGGCTAGGCGCTCAAACGTTGGTATTGCTGTCGGTTGCCGCGGAGTATGAGCGTGGAGGGCGACCAAGATACCCCGCCAAAAGAAGAAGGTAAGCCCGGTAATAAACCTCAAGTCGAGAGACCGTATCCGTGTCATCGGCTTGTCGAAGTCTTGGACGAGCGTCCAGTCGCTGTGGCTCAACGTGGGCGGCGACGGCGTGTCCCAGAGGGGAAAGTAGCGAAAGGTTTGTCGCGGAGTTATTCGCAGCATCCCATCTACCTGACAAACTGTCACTGCGGGAGACTGAGTCACGTCGACAAAGATGAATGCCAGATGGTCGCTTCGCTCTTGGGACCAGGGAACATAGTTGGCATGTAGCCGCTGGATCGACCGAATTCCGTTGGCATCGATGGTGAACAAGGCCAGCTTTGGTCGGTCGGCGTCAGCAACATCCTTCGGATATGACTTTGGCGGGTATCCCCTTTCCCAGCTCTCAATTTCAGGAAGTGGTAATGCTGCTGGTGGTAAAACCGGTTCAACGGAGCATCTTCGTGCCATCGTAATGGTTGATATCGCCCTCCAGAATATGCACGTCGGATCATGCTGCCGTATCATCTCTAGAACATCAATCGGGCATCGCCTTAACGCAGGCATGCCAACCACCTGGGCAACATAGTGTAACACATCCTCGGGTGCGATATATCGCGTTCGCAGGGAAGGATAGTAGCCCCCGAGCCACGGGCGCGCCCAGCTCGCGATAAGCCAGAGCCGCGCGAGTGCTTCGACGACATCGCCTGCCACATGTCGTTGAAAGATCACGAAACAGTCGTTGTGGACGGCTACGACGTTGTCGTGGCAAAAGACTTGATGCAGACGAATGTGCTCTAGACGCGACTCCTCCATGGGGAAGTCGAATGGACGCGAGCATCCTCGATACTGCGCCTTCTCGGCGTCACCGATCACTGATTATCCGTTGAACCCAATGTTAGCTACGGGTCTCTAGCTTGGTATTGGCATCGAGGTCGCATTTGCCGGCGGGAAGGGAAAAGGCGATGGGATGATGCTGACGACGGCGAGGTTGGCGATAGCCTCAAACCGAGGTCAAAAAGAGGGCCAAGAACGACTTACACGCAACGGCCCGCTCTTGCTCGCGGATCTGACTGCCGCATGCTCCACAGCGGGGCTCAGGGTGGAGATATTTAGGGACATGCGCGCTTGTTGTGATCGACGCGCTGGTCCCGGGCAGCAGCGGGAAGCGCAGAGGCGCCCACTGTGTTGATAACTGCGGCGGCGTCATTCAGCCGGCGGCCGTGGGCGTGGGCGTGGGCGTGGGCAAAAAACGCAGCTTAGGGCTGTAGGTATCGTCGGTGAGGAGTGGTCGGTGGCCAGTAGGACAAGTGAGTGGACACCGAGCAGCTGTGCCGTGGCCGTTGTTGGGTCAAGTCTGCTATCAAGGTTTGGTGGAGAACAACTCGGGGTTAGTTAGCTTTGGTCTTGTGTGGTTTTGCTTTGGGCTTAGGTGGCTTTTGATTGGAAACTTGGCAGCTTGATGACAGGTCAACGGGATCGCTAGCGACGGCGATTTTATTCGACGAATCCTCGCCCGCGAATTGCAGTCGGGGAATCGCTCGAATGTGGCATCCTTCTCCGCGATCGAGACGAGAAAGCAGCCCGGGTGCCGAATATTTTAAGGTCGCCGCCTCCTGACAGCTTTGTGACAGCGCTGATAGCTGAACCGGGGCTAAACAGAGAAAAAGCAACGGCCACGGTGGACCTCGACCGTCGCCAACTGCTTGTCAATGCTCTCCCAAATAGGCTTGGCTCCATGGTACAGGGTACCTCCTGCAGCCGCACAGTGCGCTACCGCTGTCACCCCGTCAGCGATTATGATAGACAGCCTGAGACGTTGACAAACGAAAGTCTCCGAGATGGAGAGGTAACTGTGCCGCCTGCAATGCCAACATCTCTTGAAAATATATCGAGGCACCCCAATCTTCATGACAGCAAAAGAGGCAATAGCAGCGCAGCCCGCTGCGCTGTTGGGCCTGTGTTTCTGCTGTCACACAGTGCTGCAATGGTTTTGAGAGAACCCACATCACCAACAATCACTTTCAAAAAGTCAAAAACCACCGCGTTCGGCCACATCGGCGGGCGATCCTCCATGTGTGGAGCAAGTCGGCTCCAGATAATTGGCTGTTGTGTGGCTATGGCTTAACCATTTCCTCCATCCCCTTGTGGTGTAGTTGGCTATCACGTTCGGCTGTAAAGGACTTTTATGGATACCGAAAGGTCACCGGCTCGATTCCGGTCGAGGGGACATAAAATTATGTTGCCTTTTTCCATTTTTCTTGTTCACTTTAGCATACATCGAAGTCTCAATCGCTAGCCCTAAGATATCGATCAGTGAAAAACAACTAACACTTCGACGCCTCAATTGTCAATAATCTTCGAAAAGATCGGCATTCATGTGTAAAAGTTGTATAAACAGTGGTTAAACGATGAAGTCTTCTTATCCTAGCAACATAAGACATTGAGGCTATACGGAACCCGGATGCTATCCGTTCGGTATTTACTGTTCTTTGTGAGGTTGAGGCATACTCATTAGATTAAAGACTCCACCAAGCAGCTCAGACTCTTACTAGATAACTCCTACTAGGATTTTCCATTAGCATTGTTTTTGCTTTTACTCTTGCCCTTTTGCCTTTCCCCCTTGCTTTTCTGTTTCGGTCTAGGTTCACTCACTTGCTCTCTCTCCAGTTCTTACAAGTTCTTCGCTTTCACAAGACCCTCATGCCCATATGGTCACGACCCAACAATGACTCTATCTGGGAGAGTAGCTTCCATGCAACTCACTGATCGGAGTAGAAGGGAGCTGTGGCCCATCAAACTCGGACATTCGCCCCCAACAACCGAACATTGGGAAAGTGTTCCTCAACACCCAAGGCTGTTGATTCTCAACAGTCTGTGATGTTGAGGAAGAAGGAAGGGAAGCCACAAGAGTGGATGAAATGTATATAGATTCCAAGTAGGGCCATCTGGTCCAAGAATACTCTCTAGTCAACAATACAACAGTTGCTTACCAACTGGTGACCACAACGGCCACTTTGGTTGTGTGAGAACTCCTGTCTCTCAATCCAGCAGCCTGGCAACCATCGAACCCATCTCGGGAGGTCTGTCTGGATCGTTACATATATTCTTTACAATAAGCCATTCCTGCGTCTAACCTAACGTCCGAAACATGCCAGGAGAATATGTCCCCTTGGTCCCTCATCACACGTTCAGACCCAAAGGCAGGAGTGGTTCAAGGTGCTTCCCCTTCCCTCCTGCTAGACTCTGGATTTTCGCTCTCTCCTACCGTAAGTCCAAGACCTGTATAGGGTGGATCGTATATTTAATACCAAGCCGTTCCCCGCAACAGACCTTCGTGCCATACCTCTTCCTATCGGCCTCCACTATAATCTGGGTCCCCGCTCCCTTCCCCCAATAAATCCAGAACTGGCCAGGATGAAGGGTATGATTCATACCAAGGCATTGGCTACACACCCGACTCTTGGCTCGAATCTGTCAAACCCTCCATATCTGTGGCTGGCAGCGCTTCCATTACTTATTTCCTCAGTGCACCTTCTCGGGCTTATCGTCTTCGTCTCCGATAGATGGCTCACCCTAACTGTCATCTTCCTATATCCACAGATCAGTATGCTCTTCGAGATCTCCCACCCCCTTCCACTTTGTCTTCCAGGCTCCGTTGCCAGCAGTATCCTCCGGTGCCTAGATCGAAGCATCCTCAAGCCTTTGAATCTGAATATTTATGAGATATGCTTGCCTGTAACATTCACCCATCACACCCCAAAGAGCGCTAATGTACCCTGTCGAGCTTAAAGCTTTCAGGGATTCTTCCATCCAGTAAGTATTCCGGTAGTCTAGATCCCTGACTGTCCCCAATATGAGAGTATATGCCTTCTAAAAACGGATAGAACCCAAACTCTCTGGATTCCCATCAGAAGACAGATAGCAACGAGCGAGCTCGAAACAGAAGATTGCAGCAGATGGTGGCTTGGATCAATAGCACAGCAGGTCTTGCCTGACCAAGATTACATTCAAGGTCCTCTGCAATCACTCCTAGGGATGGCTTTATCACCCTCTGTGACCTCCTTTCACCAGCATGTTAGGGGCTTGTAAGAGAACAGCACCGGTACTACATAGCGATTAGCTTAGCAGCATCTTTTCTACAACTACACGGCATACCATGGCTTGGTCTCCAATGGAATAGGGAGGTTATACAATTCATGGAACAAGCAAAAAATACAGTTGATATTCTACCCCCCTTTGTAGTCCATATGCATTCGGCACCTGGAGATCATACTCAGGCAGCTTATCCTTCTCAGATGGTACCTACTTGTGAGACAGGTCGGAATCAGGAGGAAGATGTTTCAGCGGGCAATAGGGCTAATCTGCTGACACTTGCGAAACTTCTCCTTGGGATACGTCTACATAAGCGTCCCGAAGCCATCATGGGTTCTTGTCATCAATTTTGTTCCAATGACGGGATAGAAGAAATCTTCATCCATGGAGCCATGGCCCTGAAACGAGAGGTGAGGGATAATCTGGCTGAACTATCAGATGGCTTTGCTAAGGCTATAACTTTTTTCATACCCTCCTTCTTGCATCCCTTCCTGAAGCTAAGGAACACGGAGTGCAGGTCAGAAGTTACGGAAAATGTAGTTACCCCGCTGCTGGAGGAGCTCCAATCGATATACTAGTGGCGGAGGGTAGAGAGTACGGCAAGTTTCCGCTGATAAATGGTTTGCCGGCTGGTGAGACCCATGTATTCGAAGAAGTTCTGTCGCCACACTGTTGAGCTGAGGATGGGTGGATTCCTTTGGTAAGAACGGAAAATGGGTATTAATAAAGAATGGTAGAAATTCGGGAAGATTACCTAGAGCAATGAGACAACGGATAGAAGGGGGAAAAGAAGGAAAGGGTTGAAAGAAGGGCTGTATCATTGACAACCATGAAGTGACGGGTTTAGGGCAATATTGTGCTCCCTGCCGTGTACCTGAAATGTCTATATGACAGTGCACTGCAGCCAGAATGACATGATAATCTGGAACAAGGTGGGAATTGTTGATATCTGAAACAGAACAACGGGAAATGGTATTTGACAATGATAGACGGCCCCCGGACATTCCCTCGACATTTATCCAACAAGTGCTAGATTACCCACAGTCTATGCATCAGATACGGTCAAATATCCTCCCATCCAAAGACTGACTCAACAAAATCCTCTTCAAACCCTCAGCTGCGCCTGCACCTCCTTATAACCGTCCAAAATCTGCCTCGCCCTCTCCTCACTCCTCACCTTGATGCTAATCTCATACGGCAGCGGCTCCAAAATGACGTGACTGTTGGTTGCCTGTGTGTCGATTGGCACAGGCCTGCCAGTGCATGGGCAGACCTTCTGACCAAGGTTGAAGGCCCAAAGCACAGCGGCACCAAACACGAAGGTCTCATCGTCGACAATGTTCTGGCCCAGACACGTGCGGCGGCCGAAGCCGAACGTGTGCATGGCCTGGCCCTCGCGGAAGTTGGGATAGCGGGTGAGGGGCTCCTGATAGGTTGGCCAACCAGGCTCAAGCCAACGCTCGGGCCGGAAGTTGTCGCCATCGGGATATTTGGTTGGGACACGGTTCAGAGCCCTGTTTAGTGGGTGTTAGTCGGGAACTGAGGGGTAAGTTGTGCCGAGAGGGCAGGGAAGACTCACCACTCGCAGGCAAGGATGATAGTGCCCTTCCTGATCTTGACGCCCCGATACTCGTCGTCCCGCTCCGCTTGGTGTGGAACACCTAGGTGGTACAAAATCAGCACAGTCCCGGTTCGTGTAAAACGACCTATTTTCACAGGCCCGAACGTATGCGGTGGAGATCAACTTATCGATCGGAAAACTTACCGAGTGGTACACCCGATCGCCAACGGACAGTCTCCTTCAAACAGGCTCGCACGATCGGCAGCTTCTCGTAATCCTGCATGGTCGGCATCCGATCGCCGCACACACGGTCGATCTCTTCCTGAGCTTTCTTTTGCCAATGTGGGTGCAACGCCATCGCCATGAGGTAGAACTTAAGCGGGCCGCTGATGGTAACGACGCCCACCAGGTTCAGGAATCCGATCATGCAGCTGGCAAAATCTTCCTGGTCTTTAGTCTGCTCGAGAGTGACATTACCCTCACGTCGTAGCTGCTCAAAGTAGCGATAGGCCCAGGTATCGCTTGGGAGATCACCGCGAAGCATACGCTGCTTCGCTATCCGGAACAGGTTTATCCACCACTGTCTTTGCTCGCGCTCACGCTTGACCTCGAACTTATACCAGGGGTTAATGAATGATGGCAGGAACCACAGGGGAGTCACCGTGTTCGTGATGGGACCTGAGACACTCATGCAGTGCAGGGTAGTGTCAGCCGACTCTCCGTTCAGACGTCCTTGTGTCGCGTCGTCCCAGGCTAGCCGCGACATAACGCGTCCGCAATATTCGCGCGTATAGTCCAGAAAGCGAGCCGGATCGAGAAGCAGCAGGCCGAGGTAGCGCTTCATCTCAGCTTCGACGTGCCCATAAAAATGGTGTTTGTAGGCTTCCGCCATGGCAGCGTGAGCCCACTTCCTCTGCGTCTTCCAAATATCTGCGGGATGTCAGATTCGTACGTCCAGCAGAAGAAATATTAGTTACTTACCATGACGGTCCATCAGTGCTGAGTACGCTGGCCCTTCCTTGTGCTTAATAAGTGACCGGATTTGGGGCCGACCAGAGTAGATGTACCCGCGCTTGACGAGGAGCTCCTCCGCGATCTTCTCATCTGTCACGATGATGAACTCATTCTCAACTGCCCTCGTGTAATAGATAGGACCAAACTCATCTGCCCATTCCTTGAATTTGAGCCAGAGGCTGAACCGGGGCAAGTCGTGGATGCGGCCAACGAGCGGGAACTGCCGGGGCCCTGGAAACTTGGCCTTGGGCTTGCTGCCATTTTTCCAGGAAAGTACTTTCTGGATTGCTGAGAAGAGAAGGCTAGGAATAGCCAGGTAAAGGAGGATGAGGGTGACTCTCTCCATCTTGAGAGGTCTTTGTTCGGAAGGGGAATCTTGGTCGACTTCAGGGGGGATGAGGATAACAGAGAAGTAAGAGTGATCACCAAGAAGAGGGGCCTATGGGGAGAAGAAGCACAGATGTGAGGATGATAGGGAGATGGGAGGGGGGGTTCTACGTAGAGATACCCCCGAAAGGACCCGGGCTATCTGATACATAGCAGACGGGATTTCCCACTCAATCCGCAATTAGAAAGCCGAGGACTACTGGTGACAGGTGCCTGGGATGCACCTTCTTGATGCTTGTGTGACTCGAGCCGGGGTCTCAAGGAACTTGTGCTCAAGGTCCGAGCCATAGACACTCGATTCTCCGGGGAGAGTCATTGCTAACCGGCCAGCTTCTGACCAGCAGGATGGCTCCCTATCAGCCCAGACTCGTGTAGTGAGTGAGGAACGCCGGCATCGCGTATGCCGCTGGAGACCAATATGGGGATGGAGTGAGATGGCATAGTGGAGAGAGTCCGAAGAGAGGGAGTGTATATCTCTAAGCAGCATCTGGGTTCCGAAATGGAAAGCGAGATCCCAAATGGTGGCTATACCTCTCCTTAGCACACTTAAGAAGAGTTTCAAGTGTTAGGCATTGCACGCCATTCTAATTTCGTCAATGACCGATGGTTTATGTAAGCTGTCAGGCCCTATAGCCAGGATATATCCACGCGATTCAGCCTATAATCGAAGTTTCTTCAGGGAAGAAATGCTGTGTAGCCTTCCTATACCATAGTTAGCACAAAACATCAAGCCGTGATGTGCTGGCACATGGCAACCAGGTATGAGCCCAAGCCTGGCCAAAATGGTATCCGCCCGGATCGTTCATGCTGGGGAGGGTTGATACCCGGCTTTACCATTCCAACCATAGGTAGGGTACGGAACAGGACCGTGTCAAGGGTAACTTTCCGTTCCCCGCAAGGTAATATCCTCTGGTGACCCGGATTTGCTGGCTATGCTGCAGCCACGGACATGACTGCAGGGCACGCAGTGCCAGAACCGTGTCGTTTTGGAGACTCTCGGTCAGATAGGAGTGGAACAGTGATTTCAATGTCGGAGTCCCTGTCAACACATTCCACAAAACTATATCGAGGGGAAGTTTTGATCTGATATCACAGTAATGCTGCCAATTGTTGAAATCTCAATGCATATGAATGGCAGAAAGAATGGCCTCTGGGCAACGCTTGTGGTGACCTAAACTCAACTCACTTTGTGTAACAAGATTGTCGAAGCACGGAAGAATTCCATGGATGGAAATATCCCGTCGTTTCCGGGTGGAGACAGTGTGCTACCCCACGAAGCTAAAAGAGAGGAAAAATCGGGATAGAGAGTATGGACATTGTGTTGGGGATGTCCGAGGGTGATTTGTTGTTGGGCACCATGCTCCCGGGCCATTTAGAAGTGTTGTTAGGAATGAGGAGCTGATTGCAACGTTGAAGAGTTGCATCAGTCCCCAAGACAGCGCCGTTCCACTCCCAGGCTTCTGGAATCGGCTGACCCTTGCAGTCGTAGGATTACCCGATCAGCCGCAGCGTTGTAAGCGGACAACCAATTTATAGGCTTAGTGAAATCGCTTTGATCGGAAGGTCTGGAGGCAACATAACCATAGAGTGCCAAGCTACAAATTAAGAGGATGGACAGGTTCTGGACACAGGGCGAACAAAAAGTAGATACAAGTAAGAAGCCACCTGCAGTGGATCGGCGTTCGAGCTTCTGTGCTGATAAGTTTGAAGAGCAAATCTTTGGCCATTGGTAGGCCAACCTGAATTTGAATAAGATAGCATATGGCGAGATGCGGACTTCACGGGTGTCCGGGAAACAGTGTTAAAGTCTGACTTAGTGGCATTAATCCATGGATATCAGAGGAGAAACAGTACACAAAACACCACTTATGTCAATCACGAACAGTTTCGGAGCTTCGTGTCAGCCACCGTCGCCTAGATTTAAGGTGATGTGATGGGCAAGTTGAAACAAGGCATGTTTCTTGCTTCAAGCGTGGAAAGGTATCATCACAGAGCTTAAAATGCAATGAAAAGCGATGAACATACAATCCGAGGTTTTCCATTCCACTTCAATATGTGAAAACTGGACAATAGAATGGGAAGAAGGCAGCGGGAAAGCCTTAGGGCAAGGAGCGAAATATGTTCCTGAGGTCATTTGTGGGTTGTTATCGACATCACTGAAAGTGGTCATTTCAGGGTCAACGACATCGTTGGGACTCCCTGGCCAGAGTGAACGACCTTGCCTTAGACAGACTGCCGCATAGCAAGGCGATGAACAAGAAAAAGAAAACACGAAGACACCAGATGCAATCAAGCGCCCTAGCCGCCTGGAGATTAGGGGCTAATTTCCTCAAGTAAAAACTGGGGTAACACGATGCAGAACGTTCGGGACTCGGGACCGAAAGGCGGATAGCCACCGAAACAGGGCGGCATCCCTGTTGAGGTCGATGATAGGGAGGAAAGGAGCATATGATGTTTTGCTTAGACACTTGGATCAGCAAAGTCCCGAAGACCTCCCGAAAAGGAGACCGGCTATGTCAACTGGTCTGCCAACAATTTAAAGGCCTAACCTGCACGATTCGGGCATGTCGGCAGCATTGTATGCTGGAGCTAACAGGAGCAGTGCTTGGTCGCCATGTCTTGGGAACACTGGTGCAGGCCAAGAGAGTGGAAGGCCTGAGATCCATAAAGACACAGGGAACTTGTGATAATTGACTTCCTCCAGCCACTTAGACGAATCTTGGTGAATGATTGGTTCAGTGTCACTGACAAGTGCCCAGGAAAACTGTCATCCAGCTGTTTCCGACCTGGTTTTTTGTTGGGAGAATCACCAGAGAGGGTTGCCAATCCAGAGCCTGGTGAGGTTACCTAAAAAGACATGTCAAAAAAAAAAGACAGGTCAGTGTTTTGAGTTTAGTGCAGGCATCCCACTCAACTTGCGCAGTTGAGACTTGGTCATTGATGACAGGATGCTGAATGATAATACCAGTTGTTGAAAGACTAGATTGTATGCAAGGAAGATAATAGACAAAGAGACAAGCGAGAAGGTGACTTGAAGTCACTGGGTGCATTCAGGAGGAACTCACAGTGTCATGCTCTCGCTCCACAGTCGAGGCCAGCGTTCAGAAACCCTGCAGCCCAAACAGGACCCACATCACGATCTGCATCTGTGGGTCCGGAATGAGCTCCTGGCCAATAGTAGCACTTCTCATGGTGGGGCAACACGATAGTGTACACAGTGCATCCTGGCTGTTGCTGGGGGTAAGCAGCCCCGCCAAACAGCGCCAGACATCTGTTTTGAGCAGCCATGCCACTTTGCTTCGCTCAAGCAGAATACTGAGCCTGCGTCTGTCTCGGCAGACATCCCTGATGACATCAGCAAACTTTGTTATCGGCTCTGAGTTGCAACACAGGAACGCTGACCGCCGCTGTACCCAGAAAAGGGGAGCAAAAGCACAATGACAAGGTGGGTATCTTGCAGCAGCGTGGCTGTCCAGCGCCGTCTCCCTCCCGCCTGGGCAAGCTTCATGAGAAGCCGTTGTGCTTGCTAACAACTCCAATGATGTCCTAGTTCCAATATCCTGGCGCTTCCGTTCAGGAAGTCGAACCAGGTCTCACTGTCGTCATCGATTCGGCAGTACATCTCCGAGAAATATGAGCAACACCCCGATATGTTCCGCAATGATCTAGATGCCATCAATCAGTTGCGCCGCGATGCCGTCAACGTTCGCGAAGCCCATCCCAGTGGTATCCGGAAGCTCCAGGCCTATGCCGCTCAGCTGGTCTGGATCATGGGCAAATTCCCAATTGATGTAACACATTTCAGCTTCTTGCTTACGTGCTTTTACCTTGGGGGTCTAACTCAATGATTGAACAGATTGGTGTCGGCTTTACTTGGTACTCGGCTTTGGGATACCATACCGAACACCCTCTTGTCCAGAACAACCTAAAGTACGAGCTGATGAACATCCTCTTCAACCTCGCTGCCCTTTACACCCAGCTTGCCATTTCGTGCAACCGAAATGACCTCGAAGGCCTCAAAAGTTCCGCCAGTTACTTTTCTCAAGCAGCTGGTGTGCTCTCCCATATGAAGAATGTAGTCTTGCCAGATCTGCGCATGGCCAACCCCCCAGATGATATGGACGAACCAACCCTCGAGTCCCTCACGAATCTTTTCTTAGCCCAAAGTCAAGAATGCTTCTGGCAGAGGGCTGTAATTGGCGGTTACAAAGACGCCTCCATTGCGAAGCTCGCGGCAAGCGTTTCCGATTTCTACAAGCTAGCTGGAGAGTCTGCTGTCCGTAGCGAGGCCATAAGTTCGGCTTGGATTCATCATATGAGCGCCAAGCATCACCACTTCGCAGCAGCAGCCCAATACCGTGCCGCTTGTCACTGTCTGGAGAAGAAAAAGTATGGTGAAGAGGTGGCAAGGTTGTCAGACGCTGTTGCTTGTGTTAATGCTGGATTAAAAGAGTGTAGGGTAGGCCATGTCAGTAGGGCTGTTGTGGAAGACCTTGAAGGTCTGAAGAAGCGAGTAGAGGAGGACCTAAAACGGGCTGAAAGGGACAATGACGTGATTTATCTCCGTAAGTATATCACTGTTCTTGTCAATTGGCCCTTAAAACACTAACGCGCCCAGAAATTGTCCCACCTAGATCCCAGCTCCAGATCCTTGAACGTGCTGTCATGGCTGTTGCCAAGGTTCCTCCTCAGATCGAAAAGCCGTATGACTATCTCGGAGAGAAGGCCGAGTTCGGCCCTGCATTGTTCTCAAAACTGGTTCCTTTTGCGGTCCACGTTGCCATCTCAATTTACGAGGAACGGCGCGATCGCCTTGTCAACAACAACATCATTGCTGAGTTAGAAAGCCTAACGGACAAACTCCATGAAATCCTGTCAATCCTGAACTTACCTGGCTCGCTTCAAGCACTTGAAAAGCCTCTTGGACTCCCAGGCACCCTTGTTCAGCACGCCGAAGAAATCCGACAAGCAGATGCTCTCAACCGTCTGCAGCAAGGTATTGCCGACATCGAGAAGCTTTGTGCTAGTGACATTGCTATCTTTGAGGAGGGCAAAGCTTTGCTGAGAGCAGAAGAGGAGGAGGACCAGGCACTGCGGCGCAAGTATGGAACGCAGCGCTGGACTCGTCCCGAGTCTCGTGCAGACCCAAGCCAGGATGGCGGTGCCAAGCTGTGGAAGCAAGCTTCCGAAATCGATGGCTACCTCCAGTCGAGCACGTCCAGCGATGCGATCGTGCGCGACAAGTTTGCTGCTGTCAAGGATACTCTGGCCATCCTTGCTGGTCCGGATAGGGGCATCATGGATTACATCCCAAACAGTCGGCAAGCCATCATCCCAGAACCCCTCAAACCTGCCATTGGGAAGTTGCGTGCTGCTTACAACGATGCCCTGCGCATGGAATCTCGACGGAGGAAGCGGGTCGACAGTCTTAAGACTAGGACCAGGTCTGACGACATCAAGCCAGATATCCTGGCAGAAACAGCCCGTCTTGAAAGGACCTATCCAAACCAGCCTATTGTCGCTGCGCACTTCGAAGAGTTCTTTAATAAGCGCCTCGACAATCTGTATGAGTCCGAGCTGGAAGCGCTTGAAAAGGAGCGAAGAGACCAAGATAAGATTGTCTCTGAGATCCAGCGCGCCAACAAAGAGTTCGAGGCGCAGAAAAATATACTTGGAGAGAAGGGCGACCGTGAGAGGGAGAGGGCTCTGCAGCGTCTGGATCACGCGTACTATAAGTACAAGGAGATTGTCAGCAATCTCGAGGCGGCGAGGAAGTTCTACAATGATCTTGCTCGCATCGTGGAGCTGTTCCGCACCCAATGTCGCAACTTTGTGAATCAGCGGAGGAAAGAAGCACGTGTGTTAGAAGAGTAAGTTTTTTTACCCCATTTCTTGGTGTCGCATGTGTTGCTAAGATCGGTCAGCGAGATCAACATGCCGCCACTTGCATCCCTCACCCTCAACCCTCCACCTACGCAACAACCCCAACCCTCCCTCTCCTCTCCAACATCATATTACACGCAGCCCCAAGTCCAGTCGATCCGTCCCCAGACTCAACAGCCACCGCAACCGCAACCACAACCTATTTCTGTGTCAGCGAGACAACCTCAACTTCAGGAAGTTTGCCGCACGACCAGCCCACCTGCTGAGGCGCAGATCCAAAGCTGGGCCGACAATGTTCCCCAGCAGCAGCCGCGTCCTGTACCGCCGCCGATTACACCTTCCAGTCTCCAAGGAGCGTGGACGCCGGAATTGGGTATTCGGTTCGCAGGCGGACCTGGGCCCTCTGGAGCTGGTGCTGGGACAGGGCAAGCGCAAGGTCAAGGACAGAGGGCTCCCGTGAGAGGAACTTGGGATCCTAGTTTGGGTATCAGGTTTGGTTAGGTTGATATTTGATGGAAAACTATATTTCTGACTGTGTACTGTACATGCTGTACATTCTGAGGGTGTTGCTGTGGATCAATGATACCCCTGGCGGGTTGGCTGACCGATGTTATTCGCTAGAGAAAACATCCGGCCTCTGTTATAGCTTCACGATCATGAACAAAAGATGAGCTTCATGATCTCATCACTCCTCCACACTGAAGTCTTGGCATAACTCGCGGTGCACATAGTCGAGTGTTCTTTATTCCCCGTAAACTCAGGGTCGCAGCCATTCCTCATCACTGGAGCCGGCTCACTAAGGTAAGTAGACCGCGGGGCAAGCAAGGAAAACAAGAAAGCTTTATGTGGATGATCATAAAAGCCTTAGCTTATCTAGAGTAAAGCGAATTCCTCTCGCCACCCGATGAATACTCCGGACGAACTTGGTTGATGTCCAGCCTACTGGATCTCTCCAAACATTCCTGCCTTCCTCTCCGAACATTCGGAACTCAAGTCGCATGCAATTGGGCTGTAGCCTGCTGGGTGACGGTTCTCTACCGTCTGCATCCACACAGAACTCATCTCAGATCCAGCGACATGGGACTCAGTCATCACCATCACAAAGGTCCATCCCTGGTGCCTCTATCAACTTTTTCATGACGCAACTCTCACTTAGTGCCGCCACCGAAGATCCTGAACCGTGATGAAACTGAGGCATTTTTAGTCCAGCTACGGAATCAAAACTTGGGGACAGATTCCATAAAAAGAGAAGACAGAAAATACAAAGCTCGCCGCCTGTCGTTTAGTTGGAGAACGGAGACGCAGGCTACCAGAGATCTTGAAATACGAAGTGAAAACATGCCCTTATCGTCAGGCATGCCTCCTCGTCAGGCGACACCACAGACGGCAGTAGCACGCTCTATTATTACACGAAGATCGACAGCACCGGAGAGGGAACCCAGGAACGAAGTCCTAAGGCAACTTTGAACTTGACAGGGAAGGATAAGGATATTAACCCCGGTTTGGCATCTGTGCAGCCAACGGTAGGAATTACGAGGATGCGGAGGATAAAGCGCGAGCGTGGGTCATTGGACGCTTGCGGCGGACGGCGGAGAGAAATGAGACGGATGGAGAGGTTGGAGTGAAACGGGCAGCTGGGAAAGAAGAGAAGATAGACAGCAAGTCACTCATCTATGGGACTGGAAGATGAGATGGGAGACGATAGACAGATTAGAGATACTAGCGCCGTATCAGACCCAACGGAAGACGAAGTGAAGGCAGAAGGGAAGAAGGAGGGTGAAGACACAAAGGAAGACCATCACCATGGTGATGGCAACTCACCATACAGGAAGATCAAAGCACTCCCCCCTGACGAAGAGGTCAAAACACCAACCACAGGACGCCGAGGAAGAACAGTCCGGAAATCAATAAACCTATCACCAGAAATTTAAGCTGGTAGCCCCTATAGCATCACAGCAGGCATCGCCTGCGGCCGGTTCTTCGCGCAGAAAGGCTTCATTACCTACTTATCGTTCGTCGACCCGTTCACCCTGCACAGATCAACCCAAGTCCCTGCATCTACTAAACGAGATTGATCCCCATGACCGCCACATGGGCGATGATTATGTCTCCTTCGGACAAATATCAAGACCAAGAGCCCGCAGAATCACAAAGGGCTCTCGCAAAGAAATAGCGATCGCTCCAGTTTTGATAGTCAGCCCTCCTCGCCACAAACTAGCAGCTATGAAGAGGGGAAGCACACCTGAAAGCTCTCCAGATTCAACTCCAGAAATGCTTAAGCACACGCTAAAGCCATTTTCGTTGTCAAAAGTGAGCTATCATGGGGAGGATTCGATCGCTGACACCCAGGGATGGATGATGTTGAACTCCGATTTAGAGAACGACGGTTCTGCGTCAGGCGGGAAGCGTGCTCGCCTTCGTCCAAGAATTGTGCACTGCGAGGAACGCTTCCGTCATGAGCGTGCGAGATTGGTTAGGGTTCGAGACAGCGTGATGCAGATGTTGAGGCATTTAGGTGCTGGGGCAGCCCTTACAGAACTTCGAATGATGGCGAAAAGGGTGTCTTGGGCCCCTATCAACCTAAGAAGTAGGTTCACCCGGCATCCCGTACGTTCCTTTGCTGCCTCACGACTCGCACTAATGCGAATCTTGGCAAGGAAACGCGAAGCCGAGCTGGACTGGTTCTAGCAAACGGAGGTGAAAAGGCTGTTGGAGAATGTGAGACATGAAATTGGGGCATCGAAAAAGTGCCTGCAAGAGATAGAAGGTTGGCTTCAACGATTTCCCGAGCATTACAAGTTCTTGCATAGGTATAATCTGGCTGAACCTCCGGCGATCCCACGCGAGCGGCGCGGAATTCTTGACACATGAGTGGCGGTGACAGAAGCTTGGACAGACACTTCAGGTAGTGTATTCGGTCTTCCTGAAAGAGATAGAATAGGAGATGAAGTCTGACAACGCTGAGGAGGTGACAACAACAGCGAAGTAACGCTTGGTGTGTGAAGCTCCGAACAATCTTGGGAACAGTCAAATGCCAATTATTCTAGCTACATACGGAGAGCAACGACATTGTGTTCTCGAGGTAATCATTCAAGCATACGTGGACTGTTTAGGTGTGAGAAACTAAAGCCCTGCTGTATCCTGCAAGCTCACGCGTGGGCCTTCCCAGCCTGCAGGTCATGCGGCTGTTTTGTTTCATCATTTGCAACAAAGATTCTAAAGGTTCTGGACGACCAAGTTTGGGAGCCTCTCACGAGGGTTCAAAGATACCCAGGATCTGGTGTATTGATTTTTGCCATAACGCTGTTGGCTCGGAGTGTTTGCTCTCGAGCAAGAAGCTGAGAAAGCCACAGGCGATAACTCCTCCTGTGCTATTGTCTACGCATCGTTGTCTCGATCGCCCTGCTTTAGCTGCCAACCAATATGTTGACGTGTTTCAAGGGCTCAAGGAATCAGGTACCGTGTTTCGCAGTTCGGCCGATCGCAAACAGTGAGGTTGTATCCTTACCGACGATGCGGCCATTAATCCACGGAGCACAAAGTACTACTTGCCGGGGTCTTACCTCCGCAGCAGATAACCGAATGGACAGACATCCTCAAACAACAGAGAACTTGTTCCGACAGGCATCTGAAAAGTAGCCGGCGCATTTCAGGTGTCAACGTCACAAACACCTTTCCAGGAGGATATGACCTAGGATGAATTCTGGCTCTACTCATTGACTACCGGGTCCTGCCTTCCTCAGATCGTGAGGGACTGTCCTTGCTCCCAGGGCATCTTGGCTTTACTCCATCATGATCTCGATCGGCAAAAATGACAATAACCCCCTTTTCCTTCCTATGACAGCTGCCGGTTCGTGCCTGCCTCATCGTTGAGCGTGTCCAACCTTCCCATTACCGTGGTGGAACAATATCGACCCTTGTTGCCCTCGATGGCGTTGCCCATTTTCTTTCCTCGCTGCCACAAGGTGGTTAGTCGCGTTTCACCCGTTCTCTCCACGCGGCGTCTGTACTTCTACCGTCCTTTCCTTCGATTTATCGCTATCCTTCCTAAATAACGTTATTTCTCGTATTTTAATCCTCTCTTTTTTTTTCTGCTATCGCTTCGACCGGTCATCAAGTCCTCTCCTCCAGCTCGCAGATCACACGGATTCCGCGCCAAAAGGCACAAGCGTGTCCAGATCTGAGGGCTCTCTCGAATCGAAAGAACTTTGGCCATGGGTACCGGGCTATCGCGCGGCCACCGCTACCTCAGTATGCGAAACCCGATAGCAAGAGCCATATTTCTGGCCGCTCTTATGCTTTGCCTGGGCGCTCTGTTTCTACAGACTGATCTCGACGTCCGCGAAGCCATTAAGAAGACAGCCGCGTCGGCGAAGGAAGTCATCGTCGCCCAGAGCCAGCGTATCGGCAATCCAGAGGCTGGATGGGGAACGAGAGTTGATATCTCCTTGCAGCAGGATGAAGAGCGCCGCGAGTTGGCAATGGCACAAGCCACCATTCTTAACTCATCAATTCCTATGACTTGCGACTACGACATGGAAAAACTCAGACGTTGGCGGCAGCAGTACAATTTGCAAGAGACCTTCGAGTATATGAAACGGTATATTCAGGTGTTTCGTGAGAACATTCCTAGAAAGTCGATTACGAATGTCGACGAGAACTTCCTTGCCCAGGACTTCAAGCTGGTCAACATTAATGAGCAATATCCTGCGGAGATGTGCCCACCGCCGCTCATTGCTCCAGTCTCAAAGTCTCGATTTCCATCGACTGTCAATGCATCAGACTTCATGTTTGGCGTCTCTACCACCTACAAGCGGTTCACGGATCCACGCACAAGCCCAGTCAACGAATGGTCGTACTGGCTAACTGATGGATATGGACACTCAAATGGTGGAAAGCTGGTTTTACTCCTTCTGGATGCGTCTGATGAGGACCTCGAAAACGCGTACAACAAGCTCGCGAACCTCGGCATCGATGTTGATGTGTACCGTTCCGACCCAAACCAGATCATGGCCGTGCGTTACCTTGCACTTGTGCCTAAATTGTATAACCATCCCGAGAGGTCACGCAAAAAGTGGCTTGTCATCTGCGACGACGACACATTCTTCCCCTCGTTTCACGCCCTCTCCGATCGCTTAAGACAATACGATTACACGCATCCTATGTACATTGGAACTCTGTCTGAAGATGTAAACAACATCCAACGTCATGGGTCACAGGCATTCGGCGGCGCTGGTGTCTTTCTGAGTGTGCCCATGGCCGCTCTTGTCACAGAAAAGTTCGAGTCTTGCAAGACAGACGATAAAATTCTCGAAGCGAATAGCGGTTGGGGCCCACAAGGCGATATTCTCCTTCGCAAGTGCATTTACGAGAACTCCGAGATTAAGCTGACCCTCCTTCCCGACCTGTGGCAACTTGACCTAATGGGAGATCCTTCTGGCTTCTATGAGTCTGGCATTCAGCCTCTGTCTTTGCACCACTACCGTGGCGGCATCTGGCATGTTGCACACCCCTGGCACTACACCAAAGTTGCCTATGTCTGCGGCGAGGATTGCACATTCCAACGGTTCCGCACGCCTGATAACTTCATCATTGCGAATGGTTTCTCTGTTGCACAGTACCCACAAGGCATTGACTTCGACCTCGGACAGTTTGAAGGCACGTTCCACGCGGCCCCCGAGGACAAAGGCTGGAACCTGGATTTCGCTATGGGGCCACAGCGGCCGTCGTTGCACCGCACTGGACGTAAGATCTCGTGGGACCTACAAGAAGCGACGAGGAATGATGACGGGAGTGTCAGCCAGGTGTATGTGCGCAAGGGGGACGATTGGCGTTGGGTTCGGCCCGATGGCTCGCCGATGAGGGAGAAAGACGGCATTGTGGAATTGGTGTGGTTGCCCGATGAGAGATAACTTGTACGCTTTGCTCTTTTGGTTGCTTTTTGTTCGGCTATCTTACTTCTCTTCTGATGTATTATCCTTTTCTTCTTCCTATCTTTTCCTCTACGGCGACGATGTAACACTCAGATTTGTACGACAGTCCTGCCGACAAGCGTGGCAGGTGGTTGCTTCATTGGCTCTTCGAGTGCCAGTTTCACGAGAGGACACAATGTAACGGCATGGTATGGCTACCTAGGTCAGACGAACACATACATAAGGAGTTGGAGTTTCGCGGGACGTGGTTTGTGCGAATTAGCTTGATTCCACCTTAGCTCACGGCAATGTATTGTACGACATTTGCATGACATGGCGGCGTTGCGTTCGGGGTGGGTTGGGGGACCCCGACAAAAACCCTGGAGCTAGTGGTCAATGGCCAAGGGGAAGTGTCATCATTAGGTGTATCCCCCCTACATACAGAATGGACACACGAAACCCTTGCAAACTCTGTACACCGTCACAAAGAGAAATCATCCCTTCTTATCTTCCCCTCATTTGTTCATCCAAGCACCATCACTCCCTCAAGCCTTGGGCCCCGAGCCTTGCGTCGGCCCAGGCCCCGAACTACCATTAGCACTAGGGAACGGTTCATACGGCGGTGGCTCATAAGCCGGCGGAGGAGGGAGATCCGTAGCACCTCCCACAGCACTCGAAGGACCGGAAGCAGGGGGAGGAGCGTAGTACTCATACCCCGGGGGCGCCCCAGTCGGTAGCCGTAACCCGGGGGAGGGACAGACGGATCAAAACCTTCGCGACGAAGCTCCTCGAGCTCCCGGAGCTCTGCTAAGCGGGCAGCCTCTGCTTCGGCAGCGGCCTCAGCAGCCTTGGCCTTGGCTGCTGGGGTGAGGTGCTCGTCGTCAGGGACACCGGGGGGAGGTGGGGGCGCCGCGGATGATGGGCCTGCGGCCGCTGACGAGGTTGAGCCTGTGCCGACGTTAAGGTTCTGCAGCTGTTCCGTCGGAGGTTGAGGAGCAGCAGGCTGGGTCTGACCCTCGGCAGGAGGGGGAGGAGCAACTGCCCCAGCAACGGGCGTCATGGGCCTGGGAGCCCTGCAATCTCCTCCAGCCCTCCGCACCTTTGAGCACCTCGAACAAGTTCTTCGCAGCACCAGGCCACATCCCTTCTGGACCCTGGGCTGGCACCTTACCCGCGAGGATGTCGGCGACCGGGATGGGCTGGCCATAGAACTTCGCGTTGGCGTTCGCCCGCTCGGTGATGACGGTTCCGTCGGATCTTGATGCCGGCGTACAGGCCGCGAGACTTGACGTAGCTGTAGACCGGCTTGTTGATGGCCTCGCGCAGTGCGGTTGAGCGCCGCTTGGTACTGGCGTCCGTTGGGTGAGAAGTGTGGTCTTCGTCGTCGGATTGGGGGACTGGAGTGGGGGTCTGGAAATGGGTGTTGTCTGCCGAGAGGGGAGATGTACCGGGCGCGGGGACAAGCGGTAGGAGCAGTGGGCTCTGGGCTGGAGGGTTCTTTGCCTTTGCCTTTGCCTTCACCAGCCTTCAGGCCAAAATCTATGGCGCCACCGGCGCCGACGGGACCAGCTGTCACGGCGAGGTCGGAGCCAAGGCTCAGACGGGTCTTGGTGAATGCCTCGAGGGCCTCGCGGGTGTTGATGACGACCACGCAGTCGTAGATATCGACGCCGGCGACGAAGCCTGCGCCGATGCTGGCCACTTGGATGCCACTTGGTGGCGACCAGCTGCCGTCCGGCAGACGGGCGAGGAGAATGCCGCTGCCACTGGAACCGGTTGCTTGGAAGCCGACTCGGACGGCAGTAAAGATGGCTAGACCTTGGGCGCGCGCGATCACCTTGGAGGGGATGGTCAGCAAGACCTTGGGCTTCTTGCCCTTACCTGGGGAAGCAGCGCCGGAGGTGGGAGGCGAAGGAGGAACGGTTGATGGGGCATTGTCACCGTAGATGCCGTCCTCTGAGATATGTCGTTAGTAAGCTGATGGTTTCACGTTCGAAGATGAGCGAACGTACTGCAAAAGCTGCGCAGAATGCGAGCAGCCTTCTCACACTCCTTGTCCAACGACTCAGGTAGGAAGCCCTCTGCACCAAACTTATTTGCAAAGGCATTCACAGGCCCAGCGACCTTACTCGCAAATGCTTCGCCAAGAGCAGTGAGCTTGGCCTTTCCCTTCTTGCCATGCTCTTCTTCGCCCTCATGTCCATGGCTATGGTGATGACGACCAAAGAATCGGGAGAACTTCGATGGTGGATGCTCTTCTGTTGGGGTCGCGTCGTAAATGTCGTCGTTATCATTCGGCGGAGGTGCGAATTGCGGATTCGCTGGGTTATACTGCGGGATATCGTAATCGGGGAGAGGAGTTTCGTTGGAATGCTTTGGAGGCTCCGCATACACTGGAGGAGGGCCAGGCGGGGGAGGAGGAAGCGTCGATGGCTGGGCGGCTGGCTCAGCAGGTTTCTTCTCGTCAAAGGCCATTTTTCAGTTTGTTTTTTTGATGCGATTTCGGAGATTGAATCTGAAAATAAGTGTGGAAATGAAACGGATTAATAGAAACCGAAAAGTGCAAGAACCGGAAGCTCAGGAGAGCTTGCTAAGCTGCGGAAAAGCCTGGTGCGGGGCTGCAAGAACCTGATAGAAGACGAGAAGGATTTCGGTACAAGTTGGCAGAACCTCACTCAGATTGCCTGTACTTCAAAGCCTTCTTTATATCTATCGATGACTCGTGATCCTTATCACAATCAAGAGGCCTCCGCGACGTGATCAGGCCAACATACAACTCTAAACAACCCCATTAATGCTCCAGTCATGCGGGGCAGGTCCATTTCGGCTGACGTCACGGTGTGGCGCAGCAGTGCTAATATCTTGGCGTTGCGTGTTCGGGCGACAGGTGTGGCGCCAGTTGTGGCTATTGTGGGGTTCTTATTCTTAAGAATCCTGGAGATCCCTTGGCTCCCTCGCGCCCTTTGCCCACGTCTTGCAATGCCCAAGTTTCACATCGGGTTCCTTCAAAAGGCAGGTTCATCGCTACCTTAATAAAGTGATAAATTAACAGCCTTAATTTATCTGCCGTGGAAGTCACCAGAATCATGCTTTCGCTACCGAAGCTGTGGCGATGCACTGGTCAGCAAACGTAGGATTGTTGCTATCCTCCCTGTCGGCTGCCACGGCGCCAAACGGCACAGGCTCGGTGCTGAAGCTGACGGGGTGACCGGCGGCTACGCTTTGCACTTTTGCATCCCCAGAAACATTGACGTCACAACCGACGGAGGTCAAATAAGGTCAAACTAATTAGCTACTGTAGCTAAAGTGCAAGTTTTTTGTAATCATCTCCTCAAGACTTCAGGTTCCAAGGCTCTCGGCCCCTCAATGTGTTTGTCAAGACTCACTCCAACTGCTTTAATGTAGCATATATTTCGGCAGCCCTAGGGGACCATCTTCTGGTCACGAAGCATCACCATCGGTTTGGAACTTAACATTAACAGACACTCGTGCACCATAGGATTTCGATCAGCAATTTCCGATTCGCAAGCAAGCTGCAGGAACCCGCACAAAAAGTCTGCGCTTTACCTCTGGTCGATCTCCTCTCCCAAGCCGTTAGCTTGCTGATGATGGACAGGACCGAATTCAAGGTTGTGGTAGACTTATAACGCATATGCGCAATCTTCTCGGCTGGCTGCGGTTTGTCATCAAGCGGTTAAAGGCTTGTGTGTCCGTTTTGACTGCTCCGACTGGCTGCTTGCCTGGCAGAGTCGATGCTCTAATATGCTCCCGGGTCCCCGCAGGAGACCGTTAGCTCGATCTGGAAGGTCGATATAAGATTGATTATGAGCCACGTGTGCTGCTGCACGCATGCTCTTGGAGCATTTGTTCCATTCGAAATTTTGAGATCTGTTCCTGTCTGTCGGGACGTTCATCTGGTCTTCAGCTAGCAGTCAAGCTTCACTGCTGGCCGTTTTCCTACGTCAGATCTAAGCAAGAATGTCTCTAATAGTGGATCTGATATAGGAGGTCAAAAACATTTGACATCTGAGGTCAAGGTCAAAACAAGAATCAGGTGGGTTTGCGAATCAAGCGCTTACCCGAGAAGTAAGTTATAAAAGAAACCGCGTGTGATATGAACATAGAAGATTTGGAGGACGACATATGAGGATGTAGGCCAACTTGTATTTCTGTTCTCCGTTCATGGCATCTTCATGCTGTCCAGTTACAAGTATTCACCACAGGAACTCAAACCGTTCCACCTACTCCACTTATTACTCTTCAAATATGACATTTATTGAATGTGTCCAAAAATTTATCGCAATTTTTGATCTACGGTGTCTGCTGAGAATAGTCCTGATCGCATATGCATGACTTCTTCAAGAAGATTCCCGCTTGTGCTTCAATTATTCTAACTTTGGGACCAATGTGGATGGCATGACAACCAATATTGCAACCATCTGTAACTATCTGCCGCCTCTTGATCCGTGTAGTAATGTCAAGCTCTGGAATTGTTACTTACCCCACCAAATCTCAATCCAAAGCATTCAGCATTGTTCTCAGTGTGATTCTCGGATAGTCTAAGCTGAATGATGCTACAAGAGATCCAAAGGGCGACCTGTACCAACTCTCTAAACCGGATCTTCTGAGCGTACCAAGGACGATGGTACGGCGCTGTAGGTTAAAAAAAAAGTATGACATACGTCATATCCAATTTCTGCGAGGTGATCTCGTGTAAGGGTGTATCACTGCAGAATATTGATTTCGTGATGCGCCCATGAACTTGCACATATTCTCGCTACATTGAGCTCTGTATTCCGGAGCAGCTCGGCGCTCGGCTTACAACCAGGTCCGGTGCACGAAGATCCTTTCGTACCAAATGGCAACGCTTCACGAAGCTCTCTTGACGAACTCCGAGCATTCCGCCCCATCCACAGGACCTCCATCTCGTGTTCACACGGCACAAGGCACGAGGCCGCGATGCAAGACGGGAAGATGTAGTGATCAAACGGGAAAGCAGGAACGAGTGTGGAAACTCTAAACTCCGGTCTTGTTCTTTGGATACTCCCGCGGGGATAACATCATGAACATGCAATTAAATTCTGCGTTCTGGCCGAAGCGGTAAACTCGCAGCTGCTGTGTGACCAAAGGCCCCTCATGTATCAATATTTCCCTCATCTTGCGTTTTCAGAGCCGGAGAAGCTGTGTAGAATGGCTCTGAGTGAACGGAATGAAGAAAGGAGCATAAGGTGTTGTGAGGGGGCCGGCACATATGCATCTTGCATGCAGGTCTAGTCAATCCTGGAAATGTGGAAGGTTTAGTAAGCCAATTGGAGGGCGAGAACGGCAAGGCAGGAGTTGTAGCTTCCAGCTACTCCTGTAGACGGTCGGAGCTTGGTGAATGGGAAAGTGCTGAATGAGTGTTTTGGTAGCTGAGGAACGTTTGGCGACTTGTAAACGTTGGAGATGCAAGCCGTTGGGCAGAAGAGAGCACACTGTCGGCTCTCGTTGGATGTTGCATGGGAAAGGATCGCCGTATATGTTAGACTTGTCGCTGAGAATGTCGTATCTGCAACTTCTCCCCACGTCCCTGGTCCTCTTAGAAGCTAAGCCAGCCCCACGTATTGTTGGCCTTCAGCGGGCTGAGCAACCAGGTTATCAGAGAAATCTAAAATCTGGTTTCAGCTGATCAAACACGTGCGGTTCGTTGCTAGAGTATCAGTGTATAATAGAATCCTGCGTAGACGTTGCTTTGGGTTGCTTCCAACTTGAAGAACAACGGAACGTTTCATTTATATGAAGTTGAAGTTGCGTTCGTCTTCAATTTTGGTGTTGCACAGTAGTGGAGACTTCCATGGACTTGAACTGACATCAGAGGTTCTCTTAGGAAGTGCCAAGTATTGTCAACAAACTATTTTCGGAGCCTTCCATTCCCCACATTTCGTGGTCCACTTAGTTACCCCACTTCCAGCCAAATGTAGGACCCACCAATGAGGTCGAAGTAGCCAAAGACGTGATAACAGCGAGATTAACTACCTGCCGCAAGATCAAAGCTCACCGCACGTTAGAGGTTTCAACTGGTAAGATCTCTCTCTTTTCCTTTTATTTTTTAAAAATTTATTTGTTGAAACTGTGTCGTTCGACATGTATTGGTGTCTCCATGTCTATTCAGACGGGTCTGCTATGGTAGGAAAACAAGATGGCGGGCCAACGAGATTCGAGGATTCTTTTGGGACCAAGAGCCGCTGCTGTCAGCAACAGTGGCTCGCCCTGCCGGCTACATATTGTTCCGCTTCGATGCTGAGTCGCTGACCGCTGACAATTTGTTGCACTCTCAAGTTGAGCTGTGCCAATTGGCGCGCGACAAGCAGCGAGCATCATGCGATCAGATGAACATTCGCGCTGACATGGTCCATCCAATCTCAGCCAGACCCTTTGCCGACATCGCCTAACTTCCACATCAATCTATTGATGGAAGAAACGCTCAAGAGCCAGCGCTGATCACTCCCATATAGCTTTGCCATTTCAAACACCAAGTGTAAGAAAGCATTCTATACACTATGTAGGTAGAGCGGTTTGCCCAGACTTGGTCCTCGTGTCCCTACGGGTTGGGTCGTCTGAACTATCCACCCCGCAACGTACTGATATCTATACATGGTATGAGAACCCCAACCTCACGTCTCAAGTCTCGAAGAAGTCTCGAAGATATCCACCCCCAAATAGATGGGCGCTGTCTCCGCGACCGCACGTTTCCAACGGTCCGCACAAAAGGCTCCAAGCATAGAATTCGACACGGTCGGGACCGATAACCTAGGGTCTAGATCTAGTTTCAATGCTCGCTGCGGCTTTGCACTGCTTCCACATATGTACAATGCTCCAGAGCAGGAGCTGCGGGCAACCAGTAATTCTGATAGGACAGCAGCAGGGCTTATCGATGAGTACCACAAACGCCGTCGAGGATTTTTGGCTTTCTCACGTGCACATGATTGGAAACCACGTGTGCGCGATGGACAAGGGCCACAGTCCTGTTTCCCCCCAACAGGACCAAGCTTCGGGCTCATGGCTTCTTTCATTGCAACTGGTGTACACAGTAACGCTGGTAACGCTAGGCTGGCTGAGGCACTCCTTGGCTGGCCGCCCACTGGTCAGATGTTATACGCCTTTTTGACCTTCTCGTCCCTGTCTGTGGCGTCGAGAAACACGGAGATGGCTCTACTCACTCTTCGGTCTCTATCCGCCAACCAAGCCTCGTCACCGGTTCCGATCCGTCTTGGCTGCCCCCCTCACTTCAGAATCCAGCCTGAGGAGGGCTTCTCGACCTGAGGTCCTACGAAAATCTCTCAAAAACTTGCTGTGAACGGGGAAAGCCAGTCAATGATAATCTCGGGGCAAGCATGTTGCAGAAGCCCCTCGCAAGTCAGAAATGACCATTTCGGAGACGGTCTCTTTATCTCTAGCTGTTCTCCTCAATCCAAGCTGTCAACCCGCTATCATACTGCTTCAGCGACTGACCGGTTTCGCTAACTTAACCCAAAAGATGCAGCAACTTACTACTATTTGGTCTGCTCAAGTCGACAACAATTCATTATTCGTCTGTGGTCACTTAATAGTTTCCAGAAACGGTCGACGTGCACGGATCAAAGTCTAGGCGATCCAATGACCATGTGTCCCACGGTCCGGGAAGCGAGCGGGATCTTCAACGATGCTCTACCGATAGGGCGGATTTCCGCCACTGGGCTGCTACCTGATCATCGGAGAAAATACAACCCCGAGCGTCGCATTCGTCTTTGACCAGACTTTGTTGTGGACTATCCACTTGGTTGCATTCCATACGGCACCTGGCTGCAAGGTATCGACTAAGCGCATCATGCAACCCTGTGCTCTGCTCTCTTGACAGCATCAATACTACCCAGCTATCAAGTGCCGCTGCCATCCACGGTCATGGGCCTTTCACTGGCTATGTAACATTCTGAATCAATGTCGATGCCTTGCTGCCAGGATCACCAGCTTTTCTCAGCCTTCCAGTTCTGGAATGTCCTCATGGGCATGAAGTACACGTAAGATTTACCTTCTGCCACGACCTCGAGACGAGATACAAGATATGGCTACAACAGTAATCCTGCCTATAACACTCTTCAGTTAAAGAGCCGAACTGCTCTCAATTGATGCTAACTTTGTACCCCCTGAGCCACAAAGGATCGTGTGTAATCCGGGTTCCTGGATCCTGAGCCTCTCCTCAGCACTCAGCCCCAATCTTTCCTGAGTCAGCCGGCATGTTCACATGCAGGCGATAAATCCAGCAGTCGTGTTACCAAGTATGTCTTTTCTACGCACTAAGCTTACCCCTACAGCTCAATTTTGGCCCACACCGCGTTGTGTCCAACCAGCGACGCTGGTCGCGTCCTGACCGCTCTCCACGTTTTTGACATGCTGTATCTTTCTCGTACCTAAACAAGACACATCACAAACATTGTCCGCCTGCTAACTTGAACCTGACCAGTAGCAACTCGAGTTCCCCCGGCCATGTTAAGTCTATCAGCCTTCGTCTCCGAACGGCTGCTCGCCCAGCTGGCCGTGACACTGGCCGAGAGTCCGTATCCCACTGCAACTGGGTCTGGCCATCTCCTTGCCTACCCTTTTACTTTAGGGGGAAAGGGGGAACTAAATTGAGATCAGTGACATTTCCCTAAGCTTGTCTGCACAATGAGTTGTCATTGGGGAGCTTAACTCCTGGACCAAGCCATGTTTTCTTCAATCCGCTTTCACACCATCCCTATCACCCTTACCACAAGGCAGCTAGCTGGGGTGGGTGTATTGCTGGATCGGACAACACCGCCCTGAGGCTTTTGCAGTCATAAAACATGACCATTCTCTCCCCGCTGCCTTCTTCTTCTCGTCGTGGGGTAGCATTCTCAATTATTGATAACTCGCAGCTGCGGCCTCTCCCGGTTCCTGCTCCCGGGTTCATTGTCAGCATTGCCGTCCTTATACTCCACTCCTGCGTGGTGATAGTCACCTCCTCGCCCCGTTTCCTCCCCGCTGGAGATCACGAGAGTGATATTGGATCCATCATCACCTCCGTATCCAACCTCTTGCAGCCATTCCGTGCCGCGTTTCCCGAAGGCTGTCTACTCACACTCGGTCCTCACTCCAACCAAGCCTGTCGTATACACAACCTCGTCCCGCATCTACCGGGCGAAGTTGCTGCACCTGCCTTGACGTCATTCCGAACCTGGGAAACCAAGACGGCACCACCGTCGAAATATTGGATAGGATCCGAGTTTTCGCGATCTTTGTTGCCTTCACTGAGGAGAAGGTGAAGTCTGAGTGTTGAGTCTATCGTCTATAAAACGACCAAACCTTCCGACAGTGAGTCGACTCCAGTTTTTCGTCAGCAATAGCATCAGACGCTCCAGTGTCTTGAGCCTGGTTCTTTTGACAATTCGCTCACTCAACAATAGTTGGCTCGGTGCCATCAGCGTCATGAAGTTTCTAACTTATGCCACCACCCTCCTGGGCACCCTTACAGCTGTTGTAGGGGCAGTCCCAACTCGCTCTGGCACCAAGAACAAGTACATTAGGGATGGGCCCGGACCTTGCCATACCCCGAGTAATCGGGCGTGCTGGGCCTCTGGGTTCGACATCTATACTGACTACGAAGTCAACACACCCAACACGGGTGTTACCCGCAAGGTAAAGTCTTCATCGTTACTACTTAAGTAAAATTCGTGCTGACATGGGTAGTACACTCTCACTTTGACCGAGGAAGACAACTGGACCGGCCCCGATGGAGTGGTCAAAGAAAAAATTATGCTTGTTAATGGTATGTCGACCCTGAGCTAGGTATGCAATTATTAAGATGACTAACCATTTTCATGCAGGCAAAATTATGGGTATGCTTCTCCTGGTGTAGTTAAGCTGAATGATCTACTAACCTTTGCAGGCCCGACCATTGAGGCCAACTGGGGTGACTGGATCGAAGTCAATGTCATCAACAACCTTTTGACCAATGGGTATTCTCTTGTTCTTCTCCCCTAGTGAAGTGCCCAAGCTGACTCCCATAGCACTTCCATCCACTGGCACGGCATTCACCAGAAGGGCAGCAACCTTCACGATGGCGCCAACGGCGTTACTGAATGCCCCATCCCTCCCAACGGCGGCCAGCGTACCTATCGCTTCCGTGCCCAGCAGTATGGCACCAGCTGGTACCACTCTCACTTCTCTGCTCAGTATGGCAATGGCATTGTCGGTCCCATCGTCATTCACGGTCCAGCTTCTCTGCCCTATGACATCGACCTTGGCCCTTTCCCTCTTGTGGATTACTACTACAAGAGCGCTGATGAGCTGGTGCACCACACTCAAAGCAACGGTCCACCGTTCAGCGACAACGTTCTCTTCAACGGTACCGGTGTTCATCCCCAAACTGGTCATGGTCAGTATGCCAAGGTGACCCTGACCCCGGGCAAGCGTCACCGCCTGCGCATCATCAACATGTCGACGGAGAACCACTTTCAGGTCTCTCTCGTCGGCCACCAGTTCACCGTCATTGCTGCCGACATGGTCCCCGTCCACTCCTACAATACTGACAGCCTGTTTCTCGCTGTCGGGCAACGTTATGATGTTATTATCGATGCTTCGCCGACCCCCGGCAACTACTGGTTCAACGTCACCTTCGGTGGCGGTTTCGCTTGTGGTGGTTCCTTAAACCCTCATCCAGCTGCCATCTTCCACTATGAGGGTGCCCCCGATGCTCTGCCGACCAATCCTGGTGTTACTCCGCGCGACCACAACTGCCTGGACACTCTGGACCTCGTCCCTGTCGTTCCACGGAATGTTCAGGTCAACCAGTTCGTCAAGAAGCCCGAGAATACCCTGCCTGTTGAGCTGTCCATTGGCGGCACCCCGCTCTTTGTCTGGAAGGTCAACGGCAGCGCCATTGATGTCGACTGGGGCAACCCCGTCCTTCAGTATGTGATGGACGGCAACACCAGCTACCGCCAAGCCGACAACATCGTCGAGGTTAACGGTGTCAATCAGTGGACTTACTGGCTGATTGAGAACGACCCTAATGGTGCCTTCAGCCTTCCCCACCCCATGCATCTTCACGTAAGTCCTTTCCCCCTCTTTTACCTACCCCCCCCTTTATCGCAGATAACCGCCTTTCTTAGCCCTCCTCTCAGATAACTGACCTCTTTCCAGGGCCACGACTTCCTCATTGTCGGCCGATCCCCCGACGTCCCGCCGGGTTCGAACCAGCGCTACAACTTCGACCCAGCCACCGACATCTACCGCCTGCGCGGGCAGAACCCGACCCGTCGTGACGTCGCCATGCTCCCTGCCGGCGGCTGGCTGCTGCTCGCCTTCCGCACCGACAACCCTGGTGCCTGGCTCCTCCATTGCCACATTGCTTGGCACGTGTCGGGCGGTCTGTCTGTCGACTTCCTCGAGCGGCCGGACGACCTGCGGAATAGCATTCCCCAGCATGATAAAGACGAGTTTAACCGCGTGTGCAACGAGTGGCGCACGTACTGGCCTAATAATCCCTATCCCAAGATCGACTCTGGTTTGAAGCACCGCTGGGTTGAGGAGAGTGAGTGGCTGGTTCGTTAAGGGATGTTGTACAGAGTCGAGGTGTGAATCGGGTTATGGGTTTCCGGAGTCGGGATCTTGGTATTAATAATTATCAATGTTTGGTTTGGGTCGGTATTTTGGATATACTTAGGAGTTTTGATTGTCGGTTATTGTCAGTGATCGATAGTAATCGCTCCTTCTCTGCATAGTTTGATACCTCAACGTTGATGGCTTAGGACTGAAGAACCAGACTTAAGTTGAGATCCTTTCCCGGCTCCTCTCCTACTGTGACGGCTAAATGGGCTTAGCTTGAATTATGTGTGCTGTTTAACAGCACTCGTAGCACGATGTACAACATAGAACCTCAGGCCAAAACGTTCTTCGATCTACGTTTTCATCCGTTCCACAGGAGGATAGCACCATACTCTACAGAGCCTAAGGTGTTGCCTCTCACGACGAGGCATTGACCTTTTTAAGCCTGGCTTGTGGGTATTGCAAGAGCCCAAGAGACTAACAACGCCGAAAAGCCTTACGTCCCTGAATTCGCTGTATCCGTACGCCGGTCGTTTCCCGTATCCGCTTATCGATATTAGCGTTCACGTAGTAGAAGTACTCCTGTTGAACATTACACCTGGCATCATGAAATGTATCCGGCCGAAGACATCATAGTTTCCCCGCTTGCTTATAAATGCCCGAAGCTATTTGCTCAAACGCACACCGAGTTAGACGACTTCGATGAAGCTCTTGCGCAGGAAATCCATACCAGCACTGTCGGTTTGTGGCTTGGTGTGGGGATTTGGGCGTTCTGTAAGAAAGCTTTTTCAGCCTGGATTATCAACTTTGAGGTACTGGGCTGCTACAGTCCAGTGTGTCTAGCCATCTTGGTCTTCTGCGCGACACTCTTCAAGACCGCAAGAGAATTCGATCCGAAAAATCCAAGCTACTGAGCTGCACTTGTGGAAATAAATAATCCTCGCGGTCCAGACATAGCGGTCGTATCTAAATTGCGCTATTCTGACAAGGCCAACCCATTGCATCTGGCGCAGGATTGCTTTAATGGTGATGATGACACCATAGAACCGGTAGCTTAGGATTTTGACCCGAGGATTCAACTGCTTAGTTACATCGGCCTGAGAGTGAACTTTGAGATCTAGTAGCAACCATCAATAATTTGATAAGTGTTTGTACAAGCTTAGCTCCAAATTGCGGGACCCTCGCTTTCAACAGTCGAATTGGAAAGCAAAGAGTTATCAAGATGGTGTAACAACAACTAATTCAGAGAGTTCCACGCAATTCTATGACTCCGATGTCATCAAAGTGGAGTTTCTTCTTCAGAAGCTTCGGAAAGGTCAAGGATTACCTGTTGAGAATCGTCAAACCTGCAGCAGAAATAGATTTTCTGGCTTGTCGTTTGGTAATTGCAAACTCATTTCGGCGCAAGCACCTTTTGTAATGGTGAAGTGAAAGGAATACAGAGTTGCATTTATCGATCCCCAATACTTCCAGTCCAAGCACAGATACTTTAGTGGGTTCACTCAATGTTTACTCCCAAGAAAGTGAAGCTCTTGCTGATGGCCACTTTGATGAACGAGGTCGGGATGACCAAAGGTCCAAGCTTAAGTCAAGAAAGCCCCTCTTTACCACCTGAAGCACGCCCGAAAACCAACGTCAAAGTTCTGATCAAGCCTCATCTAGATTGGTTCCACGAAGGAGTGCAGTAGTGACCCACTTACCGCCTGGGACGATGAGTGATGAAGCTTATAGGGGGTTAAAAGACGCCCATATATATAATTCTTATCGAGAGTTGCAGCCATATCGGAAGATAATGATCCACAGCTCACGTCCCTTACGAGTAACACTACAAGGGACTGCTGTGTTTGCAGCTTTCTCATCTTCTTCCTCACCTACGGAAGAGGCACCACAAGCTGCACCAGCGGAAGAATGCTGGGGTCTAACAGCCCTAGCGTCGGGTACTCAAGATAGGCCTGACTCTCCAGTCAGTCTCCCTCCAGGCTCATCTGACCTATTTCAGAATAGTCCAACCAATTGGGGACATTTTCGGTCTAGCACCGAACAAGAACCCTCCTGTTCTTCATTGTACTTGGATCAATATCCATAAATCTCTCGACATGAAGAAGCCCATCCGGAGGGAAATTCAGACTCTCAGTCCCCCGATTAACAACAACAACAACAAAAAGAAGAAGAAGAAGAAGAAGAAGCGCTAATCTCCTTGCGTAAGAAATTGAGGGAACAGAGATCATGTGTATCTTGATACACCGTATTTCTGAACCCCGATAAGAGGGCTAGATGAATATATCGCCTGTATTGACCCTACTGTTACGTCGTATGCCTTCCAGAGTTTGCAAGGGGCTACGTGTGGAAATAAGTAAAGGCTATCAAGCTAGTTCAGACGGTATGTTGCAGAATTCAAAAGTGGCCATCATTCTCGTCCCCTTTTGTCTGAAACTAGTGGCACTCTGATTGGCAAAGTAGTCGAGTAAAGTTTTCAATCTCCAACACAATGTTGTCAACTGAAACTATTAGATCTGGCAAAGCCTCCTGGTAAAACAGTGCAACTGCTGGGTAGAAGAGGTGAGATGTGAGGTTCTGAGCAAGGAACAGGTGGAAGCCTAAGACTATGGCCTGGGTGTTGACAGTAAAGTTGTCTGGCGCGACATCACTGCCAGTTTTCTTCGCTTTTTTTCATGCCATCATTGGCATGAAAAGCGTCATATATTGCAGATGATGCCTGCTCAGTAGTAGGAATAGCATCAGCCCATGTCTTTGATCCGGGTGGCGAACGAATCATGTTGCGGACACCTGGTTCGATAGCTTCAAGAATGCCAGCCATATATCGGACTTGCTCATCATACTCCACCAAATTCGCATCCCCTCCATTTTCACTCCTTTCTCATGGGAGCCCGCATCCCCTGTGTTAGGGAGCAAACTGCGATTGGGTCATGGCCTACAACACCAAAGGAACAGTGATGGCAGTGCATCTTGTCTGACCCTCTCAGGTCGTTCCGCAGCTTTGTTCCCTTTCACTCTTCCTCTGTTTGGTGGCGCTATAGTGACAGACGCTTGTGCTTAGTTCATATGTGATGAGGGCATTATCAGCAGCAATATGCTATACTGACGCTTCCGCAGGTTCTGGATCGATGGTTAACTCATATTTTCCATAAGGGTTGTGGCTACTTGGTGTCAGCAGCATTGTTGCGGCTGATTGCGTTGAAATAGGTGATGAACTTAAGTTGTAGTCCACCATCATCGTTGGCATCATACGTTTTTGTTTTGTCAATCCAGCCGTATTTGAGTGCAAGAAGATACTGAAGGATGAATTCAATGTTGGAAACCAGGCTCTGCAAGCTTTTAGTGTGCTCTCTTTACTGGTAGGATGTTGTGGCTTTTTAAACTAGTCCCGGTCTCATCTGGATACTGCGTTTTATCAATATCGGTAGAGCTAAAAGTGGATGAGCTTCAAGTTGCTACCCCCGAGAACTGAGTTGGAGATCATTTAACGTTTGAATGCAAACCTGAGAGCTGTCTGATAATGGTAGTAAACTTGACGACCAAAGTCAAAGAGTTACAACAAAGGCACTGTCCCACTTGTCCAGTAAGCCTGATACACCCTGGATCCTGGTGTTACAAAGGATGCAAGTTATCATAATGTGTTGTCATCCAAAACATCTGTACGTCACAACAAAGATGGAGATGTGGTTAATTCCTTGCTAACAACCAGGTGAAACCCATACCAGACTTACCTCCACCGCTAAAGCAATCCAAAGCGAGAGATGATTGTGACAGTCATTCTGTAACTCAGCAAATCACATTGTAGTGTCGACCAGAAGGACTAGAGATAGGTATACTTTTCATAACGGAGAGCAATGGCCCCTGCTAACACTTATCAAACAGTCCAAAAGTCAGAGAACTTCTTGAGTCCAATACCTCCTACCATGTTAGCTACCTAAAATTCCTATCCTAAAGGTCACTGAGCATAGCAAGGTATCATCCATCGTAGCCCAAAATAGAGTCTACACAAAACAGAAATATGAAGCAAAACGTTATAACAACATTCATGACAAGAGTAGCCAAGAGTCCTTCTGACCAAGGCTATCGCCCCTACCGAACTCCATCGTCACACCATGAACTTCATCCTCCTACCTAAGTAGTTCCGGGCTAACTGCAGCAGCTCCAAATTTCCCAGTGCTATCAACCCTTGGTATTGTTGCACTTGTACTCCCCGGATTAGCAGCACTGTTCAGCGGGCTGACCGTCAACTCCTCCATCCCCCCAGAGCCAGGCTGCTTCATAAAAACAGCTTACCCAACGTAGGGACATTGACATGCAGCTTATCAGTTGAGGACCCAATACCATTGCCCAAGTTCTAATGAATTTCTTCACCCCCGAAGAGATCCACTCCCCACATTCTCCTCAGCCCCCCCAGTGGGCCCTAAACCTACACTTTCCCCACTCATAGCACCCGCTCCCGACCCGGAACCCCCACCCGGTGTCCCCGCTCTCCCCCGCTCGGCAGGTGAGCCCCGACCGGCCCCCGAACCAGGAGCGCTAAACAGGTACGGACTCGGCGCCCTCTCCTTCAGGGGTAGCGGAGGAGCCACCGACCTTGGCGTCTGTGCATCCTGCGAGCTGGTACCCAACGAGATCTGAGACCCAAGCCCCTGCGCTTGGTGCGTGAGCAAGGGATGCGGAGGGGTTAGGACGTTGATCCAGCCTTCTTCAGTTTCTGACTCCTCTGCGATTGTGTCAAACACAGGGATTTGTGGTGGAGCGGAGCCGGGTTGGCGGGGGGGCGGGGCGCTGTTGAGAACGGGCGCCACTGAGCCGACGACTCTGGGCATGAGCGGGGAAAGGTCAGCTACCATGGCTGAGGCGAGGCCGATGGCGACAGGGGAGGTCGGGGCAGGCGGGGGACGGTAGAGAGAAGGTTTCCTTTGCGTAGTGCTATTTCCGTTCGACTCTTCTTTTGTGTTGCTGCTAGTCCTGGAGGTGTTCGGGAGGGTATTGGTCCGGCTGACGCTGGCGTATCGCTTGAGTCTGCTACCAATGGATTGTGGAAGGATCGGTAATGTCATTCTTGGCTTCTTTTTATGGCCAGGTCCCGGAGGTGGTGACAGATCCTTCGACTTGGCATCTTTGTTGTCATCATTGCCTCGTTCCTTTGTAGTCTTCACTTTGTCCTTGCTCTTGTTTACATCTTTGGGCTTGCACTTGGATGCGATCAGGCGAGTCTGCGTCTCAATTGATGGATTGTCAATGATCTCCTCCATCGTCACGCTCACGTCGGATGCATCGACGCCTGGGATGGTAAGGCCAGGCACCACCAGATTCAGTTGCTTCATCATCTGCGATGCTGGGATCAAGCTGCCCCAGAGATCATAGAACGAGGCCAATAATACCTGCTCCTGCGGTACACCCAGCGATATTGGATCAAGAATGTCGGCCCATGTCTCCATGACAGCCATCCGTATCGCCTGTACTTGATCTGGGGTCATCCAGTTGGGAATGACATCCTCGCCCTCCCCGCGTGATGGTATGGTCGCTGACAAAGGGATTTTGCCGTGTTGCAGTTCACGATAGTAATACCCGGGAGGAATGAGAGGTTCGTGTTTATTGGCGCCTGGCAATAGGTATCGGATCGTATCGCACAACAACCGCAGCGCATCCCCGGCAACTTGCTCCAGCCCCTGGGCCCGGTCCGGAGAGAACGTGATGGAGATCTCAAACCTGCCGCCCGGCCTCGCAATCGACCGTACGTACAAATCCGGCAAATCTTGCGCCTTCGACTCATGCACTGTGAACTTGCAAGCAGCATTCCCTAAGTGGAATGTCTTCGGCTCTGATGGGATGATCGCTCTCTCCTCGACCTGGTGGTGTACAATCGAGCTAAACCGCGTCCAGTACACCCACGGCGTGCAATTCTCGACGATGGTCAAGAAGCCCATGTTCTCGAATGGCATACATGCCTGGCGCTGCGCGTCAATGTAGCTAAGCAACTCGAGCGTTGTCAAGCGTGTATCTGGGAACTGCACGCGCACAGGGATAATGTTGACGGTCGGGCCCATGATGCGCGAGACGGGATAACCTCCGGGGAGCTTCATGTTGCGGCCGTCGATCACCTCTCCAAAAACAACGTCACTGCTCCGAGCCAGCGTTGCGAGAACCATGGCCCAGGCAGCCTTCAAGAGAGTTTCAACGCGACATCCCAAGGCTTGACACGAGTCTAGAGATGGAATGATCTCCTTAACCATCTTGATGTTCGTCACCATTTTGTATGGGCGCAAGTGGTGCACAACCTGCGTGACACTGGCGCCCGCGAGCCACTCACGCCAGTATGCCTCAGCGGCTCCTCCCACGTTTGCGGATTGAACAGCATTAACAAAGTCACAGTACGAATGCTTACGTTGCGGCGGTGGCTGTTGTCCGTCATATAGCCGCTTAAGGTCCTTGACGAGCAGTGCAATTGAGAGATCATCGTATTGGGCCTTTGACAATCGCAGAAGCATTACCGACTGTTTGCCTCCGTCGAGGAACATGAACTTGGTCACTGGTGTCCGAAAGTCGACCGGAATAGACTGATCCTTACGAATGACCTTCTCCTGCAGGGCATTCAGTGAAGTTGTCCAAGAGACATAATGACGTTGGAACTCAATATCAGCTGACTTCAACACTGCCATCCATACCCGGCGATTGTACGTGACGAATGCAGTTCGAAGAATAGGATGGAGCTCGACAAGTGTCCGGCATGCAATCTCGAGCTTCTTGGAGTCAACAGCGCCCGTGAAGCTGAACACCAGATAGTTCACGTTTACCCTCGAGCTAAGCATGCCAGTCTCAATGTACCGTACTTGAGCCGAAGACGCTTCTGCCACATCAGCAATGGCACTGGGCTCAACCCTAAGGCTTGGCGCGATGATGTAGGTGATAAAGTCTTGCTTCGAGTGTGATTGAGCGGCATGAGCTTGAACTTGCGCCGCGTTCGGGTTGGTGACGGCGGGGGGAGAGGCAGATGAAGGTGATGTGGACAGCACGGGCGATGCATGTAATCTTGCCGAATCTGGGGAGCTTGTTATAGTTGTCGTTGTCACCATAGTACGTCGGCTCAACTCTGTCAATGTAACATTGCTCAGCACATCCGCAACTGACACGAGGATCCCTTCCTGGCGACAGGTGAGAACGAGCTCCACTGCCATGATCTCATCGCCGCCAATAGCGAAGAACCGATCCGTCGCCGAGATTGAAGCTGCTTCGAGTCCGAGAACTTGTGCCCAGAGGTTTCTCATGCGTTCCTCACTTGCCGTCAGTGGCAAAGGTTTGAGATACTGGAACCGAGCATCCGTTCTGATCACGCTTGACAGGTTCAAGAGGTCTTCTCTCGACATTCCCGATATCATACGCTGCAGCCGGCGGTGGTTGATCTTTAACGATGTCGTGACAGGCAGGTGTCGAACCGGAACAAAGATCGCAGGTATCAAATTACGAGGGAATATATTTTTCAGTTCAGCATATACCTTTTGCTTGATGATAGCGAGCTGTTCGCGGGTTGCCAGGCTCAACGCGCCAAGCGTCTCTTCAGGGCCGATCCCATCACCCAGTTCGACGAACGCAACCAGTTCAGGATCTGTCCTGATCGGCGTCCGGAACAAGATCAACTCGACAGAAACGTCAAGAGCCATTTGTCTCAGACAGCGACGCACATGCTGCTCGACCTCGGTGATACTCACGTTGAAGTACTTATTGCTACCCTCAGCATCCTCACGGTCCTTCAGAATGAATTCCATCAGACCGCCCTCAATGTACCTGGCAAGATGACGAGGTCGAAAATAGCGGATAGCTGCCATACCCATGGAAGTGCCAACGGGAGACATTGGGCTAAGAGTTGACTCTCGATTCGGATAGGCAACGCCGAGGGTCGGGCCCTTGAGAATCAACTCTCCCACCGCACCGACTGGTACGTTCTTCTTCTGGTCATCCGGGTTGACAAGGATGAAGTCACCGGCAAATGGCCGTCCGATACACTTCAGGTGCTGGGGAACAAGCGCCTCCAGGAATGCAATACCCAGAGGACAACCTTCCAGTGGGCCGTATGCCAAAATAACGCTGACACGTCCGTGCCAGATAAGGTACGTATCCTCGTCCAGATTCCGTGTGCGGAAACATACCACCTTGAGCGATGGGGTTTGAGCAGGGATGATCTTGCGTGACAGGTGAGGAGTCATATAGGACCAGTTGACTTTCAGACGGCTCACTGCGGCTCCAAAGTCTTGCAAGCGTTCTGCATTGGACGGTATGCAGACACAGCCGCCATGAACGAGGGTAGTAAAAATCTCGGTGATGCAGATGTCGACATTGAAGGACGAGAGTTGCATGACGCGGCTTTCAGGGCCGATCTTGGCAGCTGGTCCTTGGCCGAGGAGAGCTGTCGACAACGCAGCGTGACTGAACGTGATGCCGCGGGCTTCACTAGATGAAGAGGCACAGAAAAAGATGCACGCAGGATCGGAGAACGTGACTGTTGCTGAGAAGGGAGGCAGGTCAGATGGGAGGGCCTTCATGAAACTTTCTGTAAGAACAACAACTTTCTCAAACAGGTTGGTGAGTACAGGAACCGGCCTCTCTGATGAAATGGCGATGTTGGTATTAAGTCGCTCGAAGATGGGTTGGATCATGCCCAACTCCAACGAATCGATCGGAACAAATGTTGCGCCCGTTCTGTTACTGTCAGAAGTTATGTTCAGGGGGGGCTAGTCATAAAAGGACTCACTTCAGAACAGCCAGCATGGCTACTGGGGCCAACCTGCACTTGTCCATCACAACCGGCACGACGGTATGTGTATCGACATAGCATTCGTGCCTTAACCAACGTGCCAATTTCGTTGCCTCTTCCTCCAACTGCTCATAAGTAAATGCCCCATCCCACGAGTAAACTGCCTGCGCCTGAGGTTGCGCACGAGCCTTGTTCTCAATTAGAGTATGCACCATGGTCAGAGTTTGTTGCGAAGCTCTGTGAGATCCCTCCTCCCTCCAGGCGGAGATCTGTTCTCGATCCCTGCTAGTGAAGAGATCAACAAGAGCGATGGAAGTGTTAGGGTATTTTATGATGGCGCGAATTGCTTGGCCAAGTGTATGTGCAAGGTTAACTGCCTGTTCAGGGGACATGATGCGCTGGCCGATGTCAACGACGAGCTTCCCACTAGCGAAGCGTACGTTAACGACGACGTCAAAATCAAGACTCTGTTGAAGCGAGATAAGGCGTGTGCGTTTCGTGAACTTGCTGTTTAGGGTGACGGGCTGTTCAACAATCAGACAGGTATTGAAGAGACGCTCCCCACCCTTCATGCCAATGGCATGTTGCAAGTCGGCTAGGGAGAAGTACTGATGCTGTTGGCGTTCTTCATATTGCAGGTCAATCATCTCGAGAGCCTTGGTCAGCGGGTCATAGGGCTCAAGGTCATAGTTGCAAGGAATAATATGTGCAAAGGAGCCAACAGCATGTTTCATGCCTATAACAGAGTCATCTCGCCCACTTGCTTGGAATCCAAAGATGGTCTGGTTAGAACCAGTGTAGCTGCGAAGGATGATGGCCCAAGCAAGGCGCAAAAGAGAGCCTATCGTGGAGTGATGCAGTTCGACGAAGTTGGAGAGTTCCGAGAAGCCGACGTCAAGGCTCACACAGATGGTCGAAAAAGGAAGTTGATCACCTTGGAGTGTGAGATGGGGGAAATGGCAAGGGGATAGCCCCATGAGGTTATCGCGCCAATAGTCGCGGCTAGGCTCTGACCGAGCAGTCCCGAGGAAGTAGATGTATTGTGGGTATGTGAAGAGCTCAGGCTCTTTGATGGGAAGTTCCCCGGTATATGCTCTTTGTAGATCATGAAAGAGCAGGCTGAGGCTGATTGAGTCACAAAGAGCGGCGCTAATATCCAGTTTCACAAACGTCTTGGTCGGGCTTGTGCAGACAGCGAGTCGATGAAGCGGTTTATACTCGGTAACCTTCAAGGGAGCTTGTCCATTGAGCATCGCGATTGGGTCTTCGGTTGGTCCGGCCTCAAACCACATCATATCAGGATGTGTTTTACGGAGAATAACCATATCCCATAACGCCCTCTCGCAGACACTCTCCGTAAAAACAGTCCGCAAAGCAGCATGTCGCGCAACAACCTGCTTCCATGCCTCACATATTCTTCTATCATCGATCGGCTCACCCGTTGGGTCTGAAAACTCATAGATGGCGTGCAAGTAGCATGAGTCAGGACGGAGCAACTGGCAGATCAAGATGCTTTGCTGGACTGCAGTGATCGGGTAGATAGCTTCAATCTCGCGGACGCTGGGGAGCCTCAGAACCGCAAGACGTTCGGCATGAAACTGTGCCAAACCTTCGTATGTGACATTCAGGTCGGGAACATCAGTAAGGGTCAACTCCGGAGGGTGAAAGCGGAGTCTGTCGATGGCCTCGTAGAGCACAGACTGGTAATTCTCAATCCACCTCTCGACACGCATATCTGGGGAGTTCGTGTCCCACAAAAACCGAATAAAAGCCTTTCCCTGATCAACCACACAGCTGATTTCGAACAAGGCAATCCGACCGACCATGTCACCGGTGTCTGCAGTAGGAGAGATCAAACTTCTGCGACCAGGAATTGAGACCTTTTCCAAAACCCCGTTCTCCGGCTCTAGTTGCTGAGAACCTGTGTAACGAAAAATGATCTCAAACGGCTGATCGTATTTTCTGATCTCATCCTTGTCGTAATGATAAAAGCGTGATGCGAAATACCGTGATCCATGCTCCGGGATTGACCGTCGTTTGTCCTTCAGTCTGCGTAGTACGTCGATGAAATCGGCCGACGGCTCGATCGCCAGGCTGATAGGGCACAGCAGGGTGAACCAACCGACAGTCCCAGAGACGTCGATATCTGGGTTCCAAGCCCCCCTGTCTGGTTCTTCATTCCACACGACAGGAACTCTTCGATCATGGAAGGTCTTTGCAAAGGATAACATAAGTGCTGCAAGATATATATCGACAGACTCGGTCTGGAAAACTTGGTTGCAAACTGTCTCCAGGATGTGGGTGTGCTCATAGCTCAGCTCAAACGTTGTATCCCTGACATGTCCATAGGTGATGCGAATATCTTGCACTCCCCAGTAAGCGTAGTCCCCCTTGAACATGTAATCTCCTGGAAACTTTGTGCTAAGGTTGAGAAGGCTCTCGAGCGTTGGAGTAACCGCGCTCGCTTTCCGCATTTCTATCCACTTTTGGAATCCAGTGGACTGTTCAGAGATCACCCTCCCGTTTTGTAGCAACTCATCGAAGTCGTGAATGATAACGCGCCAGGACCAAAGGTCAACAACCAGGTGGTGTGCGATAAGATATATCAATTGATCGCCATCATCGGTCATGATGTAATTGGCCGCAAAGACTGGTCCCATCTCAATATCAATTGCTAGTTGTGTCTGTTCGATGATTTCCTCCAGATCCTCTGACGTTCGGATGCCGCTATGGAACAGCAACTGGTACGAACCAGTAACCTCTGGAAGAATCCGTTGCGCCCATCCCTGGCGACCACATCTGAATCGTGCCCTCAGCATTGGATGATGGCTTACAAGGGTTCTGATAGCGGACGAAATGGCCTCATATGTGACTGGTTGTTTGACCCGGAGCAGAAGACTCTGGTTGAAGCGATAGGTACCGTCACGAGCAGCTCGAAGAAGCCGATCCCCACCCCAATTTGTCTCGAAGTACAGATGCTGCATGGGCGACAGCCCGAAACAATCCAAGTTGGGCTCGTTCCACTCGTGCTCGAGATTGCTTCGCGCGGCAGCCATTGCGGCCAGTTCTGAGAGCGTCATGGAGCTGAGAACTTCGGGGAGAGTCAGGTGTAGAGGTTCGAGTCTGCATAAGCTAACGAAATCTTGAGCCGATTGTTCGTTCCCTCCGAGCTGGCAGAAACTGAAGTTGACACCAATCCGGCTGCTTGGAATGCTCAACACTTTGCTAGCCAGCCTATGGATTAGATGCTCCATATCTGTCTGCGGGGGTTGGAACACGTCCTGTTGCTCCAGGCTCCGCGCCCGATGATAGACGTCTTCGTTGATGTTCTGTACCCACGTCCTCAGAAGCCGCATATTAATCTTGCCGTCATCAGTGAGCGGCATAGACTCTAACACGATCCATGCGTCAGGTATCGCATCTTGGGGTAGCCGACTGGCCGCTACTTCTTTGAGGTGCAATATTAGGGTGCTGGAAAGAATAGCATGAGAGTGAGGGACGAGATGAATTGTTGACACACCGTCCTGAGGGGTCGGCTCCACGCTTAGAAGGGTTAGTAAGGCCACCAACTTCCCTTCCAGCAGTCCGGCCTTTGGTCGGACTGTGGCTATCCTGCCGATCTCGGGTTGCGGCCCGAGGGCAAGCTCTATTTCAGTCCTTTCAACACTGGTATCTGACATTCCGCCTGGGCTGCGAATAGACGTAACCTGAGCTCCCTCCTTGGGAATGTTTGGCACAGGCCTGGTTGGCTGAATGACAGGTCTGACAGCGTCGGTTTGGACAAGGGGCGTAATGCATGTCTGAAGCTCTGAGAGACTCGAACAGCGCAGGATGTCTTTCACTGCCACGTCCAGGCCAGCATCCAGACAGGCCTTATGAAGCTCAATCGCACTTTGTTCGTTTCCTCCCAAGTCACAGAATGACACATCCACTCGAACGTCGTCAGTGCTGATGCCCAATACTTTGGCTACTGACACCAACAAGCGCGCCTCGGTTGTCTCGTCTTCCAGGAACAACCACGATGTCTCGGTATCAATGCGATGTCGTTGTGTTCTGGGCCTTGGGACAGCGGCCATGACGCCTGGCAGTTTGTTGTCCCAGAAGGTCCCAGGAGGGGTATAAGGGGAGAAAAGAAGAAACGAATGACAATAAAAAAGATGCAAACACGGTTTTCGAGATTTCAAACAAAGAAATGATTCGAAGCTGAAGCCGTTATGGGCTGGGCCACATGGCACAGCAAGCGGTTGGCACCAGGTTCACAGTCTGGCGGTACGAGTCCATGAAATTGCTTCCATAGCTTGGGGTTCTTGAGCGCCGGGCGCGGGGCTATAGGTCGGACAAGGCAGAAACAGTTAGCAGGGGCGTCTGCAGGCAACAAAGCGTGCCGGCGTGCGCTCAGGTTGGACAACACGTCAGTCAGAGAGACGGGAAGACGTCGAGAGCCAGTGAGTACCCCCAGGCTCTGCAAGAATCGTCGCTGGGTTGCCCGCAATGCTGCGAGTTGGCGGACGCCGCAGCAAGCGGCAGGCAGGTAGACAGGTCTTCTAGCTTCGGTGCCGCGCCGCGCACAGCACCCTCCGCAGCAGCTTGCTTGGTTGCTTGGCATCAAGACGGACACCCCCAGCACAGCGCAACGAGCGCACTCCCTGCCTGGTGCCCGCGGCAGCGAGCCAATCAGCGCGGCCCGTTTCCGTCCCGGCCACGCTCAGCCCCGGTCAGCAGAGCCAATCCTTGGCTGATCGCCAGATCGCGGCGGTCTGAAATGATGGAACGCGCTTGCGGCTGCAGGTCAGGTTCTCGGCGGCAAGGGGGCGGCATCTCCATCAAAGCTGTTAGAAGATGGTATAAAAAACTTCAAAACTTCCCCTTTCTTTCCTTCACGAGCTTCGTGTTCACATCTTGACACAAATCTCGACGCTTTCATGCAGAGTCACCATGTATGTCATTGCCATCGAGACATTCCAGTGAAGAAAGTCCATGACGGCGAGCAGTGGACCAGTGGCTGAGCTTGGGGTGGTATCGGCATGGTGCAACCCAAACTGAGGGCAAGGCTGGGCCATCGGCCGTCAGCTTCGCGGCTGGCGGCAGTCTCGAACCCCGGCTCTCGATGATGTCGTTTGTCCCATGTTTCGAGGTACGATGATCTCGAGATCCGGTTTTCGATACGTGGACTGCCCGGTGGTCAATCTTCAACGGTGATCGGCAAAATCCGAAACTGATTGCTCTTGTGAGATCTGGGAGGCGACTTGACGTCTCAAAGACTTCAAACACACTGCCTGAAGAATCGGTCAGCAATCAGGCAGGGGAACTATTCCGACTGAACTACCCACACGTGCTTGCGCAATTGTTCGAAGGAATGGAAGTGCCAAGAATAGGTAGGTCGCCTACGTTCCGGCCGCTTGAAGTCTGTGGTGCGTGGGGATTTTCCCGATGCCCCGCGTTTATGTGGAGTCGTAATCGATACCACGCACAACGTGACATGTAAATTTCCTTTTCCGCTGGCGGTATCACTCGTGCGTGGAAAACTCTGTGGCCGCCCAAGTAAGGGTGAAGTTCAGATATAAAAATGATTTATCAATTAGGAGTGGTTTAAAACTAACCGCCTTGCAATTCATATTTACTCGACGATGGAAAACGTTGTCATCTTGAGCAGGGTTTGCAATCAAACGCTGGCTGTTTTGGAAGATTACGTGGCCCTAAACTTGACCTATACATGATGTAAATTTTACAATGGCATTCCTAACATCAACCATAATCGATTGCCGCCAAACTGGTAGAATACTGGTTCAGTTAACAAATTGGAGACTACATCACGCCACAAACACTTGTATCGACATATATCCAGAGTTACATGGACTCCGTAGCATATTTTGCTATTTGGCAACATTTGATCACCTCTTGGTTCCATACGCCCTCCATCTTACTACCCTCCCCCAAAAATGCGAAGTTCGCCCATCTCTGAGCCAAGCCCAATGAACAGAAAAAATCGACATGTACCCTTCCAAAGAAATCTTCAATATATCTCTATCCTTTCCTGGCCATATATCGAGCTTGAAATTAAGTGCAAAACTATTTGAAATTCCGTCGGATCGGAAGCGGCACAGTATCTCTGTCCTCCCGAAATATGGGCCCGATAACTGTTAGTTCTCTTCGACGACACGTTCTCCGACTGGACCATTCCCCACAAAGCCATCCTGTCTGAGATATCAACGGTTATGGATATGAAACACTTTTGATTGCACTCAATGCTCTTAGAACGAACGATCAAAAATGTGATGCTGTGTATTTGTCCACCGGGAAACGTCGAAGGACTGGAGGCGAGCAATCTTCCTGAAACAAGCAAGGAAGTGGAAGGATGTCATCTGCAGCAGAAGCCAGGAATGGATCAAATGTCCTCAAATTTAAATTGATTCAACGTTCAAAAGGCGAAAAGGGATGAAACTTTTCAGCTTACTTGTCTAACCACTTGCTAAGCTTCAGCACAAAGTCAAACCATGGGAAAACATCCAAGATGGCCGGGTACCAACATTATCTATACGTCCACTACACCCAACGCATAACCCAGACGGTGCTGGATAGTCCTCATCGTGATCCTCCAAGTGAGGAGCTAGTGCCCACAAAAGCTTGCCCTGCAAAAAGACATTCCTCACTCAATAAGGTCGAATATAAAGGGAAAAAATGATGCAAAAAAATGGTTATAGGCGTGCGCGATCCGGGATTCGAACCCGGGTCTCTCGCTAACCCACATTGGGATGGGAAGCGAGAATTCTAACCACTGAACTAACCGCGCGTACTTCAGTACCTTGGCTGTTGGAACGAGCCAACTGCGCTGGAGCTTATGCAGGGACCTTCTTAGGTCTTCAAAGGGACTCAACATGGGTCGGCTGCTTTTTGAGAAGGTTGTCGTGTGATACCAGGGGATTTTGGCATTTCGATACTGAACCGTTGACGCTACAGGATGAAGAGCCCTCTGTTAATTGCAATTATACATTTGCTATTGCCGAGGAAGAAAAGACAGGCCTTGGGAGCCCAACAACAGAAGTAGTTGGATGAGCGGACAGCCAATTGGTGGTGGCGAATAATGACAATCCACAGGCCCTGAGTCGTGCAGATTAGTGACTCCGGTCAAAGAGAAGACATCATTCAGTTAGTTAGTAATTCGGTCTCGATTCTAAACTGTACACTTAACCATCCACCCAGATGGAGAGCGTATCCCCTAAGCTCTTTTTCTGGAAAAAATGTATAAAAAGGCAGTCAACTAAGAGTTGTAGTGCGTGTGTATCCCATACATACCCTTAGAGACCCACACAAAGGAATAGAAGACATAACATAAATGATATCCACAAGCTGGTTTACGGGGACGACTGTCCTGTACCTTCTCTGCCGCGAGCATTGTCCCAACCGGGCCAATAACGGAAACGCAAGATCAGGAAAGGGGGTATGTATTCACTTCCGACCTCCCAACCCAACGCCTTGGGTGATGAGAAAAAATAAGAAAGTCGAAGGAAATGCAACGACATTAAAACACCAATCAAGCACATAGCCCAACTTTAAACTTCTCTATCAAGCATTAACGCTTCCTCGGGTCCCTCTCCTGTCCAGCCACACCTCGGATAGGACTCGGATTCAGAACACGACTGTTGCCACGACGGTCGCGGTCATCCTATTGCCCTCTACTAGCCTGACGGGCCTGCAATCTAAGTTAGCATCTCGTTCACACAACTTGTGGAGAAAAAGCGCATACTTTCATCTGCTCAATCCTAGCCTTCAGCTGGCTGGTAACTTCAGCAGCCCTCTTCCAGCTCTCCATGCCCGCGTTAGACGAGCTCATGCCGCTACTACCAGACAGCGTCCCTCTGCTGCCGGTCCGGTTGCCTGCGCGATCAGCACCAAAACTGCTCGTGTAGGCACCTCCATAGCCGCCACTAATCCCGCTGCTGACACTATCAGCCCGGTCGCGTTCTTCGCTGCCACTAACTTCGCGCCGGAACCCACGCGCGGGGCTGCCACGACCACTGCTCGCATTGCTGCCTGCGTAGCCAAGCTTGCTGCGCGGCAGCGGCATGCTGCCATCGCCATTCTCCTTCTCCTCGGCGCTCATGGTGCTAGCAAAGCTCATCCGATTGGTACGAGAGACGGCCGCAGCCGGGTCGCGGTAGAGACCGGGATCGTCAAGAGTAGGGCTCATGGTGCGGAAGCCAAAGCCACCTGGTGAGCTGGGGCTGCCAGCCTGGGCACTAAGTTGGGCATTAAGAGCCTCAGCCTTCTGTAAAGCGCGCTTCAAGCGCTCCAATTCGCGGCGTAAACGGTCATTGGTCTGCTCCATAGCCTCGCAATCGCTTTTTGCGCGGACGAGTTGGGTCTCCTTGGCCTTAATGGCAAGGACATCACGGGTATGGTCTTCGATGAGGCTGGCGTTCTGGTTCTTGAGTTCTTGGATCTCGGACAGCAGCTTCTGGCGCTCATGCCGGGCTTCTTCGAGTTGACGGAGCAGCCGCTCGTTCGCGGTACGAAGTTCTTCAAGCTCTGCACGCTCGAGCGCAGTGAGTCCAGCTGGGGCAGGAGGAGAAGGTGGAGCAGGAGGAGGTGATGGAGCGGAGGGCTTGGCCAAGGAACGAGCCGCAAGGCCAGGCCGTGCGAGACCCAAACGCGACGCTGGCTTCTGGGGAGGAGGTGATGCAGGAGGCTCTTCCTCCATGGGCGGGGGGGAGGGCGTTACGGCAGCCGGACGCCGCGGCGATGCCGGAGGGGCTAAGGTACGCTTCTGGGGCGCCTTTAGCCCACTCAGCCCGCCTGACTTGGGCACACCGAGCTTGCTGGCAGGACCAGCACGAGGAGCCGGAGCTGCTGCAGGGGCTGGTGCCGGCTCTGGGGCTGGCGCCGGAGCAGCAGCGGGCTTCTTGACAGCAGGAGCTTTTTTTGCGCCTCCGAGAGGCTTCTTGGGGCCAACTGGAGCAGCCGACTTTGGGGGTGGAGGCGGCTTGGCCTTGGCCTTAACTTCGGCAGTCTCAAAAAACTCCTTGATCTTGGCCTTGCGAATATCGTCGAGACCATCGAGATGAGGGTTCATAGCACGCTCGCCGATGATCTTCATGACAACACCCAGGACCTCGGCGCCGCCAGTACGAAGAACCTCACTCGACTCGGAGAGCAACTTCTTGGCCGCGTCGACAATGGACGTAATTTCCTGCTTGCTCGGCACGTCGCGTGTAGTCTTCAAACACCTGACCAGGAATTTCATAGTACCTTCTTTGACCTGAGGGTTTTTATGACCCATGAAGGCAATGATATCTTCGAGACACTCAGTAAGGTCAGTTGCCAAGAAGACAGCGTCAAGGGCAGCACCTAAGGCATCGGCGACCGACTGCTTCTTCTCCTTCAACCTCTCCATAATTGGCTGCATAACGATGCTGCGGTACTTGCCATAGCCCTTTCTCAGGCCCTTGGCCAGCAGCTCAATACACTGTGCAGCTTGTGTGACGACAGCAATGTTTGCATCCTTCATGCACTTGGCGAGGGCGCGATTGATCTCACCAAAATCAGCCTCCTTAATCCTTGGGACATTGACTGCCGAGTACAGGCCTTCGAGAGCCTCCTTCCGTTCCTTCCACTTGGAGGAGCCCAGGTTGTCGAAGAAGTCCTTGGGCACCTTGGCCATGACATCCTGGGGTTCGGCCAGGTCGAAGGCATCTACCTCGCCGGGTTCCTCAGCGTCACCACCATCTTCATCGTAACCTTCATCACCACCGCCACCGACCGGGGCACGTTCCTGAGCCGCCTGCTGTGACCGCAACAGACGCTCTTGTTTCGGCGCACCTTCGGCCTTGACTTTTTCAAATTGAGCCTCAAGGTCGTTTTGCTGCGTGGGTTTGAGATCATTCCAAAACATTGGCTTCATAGCATCGCGCAACCAGCGGTAGAATTCGACGGCCAGGTTCGTGGCCTCGGCACGGACATTCTTGTCTGCATGACCGAAAACTTTGGGCAGAATCTTAAGGACGGGCTTCGGATCGGCGATCTTGCAGCCATAGTTGTGGTAGATGGTCGTCAGGGCAGCGAGCGTTGCGGCAACGACTTTGGGCTGCTTGGCGTTCAAAGCGGGGAGCATCTCCTCGATGACCGGACCGGGGACGTCGATTTCGATCAGGAGCAATAGGGCCTCGATGGCTGAGGCCTTGGTAGCTGCTCTTGTAGACGTAAGGCATTTCTCGACAATTGGAGTAATGACCTGTGACCGAGCGCGAAGACCGCCGTCACGGCTGCTGTACTTGAGGAATTGACAGAGAGCAGCAAGACCTTCTTGCTGGGCAGCAACATTGGAATCGGCTGCGGCCGACTTCCACAAACCGGGATCGGAAATCCATGGCTGGAAGTATGGATCGTACTCGTCGGGAGTCTTCTCGAATTGCTGAGCAGCCTCTTCGTAGGCCGCCTTGCGAACCTTCCAGACCTATATGCGTGAAGTCATTGTGAGCGAATCTGGGCTTAGAACAGCTAGTATAGCCCGGCCGAGCGGTGAGCCAACGAGGTGCATACCTTGTGAACCCAGCGGTCTGTCAGGGGTAGCGAGCTAAAGTCCTCCTCCTCAGCCATTCTTGCGATCGGACCTCGTGATAATGGTGAGTGAGTTCGTGCCGCGGTGGATTGTGGGAGCGACTGCCGACGGGTTTCGAGTGGTGTTGATTTGGCGGGGCGGTCCGGATCGTTGCTATGTTTCTTTCTACGCGCTGCACAAAAGATCAGTTTGATCAGTTTCTGCACACGACCCGGCCTTTTCGGACTACTCATATCGGATTGCGGACATTGGACGGCGGCGAGGCAAGGCGGCGAGGCTGCGCGGCTTGCTGCCCGGGCGAGAGGGACTGAGGGACGAGGAATGGAGAGACTGCGATTCTGCGTCGATTCGTTGACGGCGCGAGAGGGGATGATGCACGTACCAGAATGGTAGAATCAGGTCAGTCAGTCAGGCCAGGCAGGTGCGCCAAAATGTTGCTAGCTTCACCTCCTGCAGCGGGTCGCAGCACTGCTGCCGTCGCCAAGTGTCGCTGCTGATGGCTGTTGTTTCGCACCGTGTTTTGTGCGCGATTGATACCTTCTACGCGGTGTTTCGGCTGATTCTGCTACCCAAGGCCTGAGAAGGGGAAAGAGAGCCTGAAGCCAAGCTGCAGGGGGATCAGGGGACCGGTTGGGGGAGATCAGGTTGTGGTTGTTTCTTCCGCCCAGGATTTCTGCGGCGATCGGATGGGACCAAGGGATAGGCAGGCAACCCGGGGTTCGGGTTGTGGCTGAAGAAGGTGTGGGCAGAAGTGGGCTGTTTGAGCCGGTTGGGATAAACCCGTGGATGCCAAACAGGACGCGTCACTACCTCTTGGTGATGTCGGTCGTTGTTGGCTTTTTCCGAAAGGACAATTGATGCGGGCGCGACAGTTTCGGTGTGACCCGGAATGCTGCAGACAGGCTGTGCTTTATTTACTTTTTTTTCTTCTGCAGAAAACTCTTCCCGCCGCCACGGTAGCGTAGTCCACCAGGGTGCGGTGAGTGTTGTTGTGGCCTGGCCGGTGCCCGTTCCTGGCCCAAGCTGTTTTTGTGCGACAGAATGCTTGGCCGCGGGGATGGCATGTGCTGCTGTGGGAGTTGCCAAGGTGGTCCGTGCATTGCTGCAGAAACGCACTGCCCTGCACAACCAGCACAACAACCGTGATGTCACTGGTGTGCGCTCCGCAGTTGCCCCGCCCGTTTCCTAGACCCTACAGTTTCTGACAACCGGCATAGACCGCCAGACAGCTGGCTGCCAGTCTATGATGCCGGGCTGAGAGGGCTCCTCACCGCCTTGGGTCTTCGAAACATCGATTGATGCCCGCGAGCGCGCTGTTGCTTGATGCTGCCCCGCCATTGCTCCGTAGCCGTCCGTGGACACTTTCGCTTGACAACAGCTAGAAGTTCCATTCGCCTTGGATTTCACCCACACAGATCGCTCAAACTGCCAGACAAATTCGCCCAAAATCGTTCCATCGCAGCCCCGATCCTCTCCCCCCGCAGACGGCACTCAGCCAGCGTCATCGGTTTTGACGTCTTTCCCGTATCTCGGTACTCCGGACCACTACACGTGCTACGTGCTGGACTCCATCTCCCTCTTGTGCCCGCTGTGCCCGCTGTGCCCAGTGCCCAACGTGACGGAACCTCGAGATCCACCTCCAAACTTGGGCTTGGCGATACAGAGACGCCCAAAAACCAAAAAACAAAGCCCGCGTCAGCTGAGCCCTTGACCTCACTCACCTCGCTCGGCACTCCCCCAGAGCCAGTCTCGCCTCGACTCTCGACTCTCCTCGACCGCGTCCTACTTTTTTGTGACCGCGTCTGGGCCATGGACCGTTGTACCACCCACCTTGGCCCCCAATCTCGATAGCTGCTCCACGACTACACCAGCACCAGCGCACCGCAGTGACCGCCGATTCGATCCCCCGCGATTCCTCTAGTGTAGTGTATCCGTAGCTTGCTTCTCCACCTCCACATCCGCCCTGCGCCCAGCACAGCTACCACCACAACATACCTGCACATCTTATCAGGGGTCCCCAATCGCCCTCTGCGCCGCTACACAATGTCCCAAATATTGACCTCCCGCCAGGCGGAGGAGCTGTACGTGATGCCCGGAGAAGGAGGAGGAGGGGCCTAAGGGGCACTGCCTCGACTTGGGACCGAGACTGACGACCGCCGAACGCAGACACCGCGCCCTCATTGCCTACCTAACTTCCAACAACCTCCCCAACACGGCAGCCGCACTGCGTGCCGAACTTGGCATCGGGGAAGATGTCTTCGATGCCGCCACAGCAAAGAAGTACGAGGGGCTTTTGGAGAAGAAATGGACGAGCGTAGTCCGGTTACAGAAGAAGGTTTGTCGACCCCCTATTCCGAGGTATCCATTGGGGTGGATAGGCTTTGTTGACATTACCCTAGATAATGGAACTGGAGGCCAGAAATCAGGCCCTTCAAAATGAGCTCGATAATTCAACACCAACATCACGGCAGAATAAGGATCCTGTCAACTGGCTCCCTAAGTCTCCAGCAAGACACACGCTTCAATCTCACCGCAACCCCATTACTTGCGTCGCCTTCCATCCCGTCTTCACTTCGCTGGCCTCGGGTTCAGAAGACCAGACAATCAAGATCTGGGATTGGGAGTTGGGGGAGCTGGAACGGACGATCAAGGGTCATACGAAGGCCGTTTTGGATGTTGATTTTGGAGGTCCTCGAGGAAACACGCTACTCGCCTCATGCAGCTCAGATTTGACCATCAAATTGTGGGACCCTTCGGACGAATACAAGAATATCCGGACCCTGCCCGGCCACGACCACAGCGTTAGCGCCGTTCGTTTTATCCCTTCAGGTGTGGCAGGCAGCTCGGGCAACTTACTTGTCAGCGCTAGTCGCGACAAAACCCTGAGAATATGGGACGTCAGTACCGGCTACTGCGTCAAGACAATACGCGGGCACGCAGAGTGGGTCCGTGATGTCTGCCCCTCCTTCGACGGTCGCTATGTGCTCTCGACGAGTGACGACCACACAGGTCGACTCTGGGACATTTCGCTCCCCAACCCTGAACAGAAAACCACACTTATCGGTCACGAACACGTCGTTCTATGCTGCGCCATCGCCCCGCCTGCGTCGTATCCGCATCTCGCGTCTATGGCTGGCATGAAGAAGCCTCCCCCGGCAACCAGTTCGGTCGAGTTTATGGCTACTGGGTCGCGTGATAAGACCATCAGGTTGTGGGATGCACGGGGAAATTGTATCAAGATTCTGGTCGGACACGACAATTGGGTACGCGGACTCGTATTCCATCCCGGGGGCAAGTTCCTGCTGTCGGTGGCCGACGATTACACGTTGCGGTGCTGGGATCTCACGCAGGATGGGCGGTGCGTCAAGACTATTTCCGACGCCCATGGTCACTTCGTGCAGTGCATCAGGTGGGCGCCATCAATTGTTAAGGAGCCATCAGTGCCGAACGGTGACGCGCAAGGAGATGCAAACGGCACGCCAAAGAAGAATGCTGCTCCTGGAGTGATCGATCCGTCGCAGATACGTTGTGTGATTGCTACGGGTAGTGTGGATTTGAATGTACGGATTTTTGCCAACTGAGAGCAGAAGTAATGGTTGTTGGGACGAGAAGAAATTATTGAGAGAGTTCAGATACTTGGCAGCTCAGTCTCGACCCTTTTGCCGGAAGTTGGCACCAAAGATCCTTCCCGGAGATTAAGCCCCTCATCCAGGAGATGGAGATCTCGAGGCTGGAGTACCCGTTTACCTGCGGCCCCCGTTGCGCCCTACCAACCGGTACGTTTGCTCAAAGGGCTGGCCAATGATGCAACGACCGGACGCTGACGAGACAAAGATAACGGCGTGACTAAATACAGCAGAGTTAGATAGATCAGATACCCCTATGCTAAACGATTGATGATGATGCTGTTTTGTCTTGGAATCATGGTGGCACTAGTCTGTTATCTCCCTTTATGCTGTCTATCCAATGTACGGATTCTCACTTCAACCTTTCTGCCACTCTATGTGTTTCGCATTTGGTTATGTTCATGATTACCCGCTGTCTCATCCAGGATAGGGTATTCTCTTCTCATGTGCTAGGCCCTTTACCCAGGAGGCATCCACCCTTCTTCAGCCATTTCAAAAACATCCGTGTCAAACCCTGGGGCAACTGTGACACAACTTATCAGCAAATGCTTAACGATGCAGCCACAGTCAACAGCATCTCCAGCTAACTATCTCACCAGTTGTTCCAAGCAAACTCCACTCTCCCCAACTTTTGGCCCGCTGCCACGCTCCAGCTGGCACGACCACCTGTGGGCGTTGCTGCCCTGGGTCGAAGATGTTAGGCCCTAAAACAACCTCCCTCATTCCAAAGATATTGTCTTTCCAGAACGATAATGAAATAGGAACTCCCGCATAGTGGTGCCAGATCTCGGCTGCGTCGAGCATACGGTGCCAGCGTGTGTACCCGGTTTGAACAGTGAGGAAATAATAGATTGCTGTGCTGGCAGACCTATTGCTGGATACAGTATCGGTAACGGAGGTCCTGAAGTTTACAGTCGTTGGGTCGTGGAAGGTTTCCCGATAGTAGCCCCCCTCAGGGTGAGGCTTGAGGTTAAGGAGCGTGATGACATCTTGGGCTGTGTATTTGTTAGTGATGCTTAGGGATTGGTCATCATGTGCAGAGTTGGGTGGATAAGGAATAGGTGGGATCGCAATGACTGAAATCTGGACAACTATTATCAGACAAAAAAAGGCAATGAAGAGTCTGAACTGCATCAAGATTATGAGCATCGGTTACTAGGTTGGGTGTCTTTGAACGTTCACTTTATTGTATCAAGACATGATCCTCCCACCAGCTATCCCAACCCAAAGCACAAGCGAATTGGCTACCCATGATCTTGTCTAGATTGAAGAACCAAGAGCTCCACACGACTACGTCATAGGCTCCGATCCTCATTGATAGTTACCATGCAAAGTGTGGAAACTTGTGAACTATCACTTGATGACAGGAACTGGTAACCAGTCATACCATAGTCAGTTGTAGCTTTACGTTTATATAAAAAGATGTTATTTAACGTTTCTTATGTACCACTGTTTTGTAGAAATACCACGAGTGGGATTAGTGAAACATGGTGATTGGCAACTGTTTAGGTACTTCACGGGATAAATCATCAAGCTCACCTACTTCTAAAGAATTATGATTTCAGTTGTTATGACGATGTAACAACCCTAAACCACATTTACCATACGACTAACAATTGACGTAAAAATCATTCAGACCTGAATAAATAGTATTTGCTTCAATGCTTGCTAGCGTCCAGGTGCTAGGCTCGGCAGTGTCGACAACGCCGTCACACCTTGCCATGGTCCCTTTTTCAATTGCATTGCAAGCGTACTGTAACAGCAGTTGCGGGTTTAGCTCAGTTGGGAGAGCGTCAGACTGAAGCTAAACTTCAGTTTCAGAGTTATCTGAAGGTCCCGTGTTCGATCCACGGAAACCGCAACCTTTTTTCCTGTTTCCCCCGGTTAAAATGGTGACATTGGGGGTGCATCCTCTTTTTGTTTGTCTTCAGTTTGGGGTGGATTGTCGTCGTGTTGTGATGCTAGGATAAGCTGTAGCTAGGCGTCAGACTACTCAAACTTTGTGGACCTCTTATTTGTTGCTACAAGACTCATGTGATTGCGTAATGCAAGAGCCAGAAGACCAGAGCTCCAGAAACCCATGCATGTCGCTCTGATCATCTTGCTTCTCGAGAAAATGTTACTGAAAATTCCATGAGAAAGTACGATTCATTTTCATCCCCAAGCATGAACACACTGTTCCAAGTTACCTTATGCGCCCCCTTTAACACGTCCCGAGTCACTATATACTTCTTCCTCTTCGCCTAGTCCTCATTTTGCTTCTCAACCTTAATCTCCAGACCCCTGAAGTATGCACTAATATCATTCTCCCTCCCACAAAACACGCATCTATGCATGACCTTCATCGAAACCTCTCCCCTCGGCATCGGTAGTGGCGCCTCCTCAGCCACCGGCATACGACCGCTGTGAACTGTCGGGATAGAGCTAGCCCGGGTCACATACGATATCTCTTTTTCCATCCCTTCGAAAGGCAATAAAGCCGGCATTGTCTTGGCCGGTCCAGGCCCTAGCTCCAGCGGCGGAACCAACGCCGAAACAGTGCACCTCTTCTCAGCCTTGGACATTTTACTTCCTTGATCTGTCCCAACCGACCCAACACTCGCCGCAGCCGAGCCCCCTTCACCGGCACTGCCCACTCCAGCAGGTGGTCTCAGAATAATAGCCGGCACGGTCGGACTCGTCCCCGTTCGTCTCCTCACCTCGGCGAGGTGCTCCCCTTCTTCTTCTCCTCCCCCTTCGGGATAATGGCCTTCATGCTCGGACACAGACCGTGATCCCAACGGAGAGACGGCAGATTCCCGTGGGTTGCTCAAGATATCAAGTACGTCTTCGGCAATTGTATCCTCCACCTCTGGCTCGCTCATTCCCTCCTCGCCCCTGGCTGGTTCGTGACGGGATGACAGATGTGCGTCCGTTGCGATGCTGGGAATGTCACTGGCCCTGCTAAAGTGTTGTCTGTCGCCCAGATTGGGACTGCATCCGAAGGTCTCGTATGTTTGAACTGCTGGTCGGAGAGGGGCTGGGGCAGCTAGATGTTGCTGTTGCTGCTGGGGTTGATGGGGTTGGTGGGCGCGCTGTTGTGAGAGACGGGATGGTGATTTGGGCGGGATTTCTGGCGCTGGACTTGGAGTCAGGCATGTGACGGTGCCTGTGGCCTGTTGAGATTGAGGTTGGCAGCTTGAAGGGTGGTCGTGTGGATGTAAGGTGTTGTCTAGATCGGCGATTAAGCTGTCGATGCTGGCCGTCTCATCGATGCCATGGCTTGTTGAAAGAACAGGGAGGGTTTTGGGGGATATGGAAGGGGTAGTTGTGGTGGTAGGGAGGTCAAATTGGTCGCGAATGTCGTGAAGATGGGTCTGGACTGTTACTGGGTGAGGGAGTTGTGGGGGCTCGTTGGGAATGGTCGATGAGCTAGGGCCCGGGGCCGTGTGGTGAATCCTGGGTGGCGGCTGAGACGGCTGCTTGTAAGAGAATTGGGGTGGGAGAGGAGGGATAGGGGGCTCGCGGGGATGTTCGAATGGCGTCGATGTCCCTGTCCATTCCACAGGCGCAAGCACAGCTGAGCCAGAGCCTCCGGGGTGAGTAACCTGCCCGCCGAGATGCCTCGTGAGTGTTGGAGTCATCGCGTGGTCGGCCGACCTTTCCAAGGTCGGTGAAGCAGGTGATGCGTGACTCCAACCATGTAGAGCTTGTTGAAGAGCGGTTAGCTCTCCTTCATGGACACTGTTTTCTTTGCGTTCGTGGTGTAAGAGACCAAGAACTCCCGCGCCGACAGCCACCACGGCTTCTGAGAAACTCCTCCTAGGATCTGCTGTGGGCGCTGTCTGGGCCCGTAAGTTATTGCGTTCTGCTCTGCTGTCCTTTATACTACGCTTTCGAAGTTTGTTGCGAGTCTTAGACGTGATGCTGCTGGTTCGTCTCTTGCGCTCAAAACCAGGCATGCTGTCCTTCGGCTGATCCTTTCCGAAATAAAAGAGACCAAACAGCTTCTGCTTCTTGTCGGCTCTTGGAACCTCAGACTCCTGGGCCATACGGAGCTCAGCCGGTGTGACCGGCTCACTGGGTGGCTGAGGGGGGTTGACTAAGCTAGATTCTCCAAAGCCCTTGGGATCCGTTGTCCATTGGCGAGCGTAAGTTTTGGGACTGATATCGACAGATCTTCTAGTGGTGTCATCCCGGCTGGGAGGGCCCGGGTGCTCTTCAAGGTTAAAATTTTTGAAAGTTTCCTTCGAGACAACTACGCTTTTTGGCGCTGGGTTATCCTGAACCTCGGCATCTGTCGGAATGGATGAACTTGGCACTGTTCCTTTGCTTAGGGCTTCCACACTTCCAGGAGATCGTTCGCCCAGTGGCCGCGGTACAGCTGGGAAAGATGCAAGTATGGGAAATAAATCCCGGCTGCTGTCTACTGAAGGGTCCTCGAACAGGAAACTATCATCCGGAGCACCCGTATCAAATGGAAATCTGGGCGCAAACTCGGGCTCATCGAGTGATATGCCCTTTTGCTTCTCTTCCGAGAAATCGGTAAGGTGTGTGACATCTGCTGCTCTAGAGATGGTCTCAGCTTGAACGTTTTTCACAGCGTTGGAAGCATATTGACGGTTCCTGGAAGTGTCGTTCAGGCTACCACGGCCGGTCACAGTATTGTAGACGCCACTGCCGCGTGGGAAGTCAGCGATGCGACCGCTGATATGTGCTGTGATGGAAGCTGACCGGCCATGTTGAAGTCTCATGATTTCATCTGTAGCACTTCCATACCCGATTACGGTATTGTAGATGCCACCGCGTAAAACCTTGGAAGGTCGGCGGCAGGGTAGAGGCTCTGGAGGACTGAGTGCAACTCCAGAGTCGTTGTGTTTGTGGTGGGGATTACTGCCCTTGCGGATTGGGATCTTGCTGGGTCGGTGAGTGGCATACTGATATTGATGCAAAACCTCTAGCAGTGGAGAGGTCTCGGCTGCCTCTCGATCGTTATGGGAAGAGAATGCAGGGTTGAAGTAGGATGAAGGGGATGGGTCAGGAGCCATGGATGTGAGATCCGAAGACGCTCGCTATCATACAGGGTGCTTTAAGAATTGCAAGAGCGCTAAGCCTGGCACGGGCGCTGGAGGCATAGATTAAGAGCGATGAGCAACACAGAATATGAAACTTCATACGAAAAACAGCGTCACCTGGCCGTACCCCATTCATGGCTGTTCGCTTCAAGTGTCCCTCGAACAGGTGGTCAAAGCGATGTACTGACATCATCGTCCATGAGACTCGGCCAATGGAATCCGTGGATGGATAAGACAGGAAGTTGAATCCGCAATATTACAAGGACAGGGGCTGAGAGCCCTCAAGGACACATGCGTTTTTATGTTTGATACAAATTGGAGTTTACCTTAGAGCTGCGTGTCCTAGGTCGTCGAGTGGCTGAGAGTAGAAGTTGTAAGAGAACGCGATGCTTTTGTCTTGGCAAATGTGGGCAGCAAACGCGCTATCACGTGATATTATGTTGAGGGGGCAGTCCTTGGCGATCTGTCACGTGCCGCTTGTACGGTTGGGCAAGGCGGCTTCGCGGCGCAGTGTAACCAGCTCAAAGGATGCGGACCAGCAGCCCTGGGCAGTAGAGGAAGGACCAATAAAGAAGCCCTGAGTGGGTCCAGAAAGACAGGCTAGTTGCAGGCAGGGAAAACTATTCGTCGCCAAAGGCCACCGATAGTCAACCTCAACCCTTGACGATAATCCCGAACTTGGTTTACAACAATCTGAATGGCAGTGCAGGCATACCAATGATTCTCGAGTATAAATATGCATATAGAATCGCTCATACCAGAGCCACGATGAGGACTCTCCCAGTCAGCAATAGAAACAGTTGTTAGTCAACAATTGGCGACCGCAGTAAATCACATATACTGCTGTGTCATGATCCCAGTCCCTCAGATTCTACATCCTGGCCACCACCATCGATCCTATCTCAGGAGGTTGTGGAATCATCACACCTTGTTTACTGCTTCTTTATCTCTGCTGTTTTATAGCATGACTGGAAACATAGTAAATGTTGGGCGGATGCTCTCTAATGTGGGGTTCCAGCCATGTATCTCCTTTAGGCTACCTTCCGAATATACTACCGTTATATATGGTTTTTCAGATTCCCAGATTCTGTTTGGTCTATCAGTTGGTTCCCTATAGGCACGAAGACACCGATATGTCTTGGTAAACCTAGTTTCCATAGGCTAAATAGAGGCTAAGGGCTAGAGAGCTGTTCCGTAGTTTACGTTCCTCATGTTGAAAGAAAGATTTTACGACCATTTGGACTATAAGCAATATGATGGAGCATTTAATATATGAATTATTGGATAAGTAGTTTTTCAAACATTATGTATCCTATGCATTAAAACACGTAGTTTGTTCTTTATCGGTTTTACGGTCAAACGAGTCAGTAGATACAACTGAAATTACATGAACGTGCTCTCTGAAAGTAGCTGATTTAGCCAATGATATCACTTAGCACTCACTGCGTTTCCTTTGGAAATCTGCAGCTACTGGCTAAGATGAATGCCTACGCAGAGATGTTAGGCTAGCAATGATCCCAACTTCTGCACCTCAACTCAACAGCGTTCAGCCTTCTTTGTCAGTCCGGATCAACTCTGCCATCACATAGTCCTAACAATCTCGGTAAAGCTATACTCTGCAGCCTGACTCAGCGGCGTTTGGCCTCTTTTGTCTTGTCGGTCCGGATCAATACGGCCTGCATGCTAACCACTATAATACAGAAAATTATTATTTGTTGGTATGCGATTGAGACCAATTCTTATGAGGAGCTATTCCTGGTGGGGACTAATGTATCCCCTCATTCTTGAGCCCTTTACCAAGTCAAGTGCGTGAATTCCTCAAATTGCTTACTGCCTGGAGTGTGGGGAAGGACATCGCTGCCTCGACGCCGACGATGTTCATTCATTGTAACGACACAGACAGATCTCCTAAGATGGGTTCGATGGTTGCCAGGCTGCTGGATTGAGAGACAGAAGTTCTCACACAACCAAAGTGGCCGTTGTGGTCACCAGTTGGTAAGCAACTGTTTGTATTGTTGACTCGAGGGTTTCTTGGGCCAAATAGCCCTGTTTGGAATCTATATACATCTCATCCACTCTTGTGGCTTCCCTTCCTTCTTCCTCAACAGCACAAACTGTTGAGGGTCAACATGCTTGGGTGTTGAGGAACACTTTCCTAATGCTTGATTGTTGGCGGTAGATATCCGAGTTTGATGGGTCACAACTCCCTTCTACTCCGATCAGTGAGTTGCACGGAAGCTACTCTCTCAGATAGAGTCATTGTTAGTCGTGACATTCATTACCTTCCCATGAAATATGAGGTTCACAGACGCACTGCGATTATTTTTTTCGATATAAAGCAAAAGCGTACTTGAGCAAGACAGCCGAGGGCCTATCTTCGGTAGCCAAGGAAGGCTCATGAGCAACCGAGAAAACAGAAGATGAGTCAATGACCTCTCACCAACCAAGGAGAAAGAAAAAGATTCGATTTGTAATACCTATGACGAGTCCGTCTTTGAGTATTCAATTTCTACGAAGTATGTACAAATGACAAGATTCTACATACAGATCCTCCTTACGCCACCCTGCTTGGTTTCTATGATCACCTACAGTTCTTACTTCCGTCTCATTTCCTCAACGCCAAGATCCTCTCTGCCGCCCTCTCCGAGGCGATAACGATCATCGCCGACGGGTTGCCGGTCGACATGCCCGGGAAGATGGACGCGTCCACAACGAACAGGTTCTCCGTGCCATAGACCTTGGTATCGAGGTCGACGACGGAGGTGCCATTCGGCTGGCGACCGTCGTCTGGGCCGAGCTTGGCTGTTCCCATCCAGTGGTTGGCGCGGCGCGTCGCCGGGGAGACGAATAACTTTGTCAGTGTTAGTAACGTGTCCTAGGTAATGGGGGGAATGGATTCACGTACGCTATCAAACCAGCTCTCAATTGTCCGTCCCTTTGGCGGCAAGACGAAGGTGATGTTAGGGATGACGCTGAGCGAGTCAACCAGGTTCTTGATGCCGGTGATTACGGCCTCACGGTCGCCTGCGTCGTGAAGGTACGGGTGCTCGGAGACGGTGGTCACCAGCGCCGGGGTAATGGTCATGCGGCCGCGTGAGACAACGCCGCGGCCAAGGTATAAGCTAAGTACCACAGCGGCTTGGGGGTGTTAGTTTACCGATGCAAGGGGGAGGTGGGAATGAGAGGAGAGAACCAAGGGCTTACTCGGTGATCTAGTGTAGCGCATATCAGCCTCGATACGAGCTGTCCACTGGAGCTGACGGACGATGCCATCGGACGGGGTGACTTCCTCCCAAATCTGGTCGAGTCAGTCAACAACAGTCTCTATGAGTCTTTTTCTGGAATGACACCTACCGCTGGGCCAATGTTTGGTGCCGATTGAGTAAGGATACCCGACCTTCTCTCAAGGTAGGCCTTCTTGTCCTCCTCCGGCGGATCCCACCAGGCCTGAAAGAAGTTATAGTATACGACATCGGGATGATCAACGATGATGTCCGTATTTAGATGGTCAATCAGGTTGTAGCCAACCGGCAGGTTGATCCACTCGCTGCGGTCGATGAAGGTCGCGCCGTCCTTGGAGCTGGCGACAATCTCGAGCTGGTCCTGGGGGCCAATACCGCCTGCAACAGTCAGCTTCTGGTCTCAGCATACTTCAACAGAAAGAACTTACTTCTCAGCAACAACTTCGCCGACCCAAATGCTCCTGCTGAGAAGATGACACCACCACCGGGGTTCAGCTTCACGGTACCATTGAACCCGCCAGTCGTAAGGCACTCCAGTTCTACACCCGTAACCGTACCACCCGTCCGTAGGGCCCTCCTAACAGCCGTGTTCGTCCACAGCCTAAAGTTCTCTCTTTCATATGCCGAAACAAGATACGTCGCCAATGGGCCATCGCGCTCGCCATTGTGAAACATAAAGTGGGTATGGGCAAACGTGCGGTTTTTCTGGTCGGCCTCTTCGTTGGCGATGACCTCGGTCCAGCCGGAGGCCCGTAGGCCGCTGGCAAGGACGTCATAGCCTTCTTGGTAGTAGAGCTTGCCGTCGGACGAGGGATGCCATGAGCCGGGGATGCGCTCGAAGACGCGTTTGGTCGCGGCCTCAACGTCGGAGGACTTCCAGCCTTCGGGGAAGTTCTCATCCCAGTCTTTCTTGGGTGGCTGGGGAGAGTCAGCGTGCTGGTTCTGACCACGTCATGGTCCTGGTGAGCCTACCTTCCACCATAAACCCGCGTTCACAGCGACGCCACCGCCCAGAACGCAGCCGGCCATCTGATCAGTGTCCGTGCAGGCAATGCCAGCCGAGTCGACCCAGATCTGATTGCAGAGACCAGGAACATCAAAGCGCGTGAGGTTGGTGCCCTGGAGCCACGTAGGCTTCATCGTGCCGTTCCAGCGGCCGGTTGACGGCGGGCCCTTTTCAATCAGCAGGACTTTGTACCCGGCCTCACTGAGCTTGTCAGCAACGGGGATGCCGCCGGCACCGGCACCGACGACGATATAGTCGAAGGTCTCGTCGGGAGCAGGGACGCATTTGGGCCCGACAGGGCCAGTGCTGCAGATGGTTAGAATCCGAGCAAAATCGGCAAATACCTTCCCCATACTCACCCCTCGCAAGTAGTCTTGGGGTTCTGAAACGCCCACGCTGTCCACTGGCTGTACGTCCTCGAAGGCACAACCACATCCTGCAGCCCAAAGCCCCAGATATCGAAACCATTATCGTGGAACCCGAACGTCGCCGTATCAGGGCAGGTCGGACCCCGCACACCACCCTTGCTCCCCGCCCAGCCGAGAGTCAGGAAACCCTGAGAGGTCGTGGAGTTGCCTTTGTCTCCCTCATAGTCCCAGAAGAAGCAGTTCTGGCAGCGATAGAGCACCTCAAAGCTGTCAGCAGTGATTCTGGACGCGATCTGCGTCAGCTTGGCGTCACCGGTGTATAAGTTCGGCAGAGTGTAGCCGGTGGCGTAGCGGAACGAGGTGTAGACGGTTCCGTTGTAGGGCCAGGCCACCAACAGCAGGGAATGGCTCATCTGGCCGGAGTTGCCATGGGAGATGCCGCAGTAGCCCGGACCATTGGTACTGGGGGTGATCTTGCAACGCTGTAAAGCTGTTAATGAGTTTTTTTTTTCGCATATCTTCTGGCTATTGTACTTACAATAAGGCCGATGTACTCATTGGCATCCTTCTCTAAGGCGGTGTCTGGAAGAGTCATGCCAAACGTGAAGCCCCCATCTTGTGAGGACCACGTCTTGAGCCTGATACCGGTTAGAACATGGCTGTAGGTGCCCTCCGTCATGTCGGCGGCGCATTGCTGCAGATCTTGGCCGTGTCAGTACTATATTGAAAATTTCACGATCTGCTGGCGCCTTACACAGCGACGCCGCGAGGGCAGTCGCCCCGATGCGGCCAAAGAACTTCATCTCACCAGGTACAGAAGCTGTGCAGAGCTGTACCAGATTCAGGGTTCAGGAAGACGAGCTCCCAACAAAGGGGAATCATCCTTAAGAGAAAGGCTTCGGGATTAATAACTTCGGCGATGGGCCAGGTAAGGTTGGTTTTAGGGTCCTTTGCGCCATCTCCTCCACATTCAAACGTACAGGGAACGGAAACAGTCTCCATGTCATTGGAAATGGAAAGTCACCGATAGGATGGATACAACGGGAATAATAATCTCCTATTTGGGGTAAACAAATGGAGGGGCGTGAAGGAGATTTATTGCAATGCATGCGCTCCGCATGGCGATTCATAATGAAAGAACGCTGGAATATTGGAGAAATGGTGACACAGCCTGCACGGTGGAGCTTCCCCAGCTTTTTTCCCACTCAGCGACGGGTAAAACAGGCGCACGGCATGACAAACCCAGGGAAACATGCCCTACGAACGGAGGTGAGAGCCGATGCGGCAGCCGAGCGAAGCTTGGCAGGTTATTACTGCGTTGTATTAACGTACTGTCTACCCTCTCATAGGTTTTGAGTGGACGAACAGCCGATATCATGAGCCCATAGTGATGTTATCTCTCGTCGGCTAGGTACAAGCGACCAGCATTTCGTTAAAGCCGGGAGTGATCTATCGATCCGCTGCAGCCCCATAACGGCCAAATGCAACTTTGGCAGGATCGAGCAGATGCGGGGTCCTTTATCACGTTCCCGGTTTTCCAGCATGCTAAAACGGATGATGTGAGCACTTGAGCGCATCGAGCGATTATATTCTCGGCATCTAAACAATCATCTTAGAAGAAAAGGAGCCATAATGATGGAAGAGGGCCGAGCCAAAGACCGAAAGACGAGAGGGGTGGAGCACTCCAATCTGGATGGCACGGTGACAGGCAGTACTGTGGCAGAAATCGTGGGGTTCTTAAGGTGGGAATTACCCTGTCCCAGAAGATATCCAGTTGGCCGGCGAATTTGCCTTGATGAATCACGCCCTACTCTGGATAAAATCGAGCAAGCAACGTTCGGTTCATTGGGGCCAAGCAAGTGAGCCACCCGCGCGTTACTGCTGAAAACTCCTCTGTTTGCCAGTTCCTCATCAATCAGACGCCTTGCAAGCGCAACAAATGGTGACGGATGTTCTCACTCACCTTTTTCAATCAGACTATACCAATGTCTCTTGGTTTCAGGTAACAATCCGGTCGGACGGGCCATGCCTAAGAGGAGCCCAGATCAAGCAAGAAAGGGTGCAGACTCCACACAAGACTGCTAAAGCCGGCTCCCGCTAAGTACGGATATATAGCCAGCATGATTTATACTGCCTTATTATCCTTCCCTAACTGTGTCATTCGACCTTCAATATATGCGTTCCCTGTATCGCCTACGTCCCTATTGTTTTGTATTTCCCCCCCCCTCTTCTACACTCTTCTCGTAATATCTCAATATATATAGGCAAGGTCATGGATGGCTTATTGATCAGAACTCCGCCGCTCAGTTCAGAGCACTTGGGCGTCTGCCAACTAAATCTACTATCTGCTGCGGAGTCGCAGGGTCAAAAAAGGTATCAGTAATCGTCCAATAACCCCGGATTAACAAGCACATTGCATACAAATTCTCTCCCCCTCGCTTCCTGACAACCTGCAGCCAAAGTTTATTCCACCGGGCACTTCTAATTCATCGAATTTGATAGTCTCAATAGATTACACCTTGGAGAGATATTCTAACTAATGCATTTGTCGAACGGTCATAATGATAGGGTCGTAAGGCATTTTCCTGTAGTTATGCTTGTGTTTAAATATATATCCTCCTATCCAGTCGTAAATCATGAGCCAGCGGTCATTACCTACCCTGAAGAGCCATTCAAGCGCAAACTCTCTCGCTCCTATACTGTCGCTTAACAGAGCGCCTCATATAAATTCTGCGGATAAATCAGCCTGATAGATGCGTTAAAGGCCTCTAGATATAAATATGTATATTGAATCACTAACCCCCAAGGCCATGATGAGTATCCCCTCAGTCAGCAATAGAAAAAAGTTGTCAACCAACAACTTGTGACCGCAGTAAGCCACATACATCACTGTACAAGGATCCCAGTCCCTTAGGTTCTACAGCCTGGACACTACCTTCGAACCCATCTCAGGAAGTCCTGGTATCGTTACACACCAGTCATGAGGATAATCAATCTAAGCCTATGGACATAATGATATATTTTCTTATAATGAAGCACACTATTACCACGATAAAGGCAACGATCGTCCAAATAAACGAATTCGCTACCACCGGATGACTATGCGCCATTGTTGGATTACTTGGTTCGCACTATGCATATATGAAAAAGGAAAGGCTTAAGAAGAATAGCTAATAATTGAATAGCATTGAGTTTTCCGCGATGGACTCTTGTATAGCGATCAGTCAAACACGGCTTAGGCTACCAGTGGATCGTTAGGTGTAACATGCAGATCGTTAAGTACTGGTGACTACGGCGAACATACCGTAAGGACTTTGATAAGATTCCCGGCCACTGTACGAGCTGACCAGAAGGATGGAAAAGTCGAGTTTGCCATAGAGCATGAAACATCTTTTTGGCGGCTGAGGGAAGCCATTGCCACCGAGGCAATCCTCGGACTGCCCGACCAACAAAAGCCATTCGAAGTTGAAAGCTTAGCGTCTAACTTCCCAATCGGAAGGCATTTAAGACAATGTGACAATAACGAAAAACTCCATTATGTAGCTTTTTCTCTAACAAACTCAGCGGCAATGATGGAAAAGCAAAGTGTCATTGGAGATCGGGATCCGAGCCCCAGTCCCGATGTGTTGCACTAGAAAAAGTAGCGACACTGTGCTACTGATTGAGCAAGATTCCGGCTAACAGCAGTAAACATCTCCTTCATTCTATCAACTCGGGCAAGAAAAGCCCTTTGTCAATTCGTTCAGTGCCCTAGCATTCAACCAATACCCGGAAGCACAAATCTTCTGCCTACATCGATCACTACATCCGTTCTTTCGGGGAGCGTTCCTGCTACTCCCTTTTGGTCAGATTCCGTTTGTTTAAAAAGGACAACAAGGATGTACCCCGTGCGCCATGCCCAGTTGAAGCCTTTCGGCCCATTCGACGTTATTCAAACGCAGCAGAAAGATGTGATTTGAATTCCCTAACTAGAGCGAGATAAACGGTTGACAAGCAAAACGAATCATGTACTTAGTGTAAAGTAATTCTAGAAATATACTAAATCTTTTGACTTACTAGGAGCGCTGGGTCGAGTAGACTGCCTCTTTTACATGCACTAATATAGAGGAGGAAGAGGTGGATAAGGGTTCTATATTTTTATCTATACAGTCTTGCCTTGTACAGCAAAGGTGTGTTACACAGCTAGAACAGAAACAAATGGGTATATCATCTTAACTTTTGAGCAATTTCGGAGAGATGCGACTTGGGCATGTAGTTCAATACATCCTTTGTTTGACTCTTCTGCATCGGCTCCCAGCGTCCTCCCCAGATGTGGGGTCCTATTTCCTATTGCTGCCCCCCGATCGATTGATCGACCCTGAGACGACATGATGAAGGCCGGAACCTTCCAGACTAGCCTCTTCCAACGCTTACGCACTGATATATTGCCTCAGAAATAAGGCACCAGACTTGGCAGGACTCTGTCGTAGGCGACACTGCTTGGCGGCTCCCTGTAATCGCCATCACGTCAGTGCTTGACGCCACAACAAGAAAGGGAAGACAAACATCACGAATATGTATGACTGCCCCCGCCAGGGACCGCCTGCCCACCAGAGCCAACCGGTTTAAACATCGCTGTTTTTCGCCATGTAGTTCAGCATGCCCGTCAGCGCCTGGATGCACTGGGTGTTGGCGCCTCCAGCCGTCTCGCCCAGGATGCCCTTCTTTTGTTTGCCTTGAGCTAGGACGTTGCTTCGCGAAGGCGTTGTTCGCCAATGGTTGAGGACACGCAGTTATCAGATGTGCCGGAGACGTCGGTGTCGAGGTATTGGTGCATTTCGTAGATGATCTTGGAGCCGTCTGGCGCGGCTGGGTCATTGGGGTTGAGGGGGGTTGCACCGTTGCCTGTAGAGACCTGGATACCTACTGTTAGGAATATCCCAGGGGAAGAGGCCAGGATGCATATACCCAGGTCCAGGCGCCCGTCCATGAGTTGCCCTCGACAAAGATCAGCTGTAAAGTGGCTCCCGCAGCACGGATACCATCAATGGCTGCCTGGTTTAGGGGTAAGACGAGCTGGTTGTCCATGTCGTGGTACTCATTGTTCGTGTTGAAGATGACCTTGTCATTGTCAGCAAACAGTTGGCTACGGTCGTCGACCACTCCTTGAAGCCGTCTACATCGGTTATGACATTCCCATAATAGCGGCCTGCGCAAGAGTCAGCTTGCAACTAGCGGCTCAAGCCCCGTACGGACTCTTACCGAAGTTGTGTGGATCAAGCACAGCATAGGCCCCCTTGCTAGTGATGTGGTTGACGATCTAATGATTGTGAGTCTCTTCTATCTCTAGCATACGAAAGGGGCTCCACATACGTCAATGAGCCCCTGAGCATAGGTACTGTCGATGGGACCATTCAGCCTATTGGGAACAAGACGCTCCATGAAGTGCTGTTAGAACGCTCCTCACCAAAGTTCTGAGTTTCGGTACCTACATATATCATGAACGGGATGCGGAATATGTTCATCCCCCGGCCGATGAGAGTCTGCACCGGTTAGCCACGCTCATTTCCTCCAACGACGCAGAACCTACAGACATACGTCAATGCTATACTTTGATGGCCAGATGTAGTACCTGCCTAACTGTCCGGGGAGAGTGTCCTTGCCAAACTCGGCACCATCCTCATTGATACCCACGAACTGGAACTTAGGAGCACGCTTCTGTGTTCTGAATGTGGTGAGAGCATCGCCAGCCGGCGCGGCTAGGGCTGACACGGCAGCTTCAGCACCGAGGCGAAAGTTGAGGAACTTCATTGTCGAGTTGTAAGACGCTTACCAGGTGCACTAGGCTTAGTTCTCATGATTAACCACTCATAAGATCGATTTATACATATCTTGACCTCTAAGTTCTGAATGACCGAGCTGAACTCTGCTACCTCCTTTTTGCCCTCAAGCATTGGCTTTGTCACCAAAGTTTATTAATCTAGGGCATCAGCTTCACACGTTCCCCTCTCATTATTTGGGATAATCAACTGTCCCGTTTTTCATATCCTGTTTTACTCAGGTCAGCTTCACTGAGTGTTGAAAGTCGTTAACACCTACGGTCTGATAGTGTGGGGAGAGCATCTTGTGTTCCCAAATGGAGTCACCGCTTCCGCCCTCTCAATTCAGCCAGAACCCGGACGTGCGTTTCCAGGGGTCTGCAAAGAGCAGAGTGCGATATTTACATTTAGGACAATGTTCACCCCTGAGAAGATAATTGCAGAGATATCGACTTGTCTTCAAGAACGTTCCTGGTGCCGAACTGCAAATACAGTTCCAGGCCAGCAGACGCCTCCGTATGACAATATGGCCCGGTCGTCTTCAGCCCATAGGCACAACTGATAACCTCCCATATGACACAAGGTTTAACTCAGGAAGGGTGATCCAACTGTCACTTGTACTGCAATCGGGACTCGAGAGGATCATATTCCATGCAAATATTGTGGTGCACAGTGGCATGACCAATATCATAGGATAGGACAAAGTGCTTCGCCAGTGGTACTAAATCACTGTCCTTCGTCAAAAGTGCTCCTTCATACGTCGGCATTTGGCGCTTGTGGAACACAGTTAGCGTGTATAAGACAGGTGGTCGCAATTATTGGATCCTTCATTCAAGCTCCTCAGGGAGCCGGCCGTTTCAGACCCCAGAGTCAGTCCCCAGCTTGACTCTCTCTCGTCTTTGTTATGAGCATAACTCCGGCTTCGAGAAAAGTTTGTGAGTGTACAGAATGTTCCAATAGCCGGATCTAGAATGTACACAGCTTCAGTATTAACTCATTGTACCAGGCTTTCATAAGTTTATACACCCTCTATCCGAGTGAGCATAACCGAATATAATGTTCTGTGTTACGCGAAAGATATGCATGCGGGCAGTTGCAGGGGAGCACAGCAGTTAAAGTTGATAAGATCGAGATTGGCTCTTCCCAAGTGTGAGATGCGAGAAGCGATGCTATGTTGGTGTCGAATCGGTTCGTTACCTTACGAAGGGTCTTCCCGTTGCGAAACCTCACGTAATGATAGAAAATCGTCGGTCCCACGCACGAAGAGGGGTTCGTACCATGTGCCACTAGGCTGTAAGGGAGGGAGGGAAATGCCTCACTCATCTGCAAAGTATAATTCTAGTGTTTACCCACTTATGACTTGCTCGAAGAGTTTGTATAGCGTTTACAGACATTTTGGGAGGACTAAGTAAAGAGATGGTTGTGCGTTGAGCATCCGCGTTCTACTTATTGGATCTGTAAAATACAGTAACACCGACGGTAATTTACCCCCACCAAAGCTTCTGTTCTGGAGACCCACCCAACTGTGATGTTATGGAAGCCGCCAAAATCCCCAAGCCTTTTTTCACAAGCATGTCTTCCGGACAAGACGCGCAGCTGGATCGTCCGCGCTTCTCCGAGACCACCTTTTTCAGTTAAATTGTGTAACCACACAAGCAGCAATGTTCGTTTTACTGGCCCATAGACGCAGGACAGACCAGTTTTGCCCCTTACATGGCGAGCGATATCTGAAGTCTCGAACTCTATCGGAGAAACTTGCCTGACCTGCCGCGGAGTGTGGTTGAGGTTTGGCTCAAACATATTTCCTTCACCAAGCATCTTCCGTGGGCAGATATGATCCAACTTATCAGAAAGAGAACATCTGGCTGAATGCAGCCATCGAATTTCCAGTTGATACCTCAAATGAAGACGGATCACGGGGTTTATGCGCTGCGCCAGGTTTGCGGGGTTGATACTGCTATGGATGTGTACCGCGCCGCGCACTTGAATGACCTGGGATCTGTACCCGAATGGGCCGGGCCTATCTCGTGCGGTTTTCAGGAAGCTCAGAGCAGGAGGGTCTGCTCGACTTGTATGTACATAACAGACGAGCTTCGAGCGACTCGACGAACAGGGTGATCTCTCCATTTTCAGCCACAGACCTGATCTCTGGCCAAGCCGACACCTAGACCACCCTGCTATCGTCGCTGCAAAGGTCATCTGTCCCGTGGGCTCAGGCAGAAAAAAGGACCAAGCCCTCGGGAACCAAAAAGAATGCCACCGCCAGATAACCTGTCGCTATCGGTTTGGCTTTCAGGCCGCGTCTCGATCTCTTATTGCGTCCCAGGTGGAAGGATCGGAGGCCCATGCCCATTGGCCGGCAGGATGCACAGCGGACCCGACAGTTCGGCCACAAGCGCCGTCTTAGCCCTGCGGCCGACCTGGCCGGCTGTGCTCCGAGGTCGCATTCCGGGCCGTTCGTCAGAGTAAGCGCCGTGGCGGATCCCCACTGCCAACTCCACTTGCTGTTTTCATAACAAGCACTGGTCTTTCTGCGGCCCAGTGTGCCATCATGAGAAGGCTTGGTGATGCTGGGTTTCCTATCGAGTGCGACCAAGATGGAAGGGCTGCGAGGCTGAGATTCAGCTCAGCTGGGCACGGATATGGCTGCAAGCTTTCGTCAACGTTGGACCTTGATAAAAAAAAAAAAGGCTGTGCTCCTGCCATGCTGTGGAATCATCATATTCGACGAGTTACACAACTGCCGGTAAGGACACTCCGAGTTGGCAGTTTATCAGTTGTGTGCTGTGAGGAATCTCGGTCAGCTTCTCAGCCCAATCATGGCGACTAGAAAGCGGCGGGCCAAAATCCCGAAGAGATGCACGACGGATAGCCCAAGAAAAAAGACGAGATCCATCTGATGTGCTCTGGTGGAAGAAGCCAGACAGCAGCTTGGGTGATTTTGGAGAGATATTCTTCTACGGAGAGGAGATTGTGATCTCGTGGGGCGGGCTCAACCAAACCTCTTACTACGACCTCTGGCTCACGAGCTGGGATGTTGAAGATCCAGTGGCTGTGCACCTGGCCGGTAAGGTCACTTTTGGAAGAAAATGGTTACAATGGACTCACCTGGATGCTTCAGGGGTGGTCGACATCGCCAATGAAGGCCAGTTCAGCTGGACACCTCAGCCTGATGATCAGTTAGTCCACGAAACCCGCTATGTCCTCCGGTTCATCGAGCGTTCAACAGTTGCCGACGAACGCATTGCCTTTGAATCGGGGCTGACCAGCCCAAGCTTTTATCTTGTACACAACCCCAGCAGCATATCAACCATGGTGACATACACCCAGACTGTGACAACAACCACCACAGCAACCACCACGCCAACTCGCGGAGGCAAGGCTGAATCAAACTCTCCGCCACCAGATATGACACCTGGTGAGGCAGCCGGTCTCACGGTGGGCCTTGTCCTGCTCGTGATACTGCTCGTGGCCGCCGAGGCGGCATTTCTCACTCGTCGACGAACGAAGAGGAGGATTAGTTGGGAGAGCGAGAGAGGAGGACTTAGGAAGGAAGCACCAGGAGATTGGCAACAAGGTACGGCAATAAACAGAAAGGAACCGGGGTTGAAACGATGGCGGTGGCCGCAGCCTGCGGAGAAGCGCAGACAACGACACTTGAAGAATCGGGCAGAGAATAGGAATGCGTTTGTATTTATAGCAGCAACAAATGACCCTGGCGGTGCGCCGCCTTGGCTGTCATTGTTTGAGTTGCCCGGTGACACATCAATCTCTCAATGGGATGTTAACATGATGCACGAGCTGGAAGGAAGCAGGTATATGTCATCAGGAACGTCACCGGCGGCGGCGGGGACTGGAAGTTGGGATGAGAATCATGATGGCCGGTTGTCACCCAGGAGAGCGGCCACACTGAATAGCTCGTTAGTTGAGCTTGAGGGGGAGCCACCAACGCCATGGCCATACCCATGGCCAGAAGGCCAGGCAGGATCAGGGACTGTGACTCCCGGTGATGTACAGAGCCTCCTGGCGATGTACGCAACTGATCCTGATATTGATACCGATACCCAACTGTCAGGTTGTCATCACAAATAAGTAATATTGTGTTTCTCTCGCAAGCTCACACCAGACATGGAACGGACACGAGCCAGTATGCAGCAAAGCGTAACGAGTTCGTGATTCGCTTTCTTGGTATGTGTTGAGCAAGATTAGGTTACCGCTGGCAAGCAGTGACGAAATAGGCCAGCCGAATGACGCCCCTGGCCGGAATGACCGAGAAGCACCAACGACACGCAGGCGGGAAGCTGTGAAACCGGTCACACGACCGAGGTTGCCGGCCCCCCCACGTTTCTTGTCGCTGTCGCTGAGATGCAACGAAAGCTGTGAGAGGCTCTGCTTGACGTACCTAATATACAGGTAGTCCGTCTATTGGCAGATTTTGCTCTGGCCTCGAGTTTTGGTTCAGCAAAAGTTCATCCTCCTCGTCGTGTGCCCCTCCCCCCACTCTCCGTCCGAGTCGTTTTGGTACCCCATCACTCAGCAACCCGGGCCAACATGATCCACACGCGTCTTTATCGCATTCCCCTGAATAGGGCACGGCGCGCAACATCACTCCAACCACGTTTCCCCCAATTTACTGCAACCAGGTCCTTCCCTAGCACCAGGCCTCTCGCATCAAACATGCAACTGCAGACCTCGCCGAACACCAGACAAACAGCCGGTAGCGGGAAGTCTAGCACGTCTGGCTATGGCAGGGCTTCGAGCAAGGCAATTACATACGCAGCAGCAGGACTTCTTATCGTTGTTCCAACTGTGTGGTGGTTGACCAGAAAGAAGGAATATCAAATGATGGCTGTCGACGATGTGCCCGTGCTCCCAGAGGAGTCCCAAACACAACATTGGCAACCACTCTCCGATGAGGAGGTGACCCGTATTCTCTTGCAAAATGCCTACTCGTTCCTAGCAAAAAGCGTCCCTGGCATGGCCAGGTACGACGGAACGCAAGTCGAGTCGAATCCTATCTGCGAGGACCGTTTTATCCACGGCAAGTTCCCAGCTCCATGGGGCAAAGGGGCCCCTTGGATGGCTTGAGCTGTGTTAGACGGCCACGCTGGATGGCAGACTTCCGATCTCCTAGAAAAGAAGCTCGTCCCTGCTGTGAGAAGGGCTCTGAGAGAATTGAGGGAGACTCTGCGTCGGAGAACGTGATCCACGAGGCCATTCAAAAGGCCTTTGTTGAGCTTGATGACGCCATCCTGAACACGCCTCTGGACATGATTGCTGCCAAGCACCAGGTGCCTCTATCAGAAATGGTGAGGAGGTTAAATGCAGCCTATGCTGGGTCTTGTGCCTTGCTCTCACTATTTGACCCCTCTACAAGCACGCTTCATGTTGCCTGCACCGGCGATTCCAGGGCAGTCCTTGGTCGCAAGAAGCCAGATGGCTCGTGGCAGGCTATCCCGCTATCAATCGATCAGACTGGCTTTAGTAAGGACGAAGTCTCCCGCATCCAAAAAGATCACCCAGATGAGGATCACATTATCAAGGATGGCCGCGTTCTGGGGTTTGCTATCTCCCGTGCCTTTAGAGACAGCCGCTTGAAGTGGACTTTTGAGTGGCAGCGATATATCCAGGGAGCGTTTCGAGGACCCATCAGCAAGCATGGGATCAAAACCGCCCCTTACGTCACCGTTGAGCCTGTCGTCACGGCCACCAAGATTGATACCAGTCAGCCCTCGTTTCTTATCATGGCTTCGGATGGCTTGTGGGACAATCTGACTAATGACCAGGCTGTTGAACTCGTAGCCAAGTGGCTGGCTTCTCGTGGTGCTGGCAGCAAGAAATCAGATACTCCGAAGGAGTCCTTTCGAACCATTGATAGATATGAGCCAGTACTATCTCCAGATCAAGTCTCTGGCCAAAGAGGGGAAAACGGCGCTTCAGGATGATAACGTTGCCGTTCATCTAGCACGGAATGCTCTCGGCGGGGGTAATCCGGAGCTGATCTCCTCCATGATGGCATTTACCCCTCCCTGGTCTCGCTGGGTGCGCGATGATATCACTGTGCAGGTGGTTTTCTTTGGAGATGGCAACTTCGCGGTGTAATGAGTCCAGGACAGTTACTTTTGATTGTCTGGGTGTTCAGCATATTTCGCCACTTGCCAGGCTTACGCGCAAGACTTGAGGTTACCTTTTGTTTTTCGTCTTTGTGTGAGCTCTCAGCCCTGTGCGGCTCCAGCGAGATTCAGATTTACCACCGAGACATTGACGAACCCCTAACAAGAGTTTGCCCGAGATATGATCCACTCTTGTAGCACAGCGTAACATGTAAGCCAGTCGTTCGGTCTCGAAGGTCTGGAGCTCCAGGAAGCTGCCCCATTGTCTTGTATCTCAGCTCCACCTCTCAGCAATTTGCCTTTTAGCCTAAACTCCCTCTCCACAATTAACTCCTGACCGCCCAATGTTGTCCACATACGTCCGCGCGACGCGAGGCGACTGAGGACTTCATGTTTCTCCTCTTTGTCGACAAACTTCAACAGTCGACCTCCTGTTTTCATGTGACCAAAGTCTCAGCTTGCCCCCTTAGACCATGATCCATCCACTCACTTACACCCAACTCAGTAGGTAACACCGATAACGGTGGATACGTGGCCGGGTCCGACCAAGCGGAGCTGACAAGGCTTTGTTCTTGCTCCCGGCGTGGCCCAAGAGTTTGGAATGTCGTCGGCAGTTGTGCCGGTACTTGCTTCGGCTGCCGAAGCATCGGTTCTTGGCCAGTACCTTCTTATCTGCCATCCGAGGCCTAATGCCTGCGGCTGAGTTTGGCTGTCCTCAGATCAAAAACATTCAAGCAACAGGAGTGGCGATCAAGGCACGATGAAGGTAAAAGTGTTCTCCTCACATGGTTTGAGGAGGTCTTTTGCATTGAAATTGCCTGACAACCAGAGTTGATCCTATCCCGGTCGTGGTGGAGCGCAATCTTGATCAGTTCTAGAAGCCGTGGAGCTGGGACTGTCAATTTTTCCAACCTTAAGCCAGATTCGTGTCTTAGACAGAAGTGTTCATCCCAACCTTTTTCATTATTCAAAGCATGAAGATTCTTAATGAATTCACAGAGCTATTTCTATCATCGTCGCACAGTTCCCGACATCATGATTCACCTTTCGCTCAAAAATTATCTCAAGTCAAGAAACATTCGCCCTTCAGCCCACAACCATAATGTTTTGCACGTCGTTCGAACTGCTCATTGACAGGTCGCGTACTCCCTGCCAGATGTCAACCATTCTGGCTCATGACTCGCTCCCTCTCACTGGTGAAGGGTTGTGATAGGCGGTGCTGCACTCCACCGGATAAATCCACAAAATCACCGAATACCAGCCGCTCCGGGAGCGTCGGATGCGTTTCTGAGTGGTGAACGGCGCCGGTGCATGAGAGCTCTCGGCGTTATTCTGAGTTTTTGGTGGGTTTGCTACTCGTTGTCGGGGCGGCGTTCGCCGTCTCATGAGAGGAATAAGGTTGAGAGATAACAAGTGCTAAACCCTAACCCTGTGTCTGAGGGCTTGGCAGGACAAGGTCCATAAAGCCTAAACAGAACGTCTGTCTTGGGGGATTAGATGAGGGACATCAATGTTGTGTGCAAACGGTGAGTAACTTTGAGAAAGAGCTGGGTCAAACGGTTGCTAAGTTTAAAATCTGCCCACAGGCGAGCATGTCATATTCAACTTCTACGTGTTCATCTTAAGTGGTAATTTTTGCATCTAGCTTGCCCCGGTACAACTGAACCAGTAAACAAGCCATCACAAGATCCTTGGGACTTTGGCCAAGCTTATTCTCGCCTCCTCAACCTGGTACAGACGATCCTCGCCTCAACCTTGTTTCCAGCTCAGCGGCAGCGAGCCAAACCCAACAAACGGACATGGCCAGGCACGAACCTGTTGGTCACCCGGCTCCAACAGAAACGAGCGACCCTCTGCTCGCCGAAGCCGCTGACCGCTGAGAGCCGACCCCATCTCGTGCTCCTCTCATCCTTGTTTTTGTTTCCCCAAGGGCGCACCCCGGATAGACGAGGGTCTGCCCTTCAAACTTAGACCCATGGCACAAAACTCTATCCACTCATACAATGACATAAGGCCTGGCCCAGCTGGAGGCCCGGGGACCCCTTGGGGAATGCATTGAGCACGAGGACAACAGGGCGGGTTGCGGATGCCCCGCGTTTTCCCCTTGAGCGAGCCCGGGGTAAGAGAGTGATGCGTGGAGTCGGCCTGTTCCCCGAGGTTTGGTGAAGTCTGGGGGATGGAGAGAGGATAGGGCGGGGGAAATGTGGGAGAGAGGAGAGTATAAAGAGTTGTGTTTCCCTCCCTTTAAATGCATGGTGTTAGACGTGTTCATCACATCTCTTTCTCGACAATCATCTGAACGAAAGGGTCGTTTGACTCGTCCTTTTGGACTTTAATCTTAATACTTTTTGATACCCCATCGTCTTCACGACAACAAACCCTCCGACCTAACGAACACTTCACCAACTTCCCCCCCTCCCTTCCGCCCTCAAGAAACAGATCATCACAATGCCCGGCGGAGCGGCACCGCCCCTAGCGGGCACTAACGGGCACGTCATCGAGGCCCCCGTTACTTGGAAGGCATACATGATGTGCGTCTTCGCTGCCTTCGGTGGTATCTTCTTTGGCTACGACTCTGGTTATATCTCCGGTGTGATGGGTATGAAATACTTCATTGAGGTCATCGAAGGCCCTGAGGCGGAGGTCCTCCCCTCCTGGAAGAAGTCTCTCATCACGTCCATTCTCTCTGCTGGTACTTTCTTCGGTGCCCTCATCGCAGGTGATCTTGCCGACTGGTTCGGTCGTCGTCTCACTATCATTCTGGGCTGCGCCGTCTTCATTGTTGGTGTCGTTCTACAGACTGCCTCCGCTTCTCTCGGCCTGATCGTCGCCGGTCGTCTCGTGGCTGGCTTCGGTGTTGGTTTCGTCAGCGCTATCATCATTCTCTACATGTCCGAGATCGCCCCCCGGAAGGTCCGCGGTGCTATTGTCTCCGGCTACCAGTTTTGCATTTGCATTGGTCTGCTGCTCGCCTCGGCTGTTGACTACGGTACCCAGGACCGGACCGATAGCGGCTCCTACCGTATCCCGATTGGTCTCCAGATGGCCTGGGCCCTGATTCTGGCCACTGGTCTGTTCTTCCTCCCCGAGTCCCCCCGTTTCTACGTCAAGAAGGGCAATCTCGAGAAAGCCGCTATCACTCTGGCCCGTCTCCGTGACCAGCCGCGCGATTCCGGCTACATCAAGGACGAGCTGGCCGAGATCGTTGCCAACCACGAGTACGAGATGGCCGTCGTTCCTCAAGGAAACTACTTCCAGTCCTGGGCCAGCTGCTTCCGCGGCTCCCTTCGTCAACCCTCCAGCTACGTCCGCCGTACCATTCTCGGCACCTCGATGCAAATGATGCAGCAATGGACTGGCTGCAACTTTGTCTTCTACTTCGGCACGACCTTCTTCCAGCAGCTTGGCACCATCAGCAACCCCTTCTTGATGTCCCTCATCACTACCCTCGTCAACGTGTGCTCTACCCCGATCTCCTTCTACACCATGGAGAAGCTTGGCCGTCGTCCCCTGCTGATCTGGGGCGCCTTCGGCATGGCGATCTGTGAATTCATCGTCGCTATCGTCGGCACCTGCCTCCCGGACGACACCAATGCAGTCAAAGGCATGATCGCGCTCATCTGTATCTACATTTTTTTCTTTGCTACCACCTGGGGTCCCGGCGCGTGGGTTGTGATCGGCGAGATCTTCCCGCTGCCCATGCGTGCCAAGGGCGTCGCCCTGTCGACCGCTAGCAATTGGCTGTGGAACTGCATCATCGCCGTCATCACCCCCTACATGGTCGACGAGGACAAGGGCAACCTCGGTCCGAAGGTGTTCTACATTTGGGGTGCGCTGTGCACGCTCTGCTTCATCTACGCCTACCTGCTGGTGCCTGAGACCAAGGGCTTGACCCTTGAGCAGGTCGATCAAATGCTTGCGGAGACCACGCCTCGGACTAGCTCCAGGTGGGTGCCGCACGCTACTTACACGGAGGGTGCGGAGCTTAAGGAGTCGATGGTTGGCCACCATGAGGAGAAGGTTGATGCTAGTGATGCTAGCGATCAGGTTTAAGGAATGATGGGTTTTGGTTAAGGATAAACTAAGTTTTTTTTTTTTTTCGGGTGTATATATCGTATGTAATTGGTGAATAACTTATGAGCGTCAACTTCTACTTTTCTCGTGTTCCCATTCAACCCTTATTGTGAAATCCTATGTCTCGGGCCCGCAAAAAGAGTTCTTCCCAACCCCTCGCTCCCTTCTATCCTTCAAGCCTCCTCACCCCCACGAAGATCAGCTCACGGCCCTCTCTCCTCCTTCCCCGCACTCCTCTTACTCGGTGCATCCGTCGAACTGGTTCCGATATGCGCATCTTTGATATCGCTCCCCGGGGGGCCGACTGGCTCATCGAGGCCCCGGGCTCTTGTTCCTCCCGTTCCTGCAGCCGACTCCAACGCCTCCGAAATTCCAGGGGCTCCCGAACCCCGCGCCAAGGGCCGAGGCTGCTGGCGCCCGCCGTATGTCGCGTACAGTAGGCCTCCTGCAACGGCGGCAAATATGAGGAGGGGTCCTTTGCGGGAGACCTGAGACATTGTAGAATGCGGTTGGTATGTAGAGACTTGTTTGGAGTGTAGCGGAGTGGGTAGATTGCGATTGGTTTGTCACAACAAAGATCGCTGGTCTTCAATACAGAGCGGCAGATCAGCTCTCAGCAAATGGTTCCTTGTTTATTGTTTGGATGTCGCTTCCAGTGATAGCCACATCAATTTTGAATTCTGTTGTGTGTTTCCTAGATCGAGAAAGTGGTTACCAGCGATGGATAATTTAACAGAGCTTCCAAGGTTGAGCTGTCGTGATGTAAGAGTGGAGATGAGAATGGGCGTGGTAGGGTCATGATGCCATCAATTTCTCCATCTCCTTTGTTCAGGCAAAGGGGGAAGCTTCGCCCCTTTCTTTGTTCCCGTTAGAGCCGGAAGAAAATTTAAGCAAGCCGACGTCATACACCTACCTTGATTCCATGGAGCAAATCAAAAAGCAAAAAACTCCACACGCAACCTCGGACGGTTAAGATTTTGCTTTAGGGATCAAATGTGTATTAATTGTTCTGCGTAGCTCATAAGATGTTTTTTTGCCTTATCCTTGGTTCCTTCCCTTACACATTACTGTCCCATGCTAATCTTATCTAGGATCTTGGCTAAGATACTAGCAGGCACATTACCTAAGCTCACCTCCATTACTCATATCTTCTAAAGTGCCAGAACCAGACTTGCCAAAAGCAAGAGGCTGGGAATAGTCATGCCTGCAGCCATAGCTGTCACCGTGGCTGGGGGAGGAGACACAGGGGTGGTTGGAGTCGCAGTGGGAATGGTAAGGTTGCCAGTGGCAGAAACGTTGGGCACGACTGGAGGGGGCTGAACAAGGGGAACCGGAGGAGCATTCAAGCATCTCTCATCAGTAGCTGCATCGAAATTGACAGCAAACATGACGACCCTGGCGACGCATTCCGGCGTTTCTCCCCTGGGCACCTTGATGCCAACGAAACCAACATCGAAGTCCTCGTTGGTGTAGACTGGTTCAGGAAGACCTGTCGTGAAGAGCCCCATCGTGGCATCGAACTGAACATTGCCGACGGGGACATCCTGGGAACCCCTAATGAGAACGAAAGAGGGATTTTTACAATTATCAGAGGAAGCGGGGAGGTCCACAGCAACACCAACACCCTGAGGCAGGACCGGACCACCAGCAGCTCTCTCAATAAAACTTTCAACGAGTGAAGCAGCCATACGTGCGGTGGCAGTCCACGGGTCAACAAAGTCGGTGTTAGTCCGGTTTTGGATCCATGAGTACGGGATGACTGGGTGATGCTCTGTCCAGAAAGCAATAGCCGGAACGCCGCGCTGGAGAGCAGCATACGCAGGCCCCATGATGCCCACAGTGGTGTAGGGGAATTTGAGCGACACGCGGTTGATGTTCGGACCGGAGATGATTAAGTCGGGACGAGAGACCTTGTGAAATTGGGGAAGAATGTAGTCCAAGGCGACGATGACCTGAGCCACGGTGCTGCCATTGTAGTACCAGATGTGGTCGTCGTGAGGATCGTGACCAAGAGACGGTTCTCCAGCCTTGACCAAACCTGATTGGGTTAGCAGCCGGAAATGTTTCCTTGATCACCATTGCTGACTTACCCCAGTCGCCATCAACAGTAAGCTTAGGCTCGGTGGTGAAGCCGGTTTGGAAGTCGACCTTGCTGTGGCCAGTTGGGGCCGCAACGATGAAAGTGTTGTGGCCGTGGGAGTTCAGTACCTTGTACAGCTCACGAACACTGGCACTTCCGAAGCCGTCGTCTGTCTGCTACGAGTTAATAACGTGGTCTTCAAGACAATTGCCAGACGGAGAGGGCAGTTACGGTGATCAGAATGTTCAGGCCCAAGGCCCTGAGGACGAAGGCGGTAGACGCCACCAGAGCCAAAGCAGAGCGCATAGTAAGATCAAAGCCGTAGCCTTCGAAAGGGGTGGACTGGTTGGTATGCTCCTCAGATACCCAGGATCAACAATGGATAGTGGGACAGTCGACTTTGATGGGCAGGAAGTTGAGCGTGTGGTGCTGTTGGCTCGAGATGGATGTAGGAGTCGGGAGATTATTGCTGCATTGAGCAATCAATGCAGAAAACACGACTTATCGCAATTTTCGACTCTGGAAAGGGCGTTCAGCTTTTGGTCAGGCAGGAATACCCGGGGAGTGCTGGGGTGGGATGGAAGGAGCGTGGAGATCTCTCCTCCCTCAAACTGCCATCGGTCAGTTTTCGACCCTCAACCATTTCGCTGCTCGCCCGGTAATAATCCATTCTGAGATGTCTGACATTCGGCTCTCTGAGAAAAAGACACTTTGCAAAGTGCCAGCATCGAGAAGGCAACATACTAGCAGGAGTCATCACCAATAAGGGTGGAGAGGGAACTTTGGCATCACCCTGGCGAACACTTGAAAGTCATAATACTGACAGCATGGCAGAGGCAAAAAGGCTTCTTATGAATTTTGATCCTCTTTTTGTAATATACACAATATCTCCAACATAGCAACCTGACTCTTCCTTTCTCCATTGTCTCTTACAAGCTAAGACCCCGTTTCAACACTACATAACACTATCCTTCAGAAGCCCACTCACCTCGAGTATTTGAAAAACCTCTCATACGTTTTCTCTTCATCTCGATCTGTGATCGTGGAGTTTTTTTCTCACGGCTCGACATGCCATCCCATCCGATCGCCAAATCCAGGTGGGGTCTCAGATCTCACGTAGATACAGATCGCACTGTCTATCAACAAGGCAGAAAGATGGCGGCATCAAACACTACAGGCAAGTAGCCTTGTACCATACGCCGGCTTTCTGAGTCCGTAGCTATCATCTCATCTCATTGATCGTGTTCCTCATGAGCCGCGAGATGCTATGCAGTGGAGTTTACTTCCCGTGAACCATTCCACTTCCAGCATTCTGGTCGAATGAGCGTGTTGGGTTACATCAATGGTAGCCAAGCTCCCAGACTGCCCCTGTTTGATGTGCAGAGTGCTGGATCAATGCTCGGATGGCTCTCAATGATGCCAGGGGTGGTGGCATCCGAAGAAGAGCCCAGAAACTGAGGCGCGACCGGCACCCTACTTGGCGTCTGGTCTGGGGACTGTTAAAGCAGGCAAATGAAGAACTGTTTTCAACTCAAGCGCTGAGGGCATGAGGATCTACTAAGTAACTGAATTTGGAAATTGGAGAAGAGCGAGAAAATGTGTGGAGAGTGAGATTGTACGTTTAATTATGGGAATATACGCCGATGTTCTGCGTATCCAATATGAACATGAAGAGTAGATACCCGGGTATTGTGCAAGAATTGCCCAGCATCAACTCCAAACACCATTCAGGGATGTAATACTTCTGCCCATCTTCATATCCCCAGATCCAAAAAAAAAACTTTGGCCGACGCGTTTGCAAGAACTCGTATGAATCGATGCTGCGAGTCTCGGAGAAACTTTGAACAGTAATTTCCGATAATCTCGAAGGTGAACAAAAGTCGAGGGGAAGTCCTCATTTCCAGAGGATCCAAGTCTCGAATCGCCGTTGAACCGTAGCCAACTCCTTCAACGCGTTGACCTTTTCTTCACAAAGCCGACATCCAAACACCTATCCTCTGCCGTCCCTCTACCTCTCCTGCCTCATCAGATAGAGTATGAGAACGGGCCATCCTGTTGACAACAAAAGTGCCGCACATATGGAAACTGGGCCTATGTCCCTTTCTCCGTGAGGGCCAGCCCAGCGCTTGATCAGTTCGACGGCACACCAGATCATGCCGATGCCGTAGAGAGAGCCAATCCAGGCGACGCCCAGGATGATGCTGTTCAAGCGGTCCTCAGGGGAGAGGAGGGCGCCCGAAGTATCGGCAAAGGGTTCCGAGAGGGAGAGGTTGTTGCCCATCGTGTTTGAATGATCGTTGACTTAGTGTCGGGAAGTTGGATTGGATTACGATTCGTAAGGAATGATATGGGTCGGCAAAGCTCCTCGGTGTTGGTCGTTAAGACTGGGCTCAAACGAACTGAAAGACGTGAAGAACAAAGCAGGCCCCCTGGAACAAGCAAATCGACCAGCGACACGAATCGAAGATGACGAGAAGTCGAAGGAGTGTGATAATGCGATCGTCAACCAGCGACCAGCACTGTCACAAACTCATGGCCAGCAACGAGCGACGACTGTCTCCCAGCTGATGGGTGAGAGAGAGGAAGAGAAAGGATGGAGGAAAAAGTTGGGTAGAGCCCAATGAAGAAACAATATCTTCCCAGCCCACAGAGGGAACGGGGGGCACCAAGCGATTCTTCAACATGCTGCCCATCCTACTCAAGCCTCAGTCCCTTCTCCTGCTTGAGCCTGCTCCCGTTGGCGATCTGACGCCATGGTTTCCATCGGATAGGCTCCGGCGAGGGCGGCGATTGGCTGCAGCAGCAAAGCTTGTCTCAGATGTCACCCGTTCGCTTGCGCGGGGAGCCCCAGCTTGAGACGGCTGCTGCCGCAAGAATGCTAAGACCTGTCCAAGTGGGCCCACTGCCCGCGGGTTAGGGGTACATGAAGCCCGTGCGTGACAGGGTTAATGGGCCTTGGCAGCTGCCTTGGCGCTTCGACGGCGCTTGGCGGGGTGAGTGAATGGAGCTCACGACTGGTTCGCGATGTTCAAAGGCAGGCGTGACTTTTGCCGTCGTCCCATCTTGGGGGAAGAGACGAAGAAATCAGATGATTTCTGCAGCCTTGCCGAAGGTCCGGAGAACAGAGCGCTTAAACTCGTACGGAGACTTTTCGATGTAAGATCCAATATCTTAATGCAGCTAAAGATACGGATTACAACAGCAGATCAGAAACGGCGCTATGACGTTCGGGTATCCTCTTAGCTCTCGAAAGTGCATGCCAATCTTTCCGAATTATCTTCTAACCCATCACCATTTAGTTTTGATTTCCAGCAGACGACGAGGGGAATGAAGGTGAGGAATTCGAGGGATTAAGAGGCTTCTGAGCATAAATGCACCGCAGTTTGAAGACAGGGTGAATGCTCTTATCACGCAGCTGTTGGCGCAACTCCGCGGTGTAGGCCTTGATCTCTTCGGTCGTCCAACCCATGATCTCCTTGAAGGTGTACAGCACGACGCCTGCTCTCGATGTTAACCCTTACCCCCAAGCTCTTCCAGGATGATACTCACCCTCCATATCCTGCTCCATGGACGCATGCATATATTCGCCCATGAGTTTGAGCTTCTCGTCCTTCGGCCAGCCGGTTAGGGGACACTACATGCTGTCAGCAAGAAGGCTACGATAACATCCCCATGGACACTCTCGACCACTCACATTGAAATCCCATTGGCACAGCTTTATGAAACCAGCCTCCTCTAGCCCTTTTCTCTGCAGGTCATCATTAATGACACAAAAGCTTCTCCCGATCCTGTCCCCGGCCTCGCGGAATGTCTTGCCCCACTGGTCGAGCGGCGTTCCCTCTTTGACGGGCCCGTCCTCGCTGGTGAGCATCGCGTCCGCCTCGAACGTCTCGATCCATCCTCCTGGCTTGAGCACGCGGTATGCTTGTCGGAATAGCTCGGTCCAGTTCGGGATGGACCCGAAGAGGTAGCGGATATGCACAAAGTCGAAGCTTTCCTCGTCATATGTCCAGGGCTGTGTACAATCTTCCATCTCGAAGGAGATGTTGGGTGGTACCCAGGTCGGCTGGATGGGCGAGATGTCCGTGCCAACTACTTGGGCATTGGGGAAGCGATCGGCGAATTCGCTGCAGGAGTCAGCATAGTGAGGTCGAGGGGAGCAAGAAGCTGCTGAAAAGGCTTACATTGCCCACATGCCTGCGTCCTCATCAGCTGGGTTCAGACAGCTGGTGTCAGTAGGTAAGCATACCTGTTCCCGTTCCAACATCTAACACATTTACCACCTTGGTCATGTCCAGCGGTGCGCAGAAGAGCCGGTTGTCGAGGGCAAGTGTCAGGACATGGTGACTAGCTGGTCAGCTTATCGTCAAACCCATATTCAACGGGTTCCTTACATGATATCGAGGAACTGGTTATGTCTATCGTCGTTCGGACCCCTAGTTCGAGTCAGTTTAAGGTATAAGCGGCGTGATACCAGCCAAAACCTACCAATAATATGCCGTCGCCGACCTCTCACTATGATATGTCCGGCCCTCGATGTTCCTGTACTGGAATATACTGTCCGCAAGGGATGTGATATCACTTATTATTGACGTCCCATATGCCGAGTCCCGATCTAGGTCTTCTACTTGGACTGGCTATCATTCACAAAAAACTTCTGTCAGCAATCTAGGTCCCGGCAATGGCCCGTTCATGGATGTATGTCTCAGCCCCGGGGAGTAGATCAAAGGACAAAATTCGTCTGCTCCCACCGCCGTGCAAGCTTACAACTCACCTCCTGTACCCAAGGTACTTCCGGAAGTATATTCTGGTCTAAGCTATTAATTGGAGATAACTGACGGGAACTTGCTGGGCCAGGACTTGTCGGACCAGGATTTGCTGGACCGGGACTTGCTGGATTTAGGCTTGTCCGACTTTGACTTGCTGGATCTGGACTTGCTGGATCTGGACTTGCTGGACCTGGACTCGCTGGAGCAGAGCTTGCTGGAACAGAGCTCACTGGACCCGAACTTGCTGGGCTCGGACTCGCTACATCTAGACTCGCTGGAATAGAGCTTGCTGGAACAGGGCTCACTGGAGCGGAATTTGGTGGGCCGACACTTGGACTGGAACTCGCTGGACCGGAACTTAGGCCGGGGCTTGCTGGTTCGGAACTTGCTGGACGGGGGCTCGCGGGGCCGGGAGTGGGATCATGGGCAAGCTCGGGGTCAGATTCGGGGGTAGGCTCGCGGGTTGTTTCGGGCGCAGCATCAGAAGCGGGACCATTGTCAACAGTAGGGCTGACAGCACGTGGCGATGGAGTCGCGCCTAATGGAGGTTCCATTTTTTCCGGCCGGGTCGGCAGATTCGGTCGTATAAATGACGGGAACGCGGTACGGGAACGGGATGGTAGAGTTTAACCGGGGCCGGGGTTTCACGGCATACAATAAACTCGATGCAGGTCCCGGAGAGAAGCTTCTCGGAGGTTCAATGATGTTGTTGGTTGAAGAGAGTGCGACAAAATTAGGGTACGTCACGGTGCCGACCGCATCAACAGGCGGGGAGCGTGTTGAGCAGGGGTATCCAACAAACACGTGTGACACCAGGCAAAGGATCGAAGGTAGGGATGAAAAAGTTCAGGAGTAAAGGAGAGAGGAATTAACAACTGGATTTTGCTTCATGAAGACTGCTGGGAAGAAAAGGAACCGTCCCTGGCTGGATTCTCTCTCCTGAAAATTCTCCCACGCTTCATCTCCTTCGCTGCGGCTCGCCTCGCTACATCCGAGATGCAAGATACACCAGATTGCACGCGTGGTCATTTGCATGTGGGTTGTGGCTGCTCGCCTGCTCGCTCGGCTGTGAGTGCAGGGGTATTCGATTTGAGGAGCCGAGAAACCCCAAGGCAAGCCACAATCACACAGTTCAAATTTTTGCCCAATGCCAGCGAGAGTTTGGGATCCCTCCGAATAGTCGTGCAGTGCGTCGTCTGGTACGGGCCAGTGGTACAGCACCTTCTGGACCGGATCGGAGTTAACGCCGAACGTAGCCGGATCGGCGTGACTCGTGGGGCTGTGGGCGGTGTCGCAGTCTAACGGGAGCTGCGGGTTTGTCTCATAATATTTACTTCTTCCCTTGCGTCTAGATATCTGAGCTGATGTCTTACACAACTTAGATGCGGACAAGATGATTGGGATGACATGTTGATGTCGACATTGAGCAGGCGATAATCAATGATGAAGGTTTTGGATTTAGGGGCTTAGAACCAGCCCCCAACCATCGACCTTGCCGATAGCCGGCTCGGCTACCGCAAGCGACGGATAACGGCTCGTATTATCTCTCCCCGTGTACGGAGAAAAGCCATATCGGGTTGTCCGAAACTGTATCGAAATCCTTTGATCCCATGCCCGAGGAGTTATTAGGATGCATCGCTAGCCCTTTCAAAGCTTTCTTCCTGAGGCATACGATCGCAAACTGCCGTATGCCATATGCCATACGCCGTTGAGTTAGCCCCGAAGGTGCGTTCTCTTCCTGTATTTCTCAACATGGACGAGTTCCTGTTGTTGAACGAACTGAGCCCGACGGGTCCAAGTCATGACGAATCGCCGCAGTAAGGCATGCTACCATGAAACTCCGGGAGGGTGACATGCATCATTAGCGCCGGTGTTTTGGGGAGGGCCCGCGGGGGGGGGGGGGAGGTTCTGTACATATTGAACGGCTGGTATGGGGCGAGCCGAACTTGATATCGATAACGTCGAAGACCAGAGAGAGACTCAGGCCGGACATTCGGAGTCATTTTGATCATAAATTCGGAGCGCAGGCAAAGGAGGGAGGGTCTTCTATTCACACTTAGGCCGTATCATTAAAGTAAATCACCCGGTTATCGTCTCAACAGTTGATATCATCACCATCCATTCGCTAGGGTAAGAAAATGGCTTCATGAAACACCATCATGCTAAGTCCCATGTGTTACCCACCCAACAGTATGCAAAACATTCAGTAAGACCAAAAAAACCGAGTCTTTTGACCAGAATGCCACCATGACTTTCCTTTACCAACGTCAGAGTCACGATCTTGGTACCAGCTATCGTTGTACAGCTAAAACTGCATCCAAAAAGCAAGCAAACATCCGCCTAGGGTCGTGTTCACATGAGACAGAACCAGAGACAAGCCGCACACCACGATACCGCAAACCACACGTCATACGAGAAATCGAACCCCCTTTCCAAACCAAGCAGACAGCTTGCAAAAGTCATCATCAAAACGACAGACGGTAGCCAACCACCCTACCAAGCAGAACATCCCCTTTACTCCAATCCCCTAAAGCGCCTATTGAACTCCTCAACAGCAACAGCAACCATGCGATACAAAAATGCCCTGCCACTCTCCTGTGCAACAGGGATAAACGGCCCATTGGTCCCTCCCCTGAGCGTCAAACTCAATCCTGTCCTCTCCTTTGCAATTGTCTGCACATCCTTGAGCGGGACATCCCACTCCGTCTGCAGCCTCCTGGACCTGATAAGCAAGATGCGCGCATACGTTACCATCACCACCATATCCTCTGTCGGCAACTCCAGGTGGCCGATGTATGCCTCGTCGAAGTACTTCCCATTGTCGACTTGTTTGAGCCAGCTTTGGCCAAGGGCTTCGCGCTGGCTGTAGGGCCGGACGATTCCGTCGGCAGCAATATGTCTTGGCAAGCGCACGCGATCCAGCTCGGATGCCTCTGACGAGGAGAATACTGTCGTGGTATTCCTCACACCCTCGGAGATGTTGCTCGCAAAGTCGAGCACGCCAATGGCAGGCTTGGTTGCGAGCCCGACAACACCTTTACCAATGCCTTTGAAGAAACCGAGTGCGCCTTCCTGTTCGGCGCCCTCGAGAGGCTTGCGTGCCAAGCCGCCTACGCCGGAGGCAACAGACGAGATGAGCGAGTTCGCGCCGGCCGTGACACCGAAGAGTGCGTGCTTGGGCCTGTTGCGGGCACGAGTGATACGCCGGCGGTCCTGGAATTGCTTGTCCATGGTGGCAGCAGCAAGGCCCTTGGCGAAGGAGCCCGTGACTTTGGAGAAGGAGTCGGTGAAACCATAAACAGATTTCTTAAAGAAGGATCCCGCACCGCGGGCCAGGCCCAAGCCGAAGTCCTCGGGCCGATCTGACATGATCAGTCCTTGATATGGCTCGTAGAAGATGTCGGCAAAGCCGGAACTGATGTTATTGAAGAGACCAACCGGATTGCCCAAGAAGTCGGCGCTGCCCAGGATCTTGTGAATCTGGTACAGGGCCTCTTGCGAATAGTGGTTCGAGATGTTCTGGATCAGTACAGGAATGGATACGCGGACATTCTCTAGCATGAGGGCGTTGAACCGAACGGGGGCATCGTTGATATTGCCAATAGCCATAGTCATGACATTGAAGAAGAACATGACCGGGTTGCGCGATGAAGTCTTGTCCTCGACATTAACCCTCTCTGTGCGCACGAATGACAAGTCGAGCTGCATTGGCTGGATATTGAGCACCTCAAAGTAAATGTCGCGTCCTGCCTGCTGCTGCTTGGGCTGTGGAACATCCACGCTGTCATCGCACAGCCTGTCTTCTTCCTGCGTGGACTCCCATGACGCGCCGGGGATCTTGGAGAACTCCAGCACCGCATAGATGAAGTCCTCGTCAAGCTCGACCGTCATCTCCTGTAGCAGTACCGTGGCATACTTTATGTATTCGACACCATACGACTCGTCCTTCACCCGAGTCACCATGGCATGCAGAGACGGATGCGCGTCGATCTCTTGTGCGCGTTTTGGAACCACGCTGGGATACAGGATCATGGGGAAGATGCCGCCGTAGAGCTGGTTGTCAATCTGAATCCATTTGACTGCCAGGCTGAACGTTTGGTAGAGAGCCGAATCACTGTACCGCAGCTGTACGTCGCGTAGTGTGATATACGCGAGCTCTTTGAGCTGCGTGTTGATGATCGAGACACCGATACCCGACAACCGCAGTGTGGCCCGGAATGTCGTTCCTGTATCGAATTCCTTCGCCTCGAATCCCTCGCGACCGCTGATTGACCCGGCGTTCGACCGCTGGCGGTACAGGCTCTTTGATTGTCGGTAGTTTGACAGGATCAGAGTCTGCGTGGGCCCGTCCGCCGTCACGTTGATGTCGATTGTCTTGCTCTCGCCGTTCGGCAGTGCGAGCTTCATGGGCATCAGGTTGCCAATCTCCTGCAGCTTAACATGCCGCTCCTTGTTGTACGCACAGATACAGATCTCCTTGTGCTTCGCAGCCGGGAAGTCCCAGGCATACGGCATTATACTACGCGGGGGCAGACGGTACCGGACAGGACGCCAACCGGAGCGGTCCTCGGACGCATCTTCCTCGATTGTCGGGTTTACCTGGTAGAAAGTGAACTCGGTATCACTTTCGTTGCGCATTGAGAAGGGCCAGTTACGTTGTTCCATAGAAAGATTAAGGAAGATGGTCGCGTCCTCCATCAGGATCTCCACGCGGATCAGCCGCTGCCGCTGCCCAGCGCGAGCAATTTTTAGATGCGTGATTCCCAGATCCGAGATGTTGAACGGAGCCGTCCACTGGTTGTCCACGCCCGGGTAGCACAAGCAGAGTTGCTTCACAGCACCGCGTTGTAACCAGTGCAACGGACGGTGAGCGCCGTGCTTGAGTGGTATCCAAAAGGACGAGCTAGGCTCGCGGATGTTGATATCTTCCCCGAGTTTGTTGTGAATCACATATCTTGGCGCCAGCGTGACGACCTTGACCATCTTGTACTTGCCCTGGCCAGAGTCGACTGTAACACCAAGATGAATCTCGGCATTACGGTTAGCCGTTTGAAGCACGACCTCGGTTGTGCTGCCGATGGCGTCGAAACTCTGCGGTTTGCTCCATTCCGAGTCACCGGCCTTCAGTAAGGCACGATTCCGATGGTCATCGTTGTGGAACGAGAACATGAGGGGTCTGGCCTTCTTCTGGCCATCTCCACCTACGTCGATGAGTGTCTGCCCAGCGGCAGCGCGTGCCGACTGCATGAAGCCCTTGGACCGGACGCTGACATCCAGGCCTGTCTTATTGAGGATCACGTAGGGGCTGTAGACTGTGACCTTGAACGACCCACCCCCATCTGGGATGCGGAAGTAGTGCAGCCGCAGATTCAGGGGCATGCCGGCATTGTCCTTAACCACGAGGTGGCTGTCCTTCTTGAAGTCATCGGCATTACCGGTGTTAATGACAACAAATTCGCTCGCCTGGAACGGCGTGTCCTGCATCTCGATGCCGAGCAGGAACGTGTGGGAAAGATCGACCATGTGGACGGGGATCGAACCGCCTTTGCGAAGGAAGTTATTCCACTCTTGCTTGTTGACCCTGTCATAAATCTTGTACTTGAAGTCGTACGGCAGCAGGTTCTCAATTGTGAGCGGAGCCGTAAGCTTCAGGCGCATGTAGGGGTAGTTTCTGATCACTTAGGTTAGTCACCTCCTTGTCATCCTCTATTGATTTGCAGATGACCTACCTTGTCAGAGGATTTGCCTGGTCCCACCTGGCATGTAGCCTGAAATAAAAAACTTCTCCTCCATACTGCTCACTCTTGCACACGAGCGTCTTCGTCGGCCGCTTCAGTAAATCTCTCCACCACAGGGTATCACTGCTCCAGCCATACTTAAAGCCAGGATCGGGCCTGACCAACAAGCTCTTGAAGTACGCCGCACCAACCGGCGCAGGCTTGCTCTCGCCAGGATTGATCCGTTCGATCTTCAGCAGATGGCCTTCATGGGCGTCGTAGACACCAAGCTCGACCACTATGCCGGTATCGTTCTCCACGAGCAGCGGGCTCCTCAACGTCACGTACTTGATGTTGTCCTTGCCGAGCTTGATCTCCACTAACAGCTTGTGCAGAACCTGCTGCGTCTTAGGCTTCAGACCGAACAGGAACTCGCCCTCACGCGTCAAGCGGATGCTTTTGACCTCTTGGAAGCCGCTGCCGACGAGCTGCACCGAGATGCTGTTGGCCGTGCTGCTCTCAGTCATCAAGCTCTCGCGCATCTTCTCCCACTCTTCGAAGCTCCAGGGCGCTTCCTGGCCGTCCTCGAGCCGGAGCGTCATCGTCGGTAGCTGCTGCTCAGTCGTTGGGCTAGCGCCAGGGATCTGCCGTTTCGTGGAGATGATCACGTCGAACCCTGTGTAGTTCCTGATCCTGTATGGCGCCTCAACACCTCTTGGCTTGGTGAGGACGTCCTGCTCCTTGGAAAAAAAGGCAAACGATTGCGACAGCAGGGCGATCGTCGCGGCCGTGATGGTCACGTCGAACGTCTTCTTGGACGTCACGTCCACAGACAACACGCCCGTCTTGGCCTCCCTGGTAATACCAAAGCCCACCTGCCACGGCTCAATCAGCGGCTCCCAAGCTGACTTGGCGAAGTTGTAGACGTTCATGTACATATCAAATGCTGTCTCAGCCTTTAGGTTCGACGTCCAATTTTCGGCGTGGATAGTGAAGGTCTTGACGCTCATGTCGATGATAGGTAGCTCGTGGACGTCGCCGAGCAGCACCATACGCGTGCCCTCGACAGTCAAAATAAGCTCCTCGAAGCGCTGGGTCTGCTTGGCGACCTCCTGCATCACCAGCGTCGTCGTCTTTCCTGAATGACTAGCAGCACTCTGGCTTGCGTGCCTTGTCCTGGTAGCCAGCGTCGATGTGCCCTTGCCGCTCGCGGTACGGTGTTTCAAGCCGGCAGCCCTAAGCTGTTGAGCCTTCCGTTCAGCTACGGTTTTACTGGCAGTCTCCGAGGGCGTACCGCCAGAAAGCTCCGAGGCCTTGGCAATGGTCTGCATGACAAGGAGGATATCACGGAGCGAGAGTCTCAAGATCAGAGGCTCGATGTCGGCATGGACTTGTGTGATATTCGGCTTTGACATGTCCACGGCGACTTTAACTGAGAAATCGTCAATGATCCTCAGCCTTGAATCGTCGAAGCGGTCCATCCTGCACAAGAACATGCCGCACTCGGAAATTTGGAAGGTAAGAGAATGCTGCTGCGACAGAACGACTTGCTTCGTGCCAAGAACCATGGCCTCCGAGCTGGAGCTGAGTGGGTTGGCGATCAGGATAACTTGAGCATCGACAATGTTGACCCTGAATGCGATGCTCGTAGTGGCTTGCTCTGAGGCGGCCAGCACGGGCTGCTGCTGTTGGCTACCAACGGGCACAAGCTGCTGTCCGGAGCCGGCACTACTCTCCGAATGCCGACCAGAGCTTCCAACGCGCACACTATCCGCATCACTAGTCTCCTCTGGTGTCTCCATCGGGCTCTTCTCTGGGATAGGCGCCTCGGGGAGGGTAGTTCCGATGGTGATGAACTTTTGGATCGCGAACAGGTAATCGAGGGCAAAGATAAACCGCGGGCTGTCAATCGCAACCATCGCAATGATATTCCTGTCCTTCCCTCCGGTCATGGTGATGCTGGCCATGAGCTGATCCACGTTCGAGTTCCCGCTCGTCATTATGCGGCGGAACTTGTTTGTCTCGCGATGGCGTGTGTCGTAGATTGTGAAGGCCTGGATCACGAACTCGGCCTCGAGGCTACCATTGGAGTCCATTCTGGTCTTCAACCGGCTGGAATTGAGGCTGAACCTCGACAAGCTTGCAGCCTCCAAATCGCCGACCGGGTAATCCTCCTCAGCATTGATCAACTCCAGGCCGATAGTATTGACAGTGAACACCAGATCGAGCTTTGTCCATGCCTCACCATGGGTACCAAGCTCTGGTGCCATGTCAATGACTTTTTCTTCGCTGGCGCCGCTGTAGCTGGGCATGGTCCTAGCACGCTCCAGCGTAGCAACGTCGACATCACGCTCTGCATCAGCCGTGTGCTGCTCCACGTCGGCCGCAAACACAGTTGGAACAGATTGTGAGATTGCTAGCAGAGCGCTGAGCTGATAGGGAGTAATCCGAAGATTAAAGTCGCTCATGCTGCCCTCTATCTCCAGGTCAGGCCTCTTGATACCCTCCTTGTGTTCCGCATAGATGATCGTGAACCCCAGATCGACGTGGTCAATCAGCTCTAGCACCTCATCGCGTCCCTCGCTGTAATGGAAATGCGACGTGAGCCTGATATTCCGGATACCCGTGGTAAGCTTCATCGCCATGTCGGCCTTCTCCGAGTCGTCCAGTGGGACGAACGCGTTCTGAGCGTAGATCTCGCCGAGGTACGCGGTAATGACATCGCGTTTCGGCTTCGGAGACATGACGACTCTAGGGAAGACGACGATGGGGGTCTTGACCACGATATCGAATTTAATCCGGCTTTGGCTTTGCTGTAGTTGCTGAGCCTGGTTAGCAGCAGCCATCCGCGCAGCGTTGTAGATGGCCTGCATCTTGCCGAACTTGACGAGGAAGTCAACAATCTTGCGGAATGGCTCCTCGATGAAGTTAACCTTGACCGAACCGGCACGCAGATAGATCGAAGAGTCATATCCGGGATTCTTTTCCGGCTTGTCTGGGTCAAAATATTCATATCGGAAGTCTGCCAGCTCGTTTCCCTGGATAGTGACGAGCTGTCTCAGGCTGGAGTCTTCCGAGACACCAAGATTGACATCGTCGACCAGGCTGAGGTCACCCAACTTGGCTGATACGCGCATGTACCTCCCAAGAATGTAGACTCCAACATCGGCGTGGTTGAAAGAGAGAGTAGCAAGCCGGATGCCGTCATTGTTTAGGATCATGCGGATACTTTTGAGATCAACCTTTACCCGAATAGGACCACTCTCAATAGGCGGCGGCTGAACGATAATGTTGGTCTCGGACTCTTGGTCTGTCACAGCCATGCGAGTAGCTACAGGAGCTGCAGGTTGCGGGTTGCTGAACGTCACCAGGATAAAGTCGAGTAGGGTCAGTAGAGTCTTGCGGGTAACGACCAGGTTGATGGTCGAGATCGCAACATCCACATTCGTCTCGATGCCGTCGTAGACACTCATGAACTCGGGAGACTCCTTTTTGACTCTTACGAACTTGACTCTCACAAGGTCACGAGCCTGTTTGCGGTCCTCAATGTCACCAGATGAGACGATCGACTTGAACTCAGCCGGCGGATTCTCAACGAAGTCATCCATGGTGACTGAACCAAGTGATACCATGGCGCTCATGTCATAAGGCCGCAAGTGGTACTCAACACCGAAGTTCTCGGCCACAAGCTCGACCAGCAGCTGATCGGGGTGCTTGCCCTCGGGATCACTGCGGTAGAGGGAGCCCCTGAGCTGATCAACAGTGAACTTGAAGTCGAAGATGCGCTGCTGAATCCTCAACTGCTCGTCGACAGACGTATCCTTAGCATCCTCAAACTTTTCACTATCATCGTCGCTATCGGACTCGTCGAGCACAATCTCCTGCTGTTGCGATACGAACTGCAGGAACTGTGTTGAGGCTTTGCGGAAGCTTGCTCTCCTCGATCGCGTCGACGCATCGCTGGCCAAGCGGGGTCGTATTGTTGGGTGTGAGCCTGAAGGGGCTAACACGGGCTCGACGTCGTAGAGCTTCGGGATAGCAACCTCAATGATGCGCATCAAGTGTTTATACTTTGAGTCTGATGCATTGACCTGAAGAACGGGAAGATGGCCCGAAATTTTAAGCTTAGTCAGATTCGGAGCCTTTGGCAGGATGGACATCGCCACCACAAAGTCAAGATTGATCTGATCCACGATGTGCAGCTGGCGCTTCTCATCCCTTTGGACGAGCTGCTGCTTCGTGATCTCGACTGATGGACCAATTAAGACCTGTGTAGAGGTAAGTTTGACCAGGAAACGATCATACATCAACTCTTCCAGCCTTCTCAGATCCTCTTCTGTACAGGGCCTATCTTGCGTTGACTGGACCTGCTTCATGGTCTCTTTGTCGACCAACTCGCTGTTGACGCTGATGTGACCAGCATCAACAATCAAGCATGTCGAGTTCGGGGTGGTGATGCTTTCGGGTAAAATGATGAGGGGAGCTTGCAAGTCAAGCTTGGCGTTGACCGTCTTATGCTCCTCTAACGCGAACTGCAGACCGGCTCGAGTCTGTGCACGCAGGCCCTCGACCGTGGCGTTAGCAGTCTCCAGGAGAGCATTGATGGATTCCATATGACGCTCTGGCGGCCGGAAGAAGTCGGCAATGCCGACGACGACATTGGGATTCCAGATGATTTCCAGTGGCTTGAGTTTCATTGTCACGGCAACGTCCCCTTGGCCATCCAGCGGATGCTGCTCCACCTGAAGTTCAAAGAAGGCCTCCTCGTCAACAGTCAGCTCGAGATCCGCAATTGAATAGCGCTTCTGTCCCTCGGTATTGGGTGCATCTTTGACCCGAACGATTTCTTTGTACAGGCTGTCGGGTGTGGTGTTGTCGTTGACTCGAAAGCCGCCCAAGCTGATGTCTATGAGAAAAGAATCAGGTCTTGTAAGGCCTTTGGCTCGGAAAAGGTCAAAGTGCAGACTGATGAGATCGCGGGCATCGCCATGCGGGTTCTGTCTCAAGGTAAAACTACCGGTGCTCAGGGATGTCTCTATCAGCAGCCTGACACTGTCCCGTGGTACATCAATCTCGGCTGCGAGGGCAGCCTTCTCATCCCACTGAATAACCTCGTATAGCTCCTTGCGCTGTGCTTCCGTAATCCGAGTGTTCTCGTCGCCTTGTTGTTCTTCTTGTTGTGGCTGAACAGGTTTGGAACCCCAGACCCAAGACAGCCAGCCCTGTTGTTGTTGTGGCTGGGGTGGTGGCTTGTTTTTGAGGGCCTCGGCATTCTCTTTCTTGAGTTGGTTACGGGCAAGCGAACGCCAGAACCTTAGATCTTCGTAGCTGAGCTTCCATTCAAGTTTGTCGAGATCCTCTCTTTCTTCGGGCGTAAGTTGTATGTTCTGTTTGGTTTTTTTGAACAGCTCAATGTACCGCCGCCTGTCATCTCTGCGCTCGCGGAAGTAATCCCATGACCACCGACGGTTGCGCTCATGAATCTTACTCAGGACGGCATTGCCTGCGAAGCGGAACCATGCACGAGGATCCTCCTTAGGGGTGACTCCTTTGGGCTGGAACTTCTTGTATTCCTGGTGACGGATGAAGTAGTGGAAGAGGTCCACCATCATCAGAGCATCCCGGTACTGCTGGTCATCCAACACCACGCCGATCTCATCGAACAGCAGATTTGCCTTGTATCTAGGTACGGTATGACTCCCTGTCTTGTCAATCTCTATCTTTGCTTGGCCTGATACCGGTTTCAGAATGAACTGATGCTCGCTAGAGAGGTCAGCCTCTCCTTTTGCAATCATCTCCCTGAAAAATTTGAGCATCTCGTCATGGGGTATCTGGTCGCTATGTTCGTGTGGTTCTCGCCCTGGGCCGATTAATTTGGCATCTGTATCCCAGTATATGGCCAGAGACTCCAATGTGGCCAGCTTGTGTGCTGACTGGATAGAAGTTATGAAGGCGGGCGTCCAGTCCGAATCCGTGCTCACGGCGCTAAACTCCTCCAAAGTGATGCCCAGAGCAAAAGGGTGTCCGGGGGCCGAGATGGCGTCCTCGTAGCGAATATGGATATTCCTGATGGTGATTTGCAAATTATCGACGATCTTAGTAACGAGAGCTTGCGCAAAAGTCTGTGTTCGCTTCTGCTCTTCTTCGCTCAGGCCTTCCTGTGATCGTTCCTTCAGCAGTTCAGCCGAGTCAAGCTTCTCCATCTTCAGCCTGTGCCTTCTCCGCGCCTCTTCGTCCTCGTCATATTCCGCCTCCTCTTTGGGAGAGGCCAGGAGAAAGACATCTTCGATATTGATTTTGACTTGCTCGCTGGCAAGTGTCTTCCATGGGATGTGAAGAACAAGGTGGCCAAGATGACCCTTAATGACGTTGATGGGCAGTTTGAGCTGGTCGAGAGCCTCGCGCTGGAGCTCAAGGTTGTCAAGCCGAACCTTCCCGTTCCATACCTCCCATTTTAACTGTTTCGGGTCGAAATTCTTGACGTACATGCCCAGAAATCGGTTCAGCAGCCCTGCTACCAGACCTTCTAACATGGTGACGGTAGGGTGCCGTAACCCAGGCGGGGGATTCGCGGTTAGAGTTTATGTTGGGGTGTTGACGGGCTGCATCTGAGCCGTGAACTGGGTTCGCGAAGTATACCGTGCGGTCGCTGTCAATCGGATGACTGGCACTATAGCTGACCCGCAATGGTCTTGATCAAGCCGTGGTGGCCCAAGTCTGGATTCGCCAGCGTAAGGATATGGTGATTGAGGAGGGGGCGGGGCAGAATGGGCAGTGGCACATACAGACCTAGCGATGGGCGACAGAAAGACGCGAGAAACCGGTAGGACGGAATTGCGATAAACAGGTCAAATCACGGATTCAGGGAGTCAGCAAAAATGTGAAAAGTTTGGGTGTTTGTGTCGCAAAGAGATGCGACTTGGAGTTCGTTGTCAACCGTAAACGGGGCCCACGCTTGTGTCGCAGTCAGAGTAAGCGGTCAAGACAGACTTTAATATCCCAAGTAAAGTACAGGGAGAAGCTATCGGGACGAGATGGGAACACAATGTCCCTGTCTGGTGCCCCAGACCCGTCTATGTCGCTGGTGTGTGGTGCTGACGACGGATGATGATGCCGAGTCTGAAGCTGGGCCGTGCAGCGTTGCTGCCCACTGTGCGACATTGCTTGCTTGCTCTTCTGCTGCTTGCTGCCAACTCCTGCCCACTCCCGCTCACCAAAAACCCGAAGCTCGGGCCGCTTCTCGTTCCAGCTCAACAGCCACCCAGGGTTCAGCAGCGGAGCCCTTGGGTAACAAGAACCCACCCAGTCGAGGATCTCAACCAATGAAACCGCTAGAATAAACAGAATCCAGCGGGGCCCTTGGCGACGCTGTCTTTCCCCCCGCACCCAGCTCACCCTTGGGCCTCCAAAGCCTCGAGCCCAAAGAACATCATGGCCAAACACAAAGCCGAGAAATGAATGCTACCACTGAGTACATTACTTGAAAGATCATCGGAGTCTGGGAGAAGGTCTCAGCAGAAGAGATGTTACACCGCATGTCCTTCCCGCAGACAGTGCAACATCAACGGAATTGTTCTTGGCTCTGTTGGCGATGGCTTGGCACGGTAGAAGACATTACGTCATAGGAGTGGTTGAAGAATGCAAGCATCCGAACGAAACCTGCTGCTTAAGTATTCGACGTCAGCAACAATATCGGAACTCAACATAATGTAGCGCCAATATTCCTGAAGAGCCGTGATTAAGCAGGATTTTGACTGATACTCGTAGGTTCAGATGACCACACGCGTTCCAGTCGCCTCGACAGCTTTAAGCTCGATATTAGATCATACTGCCTTTCTACTTACACAAAGGCCTTGCACATCTCAGCTGTCCTTGTTCCAAAGCTTCTCCTCCAATGATATAGGACGTCGTCATTGTTTCCATACGCCGTGGACGTATCAGGTGTCATGAGGCCAGCCTCTCGAGTCAGCCTGCCAACAATCTTCAGCGTCCTAGGTCACGATGCCTCTAACCATCATCCGGCCATGCCAGACCCCATTGATTAAGGCCAGAGCAGCCATTGGATGCCAACAGCTCCAGTACACTCCACTATCCAGACTTGCAACACCTTGGGCCCCTTTACGGATGAGTTTAACCAAAAATTGGCACCCTTATGGGTTAGCATCCAAGAGTCAACTTGCCAGCCTGCATGTCTCCCGATGCTCCTTGAAATCTCCCAAACAATCCCCAAGTTCAATACCTCACAGAAAGATCGACCGAGAATATGAGAGAAAGCTCGCGAACCAAATATTAGAAGTTCGTCCTCATGAGGTAACCACAACATCCAGCGTTCGCCGAGTGTTTGAAGAGCCTCAAGACTCCCCTGAGGAGGTTAAGCCTGTGACGGAAAGCCTTAAAGAGGAGCTAGTAAGCACTTAAAATTAATGAGTAGTCCTTAATCCGGGCAGCAAGCTAAGATCTGGGTAGGATGTCATCCGAGACACCTTTGCTCTTTCAACAGTGCCCAGAGAAGCCTACTACCTCGGTCTCGCTGGCACCCTCCCCTACCTCTTCACATCTCTTACAACGATGTATCTCTCCTGGGACATCAACCGCCTTGCTGACCTGCCAACACCATCCCCAACCCCAGTCCTGGATAGCAGTCCCCTGCCAGTCAACGTCGCTTCTTCTTCTGTTACGTCATTTCTCAACTCCCTTTTACTGGCTGACACAACAGCAACACATTGGCTACATCTCCTGGAACCAATTCAAATCGGCTATGGAGCCGTTCTGATCTCTTTCCTTGGTGCAATCCACTGGGGTTTGGAGTTCGCTGAAGCACCCGCACGCTCAGTCCCGGTTGAAAAGAGAAAACCGTCCGAGCCTAAACGATCGGTCTTTCGCTATAGTGTTGGGGTATTTGCTCCTATCCTTGCCTGGCCGACTGTTTTCATGTCGATTGAGTGGGCGCTCACGTCGCAGTTTGCGGCTTTCACATTCATGTACTGGGCCGATGTGCGTGCGACGGAGAGGGGTTGGGCACCGCCCTGGTATGGGATGTATCGATTTGTCCTGACTGGCGTTGTGGGGATAGCCATCTTTGTCAGTCTTGTTGGAAGGGCCAAAGTTGGAGAGGGAAAAACGAGACTGAGTATGGGAGAGCTGAGGCAGAGGATGAGTGGTGGGGGAACGCATGGAGGGAAGAGGAAGCTTGAAGGAGAAAATGCAAAAGAGATCAGTCAGCAAGAAGAGAGAGAGAGAGAGAGGAAGAGAGAGGAACAGAAGCACAAAGGTGCTCCATCAGAGGACGAGAAAAAAGCTAAAGAGGAGGAAGAGAGATCGGAGAAAAAGGAAGCAAATCAGAGAAGAGAAAAGAGGAGGGAGAAACACAATGAAGAACATGCCGGGAAGCAAAGCAAGATGGATTCGCCATCGTCAGAGCAGGGTTGATAGCAAGTAGATGACTTTCGAAAGCCTTTCAACGAACTCCTGCTCAACTACAAAATTTTCACACTCCCTTTTTATTGCATGACATCAATGGAAAAACTATCTCTCAGACACCTAGATGCCTAGAAACTCTGGTAAGTGCGGACCATGCACCACCACTCAGGAAATTACCATAATGCTTTCCCCCAATGGCTGCAAGCAGTTCCTGCCAACCTAAGCTGTTCTCATGGGATTACTCGAAGACTGTCATGGGCTTCATGGCTGGTTTCCTTTCATGGAGAAAGTCCTTTACTTCTTTCACCAACAGTTCTTCGTCATGAAACTGTGAGCACGAAATTCCAAACCCTCCTACAAAACAGCCTAAAACATTTGATATTCTTCGTATTATCCTAGAGTGTATCGATTACACCGCCGTCGGCCCTATCAAAATGTCCCATTCTCCGGCTTCCATTTCGACAATCCCTGGCACAAACTATCCTGTCCGCTTCACCGTTCGACAAGCCGGATCCAAATGCCTACAGATCGTTGATCATAACAGCTCAGAACCTGTTCGCCACATCTCGTATCACAAAGCAGGATGGAGAAACAAACACCAACGCATCACTCTGTACTCAGGCCCAAACCCATCGGAGGAAAGCCACCCATTAGTTTCCGTGCTCAGAGACCTCAGCCTCGAGGCTAAGCTCCAGTCCAGATCTTCGCATCATAAGATCCAACTACATAATCCTCCCTCAGACGACAGCTCAGGCGAGAATGGAAACATAAGAACCATGATTAACATGACGTACAGCCGATCAGGCTGGATTTTCTCCGAGCTCACCTACCGCTTTTTCCTTCCAAGTCCTGCCAATGCCGACAGATTAGACACTTGCACGTATGAATGGCGCCGTCCGACGCATCAACTCACAGAAATCCACGCTCTTCGTAAAGCCTCGCTTCAGATATTGAAGACGGGTGACTCTCGCCCAACAGAAAGCAGCCTGCTACCGCCACAAGGATATATCCTCGTCCGAACCAACGTCAATCATAAATCCCTAGAGAATGAGAACCCACGGCTGGGTTGGACGTCAAAAGGCGAGGAGATCGTCGCGTCGTGGTCAAGACCTAGTTGGGGCGTGAGCAAGACAAAGTTTCACTTCCAGTTTTGGGGCTCGGCTGCCGAAGGGCAGATGAATGCTGAATTCTTCGATGTGGCTATTGCTACGGCGGCTGCGATTTGGTTTGACGAGTACAGGAATGGGAAGAAAAATTAAAATTGAGTGCAGGTTAGGATGTTTGATTGACATCTGGGATGTTAACTGATGGCATCCTCGTTTGAGTTCCTTCAATATCCTCCTCAATCAAACTAATCTTGCTTCAGGTGCTCATTCACGATTCGTTTGGCTCACACCATTTGGTGGCTTCTAGCCCTCGGGTGTAAAGACTTCGGAATAGTCAGGGAGTCTCCAAGCTTTCTTCCCCTCTTTTCCTAATGCAGGAATGTTGTCGATCGGTGTCTTCTTGATGAAGCGGGCCATGGCATGGAACAAGCCAATTTGCCACGCCTTCTCGGGCAAGAAAAGTCTCATGAATTTCTTGATGTTCAGACTGTGGATCTCCGTCACCAAAGGACGCAACTGACTTTCATATCCCTCCAGTGCTTCGGGAAGAATCGTGTTACTCCATGGATTTCCATCCCACTTCCCCTCAGCCATAACTTTTTTGCACGCCCTTGCAATCTCTCCTCCCAGTATATAGGGCCCAACAAAGGCCAATGTCGTACCCATGCCTGTGGCAGGCGTCGGGCAGTAGCCCGCATCGCCTACTAAAACAGCACGCTCAGCCCAACTCCATTTCTTCATCTTCACCTGTGCCAGGTCATGCGCCCACCAATCGTTTGCTTCAGTCGAGTTAAACAACCCATCCAGGTATCGCGCAACCTGCCATGACTCATTCCTGTCAGGCTCGAACAGCTTTGCCCAGGCTTCCTTTTGTTGCTGCACACTTCCGTTCTTATGCGCTTCTCTTAGCTCGGGGTGGTCACCAACGACAGCGAAGATGACCCGTAGATACTCTGGCTTCTCGTGCCGCGTCATGATCAGTCTCCTTCCTGGAAGATGACACCATGTAAATTCTTTTGGGTCATCTTCTTTCCCTGGAATCGTGAAGAACGCCATTGCCATGTCAACAGCATCAAAAACATCGTCCTTATCCTCACCAGAACCCCTTATCCATCCTCTGACCTTCGACCCAACCCCATCAGCCCCAATAACAAGGTCATACGTTTCCGAGTTGAACAAATCCTGCTTGAACCACACCTTAACCCCCTTCTCTGGCCCTAAAGGATGCCCCTCATACCCCATGGCGACGAACTCCTTCTCAAACTGATACTTTACCCCCTCCCGATCCTTCGTCAAGTCATACAACACATTGACCAAATCATTCCTCATGACCTCCCACTCCGCAGAAAACGCCTTACTCTCATTTTTCTTCGTCTCCCCACCCTTCTTCTTCTCTATTCCACCCGCGGCAAAGAACGCTACCTTCTTCCCCTTCCTATTCAAAACCAACACACCCGGCTCGTCGACTGCACAGGCACGAACCTGCTCGTCTATGCCCATTTGCTGCATGACTTTGATGCCTGGACCGCGGATGTCGATTTGTTGGCCGGCATCACGCAAGGTCGGATGGCGCTCGGCGATGGTGATTTCGCATTTGAAGGGGGGCGGCAGACGGGTCAGCCAGTAGGCTACGGAGGGGCCAGCGATGCCGGCGCCAATGATAAGGACGCGGAGGGGGCGGAGGTTAAGGTGAGAGGGAGGGACTGATTGTTGCATGATTGTCTCGTCGGACATTGTGGGTATTTGTTGGGTATCTTTGGGGGGTTAGCTGAGTGAAAAGAGGAGTAAACAGAGGCGTTCTGGAGGGTATAAGTCCTTGATGGTTACACATCGTGGGCAATGGGGTGCTTTACTTGCCAAGGTACTCCTCTCTTTTTATCCTGGCCATTATCCAAGCTGGGCATTCTGGCTTATTGATGATTCAAGCAGGCCCAGACTCAATCTCCGATGGCTGCCGTTCAGAGTGTGACGGGGATGCGTCTTACTGCATATGGTGTAACATCGCTTGCCGTTCAAGCCAGCTATGACGCCTAGTAAGGCTAGCACAAGTTCTATACACGGTCGACTTTTCGGCTTTTGAAGACCGAGTTGAAGTGTAGGCCCGGACCGAGCCGCTCACAAATGACTGCAGGATCCCCCCAATGGGGTGTGGCCTGGCGTTATTTGCCGACTTATCCAAGAGAGCAGATCTCCAATACAGGTCGACCAGCCTCTAGAATTTCTGTAGCATTAGATCAATGGTCTATGGGCTCTACTGTCAGCCAAACATGCAAGCCAACGATGTCCAAAAGTAAATAGCAATGCGAACTATATGCCTGTTCGAGCAATTGATAACCCCCTTGTACCATTCTGTGCTCATGCCATCTTTTTCCCTTCCTTTCTCTCCCTCTCTTCCTCCTCCCAAACGTCCCTCACCACATCCATAACCCTCGCGGCCCCCACGGCCGTAAGAACATGCCACCAGCCATGAAGCTCCAGCGCCCAAGCCCACGGCAGTCCAACTTTCGCCCTCAACCCCCTCAACCACATGCAACACTCTAAGTCCACATTCCACAGCACATACCCCGCAATACAGATCCCAACAGCCTTCCACACGCGAACATTCCACTCCCTCCTCTTTGCCTCAGCAAATGGCGGCCGGACCCAGTGAAGAAGATACTGACTCCTGAGAAGGACACCCACAAGCGCAGTAGTAAAGGCGATAACCTGGTAAATGATATGCGGCAAGTACAGGATATACACCGCAGAAAATATAATGTACGCAGCCGCAAGCACAACAGTGATAGCGCGAACGCGGGCCAGTGATGACTGGCGCATGCACAGCGTAGCCTGCAGCAAGGACCACGTGAGTCCCAACATTCCAAGCTCGTCGCAGAACTCGGGCAGCGCGCGGAGTGTGGCATGAAAGAGGAAGGAGTTGATTCCGAGGATGAGGAGCGACAGCGAGAGGTAGTCTGCTCGGAGGGTGATGCGCTTGTTGTGTTGACGGCAGAACATGGCTCTAAGGGCGAGGTAGACTGTTACACATGGGTGAGTGAGCGGAGCGGGCATGAGGAGGGCTGAGGATGAGCATGAGTACTGACTGTATGCGATGTTGCTGATGGAGTTGATGAATTCAGCTAAGTAGTAGCTGATGGCATAATCTTCTTCACAGAAGCTGGAAAACGGTGTCAGCGATGAAATTGTGCTCATATTCTACACCGACTCTCATCGACCTCTTTGGATCAGATGATGTGGTTCATGATTGACACGACGCGTTTCACGCACTTTGCTCTGCTGTTAGGCGCGCTCCAAGCCCCGTTGAGGGAGTTTGGATCGCCTGCATAGTGTCGATTATGATGACCCATCCTAATAGTGCTTTTCAGGGTGATAACAAGAGAGAAAGACCTCGTCAGGATGCTGAGAACAAACCTTCGGATGAGCCGGTGTTTTTGCTTGTCCTTAAGACCGAAGTGCGCCAGGGATCGATGTTTGCCAAGCATGGTATTGTACTGTTGCGTAACTGAAGAAACCATTACCGGGATAATTTTACGCATCGTTACAACATAATGGTGTGTAATTTACAAGGAGTTTCAGGAAACAAAGGGCAAAATGGTTGGTTTTTGCCCTTAAACTTGCATATAACCTCCCTGATTGATAGATCATTCTATGCACACTGTCTCGAGAACATTTTTACCCTCTCACACTGTCTTCATTTTGTTGGTATGCAACATAGATGGCTGCCCGGAGCTCTACTACGAGATACGGAAATGTATGATTTCAACGGTATTCGAGCCCGGTTGTTGCGAGTTCGGCTGTGTTCAGGTATCTATTCTACAAGAATTGTGGAATAATGAAGTGCTAAGTTATCTAGAGGCCGAATGCTCATATTATCTGTTCGACTCACCACCCTTCCTTGTGTCTGGCATCCTCGGCGCCGTCTTTTATCCTTTGTTATTCCTGGAACGAGCTCACCTAGCGCAGGGAGCTTAAAATTCTGAGGGTTGGTACAGTTTGTGTTGCTGCTTTCTACATTTGAGTCCGGATTTGACGGCATATCCTGGGATAATCTCTCCTTATCGGTTCAATGGTGATGGTGCTGAAGTGCTGTTGCAACTAATAACGCTTAGCTCTCTGAACTCTGGCCTCAACGCTTCAATGTTGTTATACATCAGAGGAAGTGTCACATGCAGGATATACTCTTCCTATGTAACTAATGATTTCCTGGAAATCTAGTATATTCCACAATTCCATGTCCTTTGTCTCTCGATTCCATCCAAAAACCCCCTCTTTCATCGATCATAAGAATGTTGGTAGCGCATAATGGTCTGATCACACCATTGGCACTGACTACAGAAGTTATCACCGTTAATATCATGCCTTTAATGACAATTTAGTTCATACGTAGCGCTCCCAAAGGTTCGTAAAAGCCAAGAAGAGCGAAGGACAGCTAACCTCTCTGAGACTCTAAGCGCTTGGTTACATGTTGTAGAGGCCATTCCATTCTCGTTACTCAATAAGAAAGGACAACAAAGTCTTGCGCAAGGCTCAGACACAAAGGTGTTTCTCAACATTGGAAAGGGTAACCCAACATTGAGGTTAGTTATACCCCCAAGAGGATCAGCATCTTTTAGTCCCTACTGGTCCCCGATCGAGTATTCCTCAACCACCAATTGCCTAGGCGTAACTGATGTACAACACGGTGAAGAGAAAGTATATAACAATAAGACAACCTAGATGATACCAAAATCTCACCCTGGATATAAGATGTCTGATGAGACGAATTGACATCTTCCGGCTCCTTTCATCTCGGCATTCCTTGTTCCTTGGCTTGGATGCATCTTGCAAACTTGCTCTCATAGCGTTGTCTTCAGTTTCCTCTATGGAACCCCTCTAAGCTAGCGGTCATAGCTGGCTTGTGGATAACTATCCGTTTCCCTGCTCCTCCCCTTGTTGAGGGGTATCAAGCTAAAAGCTCGTTCGCCATATCTTTCGGAAAGGCCTGGGGTATGACATTTCGAAGTTTCCCTATCCCGTCTGGCTCTTTCTGTCCCCTCTTTTGAGTATAAGCATAAGTGTCTTTAACATGTAACGTCCCTTATGCTTTCTCAGAAACCCACTGTTTACTGCATACTCCGATGCAATGCATAGACTCTCTATTGCTGTCCACCCTTCTGCAATTTTACATCCCACCTGAACTTCATGTTGGTTGAGATAGTCGTAATGACCATTGAAGCACGAAAGCCAGCGTTGTTTTTAAGAATCATTAAGGGGGTGGGACCTCTTGGCTAGAATCAGCGCCTTGAACCAGAAAGCACCCCAATCCCCGAAGATACTTAGCTTATGGGTAAGTCTTTTGCTCTTGGATATTGGAGCTGGAAGAGTATAAATTATGTAGACCAAAATGATGGATGTAGGACGTTCATATGGTGAGCCTTAGACTCGGAGGGCGTAAGTGTAACTTGTGTATTTGGATCGACACCGAGCTCTAACAGGTAGTGAATGGAAGCAACAGAGCTCGAATCGAACTCCTTAACCCGGTTACCAATCATTCTAGAAGCCAAAAGCATTGACCAAACGGATAGTGGGCCTCTGCCATTTGACTCATTCAAGTCATGGCCATGCTGCAGCAGAAGCTAACCCGAATGTGCTGGATAATAGGGCTTTATTGCGGTCGATACAGGTCTATTAATGGAAGCGTCAGCAGAAGCTCTCCAAAAGAAAGTAAAGTGTCGCAAGGAAAAAGTGGAACGAATCCTTAGAAAGGAGACTTGAGACAAAAGGTGCAAGGCCCTCCTGTTCATATAGAAGATGTTTGAAGTATTGGATGTAATAGAACGTTCCCACCTCAGCTTCTGCCCATATCAAGCCATCGTCAAACGTGCCCTTAACCATCTTGGCCGCAATGGATCTGACTACTGTCTTGAGTGTGTACTCGATAAAAGAAAGCAGATTTATTATGTCACTGTGCTGCGGTAATGCGTCCCGAAGTTGGTATCCGTTTTTCATGATCTTTTGAACGACTTGGGAGACGTGAGGTGCGTTTCCATGACAGAGGAAGGCGGATCGCCTCTGCTTGATCTCTCCTGGTTCTGCATCTCTATCATTGGTCTCTAAGTAACCAGCTGGGCTAAATCATGCTAAATTGCTGAGTACTTAGCACTCTAGATATACGGCAGTTGCCTAATCCGAGTCCTCATCATGACCAGGCCACACAATTTCCCGCCTGTATACTGCTCTAATGCAGCGGAAAGCAATAAACGCCCATGCAACAACTAACAATGCCGTCATCACTGTGCTGAACCACATCATCCCCGCGCTTCCCAGAGCGCTCCCTAACCTCATCGAAGCTAGAGTAAAGCCAACATTGGGGAAAACGAAACTCCACCAGCTGAGATGGAACCTCCGGTCTGGCATACCCACCAAGACAGCAACTACAGCCGACGCAAAGAACCAGAAGCTCAATCCCCAAAGAAAGACTGCGACGCAAAGAGCCAGCAGCCGCATCGCTGCACCCAACATCTGCACTTCCGTTCCATCCAACCCTTCCAGGACGGCCTTAATCCCTCTAACAGCAGGCCCTGTATCCCCCGCAAGTTCTTCCAGCACCCTTGGCATCTCTGCTGCCATGGCCACAAACACCGAGCACGTAAAACTTGGAGGCCCAACGGCAATGAACATACCCGGTCTCTGCACAGGCAGCCCAAAAGCCATCAGCCGCGACAGATACGTCGCGTAAAAAAACACCGACACCATGAAACCGAGTCCCTGTGCCGCGAGCCCAGCGCACAACACCCCCAGCGCATCTTTCCCCTTCAACCCCCTGATACACGTCCCCGCCAATGTACCAGCCAGCATGACGGGGAAGATGGGCAAGATCCAGGCGGGCGTCATCTTCCCTATTGTCAGCCTCCTCTCGCGCTTGACCGTAAATAGTAAGTGGTATTGCGCAACCGAGACACAAAAAACACATGCCCAAGTAAATCCAGAACACGGCCTTCAGAAAGCCGCTTTCCAGCCTAGCGACCTGCCTTGAGGAGAGAAAATGGCGAGAGTATTCATCGACGTTGACCAGCAACGCTGCGATGGATAGGAAGAGCGTTGGCACAAAGAGGGCTTCGCGCGGGCGGGTGAATGCCCTCCTAATGGTATGCCGGTAGAGGGCAAAGCGCAGGGCGATAGCTACCGTGGTGAGGAGGAAGAAGACCACATCGAGAAGAAATAGGGTCAAGCCGATATGGGACAGCCCCTTGAACCGGTAAGGACACAAAGCGAGGGTGAGGGCTATGCCGGAGGTGGACATCCTATCCCAGGGTTAGGGCTGTACATGTATTGATGGTAAGGTGAGGGAACCTACGTAACAGTATACCAGGCAAATGTAAAATGCATCAACCGATCCCTCCAGGGCAAGCTCGGCTGTAGATACGTCGGGATCCTCTCCAGAGGCGGAAGCAAGGCATCTTGACCAGGCTCAGAAGTGGTCAGTTGATCTACCCGGGCAAAGTCCGTCGTATAGGTCTGCGAGCGATCCGCTTCACGGTCCTCGGGCGTGATGCCAGCCTCACTGTCATGGCTCTGTAACAAATTGGATGCCTTTTCGCTCTGCACACGCACGCAGCGTGGTGTGGCTGAGCCTGACAACGAAGATGGCGATGTTGAGGTGGATGTCAAAGTTGCATGTCCCATTGTGATATTGTTAGGGTTAGGATGTCCTCCCTGGACGGCCGTCATCGTCAACTACTGCTGCTGCTGACGCACAGCATCCCAGTTTCTCAAAATCATCGATCAATGATTCTGAACATTGGAATTGGGGGAGAATTTAAACCTCCCATCGAATGCAATGGAAGAGAAGTGGAAGGGAAAAGTTTACGCGGTTGAATAGGGCTGAGCGGCACGGCGCCTGGGTCCTGAAGGACGATCGACATCGAATGTGGTGGGCGGATGGTGGGGTTGACAGCTCTCCCACCACTGCGCTGGAGCCACGCTGCCGCTGCGACATGGATGCGCTCTCTAGCGAGCCACTGGACGTTGGCGGAATCGAAAGATGTGCAGCTGGATGCAACAGCGTTGCCGAGCCCTCAAGATTGTGGCGGCCTAGAATTCTGACCCGTCAAGTGCAGACAGTAAGGTTAGGGTTGTATTCGGCGATCTGTGAGAACGATTGTAGGGTTAGGGTTGTAGCTAGTTTGCCCCTAAACAGGGCTTGGGTTTTACGAGAGCTCTAGCTCTGTGATATTTGCCACCCGACAAAACTTCGGGTACAAAAACTCGTGTAGACCTTTTTTGAAGATAGTGAGAGGATTATTTGATTAGTTGTCGTACCCAGTCGAACGCATATGACTCACATCACCTCTTTAACGTTTTGCCCTAATCTAGAAATGCATATCCACTCTCATCTGATAATGAAAACTCCCAAGTTTCTAATCTGTCTCTCAACTGTCAAGATACAAAGTCGAAACAATCTTTGGTATCATAACATAACCGTCAACCATAGAAATCCAAAAAAAAGATATTGTCATGCGCTTATTGGTGTCATCCGGTCATGTAACCAGCCATAACCTCGCCCAGTGTAAAGAAAGAGTTAAAAGCGATTGGTATCAAGCATGCCATCTAAATCCCAAGCGATAAGGACCGTAAAAATGCCCATGCCCTAAACCCGAAGTTCCCATCAGACGCCAGTGCAATCCCCCAACGGCGAAGAAGACCGATATCGCTTCGCGTTGTACCAAACGTCAAGGATTGGTGTAACAAAAAAAAGCATCGCTCTTGCCCTGTAACTGTTCTGATCCGCTATTTTTCGTTGACTGTTACTGACCGACTCGATCCGGCGAGCTGTCCTTATGATGTCGTACAAGCCGCCTTGTCTGCAAGCTGCCGTGCTCCCCCATATTGGGCAGCCAGTAATCAAGGTCTGATGAGGATGCACGAGCTCACCGCTAGTGAGATATCGGTGAGTGGTACAGTATCTGGAAGGTAGAGAAAGGTCGGTGGCAAGATATTCGTCACATCAAGTATCGTTCGCCGGTCGGGTTTGTTGAATTCGGGGACCGGAAGCCTTACTCGCCTCATCTCCGTTGTCTGTCGCATCGGGCAGCGACAAGACTGGTGAGGTGAGCTGCGCCGTAGACCGCTTCAGCCCAACGGGATCAACGTTTCCTGGACTAGATGGGCTCACAAGACCATGTCCTGAGTTGCCCCACTCCAGTTCCTCACTCCTTCTCCCTTTTCTCTGGTTCTACCTCCCTAGTCTCCTGAACTTCCCGGCGCTGCTCCTCCTTTCTGTGATGCCTTCTCTTGTTCGGCACACTCCTCGGCGGGGTCCTCTCCCGTGAGCGACCCCTTGTTTCCTCCTCGTCGACCAGACCCATTATGCGACGGTCCTCTTCGTACCAAGCGCAGAGCGGCTTGCCGCCGAACATGAGGTCATTATCTTCGATGACCGTCGAGACCATCCATGAGTATGGCCCCGAGCAGGGAGCGATCTCATCAGGGAGAGTCATGGCTTCGGGTGTGAGGTTGATTGGAGTGTCCGGGTCGGGAATGATGTAGAGAGTGTCGAAGGCACAGGGCTTGGGGGTGCTTTCTGGGGTTGGGGTCTGCGAAGTTGTCATTGCTGTGTGGTGAGGTATTGTTGATGCACCGAAGATCGCAAAGATATTTTCTTTGGAAAGGAGAGATAGCAAGGAGAAAAAAAGAACCTCGGATGACTGTAAGCGGGGTCTGCTGCTTATATTATACCGGGAAAGTTGTCCACACTTCAGTAAAGCGTTTAGTGTCCACGTTGCGGGCCTTGGTGGCTGTCTCGTTCGCAGATGCGACCCAAAATGTCGGCGCAGAAGACTTGGTTGGATGATGCAGAAGCGAGGATCGGAGGACAGTTGCAGCAGCAATGCAGGGCTGACCGAGGCTGTCAGGCGCGCCGGTCCAAGACTGCGGGGTAATTACTTGGCGTTTTCGATCCCCCGTCCCGAGGCTGCGCTTCTGGGCGGGTCGCCTGTCGGACAAGGGTTGATGGCTTGCGTGCCGGCTTGTGATTATGGATCGCGAGTGCGTGTATAGCCGATGGACGGATGGTTGGCTGCTTGATTGCGCGCAAGGGGATAAATCACCCAGAATTCGATGAAGGTACAGATCCGTACCTCACCTGCTGAACTTAGATCGTGGAGGGTCAGGTGCGAGGATTGCGAGGGTAGCGTGACACGAGAAACACGCCCACGAGGCCAAGGCAGCTAAAGTCAGTAGCATAAACAAGAAAAGAAATGTATCAAGCTCACACAAAGTGTGTGTGCAAATAAGTAGCAATATTTTGCAAACTGGGGCTGGCGAAAAAGTTCGGGCGAAATTTCCCAAGTCAGCTTTCAGGCACTTCCCCGGTGCCCGATTGCGCAATCCTTAAAGTCGCCGCCGCCACGCCAGCAAAAGCCGGATCGTTTTGCAAAGGGCGACCGAGCCGATCGATGCAGGCTCAAGAAAAGCCGCGTTTGTGCGTGCAAAAGTCCCGTCCAAGGTCGACTTATTCGAAAAGCAGCCTTTTGGATTGGCCGCCTGCAAGCTGATGATGGTTGCGTGGGGTCGAGCTGAGCAAAACTTTGATCCTAAAAGCTGCTCCTCCAGCCAATCGATGTGCGAGGGCTGCTGTTGTGACGCAAGGGCTGATGAAAAACCCTGAACGCTCGGACCCGAGAGGTTTTTTTTCAAAGCTCGATGCTCTTTGCCTTGAGAGACTTGAGAGAACAAAGGCGTTGCTGTGTATACACAACAGCTCTTGACCACGTTTGTTGACTGGTGATAGGTGATGGGCTCCAAAAAGAAAAACGGCTTAGGTCTTCAACGAGACCTGGACGGGACCGGTCTGGATTCCTATATACCCGAGATTCCTCTACGAAGCTTTTGTCGTGCTTCTCACACCTTTCGGTCACATCTGCGGCAATGTGATGCATAACGTTTGACCGTCAGGAATGCCCAAAGGCCACGCCCTATCGCCACCAAGGTTCCGCACGCTTCGACGCTGGCACTTGAGATCCCTAAATTCAAGGGTCCGCCCGGATGTCCTGCACGGTATTCCATTCGCTGCACTGCATGTGAGCTTAAATGAGTTGGCCTGTGTGTTGCTGTGCTGTCACTACCAGGTTGTCCTCCTCCACCCCCACCCCTGAGCTGGCAACACCCCACGCTTGCTCGCTTGCAGCCGGGCAGCAACCGCTCTGCGCTACGTATCGGGCGCCATCCGTCCGTTAGGTACTGTATTTGTGACGAATGGAAAAAAGATTAAGGGACAGATAGGGCTGAACCAGTCCACTTGGTTCCAACCGGGATTTAGCTCTCCGATCCCCGCATAAAGTTTATGGCCAACTCATATCTAGCTTCAAGCCACCTCCTTAAAATACTTTCGACTCTTGTGAAGGTCAACATCTGTACTCCTGCGCAAGTGAAGCCCACTGTTTCTTGCATATGCGAGTAAATGACTGGGGGAACTTGTCGCTGAGATCGGAACAATCAGCGAGCAAGAAGCATCTCGAAGACGCTGGATGGACGAGTAAATCACGTCATTCCATTGTGCGTATTCCAGACCGGTCACCTGGACGCCAGCATAACCTCTCAATGTGATACGAGCGGGATAGAAAGTCGGATGGCTGATCATGTTTCTACAGGGCAAAAGGTCGGACTGTCAGAGAGCCTCATTGCCAAGCCTAACATTACCCCACCATAGGGCTCGAACGAGGGGCCACCCCGCAGCAGCTGTCCATGGAAGGACGGGATAGGTGTGAATCTGGAAGATTCTGTCCAGCTTACGATAATGCTAAGAATTTGCAAGAACATTTAGCACTTCATATATAATTAAGCAGCTTGGAGGTTGAGATAAAGACGATAAGACTTTCTAAAACTCCAAGCTGAGAATCACGAGATTTTGCTCTTGGAATGACGTCATGGACCATCGTTCCCTGGTTCCACTGCGCACCTTGATAGTCTCGGACACAATCACCTCCCAGCATGCAACTAATTCAAGCAACACAGCAATTATTCACCATTCATGCATCATTCGGCAATCCAATGTCAAATCTAAGTCCATTATTCTTAAGGATTGAACATGCGCGTGTTCCACAATGTTGACATCCATTCATCAGTTGTCAAACAGATTGGAAAAGGCAATGAAGGAACCAGCGCAGTTACCAAACTGAAGCAAGAAAGCTGAACTTCTAACAACGGCTAGGCTCCATACTCAGACCATAAAGAGTTATCTGCCAGGATTATTGTGAACGAAGGGCTTTTGCTTTTGGTATTTCAGCTCTGAATGGGGGTAACCTCCGCTTGCTGTACGTTGATGTGGCTGGACAGGCAGTCTGCAGTCTGCAAACTCAGTGGGGCTGGCTGGCTTTATATGCCCAAAGTCGGGTTCTTTAATAGTTGTGGGGCTTGATCTCTTGGTAGCAAAACTGCAGTAAGGTCTGAAAGTATTTGGAAACTTTACCATATATTCACTATTGTGAAACATTAGGTATCATCCGTTAGCTTGATGGCGGACATCCTATGTAAGCGCTAATGCAGCCTGCTGACACATGTTGCTCCTCAGCATGAGTTGAAAGCCTCTCAGGAGCAAACACTATCATGATTTTATCCCAAACTTTGCTGCCTAGCCCGTGATTTGTTGAACAAATTCGGATGCGAACTGTTATCATGATTCTTATCTCAATCAGTTCAACATTTAAATAAGCCTTGGTCGTCCAGGACACCCTGTGCGTCATACTAAACTAGAGAAGAAATTAACCGCAGTGTAAGACTCATTGGCCGAAAAACCCTTTCTTTATATAGCAGAATGCTTCAATTCGTAAGAGACTCCATCTCAAGTTGGGTTCACATCGTCCACGCCTATACCCCGGGTCAGATTGAGTTCTGGGGCACGCTCCTGGTCCAAATCATCTTCTTCTGGATCCCCGGTCTAGGCTACATCGTCCTCGACTATACTTTCCCCTCCTTTTCCGCTCGGCACAAAATTCAACCGCCCGCAAAGCAACCGACATGGTCTGAGGTCAAGCATTGCATTCGGGTGGTCTTCCTAAGTCAACTCCAATCTATTGCAACCTCTCTGATTGTCCGTGTCATCTCAGAGATACGCAATCGGCCTTCGCTCTTAACCATTTCTCCCTCTCTTCCGACTTTGTCGAACTTTGTACGCGATGTAGTGGTAATAATCATATTTCGGGAAACCTCGTTTTATTATGTTCACCGCTTGCTGCACACGAAACCGTTCTACAAGCGCTTCCACAAGCTGCATCATGAGTTTACAGCACCTGTTGCCCTAGCGACACAATATGCTACCCCAGCCGAGCACCTTTTTGCCAACACACTCCCGATCGTTGTTCCGGCTCTAGCGTTACGCACGCATATCGTGACATTGTGGTTTTATCTGGGGTGGACTCTGCTTGAAACGACGACGACGCACAGTGGGTATGACTTCTTTTTTGGTATGGCAAGGTTCCATGACAAACATCATGAGAGGGGGGAGATCAATTACAGTGCATATGGGCTGATGGATTGGATACATGGGACCAACAAACTGAGAAGGACAAAGAGAGACTGAAGTAATCGGCGCACTGGGCGCCGGGCAATATCACGAGACGATAATGTCAAATTGTGCGTCTTGTGGTCATGATTCGAGGGCTCAAGTGTCCAAGAGCTTATGTACTTCAGCTTAAAGCCTGGTATTCGTTCATATAATGTTTCCCTAGTGCTCTGTTCTCAGGCAGCTTCAAATGGTATGAACGTATATCACCTGTCCCGTCGCCGTGGACTTGTTTGCCGCAATCCCTGTCAAGATGTATGCAACCCCATTAACATAGCTCAATCTTCTCAGGTACTTATATGACAATTGCTTGTCGAACAGATCTTGTAGTAATACTGCGCCGCCATCGCAATATGCCCCATGAGCGTCTTCAAACGGGATCTCTCTCGGCGGGCTCAAACAGCGGCCGCAGCAGAATGGCCCTCTTTTCAATGCATCCCTCGAGAGATTATTCCCCTCCAGTTTACATAGCTCTTTTCTACGACCTCCATTTCGATCCTCCCTCCAGTTCCGTTGGAACTCATCCCCTGGAGCGTATGTCAATGAAAAGGTCTTCACTACCCCATTTCGGTACCGCACCAGGATGTTCATGCAACAAACTTTCCGTCACTTCTAGCCCTGAAATTTTTGCTTAGCGCATTTGTGGCCATGATCGCTCTCAATTATGTAGCCGTGACACGAATGTGATGACGCCGGTCAGGGCATACACTACTGACCAGTTACTGGAATGCTATGAATGGAATCCCCATGATTGTAGAGAGACTGTTTACCTTCAGATTATGGCATATTGAAAACAAAGTGCTGTTCAATTACCAGCTGATTTTCCTGTTTTATGGACTCCTCACCGTGGTTTATGCCGTGGTCAATGCAATCCTGATGCCAGTCTCACCCATGGAAGCCAAATACCTAACCAAAAGGAAGAAAAATGAACTGTGGCTGTTGAACAGTTGCCAGCAAACCATATGGGAGTGACATCGCTACACTTGAGATGGGATCATGTCAAGGAAGAATTTCTGGATCACAGACGGGATGTTGATTGGTGACAATTGT